CCTACTAACCAGAGAGAGGCGTTACTTCAGTACCTACTAACCAGAGAGAGGCGTTACTTCAGTACCTACTAACCAGAGAGAGGCTTTACTCGAGCAGCCAAGTGCATTCAATGTATGACTTCCCCTCTCCACGAATCTCTCTAAACTTTCAAGCCATTTTATGCTGACGACATGCAGGATGCGCGACTCAATCAAACACCAAATCTACTTTGTTCCCCTGATTTGTTGCCTATACAGTGCCTACTTTTCTGCGACTGGGATTCTCGTTCTCAGAATCGTACAGAATTGTCGCACGTTTTGGTTCACGAACTTGATAAACGGGTACAGGCAACGGTACGTTATTTACGTGCTACGTGGAATAATTTCGCTGACAGTTTCTTCAGAGCTTCGAATTTTCCAATATGAAAGGCCGGAAAGGCTGTTTCAACAAAGCTAAGCTTGAAAGTATCATCCAAACTTCGAAAGAACCCATTACGAGTCCACGATGGCGCCTTCAACTGGAAAATTTCTTTGTTCCTTGGGTCGTCACACACCCCGATGCATTCCCTGAACTTGTAACAGATCACTTCATTTTTGTCCACTTTTTGCCGGTGAGTCTTCTTAACCTGAGTTTCTGTTATCCTTCTCAAGTGTGCTAATCAATATCAGTTTGACACTCCAATTACTGACCTCGTCTTTGGTTTGGACCTCCGTAGCCGGTTTCCCACCAAAGCAGCCGCAATACAGCATGTTCAGGCAGGTCTGACTGCAAGAAAGGTTTCGGAGGTATGTAATCCGATTATTTATAGTTATTAGTGCCATTAACTTATGTTGATAGGAATCCAGGTTTGCCTCTGGAGGTCACTTGCTTTGGCCACATATTCTCGAGTGCCTCCGATTATATGATACGCGCGGCCTGCCTCCATGGGTGCATATTGATCGAGCTTTGCGATACTTTGTGTTTCAGAACAGAAAGCTTTTCCCCGAGATAAAAAATTTTGCCTTGGTAAAAGACTGGGAGAAATTCACCGGGTCAACCTGGTGATCGTGTTGGATCTTCGAATCAGCACATCTGATGGACGATCGAATTTCATGGGCCATCAAATTGGGCACAGTGGCGAGAAACAAATGGTTTGATAATTGAAAGCATCGGCGTCAAAGGCCTGGGATCCACGATGCTATTTGGCACTCTTCTGGACTTGCTTTCGGAGTTACACGGATGTAAAATTAATTAGGCGGGTATAATAATGATCCCAACTTCCACCACTCAATCTCCCTCTATCCTTCGTTCCTCACACACTCACACACTCCATTCTCTCAGTTCTGCGCACCAGGCATAACCATCTGCTCAGCCTTGTACTGCTGATCCACGGCGCCCTTCTCCCCAGCACGAGCCACGGTCTCCTTCTCCGCCTGGCACAGCGAGCATCCCAAGCAGCAGAACGAGCAAGCGAGGTCCTTGGTGCAGCTTCCCTCGAGGTTGTGCTTCTCGCGGATCTCCTGGAGCTGGAGCGCGTTCATGACCCAGTTGAGGCAGACGTAGCTGGAGGCGAAGAAGAGGATGCACTATATTTATGACTCGTGTTAGTTCAAAGGGTATTCGTGGACATGGTTTCCTTGTGAAGGGTCAGAGTAACTTACGGAAGTGTTGACGGGTGAGTATCCGGCCATGTCGCCGTTATGTCGTAGGCGATGATGGGTTTTGCCGAATGTAATGCAAGGGCAGCAGCATGTCACAAGGCCTGTTTGACTATTAGTTTATATTCGTACGAATCCATCCATAACATCCTTCGGGCATTAGGTAGATGTGTTATGAAGACACTTACAGGTGCTTGGGGGCGTAATACATCCCCAGATGCTGTTCAACCACGGCTGGGATCCCTCGGGAGAGGCAGAGTTCCACGCCTGGTTGTTGAGTGCTGTCTTTGCGCGTGTCTGCCACTCGCTGAACTCATCGGCCTTGAAGGGGCCGTCCTGAGCGGGTTGCTGTTGAGGGGCCGACATGTTGAGATAGGGACGGGTAAAGAAGTGACGGGACTGTTGATGACGGAGTATTGAGTGTGAATTGGAATGAATGGATATCTAGACTTGATGCAAGGAACAAACGATTAAAAGAATGGAATTATAGTTAAGGAAGTGTTCAAGTTGGTAGCTTTTGGGGATATCAACAAAGAAGGAGCGACGATAGATAGTAACACCAAGAAACCACAAAAAGAAACACTGACTCCTTATATGTCCCCTTGCCCTTGCTCACCGGTTTCTCAATTACGCCGTCTAACGGCCTCGAAAACAATAGTGAGAAAAAACAAACAAACAGAAAAGCCAATCCGTCCAATCTAATCATCACAAACCGGCGCCTCTTCATCTCACATAGCGTGCATCTCCCAACTCAAAACTATACGCCCAGGAAGGAATGACAGGAAAAGAACAGGCATCAGCGAATCAACATCACCACGCCCAACGATCGCCTAGGGAAATTTCTATATATGGATGATGGGTGCAGTGGCACGAGTGGCTAGTGATGCTTCAGGTACCCAGCCCTTTCGCACTGCTCGCGTAGCTTTTCCATACCGTCGATGGTGCCTGGAGCTAGAGGGAGCGACGGACGCTTTGTCGCTTGTCATTTTTCAGCCCAAGCACTGCCGGGTACCGTGATGCTCGCCACTAAGAACGCCATGTGGAAATGAGAGCCCAAGGGGTGCATAGGCGAGAGTGATCGTCGTCGTGAACTTTTTCTTCTTGTGATGCTTCCTAAGGGTCGGAAATGATTTTTATCCTTTTGAAAGGGCGGTGTCGTCTGCTGAGTATTATGTCAAGAAGCATGTATTGAAGCATCATTCTGTATGCTTTACGACTTGGCCATGTTGCCTAAAGATTCAATCTTGCTGGATCATGGCACTTCGTTGATCTGATACTTATCTCGCTGATACGAGTAATGCGGCGAGCAAAGCCATCCGACCCCGGATCAGCTTAGCTCTCAGCGCATGCGGTGAAAAGGAGATGGAGACGCCACTCAAAAGTCAATTCTGAGCTTACATCTCATCTCGGCTCTAACAAGACATTCTTCAAAGCATTGAGATATTGCCAGCACATAGCATGTATTCCGAAAGCGAAGTACGAAGCTCCCAGACTGTTTTGTCTCAAAATCATACAAGCCATATAGTGCAGATGCATTGGCAATCACCACATTTGTGCACATACATCATCAATAACATGTCCATTAAAAGTCTCTTCGGCAATACTATCGAAACTGTACATGGTCGCGGTTATTTCATCCATGCTCCGACGAATAGTCTGGCGTATGCCGACATAGTTGACCTATTGCAATCCATGCCATATCCTGCAGGCCCAATTACTCCTGGGTTGAATTGCCCATATAAAACTTCATTGCTGTGCTTAATCGCAAAATGTCTTTAGAAGGGGGAATCTCGACGAGCGCGTTGCGTATAAAGGTTAAAGAAAACCGCCAAAAGAAGATGCCTTCAATCTTGCGTCAAACAGCAAGTATCAGGCGGGTATGCAGAAGCAGGACATTTAAATAACAAAATAAGGAATACACTGATGGAAGCCATCTCCACCAAGTGGAAACGTCAGTGATGTCAAAAGATACGAAGGGATTGCGGAAAGGCCCAGAACGGTGAAGAGGATATTAAGCTGTACAGTTACAACCCTTGGAGCCAGTCCTGGGTCAAGAATATTAAGTTTAACAGATTAGTCGCATTGTATTTGAGTCGTAGATCATTTCTGCTTCAACGGGTATGCTGAGCAATGCGTGCACGATCTCCGCAGACCGCTTAATGACTGGCGAGACATCGGTTTGTTGGGGGTATAATCATAGCATCTTTCGTGACACGGGCCACTTAGTCGAAAGCGGTTCCTTCCCTAACCATACGACTCTCGTCTCGAGCTCGTTGATTTGAGCCTGAAGCGTTCCTGGGTGCTCCGCCCATCGACATGCCCATGTTCATCAGAAGCATTCCACTTTCGCGTTTACGTTGTTTTGCTTCCCGGGAGTTGCCAGGCTGCAGCGCGCCGTTCAGACTGCCATAGCCCTCTGCACCCTGGAACTGCTGCTCATACATGGGGGCGTCGTAACTGGGACGAAGAGGAATGAAGCCGGTTTCGTATCCAGCATATTGTTGCTGTTGTTGTTGCTGTTGTTGCTGTCTCGGCTGCGGAAGCTGGGGCAACTGCTGAGGAAAGCTGGCAGGGGCATCCATTGCTTGGCCAAAGCTGGTTGTATTATACGCTGGCGTGGGAAGATCCGAGAACATCTGTCGCCGGGGCGATCGAATTGCATCATCCGGCAGTGGGGGAGTGCTCACGACGATTTCATGTATCGGCGATGTGGCCTCATCGACTTCTGTGCCGAAGATGTCCGGGAAATCGGTCAGGAACATCGATATCAATGGTGCAGGGATGTTGAGAGTGGGAGCAAAGACAATGCCAACATTGCGGACAGTCATCTTATTCTGGCCAGCATTGTCGATGATCTCAATGAGGAAAGACGACATAGCCCGAAGCAGTTCAAAATTAACCGTGGGAAGCCTGTGTACCAGGACGTTGAACGCCTGGATTTTCTTGGAGCGCTCGTCCATGTCTATGATCAAGTCAGTAAAGATCAAAACGTCATACCGGTACTACATACCAAGGACCTTAAGAAAATCAAGATGGAGTTCTCGTGTCAGAATAGACGACGGGAGTTCTCTAAGGTATAGTTTCAAGAGGGAAGCCACCGCATGAACGTCATAATACTCTCCACCTAGCAAGTTCACGTCGCCCTCGCTATTGAACCTCTCTCGAAGCCCTCTGATAACGATGTTTGATCCGCTCAACCTGAAAATACCCTCCTCTTGGGACGCTTTCTTGGCTTTTAGGTATTCGAGACATCGATAAACAACCGCAGGCAGTGGAACCCTGAGGCCAGCGGGTTGAGAATACTCTACGGCCTCTTGCAGCGGAATACCGAATACATTGCGGTTATGCTGAATGACCCGTTCTTGGGGATGCAGTTGCTGCGCCGCCGCAGCCTGCGCAGGTGCGAGATCCGACGAAGCACGCCCTCTGAATCCGAAAATGCTCCTCTTTTTATCTTTCACTGTCGTTGGAGCGGCAAGAGATTTATTTCCCCAAAATTCAGCATTTTGAATGGGTGCACCATTCGTTGGGCCCGAAATGGAAGGGTGATGATTTCCGGGATGATCAGAGAAGTTATTCAGTTTCGGCGAATGCGGCTGCCCTTCCCTGGGTTCGCGTTGTGCAGGCCCTCGGACGGGCGCTTCAGCTGCTATCGTGTCGTCGTAACTGAGGCCCTGGAGCCTAGTACGTTGGTCGGAATCTGGACTGTTCCTTGCCCGTGAAGGCACCTCTTGTGTTTGAGCTTTGCTTGACGGAGCGTGCTTAGCGGGAGCATCGATTGGAGATGAATCATCCTGCCAGTCTACGTGTTGGAGTAAGGCATCGACCCAAGCATCTCGTTCTTCGTCACTTTCGGCGCATAGAACGTGGCGTACTAGACTTGAGGAGTCCTTCCGCTTTGGCTCCAAGATCAGGAACGCATGTCGATATTGATTGTCCTCAGAGTCGTCGCGCCGTTGTGGCGATTGATTAGATTGTTGTTGGGACTGCTTGCCAATCTGCGCATTCTGTAGCTTGATGGTTCCAAGATGAGCGCCGCCAACCATCTCGTAGTATCGAAATTCGGGGCCTTCAAGGATAAAGTACCGAGCTTTCCAACCACCGAAATTTTTGCCTCGTTTGGTCAAGTAGCCTTCTTTACGCTGCTTGCCTCTGGTGCCCGGCGCGGTTGGCGTGATTGTCATTGCCGCGTGTTCAGGTGACAGAGCAGCATCATTCTGTGCACCAATGACGTCCGTTGAAAAGAATTCGCAAACTATCATCGCGGCCTTCTCATTCATCGGTGTTTCGAGCAAGGTATCAAAATACAAATTAAGAGCAGCTCGTCGAGCATCAATCTTGGCAGGTGCATGGCCACTGAAAAGTGCCCGATCCGGTAATTTCCCCTGGAAGTCGCACTGGGACTTCAACTGCGTATCTAGGGCAGGCAATGCCATGATCGTCTTCTCAACTCGCCATAATTGTTTCGAATTTGAACGGGCGTAAATTGCAAGGATGAAGACAGGGTCCTCTTCCTGGGGCTTTGGTGCCATAAAACTCAAACGTGAGGGACGTAACCGCGATGAAAATACTTTGACGTCGATTGATGGCAATGCATTAGGCGGCAAAAGGAGACCTGGATATTGTTCGGATACAAGACCGCGGTATACGTGCTCTGACTCATCTTGTCCTGTCATACTGTTATCAGCGTCGGGACTGGACTGAGCATTGGGTAGCCTGAGGAAGTCTGATGACGAGCTCTGTGGTTTGAGCTGCGCAGCGGCTGGCTCCGATCGAGCAACGACGTCGGCTCGGGCAACATTAGGGGAAGTGTATGACTGGGGCGTGTTGGGAGGCAGAGGGATTGGCTGCCGTGGTGGCCTTGGTGCTGGCTGGGGCATTCCATGAAGGCCGGATCTTGGTGATACGGGGGGAGATGCCAGCGACTGTTTTGGGTTCCTAGGAAGTGGCGAGTTCATTGGTCTATCCCCAGGACGGGGGCTCATTGGCAAGCCGGGGCTCATCAGGGGTGGAGACCCCACGCTTCGGTTTGCCATCATTGAGCTATCAGAGTTCGTAGGGCTGAGCAATGCGTTCAACGATCCAGCAGGAGGATGGCGGGGTGACATGGGCAATCCGACCTGAGCAGGGCTCAGCATACGTGGAGAAAGCGACCCTGCCACAGAAGCGTTCTTAGAGCCAAGGCCGTCGTCACTTGTGGCGCCAGACTTGCTCTTGCTCTCGCTCTTCTTCTTTTTCGATTTGCTGCGAGCCTCATCATCCTGCACCATCATCGCTTCGCGGACTCGATCGTCCTCCTCACGTGTCTTTCTCCTGCCCCTTTCAACGGTGGGGATCTCATCGACTTCCAAAGTATCGTCGTAGTCTGATTCGTCCTGGTTGCCAGATCTGGACTGATAAAGATGAGCGCTGGTCTGGGCAGGTTTGGCAAGTTTGAGTGGCGCTGGCGGTGGTTTTCTTGACGGATGCGCGGGCTTCTCTGGGCTTGTTGGTGTTTCAAATCCATTTCTTCCAATGATGGGTGTTGCCTGAGTGATTGACAAGGAAGGTGCCTGCAATTGCGATGCAGACGATGGGGAACCCGTAACAGCCTTTTCACGAGGGGCCTCGTTCGTGTCGACGGATGAGGTCACGATCGAAATGCTTTCGCCCATGAGCGAGTTGAGCCCAAGACCTTTGCCGGTGACGTTGAGAGGTTTCACTGAATAATCTGTGGGGGAGTTTATTGACGAAGATGGGCCAGAAGCGGACTGTGTTTCGGAGGAATGAGATGGTGATTCTGCTAGCTGAGAATCCGGAACCGTTTTGGCAGTTATTGTCGTTGATTCCTGTGGTGATGGGGTTACCTTCTGCTCACTGCTTTTGTTTGGCTTTGCATGTTCCTCCAGTCTCTCGCTCGGAGCGGGTGATGCGCTCTCTTCGCGTTCCACGACAGAATCGAATGTATCTGATCTCTGTGGCAGTCCCGGTACTGGTGGAACCTGGCTGGCATACTCTTTCAGTTTCGTCCGGTAACGGTCTTTGTCTTTCAATGATCGCTCGAGATCCTTATTCAATCCGATGATCATGGCTCTTTGTTTTTCCACAAGACGCCACAGCTGGTTGTTGTGGTTAGATGCGCTCTGTTTCTCCTTCCATAGCGCAAGAATAGCTGCTTCTGGAGAGCCTGCGGAGGCAATGAGGGCAGGGATGTCGGGCGGTTGTTGAGAGGTGCCATCTTGAGAGGGCTTATAAGCATGACCCGATGGTTTATATGATTGAGAGTTCGATGACAGTGTGGAGACCTGTGAGTCTATCGAGTGAGTTCGCTGATTCGTGGGGCGGGCCTCTGCAGGTCGGTGTGGTCGTGAGGGGGGCGGCATCATGGCGGGCGAGGAGGGAGGCGAGTTGCCTACAGAAGTAGTTCGAGGGACAGGTGCAGAGACGTTGCGTAGTTGAGCATGCGAAGAAGGCTTCCCTAAGGACACTGCACCTCGAAGCGCAGTGGTAGCGACAAGAGGAGGGTTCGGGTTGGATTGGGTAGGCGTGGGAGCGGCAGACGAGTGAACGTTCTCCTCAGCTAACAGAGCATCCAGCTTCTCGCGCGGCGAGCGTGGACCTTCGTGATAGGATGTTAACGAGGGTGAGAACCGAGGCGACCGCGGGGAATTCTGAGGTGAGATGTTCAAACTGGATTGGTGCAGCGGGATAGGTCTCCTGCGTGGCAGGTTATTGCCGGGGAGGTCGTTGTTTGGAGAGGGAGGGAGGTAGGACGGGCGCGTCGTCTCGCGCAGCGGCCGTGAGTACCAGCCTTCGGTGGGAGAGGTTGACGACGGGTTCGGGGGTGAGGAGGAGGTGGTAGAGGACGAGGAAGGGTCTGTATTATTAAAGAGAGAGACGGAGTTGGAGGTAGAGAGCGAAGAAACGCTCGAAGATGTCGGCTGTAGCATTGCTCAATCCAGTTTAAAGCAGGTGCCGGTGCTGGTGCCAGTGCCAGTGGGAATGCCAGTCGGTCAGTCAGTGCCAGTGCCAGTCCAGTGCTTGCTTGCCGTGTTGGACCTTGCAAGGATGTGCCCTAGATGATTTGGGGGGCTCGCCCTCTGTAACGAGCACGGCGGGGGATGATTAGGCGTGTTTCGAGTTGAATCTGAATAGTTGGAAGATGGTAGAGAAAGAGTGTAGATTTCCCCCCCATTCTTTGGAGAAGAGGAAAGATGGGCAGCCGAATTAGCGCTCACAGTCAGGTGGACAGGCAGATGGACAGGACGAGGCAAGGCACCATTTCCAAGGTTTATTAGAGGAGGGAGGAGGAGGAGGAGGAGGAAAAGGAAAAGAAGACGAAGAAGGAAAAGAGAAGATAAAAGGTACGTTGGGTGTGTATTATTGGGCGCTTGTGGTAGGGCAGGCACGTTTGTAGGTTTATTTACCAAAGGAACCTAAGGTATTAATTATTGTTCCCTTTCTATTTTCCCTTTTCCTTTTCCCTTTCCCTTTCCCTTTCAAGCTCCAGCAGCGTTCCTGTCGAAATGACGATAATACAGAGAGGGAGGGCCGTCGTTAGGGGAACCCACATACGCAGGACATACACATAGAGAGACAGGAAAAGCCGCGCTCTTCCTATCTGGGTTTCTGAAACAGACAATCGGCTTGCTATTCTAAAATCTTTGAAGCGCCTCTAGTTATCACGTCTGTACTGGTGGTGGTTGATGTCTGAATTAAAAGCTGACTGCATTTGGCATTGTGTTGGTGGTCGATATGTGAGGTATCTCATGACTTCTCTTGATCGTTTGACTAGGGAATTAGCTGCTGGCGGGACCTTCAAAAGTTACTCCAGCCGCCATCATCGAGTCGCGTACATGCGCCTACCGCTATCTAGATAATATTGTAATTACCTCGAACCCACAGGTACTTCATACGCACATCCACAAAGTACACAAACCACACCACACTACGGACATCCGATAGCGCCGCGTGGCGGAATGTCCAGATCATCATCATCGAGATATAATACATTGTCACGGTAGATGTGTCTCACAAGGCCACGACGAGTGCCCGTCTGGCAATAATTGGTCAGTCCCTCTGTTTCTCCTTCACAGTCCACAGTCCGATGTGGGGATAGCCCGTGGCCCTACCGTGCCTTTTGATAAATGGATGGATAGATGAATGGATTGGATGTGGGCCACCCCCCCTGCTATAAGGTCTACTACTATGCGGCCTAGTCTACAGACTTCTACACCAGACGTGTAGTGCGAGTGCCGTCTAACTGCTCCATCATCCACTAAGAGTCTCAGATGGCTGCGCTTCGAGCGGTGATAGAAAAGGAGACTGCAGTCGTCGACGCCCTCATTGGCTGATGGAAGCCATAGGGTTTATCTCCATGCCATATCCCATGGCCCTTACGACAATCCATAATCATACTCGAACGAATGATCAATAAGTCCTGTACACACCTACGGATGGAGTACTTCTTCTACCTTGAGGGCAAAAGTCTTCCAATCAACCCGCTAGATGATTGATAGGTACTCAACCATCCACCCATAAATCCCTTCATCTATCCATCTACACAGCAATACACACAGTGCAAGCCTACGAGATAGGTACCTCGTATGTATCTAGCCATCCGCTCACCCCGCTATGCAGGTTGATCACCAGGGCCCGAATGCACCGCACCCACCTTGGCCAGTCCAAGCCCAGCCCAGCCCAAAATGGGCTCTGGGAAGCATTTGGTAGCCAAATTACCCACGAGTCCTCAAACCCTTCCCTTTTCATGCCTGTCAGAACGCTGGTCCTGTGCTGTGCTATGCTCGACTGCACTGGGCTGGGCTGGACTTCGCTGTACGGACGCCACGATAGGCGTTTGGGACTTGCGCGGAGACACTCGTACTCAATAGGTACGGTTGAGCAAGAAAACTGGGCGCTTGCGACTTGCGCGTCGTCTCCTCCATGTTACAGATGGCTGGGCTGAATAGACATGGAATCTCGGAAACAATCATGGCGTCTGATACCCGGGCCATCGTACGATTTTCTATCCCATTCCGCCTGGTCTTATCCTCTCTTGAATCTTAAGACCCTGGAAACGGCCGCTTTCGTTCGAACTCGTTGCTTTTGAAACCTTCCCCTTCTTATGCACACACGCAGGTGCGCACTGTGCAGTTAGCCGCCCACCGCTATTGCGTTACATTAGCACAGTACGACCATCTTCTCCCGTTCGAAGGGCATAGTATCGGTATCCTTCTCCATTGTCCACTACTGCAGGCCGCAGCACAGCACAGTACAGCCCTGCGAGCCCACGACTCTGTTAGACCAGTTCTCACGGAGTGTTTCTAGTCCCCAATCATGCGTGCTTCTAAGAATTGTTAGACCTAGATAAATGCCTTTATCCACTAAGGTGGTCACTATAGTTGCTGCGTCAGCGTCAGCGAACTCCGGTTGACAGAATGGCTCCTGGTTGGTACATCCGTGCAATCTGGCTTCTAAAACCACTTGTGAATATCAATGTCCGGAGACGTTCCCTTCTCGCGAAGTCTTGCAAGTTTTTTTCTTCTTTCTTTACTCATGGGCCATCGAAGAGACCTGTTAATTCCCTCGTTTTCGGGGGAGATTCTTAAATGGAGTGGCAGAATAATGTCAAGGGTCTTGTAATACACATTGTACAACTGACTACTGGGCCCCGGCACATTGCCGTCCGCATCCTGCAGGACGCCTTCGCGGGGTTTTAGCGTAAGGAACCAGGGGAACCATAACTTGGCGATTCCTCTTCACTTTTCCCACAATACTCGTACTTTTCTTGTGGCTTCAACTACGAGTCGGGGGTAGTGGTCAGATGGTATCTACCCCTACCTACTAGTAAATGCTTGTCGTGTCTCTATCTTCCATGGTCAACCATCGAAGTGCATCTTGAATAAACTAACTGCGCTTCACCGCCTCCACATTATGCAGTTCTCAATGCAGATTCTCCTCCACGGATGGATCTTCGAAACACCATCAAGCTCACGAGTGCTTTAGGTACGCGTGGCATCGAATACTTGCAGCATACGGAGTACTCAGCCAGCATCTTGCTCACATGCGCATCATCTTTGAAGAGGATACCCGGGAAAGCTAATCCAGTCCTTTCCACGCCCCAAGCGTTTCTCGCCTGCTTACCGAGCTGGAGACAGGAGCTCCCGTCGCTGCTGTACTACAGAATTCAACCGAGCATGCAGGTACATATTGGCCTAAATCCACCGACCTACTCTATCCGGCAGATGTATTTGAATAATTGTAGGGGAGGTCCCTACGTCCCAAGACCCGTGGGCCACCATGCGCCTCGATCACATATCGTCCAAGCTCTATCGAACAGTGAGTTTGCGATATAGATACCTTCCTTCATGGTTAAGTAGACGTCATTAGGAACGGTGTGATGTTAACAAGGTGTTATCAAGAGTGTTATCTTTAATGATTTGACTTTCTTCGTACCCGCCGCGGTTGATTGCGATCATCAGAACGACTGCAAGGCTCCGAAACATCAGACACTCACCTATTTGATGTAAATAAATCCTTCAATATCGGAGAATTCTACACCCTGTAATGCACGGGTTCAGTTGCCTTTGAGTTCCATAACCCTGCTCCTGATCCTTCTGAGTAACATTGGCCTTCTGTACTGCGTACAACAGCAAGCCATTTTCCCGCTCGCTATAGCTTCATCACGGTGATCAAATTGAAGAGAATCAGATATTTACACGAATAGGGCAGAGAGTAGGACTGAATACAACTATGAAAGACCTGTCGTGATCAAGCCCTTCCGAATTGACACCTCTGTGCCCATGTTTACTCCGTTGAATCTGCGGAAAAGAGAAACAACTCAAATCATTGAATCCACATCATAATCCACGATTGAACATGATTTACCAAGTTTAGTAGAGGCGTGTGACTTCTTATCCCCATTTGTAAGGAATAAAGCCACCCAAAGACATTTGAATTGCACCCACTTCACGATATCGACGTATGTAACAACCAATAAATATCATATTACCAGCTATCGCACTCCCACTTCACCACTCCATTTCCATGCTTCTAACACCAAGTAAAAGAAACACCAAACCCTCATTTATTCCCTATAACTCTACGGAGTACTCCGTACCTGGTGCTCATCTCCGTTCTACTCTCTTCCCAGACACATTATAAATACACTCCACAAGTGGCGCAAGCACCCTTACGCCACCAAACGACATCGTATTCGCAAACGGTCAAACATATCGTCGATCTCTATCTAACAAACCACATGAGGGTTATGTCGTACGAGGTGGCCGCGCGGTAATCATGTTGTGTGAGGTGAATGTTTATAGTTAGATGATGGGCGGTGGTGGTGCAGCGCTACTTCGGGTCGGCTGGTTGGTCGGTTTTGTGGCGTAATGGTTGGGGTGGCACAAATGCGGTATTCGTGAGGGTGATCGTGTAGAGATAGGTTTCTCGGGGCGTTTGGGGTGGAAATGAATGTTATACATGCTGATAAGAAGTTGTTGGTTTGCAGGTTGTGCTTGAGAAGGGGTGGAGGTGTAGAGACAGATATATCCGTTTGACTCCAATGTTAGCTGTCTGAGACAGTATATGGAATTGAGTCCTGTGTTGTGCATTTTATAGCATTGGGATTGCGTTTGTCTAGTCTCACAGAGAGCTGGTAGCTCACAAGATATCAAATGTCCTCTATAAGTGTAGATGTTGATGGATTTTTATTCTTTGAAAAATTCGATATTGATGTCGTTGACGCCGTGCCATGCTTAGGATATACAGTAAATTACAGGTTGTACGATAGTCTCTCACATCTGTACACGTCCCTGACCGCCACGCTCGATCTTGTTCAGTTTTCTCGCCGTTGTGATCTAACATTATCAGCGCAATCCTCATCTCAGATTTTGCAAGCATCCCTACCTGTGATCTTGTCCTCTGTCCTCTCACGGGAAGTCCCATAGCATGTCGTCTACCCCTATACGATCCCATATCTTTCAGCCGCCTGATATTCTCCTGCACCTCTCTTCTTAGGTCGTTCTCGATCTTCATATTCGATAGCTCGGCGGTCAAATCTAGGACGGTGGAGTTCTTCAGGGTGCCAACTTTCGCCCAGGGGTGTATGTGGAAGCGCGCCATGATGCTCTGCGACACTTTTGGACCGATGCCATAGAAGGTTTCCAGGGAGCGCTGCGCAGAAAAATTGTCAGATGCGGAGATTTCGGAGGAGCATGATAATTGCTAACCTTTACAAGCGACTGCTCAGGGAAGTTGAAGCCGAAGATGAAAACCTATATCTATCAGCAATTGAACAAATGCCATCGAATTGACTGCCGTACCATCTTGTCGCTAATTCAAGAGGGTTCTATCTTTGGTGATGGGGGGTCTCTGACGAACTCCTCGAGCCGCACCACCGCTGCTCAGACGTCGTCGGCGAAACATCGGCGTGTGCCGAAACGAGCCAAAACCAACACGTTTCACCTCCGCACCCCAAAGCTTCAAGGAGGATCCACAGCTCTCCCACCTATATAAACCCCTTCAACCCAATTGATCCTCCACCACAGGGATTCACCATGGCTTCTCTACAGAGATTCGTTATCTCCGTTCTCCTGATCCTAACGGTCACTTTCGTCTTCTTCGCGCAGGCCACCGAGGCGGCGAAGGGACCGAAGATCACTCACAAGGTATGCAAGCTCCGGGACGATGAGCTTTAGGACGATAAGCCCATTGCGGAGGCAATTTAGTTTAGCTGAAGCTAATTCAATTGTATTGTAGGTCTACTTCGACATCACTCATGGTGATGAGGAGCTCGGCCGCATCACCATCGGTCTCTATGGCAAGACAGTCCCCAAGGTAAGCCCACTACCCCACCACCACCATCAACGACACATATTAACGATAAGCCAGACTGCAGAGAACTTCCGGTACGTTACTGGATATAACGTCGTTTTCGCGTCCCCATATTGACATATCTTCAGTGCCTTGGCTACCGGCGAGAAGGGCTTCGGCTACGAGGGCTCGGCCTTCCACCGTGTCATTAAGCAATTCATGATCCAGGGAGGAGACTTTACCAACGGTGACGGAACCGGTGGCAAGTCCATCTATGGCCAGAAATTCCCCGACGAGAACTTCAAGCTCAAGCACACCCGCAAGGGCCTCCTCAGTATGTTTTGGCCCCACACCAAGCACCACACCAAAACACCATGAAGGCAGTCAAACTAACATGAACAACAGGTATGGCAAATGCTGGCAAAGATACAAATGGTTCGCAGTTCTTTATTACAACTGTAGTAACTAGCTGGCTCGATGGCCGACATGTCGTCTTCGGAGAGGTTCTTGAGGGTTACGACATCGTCGAGAAGATCGAGAACTGCGAGAAGGGAGCTGGAGACAAGCCCGTGAAGACTGTGAAGATTGCTAAGAGCGGCGAACTTCCAGTGCCAGATGAAGGTATCCATGCGGAACTCTAAGCCTGTGCGATGGCTATACTATGCAGTTGAGGCGCTGATGCTTTCATTCTCTCTTAAGATATCTACGGTAGTGCAGGCTCCGCAATAGAAGGTGACAATCTCGACGTCACAGCCCCCGAGACAACAAAACCATCAGTAGAGGATACTGTAACCATCCCCCATTCTTCAGGCTCAAAGGGTCACCTTTCCTCAACCTCGACCGACACCAGCAGCACAGAGGGACTTTCTCTGGGCAAGAAGCTGTTTTTCTTGGGCGCAATCATCACAGTTTGCGTTCTGTTCATTCATTCTCGACGAAGCGACGGCATATCCGATGGCATGAAGGCAAAAAGCATGGCGTAGATGATAGGAAAACGTCAATGGCGAATCAAATATTGGATAAATGAATATATAAGTACGATCACAAGAACGAGCACGCACCCTTTTACATGTGCTTTCCATGGTTACCCCAGCGTGCGGTTGCGAGTAGCGCAGATCTGCAGCGATATTGCCCGCGTGCCCTGTGCGTATTGTAGTGAGCTTATCGTCTTGTGTAAGTCCGGCAAGGCTGATGGTACCTCAAAACTGTAAGGTACGAGGACGGAGTATTGTAGTCTACCAATCTGAACCCTATCTGAACTCTACTCTGTATGTACCCTGTACATCCGTGCGAGAGTATGAGACACAAGAAGTATGTATCCTTGCTTGACAACAAAGGTGTCTCCCATGCGATTCAGCGTCACTGCTGCGTGCAGAAGAGTACTCGATTCTAGAACTTGCGTCAGAGAGACATGGCCAGTCCAGTAGGATCTCACCCCGTCATCGACAATCCGACCAGTGACATCCCTCTGCGTGCGTGCTACGCTTGAAAGAATTTGAGTTGGGGCACACCGCCCCCGAAAACTCGTCCTTTTCTTTAGCGCGGGCTTGGCACTCACCATCAGCATCTTAGTTTTCTTCGGTCGCCACAAAACCTCGCTCCTCTCACTCAACTCCCCCCTCCCTCTTACACCACACCTTTACCCTCCCCTTTGTGTGCATCTCCAATTTTCACATATCTGCTCTGTGTGAAGTCCTTTCTTTTTGGTCTTCACATTCATTTTCTTCTGTCGTTTAGGGAAAAGAGGCGCTCCTCCTTTTCCTTCCTTCAAAAGAGTTTCAGGCGCGTTTCTGCCTGCCAGGTTCGATCCACACGATTCTCACCTAGACGTTCATATTTCTCTTCTGCAACTCACCGCCGAGTCGCTGCAGAGATTTACATATCGTAATTGTCGAACTTTCTACGTCTCCGAGCGATCCAAACATTCCGACAGCCCACATCAGTAATATCACCTTCATTTCAAGATGGCTGAGCAACTCGACATCGGACGCATGTCTCTCAACGACTCCAAGCACGCTCCTAATGGCGGGTTCCCTGGAGAGCGTTCTGCTTACATCCCACCCCACCTTCGCGGCCGCCAGCAGGCACCTATTGCGATGGATGGTCCTCCCATGCAGAACAACGGTCCCCCTATGAACGGAGGCCCTCCCATGAATGGTCCTCCCATGAACGGCAACATGAACGGTAATGCTTGGGGCGGTCCTCAGAGGTAAGTGATCCAAATCTCACTTTTCAGATGAATCCAGTTTTAACTTTTATTTTGCAGGGGTTATGGTGGCCCCCCTCAGCACCGCGGCGGCGAAGGCGGCAACTGGGCAAATGCCCCCAACTTCACTCCACGAGGTAGAGACTTTCCCCCCCAACAACTCGGCCGCGACTGGGGTACGCAGCCGGGCCAATTCGACCCAAATGCTTATGGTAAACCAGGTGGTGGAGGATCTGGAGGCGGCGCTGCACGTGGATCTGGTGATGGACAGTGGAAGGATGGCAAGCACATCCCCGGTCCCTCCAACCCACGTATTGAGCGTGAGCTTTTCGGTGTTCCCAACGATCCCTCAAAGCAACACACCGGTATCAACTTTGAGAAGTACGATGACATTCCCGTCGAAGCCTCCGGTCAAGGCGTCCCCGAACCCGTCACGACTTTCACGAACCCTCCTCTCGACGACCATTTGATCTCCAACATCGAAATGGCCGGCTACAAGGTCCCGACTCCCGTCCAGAAATACTCCATTCCCATCGTCATGGGAGGTCGCGATTTGATGGCTTGCGCTCAGACTGGTTCCGGAAAGACTGGTGGTTTCTTGTTCCCCATCCTTTCCCAAGCCTTCCAGACTGGACCCAGTGCAGCCCCACCAAGCCAGGCTGGAGGCTACGGCTACGGACGTCAACGCAAGGCCTACCCCACCTCCTTGATCCTCGCACCCACACGTGAGTTGGTTTCTCAGATCTTCGATGAGGCTCGCAAGTTCGCCTACCGTTCTTGGGTCCGACCTTGCGTCGTCTATGGTGGTGCCGATATTGGTTCTCAGCTCCGTCAAATCGAGCGTGGCTGCGATCTTCTCGTCGCTACCCCCGGACGTCTCGTCGACTTGATCGAGCGTGGCCGCATTTCTCTTCAAAACATCAAATACCTTGTTCTCGACGAGGCCGATCGTATGCTGGACATGGGTTTCGAGCCTCAGATCCGTCGTATCGTCGAGGGTGAGGATATGCCTCCTACTGCTGGTCGTCAGACTCTCATGTTTTCCGCCACCTTCCCTCGCGACATTCAGATGCTTGCTCGCGACTTCTTGAAGGACTACATTTTCTTGTCGGTCGGTCGTGTTGGTTCCACCTCTGAGAACATCACTCAGAAGGTTGAGTACGTTGAGGATGGCGACAAGCGCTCAGTCTTGCTCGACATCTTGCACACACACAACGGTGGCTTGACTTTGATCTTCGTTGAGACCAAGCGCATGGCCGATTCGCTTTCCGAATTCCTTATCAACCAAAACTTCCCTGCCACTTCTATCCACGGTGACCGCACCCAGCGTGAGCGTGAGAAGGCTCTCGAGCTTTTCCGTTCCGCACGCTTCCCCATCCTTGTTGCCACTGCTGTTGCAGCCCGTAAGTACCCCCACTTCACCATACTCCCTTTCTGCCATTTCCAACCTGCCACCATTTCACGTTGCGCTTGTTTCATCCATCGATATCATGTATTATGTGACGGAAAATCTTATTGACAAAACATTTAGGTGGACTTGATATTCCCAACGTGAAGCACGTCGTCAACTACGACTTGCCCACCGACATTGACGACTATGTTCATCGTATTGGTCGTACCGGTCGTGCCGGAAACACTGGTATCTCCACTGCCTTCTTCAACCGTGGCAACCGCGGTGTTGTCCGAGACCTCATTGAGCTCTTGAAGGAAGCCAATCAAGAGGTCCCATCCTTCCTCGAGAGCATTGCTCGTGAGGGTTCCGGCTTTGGCGGTCGTGGAGGCCGTGGAGGCCGCGGACGCGGTGCTGGTGCCACTCGTGACGTTCGTCGCTATGGCGGCGGAGGTGGAGGCGGCGGCGGCGGCTTCGGTGGCGGCAACTGGGGTGGAGGTGGTGCTCCCCCTCAGGGTGGTGGCTTCAATGGCTCTTACGGTGGTGGCGGCGGTGGTTATGGCGGCCCCCCTCAGGGTGGTTACATGGGCGGCGGCGGAGGCTATGGTGGAAGCTACGGCAACCCATCTGGCCCTGCTGGCAATTCTTGGTGGTAGATGCCACTCCGCGACACATCAACGACATCTCGATACCCAGGGCATAATTCCCATCTTTTCGTAATCGATACCCTGGGGTGTCGTACCGCACCACGTGCGGTTTACAGTATCGGCTTTTTCGATTTTTCTTTATGGTTTTTTCCTGCGACTCATTCCCGGTTAACGACTCGGAAGTCTGGAACTTGCTCTCATACCCCGATCAGCATATAGACAGCGACTGTTTCTTTGCGGACCCGTCTCTCTTCTCGAGCTCCACTGCATATCCATGGATACCCGGCGCATTATCGACGAAATTACGTCGAGCTCGACCGTATGGACGGCAGAGGTACGAACGCATTCTCCAGGAAGGATGCATGACGAACATCTTATGCCTCTCTTCCTGATTGCTTGCTGCTAGGGGAGCATTCAATAGATCTCGCTTTCCCGGCTTTCGCGCCGACGACCTGTTTTCTTAGCTTTTTTCCTTTTTCCATCAACAAAAGCGATTCCTTTCCCTCGTCTCATACCCCTCGGCGAACGCCCCTTTTTCGTCGTCTCTCACAACGAGGAGAGAGACATCGGTATGGATCTTTATTGACGACGGAAAAGTTTGCCGGTTTATCGCACATAGACGGCGTTCATGAGGGTTTTTTCTCCGGTCCTGGACTAGGATCGTGACGGAAATGATCAGTTTCGGCATCTACATGGCTCAGTAGGGCCTGGTGGTGGAGACACCTTGGTTTGCATCTAATGCCGAATCCCCCCATGATGACTTGGGTGAGGGAATCAGAATAAAAGCACTGTAATCGAATCACCTTCGAATAGACTAGTTCGCGCGAAAATAAACTGATTTTCGCATATTCCATCTTCTGACTGGCTCCCGTGATTTTCATACCTTTGGTGAAACTGCTAAAATTGTTTGAGCACAACTACATGACCTGGTACTCCCACCCGTGACTATTCTTCAAAGCTTTATTCTTAAGGTAAGTCATCGAAGCCGATCAGGGGTGTCAATCAATTACGACTAATCCATAATAGCTGTCCCATCTTATGTAGATATTCACCTTGTCGCTCATTGGCTGCAAGTGGTAGCTGTGCAATAGCCGATTAAAGTTCGCAGGAGTGGTGGTTGGGGATACCTCAAACGGGGGGCATCATCTTACAAAACCATGGAACAGGGGGAAGGTGACCAAGGATCGAAGTTTCATACGGTGGGAACAATAAAAACATTTCAGAATCATTTCTACAATATAGTATTTCAAGTCTGGATTTGGGATGTAGTTGCAAGATCCACTTCCTTTGGACCTTGGTAGTAGTACCATCTCCTTACTCGTTTGATTAAGGCTGGGGGCATGTCGCGATCTCTGAGGCACCCAAGGACAAGCAGGAGGACGACAGAGTGGTTTTGGGCCAGGCATATGTACAAGAACTTATTAGAGACTAATTGGGATTAATTCTCGTTATATTGTCATTTCGACCTTTCAAGAGGCTGCGACATCCTGTTTCAGTGTATGTGAATAATCTGGGTGGTGCATCGCGACTTATTTACCTTCCAACCCGGCCTAGAACTTCACCGGAGAAATCCGCCTCTGACCACGCTGCTTATGAAAGAAGAGCAGTGACCACCTCTTGTTGACTTCACAAGACGATCGTATTCCATCTGCAAAAGACCATTTCTCCACCTCACTCACCTGCGCTGATACATAACACATTTCGCATCGACCATCTCGTTGCCGTAACGTCCCTAGACCTCGCCGATCGGAACACTTACACCGCGCCGTTGCGACCGCCCTGGCCCGCGCGACATGGAGGCGAACACACCTTCACGCACCGACGAGGCCGACTCCAGAAGCACTTTGCGACACATTCTCGCACCAGATTCCGCCATGGAAGATTCTAAACGCTCATCGTCGCGAGTCAACACTCCCGGCGCAGATGAGAGCGAAGCTGCACAGGATGCAGATGGTACAAAGACTGCGACCGATGGAGAGCCTGGCAAATCTTCATACACCGCGACGACCACCACGACAAGGCGCAATGCTAACGGCAGCGTGTCATCTGTATATTCTGGGAACAAGATCCGACATTTAAAAAAGGATGATGGCATTCCGCTGTGGAGGAAGGACATACAATACGATTTCCTGCGTTACGTCTTCGAGGATACGCAGCGCGTCTTCCACAAGCACAATTCAGATGAACCCCCAGAGGAATTATTCACATTTGCGGACATATATCTAGATGCGATGGCAAAAAGCAGCAAGTGTAGCAAGATTTTGAAGGACAAGCTATTGTCGGAACGGCCTGCTGCTGTGAACATGGCCATGGTTTGTCTGCTGGTCAACGTAGGGCGCATGAATACCACACTCAACTGTATGACCAGGTCTGATCCTAAAATCACGCACAACTAACATACTGGCAGTTTTCCCCGAGATGCGAGCACAATTGCGGACATACCACTCCATCCCCTCCCTCCAAGCCCATCAAGATCCGAATGCCTACAAACAGCTCCAAGATGCACCAAGGTTGAAGTCCATCCTCAAAGGCGCAACCGAAGATCACGAGCAGCCGAGCACTATCGAAGATATCAGGAAAACCGCTATCCCGCGAACGAATCCGGTGAACTTGATCTTCGTACTGTCGCAGTACGCACCTAAGATCTCCGAGCTTCACTTCTTCCCTCCACGCGACTTCTTCGACCTCGTCATGCGGCCCAATCTCAGCAGCAGGAGCAGAGCTACTGCATTCCTATGGTTGATGTGGTGGTACCTAGAAAGCGACTTCACCGAGCACGCCGCACTGAACAACCCTTTCGGTGCAGGGCAGTATCCGAACGAGGGAGAACCCGGCCCCGGGGATTTCCCCCAAAAGTGCCCGCCCTTTGAGTTCTTGACACCAGAAATGGAGGCATTGGAGAACGTTGATACCGTGGATGAGAAGAACTTCGGAGAAATCAAACGCAAGGAGCGAATTGCCATCCTTGCGAGCGATATGGCACCTGTTGTGACGGGACCGAAGCGAACAAGCAAGAAAGGTAAGACTTCAATGGACATGTGCCGTCGACATCAGTTGCGTTAACACAGAACTTCAGCATTCAACCAAAATCCTGTATTCTCAGTCCTTGCCGACGATGGTGCATCCACTCCAGGGAAAGATAGGCAGTCACCCTCTCATGGTAAGCAGCTCTGGACTTTTTCCGATCGCCTGATGATTGACAATGTATAGGATCAGGGAGAGGCCGAGGCAAACTTGCAAAGTCGCTCATCGAAAGAGACTATCCATCAGATACCGACCGCACACGATCAGCTTCGCCACCGGGCAGCGTTTACAACACAGCCAAAAAGGGCACTCCAAATATGCGTATCAACACACTTCTCAACGAAGACGGGCCTTCATCCTCACCGGCACCGAAGGGACCAGGCCGAGGAAATTGGTCACGCAATCGCAATAATGGACCTCGTAGCCTCAAAAACAAGATAGAAGTGCAAGTTGCTTCACAAGACGGCCAGTCCCCCGCCACTAGCCAAGCTCCTACGGTCCATGGCTTCTACTTGCCTCTCAACGGAGCCGATCCTAGTCACAAACGCAGCCGCCCATTGACCCAGCATCAGCTAGCCGTGGAGCAGTATCGTCGCCGCCGCGTCGAGGTGATACTAGACCGCAAGATTCGAGTTGAGTACAAGCGAGCAGAGAAACGGCGTCGCAAGGAGGGGGCCTTGATGCGCGCCTGGATCCGCTGCAAAGGCATGTCACCAGGCTACGATACCGACGACGAAGACAACATCCTGGCCATTCAGAAACAGGATGCCGAATTGGGTACGAAGACACCGCCTCCCATGTTCGCCGGTCTCGTTCCCATCGACTACTCCGGCGAGGTCAACGACCATGGCGAGGAAAGCTACTACCGCTCGAAGATGTATACTCGCGCACTGAGGAGACTCGAGCGCTGGGATGGCGGTAAGGATATCGTACGAACGAAATCCAAGGGCAAGAAAGACGTCGCCTGGAAAGAGCGCAACGGAGCCAATGGAAACGCCGCCGAAGAGGTCGAAACTCTTGAGAGGGATGACGAATTTGCCGACGAGGATGAGGAGATGGCTGATGTGGACGAGAGGCGAGAAGACGAGGCCGACACCGATGAGGACGACGAGATGTACGATCGAAACACCCTGCCGCCCCTCAGTAGCCTCGGCGCCCCGTGAACGGATTAATCACAGTGGTAGTGGTTTGGGTCTCTTGAATCGGGTTTCTTACCCTTGGAAAGGAGTAAAGGGAGGGGCCGCTAACTTTTGGCGTGGGATTCTGCGAAAGGAATTTGTATGATTAATTAACAAAGTCTTCAATTCGTGTCTTTGTGTCAGCAAGCGATCTCTTTCATTAGACAGTATCAATCAATCACTGTACTGGCAAATCTGATATCTCACTGCTTCTTTAAGAAGCCCTTGAAGTTCCAGTCCGTCATTTATATGCAATGGCAAAGGTAAAGGTCCAGAATCGTCCATCATATCAACAAGGCTTATCACTAGTTAAGATCCGGACGAAATCTTTGCACATTGATGTCGTTGATATAGTTTGCTATCGCATTCCATTTTTTAATTCTGGGTATCATTTGTTCGAGGACAATATTTACTCTCACCATACTTCTTCATCATTTCTAATTGTTCATGACAACGACATGGCATTCCTTCTCTCCCTCTCTCCCCACTATCTCCAGAGTACATTGAATTGCTTACTTTCGCGGAGTAACTATAGTGAGGTCGACAGTGTCTACCTGCCTTGTTTCCATGTCGATTAAGACGAGGGTCTTTGACGTGCTGAACCTGGGAACCGCGACGAGGAGCACTTCTTGGTCCGCAACACCGCTAATCACCCGCGTTTCGACTTTCGGCTGGTTGCCGGCGAAGTAAATGTGAGGGCAATCCTTAACGATTAGGGGGTCGTCGTCTTGGAATGGGTAGCACCCTTGATTTTGTTAGCTTGCGTCTGAATCTTCCTGCACTACTGAGACTTACAGAGTGTGTCAGGTGCAGTTGGAGCAATGCACCGCCATCGCAGCATCATCTCCATTACATCTAGAATGTTGACATTGTCGATGTACTTCAGTAGATCTGAGATTGTCTGGCCGCCGGTGCCCAACACTCGCCAACCCTCAATGTCGCCTTCCCAAGGGTTTGTGACGCTGTCCAACCCCTCCAGGCTTTCGTTGCTTTCCACTGGAGGTTTTGCATACTGTCGAGATTTCGGAAACATGGCTGGATGTAGCGGCTGCTGAGGAAGTGCAACATTTGCTGGGTCGGACGGTCCTGGAAGTAGCGTGATTGGCAACGAGGGTAGGATTTCTGAGAGGAACTCATCCAGCCGCTCAGGAGGGGAGCTGTTGTACGCAGAGGCATCGTAACCATAATGTTTCTTTCCCCGGTTCTTTGCCGCGAACTCTTCCCTTGACGGGATTGGCGATGCATGGGCAAGACTGTCGCCTGCAATCACCAATCTGGTGATCGCCGAGGTCTGTTTTTGCGTCGTATCGGCACCCACCTCTCCAGTAAGGTACTCCACAAGCAGATCCAGGTTTATGTCGTCGTCCTGCGTACCCGTGATGTCGAGTCCAGAGACGACCGCCATTTTTCCCGATCTCCCCCTCTTCGGCTTGGTCTTCTTTGTGGCTGCCAGAGAAGAATCGTCACGCTCCCAGCGCTGCGGCTGCCGTGGGAGATCCGCGTGTTGTGTCGCAATGACCTCAAAACTTCCGTCAGCCTGCTCGGTACCGAGAGCGGCAAGCACGCAGCCAGTAACGTAGTTTCCTTCCAGGTGTCCGCCTGTAATCCGAAGCCGTCCAGATTCGTCCTCCAGCATCATTTCGGTCTGACCTTCGGAAGAAATGTAGGTATCGCGCGTGGGGGGCGCAAAAATCCAGTGCTGTCACAAACCATCAGGACCTTCAAGCTGCTGACGCCTATCAAGCGCATGGTCACCTACCTCTTTCGATATGTCGTCCAAGATATTCGGCTTCAATGCCATCTCCATGTAAACAGTACCGATGACCCAGCACAGTTCGCCTTGCCGTACATCTAACACACGATCCACCTTAACCGCTTTCTCCTTCCCCAGCTACTCCACCTGTCAGCACCTTGATATCGTCTCGCAAGCGCGCATCCCTGCTATACCTTAAAGTCGCCCCATTCCTGCTCCGCTCTTTGTCGGACCGCTTCCTTCAATTGTGATAACCGCAGGAAGTACATGTCTGCGAACTGCTGCTTGTAATGCTTGTCCGACCCCTTTGGAAGCTCGAAGGTGTGAAGAGGGTTATATGCGGAGGCTTCTCGTGAGGGGATGTACGCATCGTCTGGACTAATACCAGGACAAGTCAGCAAGAATATTACATTAACCTCCAGTCTACTAGAGAATACTTACAAGGGCTCTCCCTTGAGCAGGTTGCCATCTGGAGAAACCATTGTGAGGGATCAGGTCGAGGAAGCACTGGCTGATTGTTGATTTGAGACTTTGGGTGAATCGAGGGGCGCGATTTCCTCAAAGTTCGAGCTGGGAGTCGCGTCAGTCGCGTTGTGCGCTATGACCGAATAGGAAGTGTAAGGGTCTACTCGTCTTGTCCAATTGCAACCGTACCAATGTGCGTAGGGCAGACATGCTGACCTAGTACCCCCGTCCCCCCAAGGTTCCATAATGATATCATATACGCATAATGCCATTCTTGTGTTTACGCTTGTGGAATATAATACTGGCTCTTGGACCAACAAGATCATAATCCTTTTTGGGTTGATCTGCTGAGGCATTATAAAACCCAAAGTCAATAGGTGGAAGTAACCCAAACAGTACAGGAAAAGCGTAATGTCTAATGTCTAAATCGTTCATGTCTATGTCTATATGTCTATATGTCTACATTTCTATATGTCTATATGTCTATAATTCTATGAATCTTCTTCTTGGTCCAAGTTTCTTTTCCAACTCTATGGCTCCGTTTCTAAGTCTAGGTTTCCGTTCTATGTCTAGTTTTCCTTTGTCTATATTTCCGATTTATGTCTATGTCCCCTTTCTAAATGCAGTAAATAAAAAAAATGCGAATTTGTCTTGACTTAGTCGATATCATCGAGTCCACCAAACTCTCTTCGTCCAATCCAAGGGCAATCTTAGTCCAGTATGTCGTTAGAAGAACTTCTTATCCTTTGCGTGTCTCTTGAAGAAGGCATTTGCCCAACGCTTGATGACCTTCAAAGTCAACTCTCCGGCAGTATCTGCCGTCAAAACCTTGATCAGGGGTAGGGTATTCTTAGCCATCTCGTCACCCTGAGGTCCATCCAGCGTCTCGAAAGCCTTGAAAAACTCTTTCATGGACGCCTCTGGATACGGCTCCTGCTCGCCCATATATTCCTTAGAGTCCGGGTCCTTGAAGGTGATGGGTGGGACGCCGACGCCAATGTTGAGCTCCTTCAGTTTCGCAGCCCAGTATACCATGTCCTTCCCGAAGCCTATCTGGGGCATGCAGATCTGTGCTTTCTTGCTGAGAATCGCATCGTCGAACGATCCCTTTCCGCAATGGTGCACGACGATCTTGATCTTTGCGTTGCTCCAGAGATCCATAAGATTTGATGGGTACCAGATATGGAATACACGATCGTCATCGGTGAGAACGCCCTGCTTATCGGCATCAGAGCCCTGCGTGTAGTGCATGACGATGAACTTCCTACAAAGTCAGTCAGCAAGGGGATGAGTCTATCATCGAGGAGCACAATTTTCAGCTTACCAGTCCTTATACTTTTCGTCCTTTAGTGTCTTGTCCAAGAATGTTTTGAAGACAGGTGTTATCTTGTCCTTGTCCTTCTCCGATGGGCGCACCTTGCCACCTGAACTCAGGTACATCACCTTCTTAGTGTCGTCGGCTTTCAGCCAGTCTGTCAATTTCTGTGGGTTTTTCGTGCTATCGTCAAGGGGGGTTTGTGCTCGTCCAATGAGAACTTGTTTGGAGAGCTCCAACTTGACACCCGCGTAGTAATCCGGAGTTTGACCAACCAAAGTGATATCGTTCTTAGTGAGCGAGTACTCGTCTCCTTGCTTGTCCTTTCTCTTCACATCCTCAATAGTCTTCGTGTACGACTTAAGCTTGACCGTGAAGCATGTGTCGTCTTTCACACACTTTTGAATTGGAATCTGCAACCCTTTGAAAAAGGTTGTGCCAGCAGGATCATCCGGATCCGGTTGCTCGTCATCGTACAGACGCTCGATAGCGTGGCCCTGAATGATAGCATCGGGCTTCCAATCCTGAATGGTTCTTTTGATAAAGTCCTTGAAGCCCTGCCTGTCCTCACCACACTGCGCGATATCCTGAGCATAGACCTTCTTCACTTCGTCCGTCAGGTATTTCTTTGCTTCGCAGTCGACGCCGAACTTGACCTCGAAAGTCTTTTCCGCCTTGACGACATCCATGATCCTTGCGAGCCTTTTTGATTGGGCCTTCAAGATCTTCGACTTTTCGATCTCGTCGAGATAGTAGAGGGACTTGCCGATGTCACCCTTGGTGCCGTAAAATTCGAAGAATGCGACCTTGACCTTCCGTGGCTCGACCTTTGTGCCCTTCTTGACCGTTGCCTGCTTGGCGTCTGTCAACCGTTTGAGGTGGGCGAGAAGCTCCTTGTCATTTTTCGTCTCTCGAAAGCCCGAATTCTTCATGTTGGAACCTGGTTGCTTGCTGACGATGTTGATGGCCTGGTTGACCTGGTTCCTCATCAGGTCTTTCGGATCACCACCCTTTCTAGGGGCAAGGGTGCTGGCCGATACTGAGGTGATAAACACATCTGTCGTACATAGGAGTGCTGTGAACGACAGCGACAACCAATTGTAGTGCATATTAGTACAACAGACAAAGGAAACGTCGCCGATGTTGGCAATGTATTAGCGAATAGACTTGGGCCCTTCACAGAAGAGCCTGTATTATGAAAAATTAGAAGATTGTAAAACTTGAATGATGAAAAGACTGTGAAGCACCGGGCTGAAGAAGACGATGCCTTCTTACTGAGGTAGATATCTTCATGTTAAATACTTTGACTCCGTAACGCGAATGGGAAACGGTATTCGTTGTCGTTCCATCACTGCAGTGTCATTCCAGCACACTTTCGAAATGAGTTGGGAACATCTGTCCAACTTCTTCAAGATGCTTTGCATGGAAAGAATCCAGTGGGAGCCTGAAGTGCAGCGTGGCATAACCATTGTACCAGAGAACAGTATGGTTGAAGCAATACGTATATTGAAGTTGAAAGTATGGAGTAGTAGGTATGGTATGGGTACCTAGGTTAGGTAGGTATGGTATGGTATTGGTACGAGATACGAGTTAAGAATACACTAACGTTGCAGGGAAGCTGGGGATGGACAAGATTGAGGCGCGGGAAATAAGTGGAGCAGCGGGAGCGCTCCTTCTCAGGGTCTTCGTACATCGCCTAACCACTCGTGCCATTTTAAAATCCACCTCAACACCCTAAACAAGGGGAATCCTCAGCGGGAAAACTCAACGACAACAACAACTATCGAAGAATCAGTCATACGACGGAGGTACCAAATCAGTGAAAAGAAACACTTGTAACCCAAGTTCTTGAGAATGGCTCTAAAAGAGCTCGTAATCGGACCAATTTCGAAGAACGCAAAGCGCAGAACTACCTGGGCGTATGTATGTACACCCAAGATCGTGGCCAAGGATGACAATACTAATCACGGGTAGATTACCTTTTCGACTATTACACGTATGGTATGGTCGCATCCTGATTCCTAAAGACTCTTTTGCGGCACGGGAGTGCTTGTTGTTGTACCTTAAAACGGATAATAATCCTCCTTTCAGTCCACCTTCCTGTAGTTACTTGGAAAGGGGGCAGGGTAAGACTACGCCGCAAAGATGCTGTTGGGTGTGATACAAATCTACCTAATCGTTGGCGTGATCTCACCACGTTGAGCATGTCTGACCCTTGCATTTTTTCTCCATCAGCCTTCCCTTTCGGGGACGGATTAATATATCTGATGCCCGTATTCGGGTTATTACCCTCCAACAACAGTGCAAGCCTGAGACACTGCACCCAAACAATGGCGACATCTTGGAACTATGTCGGTGAGACACATCCCTCACCGTAAGGATCTCGGATCCTCTGCCAATCTGATTGCAGAGCAACATCTATGTCTCACAGATGATAGGCAATGTTTTTCGACACCCTTTCGATTATCATTGCGTAATACGAGTACGTCAATCTAAACCCACCCAACTGCACATGAATTATATTAAGATTACATATAAGCGCTCGCTTCTGCTTGTATCTGGGGCTCTGCAAGCGTGGCACGTTCGGATCGAACCGAAACGGACCGCCGGAGACGTCAACTCCAAGGAAGCGCCGAGAGAAATGCAAAATTGTTGTTCATTTCAGCTGGGATCCATGTGCATCAAATTTTCACGTCTATCGTACGGCGTAGCGGAGACGTTTGATAATAATCTGTCAGTGCTTTCCGTCGACGTGGGGTGGCTTCCAGTTCCTCCATTCGTCCTTCTGCTCTACCAGAACATAGCCCGGCCCCTACATGCTGTTCATGTTTGCAAACTTTGTCTCGCATGTGTGTATGTATGTGCTAATTGCCCTGCCCTGCGATCGGTCAATTGACAGGTGCCCCGTCTTGGGTAGTGGGAGGTCTGCGATCGCATGATCATTTCGCAGGACTGATGAAGGATTTTCCATACAGCCACTCCGTTGTTCAGAAGCATGATTCGGGCCGTTCCTCGGGCTTGCGCTCTGAATACTGTTGGTTTAGGCGGACATGCAGCCGTGAGGCTCGTGGGACCCACTCCCATTTTCCCTTTGCATGGTGGCCAAGATCGTGGGTGACGGATGATGCACTGCGATCTGTTCTCGATTTGTCCAGATCTTTGAAATGATTCCATAATCGGATTGTACCATTCAGAGAATGCGTTAATTAGAGAAGAACAGGTCGGTTCTTCTTAGCCACATCTTGGGAGCCCAGTGTGTCTCTCCCAGAGGGTGCTGAATCCTACCAGCAAGGCCGCTCGCAATCTCCTTCAAACCAACAGCTCGTGCGTATGTATGTCTGGCTCTTCCATACCTTCGGGTCAGCGAAATTCCTTTCCTGTTCGAAGTAGGCCACACTCCCGCGCCATCACACTGCTGGGAAGATTGAACGTGAACGGAGTATATTCTGACCATTGCCACGCAGTGTTCACGCAAATCCTCATTGTATTTGATGTCTGTACTACTAAAGAACTGAGGGAAGTCATGTTTCTCATTGGTAATTACTTGACAGATATATCAGGGAATGGTGGTGGGCCTCTTTCACGTACAGGGTAGGCACGTCGCGTCGTCCACTTGCCATTATCTTGAGCAACAAGGAAACATATGTGCATCTATAGGTTAGATAGCCTCTCATCAACCGTAAATAAGCCGATTAAGGTTAATTAGGTAGGTAGTACATATTACTCGCAGGTGGGCAACCCGACGTGCCTACCCTCTATACTGTACGCCCCAGCTTGGCCACGATGTATTCCACCATATCCGGTTAATTACAATAGAGAGTATGTGTTAAGAGGAACGTATTCCATCACTTTTTGATGAAACCTTTCCTGACATGTATAGAGGGTGGGCACATCGGAGTGACCCCCTGCTACTGAGGGCTGTCACGTCGGGTTGCCCGACTGCCAACGTTTATACCTTATACAAGGAAGAATACGTGCATCTACCGGCATTTACACGCCCTTACACGCCGTGAATAAGCCAATTGACGTTAAATAAACATAGATACCAGCAAGTGGGTAATCTAACGTGGCAACTCTCTGTATTCTTTTACACCCACAACCGTAGATGAGCAAAACTTTAGAACTGCCATCTGGCTACACAATACTCTACAATCACGACCTAGGTATAGGTATCTAAGGCATAGAAGATACATGAGCCTATCTGTGACAAGCTCGACATACCTACCCTTTGTTCTTCCTTTAGTCACTGAATTTCAACGCCTCTTCTAACAATACACACACATGTGGAAAGTGAGACCAGACCCCAATACACATTCCACCTTCCTCGATTTCAATCCATCTATACACATACTGATCCCCTCCCCTCCTGAAACCCATGAATTCCCTACAAAAGGCCAAAGGATACGTTCTCCTAGTTGTTGGCCTCACACGCTCCATAAGAGCCATGTCATCTCGGAATCTCGCGGTCAACCAAGTGTGTCTGTCTGTCCTCTTCCGGCCTGCACCTTTTTGCATATTCGTACGGAACCGAGACCCCGTAAATCGTTCCAGCGAGTAGACATTGAGGGAGCCTCATAAGTGTGTAAGGGAACCTGTCTTTATGCACTGTTGCTTCCCGCTCAGCCTGGTTCGTATACGCGCGAGTCCGGAGTGACGGGGTTGGGTACACGTAGCAAGGATGCTGGGTAGCTTTGTGATTGAGTGTTTTTATTTGGGTTCTTGGGATGTGATATTTTTGCTTTCTTGAAACCACGTCACTGTGTTTCTCTGTGTCTGTGATGCTGCTGTGTATTGTTCACTGTAGCCAAGGGTTGGCGCGCTGAGCAACGCTCGTCGATAGAAGCCCATGTTTCAATAATATGATTGCTCTGCTTGTTTCAGAATGAACTGAGGTGCGAACAAGTAGTACGTTTTCGTGTTCTCCAACTGAAGGTAGCCGAAGTAGAATGTATGTGTCGTTTTTGGCCAGATAGTCACCAAGTACAGCGGCGATCTAGTTAACAGGTTCATGTCGAGTATATGTCGAAGGGAGACATGACTCACTGTAACGTGGAATGGAATAGAATTAGTTGTGACAACCATGTTGTGGCATAGATGAGGAGGCTATTCAGAGGTCACGTGCGTGGAGGGAAAGGCGCTTGGGTGGTCAAGGAGAGATATTAGGGGCGTGGGAGAGAGTTCGGGCATCAGGCATCAAGCGCCCAAGGGGCACGCACAGGCTGATTAATTGTCTAATGTGTTAATAACTATAGAGGGCTTGCACGGCTGAGATGACCAAAAAGGCTGTCGTATGCATATTACAATAAGTACCGATACACTTCTCACAGCACCAAAGAAACCAAAGGACAGTTCAAGTATTTGTTTAAGTTATATTCATTGTATTTATGTGCTTCTATGAGCAATGAGGCTATGTCTCGTTCTATCTACCTCTATATAAGCTTTGTGATCATCCGTCTTACTCCATTCCTTTCCGTAGCCCATATGGGCGATAACCATCGCCCATGACTCATGTCGTCGAGCGGTTCATGTCTTATGAAACCACTCGGAATGCATGTCTACCGCTTCATTACAAGACGAAATGATGATCTTGATTAAGGGTCGACCGTGAATGAATTTCCCATTAAGGTCGTACCGGGAGAGAAAAAACGCCAGTGCCGATGGATGAATAACGCCTCTCTGGTTGATGTTGTTGTTGAATGTTTTTTGCGCCGTTGGAAAAGAACCACAGGAAGAGAAATTAAGCCCATTGCCTGAAAAGGTTTAAGGCGAAATGGGGAAATGATGGTTGATGATTTGGTTGAATTATCCCATGGGAAAGAAATGTCGAAAATAAGGGTGGTGGATGGTTTAGATGAAGAGAGCGACACCTCCGGCAACGATCATGGCGAAGGCAGAGCCAGCCTTGATCTCAGATGCAGCACCTGGGAAGGGAATGATGCTGGAGGTTCCCGATGGGGCAGCACCGGTTCCAGTTGGCCTGACGGTGGTGGAGGGAGAGCCAGTGCCAGTTGGGTAGTATGCGCTGGTTGTGATGGGGTAAGGAGGCACAACGACGGCAGTGGAGGAGGATGTGGTGTTGTAGCTGGGGACGTAGGTTGCGGTGGCAGTGGCAGCGAGGGCGGCGAGGGTTGCGATGGAGAACTGCATTTTGATTGGTGGGTTGGGTGGTTTGAAGGAGGTGATTGGTGTTGGTGCTGGTGTTGGTGGTTGGTGTGGGTGTTGAACGAAGGTTGGACTTTGTGTTCAGCGAAGGTGGAAGATGTATGGAGTGAGAGTTGGATGTAGTACTGTACTCAGTAGAGGATAGTTGATTGTGTTTGGTTTGTGGATGAAGATAGTCCTACCATGCGAATATGATTGAGCTCTTATACATGCTGTCACACAGTAGTAGTGGTTGAGTTTGTTGTACGGAGTACTGTGCCTGTGCCGTGTCTGTAGTGCCACCTGCCACCCACCACCAGCCTGCCACCCAGCTTCGATTGTTTGCGTATGCACCCAGCCTCGCACGGTTACTACGAGACACCACACAACGACGCACCAACCTCCTGATCAACCGTTATTCGTCATTTTCTATTGTCGTCTGGTCGACAGCTGGGAATAAAAGTGGACCTGGATTAGCTAGATCAAACGGGGTGGCTGTCAATCAGTTCACACAGTAAAACAATCATGGTAGAATCTAGATGATCTCTGGTAGACAGTATGTAACACTCCATAGACAGTACTCCGTACTTAGCCCATAGACAAAGCATGAATGAAAGGCAGCGGGCTGGCCGAGGGACGAATCTAAAGTTAGCAACAAAAGGACCAGCACCAGCCCCCCAGCCCCCGTCCCTTTCAGCCACACCCGCTCTTTTCCAGTCACTTCCACCCAAAATCTACGTCACTTTTCCTTCGCCTCCCCAATTCTCGAAACATCACCACTAACCTCTACACAGTAACTACTACCTATGAGCACTAATCCATGGCTTGCGTCAGCTACGAAAAATCTTCCGGACGAAGGAAATCATGATCATCTATCTTATCGTCCGACGACGAACCTCGGGACCATGCATACATCACATCCTCCAAGCTCTGGCAGGTAGCCACCCGCTCGCCGCCAATCTCCAACGGCCATCTTTGACAGGCACCCACCCGCCGCCAGCCATCCCATCCACGAAAGACCAGCCACCCGTTGCTTCGTGAACATCCCGTTGTCCCACTACTTGCCTTGCCTTGCCTTGCCTTGCCTTCCCTTGCATCAACGTCAGAAGAACAGCCTTTTAAGTTTCCCTCTCTGTGAAGGGTGGCGGAGTGGGGCATCGTCGCCTTTGCAACGACGAAACGCTGCGAAGATTCTACAAGTATCTATCATCCATCTAGCTAGTTACCAGTGATCATAGCTTAGTTGCTTCCTTGATTTGTGCTCTGGGTTCTACTCTGCCTCTCGAAATTCAGGTTGGCGAGTGAAGTCTGCTGCCTATCTACTGTGCCCTATGCAACCTTCGCCGTCCGACTATTTTTATTCCATCTTTCCCACCTTTCATTTCATCGCCGTACGCGTCAACGTCCTCCAGCACAAGCCATGATCTCCAGGGCGACCTCGGCCAACATGGTGAGAACTGTACATATGTAGACCTCCGAGTAAAATAAAATCGCGGTGATCAACAGCCCGTGCGACCTGCCAACCCTTTAGTAACCTACCACCCGCTCGAGGTTTCGTGCATCGTACCACATACACACGGTAACTTGTGGGTTTCGAAGTGGGTTCTGTGAACTGGTTGGTTGGGAAACGCGTTTCAAGACCTTCCTTGTCATCGGGATCAGCAATATTAATCGAGGAGATCGAAAGAGAACCAAAAATGGTTGTTATGGTAATTGTATGTATTGGATCGGTTTGGAAGTGTATCAAAAATCAATGTTATTATCCTTTATGTAGGTATTTGTGGATGTATGTACGCCGCCAATGTGTGAATATTCATGCATGTCATGTTCATATCAAAATTCCAAGAGGAAATAACGCCGTAGACCAAATCAGAAAAAAGAACATGAACAGGAAGAAGCCGAGAGAGAAAAACCCGAATCATCCTCGCCGTCTGTCTATCTCAACTCAGCCCAGGCGGGATATCAGACCAAGTGCCATTCGGCCACCAGATGCCCGCCCTCGTGAAATCCGAGTAGTCAACGCCCCCAAAGAGTTCGTACGCGACAAACCCGAAGCGAAAGTACTCGGGATGATCTACAGCCTGTCGCGTCCAGGTGAAGTTCTTGTCCCCGTCCTCGTGAAAGCCGCGGAACCGCTCCACGTCGTTGACGAGGACGCTGACACCTTCGTAGCCTTGCTCGATGCTCTCCCACGTGAAGGTGATGTTGGTTGATTCGATGGCGGGCGGCAGGATGGATGGGACGCTGGAACCGAGCTGTGCGTCGCCGCGGAGTGCGGCTTGTGTCTGCAGGATGGGGGCGAAACCCCAGCGCGCGACGCCGTTGATGAACATTCCTACCAGCAGTCCCTGGTATAGAAGGCTTGGTCGTGTTTGCAGTGCCGTTCCGGGGAGGAGAAGGAGTGCGAGGATGTAGTGATGGATTCGAAGGCTGAGCTGTGGGATACCCAGACAAATCAATAGCCCAGCACCTAGAATGGCGTAGAGTCCTAGATACCGGGGTAGCCGTCCTTCTTTCCTGAAGCACCACGCCTGATAGATTGCGACTGCCACGATTACGAGGACGATGATAACCAAGGCAACAATGGCTCCCGGTTGCTGTTTGATGTCGTGCGGTGTCAAACGTTGGATAGGTATCTTGTCCAGAGTCAAATTGTTCAGCGCACCAACCCAGCATGCTCCGACCCATAAGATGGTCTTTTCGATATGTGCATTGAGATGCGAGAGCGTCTTCCGGATGCTGAATTTGTAGATCAAAACTCCAATGAATGCCGCTGGAAGGAAGCCACCAAGTGCGGTGGATGCGAGAGATGAATAGTCAGAATACGGAGGGGGATCGGACGCCATCGCAACTTGAAAGTAGACAATCACGAAAACCGGAACAAAGAACGTGACGGGATTTGTCGTTAGAAGTCCAAAGAATGCCGTGAATATGGTCGATAATGTGAGCAGATTCCATCGAGGATCGCCGCATTTTGCTACTGAGCGCGAGACGTCCCCATCATTATAGAAATCAAAGGACAGCGGGAAGCTTGAGTTGAATCCTACGCTCAAAATCCCGTTCTTATCGGCGGAGCCATACGATTTCTTCTCTCCGGTCAAGGATAGAACTCCACAGCCGCCCTTGCCATTGTCGAGTACTCCAGCATGAACAGCGGCACCGCAGATGAAGGAATCGCCGCGGTACGGTGTCTCGTCGCCATCTCCCGGCTCGGAAGTTCCACCTATGACCAAAGAGCGATAAACGATTGTTTCGTCGCCAATCGTTCGAGGATTGAGCACCTGGGCTCGGGAACACTCAGCAGGACAACTGAATGCAAATGCCGCGTCGTCAAATGGTAGGCAGTCGCGACCATCTAGTCCGCAGCCTGGAGAATCCGGCCTGGAGAACAGTCAGCGGTCTTTCATCTGATAACCATGCCGAGAGCGATGCTTGTAGAAACATACCATAACCTTGATATACAAGACAGTCTGACCGGAGGGCCAAACCCACCAATGTCCGTTGGCAATCCAAATCGAGACAATATTACCCCAAACAAGATACCCCACAAGAGGAACCCAGCAACCAAGATAGCTAACCGCACAACGAACGGTAACCGTGACAGGCACCGGGCAGGAAACAGCTGCACCTTTTCCAACAGCGGTTTTATGCGATATACTGTGGGCGGCTCGGGCCCTTTCACCCAATCCACCACCTTGCTGGAGACTCGCGCAATTGGCGCTGGAACATTATCGGACAATCGACCCCATCGGGTGGGTGCAGGTCGCTCGGTATCACGAGCTCGTCTTTCGGATTCGTAGCTTAATCGTTCATTTGGCGTAATAGCCTCGGGCGTTTCGCCAGCGGGAGTGAGAAGCGAAGATCCGTTGGGTGTCTGCGCGCCGTTCTCGATATCAATGACGGTGGGTTCGAGTGTTTTCGATTTGGAGCCGCTCGAAGGCATTGTTTACACTAAGAAGGACAGATACGCACGCATCGACGAAACGAAGGAACGAATGGTAAACAAGATCGCTAAATATGTATTCGAAGGCTTAGGATGTACAAATTGAGGGAGTAGGAGAAGAAAAAGGCAGAGCCTTGCCACTCCATTGTGGAGGAATCTCTGACGCACATGCGACTCGTCCCGGGCGGGAATCTTGGGGTCCCAGGCCCCCCATACGCCAAGGTGAAACACAAGGGGATTAGAGGCGATCATCGACTCTATCAAGAACGCCCTACGAGGCCTGGACCCTGAAATTCGGGATCCGGCTCGTGTGATTCTTCCTCTTGAAGTATTCACATAGGCTGATCGTAGCTCGATTTTCTCTCATTTGTGTAGCAATGATTTATGTGCCTCCTCTTGGCCCATTAGGGACCCCGTTCGTATTGGCTACATCTGGTCAATGAAGCATTCGCTGGCCATCAGAAGACATTGGCGCCGCCTATACGAAGTACGGGACATCGCGTTGCACACTGTATTGTACAATATGGCACACGTCCTCACTGATTACGAGTAAGAGGAGTACAGGAAGTGCTATCATTAGCGTCGTGACTGGGAGCGATGGCGAGTGACGAGTACACGTTTAAAGGATGCCACAATGCGATAGAACTACGAATCATTTCGAATGGAGCCGGTCATAGTTCAGTTCATAGAATTTCCCTCGATTTCTAGTGTTGATGTCTAGAATGGAAGCAGGCTATGTGCACTATATCCTTTACCGTCCACTGCCTGTACATTCCAATTCGCTCCAATGAGCACATGTTGATACCAATGTGGATTATAGATGCAAACATGTTAGGCTGCTATGTGTATTTACCTAGGTATCTTCACTGCATCACTCACTTAGTGATGGTGAAGAGCCACCGAGGTCGAGTTCCGGAGTCGTGATAATGTGCGCAAGAACTACCAACCTCATAGTACTTTCCAGATCCTGCCATGTGAGGACTACTCCATCGATACGCTTGGTCGGTTTCTGCTACCGGCGAGGTCTTCATCCACGATACCAAGTATCCATTACGACTTTTTCTCTTGGTTATCCAATTTGCATCAGCATAACCCTCCATCAAAAAGAAGGCCACGCATTACCGCAGCAGTATCGTTACTATCATGGAAAGTGAAGACGTAAACGAAAGCGAGAAAAGCTCAACGAGCGTCACATCCAGTCCGCACGAGATGCTGCTAACCATGCCACGAGCGCCCCGTCCACCTCACAGAGATCTTTGTATTCACCCGGCAGATATGCTTCCTACCTCTGACGAAGATGAAGACGAAGAAGATGAGCCCCGAGGTGGAACTCGCACTAGACGCAAATTGCCAATCAACAATTTAAGCGTTGTTTGGGAGGTCTCTGTACCGCGCGAGTTTGAAGAGCTTTATAATTCTGAACAAGGCCACATCAATATCTGGAGGTAGTCTATCAGACTAGGCCATGCAAGATTGCTGCCACGCATGCTAATACTGCCTTGTGCTTTAGTGGGATCGACAACAACTTTGATATCCGCGAGAAACTCCACGATGAGTTCCGCTGGCTCAGAGTGGGGAATAAATCAATAGATATCGATGCATACACCCAAGAGACTTCGGACCATGCGCTACTCGTGATTTACATCAATGACTTCTTCAGGGATGGGAGGGACTTCGTCGTGTAAGCACACACTACATGGCAGGCCAAATCCGGAAACTAACTCTTTCTCGAGATACATAAAGGGCAAAAGGAACGTTAGCAACATGCTAGCAGGTGTGTTCGCTAGAAAGGCGTTCAGCGGGCACTGTTTTGCTACACCCATTGTAATAAACAATGAGGCAGAGATCTTCAGCAAAGCAAAAGCCTTCAGTGGATACGAGACGGTCTCGCGCTCTGATACAAAGGGCGTCCCATGGAAATACTACTATCACACGGCGCGGGCAGCATTCGAGAATCTTGTGTTCCGCAAGGACAGCCATGGAGGAGGTGAATCGGAGCAAGAGATGGCCCAAATCCGGGAGAAGGTCCAGAGCTTGACAGGTATTAAAAAGTACGCAATCAAGAAAGGCAAACAACCCGTAGTTGAGACAGATCGTCACTTTGGAGACGGGAAAAAACCAGGCATGGACACGGAGGAGATTATTCTACGTGGTTTGCATATGCCAGTCAAAGAAGTGGACGCCTAGTGACTCTCAACGAGGGTGGAGGAGCATATGGAGTCCGATTCAGATGAAGGAGCGAGAAGGGATATTCTTCACAGTGAAGATGATATGGACTTGGACGCGGGCTTGGATGACGAGCACTAGATGTCAAGTAGGAAGTTTGGCGTGATCAAAACAATAATCATGGGTCAGATTGGTGTTCGAGGTGGGTAACTAACTGCTGTCGCTATCTGAAAGGACATCAAGAGGGCTGTGGAACAGTCGGCATCATGGAGGCGAGTTCAGCACTGCATTAGGTTAGGTAGTCGATGCATGGGATTCGCTGGAAGTTCAAAAGGTCGAAATGGATACTCGTATAAGAAGGGCTTGTAAAGTTGGTAAAAATGGTGAACTGAAAGAAGGAAGTTTCGACATCAAGTTTGGGGCTTGGAAGAAGAGATGACGTCGGTCAGGCGGCTCAGGCCCTTTGAAATCTGCCGGAAAGCCGGGATGCCGCCTCCGGAGAGATTGGAATGGTGGAAGAAGATTGGATAGGAAAAGGGATAGTCAATGGATAATGGTCCTGAAACGGGAGACCATGGGCTTTGAATAATTACTGAACCTGTTCAAAAGTACTCGTAACTACCTAACCTAACCTATACATACCACCAGTACATAATCACGTTGTTGCATTCTATGAGATCATCGTCCCCATGAGCTGCACTAATCCGATCTGTAGCTGTAGCATCATCAACTAACAACTGAACTACTGGCTTACTATCAGGTAATTATCAAGTTCGCTCACCACTCAGCTGCCCTCATTTCCTTGTTCCATCCCTAATCTCATCACCTCCCGTCTCATCATATCCCAATTAGTCCATCTTCTCATCCCGTTCCAAGACTTTTAAAGGTCTCTTCCCTCACTGTTTCTTCTTGGCGAAAAGGCTTGTTGAATCTTGACTCCCGAGACTTCCAACTCTTTTCACCCAATTCGATTTTTACCCTGCTTTGTTCTGCTTTGCTCTGCTGAGTCTGGCCAGGCTTATTGCAACTGGTCACAGTCCATTCCGTTTGCTCGTGTCCTACCGCCAACCGCGCACCGCCGCCAACCTCCGTCCACTTCCAAGCCACTTTCTTCCTCCCCCCCGCGTGCGCGCCCCAATACTCGAGTGTTTCCTCCAGTCCCTGAGTGACCATCCCTTCGCCATCATACTTGAGCCACACATCAGTAAAGCCACTTTTACAAGGCTTTCCCCGCCCGCTTATTCCTTCAGCCCATCTCTACCGAAACCGCGCAGAGCATATCAGTTTCTTTACGCGCGGCGTGGGCGGCACCCATAATCGTGAGCAATGACGGAGCACAACGAAAAGCCCCAGGACGACCTGTCCAATGAAACCCACACCGATCCCTCGAATAAGACAGAGGGTAGCAGCGAACGATCTCACGCGCCGGAAACGCCAAAGAAGACGAACACCGCGCAGACGCAAAAGGGTCCAGAGGGTGGTTTCGACGACACTCCGCTCCTCAAACAACCCCCAGGATACACGGTCAAGATCACATTCCACCGCGCCACGAACCTCCCCCTCGCAGACATCAATACCCTCTCTGCCGATCCCTTTATCCTCGCCGAACTGAAGACCGACCTCCCTACAAGACATAAAGAAGACCCGCCTCTACAATTGCGAACGCGGACCATCCGCCAGAGCACGGATCCCGAATGGCATACTGAATGGATAATAGCGAACGTTCCCGCGTCTGGATTCAGACTGAAATGTCGCATATACGACGAGGACCCTGCGGATCACGATGATCGGCTTGGGAATGTCCATGTCAATGTCTCCAACCTGAGTGAGAACTGGGCCGCTATCCGAGGTCAGTCATACCCGATTAAGAAGCGCATGGGAAGCAAACGCGCATACTTGCTTCGAGCGATAGCAGTTTGCTTTGGCAAGGTCGAGCATATGAGTGGGTCGTTGTTCGTGAGCGTCGAGGTCTTGGGGAAAACACCGGGCGACAACGGTTCGCGCGCCTACACAGATGGACCTCTTTTCTGGATAAGGCATTACTCGCCGTTGCTCGGACGCCTACTGGGCCAGAAAGAGCCTACCGAGGGTGGTGTCTCCAGACGAACGGGCAAGCCGAAGCCAGAGAGATACAAGTAAGCTTCATGTTCCCGTCACTATGCCATACGCTAATAAGCTTTTGCAGTTTCCAAGCCAATCAAATGCAGCTCAAAGGCCCTGTTCCAGAAGCCATGTATCATCGCTATGTCGAGTTCAAGCCTTTTGTCAAGGCCATGTTCACTGCGAAGGGTGTCCGAGGCTATATTCTTTCCAAAACCCTGCATCACCAACACGCGCGCGTCTACAACTTTGATCAGAAAACCGAGTATGAGTTCCTCCCGGAGCCCTGCGCAGACTTCACCAAGAAGTTCCTTGAGCTATGCCATTATGATCAGGGCGGTCGTATCTTTACCTATGTCCTTACGCTCGATGCTCTCTTCCGTTTTACAGAAACCGGCAAAGAGTTCGGTATCGACATGTTATCAAAGCACACCATGCATAGTGACGTTGCTGCCTACACTGCTTTCTCAGGCGAGTTCTTCATTCGACGACTGAAGCACAGCCATCGTGGTTTACCTGAAGAAGGTGCCAATAATCCAACGCATCCGCCAGATGAGATATCTGGTGGCCCACCCAAGGAGGAACCCAAGACTGATCCAAGTTATTATGAACTGATCATTGACAACGATTCTGGAACCTATCGGCCAAATTGCGAATTGCTCCCGCAACTCAAGGAGTTCATGGAAGCTAATTTCCCTGGCTTGCGCGTCTTGACTCTAGACTCCCAGGGAGAAGCGGAGAAGATGGCACAGATGAAGAAGCAGCAACGAGATCGCAAGAAGACGGAAGGCGATCACATTGTCTACAAGCAAATGTCTAGGTCAAGTTCCATGAGCAGCAGTGATGAAGAAGACCTCGATAGGATGGAGGCAGATGGTGAAATGAAGCCAAGGCACCTTCGGCATCACGTTATGCGAGAGGCCGGAGCAAGGGCTGGAGCAGCGAAAGCCCATCTGAGGGACTTCAGGCCTACTACTAACAACGAAGCGTGGCGCAAGCCAGGTCCATCGGCCAAACCTGATGATGCAGCTGCAACAACACAAAATAAAGCGGCAGAACAAACGCAACCCTCGGAAGCTACCGTACCAGGTTCTAATGAGAAGACGAGCTAGTATCAAGCAATGGTCTTCTCCTTTCCTTGTCTAATACTCTCTTTATTCCTGTACTTTGATTTTGTTTCAGCATGCCGATACGTTTTCCTGATACCCGCGGATTTCCCATTTATATCGGTTTGCATCATCGTCATTCAGCGCTCGGGATTGTCTCATTCGTTCATGGTCACATTGACTCTACTATTGTTCCGTCATACTTTCTCTTTGTGAGACTTGTTTCCGCAGTATTATTGTAATGTTAAAAGAGTAATTATACCCAATCTTAATACTCAGCCATAATGGTCTCGTCTCCAACCCTAGCAGTGAACAGAACCGTCCTCTTACTGATCCTCCAGATTCCGCTCGCACCCGGTACACCCTCGTAGTCTCCATCCTTAACAGCTCCACAGACGAGTTCGTCCACGTATCGCCCATGTGCAGTCAGAACCTTGCCCTCGTGGGGACCCTGACCGAAATGCGACCCCGTGAAATACGTGACTGAATTCGCGGTTTTCCCATCTTCTCCAAACACAATCGTTTGCGTAGTCAGAGCATGCTGAGTTCGAATAGGCCCCAAACTAATCAAATAACTCTTAGTCGCGCTCTTTCAAAGTGAAATCTCAATCTTTGTAGGCGTACCGCTGCTGTATAGCCGATCTGACGGCATCTACGCCTTTCATGTTCTGTCTGAAAGGATAATCTGCGGCCACATCCTGGACGAATACCTTGTCAAGGAGGTCGAAGATCTTGGTATCGAGGGCTTCGCAGTAGCGCGATAGCACGTTCTTGATGGCGAGTGTGTCGAGGGGATTTACCGTTGGCATTTTCTCCTAGCACACCGTATATATTTTCCAGAATTCGAAGTTATAAATGACCAAGAAGTTTGGTCAAGCTAGATGATACGTTCTCACGGCGTGACGCTTGCTCTTAGGGATAATACCAAACAACAGAACGTTGGTGTCTATCACAACAAGACCTCATTCCTTTATTTCTTACCACGCCGGGCTTCTAGTCATCCCCGCGCGGGCATCGGCTCTCAAGTGGGGAGATCCGGTCACTGCCGATGTGAATGCGATCGACCCTAAAATCAGGGTCCTTGTTGTGCCCTTCTCCTCCTTCCTTTCTTCCCCTCCCGCACACGTGCGACCATTGAATGTCTTTTGACAGCGCGCCTGCACAGCGTGGCACAAACGCCTTTGGGTAAAACAGATTCCCGGCAACGCAAGGTGGATCCCGTGCGCCTTTTGCATTCCTGCGGGAATTGATACATCGCGACAGCCGCGGCAAAGGGCCGCTGAGTTACCCTGGAATGTATCGAATGGGCGCCATGGAATGTTCGGCAGCAATTACGGTATCACGCCTCGTGTACTGTTCCCACTTACACGAGGTATTTAACAAGGCTGCGAAGGATTCGCAGGTTCTCCTTCGAGAAGAGATCGGGACTCGGCGTCTGTCAAATTGTATGGAGGCGTGGTAGACGAACGGTCGTGGCCAATATTGGTACTCCTGTGTTTTAATTTAATGACTTGGACGTAGCTACTGCAATATGGGATTGATATTAGATGTCTGTAGCTTGACATGGTCGTGCTAGTACGAACTGAGACTGAGACAAATTCTGTACCCCTCTCGATATCCCTTGAACGTACCAGGTCTTTCGCCGCTAACAGGTCTGATAAACAGATACACGATCATGATCGTGGTAGAGGTAAACGCGGTGTGAAATTGTGGACGTGACTCTACAGCTCTAGCAATGTGTCAAACACGGGCCAGACCCGTCTGTATGTTCACATATTCCACTGCCATATTGAATGGTTACCGGTTGTGGAGCGTTTGTCGCCAGTCGAACAATTGGAACAGCATCTCATTGCAGAACAGCGACTTAGACACCTCCTTGCGGTTCTATCTAACTACGGTTACACTCAACTTGATTCACCTGCGATCCACCCTCAAGTCAACCACGTGCGATCGGCTTGCTCATATCCCCTCACTATAAGATCGTGCATTGAAGCTCCATCTGGCTCTTTCTGACATCTCTTTCACGCTACGAACCAGAACTCAAGTTCGACGAGCTTTCTTCTTTCACAACATGGCGAATCTATCGGAAGCAAAAGTATCCGCGACAGAGTTCGCTCGCCCTGCAGGCGAGCTACCTCGTGAAGAAAACGAGAGCGACACTGCTTCACACCAAGGCTTCGATGAGAAGGCTACTCGTCGCCTGTTACGCAAGATCGATTTTGCCTTGCTGCCTCTCCTAGCTCTTCTCTACCTGTAAGTGATCGGATCCAAAGAAGTGGCCTAATCGGGACTAATCTCTAGCAGCATGAGCTTCCTCGATCGTGGGAACATTGGGAACGCTCGATTGGCTGGTCTCGAACGAGATCTGAAAATGCACGGGCTTGACTTCAATGTGATTTCTCCTTGATGGAAACTTCAATGGGCCGCTTGCTTATCAAAGACATAGGTCGCACTCGCAATCTTCTTTCCGTTCTATGTCCTAGCCGAGATCCCATCAAATATCATGATGAAACGGTTCTCTCCATCGCTCTGGATTCCCAGTATAATGGTCGTCTGGGGAGCAATGTGCTGCCTGATGGGATTGGTCCATGACTTCGCCGGTCTGCTTGCTGTTAGAGCTGCTCTGGGTCTTGCCGAGGGTGGCCTCTTTCCTGGAATCACTTTTTAGTATGTCGTTGAGTGCATTGATGCTCTGAGTTGTCACGGGCTGTCTCTAATATTATAATCAGTATCACCATGTGGTACCGACGTCACGAATGTGGGCTACGCATGGCTCTGTTCTTCTCCGCTGCCACTGCAGCGGGGGCTTTTGGTGGCCTTCTGGCTAGAGGCATCATGGAGCTGGATGGTAAGCGCGGGCTTAGTGCTTGGAGTGTAAGTATTCCAAAGGCCTCGGCATTTACCAGTCAGTTACTGACTTTGCCGTAGTGGATTTTCATTATTGAGGGCGCGATCACTGTTGCCGTTGGTAAGTCACATCTCGATCGAGTTACTCATTCTTGTAGCATGTGGAGACCACTGTGCTACATGAACAGCATTAAATGGCATGATTTTTATTAACATGATTGGATATAGCTCTCTTTGCATATAGCTCGATGCACGACTACCCAGACAGTGCCAAGTTTCTCACAAAAGACGAGCGCGAGGAGGTTGATCGACGATTAGAAGCAGATCGATCGTACCTCGACGATGAGTTCGCCCTGAGCTATATCCGGGACGCTGTTCTGGACTGGAAAATTTGGGTGTACATGCTCATCACCATCGGTATCTATTCACCGCTCTACTCATTCGCCTCCTTCTTGCCTACGATCATCAGCAACTTGGGCTATTCGAACGAGACGGCACAGCTCATGACCGTTCCACCTTATGTCGTAGCATGCCTTTTCTGCATATCCGCGGGATGGATTGCAGATAAGCATGGCCAGAGGGGTGTTTACATGATATCTGCCAATCTCGTTGCGTAAGTCAATCCGTCCTCCATATGTTGTGCAGTTTGCTGGCATGCAGAGCCTTGACCACCCAATGCATGTCCTGCAGTTTGGTCTTTCATTACCTTGCTTCTTGTTTTGCTTTTTCTAATTGTTCCTCGGGTCCAATATCCCGGTCATTGTTCAAAGTTCAAACTGTCTTGCATTCGATGTCAACATCGGCGCCACATACATCGATGCCCAGTACATGTTTCACAGCATGATCCGTACGCTCCATTCCCCACCTTTCCCCCATCCGTCTCATTATCTGTGATTACTCCAAGGAAAGTTCTCAACTGACCACACCCAACAGCATCGTCGGCTTCCTCATCCTGATAGCCGTATCGGAGCCCAAGCTCCGCTACCTGGGCACATTTTTCGCGGCCGCGGGCATCTACCCAAATGTCTCCCAGACCGTGGCCTGGAACGGCAACAACATAGGTGGATCCACCAAGCGGTCGGTCGGTATCGCCATGCAGGTCGGCTTCGGGAACTTGGGTGGCGTGCTTTCGGGGTTCACCTACACGTCCAGGGATGCACCGTTATTCCGTCGCGGACATGGGATTGTCATCGGTCTGCTGGCCATGAGTACGGTGCTGTGCGCCTTCATGCGTTGGTGGTGCATCCGGGAGAACGCAAGGAGGGATGCCGTGGATGCAGAGTGTGGGCGCTTGAATTCGTGGAGTAAGCAAGAGATGCAGGCTGAGCGGAGAAGGGGCGACCAGGCCGGCTTCTTCAGGTATACTATCTAATGCTGTGTTCTACTTGGCCTTTGCATTGGAATTGGTGCAATACAAGGGATAACATTTTTGAGTTCCTATGAATCGGTGGTTATTTGAGAAAGTTGGTTATCGTCGGTTCTGTAAAAAAAAACATTCGTACTCCAAAAAGCAATCTCATTTCAATTTCTTGAACAGTTCCATTGATAATAGGACATTCAAAAAACAAACTCGAAGTCTTCTCATCTAACGGAGTACATCATGATTGATACCAATACGAGGTCATATTGCAACGGCCAAGTCCTTCACTATTGCAGTTCATCTACCCGCGAGAAACATTCCCTGTGGCCCGTTGGGCGCAACAGTCAGTGGCTTTCCCGATGCCGTCTCTCTTTGCACAATGCGTGGCTTCTCTTTCCTGACAAAACACTCTCCTACTGGGTCTCCTTCCTCCCTGTAAACCTTCCACTTGCCCATACCCATCTCCTTGGGTGCCTTTCTAACCCCCCTACCTCCCCCACCAACTATCAGATTACCGGGACGATAATTGTCGTCTGCCTCCATGCGTCGGAGCACACTACTATGTATGACAGCGTTGTCAGGTATATCGCGGACTTCACCCTTGGGAAGAGGCCAAGTTATGGATGTCCAAGAACCGTCTGGCTGCAGATCCATGCGGCGGAATGGCAGATACTCCATGATGTTCCAGGATATGACTGATGCATGAGTGACGCCATTGTCAAAACAGAGAACATCATGTATTCGCCCACATGTCGCAGCCTTGTTGAGATGAATGTGATAGTTCGAGGTAAACGTACGTTCATCCGTAATCCTGTCTTGGCCACTGCCATTGACTTCTGATTTACCTTCTCTGTTAATGCCAGTGTCTGGATCTGCGTAATTATGGCCGAGTGGAGAAACATCGCGGTCAGTCACAGGCCGTGGCGAAGCAGGGTCGATTTCGATTATTGGGACCGCCGGAATCGTGGGACGACGTTGGTCTTGGTCAAAACCAGGATCAAGCTCTTCTAGATAGCAATTTAAGGCACGTAATTTGTCTTCGTCGAAGTTAAGGCCAGCTCGCTCCGCCTCGCGAATAATCCAGACAAGGGGTACATGGCTGAGTGCGGCGTCTTCACCAGGTGCCAATGGCCAACCACCACCGATGTCCTACGTATGTCGGTCAGTAAGTAGACACTTTGGGACGTTATAAAAACGTACTGCATGACAACCTGCGAACCAGACTTCCTGTATATCTTGCTCCTCAGTATCTGAGTCAGAGTCTTCGTATAGTCGCAGGGCGTCGAATGAAAGATTTGATACAGAGTTTGAGGCCGAAGTGACTCCAGTTCTTTCGGACAAACCCGGACTACGGTATCTCACACCTGCGGTCTCGGATGGATCGCGGTATACATGAGGCACTGATAAAGTGTCGCGCCTTCCTGAAGGCTGGGAGAGTTTACGACCCCGAGGAACGTCGCCCTCCCCATTTGCACTGTTATGGTGTCCTATCGCATTTAGATGATGGTGTCTGTGGCGCCGTCGATAGTACCTCGAGCGACGATCGGGCTTTTCCTGTGAAATAAGATCTTGACGAAATTTTGCCCGCCGCTCATCGATAGATACTGCGTGTCTGATCACCCTCGCGGAACTTCGCGCTGTATATGGGAATTTGCTCCGTTGCATCCAGGCGTTCTCGAATCGCGGAACACTGTTCACTGTGTCAAAGAGCCCAAGGAAGCGAATTGGGCGAACCGGGCGGCTGAATGTTTCTCGAAAAGCACACATGAATTCCAGGAGCCGCCTTTTCTCTTTCTTTTCTTTGGCGTTGCGTTCCTGGCGACATTGCCATTTCTGAAAGGTCTTCCAGGCGAAACTAGATTTGCTGTTAAGCCACGCTCGCGACTGGGACGGTACCTACTTACTGGCACATTTCTTCATTGCCCGCCTGAGGGCGATTAACATGAAATTCAGAGGGGAAAGGGGAAGACATATCTTACGGATAATAGACCAACATGATCCAGCATTTCTGCCAGGAATCGGGCAGTATAAGCGCCCCTGGAGAATCCGAAGAAATAGATGTCGTCCCCAGGAAGATAATAGCGCATTAAGAACTGTACCAAGTTAGCATAGCCAGTTCTAGCCGTTAGTAAATTGGTTATTTGTTACTCTGTAACCCCCCATAACATGCGCATCGAAAGAAGTACCTATCTCCAGATTAACAGTGATCATGGCCATTGTCTGCGTACATACCAATCGCACTATCCTTAGCTTTTGCATACCACGACTTAATCTTATCGAGACGACTTGTATGCGATAAGGATTTGGCGACCACATAAGTTCCGATGCCTGGCTGATAGTAATGGAATTGGCTGTCATCATTTCGATCTAGCATGCGGTAGATTTTCAAAATGTTGGAGTCTGCATCGGTGCCGGAAAACTTATTGCCGGTTCCATCGAAGCAAAGAACGAACTTCCTTCGTGGTCGATATGGCTGTTCGTGCACAGTATCCATGCTTTATTGTGCGAGATGGTTTTATCGAACCGCTGTGTCGAATATGAGAAGAATGGTGGAAGGACTCGATAACGATATGGAAAAGAAGTGGCAGCTGCAATGCAGCATTGATTGAAGGAAACACCAACGGGACACGGGGATTTCGTTGATACAGCGTGGAAAGGGCTGCTTGGATATGCAGGCTTACTAGAAATGCTAGTGTTGGTTACCTGTGAGTTTGATTCTTCCAAAGGTATCTTCTTCCGCAAGCGGACATTAGTCCTGTGGAAAGGAACCAATTATCTACCCCTCTAATTGCTTTCCTTCTCACATTAGACACTACAGATCTATTTTCGGGAAGAGATGCCCGATCATGTATTTCTTTGCCAACTATTGGCTGATTCAACATGAGCATCGTGCACCATTAAGTCGCATGATCTCACTATTCTGAGCAGAAGAGTGAATAAATGTGGATGATGTCAAGTTTCACCAATCACATAAGGATCATCGTGTTCCGCCAGTGGCCTATCTTGAAGCTGGTTCACATCGAGGAACCAGCAATACTCCACTGGTATGCATCTATTCAGATAGGTGTGCCGATCACAAACCTACCCGATGTGGCAAGCAGCTGAGGGAGGTTGGGTTGCAGGATGCAATGCACTATCAGAGTATGCGGTTCTTAGAACTGTGCTTGCCAATAGAGCAGTAGCCATAGATTCTCAATGACTCTACGATCTATGGTAACTAAAGTCATTCCTGACTCGCAAGCGGCCAGGTGCGTGATACATTGCCCATTCCCACCCATTACTAATCGATCATTATGGTATCAATGCCTTCGTGGGTTCGTCCGGAACATCATCAAGGACTGTTCATACAGGCGTGGAGAGAGTTGAAATTGAAGCTCATTTGCCCACAGGCTTGTGGTGCAGATCGACACGAGAGAGTCACCACCGATGATTTCCGAAATGAAAAGTAGGGGACTTTGACAGACGAACGATAGGTCGTTGGCATGTGAGACCGGGAAAAGCCTAGAGTACGAACAGACCATTGCTGTCAGACCGATCTACTGTGGATGCAATCAATTACCTGGACGTGGGTAGCACGAAGCACGATGTACACAAGGATTGGAGCTGGAGCTGGAAAGCCGGAGCAGTGGCCATCAAGAAACCACAATATGCATGAGAGCATTCAGTTGATATTCCACCTCCACCTACGAATACAATCCGTGCATCCATCAGCTCAAGCCCAATCGAGACCATAATGGCCCAAGCTCTCGGCCCGCACGGGAACTACTTTATTCGGTTTTCCAATCTCCAGATTGCTTTATTCGTTGTTGTGCCATCATGAACGCCATCCTGCGCCTTCATGCATCTTCCCCTCTTTCCCTCATGATCCCCACTTAATAATTGTCCTGAACCCATCATTGCACGGGGAGCCTGAGTATCCACTCATGTCTGATTCCCAATGTTGTACGATTTGAAAGTCTCCTTTCGTTGGTTTGCACACGCTAACCCTCGGCGTGAAGATCGTTTCCCTTTCTATTGTGCAAGTCCCAGATCTGTGGAGTCGCCGACTCCAGCAATACACCTTCCGCATCGTGCATGTACAATGTACGGTAGGGGATTTCGTTAGACTCAGTGATTCGTTTTTGGTAACGAGCTGCATGAAATGGTGCTGCTCACCATTGCTCCGAGCCAATCTCCATCGAGTGGTACATATCCGCTGTCATTTTTCAGCTCCGGTACTGCAGTGGCCAGCCGCATACGTCGATCGTGGTGTTTCTTCTGCCCGAACGAGCACCGCAGCTGATTGCTTTGATGAAAGGAGTGGAGCGTGCATTCTCAGTTGCATTACTCGTCTTAAGTTACCCTAGCCGGGTTGAACAACTACTGTGAGTTTAGTCTCAATCGCCATATTCATGCTTCATAATTCCACAACGTACTTTGTGCATGCACTCTCACCAAAGTTGAGATTGACGAATGAGCTGAGCTTGCGTACAATTTGTGGCCGCAGTGGTTCCAACCCCACCCAAGAAAAAACAATAGCTAGGGTTGCTCTTGGGGTTTGTTGCGCCAGCCATCCATTCATTTCTGATTACTCCAATCTGATGAGGCTGCGGATACCGTTTGACTTTCTCAGGTTACTCAGGACACGGGCTGGTGTGTACGAGTGGGCTTGGAGCTGCAGCATCCAGTCCAATTGCAATGGTTTGGCATGCAAGCGTTCACACACCCTCCCCCCACCAGGTAATAGGATGCAGTGAATCATGAACCGGTCATCTTATCGTTGTTGAGTTGTGTTCATCACATTCAGTCAGCCACAGCCAATGAGATCGACAATGTCTCCACCACACTCACAGGCCATTTGCATCGTGCTTCATTGGCAGTTACACCTGTATTCGGTGCTTGAGAGCTGGGGGATGATGTAGTTCGACTATTTACCGCTTTGTTGTGGGGCATGCCATGGCATTCGCTTCTATTGAATTGGATCTACCTAAAGAGCTACGAATGATGTGGTTGTCGTTTAGAGAGAGCTTAATCAATTTATTCTCTTTCACTAAACACTCCTCATTTCCTCCGTGGTCTTCTCTAGCTTCCCTTACGTTACTGTTTCTCTCTCTTACTCTATTTGCCAAAATTCTGCACACTATGCTTCGTAAACTGTCCACCACCTTTCGGAAAGATCGAAAGAAGGAGAAATCAGAGGTCAATGGCACGAGTCGGGCCAATGAAACAATCCCAGAGACCGAGTCGGATCATGTAGACCATGATTCTGAACAGCAGAACGTGAAATCTGCATTTGACAAATTTGCCCAGGTTCTTCACGCGTCTCAGCGACCGCTCCCAAGCCAAACAGGAGATGGGTCATATGTTACCAAAGAAGAGCCATCTGGTTGGATGGCAGATCTGAAGAAGATGGGGTTCAAAGACCTCAAGACCCTGAGAGAAGTGATTGCGAATAAAGCTGGCGGCCAGTTTGTGGATGACAAAACGTACATCATGGAGCGAGTGATCCAGGTGCGAACCGATCCCATGGCCACCCGTAGGTCTCTGAATACTAATTATCCGTTCGTATAGCTTGTGAGCGGTCTTCCAGAGAGGTCAAAGAACCGTGTAGATCTGGTAATATCTAATAGTACCCGATATAAAGCTACTGTAACTTATCTCAGTTCAGACAAATGCCTTTATCGACGAGTTATGGAGTTCGCTCCAGCATCCGCCGCTTTCGTAAGTTGGTGTTCAGAATTTTATCTATTCTAGGACTGATAATGCTTTAGGTACTTGGGGGATCAATTCACCTATCGTCAAGCAGATGGTTCCTACAATAATATCATGTCCCCGCATCTTGGCAAAGGTAATGAATTCTTTCCTTTAAGCTTTGCGATCTGTCTCTTGCTACAAAAGCGAAATGACAGCTCGTCGAAGCTACTTACAAAGTATTAAGTTCGAGATTGCTAAACTTTATCAGCGAACACGCCATACGCGCGCTCTGTACAGCCAAAGACGGTCCAGCCAGGTGCTCTCCCAGACCCGGGCTTGATATTTGACGGCATCTTTGCTCGGAATACTTTCACGAAACACCCCAATAATGTCTCTAGTATTCTCTTCTACTGGGCATCGCTCATCATTCATGATCTTTTCCAAACAGATCACCGCGACTTCTCGAACTCCCAAACTTCGTCTTATCTGGACTTGTCGCCCTTATATGGTGACAATCAGAACGATCAAAACCAAATAAGGACTTTCAAGGACGGAAAGCTCAAAGCCGATTGTTTTTCCGAGCATCGAATGCTTGGCTTTCCTCCAGGATGTGGCGTTCTTCTCATCATGTTTAACAGATTCCACAATTACGTTGTTGAACAGCTCGCCATGATCAACGAGAATGGCCGCTTCAACAAGCCACGAGAGGGCCTTAGCGAAGAAGCTGCTGGGAAAGCCTGGGCAAAGTATGATAATGATTTGTTCCAGACTGGACGTCTCATTACGTGTGGATTATATATGAGTCAGTATAGTCGCTGCTTGATTGCCCTATGATTTACTAAGGTGTTCCATAGACATCACGCTCCTGGACTACCTTCGAACTATTGTCAACTTGTAAGTACACTGATTCTACGCTGATGTATTGATATTTGTACGTGCATGTAAGATAAGCTAACCTCTCTATTCACTCCAGGAATCGAAGCAACACTACCTGGACACTTGACCCTCGCGTCGATATGGAGAAACAATTCGGAAAGGATGGAACACCTCGTGGCATTGGCAACCAAGTCGCAGCCGAATTCAATCTTGTCTACCGTTGGCATTCGGCCACCAGTCTACGCGACGAAGAATGGACCGAGAACATGTACAGGGAGATGTTTGGGAAATCGGCTGAAGAAGTTGGAATGCACGAGCTGCTGATGGGTCTCGGAAAATGGGCCGCTGATCTCGACGAAGACCCCCAGAAACGCCCATTTGCAAAGCTTGAGCGCGGAGCTGATGGCAAGTTCAGCGATGATGACTTGGTCAAAATTCTCGCGGACAGTATCGAGGATTGTGCAGGTGAGGATACTTATTCCCAGTCCGACGGCGAATCTAACCAATTGCCTAGGTTCGTTCGGTGCCAATAATGTACCGAAAGCTCTCCGTGCTGTTGAGATATTGGGCATGCAACAAGCCCGCAAATGGGGCCTTGCAACATTGAACGAGTTCCGCAAATTCTTCAACCTCAAACCTCACGAGACCTTTGAGAGCATCAACTCGGACCCAGCAGTTGCAGATAATTTGAAACATCTCTATGGCCACCCCGACTTCGTCGAAATGTGAGACATAGAATTCACGAAGCGTTGCGGAAAGCTAACAGTCGTCTAGGTATCCTGGCATTGTTGCCGAAGAAGCCAAGGTCCCTATGGTCCCTGGTGTTGGTATCGCGCCAACTTTTACCATATCTCGAGCTATCTTGTCCGATGCCGTTGTCCTAGTACGTGGCGATAGGTTCTATACCATCGATTATCATGCAAAGAACCTCACAAAGTAAAAGAAATGTGACTGCGGTAGATAATTGTGCTGACATCCTATAGTTGGGGATTCAACGAGGTTCAATATGACCTCAATGTTGAGCAAGGATGTGTCTTCGTAAGTTTGCTCTATAACACGAAGATTGTAGACTGACATTAGACAATAGTACAAGCTCTTTTTGAGGGCATTCCCGCAACACTTCAAGACAAATTCCATCTATGCGCATTACCCCATGACAATTCCGTCAGAGAATCAAAAGATCATGAAGAGTCTCGGGCGCGAAAAGCATTATTCTTACGATCGCCCGTCTCTCATCAAGCCCAGAATCAATCTGACAACCTATCTGGGCGCAAAGACTCTCCTTGATCAGCAGGATCTCTTCAAAGTCACATGGGGCGCGACCACCGCGGAACTTTTCGGTAGACCGGGATGGAACTTTATGCTGTGAGTAGTATTTAAAAACGATCAACCGTCTAAGTGTATTAATCCACCAATAGGTCTGGTGACGAATCTCTACATACGAATCAGCGGCAGGTCATGGCAAAGTCGCTGTACAGAGACAACTGGGAGAAGGCCGTCAAAGAGTTCTACGAATACATAACTCTTCGTCTTCTCCACGAGAAGTCATTTAGCATAGCGGGAATCAACCACGTCGATATCACCCGAGAGTAAGCATACCTACCAACCATACAAAGGCTCTAGAACTAGAACTGACTTCGACAGCGTTGGAAATCTTGCCCATGTTCATTTTGCTTCCAATATCTTCTCGCTCCCATTGAAGACTGCAGAATGGCCACAAGGAATATTCAGCGAGCATGAGCTCTATATGGCCATTGCCGTCATCTTCATATGCATCTTCTTCGATTTCGATGCCGTCAAGTCATTCCCGCTCCATATCGCAGCACGAGCTATTTCTACTTCTCTCGGAAAGCTCGTTGAAGCGAGTGTCAAGACAGTCAAATCGACTGGTGTCCTCGCAGCGAAATGGGATCAGTTCATGGACGCACGTGTCGGAGGAGAGAGGGATTACCTCAAGGATTACGGCGTCCACATGATCAAGAGGCTTCTCGAGAGCGGGTTGAATGCCGAAGAGGTCGCTTGGAGTCAAATGCTCCCTACTGCGTGTGCGATGGTTCCAAATCAAGCTCAAGTGGTGCGTAAAACCCTTTCCTCAAGTCGGTATGTTCTCGAGATAAAGTGCAGGCTAACGTATGCAACAACAGTTTACCCAAGCACTCGATTTCTACCTTGAGCCCAAGAATAAGCCTCATCGTGAGGAGCTGCACCGTCTAGCTCTGCTCAACACTCCCGAGGCTGACGATACTATTCAACATTACCTGATGGAGGGTATTCGCCTAGCAGGTACATTTGGATCATACCGGGAGTACTCTCCCTCATCTAAGACCTCGACGACCATTCAAGATGGTGACAAGACAATCAACGTCAACCCCGGAGACAAGATTTTCTGCAGCTTCGTCGGGGCAAACCGTGATCCCTCACTGTTTCCCGATCCCGAGACCGTCCGGACAGACCGGCCCCTCGAGAGCTACATCCATTATGGAATCGGGCCTCATAGCTGCTTGGGCGAGAATGCTAGCCGTGTCGCATTGACGACCATGTTCAAGACGGTGTTCAAGTTAAAGAATTTGAGGAGAGCCCCTGGCCCGAAGGGAGAGTTGAAGAAGGTGCCCAGGCCCGGTGGGTTTGTCGTGTACATGAAGGAGGACTGGGGAAGCTATTTCCCTTTCCCGCTAAGTAAGTTGATTCCGACATAAAGGTTACAACAGAGATAGACAGGCACTAATATTGCGAACAGGCATGCAAGTCAATTGGGACGGAGAGCTGCCACCTATTCCAGTGCTGCCGAAGGGACAGAAATCAAATGGTAGAACGAATGGCGCCACAAATGGAAGGACTAATGGTGCTACGAACGGTTCATCGAAGTAGACAGGCTGAGGAGATGTTTGTGTTGCTTTGCCGCGATCAAGGAAAATTGTCTTCTTCGAATATTGTCGTGTAATGTGAGGGCGATATCTGATGCTGGCATGTCTTCGGTATACTTGGGGTTTGGAGTTTTGAATTGATCATTTTCCCGGTGATGTCTCACTGTTTTCCACGGAAATTATGCTAAGTCAGACATCTTATTCATCATTCGCATGTCTTATCGTCCCCTCGCATTGCGTGACTGAGCTTGTACTGTGTAGGAAAATGGTAAATTTGTTGAGCGAAACGTCACTACAACAATGCAGCGCCGCATTCCATAGCCAACAACCCCATTCGTGCGAACCCATCAGAACATCTCGCTTCTGTATCCTCACCCAGGGAATATAAAGCCCCATCTTAGGCCCATACTAATCCGATATTCTTACATGCGCATTTGCTTTTCCCACGTAAACCAAACGAACCTACAGAATCTCGACATATTCATCTATGTACCCCCATAATCCCACCCATCCATCGTGAAGAAGTAGTAGATTGAGGAAAGGGAGAAAGAAAGCAATCCATTTACTGCTTCTTCTTTCCAGACTTCTTCTTCTCCTCAGCCTCCTTATCCATAGCTGCGATCTCAGCCTCCTCCTTCCTTACTGCATACCAATGACCGGCCTGCAACACCAGCACACCCACTAACACCAAAGCCAAGATGGTGTTGCTCGCAGCGAAGACCCTCAAGGTATCCTCCCTGCTGATGTAATCTTCAGGCTGGAGGCCCTCCTCGGGGATGCTTCCGTAGATGCCAGCCGTCACGACGCGGAATCCCTTGACGATGTTCGTAATGTAGACGAGGATGCCGGCGAAGTAGAGAGCGAGAGACGCGCCGTCGAAGAGGTAGTTTGCCTCCGTTGCGCGATAGAGCTTCACGAAGAAGCCGGCGAAGCCGGTGGCGATCGCAATGTGCAGAATGCGTGAGATGATGGGTGGTGAGGCGTACAGGAACTTGATGTGGTCTTCCAGGATGTTGAAGTAGGCATCGCGACCCTCGGGAGGCGTCGTCCAGAGGACATTGTAATCGTAAGGGAACGAGGAGAAGAGGATACCTAGGAAGAAACAGGTCGCTACGAGAACAGTACGTCAGCTACAGCCTTCGGGGCAGTGGGGGGCAGTTTGGTGGGAGGAGCTTACGTCCGATGATAAGGAAATTGGCAAAAGAGTTTGCTTTACCCATATTTGCGGTAGTTATGGGAGACTGGAATGACTTCGAGAGTAGGTACGGAGTACAGGCTTCAGAGATGAAGAGGAAGTGGCCTCAGGACGAGCTGGAATATCGTGCAGGTGGAGCTGACGGTTTATCGACCCCAGATTGCACGCGAGATGATTTAGGCCGCTTGGGGAAGGTCACTAGGAGCTAAAATGTTGGCGCAACGTCCGATAAAATACAGTGGTTGATGGCGTCTGAAGCTGTAGAAGGAATTTTGAGAATATAGGAATGAATATTTTCATTGATTGCTACTATGCAGGGCGAGTTGTAGCTGGGAACGCACAATGATGCAAGCGGAAGCGTATGGGAAGAGTATCCCCGCCTGGCACTGGTTTCTTGGCATGAGATAACCACCTCCCGTTTGTATCTAACAGTTTGCGCTCCAGATATAGAGCAAAACAAGTTCAATCGCACCGATTGCTATGGACAGACAGGTTTTGAATATTGATTTCAGAGTTTAACGTGGCATCGCCTTGGAGAGTGAACCTCGCCCTACTCACTGCCAAACATAATGTAGTCACGCACCTGATATCCAGGTTCTAGAAACGCCATGACTTAAGCTCACCACACCACAACTCCCGGCCCTTTATACATACTATTGCATATCTTAAAAGTCATCATCGTCCATGTCATCAAGACCAGCTTCAATGAAAACAAGTCTAGTGCCTTCTCCAGTCGTTTGCCAAACCTATGATATGATGTTAGTATATTGACTCTTTGGAATACCAAAAAAGCGTTCTGTGAACTTACGTCCAGTGCGGAGTACTCGTCAATTGCCTGCTCGAACTGATCCGCGGTGAAACCTTTGGCGAGCACTCTCTCGCGTACCCTGCGGAGGTCAAGTTCGCCGCGGCTACCGTCACCAACAGCGGCAGCACCGCTTGCCTCCATTGTCTTGATGAGATGGTAGATTTTGCTGCTCGGGGTGTGATCATCCCTGCGGTTTTCGTCGGTGTACAGACTGGCTTTGCTGACCTCTACAAGGCGTAATGCCTCGTCAACATCTTCGGAAATGACCTCGCTGGCGAATCGAAGGCGTGCCAAAGCCTGTGATAGACGGAGAACGCCAAGTAGGGTACGGGTCGACGTATGGGTAAAGGCCTTCTTGGTACCCTCATCGCGCTTTTGTTGCTGTCGCATGCGCACATACGCGCCGACCATGTAATCCGACACTTCTTTGGGTACGACTGGCCTGAATGAACGGGCTCGGGCTACCCATTGTCGTACTTCAGCAGGTGAGAAAACGACTCCCTCGGATGATTCCGGATGGGCATTATGCATATGGACATGTGTTACGTGGCGAGCAAGCTCCTCGTCTGAGTCGCGTGAAGGGGTATCAAGAATAAGGAAAAGCACGTCAAAACGGGAAAGCAATGCTGCAGGAAGGTTGATGTTCTCCACAGGAGAGATGCGGGGGTTGTAGCGTCCATATAACGGATTAGCGGCTGCGAGGATGGATGTACGAGCGTTCAGTGTCGTTGTAATTCCGGCTTTACTGATCGAGATGGTCTGCTGCTCCATGACTTCGTGAATGGCCGTCCGGTCGCTGTCGTCCATTTTGTCGAATTCATCGATACAGCACATGCCATTGTCGGCCAAAACGAGCGCGCCTCCTTCAAGAACCATCTCATCAGTGACAGGGTCCCGCATAACGGCTGCAGTGAGACCGACGCCACTGCTTCCTCGACCAGTAGTATAGACACCTCGGGGAGCGACTTTGGTGATGTATTTGAGAAGTTGAGATTTAGCCACACCAGGGTCGCCCATCAAGCACACGTTGATGTCACCACGGATTCGCATTCCATCACCCACCTCCTTGGTGACACCTCCAATGAGCTGCAGGAGAAGAGCCTTCTTCACATCAACGTGACCGAAAATCTCGGGAGCAATGGACCGGGACAAATATTCATACAGTTGGCCTGTACGCTCTAAGTCGTTCATCCGCTTTAATGTCGGTTGAGCAAGCACAATATCATCGTAGGCTTTCTTGTGTTGTATAACGTGCTGTGCCTCAAGGTAAGTGTCGGTAAGAAGACCCGCTCGGATAGCCTTGAATCCAGTGTAGGGCGTGGGGAGGAAAATTCCAGCAACATCGATGACATCTCCAGGGTTTATCTGGCGCACGAGAGCACCATGGCAGTGAATGGTTAGCTGTCTTGGGATGTGACCGACGGGTACCTGGTCGGCCATTTCCTGGATCTTCACCTCTTGGAAAGGTAGGAATTTTGAAGCGCGCGTAGACAGGAATAGTTGGCCCTTGGTGTTGTTCTTCTTGCATTCCTCTGACGGACATTCAACCATGGGGGTGAATTGTTTTGTGTTGACCGGTTGGAAAATTTCGGATCCGCAGCGATCGCAAGAGTAGGCATTGACTTGCACCGAAGGCTTAACATCTGATACCCTTGTGGAAATACCACGCACGGTGATAAGGTGGCCGAGATGCTCGCCTCGCACGTTTCGCACAGCCAAGGCCTTCGTACTCCGCTGGCTGCTCGCGCCTGAAGGTATCCTAGGTTTGAAGTTGAGGGTGTATCTTCGAGTAAGTTCTGCAGGGAAAATAGACTCCGGAGCTAAAGGTGCGCCATCATCAGCGCCCTGCATCTCTTGCATCCTTTCGTTACGCTTAGAGCGTTGGGTCATGATGATATCCAGAACATCATCTTTGAAGCTATGGAAGTTAGTCTTGGTTGAATGCGAGCCGATTCGATAGTGATTCCTACTTCGGTTCTCTTACGGGCTCAGGAAGCACCTTGTCTACTGCCCTTGAGAAAATCTCGAGATAATGATGCGCATTGCGTTCAATGGATTCTATGAGCTTCAATGAGCCTTCCTCCATTCCGTTCTCATACTTTTGATAGATTAGCTTCCGCGCCGGTGTGCTCCAATGTGTTCCTCACTCACCTCTTCGAGATCGTTCAAGTCAATGATTATCTCCGGCCGTATCCTATCTGAAACGTCTTGCAACATTTGCATGTATTTGGCTTTGCCGTGACGATTGCGCTGCTGAGCGTTCGCTGCAGGGTCGTCCGAGTCATCTACCATGTCATACTCGTCGCTATCTCCATCGGCATTGATGTTCAAACTCTCCAGCTGCTCTGCAGCTTCGGTCGAGGACGATTTGTAATTCTTGAGGAAATCCACAAAGGCAGCTGTGCGTTAATCTTGTCAGCTGTGGTCTTGATCCATTATTGACGTTGATGTACACAAACCTTCTTGCTCCTCGTAGTTGACAGGACTGCCCCAGGTTGGAAGCGCCATGATTCCTGATGCACGCGCAAACTAGAAGTATGACAAGCGTTACAGAGGATATGCGCAGGAGGAGATATAATGTGCAATGGCGGCGGGGAACGATGCGACAGCACTATTGAAGAAATGGGGCTGGTGGGTGCACGTCGCGGACGCGTCCAGGGGTCGTCGCGTTTTCTGCCGATCGGGACCGCTTTCGGGAAAGGGCCTGGGCGGATTTGCTCTGTTTGACCTCCCTCCATGATAGTAGCTCTGACATGGCACTTTCAGCACTGGCCTATTGTCTACCTCGGCTTGCGGGATCCCTGAATAATAGCAACCGTGAAGCATGCCATTGTGTCGCCCACCATTCTTCCTCTTGTAAATCATCATGGCGCCGGCCGCGAAGAAACCAGCTGGACAGATTGTTCAAGCTGAGGTCGTTCTACAACACACTCTCAAGAATTGTCTTGTCAACCTTCCCGCATCATTAGTTTCCGTCCTCGTCAACGCAAATGCCGTATGTATCCACTCGCCAGCAGCTTTGGAAGCCATCGCAACGAAGTCATTACTGACCAACCTATCCAGATTGCACAGAATGTCATAGTAGAGCTTCTCTATCGCCAACCACCCCCCTCCGGCGTTTCTGAATCCAGGAGTCCCTCGGCCCAGAAATCGGTGTTCTTAGGATGGACGGGGATGCAAAGCAAGCGCAGACTTGCACCTGTTGTAGGTCGAGATGGACTGAGCGGTACCCGAGGAGGGCCGTCTGGAAGAGATCAAGATATTCAATGCGTCGAAGTGGATGCGACCTTCGCGCGTTTGATAGGGCTTAATGAGGGGCACAAGGTGGGAATAGCATTACATTTGGATCCACCGCAAGCGCATACGATCAATATTGAACCTCTTACGCCTGTGGATTGGGAGATGATTGAGTTGCATGCTCAATTCCTAGAATTGAACTTTCAGTCTCAGATTCGCGCGCTGCCAAATCCCCAGGCTGGCTCTCCACACCCTCTGACGCTCCACCTGTCTCCTACGACTACCGCCAACATCACTGTAACCTCGGTTACACCTCCGCCCGCAACGATGTCCCCTTTTGTCAAGCTAGCGCCCGATGCAGAGGTTATCGTAGCCCCCAAAACACGGCAAAAACAAGTCAGTAGCTCCGGCAAGGAAAGTCGAAGTGTTGGTGGAGCTTCAAGAAAAAGCGGGAAGAGTACTGCCAGCACTGTCAGACGACGCAGTGGCAAAGATGAAAACCCAAGACGGGGAGCAGTTTTCCTTCGCGGTGTTGACCGCAGTATTGCTACAGAATGGTTCGACGAAGAGGAGGAGAGTAATGCCGAGGGCCTTAAGGTTTGGGTGGACAAAGACCTTCTCCTTACGAAGGCTCTTCGTGGTGTCACTTGGGTGTCCGTTGCGATCATCAAACCAGCCGGATTGCAGGAGCCAGTGGACATGTCGAAAGAGCAGGATCAAGAAAAATCTGCTGTACAGGTCGTCGCTAAATTGGGTGTCTGGGACGATGCCCCAGACAGTCGTCATGTTGCACTTTCCGCGGATCTTTGTAAAGTGTTAGGGTCACAGGGTTTTGTAGGTGGGTTAGTCCGCCTCGAAGGAGCACCTAGCCAGACCTCGAAACCTCCAACACTGAAGCAGAGCGATTCGGGCGCAAAAGGAGACGGGAAGTCTTCCTTTGTAAAGACAATTCGCATTCTACCATTTTCATTGATTGGTGCCAACGCGAACTCGCAGCTCAAATTTGGAGGCGAGTCGAATCAAGAGCGTGAAGAGGCGATCAAGCGCATCAAGACAATATACGGAATGCGAAATGGCTTGTTGGATGGGCCCGTCTCCGATGGCATGGTTCTTCCTGCCCCCAAGGAACCAATTGCTGGCTGGCAAGGTGGCATCCTCCGATTTGAGCCACCCCAATCGCAGTCAGGAGTTTCCTGGATCTTATTCCCTGAACGCAAACCAACAGTGGAGCTAGGGGCCGAAATTTCTAAGCCATCTAATCTCACAAAAAGCTGGCAGCAAGGCGACCCTTTGCCAGAAACTCCTGCCACATTGGTCGGAATCGACTCTTTGCTAAAGCAATTGAGGTCTCATCTGACTCACAATTCCTCTGTACTACTATCAGGTGGGCTAGGTGCAGGCAAGTCGGCATGTGCTCAGCTTATAGCACACCAACTGCGAACAGAATTTCTCTTCAACACGATCTATTTCCCCTGTCGCAAGCTGGTCACAGATGAAACAAGGGTTTCCACCATCAAAGAGACCCTCAATCGCCTGTTCGCTTCCGCCTCCTGGGGTGCCCGCTCAGGAGGTAAAGCGGTTGTCATTCTAGATGACCTGGATAAACTTTGTCCTGTCGAAACAGAGTTACAGGTTGGGAATGAGAATGGCCGCAGTCGTCACGTCAGTGAATGTATCATATCAATTGTTCGCCAATACTGTTCCATGGATTCTGGAGTAGTTGTACTAGCTACTGCGCAAGGCAAGGAGTCCCTGAACAATGTTCTTGTCGGAGGCCACATCGTTCGAGAGATTGTCAGCTTGAAAGCCCCGAACAAAGACGGACGCAGAAAGGTACTAGAAAAGCTTGCGCGCCAGGATGAGAAATCGCAATCACCATCTCATCAAAAGCTGAATGGCGCTTCTACTGGACATGCATTCCCCCCCTCGCCATCCTCGAGTCGACCGAGCACAAGCCATCGAAGTCAGCCAAGCGGAGGTAGCATTCAGCACGATCTCGATGCTGATGAAGATGGATTTATTGTCGATAGCGCGATTGACTTTCTAGACCTTGCTGGGCACACTGATGGCTACATGCCTGGCGACCTTGTCTTACTGACGTCGCGTGCTCGTAATGAAGCGTTGATTCGATCTGTTGGCGAGTCCTCTAACTCATCCACGGTCTACCTAACCAAAGACGACTATACTTCAGCCCTTTCGGGCTTTACCCCAGCATCCCTCCGCAACGTTACCTTACAATCATCAACGACGACTTGGGCCTCCATTGGAGGTCTCACAGAGACTCGGCAGATTCTTCTCGAAACCCTTCAGTACCCCACGACATATGCGCCTATCTTCGCCCAATGTCCTTTACGCCTTCGTTCCGGTCTTCTCCTTTATGGCTATCCTGGATGCGGCAAGACTCTACTTGCTTCGGCTGTGGCAGGTGAATGTGGTTTGAACTTCATATCTGTGAAAGGTCCAGAGATTTTGAACAAATACATCGGTGCCTCCGAGAAGTCGGTGCGTGACCTATTCGAGCGCGCCGAAGCAGCTCGGCCATGCGTGCTCTTCTTCGATGAATTCGACAGTATCGCACCGAAACGTGGCCACGATTCTACCGGTGTCACGGATCGTGTGGTCAATCAGTTACTCACCCAAATGGATGGTGCCGAGGGCTTGAGTGGTGTCTATGTCCTCGCCGCCACCAGCCGGCCGGATCTCATCGATCCTGCGCTTCTTCGACCTGGCCGTTTGGACAAGAGTCTAATCTGCGACATGCCAGATCTAGAAGAGCGCATAGATATACTCAAAGCTGTCACAGCAAAGGTAAATCTCGCACCATCTTTGATGGACACAAGCGACGCAGGCCAGAATTTACGAGCAATCGCCCGGCGGACGGAGGGATTTTCAGGCGCCGATATCCAAGCAGTTGTATATAATGCACAGCTCGAAGCTATCCACGATGTTCTGGGAGATATCGAGTTCGAGGACCCTACGAAGAGCGGTTCAAAGAAGAAAGATGAATCGAATGGCCACAGCAATTCGAGCAAAGAAAGCCGTATCCCTAGCTTCACTCATTTCCGCTACGGCGACGACTTGGATAAGCCTACATCTGAAAAGCCCATTCCTTCGTCCGCACTCAGCGAGCGCGCGTTGATCGCTCAGAAGATCGCGGCCCTCCAAGCGGTCCGCAAGAAACAGAAACTGTTGCAACAGCAACAGCGACCTGGCAGTCAAGGCAAGGAGAATGAAGAAATCAAAGAGGAGAAGGAGAATCAAGAACCTGAAATTCAATGGAAGCACATCGAAAGCTCTTTGGCCACTACCAGGAGCTCCATCTCCACGCAAGAGCGCCGGAGATTGGAAGGAATATACCAAGAATTCGTCTCTGGCAGAAACGGAGACTTGCCAAACGGACAGGGCGGAACTGAGATAGGAGGGCGGACTAGCTTAATGTAGATTTGGACTGTATCTGTATATTTGATAGTTTTGAGAATTGTACTTTTACATAACATATCCAATGCCATTCATGGATATAGAAGCGATTAGACGAACAAAATTTCACAGGTGAATCCAGAAAGAAGACGTTTGTGAATGTTTTGATTTATGTCAGATAATGCATTTCCAAATGCTGCAATCAATTCCCGGTCCTGCAATGATAGAGTTTTTGCGAAGAAGACTACCCGGAATACAACATATCCAATGGCGACGCCATAATAACGACAAGATTCATGCAGGTTTGACGATTACGTCTGTTCGCCGCCGCCGTTTAGAATACAAACAACCCCATCGTCAATCCGTTCGTTTCCCTCCTAATTTCATATAATGGTTCTCGTTCTCTATTTCTTTCCGACGACGTCCTTGGCCTTCTCCACTGCCTCGAGGACCTTGGTTTGTGTCGCACCGGTGAGCTCCTTTGCCTTCAAAGCCGCCTCTTGGCCGCCCATGTGGAAGTATTGTACATATCGGTATCCTTGGGTGAGCTGGGATGCGCAGTTTATGAAGTGGCAGCCGAAGAGAAGGTAGTTCTTGGGAGAGACGGCGAGCGCATAGCGCATGAAGACGGCAGAGTAGAGGGCGAGAGCACCAGTCATGCGGCCAGAGATGCTATAGGGAGATATATGTCAGTCACGGTGCTTCTTGGAGGGCCGAGGATTCCGGTAGATAGTAAAATATGTGGTATAGGACTCACATCTCAGGATCCTTGGTCATATCGGCCACAGCCGCAATCGGGATACCGAAGTTACTTGCTGGACCCCAGAAATCTGGTTTGACATTGTTAGCGCAAGGTCACACATATGGCGGTACTCTGTATCCAGCGTGCCTCATTGTTGTTCGGTGCATTGCATGTGCAATGGCTCACGCGCAGAGCTCCGCGATTCGGTCAGATAGACAGGATTGTATACGTACGGGTCGAGAAGAAATAGTCGGTATACGGGTTGGAGCGAATCTTCGCATTGAGGGCTTTGATTGCGGCCGCCATCTTGAGGAGCAATTAATTAGAGAGGGGAGTAGAGAGACGGAAAAGGCGTTGGTCAATGAGATTGAAGATGATTCTTTTGGTGTTGAATCTACGGACCCGAGAATCGTGCCAAGACCGCGATTTGCGGGCATAACAGGGTGCAGGGATTAAGACGGGTATGGTCACGTGCCGATGCCAGAACTGCGAAATCGCTTGTTCGGACTTAGGAATTTGTCATTTACTATCTGAGCTTAAACTTGACGATAGGCCTGGATGGCTCGTATGATTGTCAGATAATGAATATGTTCTAGTATGGCACTGGAAGAATTGCAGCATGACATCGTTGCGTTTGTTTGAACACTGAGAAGTTCGAGCTGAAAATTATTGCTGGTATCATTTCAATCATTTGCGCCCTATCAACTTGCTTTTGGCCCATGACGTCCTTTAAATCACACCTGAAGAGTGTCTGTCGAGCTATGTCTGACCAATTCTTCTTCTATCTTCAATGTGACTCGATCGAAGCTGCATTTGTGGCATTGTATTTTGTCGTCTTAAAGATATCCTTCAACCGTTTACCTTCCAGGGCCGCCAAAGCCTGGAGGAGGGAAACCACGTCCGCCTGCACCAGGAGGTCCACCAAATCCGGGTGGGCCTCCTTGGAAACCGGGCGGTCCGCCAGGCGGGAAGCCACCAGCTGCTTGCATGTTAGTTTACTGCCAAGTTCAAATTCATCGATGGAACCTACGAGGTCCTCCTCCTGGGGGTCCACCACGACCAAATCCAGGTGGCCCGCCGAAGCCTGGCGGTGGTCCTCCGAAACCACCAGGCGGTGGGAACTGTCCTCCAAAACCAGGTCCAGGGCCTCCAACACCAGGTGCTGGGCCTGTAAGTCCAACTGGAATACCACGCCCGGCAGGTCGAGCAACGCCGGGGCCTGAAGCCAATGCAGCTGAGGTCGACGTTGCGCCAGGGGCATTGCCCAAACGTGCTGCAGGGTCTGCGGGGGGAGGACCGTCGACTGAGAGTGATACTACGTTGGCGCCTCGAACGATTGTGAGGCCAATTGCACGTCGCTCTTCGGTTTCGGTGATCTGTTGGGTTGCACCAGGCGCCGCCTTGCCAGTCTTTCTTCGCGTGCGGCGGAATTCCTCAGTATCGGCGAGAACAAGGTTCATGTGCTGGAGAGACGCGTCAGTATCTCAACGATCGAGAGATTCGCGAAGGCAAAGTAAGTACCTTGTCGAACGCGAGCATCTGTCCCGCCATTTGTCGGCCATCTTGAAGGGTGACCTTCATCCGATAGTTGATCTGCACAGTGTAAGTCGCGTGAGGCTTCGATACGGGAGGTAATGGGCGCTTACAAGATTTTGCTAGAGAAAGAGAAGTCAGTTAACCCTACATGGGAAGCTCGTCTTAGGGTGGAGGACTGGAGTTTTGCTAGGCAGAGAGTACTTACCATCTTTCCCTGGCGATTTGCTGCAGCCATGTTGGAAGGTGTTGCGCCCGAGGACGACTTCTCTCCGAATCAGATTAATTTATTGCGAGATATGGAAGACACGCCCCAGGTGTATCAACAAATGTGGGGTTGGCTGTCGGGGAGCTCGGTATAGTAGGTCTTCGAGAGTTGAGGTTGATAGCTTTGCGCCGCAACAATGTTTAGCCAATCCCGAGGCGGTTCGCTTAGGTCTTGGCGTCGAAGATTCCCACCACCGGCACGCAAATTATCGTCGACCTCACTCGAACATCCGACCACTTCGACCACCAACCTTTCCTACTAACCCTCCCACAGCAGTCACAATGGTACGCAATAATATTCCAACAGCACATCAGCGCCCGCGATGAAGCATACTGACGCGCGACAGGCCGAAGGAAAAGCCTCCAACCCCATGCGGGAGCTCCGCATCCAGAAGTTGGTCCTCAACATCTCCGTCGGCGAGTCTGGTGATCGTTTGACCCGTGCCGCCAAAGTGCTTGAGCAGCTCTCTGGTCAGACTCCCGTCTACTCCAAGGCCCGTTACACCGTCCGTACTTTCGGTATCAGGAGGAACGAAAAGTAGGCACACCCGCACCCAGGAGATGAAGAAGGGGAGAAGAATTAAATAAAAAAAGGATGAATGATTGACATTGAGGAATTTAGGATCTCCGTCCACGTCACCATCCGTGGCCCCAAGGCCGAGGAGATTCTCGAGCGTGGCCTCAAGGTCAAGGAGTACGAGCTCCGCAAGCGCAACTTCAGCGAGTCTGGCAACTTCGGTTTCGGTATCAGCGAGCACATCGACTTGGGCATCAAGTACGACCCCAGCATTGGTATCTACGGAATGGACTTCTACTGCTGCATGACCCGACCTGGTGAGCGCGTCGCCAAGCGCAGGCGGGCGAAGAGCAGAATCGGTGCCTCCCACCGCATCAACCAGTCCGAGACCATCAAGTGGTACAAGGTACGTACCCACAAGGGAGATGTAGATGTTGCCGTGGGCATTGGCTGACATGTCACAGAACCGATTCGAGGGTATCGTCCGATAAGCGTGTTCAACCTTTAATGGTTACGGGGCCACGAAGGAATGTAGGGAAGGGAAATTTTATCATCACACCAATGACAAACTGCATGTTCGGGTTCTCGGAAATTTTTGGGGGCATCAGCAACACATGGACTTGACTTTGACCCAGAAAAAATGGAGTCCCGGAGTGTAATTATCAAAAGGAACTCGAGCAGCGAGGGCATATCGGAAAAAATATGCTCTTGTCTGTGGCCTATCGAAATGGAGCTTGACCTTGCTTTTTACTTGCGAGCGTCAAAATCAAAAAAATCTTTGATCACAAATTACAATGGAGGCTTCACTTGGGTGATGTTCCGCTTAACCATTGGTGATCAATCAACAAGCCTCTACCTCACAATTCTTACGGTTGTGAGGACGAAGCGCTGTTGGAACTATGTCATATCATGTCGTGATGCTGACCCTCTAACCTCTGCGTAGCCCATTCTTGCCCATCGCCCAGGACCGTACCGGACTGCATCCCTCCACTACTCAATCGTGATCATCGACTACAGTCCAATGCATCCACGCTCCTACACACTCGTCGTCCTCTACATATCATACTAACTTTCCTTATTCCCACCCACTAGTGACCACAACTAAACTCTCACGCCAAGTCAATTAGTCCAGCACTTACCCGGAGACTTTTACGCCTTCCCCAAGACACTACCTAGATGGAAACCAAATAATGTAGATGAATCCATTCATACCCCAAAATCTCATCTCAGACCTACTAAAATCTCCCTCACCCCGACACCATCCCGCTATCTAAACCACCCACTAATCACTGATGGTTACATCAAGAATACCACGTAGTAACGAATGCGGTATCTCAACACCAGAACCATCGAACCTCTCGTAGAAAGAAATACTAAAATATCATATCAAGTTTCCCACGTTCATTGCCTCCTAGCTTCTTAAATAGCATATAGTACCACATGTCCATGATGCCAAGATGTAACATCTCTTACAAGGAGAATTTACCTTTCTTTCGTTCAAGTAGCGTCTACATCGCCCATCACATTCGAACGAAAACATCCGCCACTGCTACTGCTATCCGCAGTCCGCCATAAAACTAGCATCAACGGTGAACGCAATCCCATCTCAACCCCCTACTAGAATAGAAAAGTAGAACCATGAGATCCAAGCGAAAAAGGTAGGTTCGCCAAGAGTACCTGCTATGGTATGGTGTAGTAAGATGGAGTGCGGTATAGTATGGGATAGTATGCCAATGGCATGGAAATGGTACCCTACAGCACGCACACACAAACCCAGACACCCCATCGTTAGAACACCTCAAACGAGATACCGTTCCCATCACTTCCATGCTCTTCCCCGGGAAAGGCACAGCACGCACGAATGGGCATTACGACGACAACGACAACGATATCCACCAGCATGAACCCCCCCTTACAATTAAAACATCACCAAGAATATCTTTGTACTTGTAGTGTTTCAACGACATTATGTATCCATGTGATGTGATGCGATGTGGTGTGACTGTGTTGTGTGATATGATATATCGAAGTTTCCCTCGATTGTCTGGCTGGCGAGACGCCCGGCGGTTTTGGGATGTGGTGGTTCCGAGTGCGTGCGCGCGCGCCTATATTCGCTTCGTGTTGGGATCGGTCGGTGGGAATTTTACAGGAGTATGGAGGAGTATTGGGTTTTTTAATTCTTTCTGTCGCTTTTCTCCTTTTCTCTCTCAAGTATGGTGGCTTTGCGTGGGTGGGCTGGGGTTGGGACTTGTTCCTGCATTTTGATGGGTCGACGGGTAAGTTCGTGAGAAGCATGTACGTCGAGACCTGCGCAACTCGGGAGAGGCAAGTCAGGAACTTCAAGGTTACACATCGTTCTCACGAAAAGGTAGAGCAAATTTTTGAATAGATTTTGAATCTCTCTGTATTTCTTTTCTTTAACATTCCGATCAACCGGCCTCACGCCGAACTCAGATCTCTTCTTTATACAAGGCCCAGCACAGCTTTCGCCTCCGACTCTCCTTTCTTCGTCTCCTTCGTATCCAAAAGTAGCTCTCATCAAATCTGTGAGATTGTACTCATATCCCAGACTTTAGGTATCAAACAGCAAAGAAAAATATGAAAAAAGAAAAGATCGATCCAGAGAACTCCTGGAGAAAATTATGAGCAACGAGCGAGGGTTAGTAGATAAAATGAAATAAAATCAAAGTGGCCTAGGCCAGAGATACCAAAATCAGATACTCCCGCCAGCCCCTTGATGGAGAAAAATGTCATGTACATGTTTGCCCTCCCATAATGAAAAGCCTCGTGGAAGAACTCTTCAGTGGAAGGCAAAGGTTGAGAAGAAGAATATCAAGTACACCCGCTATGCAATGCAGCAACTATGCTCATGAGACGCAAGGAGAGAGACATGGCGCACAGCGCTTACTGTCTTGCAACGCTGGGTCCGAAATCAAAGCCCTGGCCCGGAGCAGGAGCGGACTGTTGATGAGCGGGCGCCGGGTAGGAAGGCGAAGCAAGAGGAGTGTAAGCGCCAGGGATGGGTACAGATGCGTATGTCTGCTCTCCTGGTGCTGCACCGACGTGGTCGTTCTGCCTCTCCTGGAACCCAGGCGAGGCTGGGGGAAGAGGTGGCGATGCGGTGCCAGTACGTTGGGGGGTATCGAAACCTTCTTGGCCAATCTTGGGGGTGGCATTGGTGACCTTGATCGGTGGTGCCTTGAGAGAGAATGGCTGGGGTTGGGCGATCTCGCGAGCATAGGCGAATTGTACCTTATCGCTATCGCCGTTCTCGGCGGCAGACTGAGGGTCGTAGTACTGAGGGTGGTCTGGCGGTGGGCGCCAGCCTCCAGAGCGGGGAGAGAGTGGTCCGAAGCCAGGAGTGTTGGGTGCGGATTGGGAGCGGAGCTGAGCGAGGTAAAGGTCCGAACGAGCCTTGTCACGGTTGGCCATGGACTTTCGGAGCTTCCTCTTGGACCAGAAACGGTAGAAGACGATGGCGTAGATGGCAATGACCAAGACTTCGATGACGATCTCGATGATGCAGCAGACAAGAGCCCAGTTCTATGGCCAAGTTAGTAGGAGATACTCGGAATGGGCTGCAGAGCATGGTAGGACTCACCTGAAGGCGGCAGACAAGCGCGTACGACACATCGTCCTCGAACAGATGTCTTCGCTTGTTGTCTACGCACGACCAACCCCACATGTCCTTGCCTTTACCCTGCGATTTGCTCTGATTGAGGATGCCGGCACCGACTGCCCACATGATGATGCTGAAGATGAAGAAGCCAACTGCGAAGACGGTGTAGTATGCTGCCACCTTCTCGGCCCTGTGGTGGCCCTTTCTGGCGTAGGCGATCAAGACAACGATGGACATGAGCAGGGAGATGCATGCAATGACGAGGATGGTTACTTGGGGCCAGATGGCTGTGTTCTTGGCCCACGGTGGCAGATTGTTCCTGGGAGCAAGGGTCTTGGTTGCGTTGAAGATGGAAAAAGCAGTGGCGAGCATGGAGAGAACGATCAGACTGCAGGCAAAGTTGATTCCACGCAGGAAGATCTTTGCGATTCGTACTCGAACCTTGACTTTCTGGTTGGATGTTAGCTAAACTTTTTCGTGGTAATTGGTTCTACAAGCAGGTAGCCTACCAAATCTTTGGCCTGTTCCTTGTCGGTGCTGGCCTCTTGCTTCTCTAGGACTTGCTCTTCCCTGAAGGTGGGACTGAGGATGGCGGTCTCACATGTCCTTGGTGGAGCACCAGGCGATCGGAGGGCGCTCCTGAGGGGAGTCTTTGGGGTTGGCGGAGGAAGGTACTTCCTGTCGGTTTCTTCCATTTCGACGTCCTGGACGTAGCCGAAGCCGACGTCTGAGATCTGAGGTTGAGGGGAGTAGTGGTTGGTGGGTGGATCGGCAAAGGGAGAACGTCCGTCGACGGGTGAATAGACTGAGGTCGCTTCTGCGAAGCGAGCTGTACGAGGCGACTTTGCTGAAAGAGATTCTTTCGAGTTCTTTTGCTTGAGGATGGTGACTGTTGGGATCTTCTTATCGTTGGCGGCCATCCTAAGATGTGTGCAAGATTCACGAGAGGCGGAGAAGAGACGAGGGGATCATGAATTGAAGGAAGACAAGACGACAGCTAGATGGGATAGTGTAGAAAGTCGAAAAGTCCAGCTTTGAACAGGTGTGCGAGGCACAGGCTCGAGGGTGAGGCAATGCTTTAGGGAAGGGAGCACAGTGTGACGACGACGGTGACGGTGACAGAGATGGAGACACAGACAGAGACGGGAACACAGAGAAAAAAGAGAGAGAGACAGAGAGAGGATATTACAACAGATGAAGAGACCTGCTGAAGGAGGAGGAAGGGGTAGATGGAGCAACGGCGAAGCGCTGGCCTTTTGTCTGGCGGCGCTTCGAGCAATGAAGATGAATGGGGATTGGATGGAGGGCGTAATTGGTGAGGGACGTGATGAGGGTGGAGAGAGATATGGGGAGAGAAGAGGAAGGCTGGCGGGTACTTACCTTTGACTAAAGTATGGCGGCAACGAGAGATGGTGAGCAGAAGTATTGGTATTGGTGGTGGAGGTTGGTGGTATCGGTATAGTGGTGGTGGTGGTGCAAAGGAGGGCGCAAGCGATGCTGATAGGCCGGGGGGGGGTTGCAGCGTCGAGGTATTGCAATGGCGTTGCAAAGACGGAAGATGGATCGGAGGGGAGCAGAGACCCAGAAATAGACGCCCGGATGAAAGCAATTAACGCTTAGAAAAGCGTGTGCTTCCAGACCACAACCCTCAAGGTAGACTAGGTAGTTCGGTCACTGGTACTGCAGCAGGACAGGATGGATACAGTATGCCGGTAACGAAGCTGACAGGCGCAGATCTTGGAGTCTTGGAAAGGGAAGAAAGAGGTGGAGGAGGAGGAAGGGAATAACGAGGATGAGCAACTTTCTTCGTTGTGGGTGGTACACGAGGTAAGCCGATCGACTAAGAGGATGAGACCGGCAGTGATGGTGAGTTTTGAGATGTTTCAATGATGATGATTTAACGAGATTGGAGCTGTGGTTGCCACTCAGCAAGCAGTTCCCAGGCAGTAGTCGTCCACGTCGTCGAAGTGGCTGCAGTAGTAGCAGTCAGTGACTGTGGAGGAGATGGATAGAGAGATGGTTTAAACGGTCGAAGGTCAAAATGTCAGTCAATCAGTAAGTGGGAAATGGAGGGGAAGGTTAAGAGCCCGTTCTCGACTCGAGGGAAAAGGTCGAGTACGTGGACGTGGCGATGGACTATGGGAGAGACTTTGGGAGTGAACATTGACAAGGACAGGGACAAGGACATGGGCACGGGCATGGTGAGTGTATAATTCTGGTCAATCAGGACGGATAGAAAGTATCTTTCCATAGAGAATATGCAGGGAAGATACTTAGACAGAGCTTAAACAGCTTAGAGGGGCACGAGGGTATGTTTGTTCGTGCCTGTCGGAGGAAGAGAAAGCGCCCAGAGGCTGAAGGAAGGCACGAAGGAGATGTGGAGTCGAGGGAAGGAACAGGGTAGGGGAACAGGGAAGGAGCATTGTCAAGAAGGGAAGGAACCAATGAGACATGTCGACTTGACGCTGAAAGAAACGCCTTCCCATTGCCCAAGACAAGTTGAACATACGAGAGACGTCGATGATTGGATGACATGGATTGGACTGCATAAAACAACTTTAAACAATCGACATGGGGGGGAGCAACTTGGACAGGATAGACAAGCACACAAGGAACACGAAAGGCGTAAGCGCTCAGCCTGTATCCTCCATGTCTAATCAGGTCTAGTCTCCCTCTCTAGTCAGTTTACTTCCCGCCAATGGCTCTGCAGATCTGCCTCTTCCCATCTCATCCCCAACCACACAGTCCACACACTACACAGTAACAACCCCACCAACCCACCAACACTTCACCAACTGACCATCCCATCCCATCCCATCACTATCTACGCCGTACGCCGTACACAGTACACATTTCTCCTTCAATAGGTACGCGAGTCTGTGGATACGCTCTCTCCCGTCGGCGCCTGCTGCTACCCTTTCTCTTTCCACCTAAGACTCATCAGTGTGTCAATCCATCCTCGAGTCTCGAGTCTCGAGTCTCGAGTCTCTGTCTGGTCTCAGTCACTCATTGTATAGAACGATGGGTCGCATAAAGTCTGACCCTTCCGTCCGACTCTTCATCAGAGAATTAAATACATACTGTGCTTGGTACTATACAGTACAGTACTGCTACTTTACTATCCATAACTAACATGTTCTCAACTCAGCCTTCAACCATTCATTCATCAGCATATATGCGTTAACTGTTTGCCGTAGATTAACTGACTGCGACTTCCCCCCATTCGTCAGCAGTGCAGCACACACCTCAATCACCCTGCATCTGCATCTGCACCCTCGTCTCGCCTCAACCGGCCCCAGCGCCGCCCACCCACCACCTCCACCCACCACCTCCACCCGCCATCGCCTCGGCAGAGCCCGTTGTTGGTTCATGCCCACCACCTCACTGCTCTCAACCTCTTTCTCTCTCCATAGTCATCTCTTCAAGCCCTTTAAACAGATAATCATCTCCAGGAACGCTCCCAGCACACGCATCTATACCGTCGCACAAAGAAAAAACTTACATATAGCCACCACATACTCATTCCTCCATCGAATGTGAATCTGGAATCATGGCATCACCAAGTGTTGGCTGTGCAGTCTGGGGCATAAATCGCCGCCCAATTCAACCTCACTGAACAATAATCCCCCGGTCGCCCAGCTGCCATGGCTGCTCTTAATTCATGCATCCACGCACCATCAGCCATATTGCATCCACGCCCCGTTCCGTTTCAATACTCGACAAATTAGCATCCCAATCGGAGACTTCCCCCACCGGCGGCCATGCGAACATCCTCACCACCACCCCCATCATCCTTCCCATGTTCCAGGAACAGACCATTTACTCGTCATTCTTCGGCCTGATCTAACCTCATCAGGGCCGTTTTGTTTTAGTTCCGTTTCGTTTCGAACTGCCAAGTGCTCCTCATGCTCTTATTTTTGGGGACTTCTCTCGCGAGGAGCCTTATGGCATGGGCATTTTCCAGAAAACCCCAAATCCAGATGTGCACATGCACCTGGACATGCAGATTCACATCGTTCTGATCGTACGACACGTTATCCAACATTGGGGGACCACGACTACGTTCGATTCTATTCTGCTCCGAATCCATCTCAACGGATTAGTTACTGCGAAGGAGCGTTCAAGGTCGGCCACCGCGACGGTCAGCATCAGCATCATTCGCAAGACCATTCTCTAGAGTCTCTAGATGTCGCGAGAACAAACAAGCCTACGCCGCAGGAAAAGGCCCGTCCCACTGCGGCAGCATGCACCGCGAATCCCGCCAGCCATGAGAAGCCCCCCCCATCATAAAGAAACTCATAACTTGGCAGTATCCAATTCAGCCCATCCGATATGGCCCCTCGTCACGTTGCATCATCCTGTACGACCACCCCGCGCTCTCTATCCCCTCCTCTGACATCTCACATCTCACCCATCTATATTTACACCTTCACTCAATTTCTTACCTGCGTGAGCTTCCTCGTCATCTTCGCCTCTCAAGGCTCAATCTGGCCTGTTTCCGCGCCCGTATGTGTAACGCTGCTGCCCTCGCACGAGCCTGGACCATCCGTTCCGTGGCCTGTTTTGTTTCGTTCTCCATCAAGATCCACACGAGACGTCCATCTGACGGCCCTTGCACTCGTGGCCTACTAAATACAGCCCAGGGCCTGTTCCTGAACCCTGACCTTGATCACGCACCCTCTCCTACTCGTAGATTCGAAGTTCCTATCATGAAGCAGGGAAGGATTTAACATTACATAAACAGTACCCTTGTACGGTGGAATTAGAGCCATCGACAACATCCCTTGTTCGAATTAGGGTCAATTAATAGATCTTATCATTCAACCTCGTCACAGTACCTCGTTAGTGCTGTACTGTATGCACTGTGGAGGTATATCTACATCCCGGGGGCACCGGCAAGCATCCCGACAACAAATATGTCGTCCGTTTCTCGAAACAACCCCGAGTTGTTCTTTTTTAGCAAGATAAGCAATAGACGTGAGGTAAAGACAGCAATAGTAACATCTTTCGCCATGTAGCCTTGAGCTCACGACTCAACGAATGCTGCCTTGGCCGCACTGCCTACCTAGATCTGCCATCCTCACATTCCCTTAATCTCTCCTTTCAAACAGACATGTGTCCGAGGGGAACCATGAACAAATAATCAACGGAAATTTGGGTCCCTTAGAATTACCACAATTAGACCCGTGTCAAATAGCTAAATCATTTCCTCTTGCAAATCTGATGCCATCATATGCGTATCACATGTTCTGTCAGTCGTAAATACTATTCTTGCATTGCACTACATGTTAGAGTCTGTAACTTCCTCTTCCTCTTTTAGGCAATAGGCAATAGTAAGTGATCAACTGAGAATCTCAGTCTATCATGGTACATATGTGTTGCTCTACAGTGGCCAGCGTCCAAGCTACTAGGCTCCAGGGCTTCTATGTGTGAGGTTTAGCAGTGTAAACGGATGCATGTATACTTGATTCACAACAGTTTACAACAGGCTATAAAAGTTTACGCAAAGTCACGATATATTTACAATGTTTACAAAAGTTTGCAACAACTTATAATAGTCTACATTAACTTATAAAAGCCTACAACAGCTTCTAATAGTCTACTATAACCTATAATAGTCTACTGCACCTTATAATAGTCTACTACAACTTATGACAGTCTATCGTAACTTACGACAGTCTACCATAACTTACGATAGTCTACAATAACCCACGACAGTTCACAAGAAAAGAACTGCAGTCTTGCTACTCACTCACTCCCCTACTCACGCATCTATGTTGCTACAGGAAGAGCTGTAGAGCAGTAGTACTAAGACCCTTAACCTCTACACAACAACACTACCAGCCCTCTCGACCAGAGCCCACCCAGAAAACAGCAAAAGATCAAACGAGATGAAAAATAGCAAAAAAAAAAATGCAAAAAAAAAATAAAAAGTATAAACAACCCAGGTTTGAACCCGAGCTGTTCCCGGAAAAGACAAGAACAGAAAATCAATGCTAATGCGCAGTATCCGATGTATGACCCTTTAACATTGTGCAGGTTTCGTGGAAAATCTTGGAGAGATTCCACTCCGGCCACACAAGTCGTGGAAAAGCTAAAGCTTGTTCGATATAGGGACCGACCTTCGCTAGAGCCTCGGAATTCTTGAAAGTTCTTGCAAATTAGGGCGCTTATATAGGCCGAAAAATAAGAGGTGAAGGTGATTCTGTTCGTATGGTTCGCCATACTTGTTGTTGGTGATTCTCTCTCTAGGCAGCAGGACACTAAACGTGATGGAATCATGCCATGGCAATGTTTTGTCTCGTAGAATCTACCTTCACTTGTTCCCCAATGTAGCCTATATCATGATGCTTCGTTTTCCTTCGTGGTCAATCTCTGACGACGCGCTTCGCTCTGTGTTTCCGATCTACCATCGGAGTTTTCTCATTAATTAAACTACAAACTCAGTGTTCTATCCTAAAATCTTGTTCATTCTCATGTTCCTTCATCTATCTGTCGATTCATCTCGGCATATAGTCATTCCCTCACGTCTACTCATCCCCACCCGGACCATTATCACTCTCGTGAATATCATCAACCCTCACAATCGTCAACTGACCCTCCCCCCATCACCACCACCCGGCGACCCCCTCCCCACCGTCCATGTCCCACTCGACGCCGTGAACAGCGGTTCCGGCACCATTCCCCCGAACCCTTCGCTCCCGGAGGTCTCCCACTCGTCGTCGTCGCTATCGTAGTTGGGAGGTAAGATCGGCGACTCATCGGCCGTGACGTCAAAGCGGGTATCTTCTCGCTCTTCGACGATGCCGACGCAGGCGAAACTCACGTCCGAGTCCCTCCTGGATTTCCTTTTGGTCTTGTTGGGTGGCTGTCGATCGGTTGCTGGGGTTCTGTTGTACCAGTGATGCTGTTCCTGTGGTAGTGGCGGTAGTGGTGGCGGTGAGGAGGAAACTGGGTTCCTCGATATGTGGGCGGTCGGGGAGAACGAAGACGAGGAGTGGAAGGAGGCGGTTTGCGATGGTATACGCGACAGACCGGCCGAGTAGGTTCCCTTCATCTCCTTCGACTTCAACTTCATGTTTTGGGAAATGTGATGTGCTGGCAGTGGCGGGCGATGGTGATGGGAGGAGTGAATGGGGAGGGGCGGCAGCGGTCGCATTGCTTCTTGATCAGCTTTGTCGGAGGAGGGAATGGCAGTAGACGGATGTGGAGCTGCTGGATTCGGCGTACTTCCTCCTTGCCACTTGCCACTCGAAGAAGACTGCAAGATCGGTTTCGAGATCTTGGATTTCAAAGTCGCGGCTGTGGAGGTCGCTTTGCTTGCTAGTTTCCCTATTGAGCGTTTTGATCTCAGGGGATTGGTGAGCCACGTTTTGGTTGTCGGTGCGTCGGTATGGTGGTTTCTGTTTGGTTTTCGTGATATGTTGTCCTTGGATGATGAACGGGTGTGTATATAGCGTCTCCCATTCTCTTCTACATTGGACTTACTCGATATGACCGAATGACCACCAGCAGGTGGAGGAGGATATTGTTGTGCAATGGGCGGATCACTCCCTTTATTCACATTTCCCTCGATCCTTCCTCCAGTCCACTTTGAGACGGGGTCCGCTGGCTCACCCGCATCGTACCTCACGCTCTCCGACGCATAGAACGGAAGTATCACTGCTGTGGGGGAGTCAGACTGACGCACCCGGTCATACCTCACGTCCCCAGCGCCATTGATGTTACTTCGTACCTGACTTTGACCTTGGCCTTCCCCTCGCGGCTCCTTCGGTGGCAGACGTGGCCGAGCAGGAAGATCCCCACCCCACTGACCCGCCTGGTACTGCTGCTGCTGCTGCTTTGGCGGTGACGGCGGAGGCGGTGGAGACACCACACGCATCGGAACGATCTCTTTGATCTCCCTCTTCGCCTTCCACTCAGCGTGGAAGTTTCGATACTCCCGGATCGCCTTCGTGGTGTCGCCTTCCGGCCCGCTGTGATATAAATCCGCGGCGCGGTGGAAGAACTGTCGGAGGGATTGTACGGTACTTTCTGGTTCTGCTTCATGTTTGGAGCTACTTCCTCGTGAGGGTGGGTGTTGGTTCAAGGGGTCAGTCGTGGACGACGGCTTCGGTATCGTGATGTGCGATTTTACGTCTGGGATGTTAGATGAGGAGGATGAGGAGGAGGGGTGGGAAGACCACATTGTACCTTCTTGGAGGGGGACATTATTGTTCGTCTTAATCTTCTTCTTGATTACAGGGCGGGGGACGCCTATGGTGAGTTTTTCGGCTTCTGGGAGGCGAATTGTGGATGATGATTCGGTTGGGATTGGAATGGTTATGCCGAGGCCTATTGGGGATGCTGGGTCTGGCGGGAGGGGTTTGCCATTGAATGGAGTTGTTTGGGTGTGATTTGAAGATGGTGGAATTGGGTTCTGTACGGGGTGGAATGCGTCAGTCCTCGAAGAACTGCTGCCATCCCGATTGTTACGCCTCATGCGTTGGTTTTGATTGAATGGGGTTTTCGGGGCTTTCTTATGTGGCATAGGCTTTTTGTTGCTACCACTGGAGGTTTCTATTGATACTGGCTGGATTACGATTGTCGGTGATTACGCTGGTGGTATGCTTTTTGGTTATCTCGCTCGTGATTATGATAGCTGGTGATTAATTGCAAATATACGAATACCTCGAAAAACTGTGTTGGATGTGAACATGTCAATCTCGAAAATATCAAAGTCAAGCAGAAGGGAAAAGATTATGGTTGAATGGCTTAGCCTACTGATATGAAAACGAAGACAGAATTTAAGGTGTATATAAAAAGTATGAATGAAACAAAGAACTATCCACGTTGCCTTTCCATTCAATAGGTGCGCTTCCCTATAGATCCATCGAACAATAGGAACAATGCAAAGCTTTGTCTTTGACAATCAATTGTCAAGGCCATCTTGTCGATTATAGAAGCGGATGGAGGTGATACCGAACAGGGGCATTGGAAGTAGCAGTAGGTATCCGAGTTGTTTTCCAGAATGGTCCATGATCGTTGAGGACGCAATATAGTATCCAACCTTCACAGGTTGACAGTGAGCCACACAATGAAACCAATAACACCGAAGCCTAAACCAGAGCACACAGTATGCCGAGGCGACGAATTTTCCTCGGCAGGCATAGTTTCAATGGGGCCTGTTGAATACACGCTGGAACTGAGCTTTGATGTGTAGTTTGTCGTTGTTGATGTTTCGCAGGGTGCGGTGGGCTCTGGTGACTTCAAAATGGTTGCTATTTGTGCACTGTCGTGGTAGCAAATCTCGCATCCAGTGACCGGTAATTCAGGGTTTGTGGTGTGAACTACTGGCGAAAGTATGTTCTCAGTATAGTCTTTGTGGGTGCAGTTTTCACTTCGTGAAGATGCTACGTCTGGAATGACTGCAGAAGTTGAATCGATGTTCGAGATTCCTGGTTCTGTCTGGTTCGGCTGACAGTAAGGTTCGATGGAGGCGGTGACCAACACTGTGGACGTGACTATGGAGACTTCGAATTTGGGTTGGCATGTCGGTGTGCTTGTATTTGGTGATGATGTTGAATCCAACCCGAGATTTCGAAGAGCAATGGCGTGGTGATCAAGATCAACAGATGCATAAACATCGCGAGATACGAAGATTATGATTGTTAAGAGGATGTATGGCAGACCGAAAGTGATCCACATATTGACAAAGATAAGCTTTAATATCAGCGAGTAGGCAATGACCGCTTGTTGTGTTCAGTGGCTACTGGATTTAATCTTGACAATCAGAAGAACGGGTATTGGAAGCCTCATAAGTAATGTGATATCTGAAACCCTCCCAATTCATCAATGAATCAATTCAACATGGGTAACGGATGTCAGTGCCAGCGTGCTCAAGTTAAGCTAAGGGGGTGGAATCTTTTCCCAGACACACAGTCTCACAATTGTAGAACTCATTGAACATAGTGGCACACACCGAAAGAAAATGTTGTACTCCCGACTTTCGGCTGCGACGGGATTGCCGTTTAATAGTTTTTCTCCCATGCCTAACAGCATTTGACTCATTTTATTAAAGGCAACCTTTTGGGAAACCATTCAAATGTATACCTTCATTGATGCTTAAGTGGGCGCTGCACGTTAAGCTAAGCATGTTCGCTAATCCGTGATTCATGTTTATATATTACTTTAACAATACTACTAGAAGAGCTGCGCTTAACTTCGATAAACCTGAGATAGTCGCATAGCATCGGCGGAACGGAATGAGTGAACTGCACACAGCATGCCGACGCAATGTTGGCTTGACTCACACTACCGGAACATCCCATGAGGATCCAACGATGTTATGAACCAGACGGCGGAATTCGGGTCGAACATGTGAATGCCGGAATCAGCTCCTCATGAAGGTAATAGAATAGACAATCTTGCAAAGGTGTACAGGTATGCCTGTACATTACTAGCCCACTGTCTTAGACCTCGGATAGACTAAGGGAACGAACCGGACCTTGACCTACCCTATCTTACCCTTTGTGGAACAGTGGAATTCGGAATGCCATCAACAAACAAACATCGGAAAGCAACGGATTTTCTTCGAGCAATTGGGTAATATGATGGACGTGTTCAGATCTCAATTTGACCTAGGTATTCTATTTCATTTCATTTTAATCAATAACCGTTTTACCGGGCCTCCCCTCAAGGGTTTATTATTTTGTGCGTCATGCATTCATGGATTCGTGCTCGTCAGCCTTTCTCTATAGGTTGACAGCGGTCCTGAAGTTCTTTCCAGCGTAGATGGCGTTGTCGCCGAGCTCCTCCTCGATGCGGAGGATCTGGTTGAGCTTGGCGAGGCGCTCGGAACGGGCAGGAGCACCAGTCTTGATCTGTCCGGAACGGAGACCGACAACAATGTCGGCAATGGTAACATCCTCGGTCTCACCGGAACGGTGGGAGACCATGACACCCCAGCCGGCACCGAAGGCGTCCTTGGCAGCTTGGATAGCCTAGATGAAATATTAGCACTCTAGATTGTAAACATCTTCTAAGCCATGCTTACCTCAGTGATGGTACCGATCTGGTTGACCTTGAGGAGGAGAGCATTGCAGGACTTGAGCTCGATGGCCTTCTTGATGAAAGCGGGGTTCTAATGGAGTCAGCAGCTGATATCAAATAATATAAACACATGCTTGACAATGGAGACGTACAGTGACAGTCAAGTCATCACCAACGATCTGGAAGTCGGAGGTCTTGTAGAAGTAGCTCCAGGCCTCCCAGTCATCCTCAGCGAAGGGATCCTCGATGGAGACAATGGGGTACTTGGAAGCCAAGGACTTGTAGAGGTCGGCGAGTTGCTCGTAAGTGAGCCACTTGCTGGAATCGCTCTCGGGGTTCTTGAAGTCGAGATCGTACTTCTTTGCGTCGGTCTTGTAGAACTCGGAAGAGGCAACGTCCATGGCAATGTCGATCTGGCCAGTGTAGCCGGCCTCCTCAATGGCAGAGGTGATGAGGTCGAGAGCCTCCTCGGGGGTCTGAATATCGGGAGCAACACCACCCTCGTCACCGACGTTTCCGGCGGACTGTCCGTACCTCTTCTTGGCAAGAGACTTGAGCTTCTGGTATACCTCAGAGCCCTGCCTCATGGCCTCAGTGAAGGTGGGTGCGTGCGAAGGAACGATCATGAACTCCTGGAAGGCGAGACGACCACCGGCGTGGGATCCACCGTTGAGGACGTTCTGGAAGGGGACGGGAAGCACGTAAGGCTTCTTTGTGCCAGCGAGATCGCTGATGTGGGCGTAGAGGGGAACACCCTTCTCGGCAGCGGCGGCCTTTGCGACAGCCATGCTGACGCCCAAGATGGCGTTGGCACCAAGCTTGGTCTTGTTCTCGGTTCCATCGAGCTTGTTGATGAAGGCGTCCACGGCGGACTGGTCCTTAACATCGAGGTTCTCTTTGATGAGAGCGGGGGCGATAACGTCGTTCACGTTGGCAACAGCCTTGGTGACACCTGCGAAGGGAGCTTGTTAGATTTGCGTCAATTGGACGAAATATTGCGATCCGTACCTTTGCCGCCCTGAAATAATGTTAGTATATCCATTGTCAATCCTATTACAGATCTCGCGCATACATACCCACTTGGACTTGTCTCCATCCCTCAGCTCGCAAGCCTCGTGGCTTCCTGTCCGAGAGCGTCAGTCGATATCCTCTTGTTGGGAGCGTATTAGCTGCTCGCGCGAAACTCACCAGTGGAAGCACCGGAGGGAACGATGGCACGGTGGAGGCCTAGATCGGTCAGAGATGTTGATACCTCAGAGGGTTTTTATGATGACGAACCAGTCTCGGTGACGATGTCACTGTTGAGCAGCGCGAATTAGTGTCATTGTACTCAATTTGATGGATAATGGAGTGATGGACTTACACTTCGACAGTGGGGTTACCACGGGAGTCGTAGACGGAGCGGGCGTGAATCTTGGAGATAGCCATTGTGACTGTGGACAAGGTGGTTGTCAGCGGGTTGGAGAGGGGAAGGAAGATGATAAACAAATGAGGCGGGAAGTGTCGCGGACAGGTCCGATTTTATAGGAAGTAGATAGGCACAGTCCGAGTGGAATGACGAGACGATGCTTTTAATGGACAAGGTGAAAAAGTAACGTTTCCCGTCCACCGTCCGAAGACGCCGGCCAGCTCAGGGCCCAGACGGACTGGTAGTGGGCGATTCAAACAGTCCCAAAACGGCCATGGATGCGGGCACGGTGGGATAGTAACGAGCTTGGCCGGCCGCGGAACTAGGTAGGATTAGAAGATGGAATGACTTACGTGTAGGAGATTTTAATCGAGGTTTGAGAGTGGGATGGTCAATATTTTAATTGGGGGTGGATTGGAATTGGTATAGGTCTTGGGATGGGATGAGTAGCAGAAGAAAACAAAAAATGGTTGAGGGGTTATGAGGCGTTGGTGGGGCAAGAGAGAGAGCTGGGTGGTGGGTTGATTTACGTTGCTCAGCTAGGTAAGGACCCAAGACTGTAGGCAAGGAAGGTCAAGGTCCGACGTACAGAGAGGGAGAGAGGGAGAGAGGGAGAGAGGGAGTAGGAAGGGCACACCATAGACAGACCACACACATCCATAGTAAGCAAGCCAGACCCGACCATCCTCTCCGTAATCATCATCATAACCCAACAACCACCACTAACATACACTCCTTTTCATCACCTCATCCTTCTGCAGCTTCCTACTAATCCGTACATGTAGCATGACGATGCTCACCATCGCCATCACCGTACTCTCAGCATACGAGATACCCGAATGCCCCCCAATTGATACGATCAGCGTTACATACCTCTTACCCCGATCATATGATGTCAATTGTTGAGCTCTTCTTCCCCGATACTCACCTCATACCCTGTAGAAACATGCGGCTGTTGAATTGAAACAACAATGAATCTAAGGACCAACCAAGCTCTCAAGTCCCAACAGTAGTGGTGGTTACGCATGCCTTTTAGGTACTCAGGTGGATTGCTTAATTGCTCGAAGCTGTGTTGTGTGCCATGAATCAAGCCCGTGACATATTTTTTCTTTCATCAAACTCGGCCTTCAAATGACACAAGCCTACGGCGTTGCTTATGATTGGTCATTTGCTAGGATAACAGTTTCGAGCATTGGATGGCCGCCCTCTTCACAAGCTTGCGAGGACCGGAGATGATCACGTGACAGACAATAATCACAAACGCTGCAAACCTGCCAAGGCTAAAGCTTGCGAGGTAGTAGCGAGTAGAGCTTGGACCAACCATGACCATGAACGCGACGACGGAGCTGCCTTCACATCACGGCCGATGCTATTCTGTGTGCAATCCGACTTCCATATCCCAATCTCCCACTTCTCAAGACCTTCCCTTCTACCTGAAGAGGTCTATCCTAATTAAACACCTCCTCTGACCAAAATACCGGTCCACTTCAACCTCACGAAAGGCCAACGAGCACACTTAGACTCTTCCTACATTCACGACAATAGAGCTCATCCGTCATCATGTTAGAGATCCTACTACCTTTCCTAGGTTAACAAACTGACATATCGTAGGGAGGTCTTACTCGGTATAACAGGAAAGGATTTCACCATCATCGCTGCGTCGAAAGCCGCCATGCGGGGCGCCACCGTCCTCAAAGCATCCGACGACAAGACACGAGCGCTGAACTCCCACTCATTAATGGCCTTCTCCGGCGAAGCTGGCGACACTGGTATGATCATGGTGGTACTTGGTTGAAAGGTGGCAATAGCTGATAGTGGCCCAACAGTTCAATTTGCGGAGTTCATTCAGGCCAACATTCAGTTATACTCAATGCGTAATGGCATGGAGCTGTCACCTGCTGCTACAGCAAACTTCGTCCGAGGCGAACTGGCAAGAGCTCTACGATCCAGGCGGCCGTATACCGTAAATCTCTTGCTTGGAGGCTACGATCAGATCGAAGATAAGCCCACACTTTACTGGATCGACTATCTTGCAAGCTTAGCACCTGTCCCTTACGCCGCACACGGATACGCACAGTACGTCTTTTTTTAACTCCAAGGGATTATCTCTAGTATTGGACCACATACTGACGTCTCATTAGATACTACTGCCTTTCTCTCCTCGATAAGCACCATCACCCAGACATCGACTTCGAGCAGGGTATGAAGATCCTACGCATGTGCACGGAGGAACTGAAGCGACGCCTGCCGATCGACTTCAAGGGTGTTCTTGTGAAGGTGATCACCAAGGACGGTGTTCGGGACGAAGAGTATGAGGATGATGTGAAAGTGGCAGTACCATGAGCCCTCGGTTTGCAGGCATCGCAGCGGCCATAATGGAATTAGAAAAGCTTGGTGGCAAGTGTACAATATCGTATACGGTAGACATTTACCATGCTCTGCACAGGCAGAGCAGAATTATGAACAAGTGAATGAATCATGCCCAATGTACCATGCTCTATTTGATAATTCTTAATCATGTCCTAGCTATTGCGATACCTCCCAGTCCTTGATCATAAATTTATTATTTTACTATGTATGTTTTATTGCGTCAAATGTACATTACTTGTAGTGTTATATCCTAATCATCATTCATACATCGAATTTCCATTTATGAACTATGTATTCATTAGACACAATCTAACTACTGCGTACTCTGGTTGTCATGACACGGATACTTCATGGTCATAGCGGACTTAGCGGGAAATGGTTAGTGGCTTGGCACCAGAGAGCATAAAATCTTCGCGCCTCCCTCGCACTCCCGTTTTCTCTTCTTTGATCAAAAACAACGGAGCCAGCCACGACCATTAGCATTTTACACCCTTGCCCTTGGTTGCCAGTCACCTCTTGGTGGCGTGGTTCCGGAGAAGAACTCTCCTGTAGGAAACTGCTCTCTCGTGGGTCGTCTTAATTGATGGCGAGGAGTTTGCGGTGTCGACTGATGGAGCACATATACACACATAGAAATAGTTTTCTGAGTATTCACACAGGTAGCACTGCATAAGCGGACAGGTTGCATTTGATTTCGATAATGTGAGCTGAGGAATTGCTTTTACAGGCACTATATGAACATTTTCGGGATGTCATATCGTCTTGTTTTCTCAAGCATCATTACTCCAATGATGGGGTCCAGCACTCAATTGCGGTACCCATTGGGATAGCCGTTCGCCATAACCTCCTGAAGGCCACTGACGAGACCATTGCCTAAACCATTGGCTGTCTTGCAGCTCTTCGCATGGCCATTGAGTTTGTCGGCATGATCGGTCGGTCCACCGTTCATGTTCTTCTCAACCGGTACATCGTTCAATGTGTATCCAGTATCGCTGGAATCGACATAAGCTTCGATGCCGGCGCCATTCCTTGGATAGTTCTTCATGATCTCCTTGTGTCGGTGCAGGGCCTTGTTCATCTCCTCGGCTGTCACATCGTTCAAGAACACGCAGCTTCCGATCGGGTTAGGCACGGCCGCACGCAAGAGGCCGTCTCTGGTCTTCAAGATCGCCTTGGTCGCCTTGTCGAGAATCTCCTCGTTGAACAACTCGTGATCCATAGAGAGACCAGCTCGCGAGAACAGATTCAGTAATCGCTTGTGCTCATCATCGTTCAGCAAGCCACGGCTGTTGGCAAGAGTCGCGGAATAGGCCATATCAATCGAGATGGCATGTCCGTGGCGAAGCGGCACATCCGGGGTCAACTACGATGTGTTAGACTTTCTCTGAAGCCATGTGTCTTGGATGTACTGACCTCGTGAAGTGGCGACCAGGTGTGTCCGTAGGCAATCACCCTGTCAAGCCCAATCTCGTGCAGATTTGGAGTCTCTAGCTTCAACATCTCAAAGATGCCGGCGCGGTTGATCTCGTCCGCCGCCTTGCGGATCTCAGCAGACTCACTATCCTCGATACGACCGAAGTGTGTCTGAATCAATCTCTCGCAATACTTGTCAAGAAGGTTGAAAGTAGGCAGATGCCCACAAGTCGAGATCTTGATCAGTTCAGCAAAGCCGTTCCTCACTTGTGCTTCTGGAAGAGTCTTCAAGAAGCCGAAGTCTAAGAACGTATGGATGGGTGCGTGGTAAGCCCCAAGACGATTCTTGTAATTACCGTAGTTGACTGCGACCTTGATGCTAACGCTTGCGTCGATCAAGCCAATGACCGTAGTTGGGATACGGATATAATTCGTGTTACGCCGATACGCAGCACACGCAAATCTAAACAACAGTGTCAGCCAAGTATTCGATTAGGATATCAGGCCAGAGTGCCTTAGATGTCTCTTAGGCGATGGACCAGTAGTAAAGTTTTACCCGGCAACATCTGTGACCAGTCCTCCTCCCTGAATGAAAAGTTAGTAAAGACACCACAGCAGGTGGAAGATCAGCAGACAGACCACTACCAATACGGGTTCCTTGCGGATGATCCCGAAATCTGTCATCGAATCTACGATGCTGAGAAACGTCTCAATGCTCTTTGCCTTCTCGCCAATCATGGTCTTATGAATCTTGAGTTCCATATCATGATGGTCGAAGTACTTTTGCATCTGCGATCCGTAGATATTATAGATATTCAAGTCCATAATGGCGAGACACCGGCCCCAGCGTTCGTAACATTTGGCGAGCTCGGGGTTCTCGAGCTCAAACACACCATCCAAGAAGGTGAAGTCATACTCGATCTTCTCATAACCCTCGACGTGAAATCCGTTCTTCGTCTCGACAACGGATGCTTTGAGGTCTGACATGTTGAAGTCAAATTGAATGTATCAGGAAAAGTTGATGAAACTGAAAGCAGTAACTGTGATCACTGCATTAGAAGAGTTCGGAAAGGCTTCCTTAATATATCAATTGGGCTCATTGCTATGGCTTCCTCTTACCGGCCAATTACTCTGGCCACGCTGTCTGTCCATTGGCTTAGGCCGCCGAAAAAGATATATCCATCACGTCAACCACATCCAAATTTGTCCTTGCCATACGCGCCTCGTTGTCTAGTGTCTTGCGCGAATGAATCACCACGTCAAAGCTATACCACAAAAGGGCGCAGTGGTCGTAAAGACTGTCTATTGCAAGGATAGGTCTAATCACTGGTGGCCTCTGTAATGCTTGCCGCTATGGTAATTATGTGCTCATCATGCTAATTCGAGAATTAGGATCTGGAATTTCGTGATCGCATTCTTTCAGGAACACAACTGCTCCTCCAAGCTATCTCATAATAGCCTAGCGATGCCAGTGGTGGGGGACCAAACTGCCGCCTTCTGCGGGGATTGCCCCGCAACCAGACGATTTGGAACACATCTTTGTGCAACATTGCTGAAGTCAAGCAGTGGGGACTAAGTCGCTTCTGGTTTGTCGTCCCAAAAGTCCAAAGGCCGACCATGTCGGCCCCGAGACCCGCCAATTGCCGACTGGGAAGTCTTATACCCAATGTTCCACCTGAGATGACACAAGTATCCTAATCATCCGTGTTCCAGCTGCAGCTTCAATACTTTCTTCAGGTTATTCCAACTGCCTAGATTTCTTCAGGTCGACGTCCTGCGAGATCCTAGCTCCCGCCTTGGCTAGATAAAGTTAAGACGATCTCGATATTGATCGAGAGGGTCTTCGCTACACCAGGTTAGTTCAGCGTTCCTCCCGTTGCCCTGGTGGAACGACATCCCATGCTCAACAGTGGACGCCTACGGTCGTTGACGACATGTACCTTTATAATGGACGTCAACGACTTTCGTAGCGTTCTTCCGGGCCAATCGAGTTCCCCTACACCTTCCCTTTCAGTTCCCTAGCGCATATATACAGAACTTTGGTACAACCCAAAGACCCTTGCCGAAACCGGCTTTCACGAGCTTTCACGAGCTCGGATCTGAGCAGTAGATGAAGGGCCAGAAAGCTCTGCTCAAGTTGCACTTGGTGTTAAGCTATTTGCATATGCTAAGAGCGCCCACCGACCTGCTTTGCATCCACATCATGGACGGGCTGACTTGGATCGATTTCCTTTTGATCTTCTTCCCCAAAGAGTGACGTTTACATTTCGCATTAGCGGCTTGGACAGCAGCAGGGTTGAGAGGTTGTGCCAGAGCCAATGCCCCCGTATGGGAGCTGTCGGACGCGCTGCTAACGTGTCTGTTTGTCCATCCAGGAACCCGTTACGCGAAGTCAGCCGACAGCAAGAAGCATAGAAGCTGAAACCCCCCAAATATCATGCCTTCCTTCGACCAGACCAAAGCCTATGCTCCCCAAGAGGAGGGCACAGGTTTCTTTGACGACGGTCGTGAGATTGAGCTTCTTCACTTCGTCTATTCACACCCTGACCTAGACAACATTCGGGGGTCGCCTCAGAAAGTACTCGCAGCCATTGACGAGTATGGACGAACGAAGAAGTTCCTCATGAACGTGGGAGAGGATAAGGGTCACATCGTGACTGACTTGATCGCTGAGGTCAAGCCGAAGATCATGGTAAGCTCCATGACATCTTGAGCAAAACACCACTGACGATCTACAGGTGGAGCTCGGCGGATACGTGGGCTACTCATGCATTCTATTTGGCGATGCGGTACGCAAAGCTGGAGGCGAGCGATACTACTCCCTTGAAATGAATCCCGAGTTCGCCGCTGTGATCGCATCTCTGGTCGACCTTGCCGGACTTTCCGACATCATCAAAGTCGTCGTTGGCTCGAGTGATGCATCAATCGCACGGTTGTACTCCACTGGCCAGCTCAAGCACATTGATCTCATATTCCTCGACCATTACAAGCCTGCCTACACAACGGACCTGAAGCTCTGCGAGGAGCTGGGCCTCGTGACCCCTGGCACTGTGCTGGCAGCGGACAATGTCATCAGTCCGGGAAATCCTCCATACTTGGAGTATGTACGTTCCAGCGTGAGCGAAAAGAGGGCCAAGGCAGGAAATGATGCAGGAGATGCCAAAGAGAAGGGAGAAGGCATTCCTGAGAAGACGGTGCAGATGTACGAGAAGCGCTACGGAAAGGCCAAGTTCAACGAGAGCAAAGGAAATCCAAACCTAGTGTACGAGAGCAAATTAGTCAACAGCTTCGAACCAACAGGCGCACCCGTAAGTTCATTCACAATTCTATAACCGATCGTTCGTGCGCAAATCGCTAATATACAATCCTCTTACCACAGGACGGTGTCGAAATCACCCGCTGCGTTGGCGAAGACAAATAAGGATTCCCCTCCCCTTTTCTCAACGTAAAAATATTTCAATAAATTAGCCTATCCAACTTCCGATGATTTCCATCCCAATTCCGTACTTGATATTGTCGTCGTCGTGTTGCACCCTCTCTGCGGTATGTCTTGTCACGCATACGAAGCACGCAGACCACATACTACCGGATCGGGAAGGGATTCGTGGTTCGGCGTCGATGACTGTAGGACGTCATTATCAGAACGCACAGACTGGCCCGATAGCTGGTGTGCGACTGTTCGCGCAAAATTAGTAGCACTAATTAATTATACTGTTACTGAGGGAGCGTTCTGCAGCGACGATGCAAAAATCGTGTTCCATTCGTAAGGTGGATGAATTATCAGGCCGGGGATTCCTGAATTACAAAGTATGTGCTTCAAACAGGTTATAAACTTCTTGAGATGAGATAATTTTCACAATTATTATGGAAACTGAATGAAATCATCACTCTATCTATATTTGACCTTGTGGTTCTTTAGATCCATGGCTCGTCTGCGGTAACTATGTCTTGCATAGGTTGGTATTTACGCAAATGTCTACGTAGTCGGTTCCAATTAGTTCTCTCTGCTCTCTCCCAAAGGAGACGAAAGTCTGACCATAGACTTCGTGATGTGTTTTTCGGATTTGTGAGTAGTGTGAACAAGTTGAATTGACAGGTCATGTCGTAGACAGTCTAGATTCGTGTTTCGATATGTGATCGAACTGCATGTCTACCGTGACCTGCGATTGTTGGAAATACTGAAATACAAATACCTTAGGCTAGAAAAGATGCAATTCAAAATATAACACCACAAAATCCAACATGTTTAACTGGCACAAATCTCTTGTAGAGATTTTACTTCAATACATTTGAAAAAATTGAATAGATCATAGACAATGGCTATACTATCATATCAACTCCTTCCTATACCTCTCCCTCCACGGATACTGTTCCTTGAACCCCAACATCTCCTTCATCTTCCTATTACTCACCGGCGCCTCCCTCTTCCCCATACTCCTCACAAACTTCGTCCCAGGACAAACGCTTTTCAAAAACGCCTCCGCATCCCCTTGTCCCGCGACCTCCCCACCCGCATCATTCGTAATCTCATCATTCACCGCATTAAACACCTGGAACCCCAGCCCATCCTTCTGCAACCCAGCCTCGCACATGTTGCCCAGATCCAACGCATCGGTATACGACCACGCATGCGGCTTCCACCTCGCCGGCTCCTCCGTATACGCCCTGAACTTCTCTTGAAACGCAGCCGGCGGGATCACAGCGCCAATGCGGTAGCAATAGATGTCGACGCCGTACCTCAGTGCGAAAGACTGTGCAACGCGCTCCATGCACAGCTTCGACGTAGCGTAGCTGTCCATGGGTGTGCAGGGGCAATCCTCATCAACGGGAAAATAGGCGTAGTCCACGTCGCCCTCCGCATAGCTGACGCCGTAGGTCGTGATGCTGGAAGCGAGGATGATTTTCTTGATGCCGAGCTTGCAGGCCGATTCGATGATGTTGTAGCTGCCCATGGTGTTGATGCGGAAGAGCTCGTTGTCCGGGAGGAGCATGGGCTGCGGGATGCCTGCGAAGTGGATGACGGCGTCTGGGGTTTGGAGCGGCTCGTGGAAGGGCTCCTGCTTGCTGAAGTGGCAGGATAGGCTGTTGAAGGCTTGCGCGCCGTCTGTTATGTCGGCTTTCAGGGTGTACACGTCCGGGTTGTCCAGTGGGGTTACGTCGACGTTGAGGATCTTGTGGCCGTGTTCCTGGAGCTTGGAGATTGCGTGACGGCCGGCGAGGCCAGATCCTCCCGTAAATACAATTTTTTGTTTTCTACTGGACATTATTCTTTAGAATTGAGGTTTAGGTTGGGTGGCTGCTTGGTGATGTTTTGAGGTCCGGAGGTGCTTGTCTAGACTGGTGCGGGGAAGCTGCATAAGATGGGGTTCCATGTCCATTACCCAAACCCCCGAAACGACCTGTCATATCATCATTGAAGAACTCTGGATATGTTAGTTTTCCTTATTGTATCACTCACTAAATTAGGCGTGTGGAAGAATTGTTGTACTTTTGCATGGTACTTTCATATCTATCGTGTAGCTACCGGCCCAAAACGCCATGGACAGCATGAGTCGATGCCGGATCATACCTGAAGTGATGTTTCACATCTTCAAGTTTCTAGTTCACCTGTGTACCGTAGCCCCTGATACGCTCAGCAAACGCCCAGCTCTGGTTCTCCAGCTTCTCGCTCTCCTTCAACTCCACGCCATCCTTGGTGATGACAGCGATAGAGTACTTGTCCATACTCCTTGCGTCCCTGTAGAAGAGAACCTTCATGCTCTCCTTGACCAACTCCACCGCCTCCTCTTGGCTCACATTCTCCACTGATGCCTCATCGGGTATTGTCCTCCTCAGGATAGGCTGAGCCAAATGGGCACCGAATCCAGTAGCGAGGGTCGGCGACGAGAAAGTAGTGCCCAGAAGGTCCGCACTGGCGAGGAATGGCTTTGAGTCTCCATCCAGACCTGCGATCAAGAGGTGATTCCACAAAGGGTTGAAGTCGGATCGGCGTTTATACATGACTTTAGCGAGGTATGTGTGTAGGTTCTTTGCATTCAAAGCGTCCTCGGCGTCGCCGCCGGAGTAGTTCTGACGGATGTCGAGTGAGTTGAGGAGGCGATCAAGGTACTGCATGTCTGACACATCTCCGCCGAAGCCAACGACGACTTGGTCGTTGAACTTCCGTAAACGCTTTACGTCCGTGAATCGGGCAAGCGAGCCATATGAAGCTGTTTCCTTCCTTTAGCACATTGTCTAGATGTATCCGACCTGCTGTGACCGACCTAGGTTATCTGCCGCAATGACCACTCCATCCTTAAACTTCACTGCTATCACTGAGGTACCGGTGACGATCGGGCTTTGTGTGTGTTGATTCGGGCCTGCACTGGAGAAATGAGAATGGTCGTAGACACCGTAAACGTCATCCCTGGGCTGGTCTTCGATCAATACATGATATTATAGGTACGAGTAATGAGTACTTACACGGCCCCATGCTTGCGGAAGGTGATTCATATTTATCTGGAGGTATCAAAGCTCTTTACTGAAGGTGTATGGAGAATCTCGAGACAGAAGACAAAGTCGGAGAGTGTAGAGGTGTCGAAGCGGAGTGGCAGTTACGGTGATCGCCAGGCAGACCATGAACGCGAAGCTGCGGTGCGCCTGGATCAAATGCCAAGATGTGGCCCAAGCTCCAAAATCGACATCACATCTTGGTTGGCTTCATGAAGTAAGACAACAAACATATAATCATGCTGGGAATCAATTATGCCAGTAGTGATGAGGAGGAAGTCGTTCCTCCTAAGGAAATCAAGGTGAGAAACGATTACACATTTGCCAGGTTCTTGATAGCTACTAATGAAAATACCTCCCAGATACCAACTCCAGACAGTAATAATTTGAAGCAACACGAGCTTTGAAGGATGTAACATTAATATTCATTAGAACCAAAGAAGGTGGTATCAGCACCTAATCCAAAGGCCAATTCCGCCAGTGAACAAGTCGCATCCTCAGCACCAATCAATGGTCCGGCACAAGGCCCATCTTTATCACTTGCCCCAGCGGGACCAGGACCATCAGATGATGGAATACCCGGATCACCATATACTTCAACACAATCTCTGATACGAGAGCTTACTCTCCCGACTGTTCCAAATTTCGAAATCCCACCTTCGCCACCTGGATCCCCACCATTGAACCCAACTAGGAAATTCGGGCGATTCCTGTTGTTGAAGAAGAGAGGGCAGCATTTCAATCAGAGATTAGAATCGTCATCTGTTTTAAAGGATCCCGGCCATCTCCAAACGCTAATGGACTTTGCTAAAATTAGCGACGAGGACCAGTATGCATCAAGTCTGCCAGATGGCATTGCAATTCCATCCAAATTCCCAAAATGGGCATACTTCGAAGAACTCTCAGCATCACAGAAACGGATTACGAAAAGTAGAGAAGAGGCCAACACACGAGTGCCAAGAGACGGAATAGACTTTGTCCCGGCCACTGGTTCTGGTGCATCGAGTGGCGCTGGTACGCCATCAGGCAAAAGCTTACGCCAGAGCGCGGCAGAGAGAGTAATGGCTGGCTTAGACCGGCAACAGAGTGGGAAACGAAAGGATCTGGAACATAGAGGTGGAAGAAGCCAGGCCTCATCCAGCAGTAGAAGACGGAGCAGCTCAAGGTCACCTAAGAGACGGCGGTCGAGGTCAAGAGAAAGAAGATAGCATTGTAACCTTGGGGTATCTATCATGATGCTATTCTGACTGCACCACTTGGGCTGATTTGACTAGCTCCTGTTTGTAGATAGCTGGCGGCAAAAAGGTTGCACAGCAAAAATCTTGGATTTCTAGGCAAAGACCCAAAATCTCAGAAAGTCCCACTTAATGTCCAGTAAACCTCGTAGATCCATGGTGCAAAATAGTGTGAATAGAGGGGTGTCCCATGGATCATGTGATCTATGTGGTCCAAGCTCTAGGCTCTCATAGCTCCGCGTCAACCTCACAGCTCGGACATACAGCATCAAGCCTCCGCTATTACGTCTTTCTCAACCTCACCACATTTTCAGCACCCTTCAACAACCGTCCAGTTGATACTCTCAAATTCGCACATCCGATAAAATGTCTGCGATATTCTCTGGAGCACCCCCGCAGGGTGGTCCCGGATACTCGTTCAAGCAGACACCCACAACTGTCCCATCAGGCGAACGACAGCACGGTTTCTACCCGTAAGTGTTCATTTTTCATGATTTCGAGATGCATTCATTAAGAATAATCAAGATATACGGATAACGGTGGTTCCACACTCGGCATTTCAGGCGCTGATTTTGCTATCCTTGCCGGCGATACTCGATCGACCTCTGGCTACAACATCAATACAAGATATGCCCCCAAGCTTTTCAAGATTGGCGGCGAGGGCCCAGACAACAAAGGCGCACGGATAGTGCTTTCGGTCGTCGGATTTGCAGCGGATGGTGATGCACTCAAGGAGCGTCTGGACACCATCGTCAAGATGTACAAATACCAGCATGGCAAGCCCATGACCGTTTCAGCATGTGCTCAGCGACTGAGCCATATCCTCTACAACAAGAGATTCTTCCCATACTACGTTCATGCTATTCTTGGTGGCCTTGACGAAGAGGGCAAGGGAGCTCTATACTCGTACGATCCGGTGGGAAGCTACGAGAGAGAGCAATGCAGGGCAGCCGGTGCAGCAGCGTCTCTTATCATGCCGTTCCTAGACAACCAAGTCAACTTCAAGAATCAATACGAGCCAGGAAGCGGTACTGGACACGATTTGCAGGCCAAACAAGCACAGCCCTTGCCACAGAACACAGTAGAGGATCTTGTTAGGGATGCATTCACGAGTGCGGTGGAGAGGCACATTGAGGTCGGTGATGGGTTGCAAATGATGATCATCACTAGCGACGGTATACAAGAGACGTACACCCCGCTCAAGAGGGACTAGTCGAAAGTGTATGGGGGCAGTGGTTTTGGGACAATGCTTATCCACGGTGCAGAGCGCGGAAGTTGGCATTCTGTAATTATAGCATTTCGAGGTGCTAAAGGAGTGACTACAACGACTGAAGTGTCCACTTGAGCACTCGATCCGATAGATCTGCTACAGCAGGCAATGAATTCAATGAACTCAACAATCTACCCAGGTACTCACTCAATATCATGTGTCGATGTTAAATATCTAGGTCCTCCATGGATAAGTTATTACTGATAAACTTCCTGAAGACGTCAAACAGTAGCCATGGCAACATTGCCGCTGCGGCATAGGCGCTTCGGAGTAACAATTCTCGTGTGCAGTGTAGCAGCGTTCAATCTCTTCATTCAAAGTCTTAAGAGATCACCGATCATTAACGCACCCATTACACTAATCAGTGTGGACAACACTGCTTTATTAAATTACCATTCAGTCGGCCGGAAAAACTAGGTTGAAACCAAGTGATATTCCGGCTTGTGGAGAGACTTCGCCACGTAAGATACGTGGGCCAATGTAGAATCAGTTTACTTCTGTGTGTTACTCTCACTCACCTTGATAAGCAAGTATTTTACCTTCTGCCCCTCTCCTATCTCCCTTCATTAAGTGGGAAAGTGAAGGCAGAAAACCCGCAGTTCTTTCCCCTCTCACTGTTGTTTGCGGTCCTGCTCCTTCCCCGCCCTCTCCCCTGCCTCTCATCTCGCAACCGTTTTCAATTGGCAAAACAAGTACCATCAGGCGATTTTGGTTTGTTGTTTTGCATTCTTCGCCTTTATCTTCCATCGCGTTCCCAATGAAGCACCTTGAAGGTGGCGGAGGACGAGAGGAACCTATTACCGAGCATACAAGGCAGGGCATTACAAACGCACTTGTCACTGCAGCTCAACGCCGTGATCTACGGATGTGGGAGAATATGAGTGGCCTCGCAACATCTACTTTATCTACTCGTTCATCACTCAGTCTCGATACCTCTGCGCCAGGCCCCTACAACAATCGCCCACCGACAACCGACAACAACGCGGCGGAAGTAGTTACCATGAACAACCAAACACTCTCTTTGAAGCTGATGATGGAAGACCTTGACCGAGCTGTCCGTGAGAGAGAGCTGGAGGCTTGTTCCTCGCCTGTAGCGAATGGCGAGGGACGTGATCCAGCTTTACTTGCTCTCCATAACGATTTCAATCAGCTTGTACAAATGAGGAACAGGGGACCAGTTCAACCAACACAGACTCCTGGGAAGCAAGCTCATGAGACCATTCAAGTTTCTGAAAAGGAGAACGTAGTAAGTTTTCCGGAATGACGAGCGCATAATCATGTGTACCCTTCACCTACAGACAAAAACTTACCATTTGATTCAAGGAACCTATCGAGCAACCGAAACTCCATCAAGCCAACTTCGTGATCGCTGTTCATCAACAGGCTGCACCCGTGGGCTCTACCTCCTGGACCATGGCAGGCACCGGCACTGCTCGAGACGATATGGTTCGCGATGAGAAACATACAACAAACAATGAGGAAGAACTTGAGGCTTCTACGCGACTATTGGAAAAGCAGCTTCAGGAGCACCTGCATGAAGAGCACAACCAGTACGCTATGAACGAGCAGGCAGTGGAAGAAGAAAGTGACGCAGAAAGACGCCTGATTGTCACAAATATTGCAGCTGATGCAGGCCGGGGGGAACTCGCATCTGTGTTTGCAACAAACTCCTACGCTTGGTAAGTGCATCATTGTTTTCTTTCCCAAAGAATTCGCTAATATATATTGTTACTAGGCGCCGAATGAAAATACTGGATGAGCGCCATCCCAAAAATGGAACGCGTACAGCTTATGTCGAAATGAGTTCACGCAAGCAAGCAAAGGCTGCCTGCCGTACCATATATGCCTTCATCTTTGGTCTTAGAGTCCAAATCGAATTGGCCATTCAAGACTGAGAAGGACTTCTGGTAGGACCACTGTATTCGAATGAACTGGAAACCTCGCCATGGGAGAAATGTTTGTACCTAGACGGCTTGAAGGTACTACGGGGGGGTCTGTTTGTGTTCAAAGCGGTCTTTACTCGGTTGTGAAGCGACTGGCTAGGTCCTGGGCCTCAATTGAGGGTGTGAGAAGATAATGTCCACAGATGAAATCATATATGTCAAGCGGAATCGGCATATGGCATCAGATGCCTAATCATTGTTTGATATGTCCATGAATTATAAAGTGATGGTGGATCAACGCAATGACTGGAAGCAATTGCACAACCCAGATAGAGGAGATGGTAATCCGATTCGGGCCTAGCTTCATCATCGTGCAAGGGACGCGCTTTCCACTTTGTCTTCACACAAGTGGCAAATCGATAACATCGTTCTTGTGTCACCTTCATCGGTCAGAAGCAACTTTTCGATCCTTTATCGTCCTTGTTCGGAATTAATCTATGTACCGAACTGCTAGATCAAACGCCAGCCATTTCTGTGTGATGCCCCATCAAAAGACGGCCATTCCCACGATTCCGTAGTTATCGGAGGTCGCCGTGACCTAGGTACTAAGGAACTTAGGACCCGCCCGTCTGTCAATCCCCACGTACGCCAAACACTCAGCTTACATAGCCAAATGAGATACGTCTTTCCACTGATCTCTTCTCCTCTAAGAGACTGTGGCTAGATAGTAATTGAGGTTTGTCTCATCTTTGTCTGTCCTGTCATTTCATCATGGAAGAAATTGATGCAGAATGTTACAACCGTAACATTGAGGAGCTTCGCCACCGCGAGTATCCTATGCTTCAAGGTTAGTCTTCAACGATCAGCTCCGAGTGCTATGTATAATGATATGGCAGGCTCTACTTACCTTGATCATGCGGGAACTACACTGTACGCCAAATCACTCATCGAGCGCTTCTCCGCCGATATGATAAGCAATCTCTACGGGAATCCTCATTCGGCTTCGAACTCTTCTCAACTGACAACGCGGCGCATCGAAGATATCCGTCTACGACTGCTAACTCTCTTCAATGCTGATCCAGAAGCTTTCGACGTTGTATTTGTGGCTAACGCTACTGCCGGCATCAAGCTTGTCGTCGAAGCTTTCAGGGATTCTGAGCAGGGCTTCTGGTATGGCTATCACCGTGATGCACACACCAGCTTGATCGGAGTGAGAGAAGTAGCGACTGAGAATCGATGCTTTGCGTCAGATGATGAGGTCGAAACTTGGATTACCGAGCCCGTAACCTCAACTATTCCCCAACTATTCGCTTATCCCGCACAATCTAACATGAACGGGCGTCGGCTGCCCCTGTCATGGATAGAGCGTATCCGCTCAAGACGAGGGGATGCGACGTACACGCTTTTGGACGCTGCAGCTCTAGTCTCGACTACGCCTCTTGATCTTAGCACACCTGATTACTCCCCAGACTTCACCGTATTGAGCCTCTACAAAATGTTTGGATTCCCAGATCTAGGCGCGCTGATCGTGAAGAAATCGGCAGCTTCTGTCTTTGACAGGCGCCGATATTTTGGCGGGGGAACGGTAGAGATGGTTGTTTGCCTCCAGGAGCAATGGCACGTATCTAAGTCGGACACAATCCACGAACGACTCGAAGATGGGACGTTGCCACTACACAGTATCCTTGCACTGGACCATGCCATGACTGTTCATCAAGAACTTTTCGGATCGCTCAAAGCTACCTCACAACACACAGCATATCTTGCCGCCAAACTTCACGAGGGGTTACGCAGTCTGAAGCACGGAAATGGCATGGAGTTGTGCCAGATATACAAAGAGCCAACATCCACCTATGGTAACGCCGAGACCCAGGGGCCAATAGTCGCTTTCAATCTTCGCAATCACCTCGGCGCGTGGGTCAGCAATGCGGAGGTTGAGAAGATTGCCGCTGTGAAAGACTTTCACATCCGGACTGGCGGTCTTTGCAATCCGGGCGGGATAGCAAAGTACCTTCAGTTGGCGCCATGGGAGATGAAAGAGAATTTCTCTGCCGGTCAACGGTGTGGCAACGACAATGATATCATGCGTGCGAGGCCGACCGGCATGATTCGGGTCAGCCTGGGTGCAATGAGCACTCTTCAGGATGTGGTATCATTTATTGACTTTCTGAAAGACTTCTTCATACAAGACACGCCACGACTGCTAGCTCCGTCCCTCACACCTCTTCTTGTGGAGCCAGCGGCACAAGGCAGCATGCATGTAGAAAGTTTAGCGATCTATCCATTGAAAAGCTGTGCCGCATGGCATGTGCCGCACGGTCAAAGGTGGGAGATTCGACCAGAAGGACTTGCCTGGGATCGTGAGTGGTGCCTCGTCCATCAGGGCACAGGAGCGGCATTGAGCCAGAAGCGCTATCCAAAAATGGCTCTCATTCGACCAAGTATTGATCTGGTCAAAGGAGTCTTACGTGTGCGGTTGGATGGCTCGTTGCAAAACGAAGCGGTAGCAAAGGAGATAACCGTGCCTTTATCGGCCAACCCAAGGCTGTTCTCGGATCAAGCTGTATATCGACACTCCGATGCTAAGGTCTGTGGTGACCGTATAAGGGCAAACACTTACAAGTCTGCTGAGATCACATCCTTCTTCACACAAGCACTGGGAGTCGCTTGCCATCTGGCTCGCTTCCCACCTGTCGGGAATGGGGTGAGCTCCATAGCTTCGTCAAGACATTCCAAGGCCCATCTGCAGAAGCAACGAAAAATTAGCAATCTGCATGTACCCGGCGCTTTCCCTGATGCAGGCTCGTTGGCGCCCATCACGGCGGCTCCAAATCCAATTTTGTTATCGAATGAGAGTCCCATACTTACTATTTCGAGATCGAGTCTCAATCGTCTCAATGAGCAGATCAAGCTTGAGGGCGGCAAGGCCGTACCAGCAGAAGTATTCCGGGCAAATATAGTTATTGCAGAGAGCCTCGATTGTCCACCAGGAGCAGAGCAGCCGTATGCGGAGGACGACTGGCGCTATATGCAGATTGGTGACGAGCTTTTTGAAGTACTTGGCCCGTGTCGGAGATGTCAAATGGTCTGCATCAATCAACAAACTGCTGAACGAAACCAAGAACCATTCGTCACGCTGTCAAAAACACGCCGATTTGACGGAAGGGTATACTTTGGCAGTCATACTAGCCATCTACCCCAAGAGAAGCCGATGGGAATGATTCAGAATCCCACCATCATGGTTGGAGACCCTGTTCGCGCCGTCGAAGACGTTGCGGCGGTTGAAGACTAACATTACACACTCTTTGCTGGGCTAACGCTGTATATCCATCTATTTTGGTGTCAACGGTTTCAGTGCGAATGCTCTAAAGATAGTTGTTGATTGACTGTGGGGGAGCAGGATGCCGTGCCTCATCGCGTTATCGTGCGTCTAGAAAATTTCCGTAGCACACTGCATGCGAGATACCGCAATAATTGGCTGTTTGGGAACCTACTACTCGATCGCCCTGCAGAAACACGCGACGGTATAGAGGGAAGTGAATCAATAAGATGCCTCATCCAGGCTAGGCATCATGACCACGTACTGGACGGGAGGATTGGGGTGGTAAGCGCTGGTAATTTGGGGTTTCGACGACGGGCGCTATGCTTCTATTTGGGCCTGTAGCGATGACTTGAGCAGCTATCCTCACGCACAGCCTCCGTTGGACAGGGGCCAAGCGCTGGATTGATGAGGCGCGCGGCCACGCCTTGGAGCCACGGAATGCCAGAGATCAGACCAAGTCATGGTCGCTCAAAGAGTCCAGCGGCTTGGAGATGGTTGGAGGTTGGAAGCGCGCGAGAACATGAATAACTTTGAAAGAATACAGAGCGGTTGCAACCAGCATAAAATGGATGGTGGTTCCCTCGAAGCTATGAATATCCACTATCCATCGAAGTACGTCGGATACAATCAATCTTCCTACTTGCACCGCCCAAGTTGCACTTGGGCTTGTCTACTCTCGTTTTACATTGCTCAAACGATTACCTTCCCGCATCAGCTGTCTCAGGTTCGACGGGTTTCGTACCAAATAGACAGGCTGACCGCTCGACCCACCATCCATCAACCATCTCCAGCTTGACGGGCCTCTTGTTCGACTTGGCTGTGTGGTCCTTTGTCCCATTACAGCCTCCCGCACGGCGACGCCCGCATCGAACATCCGAAGGTCGAAAAGACCAATCATAAGCGTGAACAGAGGCTCTGGAGGCAACAGAGGTGCAGGCCAGCCAGACCTGCAAGGGCTACAAACAAATCACACTGCTCGTTTCATTGCCTGCAGCCAATTGCGCACGCCTGAGGTTGAAGCTGTTCGCCAGAGCTCGAGCCAACCAAGGCCTGACCCGGCGCTTCGAGAGAAAGAGAGTGGAATCCAAGTGGGAATCTGGGACGAATCCTAATACCCTGAACGCCCCCCTGGACCCGATTTGACACCATTGCGGCGGCTGTTTTGCATCACCCAACGACGGGCCTTAGCGGCGCAGCACTCATCTACACAGACACTACAGTACATTACAGTACGGTGTAGTACGCTCTAGTCCATCTTTACACAGAAAGTACCCTACAGTGCCTACACACCCCTCCCTCTCCCTCCCCCAAAGGACTCATAGTTACTCTCTCTGGCTTACTTACCCTACATTACCCTTCCACCCTTCCGCTACCCCCAACCCAACACCCCCCAGGCATACCAGCATTATCCCCCCCAGTCATACCACGCCTCTACACCCCCCTCCCCCCCGCTCGCCCATCTCGCCGCCGCCGCCAGAACAACTACACTCCATCATACATACATACCTGTAGTCCTTCCTGCCTGTACGCGCCCACATATTTTTAGCAGGCGAACATCCGCCCTTCACGGCCCATACAGCGACCTCTACCAACACCTTTCGCCGCGTCTGAGCTAGCAGCTCGCGCACAATAAACAGTCCACCCTCCCCAGGCTTCAACTTCCCTTCTCTCTTCTTGCTTTGCTTGCGTGCTCGTCTCGCTTGCTTTCAAGTCGTCCTCGACCGTCGTGGTTCCCAGGCCCTCGCGAAGTCCGCCAACACCTCGTCCCCACCATCGCTCACATCAACCTCCGTCCCGTGGCCAACAGTCTTTCGTTCACAGCAACACAACAAACCCTCCTCTCTATAAGCATCAATATCTTTCAAAATGGCCACTACTGATTCCAAGCCGGCGTTGGCTGCACTCAAGACACCTCTGTCTGCCACCTATCCATCGGAACTTAGGTCACCAATGATCCATTCGGCGGCCACACCCACCTTCATCAAACGCGAGGACTCTCTGAAAACGCCAATCACCCCTCCTACTGCCTACCTCGACTTTCTCAAGACCCTCTCCCCCGCCCTCATGAGCCCTATGCCTACTGGCACCAGTACCAAGTTCACCTTTGAGGTTCCGCGTCCAACATCCATGACCTCAGTAACTTCATCTGGCTCAAGCGCTTCTCTTACTTCCACTTCTGCTCCTGTGGAGAAGGCGACTCCCTCCTCGCCCTCATCTTCGCGGGCAAGCAGCTGCTGTAACTGTGATCAGACCAAGCCCGAGCCTCCAAAGTCAGCACCTCTCAAGTCGGCGCCTCCCAAAGTTGATACTGTCACTATTCCTCCTCCATCGCCTTTCCCCCGGCCACAGTCGGCGCGAGCACCACGCCTCTATATTCCCCAATCTCCATATTCACCAGCAACAGTACGATCTCCGAGTAGCGCACACTCCGTTGGCTCACCTTATTCCGCACTATCCCCGAAAACTTGGGACCTTGAGAAGAAGGGTGGGCGGTCACGGCGAGTCAGCGTACGTGAAGTCGTAACACGTACAGTAACTTACAGCAGCACTCCGGTCGATGCGAAGGCGCCAAACTTCCCACAAATCGATCCAGCGCCCCGAGGCAAGAGGAGAAAGATTGAGTGAAGCACTGCTGCGATTGCATGACTTCAGTCTCGTACTTCATGGAGCGAAAGCGGGTTGGACAAACACGAAATAACGGTCCGCTCAGAAACGCTCAGAAACGACCTCACCCTATTCAAACAGCTAATTCGACCTCCATCGGTCGTTGTACATACTGCGCCTCTGATTCCTTCTTCCATTCCTTTCTCTATCTCGACAACCCGTTTCAAACCATTGTTTCCCGGGGAACTGCCTCCGCCCGACATATCAGTAATATACGGGTCCCGGCGACTCGATCGCAGCAGTATTCAGTTCAATACTCTCGTTACCAATGGCGGCGAATATCCTCCGCTGCACTTTCGACACATCACATTCTCATCTGACGACGGCGTCGCACTTTTCTTATGTCTATTTATTAGAGGTACGAGGCTATGTTCTCTGATGAAATACCATTGGTTTGGTGCGGAAAATTACTTAGGCTTTGGATTTTGAATTTTACTTTCATGCGAATACCTGCTATGTTGCTAGGGTGCGCTGGCGCTCAGAGGGCTCATTTCTTGCTGGGATTTACCACGGTGTTGAAGGGAGGACGGTGCTGCCTCAATTTCCTTTGCCGCCCTGCGATAGGATAGGAAGGCACATATTGGAGGAGAAGCATGGGCCCTTTCTCTGGCGCTCATTGGCTTGCTTCTCTTCATGAGAGACGAGAGATGACTACGCAAGATACTCATGAGGTCACAAACCTTTGATATACAATTGATATCTGAAATGCTACAGTCCTCACACGTGCTGTTGAATAACAGCTCGTTCTGAATGCTCTGCGCCGTGATTCTGGGCCAAGTACCATTGCACCCTTGCCATTAGTACCAACATTCAACTGCCACGCTTCCCCAGACCCAGCGATCTTGATTATGCTCCCAAAGCCTGACACATCCTTGGTGTCACCCGCTATAGCATGAGAATAATCGAATAATGAAAGAGACTGGCTTAATAACGGGATGCCGTTCTCACACCACAGGCCATCTGAAGCTGTCATTGGATCTTTTAGTTGTGCGCCCTATCCGACGCCTCTTCCCACTACTGGGACGACGATCCAGCATTTCGAGCAAACGAACGATGGGAATTGCACACTGCCCGCTATGGTAACTCACATGACCAAACAGCGGCCAGCCACCAATCCTTTAGTCCTTTGAAAGAAGAGGCACAAGACAAGCATGATCCTGCTATGGGAGCGCTGTGCCTATCCACAGGAGCACGTATGCGGCCGCAGACTTTCTTAGTCGAACATGTAGTCCATTGAAAATTCGATATTGTACTCCATCCATTCCATCCATCCTCCCCTCATCGAACCGGTGAACCGTAAACAGGCTTTGGATCCGCTAGACTAGACTTTTGCCATATCTTTTTCAACCAAGAGCAGGCCGTAAGCACACCACCACCATCACAAACACCACCCATACATATCCAGTCACACAAGCGTAAGAAACCAGGCAAAGTAAACCCATCATCTCTCGCTCCCGCCCATACATTGCCTCTATTCCTTCCCCAACCTATACACCACCCGCCAACGTGTAACCTTCCCATACCCACCATCTCCTCGCTCCGCTCCCGCCCTCCAAGTTTACTCTAAGTGCGTGCAGCCAATCAGCGCCAGGGGGAGCATGTAGAGCGATTGACAGGGGGGAGGGGGGGAGAGCAAACGGTTGTGGGCTGGGCGGCTCCGGGCCTATGGTTAAGCGCCCGGATGGAGATTCGCTAGGCCGGTTTTGGGGCCCCGGCACGCTATGGTCAGTTGAGTGTGTATTAGATGTGGATGCGTGATTGGCTGGAGGGATTGATGTGGGGGATTGATGGAGAGAGGCCCGGCGCTTGGGGATAATGGATGAGTGTAGTTGTGGGAGGTGATGGATCCTGTTTGTGATGGGTGCTCTTGGGAGTGTGTGTGTGTGTTGACTACCTAGGTACAGAAGAGAGACAAAATGTATTGGGCGAGTACAGAACAAAGGCAGAGATGCATTACGCCGCATCTAGTGTTCATTCAACAAACTACTTATGGAGTGAACAGACGACGACAGGGCGAAGTTTTTCGTTACGGCGTGATGTGATTCTGGTCCTCTATACTGCGTACGGAGTAGCCTTTTTTCTTTGCTTTGTCTGACTGCACTTTGCCGTGCAGTAACTAGTGACTTGGGTTGATTATTGAACCTTCTTGACACTTTTTTCCCATCGTCCTTGTCCTAGAAGGAAGCAAGCCGATTCCACGTACCCCTGTCGCACATCTATCCATCACGTGCATGAACCTATAAAAACTCCCCGGTCCATAATCGTTGCTCGTTCGCTGAGAGGGCCAATGAGAGTCCGATATGGCGGGTTGCCGTGGATTGGGAGGTGTCACACACATGTGAGAGGATCGTGCTCCCTGGGCTTTTACAGTTTTACTCACCATACGTGTAAGCGTTAGCGTAAAAAGGTACATACGAGTTCCTCCGCAGCTCAACCTTGCTTTTAGTTTGACACAGTCAATAGTATGTACTGTACGTTTATTGTTTGATGTCTCTGTACGGGACGGCAAGGCAAACGGACATATATGTTATTGACTGGGGTGATTATAATGGCCATTCTATGCATTTTCATAAAGAATCATCGAGGAAGGGAACATGCAAAGCATAACTCGGACTTGGAGATACATAGTCGCCCTAAACCTAATATCATGTACATCTATATGCAAAGTGATATTAGCAGGCTGCATGACTCTATCGAACGCATTTATACGGCGCAGCACCTCGTTATCGAAAAAAATAAAACAAGGACTCCACGTGAAAAGGAAGGCACAGCAATACTAGGTATTGCAGACACACATGCCCGCTGAATGAGCGGTTAAGCACGATTTATTGGACGTTTTTGTAGAATGGGTTGTCCTTCCTTCCTTTCGCTGGGGCGGGATGAACTTTTCCCATCGCCATGGCAGATCTTCATCGTCTCGTGGCTACCTCGTACTTGATCGATCACGCACCGCACCCCTGCTTCTCTCCTCCTTTTTTCCCTCCATCGAACGATAACGACGACGCTGATCTTCCGAGGGCGGTTTGGCGTCAATACTTGAGTCTAAACGGTTTCCAGGTGTTGTACAGTTACTACAGTGCACTAGGCTAGACAGTTGGTCTTTGCTTTTGGTCTAAGGTTTCCCAGCTGCCAGCAGACGGAGATTAATTAAAAAGCAGGCGCTTGTTTTAAATCCCCAAAGAGAGAAAGACTCAGGTATCTAAACGGGTGCCCACCACACATGACATGACTCGGCGGACGACTAACACCAATGTTGGAGTAGTTTCAACTCTCCATCTACCTACAGAGTTAGTCTGCACTTTGCTAGAACGGTTTCAAATCCCGGTGTTGAGGTGCAGCGAGCGCAGCAGGAGCGCGGGTTACAGGAGAAAGAAAAAGAGAGAAGGCAAGTCTTGTCGTCCATCGAATCTGTCTGCCCATTGTTGAGACCCTGTACGTGCTGAGTCAAGTCTGGGACGGATGGTACATGCAGGGCGACTTCACACCGCCGGATACATGTACGCGAACGGCAATTGAGTCTGTAGGTACTTCGCCATACAATTTCGTCAGTTACTATCCATTCGCCATGCTGACAACTGACAGATATCCTTGAAAGTAATCGGTACTACGGGTCGCTTGAGTTGATGTCATGGCATGGCAATTTTCGATGAACTTGTATAAAGGTCGGGATGTTCCTTGGGAGCCTACACTAGCGTATTGGCGGCCTGGAGTTACCGATAGCCACTCGAGTGACCAAGAGCACGAGGCGAAGTCGAACGAACTCGATTGCTGCAGGCATCACACGTGTGACTGACGCTGATGATGGTCTTTGTTCGGCTGTGACACGGCGGTCACTACTTTCGCGGCGCAGGTTAACCACTATACAGAACGTATAGTGCGTTCGGATGACACTATTGTAAAGTCGATGCTTTCATTCAATATCACGCTTCCAGCTGACGAGGCCTTGACCCACTTGTTGCTTTCAACCGTAACATTTACTGTCCGATCGTGATAGACGTTGTATGATTTGCAGGTGTGGTCGGCGGTTTTCTCGGTGATGTGCTTGACAGTATCAACCTGCATCCTGCTATTGGTCTGGAGACATCCCCCGGCATCCCAGGTCAAGAGATTCAGCAGAACCCAAGCTGTCAGCTCTCAACGGCAAACATAATCGCTTCCTCAACGGTGCCAATCGGATTCGTCGCCGCCTAGTTTTCCTCTTCGCCTCTTTCTCTTCAATATTTCCAGATTCCGCACTGCCGACCATCCTCACTCGCCTTCAACTTTCAAGTGTGCCACTCATCCGCCACGCTCATCACATGCTCCCTCCTCTTCCCCTTCCAAGCACTCTTCTGCTTCGACCGCGATCCGCCTGTCCTCTTCTTTTCCAGATCTCGATGCACGACTTGCACTTCCCAGTCTTTAGGCCAGGGCCTCGCTGCTAGCTCAGTGACGAAGGCGACGGAGCGATGGTGGCCCAAGGCGCAGTTACATCCCACTCGAAAGACAATACTTCGTGACTCTTCTTCTTCTACGTCTCCAGTATCCCCAGCACCTTCTTCCTCCCCACTCCCCTCTTCAACAACCACATCAATCCCCCCAGATTCCGTCTCCCCATCGTGACTCCTCCTCCTCCCCTCACCTTCCCCTTCCCCCAACCCCTCAACCTTCTCCGCGACCCCCTTCCTAACATCCGCCTCCACCTGCTCCAGCCTCGCCACGAACTTCTCCTCCGAAAGCAGGTGCTCACGCAGCCGCTTCGACCGCCCGTCGCTGACGTCTCGGAGCGCTTTCGGCGGGTTCGGAATGCTGCGTAGGTCGTACTTGAGGTCCGGAGGCGGGTCGAGCGGGGGCTGGCGGCCGTGGGAGTAGAGGATCAGGAGGGGCTTGGGCGGGGGCTGCATTGTTTTCTTTCGCTTTTCCTTCTTCTTCTAAATGTGATTTCGATGTCGTTTGTTCGGATTATTTGGTGAATCTTGGGGGGTCTTTTGTGTGGTGTTTGTGGTAGATGCTTGCTTCTGCGTGTGGGTGAGTCAGGGCTGTGCTGTGGGCGTAGTTGGGTGATCGGAATCGTGTTGTTAGGGCTGGTTCCGACGTTCCGAGCATCAACTTTATCCAGTAAGCAAGTTGCTCCCATCGTTCCAGGAAGCATGTGCACAACGAGCATGAAGAAAGACTAAGGCAGCATTGCGAGATAATATTATTGGATTCGGAGACGGTGCTAGCCTAAAATCTACAGTTGTTAGGCTACGATGGCACCGAAGTCCTTAATGCAAGGGTATGATATAAGGACCCGCCGCGTACAGGACCTAGAGATCTAAACAAACCCGAATCGCCAGAGCCTCCCCAGTCCTGCATAGATATACTTCCAACCCATTATCCGAAGTCCTTGGGCATGTATGTCATAAAATCATAAACTTTGCAAGGAAAACTCGATGTCTTGATATGCCATGAACGCCAGGCGTGTCGACGCAAGCGACGCCTTACTCTGTGAACTCTAGATTCACCGCAGCATTCCGCAGACCGGCTTCTCCAATTGTTTGGTCTAGAGAGTCAAGGAGGTTCTTGCTGAGAAAGACGAGATCGAACTCGGCCCCTTCTTTGCCTTCCCACCCACCGGCCTTGATCCATTCGTACAATCGACGCACAGGATCATCAAGACTAAATTGCTTGACAACTCGCTTGCCGTCTGTGGATTTGAATTGTATACGGGTGATATTGGGTCCTGTAGGCGCCGCATACGGGACCGATGAAGAAATTGAGGCAAATCTTGGGTCTGCGGAAGAAGCATTGGTTTCGGGTTCCTCTTCGGGTGCAGGCTCTTCTTCAACCTTTGCCTTGCCTTTCCCAATACTTGTGGTGCCTTTTGTAAGCGCATCAGGATCGTCATCTTTGGGTCCCTTGCTATTGTCGAGACTAGCTTGTAATGCCATTTCTAGCATTTCCTCTTCTGTCATTCTGTCCACATCAACCTTCTTCTTCTCTGGCTTCCGTGTTGCTACTGGATTCTTGGCGTTGACATTAAGGCTGTAACGATCAAGGAACTCGTGGAGCTGAGCATGGAATTCCACAGGTGGGGGAACGGGGGGCCCGGACCAGATCTTGACTTGCTCGCCAGTGCGAGGATCCACGATAGCGACATGCGGGTACGCGTCTTGGCTGTCGCGGTTCTGGAAGTAATAGTTGACGTACTGTGAACCTCGAGGATCATCTTTGTTGTACTGCATGAAGATGAAGTTCTCCTTAATGGTAGCCTTGATGTCTTCGTTCTTCCATATATCGCGGTTCAAGATCTGGCAGTCAAAAATCGCAGGATCCTGGATGTTGACTATAATCCACTTCTCTTGGTCCTTGCCCTCATCACGCGCTTTATCCCATGATTGCTGGAACATGATTTCGAATGGCGGTCGATACATTTGCGCAAGCATGTTCGATTTTGAAGATGACTCTGATGCACCTCCGGTCGCCGTGGCCAACTCTCGACGTCTAGCATTGGAGTCAGCAGCTTCGTCCCACACAGATGTTCCTGATCGCGAAGTTTGTTGATTGAAAATACCGGGTCGAGCTGTGGGAGGTTAGCATATTGTTTTGCAACGCTATTAATGTATCTCGCTATATTCACCTCGGTTGGCCCTTCTATTGGCAAGCTGCTCCTGCACCATAGCATCCAGGTCAGCTTCGGCGTCGGCCGGTCCCCAATTCGACCCAGGGCCGACCAGTGTCTCCGTCGTACGGGCCATTGGTGCCCGAACCTCCTCGTTTGCAGGTTGACCATACATCTCTTCTTGTAGTCGACGTGCCATAGCCTCATCGTCTTCAAAATTTGTCCGATGTGAACGTGTAGCTGGACCTGCGTCGATGTCGGACATCTCCTCATCCGAATCTATTTGGATGGGATTATTGGCATTCGAAGACCCAGTTGCCGCGGGCTGACTGGGCGCGCCACCCACATCGAGGTTGGGGCTATCGAAGTAAAGTTGGATGGCTTGCTCCAAGTTGTTATCCGCAAGCCGTAAATACTGGGCCGCCTTTTCAGGATCGGCCGACGTTATGGCAACAAAGTTGAGCACGGCTTCTTCTTCCATGATGGTCAATGTATGGGTATGTAGCGAGGTTGGTTTTTATGCGGTCAGGATCGAGAATTCGCTGGTTGTAGTGTCGTCGTCGCTGGAGTGGCGGGGAAGACAAGGCGTGGGGTAGGAGGCTATATCGACATAGAAACCGCGGGGCAAGAACGAGAAAAGCTTGGTGAGGTGGCGCGAAACCAGAAGATAAGGTGGTGAGAGAGGATCAGTGAGTTGGCATTCACTAGAATAAATCTATGGAATGGCTGTATTCTACGCGTAGCGTTGCAGTGAATCTCGGAGGTTGCAAACGAAAAGCCGACCACTGCTACGTTGTCGAGGCTCAAGAGGTAGGTGGAGATAAGTGCCGTGCACGAATGTGGTGAGAAATCCTCAAATGGTGGAGGTAAAGGAGGTTATGGAAGGCAGGCAGATAGGCAGCAGAGGGAGTGCGTGGCTAAGGTTGAAGAGGAAGAGAGAGAGAGAAGGTGGTCGAAGATGATGGCGTTTGTATGTGTGTATAATGAGGGTGTGGTCTGTGGTTTCCTAAGACGGACGAGGTATTACGAGTATTAGGTTATTCTGCCCTGCGTCACCGACCCAGCCCAGCACTGGCAATCGCAGAATACATGGTCTGTGCGCCCCTCTTTTTCCGACACCGACGACGAGGGACAGTAACTGTTGATGGGGAAAGTGACTCCATCGATATCTATCACCCCTATCTTGGCATTTATTGCACACGGAAGTAAGCAATGGGGATACTGCAGACACTGTGTGGCAACGACAACTGAATCGGTAATCACCCACTGAATGATCTAGAAGCTCAGTCGCCAGTCAGTCTAAGGCATCCGGACACTGACTACACACCAACCGGGCACGGTACACGACACATCCGCATGCGCCACGCCATCAGCATCTGCCTATGCAATATCAATTCACCAGCTAGAACCACCATTTTACCCCCGTGAACTCTCCATCCAACTTACTTTGTCTCTTATTGCTTGACGTCTAGCCAACATGGCATCAGAGCTCAGTCCGGAGGAAAGAGAGCTGCAGCTCATTGGGCGACTAGAGTTCAGAATTGCAGCAGCAAGTTCGGATGAAAAGCTCGAAACAATTCTGGACAAGTTTCTGGCTGCCTTGTTATTGAAACTTGGCTCAGAAAACATAGCAGCAAGGAACAAGGTGCGTTTAGTGCTTCATTCGTCGCCGAATGCATCCATCTCCATCCAATATCATGTACGGTCTCCACTGACGACCGCATCATTGTTTAGGTTATATCTATATGCCAACACATAAACAAACGCATCATGCCACCACAGTATGCTTAACCATATGTTCTTCAATTTGGCAGATTCGTCTAATCTACACCTCAGAGAAATCAAACTTCCAGTCAAAAAGCTACTAACGCAGTACAAAGAAAATGCCGATGTTGCTTTGATACGCCACTTTGATATCATGTACATCCAGCAGGGTATCATACGGGTACCTGTTTCTGAAAGACTTGATTTGCTGCCCATATTAGTGAACGGCATCGCTAAGGACTATGCAAAGTCTGCACAGCATGCTTCACAACTCTTTCATCTGACATTGCGACTCCTCACCCATTTCAAGCTTCCTCTGAGAGGTAGCAAGGAGGATGGCGAACTACGGGAAAAACTACAAATGAATGATGAAGATGCTAAATTTCTTTCGCATTGGTTTGGCAAGTTACTGTTGTTAGCTGTAGTCCGTCAAAATAATGCAGATGGTCCAGCTCCTAGGTGCCCAGGGCTTTCTGTTGATGAGTACAAATTCCTCACACAGTTTGGAAAACCAGATGCATGGGATCCTGCTGCACAAGCCGGTTTGAACTTGACCGAGACTAAAGCCCTAGTAGCAAGATGTCTCGCCAGTGGCATGTTCACTGATAATGAGAAATTACTGCCAGCATTGTATGCATCTGCCGACACAAACTCAAGGATCTTTGAGATAGGAGATGATGTCCTTAAGCGCGTCATGCAGGCGACCGATCTTGAAGATCAAAATCTAATAGAGGGATTGCTTGACCTCTACTTCGGCTCGTAAGATCGCACTACCCACATGAGTACTGTTTTGCCAACTGACGGTCATCTAGGAGCTCCTCCGAAGGCGCCCTGCCGGCGAAAACGCCGCTTCGAATCAAGATATTGGGTCTCTTTTCAAGATCCGTCCGTGTTACAGCTTATCCACAACAAGTGTCAAAAATCGTGGAAGAGGGTCTGCTCTCGGCCGACCTTGGTACCAATGCTCAAAGCACGGCAGGACGAGAAGCGTCTAGATTCCGCTCAGCTATATTTGCTCTCGTCAATTTCGTGGCTCGCCGTGGCTCAAAGTCAGATTTACAGTCAATTGCTCAAGGCCTGGTAGGAAATCTACGCGCCTTTATTGAAGATCAAGGCTGGCCGGCCCCCGATCGAGATTCGGATTCTGAGCTTCGCAGGTATGGATACGAGACCATCGGACTATTAGCAAAGGCCTCCTCAGAAACAATCCTTCTCGAACCATCACTAGACTTATTGTCATGGCTGTTCCGATCTTTGAAAGAAGATTCTTCTGGTCGTGACGTAGCTGTGAGTATCGAGGAGGCACTTTCTTCAGTCCTTGGTGGATTTGCAGGCCCGCTTGATCCAGAAGTCGAGAATCGATTGAGACAAACGCTTCTGAAATACTCCACGGCGGACTCATCCAAGGAAGTTGCCAATGCCGACAAGTTTTCTAGAAATACACGCTACGTCGCGACAAGGTTCGCCAATGGATGCCTCCCGTATGTTGATGTCTTAGCCAGATGGATCAACATCGTTGCGATTAGTGGTGGCAGCACTGAAAGACACGAGGTGATAGAGGAGGGTAAAAAGGGACTGGATCCATATCTCTTCTCCATGTCGAGATCATTCGGCTCTGGAGAAAACGAAAAGTCGATGGCATTTCCCAACTTCGACGAATTAGTAGACTACATCTTTAGTCGGCGACCAGAAAGCGAAGATGGTGTCGACATGGACATACAGGATGCTCCCGTAGCCCAAGTCAGGGCTTTCCAGAACCATTTTGCTCATACACTACCTGCAGTCATAAATTACTGCACACAGGTTGCTATCCATACGGCGCTGAATGAAAAGAGCATCCAGAGTGAATTGTCTCAAGATTGGGGAAGGAAATTAGAGACTCTACTCACTACGGATCAACGCTCTCGTCAAGCTTTCCGGGCCTTTGCGGCTGAAGACGCTCATAGTCGCTCATTCGCACTACTACTGAGGGCTTGCTTCGAACAGATTACGCAAAATGAGCTCAATGATATTGGCGATCTCGGCGACACATTTGTCAGCCTTTGCGCTCTGTGTCCGGAAGCTGTCTGGAAGGAGGCCAGATTACTGCATGACTTCCAAGCACTGTTGCCCTCAATACTCTCGAACAACGCTCCTCGCCGGTCAGGCGCGACCCATGCTTATGGTTTGCTCGCATCACATACGGACAGTGACGTGAAGACTGTGGAGAAAATAAATGGCCAACTCATTGAAAGGTTGAAAGACTGGCAGTCAGCTGTCGGTGGAGAAATCAATCAAATTAGCGGCGCCATTGTGGCCCTCAGCTATTTCTTCAGCCGAAAACACTGGAGAGATCCTGAATCAGATGGACTTCAACATATCGGAACATTGCTACAGGTAATTGTGGACATCCTTAAAACGTCTAGTGACGCCACTCTGAAGGCCGCGGTCTTTTCTTGCCTTGACCAGCTGAGTCTTTTCCAAATCATCACGGCCTCCAAACTGGCCGATTACGCCAAATTCCGGGATGTTGTAGAGAAGGTCTTCGATTCAGCCAAGTCTGGTATTACAAGTGCCGTGCTCGCCCTTGGCCACTTGTCGATGACCACAGAGGAAGGCGATATCGACCAAGGAAACGAAACAGATTATGCATACTTAGCAGAGAAATTCTATGAATTGCACGAAGTCCGTCAACCCGAGGTGCAATTCTCCGTGGGCGAAGCTTTGAGCTGCTTTGCCATTGGGTGGGACACCAAAGCTTTGGCTGCGGAACTCGATGTTGAGCATCCGGAACAGACACACCACCCTTGGGATGCTGAAGTCAGAACGCCCCAGGGCCCGATACGAGAGAAGACGTTGTCTACTGTTCTAGAGAAGACACTCAAGGGCTGTCGCCAGACCAAGCCTTCTCTGAAAAAGGCTTCGGTCATCTGGTTGCTGTGCTTGCTTCAATATTGTGGACACAAGCCGGAAATCCAAGGTTACTTGCCCCAGTGTCAAACTGCCTTCAAAATCTGTCTTACCGATCGAGATGAGGTCGTGCAGGAGGCGGCATCTCGAGGTCTTGGGATTGTGTATGAGAAAGGAGACCGCCAACTCAAAGATGATCTTGTACGTGATCTCGTAGGCTCCTTCTCTGACAACAAGGCCAGTATCTCTGGCACAGTGTCCGAAGACACTCAACTGTTTGAGCCAGGTGCCCTACCTACAGGAGATGGCTCTATAACGACCTACAAAGATATCCTCAATCTCGCTTCCGAGGTGGGAGACTCTAGTCTCGTATATCGCTTCATGTCTCTGGCTTCAAATAATTCCATCTGGTCAAGCCGCGCAGCCTTTGGCCGCTTTGGGCTCAGCAATATCTTCTCTGATTCAAGTGTTGATGGCTATCTTGCCGAAAACCCAAAGCTATATCCCAAACTGTACCGATACAGGTGAGTCAATAATCTAACATGCTAGGTGCAATGCTAACAGAGTGTAGGTTTGACCCGAACACAAATGTTCAGCGATCTATGAATGATATCTGGAATGCTCTGGTCAAAGATTCTTCGGCTACTATCGACAAGCATTTCGATGCAATTATGAATGACCTCCTGACTAGTATTTTGAACAAAGAGTGGCGAGTCCGTCAAGCTTCATGTGCAGCTATTTCAGATCTTGTACAAGGTCGTAGGCTGGAGAAGGTAAGCGATCATGATTCTTCTTCAGATATGTATGGGAGCTAAACCTCGCAGTATGAGAAATTTCTGGACCAAGTCTGGGATAAATGCTTTAAAGTTCTCGACGACATTAAAGAATCCGTTAGAGCTGCGGCCGCATCCCTAGCCCGAGTTCTTACCGCCCTTCTTACTCGGTCGTTGGAGGCTGGCGACTCGTCGACGAAGACTGCAAGCGCCATGCTTTCCCGCGTACTTCCCTTCCTCCTCTCATCATCCGGTCTCGAATCTAGTGCAGAAGACGTGCGCACATTCGCGGTCGTAACTCTTCTTCAGATCGTAAAGAAGAGTAGTGCAAAAACACTCAATCCTCACTCACCAGAACTGGTCGAGCGCTTGCTCGGCTTGCTCAGTTCATTGGAACCAGAAGCTATCAATTATATCCATCTAAATGCTTCCAAATACAACCTCACTGAGCAAAAGCTTGACGACATGCGTCTTCAAAGCGTTAGGGCATCTCCACTTACAGAATCGATCGAGCGCTGCCTTGACCTGGCAGATGCAGACACGATGAAGACAATTGTACCGCGGGTTGAATCTGCCATGAAGAGCGCCGTTGGATTACCCTCTAAGGTCGGATGCTCAAGAATTCTCGTCACCTTGAGCACACGACACAATTTCCTATTCAAGCCATACGCAGACGGCTTCATGAAGTTGATACAAAAGTATGTCTACGACCGTAACGAGACAGTCTCTTCTTCATACGCCGCCGCGGCGGGATACGTTGCTCGACTCGCTTCTGACAAGCAACTTCTCTCTTCCATCTCTTTCTGTCACAAGCTTTACTTTGAGTCGGACGATGAGAAGAGCAGACTTGCTGCGGGTGACATCATCTTATCCATCTCCAAGAACGCTACAGATCGCTTCAACTCTCTAGCCTCTGAGCTGCTCCCTTTTATATTTCTCGCAAAACACGATAGCCATTCCGTCGTCAAGCAATTGTTTAGTGACACATGGTCCGACAACGTCGCAGGTAGCAGATCAGTACTGTTGTACCTGAAGGAGATCATGGCACTCGCCGACAAGCATCTCGAAAGTCAAAAATGGGTGCTCAAGCACACATCCGCAAAGACCGTCGCGGATGCAATCATGTCGATCACGAGTGGAACCGAGGACATGGACAAAGCCAACGCCACCATCGTATGGCCCTCGCTCGACAAAGCGATCGGAGGAAAGACCTGGGAAGGAAAAGAAATCGTCCTGGAAGCTTTCGTCAGGTTCACCGAGCGCGGCAAGAGTCTGTGGACCGCAGACGCCAAAGTTGCGAAACAGATCGAGAAGGTCGCGATCAGAGAGGCGAAGAGGCAGAACAAGGCCTATCGCCCATTCGCCCTTGAGGCCCTAGGCAAGACTTGCAGAGCTAGGGACGATCTCGAATTATCCCAAGCAGTAACAGAGATCGTAGAAAGCGTCCTCGACGAGTATCAAGATGGAGACGAGGACGGTGATAAAATGGATGTGGACGGGGGAGAAGTCTTGAAGGACGTGGCACTGCAAGAAAAGACCATCTCCGCTTGCATCTCCGCCTTATCGGACGCTCCCAACCCGAACAAGCTCTCGCCTACAGAGTTAGCAGACCGACTAACGACCATCCTTCCGCTCATCGCCAAAGCCAATTCGACACGCGCGAAGGACATCCACCTCAAGACCTTCACGTCCTTGCTCTCGCTGTTCGAACGAGTACCCGCTGATCTGCCGTTGTCAGACGCGAAGGCGAAGGAGGCGCTTGAGAAAGTGCTTTTCGACCCTACGTTCGAGGGACTGCCAGAGGCTATGAGATTGAAGAGGGCTGAGGCGCTGGTTGCCATTGCTAAAGTGAAGCAATGTGCGTGGGTTGTTGAGAAATTGAAGCCGGAGGTGGGTGGCGGTGAGAGGAGTGCAGCTGTAAGGAATGTTCTCGCAAAGGCTGGGTGAGTAGACGTAGATTAGCAGGCAGTATCACGCGGCAAACGCCGTCCTAGAGAGGTTACAAATATAGTAGCGGTAGTATCCAAGTTTATAAATGCATTAGACATTCTAGAAGAATATGCCCGACGAAGCACTTTGATGGTAACGAAACCAAATGTATTATTGCAGCAAGGGTATTCCAGAACTTTTCTATCTACGTAACTGAGATGTTGATAATTTTGATATCCTCCTCCGGCTTCTCTTTGTAAACCTTTGTGTTTTCGATCTTATGCACTACGTCAAGACCCTGAATGGCGCGGCCAAATATGGTATGTTTGTTGTCAAGCCATGGCTATTACGCGCTGTTAGTCACGATACTATCATATGGATGCGAAATATAGGAACTTACCGTCTTCTCTGTAGTAATGAAGAACTGACTCCCGTTACTGTTAGGTCCGGCGTTAGCCATGCTTACAGTGTACGGCTTATCGTGCTTGAGAGTCGAGAATTCGTCCTCGAATTCTTTGCCCCAGATGCTTTCGCCGCCGGTGCCATCACCCATGGGATCTCCGGTTTGGATCATGAACTTGCGAATGATGCGGTGGAAGATGATGTCGTTGTAGTACCCGTTCTTTGCGTGAGTGACAAAGTTTTCGACGGCTTTGGGTGCCGCTTCGGGGAACAAGCGGATGGTGATGTCTCCGTAGGTTGTGTGGATGGTGGCAGATGTACCCGTGGCGGCCTGCTTCGCTTCTTCCTTTTGTTTGCTGGCAATGTTGCGGGGCTTCTCGTTTTGTACGTCACGTTCCGACTTGGTCACACTGTCGATGTTAGCAAAAACACACCATGAGGGTGGTTCTGAAGATGCGTACCTATTGTCATTGGTAAACATGTAGAATCGCACTTTGCCTGAGCCAGTGCAGGAAAGCATAGCGTCACGGGCTTCTGCTTCCTGGAGCAAAGGATTCTCACTGGCTGCCATTTCCACCGTGACGACGCCCTTCTTCTCTGGCTGACCCTGGTAGAGTGCTAGATGAAGGGGTCTGAAAGGTTCCTCCTGGCCGTATACCTTGACCACCCGGTTAGTCAGCGTATTCAATACTTTAACGCCGTACATGGAACCATAGAGAATAAAGTTGCCCGTCTCGTCGAAGATGACATTCATGCGTGGGCGGATCAGTGGATTGTCGAGGTCTTGTTCCACACCCAGTCTACGACCGAATTCAATGTCTTCGAGTTTGGTAAGGGCTGTACCAGCTTGTTGCATTTGCGTTATCGTTTCGATTGATTCGTCATAAGTTCGATATAACTTTCCAGAAGCAAAATCGAAGACTCGAATTTTGCGGTCAGGGAAGGAGAATGTCGAAAATTGTTTGCCAGTTGGTGATATTGTAAGGGATGAAGGTACGCATTTGGACTAGAGAATGTTAGAGCACGAACAAAACGCCGATTTAGCCAACGCACCTTCTTGAACTCAAACAGATTGGTGGAGCTCTTCATTGAGAATACACTTTCGGGTTTCTCATACGTTCCATTTGGTTGCCAGTACTCTACCATGCCACCCTGATCAATTGACACAACACAATCGTATTCGTTGTTGTAAGCCATCAGGGAGACCGGTGTCCTGTGAACGCTCTTGAGAACATGTATCGGTTCCTGCCTCTCGCCCCTTCCGTCGTAAATTCTGATCCATGAATTCTCCTCCGAAGAAACCGCAAGTAATGGGAGGGAAGCACCACGGCCATGAACCCAACACAATGCTTTCGGTACGTAATCGAGTTCGACCATGGCGAGAAGATCGAAAGTAACAACATCGAATATCTTGACTGTCTTGTCCACACCAGCCGTCGCAAAGCTGCGTCCATCCACGCTCACACTCACGGATCGAATCTCTCCCTCGTGTGCGCGGAACTCTTTTACAAACTCGATACCACCGAAGTCCTTCTTCCAGAACTTGACGACTCCATCGATGGAGCTTGTTATGAGAAAATCGGTAAAGGGGGTAAATGTGGTAAAGCATAGTTGGTCTCGGTGCATCAGCGATTTAAAATAGCGGTTTGCAGTTGGTAGGGCAGCGATGTACAGCCTCTCGTACGGCAGCTTCCTCTTCTTCTTCTTGGGTGCAGCGGAGGGAAGCGCAGGTCCAAAGTCATCATCGGACGATGTATCATCTGCTTCGTGTGAGTAGAGCGTGCACAATGCGTTCAGTAAGAGGGCATTACCATCGTCGGCTGCGGTGAGCCCAGGTTTTGCGCCGGGAGTCGCACCGCGCTCTTCTTCTTCCAATTCAGATCGAGATCTCTTGCCTAGTCGCGGCGACTTTATACCGTCGGAATCCATGTTGTTGCAGGGTAAAGATCCGTGGAGGAGTTGGTGTGGTTTGTGATGGTTGTGGAAAGAAGAATGCGGTGCACGAACATCGAAGCCACACCTGTGGCGTTTTCAGGCAATCGCGCTCTCACGTGGTCTTGTGGTGATCCTAGATCAAGCTTTCACAAGAATTTGACCAGAATCATATATTATACAATTATCGCAGTTTACAATTTTTTTTTAGATGAATATACAGTGCAGGCTAGACCTTCACAGAATGCTAGGTGTGAATTGGTATCATGTTGTTGTCTATCATCCTCAGACAAAATAGTCAAATATCCTATTTATTCAGCATCTTCCTCTTCCGATCCCTCAGAGACTCCATTCAGTTGAATCTTCTTGGGGATCTCAAATATTGCAATGCCATCCTTTGCGCCACTGTTATGCATCCAACGTCCCATTCTCGGTTCTCTCCCAACAGCCGCTACGACACAGAGGCCGTCCTTCCCCCTGTCGCCTCGTTCTGCCACAGCTAGACCTGTAATAATGCCACGGGCAAAGCTGTCCGATGCGATTTCATCTCCCCTAATTCCGTTGCCAAGATCGTTTTCCTCATGACTGGGGATGCGGCCAATTGTTCCTAGAGGCTCGATGGAACGCTTATCAGATCCAATGCGCCATGCTCGTATCCAGCCATCCCAGCTCCCGGTGACAATAAGATCGGCGTATGGGACGGTCGCGATTGATGTGATATATCTTGCCAGTCGAGGACCTTTTTGGCCGTTGGTTGCAGCGTCGACATCTGCCGACATATGTTCGGCCGGTATCCGCGGATCGCGACCGTGGGCGAGTGGCAGCGTAAAGAGAGCCTTCTTCCTCTGCACCGACCATAATGATAAGCTTCCGTTGTCTGATCCTGTAACAAATAGCTGGCCATCAAGGAGAGCGACGCAATCAATGGACCCCTCTGTGTATGCAATAGGTGCATCATCGTCCTCTTCAGGTGCACCTCCAGCCTTCTCAGCATCCTCTTCGTCATCCACTTTGGCCCCAAAACGTCCCTTGCGTAGTTTTTCCATACCCTTGTGACGAGCACTACCGCCGCCACCTCTGAAGACTAATTGATTTTCCTCTACTACTTTCCACAACCTTGCTGTGCGGTCCCGGCCGCCCACACTAACACATGTCTCCTGATTGGTTTCCAAGCCACCCGCGATATCTATCACAGTGTCTTGATGTCCAAACAGTGTCTCGATGTATGCTAGTTCTGACAAACTCCAGATCTTGATGGTGCGATCAGCTGACGCAGAGAACAATTGTTCTGTACCTCTTCGGAATGAGAGAGACGTCACAGCGGCGCGGTGTTGTGTAAAAACTTTGCGGAGGGTCAAAGTCTCAGCATCCCAGATGATAAGACGGGCAGTCTCATCACCTGTTGCCAGAAACTTCCCGGAGTCCGACACTGCAATGGAGATGATTCTCCCCGTATGTCCTTGGAAGCCATGCTCCTTTACTTTGTTCTTGTTTCCCTTCTTCCAAATGACCCGTTTTGGTGCCTTGCGGGGGGTAAAATTTGTCGATGATTGAGTGGCGTCGGGGCTGTAGGTCTTTGGATCCGCAATCTCCCATTTTGCAACAACCATATCTTTGCTTATTGTCCAAGCGTACGGTAAGTGAACAGCACAGCCGGTGATGTTACGATCGCGTCCGAGTTTTCCAAACGTATGAGATGCACCTTGAACGTCCAATTCTGCAGCGATGCTCCTGTATATCTTGCCCTTTGATTCTGCGACATCCTCAATCAACCTCTCTGCTATGAGATCACGGTCGATGTCTGCAGCGTCGAATCCTATCGTGTCTTCTGTAACTTCGTTCTTGATATTGTCGAGGTACCGCTCAGCGAGACGTAGTCGTTTCTCTGCCGCTGTTTCTTCCTCGTCGCCCGAAGATCCCGACTCGTCCGGTTCCTCTGCAAAGTTTGTCCCATCTTCATCATCTGAGCTCCCACTGCCACTTATTGAATCTTCGCGATCTGTCCGCCGAGGTGCCTTCCTCGATTGATTTGTGGTGGCTTCAGTGTTGCGCTTTTTCGACGTAACTCCGGAGTTTTCAGTCCTCTTTCGTTTCCGCTGCGAAGCGGGAACTGTGAAAAAGGAGGACATGGTCGTTAATGCGAGTCGCAAAGTTTCCTTCACAGCTTGTAGAAGGCCTAGAAAAAAATGTCGGCATAAACTTTTCAGACACCGACCGCGGGCACACATTAATCCGGTGTGGATCGTGCTGTGCCAAGCCTAATCATCACTCCGAGCTCGACGCCCGCCAGGTGGACGAGAAGCTTCCCCATCACCTTCTATCATCGTCTCTGCCAGTAACGCTACCTTCTAACTGTTTTTGAGCTTTCCGTAGCTCTGAACTTTTCATACCTTCGAAAACTGCCTCCGAACAGCCAAGAACCTACTGTTTACCTACCTCCGCCGCTGCGCTTGCCTGCGGCATACAGCATCACTTTCCGACGAAACCCACGAGAACATCAACAATGAGCGGCAGCAGTGACCCAGAGCGGGAGCATGCGCTCGAGGAGTACAAGAATAAGCTTCTGGATTCAAGAGAGTGGGAAGCCAAACTCAAGGCGTTGCGGTTAGAAATCAAAGGTCTCCAGCATGACTTTGACGTGTCGGAAGACAACATCAAAGCCTTACAGAGCGTTGGGCAGATAATAGGCGAAGTGCTGAAGCAGCTGGATGAGGAGCGGTGTACGTATAATACAGGGCCAGTGACAATGATATCTCGCTAATGTGTCCTAGTCATCGTCAAGGCATCCTCGGGGCCAAGATACGTCGTTGGTTGTCGATCGAAAGTCGATAAGTTGAAGCTGAAGCAGGGCACTCGAGTTGCGCTGGATATGACCACCCTCACGATAATGCGAATGTTGCCCCGCGAAGTCGATCCCCTCGTCTACAACATGTCACTCGAAGACCCCGGGCAGGTCAGCTTTGGTGGCATCGGTGGTCTTAACGACCAGATTCGAGAGCTACGAGAAGTCATTGAGCTTCCGTTGAAGAATCCTGAGCTTTTCCTACGAGTAGGCATCAAGCCACCGAAGGGTGTTCTACTATATGGCCCACCAGGAACAGGAAAGACTCTATTGGCCCGAGCGGTGGCGAGCAGTCTTGAGACCAACTTCCTGAAGGTTGTCTCTTCGGCTATCGTCGACAAGTACATTGGAGAGTCAGCGCGTCTTATCCGAGAGATGTTTGGCTATGCCAAGGAGCACGAGCCCTGTATTATCTTCATGGATGAAATCGATGCTATTGGTGGACGAAGGTTTTCAGAGGGCACATCGGCCGATCGTGAAATCCAGCGTACATTGATGGAGCTGCTCAACCAACTGGACGGATTCGATTACCTGGGACAGACGAAGATCATCATGGCTACGAATCGACCGGATACACTTGATCCTGCCTTGCTGCGAGCTGGTCGTTTGGACCGAAAGATTGAGATTCCTCTACCTAACGAGGTTGGCCGATTGGAAATTCTCAAGATTCACGCTAGTGGCGTACAAACGGACGGAGAAATTGACTTTGAAAGCATTGTCAAGATGAGCGATCAGTTCAACGGAGCCGATCTGAGAAATATTGTGACCGAGGCGTAAGTTTAACCACTGGTTGTATACAAATTGGCTTATACTAATTTGATATAGTGGTCTTTTCGCAATCAAGGACTACAGGGACTCGATCAACCAAGATGACTTCAGTAAGGCAGTACGTAAGATGGCCGAGTCGAAGAAACTGGAAGGCAAACTGGAATACCAGAAGCTATAGATGACGGTGGTTGTACGTGACACTCACGGTTTGCGCTGTGTGAGAGTGATGGTTCTGTTCAAATGAAGATGGCTGCGTCCGTCGAAAATGGCGCGGCGAGCAGATCATAAACGATATCTTCTCTTGAGTTCAGTTGAGGCTCGAGAGATTTGATATGCGTCACGATAGAAATCAACAATGTACTTTATTACGGCATTATGGTAGCAGAAGGATTGCTCACCCCAACCTCAAAGTATCATTAATAATTCAGAACACGTGGAACCGTCTCCAACCTTTCCTCAACTGCTGTCTTTGACCCGCTTGAAATCGGCCACCTTAACTCTAACTCTCCAAAATAGTTCGGCTCTTCGCGAATTTTTGAAAAGCCTACGCTTTCGAATAGCCGAATGCTTCGAGTATTGCTGGCATCAATCTTGACTCGTAGATAGGCAAGGTTGCTCGTCTTGCCGGAGACACCATGCCGTGCTTGCCATTCTTGTCTGATTTCGTCCATAGATGAAAGCATGTACCACATGAACGTGTTCAGAATCGTCTTGCCAAGGCCTTTTCCCTGTAGATCATTCCTCGCTATCATGATTTCCACCTCTCCTACGACGTTCTGGAAGGTTGGGCTACTATCATCTTGCTCATCGTCTTCATTCAGGAACAAATTAATGTCACCCATCATGTTCCCAGGACTATCCTGATTGCCTCTTTGTAGTTGGAAATCTGAGGCTTCAGACTCTTCCGTTGCGGGAGCCGTGCAAACAATGAAGGTCAATTTATCGGCATCCTCACGCCACGACTTCTGCATTGCATACTCTTCATGTAGAGTCAAAGGCTCCGAAGCGGTAGCCTTTTGCAACTCCTACAGCATTGTTAGTTACATCAATCCTAGTGCAGCTACTCCAATCTAATTCCGCCGTTGATTACCTCATCTTGCATCCATTCGTGGTAGGCGGGCACATGGTGTTCTGAATAAGGTACCAGAAGAATTTGGTTCGAATTGAGAACGGCTACAGAAGCAATAAGCATTCAAGTCAACTAACATTAAGATTGACCTCACCGGTATGCTCGTTTAGTCTCATGTTGTCCGCGAGGTTGACCAAAGAGTTCTTGGGTGCTTTGACATCCGGAAAAGGTTGTGTGGTTGTCCACCTAAACTTTGCCCTGGGCCAGCCCCACTATTGCTTGTGATTGGTCCAACGAAGGTTGATACACCTGCGGACCAGAACCGTCGCTGTGGTACTGACGCATTGACATTCGAAGTGAGTTATCATGGCGACCGATGGGCCAGGCATACATAAAACTTACTTGAGTTGATAATTTTCCATGTCTACGCACGTAGCCAATTCCAAAACTGCTTCCCCTAGGACCGGCTGTTCTCCTTTTGCACGTGCTGGCAATCCTTCCATTAATTACGACTCCCAAGGCGACTTTTCCATCACTACATAGCTTGCGAACTGCTTTATGCGATAGACAATCTAGGAAATTTGGTTCCTCATCACATACACTGCACTCAGATGTTACAACCGCCATCCTCGGCCCTATTCTTCCGGTAGTCCTTTCACCTTCATTACGGCAGTTCTCTACGCCGTGAGCTTCAAGACACGGCTACCTTCCCCAGCAAACCAACTCATCTAGAATCTATACCACGCCTATTTCCAAACATGAGCCTCACCAAGGTCCTGGTGACAGGCGGGACAGGATTCCTCGGTTCAGAGATCGTGAAAGCATTGCTAGAGGAGAAGACTTTCGAGGTTACCGTCGTCGACATCAACCCTCCCTCCCTCGGAACCGGAAGCTTCTCTACCGTGCGCTATGTCCGCGCCAATATAATGTCTCCCTCAGACCTCCATGAAGTGTTCCAAGAAGCGAAGCCCGCTTTCGTGATCCATACGGTCGGCGTGTACCCCCTAGGGCCTAAGAGGTATAAACGAGAAGGCTCGGATCCAGTTTTTGCCATCAATGTAGAGGGAACGCGGAACATCGTCGAGGCCAGTAAAGAGTGTGGGGCTAGAGGGTTGGTTTTCACGAGTAGCGTGACGGTGCTGTTCGATGAGATGGGGATGGACTTCAGGAACGCGGATGAGACGTGGCCGACTGGGAGACTACAGACCGCGTACGGCGAGAGCAAAGTAAGTCGAGTTTTCTTTACATGCCCATGTTTTTGTTTCAAGCATAGAGGTCTCCAAGTCTTACGCTTGCTGTGGATGTGGGCATACCTAATAATTACTTGTGGGCGGTATATTAGTTTTTCGACCATAGGTGTGCTCGTGTGTTGGAAAGGCACTATTGCATCTTCACCCATGCGTTCAATATTACATTCGACATAGATCCGCTAACATTGAATAGGCCGAAGCAGAGAAGCTAGTCCTATCAGCAAACACATCGGACTTCAAAACCTGTGCTCTCCGCGCCGCCCCTATCCTTGGACCCAACGACGTAGCAACAACCGCGGCTCTCTACAGATGCATCAACAGAGGCGAAACCCCATTCATCATCGGAGACGGCACGAACTTATTCGACTTCGTGTACGTTTCCAACGTCGCCGATGCCCATGTGCTGGCCGTCCAGAATCTCTTCATGTCGGGCGCTGCGGCTGGTGAGGCTTTCTTCATCACGAATGGCGAGCCTGTCGTTTTCAGGGACTTCTGTCTTGCGGTGTGGAAGGAGTTCGATCATTATCCGCCTTTCCAGATTACGATCCCCACGAGACTGGGGTGGTGGTTGGGATGGGGTGTGGAGTGGGCGTCGTGGCTCACTGGCAGGGAGGGAACGTTCTGTAGGGGTGCGATACTCGACGCTACGGATACCCGTTATGTGAGCATCTCGAAGGCAAGAAGGATCCTTAGGTATGAGCCGAAGGTGAAGCTCTCTGAAGCGGTGAGGATCAGCTGTCAGGTAAGTTTCTTTCCAGAATACAGGGGAAGATATACTGAAGAAAGTAGCATTTCAAGGAACAGCTCAAGGCCCAGGCCAAGAGATAGGTTTGGTCGCCGGGTTCTCCTATCATGTTACAATATGTGCGGTCGATGTTTGTGTGTGTGCTTGAAGAGGCAACTGCCTATAAAACACCACGCGAACAGGTGTCGAAAATTCGTGTCCCAACTCCTGTGCGAGTCATAATATGCCTATGTATACCCCATTCCAGAACAAGAGCATCGGGCTCCGTCATGGCCTCTTCCAGTTCGTCACTGGATCTTTATCCTTACTAGAAAGTGGCTAAACGATCCCTTTTGAAAAGTTAAGGCAATAGAGGTAGCAATTTCCTTAAACGTGTTATACTTGAATCACGGATTGTAGGTGTTGTCCCGCTCATGAGTGAAATTTCTAAGTGAGCGTGTATATGACACTAATTCGTCGTCTTTCTTTATGCATTATTCATACAGTAGTTACATGATGTACATCCAATTTTCTTTCTTCTGTCTTTCCGTCTTCCATTCCATGTATTATCTATAACAGAAATCACAGAATCTTCTCCGCTTCCTCCAACAGACGCTCGACCTTGAAGCCCCCATCACCACGGGTGAACATGTCAAGTAGCTCCCCTCTGTTCCGGCCCTCCTCGTTCACGACGTAGAACTTTTGCATGCACATGATCAACCAGCGGGCCTCGTCAACCGTGACGCCTCTGCCCTCGACGACGAGTCCCTGGCCCAGGACGAGCTGGTGGCTGTTCGCCAGCTCGGAGTGGAATGTGATGGTGGTGTGCGGGCTCGCGAACTCGCCCCTCAGTTTGAACTCGGCGAGGGAGGTGAAGAGGAGTGTTGTGGTGTCTTTGTGGGGGTGTGTGAATTGGAGGTAGTGAAGTTCGGCGGCTTGGCTCGTTGCGCCTTGGTCGGCAGCGGCAGCATCATCGGTTGGGACCTGACGGGGCAGTGGGAGGACGAAGGAGGGGTGCTTCTTCGCGGTTGTCAAGAGGGTTTGGAAGGTGGATGCTGGCAGATCGAAATGTATCGATTGTTCGTTGTTGGCGTGGCGGAGACGCCAGAGGGCTTGGATCTCTTTCTCCGGCAGAGTTGAGACTTTGTCGATGTCGAGAAACGAGTTGAGGGTCTTGACGCCTGGAGGAGGGGCCGGAGCGGCAGAGTCGGACTGTGGTTTCGGGGGCGGTGGTGGTGACGGCCAGGGCGATGAAGCACTGGAGGGCGAGGGTGGTGATGATGACGTTGATGATGGAGACGGCGGAGGCGTCAAAGGTGCAGTTGCGCCTGGAACTGCAGCCTGTTTGCGCAGATCACTGATCTTGTCTTTGTAGGCATCCTTGAGCTCTGAAACGTCCTTCAATCCCGCCTCTTTCGCTTTGGACTCAAGCTTCTCTTTGTACTTTGCGAGGATGCGATCCTCCGAGTGATGGGTTGCGAGGAATCGGACATCTTGAACCTGTGCCCATCGTCGCTGGTAGACGAGGGATTGTGTGCGCGATGGCTGGCGGAGGGCGTGGCGTAGCGTCGTCAGTCGTAATGCGGACGCCATGGCTATTGTATGATGTTTTTATGTATCTAGGAATTGACGACCTTTGGTGAGGTCGGAAAGGCTCTTCGACTAAACCATTTTAGGACGGGTTGCATGTGAGATCCGAGGGATCGCCAAGTTCGGACCGTTTTTTATATTTGTCGCAAATCACGAACATGGTGAGGTGTCCTAGACCTTTCAAATAATTCCTGTCAGCCAGCGGGAACCGAGGAGGCGCCTCGTGCAATGATTCATCATTTGCACAGCTGGTGCGGCTTGCACTACCGCGAGAGCACGGAGTACTCGTACGCATAGTTGGATGACCCTGTGCTTGGTACCTGGCATCATCTAGCGGGGGCCACTTACCCATGGGCGGCGTTTAGCTGCAACGGAGATTCACAGGGAGCACAAGGCGAAGCCCTACTAGGCTTCACGAGCTTCACGACGCGCGCCATGCCTCAGAACGGTCAATGATGATATCGCTTCGCCGAGGCCGGGCTTTAGTCTTGAACACATTTGCCCAAAGCGAGGTGCTCAATATTTTGACAGACAAGAATAGCAACAGAACAGGTCACGATGGTCTTTGGTCCAAAACTTCTGCCTGCGCAGCGCAGGTGACAGAGAAGGATAGAGATAGGTGGTGTGTAGTCGAATTAACGGTCAACCTGCATTACTGGAACATGACGGCTTTAACACGATAGTGTATTGTCTCTCCTCGCCATCTGTCGCTTGTCACTTGCACCGGCAGCACCAGGACGTAGGTACTTAGAGGTAACAACCGTAGAATGCTGAATTGTGGATGGACTCATTGAAGGAAAGGAAGAGAAACCACACTAGATTCAGACCAGTTGGACTGGGTGAACTAGGGTCCCTCGAGAAACGGCTTTGTCTCGCAATTGTGTCGCACCTTGGGCGGTGGCTGATGACCCTGGTTCGACGTTTCTGTCGCGTTATCGTAGTAGGAACTCGTAACCAGGTGGGTAATTAGGTGTTAGTTTCTCGAGGGCGCATACCGATGCAATACGCAATAATGGAACAAGCATGAGCACGAGCACAAGCACAAGCATACAGATAGTTGCGTAGGAAGGCTACCTACCCAGTCCGCGCGTGCACAGGCCTGAAGGCCTTGCTCGACTTACGAGGTTACGAGTAATTTATCATTCGTTGATTTCATTCACTACTGCAGCGTCTGTACTGAGTAGCTATTACAGGACGCATGACGAACACAAGAGAGGGAGGACGAGCAAAGAGCATATCTCATGCATATGTGAATACGTACGTGCTGCGGAGTTGGAGGAAGAGAGGGTGTGTTGTATTTGTGTGTTTGCCTGTGTGTGTGATCGACAGATAAGTGCGATATGGTCGGGAGCAATAACAATAAGTCAATAATGCCTTGAAGAGTAGAACAGACTCAAAGAGTAGACTCAGTAAAGTAGAGTATTGGTAACTACCTAGAGGTACTACAACTAGTTGAGATGCTTAGTGAGTAGTAGTAGGAGGAGTAGTTATGTAGGGATAATACTACAGTTGTTGCCCCTCGACCGCCCCCCCCCCCTCCTCTCCCGCCCTCCAGTAGCAACTAGCGGGATTCAGCGACCTTCACATTCACACTTGCCTACCGTGTCAGTGTATATACCCATACCCACTCCCTCCCACCTCCCCAGGAAACATTCACATCGCTGAAACAGAATCAGGCGCACTGGTATCCTCGCCGTATGACTTCTTCTTCTTCCTCCTCTTCCTCTTCTTTATATCTTCTTCTTCACCCATACGTCAGCCTCTTATCCCCCCCCGCATACTTCTAAACTACCTCCCTCCTCTCTTCCCCCCTCCCCATAGCTGTGGTGCATATCTCCCCCGCGCACGCCCCGAATCTCTAGCGCTTCCATCTCCATCTCCATCTCCGCCGCCGACACACCCAAATCATTTCCGCCAGTAACCCAGCATATTAATTACCACCCCATCCTACCCCGACCGCCGCATATACAACTTTCGCGCAAATCTTTAGCAATCCTCTACCGTAATCTTTGTCCCTAGGGACAGGCATGTTACTGCGCCCGGCTACCTCTGCGCGCACCACTTGAGCAACTTCGAACCTTTCACCCCTCCACCCTCTCAAGCTGGCTGCACCTGCACATTTTTGTGGTAATGGGTGTCGTCAATAGCAAACCCGGCGAGGGAGAAGGCCTGTTTCTACGAGACCAGAACAGATGTACGCGAATCCTCTCCTCTTTCTATAGCTCTGCAGAGCATGCTGAGCACTCCACTGACCGCTTCTAGTCTCCGTTGCTGCCCTTTCTATTACCAATAACCGTAACCGAACGTTTTTGAATATATCCCCGAATTCCTTTCCCGCCTCGAGGTACAGCGCTCGGAGAGACGCTGGCGATGATGCTGTGATCGAGTATATCCAGGTACCTCTCTCCATGGCATGTTGATTGCGGAGGGTCAGAAGCTGATACAGCCATTACAGGACCCCGAATCCGTATCCTCGGGTGGACCACCTTCCTTCCTCATACGCCTGTCGAACGACGAGGAGCTAATATTCAATTTCACATTCATACTTCGACAAGCTCAAGTACCGCCAAGTATATATAATGTCAATAATGCATCTTCCATTACCCCGACCGCTCTCGCCGATACAAACATCAACGGGTTGACCTTCATCTTTGCGTCCAGCTCGAAGGAGTTAGAGAACCTCGTCACCAGAGAATTCCATGCAAATCCAAATCTTCACAAAAACCCGCAAGTCGACCTAGTCGGCGACTATTCCACAGGGGGGAGCCCCTCGGTCCAATTCCAGTGGTCGTGGAAATGGACTCCACCCAAGACCGAAGATCGAGGTGGTGGTTGGCGTACAAGCTGCAGTTTCGTCGAGTACGATCAACGCGCGCACAGGCTCGAGACACTTGCCAATTTTTCGTTCTGGGTGCAAAATTCACAACGTGCTCTGCAAAGCCCGAAGTCGCCATCCCCGCGCATGGAGCTCGGCGCCCCTCCCAAACTTCCACCCCGACTGAGAGTTCCCTCATCGCAATCGATCGAATCTCGAGTAAGTGATTCGGGCGAAGATCTCAAAGAGCCTACCGAATATGTTCCCCCTAAGTCACCCATAATCGAATCGATACCTGAATATGGCCTGGGACTGTCGACCAGCGCACCATCTGCACCCAGCGTAAGTAGCCAAGCTACAACGTTGGCGGGTAACGCGGTCAAGGTTGATCTCGGCTGCCCACGCCCAGGAGAAGATCTCAGTCAAACCGAAGATGGGCCCTTGTTCCGAGCGACAATGAAGTCGCTGGAGCAGAGAACGGGCAATATGCGAGCTAAGTGGAAGAAGGTCCTGAAGCGAGCAGAAGCTGCATTGGAAGCCCAAGTCAGCTGCAATAATGCCATGTCTGACCTCATGGAATCCTTACGAGAGGCATCTTCCTCAAACGCAAATGCGGTGCAACCAGCCATCGACCATTATTTCGACAGGATTGCCAAAGAGATTCTGATATATGAGCGATCCAATACCACGAACATTCAGAAGTTAATTATTGATCCTATCGCCAAACTATACAACATTGATATCAAACAGGCGGAAACCAAGAGGAAGGATTTTGAAGAGGAGAGCAAAGAGTACTATCAATATGTTGGGAAATATCTAGGTCAAAGGCAGGACTCGCTCAAAGAAAAGAAGCGGGCTGAGACGGATATCAAGTACCAAAGCAAACGACGCAACTTCGAACTCAAGCGCTTCGATTACTCTTCCTTCATGCAAGACCTCCATGGTGGCCGGAAAGACCAGGAGGTGCTATCGAATCTTACTAAATATGCCGACGCGCAAGCACAGAAGTATCTCGATACTGCCAGGAGGATCGAGACTATGATACCACAACTCGAGGCCTTGAGCTTCGGGGTCAAGGAAGCGGACAAGGAATTCCAGCTTCAAAGAACCGAGAGGGAGACGAAGAGACGCCTGTTAGAAAAGAGCAAGACTCCCTATGATGAGCCTCCCCCATCGCAAATTTTACCTACCACACCATCCAACGGAAGCATACCTCGGGCGCCGCCATCCTCGGATTCAGAACTTCCTGGACGCAAATCAAGCATTGCACCGATCTTTCAAAGTGCAGTAAACCCACCAGCGGCTACCTCGCTGGCCAGCATACCGTCCTCAATTGGCACACCGCAGAGTCCAGAAGCGAGTCAATCGAATTTGCCGGTGGGCAGCCCTCAACCCAGCAAGTTCAAGGGCATCCGAGATCTTGAAGATAAGGACCACACGCTAGGCATAGGCCTGGAACCCGGCTCTGCGACTCATCGCAAAGAAGGGCTTCTGTGGGCGCTTAGTAGGCCAGGAAGTCATGCTGACCCTAAAGGCTTAAATAAGCAAGCATGGCACAAGTATGCAGCGTTTCGCTTCGTATTGTACACTTGACTAACATGGACCAGATTCTGGATCGTTCTGGATCAAGGAAAGCTCTCCGAATACACCAACTGGAAGCAAAAGCTCGACCTACATATGGACCCGATTGACTTGCGCGTTGCGTCTGTTCGCGAAGCTCGCAATGCAGAACGCCGGTTCTGCTTCGAAGTTATAACTCCTCACTATACGAGGGTCTATCAAGCTACATCTGAAGAAGACATGAAAACCTGGATTGCAGCAATCAACAACGCCCTCCAGAGTGCCGTGGAAACGGTCGGAAAGAATGACCGCATTTCCACAGACTCTCTGCCTGGTTCCACGAGGCGAGATATAGCTTCAGTTCTAACAGGCAAAAGTACATCGGTCTCTGGAATTCACCGTAACACTTATAGCTCTAAGACTCCAACTAGACACGCTACTGTTGGCGACAGGCCTACCTATCGCAGGGATGAACCTAGCGACGATGGCAGGCTTCTTCAGCAAGTTCGCGATTGTGATGCTGGGAACAAAGTGTGTGCGGATTGTGGATCTGAAAGTAAGGTTGACTGGGTCTCAATCAATCTTGGTATCGTCATCTGCATTGAATGCAGTGGCATCCATCGATCCCTAGGAACTCATATCTCAAAAGTGCGATCTCTGACGCTCGACACCACTTCCTTCACACCAGACATCGTGGAGATATTGCTCAAAGTCGGCAACCGGGTCAGCAATATGATATGGGAAGCGAAGATGGACAAAGCCCTCAAGCCCGGTCCAGCCTCAACCCGCGAGCAAAGACTGCATTTCATTACCTCAAAGTACGGTGATCGTGCTTTCGTGGCCCCAATCTCCCCGACTTTATCGCATTACGCAACTGCTGAGGAAACACTTTTGGCGTCCATCAAGAAGAACGATATCCAAAATGTGTTATATGCTCTAGCGCTTGGAGCAGATCCAAATTCAAAGGATCGATCACGAGGAACACATGCTGTATTTTTGGCTCTTGCTGCCGCCGACCCTGCCTCTCCTTCGGCTTCCGCATCCCCTGCAGCTTCTCCCGGACACCGGCCTAGTACACCCCAACCTTCTCGTAAGCCATTTCCTGTAGCAGAATTGCTTCTTCAAAATGGTGCCGACCTACCCACATTACCAGCGCCAATACCCTTAAGCTCATCAGCTCGTTTGTATCTGGAGCACAAGGCCGACCAGCGTGCAGGAAAACGAAGTACAGCTGTCGGTGGTGGCCAGCCGCACCACGGTGATACCTTAACCGCACTACCCCACATTTCTGCTGGCAATGGTAGCACACCAGCTGAACGTGCAAAGGAACGTGAAGCCAGATTGCAGAAGAGAGTCAGTGCAGGTGGAAGGTTGGTCAAGTCACCTTACGCCGATAGCCCTGAGTCTAGGCGAGCACTATAGTAGGTTGCTGAGCTTACATTTTTCTTTATTCTTCTAGTTCATATCTTCTCCCATGGGTAAAGTGTGGCATTTTGTGGACTTCAACGGAATAGCTGAGCATGAGTATGGGGCTACAGCTTTTGGCGTAAGGATGTTGACTTTTGAATCCTATCGAACAGGATCGCTTTTTGAATATGAAGACTCGATCTTTGGTACTACCGATCGTTTTGTGGAGATTATTGAGCATGCGTGAGCGGGTCCTATTCTTGCATTTTTTTCCAAGGATGAAAGGGCACTGTCAATAGAGTTGCCTTGTTGTCTGTGGGCATTGAAGTTTATGAAGACGTACATGTATTGACTTGGCTACATCAAACCCTAAGGTTTGCGTGACTGATTGATTCCAATTGTATGATGAGCAATAGCAATGTAAGTGAGAAACCTAATCCAACGGTTTCTTCTCTAGTGGTCGCGCTGCATTGGAATTCGATATTGTCCAACATATCTACCCGTATATAATATCCTGTTCGCCTAGCACAGCCATTCGAACATCATGAGCTAGGTTCCTTTGAACATGCTACTTTCATTCATAGACATGGGTTCTCTGCAGCAAACATGGTTTATCAATTTGCGACGTTGGGTCTGAGTTCAGCATTGCGGTGGTAAAGTCACGTGATGCAAGGACACCAATTAGGCGAGGCGTGCGGCACTGATTTTATTCGAAAGTGCGACGACCCCACCATTACCACGACAGACAAAATGGCGCCCTCATACGAGAACCTCCCCATGGAGGATGACGAATTCGACGAGTCCCAAATCGACTTTACCGATATCGAAGAACAATACCAAGTGCGCCTCGATGAGGGACTTGACGCCTTTGTGGTCGTGGATGGCCTGCCCGTTGTGCCCGAAGAGAGCAAAGGAAAGCTCATCAAATTCGTTTTGAGGAAATTGAACTCTGTGGGAAAAGTCAAGGAGGATGGCGTTTTCATGCCAGTGAACGACGACGGACAGACGGAAGGGTGTGTATATTGATTTACGCGTGAAATGCGCATTTAGGGAAGAAAAAGGAGCTGACGCGCAATGAAGTTTCGCTTTCGTCGAATATAATGCCCCCAGCGAGGCCGTCGCAGCTGTCAAGCAACTCCATGGTGTTGCCCTTGACAAGAAGCACACCATGGCTGTGAACAAACTTACCGATATCGACCGTTACGGACGCGAAGGCCGCATTGACGAGGAATATCACGAGCCTGAGATCGAGCCCTTCCAGCAGAAGGAACACTTGCGATCATGGCTCGGCGACATCGACGGCCGCGATCAAATGGCCTTCTACCGCGGCGAGAAGGTCGGCGTTTTCTGGAACGAGAAGGAAGATGCGCCAGAGCAGGTTATCGATCGTGAGGGTTGGACCGAATCTTTTGTACAGTGGTCGCCATTGGGTACATTCCTTACCTCGATGCACGCCCAAGGTGTGCAACTTTGGGGCGGCAAGGGCTGGAGCAGGCAAAAGCGATTTGCCCATCCCGGTGTCAACCTGGTCGACTTCTCCCCCAACGAGAACTACCTCACTACCTGGTCTCACAGGCCTCTTCAGGTCGACGAGAACCACCCTGTCCCATCTTTGTCTGCTGATGAGGATGGCAAGAACTACATCATCTGGGATATGGCAACTGGCAAACCTCTCCGTTCTTTTGCCACCATTGATGTCCCGAGTGGCACTGATGCTGAGGGTAACCCCATCAAGAAGAAGATGCAATGGCCGACTTTCAAGTGGTCCGCGGATGACAAGTACGTCGCCCGTATGACTCAGGGCCAGCAGATCTCCGTCTACGAGACCCCCAGGATGAACCTCCTCGAGAAGACCTCGATCAAGATTGAGGGTGTCATGGATTTCGAATGGGCACCCGCTACGCCTAGACGTGAGGGCGTCAAGACTTACGAGCAACTCTTCTGCTACTGGACTCCTGAGCTTGGCAGCAACCCTGCTAAGGTTGGTGTCATGTCAATTCCCTCCAAGGAGATCGTTCGAACCCGTAACCTCTTCAACGTTTCCGACGCCAAACTTCACTGGCAATCCGATGCTGCCTACGTGTGCGTCAAGGTTGACCGCCACTCCAAGTCGAAGAAGTCTCTCGCCACAAACCTCGAGATCTTCCGCATCCGGGAGAAGGGTGTGCCTGTGGAAGTTGTCGACTCGATTAAGGATACCGTCATCAACTTTGCTTGGGAGCCTAAGGGCAACCGATTCGTCCTGATCACCACCGGCGAGATCCCCGCTGGCGCCGCCGTTCCCCCCAAGACCGCCGTGTCTTTCTTCGCACCCGAGAAGCTCAAGGGCGGAGCCATTGGCAACTTCCGACACATTCGCACTGTCGACAAGAAGAACAGCAACGCCATCTACTGGTCTCCCAAGGGTCGTTTCGTCGTCGTTGCCACCGTTGGCTCCCAACAGTCCTTCGACCTCGACTTCTGGGATCTCAGCTTCGAGAAGCCCAAGGAGGACAAGGATGACAAGGAGAAGGAGCTCAACGCCAACCTCCAGCTCATGGCCACTGCCGAACACTACGGTGTGACTGACATCGACTGGGACCCCACCGGCCGATATGTCACCACCGTGGCCAGTGCATTCAGGCACCAGGTATGAACCCATTTCTCCAAAATTCATCATTGTAACGCATGCTAACAAGATCCCCACCACAGATGGAAAACGGCTACCACCTGTACGACTTCAAGGGCACTCTCCTCCGCGAAGAGCACATCGACCGCTTCAAGCAGCTCCTGTGGCGCCCGCGCCCCGCCACCCTCCTCTCCAAGGAGGAGCAATCCGAGATCCGCAAGAACCTCCGCAACTACTCCAAGATCTTCGACGAGCAGGATCTCGCCAAGAAGAACACGGCCAACAAGGCGGTCGTCGAGGCCCGCCGCGCCATGCTCCAGGACTGGCTGTCGTGGCGCGAGTCCATGATCCGCATGCTCGAGGAGGAGCACGCCGAGATCGAGCTCAACGGCGGGCAGATCGAGAAGCTCGACGAGGGCGACGTCGAGGAGATCGAGGAGATCGTCGAGGAGATTGTCGAGGAGACGGAGGAGGTCGTCAACTAGAAGACATAGACCAAATTCAAAAAACCTTCTACTCTCATATTCACACACACACACACACACTCAGCCCTCTCTTTTCTCTCATTCTTTCCTGTAATGCATGTCATGAATCAGAAGGTTTTAAAAAGGGACGAGAAACGGATTCCTCTCATGTTTAAGCTAGCGTACCTTATGAACGAAAGACGAAAAAGGAGGTACGGTACTTCGTAGAACTTAGCTTTTTTGATTCCTTGGCCATATCCCGAATCCTCATGGGTTGGCTTTGTGAATAAAAGATTGGGCGGCGATTAATGGAAATGGAAATTCAGTTCAGGACAACAAAATTTAGATGTATGTGCATGTTTGTATTCGTATCATTCGTGTGCCCTTCGCATCCTCGTTCATATGGTTCAACCCTCCCTCACATTGCATGACCCTCGACAAGTGTTTACACACGCACAGCAAAGCCCAAATGTATCTCTTTCGTGTCTTCCACGCTATATGCGCTTTTCTAAACATCAAACAACGGATGCGGTGTATGCAATGTAAGACCAGTGTTCATTGGTATCTCTTTTCATCTCTCGGACGAGATACATATTTTTATATTTCTCTCTACATTCGATGACACTATATCCCCCTCTCTCCGCTTTCATCGCTAGATTAGGAGGAGGTGTATGTGCTCAAATATACACCTATATGCCATCCATCCATATATGCCACAACAACACCGCCATATCTCCCAACTGACCACACCCCATGTCCCACTCTCTCCTCCTTCCGTTCCTTTTCTCCAACGATGGGTCGATCACCTCACGGGCCGAAGCACCTCCCACCCCCTCAGCGCCTCAAGCTCATCGCCATGCTCGTCGTCCAGGAGATTCGGTCTGCCGCCCCTGCTCCCCGCCGTCGAGCCCGTGCCTGTCCTCGGCGGCAGCGGCGGCCGGTCTTCGCTTGCGTCGATGAGGTTGGCGACGGGCTGGGGCTGGGGCTTGCGGCCAAGGTTTGTCGGGGCGGGGGCCATTGCTCGGCGGCCGGGCGGGGGTTGGGGTCTGCTGCGGTCGTGGGGAGGGGAGTCCGGGAGGTCGCGGTAGCGTTGTTGGTGGGGTTGGGGAGAGGTGGAGGGAGGGGAGGTCGAGGTTGCGAGGTGGGAGGGCTTTTTGCCGGGGATGGGAGGCGCGGCTTTGCGGGATGATGGGTCTTTTGTGGGGTCTGTGGACGGCGGAGAGAGTATGGGGGGTGGGAGGACCCTTCGTTGGGGGAGGATGGGGAGGGAGTGCGTGGAGGCGTTTGAAGTGGTTCGTTGGAGGCCAGAGGCGTCGCGGATGATGTCGCGGCTTGGGGGTATCGCGGAGGATGGGTTGTTGGGGTTGAAGGGAGGGGCGGCGAGCTTCCTCGCGGGTGGGTTTGTGGGGTGTCGTGAGTTGTTGGTTGTTGTGTTGGACGACGGAGTGCCGTTGAAGTCGATGGTACGGGCTCGTGATGTACCTCTTGCGGGTGGAGGCTCCGGCCTCATGCGCTGGACTTCTACCCATTCGGGTTCTGGGCTTGGGGTATAGGGGTTGCTCGGTCGATTAGGGTTGGGGATGTGCGAGTCGGATGGTGGTTGGACCCGTGAGCGTGCAGGTAGACCTACCGAAATATAAGTATGAATGCAATGATCGGGATCAACGAGTACGCACCGTTGTCAAGCCACCACTTCCTCCTGTCTGAGCTTGCGGGTGGCAGACCGGGCTCGATGGAGTCGTAGCCGATCAGGTCTTCATCGTCACTGTCGTCGAACCCACCTGCCCGCGTTTCGCCTACCACGAGACGTCTTTGATGGTAGAGCTCCTGGCTTAGCTGCTCCTTCTTCTTCTCATCAACTTTACTGATGAGGCATTGGAACGTGGCATAGACGGGACGATGGTCAGAAAACTTTAGGGGGGCAGCGTCATAATTGATCTGGCGGATATTGTCACCTTTGCGGAGAACGCGGTCACACCATGCTGGAATTCGTGCTTTTTCCGATGTATCGTAGGTGTCTGTCCCAAGATCGTACTTGTACGTGGGCAAGAAGGTAATGCGAGCTTCGTTGTAGAAGGGGAAGGTGAGGCCCGCAACCATTTGCAGGTTCAGCTGCTACTTGTCAGAATTGCATGATAGAGACATTGCGAGGATCGTACCTGGTCATTCTCATAAAGGGTCTCCAAATCGCCGACTTGGCACAGTTTCTGCACTTTATCGTTACTGAGACCGATACGATAGTTGAAGTCTCCTAGCCAGATGACTGTGTCATGGTCCTCGATCGACCTGTTCCGTTGAAACCGCAAGCCGTGGCTGATGGTTCTGTAGTCTCGATTGCGTTCTTCGTAGTTGGCAAAACCAGCGGCCAAGTGAGCGGTGACGAACACGATCGACGTATTTGCGTACTCCATGCGAATCGCAACAGCGCCTTTATTGCCAGCAATACCGGACATTCCGGTCTTGGGACGTCAGCATATAGGCAACTGGGTCTCTTCTCAGAATAACATACCTTCTTGAGACTTCCCTCAACATTCTTGATGACTTTCAAGCAGCTGGCTCGAACAAACACTGAAAGAGAGGCACCAACGAGTTGACCACCTCGAAGCAGTACATACTCTTCCTTTCCATGCTTTTCGGCGTTGTTGTTCAAACATCTCCGAACGGCAGCTTCCCACCGTTGTCGTCTCGCTGGGTCAGTTGACATTATTTGCTGCGGGCTGAGCTCGACGATTTCCTGGAATCCTACAGCAACGATCTCTGGACATTGCTGTGAAGGGTGCACATCTGGGCACAGCCAGGGTGAGAGGTCGTCATCTATGCCGTGCGTTTTCCCGTTCAAGTTGAAGGTGCCGACCAACATATTGATAACCTCGTTCTCTGCGAACTCCACGGACCTCCGTGTCAATTCCGCAATGACCCAGTCATTGATCGGGTCATAGAGATGGACTGGAGCTTGCCCCATCAGCCGGCCCAGGAGCATGTCGATAGTGTTCTGTCGTCCTTTGTCTGCGAAGTTATTGATGTACATTCTGGTGGCACTTTTACGAGCATCGGCCAATGCTCCCGCAAGCGACATCTTGCCGTGGCGGGTAAACGACGATTTCAGTGCTCCAGTGCCGGCGTAGATTCGCGACAATGCATCGCCATTATCAGCCCACATACTCGAATGCCTAGCCCAGAAGTCAGGGCTCGCGCGAACTCCCTTGTGGCCGAGGAAGATATCCAAAGACATCTTGCTGATGATTGTCTGAACTAAATTCGTCCGATCTAGACAGTCGAGACAGTTCGTCCTGAAGGTGCCTTCTTGGTGCAGCACTGCTGTCGGTCTCCGGTACACTTGCTCTTGCCCATTATTTCTCACACGGTCCTCGATCTCCTCGGACAAGAAGTAGGCGAAACCGTCCGCCGACTGCTGAATCCATTGCGTTATCATGCTGGCAGCTTCGTATCCACCAGGTCCTCGAGTCTCGGCATGGAAGTCGTATTCCGTAAGCTTCACAAGCTCATGCTCCTTTTCGTCTCTATAGTTCAACGAGGAGTTTCTTATGTGATGTCTGTACCTGTTTGACAGTTCGATTTCATTCTGTTTCTCATTGCTGAGGAGATTGACTACATGGATGGCACCATAGCTAATCTCTAGATTTTCGAAATGTTTGTCAAATGCTGGCTGTGTTGCTTCTGGCGAGCGAGTTATAGTGATCTTCTGCTGCCCTGGCAGCAAACCTGTTGCCTGTTCCCAGAACAGAGGAACACTTCCTCTGACTTGGGTGTATGAGAAACAAGTTCCCGCTGGTGACCAATATATAGTCTCCGTCTCGACGTAATTGGCAACATTTCCGTCATCATCGATTCCACGTGCATTGAACCTTGTGCCAGCTCTCCTACAGGACAGTCGAGATATGAGGGTCATCGCCGCCGGAAGTCCTGAACGGGGCGCCTTGATTGGAGACGAAGAAGAGGGAACCGTAACCGTAAGAGCGAATCCTCGGATGGCCGAAGTCAGAATCCCAGAAGCATCCAGAGCGGCCTTCTCGCGGGGGCCCAGTCGAGATCGGAAATCAACTAAAGGCTGAATCATGTAGGAATTCCACAGGAAACCAGCATCCAGACTGTCGATGGAAACAGTCATGGCATCCGATGACCGCTTCTGCAGCCTCCTGGTCAAATCAAAGTCCGAGCTGTAGTAGAAGGTACCGCTGCTCAGTAATTTCTTCAATGCAAGGCATGGGTGTTCCATGGGCGACTCTCCCTTCCCTCTACCAAACCCCGTCTCGAATCCCTCATCATCAATGGTATCGGTTGGGTACGGATTGACCTCGTCGTTGAGCAGAGCATCGTAGCTCGAGCTATTCAAGCAGTAGAAGCCCACGGAATGGATCCTCTGGACCGTTTCGCCAGGCCTGACGGTAGCCACCTTGCTTGCGCCATTTACGACAACAAGGAAGATGTCCCCATTGACCGTTATCAATCCCAGCGTTCCGTGCGCATATACTGAATTTAGCGACCGGTAGTCGCTCAGGTCCACCTCTCCGATCGTCGAGAACTCGACCATGGCGCGGGCGCTGGCGACGCCATTGCTACCCAGCGAGGTGCTCGAAGCGTTTGTGAGGCCATTGTCGGTGGAGGCGGTGCTGTGGCGGAGGACGAGGGCATGTGTCTCGGTGGTGAGGGCAATAGCTCGGTGCGGGTACTCTTTGATTAGGACGCGGATGGACATTGTCGCAGGACGACGACAATTCGGGGGGATCCTCGTGGGGACGGCTCAGGCATGTCCGGGCGGTATCATGGAACGTTGTTGGAGTTGGCTGGTAGGTTCGTTTGAATGTCTCGAGGGAATTAATTGTGTGAGGATATTGTGTCTCGACGAAGTCAGCACGTGCGTGGGTTTTCGTGCGGTCAGATCGCTGCAGCTGCTGGTGCTAATAAATCAAGCTTGTGGTCGGGCGTCCGCTCGCTCGAGGGAGGATGGATGATCACAACCGACCTTGGGCTCTCGCTGCCCACCGCCGCCGCCACGCCGCAATGTAGTATGTACCGCAACGTTTTGCGCAAGACTTGTACGAGTTTACTCATCTTGGAAATGATAACCTGGCTTACTTATCTTGCATTATGGACGAGCCAGACTAGTAATGATAACATTCAATTCGTAACCAATTTACATACTCCAGGTGCAATCCGAACATTAATTATGTCATGTATTGTTTGTTTTCGGTTGATCAAAGTGGTCTATTTTGAGTCGGCAGTAATAATAAATATCATCATAACAATTAACATTGACAATAATTTTGGTAAACACATTTATAATGACGAGCACCTTCATTGTTTTATCATCACATGGTAATCAAACTTGATCTTCTAGTTGAGAAAGAATTGAATTGCGATAACCGGGACGAAATTCCAAAGATGAACCAGCAATATAGACTTCAATCAACCCTGCCCGACCAAATAGTATCAACAATCGAAGAAATGCTGCAATCATGACGTCGTCAAACATGGCACTCATATCCCCATCCGTGCCTTCTCTGCACGTACATACATACAAATGTAGGTAGTACGCGCCCTTGCATATGCGTAGCAGAATCAATATAAACAAACGCAATGCCGCTCATGGATGCAACATGCGACTTCCTCCCTCGACAGAACCGTCTATCTACCTTCGGTACTCCCTCGTCCTTCGGCCATCCCCATCGGAAATGGTAATCCTGGTATTCGTCTCTCTGTAGCTTCCGCGCGGGTCGTGTACATACTCCCTGCTAGGGCTTCTCCTCCTACTCACGCTCCTCTCCCTCCTCTGGAAGCGCTCGTACCGGTCCTCTTCGACAGGGGGGCCCTCCACATATCTAAAGTGCTCGTACCGCGGCGACGATTCGGGGGAGTAGTCTCGTCTCCGCTCCCGCGTGTATTCGCGCTCGCGGGTGATGTACTCGCTGCGATCGGGGCTGTGGCTCGTCACGCTGCTATGCGGACTGACTTCGACGTAGTGTGCCCCGCCATGGTGGTGATGACTATGGTGACTGGAGATGTGGCTTGGGGGAGGGGGAGGTGCTACAATGGGTATGTGCTGCGGTTCTTGCACGAAGACGGGTACAGGCTGGGGGTCGGGGACCCGGAGTCCTTGGGGTTGAGGAGCAGGAACAATGTACGATGACGATTGAGGCCGCGACTCTCGGATCACTGAGGTGCGTGAGACGCGCTGATGAGACGAGCGGCGCTCACGGATTGGCGAGGGAGAGCGCCGCCTGGCAACGCGGACTGGGACGACGACATCCTCCTCACGCCGAACTGAGAAGAGACACATGGTTGCGCGGAGTTCACGAGTGCGCAACGATGTCGAGGTTACGAGAGTTGTATGTTGGTTCCTGGGTGTTGCGGTGCGATCGGCGCCTGATTCGCGGGATGATCAAATGTGGGGTGGGGGGTTGGTTGTGCCTGCGGCTGAGAATTTGGGTGTGAATTGGGTTGGGCAACGACAGTAGGGCAAAAGCGAAAGAAGAGCCAACAAAATGAGGGATGCCGGAAGAATTTATTGAATCGGCCTTTGAAGCAAAGCAAGGCACGGAGAGACGCAGGCTTTGGGGGCGGTGTCGATTGATGGATGATGTTGTTGGGGGCCCCGGTGGTGTATGTAGGTATTATTGCTCGCCCAGCCACATTGGAACAACCGCGCCCTGCTTGTACCCAAGTAATCAAGTGCCAGGCCCCATGCAGCAACCAAACAGCCTTGGAACTTGGAACGGCTCGCTGATGACGCCGTCACAAGCGGGTGTTTCCCTATGGAGTACTCCGCACATACTTGTACTCGAACTCGAAAGAGTTGGCCGAGTCGAATCCCAGTTGCTCGCCAGTATTCTTTTCCTCCATAACTATTATGGAGGCACGCTTTCCTTTTTGGTTTTTCACGGAAGTGGCTTCCTTCGCAACTAGTTACCTGGGTAGTTAGTAACAAGCATCCTCGTCCTGGGAGAGATATCTCGCCCCCAGCTATTGCCCTCATCCCGGCTTAAACAGACATCCCACAATGTTTACTCCGAACACTCATTTTCATCAACCACCACTCGGCTGTCCAAAACCATACGTTTGAGGTCTTAAACAATCCGGAGCAAATAGACCGGTAATGACAGGAGCAACGCCCTCCATGCTTTGCAATACTTGATCCAAACCAGGCAGTCCCGACTCTCCGAGTCGCGGTAGATTTGCCAGCTTTGCTTGTACGTACAGCAGATTGTCCTCCACACCAGGTAATTTCTCAAGGGCTCCCTACATCAACGTCAGCCATCGCAAAAAGAAAAGAAAAAGAACACAAAGATTGGAATGCGCCCTTCCTACTTACAATCGCGCTTCGGCCGTTGATGATGCCTCTTGCAACGGTGAGAAGCATCTTAGTATCTAATAATATGACCTGTATACTGGCATTCTCCTTCTCGTGCCAATGTTGGAGTTTAGAAGCGAAGGCATTTAGACATTCGATATCTAATGGGCCATGGTGGCAGCCCGGCTGAGATATTATTCCCACCACCAGATTGTGTGCTGCCGCCAGTAAGTACCGTAGAGCTCGCCTGCGAACGTTGTCAATATTTGCTATGGCAGTGCATTGCTTCCCTCTGTGCGCGCCTACTGCGGTTGGCAGATAGGCGTGATGAGACAAATGGCTACTTACCAAAGGTTGAGAAATGGTATACACGGCTCTATCCATCTCACCAGACTGAGCGAAAGTCTTGAAGCGGAAGCAGAAAGATGGGCAGCGACTCTATAACCATCACGATCTATCTGCTCACTGCAACGGGCAATAGCCCTGAAAGCCTCACTTGAGAGGTGATAGTATGCCAAATGGAGCATCAGGAGTGGAAACCTGTCCACCCCCTCCGCGACCACCATATCCGACTCCGGTTGAACTGCTGGTGGTATTCGACTCCTCCAATTTTCGAGATCGTTGCTAAGCTGTTGGATCTCATTGATCGTCGGCTTCGGGGAGAGAACCAATTTTTGGAGCCTGTTCTCCAGTATAGAAAGCTGCACCCTCAAACGGAAAATGTTCGCATGGCCCCCATCCGCAAGCTCAATGCATCCAGCACCTGTATTGGAAAGCTCGTTCGGGAGCTTGACTGCGTAAATGTGGTCTAGGAGTGGCGGCAATCCGATGTCGATGCTCGTCCGTTTGTCCAACAGATACGTACACCAGAACACCCTCCTCCTTTGGTCTCGTTCGTCTTCTCGAACGTCATACGCCGGTTCTCGGTGCATTCCAAGTGCTGTTACCATTCTCACCGCCGCACTCATTACCATCGACATAGTCCGAAGATCTGTGCTCCCTTCAAGAAATCGTGCCATGATCAACAAAGCCAGCACGGAAAGTAGCGATGGCTCCCCAGCAATGATCTCTCCATACACCGACCAAGCATTCTTGAAGAAACCCCACGCATATCGTGAGACGCTGTCAAAATCGCGTGGATTGTTTATCGCTTTCAACTGAAGGGTCGTCGCGAGAATGGTGTTGAAAGTCGCCCACCATGCTGGATCGTGGCCCTCCGGGCTTTGTGCGAACTGATGCTGCACCCGATACCACAGCGCTGCCCTATGGAAAAGGGGAAACTCCACGGCATTTGTTTGTTCCAGATACGAATAGACCAGGACAATTGCGTTCTCCTTGGGCATCATCTCTACGAATTGCTTCGGCGTTTTCCCTGTCTCTTTGAGAGCCATGTTTCCGGCGGCTTTGATCTCTGCCATATTGTGGCTGAGGAACTCGGGCAAGGGGACGAATTTCTCTCCATTGCTGGTCTCAATGGAAGATGACGTCTCCGCTGGAGGCAGTGATGGTTCTGTTGACTCCTGGCCATAATGACCGGTGTAGATTTCATCGTCCATTTCCACCGAGGGTTCCACGGGCGTTTGGCTGTTGTCATGTGTGATACCAGACGACCTCAGCGAATGCTCCATCTGCTCGAGCCGTTGTTGTAGCTCTTTGACATGGGTTTGACTACATCCGGAGGGGTGAATTAGCATATTCCCAAATTCGATCGCTGCAGCCGATAATCCGAACGATCTCAAGAGGCCAGCAGACCACAGATCTATGACTTACGTCCTGCCTTTCCCTCTCCACCGCCGTTCTCCATAGACGCACTCCACATTCTGGCTCGAACATTTCCCGCAGATTGGCGTGGCGCCGTCGCAGCGTATCTTCCGCGACTTGCACCTTTGGCATGCGTTTATGATTCTCTTCCCGGTCCCCTTCGGCAGCTTGTCATTTTGCTGTCGGCCCTTGGAATTGGCGCCTGATGAGCTCATCGTCGCCAGAGTCATACAGCTCCGATCACGTGGGCGGTCGTATTCGCTGTTGTTTCCGTATGCTTGTACCCATACCAATACCCACAGCAGCAACGAAAGAGAAGGAAGAACCGCGGGCTAGATGGTGGCAACGAGACATGTAATAGATGCGGCCAATCAGATCGCTTCCAGTTACCTCAGAATAGGAATTGGACGCATAGAAATCCATTTAAAAACATAACGATCGGGAGGGGGTTCCCAGGGCTAGATCAAATAACGGTTTCTTGATTGACATTTCGGAAGCAAAATAATGGAAATTTGCATCCGGGGAGTATTTGGTATATGTAAGGTAGGCGTGGGAGGCTAGGTGCTAAGTGGCTTAAGGCGGACCCTGACACTCCCTAACTTGGGGCCAGCTTTTCGGGGGCAGATAGTGGCAGATTGGGGGGTTGGGTGCCTGTTCGTGCCTGTATTCCGCACTCTCTCGACTGCCCTCCTAACCTGAATGATCATGGCATGGTGGTCCAACCTTGCAACTCTAATGCCCAAACAACGACGCCTTTCCAAGTCGGCGACGCGAAGACGAGAGAGCGTGCGGATGTAAAAATTATCAAACACCGCTTTGGGAATGGCTTTCCCATACGCGATTGGCTAGACCATACGACAATCTGTATCTAGTAAGTCGACTGTATACCGTACACGGTACATTGTCAAAACTTGACTACATACATCGAATGATTACCTATGTATTTACTCCGTCCGTACTGTTAATTCGATGCAATCATGGAGGATAATCAATGGCACTCTCATTTCCCACTCCGATTAGCGAAGTACTCCGTACGATGCCCAGATTATTACTTGTCCATTCTGCGACACCATCACGAAAGATTGATTTTGCTTCCGAGATGTCCATTGATCAAATTACTATTCACTGTCAACCCTAACAATCCTATCAATCCAGACTATGGACAATTACAAAAATAAACACAAAACGGAACAGACGACCTCAATTAAGCCAACAGTCATGATGTGTAATTCTCCATCTCCCCAATCTTCCACCCTCATGGTATCTCCACACCTTCCGCATTTCACACCGTAGTTAGGTCTTTTGGAAATGTGTAGCTGAAAAGAATTGCCCGTGAAACACAATTCTGGGAGAAGGTCTTCCGAAACAATCAACGGCCTTAAACAACAATCATCACGAACCGTACGCCAAAATTATCAAAATAAAAATATCTCAAGGCCGACAACGCAAATGTGATTGTCAATGTGAACGTGACGCATCGCAGCATTGACTGAACTCCCTTTTCGTCTCCTCATCTCGATCTATCAATCAATCAATGAATCCATTCAACCCAATTGATCAATCAACCCCATCAATGCGTCGATCAGTTGCTCTGTTTCACATTGCTTACAATTGACCAGTACAAACAGCAAACAAAAAAGGCAAACCCCCACGTACACACCTCTCTCTCTCCACACTCAATTCCGAGGAGAAAATTGATTCCGCGCGGAAGTAGCCCCGTTCTCGCTTTTTACATCATCACAAACATCGTCACCTTCACCATCATCATCTTCATGATCGACATTAGCATTGCTATTGTAACACGTATCACATTTATCTTCTTTGACCGTCACCAGCATCATCGTCACCATCATCATTGAACACAATTCCGCCCCACCAAGACTTTTTACTGCTTTGTAACCCCAAAAACAATAAGATCGAAGAAAAGGCATGTAGGGTGCATACTCCCTGCCATCACAGAATAGGATGCATACTTCCTACGATGTGGGTATTTTTTTTCTCTTGGAAGTTGCGTGCCGTGCCGTGTCGCTCTTTTGTTCGATTGCCTCGTCTCGTCTCGTCTTGTTCCGTCTTGGTGTCTACGTCGCATCGCATCGCATGTCCGTATCCTCCCTCCCTTCTTCCCTCCGTCTCTCTTCCTCTCCGCATCCATCCACGAGAGCTCGAAGGCCTATTTCCATCCCATTGTTTTATTTTTGTCTTTCCCGAACGAGGAGGAGGAGATAGGAATGTTTCGAATACATTGCTGGAATCTATATGCGTCTCTATCTGTCTATATTTGTGTATGTATGAATATATAAATGGATGGAATCACGAACGACGTGAGAGTCCGGAAAGCTAAACATAGACGGTTTTCAACGTTTTGTACTGATGTGTGGAAATGTCCGTGGATGAGTAATTCTTCGCGATGGGGGTGGGTGGGTGTTCCGACGCCGTTTGGCCCCCGAGGGTAGATGTTTTGTTTCGATTCGATTGTCGGATATGGGGAGGGGTGTTATTTTTGGGGTTGATGTTTGGGGACGTTCGGATTTTGAGGTAAAGAAAGCATGTGTGGTGTGGTGTGGTGGGATATATATGGTGCAATGCGATAAGAGATCGAATTTAGCAGGCGGTGGACCGGTGGTTCATGCTATGATTCTATGATTCCATGATATGAACGATTGGATGGGGTCAAAATCGTGTCCTTTGACAATTTGATGAAGAGAGAAAATCGAATTGGAATCGCAATGGTCACTCTCTCTTGGCGATGTATTGATGTTCATTATCGATGTCATATTGGAAATATGGAAAGATATGGCTATGTTCGAATACAATGATAACACACGCTACGTAAACCCTCGCAATGCAATAATATCCCCTCTGCCTTTTGTTTTGAGAAACCACAATGACCTCAAGCCTTTTTCCCTAGATATATATGTCTTTCGAATCGAAATTAGACTACTATGAGGCAATAGAAATTGTGAAGTGTGCACATATGCAGAAGCGGGCCGAAAGAAAGAGGCGCTGCAAAGCAGACAGCAAGCACTCTCAAAGCCGCATGCCCCTGACCAGTAACCAGAGTACCACGGGCACAATGACATTATCGTTTCCGCCCGTGAGGACAGCCTCGTTGAGACTGGCCCCAGCCGCACATATCGCAGCCTTCATCACCACGACACCCCACTCTACAGCCTTCGCACGCAACGAGGACATTGACCAGAGATCAGCAGAAGAGGCAGAAGATGCAGCGTTCAAATCATCCCACTGCCCAACCACCAACCACACCTTGCCGAACACAAGACCCACCGTCACGGCCACCGCGAACGCAACGCTCCCCTCCAGGCTCTTTCCGCCAGCCCAGAGCCACTTCCTGCGCCCGTACCTTCGGCCGATGAGCGAGGCCGCTGCGTCGCCCATCCCCACGCAGACCACGCCTGCGATCATGCTGACGTCGCGGCCGGCGACCTCCCATCCCGTCCAGGGGTCTTCGCCGGCGCGGTCGGTCCCCGCGAGACTGAGCCAGAGGGGAATCGCACAGCCGATTAGGAGGAAGATGTGCGAGACGACGACGGGGCCGCGGAGGTCGCGGCCGTCGACGTAGGGGGTTAGGAAGGTGGCGAGGGGGCGGGATAACGGTGGGAGCTGGGAGGCGCGGATGAGGTCGAGAAGGAGGAAGATGGCGAGGACGAGGATGAGGGCGAGGGCCACGAAAGACGGGTCGATGAAGATGGTGGGAAGGAGCATGGCGACCATCATTCCGTGGAAGACTTTGCGGCGCGTGTCGACTTCTACAACGGAGCTTAGGCGGAGGACGACGATGAGACCGATGAGGATGATGGTCACGCAGTATAGGCATAGGAGGAGGCGGACGTTGGCTTCGCCGAGGACGAAGTGGCGCAGATGGTCTGCGAGGCCGTGGGTCGGTGGTGAGGGGATGGAGGTTCGGTCGAGCATGGGTGGGAGCGCGATCCAGGAGTCGAGGTTCCAGTCGATGATACTGAATCGGAGCTTTTGCTGGTTTCCTAGCAGGTAGCCTATCGCCCAACCGAAAGGCTCGTGGCCTTGAGTTCCTGTCTTGCCAATGAGGTAGCGGATGGGGCCGAGGATCATGACGATTACGACCACGTAAAAATAGCATGCGTAGATCCATTTCCGCAGCATGGCTTGGGTTGGTGTGAGGTTGAGAAAGGATTGGGCTATCGACTTCGAACGACGCCGGTGGGATTGGTGTTTTGGGATGTGGTCGCCTGCGCGCAGACTCGGAAGTGTATTTCTTCTCGGTGGCAGAACAGAACTGTCCACCTTGTCTTCGATTCCTTCGAACATGGTCTTCTTAGGTTCTACGGCTGAATGAACGGCATCACCGTTGGCAACTGGCGCATTATGGCGTAAAGCATCCAGGACATTCACTTTCAAGCTCTTCGTCTTCTTCAGGGGAGTCTTGATCATCGGGCTGTCCTCGTCCGCATCGCTATCAGATAGAATTCGCCCACCGACACTCGTGGATCTCCTGGCCCTCAGGCTCTCGTTCAGCACCTGTAAGAATGACTGTCGAGCTTTGATGATCTGTCCTGCGCGCCGGAATCTCCACTTTGGGATACGGGCCAAAGCCACACCCCATTTGAGGACCTTCCCGCAAAGCACGAATACTCCTACGCCTCCTACCCACAACAGCGTCTTGAGGATGGTGGCTTGTGGGGACTCAGCAAACAGGAGGAGATTGATCAATCCAATGGACAGTAAATGTAGCTCTGTGGGTAGCAAGCTAGTGGTGGTGAGATAATGTAGAGGAGGAAGCAGCGCTTGGTGCAAGGCGAAAAGGCTGGCAAGTATCTCAGGGTGCAGTCCCTTCTCGGGTGGTGGTAGCTTTAGCTTATATGGTTTCGGCGCATACAGCTTCGACGGTATTGATGTATGTTCCGCGGCAATGAGCGGTATCATGGAGACGAACCAATGGACCGAGTCGTATACAGGGCTCGAGCTCGTAAATGGTATTAGTTGTGGAGGCAATGCGGCCAGTCCTAGGAGAATGTTCGGCAGCAAAGCTTTTGGAAACGATGAAAACAATGATATAGCAATCAGAACGGGCATAATCGTGGGGTATAATATGGGAGCTGGATCGAACGCTGCTGGAATCCGTATCCGTTGTCTCAATCGACGATTCGAAGGCGGGTCTCGAGACCGTGAGTATAGAAGCAATCGTAGGGGATATAACCCCAGAGAACCAGTCATAATTAGTGCGAGCATAAGGAGCTCTGCTATGGTCATGTTAGCCCCCAAGTCCAAGTCCAGAGCTACAACGTCTCACCTCTATGCCAGTGGAGAAGCTTCTCCCAACAGCAGCAGCCTCTCACAGAAAGTAGCCCTATTGCACCTAGCAAAGCTGCTTCAGTCGTCCTCCTAACCATCTCATTCCTTCTCCTTTTCAGGTACTTTTGCCTCGCTTCCTTTGCTTCAGTATCCGTCAGACTGACTCCGTTCGATTGCGGCCCCTCTTTCCCAGCCTTGAAGTATTCCGTCGAGAGCTTCCGACCCTCCTCGTCCACCTGCGACGGGGTCAAAAGCGGGCTCTGGAAGCCATCGACTCCACTCCCTCTTACGTCCCGCAGCCCTTTACGTGGCCGAAGAGGGGGTGCGGGGAGCGCTTTAATGAATCCATACCCTTCGTCGTCCGCCTCCGTCCCGCTCTCGCTAGGCGACGGCGACAATCTCCTACGTTTTCTTCCATCTTCATCCGATAGAGTTGTTTCAGATTGTTGGGGAGGGGTCCGCGAGAAGTCGTTGCCCGAGGACTCTGTGGAGGCACCAGACGCTTCTGCGCTCCGCAATTCGTGCTGGCGGCGATGGTACGGATGGGGGCTGCGGCGGAACAGCTCGAGTGCTTCTATTTCGGCGGCCGAGGCGCCCGGCGCATTCAATTGCGATGTATCTGGGGGTTCCGGCTCTTGCGCCATGTTTGCGTCGCCCATGGACGCAAGTGTTGAGGATTAGGGCAAGGCACCACCAGGAGAGTATTTCAATGCCAGGGGCGCAAGGGCAGGAGGGACAAGCGAAGGAATGGAGGAGAAAACGAGTCGTGATGCCACATGTCAGGACCTGTACCGATGCATCGAACAATGCTGTTGAGCATGTGGGTATACGGGTCGGTATTTCAACAAAAACTGGACTGACCGGTTGGTGATTCTCACATGTTCGTTCGGGTCTTGGTACGCGTTCGAAGCGGCTGACGTTGCGCTCAATGCGGCGATCGACGACTAGATTTATGGTCCCTGCAATCGCTAGATAAATTCAGTCTAAAGTCATAATCTTCAATCGTAGAGTGCATCGACTTCCAATTTGATATCATCATGTAGAATTATCAAGGGTCTATATATTCCAAGATCAACTGTTGCACTACATACTGCAATGCTGAAGTAGACGTATGCATCCCAACAATCAGTCATGAGTCTATAAATATACACACCCGCTTCGCTACCATGCCTTTTTGTTTATCGATAGGGCAGCTTGCCAAGCTATTGCCTTGCCCTACGAATGCGCCTTACTGGTACAGACCGGAACCAAGATCCGTCCATGGGAATAAAACTTGATTGTTACAATTATATTTTCGCTTTTTTGCTATTATATAACCATCTATATTGTACATTCGTATCTGCCATTCATATCTAAATGATGCAGATTCGTTTTGGAGAACCAGGCAGGTATCACTCCAGGTGATCGTGGTTCGAGGTCATTATAGGAATATATGAGCACTTTTGTCCCACCAACCATCTACTGGAGATAGCCATGCTTCTTGAGCCAAGCCTTGACATCCTCAGAGTCGCGCTTGATCCAAGCTGCCTTTGCGCTAATTGCGTCACAGCTCTGTGCGAGCGCCTTGTCGAAACCCTTGGTGCTCTTAGTGGAGAAGAACTTTTGGATGTCGTCAATGTGCTCCTGGTGCGTGAAGCTAGAAGTGGTGATGGAGACGACCGAGCTGAGCATGCTCAAGCTGGGGGGAAGACGCCTCTCAAGCTCCTCCCAGTTGTCCTTCACCCACTTCCACAGGGCGTTGATACCTTCGGGGTGCGTCCGGAGTGCTGAGATGGGCAAGTAAATGTCCTGTCCCTTCACGTCCTCGCTGATGGATAGCGCAAGAGTGCGTTGGATGAGTTCGGGGTCCTTCGCGCGGCCAAGGCTTCGGAGGGCACTGTTGCGCTCGTCGCTCGTGTTTGCGTGAAGAGCTTCATGAAGAATCACCTCGTACTGTAGACTTGTTAGATCATGAAAATAGTATTGACCGTTTAGAATTCAAACTTACCTCTTCCTTTCCTCCATGGGTCAAAAGAATGGCGTACGCGCTGCCTCGAAGATTGGGGTGGATGGCTGTTTTATCGCCAGCCTTGAACTTCTCGAACATATCGAAAGTAGCCTTGACAATGGTTTCATCGTTTGCAACACCAGCAGTGCCGTACATCAGTGCCTTGAACTGTTGCTCGATGTGGCCATCCTTCTCGCTGAAGGTCCAACCCAACTCATGTGCCTTGTCCTTGGACAGATCCAGTTGGAACTTCTTGAGTGCCTCCTTAACAGCTGGCTCCTCGAACATCCAGGCAGAGCGGAGCACGGCAATACGGCTGCTGATTTCTTGCCAGACAACAAAATTGGGTTCGGTCTTGAAGCCATCGAGAAGTGAGAGAATGCCAGAGGTCTTCTGGTAGCCGGAAGAAGCAAGAGAACCTGCATCGGCGATCATACCAGCGCGGTCTTCCACAGTCATCAACCCATTCTTAGCAGCAACTCCAAGCTTCTCCAAGCGCTCGGGCGAGTAAGAGGTTCGGTAAAGTGAGGTATGGTCGGCGTTGAGCTTGAAGAATTCAAGATCCTTCACCTCAAAGTCTGCTTCTCTCGAAGCCAATGTCAAGTTCTCGTCTACGCCATCCTTGGAGCGGAGTCCGAGGAAGACAGGCCAGAGGGTCTCGTCCTCCTCAGGCTTCACATCGGCCGTTCGCAAGAAGCGATTCTGCTTCACATGGATGGAGTTTGACTCGGGCTTCTCGGTGACGGTGACCACTGGGAAGCCAACCTTCTTGGTCCAGATGTCCATGACCTTCTCAACATCCTTGCCACTTGCATCGGCAAGGGCGGCCCAGAGATCGCCTGTCTGGGTGTTGCCATACGCGTGTTTCTTGAGGTACCTGCGTACGCCCTCCATGAAGACCTCCTCGCCGAGGTACTTGGAGATCATGCGCAGCACACAAGATCCCTTTGAGTACGAGATTGCATCGAATATTTGGTTGATCTCGTCCGCTCGTTGGACAGGAACCTCGATCGGGTGACTGCTGCGCAGAGAATCGAGCGAAAGAGCACTCGAAAGGTTATCTGTGACATATCCTTCCCAGACCTTCCAGTCAGGGTAGAAGACGTTGCAAGAGTACCATGACATCCAGGTAGCGAAACCCTCGTTAAGCCACAATCCATCCCAGAAATCCATGGTGACAAGATTGCCGAACCACTGATGCGCAAGCTCGTGTTGCACCGTCTCGGCCACCCGTTGCTTCACCGCAGCGCCACTGACCTTCTCGTCAATGAGCACATCGACAACACGATACGTGACGAGACCCCAATTCTCCATGGCTCCAGCGCTGAAGTCGGGAATGGCCACCATGTCCATCTTTGGCAACGGAAATTCGCTATCGAATGTCTTCTCATAGAAATCCAAGGTCTTCGCTGCAAGCTCGACCGAGAAGCGACCGTGTTCAATGTCGCGATCCTTGGGCGCATAGACCCTGACGGGAACGCGGAATGCCTTTGTCTCGATGTAATTGAGCTCTCCAATGATGAAGGCCAAAAGGTATGTCGACATGAGGGGTGTCTTGTTGAAGGTGACGGCCTTGCGATTGAGTCCGCTGGTGATGGTAGACTCCACAGTCTTCTCCGAGGCGACGTCCATGTTGCTCAAGCATGTCATCTTCTCGTCGGCGATGAGAGTTACGGTAAACTCAGCCTTGAGCGCAGGCTCGTCGAAGCAGGGGAAAGCTCGCCTTGCGTCCGTAGGCTCCATCTGGGTGGTGGCCATCCATGTAGTCTCGCCATTACCGTCTTTGAAGGAAGAGCGGTAGAAGCCTGCCATGTTGTCGTTCAATGTGCCCGTGAATGTGAGTGTCAGCTGCGCCTTGCTGCCCTTTGAAAGAGTGCCGTCGAAGGCGACCGTGGTGGTTTGCTTGTCTTCATCGTGGGAGAGAGTAGGCTTGTCGGCAATGGTCTGCTGGCCGCTGGATACAGTCGCGGAGTGGATCTCGAGGTCGGTGGTATTCAAGGCTATCGATGTGGAATCATCGTTCACGTCCAAGCTATGGCAAGATCAGATTTGGGACAGAGGAGAGGGGAAAGCACAGGTGGCGGTACATACTCAATGACAACAGTTCCTTTGTATTTGAAGGTGCCAAAGTCTGGTTCGAGGGTGAGGTCGTAATGGGTAGGCTTGACATTGGTGGGCAGGACCTCACGAGCCTTTGTGATATCGACGGAGGAGCCGTGGGAATCGACGCCGAAGTGCTTGCACATGTTGCGTCGGTGAGAGCAATGTCGAACGGGTACGGTGGTAAGGTTGTTGATGGTAGTACGAGCGGGATTAGGTGGGAGAGTCCGCCGCGGGGTGATGTTTGTGAGGGTAGTAGGAGCAGTAGCTGTTGAAGTGTATGTGGTGGGGTATTTAATGTGAGATGGACTAGAGGGGAAGCTGTGCAGCGACCTCCGGTCGGTCAGTAGCGGCGGAGGTGCCCTGTTGTTACCAAATCCATGACCACGACCACTACTGATGCCACTGGAGATGAAGGACACAGGCAAATGTCTGCCTCCCGTCACAGTATGACTACTGCGAACCGCGGCAGCGCAAGCATTCTGTCTGAAACAACGCATCTTCGAAAAAAACGGTCAACGACAGCCTTTCCCTTGATTGAAGACCGACCCGTTCTGCGGTGAGAGGGTCTGGTCAGGTCGATTACAGTTGGATTGAAAAAAGTTTAAACTGCCTCAGCACTACGAGGATCTACTACTGCTCGGTATCTACCCTACCTACCTACCTACGCGTACCGTGCTACCTACCCATGGGCCATGGCTACCCATACTCGTACCATGTCCACTCCGCACCCTCCGTTCACCCTTTTCTAGCCGCCAAAATTCGATGGCCTTACTGTGTACCTAGAAACTACCGTACAGCATATGGCGCCGGGTCAGTGTCACCTCAGCCGCCTCACTCGCTCTTTCCTTGCCTTGCTCCTCTTTCCTTCCCTCGGCGAGTCAGACGCGTCAGGCGCCCGCACGCACCACCACCCACCCGACATCTTGGCATCTTAAAATCCCTGACCTTCAATGTCAATCGTCCTTTTTTTCTTTTCTTCTTCACATTCACCGCAAGGAAGTCCTCCCAGCACTCTATTGCTTCCCCGCAGAGTTGCTGGCTGTTCTAATGATTCTTCATTAGACCTTGCCAGAAGGACAAAGCACACGTTTGAGACTCCCACGATTTTCCATGGGTGATGAGTTATAGGTTTCGTGCGACATATTCATAGTATAACATTCTCGTGACATACATTGTCAATTATGGATACCGAACATCTACGGAGTACCGAGTACATACGTATCAAATGATATCAATCATGTGAATCACCTTGCCTCGATCTCTCTGTAGCTCTGCGGCAATAGGATGCAGCGGCTTGGTGCACTCCTATGTCGACGATATTCAGAATCGTCCGCATGACTGCCAGATAAAGTTGGCGCTGAAGCACAATTGTTCGCATATCACAGTAGTACAGACCGCATCTGATAGTTAGTCCTCGCCTCCGACATCAGCTCAAGCCTGATGAATACGCGCTGAGTCGTCGAGTCAAGATCACAACTCTTGTTCTTTGGTCGTCAGATAGCCAGGGCTCCTCTTGATACGTCTAGATGACGCGAGGATTGCGCTACGCTTCACCGGTACTTCTCATGGCTGATTGATGATCGAAAACCTGAAAATGCGAAGGGAGGTTCACTGTCAGAATCACTGCTTTGCTCTTTGAGTCGCACTAGCGGATATTCATCCATCAGCACCCTGTTCGTATTCTTACATATGCTGATCACCGACTATTCGGTTCCCTCTGGGGTACTGAGGTAGTGCCTCACTAAAACGATTGTCAGCAACCCCACAAAACACTTTGTTCGGGAATTTATCAATTGACAAGCGTGACAAGTCATCGATCAAGTGATCATGTTAGATGAACCGTCCCCAAGTTATCGTCCCCCGAGTCGACCGTTCAAACATGGGAACAGGGCGAATTGGCCTCCGTGTGATTCATTTCTCATGATAAGTAGCCTCACTCTACCGACCCCGAAGGACAGGCATGCCTACGAAGAGGGCCGATTCCCATGTCAATAGCCAAGGCGGCATTTCACATTTGCCCGATATGCTCCTCACTCAACACAATTCCATCAGCAACACCGAATTCGGATGTACATGCATGTATCACTCGCACTGCTGATGTCGTAACATCTCCCTGCACTCCACACTGCAAGGCCCGCTTTGGATGTCGAGCAGCTGAAGTCTGACCGGGTCTAGAAGTCAGGTCCTTCCAGGTCAATGCTAGGCGACGTCTCATTCGTACCACCTCGAGCCATCTACTCAATCTTGACTCCTTACTCGGACGAATTCGCATTGTGAAATGACATGCGGTGAATGCAGACTCCTTAATCTTGACTGAAGTCAGTATGATCGTCTTTAAACAATCAGACATACCGCCTGTTGGCGCTACGTAGATTCCAAAATGAAGCCGAGTATAAGATCTCCCTTCTCGCCACCAGGTAATAATAGACTGTAGTCTACGGACTATTCCGTCCATGTGTTCCTTCTCGCAGGTTTCAATATACTCATCTGACTACAAAACACTTTACAAGGAACAGTAGTGCCTTCGACAATAAAGCCTGTAGACAACCCCTTTGAGGATAGTAGTTCTGCAGCTTATCGTCGAAATAAGTCGTATGTGTACAACATCTTTTTGATGACTCTGCCGCGAGGATTGAATATGAAAAAAAAAGGGTGGGCGAATGGTCTCAGATGCTTCGAATACTCAGAGGTTCTCTGATTCATCTTCGTTGATCTCTTGATATGTACCGGTGACCTTGTCCCACCATGCTACCTATCTTCATGCTCCAGAATCGAGATTCTTTTGAGTCCGGCGGATAGATGTCTTCGACACGGCCCTGCATAGATGTAATATGATCTCAACCGTTCCACTCCTTGACCAACCCCTGAATACATATTCTCATACATACTCTTCCCTCAACACACTCAAATAACCAAGTCCCGATACTCCCCAGGCACCATCTGGAATGTCGCCTGCACCGGAGCAACAACGTCCTCATAAAACGACCTCCTGAACCCCGGATTCTCAAACGAATGCCTCATCATGCTGGCCCCTCCCCCACCGCCCGGAAACAAGGCACTCAGACACCTATCCACGGCATTTGCATAGCTGGGCCCCGGGTCCAGACAAAGCTCGTCGTACTGTGCCTTCGCGACTTCGAAGTCGTCGATGAGCGTGGGGGCCTGCGTGGAAGAGGTCGAGGTCCGGGAGAATGCGGCGGAGGGCGATGATTGGTAGTCCTGGCGGAGGCGGGAGAAGGGGATGTTGCGTCCTAGTTCTATGAGGCGGATGCCAAGGGTGAAGAGGAAGAGATTGGGGATCTGGGTGCTTTGGAAGGAGGCGGCTGGGGTGCTGGGTCGCGGCGTGGGTGGGTTTGAGGTATGGAAATCGTAGGAGAAGTATGGATGGTCTAGAATGTTGATACTCGTTGTCGTCGTTGTGGGTGTTGTGCTGGTCTGTTGACTCTCGAAGAACATATGGATTGCTTCGTCGTCGAGGGTGCCGGTCAGCCAGGGGGAGTCGCGGAGATGGAGCACTGCCCATGTTAACGCGGCAGCGACACCGAAGCGCTGTTTTCTGGAGAGGCCGAGTCTTCGGTTCGTTGCGATATCCAAAGTCCGGTGGAGGAGGGAGCGTAGGTGTATTGTTCGTTTTGTAGTGGCAGCCGTGCTGCCGGGGATGTCTTCCAACACGACGTGCAGCTGTTTGGCAGGATTAGAGTTTGGAATGGGAAGGTACCCAAGTGATGTATTGGTTATCTGCGTAGTTTGAAGGGCACTGCATAGCTGCAAAGGCCGCACAGATGGTGGGCTTCTCGGGCTCAGCAGCGGGTTGATAATTGTTGTGCTGGAAGCTGTTGCTTTAGCTATCAGTGAGGTCTTTTGACAAGAGGAAATCACAAAGCCGTACCTGATGGGATTATGGTGGACTGACATGGAGACTTCTGCCGACGAGATGGTTCTCTAGTGATATTGAAACCAAAAATACGGACAGTTTTAGCATCAGATTGCCGCAGTGAGGGGTGAGTTATCGACGGGTCGACAAGTGGTGATAGTGTCGGATTTGTAATGGGCGTTGGCGCACGAGAGGTAACGGATGAATGGTTCTTGCCTTCTTCGATAAACATGGACAAAGATTTCCAGGAGACATTGTTGGCTGGGGTCTGTATATTGGTCGCCAGAAGGCAGTGAAAAGCACCTGTGGCAAGCGGTTTGTTCTCATGCCAGTTAAGCTGAAGGTTGCCTCTATGGGCGTCTGGACAATTACATCCTAGGCCAAGGCTAATGGCTTCATGAAGAGTGACAGCGTTAGCTCGAATGGCCTTCGTCCTTTTGTCGTCGAAACGTCCGCGTATTGAGGTTACGATTCGGTTGTGGGAGTCCGTAGGGATCTCTCGTTTCTCAAGACCGCATTTCCTTAGTGCAATGTTGCTAGATTGCAATTGTTTAATAATTTCTTTCCTTTTCCTGGACCCAAAACCTCGTTTTACTCTTCTCCATTCCCATTGTACCCGATCAGATCTCGCATAGGCCCAACTAGGCTGGTAAATGATATTAGTGCTGTATAGATATAGAATAGCTGTCCTTGGAATTCTTACCGGACCATCTGCATCAGGATACAAATTGTTTGAGATTGTATTGATCAGATCATCCATCTCAGAAATGGTGTGCATGAATTGCTCACACTGAAGAGGATGAAACATTTGCAGTGCTAATTCCACCTCAGACATTGTTGGATGTACGAGACCCAGTGCCTCAAGCGTCGTATCCAACTGCTGTTTTTGGAGGAATATATCATTCTTCATTGTCAGGACGGTTTCCTCCCAACGCCAGGCCTGTTTCAGAGGATCCCATACCTTCCCGTAGTTTTCTAAGGCGAAGAGTATGAGAGGAACTGCACCTAGCACTACGCCCGCGGTTTCCATGATGTTAATCTTAGTTAGTCGTTATAGATATAGGTGGATAAGTCGGCGTCAAAGTCTTGCAATTGTCACACGCACCTACATGAAGGTGCGTAGTTCTGAATCCCTCAACAAGGCTGAAATGTAATCACTGCGGCGGGGCACGTATATCTCTCAGCTGCGGGGCATGCATATCTCTCAGTTGCGGGGTCTTGGATTCGTTGACTTCGATGCCTACTTGCAAACATCCAGTCGACTAATAATCGGGTGTCTCCAAATATTCAGCACACATGAACCATATAGATTCAAGGCCTCCACACGAACATGCCAGAACGAGCAGGGTATTCAGACGTGCCCTCATCCATATCGACCATATATAACTCATGCCTTGCACATTTTCGGCATCTGCTCTTCGAGTTAAGTAATGACCCTAGGTTAACAAGTTCGGGGCTATCACGATCGCTCGAGCTCTACGGACGTCTTCGTGCATGGGGCGAGGAAACTCGTGCTATGCTGCCACCTTCTTCGCGAGGATCCCTGGAAGATACTCTCCGGAAGAATGAGTCAACGAAGGAGGTCGCAGTAGACATACTTACCAAGCTAGAGCGTCAACTACGTACAGGTATGTTCTTATGTATGGTACCGAAATGTATAGGTAGCTCATTCACCGTAGCGGTCGAACTCAGCCAAAACCAGTGGAGAGGTGCTGCTGCAGTATCTCAACCGGATTACGAAACATACGACGGAGATGAAACAATATCGTTGAGTTCAGATAGTAGCGATGACAACGAATCAGTACCCGCCAAGAGTCCTCGACTGAACTCGGTATTAAGACATATTGCTGACGATGTTGATTCGCTTTATCAACTCTCACACCTAATCATTCGACCTGGCTTCATTAGAAAGTATCTACATTCTACGAGAGGAAAGGATTTCGATGCCCGTGTGGCACCATTCTACCAGTACGATATCCGTCACGTGGAAGAGAAGTTCCAAGAATGGAGGCAATCAAAGAAGGGGTTGGATGAGCGTGAGCTTGTCACGACTCCTGATGTAATCGTTGGCAGGTCCGCAGGCTCTGAACCTATACTAATACAGCGACTTGCATTGGCAAACACCAAAAGGAGAGAACAACTCTTGTACTGGTCCAGGCATCCAGACAGGGTTGAATCAGAATTAGACCTTGCGATGGACAAATCATCTGTTCAACATCCAACTGACTCAGGCAGTATCCAACGAGACAGGACGGAAACCGAAAGCCAATACTCGAAGTCCATTAAGACACGACACACCTTTTCGAATATTGCTGCGTCGGACATATTTGGAAAGCAGACCGTGGCAGGAACATTATACGCGGAAACAAACGTTGGAAACAAACGACTGAACCGTGTTCCCCCAGTTCCCTCTTCTTCACGAGTTGTGCCCTCCTTTGAATGCCCTTATTGTCATTCCATGCTAGATTCACAAGTAATGCAAAGTCGCCAAGAATGGAAGTAAGAATAGCCCTCTATCGATGGCGCGATTCCGCTCTAACAGCTGTAGGAAACATATATTTCGAGACTTGAGACCGTATGTTTGCACCTTTGAGAGTTGTAGCGACCCCGATAAACAGTATTCCACACGTCGTGATTGGATCTACCACGAAATCCAAGTACATCGCCGACAGTGGGTCTGTGATGAGCATGATTTAAAATTTGAGAGCAAAGCTCTCTTTTCTCGTCATGTTGTCGATCGCCATTCTGTCATAGCTGCCGAGCAGCTTCCAGTATTGATCGACATATCGGAACGGCCACTTGATGGATTAGACATAGTTTCGTGCCCACTTTGCCCCGAAAAGCGCCGACTGATGCTGCTTGAACCACACATTGCCGAACATCTTGAATCTATTGCGTTGTTTGCACTTTCAAGAGATGTGGAAGAGGACGGTGGAGAGGATGCACAACACGTAAACAGCGATTGGAGCTCGTCCACAATAGACGATCCTATCGAGCTCAGTGTAAAAGGGGATGATGATGATGGCGAAAATCATGATCAGCACATAAACAGCGATGTTAATGTGCCCATTGTGTTCGATCCTATCGACTCCAAAGAACAAAAGGATGAGGATCATTCCATAGACCCATCATTGTTCACGGTTGAAAATTCTGCCCCCACATACAACAAACCCGAGTCTGCTCAGCCAATTCCACCAGTTGTACCAGCAGCATTGAGCTCAAAAACTTTCCAGCAACCCATGAGGATAGACATATCAAAGGTTCACGAGACCGAGAGAATTCATGATTACCAACAACAATTTCCAAGCAATCAAATACACGACTCACAGGAAACTGCTGATCGAGATTGGGCAGCAGGGTGGTCGAATTTGGTGCCGGCTTCTCAGAATCGTAAGATACCCACGCCGCCCATAAGTACTTGTTTCGTTGTCGTCGTCTAAGTTAGATTGATAATACTTCCCATCGCTAATATCGCATCTAGCGAGTCCAGACCCGGGAGAAGGAATGGAATCCCAAGACTACTTCTCTGCATCAAGCACTCCTCATCTAAGTAAGTAGTTACAATATTACAGAAAAAATAGCATCTCATGTAATCAAAGGCTACAAGCTTCAAGATCCAGGATTTTTTTGTGTTGGTCGGGTAAGCACTCTTGATGTCGACAACCTTGAAGGCTATAATTGACAAAATCAGATGTTCTCTATGCTCTTTACAGAAGCGTACGGGTCTACAGCAACAGCCGACAATTCCTTCATAAGAGCAGCACCATTCGTCAGCGAGCAGATAGACACACAAATCAGACGATTCATCGTTGTGCGAGTTCCACCCCGTAAGACTTATTTCTATGCGTGGTGAGTCTGGTCATTGTAGCGAACGGTGCCATATCGTTGATAGACTGACATACGCAAAATAGTCCGGTATTCACTTATGGGGGTGGTGCAACTCGAGAAATAGGAGTAGATCCTGAAGAACATGCAGTCGTATATTCTGTTGGAGAACCCCCACAGCTACTAAAGGGAGAGACTCACAAGACCATTGGAGTAATCATGGATAGTAGCGAGCCTGCCCTACCCGCAGCATGCCGCATAAGATTTGGGATTCATGTCCCCGTTGAACACAACGTTAAAGTCAAGAATTTAGGCATGGTTCAGCCAGATGACCTGGCAAGATTGGTTTTTTACTGGCAACAACACACGATAGCTTAACATTTTTGATCAGTTTGAATACTTGACTCTGTCTACCTTTCTCTTTTTCGGGTACCTGTACTATCTTCTCCCCTCCTGATCGAATGTCTCAAGATAGACACGCTGTTTGAAAAGATCTTCTGTCTTTTCGCAATGTGTGCAAATCCAGAGGCGTAGTGGTCATAATGTATCTAGCTATCTGAGTGTGTTGTCGCTAGTACAGTGCCTTTATAAATCTTACCAGAGTCTACTGATTTCTACTTGAAGACATGCAAGCTAGTCAGGGTACTATCAAACCTGTAGAGACTCAGTTTACTCGATTCCCGAAAAGCTAGAACCTTATTAGGCATTCAGCCTTAGCAACTATGAGTTAAGATAATGTCATACAGAGTACACTAAACAGTATTTTCGCAACCACATGTGTAGTAGGTAGTAGCACATCCTTTCATTGATATCTACGCAAGATTTGCAAATAGTGCTATAAGATAATAAGTGCACTAGATCAAGACAGTAGTAGTAATGATAATTATAAAGTTTCTAGTGGAAAAAAAAAGTTCTGATTGAACAACCAACCAGCCCCACGGTTGTGCTGAACACCAGTCACTTGCTAAACACCCGCCAACCACACCCCCAAAAAAAAAACCTCCAGCACCGCAACGCCAACACAACAAACAGAATAGTGATCAAAAAAGCAAAAACAGAGTAATTCCGACACCGGGAATCGAACCCGGGCCTTGCCGGCACTTGAAAGTGTAACTGACTCTCGTGATGAGAGCGGCAAATCCTAGCCACTAGACCATATCGGATGTTTCTTGTTTAATTGATGGAAGTTTTGATCACTAAAAAATACATATTGCATGTGCATTTACCATCTAAAAGGAAAAAGCCCTTCAGTAGTTTACATTGGAGTATAAAATCTCGTTTGCGGTTCAGTCCAGGCGTTGTGTGGGTTTGTACCTTATCTCGCTACCACTAGCACCCCGAAGAGTTTTTTTTGCTATAACCAAAAGATGCGGATCACTACAAAATCAACAACTCTGACTGCGTACCCCTTGCTTTCCCTAGGCCATCTTCTTCATTTATTTTACAGCTTCAAGCCCTTTTTTTTTTTTGAATCGTTCAATTATTTGCTAATATTTTTCGTTTGAATACACCCTTCTGTTTGATTGAGTAAGTTGATTCGTGACACGCTGTCGAAGTATATATACACCATCATGATTGATTCCTTCTTCAATTTATCATGAATGCATTGATATAAGCGGAAATCCTGATAAGGAGTACAGATTTATATAGTATCGACACCGCCTAGAGCTTAAGAACATGATAGTCACTCCGCTCAAACATTAGTCGCCATAGAATGCTTTTCTACCATTTTCTCATCGACCTTCTGACCTTCATGATTCAATGTGGCTGCTACTTTGTCATTCATCAGATCGTCTGTGTTTGGTGCCCACCACGTGAGTATGACAGCTACAGCGGAGAAAGCGATGGTAGCAAGATAGACAGTCCTGAACGCATCCGCATTTGCATCCTGGTATGCTCTCATTCCAAGCGCGAGTATACGGTCTGTGATACCTGGCACATTGGCAAAGGCGTTACCTCCCAGGGGGAGTGCCTGTAAAAACGCCGGTACGCTGGACTCCGGCAATCCTGCAGCGACCACTTTCGGTGGGACTTGAGAAGGAATGGTCTCCCCAAGTCTATTGGTCATGATTGTGGTGTAGATAGCGACAAGAACGGCACAAATGGCCGCTCGTACAGATCCAGCTGTTCCACCGGCAACGCCGATTTCACGCTGGTCTTCGACAAGAATCGTTGCATTGGCGAGGCAGATCGACTCATTCCATCCGATGAAGATACATCCAAGAAGTATGAGAGAGAGAGTAGCGCCAAAGTTGTCCACATTTGCAATGGCAGCAGCTACGATATGTCAGTGATCATTATAAATCCGAATTGATGCTTAGACGTACCTCCGAGGAAGATACCACCAAGAAGAAAGGCAACCATGCACTGAAAACGCGTCTTCCCGATAGGTACTGCCAGGAATCCTGCGATGACTTGTCCAGTGATTATCCCAAGCCCTACAATAGTGCTCATGTATCCAACTCGCATAGTATCTCCATTTCCGTAGAGAACTGCAGCTTGAGCAGGCCATACGATCGAGAATGCATAATAGACGCCAGCTCCAAGACCCAACAGTACAACAGCTGATACCCAGCGTCCATTCTTGAAAAGATGCATGGGAATAAGTGGCTCCTTGATGGGTGCATAGATCTCCCATAGAACAAAGGCGGTCATGACCGCAAAGCCGACAATTATGGCAGCAATGACAGCAGCTGACCTCCAGGGATACACTGTGCCACCCCACGATAATCCCATCAAGAAGACGATGAAGCCGCTGGCGAATAGGAATGTACCAATCCAATCGAAATGCTTGAGCCAGTACATTTTGCTACGGTTCTCGTCATTCCTGTGCTTCTCGTCGAACGTTGGTGGGAAATAAAAGGCTGTCCAGCAAATGAAAGCTGCAGAATTCAAAGCAAGTAAAAGCCAGTATACACCTCGCCAGCCAACACTGGGATAGTGTGCAATGAAGGAAGCAGATATAGCTGGGCCCATACCAGATGAGCTATAAGTGAATGCATAGATGATGCCAATAGCGACATATCGATGCTTCATTGGTACGAGCTCGCCGATAACGAAATGGAAGCTAAGCTGTGTGGCGCTTGTAATTGTTAGAATTTTGCAGTCCTTTAAGCAAGAAGTATGACAACTTACGTAGCAGCTGCTAGAAGTACATTGCCGCCAATCTTTGCATGTTGTTAGTGTCGGCTCAGAGTCCTTCACTGATGTACGCACCAGCGTGGTGATATCCTGTGCAGTAGCACAAACGATGCTACCTATGATTGCAACAATCGCACCACCCACGAAGAAGTATCGACGGCCAAAAATGTCCGAGAGACGCCCAACAGGAGAGAGGAACACGGCCAAAACGGCATTGTAAACGAGTGAGATCCAGACATATCGGTCGTCGGGTCCAATATCAGCATTGATCACGCCCAGGATTGGGGCCGCGAATCCAAAGGCACCTGTCTATAGGACTGTTAGTGCCCGGGTATTGAAATTACACAATCTGTCACTTACGCCGCATATGATCGCTAGACCAGTGGCGAAAAAGGTTCCGACGAAGAAGCGACTGGTATAGTACCCTTTTGGCAAGGCTGCATAATCGACCTCAAACCCGTGAATATCGTTTGTCAAGGTGTGCTCCAATGAATTTCGCTTCTCGCTTGAGGCGATATGTTCATTGTGTATTGGCCCAGCCTTGGTGGAGGCATGGTCTTCCGTTGTTGTCATGTTGCTCTGTGGTCAAAGCAAATGGTAAACGCAGTACAATGGGGAACCTGAGCGTGACAGCAATTCAATTGATGAGAATTTCAAAACTATTTTCCGACAGATGCCGCAGATCTGGGGGATTCAAGAGGAAACAAACATAATATATCAGACCAGTCCAACTTCGCCCACCCTCCACACGATGCGGAGAACTCCAAGCGATACCAGGTGGGGGACAAGAATTGGGATATTTGGCAATGAACTAAGCGTTCCCAAGCCTGCTCCATTGGTTCGAATGGGTGAACTAGACAGTGATATGACTATGTGATAGATACATGAAGGCGGCCTGATGTTGTCGCTTATCGCGTATGCTCGGAGCACTGCTAGACTCTGGGGTAAACGTCCCGTATGTCTGGATACTAAAGTAAACTAATCGAGTCAAGCTCTCATTATTATGGAGAGTGCATGTGGAGAATCCGGGGTAATGCTGATTTTGGGTCTGGACAACGCGAATCATTGCGGGTGACGATATCCGGCTATCTAGTTTCTGACTGACCATAGCTTCGGGGAGCCCCTTATGCCCACGAAGCATAGAGTCCACGCTTGGCCTTTGTCGAATGTTTGACATTGATCACGTTTTATTATATCATTCATCTGACCAGTCCGAGATATTCTTTGGTGCCAGCCATTGCAAAGCCTTGGTGAGTGGACAGAAAGATTTTTTCTGAACAGCAAAGAGTAACAATGTAATATTCCCTAAACAGATACAATCACGGAATGAACATTTGATCTGCATCTAGTAAGATCCATTTTATTAACATACGAACTATTCACAGACCAGAGGGAAACATAGCAGGCACCGTTTTCAGAGATATGCATGGATGTGGCAATTATTATCCTGCAACGAGGGTTGAATTGTAATGTCATTCAAGTATAGGATATAATGGATTGCTTTGTTCAAATACGAGCTTCTTGGATGGAAGAGGCGGCAGGAAACAACATAATAGTTTTCTTGTAAATATCCGACTCTGAAATGGGCCAGATCTGCAAGACTCTTTCGAAAAAGCAAAGAAATCTTAACATTTACGCTTTCTTCACTTACGCCTGGAACCGGGTAGTCTTGAAACGAACGCGCCTTCGAAAAAGGCAAGCCAGGGACACGTGCATACGTCATCAACCATAGGTAGTTTATGTCAACATTGATATCGCTCGGTAAGACTTCGAGACTGGTCACTTACACTATAAAACTGGTAAGACTTGGATGCATAAGTGTTATGACCCTGACAGGCGCTGGCCGCCTGTTTCAAAAATGACCAACAGGCTTGGGTCTGGAGTCCTGATGCAGGTATGAGTACCAGAAGTGATTCCACACCGCTCTCTAGCAAGCGATCGTAGATTTAGTCCTCAGAGTACCGCCACCGTACCCTATCCTTGTATGAACATGGGAAGAGCCGTTTGGTGCTGTTCTCGAGCCACATCATAGATCTGAAGCGGTCTTGCTCGCCTCAAGAGCATCTATTTCTTCCGAGATTTTATTTAGCATCATTTGAGTAGGACTGGTGTTACCGAAGTGGCGTGGACTTTCGAAAGGGGTTCCGAATTTTGTACTGTTTTGTAGACATTCCTCACTTAAATCCTTGCGTAAAAGCACAGTCCTTTATCGATATTTTGTGGGTTGATATTATACATTATTGTGGTAAGGAATGACTACGGTGGGAAAGGCAATATAGCAGGCATTGTTGAAGTTGGCTTCAGCTTTCATGATTGATAGTCTATCCTACCCAGTGTATGAGATAACCTTGCAGGCTATTGACCCCGCAAATAATGATAGCTAAGCTAAGTGAAATATGTCGAATGCTTTGATGATATTCCAGGTCATCTGAGAATGTGATATAAGCCAATAAATGTCCCCCCAAGTCATGTCATATCCAGCAATTTTGGTGTAGCTTGACAGACAGCGGGACAGAGAGGCCGAGTGTTCAGCTGCGTGAATTGTTCAAATAATTCTCCGCAGCTTGTCCGATCCTATTGCTGATGACGGTGTTCGGTGTGTTGGCTACTCGTTTATCGCATCGTCATCATCGTAGGCAGGTGCCGACTGGATAAGAAGGGGGGTGTCATGCGGTCCACCAAGCCTGCGCCGTTTTCCAAGAAGAGTGGCTCGCATGCGAGCTGTGCGCAACTCGGCCTCAGCCAGCTCAAGGTGAGCTTGAAGCTCTTCCACAGACATGTCGTCCAATTCATCGGCATTAACAGGGACGGCGCTGACGCTACGGTCATAGGATTCTTCGCTGCGTGCTGGGTGGGGGTAGTTGTGTCTTCCAGGTCGCTCCCAGCCGACGCTTGGGTCACGACGAAGTCGCTTGGTTTTGCCTGCAGAAGTTAGCCATCATCAATTTGATTAAAGTAATCTAATGATCCGTTAAGAGGGTCTGTGTAGCTAGTAAAATGATGGTGGAGTTTGCATAGATGGGAAAGTTTGGACTCACTCTTTCGTCCGCGGTTCGTTACCTGGCGGGCTTGGAAGCGCTCACTGTCGTTTTCTGCATTTGACCTGCGGCCGCGCTTCCTAGGTCGCTCCTCCAACTCTACCAGCTCCTCTAGCTGATAGTCATAATCCGACTCTGAGGCTTCTTCTTCTTGCACATCAAGTTCCTCCTCTGCCCGCTCAGGCTTCTCGTACCTATCCTTGATCTCCTTGATGTCGGCCAACCGAACCCACGGGTGCTTTTCCTCATGTGGCAGTATCTGAGCCCTGATGGATATGTTAGTTTCTCTAGACGGTGTATTTCCAGAATGATTGGCGGCACAACTTGGCAGAAGATGTGACAAAGAGACCACCGAACTGCTAAACATACCTCAAGTCAGCTTGGAACTCGGCAAGGTTTCCTTGCTTCAAGCGCGAGATCGTGATGAGATCCTTCAAGAGTTGAACCCCCCAGTTGCGAGGATCATCCTCCGCGGCGTCCTTGATATGTTCACGCCGCTCACAGTCCCATTTGCGCATACGAATGTCCTCCGGAATGACTTCGATGACATCCTCGATCTCGAAGTTTGATGCGATGCCGGGCAGAAGACAGTTCACCAAATCTTTGGTATTGGAATTGAGGGTTTCGTAGCGACCCATTTTGCCTGTCCTGAAGCCCTTGGTGGAATCGAAATCGAAGTAGATGGCACCTCTCAGCTAACGAGGTTTGCGCCTTCGGGGTAGAAGGTTTGTGATTCCAAGTTGAAAGCTTTCCCTTGAACTGCCTTGTAGATGGTCTCGAAGAAAAAGGCTGGAAAGGTGAAGGAGGCGCTGGGGTAGAAATAGAAAAATCCAAAACTCCTATAGAAGAAATAAGCTTAATTTTCACCAATAATGATGCCTAAATTACGTGCTCAACCGCACTTGATCATCGTGTCAAGTGATAATTCAAGTGAGAGTCGGCGCCCAGGAAATAAAGTTGGTCATCAGATTGAGAATCAATCTCAGTTCGTTCAGAAATCTTGACACATGCCATTTTTCTTCATGGCCTTTAGTCTACGTCAGTGAAAGGCAAATTCCAGTCTCTGAATAGTGAGAACATGATTTGATATGATACACAATTCTGATCATTAGTGCAAGACGGAGGTCTCATTATTGAGTAGCAACGGTATGATGCTTTCAAGGCAATGATAGCCTTTCTTTCCATGCCTTCGGACAATGATAACTGCTCGAAGTTGTGAGCGTACGACTCAATTGGGAGTTATCGGGCTCATATACTCATTGCTGTGTTCGTTTTAAGAGGATTGAAAAGTTACTTGTGGCACGAGAGAACATCTTTTCGTTGATGTTAAAGTATTACTCTAGTGTTTATGTAAACGAGCACCGCTGTACAAGTATGTTAAACAGAGGAACACTGAGGTAGAATACTGTGTCTCTTAACAAAAGAAATACTCGGATCAGCATGAGCGGACCAGAATTACCTCTTGAAAACCCGACGCCCATGATGAGAAGATGATGGTTGTTGTTGTAGTACAAGTCGGCTAGACTTACTCCTTTTGTATTCGAATATGTATATGCAGCTCTCACCTTTGCTCACCGAGCCGAGCCGTCCACTTCCCCACCCACATGAACCCACCGTGCAGTTAGACATGAGAAAGAGGGAACGCTCCGCTACCCCAGCTGACTCACTGGAGATATTTCGGTCCAAACGTATTGAGGATCGAGAATCTGTCTTCGTTGCTGCGTTTTCTCCTACGCTCCCCGTCAAGACATTGCAAGGCTTGGACGAGTTCGTCACAGCAACACATCGCATTGCAGCATGGAGGAAGCCCTCCCGTCAAAGGTCTCTCAGGCCGGAATCCATGGTTCTGTATGACCTAGGTCATGATGATGACGGAGAGAAGTGGGCCGGTTCACGACTGAAGAGCATTCTTGAAGACATGAAGGTGGAAGGTGTCATCGTTGTTGCAAGATGGTATGGCGGACAGATGATAGGACCCGCCAGGTTCGCTCACATTGAAAATACCGCGAAAGAGGCAGTCCGGAAGTGGCAGAGCGCTCGTGAAGAACTGAAAACGGAAGAAGCAGCCAAGAGAAGGAAAGTGGAGCAGGATGCAGAGCGCCAATCGCTGGAGTTAATTCTCAAGGAAAGAGACTCAAACATTTTCGCGCTCAGAGGTCTACTTGCCCGAAAAAAGGCCAAATTGGAAGACACAGAGGTGGCCCCGTTGACACCTCAAAGGCCCATGAACTACGCATCTATGTCTCTTGAAACGCTCAAGAGGCAGGAAAAGGCTAGAGATGCCACAATTGCGTCAATTCTGCATAGAATCAACGATGTCGAGGATCAAATGAAAAAGATGGATGCTCTAGAAGACGCGAAAGATGATCTGTTCGACGGGATTGAAAGCAAATGACGATTATTGTTAAAAGACGAGGATGAACCGGACCTTTGCAGAGCCGCCGAGAAACCGAGCCATTGCAGTATGGTTCAGTGCGAACTCTTTGGCCAAAAAAATATTGACATGGTCCGAAGCAGCTCGCAATCAAGCATGATGCTATCCATTGATGACAAATTCTCAGTCCTCTTATGGACTCTCATAGTGCATATTTTTGACGAGCCAGGATTCGTGTGAGCCTTGCTCGGATTCCATCTGCGGATCTGACAGAAGCCAACGAATTACTCCTTTTCGGTTTGATGGCTTTTACAGACGACGAAACGATATTGACATACCCGTTCTTTGAGGGAAGACTCCAAAGAATTTTTCGGTTTTATAATTTGGTATCTGGCTACATGTGTATGGTGTGGGTCATGCTAGCACGCCTATTGTACATAACAACTCAGAATATAATATTCTACTTCACTTGCCAGGCTGGATTTGCCCAGCAGTATGACTAGTAATTTTGATTCGATATTCCATAGGTGATGGTGATGTACAGTATGTCTACAATTGTATGTCTTGACAAAAGGCTGCGCCATTGTATGCATAAGCCCCCTCTCTTTCGATGCCTTTCATCGTCATTCGCATAATTGCTGCCGATTTCATAATATGGTGCTGTGATGGGCTATATGTACAACCCGAAAACCTACTCCGACTAACGGATCCCTTCCCTTGCGATAGATAGCTCAATGGCTCAAATTCCATCGTCCCTTCAAGATCCTTCGCATCAAAAGCTTCCGCCCCTTCTTCGTCTTGAGCCTCGATAGGAAACCATGCCGCCTCTTGCGTACAAGCTGACTGGGATTGTATGTGTTTCGCGGTCCACATCGCACCTGTGTTGTTGCGAGACCGGGATGAGAGGATATCTTTTGTGCAAGGTCCAAGGCTTCTGCAGATGGGATGGCATTCGTTGCCGTGCTGGGAAGCGCCGATGCGGGAACCACTGGTCTTCGCATAGCCAGAAGAGATATTGAGCGTGTCGCCGAGGGAGCAGTTTGTCTGAGGGCATATTAGCAGGTGCTCCGTAACTATGAGATGATTCGATCCATACCGTTGCATTGCAGACATGACCCCAAGAGACGGCCTTAGGAGCGTTGCGCCAGACACTGCCGGCCGAGCAACGACTCTCAAGCACTGGAATGCGTTCATACTTGTCGATTGGGCCCTTTGCGACTCGGGACCACTCCAGATGTTGTGTGCTTAACGTTTCGCTGAAGTTCATCGTCAAGCTCGGAGGTCCGCAAACCAGGGCGCGCTAAAATCTTGGCGCCCAAAATTCCGATTAGAGTAGGCAAAATTATCGATAGCCACTTCGACTTTTCCCCGCCAAAAAGTTATACTTTACGAAGCACGAACGTCAACCCACCTCGAACCGCATAAATCGGCGCACTCAGTCGCAGGACACTTTAGGAAAGAAGAGAGATCAGGAAAGAGAAAGAAAAAATGCCGGCCCCAACTGCGCTCCAGCGCCGCCCAGAAGAATTGGCAGAGAACATCGCAGCGGACCAAGACATGGCCATGACCACTTCGCTACCCACAAATGAGGATGGATTGATCGATATGAGTGTGCTTCCAGCGGACGGCCCTTCCGCACCCATCCCTACGATTTCGAATGCGCCGGAAGAGAACTCCGAGGATATCACAATGAACGAGGATGGAAAGGCAATTCCACGATTTGCCCCAGACACACATGTTGTGCCGTTGAGTTTTAAGCGCGAACTGCGAAAAGTGCCTATCCCACCTGTACGTAACGAACAGCCATATTAGGAGGGCATGTCTGGATTGTAGTTAGGTTCCAAGAGTGGAACACGAGTGCAAAGCAGACATGTCTTGCTCATACCTCCATTGAGTCCCCGGGAAGCCCAAAGAAAGTTTCAAGATATACTGACGCTTGACTTATAGCACCGACTCACTCCTCTCAAAAACGGTAAGTCCAGCAATTCGATCCAGAACCACCTTATACTGACATGTTGTCCAGCATGGCCCAAGATGTACCCACCACTCGTCGAGCACTTGAAACTACAATGCCGAGTCAACACCAAGAGCAAGGCCGTCGAACTGCGAACGAGCGAACAGACAACCGACATTGGAGCGCTGCAGAAGGGAGAGGACTTCGTCAAGGCATTCACACTGGGTTTCGACGTAGACGATGCGATCGCGTATGGCTCACCCTCCGACAAGGGAAACTTGTGGACTACCTCTCAACGAAAATGCTGACGATTTCCCGCTAGGCTGTTGCGATTGGATGATTTGTACATTGAGACTTTTGAAATCAAGGAGTAAGTCTATCAGGGCGCGTAGAACAACCTCCAGAAACACAACTAACATGATTCGTAGTGTAAAAACTCTCAACGGGTAAGAAAAACTCCCCGCCATACGAAAGACACAACACCACTCTTCTCTTCGACAGCAATCAAGTCGTAAATCCCGACCAATCAATGATCATCCACAAGCTAACCGCTTCCCCAAAACAACAGAGACCATTTAGCTCGAGCAATCGGCCGTATCGCCGGAAAAGACGTAAGCATTACCCCCCCCCCCCAGCTCCCTCCCACCTCACCTCAAAAATCCCACTGACATCTCTCTTCTTCGCAGGGAAAAACCAAATTCGCCATCGAAAACGCCAGCAAAACCCGCGTCGTACTCGCCGACTCCAAGATCCACATCCTCGGTACGTCCATTCATCACCCTCCCCCTCCCCAATTTCCCCCTCTTCACAACACACCTAACAGACGTTCAAAAACTAACGAGTTTATGCAGGCGGTTTCCAAAACATCCACATAGCACGCGAGTCCATCGTCTCTCTCATCCTGGGCAAGACGCCCGGAAAAGTGTACGGCGGCCTGCGCACCGTCGCCGGCAGGATGAAGGAGCGCTTTTGAATGACTTTGTTAACATGACATCACGACCCCCTTGTCATGCCTCTTCCCACCCCCCACTTGTTCGTTATTCTGCATTTCCCTGGCGTTTTACCTCACTTTTTCATCTATTCCTTATGGTGTTTGCTCAAAAAAGATATGAGGGGTCAACGATGTGTGGCTGGCTTCGGCTCTCTTTCTGGGGACTGAGAGGTTGGTTTTATATATAGACCGAGAGAGAGGCGGCGTAGAGAAAAATGAATTTCATACATGAACGAACCATGATATGCATGCATTGAAATTGTTGTCTACTTCACCGTCTACCGATCACTTGGAGGAAAGAACCGACAGAACAGCGGCGAGTATGCCCGTGAGTGAGTGTATAAATGTGAATTGACGATATTTGACGACATGGCTAGAGTTTTCGAGGATCTAAGCTTTATTAAAACTACGTTGTTTTTGTTTTCCTTTTGTTCACGCCCTTCCCTCTCTCTCTTCCTCTTCTCTTTTTCCATTTGTCTACTCTGTCTTGGTTTTGTGAAAGAAAAACGCTCACGTCTGGGCGTGCGTAGCGTGGCGTGGCTATTGGGGAGATTAAAACAAAGTATAGCGTGTTGGGTTGGTGTTGTTACAGTGGTCAAAGACGTGGTAAAAGTGAGTAGTGAAAGGTGGAGAGACAGATTAGAGAGAAGTCAGACGCAAGAAGAGCAGTGGAAGTAAGGCGAAGAAACCATGAAATGAGAAGAGGAACGAAAAGGACGCCAATATGCGGCCCCGCTCGTGAATAGTCCAAATATATACATACACGAGAAGGAAAATAGAAACTTGATCCATGAAGGAGGTGCAGTACGACAAGAAACCAGAATCCCAAGAGAAAATGATGAAACCCAATGCAGAAAACTAAGTAGCGGAATAGAATAAAAAATGAGAAGAAAATGAACCTTCTAGGTGCGAGAATCGAAGAAATGAACAAGAGAAGGAAACTTATGCGTCGGTCTCCCAAGGCCTCCAGAACTTCCAGCCTTCTCTCACGTCTCGCGGTAGCTTTCTGCGGGCGCTGCTGATGACACCTACTAATCGTTCGATGCCTTCTGTGCCTTCGGCTCGGAGGAACTTCTCCTGGTCGATCTCCTCACCACCCTCTTCTTCGTTGCCGTTGTGCAGAACGGCAGGCCAGAGGACTCCGACACCGTCTCCCGCGAGGGTAATCTCGAACTTCTCGAAGCCCTCGTTCTCAAGTTTTACTTCGAGAGTGTCGAGGATCTTGTGCTTGAGCTTGGTCGTGTTGGAAATGATGCTGGCGCTGCAATCGGCCTCCTCGCTGTCTTCAGATTCGTCGGAGGAACTATCCGAATGGTGGAGTCCGTTGCCGTTGCCGTTGGGCTGAAGGGAAGTCGGCTGTGGTTTAAGGATCGTAATGGCGCAACCACCGCCTCCAGCACCTGTCAACTTGGTCCAGCCGATGCCGGTATGGTCGATAAGCTCGCGAATGCGCTCCAACTTAGGATGAGAGACTCCGAGAGAAACGAGGAGACCGTGGTTGATAGTGATGAGGTCACCGAGGTGCTTCAAGGCGGACGGAGAGGGGTTTCGTGGGTTGAAGCCTGGAGAGGTGAGGAGTCGGTGGGCGGACTCGGTGATCATGCCTATCGAATCGAGAACGTTCTCAATGAGAAGTGGGTGAGTCTCCCTCAAGGTAGCAACTTTGGCAACCTCAGTCAACGTGCTCCTCGACTGGCGCGTGTTGACCAGAAGGAGGGGCAGCTCAGGGAAGTTCCAGATGGGGGCAACCATAGGCGGTTTGGTATAGTCCCTTCGCTGGAAAAGCACGGCCTTTCCTCCGGCGGAAACGGTGTTGTCAACGCCAGAGGGGTTCCCGTGAATGCACATCTCGCCCACAAACGCCCATCTGTTGATTCGCTCGATCTGGAGCTCACATTCCTGTGCTGGCTGGTCCTGGTGCGGTCCGCTCAAGGCTCGGATCTGGAGGAGAAGAGCAGCGCTCAAACATACTGAGATACTGGCGCTGCTGCCGAGGCCGGCGCCAATTGGGATCGTCGAGCGGAGGGTGTATATGCAGGGCGGCGATCTTCGCGACGCGAGCGAGCAGTAGAGGTAGAGGAACGTTGTGGCGGATGCCTGATGGATCTTGCGCGTAGATTCAGGGACATGGGGGGAAACAACGTCAACGTGCGGTTGCAAGGCAGCTATGAAGTCCGGGTCCAGTGTTGTTACGAGGTCGTAGTAGTTCCTTTTCTTGCCCTTTGCGGAGAAGACTTCCCAGGGCAGTTCGTCAATGTTCCAGGTATGCTCGAGGTTGATGTCTGGGAATCGTAGGGAGACGGTACGATGCGATTTCGAGAGAAAGGAGACGAGTAGGTATGAACGAAGGGAGATTGCAGCAGCAATTGCGGCCTACCAATGACTGTTAGCCTATGTTGAGTCGTCCATTGGATTGGGAAGGAATTGATCCAAAAGTGGAAGGGGGTTTGCTCCTGGGCGCAACTTGCCTTGCCGTGAACGACCGCATGTTCGCCATAGACAATGACCTTGCCAGGCGCAGATACCATGAAGGAAGGCATCATGGGAGAGGATTGCTTCCTCTTCATGAGGGGAGCGTGGCCATTGAGGCGAGTCGCGGCGGGCGTGGGAAGCTGCGAGAGTAATTGCGCAGGCATTGTGTCGATTGGAGAGTGATCTGGAGTTTGAGTGGCATGCGATGAGGTAGAACGTTGGGGTTTAAGAGGATCTGTCGATGGGTGGGAGTGGTGGTCAGCTAAGACAGGCGTGTATGGATTGGTAAGGTAAGGTATGGGAGGGAATTGCATGTAGGATAAGGGCAAGGAAGGGGTAGAGTACGGCAGAGATTCAAGACAGAAAAGAATCTGAGTAGAGAGGAGAGTACAGTAGAGTAGAGTAGGTATGTACCGTATGTACCGGCTGACGATACGGATGGGATAGAAAAAGGTCGGACGTACCAGGAGCACCGTGATCCTGCCTGCGGATTGATCCGTTGGTTGTAGCCATGACGAAGCGCATGTAATGTACGCACAGACGGATTATGAAAGCGAAGAGGAGGAATTGATTGAACGAGTGAGAGAGCGAGGATGTTTTTTTTCTTGGGGCGGTTCGGCGTATGCGTGTGTATGCGTGTGTATGCGTGTGTATGGATGTGGGTGGTACTGTAGACTGTCGACTGTATGTTGTGTGGTGTGGTGTTTTTCTTTTTTGGGCGGAACAGGAAGGGGGGGGGGGTGGCCGCCGCGTTGCTGGGAGCTGGGAGATTTGAGTTTGGGGCAGCTGGGCTGGATGCAGGCGGTCGCAGTCTGTCTGCAGTCTGCACTCAGTCACACTACTCAACACTCGTACTAACCACCTGGATTACAAGACCCAGACTCACAGCGTAAGGTAAGGTAAGGTACGGTATAGTAGAGTAATTAGGCGCAGTAGGAGGCCAGCTGGACTGGGGGTTGGGTAAAGGGTAAAGACAAGGTAAGGGGTTACAGAAAAAGAGCGTGCTGTATCAAGGACTGTGGAGGCAGCAGTACTCCGTAGTAGTAACAGCAGCTAATTAGACAATATGAGGCGAGTACTCCGCAGATGGGTAGGTAGTTAGGAGATGGGGAGTGTACAATTAATGAATGATATGGACGAGGATCAAAGAAAAAGGGTTGTGGTAGTTAGTTATTGGATCTTGGTGATAACTAATAACGATCCATGGATGGGCAGACAGACTTGCAACTCATCTTATGACCTTACGAGTCTATGGGTTAATAGTTAGTTATGAGTTAGAACTAACTCTAACCAACTACTCCGTACCTACAGCAAGGCTCAAGCAAAGGAAACCAACGAAGGGCATTCCCACAACGCTTGAGCCTTGAAGACGCTTGTAGGGGGTAAGTTTCCCATCATTTGACCACTGAGGTTAGTTGGATTGTCGAGGACGAAGGACTAGATCCCCCATCATTATTACCCAAGGACGTGGTAAGTGGTTCGCATAGTCAGTCTCGACATATCTTGTCCTTTCCATCTCGTTTCCCCTCTTTGGCACGGCATCTAACTCGACTGTCTATCTCCATCTAATGATAATTTCTTATCAAGTGTTGGTTGGTTGTTTATGGAATTGACGCACTGCAAGGCATGGCACATGGTGGTGGCAGTTGGATTGGAGTGCGTAGTGCGTGGTTCTTTGTTGAATCCTTGTCCTGACCGTCGCCCGCCCGTCTCCGCCGCCTCCTCCGCCCACAGCCGCGCCCAATTCGCGTCCTCAACCCCCCTCCCACTTCCCACTTGCCCCCCAGTAGACGCAGTAACCCCCCGGTAACTACTCCCCCCAATCCCCTTCCCCCTTGGCCTGGTGCCTTGTCCTGTCCTCCCCTTATCCCTCCCTCCTCTCATAAGCTCATAAGCTCATAGGCTGGAACGATTGGACAGACCATGACTCCCATGGGTCTCTCTGTGCGTGACCTGCAAGGAACAAACCCAATCTGACCCCGGCCCAGCGCTCTGGTTGCCAGTTGCCTTCTAGAAAAACACTCATCTTACGGACTCTACACTGACACTTTGCCTCTTCCAGTAATCCCATTCACACATCCATCGTGCATCTTGCATCACTTCTCTGCCGTGCCCCCATTCCATTGTTGTCCTGATCATCGCATATCCACTTCCATACGTCACACTCCACACAAATTCAAAAACAAATTCAACACTTATTGTACTGTTATGTACTCGCTAATGCAGACAACATTTTCCTTGTTCGTGAGTTATAATTGTAACTACCTAAACTACTAGTAGTTACTCCGTACCTCGTATGGAATTGCCTCTCCCTTCAGCTCAGTTCAGCCCTGCGGAACACGTCGAATGAATAGTCTCAATCATCCTCAGCCGGAATGGACTCACCGTCCCAGTCATCATCTTTCTAAGGTTCCATGAGTCTGGCTTAGTACAGTGGTTGTACGGTTACGGTACAATTCCATACCAACACAATTGTCATCTTTATCGCCGACCGTCATGTTTCACTATCTCCACGAATGAACTGCCCGTCGGACTTTTTTTCTTTTCATTCAATGTCCAGAACCCTTTCTTCAACCCCCACTTTCGCTAATACTTGCTCCATACTCTACCCAAAGTCTTCAATTGTGTGTCTCCGTACATGTACTGTACCTACACCTACCTACTCCGTACATCACCACCTATCAGGACCATCACCTAGGCTTCTCAACATCCATCTCTACCCATCTTGAGGATGTTGGGGCTAACCGCCCCTACCTAAGAGCTGAATACAATACCCAGCCCTAGGCTGCTAGGCATCCCCGCTGCCTCGCCCGCCTCGCCCGCCTCGCCCGCCCCGCATGCGCGTACTCACCGACTGCCTTCAGCCTGTATTCCATGTACTGGCTGCCTTCAGCCTGCAGTAGAGAGGCAGTGTGCCGCTTCGATTGACCATACATTCCTGAGATCGCGATGGCCATCACTTGACTGCAGGCCCAAGAACATTGATTACGCCATGATTTTTCCCATACAGGTAATCCCAAGTCACTCAGCCACAACACCACCACGCAAACGCAGTCCCTCAATCTGTGAGCCGCCAAACCGGAAATGGCACCGGACATATCGACGCGTGTTTGTCCCTAAAAGCCGTCTCTACGCGGTACTGTAATACTCGTACCGTACCGTACCTGTAAGCCATCCGAAACAACCCAAGAGACGGTAGCTCGGCCGATCAGGAATAATATATCATCTCGAACCAACAGTTGTTCTATCTTTTTTTATTCAATCAATTCGAGCGTCCTCGCACTGTGGAGCTTCATGAGGACCGGACGCATACATTCCCCGAATCCAAGGACAGATAAGACTAGACTCCCGAACCCGACTCTATCGACGAGACATCCCGTACAGAAAATAAAAGCACCTGTCATGATGCTTGCCGCCGTCCCTTATCAAATTCGTGCCCTATAGAGAATGACATCTTGGGGAATGTACCATCATGCCTCTATGTATAACTATGTAAAACATAAAGTCACCCCTGTACAAACGCTCAACATACCGACAAAACTATACTGAAGAGCCTCCCGAGCTATTATTATCTTCTAATTACATAGAGACAAACATCCCATAGTTAATCATAACATAATGGAATATCGGCTACGGACTCTGGGTCGTACGGAATTTCTGATGGACCGATCGCGTACCTTACTCTCATCGTGTTCCGTGTACTGAGAATACAGCTTACAATGACGTTGGTTGGTCCAAACATCCCTGTACCTATTAGCTCAGCCTTGCCCCAACACCGAAACTTGTCCTCTGTTGCGCCTGTGGAGCTTCTTGTTCACTCCAATTCAACAACAACATTAGAAAATTCAGTCAATCGCAATGATCCAGGCTCTCCTTCAGGTAACACTACAGAACGATGATTTCCGACACAATGTCAAATGCTGATTCTCGGAATAGCGCCTGGCCCGATGGCTGGACCGGCCCTTCTTCCCGTGGAAGAAGCTCGTAGTCGGCTTCTCCCTTGCGCAGTTCACTCTCGAGAATTGGCTGATGTTCCGTCAATTCAAAGTCCTCCAAAAGAAAACCGTCCCGAAGGCCCTCGAGAAGGAAATCGACCAGGAAACATTTGACAAGTCCCAGGTTCGTCGTACTGCCTGCGTTGCGCTGCCCCACGCGACCAACTCCCGCTTACATTTCCCCACAGGCATACGGTCGCGCGAAGGCGAAGTTCAGTTTCTTCTCCGGCCTCTTCAACCAGATCCAAAACCTCGCTGTCCTCTATTTCGATGTAATCCCCCTCGTCTGGGGCGTTGCTGGTGCAATTCTCGCTCGCTATGCTCCGGCAAGCCTTTCGGGCGAGATCCCACATTCGCTGGTCTTCATATACTTGTTTGGCTTGATTGATTTGGTCCTCGGTCTTCCTTTCTCCTACTACCACAGTTTCGTGCTAGAGGAGAAGTTTGGATTCAACAAAATGACCGTCAAACTATGGCTCACCGACATGATCAAGGGTCAAGCGCTCACCATTGCATTTGGCATCCCTATCGGTAGCGCATTCTTGTCCATCATCAGGCGGACCGGCGACAGCTTCTTCTACTACCTCTGGGTCTTCATGTTCTGCGTCCAGATCGTGGCCATGACCATTTATCCCGTCTTCATCGTCCCCATGTTTAACAAATTGGAGCCGCTCAAGCCCGGCAAGCTCAAGGAAGCCGTCGAGGCACTTGCCACGAAGCTCAAGTTCCCTCTCAGCGAATTGCAGGTCATCGATGGCAGCAAGCGAAGTGCGCACAGCAATGCCTACTTCACCGGACTCCCCTGGGTTGGCAAGAAGAAGATTGTCATCTACGACACTTTGCTCGAGAAGAACACGGACAAGGAAACTGAAGCCGTGCTTGCACACGAACTTGGACACTGGAAGATGAATCACACTTCGCGACTTTTGTTCATTAGCCAGGCTCATCTGTTCTACGTATTTGCATTGTTCTCCGTCTTCATCCATAACAAGTCTGTCTATGCAGACTTTGGCTTCCTCCGAGAGCAGCCAGCCATTATTGGTTTCGTCTTGTTCAATGAGATTCTGTCGCCGACAGATTCCATCATCAAGCTCCTGATGAACATCTGGACCCGAAGCATGGAATTTGAGGCTGGTGAGTAGCCCCTTTTTGCTCTCGAAACCACGACGCTAACTGCTGAGTAGATGCCTTTGCTTTGAAGCTCGGCTACGCAGCCGAACTTGGATCCTCCCTGATCAAGCTTCAGATTCAGAACTTGTCCAGCATGGATGCAGACTGGATGTACTCAAGCTTCCATTACTCCCATCCCATTCTCACCGAGCGCCTCAAGGCTATTGGCTGGACTGGGGAGAAGAAGATCGTACAAGACAAGACGGCCGATGAAGAGAAGCCCGTCAAGGCATCGGACAGAGAGCTTTGAATAAAGGACAATGTGCTGCATGCCCAACGGCATACTGTATAGTAGATCTCCATAGAGTGAGCATTGGAAACCATTGGCGACGAAAGAAGGATGAGGAGTAGGGTGGGCGTAGAGCGCTTATGCAATGTATACACCGGAGAGCTGGAAAATTTTGAAAATTTTTGGGGCAATTGGATGTCCATAGGGGTATCGTATCTAAAACGCAAAATGGCGTTGTCGGCAATAGAAAGTCGCGCTCTAGTCCTCCGTCTTGTTCTTCTTTCCTTTGCTTTTTTTGAACTCTTTGTGTCTTGCTTTCTTCGCAAGCTTTCGTGCCTCCTTGTCCACGTTCGCCTTTCTCTTCTCGCCGACTTGTCCTTCATCTCCCTCCTCTTCTCCACCCTCAACTTCAGGAACATCCACCCCAGAAGCGACAAAGTTGTCGCGATCGCCAATCTCCTCTATCTCGACGCGCCCCTCTTCCCTCTCGTATTCTGACTTGTCTTGCCATTCCTCTCCGCCATCCCCGGTTGCAGCCTCCTGATCATCGTCGAAAACCTTCCTCTTGTTCTTTCTTCCGTCCTGTCCATTGCGCTCTTCGGGTTCTGGTGAAGGCTCTGGCTCGAGATGCTCGCCGCGGAGACCTGCCGCCACGCGGCGTAGATTGTGCATGACAACTCCTCCGGAAGGGCCTCCATGTGAGCCAAATTGTACGCCCGTAGGGGTAATGAGTGCGTCGGGGTGGAGGTGAGGATGGATTTCGCTGTTCTTTATGAAGGTCGCAAGCATTTCCGCGGCATCCTCGTTGCCAATGGGATTACTTGAGACATGACGATAAGGAGGGAGCGTTTCGGGGCCCATTGTGAAGTGAATATCGGTATATGGAGAGTGATTTCAATATATTTGCAGCGGTCGCTGAGGTTGAGGTTGGCGGGCTGGATCCGGCAACAATTTTTTGGAGAGCAACAGTTAAAGTTTGGCGCCGGATGGCCCGTGCGCCATGATGACCTTTTCATCAATTCATTGCATCACTCAAGCCACCGCTTGCACCCATCCACATATCGACAAACAGCGTAACGCATCGATCTTCCCGACCGTTTATTTCCTGTGACTTCAACTTCACGCGGACGGTCGCCATGTTGAAGCCGAGATTACCATGAACAGAAATGTAGGCATTGCGGTCGGCGCAACCCTGCGACGCTGTGTCGTTGACCAGCCTCTATCAACAATTTCTCCACTTCCTCAGTTCAACCTCACGTTCTTCCGCACACTTCGACCTCTAGGACCAGCCGCTCCTCATAGAAATTTCTCGTCACATACAAGTTCGCTACGCCGTCCATTCAGCCTTTTCACACCTCATCGCCCAACCCCTCCATGTCACCTCACCGCATCTCCATCAAGTCATACTTCCCCGCCTCGATACGTTCTCGAGAGTGTGACGGCAGCTGCCGCGGCGGCATGGAAGAGACAATCTCATAGCCATGCAAGGAAGGGTCGTAGAAGGGGTGTACCCGCCACAAAACGTAATAAGAGTTCAGTCACTGGTGGAAGGTCAACAAAAGTTCAGAAACCGTCTGCACCACAGGCAGAACTCTCGCCGCAACCGAAAGCCTCTCCTAGGCCGATCCCACCTGTAAACAACGCCTCCGAACAATCACATGAATCTTCGAAACCCCTCTTAGACCGCCTACCACAACACCTACCCCACCTACATAGACCGAGCAAAGCAGAGTTACTGGCAGCGGCGTCTGGCTTCTGGTCTCGAATGAAGGTTCGATTCAAATGGCTCACCATACGAAGCACCCGGCCTTTCAACGCCGATGAGATTTATGCCATGTTTTCCTGGATCCTTGCAGCACACATCCTCTGGATCGTCGTTGGAACGACAACTTTTTTCTCGATAGCAATATTCATGATCAACAGTGTCTTCGCCCAGGAAACTCTTGCGAAGTGGATTGGAAACTATCTCACACAGTCATCCGGAATCAAGGTTGTTTTCGAATCAGCTGTTGTTCCTAAATGGAAGGACGGAGTCATTTCTTTCCGGAAGGTCTTCGTCTCCCGACGTCCCGGCCAGGGACGTGCAAGAGTGAGCAAAGGATCCCAGACATCCGCTGCAGCTGCCGCTGCCGCAATCGCACACAAAGAAAAGGGGGCTGTTGATGGGGAGGAAGAGGAGGAGGATACGAATTACACACAATTTGACATTTCCATCGACGCAGTCAACGTCACTTTATCTTTTTCCAAATGGATGAATGGAAAGGGTCTTCTGAAGGATGTTGAGATCAAAGGAATTCGAGGAGTCGTTGATAGAACATCCGTCTACGCCCTAGAAGAATACGTCGACCCGCGCACTTACAAGCATGAGCACCAACCCGGCGACTTTGAATTAGACTCATTCAAGATGGAGGATTTGCTGGTCACAGTATACCAGCCAGATGATTTCCGACCTTTCTCCGTCAGCATCTACTCCTGCGATCTCCCACAGCTCAGGAAACAGTGGCTGTTCTACGACTTCCTGTCCGCCAACATGATGTCTGGGTCGTATGACAATTCACTCTTCACCATCCACCCCCGCCAGACACACAACTACACTGGGATGCAATTAAACAAAGGCCTCGATACCGAAGATGGTCAGACCTGGAAGAAACAGAGCCGCATCAGAATTGACGGTCTCAGCATAGACCACTTGAACAGGGGCTATGACGGACCTTTCTCTTGGATCTACGAGGGAAACGTCGATATCGTATCGGACATCATGATTCCCAACGAGAATGATGCCAGCATCGCCAAGGTCATGTCAGACATGTATGATCGAGTGGAAGCGACCGTGAAGAAGACAAACACCAGTCTCCGCGTCGTACGAAACGACCATAACCATACTCATATCTCTGACCACGCCCACGGCTTTGATGGTGAGCATCAAGAGGAGGCGGAACAGGGAGAAAACGACGAGGACAACCGCTTTATCATCATGGACATTCGCGTCCATCTCAACGACGTGCGAGCTGCAGTTCCGATATTTACTAATGACCTTTCCTACGTCAACAATGCGCTGGTTCGGCCCATTGTTGCATACATCAACTCCAAGAAGACCTTCATCCCGGTGAATTGCAGAGTTGTCAAGCGGGCAGGCGAATTTGATGGAAGCTGGACACTCTACGACAGCGGCCTGATGGACGATGTATCTCGCGAGGTATGTGGACGCCCCTTTCTTCATTTTGTTGATTAGAATGCTAACTTTCATCAAGATGTACGATGCATTCGCGAAGGACGTCCTCAACGACAACACTGCCCGCAAACGCCGGATAAAGAAGGTCGGCATCTGGACATTGCAACTCGCAGCACAAGCCCTCTTCCTCGGTCTAGCCGGAAACATAGCTTAACGATATCCCCACTTCTCTCTCTCAGCATACACGAAGGTTACCTGTATTATACGAAAAAAGAACGCGGCGTTTTTTGGGAGGGGGGCGTTTTGTTTTGCCATTGCCGGCGCAGGTGGGAAAAGTATGAAACGACAATTCTTGGGTTATCACGAGCGGTAACGATTTAACGCCGGGGCAGTTACGAGATCATTCTTAAGTGCCAAATAAAAACAATAATGACAGATAGGATGCTGCTCTTGAAGCATGCATCGTCTTTCTCAGCAAGGTAGCGATGTTCTTCCAAATGCGTGATATTGATTGAGCCCTCCACCCGGCCCAAGCCAGCAACAAGGACAACCAAAGACATTACACAGTTGAACGATCTAGGCTTCCTTGAATTCGATCGCTAGCGTTACTCAAGTCTTCGTCTTGATCTTCGCCCTGGAGACTATAATGTCACGTGACTAGACACACGCCGTGTCCGCTTACGCCAAGGGCCGCCGATGTCATTGCGCGCGCAGCCAGCCAGCGGACGAACCTCCAACCTCATCCCCGAATCATTAATTTTTTTGGGTTTGACATTTAATCCACTCTCCACCCCTCCCCTCCTCGCTCCCAGGATTCGTCTAATCCCATTACGATTACAATTCCGTTCAATATCCGAGAGATCGTCCAATAAAAGGAAAAAAAAGGGAATCGCGAATCGCGAATTGAGCGAGCGCAGGACAAGAGAGCGACGATACCTTTTTTTTTGTTGTCGGGAGAGAGCGCAGCTTGCGTGCACTCTGAAACGAAACGAATCGAATCGATCCCTCCAAGACACCTCTGGGTCGTCATCTTTCATCCTTGGGAGGAATTGAAAAGGAAACCTCTCACATCTACCCTCCAAACACCTCCATCGCAACAATGTCACAAACAGGCTTCAAGCTCTCGCTCTCCTCCTCCAAAAACAAAGACGCCCTGAAACCCAAGTCCAAACTCGGCCTTTCCTCCTCCCTCGCGAAAAACAGCACCAACAGCACATCCCTCGCCAAGCGCCCGCGGCCCTCCCTCCTCCTCGACGACGGCGCCGACAACGACGCAGATGACGCGACGAACAGCCAGGAGATATCCGGGTGGGACGCCGCGACGGGCGGCGCCATCGACATGAACGGCACTGCGGGCGCGGACGCCGCGAAGAAGGCCCCCCGTGTCATCGAAGCGCTGCCGAATCGCAACTGGCGAGCCGACGCCGCGATGAAGAAGAAGGCGGCTGCGGCGCGGGGGGAACAGCAGAATCAAGAGTTCGAAGAGCCGGAGGTCAAGTTCGGGCTGCAGGTTTTCGAGAAGAAGGATACTGAGGAAGATGCATCCGCGGCGGCACCAGCGACGGTGGTGGTGGAGAAGGTGGACGACGGGCTCACGCCGGAGCAGCGGCTCGACAAGCAGGCGCGCGAGGCGCTGCAGAACGGCAGGGTGGAAGACCGCGCTGTGATACCGCACGTGCACATGACGGAGGAGGAAGCGTTCGACAATGACGTGCGGGAGGCGCCCGACGCGCCCTCGCTGGACGCGTACGAGGCGACTCCCATCGAGGGGTTCGGCGCCGCGCTGCTGCGTGGCATGGGGTGGAAGGACGGCGAGGAGATCGGCGCCGGCAGCAAGGGGAAGGGGACCGTGGCTGCGAAGCCGAGGGAGGTCAAGAGGCGCCCCGCGCTGCTGGGGATAGGAGCGAAGCCGGAGGCTGCGGTCGGAGAGGAGATTGGAGCGTGGAGCGGTGGGCCTGGGAAGGGGAAGCGCAGGAAGGAGGAGCAGACGTACACGCCTGTCGTGTTGAGGAATAAACACACGGGCGAAATGCTCACGCAGGAGGAGTTGGACAAGAAGCTCCAGGCGCAGCAACTCGTTGACGACAGCAAAGAGCAGGAGAATAAAAAGTCAGAACGAAGGAGCAAGTACGACGACGATGACGAGGCGGAGGAGAGAGAACGACGGCGGAAGAAGAAGAGCAGCAGTAGCAGATACGACGATAATTCCGACGACAACGAGAGGGACAGCAGGAGGCGGCGTGACGACGACCGCAGGTACAAAGACAGACGCGACCGGGACCGCAGCAGCAGCAAGCGGGACAGGGACGACGAGGGCAGGAGACGAGACAAGCGTCGTGACCGCTCCGCGGATGAGGATAGGGAGCGTGACAGAAGGCGGCGGGACCGCGATTACTCTGACGACGAGAGGAGGCGCGAGAAGCGGAGGGAGAGGAGGGACGATCGGAGTAGAAGTCCGGATAGGGACAGGGAGAGGGAGAGAGATAGGGATGCGGATCGTAAACGGAGGAGGGATTATGACTACGAGGATGATAGGCACGAACGCAAGAGAAGACACCGATACGAGGAAGATAGGAAGTCTAGGAAGTAGAATAAACCGTTTATTGGACGGTGGGTGGCAATACCACCACTACTGCATCTTGATAGAGCCATACCATAGAAGTACTACCTACGTCAATGCTAAGAATGGATGCATGATTAGTTCTCGATCAAGTCAAGATTCCGTGAAGCTCAACAACTTCAATCGATACTCCCTCGATCATCAACACTCACCCTCCCCACAACAACAGCACTAACCTCCCTCCCATCTCTGCCCCAAACCCTCTGGCAAGGCACCCACTGCAGCTCTCCGAACCTCTCTTCTGGACCAAAATCAGCACTATCGGCACCATCAGCAACATACAAAGTCCCATGCTCCAACCCCTTAACCCGATGCGCCATTTCCTCCCATCCACCACCATCACCATCAATCCCAACCTCCACGGCAAAGAACGTCGTCCCCGTCCCCACGACCGCTACGCTCCCGTCTGGGAAAGGCTCGACCTTGCCCCTAGCGATTCCGGTGCTATGCCACTCGACACTCACGCTGCGAGGGAGCTCCGCGACCTGGACTACGAAGCAAGGCGGGATTTCCACCTCCTCTTCGCGACAGCCTCGCCTCACCACAGCGTCGGGGTCCGGGATAGGGGCTCGGAACGTCGTGTCGTCCATCGAGACACCAGCGCCAGGTTTGTTCCTCGCGTCCCATGGATCCACGTCTTCATCTTCGTCGTTGGAATCGGAATCGGAAGTGGACGTGCGGTTTCGAAGGTACATTTCGTGGATGCTTCGCCACGCGTTCTGCGCCACGCGGACACGCGCGCTGACTTCTTCGTCTGAGAGACATGTTGTCGAAGATTGGGGTGAGGAAATATACGCGACGCCCGCCGCCCACCACCGGACCTCCATCGCGCGTCCAATCCGCCACAGGTGCTGTAGCGCCAGCGTCGTTTCCTTCGCGAAATGTCCCCTCGTCGGACTTGGAGGGGGTGGTTCCATGGTAGATGGCACGAGAGGAATCTGTCCAGCCACGTAGACGACCTCCGCACCCCTCGCCTCCCACGGTCTCGAAGGGAGAGGCGAGCAGATGGCTTGCGAGTACGGACCAATGTTTGCGGGAGCCCAGTACGAGCGACTCTGCACGTGAAGTCCCCTCCTCTCTTCTGCGTGGTGGTAGGGCACAATGGCGGAGAGCATGACGTCGATTCCTGGGGGCAGGGAATCGCCGCACGCGACGGTGACGCGGGAAGGTGGATTTGGAGAGGGGAAGATGGAGGCGTAGAGTTCGTTCAAGGGCGCGAAGAGGGATATGTGGCGGAGGATCAGGGTGGTATGGGATATTGAGCTCGGGGTGAGGTTGTGGTTGAAGAGCATTGTGGTTACGGTTTCGAGGATCTTGAGGAGCTGAGTTGAGGGGGCGGCTGGAGAAGTAGAGGGTGGGTTGCTGAAGTTGGAGAGGGTGAGGGTTGAGGGGGTGGTGTATATGGTGTTGATGGGGAGGGTGATGGTGCATGATGGTGAGGGACGGGGTGATATCGTCACCGTCGGTGTATCGTTGATCGACAACGTGAGGGCATCCAAGACAGACTTGAACTCGTCGTCCCACACGTCCGGCATCCTCAGATCCTCCAGTCCTCTCCTCTCGTCATTCTCTTCTTTCTGGACCACCCTCTGGTTCTTTCCCCTGAAGACCACATTCCCCCCCTCACCCGTCACAACCCCATCCTCCTCAATCTCAATCCTCCCCTTCCACAGCACGCCAGGCCCGTCAACAGCCAAAGTCTCGAACTCTCCCCCCTCGCCCAGTATCGCCCCGTCCCCGTTCTCCCCAAACCTCGCCATTGCCCTTTGCATCCTCTTGATCGTCCTCTCGGCCGCGACGTCCTCCCAAACAAAACTCGCGTCCAGCCCTCCAGACGCAACCTTGATGATCCGGGAGTCTTGCCCCACGGTCACCATGTCTCGAAGCAGCCCGCACTGCGAGTACGGCGGCAGCAGAGGGTACTGCCACAGGTAGGACAGCGGGACGAGGCCGAGGCGCAGCGCGACGGACTCGACACGCGTCCGCTGGTACGTGCTCAGGATTGCGCCGGTCGAGATGGCGTTGGCAGATGGGTGTGCGGCCATGACTTTCCGGAGGAGCGGAATTAGGGATTCGGTTTCGTCTGATGATGTTGAAGTTGGGGACGAGGATTGACTGGCGGTTAGAGAGTGCGCGGAGTAGTCCCTCGATGTGTTGACGGCAGTGCCGAGGATCTCCTGGCGGTAGAGGGGGAGGTTGAGAGCCTGTGAGTAGAGAGGAATGACGGTGTGACCAACGGTTTGATACATATAACTATTGAGGTCATCACCTTCCTCATCTTCTGAAAGCGTGCCATTGGGGGATTGGTGCTTGGGTGGGTGGAGGTTGGCGAGGGCGACAACGTTGTGGCCGTTGGCTAGGCAGTGGAGTATGGAGAATAGGGAGTCTTTCCCTCCTGAGATCAGGGCGATGACATTGAGAGGGGGTCCTTGTGGTTGCTGGTGAAGTTGTTGAGATGGCACTTTATTGTGCGGTTGCCTGGCGAGGATGTTAGCATTGGGTTGACGGACTTGGAAGACATCAACATAAGATGCGTTGGATTGGTTAGCCCAAGCTCATAGAAACCACATACTCTTTCACAGAACCTGTATTGCCGTCGGAGGCCATACTGGTTTATACCAGGGCAATTAAAGAGGTTCCGTGCCAGGGTCAGTCACCGTTCTTTCGTGAAGTTAGCATATTGGTATCAAATCGATTGGCCTTGTTGGGAATCTTTCCCAACAGAAGGATGTGGGAACAGGGTGGGTAATCCGAGAGAGTATGTGTGTATGCAAGTGCTTTGAGAAAAAAGCGAAGAGTGAGGACTCACATATCGTCTGTCCTGTTCAATGTGAGCCAATGCAAAACCACGAAACGCAAGAATAGAAAAGCGTGTGTTCGGTAAAGAGATACTTGGTAGTTAATTGTTCGTAGAGAGGAGAGTAGAAGAGGAATAACATACGTACTGGAATATCCGTCCATTGGTAGCAATTGTCTGGGTCGCTGCTTCCCCGCTAGGAAAAACCCCGCGGTTGATCCGCCGCAAGACTCGCGAAGAAATTTGCAATCCTAAGAGCGATACTGAACAAGACATCACAAAGGCAGCAAGTCACGAGCAGCAGGGTTGTTGTATGAGTTTGAATAAGAGTAATTTTTTTTCAAAATTTTCTATCAAGTCTCCAAAGATAGTCCGACCAGAGGTGCCCAGCACCTCTGATCCACTGCACATGTTACGATCGCAGAAACTATCGGAATAGTGGGGGGGAATATGAAAAAGAATTACAGATGTCGAAGAGAAGATTCTCAGAATGCCGCAGTCGAACGGACCTAGGGGACCGAACGACCCATTACAACGAGCGTAAGAACTCAATAAAGGGGGATGAGTATCCACGGCGACGGAGATGGCCGGTGTGAGGGGGTAAGGCCATTACAGTCGTGAGTGATGAGTGGCCTCGATGGGACCGAATAATAGGGAAGAAAGCAAGAACAATGACCAGCGAACACCAGGTCTAACCACCGAAAGCCTGAGCCTGGCTCCGATACCAACCCCAGGTGTGTAAACCAAACCGACGCTCCTATGCTGTGGAAAGCAGAAAAGCGAGAAAGAGGAAATGTGCCGATCTTGAAAGAATATGTAGAACCAAGTTGGATCGAAAAAGAAGCCGAAAAGGGTTGAGACAAAAGGTGAAAGAGGAAGAATCGAAGACTTTTTTTCGACCAAAGTGGTGGGGATGAGAGAGAATATGTGCACCACGCCGAAGAATCCTGCCGACCGACCGATATAAAACCTGAGCCTTGTCTACTGATGTGCCGCCTGGCATCACGGCATCATGTAGACGGACTGCCCGGAAAGCATTAGGGCAATCCTTCTATCACAAAGGGGAGGTCGTAGCAGTTCGTGAAAAGAGAGGGAAAAGAAAGCTGACAGCCAAGAAGCGTCTACTCGTTTCGCTTCCTCTTCTTGGAGGCCGGGCTGGCCTCGAAGTCGGAGAAGGAGTCAGAGCTTGCGCTTGAGACGTTGGCAGCAGCATTGTAGAGGATGCCGCCCAGGTACTGGGGATCTTGGCTGTCGTAGACATCGGCGCGAAGCTCAGAGCCGTCGAGGACCCCCATGACGACAGCGCCAGTTCCGTGAGTGCGCTGGTGCTGGGACAAGTTGTCGCTGCGAGAGAACTTCTTGCCGCAGTCAGTGCACTCAAAGGGCTTGTCGTGAGTGTGGAGCGATCGGTAGTGACGCTTGAGGTGCTCCTGGCGGCGGAAGCGGCGAGAGCAGAGGTTGCAGACGAAGGTCTTGGAGGGATCCTCAGTCAAGGACTGCTTGCGACCGCGACGGCTGGTGGGAGCGACGGCGGGGCTGCTGTTGTCATCGGAGCTGGATGCTTCGACGTTCTCGGCCTCTGATGCGGCACCTGAATTTTGTTGGCTTGAGGACGCGGAGTGATTCTCGCTTGACTGCGCCTTACCCTGGAAGTCCGATTCCGCATCGGTGGACTCAACCGACTTTGCCTTCTTCATGACCTTCTTCTTAGTGGCTGCCATGGAGGCGTCGAGCTCGGCAGAGACAAGGGGCAAGCCGTGGGCGATGAATTCGTCCTCAAAGTCAGTGAAGCTGGCGTCGCTGACAATGTCCTCCTCAGAAGTGAAGGAGACGAGATCAGTTCGCTGGCGCTTGCTGCCGTGGAACTGGACGTTCTCGGTGGCGGGGAACTGGACGAGACCAGAGAAGTCGTCCTCTGAATCAAGCTCAAAAAGGGGTTCAAAGGTTGGCAGACCAGTGAAGTCAAAGGACTGGGCAACGTCGATCTTATCAGTCTTACCAGTGAAAGTCTCACCCTTGAGGACGAGCTTGTGCTCCTCGTCACCGGGGCAAAGAGTAGGAAGGCAGGCGTTGCTTGCGACGGTGAGATTGCGGGGATCGCAGAAGTTGTTCTCTGTCTCAGCGAAAGTGGCGGTGGTGCGCGGCACAGGTGAGGGTGATGGGGAGAGCGAGGGGCACGAAGTAGCGGAGAGCAAGTACCCCTGGCTAGCCGAAGGTGGCTGGATGAACACTGTAGAGGTTGGTCAGTGTCCTGCCACTCACGCACTGACAAACAACAACAGGAAAGCCACCCAACTGGAATCCTTTCGTCGGACCCGTAACAAATCATTTGCTTCCAACAAGAGAACGAAAATGAAATAAAAAATTATTATGCTTACCTGGGGTCATTGGTGGAGAGGTTGATCGCCAGTCGGCGCCAGCGGCCAAAATCTCAGAGAAGACCTCCGATTCGCAGCCCTGCTTCACACCCTCGATGCCCTCGCCATGGAAGAAAGCTCCGTTGACTGGGGTGGGCAGGATGTCGCAGGTGGATGGCGGGCTGCTGATGTTGCTACCGTTGGACGACAGAGGAGGAGTGGCGGGTGCGAATCGCATATCCGTGAAGTCTGTGTCGATGGGGTGCAAGAAAGGTGAGTTCTGCTCCTGGATGAGAATGGTTGGCTTCTGGTACATTGGCTGCGGCGATGCAACGGGAGTCAACATGTGGTTGGCGTAGACGGCGTGCGGGTACGCAACGTGGGAGTTTGACGATGACGGCCTGTTGAAGAGCATGTTGGGCGGGCAGAAAGCATCAGGAGTCTGAGGTTGGAAGTTCTGGGCTGCCTTTCCGTGAGGATGGTGAGGAGTGAAATGGCCGTGCTGGCGAGCGTTCTCTCCCGTGGGATCCGGGTTGTAGTAGAAGAATGGGGACTGGCCCATGGCCTGGGAAGGGTGCATGGGATATGAGCCTTCCATTGTATGTGATGTGTATGGTATTGTTTGGTGGTGTTTCTGGGAGTGGAATGTTAGCAAAGGATGCATTCCTGCGATGGATGAAGAACACAACTCACCAATGGTAATCTAGTGGGTTATGGTAAATAGTACACTGGTGAGACGTCTACGTTACGAGTGCGCCTTTCGGGTTGTCGGGTCGTAGAAGTACGGTTTTGGGTTGGAATTAATAGGTTACAGTCGCTATAGGCGGATGGAACGTGTTGTTGCAAAAGAGCAAAGATAGTACAGGTGTTGTCGTTGATATGGTTGTTGATGTTGGTGCAGTGGTAATATAAAGTAGGGAGTGACTGGACAACGGATCGTGATAACGAAGCCGTCTACTAATATGGGTTGATATCTACTCGGAGGAGGAATATGTCATTGGAGTCGTTGATGCTTCGAGGAAGTGGATTGGATTGGGGATTGTCGGAGACGATGACGATTGATGATGACAAGAGCAGATGAAGAAATGTCCAAAAGAAGGGATGGGACGATTCACGACTGGAGCCTTTGAAGAGGGACCACAGCGTAAATGTACACCGAAAAGGAAGAAGTTGAAGAAGCGATGGATAGGAAGAGAAGAAAAAGAACAAGCGTTGTAGAGGTTGATAAACCTTGGGTACAGGGAAATGCAACGAGCGACGGGCAGGGCGATGGATAAGTAGGATGGATCAGCGCGCGGCGAGACAAGCGATTAGGGTAGGAAGAAGAAAAGATGACCAGGCACATGCGGGCGGGCGCGCGGAATGGGCCTTAGAGGCTGGGGCTACTAACGAGAGATGGGATGGGACGAGTGGAGAAGGCAAGACGAAAGACGAAGGCGAGAAAGAGGATCCCTTGAGGCTTGGGAGACGAGGAGGAGGAGGAAGAAGAGTGGACACACACATCCATGGACCCATGTTGTTACTGCATGGGCGTGGTCAGAGTACGAGTAGAGTCAGGACATGGATGTATCCATGCGTGGGTGCATGGGATGGCTGGATGGGTCGTATGGGTGGGTGGTGGTGGTGGCCATGACATGGTCCCGTCACCCGAAGGAACCCATGAAGATTCAACAGCCGTGGGCAAGAGTTGCTGCTTCGACTTTCTCTCTCTCTCTCTCTCTTCGTCTTGTTTATTTTAGGTTTAGGTGTTGATGGGTGGGTGAGCATTGGGCATATCAGCATGGGGCATGAGGCATGGATGGCCATGGCATATGCATGGGGTGGATGTGGTCAAGTCATTAAGGTGTGTGGGTGGTCATTAAGAGTGACGGTGGTGGACATGACAAGGGTAGTGTAGTATAGTATCACTGTAGAGGACTTAGTGTAGTGTCTAGTCCAGTGTAATTGGATTTGTTACGAGCATGGTCGCTCTGGTGGCCGCCATTTCATACGACAAAAGCGTGAACGGGCCGGAGGGGAAGTCGGGAAGACAGTGTCAAGGCGCAGCAACTCTACTACTTGGAAGATAGTTTAAGACTCTCAAGAGTTAAAAGGCTCCACAATCCCATAGACACGGCCAACCAGATGCCCTTGTTTCTCGTCTCAAATCTCTTCAGACAAATGTATTCAAATAGAGGAAGAGACGAGACAGGTAGAGACACAGACAGAGATGCATAGTCTATAGATGGATAGGTTCGAGACCTGTCGAGTTAGAGACGAGGAATTGACTCGTGCAAGACAAGACGACAGAGCTGATCCCTCTATCAATTCAATTACCTAGGCCTAGGTAGTTAGTTAGAAGAAGATCACACCCACTCGAGCACAAGAATAGTGATGATGATTATCACGATGATAGTCATATGATGATGGATGATAGAGGATAATGAGAATAATAATAATAATAGGAAGAATAAAATAATCTTTAATCTATTCACTTGTCTCTACTACTCCGTATCTAGCCTCTGGTAGGGTAGTTTTGTGGTGTCTTAGGGCAGCAAGACGCGCGGCATTATTTATGCTGCAGGATTGCACTAATCCTCGACCCAAAGGGGATAGGCGCCCGCGCAAGCATCATTAAATGAGGACCGGCGGTCTCCAACATTAGATACACACACACAAGAGAGCAGACAGAGAGACCAGCTTGCACAAATCCAATATTATACCAACAGCGTACCACCATCACGCTTGTGCACGACCTAGTAGACCTACACAAGTGAACTATCCTTCACCGAACCGATCATGTAGGTGCATTTGTGCCATGTAGGGTGAACACACGCCGGCGTCACAGCAGATGCACAAAGGCCGCACACGGGCAACAAGGCGGGTTATGCAAGCGCTTCCTGCACAACTCGCCTCGACTCCATCTGGGTCCTCTGCCCATACACAACCCAACACAAACACACAACTGCTCGACTTTCCACTACAGTCTACGCCGACTACGCCTACACTTGATTAGCTCCATTGCAACTTGCTCGCCCACACGGGGCTCTCGATGCGATTCCCTAGCGCAGAGGCAAAATGTCCCATCCCATCCGCCATTACCATCTTCACTCCATCCTATCCTGTCCTGTGCTTCCATAACTCATTCTCACCTCACACACACCACGACCAGGTCCAGCCTATGATAGTCCAGTGTGGGTCTTCCTCTGGGATACGGCGACGTCGGCGTGATGCTCATGGTGACAGTCATGGACAGTGGTGTGGCTGCTATCGATAGCGGCTACACTGTGGATGCACCCGTGGCACTCGCTCAGCACTGTGCGCGCTGAAATGATAGGTGATGCTTGAGTAATTCCAGCCATTGGGCATCCGCGAGTAAGGTTGTTGCAAATCACGGTAGGTGAAGCGTAAACCAGAATGGGGCGATGAATCCATCATCAATCAATCATCAATCATGATCGTGCTTTGAGTAGCTAATGCCTCAGCAATGATGGATTAGTTACCAATAATGGTGGTGAGAAGAGCGAGCGAATGCAACGATGAAACACGTCGGCATCTCCTCTACTCGTTCAATCAACAAAACAAACAGTAGTAGACTGTAGCTTGTAGCCAGCCAACGTTCTCCATTCATCAGTCGTAACGGCTCTGAGCCTCTGACGGTTGACCTGACATGCACCTGCTTCGCCGCACCACCGCTCACTCCGAGTGGCCCTTCCCAGTTTGAACTCGACCAACTAGGCAATTACTATGTAATATGTATGGAGAATTACACCTGCTGCTACTATCACTATCCACTCTCCACTTAAACTTGTCATAGTAACTTCACTCTACTCTAAACAACTTCATTGTGGCACTGCACTGCAATGATGTCAAGCTCATATCCGCGTCATTCGTCCCTCGTCCCTCGTCTATCGCCTAATCAATCGCCTGTCGCCTATCCCATACAACCAAAACCCACTCCTTCCATCGCCTCGCCCGCCGCCGGCCTGGCCGCATCCTCTTACTGCATCTGTGATTCTGTGTATCTAGGCCACACCGTACTTCCCGTCGACCTCAAGCGGCTGTGAAGAGGCAACCCCATCCCATCACATGTCTGGTCGGCTGGACGGCCGGCGCGCGGGCACTGAGTTCGCGTCGTTTCATTCAACACAGCGGTCAGCGACTCGCTCGCAGTGTGAATGGCGGGATTCATCAATACGCGCAACGGGATGGAAGACCAATCCAGATTCCAACGTCCAACCCAACCAACTAACCAACCAACCAACAGCCATCATGCCCGCTGCCTCGTACAAGCAGCCCAGCATCCATCGTCCACCAGCAGCAAAAGTAACAGCATTCAGCCTGTGTCGCCGACGGGCCACACCTCACAAGCCTATCCGCCCAATCGATAATGATAACAGGATAACTGCCCGTGGCCTTCTACCCTGTTCCTGGGCTTGGCCGCGGGTTAAACTGATGATGCCCGGCACCTATTGACCTCATGGGCGGCCAATTGCTCCATCCTTCCTGCGGGATTGGTTTGTTTGTAAACGTTTTCGTGTTCTCTCCTGGCCACACAGAGACCACCGCCGACATCCATCAACCCACGCACATCGCGTAGATACGACGCCTCGGGCGCGCGCGATGTGATGTATGTACGGACGAGGAAGGCCAAACGGTCGATTCGCCAGGCCAGATTCGCCAGGTCCGCCAAAGACGCACACGACGAAAAATAATAAAATAAAAAAGACACAGCCACGAAAAAGAGCAAGCACACCGATGGCAGATGCACTTCGCCCCTGCCTGTTTGGGGAATATAGACGCTTGGGACGGGATCAGCTGTGGTGACATGGCTGCAATCAGCACTGCCAGATGTGACCAATCAACCACTCCAATATACGTGAAGCACATAAAATTCCAAAAAAGAACATGGTTACGCACTCTTGCAATTGCAACAGACGGTGCCTACTGGACAGACGCAGCAACATTTTGCCCGATTGTTTCAATTCCTCGAATGGTGCGCACGCCGCCAGTGGCCAGGCGAGTCAATGATGACAATGTATGCTGTGATGGTGTGTTCTCAACGAACGCCCAAAATAAGTGCGTGAGCGAACTGCCTGCAGATACTTTCTGCAGAGCTGAGAAGAAGCGTGCATCTTTGGGTCACCACAAGCTGGCTGCTTCGGATGCTGCAGGAACCGCATCCATGATGCGAAAGCGTCGCCCGTTGGGTCTGATTTGCCGACCCAGCTGGAGGTATTTTGGTACGAGGTATTTGGCCTTTTGTGTGGGGAACAAAAAGGTACAATCTTCGGTTACACTTTAATGGTGAAACATTGATCGCGGGTGGAGCTGCACCTCGATACACTTGGACTAAATCCCACTACCTTTCGCTAGATACTCTACAGCGTGGGTTACGAATACGTCCTCGTCGTTACTTCGTATCTACGGACCATGCGGTACTTTTTTTTTTTTCTCGCTGGTTCTGCTACATGGACTTTTAGCTACAGCAGACCAACACGCACTCAACAGGATGCAATTGTTCTGGAGGAGGGTCGCCGGCTCTTTCAGTTGGTGTGTTTTATCTGCAGCCAGTCGCCCTATTCTCAACCGATGTTATCCCATGTTCGGCGTTTCAACGTTCCCAAGCCTCGGCATCTCTATGGGTTCTTCCTCCACAAACGATCACGACAAATATGGTATACTATCGATAGTGATGGGCGGCGTGCAGCGTCAGATCAGATACAGAAATGGAAACAAGTGCTGCAATGATCTATTCAGAAATGGACAGGTTGACACGCTACTGTCCTATGCTAGGATGAAGCGTCCATCAATCGTCCTGTAATGGTGAGAATGGCTAGGTGAGCACTCTACTCCCGCAGCATACATGTGTTATAGGCAGGCAATGAACTGCTTATTCCATATGAAAACTTACCTACCCAAGTCCGTAGTGGTGGTGTGAGACGGGTACGGTAATCATTCTTCGTTGCTATCGATAGCGATAGAGGGATTGCATGGTCAGCCCAGTTCATTTGGGTGTTTCTAACTATTCCTCGAAGCCTTGCAAGTCGCGCAGCAACATGCCTGGCCTGGCCGCGCGCCGTTGCATTGGGAGGATTGGGTGTGGGTATCCGTACAATAACAGTAGGGCATGCATACCTACATCGACATGAACAACACAGTAAGAATGGATTATTCCGGGCGAGATAACTGACAGCGTTGATTAGCAGGGCGTGATAAAAGAATTAATTATCGAAAGGCTGACCAGAGTTATACGATTCTAATGTTGGGGCCTTCTATTTTCGGTGCTTGGCCGGGACTTATGCAGCGTTGTACACCACTAGGATGCAGCGCTGCACCCATTAACCCATCGATTCATTGCGACCATGTAGTATTATTATTATTATTATTTCGAGTCCAAGGGACCACCAGCATTATTTTATCCACCCTCGCCTCCATCGCACAGCATGGTTATGGGCATATGCCTGCTCGCGTCGGCGAATCCCAACTGGGCAAGGTCTCATCCGCTGCTTTTACAATACGCATCAAGGCACTGTAGTGTTACCTACCTAACCTAGGGTACGGGAGTAGTGTAGTAGTGTAGTAGTACTAACTACTCCAGTTACACACTTGGACTTACATTCACGCTTACATTACCAGTTACGGTCTACGACGAGCAGATACTCGTCCACCGTCTATTACACAAGACTGACTGACTATAGTTCACGTCCCTCGTTGAGAAGTCCACCTACCTATTCCTCTCTCGCTGCGTTTCTCATTCCCAGTCTAACCTCACACGTACAAGACGCACGTAACTCTTTTTGATCCTGACCTAACCGCTTCTGTCCATCTCTCTCGCTCCACCAAAGTCACCACACACGTGCACCGCGCCGTTGCTGAACCCTGGCCAATCGCCGATTGACGGCTTCCTCCCCAACCCCCACAGTGACGGTATTCCCACACTGCGCAGTGCACGCTCTCTCTCTCTCTCTGAACTTTGGGTCTCCCAACTGTGGTTGATCTAATGCAGGAACAGGCGCAGGAACGAATATCTTTAACATCAAAACTTGAAACACAACATGCGTTCGCTCGCTCGCTTGTCCCTTCTCACGTACTCCCGCTCGGTCGGTCCTCTCCACAACTAACCTCACCCGTGTGAGAACCCAACCTGTCCCGCTTCATCGTGCCTTGGGACCATTTCTGAATCCTCCTCCCGTAAAGAAAATTTGGTCCCAACCCCCCCGGCCTTCTGGAACTTCCTTTAGCCGATCCTCCTCGACTCGCAAGCGTCTTGACTCAGGAATGCTCTCTCCACTTTGTGTAAAAAGACCCTTGTCCACGACTCAGTCAGTGCATGCACACGGCGCGGAACTTTCTCTGCTCTTCCGCTCCAACAAAATCTCGCGCGGCGTCGCTTGCCAGCGAGCCGGTGCCGGGGAAGTCCACTATGGCTTCCATAGCTTCCATACCGTCTGAGACTTTCTACGCTGTGCTCCACCAGATCGCCCTTATCGACTCAAGATAGCGTGCTTGCAGGCGTGTTCCTGGCGTGCTTCTCTGCTCTCCTCTGCGTACCCTGATCTCCAGTCCACTATTGGGAAGAGAACGTGGTCCTTCTCGGCGGGGTTACTTCCCTTCCCTTCCGCCCTCTGAGCTCGATGCCTGAGTCTTTAGTCTACACTGCAGACCCTCGACCTGCTGTGCCTGGCCAGTACCTACAGTGAACTTCGCTATCTGACTGCAGTGTTGTGCTTGACTCGGCAGCAAAGGTAGCGTGCCTCCGAACATTCACAATAGCATCGCCTCATTATCTTGCGTGCAAGTCCAGGCGCTATGTTACCCGTGGCCCTTGACAAAGAAGTCAGAAAAAGCACTTACCGTGGCCGGTATCGCTTCTAAGAGATCCCACACGTGTACGCATTGCAGGACAGGGCAAAGAGTTTCTTTGTCATGCGTAGGCATCACGATTGTGTCTGTGAGAAGTCAATGCGTCATGGTGCAATACGGGTCTCTCCTACAAACCTCACAACTCTGGAGCACGTGTACCCGCGGATGCTGATTGAGCGACCGTCCCGATCCACGTCGAAAGGCCCTTTCTGTTCTCACGGGCCTCATGGCCCACCTTCACGAGATGATAAATGCCTGCCACCAGGCGTGACACTTTGACATTCCCGGCCTGGCAGCGGCGAATTTCTCGACTAGCAAACACCATGTCAAATGTAATTTCGTCGAAACAACGTCAAAGTGCTCGCCCCGATCGAATCGGGAAATGGTGGCGATTTTCATCTACCATGTTAGGCAGCTGGGGACCTGAGCGTGCGGCGTGGGTTCCGTCTTGCTGGGGGAGTCTGGAACGGTTCCTGGGGCCCTGGATGGTATCATTCACAAAGACGCACACAAATTTTCACATTTCACTGCCTAGCCCGCCGAGAGGGTATCATTCTCCCGGGAGCCTGAGCGACTAGTACCCGCGTGTCTGGGTCCTGGCGCCGTGATGTTCTGAAGAGCTGCAACCTTCCCCACAGTGAACATTGAGCAAGTCTACTCTCCCAGCAAGGATACACTGTGATAGAGACACCGCTCAGCACGTACGATCTTCATGCACAAACATCCCAACAACAAGGTGCTTCCCTTCTGCCGCTACACTGGTATTCTCATCCTGTAGACATCACAAAGCAAAATGTCGACAAATCGTGAGACGGTAAGTGGGACCTCTTTCGGCGGAACCCGTCTGGAGCCGTCGGTGGCGAGACTTCAACACGCTCGCCTCGGCTGCCTTTTCGTTCAGCATGGTCGACGATGTGGTCCTTGTGTCGATGTCGAAGCTCCGCCACTGCACCCAATTGCAAAACTTCAATGACCAAGCATTACCGTCCAGTCAGGTCAGTAGTGGAGAACAGAATTTGCATTGCTTGAAGTATTCGAACAGGCCTGAGGATAACTTGTCGCCGTTAAGCTCTTTGATTGAAGATGCCATCATTCGTCGTGAAATGACATTCGGAACCCTGCGCTTTCGAAATTGCTTTAACATCCATTCTTAAAATACCCACCATCCCTTCCTTTAATGAATGATCTTATCATCGGATGAACATCGGACATCTGCATAAACGCAATATTCGAAACAAGAGAGGATAGAATCGTGACTCTGTTCATAATCATGATCAGGTGTGTTGCATGTGTCTTCCGCGGCAGATACCTAGATGTCTCCTCCCAACGAGCTGGTCGGCGAGCATGATGATCTACGTTGATGTCAATTCCAATTGATACCTGACCCTAACTATTGGAAAGGTGATCTTCTTGGTCCCTTGGACCCTGATGGTGTAGTCAATCTGTACACTATCGATGGTAGTTTGCTGATCGCAATTCGAAGGTTGCACAAGGGCTTCTCACTAGCGGCCACATTGGGTAGTGACAGAGGGCTGATGTCAAAAAGGTTTCGAGACACGTCAAGACCCAAGACACGCGTCCCAAGAAGGGTTCTTCCCTCGACTTTGCACGTGGGAACCAACATGACATTTGACATGCGAAGCATTCCTCTTCTGGCCTTGCCCTGCTGCGCCTATGAGACATCCCTGGAGCTGCAATGGTTACATAAGGACGTTGATGCAGCAAGCGTCCCTCACGTGAAAAGCTCAAACGCGTTCCCTAGTTATGGCGAGTATATCTACCTATCACTCTGACTCGGAGACTGTCTGTCGTGTTCTTCTTGGCAGATATGGTCGAACGCATCAAATTATGCTGAAGCACGACTCCCCCCAACCACATACACATCGTGACACTCGCGAGTACAGTGTAGTGGAGCCTCAGGTATCAAAAGATCGATGGAAGAGGAAGAGACGCCGTTCTACGTCGGATGATGAGCCAATCGAGACCAACGCCCTTGTTCTCCAAGCGAAAAGCATCAACTTCTTCTCGCGAACTTCGACGCATTGTCTTCGTTCGCCGAAACCGTTTTTTGTCTCTTACAGCACACGTACCCCCATCGCCTCAATGCTTGCCATAAAACGCTCAGGTAACCCAACAACGGCCGTGTTTTGGAACCATTGCACAGGGCCCTTCAAGCGAGATTTCGGTGGGAGGTAGGGGTGGCCTTCCCAAATCGCGCTCGCTTGCCGGCTGGCGAGTGGGCAAAAGAAGGAACAGAAATCCTCCTCGAACATTCGAAATTACGAAACGAAGGTGAGACATGCGCGGGTGGGAGTGCGCGCGCACGCGCGCGCCCGCCATCGAGATTGGGCGGGAGATTATACAGATAAAGAAGAGATGAGTGCGATAGGATTGCAGTTCTCGTAATCATCTAAATGAACCGTTCGGTCGCTCGATCCGAATTGGCTGAGCGAGCGGGAGGACGTTGGAGGAAGAAGCAACATCGTAAACGTAGGATTATGCGTTTCGGATCCTCCTCAACGTTCTCGGTCCTTCGTAGTCACTCTCTTCTTCTTCTCTCGACCTCTCTCCCATCTTCTGCGTGACGCCCATCCGTCGTCCGTGTTATGGCTTCCAGCGATTGAAACTCACAGAAAGAGAACAAAATTTCGACAAATTAACCAATGGCCTCAGAATTTCATAATGGTGAGATCAGTCACAGCCTGTTTAGGCTGGGTCATTCTCTTCCTATCATATGTTTGTAATTCTCTTCATCGTCGGCCATGTAAGAAAAAGAAAAAGGGAAAGGAAAGAAAATCGAAAACAAGAACAAAAGTTCCTCTCCTCCGCTTAGCGCCAAACCCACCTCGCCCAGCCACTCAACTCTCCCTCTCTCTTTCTTCCCACTCACTCGCTTACCTCACTCCTTCCCACCTAGCGCTGGACCCAACCGCAGAAAAATTCTTCCCCTCCCGGCCAGCCGCGTCCCTATAAAATCGCATCCCCCCCTTGACCGAAACTTCTCCTCTTCGTGCGGCGGAGATTTTTCTTACAGTTTCCCCTGTTGCTTCTTAGTCCTCTTCACTTTCACGAGTAAGCTCAAAGTGACTAACACGGCGTCGAAAATCTTCCAGAGAAAACATATTGCACAATCGATCGTATACACTTTGTGGCGGCGTCTCTATCTGTGGCGCTTTCACTGGAAAAGGGTCGAACATATCATCTTAAATCATCTATCACTATTTTGGAAATGATATATGCATGCGTGAAAATCGTGAACCAATTGAACGATACCCTCACGTGGGAAAATGAATTCGTAATGAATCAATAGCCTTATCGTTCAGCGTTCCTCGCTCGTTCACGAGTATGTCGAGTCAGGACGCGTGCGTGGGGAGTATCAAAGCAATCACGTTGCTTTTTGCTTCTTTCATGTATATCGCCCGCACACCGACATCTACACCGACATGTGCGCCCTGCGTCAAGAGAAGCATGAACCGAAGAACTATGCATGGCTTCCACGCCACGTTACGCGTGTGCCGTTTTCTTTTTCGTGGAGTTATCGGCTCAGGTCGTGGGTAGGTGCAGTTATCGTGAAAACGTGCGCGGCGGAGATCGCCTTGGGGTGCATCCATCCCACATGGGATGGATGGGGTTCTTTTGATATCTTTTACCTTAGGCTCACGTTACGTACCGTATCGTATGGTGTGAATTTAATGATTTGAGGGTTTCTTCTTATCAAAGATTCGGATGAGATTCATGGGCTTTTCTTGTCTATCTTGTGTATCACGTCTACATTGTCTTGCGTACTCCCTGTCTTATGATCAATATGTCTATCTTGTATTGGATATTATTATACATCGAGTCCGTCAATCAGTAGAAGAAATGTCAGAGTAATGACAATTGGAGATTACGAAGATGCACGGTGGATTTTTTATACTATGTGGTAGGTGCCAAAAATGATACTTGATACGTGATACTTGTATATCTTTTTTTCGGAATCTAGTATGATTGATTAACGACAATTAAATGCACGCACGCACACATGGTCATTTAATTGGGAAAACAGATTCAGAAAGGAATAGTGAAGACCTCAAAGAAGCAGATAAAAAAGCAATAAGGCTCGCTTTGGAATGTTTTTGATAACTGTGATTCTTGATTTCCGATTCCTAGTTCATAATTCTCCGTTCCACATAAAAAGTCTAAGTCATTCTCCACCACTGACTGAGCAAGCAGTAAAGTAACTTTCATGAATCTATGAGAATACAGAGCAGCCGCTCAATCGTCGTGGCCAACCTTCTCGAGCTTGCCCATGTCGCGCTTCTCGCCAGACTCGCCAATGATGTGGATCCTGTCGATGCGCGTCTTCTCGCTCTCGCCCTCGCCGTCGGCGACGAACAGCACGAGCGACGACACGCTTTGGAACTTGACGAAGCGGAGCTCCAGCTTGGCCGTCCCGGTCTTTGCGTCCCAGTCTGACGGCTTCAGCTCGATCGTCTGCGTCGCTGTGATGTCCTCCGCCTCCTCGAATCCTAGGTTGTGTTGCTTGTTCGTGTAGATGTGGACGGTCTTCGGTCGTACGGGGGCCTCGTCGTCGTCGTCGTCGTCATCATCGTCATCATCGTTTGAGGTCGGCGGTAATGAGGTGATCTGGATGGTGTGCACCTTCAGCGTAGACGTGAACGGGATATACAGCATCAACTGCTCATCGACATCGCTCTCCACCCAGTCCGGCTTCGCCTCCCCACCCGTCGACGCTCCCTTCCCCTTGCCCTTCCCCAGAGACTTCGGCGCCGACGTCTCGAACAGCGTCCGCACGGTTCCAAACTCACTGTCCGCATTCAAGAGGTCCAGCCCGCGGACGTCGACCTGGTCCGTCACGTCGGTGTACCCGCGGGGAAGACTCGCACCCAGCCATGCTCCTCCACTACCACTGCTCGAGCCCGCGCCTCCGAAGTCGTCGGAGGCCTCGTCGCTGTTTGCCTCGGCGGCTAATCGCTTGATCGCTTCGTGGAGCTGTCGGGTGTTCGCGCCGTTGATCTTCTGGAGCACGCTGCCGGTTTTGAAGATTATGAAGGCTGGTAGGCTGTTGAGAATTACAAGATGTTTGTGTTAGCTTGTTATCCACTTCCTGGCTTAATGAGATCATCCGGGGCCGGGGCTCACCTGGCGACTTGGTAGCTCTGTGCTATTTGGGGTTGCTGCTCAGCGTTGACCTTTGCGAATGTGACGGCGCCTGGGCGTGAGATCTGGTCGGCCAGCGAATCGTAGACGGCGGAGATTGTCTCGCTCATGGCATTCCATTCATTGTAGACTGTAGGGAGAAAACAAACAATGTCAGCAAGCCTGATTGTAGAGAGGAATGTAGAAGAGAGGCGCAAACGTACATTTCACGACCACGATGCGGGAAGATGAGAGCAGAGTGCTCAGCTGCTGCGGGGACGTTATTGTAATTGGACCGGACATTGTAGGGTGCAGGCCGGAGCCTTTGGATGTTTGAATTACGGCGATTGTGGGCGGTTGTGGAAGTGGTTGTTTGGAGGGGTTATTGACTGATGTCGAGCATGCAAGCAAGCAAGTAGTTAGTGTATAAGTCTGGCTGGTGGTCGTTGTGGTTCAGGTCAGGTTAAGTCGCTCTAGGCGGGGCGCTTGTTGACGTCCCTCTCTCTCGCTCGTCACCGCCCGCCGCCCGCCTGCCCGCCCGCCTACCCACGACAGGCATCAGCAATATACGCTCTCTGGGGAAGCTTCGAGAAATCTTCCCTACTCTTCGGACCTCAACCCCCCTCCAGATAGAACAGTTTGGACTGCAGCTCGTAGGGGTCGACGCATGCTGTGCTGTGCCGTCTAATCCGTTGTACCGGATCACGTCTCATCGATATACACTCACTTCGCCTTCGGTTTGATAGCAAACATCTATACACGGCGCTATTCAACAGCTACCATCCGCGCCCAACCTGCGACTCTGCTTGGTAAGTATTTTTGCGGACTCTTCGTTGAGCTTCTACGCCTTACAGTGCTATCAGAACCTAATTTGGAGAAGCATGGCAGACTTGAGTAATTTGTTCATTACTCCTTCCGAGTTCAAAATCCTCCACGTCGTCAACCTTCTCTTCATCCTCGACCGCGTAGAATTCACCTCGAAACATCACTCTGGTTGTCTTCACTCCCGTATCGCCCTGTTTACGGGATTATCCCAGGTCGCACTCGTCACATATAGACTATACAGGCTATATAAGTAGATCCGCCATGTCGCACGTAGTCGTATTCAATGCCTCCGCGAAGACGGTCAGGATACCCACCACACCCACCAAGTACTTGACCGAAGTCCGCGACGAAGCTTGTCAGAAATTCAGCGTTAGCAAGGACCAGTTCACCCTGAAATACAACAACAAACCCATCTCGCTCTCCCAGCAGATACGTCTCGCCAACCTACCCCAAGGTGCACGACTCGAACTGGTACAGGCATCTCGTTCGCCGACGGTGATATCAGTTGCTCTCCAACTCCCAGCATCGGACAAGAGTGCCCGCCTCACACAAAAGTTTGCTTCAAATACATCGTTATGGGAACTCCTGCGGAAGTTCGAGAGCGGGCAGGGCGCCAACTACAACTTCACGCAGCGCGGGGTGCCCGAGATGAGCGCGAATGGCACATCCGGCGCTGGGAGGCTGCATTACGAGATGCCGGTCATCACAGTCATGCCAGGCCATCGTGAACATGCAAGCTTCGTCGAGCTGCAGAAGACCCTGTCACAGATTGGCTTTGACAGTGGATCTGCCCTGCTGCGCTTGAGCTTCAGGAATAGCGGGAAGCCTCTGGAAGAGGCAATGACGGAGATCTCGCAGTACTTCAGAGCGTCGGATGCCACACCAAGCGGTGCCCATGCAGCTACGACTGCCCAGACTACCTCGATACCCGATCTTGATAAGGCGGCTCCTGAGGCTACACAGATAGTTGCAGGCGAGAGTATAAAGGTGGATGAGCCGGAGCCAGATCTGATGGATGTTGATCCAGCGCCGGCTTCTGCTTCGGCTGAGGTCCCTACCGCATCACAACCTACTGGGAATGTTGAAAGTACTTCGATACCTTCGCCTGTTCAAGCGACATCTCCCCTTTCCGAAACATCAGCAGAGGCTGCCAGTGGCCGTAATGTACAAATATTCGCAGCATCGCCATCATCGACACCACAAGCTGCGCGACAAGCGTACAACGAAGCGGATTACATTCCCACCATCGAGCACGCAAAGTCACACCAAGCGGCCCTGCAAGCACGAACGCGTAACCAGCGACTCCTCTCCGACAAGGAGCTCGAGGACCAAGAGAAAGCACGTCAAGAGAAGCTCAACGCGGCAGCAGACAAAGGCAGCTCAGTACGAATACGGATGCCCGATACGCAGATCATCCAAATAAACATCACCAAGGAGGACACCGCAAAGGACATCTACATCATGGTAGAGGACTTCCTACTATATAAGGAGCCGTTCAACCTGAAGTACATCGGGCCAAAAGGCCAACAGACACTCCTGCCACGAGACCAGAAGCGCTTGATACAAGATCTTCGCTTCACAGCAGCCGAGTTGGTTACTTTCCTGTGGGACGACAAGGCGTCGAGCGAGGCGAGACTCAGCCGGAAGATACTCAAGCAGGAATGGCAGGCCAGGGCTCAGGTCCTACAAGTGAAAGAGCCCGTGGCGGAAGAGAAGCCAAAAGCAGCTCCCCAACAAGAGCCAAGCAAGGCCGAAGGAAAGAAGAAATCGAATTTGAGTGCGGGCGAGAAGGAATCGAAGTTGAAGAACTTGCTGATGAAGGGCTTTTCGAAGAAGTAGAGTGCTGAGATCCGCATTGTTGGATGATGATTAGGTTAGGTCTGACCTGTAGTCAATATAGATAAGGATGGCTTTACGCCGGGACGTTGTAGGTTTCTTAGTATAGCTGGATAGTCCAACGGCATAATGACAATGCTGTAATGAACGAATGTGTTTCTATTTGACCAACATGCATCACAAGTCTATACGATCAAGAAAGTCACATTGTGCGGGAGCGATCCGGCTTCTCATTTTTTGTTTCATGATTTTATGTTGACACTGTTTGGTATATATGTGCCCCAAATCGATTGACCATGTTTTTCGCACTCCGGTTAACATACGTTTTTCGTTCACCCTCGTTTTCTTTTTTTGAATCCCTCGAGAGTGACGAATGGTTCGGAAGTCATATCATATCAATCCGCCATGAAGAGACCTAACACCCAAGGAAGACGTGGAAGGAAAAAAAAGAGAGGAGTTCCGGATTTCGCCCCGTCTTTCCACTCCCTTCCGATTCGGAATCATTGCGCACTCGTTTAGTGACCGGCACGCCTTGCCTCGGCGATGACCTTGGTCATCTCGTCAACCTTTCTCTTGGCACGGCCGAAGGTACCGAGCTGGAATAGTTCGTTAGTATTACATGTTCAAAAGTGGTCGTGTGTGTATGTGTCGTTGATGTGAGAGGATAGAATGGATGTATGTGGTGGTCGAGATCAAGGTGGATGGTAGATGGGCGTGGATAGACATACCCTCTTCTTCGCCAGACGACGGGCACGCTTGTCCTTGGAGTTTCGGAGCAATTCAATGACACGCTTCTCGTAGGGTGCGAGACTGTTGATCCAATAGTCAGCGACGTAATTCTTCTTCCAAAGTAATTCCAAATGCGACAGCTGCATGATCACTGCAACGCGAGTGATGCGATGCTTCGCCCACGATGCAGTGCCCACAGCATGGCTCATGTTGGAATTTTTTCTCTTTCCGCCTCATTGTAAACGTACCCAGCGACCTCACGGGCGATGTCCCTAACGAAAGCTGTGCGCTTCGACAAGAATCCCTTCCTCCTCGAGATCTTGGTGGCAGGCTGCCTGGGGGTGACCTCTGTTCATCCAGCACAGTTAGAAATTGATTTCGATCATGGTTGTAATTTTTTCCATCGTTACGAAGGTGTGGGTAAAAAGGGAAACGTACGGTGGCCGTGGTTGAGGCCGAGGATGAGGCCTATGTCAATAATGTTAGCTGATTCCACAGAGTATCAACGTTGGAATGGATTGGTATGTACCGGAGCGCTGCTTCACTTCCTTAGGCATGTTGTCGGTGGTTGTCGTCGTTGATGTTCAAGAAGTTGGAGATTTCATGGAATTTGGGCTCGCCTGTCTGTGGTGCGTGCCAAGTCACGCTAGCGCTTGGTCGAATTTGGTGTGCGGATCACGTGCATTCTACCACTCTGAGATTTCACGTTCCCAACGCGGACAAGTCTAACACACTATTGTGATACTATCGACCTAAAAAATATGTCGCTGCCAGATGCCTTTCAGAAGAATTTCAGTGTCTTCCTTCTGCACTTCAGCAATTCTTGAGTCGCCAAGGTCGTGGTAATGATAGAAATGTGATGATGCCAACTGCCACCAATCAAATGTATTACAACAGAATCTTTACAATGTCTAGGTATCTATATCTTGGTATCTGGTTTCTTCCTCTCGGCCGTGTTTCGTGCTGCATCGAGCACGAAGCCGACATGGTGGCTTAAAGCAACAAGTTCCCCCTGGTCATCAAGCACATGCACATCCAGATCCATTCGGCCATTCTTGACCTGCTTCAATTGCACGCGTACAGCCAGCCATTTCACGCCCTCCGGGGGAAGACTCTTCTTGATGTCCAGGTTCAGTAGTAACGTTGGGTACCAGAATGGTCCTTGGCTCTTGTCACGATATGACTCGACGATCTGAGGGAACATGTCTGCTACAAAACCAATGCTGCTGTTGGTGAAGTTGGAACCGTCCGCAAAGTAGAGCCATTCGTCGGCTATGCTGCTCTTGACATGTCCATTGCGAGGAAAATGCCACCGGACCTTTTGGGAAGCTTTTCGGAAGTTTGAAAATGGCATCTTCTGCTGTCGGAACCAGTTCTCGTCCTTGTCATCTGCGAGCTTGGCCAGGTCGACTGTCGGAGGCGGTGGAGTCAACGTGTACCCAGTATCGAAGGTGACTCCCGTTTCGGTATCGACATTCGAGTTTGTTACATATGCGAGCACTTCCTCGCGACCTTCTTGTGACATATGGACATGCACAATGGAAGTTTGCCGACCCAGCTTCACGTCATCCACCCTGAATGTGGCTGGCCCAGCTTGGGTCCTACGCAAGAACTCGACATGGAGAGCAATAGTATGGGGTTGATTCTGTTTTGCCAATGCAGTGCTGAAGTGCAGGGCGACGACTTCCAATATACAGCCAGTGACATAGCCGCCGTTAGGGACTACAGAAAGCAAACAATCAGACAATGAATCTAGTGACAAATAGCTAGTTTGGAGAGCTTACCAGAGCCTATACACCAGTCATCCCTCAGGTTGCATGTATATGTCTTTGTATCGACCTTCTCGACCGCGGTGGCCTCTGCCCAGGATGCCATCGTTGTGTTACTTGTCTAACAAGCTTGACGTTGCTGGGTTTCCCAGATCTAGTTGTAATGGGTAAGCCTGGCAAAACAACACTACACGCGATTGACGCGCAACAATAATCCAAAGACCCAAAAAAGAAGGAGAAATAGTCTACCTGATAACCAATAACTATGGAGAACGATTACTCCGATTTATTGCAAGCTATGTGGTTTATGGCTTCGGATCGGACCTCGGAAAGGTTATACTGATAAACCCCGCGCTATTCGATAAACGGGCCTCGGTTCGTCGAAACCCCAGCCTTGAGTGGCTCCCTAGCATCGTCACTCCGCACCAGTAGTGCTCCTTCTATCGCTAGGGGAGGGGGCGTCCAACGATGATTGATACGACGATGATCTCCGCATGACAAGGGGAGCTTAGAGGCGGCTTTACGCTCCGTTAGACTACCTCTTCCTTCCTATCTTATTTCCTTCGTTCTTCCATTCTTGCTCTCTTGTCAAATCTCATTAGAAAGCTCCAAGCTCTTAGAATATCATAATCAATCCGTATTCCACACCCGATATGCCTGTAGATTCTAAGTACCCAGCACTTCCAATTCCAGATACAGACCTATGGGGGTTTCTCTTCGAGCGGAAAGATAGACCATACCCTGACGACAAAGGTTCGTTCGAGTTGCAACTCTATCCTCTCACTATTTGATCTCGAAGCACGCGACTAATACCAACTTACAGTCATCTACTTCGATCCCTACACCTCCCGATCATACACCTATGCACAAGTCAGAGACACAGCTATCGAATTTGGGAAAGGTCTGAAGGGCCTCTGGGATTGGCAGACGGGAGATGTCCTCGCGCTATACACGCCGAACTGCATCGACACGCCCGCGGTAACATGGGGCTGTCTATGGGCGGGCGGGATCCTGAGTCCGACCAATCCTGGCTACACCGCCGATGAGCTAGCCTTCCAGCTCAAGGATTCAGGCGCGAAGGCTCTGGTGACGCAGATGCCGTTCATTAAGACGGCGAGGGAGGCTGCGAGTAGAGTCGGCATCCCTCAAGACAGGGTCATCATCATTGGCGACGAGCGCGATCCAGAACACAAGGCGAAGCACTTCACGAGCATTCAGAACATCTCTAAGTCGACGAGATGGCGGAGGACGAAGATGAAGAAACCGAGTGAGGACCTTGCGTTCTTGGTATATTCTTCTGGAACTACTGGGCATCCCAAGGGTGTCATGCTCACGCATCGAAATATCGTTGCGAATACTATGATGATCAAAGCCGCCGAGGCGGGAAATCTCAATTGGAAAGGCGGCCCAACTGGGGAGGGTGATAAGCTATTAGCTTTCCTACCTTTCTTCCACATCTACGGTAAGCTTTGTTACTATCAAACCCATCATACGTTCACAGGCTAACCAATTGGCAGGCCTCACATGTTTGATTCACCAGAGTCTGTATTCAGGCCTGCAACTCATCGTCATGCCGCGATTCCACCTCGAAGACGTTTGCCGCTTCATCCAAGAACTCAAAATCACATTCGCCTACGTAGCGCCTCCCGTCGTTCTCCTCCTCAGCAAAGACCCCGTGGTCTCCAAATACGACCTCAGCTCCATCCGCATGATGAACTCCGGAGCCGCTCCTCTCACGCGAGAACTCGTTGAAGCAGTCCACAACCGTCTCAAGATCCCCGTGAAACAGGGCTACGGGCTCTCCGAGACGAGTCCCACCACGCACACGCAGCCCTGGAGCGACTGGAACAAGACCATCGGCTCGGTGGGAACTCTGCTGCCGTACCAGACCGCGAAGTACATGTCTCCGGAGGAGAAGGAGGTGCCGGTCGGTGAGGTGGGAGAGCTATGGATCAAGGGTCCCAACGTCTTCAAGGGATATCTGAATAATCCCGAAGGCACGGCTAATGCTTTGACTGCTGATGGGTATTTCAAGACGGGCGACGTCGGGTATCAAGATAAGGACGGCAATTTCTACATTACCGATCGCGTTAAGGAGTTGATCAAGTACAAGGGATTCCAGGTTGCGCCTGCAGAACTCGAGGGCTATCTCGTGGCTCATCCGAACGTCAACGACGTTGCCGTAATTGGTGTCTTCGACAAGGAGCAGGCCACCGAGCTTCCGAGAGCGTATATTGTGCCCGCGAATGGTCTTGGGAAGGGGGAGAAGGAGGCGAAGGAGATTGTGGAGTGGCTGAACAAGAAAGTGGCGAACCACAAGAAGTTGCGGGGCGGTATCAGGTTCGTCGATGAGATCCCTAAGAGCATAAGTGGAAAGATCTTGAGGAGGTTGCTCAAGGTAAAGGCTCAAGAGGAAGAGAATGCAGCTAAATCTAAGCTATAAAATGCATATGTAGATAGTCAACTTCAAGATGCTGTCAAAATATGGGCTGTCTCATTTCATTATTGTCCTTGTTTGACTCTATCTATTCGCTGCACGGGGTATCATCATTTTGAGCTAATGCAATTGGAATGTTCAAGCCGACGCATCCACCCATGGCCCCAATCCATACCATGAGATACTCGACGGGTGTCAGTTCCTTGTTACCCACGCTGGCTTCCATGACCGCAGCTGTTTGACAGGGATGTATGAAGAAGACAGGTGAGCCCGTGAGTGGATGGTCCTGTACAAAGTTAATGGTTGTGGGAATGGTATAAATGCGGATTTGACTGTACCGTTATCGTAATACCGCCAATAATGCCTACACTGTTTATTTGCTCTGTGAACTGTCTCGGTATGAGGTATCTATAGAGTGTTTCCATTGTTGGTGGATAACGATGTTGCGCATCTATGAAGCTGATGTAGAGCATTGGCACTTGGTAGCTTGGGGAGAGTAGGACGTCGTAAGTTATCACCACTGACGACGGTCGCACATTTTGGAGCACTTCCTAGGAATCGTTAGATAAGGATCTGAATCAGACACTGCTATTATAGATGTACTTCTTCGTCATCATCCTCGATCGGCAAGGGCTCTGCACTCCCATGGATGTTTGTAGTGGATTCATTGAGGTCGGGTCGGGCTTTCAGAATTTGTAGAAATGTACATTGTTCCTCTCGAAGCACGTTCACAGACAGCCACGTGCTCTGTGAAGAATTAAGCTGCTCAAATCTCCTGGAGAGTGTAGCACTTGCAATCTTGAATTCGTCCGTGGTCAACACTGGGAATTGAGAAATTCTATTCGTCATTTCCTTATGCTCCACTACTACAGAAGTTAGTTCAAGGAAAATCAATTGTATCACCAATGTTTGTAGTAGTTTCACCCGAATGTCAACAACTTCTTACTCATGGAAGTGAGATTACATACAAAAATTGTGCCTTCGGCAGAACAGCAGTAGAAAATGCGATATGGCCCCAGACAGGTTAGCTGGGAACGGTGAATACACTGACACGTGATGACGTGCGGGGCCCGTGCTGCACTCGATGGAATCGAAACAACGATCTGGATTTCGTGAGATCGCTAGTCAAGACCGTGCGACAATTACTATTAATCCCTGCGCAAGGAATGATGCTGCGTTAATGGTGACGTACCTATGGGTTGGTAAGCCTCAGTAGTATCTCGTAGAATTAGAGGGAGACACGGGAGAATCGTGCCGTGCACTCGTAACAACAGATGATTCACGGTCTGTTGAACCGCTACGAATAAGAGCTACTGCTGTGCGCCAACAAGCCCATCGGCCCTTGTATTCCTGGTTGCTAATTATTGAAGAGGGAACTGAACGTAGTGCGCAGGATGACGTCGTGGACCCTTAAAGCAATCACGATTGAAGATCTTCGCTGTGGGCCCGCTCGTTGGCGCGTCACTGATACGTTCGGGGTTTACTGCCGATTGAGAGGAGTAGACCACCGTATTGTCTTGCAGGAGGAGCACAAGTGTACCTGTATCGGAATATGTTGTGTAGGTGGGCTCGGCAGAATGTATAGCTAATGTACGGTGTAGCAATCTGCAGTGGAGAGCAATTGAAAAATTGACGAGTACTTGAGTGTTGGTATAGACAGGCAACTACGAGGTAGCGATGAAGGTACTCAATAGTAAAGCCGAGGGCTCAAACGGGCCGAGAGGGCTGGGTTGACGTTGAAAGCACTTAAGAGGTACGAGGCATAAAAAGTGCAGAGTGAGATTCGATTGCGGTGGATTGTGGCGATCGATCCGGTGTAGGTCCCGGAGGTAGCATGGGTGTTTGACATCGAGGGTTTCGCTGCTGAGATTGAGGGTTGTAGGTAGAAATCAGACCAAGCTCGAAACAAAGGTAGTTACTCATAGTAGTGCGGCACCAAGATACCTCGTACCCGTAGACATGCAGTCAGTCAGTCAGTCGGTCAGGTCATTTCAAGGGTCAGGGCAATATATATTGACAACAATGACGATAATAATGATAGTTCATGGCCATCGATGTTCAATTGGTAACTTGGGAGAAGTAGACTTGACTCGTAACTTGACTAAGTTGAGAGAAAGGGTCCTAGTCTTGGCGCTGGGTAGACTCCTCCAGGCATCTTTCTCCTCATCTCGCGCGACTGCGGAGGAGACAGCATCTGCCTTGTAATCAATATCTCGTCACTTTCCTCCGTCCCACACGACCTTTGAATCCTATCCATCATCAAATTGATCCTCACTCTGCCCCCCCGATATAGGGCATTACCAGCAACGTCTGCCTCTGTTTCTCAGTTCAATTTCTGGATGAGATAAGCTGTACCGCTCGTATCCGCCGTCACCTCCGCAAGTCCGCAGTCCACAATTTCCAGCTCTACTCATCGCAATGCCCGCACCGATCAAGCGCGGCCGCGTAGGTTCTCTATTTCCCCATGAAACCAAGGGCCATTGTTGGGCTAACTGTCTCAATCATCATAGCAATCACAAGGCGAGCAAGTCGATCCAAAAAAGCCTCGCCGTTCCCAGCGTAACTTGTCGCCCTCTCGCGCAGCGGATGCACATCTCAAGCCTGGTCCATTGCCGTCACCCATAACGCACAAGGAATCTACCGCTACTGATGAATTCGATGAGGGTACTGCAACACCACCTAGTCAAATCCATCCCGACGAGACCACCTCTCCCACAAATGGCCACAGCCCCCGTCGTCCTGGTGGCCTTTCATCTCCGCCCTCCGATACGCAACCGTTCTCACAATTTGCCTTCCAAGCAAACAGCCGCGCATATGCTGTAGAAGATGAGGAGGGTGAAGGCGTATGGGGCTACCTCGTACCTTTCGACTCTAACTCTGGCGATGTCCTTGTCCTTCGCCGTCGAAGTGCATGCCCAGTTTCTGCTAAGTACATTGGCACCAAAACAGGCAAAGAGAAGGTATCACGGGGCACATACGAGCGAGCAGAGGAAAAGTATGAAACCAAAAAGCAGGATGAAGGAGTCACTGCGGGAGGCTATCTCATTGGACGTCACCCAGAGTGTGGTATGTTGCAATTCGAAATACTGTGCCGTAAGGAGACACTAACGCCCGCGTAGATCGCATTATCAATTCTCTCACTGTTTCCAATCGTCATTGCCTACTGTTCGCCGAAAATAAAGATGGGGACTCGACAGCTGTCTTGGAAGATTTATCTGGTAATGGTACATTTGTGAATGATACTCTTGTTGGTCGCAACAAGAGGAGGGTTTTGAATGAGGGCGACGAGATTGGTATTCTTGATGCAGCGCGCTTTGTTTTCAGGTACCCCCTCAACCGCGATACCAATGGATTCAGACAACAGTACACTCTTCAGGAACAGCTTGGCAAAGGTCATTTCGCTTCGGTATATCTTTGTGTGGAAAAGACTACTGGAGCGAGATATGCTGTCAAGAAATTTGACAAGCGGTCTGGGCCTGGTGAAAAGTCAAAGGTTGATGGGCTTCAGCAAGAGATAGCGGTACTGATGAGCGTCAGCCATCCAGCTCTGCTGTGCCTGAAGGACACATTCGATGAAGACGATGGAGTTTATCTCGTGCTTGAGCTTGCTCCTGAGGGCGAGCTTTTCAATTGGATTGTAATGAAGCAGAAGCTCTCCGAGTCGGAAGCACGCAAGGTCTTCGTTCAGCTGTTCCAGGGCATCAAATATCTGGTAAGTGGCCCTTACTACCTGGAAATGGAATAACTTTCTAATTGACGACACTCAGCATGAACGCAATATTGTGCATCGGGACATCAAGCCTGAGAACATTTTGCTTACAGATAAAGAGTTACATGTCAAGCTTGCGGACTTCGGCCTTGCTAAGATAATAGGCGAGGAGTCCTTCACTACCACATTGTAAGACATCCTTGCTTGATATACATTGGAGTTTTACTAACTTACTGCAGATGCGGTACACCATCCTGTACGTCACAAATGACTAACCCATATATCGGCTTCTTTTCTATAAACTAACCTTAATAGATGTCGCCCCTGAGATTTTAGAAGGCTCCAATCATCGACGATACACACGTGCTGTGGATGTTTGGTCCCTAGGAGTGGTGCTTTACATCTGCCTCTGTGGCTTTCCTCCCTTCTCCGACGAGCTCTACAGCGCAGAGAATCCCTACACGCTGTCCCAGCAGATCAAAATGGGGCGGTTTGACTACCCTTCACCCTACTGGGATTCCGTTGGAGACCCAGCTTTGGATCTGATCGATCGTATGCTGACAGTTGACGTTGATCAGCGCATCACAGTTGACGAATGTCTCCAGCATCCCTGGGTTACTCAACAGGTACTGAACCCGGCGGATAGTACCGACGGATTGACAGGAGCCATTGCCAACCTGGACTTCTCAAAGCGCAAGGTGCAGCGTGAGCGAACATTGTTGAGTACTATCAACGATATCCGCGTGAGCAGGGTCATTGATGCTCCAGGCGGACAGCTTCCGATAAAGGTTTACGAGAAGAATGCTACCAAGAACGGCACGGCTAAGAAGGGAGCGGTGGGAAAAGAGACCACGCCTGCTGCCAATCGGGATCCTGAGGAGTTCATCAAATTGGGTGGTAAAGGTGATCAACGACTCTATGACACAGAAGACGGGTCTCGGTACCCCGAGTCCCCAGAAGTGGAAGCTGAGTTGAAGTGAGGATGAACCGAGTTAAAGGAACACTATGCGAATAATCTCTCGGTAGTAGCTATTTTGGCACACTGACAACAATTGGAGTTCGGAGTTCATGGCATAGGATCGGTAATCCCAGATACTGGGTGGGATTAAGAACCACGTGGTTTCTTGGCGCAATATACAAACCTCCAGTGGCAACTGGCGATATCCAATTCATCTTGAAGGTTATGAGCAATGGTCAAGGATGCGATGAGTAATATCGACAGTCGACAGTGGAACGTCGCTGCCGTGTGGCGATACAAATGATTGCGAGCCGTATTCTTCTTCTTTGCGTGCTCCATGATTTCTACCTTAGTACCTAGCTGCTACCTGGCATCCCAGTGCGGAGTTGTACCTGACCGCGCTTTGTATGTAGTCTGGTACCAAACGTCCCGCAGAAGTCTGGATGACACCACGCGAGCAAAATGCATATCTTGGTATCTATTTACCTGCCGTATGGTCGTATGAACGTGTAGTAGCCGAACTAGCTCAACAAGTAAATAATGGCAAGGATTTGAGAACAAAAAGTGTCGAAGTGCCCGCTGTGTAGGTGCCATTGTTGAATAGCATTCGCGTGTTCGGGCGAATAGGGAAATTGACCAGACTGGATTGGGAGAAAGGGGAACGGGAGTATCCTTTATTTCCTATGGGTCCGGTCACCTCACACCAGGAAAATAAAATAATATAGGTACGAGCGTACGAGTTTATGAGAAAGGAAAGAGAAGGGAAAAGGGAAAAAGAGAATCCGCACGAATGATAGGAAGGGGAAATATCAGCGCGCAATAGCGGTGAATCGTGTGAATGCTGTGGGAATAGGAGACTAAACTCGGTGTGGGCAACGTAAGGGCAAAGTGGCTGAGCATTGTGCAAAGCAATAGGGTTATTTCGTTGCCTACGCTACATTTTTAATTTTTCGTTGCCGTACCGATATGGTGATGTAGCCAAAGTATGTGCCTACGTCGACAGTTGATGGTGTGATTGTCAAAGACGCGGATGCGATTCAGGCCGGGAGGTCGCACGCCAATCTGGTAGTCCAATCTCCCTGCAGGGCCCGACCAATCACAGCCCGTACCTTTCCTCAATCACTACTGGGGGGATACGATGAGCACGGACCATAGAACCCAGGGTCGACTTTCTCAAAACTCAATAAAGTCTACGGGGGGCTTCCTATCCGTCGACAAGAAAACATTCAGCCAGACAGCCCTACACTCCCTTTTGGCTTGTTTTCTCTCTTTTCTTTCCCTCTCTCTGTCTGCAATCTGATCTGGTGCGCTATGGGTATTCTTGCTGAAATTTCCGGCCCATTGGCCGCGTTCACCGCGAATTCTTCCCTTCCTGTCCTCATCGCTGCCGGCGTCGGCTCCTTTTTGCTCCTCAGCGTCGTCGTCAACGTCCTTTGCCAATTGCTTTTCAAGAGCCCCAACGAACCGCCACTCGTCTTCCACTGGTTTCCCCTCATTGGTAGCACCGTCACTTATGGTATCGACCCCGTTAAGTTCTTCTTCGAGAACAAGAAAAAGGTAGGGTCGTCAGAATATCTTTGCGCAAAAGGGGGCAAATCGCTGATCGAACACAGTATGGCAATGTCTTCACGTTTGTCCTTCTCGGAAACAAGGTCACCGTCTACTTGGATACCAAAGGAAACAACTTCATCCTCAACGGAAAGCTGAAGGATGTCAATGCCGAGGAAATCTACAGCTGCCTGACCACCCCCGTCTTCGGAAAGGACGTGGTCTACGACTGCCCAAACTCCAAGCTTATGGAGCAGAAGAAGGTGTGATTGCTTGCTGTGAGCCTACTACCAATGCGCAAATACTAATTCGTTCTCCAGTTTGTCAAGTTCGGTCTCACCCAGGACGCACTTCGCTCGTATGTTAAGCTCATCACCGCCGAATGCAATGATTTCTTCCGCAACCACAAGGCTTTCAACGGACAAAAGGGAACGTTCGACGTGTCAAAGGTCCTGGCTGAGCTCACCATTTACACTGCCTCCCGCTCTCTCCAGGGTAAGGAGGTTCGCAACAGCTTCGACTCTAGCTTTGCTGGGCTCTATCACGATTTGGACATGGGATTCTCTCCTATCAACTTCATGCTTTCCTGGGCGCCCCTTCCTCACAACCGCGCACGCGATATTGCCCGCGAGAAGATGATCCAGCTCTACTCTGGCATTGTCAGGGACCGTAGGTCTGGCGCCGTCAAGAAGGATTCCCACGACATGATCTGGCATCTCATCGAGTGCAAGTACAAGGACGGTACCCCCATTCCCGAGCACGAAATTGCAGGAATTATGATTGCTCTTCTCATGGCTGGCCAACACTCCTCTGCATCCACCATCTCCTGGGCACTTCTCCGCCTTGCCTCAAAGCCCGAACTTATTGAGGAACTACTCCAAGAGCAAAAAGAGGTCCTCGGCGCCGATCTCCCTGATCTTACCTATGAAGACCTTTCAAGGCTTCCTCTCCACGCTCAGATCATCAAGGAAACTCTTCGTCTTCATGCTCCTATCCACTCGATCCTGCGCCTGGTCAAGCAGCCTCTCGTGGTTGAGGGAACCAACTATCTCCTCCCTCCCAACCGCAGACTCTTGGCCGCTCCTGGTGTCTCTGCGCAGATGGATGAACACTTTGTTAACCCCGCTGAGTGGGACCCTCACCGATGGGATGCCGGCAAGGGCACCTACGAGGAGAAGGAGGATGACACCGAGGACAAGATTGACTACGGTTGGGGTGTTGTCTCCAAGGGAACCAACTCCCCTTACCTCCCCTTCGGCGCTGGCCGTCACCGATGCATTGGCGAGCAGTTCGCCTACCTTCAACTCCAGACCATCCTCGTCGCTTTCGTCCGTGAATTCAAGTTGCGAAACATTGACGGCAGCCGCAAAGTCGTCGACACGGATTACACCTCTCTTTTCTCCAAGCCCCAGCAACCCGACAAGGTCGAGTTCCAGAGGAGGAACGTCAAAAACTAAGTACAACCCCGCCCGAACTTGTATCGTGTACATACACCCATACCTTCTATTCCCTCGCAAACTCCGTCTCATCTTTGCTTCAATTGCGGTCCGGCACCCCTGCGTCTTTCTTCAGTAGAGGGCTTTGTTTTCTTTCACATCAACCACATAGAGGGGGAAAAAGAAGAAATCGCCCGGGTGCCGTAGAGAGACTCTTTAAGACCTAAGTACTCACTCTTAATATGGATACGTAGTAACGAAAAAGGAAAACCTAAATGTATTAATAAGAAAATAATATACTGCATCTTTTAAACTGAAACACAGACTTTTTGTACACGAAGGTGTCGTTTTGACTTGGCTTTTGGTGGTCGCGTGATGACCTTCCTGATATACCGAGGGGACTCGAGTTCGATCGAGTCCGATCTTCGACTATCAAAGAGAAAAGAAATGGTCGAATTCAAGTGATATCACACATTCGACAGCAAAACACTGTCTATTTATACAATCATGATACATGCAACGGAAATGTTCAAATCAAAATATAAGGGAAACATATTTCTTTTCTATTGTTCCTCTCAGCCAAGAGTGAACATAAAGCACGCTACATATCTACAAAGCATAGGTCTAAAGATCATGGTATCTACTACTTGCAATCCATTACCCATTATCCACTACCCACGGGCCCCATCCCTTTCCCCCAAGCTACACCCTGCGAGGCTTTTAATTCCTCCAGATCCTAATCTGCTTGTCCGCGCCGCCGCTGCCGACCCTCTCGCCGTCGGGGCTCCAATCCAGCGCAAAGACCTGGTCCTTGTGGCCGGGGAGGTCCTGCTTGAGCTTGCCAGTGCGCATGTCCCATACCTTGAGGGTAGTGTCCTTGCTGCAGCTGGCGAGCAGCCTGCTGTCAGCGGAGAAGCTGAGCATGTAGACGGGGCCCACGTGCGCGCGCAGCGTGAAGAGGAACTTGCCGTCACGGGCGGACCACAGCTTGACGTGGTTGTCCCAGGCGCCTGATGCGAGGAGCGTGCCGTCGGGCGAGAAGCACACCTGGTTGATCTGCTTCTGGTGGCCCGTCATGCGTGTCACGGGCTTCGTGGACGTGAGGGGTGTCCAGAGGATGAGGGTGCAGTCTTCCGAGGCGGTGGCCAGGCGCTCGACGATCTCTCCGTTGATGGTTGCGGCTTTCTCGAAGCGCGAGCGGGCCTTTTCGAGGCGGGCTTCTTGGGTGGTTGGGGGCTTGCGCGTGTGGTCGTGGTAGGAGGTGCGTAGGACAAAGTCAGTGGAGAGGGCGAGGTGGTTCACCCAGTGGGCGTGGCCGGAAAGGGTGTGCATGAGGGTTTGCTGGGCGGCGCTCCAGACCTTGATGGTCTTGTCGTGCGAGCTCGTGTAGATGAGGCCTGTTCCGCCCCATTTCACGCACGTCACGCTGACTTTGTGGCCGGTGAGCGCGAAGTCGATCTTCCCGCCTATTGCGTCCCAGATGCGAACTGTGCCGTCCTTGGAGGAAGATGCTACGCGGGGACGGTTGGGTTCCTGGAGGTGGAAGGGCTCCCAGCTGAGGGAGGTGACGAAGCCGGTATGGCCTTTCAGAGGCCCGTTGATTGGTTTCCCGGTGGCTGGATCCCATATCCGTACTTCGTTGTCGTAGCCGCCGGATGCGAGGAGAGAGCCGTCGGGGGAGTAGCTGACTGCGAGAACCCAGCGTGTGTGGCCTTTGAGTGTGTGTATCGGAGTGCCTGTATCACAGTCCCAGATCCTGACCGTCTTGTCGCCACTTCCACTCGCCATTCTGCTCGAGTTTTCCGGGGAGAACTGCACCGCGAGGATGTTGTCTCCGTGCCCAGACACTGCTGCCGCACATCTTGATACCGCTTTGACCCTGAACACGGCCTGTGGTGCGTACTGTAGCGTAATCTCGTTTTCTGAAGATGCTTTCCCTGGCTTCACAAGAGCATTGTATATGTCTTCACTATCACCTAGGGCCTCGTTCGCTCCGTCTGGGAAAAATCGGTACGGGATTTTGTCATCGCTCTGATCCTTGAGCTCGTTGAGCAAGAGTTCGAGATTCTTGGTCGACGCTTGAGAGAGAGGAACGGTAAGAACTGGTAATGAGCCTGTCTCGCCTGTCGCCTGGTCTACAAATCGAATTCGCACTGTGCCGTCTGGAATCTGCGGGACGTCCTGTTGTTTGCTACTGAGCTCGGCTTGCTCACGTTTCTGGCGCTTCGAGGGTGGGGGAAATTGCGTCGCCATAATCTAAATTCGAGGAATCAATTGAATCCCTCTATTTTTATATGTGTGGTTTATAGAGGAGGATTAGCGTGGAGCTGTGTCATATGAGGGCAGCAGAACAGACAGCCCACCTTGGGAATGTTTCAGAAAATTATCGAGATGGGGTCTCTATCGATAAGGTCCCCTCCTGCGCTAGCAGGGGTGGTGGGGTTTCCTATTGTGACCACTCAAGCTTCAACCATTGATCACTCACCCATCAAACAGACAACAGAAACGCAATCGCATTGATTGATTGATTTCTTCGTTCGTTGATATTGATTGCTATAATGGCGACAATATATGGCCCGAGACGCCAAACGTCAACCTCTTATAGCACAGGCATGGCGTCCACTTACCCGTCATTTACCTATGGCGAGTACAATACAACAACGACGTCTCGCCCGAAGTCGCGTCGGACGACTGGTAGACCTGGCACATCCCGACCAAGGACAGGTATCTCGACCCTAGCCAGAGTGGACGCACAGGAAGTAATTTGTGCTGTTGTCGAGTCTCGTGGTGTTTCTACAACAGTCGGTCTTGCATTCGTCAATCTAGACACCGGAGAAGCCGTGCTTTCCCAGATTTGCGACAGTCAAACCTATGTGAAGACAATCCACAAGCTCCGTGTCTATGCTCCATCCGAAATCATCATTGCATCCACTGCGACGAGCCCCAAATCAAAACTGTTCTGCATCATCGAGGAGAACCTCGAAGTCATTGAGAGCAAGCTCACGGTGGTCGACCGCAAGTACTGGGCCGAGTCCACTGGCTATGATAACATCCAATCGTTAGCATTCGCTGAGGACGTTGATGCAATCAAGCTCGCAATATCTGGAAATTTCTATGCTGTCTGCTGTTTTGCTGCTGTAAGTCTTGAACGTGTTGAGAGAATCGTGACAACTACTAGGTATGCGACGCAGATAGTAGTTTCCTCCCAGTGTTTCACATTATCAAAGAACTAATGGATCTCCTGACATTGCGATTAATCTTTTGTACAGGTCATCAAGTATATTGATCTCGCACTCAGCAAGACATTTCCAACACACTCTCTCAGGGTCAAGTACGAGCCATCAGAAGGCACCATGATGATTGACGTATCCACAATATATTCCTTAGAGCTTGTCCAGAATCTTCAAGACGCAAAGTCAAAGGACTGCTTGTTTGGACTCCTCAACCATACCCAAACTCGTATGGGTGCCAGACTCCTTCGAAGCAACATCATACAACCGTTAACAGAAGGTACTACGCTGAATACCCGCTACGATGCCCTCGAGGAGCTCACGACAAAGGAGGAGATGTTTTTCGCAACTCGTGCCGGTTAGTTGCTTGTCTGAGCTATTTAATGCATACAACTTGCTAAACTCCACCAGCTTTGAAGGACTTCCTAGATGTTGATCAGATTCTTTCATATGTGATCAATGAGATATCTCCATGAAGATTGTCGCACCACTGACTGAATTGCAGCTCATCGTCATCCCTACTAAGCCATCCATATCTACCAAAGAACAAGACATCAACCAGATCATCAAGCTCAAGAAATTCATCCTTGCTGTAGGGCCTATCTATGAGGCGCTCTCAGGTTGCTGTAGTGCAATGCTTCTAAGCATTCGAGAAGTAAGGAGCCACATATGTGATTCTATGATTCCGAACTAATAGTCGTTAGTATTGCCACCCTAACAAGATTGCACCTGTACAAGAGCTCATCGACACGGTCATCAACGAAGATACCATGTTCGCGAAACAACCACTTGAGCTGCGGAACCAGAGAGCATACGCGGTCAAGTCAGGAGTCAACGGACTATTGGATGTTGCTCGAACTACTTACAAAGAATCCACTGAAGACGCATATCAACATTGCTCAGATCTCAAAGGTATTACGGTTTCTATATCATAGATACTTTTCTAAATTGATACTATAGAGCAGTTTGGTCTCGAATTGAATCTGAAGTTCGATCCCGCCCGTCAATTCTTTTTCCATTTATCAGCAACCGATCTTGAAGATAAAGGAATGGACTCCCTGCCCCCAATTTTCACCAACGTTTATCGAAAGAAGAACAAAATAGAGTGCCAGACTCTGGAACTAATGAAACGAAATCAAAAGGTGATTCATGTGTTGTTTATAAGGCTGACATTGTGCTAATTCCCCTAGACTGCCTTATCTCACCAGGAAGTCGTTTTGATGAGTACCTAAATAACAAGTCTTGAATACTTTCGCATACTCATGCTTACCTATGCAGGTGACCAAGCTATACAAGATCTTATTGAAGAGGTTCGCGGTTACATCTCAACAGTGTTCAAAACCTGCGAGGCAATTGCAATGCTAGATATGGTAGTAACAGCATCCATTTCTTGTCAATGTCACTTACGATAATAGATTGCAGGATTTGCTCAAGTCGTCACTACCAATGACTATGGTATTATGTCCATGTATCTGTAGTTCCATATCCTAACATACCCTCAGTTCGCCCACGTCTTACAGATACGCTTGAGATTGGCGCTGGTCGACATCCCATCCGCGAAAAGATATCACGAACTAAATTCATCCCGAATGATTTCTACGCCACGCAGCAATCTAGGTTTCAGATCATTACTGGATGCAATATGAGTGGTAAGCAGTATCGGATTCTTATCAAATCTCGCTCACATCTCCAGGCAAGAGCACTTACATCCGCACTGTTGCGCTTTTGTGCATCATGGCGCAGATCGGGAGCTTGTAGGGCCTTCCTCCACTGGAATTCACATCACTAATCCAACATAGTGTGCCAGCTGAGTCCGCTTCTTTTCCAATACTACATCAAATGTTTGCCAGAATAGGCATGGACGACAGCATTGAATCCAATGTCTCAACATTTGCTGCTGAGATGCGAGACATGGCCTTCATCCTTCGTAACATAGAACGGCGAAGCTTGTATGTCAGTTGCATGAAACTTACTGCCCTGACTCACTGTATCCAGGGTCATAGTGGACGAGCTTGGTAGAGGGACGAGTACGCGTGATGGGCTTAGTATCGCTCTTGCGATATCAGAGGCGTTGATTCAAAGCAGAGTGTGTATTCATTTTAGCAGTGTATATACTCTTCTTAACCAACACAGGGTCTTATATGGTTCGCTACGCATTTTGTCGACCTTGCCACGATTCTCAAAGAACGCAGTGGCGTTATCAGCCTGCATTTGGCTGTCGACGTGGGTTAAGCTCATTGCCAATGATCTGGTTAGCCTGCTAACTTGTAATAGAACCACGAAGATGATAAGATGATCATGCTATACAAGATCGCTGAGGGAGCCGTGAAGGAGACTCATTATGGACTCAAGCTTGCTCGGATCGTCCCGCTTCCGACAGGATTGGTGGATCGTGCCACGGTCATCTCACATGAACTCGAACGTCGAGCACTGAATCGGAAGCGAACGTCGCTTGTAGTCATCCAAGAGCGCAGAAGGAAACTCATCCTCAGTCTCAAAGAACACCTGATTCAAGCGCGGAATGGGGATATGGAGGGTGAAATCCTGAGTGCTTGGTTGAAAGAGCTACAAAGGGAATTTATTACACGTATGACTGCTATCGACGCAGATGCAGCCGATGCAGAGCAAGATCTCGAAAGTGAGGAGGCAGACAGTGAACGAGGAGTCCCTGATGGAATGACGAGTAGTGAACATAACGATCACATGGAACTTGAAGACGCCAATCAACCTCTTACAGATGCTAGCCAGCATTCTGTCATTACTGTCTCGTCTCGGGCAACGTCCAGTGCATCGTCCTCGATTGCTCGCGCTGTCTCAGAGAATGAGCTATAATCATGACGGACTTGAGCAGCCAAACGAGCTCTCCAAATTGATGAATAGCTAAGAAGACGAGACATTAATTGAATCGGAATGCTCAAATGTCATGTTCGAATTAAATATCTTTGAGTTGAATTGGCAAAAGTGACTGCAGATTTAGATGCACTTGCTTATGCTATGTCCAACTGTTTAATCAATTGTCTCTCGATATTAGAATACTTAAAAATGGGAAGAACCGGGGCATTCTGCCATGTAATCTTTGTGATAATCCTAAACTCTAGGTTTTTGCTGCTTTCAGTCGGTGTACCTCCGTGGAAGCAACTGCTATCCCTCATGCCCTTTAACCCGAATACCGGAACTGACGTTATTGGTCTGCCGAGGTAGCTTCCTACCCCAAATCCAAACAAAATGCTTCTATAGTGAAGCATTCACTGAACAATACCAGGCAACTTGTGCTACAGCGTAATACACACGCTTGTAATACAAAGTACTTTGGTATTTGTCTCGTGAATAAGTTCACCGACCATTAGCATCTTCTACCATCCACAGATCTCCATTATGAGTTCCCTCCAGCGCCTCCAGTCACTCTACCCATGGATAAAGACCCCACTTGTTGTCGGAGCCCCGATGAGACTTATTGCCCTCGCAGATATGGCGGTGGAACTATCTAAAGCTGGTTAGTTAGCATGTTCTATACATCTGTTGTACCGACCGTGCCGTCGCCACGCTCTACAGCATACTATTAGCGAATTTGGACGCCATTGAGGATTAGATACTAAACTTGAATAGGTGGAATCGGTTTCATAGGAGCAGGAACAGACGTATCAGATCTGGAATCACATGTCCAAAAAGCACAATTATTACTTCAAGCCCTACCGACGCCACTCGCCTCAAGGTCGAAGACTTTGCCCATTGGTCTAGGGTTCATCAATTGGGGAGCCTCTCTCCCCGACTCTATTGATATCATTAAGAAATATAGTCCGGCAGCGGTATGGTTCTTTGCGCCCACGTCAACCACATCCCTACTTGAATGGACTCGAAGTACTCGCGCCGCATCTCCGGATACCCAGGTATGGGTGCAGGTAGGCAGTGTCAAGGAGGCCTTGGACACCGTCAAAACCGTCACGCCCGATGTCCTCGTCGTTCAGGGTACAGATGCGGGTGGACATGGTCTTGTACGGGGTGCCAGTCTCATCACGTTACTCCCCGAGGTGCAAGATGCCGTGAGAGCAGCCATTGTGGAGCAAGGAGGGGGCGAACCGCCGATCTTCATCGCAGCAGGCGGCATTGTCGAAAAGAGGGGTGCAGCTGCTGCTCACGTCTTAGGAGCAGACGGGGTAGTGCTGGGCACTCGACTGCTGGCATCGCATGAAGCGAACATTGCGCGTGGATACCAACAGGAAATCATCCGAGCGAGCGATGGGGGTCAAAGCACTGTGAGAACTAAGGTTTATGATAATCTGAGGCGCACAACTGGTTGGGCTGAGACGCATAATGCGAGGGGAGTCATCAATAGGAGCTATCATGATGCGATCTCGGGGATGGACGAGGAGCGCAATAAGCAGTTGTACGACGAGGAGACTAAGAAGGGTGATGCAGGATGGGGTACGCACGCTCGAATGACAACGTATGCGGGGAGTGGAGTAGGCTTGGTGAAGGAGGTTAAGAGTGTCGAAGATATTGTCAGAGAGATAAGAGAAGGAGTTGAGGAGGTGCTTGGGAGGTAAATCATTGAAATGACAGTGTAGATAATGCATGTACGTATTTCAAGGAGATCAATCTGTTTCTGGATTGTATCTGATATAAACTATGATGTCCGGTACATCCATAATCTTGTGTCATATCAGCAACACATGCCCTCGACTTATACAAGGACTTTTGGTAACTTCGGAGTATGAGACGCCTGTTAACACCCGGAACCCCACAGATGCAGTCATAAATCAAGCCAAATGCGCCGGGCAAGGAGATGGATAGACGGGTATCGTGTGATAAGCAGGTTCTGCACAAGCTGCTTCGACATGCGCTATCGTAAGAGAGGTCCTGGACTTTTCCTTTGATTGGTAGACATGTTTTGTCTTCAACCGAGCTTTCGAGAGTTGCGATCGTTTGCACGTTGTTTCCTTTCATTTCGCCTGACTCTCTCTTTCCTCTCTCTCCTGCTATCCGCTCTGCTGTCGTGAGCCTCGCCGGTTTCACGTTCCTTCTTCTCGTCCACCTCAACCAACCAGTCGTTCTCTCCATCCTTGTTCTTGCCCTTGTATCCCCACTTTGGAACCCAGTCTCCCTTCTCCTCATCGTAAACCATCTTTCCGTCTCGCTGCTTGTCTTTGATACCCTTCTTCTTCGCGAACAGTTCCCATTTGGTCGGCTCCTTCGCGGCAGGAATGGGCTTCTCACGAGGGAGGGCGGTGGTGGGAGCAGGGAGCATAAGATGGACGCCCTCGCTGGTAGATTTGACTTCACAGGTAGTGAGGAGTTGGCTAACGCTGTTAGCATTGATGCGCTCATGGTCGACGTTTTCATGACCTACTTTATGAGAGATTGCGCAGCGTCACGGGCGGTTGCGGCGAGAGCCTCTTCGCTGGCATCGCGAGGAATGGGATTGGGGTCCAGTGCGAGCAGATTTCCCAAGTCGAAAGTAAAAGGGTTTGGTTTATCCACGACTACAGGACTGTTGTTCCTTGTCAGTTATTTGCTCTACTTGCGAAAATGTAGTTTTGAATGTAGTAATGGGTAAAATTAAGGGAACTTACAGTCGGGTCGAGTCTGCATTGGAGAGGGAGGGAACTGAGACATCCATGGCGCCTGAATCAATTCGGTCTACGAGTTGTGAAGCTCCTGTCATGCTGAAGGAGAAGGTAAAGTTTGGTGGGATAGGTGGGTGGTCGAGAAACATTAAAGTTTTTGGGATATTTTACGCCGCTACTACATCCAAATAGGGGCTAGCGCCTTTTTGTGAGAAAGTCGGACCTCCGAGCTTAGAATCTTCCACTTCTATATCCATCAGATACCAAATTGTGTCCAATTCGCCTTGCGGGAGCCTTGCGCTCTCATTATACATACGATATGTCGTCCTCTATGTCACTACGCGGATTGTCGCAGCTATCCCTCGATGCTGTCTCCCGCAGCGCAATTCCTACTCGAAGTCTCATGATCGCACCGCAAGCATCATGTTTTTCCACATCGGCTGCACGCTATGCGAACCCCACAATGAAGAAAAAGGGGATGGGAGCAGCCCCTAAGAAGGGCGTAAAGTCGCTGAGAATTACGAAAAGCAACAAAGACGCTGCTGGCAGTGGCAAGCGCCCCGCCCCAGGAGAGAGGAAGGCAATGCGGAAAAGGATTGTGCTCAGCAACGACAACGCATTAGAGGTTGCAGGCTTGCAAGATCTGACTGCTGAGAATGCATTGGATGCGAGCCATCAAGGGAAAGTGAGAGGAATACCCGAAGAGGCAGTTGATGCACTACGAGCTGTGGAGGCTTTCAAGCCAAGGCAAGGTTGGAGTCTGTTCAGAAGACCTGCAGTTCTGATGCGGAAAGAGACTATGGAGCTTGCTCAAATCATGAAAAAAATCGAAAGTTCGGAAAAGAGCAAGAAAGAATCAAAAAGGATAATCGTGTACGGCGAGAGGATGGGTGGGAAGAGCACACTACTTCTCCAGGGCATTACGATGGCATTTCTCAGGAAATGGACCATTATCAATTTACCAGAAGGTTTGTGATATTTTATTTTCCATACTGATCACGGTATTAATTCGATCCTAGGTCAAGATATTGTCAACGCCCACACAGACTACGCGCCCCTTCCAGGATCTCAACCACTGCAATACACGCAGGATACCTACACTGCAGGCCTGTTGTCACAGATTGTCAAAGCGAACCAGGGATTCCTCGCTGCCACAAAAGTTTCTGCTAAGCATGATCTTCCTCTTCCACTTTCAAAGGGTGCCACACTGAAGCAATTGGCCGAACTCGGTGCTGCAAACCCAGAAGCCGCTTGGCCTGTTTTCGTTGCCCTCTGGACGGAGCTCACTCAACCCGGTCGCCCGCCCATCCTAGTTGGTGTTGACGGATTATCCCACATTATGCGTGAATCCGAGTACCTGAACTCCAATGTCAAGCCTATCCACGCACATGACTTGACTATCGTCCGCCACTTTGTTGATCTTTTCTCCGGAAAGACTGCCCTTCCTAACGGAGGTCTAGTCTTGGGCGTAACGTCAGGCTCGAATTCACCAGCAAATTCTGCTATTGAACTTTCCATAGCCGGTGCTGAAGCGCGCCAGTCGAAATCTGCTCTGCCACAATGGAACCCTTACAAAGCCATAGACCAGAGAGCAGTGGAATGCTTAAAGAACGTGGATGTGCTCAAAGTCAGTGGTATCAGCAAGGAAGAGGCACGTTCGATCATGGACTATTATGCTGAGAGCGGCGTGCTTCGGGCGCAGGTGAACGAAGGCTTCGTCAGCGAACGATGGAGCTTAGCAGGAATGGGCAACATTGGTGAACTAGAGAGAGCGACGGTAAGACTGAGGGTATAGACTTGGGGTGGACTGTATGATAGGCGGATCCGGGAAAACTCAAGGTCATCCTCAAGTATTGTATATTGTCGCATCGTCCTATGTAAAACTACAAATGTTATGTACAACATGATAATGTTACCGAACTGCGCTATCGGATTTGCCATTGCACAGATTCATGTCTCGACCCGAACGAATGCGCGCCATTCCACGGGTCGGGTAGTCATGACGTATAGACCTCGACCTTCGCTTCAACAATAATGTTCACTCATTCCAAATGAGAACATTCCAGGAGAGCACACTTAGACTACCAGTCTGGAAGTGATTGAACCTTCAAGTATCTTGCTTCTCTACACGAGGTCAACGCGCCATCAGCTGCTTGTTGTATCGACATGGCGGCTCGCCTCTTTGTCTATAATCACATACCAAAGAATGTTCTCCTTATCTGGCTTAGTCTGATATGCCTTCCATTCTCAACCATTCTCATCATAGTCGGCTCTTTCCTATCCAAAGTGTTTGGGGGCTCTCGGCGTTCGCCAGAATATGAAGCATACTCTCCCAAGACCATTCTGGTGACTGGCGTTTCGATGACCAAAGGCCTAACAATTGCGCGCACTCTTTACCGCAACACACCCCATCGCATCATTGGTGCCGACATCGAGCCGGTACGATTTGCCTATTCGCCAGGCCGCTTTTCTAAATCAATTGAGAAATTCTACCGACTAGATGTCCCAGATGGCGATGATACTGATCCTTATGTTGACTCCCTCCTATCTGTCATCCATCGAGAGAATGTGGATCTGTGGATCAGTTGTTCAAGTGTGGTAGCAGCTGTTGAAGATGGCGAAGTGGTGAGACTCGCGGAGAAAGAGATGGGTCCTTCGTTCAAGGCAGTCCAATTCCGGGAAGATTCTGTAGAGATGCTACATGCGAAAGATGCGTTCATCGACTACCTCAAAAGCCTTGATCTACCAGTGCCGGAAAGCCATAGATGTACGAGTGCAGCACAAGTCCAAGGAATCCTGGCCGAAGCAAATCAAGAGCAGTACGGGGTGATCCGACGGTGCGAGAAGAAGAGGTTCATACTGAAGCCCATAGGCATGGACGATCTGGCGAGGAATAGCATGATGACTCAACTCCCGCTGGAATCCTATCAAGCAACGACAAAGCATTTAGCAAGTCTCAGTGTATCAAAAGAGAATCCGTACATCCTGCAGCAATTCATCAAGGGAAAGGAGTATTGCACACATGCGTTGGTCGTACGCGGTAGAGTCAAACTCTTCGTCGCCTGTCCCAGCTCAGAGCTACTCATGCACTACAGTGCGCTTTCACCCGCGAGCAAACTTAGTAGGGCAATGTTGCTGTTCACTGAACGTGTTGCAAAGGACGGAGGAGAGGATTTCACGGGACACCTGAGCTTCGACTTCCTGATTGATGGCGAGGGAGACGAGTTCAGGCTGTGGCCGATCGAATGCAATCCTCGGGCGCATACCGCGGTTGTACTTTTCGAGAATGCATCAGAGATGGCGGCAAGCTATCTCAGTGTTTTCGACAGGAGCATCGAGCCCAAGACCGCAAATAGCAACCCTGTCGTTCCTCGACAACCGCCCTATAATTATTATTGGATCGGCCATGACTTGGTAACCTTACTGATTGTTCCGCTTCTGGAATTCGTAACTGGATATAGGTCTTTCCTGTCAGTCTTGAGGAAGTGCGCTAGCTTTTGGTTCCATTTCTTCTTCTGGAAGGATGGCACTTTCGTAGCATGGGATCCGCTCCCATTTTTCGTCCTGTACCACGTGTATTGGCCTGCGCAATTCCTGCATTCCATCTTGCATGACAAGCGCTGGAGTCGGTATGTTCATAAGCAAAAAGTCCCCTTAAAGACGTCACTAACGCACAAGTAGTATTAATGTTAGCACAACAAAGATTTTTGCAGCATGAAGCAAGCTTGAGTAGACACTATTGTATCGAAGCTCACTCGCCCCATAACAACTATACTTCGTGCAACAGGGTATATGTTACATAATGTAATACAATTAAATCTATAGAAGAGCCCTGAAAGCTCCATCGTTAGGCCTCTGTAGTCCGAGATGATCAATCAATTGTCCCAAATGATCGATTCCCCAGAATGACTCGGTCTCTCCCTTCGAATTGGTAGCTAAACATCCCTTGTTAGAATTTGATTTTCGAGAGTTCACGCGCTATACATACCCACAAACCACGGCAATCCAAACGCGCCATCCTTGAAAGCTTGATCCGTATTCTCCATGACCTTCCTCTTCACTTCGTCACTTCCACATCCGTCAATCACATTCTTGGCCTCTTCCTCGGAGCCTACGATCTCGGCCACTAATTTGAATATATTCTCAGGCTTGTGCGGCTCCTTCCACTGGACCCAGAAATCCTTGTAGAACGCATCGAAAGCCTTAGGAATGAGTTCAGGATGGGACAAAGAAAGCGAGACAAGCACCCGCTGGATCGGCAGAGTGTTGATGGGAAAGCCAGGGGGAGCCCTATCGGACATTGGGACATTGAAGTATTTCGCCCAGCGTTTACGCTCAAGGTTGATCCATTTGCCCTTGTCTGATTGTTCGTGTTAGCATACAAAGTTCCATGTGAGCATGTGATGAGTAATTCGTGAAGCTCCGCAAAACTCACTTTTAACCATGATCGGTGGGGTGTTTCCGCATGCTTTCATCAAACCACCCAAGAATATGGGTACATACGTTATATCGCAATCCTTGAAGATTGCGAGATTCTAATGTCGTGTCAGCGGAGAACAGTACCCTCAGAAATGCAAGCTACACGATCGTAGACTATCAACGATCATGATTGCCATGTTGAATTCAATCAACTGGACGATCCCATCTATGGAAATTGTAATCCATTTGAAGCAAAGACATGGCAAACAAACCCGCAGGGGTTGCCCCAAAGAAGCAATACAGGTCTAAATGAACGTCATATCCGACGAATCAAAGAGACGTCGCTAGGCCCAAATGATAACGTACCTGCAATGCATAGAACCCTATGTAAGCGAAAGGGCTTACGACGTCAAGGTAGAGCGTGATCTTTGAATTTCCCATGATTGAATATTGTTATTGATGAAAGAAAGATCAGGGGGTTGAAGACTCTGGTAAGTTGTCATGTGGATGATCCATGGAGAAGTGCCGAGGTATAATTGTATGACGCTCGGGCAATATCAACCTGGGAGAGCTTGGGCACTGGATAAATTTCTTGTTACTATGTAGTCACTACACGGTGCACATCAAAGCTATGTCGAAGGTTCTTTTTGTCAAAAACTTCTGTTTAGGATATATTTGGGAAGCACCTTTACTCTAGGCAAGAAAGTCTTGCAAAAGAAGAATGCGCCTTTTGGAAGGGATGAATTATGATTTCACCCTTTTGGAACTCCGTTGCACCATATACCTCCGTTGGTTTCCAAATAAACACCCATATATTACACACCATGATAATAAGCGCCGTCACGCCGCCTCTCAAATTCAAGCTATGGCGATGGCATTCGCCATGGACGTTTGTCCAATCCTACAACTCCCAATAATGGCCTTTTGCTGTCAAATGCCTCTATGCCTTCGCTTTACCCTTCGAGTTGGCGCTGGTATTTGGTGCTGACCCCTTTCGCCTTTCCCAGACCTGCAAGTAGCTTTCTTTGGTAAACAGAGTTTCTCCCCGTTCCTTTTCGACGAAAAGATCTTGTACACCCCACCAATCATCTCGGCTCCTGTCTCTCAATTGGACTCTCCACACCTTGCTTTCTTGCTCGCCCTCAACACTATCGTCCTTCCGCTTCACGGCTTCGTGCGTGACGTTGGCGACAAGATCATACCAGATGGGTTCACCCGGGGGGTACAGCTTCGGGTTCGGCTCTACGTAAGGAGACATGTCTAGAGAGCGAACCGGGAAAGTTACAATAGTGGGGTTCCGCTCCGAAACAAATTTGTTCTTGCTGAAACGTTTGATATGGAACAAGAGGTTAGGGGGTAGCGGGTGGAGCAAGCGGTAGCGCACGCGGTTCTTCATCTTCTCTTGCGGTCGCAGCCCGTCGTACTTGTTTAATATAGTGGTAAGTGGAACCTGTGGGATGATGTTCTTCTCCAATGCATCTTGGAAGAGAGGTGCAGGCGGAAGGTCCAGGGTGAGGACCAAGAACTTGGTAATGTCGGTCTTCACCGCGGCGTCTTCAAAACGTAATCGATCTCCTGCATCGGCGCGCGCTGTGATCTCCTGTGATTCAATCTTGAGAGTACCCTGGAAGACCTTCTGTACGATACTACTATTTGGCTTCGTCTTTGAACCTCCGACTGCCAGGTGGAGGTTGTTCAGGAACCAGGAGAGGAAATCCACAGGATCAGATTGGTTCGAAAGGGTGAATCGCTTCGATGACCGCAAGGCAATATCTTGTAAAAGCTCGTGTGGTGACACATGACTCTTGAAAGCCCGCGGATTCCAAATTTTGCGCACGAGGGTGCTAAAGCGTTGGGCGAGTTGCGGCCGGCTCGACAGGTCTTCCAACATAAAGTAGTTTCGTAGTGGAACCACATGCGCAAGGGCTTGAACAATCACATTGAAGTAATCATTCGCTTTGATGTTGTTCATTCCCACAAAACCAGGGATATATTCCTTATTCAAGAGGTCCCAAGATACCTTCGGTTCCTTATCCAGTCGCGCGACCTCCTCTTTACTCAGTCGCGGATCAACCACGAATTTGATATCATCCAATGATTTTGACGTGACTTCGTAGCCCTCCGGAAGAACGTAGACCTTCTTCGTCTCCATGTTCACATAAACGTGATGACCTTCTTCCAGAGCATGAAAGTAGGCTTGCGATTTGGGTCCCCTCCCCTGGAAGTATTTTCCGCAGACAAGGCATGCATACACGTTGATATTGGATAATGTGACTGAACAGAGCTTCTCGAAGTCGAAGTCTAGGACTTTCCGGTCTATTGTATCCAAGTACAAATCTGTGTATCCCGCCTCGGGCGCCTTCTGCCGCTGCGGTGCAGCAACAGCTGGTTCATCCTCGTCCAAATCATCCAATGCCCCAGCCTCCTCCAGCTCCTCGTGTTCTTCTCGATCTGCGCCTAGTATATCGACTTTCTCGAGGTCTTGTTGTCGCGGTGACATCAGATGTCCGTTGCTGGTTGCGCCGTTCGAGGGCGGAGGGCTCTGCATGTCATCATCCTCCACCCGAGCGCGTTTGGAAGCGGGTGACGGCGCGTCTACTATGTCTTCGAGCGGCTCGAGAGCTTGTCGTTTCGTCATTATGTATACTTTGGTCAGAGTGTCATTTGTTTGGAGCTCTCTGCCTGTCAACTTTCCTCAATGATCGGCGGCTTGGCACGCTAAGCTAGCTTTACTTGCAAACAGCCCAAACATCTGCACGACTTCGAAAATTATTGGATTGTCGCGTCGCCAGGCATCACAGTCAAACTTTTGCCATACGTTCGAGATACCCTTTTCCGTTATATTTGTCTCGGTCTCAGGATGGTATGATTTGCGATTTTTGGGCACGGAAAGATGCTAATTTTCCCCTAGTCGAACAACCCCACTCAGATCTTTGCGGACGATGTGACGGAGGAGAAGGGAGAAAATGCTCGTCTCTCTGCCTTCGTCGGAGCTATCGCTGTCGGTGACCTTGTGAAGAGCACTCTGGGACCAAAGGGCATGGACAAGATATTACAGTCGGCGTAGGTTTTACAGGAGGCTCATATGGAAACCCCCACTAAGCGAAGCATTTAGCTCTACTGGAGAGATCATGGTTACCAACGACGGTGCTACTATCCTAAAGGCGATCGCCCTCGATAACGCTGCTGCGAAAGTGCTTGTCAACATCTCGAAAGTTCAAGACGACGAAGTCGGCGATGGAACCACATCCGTTACTGTCCTTGCCGCAGAGCTCCTCCGGGAAGCAGAGAGGCTAGTGGACCAGAAGATACACCCTCAGACGATCATAGAAGGTTACAGAATAGCAAGCGCAGCTGCCCTTCAGGCTTTGGAGAAGATTGCCGTGGATAACAGCAAGAACGAGGTTGCTTTCAGGAAAGATCTTGAGGCTATTGCCAGGACCACACTGAGTTCCAAAGTTCTCAGCCAGGACCGGGACCAGTTCTCGAAACTCGCCGTGGACGCTGTGCTTCGTATGAAGGGTTCGACCGATCTCACACACATTCAGATCATCAAGAAGGCAGGAGGAAAGCTGAAGGACTCCTACTTGGACGAGGGCTTCATTCTGGACAAGAAATTCGGTGTGAACCAGCCCAAGCGGATAGAGAACGCCAAGATTCTCGTTGCCAACACTTCTATGGACACGGACAAGATCAAGATCTTCGGTGCAAGAGTCAAGGTGGATTCCACGGGACAACTCGCAGCGCTTGAGAAGGCGGAGCGTGACAAGATGAAGGCTAAGGTGGAGGCTATCAAGGCACACGGAATCAACTGCTTCGTTAACAGGCAGTTGATTTACAACTGGCCGGAGCAGCTCTTCGCAGACGCAGGCATCTGCTCCATTGAGCACGCGGATTTCGATGGAGTTGAGCGTCTGGCACTCGTCACAGGAGGCGAGATCACGTCAACATTTGACCACCCAGAGAACGTCAAGCTCGGCACATGCGACCTGATCGAAGAGGTCATCATTGGAGAGGACACCCTGATCCGATTCTCGGGTGTTGCGGCGGGCAGGGCTTGCACCATCGTACTCCGCGGAGCCACTGAGCAGCTTCTCGACGAAGCCGAGCGCTCTCTGCACGATGCCCTGGCCGTTCTCTCGCAGACCGTGAAGGAGCCTCGAACAACACTGGGCGGTGGATGCGCCGAGATGGTCATGTCCAAGGCCGTCGCGGAGGCAGCCCAGAACGTTGCCGGAAAGAAGGCGATCGCGGTCGAGTCCTTCTCCAAGGCTCTCCAGCAATTACCGACGATCCTTGCCGACAACGCTGGTTTCGACTCGAGCGACCTCGTTGCCCGACTCCGCAAAGCAGTGTACTCTGGATTGACCAGCTCGGGTCTCGACCTGCTCACACCTGGAGGTGGCATTGCCGACATGAGGGAGCTAGGCGTTATCGAGAGTTACAAGCTGAAGCGCGCGGTTGTTAACTCGGCATCGGAGGCAGCAGAGGTCAGTGATATGATTCCCCCTTTCCCTTTCTTCCTCTCCCCCTCTCTATCTCCATCACGTTCCATTATCATTCTAGATTGTGTGTTTGAAACACCAAGCTAACACCCTTCACAGTTACTGCTTCGGGTCGACAACATAGTCAAGTCCGCGCCAAGGAGGAGAGACCGCATGTAAAACAAAGATTTCGCCGCCCCCAAACAAAAATCCGCTTGAATCCATAGATACTACCGGACAGAGGTATTATAGAAAGTATTTCGTCTGTCACTGGTCCCGGACACTGCTCGTTTAGATAGAGGTGTACATTATCCGTGCGACTATCACAAATGATGATTACAATCCAATGGAATACCAGTAGTGAGGATCAATCTCGTGCATCAGCTTTCTCTCATTACTCATATTCATCCTTTGTTCGGTTTTCAATTAGGAAATCTCGAAAGCGTTTTGAAATGCTGGTCGTGATGCTAGCCACCTACGTACCGTGGGGCGCGACAACACAATAATACATCGTCGGACGTTGGTCATGCTCGGCATCGGCCATCGATCATTTTGTTACAACGCCTGTGCCTGTGCCTGTAGTATGTATACGAACTTATGACGACGACGAGTTGCTACCTAGTACCTCCCTCCCCTCGTACGATTCAATCCAACAAAATGAAAAGAAAAGAAAAACTCCGAGCGTTTGACGCAGTATGACGATATACTTTGCTCCACCGACCCTATATACATATAGTTGACTTACGCTGTTCCTCGCCAATCGACAGATACGGGGATTTTTACACGACCAACACCCAACCCAACGCGAGAGAATCAAGCAGAGAATCGGGAAACGGTGATGGAAAATCGGTTTTGCTGCTCGTATTGTGGATGTTCATACGAGAGTGGGAACTTTGCTACGTGACTGGGGAATGGATGGTTCGATTGAACGAAAACGAATCCCGGAGCTAGGGTACTTGCTTGCTTGCAAGAGGTTGAGTTGGGGTGTGGACTGTGTGTGTTGGTGGTTCTTTTTTATTGTTGCTTTTTATTTTATTTTACGTTTTTAAGATTTTGAATTCTTTGTTTATTTTTTTATTTATTCTGAAAAAAGGAAAGAAAAGAATGATATTCGTGCTGGCTGGCTGGCTGGCTGGTTGGCTGGCTGGCTGATTTCCTTGACAGGGCGAAGGTAAGCTCACACGGAGCGTCAGAGACCCAACGCAACGCAACGCAACGCCAACAGTAACCACCTAACTTAGTTAGTGTGGGGTGTGTAGTCACCCACCTATGGCTCGTCCATGTTGGACTCTCGTCCTCGTTGTTTTACCGGGCTAGCCAGAAAAGAGAAAGAAAAAAAATTGGATCTCCGTCCGTTTCATCTACTCTCTGGCGCCGGGGAAGAAGGGAAAGGGAGAAACGCTAGGAGCGTGTGTGCGTGTGTGGACGCAAAAGAGGATAGACGATCTTTTGCCGTACGTACACCCTGGGAGAACGCGAGCATCACCGAGGGTTGAATTGACCCAATTGGGCGATTGGGCGATGGCGGGGGGGCACGGTTTAGATTGGTGTCGGAGGCAGAGGGTCACAGGTCGTGTGCTACAGTACTTTGTCTGTGGGAATGGGTGTATGATTGATTGATGATGTCTGTGTGGTGTGAGTATCGATGAATGGTGAGTGTGGAGAGAGTTCATTGAGGATGTTTCTCCACTGGTTGGGGCGGAGGGGGCGGGATCACGGATGGGCTGCTGATGCTGATGGTAACTAACTATTGACGATGATGACAACGGCGGATGACGGTGGGTTGTGTTTGAGTTGTACCTAGACCTATGAGGACATTCAGCAGAGGGAATTTTTCTGATTTTCTGTGAATTCGTGCGTGTTGGTGCGAGGTTGTGTGCGTTCTCAGGCGAGACAGTCTGACGAGCGGCGCCTGCATAGGATGTGAACTCTACGACTGGTTGCGTGTGAGGGAGAAGCCAACGTAAGGCACACTGGGATCCTGCAGATGCACTCTGCAGAGTCTGCACGCTGCACAAGATCAAAAACTGTGACTTTGTAGCTCCATCTACTGGCTGTGTTCTTTGTTACCTTACAGCAGGTGCGAGTAATTGTCGTCTGCGGGTTGCATGGTACTATATAATAGCTCGCGTATTATTCGCCTTTTGTGCGTGAGAACGAAGGGAAGGGAAGGGAAGGGATGAGATTGGGGCAAAGGAAGGGACAGAAGGGAGGGACTGCACGGTCTGGTCCCGCTCTGTCGCACAATAACGGCAGTCTTATTACTGTGTATGCTTGTAGTATTATCATTATCATCGTTTTTTTTCTCTCTCTCTCTATCATTCCTTTCATGAACTTTCTTGGTCAGCCACCTGAAAAGAGACGCGGACAGGCAGGCGTAAGAGGGTGCATGTTCAACTCTTCCGAAAGGCTCTTGTTCTGATCTCAAACACACTACTACGCTTCCCTTGCTTGCCATCATCGACACAGATAAAAGTCCGAGAGACAGAGAGCGATTGACGAGTGCCTGGGTCGGATTATCAAACGAGTCGTAATCCCCCCAGGGCTCAGGCGTATGTTTCATCAGCCTTGTAGGTGGTGCTAGTGAGGGAAAAGGGAAAAACGGGAACTAGTGAGAGAGTCTAGAGTGATATTGAGACAAGAGGGACATGTTAGTGGCTGATTTCGGTGGTTGGACGGTGGACCGCACGCATCCCGAGAGAGACGAGACGGAAGAGAGTGAACTACAGTATTGTGACTACGGAGTACAAGTACAAGTACAAGTAATACAAGTAGGACATTGAACGCAAGTCACTTGTAACTTGTAACTACTGAACTGGTTGAGTTGAGTTGAGTTGGCTACGAGTACTGATAATACGAGTACTCCGTACTGGGGGCGGATGTTGATACTTTATTTTAATCCCTAAACCGACTATTCTTACACTTTGTTTGCCTTACACAGTCACAGTACTTTGGTACTCCGTACCTTCCACCAACCTCAGCACTAATACAATACACCCGCATCCGCATCCGCACACTCGCACTTACGCTCTGCTCACACAAATCACATCACACCTCCGGCGACACTACCTCCACCGCCACCGAAACATCCACACTCGCACACGTACTTGTATGTACATAACCTTGCCTACCGACCGACCTAGGGAATAACTTACCTGCCGATCTACCAACCCAACGAGTACCTCGTCTCCTTGTACCTGCTCCTCGCTCGGTGCACCAAGTTCTCAGGCAGGTTCTCAGCCATCAAGGGGCGGGGAGCTGAGGCTAATATATCCTTCCCACTAACGACTCCGGAGTAACTGCTATTATTGCTCTTGTACATCTCACCTCACACACACACACTTGTTTTACTTCGCTCTCTCCCCTCTTTCCCTTCCTTCCTTCTTCCCTTCCTCACTCCACCTTCTCACCCTCTCAACCTCTCACCTTTCTACCCTCATCCACCCACCCTTCAACTCCCATCTCTCCCCCCCCAATCAGTCCTCGCTGATGCTCCATCACCTCCCGTCTTCCAGCCTGTCACAGGCCTTCACGCCCAAATAGTTCAACACAACCATACAATGCCCAAACGTCGGCCGCCAGGAGCAGGCCAGGCGTTCAGCAGGACCACCGCACTATTAGCCATCCTCCTCGTCCTACCATGGATCTCCAACGCAGCTCAGCAGCAGCAGCAACCCTCCGAAGGTGCCCTTCGCAAATCTCCTCGCGAGGACGCCTACGTCGACACCGTCGTACCCCAGAACCGTCGAAAATCCAACCAGGCCCGTTCCCCCCGTGCCGCCAACAAACATAACAATGCCGCTCCCTATACGCCGCTACTGTCCCAGAACGAGCGCGCCGTAGCAACACAAGTCTCTTCTGCTCCAGCGAATGCCGCTGTCAGAGCCCCTCCTGGAAGGAACGCTGCCCCCTCGGGTGGTCTTACGCGACAGATTGCGCGCTCCATCAAGGATTGGGAAGTTGAAGACTTTGTTCTCTTGGCGACCGTTGACGGACGTATACACGCACGAGATAGATATACTGGTGGTGGCATTTGGGAACTCGACCTCAGGAAACCAATGTTGGAGACGATCTACAACCACAATGAATCTTCGGGAGGCGACAATGATAATAAACCTTTCATCTGGATCGTAGAACCCAAGGAGGATGGGGCTCTCTACATCCTGACACCCGGTCCCTTCCCCGTCCTCCAAAGTCTGGGGATGACGGTCAAGCAATTGACCGAGGACCTTGCACCCTACTCGAGCGACGACCCCCCTGTCGTCTATACCGCCGAGAAGAAGAACTTCCTGTTCGTTGTCGATGCACGTACGGGAGCCGTCACCAAGAGCTTCAACACGGGCGGATCGGTTGTCATCGACACCGAGAGCTGCAACTCTCAAGCGACCGAGTATTTCTCATCTCGGGAACGGGAGTGCAAAGGGTTCTTCAACATCGGTCAAACCGAGTATACCATTAGCATCCACAACAAGATCAATGGTGACCATATCTGCACCATAAAGTATTCAGAATGGACCCCCAACAATCGTGATCGGGATCTCCAGACTCAATACGACGAGACGATGGACAATCAATACATCTACAGCAGATATGACGGACGTGCCATTGCCTTCGACTACAACCGGAAGGGCCGGTCTCAGAAACGACCAGTATTTTCGCAGCAACTGTCCTCGCCGGTCGTACGAGTCTTTGACGTTGCAAGGCCCTTCGATGACGAAGACCCAGAGCCTGCTCTTGTGCTACTGCCTCAGCCCCCCGGCCCTCATACTTTGGAGGACAAGGAGAGGAATGTGTGGCTTAACACAACAGAGGCGGGCAGCTGGTACGCGCTCTCAGAAGCTAATTATCCTGCCGTCACCGACAGTGCCCCGCCAGCACTATGTTACAGCCCGGAGTGGACCGACAACGAGCTCTTAGACGTAGATACTCGCCATCTTCCAGACAGGATGGGTCTCGTGGGTGTACACATCCTCAACTACCAGCCCGAGGCCCGCACAACAAGGCCCGGCATCGATGCCCCCACAAGCGGTGAGGAGTCCGGTACCGTGGATGAGCCCACTCACAATGTCATCGTTCCCAGGCCACCGATCATTACCAGGGAGCCGGAGCCTGAGCTCCAACCCGAGATACTGGAACCTCCTGCTCGAAAGCCGTACTCTATGTATGCATTCGTGTCGATGATCATGTTTATTCTCCTCTACGGAGGCTACATGGGAGTGGCTCAGCCAACTAAATTGGATTACCTGAGAACTACTTTAGTATCAAGGTTGACGCAGCAAAGGAAGGGCAGCAATCGATCCGACCCACAGGTCGTGAGTACCGAGACCGTGGTTCCTACAGCGGACGTTCCTGTGGACAATAAAGAGCCCATTCCCGCTGCTCACGAGGACCCTGTCGTCGTACTCCCAGAGAAAGAACAAGTCAGTGTTGCAACGGACACCGAGGTCCCGCACACTGCTCCTGGCGTCGAAGCTCACACAGAAAAGAAGGTTCGATTCAATATCGAAGACGACGAAGACGACGAGATGTTAGCTTTATCTCGGACAACGACTGCAGAACAGAGTTCTCCAATCATCGAGCAAGCGGAAGCGGTAGAAGCGGTGCCTAAGCTGAGCAACGCCGCTGAACAGTCCTCTACGTCACCCGATGAAACTCAGCAATTGCAAGACGGTTCCCCGGCAACTCCCGTTAAGAAGAAGAAAACTCATCGGGGTAAACGTGGTGGCCAGAAGAAGCCACGTAGACGAGATACCGAGGATGAGGTTGATAAGATCGTCAACGCCGCCAAAGAGCTTGATCAGGCCCCATCACTCCATCCCGACGAGATTACCGTCAATGGCGATGACGTACAAGATGTATCCAACATCAAAAAGATTGGCAAACTCACCATTGATTTTGACCGCTTGCTTGGAAATGGCAGTGGTGGCACCTTTGTTTTTGAAGGAAAATGGAACGTAAGTTTAGGATGTTCCCTTTGGTTCCTACTTTCTCTAACGACTTTAATCAGGAGCGTGAAGTTGCTGTCAAGCGCATGCTCCCTCAATACTTTGGGCTAGCCGAGCAGGAAGTCAAACTTCTCCAAGAGAGCGATCTGCATCCCAACGTCATCCGTTATTTCGACGACGAAAAGGATGAGAATTTCCTCTACATCGCAGTTGAGCTTTGCCAGTCCAGTCTATTTGATCTGTACCGAGACGGACGGCCTGGCATCGATGAACTGAATGAGAATCAGCAGCGACTGGTGAACGAAATCAATGCCGACGTTCCACGAGCATTGTACCAACTTGCAATGGGTGTCAATCATCTGCATAGTCTCAGGATCATCCATCGTGATATCAAGCCACAGAATATTCTGATCGCCTACCCGCAACGAAACCAGAAGTATGGTGCTCGCCTCGTAATTTCCGACTTTGGACTGTGCAAAACACTTCCAGACAACGTCAGCACTCTGGTCGGTACAACGGGCAATGCGGGAACTGTCGGATGGAAGGCCCCTGAACTCATTCTTCAACCGAAAGATATGGATCGCGGCTCATCTACCGGTCATTCCCGAGATTCATCAAGCTCCACCGATCCTGTTGCCCAAGGTGTGAAACGAGCCGTGGACATATTCTCACTTGGCTGTGTCTTCTTCTACGTCCTCACAAACGGATCTCACCCCTTCGACGACGACGAAGGCTGGATGCAAATTCGCGAATACAACATCAAGAAGAACAAGGCGAACTTCACGCAACTCCGTCTTGGTGATGACTCGGAGGAGCCCATCCACCTCATTTCCTGGATGTTGGCGAATCGCCCCGAGGACCGCCCCACAGCACTTCAGGTCTTGAGCCATCCTTTCTTCTGGTCTGCAGAGAAGCGCCTCAACTTCCTATGCGATTGCTCCGATCATTGGGAACGTGAGCCTCGTGACCCTCCATCAGAACATCTCGCCATGTTAGAGGAGTACAGCTTCGAGGTCTTAGACAAGAAACGGAACTTCCTCGACAAACTTGACCGTGGCTTCGTGAACTCGCTCGGAAAGCAGCGCAAGTACACGGGCGACAGGATGCTTGATCTGTTACGGGCTCTCCGGAACAAGAAGAACCATTACGAGGATATGGACGAGACCGTCAAGGCAAAGGTCGGGCCTTTGCCTCACGGTTATCTACGTTATTGGACGACCAAATTCCCCAAATTACTGATGTCCTGTTACGACTGCGTGTGGGAGTGTGGACTCCAGGGCGAGCCGAGATTCAGACCGTATTTCGAGACCCAGACCGGTGTTTGATTATGTACATTTTTGGGAGAACGCCTTTAGCGAGCATTGTATGAGCGACTGTATGGATATACTTAAAAACAAAACTCGGTTGGTTTGGCATTTGTTGTCATGGCGTGCTTGGGCATCATAAAATATATCACAATCGTTTACACCGATATCATTTCGTCGAGATTTGTCTGCTTGTGAAAGTGAGAAAGAGAGGTTGTTGTGCTAATCCAACGTCGTGGGTATATCTATATTCTTTGTGTATGGCAGGCATCACATCGCTAGAATTGAAAATGATGCGTGGGAAGGAAATATGGCTAAGCTTCTCCTTCTGCCTCCTCGGGTGTATCTTTGTCCTGCCGTATCGTGCTTGTAGCGACTTCACTTTCGTGTCCCGGCTTGCGGAAGACGGCCTGCATCCAGCAGCGATACATCTTGAGTCTTCGCTGGCGGTTGACCAGCATGCGCCTATCGACGCCGATGTGTGCGACCTCAAATGACGGCACCGGCTCTTGTTTCGAGCCATTCTCCTTCTCTTCGTCAATCGTCAGATTCTGTGCGTCGCTCGCGAGCTTCTCATCCGCAGTCTGCGGTACAGCCGCTCTACCACCACCGCCCCAGATCTGCTCCAACTCCTCCTTCTCGAAGAAGTAAACCCTCGTCCCGTCGCCTCTGACGTAGAAATTCTCCTCCATGTACCTCCCCTTCTTAAACCGCACCTGGGCGAGATCGCCGCGCCCATAATCCCTAAACAGCACCTGACCCCCGGGCTTAAGCAACCTCCAGACATTCCTAACCGCCTGATTCCACTGCTTAGGATTCAGCGCGGAGAAGATAAAAATCATCAACACAACATCGACACTCCCCTCCTTTATCCCGGGCGGCAACCCCCCATTCTCCGAGTCCGGACTCGCCGCAACGTCCCACACGTCCGCCTGTATATACCTCTCATCATACAACTCATGTCCCCTTATCAGCTCCACCGCCTTCTTCGAGAAATCGCACGCATGGATCTTCAACCCCTCATTCCTCCTCTTCTGCAGAATCGGAAACGCGCTGTTTCCCGCCCCCGCACCCACCTCCAGCACGACCGCGGGCGGCGCCCCCTCCGCGGTCACATCATCCAGCACGGGGAACTCCTGCGCGAGCCACTTCCTATTCTTGAAGAAGTTCGTCCTGTTGTTCTTGTAGAAAAGATTCCACCACTTCTCCGGGTTGTCGTTGAAGCGCTGGCGATCGGCGTCGGAGACCGGGTCCGCGCGCTGGCGAGAGAACTGCTCCTCCGAGAAGAGCGTGTAGGACGGGTCGACGGACACGTGGTCCCAGGCGTTGAACTCGAAGATGTCGTCGCCTTCTTCGAGGAGGCGGCTGCCGAAGGAGAAGGGGTCGGTGCGCTTTTGGTTGTTGGTGGGGGAGTGGGAGCGCGCGGAGGGGTGGCGGAGGGGGGCGATGGAGGCGGGGGGGGGGGGGGGGGGGGGGGGGGGGGGGGGGGGGGGGGGGGAGGGGGGGGGGGACGCCGTAGGCGTCGGATTCGGGGGCTGCGACTGCTGCTGCTGATTCTTCTTGCGGTGCGGGTTCTTGGGGGGTTGGGGGGTTTGGTGTGGAGGTTGAGGTTGTGGTTGACGATGATGGTGGTGGGGTTGGGGTAGGGACGGGGTCGACGGTCACGGCGAAGCGCATGTGCTCCATGCCTTTTGAGAGCTGCTGGCGCGGCTGCGCCTTCTGGCTCACGGAATTGTCGGTCTGGAAGCGGTCTTGCGGGGGTTCCTGCATGTCGGCGGTCATTGTGTGCTGTGTTTGGATATTTTCTTGTGTGAAGAGTTGGGGGAGTTTTTTTTTCCTTTGGTCTCTCCGCCTCTATCAGATGGAGGGAAGAAATTCTTATCGATAGGCGGGCGCTAGCGTCGGATGGGGTGTAGTGCGTTGCGGAACGATTGATCGGGATCGGCTGGTTAGCTCAGGAACTCGAGGGAAAGAAACATTATTGCGACCAAATTGTTTCGTGATGCAGTGAAGACGACGTCACCATTGATCGACCACACACACACACCATGATAACACAGCGATAGCAGTACCACACCAATCCTCTACTTCTCTTACCTGCGCGAGGCCTTCACAACTTCAACCATGACGACCAAAACCACTCGCCTCCGACCATTCCTCCACCGACTCACCTCCACTCCCCAACCACAACCACACAACCAAACCCGCACATTCTTCCCCAACCCATTCGCAGCCCTCTCCTCCTCCACCACACCACCGACCCCACAGATCCTCACAGCGACCCGCACCCTCCCCTACGCCCCCGGACCCATCTACGCCATCATCTCCGACGTCGCATCCTACTCCTCCTTCCTGCCCTACTGCCAGTCCTCGACCGTGACAAAGTGGTCCGCCCCCGACGCCACGTACAACCGCCGCTGGCCGTCTGAGGGGAAGCTCGTAGTGGGGTATGGCAACCTGACGGAGAGTTTCACGTCGCGCGTGTACTGTATCCCCGGCAAGATCGTCGAGAGCGTGGGCGGCGGGACGGAGACGTCGTTGGATGAGCGGGACATTGGACATCATCTTCAAGAGAGAGTGGAGGGGGGGAGATCGGATGCGAATGGATTGCTGACGCACCTGAGGAGTCGGTGGAGTGTTGTTGGGGAGGACGCTGCGAGGTTGTCACCACCACCGCTGGGGGGAGAGAATGGGAATGCGGGGAGGACGAGGGTGACGTTGGAGTTGGAGTTTGCGTTTGCGAATCCGATGTATGCGGCGCTGAGCGGGGGCGTGGCGTCGACGGTCGCGGAGATCATGGTTAAGGCTTTCGAGGGGAGGGTGGAGGAGGTTATGAGGAGGGATCCGGGGCTTGCGAGGGCGAGGTTGGGGGATATTGTTGGGGAGAAGGGGGGGATGAGGTGAATGGGGATCGTCTTTGGGGTGTATGATTATTTGAGATGGAGGGTAGAAGTGTTGTATTGATATACATGATAGGATAGATGTGTACGATATGGTATATACTTTGTATGCTGAGAAGGCACGCGAATGGTAGAAATAGAATTCGCGACTCAAGATATTTGAGATTGCTAGAGTAGAGGGTACCTGTACATGGATGAGTATATGTGTGTGTAAATACTTGAACAAAGGTCTTGTATTGAAACCTTGTACGAATGGCAAAGGCATATAAGCTTCCTTCTGGAGCAGCAAGCTTGATACCACGCTCCGGGGCGGTCCGCTTATTGGTTAGCGAGCAGTATAAGCTTACCCTATTCTCGTATCTCCAACCTAGGTACTTCAACAGCAAAGTCTCCCAAGGGTCCTCTACGTCAACAACCAGGTACAAGTACCAACTAAGGAACTCGACACTTTCAATATTGGCATTCGAAGCTTCCGTTTTTCTCTTGCATTGACAAGTGATGAAAAATTATGTCTTCGATCACAGAGGCTGTTGAGGTCTACCCATACCGCTATCTCAACAACCCCAGCCGGTTATCGTTGCCCTAGTCCCCGCATGACCATTGATCAGCGTGCTAAGTCCACCTAAACAGTCGCGTGCAAGGCCCCAAAGATACGACAATCGGACGCCAGTACGAGGTATGACTATGAACTACGCCTACAGATTCCTACATAAATCAGACGCCAGCAATCTACTTCTTTCTCCTCAATGATGCAATCCCGATCTCCGCTATCGTGCTCCGTACCTGCATCCATCGTGCCACTACACCCGTGAGACTCCAGGACTTGCGTAGACTCGGCCCTTCACTCATCTTCCTTCCCTTTTCGGACGGTCCAGTCGCGGTCATTACGCAGAAGATCTGCAAGAATCCCTCCCATCCCATCCTCCTCGTCCATCCCAGCCCCGCGGTGCATCCAATTCAATAAACCCACGCCACGCGAGGGGAACAAGCTCCCCTGTAGCCAACTTTTCCATACTCGGTACCGCCGTTGGGTCATTGCTTGTATGCCTTGATTCCTTGTCCGTCATTCATTTAAATACTACCCATGCTTCCTTCAATACACCTCCTCGTTTCCTCTCTCTTTCCTTCCATAGCCTCGCCCGTCGACATGGCTCCGAGCGTCTACAGTTACTTGACGGGTCTTTTGACCTTGCAGACTGCGCTTGGAAATCCAGTGGGAACTCACTATCCAACTATTCCAGAGGGAAAGTTGGGTGCCGTGGCCTCTGAAAGCGATGTTTGCAGTCATATAGGGACGAGTTTGTTGCAGCAGGGCGGTAATGCGGCAGATGCTATGGTTGGGACGGTTGCTTGTGTCGGCGTCATTGGGATGTATCATTCTGGTATGTCAGGAATTCCAATGTCAGGTTGACTTTGTTCCATATTGCTATGGATGAATTCAGTTTGACAGCATCGTGCATGGTATCATACTAACCGCGTGCAGGAATCGGTGGTGGTGGATTTATGGTTGTCCGTGGAACCAATGGATCGTACGAATTCATTGATTTCCGAGAAACTGCGCCTGCAGCCGCTTTCGAGGACATGTACAAGAACAACACAGACGCCTCTATAGAAGGCGGGCTGGCAAGCGGTATTCCTGGAGAGGTACGGGGCTTGCAATATTTACACGAAAACTACGGCAAGCTTCCGTGGGCTACGGTGCTCGAACCAGCGGTCAAGGTTGCGAGAGAGGGCTGGACCGTCAATGAAGATCTCATCAAGTACATCAATTCTGCCATCTCCAGTGCAGGCGAGAACAGCACATCAAATTTCCTAGTCAACGATCCAGAGTGGGCATTGGACTTTGCGCCGCACGGAAAGCTTGTCAAGTTGAACGAGACGATCACGAGAAAGAGATATGCAGACACACTGGAGACGATTGCCCAGGACGGACCAGATGCGTTCTACGAAGGGCCGATCGCAGAAGCCACTATCAAGGCGCTGCAAGCTGCAAATGGGACGATGACGCTCGAAGATCTTAAGAACTACACAGTGGCCCTGCGAAAGCCGTCAACAATCACTTACCGGGATTACAAGTTGACGAGCTGCAGTGCGCCCAGTGGAGGAGGGGTAGCACTCTCAGTACTCAAGATCATGGAGGGATATTCCGGCGTTGGTGATCCGGAGAATGTCAATCTTACTACACATCGTCTGGACGAAGCCATGCGATTCGCATACGGCGCCCGAGCAAACCTTGGAGATCCCTTATTCCTCAAAGGTATCGACGAGTATCAAGATCAGATGATCTCTGAAGCGGCAGCACAAGAAATCCGCTCCAAGATTAGCGATACCCAGACTTTCAACGTGAGCTACTACAATCCTGCGGGCCTTGAAAGCCTCGAGACACCAGGGACAAGCCACGTCGTCACAGCAGATATCCATGGTCTTTCCATCACGTTGACTACCACGGTGAACTTGTTGTTCGGCAACAAACTCGTTGTTCCCGAGACGGGCGTGATCATGAACAACGAAATGAACGTAAGTGCACACACATCTACTTCCCATGACCGTTATCGTCATTCTAACACTCACCCCCAGGACTTCTCCATCCCCAACACCACCAACGCATTCGGCTACATCCCCAGCCCCGCCAACTTCATCCGCCCCGGCAAACGTCCCCTCTCCTCCATCGCCCCCGTCATCGTCGAACACCTCAACGCCACCTCCCTCGCCTCAGCCTTCTACATCGCCATCGGCGCAGCCGGCGGCTCCCGCATCATCACCTCGACCATCCAGAACCTCCTCCACATCCTCGACGGCAACCTCACCACCCCGGAAGCCCTCGCACAGCCCAGGATCCACGACCAACTCATGCCCGCCCAGGTGAGCTTCGAGTACGCGTTCGACAACTCGACCACCGCGTTCATGAAGGCCATCGGGCACAACGTCACGTGGGTTGCGCCGGGCCAGTCTACGGCGCAGGGTCTGAGGAGGTTGGCGAACGGGACGTTTGAGGCTGCGGGTGAGCCGCGCCAGAAGAACTCTGGTGGATTTGTGGTGTAAGGAGTGAGATGTGCGTGGTTGATTGTACATTATGTATAGTGATGATCATTAAGGGGGCTGTTGTGAAAGCGTAACGGTCGATATATATAGAAACATAGAGCAGTTTATGTAAAGAAATAATTCAAAAATTTAATAAATAAATCATACAGCTGAAAGGGATAGTAGTTGTTAATATTCCTTCCCTATGTGATAAATATATATCTTGCACAAGAGTTCTTTCTGTTGTATGATGTTGGTGCACACTACTAAACATAAAAAAAAATACTTTCTATTAAGAAACAATTAATAAAAAAGGAGCTAGAATATATATACTATGCACTTATTTTACATATATAAGCCTCTACAGATAGCAGATCAAACAAGCAAAAATACCATTACCCTGATCCCCTCATACCAAACAACTAATCATCCATCTACAAAAAAAATACCCTCCCTTATCCATCTGTCCCAAGATCAGACGGCGAGAAAAAAAAACCACAAAAAAAGAAACCAACTGATAACTTGAGGTCCTACCCGGACTCGAACCGGGGTCCCCGGAAGGAATGCTTCTGATGTGAATCAGAATCCGATGTGATGACCAACTACACTATAGAACCGAACCTCTTTGGTTGCTTTGCTTGTTTGATGGAAGAAAGGTAAAAAATTTAGGTTATATACCCATCTTAAAATTTCGATCACGTTTTTGAAAGTATATTCGGGGGAGTTGGTTAATGGTGGAGGGTGAAGGGAGTGAGGTTGGTGGGGCGGGTAAAGTGGGCTTGGGTTTTCGGTTTTGGGGTGGGGCTATTTGGACGCTGGAGCGAGAAGGGTATTGAGCACTTAGGGTTTTGTTTAGTTACTTAAGTAGCCGGGACGCTTGGGAAGTGGTTTCCAAATGAAGCTATTCAATCATGTATGTGTGTATGTATATTTGTGATGCTGTCACTATCAATCGTTTTCTCGTTTTTGCTTTCCCCCGACGTTTTCGTTATCGTCATTTTGTTGCTTTCGCATTACAGCACAGCGATCGTGCCGGATCTGATTGGAAAGATGTCGCCAAGATTATACGTCACAGATGGACGATTTGTGGCGAGGTTTAGGTTGCAATAGAAGCGTGTTCTGTATGCTCTGCTGGATTATGTCGTAAGACAAAATCTGAGGGATCAAAGTAGCGTCTTGCAAAGTTATATGGATTAACTTTCGGGACGAAATCATTGAAGGCAACTGACACAATCCCTTTAAGTGCATTCATTGGAAGTATCATACGTCTAATTGTTTTTGACAGCTTGCACAATCGCACCCGCTGCCCCCTGATCCAAGTCATCTAACTTTCCCATATCACCTTCATCAAGTTCGAAGCCGAAAAGATTGGCATTCTCTTCTATCCTCGAAGGCGTATCGCTCTTCGGAAGTGGCACGAACCCCTTTTGTAGACTCCAACGGATGAGCACTTGGTTTGCAGTCTTTCCGTGCTTCTCGGCTATTCCAGCAACGGTCTTGTCGTCTGCCTTCCGGTTCCGGACGACGGGGCAGTACGCCTCAATCACGACGTTGTTCTTTCGGCAGTATTCGACGGCTTCGCGCTGCTGGGCCCAGGGATGTAACTATATTTTTAGATTAGAGTGTGGATCGATGTATGGGGGTTTGGTTGTATGTACCTCGATTTGGTTCACAGCGGGCGGCCAGGTCTCTCCGAACTTCTTGATCTCTTCTATATGTCCGATGCCATAGTTACTCACGCCAATATCCCTGACCCTCCCTTCCTTCTTCGCCTTCTCCAGCGCCAGCCACATCAGTTTCCTGGCCTCTGCCCCGCCATTCGGGCTATGTATCAAGAACAGGTCAACGTATCCCTCCACCCCGGCAATCTTCGTGACGCTGTCCGCGACCTTCTTGTATGTAGAGTCGACATCCTTGCCTGGGCTGAGTATCTTGCTTGTGACGAAGATCTCGGAGCGAGGGAGCTTTGAATCACGGATTGCTTCGCCAACTTCCTTTTCGTTGTCATAGTACTGCGCGGTGTCGATATGACGGTAGCCGGTTTGGAAGGCATGGAGAGTTGAGGCCCGGCATTTGGAAGAGAGATACTGGATGAAAGAATTGGAGTCAGCAAACAATTGTACATATCTGAGCGCAAGTTCAAGTTCTGAGGCAGGAGGAACACTGGAGTGTATAGAAGCATAGGCCCTAGAGGACCAGAATGGACTATATGTTGTATAATACAAAGGTACTTACAACACCGAAGCCTAGCATCGGAATCGTCCTCGAGGATCCAGGGAGGGATGCTGTAGATGTAAGTGTAAGTTTAGACGTCGCCATGATGTGTTTGCGAATGCTAGTCGTTCAGTGAGGCGAAATAAAATGGAATGTTAGATGTTCGACGTGTTGGGGAGTTTTAGAGAGACTGTAAAGAGGACAAAGTTCAAATCGAAGAAGTAGAAGGGGGTATTATTGTCAATGTAATAAGTAAAATAGTCAAAGACGCTCTTCAGATGGTAAACCCGCGCATAATCGTGATGTCACTGTTTCGATCCGTAGGTAAGGTACATGGCTCCCTTACCAGTTGCAGGAGATGTGGTTGTGGTGCTCTGGATTCACCCTAGTAGTGCAATTAGAGTTGCGTATGAATATATGCTGGTGAAGCCGAGTACATAAAGAAATTAGGCTTCGGGATACAGATCCTGAGTTGTTGTTGACTATGAATGGTCGATTGAGCTCTATGGAGCTCACACCTCACTCAGTAATAGTGCCCCGCCACTTGAGCGCTGGCAAGCTAAAGATGGTCCAAATGCACCATCCCTGCAGAAATGTCCTTTCCCTAAATCCAACCCAACCCGCCTTTCACGTGGCGTGGCGTCACCAGGAAGAATTAGGAAAATTGCTATACCCAAGCTCCAAAAACTTCTCGTCAAAACACTACCCCTCTTTGGATCCGTCAAGATGGTTCTACAAGCTATCAAGTACTCGCGCGGGCAGTTGGAGATTCTAGATCAGCTGAAACTACCCCACGCTGAAGAGTATGATCACATCTACTCCAGCACTGACGCATGGCATGCCATCAAGGAGATGCGGACGCGCGGTGCGCCTGCGATTGCTATTGTAGCTGCCCTCGCCCTGGCGGTTGAGTTGGTGAACATGAAGCTCTCTTCCGAGGCAGAAGAGGTGAAGATTTTCATCATCGAGAAATTGGATTATCTAGTTACTAGCAGACCAACTGCTGTCAACCTTGCAGATGCTGCGCGGAAGTTGAGAAAAGTCACCGAAGCGGCTGCCGAGACTGCAAATGCGACTGGTGAGGGTGTCAGGCAGGCATATGTGGAAGCTGCAGAACAGATGCTGGTAGACGACGTGAGCGATAACGAGAACATTGGCAAACATGGCGCAGAGTGGGTGATCAAAAACACCGAGGCGGGAAAGAAGGGCAAAGTTAGCATGCTCACGCACTGCAACACTGGGTAGGTCTGATCGAGTTCCAGATATCAGCACGCTAATGATTCTTTCAGGTCTCTGGCTACGGCAGGCTACGGCACGGCTCTGGGTGTGATACGATCACTACATGCCAATGGCGCACTGAAACATGCCTTCTGTTCGGAAACTCGTCCGTATAACCAAGGCTCAAGATTGACGGCATTCGAATTGGTACACGATCAAATTCCTGCTACCCTGATTACCGATTCCATGGCCGCGGCTTTGCTTCGGTTGAGGGGGCCTTCCGAGAACATCGCTGCCATTGTAGTCGGGGCAGATAGAGTTGCCGCCAATGGAGACACTGCGAACAAGATTGGAACATACTCGCTGGCAATCCTAGCCAAGCACCATGGAGTCAAGTTCTTGGTTGCAGCTCCACGAACTACCATTGACCTCGGAACCAAGACAGGAAGTGACATAGTCATTGAAGAGAGGCCAGGAAAGGAGGTAACCTTGGTCAAGGGCCCCAGACATGATGGTGTCAACCTTGACCTCAGTGTGGTAGAGACCGTCAGCATAGCTGCAAATGGTATCGGAGTCTGGAATCCTGCGTTCGATGTCACACCCGCAGAACTTATCGATGGAATAGTCACTGAAGTCGGGGTCGTGGAGAAGGATGCTGACGGTGTGTTCCATCTGGAGCAAGTATTCGCAGATGGCGAGCAGTCGAATAAGCCCACCACGATTGGGGGTATATAGCTGCCTTGTAAAGCCCACACAGAGGGTAGCTCTGAGTCGTACATAGCGTCCAAATCGGTAGTACATGTTTTCCATGTGCTGAATTTAGAGTGGAATGACTAGAGTGTATGTCTCTTCTTTCTACCACCACTTCAAGAGCGACTCCGAAGCTCTGAAGGGATCCGCCAATGACTTGTTGCCAATGCTCAAGCCGCTTGGTTCTCAGTATCTTGGTTTTCGGTCTCTTTGGCTGCCGAAGCATCATCAGAGGAAGCTTTATTGTCCTGTGCCTTTAGCTTCTGCTCCTCCTTATCTGCCTTCGCCAACAGTTCTTCGATCTTCTTCTCCAGTGAGTCGAGGTGGTTTTCTAATGCTGCTGCTGCACTTTCACCACGGGCAATGTCTTTGAACGCCTGAAATAGGTCAGCAATCTGTGTGAAGGTTATCTCATGCCGGTCCAAGACGTACTTGCGCAAGATCTGCCTCTGCAGTTCCCCCGCTGACCTCTTCCTTGTGCTCGGCTGCCATTGTTGGTGCGCTGAAATAGGACTGCGTAGAAATTGAAGTATTGTTCTTGGCGGAATAGATCTATGTTGAAACCATAGGCGTTTCCACAATGTAGAACGTTCGACGAAGATGGTTTGTTGCTGAGAAGGTGGAGGAAGCGGCTCGCGTATCCAGTGGCTGAGGTGAACAACTGATGACGAAGCTTAGCGCGAACCCAGGTAACTACTGTGGTCTTGCCCGTGCATCAAGCTTCAACCTCTCACCACAACACCTTCGAGCTTTACCATCCCTCTATTATCCCGGATCGCTATCGATCTGCGGTTTACGCGAGTCTCGCGAGTAGTCTGATTGACGCGCGACGTCTTGTTCATCATGTTTTCCGGGTCGAACTCCTATTTAGGGGGTGGGAACAGCGCCCGACCTGGACAGCCTCAGTATGGCCAGCAGCAGCAACAGCAGCAGCAGCCATTTCAGCAGTCTGGAGGCTTCCAAGGTGGATTGGGTCCCCAGCCAACGGGCTTCGGCGGAGGGCCCATGCAACCGCAGTTTACGGGTTTCCCTGGACAGCAGCAGAACTTTGGGCAGCCGCAACAGCAGCAACCCCAATTCACGGGATTTCCGGGTCAACAGGCACAATCGTTTCAACAGCAGCCCCAGCAGCAGCAGTCTTTTCAGACTGGCGCGCCGCCTCCGCCTCCTCCGAAGCAAATGCCCCAACCGACGGGAATGACCTCCTCCCAGATGGCCGACTCCTTTCGCGGGACATCATCGTCCAAACCCCCACCACCGCCCGCGAAGACGAACAAGATTCCGAACATTCGACTTTCTTTCATAACTGCTCAAGATCAGGCCAAGTTTGAGCAGTTGTTCAAATCTGCTGCGGGAGATGCTCAGGCACTATCTGGAGACCAAGCACGAGACCTGCTCATGCGGTCCAGGCTATCCGGAGATGCCCTCTCTCATATCTGGTTGGTGAAAGTGTGTGGATATAATTGTGCTTTTTAACTGACTTTCAAAAGGACTCTATCGGATACGACCAAGTCAGGCCAATTGTTGTTCCCTGAATTTGCGCTTGCCATGTATCTTTGCAATCTCAAGCTGACTGGAAAGGACATACCGAACAACTTACCCGACCGCGTGAAGAACGAGGTTTCTAGTATGGTAGATATCATATCGTTCGGCGTGGCAGAAGATGAGTCGTCCCGGCCGGCCCCTGGGGGTGGTCAGAGTTCTGGTCAAATACCCACAATCCAGCAACCGCAGCCCCAGGCTTCAAACAGTCAACTGCTGTCATCGTTGGTTTCTCAACCGACCGGGTTCAATCAGTCCCAATTAGGACCTCAGCCGACTGGATTCCAGCCGCAGCCGACAGGCTTTGGCCAGGCACAGAACACCGGCTACACTGGGCCCCGTCCGCCTATGCCACCCATGCCTACCGGCTTCGCTCCCGGTCTTTCTCCGAATCAGACTGGCCTGGCTCCTTTGAATGCGCAACCTACCGGCGTCCCTGGACAGTGGGGTTTAGTCAATAACCCAGCTACAGGACTTCCAAACATTGAGGCTCTGACTCAGCGAATGATGCCCCAGACAGGGCGTGAGGGCGGCAACTACACCACTGCCGGGCTCAGTGGCAATGCCAAGATTCCTTGGGCAATCACGAAAGGCGAGAAGAAGCTGTATGACGATACCTTCAAAGCCTGGGACGGATTCGGCAAAGGGTTCATTAGCGGCGAGCAAGCCATTGAGATCTTTGGCCAAAGTGGTTTGCCTAAACCTGATCTGGAAGCTGTTTGGACTCTGGCAGATTCTACGGATAGGGGCCGACTTAACCTTGACGAATTTGCCGTGGCAATGCATCTCATTTACAGAAAATTGAACGGATATCCTGTTCCAAATCGACTACCTCCGGAGCTCATTCCCCCGTCTACCCGCAATCTCAACGAGTCCATCGGTACTATGAAGTCACTCCTGTCAAGAGATGCCGAGGAGAGAAAGAATTCCGGTGCTTTCCTACAGCCCCAGCGAACCGGTGTCAGCTATCTCAAATCACATTCATTCCGTGCGGGTAGCCCAGCTGCTGGAGGACGCAAAGACGCAACTGTGTTCCGAAACAATGACGACAGCATCGGCTACAAATCAAGCGCAAGGCGCCGACTTGGAGCAGGCGGGCGCTCGCCTTCTCCTGCGACGCCATCGTCCCCAGGCTCGGAGCGGTCCCAGGATGACTTGACTGTCGATCAGCTCAAGAAATTGGTGCGAGAGAAACAGATTCTCTTGGATGCTATGGACATCCGTGACGAGAATGCAGCCGATGAAGATGATGCACTTGATAGACGTGATCGAAGGGAAGCCGAGGATCTCTATCGACGCATTCGTAGGATCCAGGAAGATATCGATGCGCACCCCCAGGCCTCTTTGAGGTCGAGCGACTCCGATGCTGAACGCCGGGCACTCAAGCGACAGTTGCAGAAATTGACTGATCGTCTACCGGAATTGGCCTCAAGTGTCCGTCGGGCAGAGCGCGAGATCGCGGACGCGCAGTTGGAGCTCTTCAGGCTGAAGGACGCAAAAGCTCACCCAGGCTCTGCTTCCACCATCGTGGGCACAGGTCCAGGTGGTGCCGTTACTGAAGCAGACCGATTGAAGGCCCGCGCGAAGGCCATGATGCAAGCGCGCTCTGCTGCTCTCACTGGAAAGCCCGTACCTGCGAGCGATGACACTGGTGCGGCTGCTGAGCGCCTGGAGAAGGAAACTTCTCGCATTCGATCCGAGAGGGAGAGCAATGAACATATGATCCGTGACGTAGAGGACAGCGTGCGCGAATATACTAGTGGACTGGAGGCAAGCCTTAAAGAAGGGGGACATGATAGTACCAGCGAACATGAACGCCGCCGATGGGAAGACGGCCTCGGCGTGGAAGACGAAGTCAAGGACTTCATCTTTGATCTTCAACGTAGCAGCCGAGCATCTCGAATTCGCAAAGAAGATTCCTCGCGTGATACGTACAGGTCCACCTCCCGTTCTGGAGAGAATGAGACGCGATCTACCTCAGCACGGTACGAAAGTTCTGCCAGAAGCCCGGAGCCTACGTCGCGTCCGTCGCCCAGCCCGGCTTCTGGGGGCTCATACTCTTCATACAAGACACCCGAGGATCGCGCAGCTTTTATCAAGCAGCAAGCAGAACAGCGCATGGCGGAGCGCCTTGCTGCCCTTGGTCTCCGTGCGCCAACGAAGGCAGGAGAGTCGCCTCAGGAGCGCCAGGAGCGTGAGAAGAAGGAAAGAGAGGACAAGCTCAAGCATGCCGAAGAAGAAGATGCTCGCCGAGAACAAGAGAGACAGAGAAGGCTAAACGATGAGAGCATTGCCCCGCCCAGTGCACCCAAGTCCAGTGGCAAGAAGCCTCCTCCTCCGCCAGTATCGCGAAAGAACAAGTCCGAAGTCGCTCAGCATGATGCTAGGCAAGCGGATGCCGAAGCAAAGCGTGCAGAGAACGAGATCGCCGAGAAGGCGCTTCGCGAACAGCAGCAAGCACAGGAAGCAGAGAGGAAACGCCTCGAGTACGTGAAAGTAACATTGTTTGCTAGAATCTTTGCTAATGAGAATGACAGGGATGAGGAGCGTCAACAGGAAGCTGAGCTCGCCGAAGAGCGGGAAGCTGCTCAAGCCCGACTACGAGCTTTGGAAGAACAATTCCAACAAGGCAAGATTAAGAAAGAAGAGGAGAAGCGTCGCAAGAAAGCCGCTCAGCGTGAAGCCAAGGACAAAGAGTCACGACTTGCTGCTCAACGCGCAGAGATCGAAGCTGCACGAGAGCGAGAGCGTCAGTTGCAGCTGCAATTGGAGAGTCTTGACGATGACGATTCCTCGGACGACGAAGGCCCAGAGAGCATCACTCCGCATGATGCCACTCCCACTGCAAGCCAGGAAATACCTCGTGAGCCAACCGTAACAGCACCAGCAGCACCATCCATTCCCTCTGCTCCGCCTCTACCGCGCCAGAATAGTACGCCGCCATCATCTATTGCCAGCCCTCCAACATCATCTCTTACCAGCCCTCATGCTGGTTTGGGAGACACCGAGACGAAGAATCCCTTCCTCAAGAAGATGGCCATGTCCAATCAAGAGCATAACCCAGTGTCCACGCCACCAGCTGCCCCAAGCAGCAGCAGCGAGGTCTCGACCAATCCATTCCATCGCTTGACACAAGAGAATGCCAACAAGACCACACTCCCAGAGCCTGCCGCACCTCCTGCCCGAACCCGAGGCCGCCCAGACGATGATGACTGGTCTGTCGTTGATTCTGACGACGACTCGTCTGATGACGATGATGCTCCTCAGGGTGGTGCCAAGCAGCTTGCATCCATCTTGTTTGGCACTATGGCTCCTCCACGCCCATTGTCCGCAATGGATAATAAGAGCTCTCGCGCAGACAGTCCAGCGGTATCTTCCCCTGCTGCGGGCATACCACCTCCTCCTCCCATGCCATCTGGAGGTGCTCCCCCTCCCCCTCCTGGACCACCCCCACCCCCTGCTGGTGGACCTCCACCTCCACCACCGATGCCAACTTCATCTGCCAGGCCTGCTGGCGCTCCTGATCGTGGTGCTCTACTAGGCCAGATTCAAATGGGTAAGGGCTTGAGGAAAGTTGAAACAAAGGACAGAAGTCAAGCATCAACTGCAGGTAGAGTTTTGTAGATTACTACTTGTTGTGAGCGTGGTCATTTTGTAATATAGCCGATTGTTAATAAATTGATAAGTTGCATTGTATCTTTGTTCTGCGACGCCAGTGCCTTCAGGGGTGTTCTACTATTGTCGTTTAGCGCGACGCCAAGCACTCACCGTCATTCGTCATACATCGCGCGTGAACTCCGCAACAACGAACAAACGTAAACCTTTTTCTTGAGATATACGATGCGGTGACAATGAGTAACAACTCCAAGTGCAACTCAGACACTGACCAGGATCTCTGGGGGAAAGATCATCCTCGCGATGCATGGATCCAAATCTGCTTCTCTCTGAGTCTTGGTCTGATTGCTTTCTTTACCTTCTGTGTATGTGCCCTTTGTCGTACAGGTTTTCTGTCAAAGCTAATCGAGCCTGTAGTTCCTTCGACCCCGATGGAAAGGTTTATACGCTGCGCGAAAGAAGCAGATAGGCCGCGAAACCGCTCTTCCTGATCTTCCGGACAGTACATTTGGGTGGATACTGCCATTATGGAGGATTACGGATGAGCAGGTTTTGGCTTCTGCTGGCCTTGACGCCTACGTGGTAAGCGCATCCTTGTTATTCGTGAGAAGGGCCTGGTTCTGATTGATTTAGTATCTTGCCTTCTTCAAAATGGCTATCAAGTTCTTCCTCATCTCGCTCTTCTTCGGCCTCGTCGTAATCAAACCTGTCCACGATACACACAAAAAGCCTCCGCGAAAAGATCTCCTCCCTAATCCGCCCGATCCCGTAGCTTTGACTACGCATCTGGAAGTTCGGTCAAGCTGGGAAACTCTAAGTCAGGATTTCTATGGATATTCTAACGATTACCTGTGGATGTATCTTGTCTTTGCATACTTATTCACGGGCATAATTCTCTATCTCATTGTTTCGGAGACAAGGAGGATCATTGAGGTCAGGCAGGAGTATTTGGGTAGCCAAACAACGATCACGGATCGCACCATAAGACTGTCGGGTGTTCCCCTTGATCTGCGGTCCGAAGAGAAGATCAAGGACTTTATCGAGAATTTGGAAATTGGCAAAGTAACGAGCGTGACGCTCTGCAAGAATTGGAAAGAGCTTGATGATCGCGTTTTTCAGAGGAATGCGACGCTGAGGCAGCTGGAAGAAGCTTGGACAGTATATTTAGGTAAAAGAAGGGTTGAACGGAGCCTTGAGACACTTCCAGTAGTTCAACCTCTGCCACCAGGCCCGGAGGTCGGCGTTGACAACGATGGCGATAACGAAAGTAGTCAGCTTCTGAATGACACCGAGCGAGACCCTGATTATATCCCGCCATACTCTCGACAGCGACCGATGGCCAAGATCTGGTATGGGCGCTTCAAATTGCGATATAGAAGCGTAGATGCTATCAATTACTACGAGGAAAAGCTTCGCAGACTTGATGACGATATCAAGATCCTTCGTAAGAAGGACTTTGAGCCAACCCCGCTAGCTTTCGTCACAATGGACAGCGTTGCCAGCGCTCAGATGGCCATCCAGGCCGTTTTGGACCCTTCCCCGCTTCAACTTCTGGCCTCCACCAGCCCATCTCCTTTAGATGTTGTTTGGCCAAACACGTATTTACCCCGGTCTAAACGTATGCTTAGAGCTTGGAGCATTACTGTCTTCATCGGTATCTTGAGCATTTTTTGGACAGTTTTGCTTGTCCCTATTGCTGGTGCTCTCAATGTCTGTCTTATTCTGGAAGTATTCCCACGACTCGGACAGATTCTACTTGACCACCCGGTCTTGAAAACTTTGGTGAATGCTCAAGTTCCTACCTTGGCTGTTACTCTCTTGAACGTTCTCGTACCCTTCTTATATGACTGTAAGTATTCATCTGTGACGTATTAGCTTTTACTTACAATTATAGGGCTCGCGAATCAACAAGGCATGATTTCACAGGGCGACGTTGAGCTCTCTGTCATCTCAAAGAACTTCTTCTTTACATTCTTCAATTTCTTCGTGCTTTTCACAATGTTGGGGACGGCGTCAAACGTCTTCACTCTGTTCGAGCAATTTGGAGAGAAGTTTTCCAGCGCCACAGAATTTGCAAAAGCTCTTGCAACTTCTCTATCCAAATTGATCGGCTTCTACACGAATTACGTTATTCTCCAGGGTTTTGGTCTCTTTCCTCTGCGTCTGATGGAGATTGGTGCGCTCTCATTGTACCCTATCAATTTGATTGGAGCAAAGACTCCTCGAGGTATGTGGATCCAGTCTTCATGCGACCTGCAGTTCTCACTCATTCTTTTCTTTAGATTATGCCGAATTAGTGCAGCCTCCGGTTTTCAGTTATGGATTCTTCCTTCCACAGACCATTCTCATCTTCATTATCTGTCTTGTATACAGCGTACTTGAGGACTCGTGGAAAATCCTCCTGACCGGCCTAGCTTATTTCTTCATCGGCCACTTCGTCCATAAGTATCAACTTCTGTATGCGATGGAGCACCGACAACATTCTACAGGCAAGGGATGGATGATGATGTGCGATCGTGTTATTGTTGGAGTAGTGATGTTCCAGATCACTATGGCAAGCCAACTCGGATTCCTCAACGCATGGAGGCGAGCTGGTATGGTCGCTCCTCTAATTCTTGGAACCATTTGGTTTGCGTATAACTACAGTCGTACCTATAGACCGTTGATGAAGTTCATCGCGTTACGAAGCCTTCGAAGCGTTGAGCGCTCCGATCTAGGGCGGGCCGTGCAAGAAGAACGCTTCACGCTTGGTCGAGGTCGCATTTCCGGAATCGGCCGACAAACCCTCGACGAAGCTCGAGAAAGTGGATTGCGTTTTGAGAGCCCGTGTCTGACGATGCCGTAAGTGGAATTCGATACTGTTCCAGGATCATTGAAAGATACTAATTCAACTTTATCTGCAGGCTTGATGACTTGTGGATTGTCGACAAACGTGCACGATCTGAGAATGGATCTGTGACACATAGCTCCAACGGTGACGGTGACGCATAGACTTCCCTGATGTACAATCGTAGGTAAATATGTATATGTTGGTGGAATATTCGTTGTTTCAAGTTGTACAGAGCGGCAATCGCTGCCTCATACTTTCTGCGTTCTACTTTCCTATTCTGAATTGCTTTATACCCATACCCATTTGACTCTTTCCTGGTAGCGTTCAGCCACCTACCAATACCTTCCTGATCTTGTATATATGTCAGCACTGCTAAGTTACCGTAATGTTACTTCACCATCCTCAGTCACCGACATTCCATGCAAGATCGTTCTTCTTACTCACCAGTCATTCATTCAAGTCACCTTCCAGGGTAGCTTTTGAAGCTCTCGAACACTAATCCTATTGCTCTATTCTTATGCAAACATCTTACTCGGGTTGCAATATATTCAAATACTTCGAACCCAGGCGTCGGCGCTTCCACCGCAGGAGGTGCTGTACTAGGCGGTGCGACAACGACTTCACAGATCTATATCTCTCGAGGTGTAGCCAGCACCAAATCCACGCCTAATCTTCCTATTTGCGATTATCCTATAGTGCCACCAGCACCATCTCTACGCCCTTGCGCTCCGCCTAGACGGCACTCAGAACTGTCATTTCCGATCTCTCCTACAATGCCATTACTATCGGAAGAGAGTGCACCAAGCAATGCATCCACTTCCCAAATACCCAGACGACTAGATGATCCTATTCCTATGCCCACAAGGTCTGGGGATTTTACAGTATCCACAAAGTCTCCCAGACGGTCCGACGGATTGCGCCACGCACTTTTACGACACCCACGTCTAGATATTACAAGTCGCGATCAATCGCCCCCTAAAGAAAAACCTAATCGACGAAGAACCACCTCCTCATCGACCACGTATTCCAAAAGAAGAGTGGCTTTTAACAAGGTTATCAACTCGATTTTCCCTAATAATCCACCATCAACTCCACATCTCGGCCGGCAAGACTCTCTCGAGAAGTGTACACACCTTGCAAAATCGTCACCCAGTGACTCTTTACGCAGCTTGGATGTGGTTTCTCCCGGCACCTTTTTGTTCAGCGGTCCGAGCCTGAAATCAGCTTGTTCCGATTCCGTCAGGTCGAACCGTTCGCGTCTTCCAAGCTGGGCAGAGAGCAGCGTTGGCACAAATTCGCCTGGTCGCAGACAATCGTCAATGTCAGGTCCTAACGGGCGTTCAAACGCCATGAGTGATTCTATCATGGAGCCTCTTGTTGAGCACGGAGTAACCAGGACCATGTCCGATGTTCTGCTCACGGACGACGCGCACAATTGCGAGACTATGCCTTTCACATCTGAGTCTAATATACAGTATAGCCTCCAGCAAGCTAGTTGTCCGAGAACAAATGAAACAGATAGTGCTGCCTCAACCCCTGCAGAAGTTCTGCTTCCACACCTAGATTCCTCCTTGAAAGCCGTAATACACGCTAAGTCTCCCTCGCAGCTCTCTATTTCACACAAGCTACCAATCGAGATCCTACACATGATATACAAGTGGCTTCACCCTAGAGATTTCAACGCTGCCCGACACACTTGCTCAACCTGGATGAGGGCTAGCCTTGACGCCACACTTTTGTCGATAATGCTGAAGCGTAATGGATATCGGAGTGCAAGTGTCGTCGATCAATGTCAAAGAATAGCTCAACTTCAAGGTCTCACTAGTCTGACTGGTGTAGATTCTGAATGGACACTAAGCAGATATTTGTCAAGAGAATGTGCGCTTTCTGCGGGCTGGACTGGTAATGGGCTTAGTATTGCATCCCCTTCGAAAGTTTTTGCGAATATATTCGAGACCGACTTTTCTGATCTAGCAAATGGATGGTCAGGTTCGAGTTCACGCAAGACTTCTGCACTTTTGTTTACTACGAGCACTTGCGGGCGTTTCCTGTTGATCGCGCGGGAAACCTTGCTATATGTCTACGATATTTGCAGTGGGGTGGGACTGCAACCTCTTACTTGCGTAATATGCCCGAGAAGAGTCATCTCGACAAGTATGAATGCGAGTAGTGGCAGATATGCCGTAGCCGCTCTTCTCGAAGGCAGATTGGGTATGGTATGTGAGCTCACAGACAAAAAAGAATTCCACACGGATGTTATGCCACAAAATCGAGAAGAAGCCAATCCGGTCACTTTCAATTCGATTGCTGTCCAAGCGAATCGAGACGCAATCGTTGTACAGGACACGGTTGACGAGCATGCCCGAAGTCAAGATTGGGTCAATCACACCTGGAACCTTGTCCTCCGTGGTGTACCTACTACGAAATCTAGGACTGAATCCCTGACGAAACGCGCAAGCAAAGGTCTCATACCAATTGAGACCGGTGCTTCGACCTTCTACCGACGGTTGTGTTCGCAAGATGATCCTCCTCGTAGTGTAGCTATTTGTCCCCAGCGGCGGTGTGTTGCCTTCGGTTGTTCATCAGGCATAGAATTACACTGGGTAGATGCTGCGACGGGGCAGAGCCTTACTCGTTGGTTCCCTCTGACTGCCCCTTCGGACTACCTATATTTTCTTGCCCCTCGCTACGATCTCGAGTCAGCGAAGAAACTACGATTGATCTCTAGCGCTGCTCATCCTCTAGAGCGACCTGCGATAAGTCGCAAATTCCGCTCCCCTTGTTCAACATTAATACCTCTGCAAGATGCACTGGAATTTGAGCGGTACAATCGCCACGACAATCTCGGATATGATCACTATCATGCAGTGCCCCTAAGCGACGGGTACCATATTCTCTTCATTGATCCTACCAGCGCTGAATTATTCATTGGCTGTAATGCACCCATTGGTAGCCCGATGAAGTTGATCCGCAAGATTAGGCTTGCAGCACCATATAAGAACATGATCCCTCATGTTTACACAGCTGCATCTGACTTGACATGGGGTGCACGCATCGTCGCCGTATTCGGGAGTAGTGTTGTATTCTACACTGTTCCGCCAGATGTTCTTTTGTATTCGCAAGCGGAGCAAACTACAAATTTTAGATCAACTGCGTATCACGAGCCACACTCTATCAGAGACCGTATTGGAGTACAGGGCCATGATGACTGGTTGAACTGGTGGACAGGTTCGAGCTCAGGATCTGGGCAAGCCCAAGTATCAGATTGGCCCCTCACGATCCAGGGATCGACCATTGGCACATTGCGAGGTATATGCGATATAGCACTTTTTACCTACCCTGAACTCACTGTTTGGGCTTTCTCACTTGATTCAAAGGCCAAAACTTGGCGAGTACAGAACCCGACGAGAGCAAAATGCCAGCTACGCAATTTAGTATCCGAGGATGGATTAGTACACAGTTTCGACAAAAAATTCGAACCTTCCAGTACCCATGAGACATTTTTAGAAGCGCAATTGGATACACATGTAGATCCCGAAGATCTCGCTTTTGAGGGTTCGGCTGGATCCGATACCAGGACAACTGCATTTGAAGTCAAGCATTACCCAAAGGCATTGAACATAGAACTAGACAAAGACATAACGTCTTTGACAGCCACGGACTCTGCATTGGATGGATGGTACGATGTGGATGGGAATGTCGCTATACTAGACAATCAAAGGCGCCGCGCCTCTTCTCGACGCTCGGTTTGGTGACATGATTCCAACAGTCAGCCGTTGTTGTTGGTTTTATACCTCTCTTGAATCAATACTGCTAATTTTACTCCGTAAATACCTATGTAATTCTTTATCTTCTTTACATATCAGTGACAGACCATTCTTTGTGAGTGAATTAACGCGAACGCGCTGTCACATGATATGCTATTAGTGCCAAGAACGCATTGACCTAGAAGCATAGGAACTTTGTGTCTCCAAGGTGTACCTTGTCGATTAAAGAACACAGTACAGAATCACGTTGACAATTGCGTCAGCCACTTTCAGGTTTTCGACTGTCCTTACTGCTCAGTAGCGACGTCAGTCCTGCATCAACGTGTGCAAAATGTCCGATATGAACGTCAGCGACCACATCAAGACGCAGCACAATCGCATGCTTCATGAAGCCAACCAAGAGCTTGCGCGACAAGTGAACGAGCTTGTCGAATACCAGATCGAGAATCCCGAGCTCAAGAGCTCTACGAACAACGCGGATGTCGAGAAAGAGAAGGCCGTGAAGAGGGAGATTGAGAACCGGAAGAAGGCGATCCGCGCGCAGTTGGCCGTGATCAAGTCCTTATACAGACAAAGCGTGATCAGAGTGAGGGAAGAGAAGGCACAAACATCGGACAGTAGGAATGTCAACGATACCCTCATCCTTCAGTTACACAATCTGAAGTATGAGGAGCAAAGTCTTTCTTCCGAGATATCAGCTGCGCAGAACTACGAGTGAGTCTCTGTTCCATACGCGTATCTGGGTTGGTGTTCTAACTATACTTGCAGTCACAAGTACATGAAACTCCCACTCATTTCCGTGGAAGAATTTCTCGAACTTTTCCCCGATCACCAAGAGTCCTCCGAGCATGATATCATGACCGCGCGCATCGAGCATGAATATCAGGTCCGTATGAAGTTGGAGGAGCGGAGGCAGGAGAAGCTCAAGCAGAAACAAATGCTCATTGCGGAGGTCAAGAAGCGCAAGGACGATCTCACGAAGCTCGATGGCATGTTGGAGAGATTCATCGAGGCCGCCGCTCCCATCCAGAAGGTCCTCGCCACGGAGTAGAATCGTCTCCCCGCTAGTGCGAATTATATTCAACACAACCGTTGCTCCATTCCAGAAGTATGACGGTGGCCAAAAGAACCCCGGTCCTGGCTACACGAAGCCGCGTAGTTTCCGAACCCATACTACGCCAATGTACTCCAGCGTACGTCCCATGCTTGAAGCAGAGCTAGTCACCGGCACGTTGATTTGGATGACATATCGAAGTACGGCCGGGGCATACAGACCAGCCGAGCTGCTATGCGGATGGATCGGTCGACAAGTCTCGACGTTACACCATCCTAGCGTACATATTCCAGCATCTATTACTCATAGGGAGAAGTCCAAGAAGCTTTCGCGTGATATGCACGCCATAAAGGAACCTCGCACCCGAATTCTCCAGCACTATCAGCCTCGATCTTGACAACATCAGGCTGCTGTTATATCGTCCGGTCACAAAACGATATAGGGGCTTATTAAAGAATCCCAGACCTAACTGGGCTACCTCTCGCAACGGATACGAATCAGTAGCGTCAGGAATATTGGCAGTTAAATCAAATAAAACTTGCATCCTTCCAAGTATCATCTTACACTGCTGCGTGCGCGAGCCTGCAATATCCCATTTGCCTATACTACTATTTTGACTTTCTTGAAATTGTAATCTCTGCCGTTTCCAAAAGATGACCAGGGTAATCCAATACTGTCCAATGAGTGAAATATTAAGCATAAGCATGAGTCACTTCATCAGCAAGGCTGGAGCAAGGTGAACTGTTCGATGAGGAGTAGGCTATTTCTGGGCAGCCAGGGTTGCAAAGCCTGGCATCATGATTTGGACTCGCGGAGCAAAATCAACTGATATTGAGCGGTCTTTGAAACAACCTTAATTCTGTTTCTATGCAGAGTACAAATGACGAAGTTTATCATACTCGAGGATGAACCATTCCCGGACTTAGCGACATAAGGACCCACGCACCCACGTCCCTTAGATGCCTAACCAGCTAGCGCGGAGTGAACCATGTCTGTGGAATCTTTATCGATAGGCTGCCGGCATTAGCGTCTTGGTATTGCGAACGCATTCGAGTTGGGTCGCGTCGTCCCAAGGTCTCTCTCTCCGCCACCAGTCACTACATTTCTCCCATCTTTCACCTCGATTTGCGCTATGGCGACCGTACACGTAGTAGCGGACGTTAAAAGCGCTCATGCGCATGATGCTGCCATAAAATATCTAGCTCCGAATCATGGGCCTTCATTTGGTCGTAGAGAGCGCCCATTAGAGGAGTGGAACCTGGCTGGCCCAGATATTTCGACTTTACCGGATCCTCTAACGACCATATGGAAATGTCTCGCCCCGAATGGATCAGAACAAAGCACAAGTGGAAATCAGCCGCCGCCCAAAAGAAGGAAATCGAATAATGGTGGCAGTGTCGGGTTGCAATCTGTTGACGATTTTGATGAATCGCGGAGCGTGGTTCTTGCGAGAGTATCTATTGATCTGGTATGAACCCTTCTATAGCTATCGAGAACGAGATTATCCGTCTAACATACGTGAAGAAATTTCCAGCTGCAACTCTCACACCGAAAAGCTCACCAACATCCACGAATACCCCCCCGCAATCGCTCGCTGTCACGTTTGAACAATTCTCTCAACTTTCCGAGCATGAGTTTCGATTTACAATATGGAACCCCGAGAACCCGAGAACCGGAATCGATCTCATTGCCACGACCGCCCAGTCCATTACCCCCGCACAGTCGCACCTCAAGACCATTGGACGGGACCAGTGCACAACAGAGAATGGAAGGAAGCGTGTCGTAAAACTTGGCGCAAGTTTTAGTAGATGTGTGGTCAGGCATACGAATAGTGGCAATCTAAGACTGGATGCTGAACTTCGATATCTGGTCGGGTTCCCCATCGTGGAGAGCATGCCCGCATCCAGCTCTGTGGTCAAAAAGGACACAGAGTATTTACAAAGATATCTTCCCGATCCGTCTGGAGAAGTTACAAAACCATGGCAATTATCCGACTTTTATGATGCGGTTCATGTTCCGCCGCAAGACCTAGAGGTTTCACCACATATCGACAAGAGTCTTTTAGAGACACCGTTATTCCCTTTTCAGCAGCGAGCAGTAGATTGGTTACTACGACGTGAAGGCGTGGCCTTCGGATCACAGGGACTTCAGCCATTGGGGATCCCACCTCCACCACCAGTTTCATTTCGATCCATCCAGGATGCTGATGGTAAGGATTGCTGCGTTTCGGACGCTCGGGGCCTTATTGTTCGGGATACTGGATCAGTCAGTGATGGATCTGTTTCTATTAAGGGAGGTATATTGGCCGAAGAAATGGGTTTGGGCAAGACCGTGGAAATGATCGCACTAATAAGCCATCACAAGCGCCTTATCCAAGAGGAAAACGTTTTCGATTCCTATACTGGAACGACTGTGAAGGCATCAGGATCAACACTGATAATTACACCGCCCTCAATTCTGCATCAGTGGAAAAAGGAGATTAACTCTCATGCTCCAGAGCTCAAGGTCTTGCATTACCAAGGCCTACCAGCTGCGACTGCGCCGCGAAAGGAACATGCAAAAGCCACTGTGGAGTATTTGATGGAGTTCGATATAATTTTGACTACGTATGCCGTACTTTCTCGAGAAGTCCATTTTGCGAAGCCTCCCCCTGACCGGTCGCTTCGTACTGAAAAGCGACATCCCGCAAGGAGAAGTCCTCTGGTAGAGATATCTTGGTGGCGTGTCTGCCTAGATGAGGCGCAGATGGTAGAAAGTGGAGTAAGTCAGGCAGCCACTGTGGCACGTCTTATTCCGAGGTGCAATGCATGGGCAGTATCTGGAACTCCACTAGCCAAGAACATTCACGATCTTCGTGGTCTGCTCATGTTCTTACGCTACGAACCGTTCGCCAGTCACAAAGGTGTTTGGGACCGGCTTGATCAGAATTCCTTTCAAACACTGTTCAACCAAATTACCCTGCGCCATTCCAAGGATAGGATCCGAGATGAACTACGCCTGCCTCCTCAGAAGCGTGTTGTCATAACCATGCCTTTCACTGCAATCGAAGAGCAGAACTACTCAGAAATGATCCGACACATGTGTGACACTTGTGGCCTATCACCAGAGGGAAATCCAACATCCGACGATTATGACCCCGCTGATCCAGAGATCCTCGAGCGCATGCGCGATTGGCTTGTCAGATTGCGTCAAACATGTCTGCATGCGCATGTAGGTAGGAAGAATAGGAAAGCACTAGGAGCTAAAAACGGTCCCCTTCGAACGGTTCACGAAGTTCTCGAAGTTATGATCGAGCAGAACGACACCAACTTGAAAGCCGAGGCTAGAGAGTACATTCTTGCGCGGATGCGGAGCGGCCACGTGAAGGGAAATGCAAAAGACAATGAGCAGCGAAGCGAGACTGCGTTGCCGTATTACGAGCATGCCCTCGCAGACGCCGAGAATTATGTCGCGATTTGTCGAAGCGAACTTGCCGTGGAGAAGGAAAAACTCGGTGCAACTATCGACGAAGAGCTTGAAGCAGGTGAGGATGATGCAGACGAAAAGAATTTGGGACGTCTGCCAACCATCCGAAAATCGCTCCGTTCGTTCCTGGAGCTTGAACATGCTTGTCGATTCTTCATTGGCACGAGTTATTATCAGAAAAAGATCAATGAAAATCTGACTAAGCCTGACTCCGAGAACTTTCATGTACTGGAAAAGCTCGAGGTGGAGTGGTACGACAAAGCAAAGGTCATTCGACGCGAGCTTCTTCGCGACTCAGAGAGAAGGGCACAGCAACATATGAAGAGAATTACCCTGCGTAAGCCCTTCCAACAACTTCCCGAAGTGAAAGACTTGGAAGACCTCGGAGGAATCGAGAGTCGAAAGATCCTTGACACGATGGATAGCATCTCCGACCTTCTCAATGCACAGGCCAAACAACTAAAGACGTGGCGTCAAAAGGTAGTGGATATATTACTGATGCCCCTTGTGGACGAGGATGAAGAGGGCAAGGAGACGACGGGTGAAGAATATGAAGACTCTACCAAAGTTCAGGATGAGCTTTATGTCTACATCATGGCTCTGCGAACACTTATAGCAGACCGAAGTACCATGGTGAACGGGCTTAATGATATCCTTGTGGACCATGAGCTGAAAATGGCGGAGGCAGCCGCACGAAGTACCGAAGAACCCAGGGGGCACGCTCCAGAGCTTGTGCTCGAGGTAGTCAAGATCCGGAGCGAACTCAAGCCGACAGCTATCGTGGGATCTCTGAAAGGCGTCATCTCAGGAGTGCGCTCGCTAATCACGAGCCTCCAATGGCGGGCAGATGGTGGGGACACCGGAGCAGCCGCTGAGCTTGCGGTTGCCCAGAAGCAGTTCACGGAGATTCAAAGAATCTCCAATGAGCAGACAGAAGCAATCAAGGAACTCGAGAAAGAACAGGACCTGTTCCGTGGAGCCATGAACCAGCGACTGGAATTTTACCGCCAACTCCAGCACATCTCTGATACCGTAGCACCGTGGAAAGAAGACCTTGATCCAGTGTTCGACGTCATCAGCTTCAGACAGCTGCAGAAGAAACAGGCAGATTGTAGTTCTCGGCTCAATGGGTACAAAACCAAACACAATTATCTGACGAATTTGCGCCAAGAGAACGAACAGGAAGATGTCAAGCACGAATGCATCATCTGCCAGGACAACTTCGAGATTGGAGTGCTTACTTCATGTGGACACAAGTATTGCAAGGAGTGCATCAATCAGTGGTGGCACCAGCATCGCAGCTGCCCCCTGTGCAAGATGAGGCTGCGAACGAGAGACTTCAAGGACATCAACTTCAAACCAAGCGAGATCAAAGCGCAGGAAGAAAACCATGGCCAGATCCTTTCCCCTCAAGGCTCGTCACCAGGCTCGTCCAGCTCATCCATATATTCCGACATCAGCGATTCCGTAATGAAGGAGATCAAAACGATCGACCTGAGCGGTTCATACGGCACCAAAGTCGACATGATCGCGCGCCACCTCATCTGGATCCGCAACAACGACCCAGGCGCGAAGTCCATCGTCTTCTCCCAGTTCGGCGACTTCCTAGAAGTGCTCCGCGAGGCGCTGAAGACGTGGAAGATCGGCGCGACCAGCATCCGCGACAAGAACGGCATCGACAACTTCCTCGCCGACCCAGCCGTCGAGTGCTTCCTCCTCGACGCAAAGTCCGACTCGTCGGGCCTCAACCTCGTCAACGCTACCTACGTCTTCCTGTGCGAGCCGCTCATCAACCCGGCCATCGAGTTGCAGGCCATCGCGCGTGTGCATCGAATCGGCCAGCGTCGCCCGACCACCGTGTTCATGTACCTTGTTAGTGACACGGTAGAGGAGGCCATCTACGACATATCTGTCGGACGCCGCCTAGAGCACATGGGCAAGTCTTCAGCGTCGACATCAGGCAGCGCGACGCCGATACTACAAGAAAAGACGCTCGACGCTGCGAATTCACTCGAACTAGAGGCAGCGCCCGTGAAGCAGTTGCTACGGAAGAAGGGCGACGGAGAAGTCGTGCAAGCAGAAGACCTATGGAACTGTCTGTTCGGAAAGCCCAGGAGGAAGCAGCAGCAACAGCAGCGCGTGCTCCTAGACCGCGAGGTTAGTCGCCATCTGCGTGCCGACGCCGCGGAAGGACGAGCAGAAGCCGCCTCCGCCCAGGCGGACGATCTGTCGATACAGACAGTCCGTACCCTTGGGGTTGACAATCCCTCAGGTGCCACGGAGGCGTGTCCATCGCGACAAGAATAGCGCGCATGGAGCTAGCGCGTGTTGGGATCTGGCAGTCGAGATGTTGATGCACGGCATTTAGCAGAAACACAATGATACGGAGTTAATGTACACGGACATCGGATATAGATACCCCCTCCAGATTTAACTACGAGACGCGAAGGAGCGTTTTGGGCTAATGTTTGGATGATGAATTGGATCGCTGCGTCGGAACTTAGTCGGGGGACCAATCATGAATCAATCAATCTTTTTGAATTTCCTCCGTTTTTGTCCCTTCGCTCGTTGTACAGAGGATAGGCACGTCAGGTCGTCCGCCTGCCAGTATCATGTACACTTTAACCTTATCCAGTTGCTTTACAGCAAATAAGAGGCTGTAGATGCACATATTCTGGCTTGTATCTGCTAAAAACGCTAACAGGAGTATCGACCCGACGTGCCTACCCTCTCCTCTGTAGACTCAGGTGCTCGTGATCTTGCAAGTCTTTCTCAAGCATCGTAGGTATAATTAGCATGTCTTTACTTCATATCTAGCTCTGCTTCAATTTGCACGTATCAAGTATCCATACGCGGTGCATGGCAAGAAGTCACGAATTCTTCCGGCCTCAGGCGAAGATCGGAGGATGTTACAAAGGGCGTCGCGGCGCGCATGCATGTCGGCATCTGTCATTCAGCTCAATGGCTGCCAAGAGGATGGGGATTGCAACTCAAGGCTGCCCACATGTCCCGCGCCCCGTTCCATTTTTTTCGGGTGGAGGAAAAGGAAAAATTTCTGGTACCGAGATGGCCATGTGGACGGCGCCACGGGTGTGTAGCATAGTTGCATCTTGTGTGCCATGTCACAGACTCACAGTGCCTGGTGTGGTGCAAGGCTTGTTAACTCTCTGGGAAGTGTGAGAAAAAGGAAGCCAAACATGAGAAACGTCGGTGACTCGGCAAGCCCGATACAATACGGGGTACTCATGGTGAGTAATAATCGGGGGAACGACGGGAGCGTCATTTGGTAGCGGTAAGCAGCGAAATGTGCATCTTGAAAATTGGGAGTCATCCAGTTAACTCTGGGCAACTTTGGCGTCCATCATGGTGTAATTTATCGATTCCGGTGTAAGAACTGTGGATTCTGTAAGACTTTGGGCTGTACTGAATTGATGTCTGATGCCCTCTTTGGGTAGGCCTTCGCGGTGAGCTTATTGGTTGCAGTGCATTAGTGCATCCATTGGATCTTATCAATCTGTCACCGGTTGGGGAAATGCTGTTGAGACAGTTTTCAAAGCAATTGAAAGATGCTTTCTCAGTTATAGTAGATCGATGATTTGCTGTATTCACGTATCTGTTTGCAGAGAGAGGATGTTGTGCTTGTGGTTCGGCGGACGTCAAGATGCATTGGAATTTGGAACTCAGTGGTACAGTGCCTGATCCGTACCAAAATCGATCTTTGAAACACGTGGGATCATTGATCAATGCCCTACCTAGTGGTACAACTACCGTACCATGGAAACGGAGTCTTGCTCATTTGTTAGAGCATGAGAGCGAGATTCGTGCAAGTAGTAGCAATTGTCTCCGATTGACGTCTTGATGAATGGCCGGCCCACTGCGACCGCTTGGTCGGCATATCGGCGGCGGGCAGCCACCGACATCTCGTTTCGCATTGATACGCACATACGGCCGGATTAGATCATAACGTTATGGTCTGAGATGAATGCATGCTTCAACGCACGTATTTGTCGCTGTCATGGGTCGGATGATCGATGCTCAAGTTTCAGAATGCAACCAACCAACAGAGAAGAGTGATCGTCCTCTTACTTTCGAAGATTGAATTCAAACTGCTGCACGGAGTTAGATGTTGTCAAGGCCCAGCAGCTGTGATGCATTGCAAAAGAAATAAATGAAAGAAGATTAGGCCAGTATGGTGTGCTCGTTTTCCGGACGAATCTCTATGGCCAAGGTAAGCACTGAGTAGGCGTGTGAAGTATTCTGGATGCCTTATACACCAGCAGACAGGCATTCGAAGGTCCACCATTATTGACCCGCGAATGGTAGCAATCTATCACACAGTCCAGTTGGTGGGTGCAGCATTCAGTAGTAGAGCCTGTAGAGGAGAGATGGGCGAAGGGCGGGTGATCCTGCGGGAACGCTATTTCGGAACCAGGAAAGGATAGGTCGCATCTTTCCACGCATTCCAGGCATCAGGGTTTCCCAAGCATCTCAGCCATCGCGACCGAGTCCAGGTGTGTGGGTCCGGAAGTAAGCTCTGGTCTTGTTCGAGTAGTTGTCCAAGGGGAAGAAGGCCAGGGTGCAAGTGCCACAGGTCAAGCAAATCCTTTTTCGACTTTCTTTCGCTTATTTTTTGGTCCGAGTGAAGAATTTGACTATGGAGGGACAAGTAGGGGTGACTAGGGGGTACTAGGTATCTCTCGTACGCTGCTTGGTCTTGCTTGTTTGCTGCCAGAGTAACCAGACCATGGCCAGCCACTTAGCGCACTCTATCGCGACATCGCCTTCTCTGATTGGTCGGCTCGCTTTCCACGGATTCCTCCCATACTCTCTTCACGCTCATGTCGTTGTCTCGTCGACTCGGTGATTGGAGTCAACACATTAGTGTACGCCCTCTATTTGCCGTTGATCTTGATGTGTACCATGTGCAGCTGCATCGATGCATCACCCTCATCGTCATCATCTGCGTGGTAGCCACGAGTAGATTAACATCGTGCAGCAGCCGATTCGCGCGTCGGGTCATGACTCCATGAATCCATGAACACAACACGGACAAACCCCGACCGTATTTGTGCGACGTCCTCTCTGGCCTCAAGTCCACGTTTTTCAGGCCGTGCCTACCTGGCTGGAGTCATTGCGACTGGTCGTACTGGCTCCGCTAGCAGCTCCAGTGGTTGGACGGGGTGGTGAAAAGGGAGGATTGGTCTAGACTAGTAGACAGGCCGCCTCAATCGTTGAGGAATGATAGGACGGGGCTAACTCGAAAAATACGTTGATGTGCAGTAAAATACGTACATTCCCGTGCGTAGGCCGTAGCGCACCAACTCTAATTCAATGCAGTCAAATTTGTCTGCCTAATGCCACCCTGAAGTGGTGATGTTACCGGACGAAAAAAGGAGAGGTGATGGGAAACGCCCCTTTTGACAATTGGTTGTGGCTTATTCGTGACGGATGGTTATCATTACTAGGCCCCTTTTGCAAGAGAACTGCGAGATCGCCTAATCATACAATACGTGTATGTGATGATCGCAGGCCTGTTCTGTGTTTGCTCTTCAACTGTTCTAGACGCTAAAGGTATGACATGTATTTTTGTGTGCAGTAATCGCAATGTTTGCTCTGTCTCCGTTTCGACGCTTGTATGTACCTACACTTCATCAACAAATGAACTATGACTCAGTTAATGCTCACATATTTCTACGTGAGGGAGAGAGGAGGTCGTAACTGAGTTGGACTGTTAGAGTATGACTGGGTTTGTGTTGACTTGTAGGTGGGTAACTAATAATGGGTCAGGTTGGGTTGGTTGTTGAGGGGCGACGGTCACCTGCATTCACCGATACGCCGACCAGATGGAACGGAATTAAGAGTGCGCTAAACCATCTCGGGAGATCGGTGTGGTATGGGTCATCGACCTCCCTCCGGTGTATTTTCTCGAATTGTTCCATTTTCGATTTCTTCCAATCCCCATCATTCATTCACTCTCTACTCCGTAGTCACTCTCTATTCTTCTACTCCACTGTGTACCGCCTTAACCTCCTGGGGTCCCTGGTTCCGTCTTTTGTCGCATGGACAAGAAACAACGGCTCTGATCAGCCAGCCCTAACTAAACTCCGCCCGTTCTTGCTTGCTTGCTTGTACATACCCTATTAATTCTTTCTTTCCCTAGTGACTGTACCTTTCTCTCCCTCCTTCTACAAGTATACATATAGCTTCGCGCTCCCTTCTGCCTTACGTCGTTCTTTTCTAATCATCAACCCTTTCCGTCCTACTTTCAACAACTCTTCCTCTCCCCTTGCCTGACACGTGCAAACAGTATCTCGCCCCTGGGTAGAGAATAGTAGCACATAATACAGGATACCTTCCCTCACGCAATTCCCAATGGTTGAACAAAACACCAAGGATAATCTCCGTGCTCCCAGCATGGCCGACAGTGAAAAGACTGCCACTCAAAGTGTCGAGCCATCGGTGCTCGACACCAAGGTACCTGCAGAGAGCACGATGCCTTCTGCTGCTGTCTCAGAGCGCGCACCATCCGTTGAGCCTGACACCAAGCAACCGCAAGAGAAGGCTGAAAACAGCGATGACGAGGACAATTTCGAATACCCCAAGGCATGGAGATTAACGGTTATCTCTATTGCTCTGTGTCTCTCAGTTTTCTGTATGGCACTGGTGAGTGGCGCTCCACCTCGTGAGGATCGGGATCGCATGTACTGACAACTCTCCCCCACAGGACAACACCATTATCGCAACCGCAATCCCTCGAATCACCGATCAATTCAAGACTCTGAATGATGTCGGTTGGTATGGTTCCTCCTACCTCCTCACCACTTGCGCAACCCAATTGATCTACGGCAAATTGTATACCTTTTATTCGATCAAATGGGTCTACATTTCCGCACTGTTCATCTTCGAGCTTGGTAGTTTGATCTGCGGTGTTGCTCCCAACTCAACTGCTTTGATTATCGGACGTGCTATTGCTGGTGTTGGTGCTGCTGGTATCTTTTCTGGTGCTATCCTCATTATCGCCTCCACCGTTCCTCTGCGACAGCGACCGACATACATGGGAATGATCGGTGGAATGTACGGTATTGCCTCCGTTGCTGGCCCTCTCATGGGTGGTGCTTTCACCGACCACCTCACCTGGCGCTGGTGCTTCTATATCAACCTTCCTTTCGGTGCTGTTACCGCAGCCTTCATCATTCCCTTCTTCAACGTTACGCGCCGCGGCAAGAAGAGCGATGCCACCTTCGTTCAGCAGCTCCAGAAACTCGATCTTCACGGTACAGCTCTCTTCCTTCCCGCCATTGTCTGCTTGCTTCTCGCACTCCAGTGGGGAGGTAGCAAGTACGAGTGGGGCAGTGGTCGCATTATCGCCCTTCTTGTCCTTTTCGGCGTCCTCATCATCGGCTTCATCGTGGTCCAGTGGTGGAAGGGCGAAGATGCCACAGTTCCCCCTCGTGTCTTCCTCAACCGCAACGTTTGGGGATCTGCCTGGTTCGGTGCCATGTTGGGAGCTGCTTTCTTCATCCTCGTCTACTACCTCCCCATCTGGTTCCAGGCCATCAAGGGCGTTTCTGCCACCAAGTCTGGAATTATGAACCTTCCCGCCATCCTTGGTCTTGTCATCATCTCCATGTTGGCTGGTGGTGCTGTCACCGCTATTGGTTACTACACTCCTTTCATGCTTACTAGCTCTGTCCTCATGGCTGTTGGCGCTGGCCTCCTCTCGACTTTCGAGACCAACACTGGCCACTCCATGTGGATCGGATACCAGTTCATCTTCGGTGCCGGTGTCGGTTTTGGCATGCAGCAGACTCTAGTCTGTGTCCAGACCGTCCTCCCAGACGACGACATTCCCATTGGAACTGCCATCATGATGTTCGCTCAGACCCTCGGTGGTGCTCTGTTCATCTCCGTCGGCCAGAACGTTTTCACCAACCAACTCATCAAGAACCTCAAGTCCGTCGTTCCAGACCTCAACCCTGCCATCGTTCTCAGCGTCGGCGCCACTGAGCTCAAGAACGCCATCCCCCAGCAGTACCTCAAGGGTGTGCTCCAAGCCTACAACCTTTCCCTCACCCAAACCTTCTACGTCTCCTGCGCTGCAGCATCCTTGTCCATCATCGGCGCTGCATTCGTCCAGTGGAAGAGCATGAAGGGCAAGCAGATCCAGATGGCCGCCGCCTAAGTCTTCGAGTTCGAGAACGTTTCCACCCCACATGATACCCAACTTCACGAATTTTGGATCCGACAAATCTTTTATTATTATTGCATCAGTCGAATTCAGCATGGCGTTTCTTCCTTTTTTCTTTTTTCCCTACATCGTCATTAATTCCCTTTTGGACAACGGATCGCCTAGATCTACCATAGAAAGTTTGTAATAGACACACACACATCCGGGCAAGGCAGCGCTGATCGAGAAACGATCATTCGTACCCCCCGCCGATTTCCCCCCTCCTGTTTTTTTCAGTTCGATCTCTTTTACTATATATACCTCATATATTGGTTCTCGGCTTAGCACAGCACGGCATAGCTAGAATATTGGTGGCAGTTGTCGTTGTGAAGGTCATTTTGCGACTGACGCGACAGAATGTACGATCAGCTAGCGGTTTTATCACGCTGGCGATGAAGGAAGAAATAAAAAGCATATTAAACACTTCCATCCTGCCGAACTGTATTTGTTGTGAATCTGTTCCTGTGTGATTTGTTTGATGATATATACCAGTGATCGACTGCAAACAATTGATAGAGAATGTGAGGTGGAAATTCTGATCAAATTGTCTTACACTTCTCAATGGACAGACCAGTATGCTCAATGTGATGATTGCCGTTCGCTCGATGATCAGTAAAAGGTTTTCATTTGAATAATTAAGATAAGATCGATTATCGATATGCATTTATATTCTTCCATCGTCGTGGTCATCTTCTTCGTTCGTTCAATTCTTTCGAAAAGTCTTGACGATTTCCTCCTTCTATGCGTGAAACCATTCCGTTCTTATAGATATGTAGATGGTAGTCCATTATTTGGGGTATTTTGTACGACCATGCATCCATTTTGTCTCTCTTGTTACAGAATCTCCCTCCCTCTTTCTATCTTTGGACTCTTTGCTTCATTGGCAGAGCTGATTGTTTGATTGAGTCGTACTCACCGCTTCGCGCCCGTTCCGTCGAACTTGGGCTCGATGAGGTCGGGGATCTGCTCGGGCTTGACGTTGCCCTCGAGGATGTTGTAGACGGCGGTGAAGAGCGGGTAGTCCTGCTCGATGCCCTGGCTCTTGAGGAACTCGTGGACCTCGTACGCGGTGCTGGTGCCCTGGAGCTTCTGGCCGTTGAGGTCCTCGCGCTCAATGTCGAAGATGCTCTTGCCCGTCGCGGTCGCCTTCTTGGCGCAGCGGAAGTTGCGGCCGCCCATGCACGATGTTATCACGTCGGCGACGCCGCAGCTCTCCTCCGTGAACGTGCTGGTCTTGACCGAGTCCTCGAAGAAGGCCTTGCCGAAGGCGACCATCTCCAGGATGCCCACGCGCATGACGGCGGCTTTGGCGTTGTCTCCCCAGCCGAGTCCGTCGACGAAACCGGCGGCGAGGGCGATGATGTTCTTCAGAGCGCCACCGAGAGAGACGCCTGCTACATCGTCGACTATGCGGACGTGGAAATAGGGGCGGTGGAAGAGCTTGCGAACGTTCTCGTGCGACAGGGGAGGGTATTCTGAGGGGAGAGCCTTGAGTCTCGCGGATCGAGCGCTGGGGATAGGTTTGCTGGGAGAGATGAGATCGACCTGTGACGAAGTCGGCGAGCCACTTGGTGTTGGGGCACGCGAGTCCATGGGTGGGGGGTCGTATGCCACCGTGGTCTCCGAGTACTTCTCCTGTGCAATCTCGGAGGCAATGTTGGCTCCTGAGAGTGCTCCACAGTAGATGCTCAGGCGCATGCCAATGGTCTCCGACATGAGCCTGATGCCACTCTCACCGACATCCACACCCTTCGTGCAGCAGATTGCGCGTGCATAGGGAACAATGTGCCCCTTCAACTGATCACAAACTCTAGGAATGAACTGATGAGGAAGGACGAAAACGAGAATGGTCGAATCTTTGACCGAGCTGACGACATCCGGATCGGCAACGACGTTGGGAGGAAGTGTAATGTTGGGGAGATACTTGACGTTCTCGTGGATGGTGTTGATCAATTGGGAGAGCTTCTGAGGCTTGTTTGCGGTCTCCGATCCGGGGTCGTAATGGCGAGATTCCTTTGGGATGGTGACATCCTCCTCGTAGACCCACATACGCACTGTCTGGTCAAACAGATTTGGGTTTTCCTTGACGTTCTCGGCGACGAGTTTGGACATGGTAGTGCCCCTGCGTGACCGTTAGTGTAAGGCCCCGAAGAGATCGCCGAACATGTGTTCGTCATGGGAAACTGGATTGCGTTCGTTCGACCAAGATCCCTCCCGGTGATTTGGGGGGCGGGATATTGTACGATGTGCAAGCCACTTTTTATCCAATATTGGATACAATGCGGGTAGTACGTACCAGTTGCCAGACCCGACAATGGTCACCTTGTGCTTCTTGGGGGCTCCTAAGGTAGCCATGATTGTTCGTTTCTGTTCGAGAATTGCGGGTCTGTGGACAAGATTGTACCGGGTCGTAGCGGTTGATGCTGTCAATGGGATTTGGGAGGGACGAAGTGCGGCGAAGGAGGGTGAGAGGTGGTGACACGCAGGGAAAGGATTGAACGACGTCAACGTTCGGCGTGAAGCGAAAGAAGCCACTTTAAGTAGTCTTTTGCTGTATGCTGAGGGTTCTAGACATTGAGAGCAAGCCAATGGTCAACAAAAATAAAGTCTTGGCCACGCCGAGGCACTCAATGGTAACTCACCTCGTGAGCACGGAAGTGACGGGGCGGGCCTCGGTTTCCTGTGATTCTGATACGTCGGCGAGTCCGAAGGATGTGAAATTTATGAGGAGGATTGTGCGAGCTTTGGAGCTTGGTATATATTTGAGGCAAGAGGCAAATGATGAGTGGTGGTAGATGTTGAGAGAGAGGGCAGTAGGAAGGGTCAGGAGGAAGAAAGGATAGCGGGCGTATATGCCTTTGGTGTTGGGAAATGTTATTGGAGCAAAACTGCCATGTGAGGTCAGTTGGTCAACAGTAACTGAAAAAGTGTGGAGGGGTCTTGTACGCTAACTGAGATGGGCAGTAGCGGTCAATCATGGACCAATCATGGACATCTACTCCAGATTCCAGTAGGTATGTACATAGGTACCTTTGAATGCAGAGTTGAAGATAGCTATATCATATATCATTGCTGCTGTAGATAGTGGTAGAGATAATGAATGTTGAACTGCAGACTAGTTGCCTGTGCAGATGGAAAGCATACATAGGATTGATTAACTGATGCCGCGCAAGGATGTGTCGACAATTGTCCGACTGCACATGCACCTCCGCCATACATATTACAAGGTACCTAGCTGAAGATTACGCAGACCAGGTAGCTTTTCCCCTCATATCTAGCCAGGTACTTAGGTAACCAGCCAATAAGGTAAACCTTTTCCATTATCGAGTCACTCAACAAGCAGTCAGAGTCTACCAAGTGGGCAGATAACGAAACATCCCGAATGTCAACCTCTCTTTCTTAATATCGACCTACAGAGTACTCTGTACATACTACGAGGTATGTACGAGCTGAAGTAGTTACCTACTTAAGTACTTAAGGTAGGCAGGTAAGGTGGCAAGCTGGCAAGGAAGGTAAGGTAATGTTCCCCTCCCTCCGTTCCTCCCTTCCATCCGACCTCCCAATTGACCAATCATTGCCCTCCTCTACTATTCCTCCAACATTTGACTGGTTGGTTCAAAGAGCCGACTTTCCACCCCCGGCCTGCGCAAAGTCATCTTTAACATTTCACAGTTCAAAGCAATGGATCATGCCCTCGCTCCGATGATGATAGCTTTCACTGATGTATATGATGATTGTTCGTGAATTCAATGGTAGACGAGGCCCCAGAGAAGGAAGGGGAGGTGTATATGAATGCAAGGGACAAGTTCGAACATCTAGATTACCCTGGATACCGAGTACGAGTACAAACAAAGGGCGAGATGGGCTTGGATGGGTTGGCGTCGCGTTGGCATCATCGCCAATCTATGTTTGGTCGGTCACCCCATCACATGCGCCGGTCCTTCGGCTCGGTAGCACCCAACAAAGAAATTCTTCCCCAGGGACCGTACGCGAACTCAGGAACAGGAACAGGAACAGGAAGCTTGGTCATGGTCATGATTAGGGTCAAAGAAAACAAAACAATCTCACTTCACTTCTGGTTCATCGATCTAGGTTTGGGGGGAGAATCATATATTTGATTTTGGATAGCTTTTTAAGACATATCCATCGTAACGCTTCATTAACATCCACCATGCTCGGCCGGCTTCCACCCACTCACTGAACATAATATAGTGAACATGCAATTGAACCCAAAAATGAACGCACTCGAACTCCAATGCTCAATGAGCGCGGACAACGCTGGAGAAGGCTGTTCCATCCTGGCCCATGTTGCCCTGTGCAAGTGCAATCCCATATTAATTCGTATCATCCGCATAAAACGTCCCAATGCAATGGTAGTAAGGTAGTCGTGGAGTAGTGGTAGTGTAGTGTAGTGGTGTGTTCGTGGTGCCCGCCCAACCGTCTTTCCGCCTGTCTTTGATCTTACGTGCACGCTTGCGCCACGGCATGGGCTGTTTACAAAGCGAAGCCGAACAGTGCGACAAGACCACCAGCCATCAAGGGAGTGCTGTACTCGCGAGCGTAGGCAAGGGCAGGCGCGAGACCAGGGCTGGAGGTTGCGGGAACGGCACCTGCGGAGGTAGCCGACTCGCTGCTTCCACCGGTGCTGGTAGGAGATGATGTGGGCTCGGAAGAGCTGGCTGACGAGGAGGTGGTGTCGCCGTTGGTCAACTGAGTTCCACAGTTGGCGTCGCGAGCAGCCTCGCAAGCCTTCTGCTGGTCGAGATCCTCGTTGGTCGCAGCAACGCACTGATCGTACCAGAAGCGGCACATCTGGCCTGGGACAGATTGCTCATACTGCTTCATGTCGAGGTCGGTACCATTGCGGCACTTGCACTCAAACTCGAGGCTGTTCTGTAAGGTAGGACAAGCTAGTTAGCTAACATTGCAACAGCAACGGAATGTGGTCCCAGGAAGGGAACCGGGGGAAAGGCAAGGAACCTAATGCTACGTACATTGTCGCAGGTGTTTCCACCAGCCGCAACCTGGTTATCGCAAGCTTCACGGCAGGTGTTCCTCTCGGCCAAGCACCAGTTCGTCTTGTTGGTGGAGGAGATCAATTGCGGGTCGACGGTGCAGCATGGCTGGATCGTGGGAGGGAGTTGGCTGGTCTCGTTCTGGGCAACGGCGAAGGAAGCAAGGGCCGAAACGGCGACGAAGACGGAGGAGTAACGCATGGCGAGAGAGTAGGCCTGGTATCAATGTCTACGGGTAGAGATTGGATTGTCAGTGAGAGGGAGGATGAGCGTGGTGTTGTTGGGAATGGAGGGAAGAAGTAGTCGGAAGGGAAGGGTAGAGAAGATTATGTCGCTCAAGGCTGGAGTGGGTACCTGCACGATAGCGGGACGGGCTAGTCTGGGAGAGTGGAGTATGATGTAAAAGAAAAGGTAGAGGTAGAGGTGAAGGTGAAGGTAGACCAAGAGGTGTAAGTAGTAGGGTAGGCTAAAGTAGACTTACGATGATGATGGGAGGAGTGGGTGGCCGTGCGGAATGGATGTTTGAGCTGGATATACAGTTTGGGGAGGGGAGTAGTTTGTCTGTAGAATGTGGATGAGGGAGAACGCGCGAGGTCGGGAGGAGTGCGCTCTTATAGTATTGTTTACACTGAGTGTGTGAGAGAGTAGAGTGAGAGTGTCTGTGTACTCTTGTGTCTGTGTGTGTGTATGGCTGGATTGGAACGGAAGTGCAGGGAGGGCGGGAGGAAGGCAGGGAGGTAGGGAAGGACGAGGATACGATTACCGGGCTGGACTAATGAGAAAGGGAAATGGGATGTGGGAAGAGCAAGGCAAAGACAAGGAAAAGAGGTCAAGCGTGCGGAGTCTGTTCTTGTCTCGTCTGGTCTCGTCTCTTCTCTTCTTGCGCTTCCAATTGCGATTGCGATTGCGACCGACAAACATGTCCTTCACCTCATACCTAAATAGGTACCTGCCTAGATACTTACCTTTCCTACAACATCTAGGTACCTACCACTCAACCACCCTCTCAACTACGTATTCACAGTCAAGAACCTCATATCTGAGCTACAGAGAAAGAAATGAATTGGCAAACAACCACTTGATTCAAGGAAAAAGTATATCTCACCAACCGGGTATAGCTCTCAAGGTCTATGATAGTGTCGGACCACTCCCCAGTCCCTACACCCTACACCCATCCACCACATCAAAGTCAACTCTACCCGGCACGCCGGAGCCAAGACGTCTTTACAACACAAGAAAGATAGCCATCATTATTGATCAAACCAACATCAACTCACAAGAGAGATTGCGACTAATTAATCCATCCCTCCTTCCTTGCAAATTGTCAATTGCTATTGCTACTTGTAGCTATCAATCCTATTCCTACCCCGTGCACACTCCCTCTCCATCTCATCTCATCCCTCATCTACCCGCAACTCGAACTGTTCATCTCGGTAACACAACCTCATTCAATCACCCCTCCTCCCTCTCTCTCTCTCTCTCTCTCTCTCTCTTCGATTCGGAATCAATTCCAACCAAAACCCTCCTAGCTAGTTCCATCTCAACATCACCATCGCGCGGAATCCGTCTCAGACCAAGTCTCATCTTCCCTTCGATTCGATGCTACAACATCCTGGGCACTCCACATCTGCCCGGTCTTTTGAGCCGGCGGACCCCCGCAAGTCCAAGTGTCAGTCCATCGTGCCTGTTTGACTGTTTAGCTTTGCCGTCTGCCGTCTTACATTCCTTGCCCACCATCTCTCTGCTTCTTCCGGCCTATCGACATCGAACTAACGAAAATCGATACAACAATGTGCCTATTGTATCTTCCCATGCGCCTCCTACACATCCTACTCCTCCTCGGGACGCGTATCCCCCACTCATGACCGCGCATAACGGTTGGCTGGCGCATTCCACGCAAACATCATCTTTTGTTAGCATGCGCCGCCACGTCCAAACCTCCGGTGCCACATGCCATGATAGGCGATTCAAAATGGTGTCCCTCCCCTCCCCCGTCTGCAGATGCGACAGCGCAGCAGTTCGTGGACGGACTGACTGGGCCGCAAAGACTCTATTCTTGTGTACGGTGCAAGTTGGTAGGTCCGTTGGTGATGCGATGCGCACGCCGCTCGCCAGGTGTTGAGCGAAAAATAGTGCCTGTTGTCCGCCGGCGTTTGGACGAAACTGCTATGCCATGGTGGTGTGGTCTCTGAGGTGTATGGAATATGGTGATTTTTTTGTACTTCCGTACAGTTCTGAAACGGGACAACCTTGTCCTTGGAGCCAATCTAGGACCAGCATCCAACGGCCCGTCTACCACCACCCATCCACTTGCATTTCACAGCCGAGAAGCTCTTCTCTTTCCTCTTTGTGATACCCGGCTTTGCGGGGTTTAGCCTTGCATAACTCTACGGTGAAAGTATGGGCCATCATTGTCATGGCCTGTGGCCTTCCCTCCAGCGGTCTCCAGATCGTCGCGGTGGCTGGCCTGTCGCAAATCCTCAGAGACGACAGCCTCGATTTGCTGAGTTGCCTACGCGCCGGACTCGACGAAGCGTTTATCAGCGCCATTCCGGCATTGACATGTCGCGCATTTTCCATCGTGGCAAAAACGCCTGTTCTAGTCCGGTCCCTCCAAGCTCGTTTCCTCGTTCAGAGTTAGCATCGCCTCGGCGATCGCGATCCAACCAACTTTGTGCATAGATAGGTAACATGCCTAACCTACCACCCTACATACTTGAGCTTGTATATGCGCGCGCCACACTGTTCCAAGGTTAATGGCCTTTTTCGCAGAGATAACGGATCTGCGGCGCTCTGTGCTCACTGCTCACCACGCCGCTTTGCCAAGAGTGGAAGAGGAAAACAAGCCAATGTACATAATACAATGTAACTAGGGGCAACGAATTCCCCCAGCAGGATTTCTATTCGCCTACCTACTGGTCGATATACTGTTTCCGGTATGGAGCACACTTCTACGACCCAAGAAATGGTTCTTGGTAGCGCATCTGTCCCACTCTTTCTTTTTCCAACTCTCAACTATCAACTCTCTTCGCTCTAGAGATATCGTCGTCTTTGCTGACAACCACCTCCTCGACCGAGCTTTCTCGCTCGCTACCAGCACTGTCCTCTCTAGTAATCCCTGATTCCACAGCACCCCCTGCCCTTTTACCCAATTCTCTAGTATGTAGAGTGCGAATCGTAAACGCCGTCACTATGAGTGCCGCGCTGAGGAAAGTAATCGTTATGAAACCTTTCCTATACTGCGGAGCTTCAACCTGCTGCCACACGATCAATGGAAGCCAGGCTTGCAGGACATAAGCCATCTCGTTCATAGACCCAATGACAATCGCGCGCTCCTCATTATCACGGGTGCAAATCTCGTGTGCCCATCTGTGACAATCCATCATAATCAGCCAAAGCATTCAAACAAAAAAGAGATAGAAACCGCGCGCATGCAACCAAGGAGTGGAAGAGAAAAGGAAAATCAAGAAACTTACGCCATGCACAACCCGGACAACCCACCACTCATCCCAGATATAATATAGCAAAACCACCTCCACCCCTCGGGGATAGTCCAAACCGCGAGCGACACAAAACACACGATGTTGACGAGGCCCGCGAACACAATCGGCGGCCACCTGGCGCCCCTGAACAAGCCGTCGCTCGTCCACGCAAACACCAACGTCGCCGCGACCGTCATCCCGTTCGTCGCGGTCGGATACGTGTTGATCTGTTTGACCGTGTACTTTGGGTGCTTGCTCGCCTTGAGGTACTGCGCGAAGATGGGGGCCGCGCCCGCGGTCCCGTTGTTGAAGAAGATGTAGAGGAGGGTGAGTGCGTAGATGTGCCAGCTGGTGAAGATGCGGCGGATTTTCGCCTTCGTGTACGGTTTGCGCTTCTGCCGGCCCTCGAGCTCCATGCGCTTCACGGCGAACTGGACTTCGGATGGGGTGAGGTAGAAGGGCTTGGAGATCTCGGGGACGTCTGGGATGAAGAAGAAGCCCATCAGTGCGATTGGGAGCTGTGTATCATCGTGATGTCAGTGCCTTTTTCTTTTCGCAAAAACAAGGTGAATTGAAAATCCCATAGCACACAATATCCTGTGTATGCCATGATGCGGATATCCAATTCAAACGTACCGATATGACCCCATCGATCAAGAACAACCACTGCCACCCCCTAAACCCATGCCTCCCATCCAGCCCATACACCCCGGCCATCAAATACCCACTAAACATGGTCGCAATCGATGCGCTCGTATGGAAAATGCAACTCCTCTTCGCCAGCTCCTCCTTCCTATACCAACTCCCAATAATATACTGCATGCCGGGGTAAAACGTGCTCTCCGCGAGCCCGATGAAGAACCTCAGGATGTAGATCTTGGTCGCGGAGTCGGCGCGGGAGAGCGCGAAGGTGAGGACGGACCAGAGGACTTCCATGGAGGGGATCCAAATGGAGGGCCGCACGCGGGTGAGGATGATGTTGGAGGGGATCTCGCCGAGGACGTAGCCGACGGTCCAGCAGGTTTGCATGTAGTTGAGCTCGTTGCCGTAGAGGTTGAGGTCTTCTTTCATGCCGCTGACGAAGGCGCTGTTGATGTTCATTTGGTCGAGGTATTTTATGAAGTAGCCTAGGAGAGGAATGGGTGAGTGCTTGTTTTGTACATAAATTTTTCACTTTTTTTTTTGGAAAAGGGATGGATGATACTAGAGGGAAGGAGGATGGTCAGGCTGGAGAGGAAAAGGAGGGTGTTGTCGTTCTATCAAAAGCAAATCATTGTTAAAGTATCTCGACAACAACACTACGCCTCAGGTCCTCTCCCAACGCATGACCTCATATTCCCCTTCATTCAATCCTCAAAGTCCACCCAGAGCATAGGAAAAGGAAACCATTGTTCTTACCAAGTGAAGCGAACGTAAGCAACGCAGCATCCAGCTTAAACATGAACCATCTCTCCTCCTTGGGCTTGTCGAGCGTGTCCCAGAGGTAGTAGTACCACTTGTGAGGCTTTTTGGTTCCAATGTTCTCATCGTGGTGTTGTGGCGACGCGAGGGCCCGCGAGTGCGTGGCAGTGTCGTCCGGGACGCCCATCGTGAACTTGACCAATCCACCAAGAAGGTGTAGTAAGTAGTTGCCAGGGAAGAGGAGTGGGATACAGATAACTACACAAATAAAGAAGCAGCAGCAGCAGTACCTCAATACTCTTATACCAACGAAAGAGCACGCATATGATTCCAACCCCCCAACCGGCCATGCATTTCCGCCCGCAAATAAAACACAGCAGAATTCCGAGCGAATCGAAAGCAAGACCCCCATCAAGCTCATCATCCATCCTGACAAGCACGACAAGCCCCCTCCACCAAAATGCTTGACGGAACGGGGGCAACATCCAAGACCGAGGCTAGGCCTAGCTTCCGAAGGAACTTTTCCCTTCTGTGGGGAGCGGGACGGGACTTTTAGTTGGTATCTGCACTCTGGAGTCTGGGCAAGTGCGGATTGCAGAAGGAATATCAAGGGTTCATGCGGTTTGGTGCTCGAAATGGGACGATGCTAGGGTACGTACCAATTCGAGTTGCAGATTGCGTGATGAGAGACCGGGGGGCTTCGTTTCGTACGTGGGGTATTGTCGTATTGTAGTATTGTAACTAGGGAGAAAGGTAACTTGTTGAACGTAGATGAACGCATATGTTGGGAGATAGTGTTGTTTCTGATTTTATCGTTGTTTGAAAGTAAGAGCGATGTTGGATAGGGCGTGTCCGTCTGGATGAAGCATGACGAGACATCAACTATGTCGTCAGTGAAGGTGCTGTTCAATACTTGTAGGATTGAAATCACGCGTAAATCTTTCGATAGAATCTCCAAGATCTGCCCTCCTCCAAAGTACACCAACTCGCTGACAGTGCATTATCTCCGTGCAAGCGCAATCCTCTCCCGCAGATTGCTGCGGATGGGAATCGGACCGCAAGGGACTCGTTATCGTCATTCCCACTCAAAAACGGCCCTCACCTGTTCACTTTTGTTCGTGGTGAGGGACTAAGGCTGGCGTAATTGATGCATAGATGACGTGCCGGGAGGGATCGGCAGAACGTCTTGCTCGATGGGCGGGAATAGGTCGGGACTTGGAGATAGATGGATGAAATGTTGGTAAACATCGTATGTTTGAAAGTGGGAGAAGAGTTGCAAGTGCAAGATTATGTGCTGAAATTGTTCATATGATGGTAGATAGAGATGTATTCGAGGTGAGAAGTTGAGGTGCGCTAGCCGCTTCTAGTAATTTGATATACATGTACGTGCTCTAATCATATCGGAAGGTAAAAGCAAATGAATCAAACAGCAGGAATGCGATGCGAAACATGAACTACGAACAAAGTATCCCTAGTTCTCTAGTTGTACCTGGCGGCGCAGCAAACATAGCCTCCATTCTCTTTATTTGCTCCTGTTTCACCACCTTCCAGACCTCTGTATGGCCCTTCAATTTCTGTCTTCCCGCGATCTCTAAATCACCATTCACCCAAGCCAAGAGATCCTCAACGTATTCCGTCTCGATCCCTCGGAGACTGTGGAAGTGCTTGCCGTATCCCTTGGTCTTGACCTTATCATCATACTCTCTTCGCATGGCTTGTTCGGTTGGTAGTCTCGCTTGCTCACTGATCACTTTCGCTACCACCATGGCCTGGAATTCAAACAGTGTGAATGTAGCTGTGAAAAAGGGAACACCCACAAATGATAAAGACGGGTCCTTGATGTAGAAGATGTCTTTGTGAAGGTTATGCATCTGCGTTCCATCCGCCACGAGCACTGTGTCGTCCACTGCGTCCGACGTGGTGGAGTCCGAGTGTAGATGGGGAAGAAACGGCAGCGTCACATGATAACCTGTGCATAGTATTACATGGTCGATATTGCATAACTTGCGCCCGGATTTGAGGGTGATTGTCAATGGGAGTGGATCTGTGTCGCTCAGAGGTGCACCCGTAGAACTGTTGGTGAGTGGCTCGAAGCATGAAATCTCGTCGATCCGTACGGTGTTTTCTGGCAGAAGGCTCGCCGGAAGATCGAATGCCCCGTTGCGGTGGCTTTGGTAGATGTTTGTTGCGAAAGGTGCCAATTCACGGGCGATGTCAGTTGATGAGACGCCTCCGCCGATGAGGAGAAAATTCTAAGTGAAGAGTCAGGCATTGCAGCGCTAGAGTTTTTCATGTGAGGTTTCTTACTTTTCCCTTATAGTCTTCTGGCTTCCGGAAGCTCTTCGAATGCTCTACTCGTTCTGGCCATTGTCGTTTCCAGTCTGCTAGTCCTGGAATGTCTGGCACTCGGGCAGCGTGATAATGACCCGAAGCCACCACCACAGCATCAAAATTCTATGATCTGTTCAGTAGTGTTCATCCGAGAGGGACCCGATACATACGTAGATGTCAGTTTGCAGAGTTAGGCTTCCAGTATGGTTAGCTTGAAGTGTCGTGGCCGTGAGCAACCACTCATCGCCTTCCTTGCGAAGATGTTGGACCTCTGTGCCATATTTCGTGATATCGTGCACTCCTGATACTAAGGCTGTGTCCTGAATATAATCTAAGAGCACATTATGGGTCACGAAATCAGGTGTCCCAACAGGAAAAGGATTCAGGGTGGTCTGTAGCAATCGTGTTTCAACATTGTTCTTGAGTCCAACGTAGCAAGGTCTATCCTCGGGATGTTAGATTCGACAATGGTGAGTGGAATGTGTGACCTACCCTGGTGGAGCATGTATCAATCGCTGAGTCTGTGCATCTATATTCTGATCGCTTGCCCTTTTCGAACCATCGTAATGATAATGTGCTTGAGAAGGAATGATGGCGGGGTAAGTTGGTTCAAGAGGTTTGCGCTCGTCGTAGAGCCTGTACATTGTCAATCTTTAGGATCTCGAGGAGGTTGAAGCGTCTCACTGACCAGATCCCACCTGCAGCAAGTGACCGCTCGAAGACAACAACTTCGAGACCTTCTTTTCTCAAGTGTGCAGCTGTGACTACACCACTAATGCCTGCACCGACAACTGCAACACGTTTAGAAACTTTTGCAGACATTGTTTCAATTCCCAACGAAATTATCAAAGACTGTAATGGTATCTGTAGAAAATAACTCAAAACTCGCGAGTAATACAAATGTGTCTATTCGGCCCAATTCGAGAGCTGATAAAAAGCATTAAAGCTGACATCGGTACGAATATAAAACAAGTGGATCTTTGTACGACGATTGATAATACTCCGCATGATATTGCGGACCGAGTCAATGGCCCTTCGCGATGTCGGATGTGTATGGCATCATAAGCGCCATAATTTCAAAGTGAATGAAACGAGATATACCGAAAAGTATGAGCCGAGAAACTTACGAGCTTACACGTCGCCTCCAACTTGCAGATGAGTTGCCGCAATGGGTTCAAGATAAGTGCACCAATTGGTCTGCCAAAAGGGGAAGTCGTCAGTGCCATGCGCAATTAGCAATGCGGATGATGTGATTGAACTACCCCGCAACCACAACCGCCTATCTCCTACACTTTTCGAGGAATCACAACGCGTTGGACATCGGAAAGGAAACGTGCATTAGTAAACATGTAGACTGCAGTGGAATTGAACTAAATATAAGGGGCATGGAGGTTGCGAAGTTGCAAATAGGACAGTCGTTTTAGTACTACCTCAACATGGCACCTATTGCACTTCCCATATCGTCCGACATCAAGGATGTAGTCGTCCAAAAGAAAGATACTCTGGGATTACCGGAGCAAACCATCAAGCGCTTCGAAAAGGCTGGCATCGACCTCTCTGATGGCTACCCTTATCGTCCAGCAAAGCCGCTCTATTTAGACGATGCTTTCAATGTCCGAAACTATGATCGTCCTTTCGTAGACCCAGGAAGCCGAGCAGATCCTGAAAAGAAAGCTTTACTATCAGCGGCGAAAGAAGTCATTCATTTGACTACACACATTGGAACGGAGATCGTTGGCTTACAGCTCAAAGATCTGACTGACCAGCAAAAGGATGAGCTTGGTCTCCTCATTGCTGAGCGAAGCGTTGTTTTCTTCCGTGACCAGGACATTTCGCCCCAAGAACAGCGAAAGCTCGGTGAATGGTATGGGGAGATTGAGGTCCATGTAAGCATTGTGTTGATCCACTGGTTGCCTCGTGCTTATCATGTTATAGCCAACAGCACCTTGTGTCCCTGGTTTGCCAGGAGTAAGCGTTATTTGGCCGGATCTTCAGGCCACAGAAAGAGCAGCGAGTTTCCGACAGACAGGAGGTGCTTCGAGATGGCACACAGATCTTGTCCACGAGCGACAGCCAGCGGGGTGAGGATATTCCTGGTCTAGAAAGTAGTTGCAAGTGGCTGACTCTGTTAGTGTTACTCATCTTCACAACGATGCGATCCCAAAACTAGGCGGAGATACTCTTTGGGCCTCTGGTACGTAAATGATTGATTCACATTGTCGTGTATTGAAACTAATGAAGCCTAGGCTATGCGGCATACGAAAAGTTGTCACCAGAGTTTCGCAAGATCATCGACGGACGAGAGGCGATTTATCGCAGTGCACACTCTTACCTTGATCGGAACGACCCAACGCTGGGTCCAAAACTCATTGAACGAACCCATCCCATCGTCAGAGTTCACCCTGCGACTGGCTGGAAAGCCTTGTGGGTCAACCGAGCATTTACGACCCGCATTGTTGGATTAGATCAAGCTGAGAGCGACTTGATTTTGGGTTATCTCTTCGATGTTTATGAGAAGAATGTCGATATCCAAGTCCGTTTCAAATGGACACCGAGGACCTCTGCACTTTGGGATAACAGGATCACGATCCATAACGCCGCATGGGATTATGAAGGTAAAGAACCTCGCCATGGAACGAGGGTGACGGCACTAGCGGAGAAGCCATACTTTGACGCCAAAGCTCCAACAAGAAGGCAGGCTCTTGGTCTTGCAGGGCCGGAGGATATTTGAGCATACTTGTAAGAAATTGAGCCTTGATCATAACTGGCCTCAGTTTTGATATCGAAATGATTATGGTCCGTGCACCATGTACCGTCGCTGTCAGCGTGAAGAGACATAAATGGTCTCATGATAGCAATTTATGTGAATATGACATAGTCTACGAGTACTCTATAGGAATATTTGAACATATATTCAATTGTTGGGGTGCGATATATGATTATTCGAGCCAGGCGACGAAGCGCTATCAATGGCCATCTCAACACGAAGGGGTATATGATGTCACGACTCCCCGAATTCATTGAGAGGAGGTTACACAAATATTGTCCCCCACCCCTTGGAACCCCCAATGATCCATATTGAAGCATCGGTTTCTAATGGATGTCAATTATTTCGTTTGCACGCTGGGACAAGCAGCGGCCCTCAAAGGTGAATCGAAGCCATGGCGGACCATTGGTGAATTTCTCCGCTATCAATCGGAACACAATGGACACATCCCCGCCGTTGGATTCCCAATTCCGAAATCACACAGCAACTCATGGACATACAGAATTTTCACATTCGAGGAGATCGAGCGAGGAGCACGAACCGTCGCCAGCAGACTTCTAGAAGCTAGCGGTGCAGCCGTGAAATGTCCGCAAACGATCGCGCTACTGGCAGACAGTTCCCCAGAGTTCCTATTCACATGGCTAGCACTGATTGTTCTCGGACATTCAGTCCTACTCATTGCTCCACAGTGCCAAACACAGGCTGTTGTCCATCTTTGCAAAGAGTGCAAGGTACGCCTACTGCTACATGACGATTCCCATCATACCCTTGCGGCTAGTGCAGAGGCAGCATTCAAGGATTTGACTGTGTTGCAATTACCGTTCCATGTTGATGAGAGGCTCTTTGAAAATGACCAAAGCAAGACAAAAAGAGAGCCAGGGTCTTCCACGCCATTCTCCGACGATACTGCTGTGGCCTATCTTCACCACACTTCTGGAACTTCATCCGGTCTCCCAAAACCAATACCACAAACTCACCGTGGAGCAATTGGTGTTCTACCTCATCTGCCAAACAACAAGAAGTCCACCTTCACAACCACACCGCTGTATCATGGGGGTATCGCCGATTTGTTCAGAGCGTGGGCCAGTGACAGTCTCATATGGCTATTTCCAGGACACGGAATACCAATTACCGCACGGAACGTCTGCCTCTGTTTAGATGCTGCAAATAATTGTACTGCCATGAAAAGAACATCTCCTGTTGGTTACTTTTCATCAGTTCCTTATGTCCTTCAAATGATGGAGGGTGATGAAGTCGGATTGAATCGCCTCAAGAGTATGGATATCGTTGGGGTCGGAGGGGCTGCGCTTCCCATTGAGATTGGTGATCGTTTGGTCAGTAATGGAGTCAACCTGATCTCGAGATTTGGTAGTGCCGAGTGTGGCTTTCTTCTGTCCTCCTATCGCGACTTCGCCAAAGACAAGGATTGGCAGTATCTGAGGAATGCAAACCCGAAAGAGCTGTTATCTTTCGTACCTCAGGAAGGCGATCTGTTCGAGCTTGTCGTTAGACCAGGTTGGCCGCATATGGTATGTAAGCTCCTGGGACTATTTTTTATCTTGTATCAATACTCATTATGTGAAGGCCAAGAAGAATCGACCTGATGGTTCCTTTGCGACTGCAGATCTATTCGCACCTCACCCTACGGTCGAGTGTGCTTGGATATACCACTCACGCGCTGATGCTCAACTAACTTTGATCACTGGCAAAAAGTTCGACCCTGCACCACTGGAAGCCGCAATTGCAACATCTCATCTTTTAGACGATGTTCTAATATTTGGGAATGGTCGGGCATTTCCTGGTGCATTGCTTCTGCGCTCCAAAGAGTCGGGATCGCTCTCTGACAATGATCTGCTTGAATGCCTGAAGCCCCACATCAATAGGTTGAACAAAGAAAGTCAAGCTCACGCTCAAATTCCATATAACATGCTCGTGTCCTTACCTCACCAGAGGCAGGGGCTGGAAAAAAGCAGTAAAGGAACAATAATACGTAAAGCAGCAGAAGAAAGATTTCGACAAGACATTGAGGCCGCATATGACAAACTTGAGTCCACTAATCAAGTCACTGTAGCCGATGAAGATCTGCCCAAATATCTTGCAGGCATGGTGCAATCGATTACATCTTCTGAGTCGCCTCCTAATCCAACAAAGGATTTGTTCTCCTACGGCATAGATTCTGTCGCATCCATGCAGTTGCGAAGTCGACTTCGGTCGCTCATTCCAAAGAGCAGCGATAATTTACCTCTCTCAATTGTCGAAGACTGCGGTAGCATTGAAAGAATGTGCCAGTATATTATCAATAAACGAAGAGGGGCCGCCGGCACAGAAACGGAAGATGAAGAGAGCTTGATGCAAAGCCTTGTCCAAGAATATAGCAACTTTACCTTTGGGAACATCGACGAGAACGATCGACGACGACACGAAAAACATAATACCAAGACCGGCCAGGTTGTGTTGCTTACAGGAGCTACTGGTGCCTTGGGTGCGCATATACTGGGTTTGCTTCGCGCAAAAGACGACATCAGTCATATATACTGTCTTGTTCGAGGTGCAGACAGTCATGCCGCTACTGAACGAGTCAACAAAGCTTTAGAACAGCGAGGATTGAAAGTTCTCGATGCAAATGTCACGAAGACCAAGAAAGTCATTATTTTGTGCGCACAATTGTGCAAATCCGATCTCGGTCTTCCACAGAAAGTGTACAAAGAATTAGTGGCCGAGGTCGATCTCATAGTCCATGTAGCCTGGACGGTCAACTTTCGAATTAGACTGCGAAGTTTCGCGAAGGATAATATTGGGGGACTAAGGAACCTCATAGAACTTGCCTTGAGGCATCCGGGAACTCCACCTCGCTTCCTATACTGCTCCTCAACAGCAGCCGTCCTGAATCAGAAGCCAGACCAAACTCGCGAAATCCCGGAGCAGATACTAAGCGACCCCAAGACTGCCTCACCATTAGGCTATTCCCGTTCGAAATGGGTTGCGGAGCAGATTTGTTTCAATGCCCATGCTCATACAAAACTGAAAGATCACATAGCAGTCGTACGTGTAGGGCAGCTATCCGGAGACTCCGATCGTGGGATATGGAACACCCAAGAAGCCTGGCCGATGATGCTGAGTACGGCGAAATTAACAGGAAGCTTGCCAGATCTTCCTCAACAGCCACTTGATTGGCTTCCGGTGGATATAGCTGCTCAGGCATTGATAGAAGCAGCTGGGGGCATTGATAAAAGGAAACAGATGCATGTCTTTCATGTTCTTAACGAGCACCGCCATCCGACATGGACTGACATGTTACATTGGTTAAAGAAAAAAGAAGAGTTTGAAGTTTTACCACCTAGTCAATGGGTTGAACGATTGGAGCAATATGAAGGCACGCATCATCCTGCACTGAAGCTTCTGGGCCTATGGAAACAAGCGTACTGTGGAAAAGCAAACGAGGAGCCCCAGAGACCCAAATTCTCCCTGGCAGCCTCGAAAGCGTGCATTCCGATTTTGAGGGACGTCAAATCCATTGATGAGGTTTACATGCTGAAGATCTGGCAGTGGATACAAGAAAGCGTCTCGTAAATGTATTTGAAGGCAGTCATTCCTAGACTAATTAGGTTTAGAATCAATAGGCAAGACCTTGAGAGCGTGTAGGAACTCCAAGCAAAGATCTGCCAAACCGCATCTTTGCTTGATTGTAAAACCCACCAATGGCCTGCCGCGGTTCTTTATTACTTCCCGTATTCATAACAGACCCCGCATACATCAACATCATTGCATGCTACTTTCGAATGATTCAGCAGCCATTGTATTTTTGCATGACGACTTACCCGGTATGGTCACGGCTAACTGCAAAATCACCCCGCAGTATGATTTCGACGTCACATCGGGGCATGCCAGAAGTACATGCTGGTGACAGCGGAGATGAAGCTAGGGTATGTCGAAAAAGCTATATGAAAGTAGCTTTACTGTTCTCATAATCGGCTGGGCAACCTTCTACGTTTTAATCCGTTATTCGATTTTTTGCGAAACTGCATGATGTTATCTTTACAGTTTCTTCTTCTCATAACTACCAATCCATGGGGCGTCTTTGCAAGTTCGCCAACTTTGGATTCCTCGGAAATTCTACCAAAGAAGCTTGCCTCTTATGGGTCGTCTGAAAATGGTTCAATTCTTGTACCTCCGAATGGTGCTAAAGCAGGTGCACCTGTCCTCAAAAGTTTCATTTCTTATTCCATAGAATTAGTCTTCTTCCCAGATTTTGCTGGCAATAAAGCAAATCCAAACACATTCTCAGACACTCTCCTGAGTAATCTGGGAAATATTCAAGGAACAAAGCCTCATATTCGCGTTGGAGGCAATACACAGTATGCTGGACCCACGCCTTTTCACATTCGCGAAATTGATTGATGAACTAGGGACTACGCAGTCTTCAATGCTTCTCTGGAGACTGCCACTTACGGTATCTATATACCAGAGATCTCGGAAGACTATCCACGCATTCTCTCCATTGGACCATCATTTTTTGAGTCGTACGAAGCGTGGTCACCGGATGTCAAATTCATTCATGGATTCAACCTTGCGAGGAATACCTCTGCTGATGTAAAGAGTGTCATTGATTCAGTGCCGTATGCTTGCAAAGCTATCGGACAGAATAATATTCTTTTCTGGGAGATAGGCAACGAACCGGACCTATTCAAGACTTCGTCACAGGGCGTCATGCGACCCCCATCGTGGAATGAGTCAGATTATGTGAGGGAATGGGAGGGGAGAATCAATGGCGTCAAAGCTGCGCTGAAAGAGCATTGCGGAGAGACATGGATGTCAAAAGAACGATTTAAATGGATCGCACCCAGTTTCGCCGGGACAAAGAACAGTCTGAACTCAACCAAGACATGGATAGCAGGACTGGATGAGCATGGAGAAGTCGCTCAGTTTTCTTCACACAAGTGAGTGATATTCTGCCCACCATGGAGCTTTCCACTTATTTGAATCAGCTATATGGGTGGTGCTACACAACCTGGCGTAACCCTCTCCGGCTATCTTATGAACCACACCAGGGTGGTTGCAAGCGTTGGAAGCCACAACAAGGAACATGAAATCCTCGCAAGCGTAGGCATGGAACTCGATTATATCCTAGGAGAACATAATTCGCTATATAACCAAGGTGCACCTGGTCTGTCCAACTCATTCGGCGCCGCACTCTGGGGCGTAGACTTCAATCTTTACGCAGCATCTACTAGCATCAGACAAGTATACATGCACATGGGAACTGACTATCGCTACGCCAGCTGGCAACCAATTACAAGCAACAAAACCATTATTGGAACAAAAGCTCCCTACTACGGCAACGTGGCAGTTGCATCTGCACTAGGAGATATCACACAAGGCAGTGTCCGCGTGCAGAACATTGATCTAAAATCTGAGAACGATGCTGCATACGCTATATACGGGAGTGAGAAGCTGAAACGAATCATGGTGGTTAACCTCCATCAATACAATTTTTCGGTTCCTGAGCCTGCCCGGCGTCCTAGTTCAGCATACAACTTCACGCTGCCGACATCGTGCGCAGGATCTGGCACAGTACAGAGATTGATGGCGAATGGATCTGATGCAATCACTGGTATAACTTTCAACGGATTTAGCTATAATTATGAACTGGACGGTGGAAAACCAGTTCTACTAGGAAACGTTACAAAAGATGAGAAGGTGATTGTTGGAGCAGATGGACAAGTGACGATTCAGGTGCCTTGGAGTAGTGGTGCATTGCTTCAGTTGACTTGCTAAGTGTAAGATCAACTCAAATGATCAGGAAAAGGTAGTGCCTTTAATAAGCTGTTGGCAACCTTTTGGATGATCGATTTGCACTTTCTGTTTTGACTTTATACCCGAGTCCGCAGTGGCAGTTTCTCAGGTATCCATGACTCTTGGTCGGCCCAAAGTACCGTTAAAATGAATATTAGGAATACCAGACAGAATATCATAAAGCCGATAGTGTCAGCTATTGGAACAGGCTCTTCTAGATCTTGTGGGCGCTGTGCCTCCACATCTTCCTCCGAGTCCGAGTCTGAATCCGACAAAGATGAGCGTGATGTTATTGAAGGGGAGGAGAGAACAGAGGAGGCCGAAGAAGTTCCATGGCTCAACGAAACATTCTTGCGATTCAACTGCGCCTCATATACTCTGTCGTCTCTCGGCTTGGACATGCTCTCGTGTTCTGTCATACTAACACCTCTGTTAGCGGCATTTGGATACCCTCTTCGGGCTAACATACATGAAGCGTTTATCCGCTTGAGTACAACGTATTATGAATAGTAGAGATACACGTTCAAGTAGGTATTCTTATCTTAATCATCTGCGGGGATAGACTTGGTGGTCGTACAGCTGATTATAGTTTAGCGACCCATGCAGCATCGACACCCTTCGTCACTAGCAGCTCGTGATAGGCCAGAATGGGATTGGTGACCTGGTAAGCGGCTTAACAACCCGCTGCAGTATCTGGGTTTCTCTATGAGGATCACTATGTGGCGCACACTGTGGCTTCATTCTCATGAAGGTGTGATGTTGGACGTAGTACAGTGACTGCTTGGGTAAGTACATAATCCAAAGCACCTAGTGATGTGGTCATTTTACTATGCCCTTCTTATTACTTCATTGCCCCGAGAAGATGGCGGCATAAATTCTAAGACTTAAGCACGAAAGAAATTGATTGAAACACTAGAATTCCAGGTGACATCATGACGGAGAGAGGGAAGTAAATTCAGGGGACGTCGGAGGCGTGAATATATGGCTGAAGCAAGTATTCATGTTTTGATAATGCATGATCGAAACCTAGAGTAGGAAAGCGAATATAATTATGTTTATCAGTGGTAATACTCAACAGAGATTCAAGTAGTTGGTTGATGAGTGAGAATGGTGTAATAGTGAGTAGTTCGCTATATAGTATTACTATAGCATCCAAGCTATTTGACCATGTCGTAAGTTCTAAAGCTTGCCATGATAGAACTAACTCTCCATAGAGGGACCGTATCATAAGGTACCTGCATAGTTGACATTGTCGTCATTAATCTATAGACGAAACGCCCCACATACAAGTGAAGAGGTATGCTTGTTGACTTCTTCCGATGCTTAATTGTTGCAACCCAGATTGTGGGGCCCTGAAATTTTTTGGAGAACGCAAATTTATACACTAACTGCGAGAACGTTGCAGTGGAGCTGCTGGAGTGATACATGCCATATCCGGACCCAAGGATAACTGTTCCAAGAATAGGCGTTGTTTGAAGTAATACTTCACAATGCATTAATCAATACCAATTCGTTACACTCAAGCTCAGTGAACTAATCAAGGCTTGTCTCCCCAAAGATCACATCGCCTCGCGGATTGATCGAGCTCCCAAAACAACATAGTCAATATTACAGTTGCTAGCTCACACAAGCTCGACAAGAGGAAACTGGAAGCTTTTACAACAAATCTCGGGTTTTGTAGTCATACCTGCAGGAATTGTATCATTATTTCCATAATGTTTGGAACAATGGACCTTAACCAAGCATTTCAAGACTGTCCTTATATCAAAGTGAGTAAACCGATGATCTCGGCGAAACCTCATCAGCACGACTGCCGAAACCGAACTGACGATGCCGTTTATATTGTGGTCCCAGCTTTGCGGGGTCGACCAGGATTTGCATGCTATCGGCCTTTCAGCCTGGATAAACGTAAATTCGGTAATCTGAGCCTCATCTCTAAATCCTCTATGGCCTATTATTTTGGCTTGGCCTATCATCACACCTTCCATGCCTCCTTATATAGATGAAGTCTGGGCCCGTCGGCCCGCAGCCACTGAGGGTTCGGGATTCCATATAACCTAACCATAACACGACTTCACATTTTGAAATGTTGGAATTAAAATTTCGTGATACTTGGAAAAAAGAACAAGAAAATGCTGTTCAAAGCAATTGCAAGCTCTTTGGCGTTGGCGGCCACAACACTGGCACAGACAACCCCAGCTGGATTCACACCTGCGACGAACCAGACTTTGGACGTTTACTATGGATCAACTTATATCTCTCCCGGTTTGATGGTGAAGAAGTCATGTAAGACACTTCATCACGCTCTGTTGGATACGCAGCACTAAGACTAATGCCAAATAGCTGTCGCATCGAAGCCTGTCATCGGAGTCACAGGGATCGAAGTCTCTGGCAAGTACTTACTTGCTATGATCGATATCGATGTGTACGTTGTCTTGAAAAGATTGGGTTGTAACCGAATGCTAACCCAACCATAGCCAGGCACAAGGTGGAGGTTCTGGTCGCACTACTGTTCTGCACGCTTTGCTCCAGGACTACACTCCCTCTACACAGAAGCAGAACGGAAGCACGGTCCTCACAACAACGGCGAACACACCCTCGTCCTATTTTGGCCCTGCACCACCGGCTGAGAATCCTAAGCACCCACACAACTACGTCTTCTTGCTGCACAAGCAACCCGATGGGTTCGCCGTTCCCTCTGCCCACAGGCAAGCTGTCTCCAGCCGATTCGGCATCGACTGGAACAAGTTCATCGTGGACGCTAAGTTGAGCCCGCCTATTGCTGGGAACTACCTCCAGGTTCAAAGTGGAGATAACACCTTGAAGGGACGTAAACTGTAAGGAGAATCGGCTGTCAATGCTTGGTCAAGGTTGGCGGAACCCAATTCGATGGCTCCTACTTAGATATTCTGAGATAAAGAAATAAGAATGAACGATCATCCATTCCATAATCTTTGACAGTCGAGAGTGACATTCAATCGCTAATATGCCAGTATCTATGCCAATGCGCGAGATCTACCGGCACTGAACTATTCTGAAATAATGTTGAAATACCGTAATGATTCGTCTGTCTAATTCGTCGCAGCCACAGCCAACTGAATTGCATGCACATGGATGATTATAGAGGATCGGCGGCTACCATGTCTATGGGGTAACAGGCTGTATATCTCGAACACCGGACAACGTATTCCAGCAATGACCGACAGGGACTCAATTGAAGTCCATATTGATCTTGAAGACTGAATAGTGATGATTCCCATCAACTGGATCCGTAGGAATGGGAAAGTCGGTAAATAAGCTCGAAGCCTAGTATGATGAGTCTTGGTATCACACATACTTAATCAGGTTCCTTAATGAAAAACGCGCGTTCTCGGAGATCCAGAGTTCTTGAGAAAGCCTACCTGAGCGAGTTACTCCGCATAGAGAATAATACGAATGGGTGCCTGAATGAAGGTTACTTCTACGTACTTATGCTTCAACGTCCAAGCTCCTGTTGGATGGTATCCTTGTTCGCTTTATATACAGATGCAGAACAAGCGAATGGTACCTCGTAAGCCTCTGCCACGGCGGACGAAACCGTCGACTCTCATATTAACAAGCTCTTTGGAGCCTTGACAAGCTTCAATACTACCTTCTGGTGTCGCCCTGATCACGCACTTTCTCGCAATTAATTACCACAAAGAGAAATAATGCAAGGAATCTTCTTTGCATGCAGAGAATAAATTATAGGGGAGATGAAGCCTGTATAGCACCAGGAAGCTGCGGTCTTGCATCTTCGAACGAAATATAAAAGGCCAGTTTCTCTCCATCTCGTTGTCTGTTGGCCTTTAATCGCGACCCAAACTCTGTCGAACATCATCACGGAATTTGCAACATCTCATTCAAGATGAAGTCATTCTTTTTCGCCGCCGCTGCGCTATGCAGCCTCGTTTCTGCTGCACCCGCTGCCCCTTGGGAGGCGATGGCTCCTCCTCCTGCCAATACCCAGTTCTACCAGCTACAGACCAAATCGTATAGCGCCTGCACTCCAGTTCTGTTTCGTGTCGACTGATTGTTATAACAGGCCTGTAACTGCAGTTACGAACCAATGGGTTTCTCTTAAGACTGGCTCCAGTGCCTACACTTTGGCGACACAGCAAGCTGCTGCCTCCAAGTTCTGGTACAGTCAATACAAGCCTACTGGTACCTACGCTTTCTACAACACGGACGACACTCGGCAGGTCGCACTTCAGGGACCGAATGGAACCTTGCTTTATGTCATTGATGCCACGAACCCAAGCACCGGAAACATTCCTGGAGGCCAGCTTATGGAGTGGGCAACCTTCACGATCGACAACAACGTCCTCGGAGTTAAGGATGGCTCAACACTGACTAACAGGAGCTTTGTTGCTGTCCAGGGCGCGGACAATGGATACGGCCTTGCCTTCTATGATGGTGAGTTACTTAAGTTCCATTGCATGATTAAGTTGTACTCATGGTATTACAGGTGCAAGCCCAACCACTCAAAGAATCACGCCTGTTACTCTCAACCTTGTCAAAGCAGCATAGAGCAAAGGCATGAGAAAGGGTACGACGGATAGAACATTAGGGAATCGAAAGGGCATGATACTGTTTGCATCGTATCAGCTGTAGATATGATCAAAAATGAATACTTGTATATATCATTTTGAAGTTGCCATATGAATAAATGATTATGTGTGCAAAAACTTGTGAAATTCAATATTGAGGGGCTTTCATATTCTCTGAATGCAGAAAATCCTTAGGGTTGCGGTGGCTTATTCGTTGAAATTTTGAATAGAGCTCCGTGATGCACAAAGTTCGCGTATGTTGTATGGTGGGGTCGAAGTCGGAGATCTCGAGAGTCCCGCGCTAGAATGAATGGCTGTGCACAGACAAAATAGGAATTTTGAGGTCTTGGCATGCCACCACGAAGCAACAGAGAATCGTCTACAACCACCACAAGCCTGCGCGCGCAAATTATTGACCCCGTCGTTCCTACGCATACCCTCACACTCGCAGGACGATATGCCGGCCCCTTCTACGACTCTCCTCATCGAAGGCTCGTTCGAAGAGCTTGCCGACGAACTCGCACAATACATCGACAACCTGAAAAAATCCCAGGGTGACGAGAGTTCGAATATTCAACCCGAAGTTGCGAAGGATTTGAAGGACAACAAGAAAGATGAAGTATTGAAGAAACTTGTCGTGGGCGCACAAGCCCTGAACCAGGCGCCTGAGAAAGGTACGACTCGTTCAATCTGAGCAGAAGATATGGAAACTGATTTCATACAGAGTTCATTGCAGCGTACAACCTCCTCATCCACCTTGTTCGCCAATCACCAAGTGTGGCCATGTTCCTCCCTAAAATATGCACACATCTTACTGCTCCTGTCACATCCTCTCCCGCGAACGGTGGCGGCCTTGCCCTCTCAGTACTCAGTACCATCTTCAACACTCTCCCCTCTACCAGTGACATGCGCTTCCATGTCCTTCTCGCTATCGTCCGCGTAATCCGATCGACCTCGAACTTCGAGACCTTGCGCCCACAATTGAAGCAGCTGGACCAATGGTTGGAGGCTTGGAGCCTGGAAGAGGAGGAGAACCGAAAGCTCTACCTAGCAATCAGTGATTCGGCCGCTGATGCCGGAGAGGACGAGCAGGCCTACGTATATCTCCTTCGCGCACTCAAATCTTTCTCTTCGGAGCAAGTTTCATCTCCCGAGGCCCGTGAATTGTCCATTCGCGCCCTCAAATCGGCGCTCACCCACCCCAACCACTACGATTTCCAAGATCTTACCGAGCTCGACTCCATTCAGGCGCTACGCAACTCCGATCCCATCTACTTCCAGCTCCTGGAGATCTTCAACTCGGATTTGCTTGACGACTTCAACGACTTCAAGGATGAGCACGACGGTTGGGTTGAGGAGTCAGGACTTGATGGTGGTGCCTTGAACAGGAAGATGAGGCTACTCACGCTCGCTTCCATCGCTGCTGCCACGGGCCAGACCCGCTCCCTCCCATACGCACACATTTCCAAGGCCCTTCAGATCCCCTCTGAAGACGTCGAGATGTGGGTCATTGATGTGATCCGCGCCGGCCTTGTCGAGGGCAAGCTCAGCCAGCTCAACCAGACATTCCTGATCCACCGCTCAACATACCGTGTCTTCGGCGAGAACCAGTGGAGAGAGGTGGCAAGCAGGTTGGATATGTGGCGGAACAGCCTTGCTGGTGTTCTGCAAGTGATCACCAATGAGAAGATGAGGTTCGCACAGGAGAAGGAGGATGAGCTCAAGCAGTTGGACCAGAAGATCGAGAACGCAACGCGGGGCCAAAGAGGAGGCCGGGGAAAGCCACGGGCTCCCATTGATGACGAGAGGGACTAGCGTGGTTCATTTACCCTCTTCTTTTCGTTTCCATACAAAATTAGGCACGGCTGGGATGATTGTATGACTTCTGGGATAATGAAGGGTCTGCGAGCCCGTATACACATTCTAGAAAGCACAATTAAGAACACTTTTGAAAATCGAACCTGAAAATAATGTTTGCTGTGCTTGCTAAACTTGTAACTGTATCTATACTCTTTCGTCTATGTACTGATGAGGTTGTCCTAGTTCTGGACGAATTTGAGCGTGATTGGCTCAACTCCCCTTTCCTTGAGCTTGCTCTGCACATCTTGGTACACCTTCTCGGGGGCCTGGACGGCATCAACCCTGACAACCCTACCCTGCTCTTCGAATTCGTTGACAACAGGCATGCTGGTCTCGACGAAGACCCTGAAGCGCTTCTTGATGGACTCGATGTTGTCGTCTGCACGGCCTGAAGTCTTGCCGCGATCGAGCAAACGCTCGAGCATGACCTCTTCAGTGCACTCGAAGAAAAGGGTGAACTTGGAGGGCACGACACTACGCTCGAATGCGTGAGCTTGGTCAAGCTTCCTAGGGAAACCTGCAAAGTGTGTCAGTTTCATATCAAACTGTAGCATAATGCATGGAGTAGACCCTACCATCAATCAAGAACATATGCTTGTTCTCCTTCTCCCTTGCCGCCTGCATAGCGTTCTCAAGCAGCTTGATCGTAATCTCCATGGGCACAATAGTACCCTCCTTAATGTATGATTTGATCAGATCACCGAATTGGGACCCAGCTCGATCCTGCTCCTCGCGCAATAGATCTCCAGCGCTCAAATGCTTGAAGCCATAGTCCGAGACGAGTTTGGCACATTGCGTACCCTTTCCTGCACCAGGTCCACCGAGAACGAAAAGGACCGTAACGTCCTTGGGGTCCCAGAGAGGGGCATCGCGCATGATGCTGCCGAGCTCAGGTACAGCGGGCATCGTGGAGATGTGGAATGAAGAGTATTATCTAAGGGCGCGAGGGTGAATGTCCGGCGACAGGTTTTCCAGCGTTAGAGTAATCCCCTTTCCTCTGATCAACGATCTTCTTGAATAGGAATGACCCAGCTGCAAAAATGAATACGAAAGGCCAGACCTTGAGCGGGGACTTCGAGGGTGCGGAGTTTGTATGACGGGCGGGTTCGTTGGGACCTGTAGGCTCTCCCGGTTGACGAAGGCGAGACGCGAAAGTCTTTGAGGTGGAGAAATGGCGAGCAAAGCTGAAAGATTGCACCGGTGCAAGTCGGACACTTCGTAGAGTTGAAGACATGGTGGATATGAACCGTCCAGAACGGTGAGCTTGAGGTCGACGTGCATGCAGATCTAAATTTTGGCGCTAACTGGATATGGCTGGCACGATGGTGGGGGTCCCTGCTTGCCGTGCTTGCCTACCTAAGCACTGCTAAGGTACCAGAACCACTGTGCCACTCTATTCACTTCACCAGTCAACATTCACAGTTTGACTCAGCTCAACAAAGGCTCACTCTCAGATACTAACCGTAGATCCCAACAGCGCCTCCCAAGGGACAAAGGTGGGAAATTTCTTTCTTTCACGTTACAAGATTGATCCTCTCGATCAACCTTGCAGTTTCAATACTTCTTCATTGCTTGCTATCATAGTAGAGGTATCTTCTTCACTTGAACAAGCTTTGCACAGGACTCTCCTTCGTTCACTACACCCGGTCTGCCTTTTACCATGGAAGTTGCCCCGGATCTGTTCTCGCGGACGTTCCCGCGGCCCAAAGTTGGAAAACGAGCACTTGGATTTCTACATCTACCTGGCGAACTCCGCAATCATGTTTATGAGCACTACTTCGAGCAAGGATATTGCATCGGATTTTCAACTGACACGCTCGCATTTGAGGGGCCATCGGAGCGCATTCACGGGCGCAACTGGTTCCAAGGTATCAACCCACCCAGTCTCCGTCAGAGGGGGCCCAAACAAGGTGTTGGGCGCAAGGTAATACACATGAAGCGAAAACTGGGAGAGTACATCCGCATTGATGGGCTACAAACGGATTGGACGACAAGTAGGACCATATCCAGTCTCACATACGTCTGCAAACAGATATATGCTGAAACAATCCAATTCCTGTACTGGGACAACTTTTTCGCATTCAGCTCTGCAAAGCAACTCCAAGGCTTCATGGATGTGGTTCCACGTCGGAATCTTGCTTCTATTACGAAGCTGTATGTCAACTACTGGACTTATGGTGATAGCCGTCAGCTTGACGCGCAGAAGGAAGAGGACAGGAGACATACACTCGAATACAATACCGCATTCAAAAGGGCGTCGAAGTTACTCGTCAACCTGAAACACCTCGAAATCCGACTATCTTACAGAGGTAACAATATCGTCATGGCGATCGGCAACGAATACCTTGAGCCTTTATGGCAATTTCGTCGACTGTCCTCGTATTGGAAACAACGGAGACAATGCTCCGATGGGGACTACGACCAGTCAACCAGCACTCTCCAAGTTGTCAAAATACATTTCCAGTCTCACTTATCGAGTCCTGAGGATTTTCATGGACATCCTCGAGCGCTGTATGAAGCATCTGACGATATGCACCAACAGTACAGCAATGCTATCAGTCAAGTCATCCTAGGACAGAACGCGAACGAGGCCATGACTGGATGCTTGGTTGCCTGGGACAAGCACCACATGTGGAGGCATCACCTCCGCTTTATGTGAACTGGTTGATTATTCTACAGGTCATCTTTTCTATCGTCAACATACGAGCCACTAATCACTACAATGAACAAATATGTGGCTCATGTGGCCTTTTCATGCATTCAGCTATAACCACTGTCGTCTACCTCTCCTACAGAACTTGCGATCGACAAAACGAGTGGTTCCTAAAGAGCCTTTATTTTGCTTCAAGATAATAATGGCACACGTGTGTCGAAGTCGGGTCCTTGTACTGCTAGTGGGTCTCTGAGTCGCACTATGCTATACCACTAGCTATGTTTGGAGATACAATGGTGAGGTCTTGCATGTTTCACTAGCGGATTCGGTGGAGTAGAGCTCTATGGACGCAGGACACCCCTCGGCACCTCCAACAGTCAATAATTACAACCTATAATAAAGATTGCACTGCATGAAATTAAACCCACTCATACAGCATCTATTGCTAGTGATGGCGATATTGATATACACAGCTGTCATACTTTGATCGTTGTGAAGACCAAACTATTGATTTAGCTCCTGACTCGGGTTGATAGAACTCCATAAATGCGTCCCAAGTTTGGTTTCACCAGAACCCGAGGTCCAGTCCGAGCAGCAGATGAATCACTGCTTGGCCTTCTACTTCGAATTCTAGAAGACGACGTGGGGCGCCGGAACGGCAACATCACTCGAAACAATCTTATCTTAAAGTATCGGAAGACCAAACCTCCCACGCCAGTTGCAATTGTCGAAACAACAATCAAAGGCCAAGCAAGGCTGGTGCAATGCTCAAACATGAATAAACTTTCCACAGTGGTCAGCCCTACGCCTCCCGACCACCCATTTGACTCTCTCCTCGTACTATGCAGAGTCGTTGTGGTTCATGCGCAGGCATGAACCTGGAGCAGTGGACGAGATATATACGAACGGTGTCGCCGCCACCCCAACCGTTCTCCGTAGTGTGATGTTACTGTTCGCCATCCCGTTGATCGACACCAAGTACAGGTAAAGCCATTTCCCAATGAGGAAGAATCTGGTCATGGACTTGGTACGCATACAGATATATGGTTTATGGGATTGGGATTTTTACTAATTCATCTGCCAGGCTCCATTGGATTTTCTGAGTCGAACACGGGCACCAGAGATCATTGTTGGAAACGCCACAGTCCAATTTCTCGGGACTCTTGTGTTCTTCGCTCGTGTATATTCTCGACTTTATCTGAGCAAAGGGTGGAAGATTGAAGATAGTGTGCTTGCGTCAACTTGGGTGAGCTCGCCACTGTCACAGCATACACCCATGGATGTTGACAAGATTTCAGATATTCGCCTCGGCGTATAGTATCTGCCAGTATGGATCGGTGACCTGCGGTGCAGGCAATCATAGCAGCACCGTCGACTCCCCTTTGGACTTCGTGATGATGCAACAATATGCCTATGTTGCTCAACTCGTCACCATACCTGCCCTCGCCCTCTCTAAAATCAGTATCTGCCTATTCTACTACCGGGTCTTTGACTCTGATCGCCGAGGCCGCCGACTGATCATGGCCTTGATCATCACCATGATCTCCACCTCGATACCCCTCACCGCCAAAACCATCTTCCAATGCCAGCCGATCGAGGCATACTGGACGGAAATGCGGCCAGATGACAAGTGCATGCATGATCTACCATACATGTACTTCTACGGCTCCCTGAATGTGTTAGTAGACATAGGCCTGATCGCCATCGTCCTTCCCCGAGTCATCGGTCTCAATCTCAACAAACGGCAAAAAGGTGCGTTGGTCGGGATCGTTCTTCTGGGTTGGCTCGCTGCCATTGCAGGAATCGTTCGCATGGTTCGCGTTGGCCAGACGCTATTAGTCTACAAGTACGACCCAATGTGGAACGCATACGACATCTCAATCTGGACGAGCACAGAAATCTACGTCAGTCTGATATGCGCCGCTGCGCCCGGTACGAAACCGCTCATGTCGAAGCTGCTGCCAAAAGTGCTGGGACAATCTGGGAACAGTAAAGGGCCGACGAGGAACGCTGCTGGGAAATCGATTCCGCTGCCAGTGGGGCAAGCTGAGAGGAGGAGGAGACCGAGCACGTTTGCTTATTTGCATCAAAGAGGGCTCAGCGTGACGGGACTGACGATAAAATATGGGCAGTATTCGCAGCTTAGCAAAGGCGTGGATGAGGAGCCGATGGATGTGAAGACGCCGGTGATGCCAGTGATGCCGGCGATGCATGAGCGACGTCCAAGTCGGGGGATGACTATAGTGAAGAAGACGGAGGTTGTGATTGAACGAAGTCATGTATAAATGTACTGTAGTTATATTAGTAGTCTGTAACTATACCGAACTGTATCCGATTTCTCATAGAGCCAATGCACTGCACTTGAAATGGAACACGCTTTTATAGACGTCTATCACGCTGTGCCGTCATTTAAACGCTACGATCAATCAGTTAGAACGTCCTCAGCTTTTGTTAAATAACTCTTGAGCTCAACTCGTAAAACGATTACTCATTTCATGGAAAGTTCAGGTCCACAGAGGCTCACAAGCATGTTGTCAATCGCGGTGGTCCATGCTCAAGATTGGTTGGACCGAGGTTCCGATATCGACTCCTTAGCTCTGTCATGAGCATTCGCCGACATCTATCCGCCGTGAACATCCACTCATTCAGTGTGATTCTGGCAGCCGTTGCATTGTCATACACGCAATCACCCTTCATAACTACACGATGTCACGGCAATTCAGATACCCTTTCGCAGACTCGCCAGACATAATACGGTCGCACCAGAAAGATGCATACTTCAGCGGCGTGCTCCTCGAGCAGCTATCGACCCTCCTGCGCAAGTCATACGGCGCACGCTTCGCCCACACATATGCCTCCGAAGCGCGTGTCTTCGGTGATGTTCTCTATCTCGGCCTCACGACGCTGATTGGTAATCGAACGCTCGGAGAAGAGTACTGCGACATCGTCCAGATAGAAGGCGAGAACGGGCGACTACCCGCGCTGGGGCGAAGAGCAGGATACATTTTAAGCTGCATACTGGGGCCATACATGCTAGGAAAGGCCCTACCAGCCTTCAGGCGAAGGATCAGAGCGAAACTCGAGGCAAACATGAGGAAATACGCCCGGACGCACGCCAAAGCGCAGCAACACGCGAAAGAGAGCGGGACGAAGGCGCCCTCGATGCCATTAGCCGCACGGCTGCAGAACTATCTTCTCCAGAATCTGGATACCTTCACATCGCCATCGCCCATCCACGCCATCTCGCTGGCGACGTTTTACTTTGCCGGCTCATATTACCATCTCTCGAAACGACTATGGAATCTGAGGTACATCTTCACGCGCAAGGTGGAGGAAAGCGATCAGCGCGTCGGCTACGAGGTTCTGGGAGTTCTGTTGATCCTCCAGATGGCAGTGCAGTCGTACCTACATCTTCAAAACACAATCTCGCGAGATACCGTGAGCACGGGAGCACTGGGCGCAGGCACAGGAGCCACGGCCATCGTCGGAGGCGGCGTGGAAGTCTCGCTCGACCCGAACGCCTATAGCCCGAACAACGCACTGCTGTTCGAAGCCGCCAACCCTGCGTCGTCGTCTGCGCCGACGGATCTTCACAAGTGGACGCACACGCCTGCCGCGGACCACGCCAGATACGAGCTCGGCGACGAGGGCACGATGGGCTGGATCGGTGGGGATAACAGGAAGTGCACGCTTTGTTTGGAGGAGATGAAGGATCCGAGTGTGACGACGTGCGGGCATGTGTTCTGCTGGACGTGCATCAGCGACTGGGCGAGGGAGAAGCCGGAATGTCCCCTCTGTAGGCAGAGCTGTCTGGCGCAACATGTGCTTCCTCTACGGGGCTAACCACGACTTGTGTATATCGAACGTTGACTTTTAAATACCCGCAGATCTTTTAGTTTATATGATACTTGTATAGTACAGCAAAATTTACGGATTCGTTACCCAATTTCAGGGGCTATAATCAGATAAATCTCTTGAGATTCTTTCAATCCCTTAACACTGTGTATGCTAGCTTCTACTGAAACTACCAATGTCTTCTATCGACTAGACCTGTCCAGCCTCCGACTCCGTTGCCCGGAAACCACACGACACATTTTATGAATAAGAAGATAACAGTTTCGCACGTAATTACACATGCATATTATGAATTACAACAGGTAGACATTTCTAAATCAAAACTCAGGGTATAAACTTCACTCCACACAAGATACGCAGCGACTCTCTGGGACATCCTCCCCACCGACTCCCCACCAGAGCTCAATCACTTAATCTTTCGCACACGCATCTGCACCACCACATTCACAAAACCGTCTACTTCTCCCCCTCAACCTTCCACTCCTCCCTAACCGGCGTAGATGACCCACCCGTCTCCCTCCCCTCGACGACCTGCGCCCTCACCCTCGGCACCCTCTGCCCAGTGACATCCTTATACATCATCGTAAGCGTATGCTTCAAGCTATGCCTTCCCTCCCAGAGCGGATACACGCCGACGGCGATAGTCGAGCACATGAGCCAGATGATCCCGACGACGACCCAGCCGGAGAAGAACTTGAGGCTGAAGACGTAGCCGGAGCCGTAGAGCGGCATCGGCCAGAGGACGAGGAGGATCAGCGTCATCGCGCCCGTCGTGCACTTTGCGATCTTGGAGGCGCGGTTGAGGTTGGCGAGTTCGGCCTCGGATGCGGAGGAGGTGGGGGAGGAGGCGCCGTGGAGGACCGAGGGCTCGATGTCGATGGTGGAGGTGGCCGCGTCGTCGTCTTTGAAGACGCGGATTTGTTGCATGGAGACCCAGTCGTAGTTATCTGGTGAGGGGGTTAGTTTTGAGGTTTGGGGTGGTGGTGGAGGGGGGTTTGTGGGGGACTTACCGGCTCCGAATGCGAGGGTTAGGACGGGGATAAAGATGAGGGGGGAGAGGAGGGCGACGACGTTGCCGGCCAACATGGGCATGTTGGAGCCGGAGGTGGCGACGGAGATGACGCCGTCGTTCAGCTTCGCGGTGGTGACGAGCCAGGCGACGATGCTGCAGACGAGGCCGAGGATGGGGCTCAGGGTTGCGGCCCAGACGTTCTGTCTCTTCCACATCAGGGTCAGGGTTGCGGGGATGACGGCGGAGGAGATGATGACACCCATTAGGAGGTAGAGGTAGCCCATGCTGATTCCAGCGTAGTACAGGCCCGTGGAGACACCGGCCATGACCAAGCCGAAGCCGGCGACGCAGGTGTGGGAGATGTAGATGAGGCGCTTGCCGGTGGCTTCCTTGTTGATGTAGGTAGCGTAGATGTCGTAGGTCAGGATACTAGAAACGGCGATCAACTGTGCCGAGAAGGCAGAGGTCACGGCCATGAAGATGATGAGGAGTGTGGCTACGGCACCACCGGACCCAAGGATTGCAGTTGCGGCGTAGGGAAGAACGAGACCAGAGCTGATGCTCGCATCATCCATGGGTGATGGGTACGTGGGGAAGACGGGGTTGCTTTGCAGAGCCAAAGCAGCCAGACCCATTGTTGTTGCGCAGAGCCACTGGATTGATACTGTTAGCTACTGATATTCCACGTATGGGAAGAGGGCAAAATTGATAACTTACGGGAATGGCAAACCAAGAAAGACCGCCAATGATGTATCCAGGAAGGGCGTGAACAGGGCTTGCGCTCAAGGCCTTCTGGTAGTATCCGTTGTCCATGAAGACAGTGCCAAAGTTTCCAATGATGTTGATGACGAAGAAGATGGCTCCTTCGCGCGACCTCAGGGTCAGGTAGCTTCCATGGGCATTTCCCTCCACGGGGTTGGCTGCAGCAGCCTCAGTCAAGAGATCGTAGACAACACGTGGGGATCCGAGCCGGGATCCAGTTGCATAGGTCGTGAACGCGAATGTCAGGATGATGACCAGAAGAATGACGGTGTGGACGTAGTCAGTGAGGAAGGTAGCCTTGATACCACCAAACATGGTGTATATTATAACACCCAAAGGGAGCAGGAAGCAAGCGGCAGCCGTAGGAATTCCCGTGAGGGAAGAGATGACGGCGGATCCACCAGTCAGCAGCATGGCAGTGACAAGAATATTGGTGAAGAGACCGAAGACGATGAACACAAAGTGAGTGTACGGTCCATAGCGAGCCTTGACAGCTTCGAGGAAGGTCTATAATGTAGATTAGATCGATGTTGCGACCAGTGATGAATCATGTTCGAGTACTTACATGGGCATTGGGTGCTCTTCTCTTCAATTCAATGGCAACGGTAGCAAAAAGCAAGATCTGAACCGTTGCACCAGCTGCGTACCACAGTGGACCGGACACACCATAGCGGAAGGCGACGCTCGAACTCTGAAGAAGGGTTGCAGCCCAAGTCCAAGAAGATACGACAGCAGATGCAACGAGGCCGGATTTGACTGATCTTCCAGCAGTGCTGAACATCTCTGATGTTTGTTCCTCATTGTTGTATCGCTTCAAGGCCCATGTGACGAAGACCTAAGGAAGTTTCAGTGAGTTTATGCTAAGTTATCAGAAGGGGAAAGGATGATCTACCATTCCAAGTGCGAACAAGAAGCCAATGCCGAGAATGATGCCATAGCCCCAAGCTTGTCCTAGAGGGCTATGGACAGGCCCAGTAGGTGTTTGGATGCCAGCTCTTGCAATGAGATCCATGCTGATGCTGGATTGAAGGACTGCTTGAATGGTTTGCAAGAAATGTTGAGTGGAGCATCATTGCGATAGATATATGTTTCCATGAACGACTGGGACATGTCAACCGTGGATGGGGATTTAGTAAATTGATAGAAACCATTGAACGTTATCATTGACCAAGGAATCATTATCAAGGATCCAGAACGAAAAAGGAAATCTGGAGGCCGGTCGCGCGGCGTCGCCCGCCGTCGCGCGGAGATATGGGCATGTTCCCAAGCGTACAATCGACGACCAAGATGAAGTGGTGGGACTTGGGATTGGTTGTTGTTGAGGCTTAAAAGAGAGCTGAGCCACTTGGCAAGGATTAAGGACGGGAAGATTCGCGTAGAGATGTTTATGGCACAGGACTCGGTAGCTAGGCAATTGCTTGGGGCAAGGGATGACAACAATTGGGATGAGATGGGATGGGATTGAGAAGATAAGGATGCGAGTTGATAATTACAGTTGTTGAGGATATGTACTCCATAGTACGATGATTGCTGGTATGATGCCCGACCCAACTCACAACTCGTAGGTATCTACCTAAAGTACCCAGGTACACACTACATAAACAGTAGTATTTATTACTAGACATAATTACTTCGTATCATACAAAAATACCAACAACAGGCAATAAGAAGGGGAAGACAGTGACTCCCATGGTTTGTATTTGTACATGGTAACTAATAACGTTGATGTAGAGATAAGGAACCCCCAAGCGTTGGCCAATCAACGCCGTCGGCTACAAGCCTCGCCTGTTTCCGGGTCCCCTACCACGGCCCATACCGTATACGGCCCCAACGGTAAGTTATCCCCCCCTAAACATCCACACATCCACATATCCACCCCGTCGTGCCCGTCCCCAGATCTGACTTTCCCCCACATCGCCAACCTCTTGTTTTTTGTTTCTTTTAACCTCTCCATCCATTATTCGACAAATGAAAAAGAGACACTTAGATATGACAACGACAAACAGACCTGGACCAATCAAATGCTTTTCCCGCTTTAGCCCGCCCTATCCAGCCCGAGTACCGGACTCGTATTACGACATTTGCATTGGGTCTCTATGAGCTCTGTGTTTTCATGAACAATTAATTTTATCACCTACGTGCAAGGTTTCTTGGGCTGTCGCCTATCTTATGAATGTCATTTCGAACTCAGACAAGAAAGATACAATTTCAATCACTCCCATGTGATAGTACGGTCTACACGTTGGCCGATATCGCTCCGACCAATAACCAAACCGGCTACACTGTATCAAAGAGGTACATGGATTCAAAACTGTGATATCATTAGTAGTCCTCTGAATGAAATTACACATGGTTCTTTTAGTTCAAAAGTCAGTTGCAGATCTTGTGGCGCACCACTGAGAATCGTTTGTGCTTCGTACTACCACTACCACTACTTCTATCAACGATCAAGATTTTGGTTGCTGCGAGCTCAGTGAAGCAGAGACTGACTAAAAGGAATCTCCAGTAAACAATAACGTGCTGTATTCTGCTGGATTGTTCATCGTCAATACAAATTTATGTTTTTCTTATACCCGTGATCTATATGTACACCCAGTATCTCACAGTCATAAGCACAGCTATGATCCTTCGTTATATTAGGATTTTTAATTGCACAAGATGCTGGCTTGCTCGATGAAGGAAATGAAATCCATCTCGAAATTCCCTCCATGAACAAGTTCTAATCAATGCCAGCTCAAAGCTTTTCTTGAAGACGTTACCTATCTTGGATGCCGGGTCAACAGTCTTCAGGTTCAGGGTTTTCGAATTTCTCTCTCCAATGATCTTTACCCTGGTAATACCGTCCACTCCAAGCAGATATAAACAGGCCATACATACATTCTCTCCCTCAGTTGCAACATATCCTCATTCAAATGTTGTATCCCCTTCTCGTGGCATTCAGTTCTCACTTTTCACTACCTAATGAACAATTGTATACAGAAAAACGCTGCCATATATTTTCAGGTTTGCCTTTTCCTTCATGCCTCCCCTTCTTGTAACTACAACAGAGCTCATATTGATTCTGGTTTGAAAGAAAAAGGAACGGGGTTCTCTTCTGCAGCCAGCTTTACCTATAGTCACACCGAAGAAGTCAACCTACCAAATCCTCCCATCCACCTTCACTTGGACTCACTGCACGATTGAGCTAACCAATTTTGTTTACCTCATTGATGCCTGCGCGTTTGTCCCAGCAAATCGTGACGTGATTTCGCGTTGGCGCTAGGGCCCCTCAGTCACTATAAACTTACTTCCTCTCCATCTACCTCTCTCTCTCACTCAACCATCACAGAACCGTACCGACCGCCTCGAGGCATAGACAAGAAAGAAGCTGACCAGCGGTGCAGATACCCATTACACGTTACGGTTCCCTCTCAAGAGGCCTATCAGCTACACACAAAAGTTCGTTGAAACGCCCCTTCCTCACTTACTACACCTCAGCAATCCAGATCTCGTTTCTCTCCTTCACAGTGTAAATTGCTAACAGAAGCTTCATAGGCAGCTAGTAACCGACGAGGAGCTTAGCTACCTCTAACCGCCACGATCTCCCCAAGCCTGAGACCGACTCTTGCTCTACGTCCCGCGACAGTAAAAGCCACCTTCTCCCGTAGCACTAACGTGACTACGGCAACCATGAGCCAGCCAGGCTCTCCCAAGGCGCCCAAGGCGCCATCAGCGCCATCAACCCCCGGATCAGGAGGAGAGACCTCCTTGATCGCCGAGCATGGTGGATCTATCGGTTCTGTAAGTCAGGAATTGTCACTGATTGTGGGGTCATCAGAACTAAGTGAAACAGCAGGAACCTCAAGAGCAGAAGGCGGTAATGCCAGCTCACCAGGAACCGATCACCACTGCTGATGAGGGCATCAAGAGTCCCTCAACCGTGGCCGATGGTGGCAGTGATGGCTCCAGTCTCCAAGTGGCCTCTCCCTCGCTGGCCTTGCCCCCTCGTCCCGATGCCAAACAGCTTGGAGCCTCGCCACGATACAACATCATCGGGGAGACTCTCTATGGGGTCCCGGAAGAAGACACGGTTCGTGAGTTTGGATTCCGTGCTGGCCAGATGAACCGTGGTACGGGTGGCGACAAACAGATCCCAGCCAACAACTTCACCAAGCAGCTCGATCATCTATGGACTGAGTCCTACGAGCTAGGCAAGCTCTCTAACGGCAACGCTGCAACGAAGCTAGAAATCGTTCGCAAGAATTACGACTGGGCCCCACTGATCAATGTCTACACACAGACACCTGAGAATCCAAAGGGAACCTTCGACCTCGAGTACGCCCGAAAGACGATCGAGTCGGCACTTGACACCATGAAGATTACAACCAATTGGGTCTGTAACCACCCTAAGGAATGGCAGAAAATCGTCATAGACGTTCCTGCCCCTATCGCCATCGCCTGTCAGGAATTCCCTGATCTGGCTGAGCGCTATGCCGAGCTGAAGCAGGCCGCCTTCCTTGCGAAGAATTACCAGCCCTATCGCAATGCCAAAGGATACATCAACAAGCAGCTTCGCTCCATGGCACGCCGTTGATATCCCCAATTTATGTCACCAAAACGGATCGGTCCCCTTAGAGGTGGGAAGTCTTGTTCAAGAACCTTACACCCTATATTTGGCTCGAGAATGGTAACAAGACATCGGCAACAGTAGTTCGTGGGTATAACCGCACATGTAACCGTGCGGTGGATTCTAAGGTTTTCTTTTCTTTTGTGTTTTAGTATACTTATGGGTCAAGAGCTCACTAAAGGTGAAGGATTAGACACGTCGCCGGATCATGTTGGCTCCCAACTGAAAACTCAACTCCTCAAGACGCAACCATGTAGCCAAGGGTCCAACATCAGATGTTGCCCTAGGTAGACACTTCACAAACATCACCGATGGTCCACTCTTCCCGCCGGCCCCATTCCCCCTGTACAGTAAGAGACATACAACGTGTCGGGCCGTTCTAATAAAACCACAGCTAATTGCTCGGTACTCGAATAGATAGGAAAAACCATTGACCTCTGAAGATGCCCCATTGCTTTCCCGTTTGTATCATCAAGTGACTTGTGCTTCTTTATCAGTAGAAACGCTCACTAATGGAAAACCAGATTGAGATGCGTAGGTGAGATTCTATCATTCTTCATTCCTCGTCCAAGGGGCAGTCACTTCAACCCCGACATTATTCTTATTTACAACATGGTATTACAATGATCGAAGATGACTTGTTGAACGCCTGTTTTTCAATGCAACTACTACTGGTCGGCTAACGGTAGCAGCGACCTTAAAGCATCCTCCCAATGCATAAGGGCAATCGATCGTATGATCCTATATTTATATTTAGGATTGTTGTGTTGCTGCTTGTACAGCTTCTCAGTTTAGACATTGGAGCTCTGGAAACTTTGTTAGCCTCCTACTCAGTGATCCAGCATGGAAAAAGGAACATGGGCCTACCAGTTTGTCTGATCGCCAACCTTCTCCTGGAAACTCTTTGTGCCAGCGCCCTTGCTCCCGCCGTCTTGCCTTGAGGTGGTGTCCGCATCTCCTGCTATCAGTCAACACCTTGTGCCTCATTCCCAGGTCGGACTAATCCTCACCTAGCTTCGTTGCAACGCCTGGTGTATGCGATCCAGCCCCTCCGGCTGCTGTGAACCTGTCCTCGACATTCTGGATGCCTTGGGTCTTGTAGGGATTCGGGAACCAGTACTGGCGCATGACGAGGTAGTAGCTGAATCCGACGGCTCCGCCAGCCATGAGAATCTTGGGGATGTTGGGACCGGGCATTGTGGTTGAGGTGAGATTATGTATACGGTGGTTCGATCGAAACTTTTCTTGGAGATGTTGGAGAGGTTTGTTTGGGAGCAATTGAAGTGTTACAGGGTTATAAAACAATTCGAAGGGCCTAGATACGTCAGAGAGGATAATTGAAATGTGAGTAGCTTGAAAATACCCTTTTTGGTCAGTAGCTCAACGATTGGAAAGCCTACTGTCTTCAGCGTATGCGAGCATCATGACGCAGTCAATAAGGAAAGGCGCGGTCTAAGATCTCCGCCGCTTGGCAGGGCATCTCCGTCCTCCGAGTTATCTCTCCAGCCTTACCGACTAAACCTTGTTCGTTGTAAAATGAGGCTGAAATTCCCAGGGGATTACCTCAGCCATATGTGGCGCATATTCCTGACCTTGCGAGACCTCCTAGATAAATGTAGCAAGTGGACACGCACCCCTTACGCAACCAACGAAATCGCTCCGGACTTTCTCAAAGGGCACTCCTGTGGCCTCTCCGACACCCGCACACAATACTCACCTTCAGTCACTCATTCAAAACTCGCCCGACGCGGCTGGATGATTGACCAAGCGGAATTCCCTGGGCGCGATCACATAGTCCACCATTAGGGAATTTATCGATCGCACAATCGATCAGCAAAGAGATATGGATCCAGGTCTGGTGGTGGAGCCAGAACTCGATGGCTTCAGTCGGGTATTGCCTTTACCCTATCGTGTCGCTCTCATAATTGTCTTGGGTATGTTTTCCAGGCTCCAATTGCCATCTGATCTTCGACTGTTCGATTAACACGATCTACACAGGAATTTGGGCCTGGGGCCTCAACCTACACTACCTCTCACTGATCAGAATTGACGTACCGAGTCTAATCCGCTATCCGGGTCGTCCCTCGCCGCACCACCCTCCTCACCACCTGTCGTGCTATCGGATTGCTACGTTTCTCTCCGTCCCGCTCGCTCTGTTCCTCCTGCTCTTCTGGGCCCTCACGAGCGGCAGCCCCACCGACATCGCGGCCTGGGAGATCCTTCCGAACATCTACCTCCTTGTCCTCGTAGTCGGCTTCATCGCTCCCATCCCTTTCATATCCCGAAATGGCCGCTCCCGCACACTGGCGACACTTAAGCGCATCTCGATCGGAGGCATTGCGGAGGCACAAGACGGAAAGTTCGGTGATATCCTGCTCGCTGATGCGCTGACGAGCTACGCAAAAGTGCTCGGCGATCTATTCATTAGTCTCTGCATGTTCTTCTCGTCCGGGATATCGAGCACGGGTCCCCCGAACCGCAACTGCGGCGGCCCCTTCTGGGTGCCCTTCATCATCTCCATACCAAGCATGATCCGGCTGCGCCAGTGCATCACCGAGTACTTCCGCGTGCAGAAAGCGAACCAGCGGACCGGCCAGATAAACCCCGCGACAGGCTGGGGCGGCGTGCACCTCGCCAACGCACTGAAATACTCGACCGCGTTCCCCGTCATCATCCTCAGCGCGCTGCAGCGCTCGCCGGACCCCTCCAAGTTCGGCATGTCTGAGGCGTCCCTGTTCCGCCTGTGGCTCGCCGCCGTGTTCGTCAACTCCGGATACTCCTTTTACTGGGACGTCGCCCGCGATTGGGACCTCACGCTCTTCACCAAGCAGCGCGACAGCCCGGAGTACCCCTGGGGCCTCCGCCGACACAGATGGTTCCACGCGAAGGAGTTCTACTACGCCGCCATCATCGTCGACGCCATGCTACGCTGCACGTGGAGCTTCAAGCTCAGCCCGCACCTCGACCACTTCAACGACCTTGAGGGCGGCATCTTCCTCATGGAGGTGCTCGAGGTGCTGAGGAGGTGGATATGGATCTTTTTTAGAGTCGAGACCGAGTGGGGTATGTATATACACCCCACAATCACAAATGATAGAAAACCCAAATAACTGACGTTACCATTTACAGTCCGGAACCACCGCGGTCCAGCACCAGACGACGTCCTACTCGGCGACTTGTCGTCGAATAACAAGTACGACGAGGATGAATAGACAGGGAACCATTAATATATATATATATATATATATATATATATATACACACAATTTTATAGACCTACTGAAGCAAGCAAGGGAGATACCCCACCGTCATCATATCATATTATATTTAGCACCGCATCATGCATTGGGCGACATTTTGAATTCTTCCATTTTCTTTGGTTCTCTACTTGTTTGAGAAGGCGTTCGAAGCGGTTGTGTCTGGATCTAGATGTTCTCGTAGGAGAGAGCGTGGCGTACGTGATTTTGCGGGAAGAGGGAGATATAGGATCCGACCTGCTGTGACAGGTATTTATCGGCATCAGCCATAAGATAATGAATGAAAAGGAAATAATTGAACGCACCGTGTGTGGATAGCTGATGATCTCGTCTTGAAATGACGACCAACGTTCGCTACATGGATGCCCTTGATCACATGTCACACACCACATCAATCAAGAGACAAGCATACCTCCTAATGTCAGTTCAAGGCATTTCTTCTCGTACTGCAAGACAAACGACAGTGGCACGACGATAAAAGACGATGATGTAGAAGACCCGTTGCAGTAATGGTACAACGCGTCAATAATTCAGATATTCAATTCTACTTTCTGGTTGATTGATTGTGATCTCTGGGGACAAAAGGCAGCTTGACAAGCATATGTATCGCATCGTATGAAGGGAGGTGAGGTGGGTGTTTTTCTGGTAGGGGTTTCCTAGGGGAAAACTCACCCACACCCAACCCACGCTTGTTATCTTACTTATCGTCCCCTTACTTTCTTCCTTCGTTGCCCCTTGTCCGCTTGCTGGTGGGAAAGTACATGATGTCCGCTTGCTGGTGGGAAAGTACATGAGTTGTCCGCCAAACCCAACAAAGTCAAATCCATTGTAACAGAACGCCCATATCAACCCCCGGAACACCACGCTCATACATATTTCTTCCTACTTTGACTGTTTGCTGGTGCACGCCCCGTCGAAAAGTGCAGCATATCTCACATTTCCCCGAAGAGGACGATCGTTGTTGAAAGAAACAATTAAATATATACAGAATGCATCGGCATGCCGGCACTGTTTGTAGGCTAGCATTGCCTCTGTGAGGGAGAAGCGGAATGATCGAATCTTCACTGGCTCCTAGCCGTTGGGGCCTGTTGCTGTTGTTGCTGTGGGCCAGGGCTTTGGATGCCTAGTTGCGGGTTTTGTGGTGTCGCGCTTCGACTGACTGGTCGTGCGGCGTTTATGCTAGGACTGCCTGCGCCGGGCCGTTGTTGGCTCATCATTCGCTGCTGCTGGAGGAGCTGGTTCTGATAATTCTGTACAGCGTTTGGCGAAGGGGAGTTGGGGACGCCATTATTCTGCATGCCATTATTTTGAAGGTACATGTTGTTGCCGAGTTGTGGAGAAGAAGCCATGCCAGAGGCTGCACCAGCAGCGGCATTCATGGCTTGGGCACGCTGCTGCTTGGCCATGATACGAGTAAGCTGCTCGGAGGCTGCTTTTGAGACCTGCTCTGGGGTCCAGTCTGGATATTGAGCTTTGATGTTATTCTGCATCTGCAGCAAATGTGGCACGTGGCCGCTTGATAGAGAGCGAGCCGGATTCTGCATCTGAGGCTGGTTCAGGCGTGGCGACCCAGCATTGTTGGACATGCCGTTCATGTTGTTCATACCATTCATGCCGTTCATGTTATTCATGCCGTTCATAGCGACATTAAGGTTCCCGTTCATATTCTGGCCGGCCATGTTTGCAAGCATATTCGCGTTAGGCATATTGTTGCCCATGCCCATACTAGCAGTTAGATTGCTGGCCATGTTGATCTGTTGTTGCTGCAGCTGGAATTGCTGTTGGTTGCTATTAGGGAATTGTCCTCTTTGCATTGCCATGCGAACTTGATCAGGAGGAGGCATTCTTTGCGAATTCTGCATCGTAGCTTGCATCTGTGCCTGAGGTACTCCTGCATTGTTCATCGCCATGCCGGCCATGTTGCTGTTAGGGAAGTTGCCCTGCATGGGCTGCTGTCGAGGCATTTGCTGATTTGGCATGCCACCATTTGGCGTTGGAACCCCTTGATGAGCAACTTGGTTGGGTAGCTGGTTTGGCATATTCACATTGTTGTTGGGAGTGCCAGTACGCTGCTGCTGCTGCTGCTGCTGTTGTTGCTGCTGTTGATTCATGCCATTGGCCATGCCTGGCTGTCCCTGCATTCCAACTTGACGTTGTGCTTGGGCAGCAGCCATTGCCGCCTATTGATGATTAGCCAATGATTGCAAAATAGCTTGTTGATTAGGTGACCTACCCTCATCTGCATCTCCTGATGTGCCTGTTGTGCCTGCATCTTTTGCTTCATCTTCTCTTCGCGCTCCCATTTCATGCGGCTCCATTCTTGTGGTGTCTGCACGTTGCTCTTGGGTTGTGCAGGCTCAGCCGCTTTGCGAAGAGCTGCGGCCTTAGCTGCTTCTGAAGACTTGTGCGCAGCAGATTCTCGTTTTCGAGCGAGCTTCCGCATTCCATCAATGATAGAGAGGTGGCGGTTGTCCCGTCTCCTCTCCACACGGATAGGATGGGTTGTTCGTCTGCGCACCTGTCCAGAAGTGGCTTGATTCTGGCCTTGTTGAGCTTGCTGCTGGATCATTTGTTGCTGAGCTTGATGCTGGGCAGTCACAGTTCGCTGCGCCTGCTCGAGTCGGTTCTGATATGTCCTAAAGTACGGGGTCTTCGACATTTCCGCAGGTAGTCCCTCCAATTGAACCCAACGTTCGAAGCACTCCCATGGCGTTCGTCGCCCAGACGCAGAAACATACTGCGAAGGCAATGTGAGTTCTTGAGCGACCAAAGACCAATTGAAAGTGTATTCTTTGACGAAACTTCGCAGCTTCTGATCTTCTTCCCATAGCCATTGCGAAGAGTTCCTACTTTCAAAGAAACTCACTGGTGGCATGAGGAACTCGGTGGGTGGCCTAAACTGGTGAGCAGCTTGGAGACGGTCACGGACATGCTTATTCTCCGGGTTGAAGAGAGCGACGTCAGTCATTTCGGGATTGAGATCATTGCGATGGAACAGTCGACGACCAGGAGTCGATGGCATCGAATGTTCTGCAGAAGTACCACCCGAACGGCTCGGTGGAGTCGAAGGCTCCTCGTCCAAGTCGAATTCGTATCGGCTTCGCTTACGGGGAGGTCCAACAATCTTCGAGACAAGCTTTCCGGTTACGAACTTCGAGACTGGGAGTATTGCAGGGTCGCAGAACGAGACAGGCGTGATATCAGTGGCATCTTCCAATTGTGGATCATAAAACGGAAGTTCCTGCAGCATCGTCTCGCTGGCTGGGGTTCGCTTGAATTTCATTACGACGTCGCCGAAACCCAAGGAGAAAAGACCAGCAGGTGGATTTGATCCCAAAGGCGACAAAAGTTCGTCGTCATCGGCAAACGATTCGCTTTCGGTTTCATTGGCCCCTGAGTGGACCAAATCAGGCGTCGGGGCATCATTCATATCAGCATCGCCATGGCTTGCGTGTTCTGCTTGTTCGGGAATGCGAGCTCGTATACGTAATTGGGCTTGAACCGTAGAACTGCTATTAACGTACTCGGCGCACCAGTTCGCAAAGGTCGAGGCAAGTGCATGCTTCCACTTCCGTTCTTCTTTGAAGTCAGTTTGCATGTACTTCATTTCCTTAAGCAGGTGGTCCAGGTGCGAGGTTGGACGAGCAGGCTCGGCGGACTTCTGAAGTTGTCTCAAAGACCATCGATTAGCATTCTGCAATTGGTAGACCCGTTTGAGAATTTTGTAGTCCTGCGTTTCACGCAGCATCGCCAAAGTCCCTGCCGTGGACAATGTCTTGCGAGCAGACTGAACAAGTTCCCCAAGGGGTTGAGACCTGGGGGGATGATGGGCTTGGAATTTGAACAGGCCTTGCAGGTAGTCCCGGTTAGAGTCCTCGGATGCACCCTGTAACGAGGCATAATCCTCACTGTACAATTGTACTGCTTTCGAAAGCCGCGTAGAATCTGGCTTGGCGAAGATGACAGTGGATACCTCCTTACGCTTCTGGTCGGTATGAGTAGTCTTCTCGGTCCTGGTCAAGGCAATGATATTGCTTGATGGTGACGGATCTGATTTGATTACCACATTTTCGGCGGCGTCTGGTAAAGATGCTCTACTGCCAATGAGATTAGATGAACTGCCAGACTTCTGTACGGAAGGCGACGTTTGGTGAGCCGAAGTGTGCTCTTTCTCTTTAGACGGTATTGGAGTGTCGTCCATGTCAACATCGACGTCAGCAGGCGGAGTAGGATGTTCTACGCGAGCGTCGTTGGACTGCTGTGGCCTGGCAGGAACGCTTTCGGCACTCTCAGAGTCGAGACCAGATGGCTCGGGTGCGATTGTTCTAGGCGTTGGCAAAGAGTCCACTGCAGCATCTCGCAACATTTCATTTTCTTTGAGCTTCACATCCATCGTTGCCGCTGCCTCTTGCACAACCTCTTCCGCATGCTCTGTTAATGCTCGAGTTCCAGGGGCCGGTTGCGACTCGCTTTGACGAGTATTTCCATCTCTAGCCAGCCGTATTGCCTGCTCGTTTTCGATCTGCCGTTCAACATCAGGAGTCTCCGAGCTACGTGCACGAGCTCTTTGTCTCGCTTCTTGCAGCTGCAATTGTAATGCGCTTTCGTGATCTTCCTTCGCCTTCTGTGCCTCCGGATCTTCAACAACCCCATCCGGTGCGGCAGCTTGTGGTCGATCGCGGAATGATTCGCTGTCTGGACTTGTGTCTGGGGAGTGGTGTGGCGCATGAGGTGTAGCCTGGGAATAGGGACCGACAGTCGACGATGGTGAGGATACGACATCGTTACCATTACCATTTGGAAGCGCGAGTCGTTCGTCTTCTTTCCGTTCCTTTTCTTTAGACTTGTCCAGCTTGCGTTCCGTCTCCTTATGCTTGGTATCTTGGATCTCTTTCGATGGTAGGTGCTCCACTTGGGGAGTTCTCGGTCCATCTCCTGGCGTGACGTCCGGTCCATCCTCCACGGTATCGACGTTGGATTGTGTATTATTCCTTGGGTCTACTGAGGGCGTGGTAAGATGCTCGAGTTGTTTGTCGCCATTCTGAGTTGCAGTCTCGTTCGCGTTGATGGGTTGCTGCGTCTCGACATTGGAGCCATTAGGTGCCTCCTCTTTCGTGAAAGGACCAGCGACATCCACCTCTTGCTTGGTCGTTGAATCTATACGAGGCTTAGATGGTAACGCGGAGCCTGGCGTTAGGCAGTCTGGTCGGCCCTCTACAGAAGGCAAAGGTTGAGTTGAGACGGATGGAGACGCTGAGGCGGCGCGCAGCTGTTCCTCAAGGCTGGCAGGCGCGCCGGAAGGGAGGGTGGGTGTTGCGCTTTGTATTTTTAAAGCACCTGGAAGAGATTTGACTGGTGGTTGGAAAGGTAATGTTGTGGGTAATGTTGCGTTCTGTGGAGAGTACAGTAAAGTTGAATCGTTGAAGCGGCGTCCCCTGCAGTCGTGACTCGTGGTTAGAGATATGGGACCAAAAAGTACAACAACAACATAAATAGGGAGAATTTCTTCGAGACGAAATAAAGAATTTTGGAATAAAAGTAAAAACATACTTAGCTATTTCATTTTCATCGAGGAAGCGGCTCTCAATCTCGGACGGGTCATCACTGATGATGAAGTCCTGGGGACGGGGAGGGTGGCCCACATTCAGCAGCCTGGTGTAGTTGTAGAGCTCCCGCAGCTTGCGCTTGCGCGAAAGCTCACATTTCCTATACACCGCGATATCAGCACCACAACGCAATTATAAAAGAATCCGAGCGATTTTTACGTGTCGCATCGGCGCGTAGATTCGAATGAACCGCGATGCGATAATAAAATCGCGAATTACTCACTGTATTTCATTCTTTTTCTCCCTGGAATACGCATCACGAAGGCCGTCGAGGGACATATGAGGACCAACGATCGGTGGCCGACATCCGTTACGCACGAGTGTCGCCAGGATTTGATGATTTCTGGAGAGTTGTGGTCGTGTTTTGATGAAGAGATTTGGAGGTCGTCTGGATGATCTGGTTGTTGAGGAAGCGTGAGAGAACCGCAGGCCGCGCTCCCTATGACGCTTGGACCTTAAGCACGTGACCCAGATTTTTTTTAGTCTTTCAAAAAGTTTATGCCAACCCTACCGTTCTTTTCTACCTTTAATCCGCAGAACCTGAATAAAGTTACGGACGCAAAGAGCTGCTATGGCGAAACGGAAGAGAGAGACCAAGTTGGCTGGGGAGCCGTCCGGAAAGGAGAACAAAGTAGCTGCCGCAGAGATTTCGAAAACGGAAGCATCTAACGGTCACTCTAAGAAACCTAAGGCCAACAACAAGCCAAAGACTGAGGTCGCAACAACAGCACCTCAAGAAGACGATGTCGAATCCAATGTTTACAAGTTGGATTCTGACACCGTTACCGTCCAAATCATCACGGGTTCCTACGAACGTGTTCTCCATGGATTTACTGCAGCCATACCGCGCGACGTGATCACCAGCCTAGGGCCGCAAAAGGACGGATCTGAGAAGAAAGAAAGCCACAAAGTCGACTTTTCGGACACCTTCCTCTTCAACGCACACACCTCAGCTATCCGATGCCTGGCATTATCACCAAACATCGACAATCCGGAAGGAAACAACAAGATTTTTCTAGCCTCCGGAAGCACAGATCAACGCATAAACCTCTACTCCATTTCCACACGACCTCCTGCACCTGCCAAAAACAGGCCTAGGCTCCCAAATCTCCACGGAAACTCCATCGCCGAAAACCGCAGGAACAAAGAGCTCGGGTCTCTTCTCAATCATGAAGCAAGCATTACGGGACTGTATTTTCCTTCACGAAGCAAGCTCATGAGCTCTGCTGAGGATTGCCACTTGGCCATCACTCGAACCCGCGATTGGGTGCCTCTGACCACTATCAAAGCGCCTATTCCTGTGGTACAGGGCCGTCCAAGTGGAGACACAGCTGGGCCTGGAGAGGTCCCATCCGGCATCAATGATTTCTCTGTGCATCCCAGTATGAAGCTTATGGTCAGCGTTAGCAAGGGCGAAAAATGCATGCGACTTTGGAACCTCCTGACTGGGAAAAAGGCCGGTGTGCTCACCTTCAGCAGGGAAATTCTCAATGCTGCAGGTGAAGGACGATTCGGCACTGGTGAAGGTAGAAAGGTCGAGTGGGATGCGGATGGCGAAGAGTTCATCGTTGCGTTCGAGCGTGGCGCTGTCGCTTTCGGAATTGACTGTCAACCTACTGCAACCATACTTCCCTCGCCCAGGACGAAGCTTCACCAGATGAAATACCTCCCAGGAAGTTCATCCACAGTCGCCTTCTCAACAGAGGACGGAAGAATCATTTTCTACGACACGAAATCGACCAGCGTATCAGAATCCGTAACCGAGGCGGCCAAGAAAGAGAGCAAAATCGACGCAGGACCCGCCGCCTTCATCGCTCAAATAGGCGGACCTGCCGCCGGAATCTCAGGACGTGTGAAGGACTTCGCCATATTCCCCTTCGCCAACCCAGACAAGGCTGGAAGCAAGCTATACCTGATTGTTGCTGCAAGCAGCGACGGCTCGGTTCGCCTATGGACCGTCGCAGAGTCAGACCTGAAGGTCGATGCTCAACCCGAACAGCAAGAGGGAAGCGCGGACAAGGGCTTCTCGGCGAAACAAGTCGGCCAGCTTGTGGGAACTTATTCTACGGGCACGCGCATTACTTGCTTGGCTTCGTTTGTCATGACAGGTCAACCCGAGGAAGATCTGGAGGAAGCTCCAGCTAAGACTGAGGCCGATGAGAAGAGCGAAGAGTCCAGCAGTGCGGAGGATAGCGAGTAGGCGATCTCAAGGCCACGTTGTTATCAAAAGCGTTCTTCCCGATTTCGTCACACTTGCGACTGTTTGAATACGACGTCGGAGCATCTTGTGATTGTAGTAATTTTCTTAGTATAGCATCTATGTTAGGATACCAAGTTTATTTTAATGGCATCGTAGTACCTATATATCTGATAACCTACCTAGCGCATGTGATGTTGCCCTCAAAAATCATCGAAGTGTTTAATTATGAAGTTTTACGGCTTCACTCCTTGAACACGCTTAGCGAAAAACCAAACACCTATGTTAAGGATTTAATCGTAACGCAATTTCACCATGTTCAATCACACGAATACAACTAAATATGAGTATAATCCCATAAGCACTATAATAATGAATGTAAATTTGCCAAATTGGTCTTGGAAACGCTGATGCTATGCCGTGCCGCTGCTCGAAGAACTCTTCGACAGCTCAAACAATCTAAGCCGCTATGATATTATTATGAAACTGCACACACCACTCTCATTATCTCGAGTATAGACAACATGAGACTCTCCATTAAATTAATCACATGCGAGTCCATCAACAACTTTTCTGGAACATAAAAAATGATATCGCATCATATGCCTACAAATTCATCGTTACCGTCATGCTGTTACTATGCACCAGCAGCGTTGGCGGTAAGCCCTGGCACAGAACCTCGAGGTCACTTATAAACTTAACACTCTCAGTCTCGCTTTGGCACGTTCCCTCTACGGGACTCGGGAGCGTTGTGAAGACGACAGCCGTGTCGTCCGAGTTCTGGCGGATGAGCTCGTTGAGGATGAGGTGTTGGGCTCGGCAGGGGAGGTCGTTGAATGACAGCGGGATGGCTTGCTGCAAGGGATAGCCTGATGCTTGTGCCTGAGGCTGAGTGGGGAATGATTGGTCGTATTTGGGGTTCAGGAGGGTGGATGCTGTGGAGATTGGACCTGCATCGCCGGATTGAGCGGCTTGTACAACGGCTTCAGGTGTCGCAGTACCGATGGGATCTTTCTTGCGGGTAGCTTCGGGGGATGGCGTGGCTACAAACATTATTGATGGTCCTGGAGCTTCTTCCGGGGCAACCGCTGTGCGAGGTACTGGGACAGATGTGAACCTTGGGACGGACTGCTTCCGGATCGGTGGAGGGCGAACAAATGATCCTCGTTGTGATGACGCGGGGCTTCCTGATAAGCTTGCGAGGCTATCCGGTTGTGATGCTGCTCGTCTGGCTCCTGCAAGTAATGCTGTGTTGGATTTGGCAGCCTCGGAATTATGTCTCAAGGGTGTGACACTGCGTGTCGTCGATCTACTTTCGACGGATGATGACTGGTCTCTCTGATCATCTTTCCAAAGAGATCTTCTCAGGTTGAATCTGCTGCTGATAAATGGAATACCCATGCCAGTGGTCTTGGATCGTTTAACCGGTGTGGGGATCTGGTCGCTATCTTCATCTGATGCATCTAGATCATATTCTTCGAAGTCATCGATCGCCATTTCACTCTCCGTAGTAATGGCCTCATCATCGGCATCGCTCCCTTCATCTCCACTCGATGAAGATCCATCCTTGGGAGCACGGATGGTCAGTCGCTGGGAAGGCATACCAAGAGCAAGACCAGCTCCAGCTAGATTAGATCCCGCAGTTTTCCGTTTTGTCCGTCGAAGCATGTTGCGAAGCTCGGAAAATCGCTTCGGTGTTGATTCACGTCTTCCATGCTGGAAGCTCGATGTCGGCCAGTTGGTGACAGCATTTAGTAGATCTTCTGCTTGTGCAATCTCTTGACTTGCACTCATTTCGTTTGGTCGACGAAGGCGCCGGATGTCCTCCCACCACTCCTCGTCCTCCAAAGCATCATCGACATCCTTTGCAGATTGCTTAAAATCATCTTCAGTCTTGCCGTTGATGATGACCTCGTACATCTTCAGATGTCCACTTGACAACCAGGCCACGAGCACCTCAGCTTCAATCCTCAGGTTTCGCAAAAGTGTTGTGACTCGTCCCCTCTCTTCTTCGACATCGGTCTCGTATTCAACAAAAACACACACGCGAAGTTTGTACGTACGCTTCCAGGATGGCACAGTATGAAGAATGCAACCTAGTTGTAAGATGAGAGTGTAAGTGTCGAAGTTTGTCGTGAGAACATTCTTCTTTGTAGGGTCCTCCCCAGCTGTGGCGATCTCAGCAGACATCTGGATCGGCCAGAGGTCGATATACTTCCTGGAAGGCTCTTCGGTATCAATGCTCTCTGCGATGTTTAGCATACCCATGAATTTTTGTCGCCTCGATGGTTGCACACTGGGGGTTTCTAGATCTTGGAAACCCTTCGCTAGAGCGACATTGATCTGGAGGCGTAAAATGAGATCCTCCAAGACGGTAACGTAGCTTTGGATGCCAATTGCATTTTCAGGTTTCATCGCATCCGTTGGAAGTGTTCCAGTCAGCTTGTCTGTCATGCGCCGCTTTGCCGCTGCCTGCACCAGCTTTGGCGTGATCGGGTGGTCTGTTGCCTTGCTCGATGGCCTAGATGGTTGGGGAGAAGGGATTTCAATCAGAGGTTTGGACTCTCGCAACTCTGGGAGATTGTAAAATCCCATGACAACGATGTTTGGACGCATACCCCCGAGGCCAGCACCTAGTACGATGTTCCGAGCACCCCATTCCACAGCGGGCGAGATGGTGATATTAACGAAAGCTTTGATCCTCGAAAAGTCAATGTACTTCGTCCACGCAGTTTGTTGTCGTCGTGCCTCCGGAACAGCCGCTCCGAAATCCTCGGAAACAATGACGTGGCCTAGCACAAAAAGGGCTCCTTTCTTCAAAGAGTTGCAAAATTGGATGAGCTTGTACTGCCTGCGCGGGTCATTGACTAGAAGTAAGATCTGAGGTCTCCAAAACTTTACGTGCTCTTGTCGAAGCCTGAGCAGGTACTTTCGAACCTGGTGATAAATCAGACTTTGGCTGACGTCGCCCCATGGTTTTGGAGGCGTTGTATAATGGATTAGCAGGAAGATGATGATCAGCAACGCAACGCAGCCCGAAGCATAAACGCCGTCGACGAAGAACATTGTGGCTCCGCTGACAACTGTTCCGACTGCAGCAGTTTGCCAATTGAAGAAGTGAAAAGATGGCCGAAAGTTAGGCGCAGAACCTATCTTAAGGAGGAAGCAGGCCAGATTAGTGACCAAGAAAGTCATGAGATACTGTGAGCAGTTAGGTTTTGTTGATATCCGCCAAGCAGGAGTGGGCTATCAGAACTTGCAGAGAATGGAGGCACTTACAGTCATGGTAATAAATGAAGCAATCCGGTTGATATCAGAGAGCATGGTCAGTTGGGCGAGAACATATGTTATGAAGATTGCATATGTCGGATCATCTGACTTTGCTGTACCTTGTGCAAAAATGGAAAGGCCCGGTAGAAGATGATCTCTCGCGAGGGCTTGTAAGAGCTTCGCACTGCCTATCACGCCCATCAAGACTGAAAAGGCGGATGTCGCAAATTCGCCCAAGAGAATGATGGTTTCAGAAACATTCGTCTAACAGTTGTGAGCGTGACTACGAGTAGCATTTCCGTGACATGAATCGTGCCTTACCAATTGAATTACATTGGTGTTGTTGTAGAAAGATTCGCGCGCGATACTGGCGCCCATAGCTAAAACAACCAATGCGTATGACACGAAAGTAAGTCCAAGGCCGTATAAAGTGCCCTTCGGAATGGCTTTACTAGGGTGCTTCAGGTCTCCGGACATACTCGCACCACTGCACAACGGTTAGAACAAGAATGCAGGACAGGAGGTCAAACCTACGCAAATATGCCTCCAGTCGCTGGAAAAAGGATACCAAAGATACTTTGAAAGTTCTCGTGGTGTTTGGATTGACTTCCAGCGGCTCCCTTGGTAAACTGTGGCATCAAGTTCTCGCGCAATGTCTGCAAACTTAGCCCGGTGAATACGATCCCCTCTTCGGGATCTGTAAAGGCCTTGACGTATAGTGCAGAGAATGGAATGCTGAAAGTGGCAATCAAGAGTATAATGAGCAAGCCATTGCTGCAGCGGGCAAAAATACCACTTCCAGCCATGCAGATCGCGGTGCACAGCAACAACACGATCGTGGCCCAGATGTACTGCCACCAGAATCCCTCAAGCATCCAATGTGCCCAAGAACCGGTGATGGTCCCGAAGTTGTCGATGAAGCAGTCAATGAGACCTACTGAGTTCATCGCTGTATTGAAAACCATGCCCAAGTAGAACACGATTCCGATGGACCCACCGAACTCTGGACCTAAACTGCGCGAGATCAAATAATACGCACCACCACCTCTGACCGTTCCATTAGTCGCAATAGCAGAGATGGAAAGCGTTGTTAATAGATTGATTGCGTAACAAGCAACGAGCATACCTACCTACAATCAATACAATTCTCTACATGATCATCGGGGATAGTGCACACTCACCCAGCATGCCTACCACTCCCGTTTGGCCAAGAACAAATCCAAAACGTAGAAACATCAAGATACTTAGCACGTTCAGCGTCGTTGGTACAAAGACACCGGCAAATGTTCCTAGCTTTGACGTTCCACCGACAGGTCTAGGGAGTGCGCCAGGTCTCGGCTTCGTTGCATCGCTCACGGAGGGCCTTTTTTGTGACTTCGAGGAAGTTGATGGTCGGAATTTCCTTGAAAACCACTCTCGCATGGCATCGATGCCATGGTCGCGTTCCTCATCAGCTCCATCTGTGGGCACGTGTTGTTGATGAAGTTGTTGCGCTACACCTAGTAACGGGGTTTCCTCAGTCGGCGGGGATGATGGAATTATAGATGGACGCCTATCTAATTGCTCGGCATCATCTCTAGCAGTGCGAGCAGCGAAATTGGAATGAGTCCTCTGCGGCATCCGCCTACGAGTCTGTCCAGCATCTTTGGCGGGGTTGCTCATGATCCTCGCCTCCCGTAGGTCGATACCGCTAGTTAGTATTTTGCGGAAAGGATGACTTTTGCCAGGTGCTGATGCTTTGGAAGACGTCAATGAGTATTTCTAGCCATGGATGTTTAGAACTGAGATGTCCAGAATTGATGTCCAGAAAGGCCAGATTATCGACCTGGAGCAGGAATGAGGCGTATAGATAGGCGTAGACCAGGACCTTGAAACTCTTATCCGAGTGTTGTATCCAAGGATTTCTTACTTAAGCAGCTGCTAGTTAGAGAAGCTACTACGAGGTATCGTAAGGAAGTCGTTGGTGCTTCGCGCACGTCTCGCTTCTAGGTATGGCACTGCAGGATGGTCAATCGAGTAGCTCGAGATTCCTTGATTCATTCCGTGCCCATGTGAGCGCGTTAGCCGTTCTGGTCAGGTGCATTCAAGGAAGAAGAGTGAGTTGCTGTGAATGTGACGATAGAACAGAAGGACCCTTGTCGCTTGGCACGACGTCAACTGGCATTCAATCCTTGTCGGAAACGGCCATGCGTCCCCCACGCGCGCCCACTGACTACTACCATCTACCACTCACTGCTCATTGCTACCACTGGATCACCGAGGCTTCATTTTGCGTGACCTTAGCCAGAGCCCCAATCTCATCTCATCCATCCCCCCCAGAACCCTCTCCAGCGTCGCCGCAACCTCTTCAGTATCCTCAAGCACCTCGATCGGGTCACTGGTGAATGGGTTGGATTTTGAGCAAGGAAGTTAAGTCCTCCATCAACCGATTTCACTCCAAAACCAGCTAGGTAGTCTCGATTCCCGACGATCCAGCGCCAATCAAAAACCACGCATTCGGATACATTTGAAGCCTGCAAAGCAACCTTTTCCATAGCACTCAACCGTTCCACAAAGACCTCGGTCTGTGAGCCCATACGCGCTATATATACCTACATCATTTCTGCCACTTCTGCTACGTCGCGTATCTGTCCTAGGTCCACACAGCTCCCTCACCAGGCGGCTCAAGGAATAGAGTCACAAGGCTCAACAGGAAGGTATTTCAGGCCGTATCTTGTCATTCTCATACCATCAGCAATATGGCAGACGATGTCCCAGAAGCATCAAAACCCAAAGCGGTACCGTCTTCATCAAGAGACTCTGGTGCAAGTTCTCCAGTTCCAGGAAGTTATTCTAGGGCACAGTCGATACAGCGATTAGGTTCTCCCGTTCCCTCTCAACCTACAGGCTCGCCAGCACTACGCCAGATCCCCACCCCAGCTCAACTCGCATCGGAAGAGCCGTCGACGCTCCAAACGCCGTTACCAGGACGCGAAGATCCACAATCATCGTTGCCTGCTCCTACCGAGTCTGCCCTCTCCTCCGCACTTCGAAATTCGTTCGGGAGGAGCCCTCCACGCTTCGGCACTCCCCCAGTACGTCCACTGTCCCCAGACAATACCGAACCTGCTCCACGAGCTCCTATAAGCGACTACGGCTCCTTTGATGGACGTGGCCGCTCGCCAGCGCCGTACGAAGATCCCGAGATTATTCGACGTCACTTGGCCGGCCCACAGAAGCCTTCGATATCGAACCTCAATGGACAGTATGGTTCGCCGAGTAGATCGACTCGAGGTTTCGCTGGAGATGCAGAATCCCAAAGACACGATTCGGATGATGAGGAGGAGTTCTCTAGTCTACAATTACAAGGAGGTGATATCACAAGGCAGATTTATAGATGGTCGGAGCAGCAGGAAGCCGATGAACGCGCGAAGATGAAGCGCAGCCAGAGTTTCCATGCATCTCGACCGCGGCCTAATGAGCAAGTCCTGGACATCGATTCCATTAAGCAGCCTGGCGGCTTCAGGAGGAACTACCTCCGACGAACCGCTGCCAGTCCATCTCCCGCACCAGGGCCGTCCAACTACGGCACCGTCCCTCAAAGCCGACAGCAGCCCCAAGTGTTTACCAGCAATTTCCTTGAGTTCCTGACTTTGTACGGCCACTTTGCAGGAGAGTCTCTGGAAGAAGACGATGAAGTCTTGGAACCTGACGAGTACTTCGGTTCTGATACTTTCGGATCGGATGGGCACACCGACGACGACGAGCGGGAGTATGGGGAGACAAGCGGTCTGTTGACACCAGGCAAGAGGCGGAGAAAGCGAAAGGAGAAGCAAGCCGGCAAAGCAAGCCCGACCGGTGCAGCCATGCTGCTGCTGAAGTCTTTCGTCGGTACTGGAGTGCTATTCCTTCCCAGAGCCTTCTTGAATGGTGGAATGTTGTTTTCGAACATCGTACTGTTTGGGGTTGCCGCGCTCTCGTACTACTGCTTCGTGCTACTCGTTGCTACCCGTCTCGTGGTCGAGCACTCCTTTGGTGACATGGGTTTCCACCTATACGGAACATGGCTCCGAAATCTGATCAACTTCTCACTTGTCATCTCGCAGATTGGATTCGCATCGGCATACATAGTCTTCGTGTCGGAAAACATGCAGGCTTTCGTCCTTGCTGTTTCGGACTGTAGGACTTTTATCGACATCAAATGGATGATCTTGATGCAGATGATTGTTTTCCTGCCGCTTTCGCTCTATCGGAACATCAACCACATCCAAAAGCTCGCTCTCGCTGCAGACGTTTTCATCCTCCTCGGTTTAGTGTACTTGTATTATTTCGACATTTTCACCATCGTCAACCAGCACGGAATCTCGGACATTGTCAATTTCAACCCCAATGACTGGACGCTCTTCATCGGAACCGCCATCTTCACATTTGAGGGCATTGGGCTGATCATTCCGATCCAAACCGGGATGAAGAACCCCAAGAAGTTCCCTGGTGTGCTCGCCTGGGTCATGGTTATCATCACAGTCATCTTCATCAGTATGGGTGCATTGTCATACGCCGCATTCGGATCCAAGACCAAGACCGTTGTCATTTTGAACATGCCTCAGGACAACAAATTCGTCAATGGAGTACAGTTCATCTACTCGATTGCCATTCTATTGTCTACACCGCTCCAGATCTACCCTGCCATTGAAATCACCAGCCAGCAGTTGTTCAGCAGAACAGGGAAGTACAACCCGTACATCAAGTGGAAGAAGAACTTCTTCCGATTCTTCATGGTCATGATATGCGCCATGCTGGCTTGGCTGGGTGCTGGTGACTTGGACAAGTTTGTCAGTCTAGTAGGCAGCTTCGCCTGCATCCCATTGGTCTACATCTACCCTGTGAGTAAACCTAGCATTTCGCCCCGTTGTAGACCACTCCCACTAACTTCACTGCAGCCCATGCTCCACTACCGAGCCGTCGCAGGAACGAGCCGTGCCCGGATTCTCGATGTCTGCCTTTGCATCCTGGGCTTCGTCGGCATGGCGTACACCACGACCCTCACCGTATCGAGCTGGATCCACGGCGGAGCACCAAAGTCACCCGGATACTGTGACAATAGGTAAGAATGCATCGTCAGGCAACCTTTCACTACGACGATGAGTAGTAGTACATGATCAACAACGAACGAACGAACGACCAGCACCTCGCTTGATATTTTGTTCTTGATTCTTTTTGGTAAGCATTTCTCAGCGCAAGCATCGGGTTGTACGTATCGTATCATATTCTTTTCACAGTTCGCACGCACGCACGCCTGCTGCCGCTATGTTTAGTTTAATTTGGGTTTGTAAAGGGTCAATCGCGCAAGCAGGATGGGAGGACATGTAGGAGTGAAGCATCTAGTGTATAGTGAACTCCTTCATAAATTGTATAGAAGAAAGAGAGAAAGAAAGAAAGTACTCGAATCAAGACTTGCATTCGATCAATACGTCCCCTATTACAGTGCCTCCCGTCCGTGTTGTATGTATATCATAATTCATCAACCATCACATACCATTTACTCAAACACACAATTCACAGCCGTCCACCTCCCCTCATCTCCCGATCCATAGTCACCTCCGCCGTAACCCCATGCCATTACACCTCCACGCCCATCTCCGCCCCACGCTCCCCCCCGAAAACATGTAGAACGGAGACGGAAACAAACGGATCGTTCGAACCACGGTTTCCGCTCGACCTGCGCGGAGCCGAGCGTGTGTCATATGCTGCGGCTCGGTGCGGTGCGGTAGATACTCGACCGTGGGATTGGGTTTGTGTTTATGATACGCAGTACAGTACCGTGGTGTCGAAGACAGTGATAAGAGGAAAGGGAAGGTGAAGAGATGTCACGGGCCAATGAGTGCATACCTCCTATGAAGTGAGGCTGAAAATCCGAGCTGAGCTCCCCACCCACCTATTCGTCTGCCCGTCCAGCGTATTTAGTGGCTTCTTAAAGGATGCGGAGGCGGTTTAGTAAGACGGTGAGATAGGTAGGCCTGAAGACAGTTTTTGATTTTTATTCACCTTTTCCATACTCTCTGCCTGCCAAAGTATGAAGAGGGGGCGCTGATTCGTTGTCTTAGACACGCGCGAGAGGATTATGAGAGGGTTGCCTTAGGGTGGTGGTGGTTGCGGTGCGTGTGGGAGGATTGGATTGGATACACTTGATTGATTGATTGATTCGAGATGTTTGAGGAATTGTCTTGGTTGGTCGCTCAGCTACACTCTCGATGGCAATCCATCACATTTGGTGTTTGGTTTCTATGATAGGTACCTCCCCTCCTACACCTACCCACACCACGTAAGAACAGCATACGGTAAGTACCTAGGGTAAGCTCGTAGGATCCGCGATCACCCCAGCGTTGCGTACATAACGCACATAAAAACCGGGGCGTTTGTTACAAGAAACGAGATTGTAAGATTATCTTTTCAAATTTTTCTGGGGTAAACGACAACGATTTGACATGCGGTAGGGTAGCAAAACGTCATAACGGTCGCTTGCTTGGTTGACGGCACAAGTAGAATTACAGGGTAGAAAGCATGGCATGGCATGTTACGATTTCGATTTTCTTTTATTAAGATCGCCATGGTGGTTATGCTGTGAGGTCAGTGGTTAGTGGAAATCACAAAGGAATGGGTTTCACGAGACGAGTAGGCTACGGGATGCTGTGAAGAAAAAGTGTGTTGATTCGATTCGGTTACAGATCGTTGATTCTGTTCGCGGATCCTCATCCGAGGGATTGTGGTTGTGGTTCCAAGACACGCGCGCCGTTGCACGGTACGATGCTCCGCTCCGTACGGAGTATGTGCATACGCCCAATACAAGGTAATCAGAGGAAAAGGAATCAACGATGCCACGCACGCGCGAGAATCCCCCGTCCTTCAATACAATTGAAAATGCAGGTTTGGAGGGATTGATTGGCGGGCGGGCATTCAGGCCTGATGGGGTATCGGGTGCCCGGGGTGATGATCTTCGTCGCTGACGTTGTTGTGCCTGCTTTGGCGTTTGATCATGTCGTGTGTGGTTACTGGTACCTATTGAAGGATATGATATTATATCGATGTTATTATTGGGAGCAGCAAGCACCCGAGGGACATTGACGTTATTCGGATAGGGATGCGGACATGGGCATGGGCGTGGCAGACAGCTACAGGGCATTGGACGATGGGTGATACAAGGTTGTGCGCCCTGTCGTTGACCAGATAGCGAACTACCGTAAGAAGGTACGGCGGAGGAAAGATGACAATATTGTCCGGAGGAATATCTCAGATACAGAATAGCATTCTATTGTGATACTAGCCACAGTTGTTCACGAGGGATTGCGGCGGCGTTGGCCACCGCCAATACGAGAGATGTCCTCCGCCTCACCGTTCGCTTAACGACGATACGATACCGTAGGTAAGGTATCTATCTATTCATGCATCTGGTCGACGGCGTTCGGCGTGGACGATACTCGTATGGGGTTGACAAGGCTCGAGAGAGGCCGCATGAATTATTGGCAGGTCGCAAAAAAGAAACGAAAAAAAATAGGGGAAATAGAAGGCTAGAGACATGCAAGAATAGATGGACGATGAGCTAGAATCATGTTTGTTAGTGCTGTTGTTAATAATGGTTGGTCTATGGATTCCATAGTTACTGTGTTCTGCTAGTGGCCGCTGCTATTTGTAGCATCTCTGGATGGAGACACTACTTGCTGCGCCTCCAGCAAAAACCCTCCGTAGATCAGGGCACCCGCACTTGTGTGCTTCTGTGCTTTGCTTGCTCGGACCCTGGTTGCCTATGATGGTATTGATGGCCTAGGGTTGCAAGGTTGCTATGTATGGAGTCTGTACCGCGATGTCCTGGTGAAGTACGGAGTAGATACGAGTAGTATGACGAAATAGGAGACTGAGAGGAGGGGAGAGGAGGGGAGGGGTTATGTCCATGGAATGTACGCGATGTGGCCGTGGTATACTGGCATCTTCTAGTATCGTAGAGTAACGAGAGTATTGCACTTAGTAAAACATTACAATATTCTTTGGTATGAACATGCGAATGAATTTGACATCAATTGTAGAATTTCGAAGAGTGTAGTAAGTGTATGGAGCACTTTGTTGACGATAGCAGAAGAGGCGGCGAAAATATTGGAAGGACAGGCCGAAGTGTTTTGGATAGCGCCACCACCCGGGAACTGGAGTCGATCTGGCACCTGTTACCCACCACAACAAATACACTACGACTGATTGTTCTACGCTAGTTGGGTATACGAGTAAAGACGATACGGTGAAGTGAGCAGAATAACTTGATTGTTTGAGAGGGACTGGCAGACTGGCTGACCGACTGTATCTGGTTCTTTATGCTGTTGTAGCAGGTATCATTGTGTGTGTTAACATGCAGGTAATGGCGGTGGACTAACAAATGATGGAAAGATAACTACTACGATAGATAATCTACGAAGAGTAACAAAGACCGGGAAGGAGGATTGGCCGGATTGGACTTGCCTGACTTGTCTGTGGTTTTTTTCTTGCGGGTGAGGCTGGAGCTGGAGAGCTGGAGTTGCTGCAACCACACCAGAAGTAGTGACCATGACCAAGACCAAGAGTAGGTGGTGGCCATAACCATACACCCACCATAATAGACACCCACCATAGACAACAGGGCACACAGACACACACACACAAGTCACAACGCCTGCAAGGCTAAGCAAGCTGAAGTCTCATTATTGTGGAGAGTCTGCTTGTTTAGGTACCTTCCCTACATTCATAGTACAGTACACAGTACACACAATCTATAAAGCCAAACATGACCGCCTTTTCAACATCCCTTCACTCCGTACTTTGATTCATTCATCCATCACCCATCCTCTCGCTCCACCACCACTGCCACTTCCACTTCTACTTATACTCCTTCCTTCCTCTCTCTCTCTCTCATATATCAACACCACCCCTCTCAACATCGTACTCCTCCTGCGTTCACGACTCTTCACTCCCATTATACATATACCCAATTGCTCTTGTCCAGCACACGATCGTTATTCCAGTTACCGCCTCTCCGTCATCCCATTCTTCCGTTCTCCTCACTACACATAGTTATTCGCCATGTGGTAAGTCCCAGCTCTCGAATCCCAGAAACACATACCCAACCTCCAGCTCTACAGCCAGCTCCACCGCCAGACTTCTGAGCTGCGACTTCTGAGTTCTGTGCTGTGAGCTGGAGAGCTTCCCCCGCTCCCCTCCGCGCTACTGCACCAGCTGCAGGTCCCATAAAACAACAATCAGAAGCTGACGACGCCCCCGAAATAGCGGTATCTTTGGTTACATTAACTACCTGGTCGAGAAGGACAGGAAATACATTCTCAACACTCTCATCAATGGTAAGTGGCATCTATTTTCTCTCCTTTTTTTCTTCATCTTTGTTTCTCAATTTAGCCCCCTTGTGCCCAGCGAGAGTGCAACGCCGCTTGAGTGGGGCAACCACCACTCCAGCGCAGCGCTGGCTCACGCTTAGGCTTACTAGAAGCTCAGCAAAAGCTAACAGCTGTTCTTTGCGTATGCAGGTCTCCAACGTCTAGAGTACCGCGGATACGACTCGGCAGGTCTCGCCATCGATGGTGACAGGAAGAATGAGGTCTTCGCCGTGAAGGAGGTCGGCAAGGTCGCCGCCCTCAAGAAGCTCGTCGAGGAGAATAAGTTCGACGAGTCCAAGATCTTCGATTCCCACGCAGGCATTGCCCACACTCGATGGGCCACTCACGGCCCCCCATCTCGCGTCAACTGCCATCCTCACAGGTGAGTTGTTACTCCGTCGATCCCCTTATACACCCTATACGAAGATCGCCGGCAATTTTGAAACAGTCTTCCTCCACCATAATTTGGCGGTCGGACCACCTGTGTCACTCCCCCTCCCCAAATCTACCCCCCTCACCCCTCCCCAATTTCCCTCGTCATACCACACGATGCATCCATGGAATTCGTTGGGACTAACTCGTATTCCCCAATAGGTCCGACCCCGACTGGGAGTTCGCCGTCGTCCACAATGGTATCATCACAAACTACAAGGAGCTTAAGACGCTCCTCGAGAGCAAGGGCTTCAAGTTCGAGACCGAGACCGATACTGAGGCCATTGCCAAGCTTGCCAAATACATCTACGACCAGCACCCGGATATCGAGTTCCCCACGCTCGCAAAGACCGTCATTAAGGAGCTTGAGGGTGCATTCGGTCTTCTCTTGAAGTCCGTCCACTACCCCCATGAGGTCATTGCTGCCCGTAAGGGTTCTCCCCTCGTCATTGGTGTCCGGACACAGAAGAAGATGAAGGTCGACTTCGTCGATGTCGAGTACAACGACGAGACCGCCCTCCCCGCCGAGCAGGCTTCCCAGAACGTTGCGTTGAAGAAGTCTAACAACCTCCTCGCACCCCCTGACAAGTCTCTCCTCCACCGCTCGCAGTCTCGCGCTTTCCTCTCCGATGATGGCGTCCCCATGCCCACCGAGTTCTTCCTCTCTTCCGACCCCTCCTCCATCGTCGAGCACACCAAGAAGGTCCTCTACCTCGAGGACGACGACATTGCCCACATCCACGAGGGCTCCCTCAACATTCACCGTCTCCGCAAGGACGACGGTACCTCCAACGTCCGTGCCATCCAGACTCTCGAGATCCAGCTCCAGGAGATCATGAAGGGCAAGTTCGACCACTTCATGCAGAAGGAGATCTTCGAGCAGCCCGAGTCCGTCGTCAACGCCATGCGTGGTCGTTTGGACGCAGTCAACAAGACCGTCACCCTCGGTGGTCTTCGACAGTACATGCCCACTATCAGGCGCTGCCGAAGAATCATCTTCATCGCCTGCGGTACCTCTTACCACTCTTGTATGGCAGTTCGTGGTATCTTTGAGGAGTTGACGGAGATCCCCATCTCTGTTGAGTTGGCTTCCGATTTCTTGGATCGTCAAGCACCAGTGTTCCGTGACGACACCTGCGTCTTCGTCTCCCAGTCCGGTGAGACTGCCGACTCTCTCCAGGCTCTCCGTTACTGCTTGGAGCGCGGTGCCCTCACCGTCGGTATCGTCAACGTTGTCGGTTCCTCCATCTCTCTCCTCACCCACTGCGGTGTCCACATCAACGCCGGTCCCGAAATTGGTGTCGCCTCTACTAAGGCTTACACCTCCCAGTTCGTCTGCATGGTTATGTTTGCCCTCTCCCTTAGTGAGGACAGGGCATCCAAGCAGCAGAGGCGTGTGGAGATCATGGAGGGTCTCACCAAGATCCCCGAGCAGTTCAAGGAGGTCCTCAAGCTCGACCAGCCCATCAAGACCCTCTGCGAGAGGTTCAAGGACCAGAAGAGTTTGCTCCTCCTCGGTCGTGGCTCCCAGCACGCCACTGCCCTCGAGGGTGCACTCAAGATCAAGGAAATTTCCTACCTTCACTGCGAGGCTGTCATGTCCGGTGAATTGAAGCACGGTGTCCTCGCCCTCGTCGACGAGAACCTGCCCATTGTCATGATCCTCACCCGTGACGACATCTTCGCCAAGTCCTTGAACGCCTACCAGCAGGTCATTGCTCGTTCTGGACGCCCCATCATCATCTGCAATGAGAACGACCCCGAGTTCCCTGCTGACAAGACCGACAAGATCGAGGTCGCTCGCAACGTCGACTGCTTGCAGGGTCTCATCAACGTCATCCCTCTGCAGCTCATGGCCTACTGGATGGCCGTTGGCGAGGGTCTCAACGTTGATATGCCCCGTAACCTTGCCAAGTCCGTCACTGTGGAGTAAATTGGCACTTGCAAATTTGAATTGGCGTCTATAGAGGTAGCCTGGTTGGCTATGTACGAATTGTTTGGTGTTACGAAAGCTTTTGGGGTCAGGTATAGGTCTGTTGGAGAACCATGAATATCTGGTCGGGATACAATACGAAGGTCACGTTAAATGAAAGACCTGCCTATGTTATTAGGTCTTTTTTTAAGGCGAAATAGCCGAAAGGGAATAAAAAAAATGTTCATAACTACTACTTCATTACCTCGCATCTTGTGATTTGTTTGGTGTAATTACTTGACCTTATGTTTTTAACTGCGTTGTTGGGTTGTTCCCCTGGCGTTCGTCTAAGCGATGATGTGACCATGCATATTGCGGGGCTTCCCTCAGGAACGGAACGCATCCCACCAAATAGTTACAGACTTCATTCCACATACGAAGCCTCTTCCACAAACGCAGTTAAACAGAACCAACTCAATCCAACTCATCCAAAGCTCCTACTCTCGAATACCGCTTGCCATCATGACGACCCTCAAAGGACCTGGCGCACCCAAGACATACGATGGTGGGGAACATCTCACTCTGTTGATCTCACCAAGCACCTCTCTAACACGAATTGTATAGGCTCGGGGCTTCGTATTGGCATTATTCACGCACGGTGGAATACCACGATCATCGATGCTCTTCTGGACGGCGCGAAGAAGTCTCTCGCTGCTGCTGGCGTGAAGGACGAGAACATTGTGATCCAGAGCGTGCCGGGAAGCTACGAGCTCCCGTACGCCGTGAAGCAGTACGAACACCACATTCCCCAATACCGTCCCGATTCCTCCTCTAATCACTACACCATCTAGACTGTATTCCGCCTCGCAGGTGCAATCCTCCACGACCGGCATCGCAGGCGCAGCCGCCGACCTCCTGGGGTCCGTATCCGACCTCACGCAAACCACCTCCACATCGAGCTCGAACGACACATCGCTCAAGACGCCGTTCGACGCCATCATCGCCATCGGCGTGCTCATCAAGGGCGAGACCATGCACTTCGAATACATCGCCGACGCCGTGAGCCACGGCCTCATGCGCCTGCAGCTCGAGGGCAACGTGCCTATCATCTTCGGCCTACTGACCCTGCTGAGCGACGAGCAGGGCCTCCAGAGGGCGGGCATCGGCGGAGCGGGGAAGAACGAGGGTCACAATCACGGCGAGGATTGGGGTAGTGCGGCGGTGGAGTTGGGTGTCAAGAGGAAGGGTTGGGTGGAGGGCAAGATCGTGGCATAGGGTAGTTAGCTATTCCTACGAGCTCTCGTCGGCAGAACGAAAGGAAATGGAGGGATAGACGGAGATGACTATCACACTTGAGAGAATGCATTGCCCTAGAGACAGCGGAGCGTATGTCAAGTAGGCTCAATGCAAAGGCATATCAAGGCCATGGTTGTGTGCGCGAGGGTTCTGAGGATGTGGACTCGTACAAGCCTGCATGTGATTACCCCAACAATGCCAAGGTGCATGTCTTGCCTGATCGTCTCGAAATGTGTATGAGGACATTGTTGGGTTGAAGAATTTCTAGCAACCCCAATGTCCTGCCGTCGATTGTCCACCTAGTCCGAAAAGACTAGACGTTGACTGTGATGTGGTATAGCCTAACAACATCTCCTCCCTTTCCCCTCACAGCGAACCGACCCATTGTGTGCCTCTACACGGCGTTCACGTGAGTTGTATCGATATATATGCGCATCACGATCGCAGGTTCTACATGATCCTAAGTATGTATGTAGATACCAGAAATCCATTCATCAATGCGAAACAGTATCCCCGACCTTCCGAATTCATATGCGCTGACGCTTGTGAGACCTCGAGGCGGTGACGTGCGGCTGGAACGTGCAGGAGCAGCTCTTGGGGGCGACAGCAGCGCAGGACCGTTGGTGAATGCATGTAAACGAATCGTGAGGTGCTGATTTTACGAGGCGCACACTGCGAGATAGGGGGGCTCTTCGTGTGGACGACTGCGACGACGGTACGGCATTGAATGAGTGGTTGGGTGGTTGTTCCAGGAGTGCAGGTGTGGTAAGAGTGACTGGCCCCTAATGCCTTGAAATCGGAGGGCCTTGGCGCTCTTTGAACTTCATTCCTCGCCCATCCAAACCACCTCCCCCATCACCAGGACTCCAGTCCGCTCATCTCTACTTGCAGCCAGCGGAGATCGTTTCGCTGTATCCTCTTCCTTCAGCTGCCGGGTTATTGCTGGTTTCCGCAGCGGCCGTTCACCCCCTCCCAGCCGACCAGCGCGCGGCTTCTGAACGTTTCGCGTTCCTGCTGCTTTTCCTGACAACCGCGTCCCTTAACATCGAACACCAGCCTCTCTCTCCACATCACAACTCCTTGCCGTTCAATCCCGAAAAAGCCTACTCGAGCGAGATGAGGAGTTGCAGAGCGCGGCATTGCTAGGAACGGACGCGGCGCGCATCCCCATCACAAGATACCCTCCTCCAGCCCTGATATCACGTCCTTCATCACAGCACGCGATACGGAAAAGAATTCACTTCACGACGGGCAGGTTCGCATCGCGCGGACTCGTCCGTCCTTTTTACGCCCGCAGTCGACGACCTGGTCCGTGGGGCTGTTGAGGACTTCACTCTCACTCTCACTCGACCACCTTCACACTTCACGTGCGCCATATGACAACGTCGAGAACGATCGGCTCCGAGATCCCTTCAACCATCTCTCTACACGGACACCTTCACTGCCAGTATAGCGCCCTCTCCGTTCTTGGCAGAAGAACACAACATGTCGTATTCTGGCCATTCTATATCATTACACGCCCTCACACCTTTAACCAGCACAGACTCTTCGCCGCCAGGCAAGTTTCCCAGCCCGCGCTCCGCAAAAATCTCGAATGAGACGCTGCACACGACCGGCGCTTCCTCGCACATCGCGCCCATGGGGCATATGAATAACTCTACCGGCACCATGACACCCGTGCATACACCCCCAGAGACGAAAATCTCCACACGGCCCGAGGATGGCAACATGGGCATGCGCATATCTTACGATCCTCTACTCGATCAAAAACTAGATTCTAAAAGGAGAGCGAGCAGCAAAGTGAAAGCTACATACAAGGAAATAATCGAGAAGGTACGTTGTGAGCAATAACTGTATACCCATGAGATGTGGTCGCCCTGTGACGCTAAGGCTAACTTGACTTGTGTTACAGGGCGACCCATCTCCCCCGCCGGATCCTCGCCTCGCAATTGCTGGCTATACCTCTGGCAAGTACGTCGTTAAGACTCAAGGTACAGGTCCCTTGAAATGCAAACTACGCATCGCGCCCTATGTCGCCAAACCGTATCCTTTCGACAAGCGCCTATCATGCGCTCCTGATGCTCCAACTCAGGTGGTGGTGATGGGTTTCGATCCACTGGTGCCTGAATCTCAGGTGCGAGCCTTCTTCACCGGTTTCGGAAATGTCGAGTCCGCGAAAAACCAAGTCCACCCCGACAATGGCAGTCCATTGGGAATATGTCTGATTAGGTATCGCGATTCCTTGGGGTCTGGTTCTCGAAGAATTGGAGCAGTTCCGGCCTCTGAATCCGCCAAGAGAGCGGTGAAAGAAGGCTCCGGCCAGCGGATAGGTCTGAAGCAGATAACAGTCAGATTTGATCGTGAGGGTCGAAGATGCAATTCCCTTGTTACAAAAGCTGTGGAACAAAGCCGCAAGGAGGAATCCAGACTGAGGGATAAAATGGCCCAGAAGGCGGCTCCTTCGCCTATAGTGACAACAGATCTTCCAGCGAATGTGCCAAAAGGACCTTCAGGGAAAGGAATCGCCATGCGACCCCCAGCAGCTGGTTCGAACACACCCACACAATTCCCGCAGCCATTTGTCTCGCGAAAGGCGCAATGCTCTCATCTCATCGAACAGCAACATATCAAGCCTCGGCTGAAGCGGAAACCGTACATATTCATTGCGCATGCGTATGTGCCTGTATTAGGGACTACGATCGAGCACTTGAAGAAGCGATTAAAGAGCTATGAATGGACAGACGTTCGCTGCGACGAGACAGGATACTTTATTACTTTCCACGAGTCAAGGCGTGGCGAGGAGGAGACGGTCAGATGCTTCAAAGAATGCAATATGGCTGCTCTTTTCACATATGTCATGAATATGGAGTGCAACCCTTATGGCGATCCTGATTACGAGCGAAGCCCTAGTCCGGAACGAGTTGCAGCTCAGCAGAAACGCCAGGCGGAGGAAGACAGGATTATCCAGGAGGAGGCAGACGACTTCGAATTCGAGAAGAAGCAGAGAGCCGATAACCTTTGTCCTGTTCAAGGAGCCATGGAAATGGTCAAAGCGGATGTGTTGGAGCGGATATTGGGCGATATCAAGTCTCGAATTGCAGGCACCGCTCTGGTTGATGCAATGGCGCCGGAGAAGCACGCAGCGAAGCGACGGAGACTGAATATCCCTGACCCACAAAGCAAAGATGAAGTGCGTCCTCCAACGCTTTTCCCGGGTCTGGCAGAGTCGCCAGCATATGGAACACCCCATTCCCGGGGCGCTGGTTTCTCGGGCAGGCATGGTCGGAAAGCACTTGGGCCATTTGATCACAATCGTATGCGTGGGAAGAAGTTTGCCAAACCGACAAACGTGTACGGCGATGAGCGACGCAAGAAGATTGCTCCAAAACGAACAAACGTGCGCGGCTTGCATCACCAGCTATTTATGAAGGATGACGAAGAGGATTCCGATGACGAGGGTAGAAGCTCATTCACTCGCGACACCGAAGAGCAAGAAAGCCGCCCTATCAGCCGTGCTCCGTCTACTGACCTCGACGACGAGGAGTCTGCTCGTGCTAATCGCCTCAAACGACGACGAATCGAAGCTGGTTGGGGAGAAGATAGTGACGATGAGATGATGGACGATACTCATGCTCGTAGTCTGCTAGCGCATCTGATTCACAAGGATCCCGAACACATGGCGGAGAAGGAATTGGAACAAGTTCTGGCGATCCTGCCTCGTTCTTCGCCGATCTGGAAGAAGGCAGACAAAGCACTCAAGGGTTTCAGGCGACTCCGATTGATCGAGCAAGAGGCGGACGAGATATTTGGCGTGGAACCTGGTGTTGAAACGAGCGTTGAAGCCAAGCAACAACCTGAAGTCGTCATCAAGCTGCTCGACGAAGATTCTGCGGTACCGATCCAAAGCCTGGAAACAGAAGAGTTGGCCAAACCAACGAAGAAGAAGGCTGCACCAACGAAACCGAAGAAGAAGACGAAGAAGCAACTCCAGGAAGAAGCCAAGGCCGCAGCAGTCCAGGTCACAGAAATCACGCGTCCAGAGGAAGAGCTTCCGGAGGTGGAGGAACCCAAAGCCGAACCCGAGGTTGCCGTCTCTGAGAGTGAAGCAACACCGGAGGATGAGCGTGCATCGGTTCAATATGGTGTTTCGACAGGTCGTCCTCGACCGACCGTGGAAGATGATCTCAGCGTTGTGATGGACATTGATGGTTGGCAACATCTAGTCAAAGACGACGAAGATCTTATCCATCTCAAGAACGCTCTGCAATCAGTCACCCCTGCTAAAGTTGGAGATGTCCAGTCCTGGGCATGGAAGCAAAAGCAGATCAAGCACCTCAATCGACCCGGCGAAGAGGGCGTCTCACGCACCGAAACAAAGATTGAAGGATACTACGTTCCTAACTCCACGGGCTCAGCAAGAACCGAAGGAGTCAAGAAGATCCGCGAATCTGAGAAGTCTAAATATCTTCCTCATCGCATCCGCGTTCAGAAGGAGCGTGAGGAGCGAGAGCGTCGTGCTAAGAACGAGCAGCACCCTAACACAGTGGTGGAAGGCTTCAAGTTCAGCGCAGGCGTGAAGACGACTCAGACTTCCAACTCCCGTGCCAATCGTGCAAACAACAGACGTCTGGTGAACGACATCAACATCTCGAAGAGCATGACCGGTGCTGAAGGCGATGCCATGCGCTTCAATCAACTGAAGAAGCGAAAGAAGTTCGTCAAGTTTGATCGTTCGGCTATTCACAACTGGGGTCTGTACGCTCAGGAGAACATCACTGCCAACGACATGATCATCGAGTATGTTGGTGAGAAGGTTCGTCAACGTGTCGCAGATCTGCGAGAAGCCAAGTATGACATGCAGGGAGTCGGTTCGAGCTATCTTTTCCGTATCGATGAAGATACGGTCATCGACGCGACCAAGATGGGTGGTATTGCTCGATTCATCAACCATAGCTGTACGCCGAACTGCACGGCAAAGATTATCAGGGTGGATGGCACCAAGCGAATTGTCATCTATGCCTTGCGGGACATTGGTCAAGGTGAGCTTTTTAGACGACTATTTGATTTCACAGTAACTAACAAGATCGTAGACGAAGAACTCACGTATGACTACAAATTCGAGCGTGAAATGGATGCCACGGACCGTATCCCATGTCTGTGCGGCTCTGTTGGATGTAAGGGCTTCCTCAACTAAGCCGTTCCACTCCATCTGTCCGACCATCCGTTTTCAACACTCATCGTTTCGACCCCTTCGGACACTACGGCGCATATTCAACACTTTACTGGCGGGGAAAAAGTACCCAAAAAGCTTGGTCTAAGCATACCCCTGGCGTTCTATCTGGTTTTCCCACTGGTTCATTCTCGCACACACTCTCAGGGTGCCCTTCCTCAACGGCTGGGTTCCTGCCTACTCACATCATCATCCATCAATACACTCGGCTAGAAAGAGAGAAAGGACGTCGGCTAGGGGTTGCCGATTCTGGAGAGAAGGGGCGGGGGAGGCTCTCTCGGCCATCCATCTTATCATCATAATTATCATCCCCCGCCCCCTTTCATGTCTTCTCCACAATTCTTTTTCTTCTGACTCTCGAAACCATGCATTGGGCCCGGTGTTCTGTGCTTTCGAACCCCCCTTTTTTTGCTTCTTGCAATACCTGTATCATCTATGTAGTTCTTACAAAAAACTCTGTGCTTCTCCCTTTTGTTTTCCGCCTTTTCTCTCTCCCATTTGATGACGGCTTTCCTTTTGTTTCCTGTTCTGTTCTGTTCAGATCCCGTTCGTGAAGGTTGAACTGGGGAAGGGAAAACAACAGAGGGACGGACGGACGGACAATCTCGTGTCTCTCTCGCCCTCGGGCTGTATTGGGATTTAAGAAGTGCTTGCTTGCTTGCTTAATTGCCTAGGGGTTCCTTACACTCCCTTTTTTGTGGTTAGCTTCTTGTGCATTTGGAAAACTCTTTTCCATTTTGCATCCCTCTCTCTTTCTCTTTCGGGTCGTCATCATCTTCTTCTCTTTGTAATCAGTCGATCGGGGGAGATGGGGACTTTGCTACCCGTCCTTTTTGCTACACCGGCGGGTTGGGTGGGAGGATAGAAAGGACGAGTGTTTGGCTACTTGACCGCCAGGCGTGTAGGAGGGAGGGGAAGAGGAAGGCTTGGAATGAGACAGGGAACAGAGATACAGACAGAGTAATAGAGAGTACTGAATGACCAAAACACTTTTTGCTTTTGTCGAGATCCTGGTAACTGGAACGTTGAGTGTATGTGAATATTGTCGTGTGATACTAAAGAGGAATATTCAATATGTTCCACCAAGGTTAGCACAGTACAACAACATGCCAATAATCCAATACCATGGACACTCCTTTTCCTTCTTCGTACGTAAATCTCCCAAGCAGCAATCCTTTCACGTCTTCTGACGAACAATGAATTATATCGAAACCAATTACGTGTGTGGAATTTTCCTTACTATTGTTCGTTGACATCCAGCTCCATGGTTCGCCAAGCCCCATGATATCCATCATCCTACATACCTACATATAAATTCCCCCCACCACCACCCACCAACATCATCTCACCTCGACATCCTCCTCATAGCCCCAAAAGGTCGCATTCGCCCGCCCACTCGGCCCAATAGCGCTCAACACCCTCACCTCCGTCTTCGTCATCATGGCACGCAAATACTACCACGACGACCCCAAATGGTCAGACGTCGCGCCCCTCCCCCAGGAAGACTACGGCCACCACCCGCTCGCCGCGATCGCCTACACAGAAGAGTACAGCGAAGCGATGGGGTACCTGCGCGCGTGCATGGCGGCCAACGAGCACAGCGAGCGCGTGCTCGAGCTCACGGAGCACATCATCGGGTTGAATCCTGCGCATTATACTGTTTGGTAAGCCCTTTCCCCCCTCCACCGGCTAGGGAGAATTGTTTGAGAAGGGAAGGGGTGTTGATGGATTGAGACAGGCTATACCGCGCGCAAACGCTCTCCGCACTGAACAGCGATCTCCGCGCCGAAATAGCCTGGCTGAACCCCACGGCGCTGCAGCACCTGAAGAACTACCAGATTTGGCACCACCGGCAGACTATCATCGACAAGCTCGGTTCGCCTGACGGGGAGCCTGCATTTATCACCGCGATGCTGGACCAGGACTCGAAGAACTATCATGTCTGGAGCTATCGGCAGTGGCTCGTGAAGCGGTTCGACATGTTCGACGGCAGGGAATTGAAGTGGACGGAGGGGATGATCGATGACGATGTGAGGAACAATTCGGCGTGGAATCATAGGTGGTTTCTCGTCTTTGGGGGCACGGTGGGCGAGGGCGAGAAGGTGGAGAGGGATGTTGTGGTTAGGGAGTTAGAGTACGTCTTTTTCTTTCTTTCCCACCACCTTCCTTGTTGCTCAGAATTCAACTTCGCTAACGCCCAAAACTTAGATACGCACAAGACGCGATCCGCAAAGCACCCCAGAACCAATCCCCCTGGAACTACCTCCGGGGCGTCATACGCCGCAGCGGGCTCCCGCTCTCCGCGCTCCAGCACTTCGCGCTCGAGTTCGCAGACCCGGAGAACAGGCCCGACGACGACGTTTTCTCGAGCCACGCGCTCGACCTGCTCGCCGACATCTACGCCGCTGCGGGGAAGACGGAGCTGGCGGTCAAGGCGCTCGATCTCCTGGCGACGAGGTACGATCCGATAAGGAAGACGTACTGGGAGTATAGGAAGGGGTTGTTGGAGGCGGAGGGGAGGAAGGAGGAGACGGGTGCTGCGAGTGCTGCTGCGGTGGAGACGGCGGCGGCGTAGATGAAGAAAAGAAAAGCTACTACGATTTAACTTGATGTCTCGATACTACGAAGAAGAAAAAGGCGGAGACGACCCACCATTCTCTAATGTTTTTGATACCCGGCGGTCGTACCTACAGTATGTATGTTTTGAATATATAAACATACAAATGTTACCAACGATCCCACTGATTCCACAATGCATAGCTTATATCCGTATGTACACATCACACGACAATGCTGGGAAAACTACGGTAAACCAAGATATGAATTGCACATATGAATGTTGATACTGACTCCAATCCAGAAAAGCTATTGGTACTTCACGACTCAAGACCGGGACTGATACGATTCAATCAATCAAAAAGGAGGCAGTGTATAACCATCCCTCACTTCCATCCATTACTACTGACGACAAAGTTCGTCGATGTCCTCGCAAAAAAAGAGAAAGTAAAACCTGCTAAACGCCCAAAGTCATAACATGCAGACCAGAAAATGGGGATACCCATCCCATCCCACCCTATTCTTTCCCATCTTTTTAAAACTCATTACGCTCGTTCCTCAGTTCGGCGCTGTGATATCACTAGGCAAACACCTCGGACTCCCAACCGCACTATCATGCCTCTCCTGCACCGCATCCTTCCCGCCAACATTATCCAACCAAGCATACTCCTCCCTCCACTGCCCCAGCATATCAATCGTAACATTGCTCCCCCCACACAGCACCACCACAACCTTATCCTCCTTCCTCACGGGCCGTCCCAACGCCTGCTCCAACCTCCCATCATACAACAACGCAACATTGACCCCGCACGCCAACTCCACCATAATCCGCTCGTCGTCCGCGAGCCGCCAACACCCCATCGCGGCCTCCGCGTCCGGAAGCACAAGCGTCCTTACGTTCGCCCGCTGCGCGTAGTCGAACGTACTCTGCGTGACGCGCGCACACCCCAGGCTCGTCGCCAGCGACGTGATCTTCGGCATCGTGACGACCTGCCCCGCGTTCATGCTGGTCTTGAGCGAGTGCGCGCCCTCCGTCTCGACGGCGACGACGGTGGTGGAGTGCATGGCGAGGCTGTCCATGGCTTGGTGGATGCCGTTGAAGAGGCCGCCGCCGCCGACGCTGCAGATTATGGCGTCGGGTGCGGTGCCGGAGGGCATTTGTGCGGCGATTTCGTGCATGATGGTCGAGTTGCCGGTCCAGATGTCGGGGTGGTCGAAGGGGGGCGCGTAGATGGTTGGTTTGGTTGTCTATAGGGAGGGGGGTGTTAGTATTAAGAGTTAAGTGGGTGAGGGGAGGGGAGGTGGATGCTAGAACGAACCTTGGTCATGATCTCAGTTCGCATGTACTCGTCTGCGTCTGCCCATGCGTTGCCGTGCTGGATTACTTCGAAAGCGCCGGCTGCTTTGATCTTCGTCACCATCAATGGCTTGATGGTCTGCGGCACGACGACGGTGCAGGGGAGCCCGAGAGCGCGAGCTGCGTGCACGGCGGCGAGTCCCGCATTGCCGCCGCTGGAGCAGAAAATGTGTGGTTGGGAGCCCACGGGGAGTTCCTCGAGACGGCGGAGGAGGTAGTAGCCGATGCCTCTGGGGATGGACGTTAGGGGGACTGTTGCTTATGGGTGGGGAGATGGGGACGTACCGTGATTTAAATGATCCGGATGGTTGGACTGTCTCGAGCTTGAGGAAGACTCTGCTTCTGCGATTTAGAAATCCGGTATCTTAAAGGGGGCGAGTATGGGGACGATAAGGGACATGGCAGTGATATCAAGGGAAGTGATATTGAGAATGTAGAGTAAGACCGTACCATCCCGCAGCTTGTGATAAAACATAGGATTCTCGAAGTGGTGTTTCCACCCATGGCTGAGATGCCTTCTCCTGGGCCCTGATGATAGACTCTGACACAGTCATGTTGAAAGGAGATTTAAAAAAAAAGGTGAACTTCGAGACTTGATCGTATATTTTTATGAGACCTGCAAAAAGATATAATATTGAAAAACTTGAAATGCTGGTTATCAAAATTCCTGCACACCGGCGAAGGAAGATAAAATATATCAAGTCGTATCTGTTGGTATGTGCTCCACATCAAACAGTCGCAGAGGGGTAGGTAGTTTTGATTACCCTATAAATCCGAATTATTACCCTATAACTTCTCCTACCCGGGTCATGCTCGCCCATGATGCTACAAGGATGCGTTGGTGTTGAGAAAGTCTGGGTTGGGCTTGGACATGGCGGCTATCGACGGATTACCGCTCTCCTTCTCGATTAGCGCTCCCACCCACCAACTACAACGGTTGCTCCATCGGGGAAGGACAGACCAAAATATGGGGAAGCCCCCCAGAATCTCTCGCAGGGGACAGATAGGAACAATCCGGAGCTGGGAGCCGTAGCTGGAGTTCGAGATCTTCGCGGCGGGTGTTGGTCGGTGACGAAAATAAACCTGCGGCTCGCAGGAGAGCCATTCACGTGGCAGGGTTGTGTGCATATGGTTATCAAAGCTGGCCCTACGCCATGCCTTGCGTGAATAAGTTCGGTGATTAGCACCACCAAGATATCTGGATAGAGACGGTACGGACAGGGTTGTCCGACGCTTCTGGTCGTCATCGTGATAGGAGAAGGGCAATGAAGTCATGGTTTCCCGTCGGAGATTTCCCCTTTCACTATGCCATCTCGGATTACATGTAAGGAACCCAAAACGCCTCGAGCCTCCATCTCGAGCTTTTAGCGTTCATGGCATCAAGCGATCCCAGTCAGTAGGGAGAGGTGTTGGCCATTCAAGTCAAGAATTGTCGCTGATATTGTAAACTTATCGTTATATGCTATCGGTAGAGGTTCCGATACACTACACAACCATGAGAACCTTGCTCTAATTTGCTGCTTCGAATTTCCATAAGCGTTCATTTCTTCCAATCGTACACAATGATCTTATCATTTCCCTTCCCGGTATCACTGTGCGGGACCATGTGCGGAACCGTACGGGCAACTGTTCAACTTCCCTTGTCAGCCTCCAGGGCCTTTCGCAACTGCTCATCGGCCATCATCTCCTTCTCAGCGCCGTCAATCACTGCTCTCAGGTTGCCTGCACATTCTTCCAAGTTTTTCTGCTCGCTCTCATCAAGTTCAATAGGCATTTTCTTGATGATTCCCTTGCGTCCAATGACGGCCGGCATGCTCAAGCAACAGCCAAGTTCTGGCTGGTAGAACGACAGTGGACGTACGGTACGGGAATCGAATAGGATGTACTTGCAGATACTAGCCGCTACCATACCAATCCCATAGGCGGTGCATCCTTTAGCTGCAATAATGGCAGCGGCGGCTCCCCGCGTGTGATCCGCGATATCTTTCTTGAAAGCTGGATCCGAAACCTGGGGAAGTGCAAGACGTAACGGAGAGGTGCCGATGGTGCAGCTAGACCATGCAATCTGTACAAAGGTCAACTCTGTTTTGCATAGGGACGGGACTGGAGCGGAAGTTCTTTCATGCCGCAGCGAGTCAAGCCGAAGAGCTCGAGGGTTTACTTACAAACTGACTGTCTCCATGCTCACCCAACACATAGGCATCGATCGAATTAGGAGCCACATCCGCCTTCTGCGCTAAGATACCTCGCAAACGAGCCGAATCCAGAGTGGTGCCAGTTCCCAGGACCTGAGATTCGGGTAGGCCGGAAAGCTTGCGGGCGAAGTACGTCAAGATGTCTACGGGATTGGCAACCAGCAGAAGAATCGTATTTGGATTGATTGGCGACATGGCCTGGAAGATCGAAGAAAGAATGTGCAGATTCCGCGAGAGCAGAGAAAGACGAGATTCGCCTGTTCAATGGTAAGCATCAATCTATAAATGATTAAGGTATGAGACATCTGCAATCCCTAGAACTGCTTCAGATGGAATGAGGCACTGCAGTTCTTACGTACCAATCTTCTGTTTCGCGCCCGCTGTTATCACCACGATATCAGCCTGGCCGGCATCCTTGTGAGTGCCAGCCCTCACACGCGCTCCAGTCTGCCCGCGATATGTTGCATCGCCGAGATCTCGGACTTGAGCTTGAAGAAGATCCTCCTTCGGATCTACAAGGATGACCTCGCTACAGATGGGTTGTAACACCAAAGTATACGCGAGCGTGGAGCCAACGTCGCCACAACCGATAATGGCGACAGATGTCTTGAGACGATGTTCAGCCATGACTTCTCCTCTATTTTTCTCTGGCGGTGCTGCCGATGATGGTATGGTCTTTGAATTCGGATCCATGGGGCAGGGTCTTTTATCTAAGGCAGTAAGACCGGAACCCTACCTGTTCTTGGGATTGTGTAATTGGTGGGGCTCGGGCCGCTTGGTATGGGGAAAGAATCAAGGCAAACAAATAAATAGTCGTATGATGTTGCAGGTAAACTCGCCAAGTCGGAAGGTACGTACAGTATGTATGCTATGAAAAATATTAACCTCCTTCCCTTCGATCATCTCTATATATCTTCAAGAATGAAGTTAACACATGCTCCTCGCTGTGTCCTGTTCGGATCCTGCCAAGTACTGGGCGTCTCTCATCGCGTGATGCTCATGCGAAGATGAAGGCGATTCTTATGCGGTGCCTCAGCTTGCGCCTCATCTCGGAGTCAGAGCAAGTGTCACAAGCTTGCCGAATTGCCTATTCATGGATATGTATTTCTTCGATTGTGCCGTCATGCTTGCTACACGTGGCGGATCGCTCGTGCAGGCGAGCCTCCCGATCCCCCTGATCCACTCAGGTTCCCGGAATGTGGAGAGACCGTGGGGTATTAGTCGATTGTCATGGGAAGAAATACTGAGCTCCTCTGATAGTCGTTGAAAAGCGGTATGACAATATGCATCATTCTGGAAATAAGTGTCACCATCATTGGCTCATCAATGTCGACACGCAACCGAGAGGCTTGGAGAAGACGAACTGTAGTAATCTAGCAACCAAACCGATATATTGGACGCATTCGAAGTGGCTCAGCCCAAATTCGAAGGAAAGTCGGTCACGCAAATTGTCATACAACCGGGAAGTCTATAGCATACATTCACAATCAGAGGTGGGAAGTGGGATTGACGGTAAATGTGTCCAGTTATATGTACGCAATATTATATGTAGTCACCTGCCATTTACTGTACATCCCACAAAGGCTCCTCAAGTCTATCGAAGTAGAGCTATTTCCTAGCACATTCTTTATACGATCAAGCCATCACGACATCAATCCCATGGGTTTTTAAGATCATCCTCCAACGGATCTGTCTCAGCCTGTAGTCGGGCAGCTACTTCGTCAGCCTCCCTCCAAACTCTCAGCAGGTTGCGACCGACGATCTTCGCAACGTCTACGTCTTTCACACCCTGCTTCAGCAGTTCCTTCACGAGGTTTGGGAATTTCGATACATCTTCTAGGCCAGTTGGTCCGGATTCGATGCCGTCGAAGTCCGTTCCAATGCCGACATGGTCATAGCCGATCAATTCGCCAATATGTTTGATATGTCGAACCACCTGATTTAGCGTAACGTTCGCCGGGTATAGGTCTGGTAGCCCTGATGGCTTATTGCCCGGAACACAGGAAATGAAGTCGGGATTGAAGTTGATCATCACAATCGAGTTGCGCTGCTTCACATACTGCAGTATGTCGTCGGGAACGTTACGTGGATGCGGACATACACTGTAGGCAGAGCTGTGACTGAAGATTGGTGGTGCCAGACTACCATGCCAGTCGCCGTCCCCGTTGCCGACTAGAACATCCTTCATCGTTTCTTTACTGACGTGAGCGAGATCGACCAGCATTCCCATGCGGTTCATCTCCTTGACCAGGTCTTTCCCAGCAGGACTCAGGCCGTGCCAGTACGGCGTAGCGACTCTGGATTTGAAGGTAGAGCCAGATGATTCTATTGCGGCATCGGCATACTTGTTGTGGCAATTCCATGTTAAAGTAGCGTATTTGGCTCCTAGTTCGTGGAATAGCCGTAGGTTTGCAACCGAATTGCCAATTTGATGAAGTCCCTCGATTCCTGCGGGCGAGATAAGTCGACCTTGCTTGAATGCTTCTTCAGCTTCATGGCTATTCCTGGATGGCGTGAAGTACTTGGGATAGCTTTGCCCAAATCGATTGTAAAGATCCAATTGTTCGAAGGTCGTCTTTACAACTGGTCTCAAATTAGACATCTTAACGCCCACAGGTAATAGGTATTGAACATACGTTCGGTATAATGTCCATCGGAGAAATCTGTACCATTTCCGAATGGGCACGGCACAAAAGCACTCCAGAAGGCACCGCCTGATTTACCTTCATCTAGCCTTGGAAGGTCTACATGCTGTGGTAGTCCACCATTTTCGAACATGTCCTTGAACTCTGGACTATTTACGTGGTTCTTATACCTCACGCGAATGGAAATCAACAAGTCATTGTGTCCATCTGCGGTTTGGTTAGAGCTCACCTTTCATTGGCTTTGTATCATAGCTTACCAATCAATGGATTCTCGCTCAAGATCTTGTTGGCTCGATATTCGAGCGAATGCTCTTGAGTGAAATGTGTTCCATGCTTAAACCAAGCTACGGATGATCCTGGAAAAGGCGAGAAACCGAATCGGAATGTTGATAGTAGGAGTAACAATGCCACCAATGACGCAATGATAACCCGACTAGTGGAGATGGAGGGCCGACGAATGCGATCGGGTTGTTTGGCCCAAACATGCTTCTCACTGACTGGCAGTACCGGCATACGGCACGCAGCCCTCTGTCTATGAGAATCGTACAACATCTCCTTGCAACGAGATGGAATTGAGGTTCAATGTCCTGAACGCGTCTTATCCCCGAGATGATGGGATGTAATAGCCCGATGGGCCGGAAGAAAGGTATATCCGGTTCGAAGACGAAGCATAAGGCTGATATCCCCTGACGGTTAGCCGGATAGGGATTAGCACGTGATCCTAGTCGTACGCTTAATCTTGGGAGTTTATGTTAGGGGATTGAGCTATCAAAAAGACAGTTTGTCCACCATTCGACATCATTGTATTTGTACTCTACAACATGGCAATCTTCTCGGCGACTACCATAATTCGCAGCCTGGCGCTGTTTCACGTCACTTTGGCGGTGTTCTTCCTTAAGAACCCCAAGATCATAGCGAGCCAGAACATCGTATTCGTGCTTGGGGAAGCTATGCAACTTGTAGGTCTTCTTCCAATTGAAATGTTCATGAAGCCATGGACCTATTCTGATATTGTCATAGCCTACACCTCGCGAATTCTCAACTCCATCTGCACTCACTGCGTTTATTGCTGTACTCTTCGCTTTCCTCGGCATCGCGGATCTTACCACGCTTTCCCTGCCTGAAGAGGCTTCCGAGCTATACTGGGGCGTACAAACACCTGTCAGGCTGGCATTCTTGTTTGGAATAACTGGCTATACATACTTGTTCAAGGAGGGAGGCATGTTCGCGGCCAGAGGCCGAGCATACAAATACAATGCTGGAGACGACCTCAAGAACAGCCTTGTGTTCACTTGGGGTTTTATTGAGATGGCTGCGTGGTTCTGGGTATGTGTAATGCTCAATTTGCCTAGGATATGTTTGTGCTAATATCTATTAGGTCTTCGTAACCATCCGCGACGAGCGACGACAGAGAGCAGCCCGACTGATTGAGAAGAGGAAGGCGGAACATAATGTTCTATAGATGGTTGCTTGCGCGTAACATATAGATATTGAATATCAATCACAGATCTAGGGAAAATATACAAGTAGCTCCACAGCCTTCCCACGCGTGCCACGGTACCTTTGCCAGGACGTCTAGGTCAGTAAATCCTATAGTAGTGTCGAGCGTTAGCAATTCCGCATCTTTTGTCATTGTTTAAAGACGAAGATATCCGAAGGAATGCAGATGACAGAACCATTAAAAATACGCCTCAAAAATAGAAATATGGTTGTGCTGGTTTGGCCAAATGTTCACTTTGAGCACACATTCGGGTCCCCCACATTGCCGAAAGCGGCCGCAACTTTGTACCACTGACGGACTCAGGTTGATCAACCGTGTGTAACCCCAGCGGAATGTAAGATCTCATTGATCCCGTCTGATCGTATATATTAATTCATTTGAGCTTTGCTCTAGTTACAATTTCGGATTCTTTTTGGCATTGATTTGATCATATTTTCGCTAGAGTTTGCTACGAACCATTGCCCTATTCATAGATTTACTATAACACCAGCGTACCATTTAATACTGATACACCATGACAGACAATACACCTGCTCTGAAGATCACCATTCTCGGTGGGGGTATTGCAGGCCTCACTACTGCATTGGCACTCACAAAACACGCACCTTCTACTAGCCCTTGCCCAGAGATCACACTATACGAAATCCGCCCTGAACCTGCGACGATTGGAGGTGCTGTAAATCTCACACCTAACGCGCTGCGATTGCTCAGCCATCTCGGTGCACTTCAAGAGATCCGCTCGTTTGACTACGGCGCAGATTGTTCGGCGGTCGAAGTTTTCGACCTCTATACCGGCAACAAACTCGCAGAGAGCAGCTTCCGGGGTAAAGACGGCAAAGGCCTAGGCGATCCACCCTTCAAGGCTCTTCGAATTACGAGAGGCGAAGCTCTGGAAGGCGTACTGGCGGCAATTGAAAAGCATTCGAACATCAAACTTATCTGCGGGAAAAAGACGGTAGATATCAAAGAAGACGACAGTGGCGTCGACATCACTTTCTCGGATGGGGAAACTGCTCACAGCGACATTCTCATCGGTTGTGACGGCATCCACTCGGTCACCCGTCTCAAGCACGTCGAACCATCTCGAAAGAGCGTCTATTCTGGTATTTGCAATGCTTTTGGCTTTGCGCCACGACGCATGACCTCTTCAAGCGATCAGGCCTACGAAGAAACGCATTTTGAGATCTCAGGCATGAACTTCGGTCGACAGGGTATCCTCTTGACATCGTTCCACAACTCAGCAAAGGACTCGATCTATGTCGGCGCGCTGATGCAGATGCCTGAGATAGCGTCGCGGGACGGCTGGAAAGCAGCGGGCGCTGATGCTGAGAAAACTCGGTCCGACATACTCAAGCGGTACGAAGGCGCAGCGCTGCCGCTGATAAAGCATGTGATCGAAGATGCGCAGGATCTTTACCTCTGGCCAGTTTTCACTCTATCGAAGGGCGGCAAGTGGGCGACCGATCGTGTCATGTTGATTGGCGACTCTGCGCATGCAATGCCGCCACAGGGAGAATCCACGGGTATCGTCTTCGAGGATGGTGTCCTTTTTGCGAGGTGTCTGGCGAGGTGGATGGAAAAGAGCTCGGGAGCGCCTGTTAAGGAGGCCTTTGATGCTTACGAACGCCTGAGGCGGGAGAGAATCGACATCGCTTTTGATGAGAGCCAGAGCGTTGTCAAAACGGTACAGGATGCAGGATGGCTGGGTCACAAGATTAAGACGAACGTCATCCCATGGTATCTGTGGTGGACGAAAAGTTACAGGGAGAAACACTTCACCGAGGACGTCACGACCTGTGAGCTTGGCTATTGATATCGTTTTCTAGCACTTTACGCCATCGATCTTGTTCAGCACTTGGTTCAGAAATTCATATTTGTTAATGACTGCAATCCATGTTCTACACGTATCCAAGTAACGAGTGTGTACCTAAGTCTAACACATTTGACCTGTCGCATTCAACCCCTTTCCCATACCGAGCAGCTAAGAATCGAAGATAGCTCCATAAGCTGGAATACCCCTCGCCTCCATCGCATATACGATGCTGGTCGTGAACTTCTTATTGCTGATGACACAGACAGCTTCAGCTCCACTTTCCTTCCACAAGTTGTATGCCATCAAATTCATATCCGGCTTCCCCTGTGTCCGAGTGTTATGAATAACAGCTTTCGGATCTGTATCTCGCACTGCATCGACAATCTCTTGTCCGAATGTTTGTTCCGGGTTGGGTGCCGTCCAGAGGATGCGGCAAGGTGTCTTCTTCGCGAGGACAACAGCGAGACATGGACCGATTCCTGATCCTGTCGCGACTAGTACGACAGACTTGAAGATCGTACAAATACGTAGGACGCCACAGGCCGGAATGCCACGAACCCAGATCGAAGTTGGGGCACGGTTGATGGTACGCTTGGTGAAATCACCTGCGTTGCTGACGACAAGAGAAAAGCCTTTGCCATTGACGTTGGTGATGGTTGCAAATCCGTGCCAGTCAACCAGAGGTCGTTCGGCGAGGCGGACAGATGTACCAACGACTGGAGTGGTGTAATCAAAATGCAGACGGACAGCATGAGATGATAGAACCTCAGACCGGACTGGTACCTTGCGGAGGAACAACCATGGGAAGATGATGGCGGATGTTGCCACAGTAAGGAGCCATATGGGCGGTGACGTGAGGTAGGCTTTGGATGGGGCAACGCCGATTTGTAGGTCCCTGGTGACGAGAAAGGCATGGATCCAGAGTAAGATAAGAGCAGTCCAACCGCCAAATCTATGCGTGAGTTCCCACACGTCATGATACTGCGCGCGGATCTTGGGATGCGAAAGCGATGCGATTGCCAGGAGAAGCAAAATGATGAAACATGTCAACACCATGGAGGCGACGCTGATGCACTGTAACTCTGGGGGTTTGGCGAAGTCAAGGCCTGCGCCAATGGTGAAGATCAAGAACCACATAATGGCAGCGAGCGCACAGCCACTGTGAATGCCTCCGATGTGGAATATGCGGGCGCAGTGTCTCCGGATGGATAAGGGCCATGAGACAGGCACAGAGCAGAATATGGTGAAAAGCAGGTTGATCACCGGCTCGGACCTCATCAATATAGCCATCGTCAGGTTTGCTGCAGTAGCCGTCGCAAGATCGGCCATCATGTACCTATCGTTTTTGACTCTCCAGTAAAGAATGATCGCTGCGGCAATGACGTTTCCGATAACGACCACGGTAAAGAACTTCTTGTACACAATGAGAGCGCGGTGTCTGAGCCATCTTTGGCCGCGGAATCCATTCTTCTCCGGTAGCTTTTCGGGCTTCTCTTGTATACTCGTTGCCGAAGTATTGAAGGTTGAAAGGTTGCTTGAGTAGAGGATGGTTTCTCCTTTCTCTGGATCTGTCTGCTGTTGCTGTTGCTCCGGGCTTGCAGCTGGATTGTACAGCTGCCTGGAGTCGAATTTCGAAGCACGTGGGGATGAGACAATCTTGCTAGCTCGTGATGCTGTCTTAGCAAGTTTTGCTTTATCGACCTTGCCATTGGGAGTCAGAGGGATAGCGGCAACATAAACCCAGTGGCTGGGCACTGCGTAGTATGGAAGATAGCCACGGACAAAAAGATCCAAGTCATGTTCATCAATGAGAGTTGTAGTATTGTAGAACCCATACAATACCCCATCAATCAAAGTAGAACAGGCTCTTGTGATACCGGGGAACTTCTATACAGATGTCAGTCATGTCCTGTCAATGAATGGCACAGGAAGCCAAGGTCAAATCCAGATGTTACAAGTATGCAACAGAATGACAAACAATTGGTACTTACTTCTATGACCGCAGTAACACCATCAAGCTCGACGCGGAAGCCCTTGGCATTGTCAGTTCTAGTCCACTGTGACTAGCTTCAATGTATTCACGTACCTTAATCTTTACTTGATCGTCCGACCGACCGAAGGTATTCATAGAGCCATCCTCGTTCCAAGCCACAATGTCACCAGTGTTGAACATCATTGAGCTATGCCACTTAGCTTGTGTACGACATACCTCTCGAAGTAGTGCTTACCCATCATTAGCGAATAGATCGGCCTTGTACCGCTTTGTTGTCAGGTCTGGTAGATTGATGTATCCACGGGTCACACCGGCACCTCCGACCCACATTGAACCCTTAGAACCAACAGGAACAGGTTCCATATTTTCGTCAAGAATGTACACGCTTGTGTTAGGGAGTGGCTTTCCGATGGTGAGGGATTTCTTTGGGGAGTGGAGGTGCGCAGAGTTGAGTATAGTAATTTCCTGGCATAGTCGTTAGAACTTGACTTGAGGTTAACGACAAGGTAGACAAACGGTTGGTCCGCAGATGTTTAGGTAGAGGAGGCCATCTGCCCATTCATCTGCCAGTCTAGACATGTCTTGTTAGATTATGTTCTATTTGTGGTGTGTGGTTGTGAAACTACAACGTACGCTTGGGGACAGGGTTCTCCTCCGGTTACAACAGTTTTTATGTTCGGAAAGGAGCTTCGTCGATACTTCGAAAGAATTGATGGCGTTGAGATGAAAACATCAACCTGAACCAAGATCAGTAAGATTCAGAACATGGCGTTTCGCGTTCTCACTTCTTTCAGAGTGTCTGTCCAATTAGAATTGCGAAGATAGAGAGTACCGCCATTCATTAGACATCCGAGGATTTCCCAGGCACCTGTAGGGATAAGTCAAAGTCAATAGAACGAGCTGGGCTTGGGACATACCCATATCAAATGCTATGTTGAGAACTTGTGCTACCTTGGTGCCAATGGTGATCCCTAGCCTGGCAGGGTCTAGAAGTAGAGCGTTACACACATTTGCGTGCATGACATCCACACCCTTTGGCTGTCCGGTACTTCCTTTTGAATCATCAGAGACATGACCAGTGAAAGATGCAGAGATGACATACCGGATGTGTAGATCGCATATACTCCATCTTTGCCAGAAACCTCAATGTTTGGTCGTTGTTTCGAGCAAAATGCTTCAGCGTCCTTCCCAAGTGGAACAATGGTGGTCTCTTCCGAACAGTGCGTTCTCACTTTCTCTTCAAATTGTGGCAGGCACAGGACGAAGGAAGCTCCGGTATCTTTGAAGATGTGTCTCAGGGTATGTTCAGAGGCAACACCACCATCGATTGGAACGTACTGGCAACCGGCCTTTAGTATCGCGAATATCCCAGACAACATCTCGAAAGAGCGTTGTACTACAAGACAGACACGCTGTCCGGGACGAAGACCACATTCGATCAGATAGTTGGCTAGTCGATTCGCAGAAACATCTAATTCCTGATAGGTGATGACATTTGCTTCGAATCTTGCTGCCACCGCTGTGGGATGTGAGTCTACAATGCCCTCAAAGGCTTTGTGGACATTGTTTGTTGGTACAGGAACAGAGGGACCTCGACCAAATCGTGAAACGAGTACCTGGTCTTCAGGTGAAAGGCCTTCCAATCCATTGAAGATCATCTTGAACGTAGGATCATGAACTGTTCTGAAGTCTGGATTGTATTGAAGTACATTAGGTACATAGGGTGGCAGGATGTCTTAAGTATCTTTTACTGGTGACTTGGCTCGTACATAGATTCAGTGCTGGCTGTGGTTAGTAGCGATAAACTGTATGAACGCACAACAAAGACAAAGCCTGGTCGAAGACCGTCTAAGACTTGACCAGGGCTCAGAACCATGATCGCTTGTACTCCATAACCGTTTCATTAATGACGATACCGAGATCCGTAGGAAAATATATATTAAAAGAATGGAGACAAATGCATTGATTGTCCAAAACCTTGCAGTACTTGTTCCGGCGTTAGCTGACCAAGTGCTTTGAAATCGACTCACCTCAAAAAAAGATCGGATCGATTGGATATGAGCTCAGAGGTTGTATAAAGGTTGCTCGGCGTGCGCGACAAGGGTGACGTTTTATCCTGCAGCAAGCGGGCAGCTACTGCATGCGGAAGGTAAAGATAATCTCCGACCATGAGGTTGAACGTTGAATCTGGGGTAGCACAAAACAGTACACGGAGACGGTCGAACCGCGCAGACCAGACGGTTCGTTTGACTATCTTGCTAGCACGAGGCGCAGAAGCTTCACTCACATTAGCACCGTAACTGACCATTCACATGGTCAGTCTGGCCTTGATCCATCGCTCTAACTGAATGCAAGGGGTGTATAAGATTAGTGGTTAGCTGTGCAACATCGAAGATCTTACGAGGTAATGTTTAGGAATATACAGACTAGCTACAGACGGGTACTACAACGCCGCCGTTGCCAGGCGCACACCTGACTAGATCAGGCTAGACATTGGCTCTGCCTCGAAGTATGGTGTGTTCGATGACAACAAGTGCTCTGATATAAAACAGTACAAGTGGACAGGTCAAGATGATCAAAGGATGCAAGAACTTTCATTGTCAAGGTTTCATTCTCGTATGGCTTCTGTTGCACTCAACCATATTTTGGTCTCGACTAGCCCGACCGGAGTGGCTTTGGTCCAACTGAACCGTCCTTCCAAACGAAATGCTCTCTCGCAGGACCTCATCGATGAATTGACAGGGGCTTTGCATCAGCTGAACCGCGACCCAAATGTACGATCCGTGGTCTTGACCAGTGTCGAGGGATCACCATTCTGTGGCAAGTGTTGAAGATATTAAAGGATGCAATAAATCAATAAACTGACGTAGATGCAGCTGGTGCAGACCTCAAAGACCTCGCCCGACTATCTACAGCCGAGGCCTTTCGAATCGGTTGGCTGAAAGATGCAGAGGATGCATTTTCCTCCTTCCGAAAACCTCTCGTAGCAGCGGTTGACGGCTTCGCGGTGAGTTTGCCTCCGTACTAGTTTCATCGAAGTGACCAGAAGTGACAGCAGTCCGTCAGTTTGGTGGAGGGTTCGAAATTGCTCTGTTGGTAAGTAGCATTGAATTCGACTGAGATCCCCGATGTACATCATCTGGCCCTGCTAAGCCTCCTCAACATCGATAGTGTGACATTATCTTTGCCTCCGCAGATGCTCGATTTGGGTTCCCCGAAATCAAGTTGGGCACAATCCCGGGACTCGGTGGTACGCAACGTCTAACGAGGGCGCTTGGGAAACACAAGGTATGCCACATGCTCGCAATCCACCCCCCCACGGCTTGCCTGGTTTTTATTCAACATGTGGATTGTCCATATTAACTGGTCAGGTGTCGGAACTTGTATTAACCGGCTCCGCAATAACGGCAAGCGAACTCTGTAGATGTGGAGTCGTGAACAAAGTTTGCTCGGCTGAAGAGAAAGTCGTAGATGAGGCGTCAAAGTTGGCAGAACAGATAGCATCCTTCTCCTCGCCTGCAGTTAGTTTGGCGAAGCAGGCTGTGAAAGCGGGTAAGTCACCCTTGCGAATCCTTGAAACCGGAGAATTTGCGGTCTAATTCCAGCAAGCCGAGGCCACGACATTGGATGCGGGGCTGGATATTGAGCGTGCCCTATATTACAGTTCCTTTTCGCTTGCAGACTGTGCTGAAGGTGTAGCAGCGTTCCTTGAAAAGCGCGCTCCGACCTTCCAGCATAAGTGATTGTCGTAGATCCTGTGGGTATGGTGTCATAGTCTAAGATCGGCGTTTGTAGCTGCTCCTTTCGAATCCAATAAAATGATATCTCTTCTACCTGCCCATGTCATTCTAGTGACCGTTTCGTGCTCTGCAAGATGAGGTCTTGTTGGCGGATAAATTCGCTCAGCATTACCATGACTGGTCATTCTCCGGATTGGCCAAGACTCAACGGCACGGGAGCGATATTATCTTGCGTTGCCTCTTGTAGCTACTCCGGCTGCTACCGAGCAGCCGATGTGATGCGTTCGCAAGGATCCAAAGGCACATGCGATGAAAGCGAGGGTGGACGGAGGAGTGTGGAGACGTGTTCAAACACAGGTGCGCAAGGGCTGGGGCGCTTGCTTCTTAAGAACCGCAGCTAACAGTCGAGACCAATGCGATTTGTAACGGCCATCTTAAGTCACATACATCATCACTACGTAAAGTTAAATTTTTGTAGAGAATACTAGACTCAGGCACGGCAGTTGGTTAAGTCCACCACTTGACGCAACATACTCCTCCACTTCCCCACAACTTGAGTACAATTGTAAATCATCTGGAACGCCATTATGCTAGTAACTGGCTACAGTATACATTTGAATGCCTAGGTACTCAGTTTGGAAGGAGAAAAACATGTAAAGCCATTAGGCGGCCAGCATGTTGTGCAACCCTCTGTTCATCTTCATAGCTTTTACCAAATTCGTAGTCCAGCACTGCACCCAGTCTGATACCGTAACCACAGACCACAATCACGTCAATTATCAAACAAGGACCAGCATCTTTCTGGGTTTGCTGCATGAAGCATTCAGTGTCGAGGCAAGCCATGTGAATGTTGGCTTTGTTGAAGGAAAACAACCAACAATCCATTGAGGAAGTGATGGACCGGGAACCTGCAGAAGCTTGGAAGGAGGGGCTGGAAAATTCGAATGCTAGGGGGCGAGAACGATGAAGGGAATCGAAAAGGTAGCGGGTTTTGATCCGATCCTCTGCATTATCTTACCGTGGCCTGTCAGCAATCCTGGCATCTTGCGCCGACAGTCAGGGAAGTGATAGCCAAATGTAGACAAGATAATGAGTAGCATCTAGCCGAGCTTCTTCGCTCTCTGCTGCCCTAACGACATTGAGCTTTCGCATAGACTAGATGAAGTGTACACGTGGTAGATCCAGCATATAGAAAGACTTTGACTACTTTAAAGATGAGCTTTAAAGTAATAAGGCATCCTATGTTTACGTACTGCCCCAGACTTGAACATAGTATGCACGCCAACTTTACATTAGTGACTTTAAAATGCCACGTATTCTTGCTGCTCATAACATTGTTTTCATGCTATTATGAATATGCCAAGCTTCGTTCGTGAATATCGACATCATACAGGATTGCAGCAACATCAATGATCAAGTGAACATAACTGAAAAACAGTCTGGTTTTGAGGATCGGCAAGATTTGCGAATATCATTTTCTTTAAAGGCTTAGCACAGACAATAATTCGAGCCTCTTAGAAGCGGGTTACTTTTCCTGTGACAATGACCACTCTGTTCTCGTTCTCCGTGGTTGAATGATCTGTGTAGGATTTAAGTACGAGGAAAACACAATGCCGGAATGGGAAACTGACGTGCTTACAACACGTAAAAAAGCTTGACGTCATATCACGCCAGCAACATTGCAATCTTTATGAACCTCAAAAAGACTTAATCACCATATAGCAATACCTGTGGAAAATTCCGTTTAACTTTTCTGAGAACAACAACAACATGGCTACGATCGGTGTCCGTCTGCCACGTCCATTTGCGGACATACCTCGCGTGGCTTTAATGTACCCATACCCCACACCGATTGAACCATTAAATAATCTCACACGCCACCTCTCACAACAATCCAAAGAATCCGGAACTAAAGAAACGCCCAAAATATGGATTAAGCACGAAGATTCCAATAGCGCCCTCGCCTATGGTGGAAACAAGGTCCGAAAGCTAGAGTACGTGATCGCGGACGCTGTAGCAAAATCAAGCACCCATCTTGTCACTGTCGGCGGCGTCCAGAGTAACAGCCAGCGCCAAGTTGCTGCGGCAGGGAACCGGTATGGCATGCGAACGATTTTGACTCCGGATGCCTCGCTGGGGAATCCTTCGAAGAGTGATCGGGCGGCATACCATGTGGCCGGAAATGTACAGATTGCTTCGCTCTTGAATGCCGAATGGCGTCCATCGACTGAGAAAGATGCACAAGAAGCGAGGGACACGGGAGGTCTGTCATATGATATTGCTGCGCAGCGGGAGATGGAGAAGGTAAGGGCGGAGGGAGGGATGCCATATTATATACCTTCAGGAGCATCGCTACATCTCCTTGGGGGCTTGGGGTTTGCGCGATGGGCTTTTGAACTCGAGCAGCAAGAGAAGGAGCTGGGTGTGCGGTGGGACGCTATCGTCGTGTCCTGTGCGAGTGGCAGTACATTGGGTGGGATGGTGGCAGGGTTTAAGCTAATTGAAAAGGAACGAAAGGCGAGTTACGATGGAGCAGCGTCGAAGAAGAGAAGAGTTATTGGCATTCAGGCGACCAGCTGCGACATCTCCGAAACCGAGAGAGTGGTCAATATTTCGGCCAGAAACACCGCGAGGCTTATTGGGCTACAGGAGGACGATATCAAGAGTGAGGATTACGAACTGATAGGCGAGTACAATGGTGGAGCGTATGGTTTGCTTGATGATGCTACCCGAGATGCAATCAAGCTCTTAGCAGAAACGGAAGGAATTTTGACAGACCCGGTATACACTGGCAAGGCTATCTCTGGAGTCATTGGACTGACGCGAAAGAACGGGTTCGATGGCGTAGAAAACGTCCTCTTCGTCCACACTGGTGGTACCCCAGCTCTAAGCGCATATCCCTCTATGCAATGATCCGACTAGAAGATCAATGAGATAGAATGGAGCGAGAAGAACCAAACATCATCACCTCAAGGCCTTTCGTAACAATATTGATGTATGAGCGACAAACTTTGGAAAAATCTGTACGAGATTCAATTAGGTGACCTGAGCTGGCTATTTGAAAGTACATTGTAGTCAGTCAAGGGCAGTCTCAGACCTCGCAATCTAGGTATTCTGGAGCATACAGTAATGTAGCCACATAAGAGTATGAAGGCCTTCCAAATGTATTTGCCAAATACAACTGTAGCCTACGGGCATAGCAATTAGCTAACCTGACGTTATCTCCTTATCTGTACCTAGTAAGAGAGTCAGGTCCGACAATCTACAAGACTCGCCAAAGCAACATGCCACCTCGTCCAGTATGTATGTTCTCATGCTGAGAATTTGCGGCACAGTTACATATTGCAACGCTCGCTCACATACCAGGGACTCACGCAACGCTGGAAGCAACCACCCGATATGCTGATCAATTCGACCCCACATGGGCAGTTGATTAGCATGGGTTCCACTACCCCTCCATCCATCTGATCCATGACTCGCCATAATTGCGCATACATTATTACATAGGAAGCTCTCAACTTCGTACATATAAACATCTATTAGATGTATTAGCTACATAGCGCTACTTGTAACGTATTTGTTCTTTGGAAATTGGTGCTACATCAACAACACAAGTTGAATATTTCAAGTTATCACCCAGAATGAGTGCACCATTGGAGACACAATTGTTGATTAACAACAAGCTCGTCCCGGCCTCCGACGGCGGACAGTTCGAGCTCTTCTCTCCTCATACAGGAGAGGTGGTCGCAAAAGGTATTCACGAACAAGCAAGCCTCCTCACCAAATCCATCTAGTCATTCGTCTTGTCACTGTAGGATCTACGACTAACAACCCCATAACAGTTGCGGAAGCCACTCGGGAGGACGTCGACACAGCCGTAGCAGCCGCGCTCGCGGCCTTCCCATCATGGAGCTCTCTATCGCCCGCCGAGCGCGGAAAACCGCTGAAGAAGATGGCCGAGCTCGTTGTCTCTGAAAAGGGCTCTCTCGCCCAGCTCGATGCCCTCGCCATGGGTAGACCCGTAAGCACCTACTTCGACTCAAACTATGCGGCCACGCACTTCAACTATTTCGCCGAGGCCGCGTACCCCCAGGGTCACACCAGCTTGAACACTCCCGGATTCCTTAACATGAGTCTTCGGCAACCATTCGGCGTCGTCGCGATCATCATCCCCTGGAACGCTCCGTTGGTTTTTTTTTCCAAGAAGGTTGCTCCCGCTGTCGCTGCAGGAAACTGTGTGGTCGTAAAGAGCAGTGAGAAGGCGCCGTTGTCGCCGTGGAAAGTGTCCCTGTGGATTGAGAAGTGCGGGTTTCCTCCCGGTGTGATCAATGTCCTCTCTGGTCATGGCAATGTTGCCGGAGCTGCTCTGTCCGAACACATGAAGGTTAGGGCACTTTCATTCACGGGTTCAACGCGCACGGGAAGGGCTATCCAGATAGCGTCCGCGAAGAGCAATTTGAAGAAAGTTGTCTTCGAGCTGGGAGGGAAGTCTCCCGCCCTCGTGTTCGAAGATGCGGATATCGAGCGGGCTGCGAAGGAGACCGAAAACAGCATAAATTGGAATTCGGGTCAGACATGTATGGCAAACAGCCGCATATATGTGCAAGAGAGCATCAAGGATAAATTCTTAGAAGCATTCACAAGATTCGCGAAAACGAGAAGGCTAGGCGACCCTACAAATCCGGATGTGAACCACGGGCCGCAGGCAGATAAGACACAGCTTGAGACGGTAAAGAGATATATCGCGCTGGGCAAAGACGAGGCAGGAACAACAATTGACACGGGCAGTTCGTCTGAAAAGAATGATAGCAAATCGCTCCTTGTCTCCCCGGTTATCTTCGCCAACGTACCTGAAGACTCGCGCTTGACCAAGGAGGAAGTTTTCGGCCCCGTCGTCGTTATAAACACATTTATCGACGAGGCGGAAGCAATTGCGAAAGCTAACGATACTGAATTCGGGCTCTACGCAGCGCTCTACACAAAGGACTTGGAACGTGCTGTCAGGGTGGGGAAGAAACTGGAAAGCGGTATGGTGGGCATCAATTGCACCTCACCAACTGGATGCTGGGACCTGCCGTTTGGAGGGTGGAAGGGTAGTGGAACGGGACGGGAGAGCTTGTTGGACAGTATGGAGCATTATCTGGAGGTCAAGAGCTTATATGTCAGGGCACCTGGTATTGGCGGCATTGTTTAGTCCCTACTACATTTGATCTGTAGTTCACAGATTGGCGAATTAATCGTCTTCCCACAACATCGTAGCTTACTCTCGCTAATCGTGGGATATTGTGAAGCGAGTTCATTGTCGATGAGTCGATGACCCCAAGACCTGGAAATAACACCGACATTGCTCCTAGTGAACGGCTCGTAGGCGAAGTTTCCGCGCGGAACGGCAGCTACAGAACATGTGTTCCAACATGCTCTAGCGATTCATGGCTACGCCTTCAAATTGCCAACGATCCGGGCATGAATAATTCAGATCCGATGCTTATCTAGACATCGCGTCGCTGATCCATATACACTGCGTTGCGACAGCGGCTCCTTGCTTCCGAGACAGCCACTCCAAGCGAGGTGGTTATGTTTGTGGCGTAGTGAGCGATATGTTGTCCCATGAAAGTGCAGAACGATAGCCTTGTGATAGGAAGATTTGAGCAGGCAAAAGGTGGGGTTGGATGCTTTCGAAATCAATTGAGCCTCGGCGTTTGTTGATAAGAAGAGCAGGTGTAGTGTAAAGCATATATATACAACTGGCTGCCTATTGCTTGTGAACCGGTCTGATGAGGGATACGGGATTCATCGTTCCATATATATCTAATCTCATCAGTGGACGGAGTACTCACGTGACAAGTATTTTATGCTTGTGACAGACTGGATGCCAAACTATCACTTCTCCCCACGAGGCACTTTTGCCGTCATACTCCCATCCACGAACGTAGCTGTCGAAGCAGAATACAATCAGATGCTTGTCCATGGCATGTCATGGCATAGTGGAAGGATCCTCATCCGCGACCCGAATTTTGATAGTGACGAAAAGTTCGACCAGTTCATAAATGACCTTCGGAAGGAGATCGCCAATGCAGTATCAAATGTTATGACGGCACATCCCGACTTCGTGGTCATGGGAATGAGCTCCGAGACCTTCTGGGGCGGCAAGGCTGGAGCAGCCGAGTTCGAAGCTTTGATGAAAGACTTGACTGGGGGTCTCGACGTCACTACGGGAGCGCAAGCTTGCAATGCAGCTCTGAAGATACTAGACGCCAAGAGAATCGGGATCATTACGCCGTACCAGACTATCGGAGATGAGCAAGTGCGATCGTATTTCATAGAAGCCGGTTATGAGGTGGTCCATATTTACGGATTGAAATGTCCCACCGCGAAGTCGATTGCTGATGTCGAACCCGCTAGGTTAAAGGAGGCATTTAGGAAAGTTAATACGCCGGAGATCGATGCTTTAGTTCAAGCAGGGACAAATCTGTTTTGTGCAAAAGTAGCGGCGGAAATGGAGGTGGAGCTGGGTAAGCCGGTAATTGCGATCAATACGGCGACGGTATGGCACGCGTATCGGAGTCGAGGCATCAGGGATCAGATGGGAGGGTTTGGGTGTTTGTTGGAGGAGCATTGAAGGGGCTACTCGTTTCCTTTCCCTGGTTGCATTTTCATTATTTTTGTGTTGCTGCAGTTGAAGGGTTATTGTAGGTGACATTTTATTGACTTCAGCAATCATCGTGAAATGAGATAACCAGGTAATTACGAGGAAGTAGGATCTAACTCTAACCCTAAAGCGGATGTTCATGACTCGTGATTCTTGGCTTTCCGGTCCCCGCGCAGCCACAACATCTACTCCTGTCTACCTCAATCCACCAGTGCCATCCCCGTTCACACCCCTTCCACTGTCTTTTGCTGCTTCTGGCCCAAAAGGTTGTGGGACGGCTTCTAGCACTCTTCTTGCCGTGCCTTTGATTGGAAACAAGGCGAGGAGCCGAATCTTAGGGCCTGATATCGCCTAGTCTTTCCCAAGCTCTCGCGCGACCTCTCTATTGCACTAAGTGCCTACCTATGTAGCCTTGCTCTATTCTACCTCTTATGACACCCGATACTCCTCTGTGCTTGTTACTTTTCCTCTACCCGCGACTTTCTCTCCAAAACTTACCACCCTCTTGACGCCCCTAGGGGCATCTACATATCCCATGTCTCTGCAAACGTCATGATATCCCGCCCTTCCGCGACCACTCCATCTCGAAGAATCAGCCCCACGTCTTACAATGTCTCAATCGACCTCCCATGCTCAGAATTCTCGCCGTGTACCCCTCGATAAACGAAAGCGGACCGAGACAAGCTGCGACAAGTGCAAGTCGCGAAAGCAGAAATGCAGGAAAGAGCCGGGCCAGGATGCCTGCCGATACTGCTTGGTCCACAAGATCGAGTGCCTCACCACACAACCTCGCAAAAAGCGACTTTACGGAAGCGTAGAAGGCTTAGGGAGCAGGCTTGCTCTGCTCGAGTCTCTTGTGAAGGGGCTGCTTCCGGAAGCAGACGTTTCCAATATAGAGGAACTGCGGCAGCTGGGAAGTTCCATGGGAATCTCGCTACCTGAATCCGTGATTGGAGATACTGCAGGAGAGCACGCCAACAACAGCGGAACAGAAGGGGAGGAATCATTATCATTACTACCCGACCAACAGGGCCAAGTCCAGTTTATCGGTCCCTCCAGTTCCTTTTCATTCCATCTCAAACTGCGCGCATTGGTTGGCCAGGGCGATGGCCCTGTGCGCGAATTCGTCCTGTTTGGCAGAAATGCGGCCGATCAGGAAGCTATTGAAAGCGAGAACGACCTTCACGCGCTTTCCACGCCCAGCGCGTCGTCCAACATCGATCATAATTCCCCAGTGGAGCAACGCGCAGCCGTCGGGGAGACGCAAAGTCCCGAGCCGTTGATTTCTGCTTTCTTCGACCATATCAATCCCGATTTTCCCGTCCTCCACGAGGCATCTTTTAGGGAAGCCTACGAGCAATGGGACAATAATTCAGAAAGGGCCGACCCTGCTTGGCTTTGCACCTTGCTCTGCGTCTTGCTTTTAGCGCGACGCGTTGCGCACGTAGCTTTGACGGAGGATCAAGAAAAGCAATGGTGGCTCCGCGTCCAAAGGCTACTTCCTGGCGTCATGTTTACATCAAGCATTATGGCCGTCCAGGCTCTGATGCTCGCTGCATTACACCTGCACAACACAAACCATAGAGATGCATGTTGGAATCTGACGGGGGCGGCAATTCGAATAGCATTCGCTATCGGTCTGCACCAGGACAGAGTCACCACGATGCAGACTCCTCTGGCCAGAGAATTGAGAAAGCGGCTTTGGTGGACACTGTACGCCTTTGAACAGATGCAAGTATCTTCCTATGATCGACCAAGTGCTATTGAGCACAATCCCGGTTCTCGAATTGGTTGTCCAAACGAGCGTTTGATTGGCATGGCTACCTATTGTCCTCCGGACTACTGCGAATGGTTCAATCGACTCGTAGTTCATCTCGCATCTGCCTGCCGTGCACCCAAAACTGCACATGGGAATGCTACTGAAGAATTATATGTAGGCCCCTTGTCTCCGGCTGCCGGTGTTCTAAGGGAGCTTGACCGATGGAAAGAGAGCATTCCATCGCATTTAAAGATGGACGCTGTTGCAACATCTCCGCCATCATTTCAGCGTCCGCTACTACTACTTCACGCGAAATTCCATTACACGGTTTCAGTTCTTTGTCGCGCAGCATTACTTCATCGTGCAACGACGCTTTCGAAGGAAGGAAAGGACCCCGCTAATAGCGGTTTGATTGGAATGGCAGAAGCATGTGCTGAATCTGGAAGAGCACTTGCTCGCATTCTGATCCAACTTGAGAGTCTAGGGAAATTTGATCCAATCACCTGGTGGGACATCTGGTACGCTCTCGCTAGTGGATCTGTCCTAGTTTTGGACATAGTATGTTGTAGCAACCGTATTGAGGAAGATGTTGCAGAAGCACGTATCCTTCTCTCACAACTCGCCGCTCTCACGGAACAGCATAGGCGCAACCCTCGTATGCCTGGCACGATTGACAAATGGGCCTCACTCGTTCCTGAATTGAACTCCATGGCTACATCTTCAACTAGACAGGCTCCCGAACGGGCACCAGTTACGAAACAGGAAGAGCCAACAGACCAACAGCAACAAATGCTACCACCTCATCATGACCCCTCGTCATTTCCAATTCACCAATCATCCACGAACAGCGGGGCTTACATGTTCGCTGATCACGTACCCGGACGTATGTACCCTGATGCGGAATACACCGGTGGTCCTGGCCCTGTCTACTCCCAGCGAGGGTTCGACCGTAATACGCAAATGGGATTTATGGATTTTTCCATGGGTAATATCCAAGACTGGCAATGGGCCGACTTAGGGAATCTTTTGGGTAACGAAGGCGTTCCACCAAACAACGGAGCATAGAAACCCGCTCCAAAAGGCGTACGGTATGGCGGGATCTTTTTTTAATTGGGCTACACGGGTACAGTGGTATAACGACTGTACAGGGATCTTCTCTTATTTTTTGCCTTTTGCAAACTGCTGCGACGACTATATGATTACCCTAACATCCTTTGGAGCGATTGCCGATTGGTCCTCATGTTATTGTCGCTTGAAGTCGTCATTCACACATAGATGGTATACCCAGATGCGCTTTACCTGATCTATGCTCATTGAGTGGTCTTGTATTTGGATTCGTGGTGTTATTTTATACAGCTCCTTCAAGAAACGATTGTATTGCATGCATACTAGGCCACGTCTTACAACATTCAGGCGAAGGGCATCTACCGATCAACAGTAGAGCAGTCCTTCTATATATGGCTATGCCTACATGTTCCGTACATCCTTCGACCGAATAACCTCCGTCATGGAGCCCGGTCGGAAGCATGTAGCCGCAGTTTGCCCCTCTTCTGATAGGCGGATGTGCAGAGTCTATCCATCAGCTTCCACGCACCGTCTCCACGTAGCGCAACAGCACCATTCCGTATTGCATTCAACCGAAGCATCAGGCGCAATCCTTTCTCGCAGTTGTGCACTTGAGCATGCAGAGCATAGATGCTTCCGTGTTGTTGGTACTGTACTATCTATCCGCCCCTGTACGACTCAAATGCAACTCGCCTACTCGCCTCGAGATCTTCAGTTCTTTCGCCTCAACTCTCCGTAAACGACAACTGTCACGCTAATGCGTTTGCTGTTATATTTACCATTTCCCAATCTTTTTCTCCTTCTTACCATGTTTCAACTTAATTCGACCATTTGATTACAATTATGGCAGGCTCGGACTTCAATGTCGCAATTGTTGGTGCTGGGATCGGTGGTTTGGGTTTAGCGATTGGTCTCTCACATTTGAACATCCCGTTCACGATCTACGAAGCAGCCCCTGCATTCTCAGCCGTCGGTGCTGGTGTTGGTCTAGGTCCAAACGCCCTCCGCTCCATGGACTTGATCGACCACCGTTTTCGAGATATGTACATGAATATCGCCACCGGCAACCTTCGCCCAGAAAAGAAGCATGTGATGATGGAGGCCATGAGAATGGAAGAGGGTTTGGGTGAGGGCGAGAGCTGGTGGGGAAATGGAGGTTGGGGCGCGAGCTACTTCGAAAGGACTGGCGCGCACAGAAAAGATCTCTTGGACATTATGACGAGTTTTATCGATCGCGGAAACGTGAGGTTCAACGTTCGAGTCAAAGAAATGAAGCAAAATGGCGGCACAGTCCTGCTCGAGTTTGACAATGGCGAGGTTGCCAACCATGCAGTAGTAGTCGGATGTGACGGCGTCAAGGGTTTTTCAAGAAGCGTGGTGCTCGGCGAAAGATATCCCGATTGCGTGGAGCCGAAGTATGCGGACAGATATGTTTACAGGACTATTGTTTCTATGGAAGACGCGAAGGAGATCGTGGGCGATTTAGCTACGGACGCGAAAATGTACATCGCGAAAGGGGCTAATTTCTCTACGTACCCGATTTCCGAAGGAAGAGCAGTGAATGTGGTAGCGTTCAAAGAGGATAAAACCCAATGGACGGCGCCCGACACTACTTATGAGGTCTCAAAGGAGCAGATGCTGGCGGACTTCGAGGAGTTCCGGATAGATTCAAGGCTCAAACGGTTACTAGATGTAAGTCTATTATCGAAATACATGGCGTTGGTCCGAAATATTTTGGCCCACAGCATATCTATTTCCATTTACAAAACTCAAATCATTCTGCATTTGTCTTGATATCATTACTGACTTATGATAGCGAGCACAACCAGTCCGCTGGGGCGTCTTCCATCATCCAGAGACACCAACTTACTATAATTCTCAAATTTGTCTGCTTGGCGATGTCGCACATGCTGGTGGTCCACATCAAGGCGGAGGTGCAGGCCAGTGTCTCGAAGACGCTCTTATTCTCTCACGAGTTCTCGGAAAGCTCTTCAAAAGCACACCGGACGATATACTCACGAAACCATCGCCCTTGCGTACCGAGCTCATTGAAGCTGCTTTCGAAGCCTACGATGAGATCAGGCGACCGAGAGCGCAAAAGCAAGTCTTAACCAGCGAGGAGTGCGGGAACATTTACATCCTCAAAGGCCAGGGAGTCGGTGATGATATGAGCAAGGTGCTCGAAAATCTCAACTCAAGGTTCGAGTGGATTTGGTTACATGATCTTGAGGGGGACGTTAGGAAGGTGGAGGAGAGGTGGGATGAAATCGTCGGTGACAGTCGATTTCAGAGCAACTTGAACGGGAAGATTTGAGGCTGGGGATCTTAGGCAATCCCAGAAGAACAGATTATGTAGATTCATGTATCCTACTGGTGGATCTGACTGAACTATTTGTACGTCTATGTCAAGAACATTCAACTGATTGATCTGATTTATGATCTTGCTCACTCAATGATGAATTCGACAATAGACGGTTGATATGACCGCCATATGAACAATTTGAGCCTCGAATAATAATATCAGTATAGCTAAATCCACCTATAGTGATCGATATTCGGCTAGTAAACTCAGATGGAGTAAACTTTCTACCATCATTTATGCGCATCAAACTGCCTATAAAGCTCGTCGAATTCCCTCAACCTTACAACAGCATCGTGTATTCTCGGAAACTCCCTCCCTTTCTCATCTTGTTCTGGCATCCCTGATTCAACCCACTCAGCAAACCTCTCATATAGCTCCGCTGTGCTCCTTCCCCTGGTTACGAGCCGTTCATCTTTCTGCCACTCCTTCCAGTCCCATCCCAGATCCTTGACCTCATCCGTGGCATGATCATGCAACTCAATCGTAATAGGTCCCGTAAAACTATCAGCCATGAGATACGGCCCGGGCGCTGTAACCAACAGCTCCCCTTTCGTACCGTTGATACTCCACTCAAATCCGGGCTTTCCCTTGAACGCGGGTCCCAATCGAAACGTCGCGACCAACGACGCGCCCTCGACGATCTCTGCCGTCCTCTCACCCTGTGCCAACGTCCCATGAACTGCAAACCAATCCCAAACATCCGACTTGACCGTCCCTTTCTCCTCCCCATCCGCACCCACGACCTTCAATTCCGGTCTCTGGACCTGGCCCCTCGCCTGAAACTCCTCAAACTCTCCCAGCGTGTCATGCACCCAATCGATCAGATGCCCGAAATGAATGTTCACCGGATGCCCGCCAACCTTCCTCTCCGCGAAATACGTCAACGACTCCGGCACCCGATCTCTCTCCAAAAGGTTCCCATACGATTTGATCTCCGTATTCAACACCTTGCCAATGGCACCGGACGCAAGAACCTCCTTAACCCGCAGCACGATCGGCGAAACCCTACCCTGAAGCCCAACGATAGAATTGCGAATCGGCTTGTCGCCAGTCAATTCGATCGCCCTCGCGACACTCTCGACGAGCGGCCACTCCACGAAGACGGCCTTGCCCGCGCGGAGAGACGGCTCGATGACGGGGAAGTGCACATCGACGCGCGTGTTGCAGACCACGAGGTCGATGTCCGGGTCTGCGGCCAGGGCCTCCGGGTCGCCGTATGCTTCCACGCTGGCGGCGAGGTTGAAGTGCTGTTTGGCCTTCTCGGCGGCGGCGACGGAGGAGTTGAGGAGCGCGGTGAGGGTGTAGTGGGTTTGGCCTTGGGGGTGCAGAAGATAGGGGAGATGCGCATCTGCGGCCCAGGTTACTTTTGCAGAGGCGGAGAGGCCGATTAGGGCGACTCGGATCTTCGTCTTGTTGTCGGTGGTGGTGTTGGTGTTCTGTGAGGTGGACATTGTGGTGTGGTGATTGCGATTGGGGTTATGGGATTTTGTGAAGCCATGGGCTTTGTACCGCTTTATGTATTGGCTTCCCCTAGCTATTGCGTCACGTAGTTAAGGGCTTACGCCCCGCATGGCATTATCAATCCTGATCCTGCGATATGGGATCGACTTCTGAAATGGCGATTGTACTAATGCACGTGATTGGTCTGCACTATTAGTAATGGTAGAAATGTTGGATCTGACAAATCCAACATCTCACAACGTCCATCGTCGCAATTGATAATATTGATCTTCATGACTTTGGGGATCAACAGTGGAATAGGTAGTGCCGCAGATTGATTGTAATCACGCCAATGCGATAGGTGTCTGATCCAACGTAAAGTTCATATTCATCAAGATTCGTGTTGGTCTAATCTAGATATCTGATCATATATCTCAAAATCATCAAAACCGCTTACTGGAGCAGGATGTTAAATTCAAAGTCCTTCGTCAAGAGACTGTACTCATCCAGAGTCCTGGGACCACAGCTTCCACTGCCCAAGCCGTGGTGTTCGAAATCCAATCTAAGGACAACCTCCTCCCTCTTCAGCTTCTTCAGTTCGTAGGGATGCTTGGCATCAGCCACGTCCTTCGTGCGGTAATGGGTTGCTTGGAAGTCGAAAGGCTTCGTCTGCTCGCCCTTAGCATCAGTGAATTGGACGAAGAGCGAACTATCGCCGTTTTGCAACTTGAGCCACTGAGTGTCGGTGCGGTTTGAGCTTTCTTGGGGGACTTCGTAGTCGACCCGGAGGTCATCGACCGATGAGACACTATAAGATCCGATGGGCTGTGACAATTTGCTGTCACGGTATGACTCGCCAGGGCCGCGGCCAAACCACTCAACGGATTGCCATTGCTGGGGGAGTTCCAAGATCAGGCCAGCACGGGGGAGCGTGCGAGGGAGGTTCAATCCCTTTGGAGCGCCCGAGACATGTACAGCCAAGGAGCCATCGGCATGGAAGCGGTAGGTGAGTGTGCAGTCGATCGACCAGGACAGAACCGGAGGTGCTACTCGCTGTGTGACTACAACGACAATCTCACTATCGCTGGGCTGCGACCACTCCACCTTCCTAGTTGAAGGCTCGGCAGCGTCCAGTCGCTTGTCTTTCCAGTCCCAACCATCTTGAGGAATGTCGTTGTCGGTTGGGGCGCGGTAAAAGTCGATGACTGGTGCTTTGGAGATGATCTCCGTGGAGTTCTTCTTCCATGAAGTCAATGTTCCATGGAGGGTATTGAATGTCCATGTCGAAGCTGAACCCTTGATTGAGAGTGTATTGCGTGATTGCTCAACATTAATCTTTGCAGAACTGGCGTTGCTGATCTTCTTAACTCCAGAAGAGGACACAATCTCCACCTGGGCTGTGGCAACTTCGAAACCTGCTTCCAAGGTTGGCGTGGCCTCCTGAAGTTGGAATGAGAAGTTTGCGAATGTTTGACCCTGGCCGGCAGAGTCGGTGGGAAGGTCAAGCTGAAATGTCTGGCCTGCAGCAACACCTGATGGGACTTCGATGGAGCGGGGCTCGCTTGACTTTTGTCCATCAGAAGTGGTTGACAAGCGGCAGCTGAGATGGTCAAGGGTGATGAAATCGTATCGGTTAATGAACTTAGCCTTGCTACCATTTACCTCAAGTAGCTGCACTGGCTCGATAGCCTTTTTGTATTCTATCAGTCCAGCATTGGGGGTATGGTCAGAGTTCACCAAGCCATCCATGACGAATGTAGAGTCATGAATAAGCTCGCCGAAATCTCCACCGTAACCGTAGTATTCTTCACCGGTCACTTTGTCTTTGGTCAGTAGACCATGGTTAGCCCATTCCCAAGCAAATCCACCTTGAAGTGTGGGGTATTTGTAGAACGCGTCAATGTACTCCTTGATGTTGCCGGGGCCGTTGCCCATGGCATGGATCTGCCTCACAGTTAGTTGGATAGAACCGAGAAGAACGTAGTAAAACTTACAAACTCGCAGAGCACCAGCGGCTTCTTTTTGGTTTCGTCTTTGGCAAATGTAACAATCTCGTCAATCGGAGGATACATCCGAGAGTACATGTCCATTGTTTCGGCAAATATGTCCGCCTCGTAGTGGATGGGTCTACTATTGTCGTACTCTTTGATCCACTTGTACATGGCTTTGAAGTTGCGACCGAAGAACGCCTCGTTACCAAGACTCCAGATGATAACTGAGGGATGAAGCTGATCTCGCCTAACAAGATGCTTTGCCCGGTCAACATACGCCTCTTCCCAGTCTGGGTTGTCGGTCGTCCACTGGGCAGCTTTCTCTCTTGTGAGCAACTGACGCTGACGGAAAGGCATGGCGCGCTCTTCGGCATTCAAAGAGGCATCAGCAATTGATTCGAAGCCATGGCATTCGAGATCGGCCTCGTCAATGACCCAGAAACCCATCTCATCAGTGAGCTCCAACAAACGCGGATCGTTCAACTGATGGGATGTTCGGATGGCGTTAATATTGTGGCGTTTCATCGTCACAAGGTCCGCCTTGAGGAAGTCAAGGGGAATTGTGCGACCGAACTGGGGGTGGTGCTCATGACGGTTGACTCCTCGGAATACAAGGCGCTTTCCATTGACCTTGATCAAGCCATCTTTCATTTCGACTTGTCGGAAGCCAACACGATGAGCAATGTGCTGGTTCGGGCCCAATGATACGACCAAGTGATAGAGGTAAGGTGATTCAGCAGTCCATTTGCGAGGGTCCTTGACCTGAATCGTGACCTCTGTGGACGATTCATTCGAGGCTTCTTTGCTTGTTGACGCAACCTCCTTCTTCTGTGCATCAAGCAATTTGAATTGCAGTTTTCCAGCTCCTTGGGTCGTGACTCGAACCTTCAGGTCGGCATTGACATAGTCCGAATCAAGGAGAGTCTGCACAAAGAGATCTTCGATGCGTGCCTCCTGGGGGAAGCCAACAAGGAATACATCTCGGAAGCTGTATGCCATTAATATGATAATAATTTCGAATCTGCGACAGTATACTCACATTCCATTGGCCCACCATTGATCCTGATCTTCGATCCAAGTTCCATCACACCACTGATAGACACGAACGGCGAGAGTATTCTCCTTATCGAAGTCCACGAAAGAGGTGATGTCAAACTCGTCAGGGTTTCTGCTTCCCTGAGAGTAACCCACCTCTTTTCCATTGACCCAAACATGGAATGAAGAGTCGACACCCTCGAACCGCAGACGGATCTGGTGGTCCTTCAGTTCTTTGGGTACAGTGAAACTCTTAATGTAGGATCCAGTCTCATTGTCAGTAAATGGGACATTGGGTGGATCGACAGGAATTGGATAGACGACATTGGTGTATGCAGGTCCTTTGCCAAAGCCCTGCAATTGCCACATGCCAGGAACGGCAATGTCGCTCCATGACGAACTGTCGAAAGAGGGAGACTCGAATCCTTCTGGGGCCTCGAAGGGCGAGTATGAATGTTGGAATTTCCACGTGCCAGACAGAGAGTGCGTTCTGGATTTGTTGGAGTCGTAGCTCAGAGCATCTTCCTCGGCATTGTACAGATGGAAGTATGTACGCGGTGGAAGCGTGTTTTTGTGCAAAACCTTAAGATTGTTCCAGTCCGGGGTGCCAGCCGGCTGTGTTCCAGAAACAGAAGACATGATTGATGTTCTGGCCGAGCAATGTTTTCTTAGAGAATGGTGGCTGGCTATTTCCTGCTTCTTTTATGAGGAGCGGAAGATGTTACGGAAAAGAAGCTTCGTCATGCCATTGCCCCACGTGTAAAAGCGTTGTCCCGAATTATGGACATATTGGGAAACCCGCCCGACAGAGCGAAGTGTGAGCCAAGGATTGCCATACAGAAAAGGTGTGGTGAGCTCAGGTGATCGATTGGTATTGGTCCCCACAGTTAAACTCGTAGTGAAGTGGGCGGGTTTGGGGGAGTTTGAACTGGCACACTGGGCAAGGCAAGTTTGGGAGGATCGGCGTGCACAACTAGAGACCGGAGGGTTACACTGGAATGGACTGACACGTGACGGGATATCCCATTCGGACCAACAATAATGCGGCGGGGTATCATCGGCAGTCTGCTCCCACGACGGAGAGCCAGTCCCGATCGGGTTACCTCGCAAAGGTTAATTACTGCATCTACTGGGTTCTCCATTCCTCCACAAGTCCCTCACCAGTTCCACATCGATGCCCAGCCATTGCCTAGGCCGAGGCCTTCTCTTAGTTCATACTACGACTCGACCAAAACGCAAAAATTTGAACAATTGATTCAGGATAGACGTTGGAGCCTCTCCTTTTCCGTCTCTGCGCTACTCGCTACTGGGAATTCTTCCGCTGTCCGCTCTGTATCAGGAACCTTACCCTGGAGCTTGTTTCAACCAGCTCGAGCGTAGAACTAGCCCGTTCAATGTTGCTGAAAAGATTTGGCCATTTGTAGGGGATGGTTTTCTTGAATTGGTACCATCGCCGCAAGCAAAGCGTTGGCCCCTTTCCAAAGCGTGGTGTGAACGTCGGCCCAATGTGCGGCACTTTGTAGGAAGAATGATCATCAGGAAAATAGGCTAGTAAAATGCGGAGGGCATATCCAGGTTTTCTAGGGTTTGTCTGGGGTGAAGATGCAAGACAGGGTGGCATATATAATGAACCAGTCGCCCGGGTGTGCAAAGATCTGCGCTCCTCAGTATTTGGCCTTCATACTGTCCACGTTGTGGGTTTTCCTTTTGTACATAACATAACACAGGCTGTACTGAACTGTTCAACATGGACAAAAACGAGTACAATGTTACGCACCAGACGAGTGCCATTAGTGATGATGCTCATCATGGCGCCACGCAAGTCAAGGAGGTGAACGCGGCATCGGTTGGCCTTGGTCAGTGTACAATGTAAACAACTTGCGATCACATACTGACGTACCAAAGCGGCTGCCGTTGAGGCCCAGAAGCCCAATCTTCTCTCTCGGAACATGATGCAGTTGTACTTCATCATGGGGATTGGTCGGTATCGTCGTTCATTCGCCATTGCTGGATACTGATCCTCTCTCTTAGGATACCTTGTATCTACCATGAACGGTTTTGATTCATCATTGATGGGCGCGATTAATGCCATGGAGTCGTACCAGAAATCCTTCGGTTTGAGCGGCGAGGGTTCATCGACCGGAATTATCTTCATCATCTACAACCTTGGACAGATTGCTGCATTCCCATTCTGTGGTTTCTTTGCCGACGGATACGGCCGCCGAGTGTGCATCTTGGTTGGCTGCTTGTTGGTTCTGGTTGGTACTGGAGTTCAGACTTCCGCCAATACGATGGGTCAATTCATCGGTGGACGTTTCGTCCTTGGATTCGGTGCCTCTATTGCCTCCGCTGCTGGCCCGGCATACACTGTTGAGCTTGCGCATCCAGCGTATCGTGGTACCATGGCAGGATTGTACAACAACTTCTGGTAAATCTTCCCGTATGCGTACATCGTGGGCGAAGTGTCTAACATGAACCGTTAGGTGGGTTGGAAACATTTTGGCAGGTTGGACAACTGTAGGTGGCCACTTTATCCCGAAACACAGCATTGATACTGACTTGCGTAGTACGGTACCAACCATCACATGCCCGACTCCTCCTGGGCCTGGCGTATTCCCACAGTCGTACAGTGCGGTATCCCCGGCGTTGTAGCCGCCATGATCATGTTCTTCCCAGAATCCCCCCGTTGGCTCATCTCCAAGGAGCGCCACGAAGAGGCCATTGCCATCATGGCCAAATACCACGGTGACGGTGATGCGAACGCCCCCATCGTCCAGTTGCAGATCAGGGAAATCACCGATGACTTCGCCGCCACACATAACGAGAATCCCTGGTGGGAGTTCCGCGAGCTGGTCAACACCAAGGCTGCTCGCTACCGATTGTACATGGTGATCAGCATGGCCTTCTTTGGACAGTGGTCTGGCAACAATGTCGTCTCCTACTTCATGGTAAGTCAATCCTGACAATCTCTCTTTTGCTTTGATGCATTGCTTTGCATGAATCGGAGCTGACAATACGGCAGCCTGCTATGGTCAAGCAAGCCGGTATCACCGACCCTAACAAGCAGCTCTTGATCAACGCAATCAACCCCATCTTCTCTATGCTTGCCGCCATGTACGGAGCCACTCTCCTCGACAAGTTGGGCCGGCGCAAGATGCTTCTCGGCGGTCTCGCCGGAGGTCTCTTCTCCTACGTTCTTCTGACCGCCTTCACCGCGACCGCGAAGCCCAGCAACGACCTCGCCTACGGAACCATCGTATCCATCTACCTCTTCGGCATCTTCTTCGCCTGGGGCTGGACGCCTCTGCAAACCCTCTACGCCGTGGAGTGCCTCGAGAACCGCACCCGTGCCAAGGGATCCGGTCTCAACTTCCTCTTCCTCAACATTGCCATGGTCGTCAACACCTACGGTATCTCCGTCGGCATGGAGAAGATTGGCTGGAAGCTGTACCTCGTGTACATTGGCTGGATCGTTGTTGAGATGGCCATCATCTTCTTCTTCTTTGTCGAGACTGCCGGCAAGACATTGGAGGAGTTGAAGGAGATCTTCGAGGCACCTAACCCCAAGAAGGCATCCACCCAGCGTGTGAGGGTTGAGATGACGGAGAGCGGAAAGGTCGTTAATGTAGACCCGACAGTTTAGGTCCAAATGGCGGTGGGATTGGATTGGGTTTTGATTGAGAACAAGCGTCAGTGAATCGTGTTATTTCTGTTTGTTACATACCGTGGAGCTTCCCAACAATCGTTGGGATGTTGTCGGGAGTAACATTAGCGTGGTCAGCGGGTTGCATGAGATTCCCCAATTCCCGAGATAATGCATTCGCATACCCCGGGAGACGCCAGAGCCAGATAGGTTGGATTCTTGGAATTATAACAACAATAACATTGTTATGTGATCAATTTAAAATGCCATTGGTCAACATACTTGCATACTCCTCTCATCGGAAGTTTCCAATCAAGATCCAATCCATGCAATCCCACGTTTACTCCCAGCAAGATAACAACCGACAGGATGGCATGTCTGACGGTGCATAAAGGCGCTGGGTTGGTTTATAACCCGGCACCCAACGTCAAAGTTCGAATCGTTCGGAAACCGAACGACGATACGAAAGGGGGAAATCCAATTGAAGCCCCAAAAAGAAAATCACAAACTCACAAACAAACACGATCATAGCTCTCAGCCCATGTCGTCATGTTTGAAACAATGGCCATGATCAGCCTTACCCGCAAAGGCAATTCCGCGGCGAGGCCATGTTTCATGCTCCTTCAATTCGATAAATTCTAAATCTAATGATCACAACTGATCTCCTCAGGGACGCTTAGAGCCCATTCGGGCATCGGCGCAGAGGGAGATGGCCGAAAATAGGTTGCCCCTGAGTGACGCTAGGCCGGTTCCAACGCGCCGTCGGGCAATCCCAAGCGATGAACCTTGCGGGCGAGGCGTGTTTGCTCCACCATGACCTGCATCGTGAGTGGTGGTCGATCAGAATGGTCCAGATTCGGTGTTTGGAGTGGTTCAGAATCGGGTATTTTGTGGGTTTTGATGCTCATTGCGCAAAAGGTTATGGGTGCTCCCCCAGGCCCATTACTCTCTCCACCTGCCCTTTGGCTTTGATTTTCGCCTCCTGGACCAAACTTTGATTCTCTTCTCACCAACCTCAATTGTTCGACCGAAACGTCACGTCTCCTGGGGAGCTATTGTTTTTTTTTTCCTACTAACTATTGTTTTCTCTCTTTCTAAGGCCACCAGGACCCACGAGCTTTCTTGAGCAAGTCTCATATATGCGTGCAGCCTTCCTTTAGCTACCTTTCCACTTCTCTTCACATTTCACCAAGTTTAATCAGTTTTATACCCATAGCGCAGCAGTCATTATCGACAATTGTCTTTGCTGGACGCAGGCCGTCGAGACGTTTCCCAAACACTTACCTGCTTTACCACACGCTCTCGCCATCGCATCAATTCGAACAACATCAATTCCAAACACCATCATAATGCATCCACAATCATCATCATCACCCGAACGACCCTCCAAGTTCAAGATCCTCCGACGATGGAGGGCACCGCGCCCCCCAACACCAAGATGGAAAACATTCGTGCCTTCAGACGCCGACTTCGACGCCCCTCCGGTCCCATGTCTTTCATTCTTCGAGCCGGACACACCCCTTGAACCAGAGCACCGAGCAGGCCCAACATACTACGAGTCTCAACTATCGCGGATGGCCATCTTCGCCGAGAAGACCTCATCACGACACCGCTCGTCGTCGCAAGCGACCCAATCCACGCAGGCAGACACAGAAATCGACACGATATCGCGGCTCGGATCCGGCGTCCTAACGCCCTGGCACTCGCCGCAATCCTTCATGGAAGACCCGCAGTCCGACGAGGAAGACATCGAGGAGCTCGAATGCGAAAACGGCATCAGCTACGCACCGCTCGAGCTGACCCTCCCCTCGCCACTGCTCTCCCCGCGCTGGATGTTCCCCCGCGAGGCCCCGTGTCTGCGCCTCACGCGCTGCTCCTCCATCTCCCTCTCTTCGCAATCTCAAACCTCCACCACGTCTTCATCCACCAGCTTCTCCTCCTCAATTTCATCCTCGCTCTCCCTCCCGAGCTCGACAACAAGCCGCTGCAACTCGACGTGCGAGTCGGAGGAACTCCACATCGAGCCCCCGAGGTCGCCGTTCAAGCTCGGCTGGGACGTCGATTCCCCCGTGCGCCTGCACTTCGGCAACTTCAAGCGCGACAGCGGCGCGCTGAGGAACAGCATCATTGAGAGGAGGCTAGGACTGCGGGTAGAAGGCGCGGAGGACACTGCAAGGTGGTCTGGGACGAGGATCGATAGTATCAGGAGAGGGGGTTGAAGAGGAAAAGGGGGATGGGTGTTGTTGTTTTTCTCTCTACTTTTTATTACGCGACCACTTGATTTTCTTTTGTGAATGTGCTGCATGTTATGGTATGCATCGAAGGGATTGATACACGAAGGGGTGGACATGGCGATGGAGAGATGTAATACTTAAGGCGAGGTGAGGATCGCGAGTCTGCGGGGAGAGGTGTAAATATGGATTCTATTCTGTCGGCTTCGTGCCATTGCGATGGGCGCAGGCGCGCAATTAAAGACACGACATCTTGCGGGTGGAGGAGGTAATTGTAATTGAGACTGTTAGTAGTTCTCGTAAGTTAGGAAGAGGAAGAGGAGCGGGATCTGGCGAGAGATCAACATTGTAACGAGTGTTGTGTACAATACCTAGAAACCCACAACCGAATTCACAAGATATCCAGAAATAAAAGTCTCAAGACAGAAAGCACACGGAGTGACTAGGTACCTAGGCATGCCAGCAAGGTTAACACATGGCAACGATGGACCTTGCATGCATTGCATGAAAAAAGGTCTCGAAAATGCCAACCTCGGTCGGTTGTCGAAGCGCAGATGTTGGAACCCCGTACGAACGGAGGCCGGCCGTGAACCGAGATAGGCGATTTAAACGATGCGGTAATACTTGTACACACCTACATACCTACTTGTTACAGCTGTAGTAAGTGAGAAAGGTAATTCGCCAAGGTATTGGAATGGCGTGTGATTGACTACTGGATTTGGTAGGCAGCGCAGCGGAGGATTTGATTTGGCTTTTGTGGTGGATCTTCAATGCCGCGCACGGGCAATACGAAGTTCATTTCGTTTGTTGTTGATAGTTAGGAGAGTTTGCTAACTAAGCCCGACGTGGATTATGCGCGCGAAGGACGAGACAAGACGAGAGAGGATGAGATGGGGGCAAGGGAGTAACATGCGATTTGCGTTGCTGCGCTTCATCATCATGCTATGATGTCCATAGGGTTCAAACTTGGGACTGCTGCGTACTACTACTGGAGGGAGATAGAGGCGGAGTGGCGATGATGGCGGGCGATCAGGATAGAATGACCCTGGATGGTTCGATCGATCAGGGCAGCACGACTGATACTGCTGAGTCGCGGTGGTGGATGGTCGTCAGAACAGCCATGTCGCTTGACGTTTGTGGCGGCCGTAGCTCATTAGGTTCATTGACCATTCAACTATGGTTCGTCATTGGATGCTACGGTTGTTGGAATAGACGAAAAGAGAGAGAAAAAGGCGCACATGATTGAAGGAATGGTTGGGAATGTCTTGGTGGAACGCAATGATAAGAATGATGTCTCAACAATTGATGATAATATTGGATGTGGGATAAGTGGATGTTGGGAGCGAAAAAAAGATAATGGAATGACAAGAAATGAAGCACTATGATTGATGGAACCGTATACAATTATCGTGAATTATCTATTGTAAGGATTTTGGCATTGCCTAATTAAGACCTCTCAAGACTTTGAAATTGGATTTTCTTTTGCATTGTTGCTACCACTTGACAAGGCCGGTCAGTCAGTCCGTCGCGATCCACTTGAAGTTGATAAGGCAGTTAAAGGTGCGGCTCTGTTGGATGGAGTGCCACGCCCAAGCCATCCTCTAAGATCCACTCCGTTCCACCCTATATCCCACGCAACTGATAACGACCTCCCTCCTACCATAGATATGGTTTCTCACACATACACAAGACTTTTTGACACAGTAAGGAGTGAGCGACGGCCACCGATCTCTGCCTACTTGGCATTAGATGATTATGGCAATTGACGGACCCCCGATTTCCATTAAGATAATACCGCTTCGAACCGAATGACATCTCGGCAGCAGCAGCATTAGGTACGCCTCACACATCACGACGGGGCTTATTGTTAGAAGACAGCGGACATGCGCCGACCCCAGACGGATCGAAGGGGAGGCCCTTCTCCGCATGTTGCGTGTTGCGTTATGGTCTGGCCGCCAGCAACCGAGGCCATCACGAAGTGTACTACACGGTGCTAGACTCCTAGAGTGGACGCGGAGAGGAGGCTGTGGAGGAGCGGAGCGTAGCGCGAGGTGGAATACACTTTGGAGGAGACTAGAGGAGGGAATGATGCCAATGCAAACGCGTAAGAGAAATTGACATCTGGCGCGCCACGATTCCCACGAACCCACGGCGGGACGAATTGAGCAGGCGGGGATTGTCGAGTTGAAACTGGCATACGAGATGGTAAAGAGTTAGGGGGTGACGCTACACTCTAGACGGCGAGAACCAACGGCGGTAGACACCGAATGCAGCGGATACACTAGAACTCAACAGGCAGCTGGTAACCATGACACTGGAATGGGGAGCACGTGAAGTCCGGGGTAGACCGTATGCAATAATCATGTAGCCAAGATAGGGTAGGTAGGGTATGGCTATGGTATGGGTGTTTTAGATTTGGTTACCATGGGTTATTTGCTAACTGTATGCACCTATGTACGAGTAGCTAACTGATTTGTCTACTCCGTGGGTTGTGACTTGTTGATCTGTACCTAAATGCCTATTACATTGGAATAATGCGCATACAAATTAAGAATGCATTGGAAAACGGAGACTAAGAATACATGCTCGGAACATGGGAAGAGTCAAGACAGAATTAAGAAAAAAGTCCATAATCTTACGACTACTCACGGAGTACAGCGGGCAATTTGACGAACTAGAACGGTCTTTGATCCGGGTCTTGGAAATATGGATGGGCCTCTTCTCTTCATGTTCCATCATGGACGATAATCTCAATAATCAGCGAATTCACTTGGCAACTCCTACGCCGCAATAAACACCTCGTTAAGTGATTGCCCAGTAGTCCAGACTACTTCTACCTAGGTAGGTACTGTATGTAGGCCCATACACGATAATTGCCTACCGTAGACGCGTAGAGATGCCTACCTATGCTTGTATCGTTATATTCCGTAGTACCGCAGAAGAGCCCGCTCCACTGCCTACAGTGTCCGCCATACACCGGGCACCCTACAGGCTACAGGCCACATCCACATCCACATCCACATCCACATGCCACACACGCACATTACAGTACCCATTAGACCTACCATAACGAGCCATCGCCTATTTTTCATGCCATCTCAACTCCCGTTCGTTGGGCGCAGCAGGCGACGGACGCACAGCGCGCACGCAACAGCAGCCTGATCTGGGCTTTTGCGCCAGTAAGCATCTTCTCTACTGAAAGAGGCATGTGCAAAGAAATCTTACCCTCTAGCCAAGAGGCAATGCTCTTCCTGCTGTAGCCAGTCCGTAGCCAGTGGTAGCCACCAGTAGCCAGTCGCGTCGCGGTCAGTCCATTCTAGCTATGTTCTAGAAGAACCATCGCAGAGCTGTCGTGCCTTGGGTCGTCGGCCAGCGACCACTGTACCCCAGGATGACGGCCCATACTGGAATGGGTTACATCTCCGTGCCACCGCCGACCTGGTCTCCTCGAGAAGCTATCCCACCAAGACAGTCGCCTTTTCTAACCTGGTTTGGGCCAAGATCCCCAAGAAATGCATTCATGCCTAGTGTCATGGCGGCTCCTTTGATCCAACAATGGCCCTGCCGTTACATCCAAAACCTACCAATGGGAGACTGTGCCATAATCTATACAGCGGCTAGGATGCGTCTGGGGGGAGGCAATTGTGCCAAGTCGCAATGTGTAGAGTCCCTTCTCATCGGGTGCTCCGTGATATTATTCGAGCCACACCCCCCCCCTCCGCTGATCATCCAGCGCGAGCTGCTCGAGTCCCATAAAGGTCGGCTGCTTCCCAGGGATCTGGTCTGGTTTGTTCTGCTTCCAACCGTTCATTCTCTTTTTACATTTCAGAACAACTGCCTATCATGGCTGCCGAGTACGAGAAGAATCCGGCTACGGATTACGAGAAGGGTATTGCACCCAGCGATGAACAGCGTCGTGGCTCTGCGGTTGTCGTTCCCAAGGTCGACTCTGCTGGCAACGTCGTTGAGCAATGGAGAGACCAGGAGGACTTCTACACCCGTAACGGGTTGAACTTGAAGTCCTTCCAGAGGCGTCCCCAGGGAGGCATGATCGAGCTTGACAAGTCCATGAAGACGCGCCATTTGCACATGATTGCCATTGGTGGCTCCATTGGTGCTGGTTTCTTCGTCGGTTCTGGCAGTGCTCTCAACACTGGTGTAAGTTGTTTATCCAGTTTCAAAGCAGAGTGCATGCTATTCCAAAGCATGGCATTGTGCCAGTTTGATTGATTTCGTGCTCACATCCGAGACAGGGCCCTGCTTCGGTTCTCATTGATTTCTCTCTCATGGGTGTTATGATCTTCAACGTCGGTAAGTTTGAACCAGAATACCAACCTTTTTGGCTGATTCTGTGGCGATCTTGGCTTTCGTAGCTGGCGCTGACAAGCCTCGCAGTCTACGCCCTCGGTGAACTTGCTGTCATGTATCCTGTCTCTGGTGGTTTCTATACCTACTCCGCTCGCTTCATTGATCCTTCTTGGGGTTTCGCCATGGGTTGGAACTACGTCTTGCAATGGGCCGTCATCTTGCCGCTTGAACTTACTGTCGCCGCCATCACGGTTAATTATTGGGGTTCCAATATTAACATTGCTGTCTTCATCACGGTCTTCTGGGTATTCATCATATTGATCAACATATGGGGAACCCTTGGATACGCCGAAGAAGAGTTCTGGTCGTCCTGCCTCAAGCTCGGCGCGACCGTTGTCTTCATGATCATCGCCCTCGTCTGCGTTCTCGGTGGAGGACCCAGCAACGGCAAGTACTCTGAATACTGGGGCGCCCGTCTTTGGTACGACCCAGGTGCATTCAAGAACGGATTCAAGGGCTTCTGCTCCGTTTTCGTCACTGCCGCCTTCTCCTTCTCCGGAACGGAGCTTGTTGGTCTTGCTGCCGCCGAGACAAAGAACCCTCTCAAGTCGCTTCCCGGAGCTGTCAAGCAGGTCTTCTGGCGAATCACTCTGTAAGTCGTTGTTGTTCTTATTCCCAGTTCCCAGTTCCCAATCACACTTACCCGCCTTCAACCCCGCATCCTGCAGCAAGCGCGCTGCCCACCCCCTCCCACTCCCACACAATCCACCACCTACCCCACAATGCACAACGTGGCAAGCTCCCTCGTTCAATTCCGCATGCATCACTTATCGTCATTCGCATCATTGGATCCTCCAACCGAACCAAAAGAAAGCATTTCCTAACATCCATTGTTCCACAGCTTCTACGTCCTCGGTCTCTTCTTCGTCGGTCTCCTCGTCAGCAGCGATGATGAGCGTCTCCTAGGATCCGGTTACATCGATGTCACCGCCTCTCCCTTCGTCATTGTCGGTAAGGATGCCGGACTCAAGGGCTTCGACAGCTTCATGAACGTCGTCATTCTCGTCTCCGTTATCTCCATCGGTGTCTCTGGTGTCTACGGTGGTTCCCGTACCCTCACTGCCCTCGCCGAGCAGGGCTACGCCCCCAAGATCTTCGCCTACATTGACCGCTCTGGCCGTCCTCTCATGTCCGTCAGCTTGATCTTGATCATGGGTGCTCTTGCCTACATCAACTTGGCTGCTGCCGGTCCCGAGATTTTCGCCTGGCTCTTGGCTCTTTCTGGTCTCGCCGCTCTCTTCACCTGGGGCTCCATCTGCTACTCCCACATCCGTTTCCGCCAGGCCTGGGCTATTCAGGGCCGCTCCCTTGACGAGATTCCCTTCAAGGCCGTCGGTGGCGTCTACGGATCCTACATGGGTCTTCTCCTCATCGTCATTGTCCTCATGGCTCAGGTATGTCCAAATTCCCCCCAACCTAGATCGCACAGCCAGAACATTCCACTAACAATTCATTTGCAGTTCTACACCGCTGTCTCCCCCATCGGCGAGAGGGTCGGAACCGCCGAGGCCTTCTTCAAGTCCTACCTCGCCGCCCCCGTCGTCCTCTTCTTCTGGGCTTGCGGCTACATCTGGAAGCGCAAGGGCTGGCTCAAGCTCGACCAGATCGACCTCGACACGGGCCGCCGTGAGCTCGACTGGGACTACATCAACAAGCAGAACGAGGAGATGAAGCACTGGCCCGCCTGGAAGCACTGGATGCACAAGATCTTCTAAGCGCGTTGCGAGTATATATTCGCGCCCGCATGTCTATCTTGTCATGCCGTTATTCCTAACTGTGTACAAATTCTATACTATAACACATGTTGCGTCTCCGCGCTGAGGGGGGGAAAGAAACGGGTCTCTTTGGGACCGACGGATCTGATTGTCGATGAAGATACCTCGCTACCATTCTATACATACTATTAATGGCATTTCCTTCATGTCTACACTTCGTTTTTGATCTCCATGCACGTGATTCTTCTACCTCAAGTATCTCATGCGACAACCTTACAACAACTAACAAGCAAAAGTCCCATAGCTCACCACCGTAGGGCATCGCAAAACAAAACAACAGCACAAAACCACGCCATTTCGCCCGCCCACTAACAACCACCATTAGTTCACCCCATAGCGCGCGCGCGCGCACGTCCACCCACACAATTATACACGCACCACGCAACAACAAATTCCAAAACACTGAGGACAAGGGGCCCAGGCGCGACGTACTCCCCCATCGGGCAGGTCTCGCGCTGCAGGGAGCCAGCCAGCGAGCGTGCGCGGAGTGGTAACTATGGCAAGGGGTCCCTTAATTTTCATACGTGGTGTGGTGTGGTGTTCGGTCGGTCTGTCGGCACGTTGTGTGTTTGGGGGAGAGGGGGCATTGTTTGGTTCCGATGATAGGAACGTGTTACGTGCTAAGGGAAAGATAGAGGATAGTATGGGATCCGAAGATGGGATTGCGAAAATAGAGGCGGAATGGATGGCGGAATTAATTATTGCCTTTTTTTTTGGTGAATTGTTTACCTGTGATTGAGATGATGGTGTTTCTGCTTTGAATTGACATTGGAAATCATGAATAGTATTGCGCGCAGTACACACGCGACATGTGAAAGACCAAACCAACCCCATCATCATCCGACGACACCTCCTCCCCCCCCCTCCTTCTCCCTTGAACTTCGCATTGAATAAGAGCTGGAGAGCAAGTCGGCGTGTATAATCATATACACGCCCATCCAAAGCATTCTAGAACCCCGACCCTCTAATCTCCAACTCTCTAGCTTTCCCCATTGTGGATACCCAAATTCCACCGAGCTACTAGGTAGACTAGCCCACGAGAGAAAAAAAGGATCACGCTTGGGATTAGGTAGACTGGAGGAGGCTCTGCGTGTCGAAGGGCTGGGGGCTAAGCTAAGGCAAGGTACGGAGGGACCTGAGTCAGGTCTCTGTAATTACAAGTAACTATGTAGTTGTCTAACGGTAGGCTAGACGTGAAGGATTTTTCGTCTTTCGTCTCTTGGTGGAAGAGAGGGAGACAGAGACGGAGGATGGATGGAGGTGGGAGTAAGCATGCCATGCGCAGACGCCAGGACACTCGGAGGATGCGACGGCGCGGGGCGGCGGGGAGACGTAGGTATGGGCAGGGTAGGGCAGGGGGCGCGTGCGGCGTACGTAGCAACTACCTAGTACATAGTTGAGTGACTTTTGCGCATAAGTCTCGCCTTTTGGTTTGGCTTGCGATCGCGATACTTGTCGTTGAAGAAACCATGCTCGGTCGTGTCCGATAGTTGTTTGTCTGTACGAAGTATCTGCTCGTATGATCTACGAGTAATCACCTATTCCCTCCATACAAAGTGGATAGTAGAACAACTACTCGTAGATTGGACAATTCCTGCCCTCCCTCTCGTTCCCCCCATTCCGACCAGTCAGATCGCAGGACTCGGTTTCTCGATCCTCGGGTTCCCAGCTAGTCAACTTGCCTTAGGTACAGCAACTAGAGTGGCTAAGACATGAGTGCCACCACTCAAGCTCAAAAACACCCGCGGGCATGGATCTGGCGGGCTTGATGGATGGATGGCACGCACGTGTGACCGACAAAGTAGTTAATGCGTACCAGTCCCAGTAAGTTTGCAACTGTGTTACAGGGATCCCTCCCCTCCAATCCGACTTTGTGTATTTGCACACCACACCACACCATCGACAATCATACGAGGTACATCGTGATCGTCAGCTGAATGATTACATTTCTGTAAGAGATAAGATAGATAGACAGACCAACGTCATGCTCAGCTTCGAAAGGTCGGGACGAGAAGAATGATTGATCTGTTTGGTCGAGCGGGTAGATTGGTTTCCGTCCGTTGGCAATCTTACAACGCGCAAACGAGACAGACGATGGGATATCATCTATTGAATAATTAAACGGAGGGGGAACGAAACATGGCAGGAATGCAGGCGTCGTTTATTGGATGTTGCACGAGATTTCGGTTGGGTGAGTCCGTTCTTGGGAAACGACTGGGATGTCTGGTATGGCAGAGGGTCGTTGGGTGAATTAGGAAGCCGATTCTTCCACAATTTCCCCTTTGCCTTGCTGTGCCCTTTGCCTAATTATGAGAATTCGACAAGCTTTCACCCTTTTCCCTTTTCTCCTTCTCCTGGACGACGATGGACGCTGCTGCTCGTTCAACCACGCCGTATGACTGCGATTCAATATTGCATCTGATCGTGTCGTGGCGCATCGTAAGGTTACCATCCGATGAGTAATTCGAACATGCGAGAGCGACGAGAACAGTCAAAACATCGCAGTCATGACACGGGCCATCATCATGATCACCAAATTCAGGCGTCCCAGCCAACACATGATGTCCCCTTCTCCATCCTCCTTCTTCGGCTAGAGTAGACGTTACACAGCGAGAGGGTCAATATCGCAAGACGCGGGGGCGAGCGAACGATAGAATGTCCGTCGACTCCATCCCCTTCAAATCGCTCACCGCGCATACGCGTACACCTACCTCAACTAGAACAAGACATATTGATAGATCGAACAGTCTTGAACGCGTGTGCTCCTTCGGACTACGTCCCTCCTCTTGCATCCATCCCCATCCCCATACCCGTCCTTACTCTCTTTGGAACTCATCCGATCCCCAGACACAATGCCAGGCTAGGGCCGATCGCCGCGCGGGGTGCAAGCGAGCGGTCTTGCGGCTTCGTGCGGGTATGGTAATGTAGTACGAGGTATCATGGGGGATCTGCTGAGTGGCTTTTTTTCTCTTTCGTTTTCGCTCTTTTCTTTGCTTTTGACGGCCTAGTTTGCTCGGTCGGTCGGTCGGCAAGCGGTCGTGTTTGAGTAAGGCAATTGGCGTTCGGCTACCTGCGGGTTAAAAAAACAACGTTCTTGTCTGGGGGTTCGCTAACAGCCATCCGCCCCCAGACTAACACTTGATGAATGAACAGATGGGATTTACGTAGTTGTTATTGGGGAAGAAATAATGGGTGATGGCGGTGTGGCGGCCTCACGATGGGTTGGGGAAAGGTTTGAATTTCGTAATATGGGGTAACTAGTGGTTTTACTCCATAGTTTCTTTCGCCTTCGTTTGGTGCCAGGTAACGTAGGGTAGGATGGGCCCTCAGATGGACTGTGGGGATGGCGTGCGGAGAGGTCGCCGTTCACTTTAGTTAACACAGACCATTATTGAAGGGAAAAAAGTGGTCTGTCGTGTAGATCTGGGGAAGAAAGTGGAGTTTTCTCTTCTTCTTTTTTTGTGGATCGTCGATGGGTTGGCCTTTGGTGGCGAACGAAAATCTGGGGTCGGATCGTTGGTTTGACAGGAGGCGAACTATTGTGGATCAAAGTTTGCGGGGAAAGACTAACTACTTGAGTGGTTTTAGTAGTATATCAACTTTTGTGGAGGAGGAATAGTGATGGAAAGGATGAGGGAGTAAGAGTTGTAGTATCACGGTGGTGATTGTGTTTGATGTTGCATTTTTGGACGTCGTGCTATGCTCCCTGGGAGTCGCTTGTTCCTGCTCTATGAGACTCTGGCAGTGACAACCTCTCACCTCCCTAGCAAGCCACTCGACCTCGCAATCACATCTACCTCACATCTCCCAATTAATGAAACATAATCAATTCCCTTGGTCGTGCTAAACACATACCAAGCCATCCCTCTTCACAATCCCTAGTAACGTAACACGCCCCTGGTGCTGTCACCATCCTCCGAGTACCAATCTCACCACTCCCGCTCCACCCTCACACATGCACCACCACCACCCATCACCATATCTAAGCCATAGTCACAAAGACAAAAAAGTCCAAAGCCGAAACGTAGGTACACAAGTCACATCCCACCCACCTCCCCCGTCCCCCACATCCCAACGGCGCGGGAGACAAGACCCCATCCCACTACCCCGGGTTCCCGAACACCAAACACCAAGCAACCAGCTAAACAACAATCGTCATAACCTATGCGTTCCGCGTCTTCGGGACAGGAAAGCTTGACCTTCACAATAGGTAACGAGTGAAAGCTTCGGCGCAGTAGTGGAGGAGGGGCGCATTGTCCCGGATCTGTGGCACGGTGTGGTGTTGTCCCTTGCTTGGTTTCGATTGTTTGTCTTGGGTGTTGGGTCTTGGGAGGGGGGAGCGTTGGCTGTTTTGTGTTTCTCCGAGGGGAAAGGGAGGGAAGGGAGATGTTTAGTGAGTGGATCAATGTTTACTCCGTCTGTGTATTTGAAAGGGAATTGAGTCGTGCTCGTAACGAGGAGGGATAATTTTAAGATTTTTTTTTCGATATCTTAAGTATAATTTTTGGAATGAGATTTTATTTTGGGATTTTGATATTACAATAGCTTGGTGAACGATGGCTGCCTTTTCCTACCCTCAGGTAGTAGGCTACGCAAATCATTTATACTTTCAAATATTTGAGATACGTATATTACTACTTTTTCCTTTATCGTGCTTTAAATGGGTGGAAGCTGTCACAGTTACTTGTAAGATGTCATTGTTTCTTTGTGCTCATGTTTCGCGCCCAGATCTGTGCAGCGTTATTGTCGCACCCCTTGTTACTGATACGCCCAACACAATGTGGTATCAGGGATGAAATGACAGCTGGTATTATCACGGAGATTTCCTATTGGGTTGTGTATTTGCCTCTGATTGGGTGTTTCTATTGTCTACTGCTGGGGAGCTGATCGGTGTGGTGTTATGTCTTAGGAACATACTTTTATAGTGAGACTATGCTCTACTATGGAATACTACCACTACCATGAGACAAACCTCTAATTCTTTGATTCATGTGCAAGCAGGTAACTTGTACCTTTTCGCAACAAAAGTCATCCTCACAAGACCACTATCTTATTTATAGCAGGCGGCGTTACAGGCTCAGATCTCATCAGGAGCGATGTAGGAATTACGACACTATCCAAATCTCTATACCACATCACACACTCCAATATACCCTTCATCCGCATCCAAAACCTCCCCACTCGAAGCCCACAAACTCATCACGGCACCAACACTCCCATCTCCACCCCTCGACTCGACTCGACGAAAAACACCATCACATCAAAAGGTGGCCCCGGAGACACAGGAGAGACAAACGTAGTCGGCACACCAAGCGCCGCACCATCGTACAACGTAAAATGATACCACCCGCTCGTAATGAACAACCCAGGTGTGGCATTGAAGTCAAGCTTCATTTTTGATTTGTCAGGTTGCGCCACGATACAGCGTCCTAGGTTGAATGTATCGTGCGTAGAGACGTGTCGGATGTGGCCGTTGACGACGTTCGCGAACTCGCATAGCGGCGAGTGTGCCAGAGTCACGGAATCTAATTCCGTGACTAGGGTGTGGATGTGGTTCCTGAATGATCGCGCGGGGAGGCCGAGGTGCGGTATGAGGTTCGCGTTTGCGCCGAAGGTGGATATCGAGATGGCGGATGTTTGATTTGATGTGTTGTGCTTGCGTCGGGCGAGGTGGACGCACTGCCAGTGGCGCGCTGAGAGTGCGGTGAATGCGGAGGCACGATGCTTGCTGTCGACTGGCGGCCTCGCGTTTGAGGGCGTCGATGGCTTGAGGGGAGAAGAGGGGGTTCGTCCTGTTACTGGGTCGTTCGTCGAAACCTGTCGTGTCTTCTGGGAGGTTGGCATTTCGATACTCTTCTCCCTTCGAGAGTATGGTCGCGGTACTGGTCCAGCAATTATTTCTCTCGTGCTAAGGAGAGACGTTAGATGAATTGCGATGTTTCAGTGGGCCGAAAGTCAGTGAAACCTGAATAACAAAGCACTGCTATAGCTATATTGCTATTGTAAAACTAATTACGCCGCCAATAAATTGAATGTATAGATATTATCGAGAGCAAATTGGATACCATTGTCACGGGAGAAGATCCCATCATGGAGTGAACGGTATACATAGAGATTGGAAATCAAATAGTTCTTTTATAAGCCTACACCATCTTTGCCTGTCCGTGTTTTTTAAGTACAGTCTCAACGGACTACACCGGCTGTTCTTTAGCTATGAAGTGTCTGCCCTGTATCATGTATACGTGCAACGCACAGCGGCTTCAGTAAACGACTCCAGAGAGTAGGAGCCAAGATGTCATCGAGACTTAGGGGCCTCCTCAGGCCATTCGAGATTTTTTTCGGCGATCCTATGAATGTGATGCTAGGACATCCGATGCGATTCTAAGCAACTGTAGTTCGACCTACCTAGGGAGGAGAGCCATGGGGTTTGAATGTAGCATCGCGCCGATGGCTGCCGGGCGAGTGCTGTTCATGATAGCGGCTCCAGTCATTGGCGTGATAAAGCGCTTGCTACCTCGCTTGATGACCTTTCTCTTCAATATCCTCAGATCAGAATTCCAATGGCCTCCTTGTACGTGTTGACTAGCAATGCCGCAATTTGAGATTAAACATCGCCTCCTTGCTCGACATACTGCTCGAAATCTAGGCTCTTAATCATCGCATGAAGGATTCACGCCGCATTTTTTACCTTCTACCCTGCACCTACGATAACATGAAACAGCATATAGGTATCATACTGTACGCTCAGTACTTCAAGCACAAGTCAGACTTCTAGAAAGCGCCCCGAGCACCCGTACAGAAGGACCAGAGGTTTCGCATCCAGCTTCTGTGACCAGTGTTCGACATAGAACTTCTCGACGTTGCCTTTCTCATCTTCAACGTCCATTTTGTATCATCGACCATACTTATCAAACGTTGATGATGAGAGAAAGGAAAGATAGGAAGCTCAAGCCAGCTTATGTGCGGGCTAGGGAGACATATTGGTGATCAAATTATAATTGTCACTCAGGAACAGCGATGACCCAGAGATGCTGGTAAATTGGACAGGTAGAATATGACAATAAGTGGGGAGTGAATCTGTTGTAATTGAAACATAAAGCAATGATAGCAGTAGACATTGAGATTGTAATTGTAAATCGCTAATAAACATTTCATGCATATGTAACCCTTATTTTTTCTCCCATGAATTCATCTTGTAAACTAATCGTAGAAGACTAGACACCTGACCTCGATGCTCTGCCTTCCTGGTGCATCTTTGGGTGTATTGGGGTCGATAAATGCTGTGTGTGGGGTCCTAAGTGCCAATCCCTTTCTGCCCTTCTCCATACCCTCGCCTCTCGAGTCAAAGCACTTCAAGAGCATAGTCTCATCCGGGGTCATATCCTTGAGATAGTAAAACTTATGGGAATCGTTTGCCGCAACACCAAGTGTCTCGCCCTTGGCCTCATAGCCATCGGTCGATTTACTGCTCTCCGCTGATGGCAATTTCTCCTTTCCGCGGTCATCATCGTCGGCATCCTGACTGTCCCGCCTTGGATAGAGGAGGTCCGTAGGGACAAAGTCCGATTCAGTCGTTGAACGCCAATCAATGACAGCAAGGGGAAAGTCGGAGGCAGGATTCTCAATTGGACGCCAGACATTGATGATCTGATAACGGCCTTTCAGAAGTTCCTCTGCCTCATCTGCAGGAAGATGGCGCCGGACACGCACCTCCGCTGCTCCTGGAGTCTGATCTACATGCACCTGTTGTACAGGCTGGCGAGGTGAATCCTTGGTTCTCCGTCGAATGGTGTGGTCGAATATGACAATTTTCTTGATTCCGGGAAGTTTGGCGCGGAGCAGTTGCTCTACTTCTGCGTAGTAACCGCCTCGCACCGCGGCGTCATCGGTGAACAATTTCTCTGTAGCAGGGTAGTTGTAGACCGCAAAGCCCGAGTTGTCGGTCGTGAACTTGTCTTCCTGACCTCGCAGGTCATGGACTTCCCGCTCATAATCTTTCTGTTCGAAAGAAGTGCCACCACCATCGACCTTGCCCCACGGCTTGCCGGTGTAGCTAGTCGTATCAATATGCTTAAAAATTGCTTTGGACATGATGAATGTATTGGCTCAGTGGCTTAAAGAAAGAAATAGAACTCTGAGTTAATTGAAGAAGCGTGAAATGATTATGGGTGACTACCGAGGTTTTAAATCTCGTCTCAAAGTATGATTTGAAGGTTGATTTCTAATTCAGAATTAATAACGTCATTAAAACACTAACCGACATAGGCTAGCATAGGTGGCGTTCAGAGCTTGGAGTTTGTCACCAACAATAAAGTCATCAAGCAGGGAAACAGTAGACGCGGAAGCAAATAGAATAAAGTCGATAATGCTTCGATATTGAGAAGATACTGTGAAACGTAGGTGAGTATTTCATCGTCAAAATGTATGACTATATGTTTATAGCCGCTGTAGAAACAATGCACTTCGGAGTTCATGCTTCATGATTGGTTGATGGGAGAGAGAGCTTCCCCGCGGTTGAGATTCTTGGCACGTATATATTTCCCAAGATTTGTTTCCGTCGCTGCCTGGATTCAACAAGTTGCAAATCTGCTTGCTACACACGATCCTTGCGAAGATGCGGCCGCGAGACTTTAGCGATGATGACGAGCCTCTCGTCGACGTTACGGCAGCGATACCGCTCAAATCAAAGCGAACAGCGCGCATGAACCGCAAGAAAACGGTCCGCGAAACGAAGGAAAGGCAAAAACCGAGTCTGACCAACCTACCCACGGAGCTTGTCCTCGAAGTATTACAGTACCTCCTACCTAGCGATGTTCTGAATCTCTCACTCGTGAATCACCGGTACAATGCCGTTGTTAACGGGAATGCCAATATCGTGGGCAACAAGATTATCAAGCGACGATACGCCATACTCGCTCAATGCTTTCAGCTTCCGCGACTCCTCTCCGATATTGAGCCTTCGATGCGAATGATTCTACGGGAACCAACCCGGCAGAAGTCGCTCACTATACATCGAAATCCATACCAGCACATCCGAAGACCTGATCCGCAATATGTCTGTACTTGTGTAACGTGCATACTTCTATGGCACAACCTATGCGTTGCGCTTGATTTTGCGCATTGGCAGGATAAATTGGACTCGTATGAACCCATTACCATGATACCACGTGGCCAGTCGACGGCATGGAATGAGGCATTGCTGGATCGGAATGCGAGAATTGTACGCAAGGCGTTAGAGAGTTCGCTCTGGCACGCTTGGATATTGGAAACACATCTGAAAAGCACAGTGCGTGCCATAAGGCGCCAGAATGCAAACAAGGGGAACAAGCGGAAACACGTGGACATGACGCCAGAAGAAGCTGCATCTGAGATGGATGCATTTCTTGAAAAGACAGGACCGCCCAGTCACGAGATGCCCTTTCACCGGGATAATTACTACTTGCTGTTCGTTACCTTCCGACTAATTAGTGATCCACGTAAGCTAATACTTCCCAGTGAGGCATATTTGCCAAGGAGGGCATGGAGCTCGAAGGAGCAGAGATGGAGATACAATGTGGCTGGAAGCCACGAGCAGGATCTCGTGTATCTTGCACGTTCTTCAATGCCATGAGAGAAAAAGACATCGCATCCCGATAGCGGACCCTTGAGCATATCAATGATAAGGTATAAGTTCACCCTGAACCTGCCTCGGGCGTGGCGGCCGGATCATTCTCCATTGATGAGCCAATCCCGCCTCGATCATGTCGGTAGGAAAGGCCCAGATGTAGACGTATTAGTTCATCTAGATATATTCGTGATGTTCCGACTTCGATTGAAGCTACAAAGGACGCCAACGGCGAGCTTAGGTTCAGGTCGAAGCGATGCTTGATGCGGTGAACAACAAGCTCAACCATCACCAATGAAACATTCAATGCGGGGGAAGAGAAATGTAAGGAGATATTTTCTTCCATCATTATGACTGTTACACTACAATGGCCTACAATGGTTAGCCAGGGGGAAATATCCGAACGGGACTGTCTGCCGGGAATAAGCTATCCAAAACGTTCTGGAACAAGTGCTGGGACCGAAGTAGAACAACATAGTTCTATCATTAACTGGCGCTCACGATCTTTCCATGCTTGTCTTAATGGTGCTTGAGTACTCCGTATTTTTCTTAATCTCTAATATCTTCATCGTCATGAAAAATCTGAAGATTGTCGATCGCATTGAATATCCCCACGCTTTCACCCTATTTGGCGTTGGTTCGCGTTGCTAGCAGTAGTTTTACCAGTTATCACCGCCACAACGTACTTTATTATCGGAAAATGGGACCCTTCCCCACATCTGTTCGGTCCTTCGGCAAATGAGCCAGCCGTATCAGTGGATACCATAGGTACGAGTAGTTTCGCACCTGGCACCCTAGTTATGAGAGGACAATCTCTTCCCTCTGATCATTGACTCAGAGATATGTATGACTGGAACAAGGGCAGATCAAAACCAATATGTGTCGCAATTGTGGGATGAAATTCGCGACATAGTCACAATAATCTGAACAATCATGGACGAGACCTCAAGATTGGATATCCGTTCAGACCAAAACACCGCCATCTCTTCGCCCAATGCATCGACGTCACCCCTTGCCAAAGCGAAATCCATCGCAGAGAATGCAATTGAACGGACACTTTCACATCGAACAACGCAATCCACGCTGACTCCTGGTCCTCCTCCCGATGGCGGTATACAGGCTTGGACGCAGGTAATTTGTGCCTGGTTGGCGATCTTGAATACATGGGGATTCGTAAATTCTTTCGGAGCATTCCAAACGTACTACGCAAGCATTCTGCCACAGACGCCGTCAACCATATCGTGGATTGGCAGTACACAAGCCTGCCTGTTGTTCGCACTGAGCATATTCTCCGGGCGCGCACTAGATGCAGGACTATTCAGACCAACCGTCATCATCGGTATTGCGATCCAACTCGTGGGAATATTCACAATGAGCGTGTCTCATAACTACTGGCAGCTGCTTTTAACCCAGGGAATATGCACTGGAATAGGAGGAGGAATATTCTTCGTCCCGACAATGGGCATTGTGAGCACTTACTTTGCTAAAAGAAGGGGTCTCGCTCTGGCCGTTGTGTCGAGCGGCAACTCCATGGGCGGCGTTGTATACCCAATTCTGGTCAGGCAGCTCTTGGGTAGGATTGGATTTGGCTGGACGGTGAGGGTACTGGGTTTCGTCAATGTCGTGAGCCTTGCTGTGGTTATTGCTTTTATGAGACCTCGATTGCCACCGCGGAAGACGGGGCCAATCGTTGACATGGATGCGTTCACAGATATTCCCTATTTACTGCACATTGGTGGTATGCTCTTCATCATGGCACCAGTGTATTTTGTCTTCTACTATGTAAGGCCCTTCACAACCTTCGGTTCTCTGAACGCGCTGCTAACAAAAAGGCTCAGGTCGGATCGTTCGCCAGAGACAAACTCGACATGTCCTACAATGCCTCTCTGAACCTCGTCATGATCATCAACGGCGCCGGTGTTCCCGGGCGCATCATCCCCGGCTACCTCGCCGACCGGTTCACCGGCGTCATCAACATGTTCATCCTCTGCCTCATGTCCAACCTGGTTGTCTCCTGGTCATGGCTCGCCATAGACTCAATACCGTCCTATTACGCATACGTGACGATCTATGGCATTCTCATCGCATCGTTCCAGGGCCTGTTTCCGTCGACCGTCGCGGCGTATAGCAATGATATTACGAAGACGGGTACGCGACTTGGGATGGCGTTTACGGTTATTGGGTTTTCGGCGCTCGTGGGCGGCCCGATATCTGGGGCGTTGCTGAGAGCTGGGGGAGGATATGTCGCGCCTATATGTTGGAGTAGTGCCAGTCAGACTGTGGGCATTGGGTTGATAGTCGCGGCAAGAGTGCGGAAGCATGGATGGAGGCAGGTTAAGAAGTGCTAGGGCTTGTGATTTACAGAGGCATTGTGCATTGAGACGCGCAGCGTTAGTGGCGTTTATTATCGCATCCGATACAGTTTCAATGGTCGCGTAGGATTCAATAAGCGTATGGTCGTTGTTCTAGCGGAGGAGCATCATAGTGGCAGGGCCACGATAGAAGCCATAGGTCCACCTAAAGTCAAGTCATAGAAATACAACAGCTTTAGAGATTCCGATTATCAATGTATTTTATGGCGCTTAATACATTTCATTCCATCCAATTACTATGAGCGAATGTATCGAAAATGTGAGATCTCACATCTTCAGTCCGTCCTCACACGTCGTGCAACGCGACCCATCATCAATCGCGATCCACAAGGGCATCAACTCTCCACATCTGCCCCTATCTTGTGCGTATCTCTTGCTCCATAGTGAAGAGATGAATCACTCCGTACTTCTCTTTTCCAATGTCATCCTAATTCAATTAATATGACGTCGTGCTGTTTGCTGCGAAACCCGGTCACCATGGCAACACTTCACTTCACAGTGTAGACAAACAGCAGCCTCCCATTGTCAATCCCCATCTGTGCAACAACATCACAAATCAATTTGAAAATGGAAGTGCGAGACGATTTCCAACGGATGGACACGCCCCACTGTGACATGCAGTGGGAGCCAACAGTCGAGCAGTCGACAACCGTCGCCGACGGTAACCATCATTCGGGACAGCAATCGCCGAAGAAAGGCAAGAAAAGGAAGAGGCATCCACCGAAAAGGCACGACCTACCTGTGATACATGAGTTCCAAGGAGTTGATGGTCCTACTCTCGCAAATTCGTACGAAGCGCATGATGAAGAAAATACTCTTCCAGTGTATTGCCACACTTCCATCCCAACCCACAATAGAAATCGAGAAACCAGCAGCGATACCAATGAATACTCCATGCTTTCGCATCCTCCAACACCATTAAACCCCGGACAAGATTCTCCTCGCCGCGAGACCTTCGATCTCGTCCACCTACTCAACTCCAACAACTTCCGCGGCACTCTCTCCATGTTCTCCAAACGGCTCGACCTCCTCCACGACCAAATCTCCCTCTTCGAGACTATAAAACTCGAACTAGAAATTCTCAGGAAAGCGTATTCTGGGAACGACGAGGCCAAGTACTACGCGATCATCAAGCGGATCGAAGCATACGACAACGTCGCTCGGATCGCAGCGATGCATTTCACGGACGTGCTGGTGCACAAATTGGCTCTCTGCGACGTTATCGAACAGACCGAGTTTGAAATGGAGAAGGAAGTGAGAGGTGAGATTAAGAAGGCGAGGAAAGAGCTTGAAGAGTTGATGAGGAGGTTTGAGGTTGAGTACTGTAGTGAGTTGGAGGGGTTGGAGGGGTCACTGGAGGAGGGCGATGATTGATCGGATCTGTGTTCTTAAACATTCCATACGTACTGTTCGATTTCGGTTCTTTTTTCAGGAAGTTTAGGTTCTGAGGCTGGGAAGTTCTCACCCTTACGATTTACGATTGGATTAGGATATATGTACTTAGGTACACATTGATATCATCGTCCTTGGGAGCAATGATCCCAGTAGTGTTACGTTACCAGCGACGTCCGAATGATAGCGCTTGAAATATTCGAATGATTAGACGCAACGGTGATATCAATCATCAGTACTACATTCTTGAGGTTGAGAAAAAGGGTTACATTTGAATGATTGGAAATATGTTCATGTTCTGGAGGCCAGCGGAGGAGGTACTCATGCTCTATCCGGACTAGCCGGATTCAAGCACTTTATCCGCGGCAAAGATAGAGGTATTATCCCAGGACCCATTTCCGACTGTCACCCAGTCTTGTCCAGTAGTGCTAATGCCGATGTTTTCATTCATCTGGCTGGGAATCTTTTCAGAGTGGCGTGCTCTACAGGCCTGTCGGTGGGGGCATAATTGTCGGCATCTGTTTGGCAGGTTCTGATCCCAGATTGAAAGTGGAAATGATGGCCGATACGATCGGTTGGGGAGGGAACTGTAACGTTTGGTTTGTAATCCTCCAGCTATAAACTTGCAGGTTTTCGGGGTTAACAAAGACTTTTCTGCAGGACGAGTCATCTAATGTGGAGATATTTTACTTAGATAGTTGTTCATGGAATTGAGGCGCTGTCTGAAGACGTGGAAGGGCGCTGTCGGAGTTTCCATATCTGGAAATGTTAACAGTACTTTCAGTCGCTAAACCATAACAGGATTAGTGGATGTGTTTCCTGAATAGCGGGGGATGTTGGGAACAATCCCCTTCTTTTCCCACTTCGTATCATCCCAACCTAACTTTGGCCTACCTCGTAAGGTTACAATGACGCAAGCAAATCCAACCCTCCGCCTACATCGGCACTATATCTAGTAGCTCTATATCTAGCTCAGAGCCCCTCTATACCTCGAAAGATATCTTCAACAACAATCTCTCAATCGACCACGCACATACAACAACAAGAAGAAACAGAGCCAATTGATACATCATGTCTGCTCCTAAAGTTGTCCGTTGGGGTATCTTGGCTACTGGTGGCATTGCCCAAACCTTGTGAGTACCCCCACGTCCCTAATTCATCCAGGAGGGGTATCGTAGGACACAAAATTCTCCGATCTTTGAGCTGACCATTTGCAGTACAACAGATCTCCTTGTCGACCCAGCCACCCGCGGCGTCCATCATGTCAAGCACACCGTTGTCGCTGCCGCCTCATCCTCATCTGCACCCCGCGCCCAGCAGTTTCTCAAGGATGTTGGCGCACCAGCTGAAGCAAAAGCTTACGGTTCCTATGAGGAGCTTGTCAAGGACCCCAACATCGATATAATCTACGTCGCCACACCACACTCACATCATTACCAGAATGCCATGCTCTGCTTGGAGGCTGGAAAGAACGTGTTGTGCGAGAAGGCCTTCACCGTGAACGCGGCACAGGCGAGAGCGTTGGTGGATAAGGCGAGGGAGAAGAACCTCTTCTTGATGGAGGCTGTCTGGACGCGCTACTTCCCGCTCTCCATCTACGTCCGCGAACAGATCAAGTCCGGCCGCATTGGGCCTCTACACCGTGTCCTCGCGGATAACAGCATGGCGCTCAACCCCGAGGAGAACTTCAAGGACGGCAAGCACCGTATGGTAAACCCGGATTTGGCCGGAGGAGCATTGCTCGACTTGGGCATTTACAGCTTGACCTGGGTGTTCCAGACCCTCTACCACACACAGCCTGAGACTGCACGCCAGAAGCCGAAGGTCGTTGCAGCATTGAAGTCATATGGTGCAACCAAGGCCGCCGACGAGACCTCCACCGTCGTTCTCAGCTTCCCTCGACCGGAAGAGCTCGGAGGAGAGGCACATGCCGTGGCCACCACTTCGCTGCGCGTGGCCACCGCACCTGGTGGAAACCACGATACCGCCTCTATCAGGATCCAGGGACCAAAGGGAGAGATCCAAGTTTTCCCTCCTGCATTCCGCCCTTCGCGCACTAGGATTATCCTCGCGGACGGAACCGTCGAAGAGAAGAACTGGGAGTTCCCTGGCCCAGGCAAGGGCAGCGGCTGGTACAACGGTTTCGGTGGACAAAAGAACGCCGAAGGCGAGGGCCACGGCATGTTCTGGGAGGCAGACGAGGCAGCGACTGCGTTCCTTGAGGGCCGAAAGGAGGGCAAGTATGAGGGCCTCGAGGAGAGCGTGGTCATCATGGAGGTAATGGACGAGGTCAGGCGACAAGGCGGCCTTCAGTACCCAGAGAAGATCGAGACGACCAAGTTCCCGACCCAACTATGAGCGGATCGCCGGTGTTGTAATAGCCTTTCCGAATAAGTTTCGGCAGCCCTTGACCGTTCAGCTTGCACTATCTCGCTAAAAGAAATTCAATTTTTCAATTTTTCAATTTTTCAATTTTTCAATTTTTCAATTTTTCAACCGCCTTCAGAGAGACGGCGGCCTTTCACAAACAGCAATGTCCGATTCGTGCTACGCGGCCATCAGCCTCATGTCCTTCATGTCGTACTATTGTTGCGGAGACTTCCGCGACAAATGTGATCTAGCTCTCTGATTTACCATCTACGACTCAGAGTTATTGACACCTCTACTGAGGTTTGGCACAGTCAACGTCTTTTGTTAGAACGGAATTATCGAATCCCCGTCTCTGCTCTAGAGCAAGACACGGCGCATGTGATGATTCCTTCAGCCTGAAATGACTTGAAGGTGCATTGGGTTGCCGCCAAGACTGGGGAATCCCTGTACCGCGAGAATGTTGTCGTGCAGGGCTTATGGATTTTCATTTAGGCAAATTGTTTGCAATTTACAGTAGGTCTTGCTCCAGGTTTTTTCGACCGCGCTAGGGTCGTGTACCCGGACACTGCTCCTCACGTATATCTACTGAACTCCACGTGCTGATAGTGTTGCAGAAATAAAGCACCACTTGCTAGAGTTCCACCAATTAGAAAATGTAACCTTAAGAGTGCTCAGCCATTATCGGAACATCTGGATTTGAGTAAGATGCTCGAAGAATTCACACATCTAGGCTGAGCGAAGGGCCAAACGCTGCCTAGTATGCCTTCTGTTTTAGCTTTCGTTATCGTGATAGACACCAACGCCCATGACTATATAGTATCTGATATGGTACAAGAAGCCCACGAACAGCCTATGTACGAATAAGTCCTGGTACGGCAGCCATCAACCTGACCACATTGGGTAATTGGCTGTCGGTCAATTTCCCGCGGTACCGTTTGTGGGGTGATACATCCCGGCAGGCGACCATCCTAAGCTTCGTTTTCTAAATTGCTCGACAAATTCGACCGCGATGCTATTCCACCAAGTATGATGCTCTGGACTCCTCCCTCAAGTTCGATTGTGGCTAGCAGGAGCTTTGTGACCCTGTGGCACACCGTTCCAGGCTAGTATCCAATATTTCATTTCGTTATGGCAAGGGAGTATAAATTCCATATCTTGGACCATGGTACACTGTATGATCAGCACTCCATCTACTCTTCACTTCTTTATCCTGTATATTGCATTGCTCGGAAAGATTCATCATGAAGGTCATCGTTGGTCTTGCTGGTATTGTGACCTTGGCTCCTAGAGTGTTGGGTCATGCTACCTGGCAGCAACTCTGGGTAAACGGTGTAGACCAGATAAGTGATCTTTCTGCGGTTGTTCATCAGTGAATCTAACCATTCAATACGGTGGTGTATGTGCGCGGTTACCAAACAATAACAACCCTATCACTGATGTGACCTCCAACGACATTCGCTGTATGTGTATTCCGTACAGATGGTCATTATCCAGGGTCCAGGTTAACTGAATCTTCCGTAGGCAATGCAAACCAAGGGTTCGCCAGCTCGAAGTGCAGCGTAGCCGCTGGAGGAACTGTCACTATAGAAATGCATCAGCACAACACGCGAGGATGTACCGAAGAAGCGATCGGCGGAGCTCATTACGGACCCGTCTTGGTCTATCTCAGTAAAGTAGCCGACGCGTCTACGGCGGATGGATCTACTCCCTTTTTCAAGATATTTCAAGATACGTGGGCGCGAGCCTCGTCCACTTCACAGGGCTCGGACGATTACTGGGGCACCAAAGACCTTAACAAGGCTTGCGGAAAGATGGACGTTTTAATCCCCGCCAACCTCGCCCCAGGGGACTATCTGCTTCGAGCCGAGGCGATAGCGCTGCATTCTGCAAGTTCGTCAGGTGGCGCGCAGTTCTACATGACATGCTACCAAATCACTGTCACAGGCGGTGGGTCGTCGAATCCGTCGGGCGTAAGCTTCCCTGGCGCGTACAAAGCTTCTGACCCAGGCATTCTTTTCAATATGTATCAAGTGCTTAGCACTCCTTATGTTGCACCCGGCCCAGCGGTCATCCCTGGCGGCACCGAGGCCGTTGCTGGGAAAGCTGGATCCTCCGTCACCGCCTCTGGCGGAGCCTCACAACCAACCGCGACCCAGATTGCTGTGTCATCTTCATTTGTGACCAGTGCGAGGCCAGCTACCACTACAAGTCCCGGGACTGGCGGCTGCACGCCCGCTAAGCAATGGGACCAGTGTGGTGGAAACGGGTTCACGGGTTGTGGTTGTGTAGCGGGGAGTACATGCAAGAAGCTTAACGACTTTTACTCGCAGTGCCAGTAGTACAATGGTACTATACGAATCGTGGGACTAGTTTCGGCAGATCGTGCTGTGCCGTACATTCGTGTAGACAGGTCTGCAGAGAAGACGATTTTCACCGGGTTGTAGGATTAAAGTACGAAATTCTTGCTTCTCTTATACGGAGCATTTGGTAGTGGGTCATAGTCAACCTGCACTATTCACAATCTATTTTGATCACCATCATACTTCAAAATCACAGGCTTATATGGCTCTACGGTTTGAATGAAGATTTCGATTGCTATTTCTTCTGCAGCAAGGAGCAATCTACAACTCACAATTGCGGAGGTGGTGGCACGTGATTCCCTTCATAACGTTGTCATAGGATTTGGATATGCCCCTCTTGGAAATTGAGGGATTTACCTGAATCTGATCAACCCACAGTGACGTTTACGGTGATTTGTTCCTATGAGTAGGAACAAGTATACACATAGAAAGTTTTGGGGGAGACGAGGTTTGTCACCGTCACCCAGCACACAGGGAAGGACCTTGACACGTGAAGGTCCAAGCGCAGGTCTGGAAGCTAACAAACTTTTGTAAGGCGGGTTAATAGTGACGGTCCATCAACTCAACCTTGTCAGACACGTCACACCCTCATAAAATCCCAGCTTCATCCATCCTGTAATAATTATCTGTCGACGAGGTACCGCAGTACGAGCGACAACGCATCGAGCAGCCAAGTGGCAGACGCGTTTTTACCCCTCGATAAGGAAACGTTCCGGCTCGCCCGCATATGTATCTGGAGACCCACACCTCGTCTTGCCCTGGCACCAGGATACAGGAACGTCAGCCCTGAGTCTGCGGCTTCGAGGCACAGCAACAGCGTCCTGCTGCTATCACTCGCTCGTTGGAAATGAGATGAACCCATGGCCATAGCTGCGGCCTCGGGAAGGAGTGTTGGTACAGAGTTCTGACAGGAGCCGCACACGCACTGCGAGGCTTATTTATCAATCAACCCTACGCCACACCGCCCTAGAGCAAATGGATACCGCTCGCTCGAGGATTTTGGCATGTGGGGAGGCCCACTCCAGACGAAGCCTGCATCAGCACCTCACATCAGAGAAACAAAACAGGCCCGACTGGATGCAGGAATGATTTCAGCATGCAGGTTTCGAGAGCGAAGTCCGTAAACACGTCGCCCGCACGCACGCCAGTATCCAGACAGACACGCGAATGCCTTTTTTCGATGACGCACCCACTCTCCTCACCAGATTGTGGAACGGAAACGGCACGGCGCGCTCACTAGCGTTCCATGTACCGAAGGCGGGCCGGCGACCGACGACACGCTCGCCCAATTCCTGCGAAACATCTGGCTTCGCGTCGAGGAAGCCACCTTATGCCCTACGCAGTCTATACTCAGCCTGCTGCCAGCACATGCCTGGGCCTAGCTCTTCTGAGCATCCCGTTGCCTCCGAAACTCCATCAATTCACGAGTAATTGGCCCTCCGGACCCACCAGTTTGGTCGCTGGGTATTCCCGCAGCATGACATATATGTATCTGCTACCTGGGCGCTATCAACTTTGATTTTTTTTCTCAGTGCCGGATTGCCACCCCTCCACAAGCACTCCTCGCTGGCCCTGAACAGCTGCTTGGTCAATATGGTGGGCGATGTCTTGCAGCGCCAGCGTGGCTCCCCTCCCACCAGCGCAGTGCCGTACCACGACAACCTTTGCTGATGCTACTGAGCGCATCTTCTTTCGGTTTTCCACGTTCTTCCCGGCTTCTGCGGGGCTCGAACCATGCAATTGTGATGTGTGTTCCTGACGTCTATAAACATGGACTCGTAGTCCCAATTTTAGCGCCTGTCCCAGATTCTTCACCTGCCACTTATTTCGCCGACCGTAGCCGACTCATCCTTCTACAAGTGCTTGTCTCTCGAGTAATCGAAGATTATATAGAACGACCCCTCCAGCAATGGCGCACAACCAGCCCGTTTCGTGGGTTCAGAGGCTCAAAGGTTTGTTCCCTGTTGCTACTCCCGCAAGTCACCTTTTAAAGGCGAACCATTTAGATCACTGTGCCGAAAATCGATTGGACGAGCCGCACTTCCAGGACTATTCCGATCCTCGAGGTCTGTAGTATCATTCTAGGACTTTTCTCCTCGCTCATTATTGACCGCCACCAGGAATAAGGACAGCTTGGTCCAGTGGTGTCTTCGTCAATGGAAAGGAATACCGTGCCCCACTATGGCGCGATTATCGCTTTCTAGATCAGTGCCATGAGGAGGCTGCTGAAGTTGCTCTCAAATCTCTTCTACAACAGCGCATGCAGAATGCCTCTTCATCACAATACTATGGTCACGGATACGGAACGTCCAGGTAGGCGGAGGCACGCCGGCGTGCGACCCCCACCTACTTCAATTTTCTCTCTCACGATTTGTGCGGAAATCATTTAGACGACCGCTTATTGTTCCTATACCAACTAAGGGTCTTTTCATTTGTCTTGATTTTCAGTTGACCAGCGCCCGGGACCTTTTCCTGTATTTCCTTCCAACCTCGGCATTGTTCCTTAATGATGTCAATTGCCAGCTCGCGAAACTTGGCCGCTCTATTCAGTTTTCTCTTCTCTTGGAAATCGGGTTTCGCTTCTTGTACATTCTTTAATACCCTATTGAAACTGGATTGGGAGTTTTAGGCTTCGGCAGTAATGCAAAGTCCGTGCATCAGCGTTTTGATATCCAGCCTATTTCGTCTCGGATATCCAATCTCCCAAATTGTCTGTGTTCCTTCTGACTCTGATGCCCCGCCGCTCAGCCACTGTTTTAAACTACAACATGACTTTGGCCTTGCTGCAACCAACGCCAGTGCCTTCGTATTGAAAAGTTTGACCACTAATGGCGTATCTACGTTGTGCCAAATCTTTACATGAATAAACGCGAACATGATTAGTATTAACACGACGAGCATGACGTACCTCTTGCGCACACCCATTTACTCAGGGGTATTGATACCCAAGAGCTCACCTACGTATTGAAATGTCAGCATACGCGTCCAATTACTCTTTACACCGTCTCTATTATCATCTCGCTCAACTGAGGCTGCTGGTGACCGTGTCGAGGAAGCACCGGCTTCGACCGCGGCTATGATGCGTCGTATGATGCGGGAGGGGAGTACCAAAGAGGTCGATTACTCGCGATACACAGTGCGCTTGTTTCCTTACCTTTGACGGCTGCTCACTTATCCGCATCGATGTTGACAGCCACGCCGCACGAACCTGTACGCGAAGTTTCTAATAAATGATATATTATACCATTCCGTCGAGAGGCGGAGAGGGAAGGACGTCTTACTGGAGGGGTTGGGCAGCAAGTGGGCATGAGGAGGTCCAGGAGATGGCTTCATCGAGGTCAATCATGTTACTCCCACATCAACGCTTCCTCGCGATACCTGAAGCACCTTTACAACTGCATTTCAGCATCAGCAAGTTCTTCTCATGAGGGCTCAGGACAAGGCTTGTGGACACGGCTGGCGTTGTCGAGCAGGCACACGCATCGGCGGGAGTTTTAGACTCACGCGGGAACATTGGGGACTCACCCTTCCCATCAGATCACCTCCCTCCACTGCCCTCGAATCCCTTAGAGTGACTACACAGCTCGACAACTTGCCTCATCGCTGGACTCGCCACAGAATAGCGCAAGTAATACACAAGCGACCGTCGCAGCGAACGAGCCTCCAACCGCTTCCCTCGATTCGATCCAAGGAATCTACCACCTCAAGACTACACATACAACTGATCCCCCATCCCTCTAACATCCAAATAGAAAACAGTACATCCGAAAACGTCGCTGATTCTTCCAGATCTACGGAACCCGCCGCAAGGCGCCGAGCCTTAAGCCGACGTACCGTCATAGAACCCACCGTCAAACCATACTTCTCATCTTTTACAATTTCGGCACCAGCTTGTCCATCACCACCTGATAACATTTCCAACATGCCCGCGTTAGACATACTGGAAAGATGCCAGTCCTACACGCTAGGCCGCTGTACAGAAGTCGAAGAACGACCTTTCAACGGACGAAGGCACAACCAGATTCGCCGTCTGGAAACCTCGTATGCGGGATAGAATCAACGATATAGTCTTTTACATCGCTTTGCATATCCTTTCGTGCAGGCGCGCCCATCTAAGTTGTTCTCTGAGATGGGTGGACACGATACGGCACCGCGGATATGGGGCGTGGATCAAGTAGATATACCTATGTCGTTCGCGATGTAGTGGCGGATATAACGGGATGGGATTGCCGGTCACCGACCTGTGGAGACAGAACAGAGGTACAACAAGATCTCTCGAAGGGCGGTGCTGGCAAGCTCTGGTTTTTGTGCTACAGGAGGAGTTACGGCGTCTTCGAGACGCTTGGTACAAGATTCGTACTGTGATTCGGACTGTCTCTGATTGAATATAGAACACACATAGTCGATACAAGTGATGAGAAAAGACACGGTTCGGGGCACTGACATTTAGCACTTTGATAGACAGAAGATTGAGCGTGGTAACAGATAGTTCTATCTAACAAAACTTCACATCTTTGTTCTATTGAGCGTAGTATATTTCTTCTCACCCGGATGTCGAACCGACTACTCCGACCCTCAAACATCCTATTCCGCTTCCATACCCCCAACCCTTCCTTCATCTCTTTCCCCCTCCTATCACTACACCACTTAATGCGCAAACCTGAAATCCAACCTCTTATTTCCCTCATCTGTCGTGTTCTCTAGGTAGTCGAGCTGCTGCTCCCGGGTCATGGCATTCCACTTCTTGTCGCGCGACTTGTTGCGCCAGACGTAGTACGCCTTGGTCAGAAGGTAGATGCCTATGTTACCGATGGCGATGCCCAAGAGCGAGCGGTTGCCACGTTTGTAATTCGGTGCGTCGTCTAACGCGCAGGTGTTAGCACAGACGTTCATTCAAATTCCACCATTGAGACATTCACGTACCTTTCCTATAAATATTCGAAGCAATAATTCCCGAAGCCTGGACGAACATGTTGTACGTAGCCGCGGAGACGGTCCTCGAGCGCACGGTGTTCGAGTTCCGCGAGTTCCAGCCCACCTGGATGGGATGCGCGGTCGGGTAGCTGAGGAGCAGGGTGATGACGGCCCAGACGACCCATTTGTTCGCCTTGGCGACGTTGCCGACGACGAGCCAGATCAGGAACGGTATCACCCATATCTGGCCGGTCATGCTGTGGAAGGTGAGTTCCTTGAAGATTTCGGCGGAGTAGGTGAGGGAGAGCATGGATATGACTGTTGACGTGGGTGGTTAGTGATGGTTTTGAGTTGGAGGGGGGAGGGGGGAGGGCTTACTGTGGAGGAATTGGTGGGGGATGGCGAGGAGGTTGGATTCGAAGGTGTTGAATCCTAGACCTCGGAGGGAGAGGGTGAGGTATTGGCTTGGTGGTGTCATTGGGAGTTGCCAGACGAGTCCGATGATGTATAGCGGCCTGTTGCGATGTGCTGTTAGACAATTGTTTTGAAACTCTCATCGGCACGTAGGATACTAACCAAAGATCGTAGTCCATCAAGCTCTGCCACAAGAGCTTCGGCGTGACTGGCTGTCGGTTGTGCATGCTGCTCTTCGATGGGTCGTCTCGAATGACGCGGTTCACCATGATCTCTTCTTCTTTGTCGGTGAACCAACCTTTCTTTCCACGTGCCCAGCTCTTGGTTTGGCAAGGGCCAGCGGGCATCAGTACGAAGGCAGCGAGGCCGACGACGAGAGTCATAAGACCCTGCTTCAAGTCAGAGAGAATCAAATTAAACTGACAGAGGGGCTTACCTCGATCAGGAACAACCAACGCCAACCTTCCTTTCCTTCAACTCCACGAAGGCGCAGCAGGCCGTAGGCGAAGAAGCCAGCGAGAATGTCGGCAGTACTCATGGCCGTCCAGAAGAACCCGAGGCGAAGAGAGAGTTCGTGGTGCTTGTAGAAGTATGAAAGGTACAAGATAATCTACAACCAGTCAGTGAAGATATGGTAACATAGAGGTAGTTGACACCCACATCAGGAATGAAACCACCCTGTAAGATGCCGAGAAGACTCCTACATGCGAGAAAGCTCGCACGCCCGGAAAGCCAGTACTGCGCAGAGGCGACGATGGACCAGAGAACCATTTGCATGGGGATCCAACGATCTGGGCCGATCCATTTGGACACTAGCTGAGAAGGTAATTCGGCACAGAGAAAGCTGAGCTTGAAAACCGTATTGCCGAGATTGTAATCTGAGGAATGTTAGCTATGATCTTTTCTGCGGGAAGAAACCATTACCATTTGTTGTCAGATGCAGATCTTTGAGGAAATTGTCAGTGTTGGCTTGTTGAATGTTGGCTCGATCCAATTCCAATGCCATGAACATAATGCATGCGAACACCATGATGCGTATGTCGATCTTTCGAATAAGCTTGTTTTCTTCTCTCCAGGTCCATCGTGCCAAAGGATTGAATCTTTCGAGGTTCTCCCTGGAAATTGTCAACATCAAGTCGATCCACTCCATCAATGCCATGCTACATACCATTTGGCGTGCGGTTGATACTTCTTAGCCGTCTCAGGGTTATCGAAAACACTAGGCTGAACTACATGAGAATCATTCTTCAGCAATATTAAGGTCTATACCCACAAGTGTTGCAATTGCGTCGGGATCGTAGTCGGACTTTGCCCTTTGGAACCAAAATCGCTTCTCCTCGTGCGGTACGCCTAGCTCGGGTACATCATCCGCAATAACAATGGTCGATCCATCCTTTTCAAGGACAGCTCTGCCATCAACAGTTCCGTAAGTAGACGAAGACGGAGTAGAACTGCCGTGTGAGGCACTCGCCAGCTGTATCACTGTAGACATCTTGCTGAAGAATTTCCGGAATCTGACTGGTTGTTCATCTTGTATTCCCAGGCAGATCAAGAACATATAAACAATATCGTTGTGTGTAGCCAGAGAGCTTGAATCAGACGTCAAGCCGTCTTGGCCAGTGGCACGACCACGCCATATGGATGAAGAATGGCAAATGTTCTTCTAGGTCAGTTCGGCTGCTTGGCTGCTGCTGAAACCTTGCAAGCACCCAAGAGTCCATAACCACCAAAGCGCACGCATCGACAGAATCCAGCCCTTCAAATTTTCAGCTTCATGTCTATGGCATGTCACTGCTCTTTGCCATCATGGAGCTGTGTTGAAAGTCATGTTCACGCCTGATGATCCAGGCCCACAAAGAACTTAAAAGTGGCTTTCAATGAACATGATGCCATTCGAAGGCGTGGATTACAAACAGGCATTCCGTTGAGGCGAAGCTGAAGGCTATCTGATCCCGAACCTCGGGGCTTGATGCTTATCATCGACGCAAGAAGTGTTAAGTGCCAATACACTAGATCACACATGAGGGAAAAGTGCTCCGAGGTATGATGGACCATGTGGAGTAGCAATGCCAAGCTGACCTTGCGTTGATGCTCTGGTTTATCCAATGAGCTCCCGGGGAACAGGCGTTTGTCATATTGCGTGAAAATGATACAATTGCGATAAGGAATATGTTGTTGAGTTTGATGAACTACTCGCTCTCAATTGATGGGTTGCGATGCGGGAAGCCCTAGGTCGGCAACAGCCTGTTGGATCATGATCATCGAGCCAAGGCACGAGGGCGCTGTCAAGCCCGCGAAATTGATTCTGGATAAGCATGCAATGTCACGAAGCTCTGTGGTAGTGGCATGGCTAGCAATGAACGGCATTTATTCGGACCTCGATTGTTGGAATTCGCAGAGGATATGGTGTTGAGTGTGTGGTTGTCGCGACGTTCACTCGAGTTTGGTGCGTTACGACTTTGGGGTTTGGAGTTGCCGTATAGCACGCAATCCCTCCCCCACATGTCGCGTCGTCAACCCCTCAACGGCGCTCCATTTAGGGAATGTTGCCATATCGATCTATGTATGATGAGCGCGAAAACACCAACGAGAATCGATGAAGTCTCACATGTTGGTGTATTTGCGTCTAGAGTCCACGAATGACATTTGCGATGATGTGATGAGGCCATTACGTGCTAGTAATATGAACGACACCATCAAATATGGCACGATGCCACATCATATCTGGGTGCCTACTGCGAAAGTTTAGTATATAAATCTTCGATTTCCAGCAAGTTTGAGTGATTGAGGATATCATTTCCAAACACAACCCCATTAATCACCATGTCTACAGAAACAACGACCGAAGTCAACCAGAAGCAGGCCGAGACTCAGTCCGCATACCCACGGGAGCCTCTTCAATTGAAAGGCGCATTGGACTCTTACAAGTCTTTCGATGTGACACCAGTGATCGGACGCGAGTTCGTCGATGTCAATTTGAAGGAATGGCTGCGAGCTCCCAATTCGGATGAACTGATTCGAGACTTGGCCATAACAAGTGAGCCATCATGTATCGAACCCCAAGGACTCAGGCTAACATAATATTAGTCTCGCAGCGAGGTGTGGTCTTCTTCCGCAAGCAGGATGATCTCGACAATGACCTCCAGAAGGAACTAGCACACCGGTTGGGCCAGCTAGCAGGCAAACCTGAGACATCTAAACTCCACATCCACCCCGTGAGCAACTCGGGGCGTCGTCTCGGGGGTAAGGACGACGAGATCAGTGTCATCAGCTCGGAGCAAGCGAAGGAGATCTACAAGAACCGATTTTTGAACTTCGCAGAGAGGAAGCAAACCGCCAAGGATGGATGGCATAGCGATATCACCTTTGAGCCTGTTCCCAGTGACTATGCACTCTTGCGATTGACCGAGCTGCCAAAGACCGGTGGAGGTAAGTAGAGTATCGAAGACAAATGTACTGTAGCTGACTTGGTTAGATACCCTGTGGGCATCCGGCTACGAGCTTTACGACCGTCTCTCAGAGCCCTACCAAAAGTTCTTCGAAGGTCTTACAGCAACCTATGCCCAGCCCGGCTTCGGCGCTGCAGCAAAGGAGAATGGCTTCCAACTATACGAAAAGCCCAGAGGCGCGCCCGAGAACGTCGGCTCTGACCTAACTGCCATTCATCCGGTCATCAGGACAAACCCTGTGACAGGCTGGAAGAGCATCTTCGCCGTTGGCCATCACGTACAGCAGATCAATGGCCTCGCGAAAGAGGAGAGTCGACATGCGCTGGACTGGTTCGTGCAGTTGATCGTTGAGAACCATGACCTCCAGGTGAGGCACCGCTGGCAGAACGAGAACGACTTGGCTATCTGGGATAATCGCTCTGTATATCATACGGCTACCTTTGACTATCAAGGACTTGGGCCGAGGACGGGACAGAGGGCAGTCAGCTTGGGTGAGAAGCCGTACCTCGATCCGAATAGCAAGTCTCGACGGGAGGCTTTGGGGCCGGTAGAGTAATAGCTATCTATCATTCGCTTTGTCTAGTGTCAGTTACCAGGACTAATTGTTCATATGCTTTTGGGAGTATTATCATGAGGGCCCCGTCTTTTGTGACATGAAAGAACTTCCTCTTCCAAGTAATCAAATCATCACACGGTAAAATAGCTTGGAAAGAGTGGAATGAACATATCTGAGTTGTTCTCTTCTGATAAGTCTAATATACAAATGTGGAGACACAGCCAATGGAGCAGTGCGTCAAACCACTTCACCGGCCTCATGTGCCATTGGAAGCTTCTAACCAAGCGTCTTGATCTCTATCGAGTCATATGGATAGGGTAGAAAGCTAGGTATGGCGAGGGGTGAGCAATCGAGATTGGTTCTGCTGGATCCAAATTTCCCCATGACGAAGATCGGAGACCAACTCTGGGAAATCGGTGGTCAAAGTATGAACGTCAACGAATTCCTCAATCGAGTTCCAGAAGAATAGGAGTCCAGTGAGGAAGACTTGGCGCAGAACCTGACCATTTCTATCCGACGAGGAACGACCGTATGCGACACGAATGCCCTCCTCCATCTCCAGCATGGAGACGTTGCCATGGTTGATGTCGTGCCGGAACTTTGAGAGAATGGTAGCTTGAAGTGGTTCGTACTGGAAGTGAAGGGCAATATCATGGAGTTCCAATAGAACTTTGAAGCTTGAAATGCGGGCGGTGAAATTGACTTCGTTGGGGTCTTGGGGAAGTTCGACGGCATGTGCACAAGACAATCGCTTCTCCTTGCCGACTTCGAGGTTCATACTTTTCCACCAGGAAACAGCACACTGCACTATGAATGGGTGAAAATCGAGCGCAATGTCGAGGCACTCCCTGTAGAGCGTAGGCTGTAATGCTGTAAGCGTATTTGCGCACGCGTGAGAAGTGAAGATACTTACAGATGGATGATTATCCACTTGATCTCTAATGACGCGTGCAGTCTGAGTCACCAAAGGCGCGAATATATTGAATATCACTCCCCTGCTGTGGAACGCCAGAATAGGATTCTTGGGGTGAGCATGAGTAAGATGTTGAAGACGCCTGACAGCGTTAGGTATGTATTCAAGGCGACGGGCTTGAAGTGATGGCTCTTACCTAGAGAGCAATTCGGCTTGTAGGGCTTTTTGTCCTTTGAGTTGGCCTGAGATGAGTTGTTGATCAAGAGATGCTTCTACCCATGCTTGCTGCGACGCCTCTTCCACCAGAGGCGGCACATGGGACATCACTGCTGGCATTGTAGTCGCTTGTTCGGTTTAGTGGATTCGTTGTGTGGTTTGGTGTTTGTAAGGCGGGGTTGTTGACTGTTTGAATTGAAGAGGAGCGGAGTCGAAGTTGGGAAACGTTGTACCTTTGTGAGCTTTGTGTGGCAGAGTTTGGACCTGACATTCACTTGGGCAGTGGAATCATTTCATGTTTCTTGGCGCCACTTCAACGAGCCAATGATATGGCATAGAGTGTTGGATCATTGGCCAATCATAGAGTGAGAATCATTAAAGCGCTGTAAACGGGACTTACCCCCCACTTCCACCTATCTGCCTAATCCAGAGTGATTTCCTACGGCGTCGTGGGAGAGCATCTCCTTACGGACACTGTGTTTCGCACCAATTTCGCACTATTTCTCGTAGGCTAGGATAGTTGGTGGCATGGTAGTGTGGACCTTATTTCACTTCTCTATCATGACTACACTGGGTCGACACTGCTCAATATTCCTATCCATGATGCTAAGTCAACTATCCGTCTATGGAAATTAGCTTCACGGGGCATAGGTGAAAATTATTGAGCTCATTCGGATATCATGTCTATTTTATTGTTGTTTTGACATGTCTAATATACAAAGAGTGGAGGGTTCCCTGTTAGGTGGAAAGGGTCTCAAGACTGACTCCTTCGAACGTTTCCCCAACTACCTAAGCCATTCGTGTATTTACCGGCATCTGTAGTTTTGAATGCAAAGCTAGTCATGACTAGTAGTATCGTCCTCAAGACGGTCTTGGGCAATCCATGTGAGTCCGCTACGGATGTCCAACTCCAGCTCCGGCACTCGTGCGTACAACGGAGCAAGGCGAACTATTCTCTTGAGTCTAGGAAGAGAGCGAACGAAAGCTGACAGAAAGATCTTCCGCAAGTTTCGACCATTCCTGTCAAGGGCTGCCCGGCCATAGGCTATGCAAAGACCCTCGGCCATGTCTTCCAAAGGCCATATGCCATGGTAGAGTCCATGTTTGAGCTTACCCAGGATGCAGCCGTGGAGAAGTATGTCATCAAAGTGTAGGGCTAGGTCGTGGAGGTCCATAAGTAGTTTCACAGTGGACATGGTCGAGGAAACATCCAGCTCCTTGTAGTCGGCAGGCAAGAAAGAGTAGTGTGTATCCTCAAGACGCTTCTGGTATTTTGCGTCTACCTTCATATTCTTCCACCAATCCACCGCGCACTGAGCCACAAAGGGATGGAAGGGTACTTTGATCTCGATGGGGGCTCTATACGATGTGGCCTGAATATGTTATTGCCATCGTCGACCACGAACATGAGTCTACTTACCGAAGTGGTACTCTTAATCATGCGCTTAATGCTTTGCGCGGTTTGAGTGACCATATGGGCATATACAGGAAAGTATATACCTGAAGCCACAAACTCAATGACTGGAGCCGTAGGCTTGGAACTGATGTAGCCATATCGTCTTTGCATGTTAGATGGTCCGAATACGTACTTTTACTCGGATAACGAGACTTACTTCTCCATCATTTCAGCCTGCATGTCCTTATTGCTGTCGAACTGACCTCGTAGAAACCTCAAGTCTAAGTGAAGAGCAGCCCATTCGTTGAGCGAGACGACTGCCGCGTCAGGTAGTGGGTCGAAGTCCTCTTCTACCCACTCTTCGGAACCAGAAGTTGGTGCTGGAGTCATGGTCGTTTGAGCGCACCAATAAGAGTGATAACCGTGTCACGAAACTGGCGTCGACAATTGTTGCTTAAGTGTTAAAGCGTTTCGAGTGGGGAGTGAGATGAGGTTGTGGGAGGAAAGGTTGAGAGAAGAAAAGGATGCGAGAGGGAAAAGATAGAGACTGACGAGTGATTGAAAAGGTAGAAACAGGTCGAAGCAATCATGAGCTATCTGGCCGTCCTTCACTTCGTGGGCCACTATACCACTCTAGCGATAGGAATGGTCGCACAAAATTGCTTGGCATTGTCAAGGCAAACATACTGCAAAAGCCTTTTAAACCATGTATATATATTATAAAATTTGCAAATCTTTCATTCGTATTTGGTTCACGACCATTGCGGATACCACACGGTCTTGTACCAATCCTACCGTCCACATCTAAAAGCTCTCACATGCTTTAAGAGTTGGAGTCCAAGACTCCAGTGGATACACCAATACCAGGTCACTGTAGTAATAACCTGATAGATGAGTCTGGGCAACTCATCTTGAGGGGAGTTGCTACAGTGGCCACCTTTTTTTTGCCATTTTTTTTGCCAGGCTGGGGATCGATGGCGTAGTGGTTAGAAATTTAGATTTCTTCCAGTTCTGCCTCTGGTACGCCTGGGTTCGAGCCTGCTTTGCGATGGCAAGACCTTTTTTTTTACTTTCTTATAGGTGGAGGTAAAGTGAATTCACAACAAAGCGCTGGTAGGAGCCAATCACCATGCGGGCAGCTCTGTAAGTGATAGTGAGTGATTGGCAGAAAATTACTTGGCACGGGCTCACAAACAGTCTAAGGTGATGCATAATTGATCAAAGGGATCTTAATATACCAAAATCTAGCCTTCGGATCTCCTCATAGATGTAGTAAACTCAGTTGGAGTGCAATAGAGTTATCTATCACTAGATTACAGACAGATGCTCACACTCGCGTATCAAAATGAAGGCGTGATAAGCAGTACGTTGCCCATGGAAGATTATTACTTGAAATATAGGGGGTATAGGCAAGTCGATATAGAAGAGAAGTGGAAAGCAACTGCTATACATAAAAGTTGTAGTTGTGCGAGTTTCTCACACTAATGTTCAACATTTCAGAATCGTCTGCTGACACTGAGGTAGTGCACCGCCGTACAGTCATGAAATCAATAAATTCGACGTCTGAATTATAGAAAATCATTCTGCATAATGGCTGATTCTATTGGCTTGTGCAAGTTTCGAAGACCTTGCTAATAAATTCCCCGACAGAGTCGCATATCTCGCAGGGCTGTGAAACAGAACCGAACATTGGGTCTGATTCTGTTCACTACCAACGGTCAAAATACCGGCGTCACTACCGGAATTGAATCGTATTTAGTTAAATGGCTTACTCGAGTGTATACCTTTTAACAACGCCAAGTTGGAAGTGTACTCCTATCTTGTGGATAATCATGGATGTAACTTGCATCCGCTCCAAGAACGTAATCCAAGTTTGATTCATATTATTGGCAACTACCATGTGCCACATACTACGTTTCATGATATCTCTATAGATTCTTAGTAGGATGAAGGATTATAATCGACGAGGTTTATCCCAAGTATTGCACCAGACATCGCTGACGACGTTGCGCAAATGGTGTTCGGAGTACGTCCTGGCTTGAACAACGGGCAGGCATTGACCTTGGCCGCCATCCGCGTCAAACAAGTTTCATCATACGGTATTTTTAGGATTGGTACTTGGTAAAAGTGATAAACATGAGCAGAGTCCATGGCAATAATACAATGGGTTGCCATCTTGCTTTTCGCAGCAGGATTGCCCATCGCAAGCACCATAAGGCCAAGCCTGATGCGCCCTCAACCCGCGATGCGTTTCCTGAGGCGTCAGGGTGTAGTCGACGTTGAGGACGACGACGACAGCGGACCGCAAGACAGTGACATTGAGGAGCCTGAAGAGCAGGAAAACGAAGAGCAGGAGCCTGAGGGACCCGAGGAACCCGAAGAACCAGAGGAACCTGAAGAGAAACGACCACCGACACCCCCACAACTATCGGCACAGATTCCCTCACCTCTAGATCCGAAGCCAAATAGGCCCACGAATGCACCAGGTCCAGGTCCATTGCAACCTCCGCAACCCACATCCATAACTACGTCAGAACTTTTACCAACGCTGCCAATCCCAATAGTGGGCGAGGTCAATGCAGATAATCCTCAGCCACACTTTGGGTTATCTGAATCACCGACTGATTCAATACTCTCCAGCCATTCAGCGGTCGTAGCACTGACCACCATTTCTATGTCCGGAACTTCCCTCGTGAGCTTAATTACACCGAGTACAACCAACAGGATATCAACTACTATTGCTACAAGCTTTGTATTTGCAGGAACGCCTTCAGACATCGCAAAATCATCGCAAATTACCCCATTCACGACGAGCAGTGATGAACCATCATACATCATGGCAGCAGACCAATCACCTAGTGATACGTCCTCCCTGTCTCCAGTTGCAGAAAAGTTGTTGATCACAACGGGCGCATTGAGTAATCTATCTCGCGACACTATATACGATACCGAACCTAACACTAGCCTAGGTGGAGCCGTTATGATCATCCTCGCAGTGGTGATCATCGCAAAACGGCGAAAGCTGAAGCGAGATGCTTTATACATCCCAGGGCCGGTAAGCTTGGCATTATAACCTATCTACATCTACTGATGGAATTCCCAGAGTAAATGTGCGGAAAGAAAGGGCCAGGATATGAACACAAGGCCTTTGTTGGTCAGGAAGACTACGACGATTAAAGTGCAGCAACACGCGCTTGGGACTTGATTTGAGTCCTCGACCATCGGAAGAGAACCGAGGGCCGGCCCCCATCTCTTCAAGCAATACGAATTGGATGAAACTGTTTACGGAACCAACAAGGCATCAAGTTTATCCAATGAAAAAGGGTATCACTAAAATGATGAGCTGTTCTGGCTTAGTGTGATAATATTGTTCAATGCAAGTGATCCACACTCGCAGAATGGTGCCACACATCAACATCGCAACGCGACGAGTAGATCACCAAAACCCATCTAGTATCTGGGACAGGCAGGGTTCAGACTGCCTCGGTCGATTCATCAGAGTTTGACCTTCTGTATGCATAAGGAGATTCTGCGTGTGGGCGCGGGAGCGATCTTGCCCGAGCCACACCAAACACGAACGGTTTCGGGATCGACTTAGCTGAGTTAGCTCCTGTGGCTGCTGCACCTCGTTCACGATGTCTATACAACGCCTTAACGCCTTCGCTGCCAACAATTGAAGGGTGGCACAAAACCTAGTTGAATACCTTAGCATGCCATTATGACTGGCCGATACACCCTCTTTCCCCCAATGATTTGAAATCCCGATTCGTTGCGCAATGACTAGGCCTAAGTACCTAAGGTATCCACTTGTTTTCCCTCCTTCGACTGTTTGCTCTCTTCAACGAATGCCCATTCCTTGGGTTCGGGAATAATGTCGCTCTACGAACCATCAGTACGAAGCAGCTCGTGGTCGATTTCACAGCGCTTCTCACGACCGCTTACGACGCTGGAAGGATGGAGAGAAATCACCTCAGGAGTGTATGCGATGAACTCGGATGTTCGAATGATAGCGAAGGCCGATAGATTCGACCCAGAGCAGTACCGCAACAACGGAAGTAATGGTCAACCATCATTGGAACACCAACAAAATAATGAAGCAATCATTCCTATCATCCCAGACATACCGAAGGCATACTCAATTAAATCATTCGCGCCAACTGAAGTTCAGCCGCAAACCGCGGCGCCAGTTCCAGTACTATCACCCGAATCACCACATGTGATTGAAATTGGACAAAGAAAGACCCAGCCCAAGAGAGTCGATTACAGCAAGACATCTCAGCAAAAATATCACGTATTCTCCTTCCGAACGAAATGGTTGATCGTCGGCATCGTCACCGTCATTGGTATGTTTCCAGGACTAGCTTTTGGAATGTACCTTCCTCTATTGGTGACGATCTCAGAGGTTTGTCAAGTTCTATCAAACCTTTTACAATGGTCGCTGACATGTGTAGGATGTGGATCATAACCTACGCGACATTACACTGACAGTGACATCGTACCTTGCTTTCCACGGAATAGCAGGCATTCTCTGGAGCCCTTTGGCTGACCACATTGGACGTCGACCGGTTCTACTGATCAGTACGGTCCTGTTCATCTCAGCTAGTATTCCGCTCATTACCACGCCTACTTTTCCAGTATTGATAGCTCTTCGAGGGCTCCAAGCAGCCAGCATTGCATCAGTCATTCCAATTGGCAGTGCAGTGATAAAGGATATTTCTCGGGATCCAGATCGCGAGACCTTCCTGGTATTCTACAAGTCAGCCCAAAGCGTTGCTCTGGTCTTGAGTCCACTATTGAGCGGCACATTCTCTCACTTGATAAAATGCCGCGCGATATTCATCTTTCTACTGAGCATAGCAGTGGCCATGTTCGCTGTTACCGCGCTATTCCTTCCCGAGACTCTTCGCAGCATTGCAGGGAACGGATCGGCCAAAGTTGGTGCAGTCCATAAGCCCATCGTACGAAGGCCCGCACATGCTCGGAAGTCGTCTAATGCATCGCTGCCTGTTATACCAGAAAATCCATCGACCCTAACCGTGCGGACCTTTATGGAGCCTTTCATACTGTTGCGGGAGAAAGATGTCGCCATCAACGTCTTGTCCGGCGCGATCATCTTCATGATGTGGATGATGGTAACCGTCAGTACTACCGGATTATTCAAGACTATTTTCAACCTGAACGACTTGCAAGTTGGCCTCGCATACATTCCGAATGCTCTTGGAGTGGTGACCGGCTCAACCCTGATGGAGAAGGTTCTCAAACGCGACATTCTTTTCGCGTTCTCAAAGTTCAAAGCCGAGAACATGCTCCCTCCTAAAGCCAAGCTCTGCATGAAGGAACTACCCGCGGAGTTTCCACTCGAACATACCAGGCTGAGACGACTACCTTGGATCGCCGTCTGCTTCACCTTCACACTGTGCGCCTACGGGTTCTCACTTGCTTATCGCAGAGCAACCGTCCTGAAGGGCTGGATCGCCATCCCACTCTTCATGCAGTTTGTTATCGCAGCCACTGCTCACGCAAGGTGTACCGTCCACCAAACGCTCGTCACCGATCTTTGGCACCAAAACGAACATGCAGGTATCGTGGCAAATAACCTCGTCAGGTTACTGCTGAGCGCTGCAGGCGTGGTTCTGGTTCAGACCCTCCTGGATGCGCTTCGTGCTTGGTCGACGTTCCTTTCACTGGGACTCGCAGTGATGGCCGTGGTGCCGCTACCCTTGATCCAGTGGTACTGGGGAAGAGAGTGGAGGGCGGAACGGGAGGTGAAGAGGGAGATAATTGAGAGATTTACAAAGGTATGAAGGTGCTCTGCGAGGCAGGTCCTTTCATTAAAAAAGTGCTTTTACGATACCCGTGAATAATTAGTTGCGCGTAGTGTGGTGGTTGTTACCATGTTGTGGCAGAGGGGACGGTACGGTTTTCCTTTGTAAAGTAACAACGCCACGTCCGCTGGAGGCTGAAGATACCAAGTCCGATTAATTGCATAACGACCTTCCTATTGCCTAGTATTCCAATGTGGTTGAAATGGCTAAATGTGTGCTATATTGCAGTAGGCATAAGTGGGCGATTTGAGAACAGCCGCGCGCGACGCATCACTCGTCCCTCGTAATAATACCAACGCTCATTACGACTAGGCCCACGTTCACAGCTATCACCAACACCACTATTGTCCGGGCTCTACCAGCTTCGACGCTACTGTATTCCCAACTTATGCCTCTCCCATGCTAGTCAACCTTAGTGCCGTCTTCGACACTTTCCCAAGCAAGCAAGTCTCAGCCTTGTCTGGCTGGGGTGGATGCTTAAGTGTGCGTCTTAAATCTTATGGCTTTGACTTGTTTGGGAATGGAGGGCGTAACCAAGAATGTAGCGAGATGTGGTGCGACATTACCGCCTGACCTGGTTGTTAGCTTGGACAGTTAAGGACGTCAACGGAACTCGTATGTGAGACATCGACAGATCTGGGTGCGAGCTAGGTGTAAAGTGGGAAACGGTTACCGTGGTTGGGTATGTTGGGAGCAATATTATATTATTACATCTCAATACAGAATATGGATCCTATACTTTGATATTCCCACTTATCTAGACACGACATAGGCGTCCGTTCTGTGTTTGCGTTCCCTGCTCTCCGTCTAATACCTCCCACTCCTCGCTTCCCACTGCTGTTGTGGCGTAGAATACGCTCCTAGGATCCCACTTCTTCTTTAGCTCTAGCAGCCGCGGGTATTGAACACCATAGAAACTCGACTGCCAGTCCGGTTCAACGACATTTGCTTCGTTGAGGTAACTGCCGCCGAATTCACTGTCCGGCGCAACCTTCTTCCAAGGCCCGATGACATCGTTGATCAGCACGTCTGTAGCCTTCTTGACTTGCTCCGGGGTTGCGTTTACGTCGCCTTCGATGAGAGAAGCACCGATGAGGAAAGAAATAACATGTCGGAAGGCCGAAGACACGGCGTTGTCGACGTTGAGGCGGTTGCGAGGCGCTTGATGATATCCTCCCACTGTTCGGGCATTTACTAAGCTGTGTCTGCGAATGGCGTCGAACGTTCTGTTGAACTTCTCAGGATCCTCCCAGTTACCGCGAGGGAAGAGTCGATTCCCCGGCACAGTAGCTGAGGATCCCACAGTGTCGTTGCCCCAGTTCTCGTGGTATGCAGAGTAGAAAGTGTTATGGAGCTTTGTTTCGGCTGTGAACGGGATGTTGAGGGCGCGGAGGTGATCGAACCAGGGCTTTACGAGCTCGTTGAATGACTCTATCGTATGGTTAGGTGCGAAGAACGGTTGCATCTCGAATGAGAGGGTGCCATTCACTCCACCGCGAGCCCAGATCCAGAAGTACGAGTAGGTGTGCGCATCTGTGAAAGGGATGAAAAGCTCGAAGTACTTGCGAGTTCCTTCCCACAAGAGCTCTCTACTGACGTTGGCTGAGGTTGCGTATTTTATGGTCGACGTTACTATCGGGACTTGAGGGTGGGCGCGAACAATGACCGAAGTGACAACACCGAATGTCGAACCTCCTCCACCGCGAAGGGCCCAATACAAATCTGGATGAGACGTATTGGACGCTGTGACGAAGTGACCATCAGCTGTTACTACTTCCAGCGCCTCGACATTATCTGCGGCCATGCCGTAGTAACCGGACATGGGAGTGTGGCCACCACCAGCAAGGTAACCGCCAGTGAATCCAACACTCTCGCAGATTCCACCGAGCACAATGGCATTGTTTTTCTCGGCAAACTGGTAGACTTCTCGCACTGTCACCCCTGCGGCTGCCTTCACTGCAGGGCCCTCATACCCAGAATCGCTCTTGTAGTTCTCAATGAACTCAAGGTTCTTCAGGTTGTGCGTCCAGATGCTGAGGGAACCGGCTCCAAGACTCTTCCCGAGGTAGCAATGGCCAGTATTCTTGATGACTAAACGCAAGTTATTGTTTCGCGCGAAGTTCAAGGTGAGTTGAATTTGCTCCACGGAAGAGACATTAACAGCGTAAGCTGGGAATCCCCCCAGTGAGCAAGTGCCATCAGGCCTGTCGATAGCAACACATGTCCGGCCTTGGAAGACCGGCCACATGTTGGACGTTGGATCCGCCTCACTGTCCTCCAATCAGTATTGTTCATAGGTTCCGATGCAAAGGTACCTACTGGAGATAAGGATCGACTGATTGGTTCGCAATCTTCGCACACTGTTGTGGATTGTATAGGCCCCAATTCTTATAGCACGGTGCTGCAAGAGGGATTGTTGGAATGAGTGCGCCATCAACCAACTCATCGAACTTGTCCCACTTGTCATCAGAGGGCCAGTCATCGTCACCAGGAAACACTTTGCAAAATCCCTTTGGCTTGTCGATAATTACGTCGGAATCAACTGCGTCGTCGTCGAAATCGATGAGCGCGGCATCTTCCGGCGACAATGCTGCGATGCGCTCGATCGTAAGCTGCTTCTTCTCGTACGCAAACAGCGGAGCAGGCACTGTTGAGTCCCTGGTCGCAACGGCATGATTGGAAGGTTGGAGTGCAGAGACGGCGGCTGCAAACTGCAGGCCGGCACAAAGGGCCGATGTAAACGCACTGGGGGCCATTTTCTCCGTTGCTCACAGCTGTCACAGAATCCCGACAGAGCAGGTCGTAGGAAGTTGAATTGTATTTATTATGTGAAGATCCCAGGACCGACTCATACAAAGGCCCCACATCCTTGGGGTTGTGGAATCTGGAGGTTAGTCTGCTGCTTTTTCTGGTGGCGAGTGCATCCTGAAAGATGCTCAGACCCTGCATTCGTGAAAGCGCAATCCCAGTGCTGGTCTGGCTCCGTATTTCATCTCCTTTCCTAGTATTCAAAAGGATGCATGTCCCCTTCTTGTCATTACATCCCCTGAGTAATCTAGTGAACGAGATCCAGATACTTTGCAATCAACGTGTGTTCAAGGATCTATAAAAACGTCTACAGCGTAATAGTCCTTTGTTTGCTTATCGATTTGTTGGATGTACTCAACAATCTCCTCCGTGCCAGCTACAGCATTGATTTGATTCTCTTGGCCATGCATCATCTATTTCGAACAAGAAGCGGGATTACTATCAAGCAGCAATCCCTTCGGCATTATTATTCCACAGCTCTTGGATTGTCAAGCAGGATGGCGAGTCATGAGCCTGTGCTAAAGACATTTCCGTGCTGCGATCTGCATTTTTAGAGCCAGTCTTTCGGTCTTGCGCGAATCTACCGCGTATCTTCGTACTTGATGGCGTAGAGCACGAATTCGATAACCGATATACACAATATTTTAGTTGCGCAGAGAAGAAATCTGTGCCTTGGGCATGACAAGAGCGGTGTACCCCCGAGGTCGCATGAATGAATGCTCTAACTACTTGTAAGAGACGGCCCATGGTGATTCATGGCAATGGTGATTCATGGCAGGAAACGGGCACTACCCCTCTAGTTACCGTTTGCCTTATTATTGATTGTACAAGAGCTTGGGGCAAGTTGCGGGTGGGATTTCCCGTCCCGCGGATCCGTCCGTCAGTACTACGAGTAAGTCGACGTTGACAATCCCGTTTTCCTGCTCATTTTGACTGTACAGTACGGAGTACCATCTTGAAAATCTGCAACAATTACTCTATAGTCTTTTTCTTGGTCGAGCATTGTTTAGAGATTTAGCTGACGTTCAACTATTTGAGGCTTTGAAGAAATTTACGGAGCGTACATCGAGACGGTTCGCACGTAATTACAGATCACAGCCCAAAGATGGACCGAATACAGGCTGAATACAGACTGGTGATCGCCCGTTCACCTTCTCCAAGTCGATTAGAACGCAACAGGCCTCGTTTTTGCTTTTGAAACAATGGATCCGGACCCTTACAATTACCGGCGCTCAAACTCTTTTCTCTCAAAACTTCTCCAGGCGAGCAACGGATGGGATGCCGCGCCGCCTTGGAGCCGTCCAGGATGACCACATAGCGTTCAATGAGAGTCTCGCACATACTCCTGCGTACCGTGTGGACGGAACTCAAATCGCTGTTCAAATGTTGATTCAGCAAATCGAGTTGTAGATCACACTCCACAGGCCGGAGAATGGCTCCGCTGCTGGCTCCCTCGAGCACACAAGCTGGTGCCCATCGTTTTAATTTTGCGTGGTCACAGTGCATACGTAGGGTTTGCTAACATTTCTCCGATGACCCCAGGTTCGTCGGATTATCGCAACAGCTTTTGCTCGCTCATAATATCTGCTGTTGTGCCACCGTCTCATGCCAGTGACATGATCTACTGGAACTTGGTGTCCTCCTAGGCGAGCTTCGAAGCCGAAGCAGTCGATGGCGCCACGAACGCTTCAACCCTCTGGACTTGTTCTCGTCTTCCTGCCATCCATCGTATCTACGCTTGTCGTTATCCTGAGAATTTGGAAGAAAGTCACCTCGAAACACTTCGCAATTGAAGATGTTCTTCTCATCATCGCGCAATCGCTGATATTCATCCTCGCCTTTACTACTTGGAGATGTGCGTTACATCCCACTACCAAATACTTTCCGACAGCACTAACAACACTTCAGCCTTTAAGGTCAGCTGGTATGGCTATCACTATTATGATGTTCCTCCAGGAGCAAAGGATATCATTCTCATCTTGAAATGGAATTATGTCAATGCGGTCATCTACAATCCCATTCTCGGACTCATCAAAGCATCATTCGTTCTCACCCTCATCAAACTACGCTCACCCAACCAACGCATCAATTATTGCCTCTGGGCAATATTTGCCATCAACGCGGTCTTCACCGTCGCCGCCCCCCTTGTTTGCGCATTTCAGTGTAAGCCCGTCGCGAGGTTTTGGAACAAAAGTTTGCCCGGTTCTTGTCTTGACGGGCCGAGCTACGCATACGGGACAATTGGGATCGTCCTCATAACTGATGTGATGGTTGTCATCATGCCCACTTGGATTCTATACAATCTGCAAATGCCAATAGGGAAGAAGCTTATGATGATATCGTTCCTTTCTTTTGGGTTGGCAGTGACAGCGATTGGAGCATACAGATTATATGTTTTCCACTACTTGTACAACGGGTTCACGAAGAACCCCGACAGCGCCTACTCAGTCAGACAGGGTTTGTCGAATCTGGAAGTCAGCCTTGCGAGCATCGGTGCGTGTGGCGGGACGATCAAGTGGATGTTGGGCCTATGTATGCCTTTCTTCGCCTCCGAGGATTCGCGGATCGCCAAATCAAAACGATCTGACCGATCAAACTCGTCTCGAGAGCGGGATAACAGGCACACCCCGGAACCAGATCTTATTACAACAGATGGAGATGACATGGAATTGAGGGATCAACCGGAGGATAATCATGGACCAGTCTGGAAAAAGGTCACGGTTCGGTCGCGCAATAGGCCCACGAGTCGACATGAGACGCCCGATGTGGAAGTGAAACCTGACGACCAATCTTCGACCACCACGAGGCCGACCGAATGGGATGCATCGAGCAAAGCAAGCACGATGTTGGGGAAAGACACCAGTTCATACGAGAGGAGACAGACACCGAGAAGGGTGATCTAGCCGGCGCAATCATGCAATGAATTACGAATGCTTTCATATAAAGATACCACAGCAACTTGTTTGAGCGCATAAGCCCCGATGAGGAGAATGTTAGTTATCAAGGAGAATGAAGGCTTCCTTGGGTGCATTGTGTTGGCGTTCGCGGGCTTTACAGCATTTACATGGTAAGGCGAGATCTCAGTTATTTTCTTCAGTGATTTGTAACTTGGAATGTCAGAAGATTAGATAGGTAGTGCCATTCTTACTATGAACAGCCAGTCTTATGGTATTTGTACGTCCAGTCGTTAAGTATTGCCAGATTCTGTTTTGACTGTAAGCCTGGGATGTTCGTCCACTCATTGTCACGCTGTAGAGTGGTCGCCGATTAGAGCTCACCCCGCCTCTCGTTACGGTAATGCTCGACAGACAATCGCTTCGAACCAGCCATTGCTCCTCCAGAACACACTAAGACCGGCAAATCAATTGTTATTGTCAGCAGATAGAACTCTCACAACACTTTGAGACTGAAGCTTCAACGACTTCAACGATACATCTGATGTAGATTTGTACGAGAAAGAAAAACTGTAGCCATGCACCATTCCCAGCACAGTGCGGCTGTTCACCTACGGCTTTCTCAGGTGAAAGATGCGGTCCTTCGGGTAGGCATGTCATTCATCCTCCCGCCAGTGCATCTAAGACAATGCTAAGTTGATGAGGCTACCGCCTTATTTGTAGCCTTCTGTTCGTGTCAATACTCAAGGTGTGCAGCATCGACGCCGGATTTGTGGATTTCCACAAAGATTTCTCAGCATGCTTGCTTTATCCGGTCAGATACCGATGCAGATAAGACCAATCAAGTCAACGACCTCTTCAAACTGATATGCTTACGCGCAGACGATTACCGTCTTCGGGCGTTGCTGCACCAATGCAGCATGAATGGGGGTTTTGATCGGCAAATCAGTCCCTCTGCCCTATGGTGTAGATTAACCAAGTGGAGGGACCGACCAGCAAATTGAATTCGCGCAGCAATGCCCTACACCGCCGAGGACGCTGGTCTTTTCGTGACTGTCTTCCAATGGCAACATATCGCTGACCCGAGAGTGTGGTTGCTGTCAAGGAGGGGAGCCCTCAACTGTCATACCCTCGCAAGGGTTATATAGGTGCTGCACGGGCAAGGCCTGGTGGCCGGAGAGTAGCCTCAATTTTCACACTTGATGGAAGCAAACGCGCCTCAAAATGGCTTCCAACGAGAGGGTGGACACCACCTACAAAATTGATGCTCCAGCAGAGGAGACACCGCCGCGAACTCCGCCAGTAGTTTCACCAAGTAATAATGCACCAGAAAAGCTGTTCATGCACAGCCAGGAGTAGGTTCGCCATGCTAGAATTAGGGCCCAGATTAAGAGTTAACTTGTGCAAACTTAGACCGGCATCATCGAAAGAGGTACTTCACGATGCACCTGAGGTAGTCGAGGACTGGCTTTCGTCTTCTCAAAGGCCAAATTCCCCATTTTCAGTAGACGAGACAGTTGTGTCCGGCTTCCAATCCTTCCACCACGACAAGGACAATAGGTCAGAGTCTCGTCGCGAAAGCGAAGTACCTCCAGAGAAGCCGAAGACATGTGGCATGCCGCGCAGATACTTTATGGCCCTGATTATATTGATTTGGGTCGTATTGCTGGCGATCGGCCTAGGGGTGGGTCTTGGTGTAGGTTTGAAGAAGAAGCATGCATCGTGAGTACCTCATCATCTATATGGACGTATCATGCTAACTATACTTAGAAACAAACCGCCTGCCTTTGTCGAACCGTACTGCGCCGATAATCCCAAGCTTTGCATCGGCGGAGCATTGAGTTCAGATTATTATACAACTAATGGTACCTTCAATGGTACTGGCATTGCCCTAGCAACTGAGTTCTGGAACCACCAAGAGCGCAAGATCATGACGGTATACTTCCAGCACTGGACGGGCGACATCCGATTAATACAACTCACGGCAGAGGGCGAATGGGTGGGTGGCACCAAAACTGAAACCATCGTGACGGATGCGAAAAACTCCACTCCAATCTCAACCGTATCTTACGCTGTCAATGGGACTGCTCAGTGGCATATATTCTATCTTGATGACAAAGGTCGGGTTCGCCAGAAAACAAACACCAACAACACCAACATCTGGCAAGACGGACCTCTCAACGAACTCAACCTAACAGCCTACTCCGCACCCAATGTCGGCCTCCAAGCTTGTTGGTATGGTTCGTACTATGGTGACTCGGACAGTAGCAAGTTCCCAACTCGAGATGGGAATAACAACACAATACCTTTCAATTCCGATACCCAAGGTATGCACCTGTGGTATCCTACTGATGACAAAACATTCCACATGTACGGCTGGTATGAAGGGCAAGAGCAATGGGCTGAGCAGCACGTATTCGAAAATATGAACGCCCACGCCGGTGTAGGTTGCTACTCTTGGGGACCTGGAACTACGACGTACGCCATGATGGTCAACAACGAAAACACAGCCGAGATATGGTGGAAAGACACCAACTCAACCGGAGTGTCTACCGACGAGCACCCGATCAACACATGGGTGAACGCTACTGGTTACGCTATCAACAATGTATATCCAAGCACGTCGCTTGGTTTCACAGAATACTTCTACACTCAGATGGATGATGGGGATATCATGGGCCACGATATTGATTTCAAGTCTGAGAAGACGAAGCTCGTCGATAAGGGGCTGTTCACCGTTGGTGGCGCGAGAGGTCCTATTCCTGGTCTTAATGGCACGCATATGAGTGTCACTGCCGTTGCTGACTTCAGTGGCGGTACCAGCCTCTACGTTTTCTATCAAACGCGTGGTGATGATATTAGCGTTTTTACCCGTGACATAAAGGGAGGACAGTGGACGCAAGGGGAGTTGCCTATTCCTGACGATTGATGAGTTTTGCATTGAAAATTGGATACCCTGGGTGCCGGCGCACTCCGAATGAAATGGTACATATTGGACACTTCGGTGTACTATGGAGCAGCCAAGTAGCTTCTGAAAGTAGATATTTTCGGCCTGATATATTTCATTACAATCTATGAATGTCGTTTTTCGGTACATACGCATAAATGCGGCACTTTACTATTGTCAAGAAGCCATTCTGCTAAAGTCTTGCTTCGCAAGTGATACACATTCAGCACCTCTTTCAACTAGAACCTTCCCTGATAAACAGGCACTGCTTTGCCGTCCAGTATCTCGTCCAAAACATCCTCCAACTTGATAGGATTAAAATCAGGGTAGAGCTCTTGAGCATCAAGGTAGCCCAAATACCTCGCACTCTCTCTCGAGCTGTCACCTCTGATGTACTTTGACAAATTGTAGTCGTCGCGATAGACCCCAACTGCATTGTTCCACGAAGTAGGGTCTGCTCGGAAAGCTTCCCTGGCCTTCTGGCGACGGGCAATCAGGTCTTCTTTTGAGATCTTCACAAAATGTAGGTTAGATGGCTGAAACTTCAGCTGAACGGTGTCAAGCTTACCGGAGTAACATCGACCTTTTCACCCGTCTTTCTCTCGACGAGCTCAATGATCTCATTCTGACTGAGCTCCTCGCCCCAACAAGAGACCTTCTGGTTCAAGGTCCTTTCATCTTTCACAATCCTTGCTACGAATCGTCCAATGTCTCTCTTATCGGTCAGAAGGTTTTTAACGTCACCACCACCATACACCTCTGTGGTAGGCATAACCAATGCGTAGTCGAGCTTCCCGCTTGGGACTGGCGGAAAGCAAATCTGATGCCAAAATCCAACATCGACAATCGTATAGGGAATACGGTGGTACCACAGACGTTGATAGACCTTCTCTTTCTCATCGCGCAGGAACATGACTTCTCCAGGAGGCGAGACAGTTATCCATCCAGCAACGAATCGCTTGCAGGTGCCAGCCGCTGCGATGGCATCCGCTAAGTTGAGCTGAGCGAGCTGCTGCGTAGCTCCTATGGCGCTAATGATGGTGGTATAGCCCTTGACATGTGTGGCGAGATCATCGACTGGGCCATTTATGTCTGCAACGACAATCTTCAAGCCACGGCTTCTAAAATTCTCCACGGCTGGTGTGTTTGCCGATGAAGGCTGTACTAGCAAGGAAATATCCTAACTCAAGATTAGTTCGGAAGGTCTTTGATCGCGAAAACATCGGAATCTTACAAAGCCACCATCTTCTTCAAGACCCGCAAGAATATCTTTCCCGGTTTCGCCAGTGGCTCCGAGCAAAAGGACCTTTTCGATGTTTGACATTTTTATTGACTGAATCTTCTTAGTGTCAGTGTAATTTTCTTGACAATTTAATTTGCCTTTTGCTTGTCCGATACGCAATTATATACATGTCGTTGGGTTTCGTAGTGACATAATCGGTAACTAGCGAAAGTGCAATTGCACTTTACTCTTAATCATCAACCAGCTTCAGCACTAGAACCAACATAGGCGACTGAATCACAGGCACAGATGTTGTATTACTTCGGATCAAAATTCTCGGACCAGACCTGATCATTGGGTCTATGCGTAGAATGGAAGGTTACAACGTCGTCCACCAGCCGGATGCATTCCACCCGGGGACATAAAGTTGCACATGGCTAATAACTTTGTGCATATTTGGTTTGTAAGAGCTTTTAGTACAGCTGTGCATTTTTACGAAGTCGTACTTGATGGAGATGATACAGACTTCGATGATGACTTTGGACTTGTTTGCCAGACGCCTACTAGCATTCTGGAGAGTATGTGTTTAGGCATTTTGGAACGAAATTACACCATATACGACCTACGCACAATGTTATTATCAATATTGCATTGCCCATTACACATCAACAAGAAGTCTTCGCCCCTCACAGCAGAGAAAAATATTGTATTATGTTTGGCTGCTATTCTTTTATCATGGTTACGGCGAATATTACATCGTAAGCGTCATGAACTCCCATCTATCCTTCCTCTATCACAAAGGTACACGACCTCGCTATTGACCTATGGATAAGAAACCTCTTTCACGCCATGATGGAGAAAGTCTATTCCAATTGCGCCAAACCTTCTATTTTACACTCAAAACTCCCATTTCTTCCGAGCTACGGTTGCGGACACCTTCCCAATATTCCGATTGGATGGTGTAGTCTTCTGTTCGCAGGAGCCTTTGTACCGCGAAGATCGAACTGTCTCCAAACCTTTGGAACTTTCTTTTGTCTTCCTAATGCCTGAAAACACGGGCAATTTTGACCCTTCCAGGGTTCTTGTAGGTGTCACTGTTGCCGGGCTGCAGACTTTTGCACGTGTGCGAACGGGAGTGGGTAGTCTGCTCGGGGTCTGTCGCAAAGTTCGATGTGATAGATCGTTACCAATCTCCAGATCAAGGTTTCCCGGTCGGTTTGTGCGGGACGATATAAAATGTTTATCTGCTCCCGTAGGAGATGAATATAGTGGTGAACGGCCGTGCAACGAACCTTGCAGGCTCTGTGAATGTGAGAATCGAGCCTCTGTTGGCACCGTCTGAAGCTTTCCAGTTCCTCGACTAAGGGAAGAAGAGTTTTCGCATCGAGTGCCTTCTCTTTGATCGATATCGGACTTGGCCAGTGGCCCACCCGGGATATCAGAGCCAGAGGCTTTGAAGAGGGCGTTCAGCAGATCTTGTTCTTGGATGTCAAGTGCATCAAGCGCACGAGATAGGCTTTGCCTCTCTGCGGCGATTCTACGCAGCTCTATGCATATCCTGGATACTGTGGCAAGAGACCTCTTGTCTTGTGTGTACTCGTTATACTGTTCTGTAATATCCCTTAATGCATTGCCCGGTTGAGACATCTTCGCATCTAGAACTTCCGGTATATGAGGCCCTTCAGTCTTGGTTGGCTGACCCTCCTTCTTTAGATGTTTGTCAGCGATTGAAGGGAGTTCCCGACGTCGTCTATCTTCATTATCAACGTTGTTTGACTTCGCAGCGAAACCAGCTAGTGTATTGGAACCGCCGACAGAAGCACCTATATCGTCTCTATATACCTCAATTCTCTCACGATTGATGCGTGTCGAACTTCGCGAAGTGTTTCGGGAATGCTGGGACGAAGTTATCGAAGGAGGTTTACGTTCGAGTGGAAGCACATCTGGCGATGGCTCGCGGCCCTGGCACTGGCTTAGATGACACTTCTGGCGATTTCGCATCATGGAATATAAGTGACTCACCTCGGATGCCGCATGTAGCTCTTTCATATCTTCCAAGGCTGACATATCCTCTAGATACAGATCGCTAGAGCGCATGTTGACGCAGGCTTTGATGAATGTGCTACAACAACAGCGAATGTTAGCTTAATACATTCTCAGTCGTGCTCTTGATTCGTCATTGATATTATGTGAGAACTCACTCGTCAAAGATAGTTGTGGGTTCTGTTGTTGTTAAGGCGATGTCGGGTCAAATGTGTGTGTCAAACAACCACACATGCAGTTGAGCATGCTAGCAACCAGCACTGGGGCAGTCTACGTATAGGCAAACATAAACAAAATCACTTACGCATCTGCACAAGTGAAGGCCAGCGGCCGCCAGCGTAGCACGTGATTCTGCCTCGCTAGTCTACACCTTTACCTTTATCACCGCACACTACCTTCACTCTCTTCCCTCTCCTCCTACCAACAAACTTCCTCCGTCTTCAGCTTTTGCCCTGCAAGAAACAAAGCGCTAACCGTGCTTGCAGGTACAAACAATAGAAGATGGGTCATAGAAAGAAGCGAGCTCACCCACCCACTCTTCCACACACTCAACCCGAGTACCCAGGTGCTCCCAATCAGCTTCCCCCATACCTTCCGACCACCTTCACTAACTCTCCTCCCGGCCACGTCTACTACACCTACCAGGTACCTAGTGGCACTATGGAGAACGGAAACATGCCCAGCCAGATCAATGGTCCCATGATCAACCCAATGGACGTCACTATGAACGGCCAAGTGAACGGCCAGATGGAGAACCGCAATGCAAATGGCGAGATGAGTTCCCAGAACATGAGCGGTTATACTAATAACCATCACTTTTCTAGCCATGCAGCGAATCGATCCATCAGTATGCCTATCAACAACCAGCATATGAACGATCGCAACATGAGTGGGCCCAAGGACAACCGCACTGCAGGCAATCACCCTAACAACAGCTATAGCAAGGGTAGTCCCGTGAACCACCGAAAATTGAGTGGTCCGAGAGATAATCCAGACAAGACCAATACCCAGAACAACGGAAGTTACCGTGGCGGTAAAGGAGGCCGTGGACGTGGCTTCAACAGGCGAAACTCCACAATGCCGCATCAGAACAGTGGCCAGTTTCACAACAACAATAGCTTCCAGAATAACGGCTATCAAAACAATGCTTACTTTAACAACGGAAACATCGGAAATAGCCGTGGCAACTATGAAAGGCGTCCAACTCGCGATCGTAACGCTTCCAACCCGTACAGTGCGCCCTATGGACACGGTATGAGACAGACATCGCAAAACTTCCCGAGCGGCGTGGTCTATTACCCTGTTTATCCCCAGGCCCAGTATCAGTATCAGGCTTTCCAGCAGACTCAGGCCCAGCTGCCACAACCTCAAGTCCCGCAGCAACCATATCGGGCCCCTTCTCAGTACCAGGTCCAGCAACAGCCATGCCAATCCCCTCCTCACAACCAGGTTCAGCAGCGCCAATCTCCCCAGCACCACGCGTTCCAGCACCAGTTGCAATTCCCGCAGCAGGTCCAGGTCCAAGTCCAGCCGCAGCACCAAGCACAGCAGCGTCAACAGACCCAAGTGCCGACGTACACCGTTGCAAACACCCACGTACCAACCATGACCCGACCCATGAGCGCACCCATGAACTACACCGCTGCTTCCGGTCCTGTGCCTCAGACTTCCGGCGCGGTCGCAGTCCCAGTTCCCATGGCCCAACCTCCAATGCAGACCTTCGTGCCATACAACGGCCCAGTACCCGCACCTCACGCCATGAACCCATCTCCGGAGCACCGCAGCGGGTCTCAACCCAACCCTCACGGCACCCAGCAAACATCCACCAACCCCTTCAACTCGCCCCAGGGCAACCACATCCCAAGCAAGCCCAGCCCAGAAGCCATCAACCACTTCGTCAACCACGCGCTCGCGCACTTCGGCGCAGAACTCGAGGTCACGCACGCGAAGTACAAGAAACCCCTCCGCGACACCGTCGCTTCGTTCAACAAATGCCAGGTCGAAGAGGCCAAGTGCCACGAGCGGTTCACGAGCGAGTACGACAGAGGGCTCGAGGCGTTCGAGAAGAGCATCACCGTCGCGGACCGAGACGAGCGAGTGAAGTTGCAGCAGGAAGCGCTCGCGTTGTTCCAGCACTCGCACCAGCTGAGGCGGCAGGGCCATGAGTGGTATCAGCAGGTTGAGCGTCTGCGGACCGCGATGGGCGAGGCGAGGGATGGGGATTATAAGGAGTTGCTTGGGTTGACTACGGCTATGATGGATCGGATTCAGGATGGTCTTGCGGGGGTGTTTCACTTGCCTCAGCAGTCTGCGGCCGTGAGGAAGTATCGGGCTACGAGGATTGCTGTTCACCATCCTGCGGCCTTTGGAGTCAACACTGCGGATGTGCTTCACCTTGATAACGCTGGAAAACCCACTATCCAGAAGACCGATGGACCTGTTCCCAACCAAGCTCAAGCCAAACAAGCCAACACCAAGCAAGCTGAGAAGACTAAACCTCAACCTCCAGAGACCATCGACATCAAAACCGCCGAAACCCTCGACATCGCCGACGCGATCCCCGGCCCAGCCGTACACCTAACCTCAGAGTTCCTCACCGACAGCAGCGACACCGGCTCCGACGACCTCGTCATCTGCGTCTCCAAACGCCGCTCAACCTCCAAAAACCCTCACACCCCAGACCCCCCGAGCTCCCACTCCCCCGACGCCGACTCCTACGACTTCTGCTCCAACTCCAACTCCAGCGACAAAGCCAAAAGCGAGTGTGCCGCCCCACTGCCCTCGTCGTACGAATCCAACGGCAACGGCAAAGGCAAAGGCAAAGGCAAAGAAGGAATCAAACAACCCCCATACTTCACACCACCACCACCGCCAGCACCATCCTCTCAGTTCCCCACCACTGCCACCACCACCCCATCAACAGCAGACCATCGTGGAACCGCCAGACTCTCCTTCGGCAAGCTACCCAGCCTCACCATCAAAGTGCCCAGCAAATCATCCTCCAGCCCTCAGAGGGACGCTACGTCCGACCCTGTCGCAACCGCCCAGGCGGGCCTCGGCATCCTGCTGCTCAACAACCCCCCGGCCCCTCCCCCTCCTACCGCACCCGCGCCTAAATTGAACGTAATGTCCTTCGACACGCTGAAGAAGAAGTTCAGGTCGAAAGCTGTGCGCGAGTCGCGCAGGGTGAGCGTTGAGCAACAGCAGGAGATGCAAGAGATGAAGGAGCAGGTCGTGTCGCCGGCTGATAGTAGTGGTGGAGGGGTTGAGGATGCGTTTGTTACGCCGTTGAGTACGCCGACGGGATTGTTGGTCGGTGCTGCGACTACTGCCACGACTACCGCGACTGCTGAGACTACGGCGAATGTGACTGCGACTGCTGCGACTGCTACGACTACCGCGGTGACTGGGACGGCGAAAGACAGCGGTGATGCTGCTGGTGGTGGAAATGGTGGTGCAGGAGAAGCAAAGAAGACAGGCACCGCAAAGAGGCAGAAATGGGGCAAGAGGGCTAATAAAGCTGATAAGAAGGTCAAGAACGGTGGAGACAACAAGTAGAACGACACACACACCCACCTCAGACGATGTCAAGGACAGTGAACGACATGAGTATGACATCCGTTTCTCCCATGGTATGATGGTACGATGGTATGATGGAATGATACCCCTTTCCCTTTCCCTTTTCTTTTACCTTTTTCCTTTCTATACGACAAACATCGATACCCCGAACTCAAAAGCACACCCTTTTTCCTTCTTCATTCACGGTTACTAGACGGCGGGTACATTCACCGATTCCCTCAGACGACATATTCACCCCCGAGCTGTCGTCGAACGAAATTTTTCTCACTGGCGAGGTACTTTTTCACGGAGGCCTTTTTTTTCCCAACCAAGGGAGGGGATACACACGCCTTCACGCACCAACATCACCCCTTCATTCCCCCCCCCCAATATGACCGACGGACTACACGCACAGATTGCAGGATAGCATCTGTGAATCCACAGCAGTCAACCGTCGCTCTGCGTGCGGTAGACACGGCGTAAACGGTGAAAACACTTTCATGTACAATAGCTATTTTGGAACGGAATGGACAACAAGGAACAGGGAGATGGATAAATTTAGTATGTCTTATAAGCTTTGTTTTGTGCTGTGTGACGTGAATGTTTGTGATCAGAGATATAAGAAAGAAGGTGGCCTATGTTGCAATGACATTACAGAATTTTCAACACTACAGATGTGTGATGTACACTCATCCATTCCACACTACAGATGCGCCTTCAGCGCCTCGTTCTCCCTGAACCTCCTCGGCCAGATCCCCTGCTTTCCCGGCGAGAGAATCCCCTTCGGATCCAGTGCGTCCTTGATCCTCTCTACGAACCGCCGGTATGCGTGGTCGTTGAAATCGTACAGCGATGCGACTTGATCTGCACACATACAAACACATTAGCCAACCGTAGCCAACCGTAGCCAACCGGACCCAACACGACTCAATCCTATCAAACTGGATCTAGGGGGTCAGACTCACCCATAGCATTAACATGGCTCCTATACTTGCTGAAACCCCTCTTCTTCCCCTCGGCGAAGAGGTTCTGGAAGATGGTCTCGACGGCGCGGATGTGCGACGGGTTCGTCTTGTCGAACGTCATCATGTTGACGAAGATGACGTGGCGTTCGTGCATGAAGAAGTCGCAGAACAGGTCGAAGGACTCGGCTTCGCATATCCTATTACCCTTCGTTAGCTATGTCTCCCAGAAATTGTTGGGGAGGGAAAGGGGAACTCACTTCTTCGCCGTCTTCACCCACTCCAACACCGTCTTCCCGCTACTCGGGACGATAGGACTGTAATCGTAATGCGCGCCGATCCCCCCGCCGTCCTTGGGGAGTCTGAACTTCACCATCGGCAGGCTCCAAAGCGAGGGCACGCCGACGAAGAAGCCGCCGTGGGGTTCGGGGAGCGACGCCGGGTCGAGCGTGTGGCCGTCTTCCGCGGCGAACATGTTGCCCGTGAGTCGTCCTTTCGGTGCTTTGAGCCCCACGATCTTCTTGAGCTCGTCGAAGTGCGCTTGCACGACGTCCCGCGCGCCGTAGAGCCCGAACTTCGCGTTCCAGTACCCGATGTCGAGTTCTTTCTGGAACTCCCTGAGGCGGGACTCTGGGATGGGGCCGTCGTGCGGCCAGAGGTCTTCGCGCTTGCCCATCATGCCGAGCCATTCGACGAGGTTGGAGACGTAGACGGTGTTTGGAAGTAGGCCGTCTCGTCGCAGCGGCCCAAACACGTCGACGATGGTCTCCACATCCTCGAGATCTGGCATGTCGAACGAGCAGGACATGAATGCCTGGGGCGCGGGGGTGAGCCATATGCCGAGCTTCGTCACGATCCCGAGATTGGACTGGAGGAACAAGCCCTCTATACTGGGGCCGAACGTGAACTTCGAGAGGTGCGAGGACGGGGATCCGGAAACCGCGAATTGTCCCGTGCGGACGAGGTCACCGTCTGCGAGCATGACTTCCACGCCGCAGATGTGCTGGTGGTGCGTCGCCGTGGGCGTGAAGCCTGTCCCGCGGTCGACGGTGTTGCCGACGACGGAGCCCCAGCCGAGAGAGGGGACGGAGGGCCAGACGGTGAGTTTGTGTTCAGTGCAGTATTCGTAGAGCTCGGTGAATGTCACGCCGGGCTCCACGACGGCGTATGCGTAGTCTGCGCTGACTTCTATTATCTTGTTCATGCGGTGGAGATCAAGTGCCACGGAACCGTTCGCCCTAGGAGCAGGCCCTCCATATCTATTGAACTATCATTAGCAAATTCAATTCCTCATTCCCTCTCTTATGAAAGGACAAAAGGGGGCATGACAACATACCCCAGATTCTTCCCCCGACTAAACGTCCAAACCGGCACGTCAAACTCATTCGAGATCCTCAGAATCTCCCTCAACTCCTCGACGCTCTTCGGCCTCACCGCCGCACTCGGCATCTTCCTCTTCCCCTCCGCCTCCCGCAGCTCGTACGGGTCGATGTACTCGGCCAGCGCGTCGCCCTGGAGGACTTGCTCGTGGCCCACGACCACCATGTACTGCAGGATCGCGGCCTCGAATGCATAGCGGGTCACCCCTGGCGGGAGGACGGATTTGAGGGGGGTGGTGATGGATTGTTTGAAGAGAGTGAGGTGGGTTGTTTGGTACTCTGGGTTGGTGTACGCTGGGGTGTGGTTGATTGGTGGAGGCATGTTGGTGGTGATGGTGGTTATGCGTGGGTGGACGGGCAATGCAATTCAATCCAATCCAAGAAGTATGCAGGTTGTTTTTAATTATGTGTTTCCCTGGAGGAGGTTCGCCAGGGGACGACGAAACCCACGCCGCGGATGCGTCCCATGCTTTTTATTTCTGGGAGATCGAAGCATGGTGAGGATGGGGGAGCATGGGAGCATGGGGAAAGGGTCCTGGCGGGTTTGGGGGAGATGGATGGACGTTCCCCACAATTTCGGTGCGGAGAAAAAAAAGACCCCACATGGGATGGATGGTCGTGGATGTACGAACTGTTTGAGCCTCAGGGAGGCCCTGGGCGGGCGATCCTCGTGGCATTGGCCATTCTCGTCGGCTTGTGGATGCAAGTGCATGTATATGTCTGTTCTGAACGGTGTTATGCGCAGGTACCGAACGTTGATGCCGTATTGTCATCGGTCGTCATATCAGCATGTACCTGCCTTTCACCTACACAATAGAAGAGCGATTCAGTGGGCAGTGAACGCTGTGGTAAGTACTCGCATTCCTCGTCACCGTCAAGCCACTCATCTCTCCATCAGAAGGAAGGATCATCCCCTTTAGAAAGGGAGAAAACCATCAACACCAGAAATGCACAAGTGTTGGCGAAGGTGCTTGAGCTGTTTGATAAATGCACCACATTGTGTCAATGGGTTTACTGGCATGTTAGCTGCCCATCTCAAACGTTAACGGGCTGCAACTTGAACACTCCCCATTCGTGAGGGCGTATGAGGAAGGAATCAAGAAGGTTTATGAGAAGTGAGTGGGCAAGCTAGAGTCCTAGGTATGTTGCCCATTTTGTAGATTTAACATATTCCATGGTGGGCGATACACAGTCTGTTGACTGTTTATCTTATCTTATCTTGGCGGAAGGTGCGGAGGAGAACGTGAACTTGAGCAAGTCACGTTACCGTATAAATAGGAACAACAGCGTGGAGATACAAAAGGAATTGAACCCCTCGTCTCTCAAAAGACACCATTAGCCCACCATCGTCATTACATCTTTGACAATACATTCGTCATGTAGTAGTGCCAATGCGAAAGTTCAAACTGAGCTTCGTTTCATTTCATTTCATTGGAGAGGAAATTTCCCCTACCCCAATCTACCATCAATACGTTTACAAGAACAAGAGAGAAAGAGAGAAGACTAAAACCGAAATGTCGCGATCTCCCGAGGTTCTCGCCTACAGCCACAGCTACTGTGGTTGTGATCAGGTATTGAAAGCGACTGATATTTTTTCCCGAAAACGGCCAGTCCGGGGCCGGACAATCGCATGCACCGGCCCTTGTCGGTTCGCCTGGTTTTTTTTCTTGAATATTATGGACGTTACAAAATGCTACGTTGATAGCTTCCCTAACCGGGGAGGACGAAAATGATTTGACATGACTTTGCTTTGCTCTATCCAGAGGTTCGCAGCCAAGCTCTGTGCAAGATTGCCAGTCTCAAAACAACTGGTTGAAATGTGAAAAATAAAACAAGATGATGATGTTAACAATGGTAAACGCGATGGCGGTGCGGGACATTGAGACTATGCAGTGGCGCAACTGTTCAACTCCTAGAAGTGAAAAAGAAGACAAGGAGAATCGTTAATCGTAAGTGTATATCCAAACACTCTTGTCCGGGCTTCGGCCAGAATCCAATGGTTATCCGGGCTGGTGGTGCCATGCGCCCAACTCCGTATAAAGCCTTCGTGGGTCTACCAACCGGTTCCGGGTACTCCAAACTCTAAAAAATCCAATCTTTCGCTGAAGCATGCTCATGAAACAAATTCGTCTTCGACAAACACGCCCCAGAAAGTCACCTCTTGGTTCTCGCGGCCGCGCAGAGCTCCGCCATAGACGTCTGCACACATCTCGATGGGTATCTCGAGCTTCAGACATCCATTTCCGAAGAATGTGAACAAGAGCCAAGAGTCGTAATCTGGGAATGAACCACCGTCGGCCGGCTTTCTGCTCAGAATGCCCCGATTCCGCAGTGACGGGACTGCGGGCATCTGGAAAGAATGATATGGCAGCGTTTCGGTGGAGTCGGCAATGAAAAACGAGGAATTGAGGGCCATCTCAACAGCGGTACAATCAATCTCCTCGAGCTCGTCGATGCTGGGCACAGAAGCCGAGTAGAACCGCAGGGTCCCGAAGCGCAGGTCGGTCGGCTGGCCCAGCATATCGAAAAGCTCGGTCGAGTAGAGGCGGAAGTGGCCCTTGTGGATGTTCTGAAGACTCGAATCCGGGTCTGGTCCGGTGGTGTCCACCGCTCCCGAGCGGAGGTCTTCTTCGGCAGACTTTGCGAGGGATTCGGCGGCATCCAGGGAGGTGCGCAGCTGTTTCCGCGAGTAGGAAGTATTTATCTCTGCATATGCCAGTTGTTGTGCCGCATGCCGGACCTGATCCCTCCGTCGGCGTCTCTGGTCCTGTGACTGGTCGGATTCGAGGTCTTCCAGGGAGCGAAGTAAACCAGTTTCGTAGCCCTTTGCGAGCTCTTTGAATTCGCGCATCACCCGGGTCAAGGGCAGGGGGAGGGTTTGGTCAGGTTTTGCATCGTGGGGACTGGGTTCGCTCTTCAGGGCAGCCATTGAGGGCCGCGGTGGCCGGCGGCTCGTATGCAGGGTGTGGGAGAGGTCGAGGGCGAGGGAGGAGGCGCAGATGGGGTCGAGAGTACGGTTGCGAGGTTCGTAAGGGGTACTTTATAGAAGAAATATGCCGGACAATGGTCGTTGGTCGGCAGAAGAAGAAGGAGGAAGAAGAAGAGCAGTTATTGTTGGTGGTGGTGGTGGTAGTGGTGGTGCGGCGCGCGTTGGGGCTCGCTCGGCAGCTTTGCAGGGCTCGCGGGGAACTGGAAGCAAGGGGTCGATTGCGTCGTGTGTGTCGTGCGTTGTAGATCGGCCGTTGAAGACTCGCGATGAAGGACGAGGGAAAGCACAATGGACTCGAAGGGGCGCCTCACATCTGATATAAGGGGGTAATAAGTATGCGAGGGATAGTAAGGAGGTTTTATGGAAGTAAAAAAAAGAGGATTGCAGGAGACGGCGGTCGGCAGACGGAGAATTGGTGGGACGGCGAATGGTGGATGGTGTGTGGTGTGTGGTTAGTAGGACACAGGTCGCTGGGACATGAGACTGGGTCTACAGCCAGAGTGGAGGGACGTGGAGCTTTTGCATTTGAATGTCGGGCGCTTCGCCAAGTGTGGCGGGTGTACGGAGTAAGGAGAAGAGGAGGAGGAAGAAAAAAAGATGTTGCAATGACAAGGCGGTGGACGAGAAGAGTCGAGGAAAGACGAGGCGATGTAGTAGCGGCGGGTAACAGAGAGATTGTACGGACCGACGAAACAGAGCAGATGGGATGGGAGGAGAGGAGAAGAGAAGCAACAGACAGGAACAGTATAACGCCGACAAGTCAGTATGTTGCCTTTAGGGGTATGGTACGAGGTATGGGTTTGTAGGGGTTAGGTTAGTGGATGGATGGTGGGCGTGATATTATTATTATTATTGCGGTGGTTCCAAGTGGGCGGAAGATGCAAATGCGAATGCAGATGCAGGCCGATGAAGATGCAGGTTGAGACGAAGGTGTGGGTGTGTGGACGCGTTAATGGTTGTTATGTTAAGGAAGGTAGGTAGCTAAGTATGTACGTAGTAGTAAGTAATAGGTAGGGCCTAAGGGTATGGAGTAGATAGGGCAGGCCAGGGCAGGAGAAGAGTAAGGGAATTGGGGCATGGGGGGGGGGGTGATGGGATGGGATGGGATGGGATGGGATGAGGGCATGAGGGCATGGGTGGGAAGAGTGGAGGAGGAACATGTTGGTGTTGTGACTACACAGATACCTAGGTACACTCTAGGTACACACTACACACTACACACTACACACTACACACTACACAGAAGGGAGGTACTAGGTGGTATACTACTGTGTAACTACTGAGGAACTGGTAGGGCAAAGAAACAGGCAAAGAGATGAAGAGAAAAGGCAAATGGTTCTTTCCTCTTTCCTCTTTGCTCTTTCCTCGAATCGTCAATCCCTGCCTGCCCTTCCTTCTCTGTCTCTGTTTCTGTTTCCTCCTCCCTCTTCCCCCCACCTTGCAAGCTTAGGTACCTCCCTAGGTACCTGAGCTATTGCAACCATTAAGACAATGATTATCTTCAACCACCCCATCCATGTATGAGGGCCTATATCAATCTACCTATCTGCTGTGTCAATTCTGACAAGCCCTATAATCCTCCACATACCATGCAGACAGTAGGTACAGACTGCAGCAGAGTGACTACCTAGGCATGTTGAGTGGTAGGTGCCCATTGCCCATTGTATACATGAGCACCCTAGTCATCGGCCTCACGCTTTCCAGTTCCCCGGCCAATCGCCTTTGCACTGGACCCACGCACGGGCGAGACGCCTTTGCTGCATCAACCCACTCATTCACTCTCTACCTAGTCACCTAGTCTATCCCTTCTACGAGTACCTTCGACTATTCACACTTACGACTTACTACAACACTACTCCTACTTGGTACATGCCACGAGTAATAGCTGGAGATGTTATTACAATAACCATGATAATTATAACAATTCTACTAGTTACCTAGGCACTGCAGACAGAAACATACGCAGACGACCCGACTACGACCACTACACAGTACTGTACTGCCGCTATCCTCTACCTACGAGTACACAGTACACAGTACACAGTACACAGTAGATCCTCCATACACATACGGAATACTCCGTACGCACATCCACATTGCATTGCTACCGAGTACTCTCAACTCTGACCTGTTTTGAATTGCGTGCGCCACTCGATCTCTCCTGCATTCATCCATTCATTCATCATTCATCCACACGTTCCGTTCTCGCTTCTCTCTGTTCCATGCCCATCCCATCCTATCATGCTGGCTAGCTCCTTCGACACATCATCTTGTCTTGCCTTGTCTTGTCTTGCCCTCTTCACCCCCCGCCTCGACTATTACTCTTCCCCCCCATCCCCCATGCCCCATCCCCCATGTCTCTCCTGCTATAAGCAATCGCATCTTATGTACGTCTGTCTCTCGTCACCCCCCCTTCATCTCATCCTCCTGAACGGTTAAACACCATGGCCGTGGGATTTCCTTTTTGCCTGTGTTGCCGTCATCGCCGCCGTCGCCGCCGAACACACCTCTCAAGATACGAACCATTCCTGGGCCCCCCAATAGGACTGGTCCTCTGGAGCCACTGGTGCACGAACCGCCGGTATAGGTGCAGGTGCGCAGGTGCACAGGTGTGTGCAGCACAGTTACTTGCACTGGCTTGCTTGCTTACTTGCACTGGCTTGCTTGCTTGCTTGCTTGCTTGCCTGCTTGCTTGCTTGCTTGCCTGCTGCTGGCTTGCTGGCTACCAGGCTACCGACACTGCAACTATTCCCACTTGTTGGGATGGCCGGCCGCGCGAACCGCCCCCTCCAACTACCAGTTTCCCCCTCCCTCCCTCCCTCTGCTTGGGGCGTCTCCAGGTTCGAACAGATGATTCTCCAGGGACCGACCCATTGTGAAGCCGTAGTTCCTCCGGGGCGGCAACAGCAAACACCGTGTCAGAGATGATAGGTAATCGCAATTAGGTATCATGTATCATGTATCATGGTATCGTGTACCAGGGTATCAGGTATCAGGTAACGAGTGGCAAGCCGCTATTTTCTCCAACAAAGCCTCCACTCCGTGCGCCATACCACGGCACTCCACACCATACCGCACCACACCGGTAAGCTTGATGAACAACCACGCCTCGAGCTCTCTACCTGGCTCGGGCTCAGAACCTTTCGAGTATCTATTAGCATCAAGTTATTATTATGATTATAATTTGACGGCACTGCACGGAGTAAGTTTTGCTTGGATGCCATGCCCATACGCGCCGCGCCCTTCTCCGCAGGAGCCTTACTGTGTAGCCTACGGTCTGTGCTGTGTAGCTAACAGCGTAGCTGCAGGTGGCAGACCCCCCTACCCAGGCTGTCGGGTCCAAAACACGCATCATCCAGCACCCAGCACGCCCCCCTTCGTTAGGTACTTGGTTAGGTACTTGGTTAGGTACTTGGTTAGGCGGGACTGAAGATGAAGATGCACAAATCCATTTCTCCCGACCCGTTTACAACCATCACGCACATGTTCTGTCGGTGAGTGGGGTTTTCATCTATTCTTCAACTTACACTATTCACCACTCATTCTATTCTCTACTGCGCAAAGAGATGTCTGTGGGTGGACATGCTACGTTGGCTGGCTGATTGCTCGTAGGTAGGAAAGTGGGAGGAGGTAGGTTCGGCGTACGGAGTACTGGACGAACGAACTAACTACTGATGAAGATTATTGCTCCTGTTCTACAGTGTGTACCCTGCAGTCTTTCTGTATAATGATACCCCATCGGGACGAATGTACGCACGTCGCACCCCATGGATCGATCGAGATGTCAACCTCTCATGTCCATCACCTCCAGACCTGAGTTCACCCATACTCTGTGCTCTGTGCTCTGTGCTCTGTCCCGGCACGCCGATCGTCTTGTCTACACGGCCCGAACATATGTAGCAGTACACCTCCCACTCGGCCACCCCGTCCCCCTACGAGATGCCGAATCTGAATCAGCGCAGGTCCTCCCCATTCGTTGCTCTGCATGATGCCCATGAAGCCCATGATGCCCGTTATCCCCAAAATGTCCACGATGCCCACGATGCCCACGATGCCCACGAATCCCCAGGCTATTTCTAATCTCTACACCGCCCCCATCAGCATCCAACGCAGTCATTCTCTGTCACACGCGTCGTTAATATAAGGTTGGGGGGAATGTCGGTTATTGAACACATGGTCAAGTGAGATCGATTATCACGGCAATGGGAATGGGCTGAACCCACGACCAGACCAGACCAGACCAGACCAACACGAACTCACGTCTGACAGACACTACACACTACGAGTACATACATACACTCCTCCGGGGCGCGTGAGATTAAGGTGACATGACGGACAGCCATGACAAAGGGATTACATGACCACAACCTTTCCGACAGTCTGGTTCACGGCCGACTTTACCCTGCGGTCGAATAGAATCGCAGGGCCGACGTCTATCGACCACGACTAGTCTTCGCTCGAGTGGGGAGGGGGGGGGAAGCCTGAAGGGGAAGGGGAGGGGAAGGAATAGAGAGAATCCTTCCTTTGCCTAAGGCTGCGTCTTACACTCTACAGTCCAGTCCAGCATCAACGAGGGGAGGGTACCATCCGTCCATCCATTACTGTATTGCCTCCACGCTTCATCTTTCCAACACAATCCCAGCACCCAGCACCCAGCACCCAGCACCCTAATTCACCACGAATCCCCCGATCCCACAGACCCAGACCGCATCAGCACCACCAGCACCACCAGCACCACCAGCACCACCAGCACCACCAGCAAGCAAGCAAGCAAATCTGACAACCTCCCCACCAAAACCAACGTACTATGACTTCACAACCTCACCAACCCAACCGACCACACCCCGTGCCCCTTTGGTAAAAAAAAAAATCCCTTCCCCCCTCTCCCTCCCCCATGGCCCTTGGATGCATTGTACTCGTTCGGTCAGCACCGCAAACCAACGCAAGATCTCCCTTACCCTCCCCCTACCTTGCTTGCCCTACCCTATGTGCCTATCTTACACCGTAAACCCTTCAATATCACATTGTAACACCCACCCTGCGTTAACCACTTCCATCCCACGATCTGCAAACCACCACCACCAGCATTACCTACAATACGCGTAGAATCAGCGCACACCAGCACCGCCAGCGGTGGCGGGGCGGTGATCGTCGCAAAATTCCACCGACGCTGCTGGCTGGTCTGGTCTGGTCGGTCTGACACCGAAAACGACAGGGCTGGTCTGCGCTGGGCTGGCAAAGCGTCCAGAATCACACCGTTGTGCCGTTGTTCTTGATTGTTGTCCTCCTGGGTGAGTTCGTTTGTCGTTTGCGCGCGTTGCGAGAAACGATGGGTGGTTTTGCGCGGACGTGTGTGGTAGGTATGTTTGTAGATGGTTTATGTTTTGCAGTGTTGGATGTTTTGGTAAGGTGGTGGTGGTGGAGTACGATGAAGTATGCACATTTCATTCGAAAGGTAATCTCCATCGTAGGAAATACCCATTAGATACCTATCTATATACCATGTATCCTCTACTCCCAGACATCCCTCATACAACACCCACCCTCACTATTGCTATCAACTTCCCACATCTCACACCCCGCAATTTCTCTCCCCATGCACGAAAAAAGCCAACCCCATCTCACGCAGTAGCATCAGACCATACGCCAACACAAGAAGCCATCATAGTTATGAGAATCTTTCCTACGATCGCAAGGGGAAATAGGCGAACGCTCGTTGCTGTTGAGTCACGTGCGACTATACGCCCGCTTGATCCGATTGAGATGGGATTTTATATTGCCATAGCATGTAATCTTCGCCCGTTGGTTTTACGATATTAAATGAGGCTCTGTCGGTAGTGTGTACTCCTGTGCATTGGGTTTGTTTGTTTTCTTTCAGGCTGGGAAGGTTGTGCGCTTGTTGGTGCATGCGCTTGAAGGGAGCAATTAACACACTTCACGGTGAATGACTATACGGATGACTGAACTTTTCGAGAAGATAGGGAGACAGCGGTTGGTCTCAGACATCGAATTCATGAACGATCGTACCATCGTTCTCTCAGCCTTCATCTCATCACCTTGCCTTTCTTTCTATTTTCTTTTTCAGTCTAGATGTACTGTACCTGCAGCCAAGTCCTACCCACATCCCCACAAATCAGATCAATAATTCCCGTCCATCTATCCCATATTAACTCCGCCCAGATGGTATCTTCTACAACGCGTTCCAGAACACTCAATCAAACCTACTATTCTCGAGTTGCCCCTACAACAATTGAAGTAGAGCAGTCTGCCTGCCGAACGACGCCGAACGATGTCGTTCGGCAATTGTTCACCTTTTGCCGCTTGGCGCGCGCGCGCGTTATATATTGTATTCAATCTAGAGAAAGGAGATGCAATTGTCAATGCCAATGCGGAACATTCATGACTGTTGTTTTTCTATCGCGGATTTGGTGTGTGAGCGGATGTGTTGCCTTTTCTTTCGTAATTGCACGCACCGCCATACCTGGCCATTGGGTCTAAAGCTTGGGAAGTCTTTTGGGTTTTGTCAACTGCCGTGTCTTGTTGGATTTGGGAGTGACTGAGTGGAATGCATGATGGGAACTATGTTGGAAAGAAAGGGGGGTATATAACCTGGGAAACGAAGGGTTATCGAGAGATGATAGCATGAAAATCCAGTGAGAGGACGGAGGTTAGTTTTTCGGATTTCGATTCAAGAGTATACGTCCGCAAATACATGCCTTCAACGACATCCCCAAGCAATCTTCTCGTCACCATGCTGTCCAAACTCCTCACCCCCCTCCTCCTCACGTCCTTCTCCCTCACTCCCGTCCACGCATCCCTCACCATCGCCGCGAACCTCGCCGTCATCGAATACACGCCCATGAAAATCGCCCTCGAAGACTTCTACCCCACCCCCCCGAACATCACCATCATAAACGGCGGCGTCCCGAACCTCTTCTCCGCCAACACCACCACCCTCACCGACCTCGCCTCCAACGCCGAAACGCAAGCCCTCCGCTCCTACCCCTCACACCGCAACCTCCGCACCATCTACACCATCTCCGAAGTCGCCTACCGCCTCGTCACCTCCTCCCCCTCCTCCCTCCACCCGCGCCTCGAATCCCTCAAAGGCAAACGCATCGGCACCATCCCCGCCACCTCCGCCGGCTACTTCGTCGAAGCCCTCCTCGACAACGCGGGCGTCTCCCCGTCCTCCTACACCGTCGTCTCCGGCGCCCATTGTCTCGCAGCGCCCTGCGCTAACGACACGCTCCCCGCGATGCTGGCGTCCGGCCGCGTCGACGCCGTCGCCCTGTGGGAGCCTACCGTCGAGTTGGCGGCGCGGGCGCTCCGCGCGGCGAACAACAACGGGACTGGCGTGGTGTTTTTCCAGGACGAGGGGGTGTACAGGGAGATTTACAGCCTGTACAGCACGGCGGAGACGCTGGCGGATCCGGTGAAGAGGGGGGAGGTTGTGAGGTTTGTGGGGGCGTTGGATAGGGCGGTGCGGGTGTTTGAGGGGGAGATGGAGAGGGTTGTGGGCAGGGTGGCGAGAGCGGTGGTGCCGGCGGTGGAGGAGGGGCTGTTGAGGGATGTTTGGGGGGTGCATGGGTGGAAGGGGGGGTTGCCGGCGGATCTGCTGGATGTGCTGGTTAGGGAGGATGCGTATGTTGCGAGGGTTGAGGGGAGGGAGAGGTTGACGAGGAGGGAGTTGGAGGCGTTGGTGGATCGGAGTGTGCTGAGGGAGGTGAGGGGGGAGGATGGAGAGGAGGAGGAGGAGGAGGAGAGGTGAGGCAGAGGTGAATGGGGGAGTTGGAGGGGTTATGGGATATGGTTTGGTGTTGATATTGTGTGTTTATAGTTGAAGATGATGGATCACGTTTCCGATGAATGGTTTCCGAAACAGGGTCTAGTTCAACATTTGGGCCTGTGATTGGTTGTGCTGATTCCGAGCCAGCGCTGATGTTCCGATGCGGGACACGAGTGGAGGTAAGATAAGGCTACTCGGCTGTGGGTATCTATCCCATCATTGCTATCGCTTTACATGCACTTCATTGCTTGTTCGATGTACACACCAGTCTGTTGCCGCATCCAATTTTGTAGAACCTCAATTGTCCAAACGAATTGCTGATTGTCACTCGTGTCGCCGGTGAGCCACATCTCAAAGTTCGCAAGCACGTCATTCCGCGGTCGGAAAAAAAACTTATGTGAGTCCAAAGGCTGACTCCACGGCCGCAGAGTGACTCAGTCGCATCTCAGAAAAAAAGTAATTTCACAACCAACAAGTACAAGAGCAAGTTTAGGCCTGAGAATTTGCCGTGATTGACCAATTCAAATTCCAACATCATCAATTGATCTCTATTGACATCATCCACCATGGCGTCCGTCTACACGCCCGAGCAAATCACCAAGTTCCTCGACTACATCGAGCTTCCCAAAAAGTACCACCCATCTTCCAACCCCGTTCACGACCTCGACTACCTCACTCAACTACATGTGCACACCATCTCCAAGATCCCCTACGATAACCTCTCGCTCCACTACTCGCCCACCCACAAGATCAACATCGACCCTCTGCACTCGTACCAGAAGATTGTCGAGAATGCCCGCGGTCGAGGCGGATACTGCATGGAGAACAGCCTCCTCTTCAACCACATCCTTCGCGGTCTCGGATTCCAGGTCTACACAGCTGGAGTGCGGATCCGCCTCAGGAAAGACGGCGTCCCGGATGGCGATTACATCGGCTGGTACGTCCACCCCTTCCCCCATGCAAACCCCCTTACATACTAATTGTACTCCTAGGGTCCACCTAGTCAACATCGTCACCCTCCCGGACTCCACGCGCTGGATGCTCGACGTCGGATTCGGCGGCGACGGCGCGACGCTCCCCGTGCCCCTCATCCCAGGCCAAATCCTCTCCAACATCGGCAGCCAGGAGATCCGCCTCATTCGCGACCACATCCCGACGCAGACGCACCGCACCGACGCGACCAAGCTCTGGATCTACCAGTACCGCAACTTCGCCTCCCAGCCGTGGAACTCCTTCTACGCGTTCCCGGAGACCGAGTTCATGGAGGCGGACTTCAAGGTCATGAATTGGTACACGGGGTCCTCGCCCACGAGCTTCCAGACGTTCACGTGCATTTTGATTAAGTTTCTAAGGAGGGAGAGGGAGGATGGGAAGGGCCAGGAGGTGTATGGGAAGAGGATGTTGGTTAATGGGACGGTGAAGGAGAATCTGGGGGGGAAGACGAAGGTGGTGAGGGAGTGTAGGACGGAGGGGGAGAGGATCGAGGCGTTGGAGGAGTGGTTTGGGATGAGGTTTACGGAGGAGGAGAGGGAGGGGATCAAGGGGCATGTCACGGAGTTGAAGGGGGCGCATGGGGAGGGGTTGGAGTGAGGGGTTTTATGGGGGGTTTCATTTGTATTTGGGGTGGCTATCTTTTTTGGGGGGGTTTGTTTGGTTATTTTCTGATGGGTTGGTGTTGGATAGGTCTTCTGACGCAATTATTCTCTCCAAGGATGACCACTATCCAGTCTCGTGTTCAACGCAACGCCGGTTCCAAATCCAAGGGCCCACAATGATCGAGTACAAGATCCTTTCTCTGATTGTTGTCGTGTTACGCTGCAGTCTTTGGCTGAAAGCCAGTGATGGTGGATGGGGACGATCAAACTGATTCTTACTCTTCCATCTCCATTCCCACCAGCACGTCCATGCCGGGCTCTTGGTCCATGCCAGGCTCTTGGTCCATGCCAGGCTCTTGGTCCATGCCAGGCTCTTGGTCCATGCCAGGCTCTTGGTCCATGCCAGGCTCTTCCTGCATATCAGGCTCTTCCTGCATATCAGGCTCGTCCTGCATATCATAATTTTCGTCCATGTCAGGCTCTTGTTCCATGTTAGCCTCTTGCGCCATGTAAGGATCGTGCTGGGCCGGGAGGTCGGGTCCAGTGAACCTCACGTTGTGTTCTCTCATCGTTCTGTCTTCATACCAAGGAGCAATGACATTGACCTCTATGGCAGCTCTTTCAGCATCTCGGAAGTTCGCCTGGCTCATGTACTGCGATACGGCCGTTGTTGCCGCCGAGAGCATTGCTTGCTTGTGTCTCTTGAACTCGACATTGCTGAGCATGACCAATGCCTTCATGTCGACGCCTCTAGCGTCTGCCCGGTTCTGCATGGCCACCCTGAAAAGCACACTAGCCGTCATGCCTACCCGGTACGTGAGGCCGGATTCACCAAGGGTCTCGGCCATGGCGTGGCCGTATTGATTCATAGTTCCAACTGGCAAGGAAGGTCCTACGTCTTTGACGAAGCTCTCCACGTATTTGTCCCATTCGTGAGCGATCTCGTAGATTCCGTACTGTGCTCCGGTCAAGTCAACAGCGAAGACTTTGCCAGTTGCCTCGGAGGTTAGACGCAGAATGATATGATCGGTGCGGTTGAACAGAATGTTTCCACCGAAGAGTGCGAAGAAGACCTCACGAGGCCGGGGGATCTTGATAGAAACCTTTACTTCTTCGATCTCAAACTTCACTCCTGCGGCTTACATTAGACACAACCATACGTAGTAGAGATGTAAGAGCATACCTGAGACGAGGACCAGAAAGAATGACTCAAAGAAAGCAAGCGCCTCTTTGTTTCCGTAGTATGCCATAAGTCCTGCGTTCCCCGCAGGGTCATCTTGCAGCAAGTGGTTCGGAAACGGGAAAAAGACACTAGTCTGGAGGGATTTCAAGGGAGAGCCGCGATGTACAGCGACGAAATGCTGCAGATAGTCGATCTTCGTGATGGGAATATCCCAGATCTCGGGTCGGAGCCGGAAGTGCGCATCTCTGGCGAAGTTGCCGGCGCGCTGGATGATCTTGAACTCGTCAACATTGTCAGCGCTGGTGCTGGAGACGACTGGTTGGCCAGTACCTGATTCTTGGGTGTCGGACATGATGATCGAAATCTGCAGAGAAGTCAGCTCTATTCTTTTGAAATCTGACGATGGTAGCGAGAGGTGACAGAGGGGTCGTTGGTGTAGAGGTAAAGGTTGTGGGAAAGTAATGAAGCTGTATTTCACCTGCTCGACGCGCTAACTCAATTTGGAGTGACTGTTGCTCTCGCCATCTCTCGTTCTGACGTCAGGCCTGGGAAAATTTGATTTGTTTGTCAATAGTATATGCTAGAGGGCATGTCTATTGACGGCGAAGGAGGAACCTTTGGCCGGGGAGGCATGCTGTGCGCGGCATGGCGAAATGATATTTCATAAGAGCTCATAGCATCATAAAGCGACGGATGTCTGGCTTGACTCTTAACGGGCAGATACTCATAATCGTAGCAAGTACCACATGATTATGTTTAGGTCAGAAAAGACCAACTAGGTTGTTTGCACTGAAAGCAGAGTTCTAAAGCCTATCTATATCATCTTGAGCGGCTGCAACGTCATCCTTTCCGTTGCTCCTTTCTTGTGGAATTGAAATACACCAGGCTCCTAGTTTGGGTACTGCTAGAAGCAATGCTTTCTTAACTAAGCACACAACGACAGTGTCCGCTTACGAGCATTTTTTTCATATTTAATTCTTCACAAAGAAGTGTAATCTCTTATCAGATCCTGATCAGAATGGGGCGACGCACTGGCAAGAGACCAAGAATTGGTACAAGCAACGTCATAATAGAGGTATATATAGTTCTCATGAGTGTTCCTAGTTGGATCTATTTCTATGTTCGAATGGAACATCATCATCTGCAAACTTTTATAGTCGTAAGGCCACATCAAGCTTTCCAAGATATTTATGAATTACATTATAAGCACCCAAAGAAGCTATATTCCGATCACCTCTAAGGCCTGCTCCCCCACTTGACCCTAAAGCCCGACTTCGCGTGATTGACTACAAGGCGACGCGTTGGCATGTAGCAATGAACTGCGTCCGTGTTTCGCCTCAACAGAAAGCTCTCCAACGGCTTGTTCACCATTGAGAGATTCTTCCGAATCCTTACGAGTCCGTGACGTGCGACGATCAAGCTATGAGAAAGGTCAGTCAGACGTCTAGTATATTTATCACAATTTCAACTTACCCAACGGAGAACGAATTGCCATGAAGCGATGAAAGTAATAACGACAATCATTGAGATATAACCATTACGCCAGTACGGCGCAGCGTCGGCGGGATATAGCGCGATACCCCAGAAAGTAGATAACAACATGCCACTGGCGACCATGGAAGCAAGAATGACACCTCGAGCTGCATCGTCTCCATTCTTTGCTGCGATGTTATTCGACCAGCCGTATAGAAGCGGGTTGATGCCGTACGCGGAGCCAGCTAGGTACAGTGCAGCAATATTGACCATGGAGTTGGTGTTGCGAATGAGGAGCATGAGCGTGCAGGCCAATTGAATCGCGCACAGAGCGAGACCGGATGTTACGCGAAGATTGAAGTGGTCGATGGCGATGGCGACAACCAACTCACTGAGCACGGCTACTCCTTGTACGCCGAGAGGATAGGTGTTGATCTGAGCTTGTGTGTATCCTTCTTTCTTCTGGTTGAACTTGAGATAGAGTAACATCAAACCCTGTACGGGGTATGACTGGAAGGCGGCGGCGAGAAAAGAGAAGAAACAGCAAACGTAACTAGATTTTGTGAGCCATTATATAATCGCTGACAGCGTGTAGGGCCATTCTTACAATGTAGGATGTGCCAAAACGCGTTTGGCAAGGCTCAAGGGCGAGATGTTATGCGCGCCCTCCTTCTTGGGTGGTAGGCGGCTAAGAGCCAACTCCCGCTCTCTGGCATTCAACCATGAAGCCTTGGTCTTTTCTGGGGTGTCTGGAAAATATATGAATCCGAAGACAGCGATTGGAAGGGTGATGATTCCGTTAATGATGAACAACCACTTCCATCCGGCTAAACCTGCGCGACCTTCCATGGTGCGAGAGAGCGCTGCCATCATGGCACCAGCAAACATGATACCAAGTTGGCCAAAAATCGTGAAGATAGCCGTTCTCTTTGCCATTTCGTTCGGTTTGCTACCATGCAATTAGCGATCAGGAATGCTATATCGTAGCGGCATTGCACTTACTACCAACAGCCCATCACGTAGATGCAGCCAGCATATGTGCTCGCCTCAGCCATTCCCATGAAGAAGCGTACTACGCAGAGCTGCGTGAAATTCTTGCATCCAGCACCGGCCATTGTCAGTCCCGCCCAGAGGATGATCATTGAGGGGAGCCAAATTCGTGGGGCGACTTTCTGAATAGCAAGACTGTTGGGGATTTGCCCAATAAGCATGCTAGAGTCAAACAGAGTCAGATCTGTGTTTTGGTATGCCGTTTAGTGATTAGACATACCCTGCAGAGGTCATCGATAGGAGCACATTGAATTGGCGGCCATGCAAGCCTGCTGCCTCTTTAAGTCCAGCTACCTATAAGACTGATTAGAGTCCGGAAATTGTTGTGCCATCATGTTGCTTACATATGCGTTCGCAAATGCCGATCGATCTGTTTGGATGTTTAGTTCTCTAGTTGATGCACTTTGTATCATTGGGATGTCGCACCAACAAAGTTGAAGAAGTTACTCAGACAAGCGTATGTCTATGTGAACTCTTTAGTTTCTTGGATTACTGTGATCGCAGTCGAAGCCTTGTGCCACCTACGAGAATGAAGAAATCTTTCAATTGTCAGCTTGTGATTTTATCTCCGAATTGTTTGAATGTATGTATACCTAATTTCCTAACAAGTCTGCGTTCCTCTTTTGTTGTGTCGCCCCAAAGCCATTGTATTACTAGTACCAAATCACATTAGTTGCAGTCCAACGAAATTCATGTTTTGACAACGAACATTTTTGCGACATGGTGACTCAAAATTCCAGTCTGATTGGACGATAGAAAGATTAAGTCAATCAGATTTACTCGTTGATCCTCTCTTACAGTGCGTCTTTGACTATGATATGGATGCGGACTATCAACACTTTATCAATCAGATAAATGATTTCCGTAGCAGATAAATGATTTCCGCCGCTAAGAGCAGAGATTTTATCAGATGGCGTACCAACGCTTTAAGGAAATAGGTACTGTGAGGACCTCAATGGCGGACGCTCATTACAATGACTCGGGCAAATCTAGAACAGGCCACTCCGCTTTCTCTAATGCCACTTATCCGTGTTTCTAAGCACCTATCTCAGCGTCAATCAAACACCGTTAGCGGTAGAATGCATGTAGCCTTGGAAGGTTGATAATATTAACAGCGAAGAACTACTAAGAGGTCTTGGAAAGTATCGGCACCGCTCTAAAACCAATATTGACGCCAAGTGCGTCGTCGGACCGATTAGAGAGAGCTTAGTTAGGAAGTTTTGGGGTACAGGAGTTTGCTACGACTGGTTGACCTTCTGCTAATTATATGTACCCTTTAACCTTAATCGGATTTTTAACATTGTAACACTAACTGGCGGGAATTCGACGTGGTAACCTTCTATCTTAGCATGGAAAGTTACGGCGGCAGAAAAAACAGTGATCATTGTCGGTGTATTTGATAATGACAACGGGTTTAAAAGGTCCGAATAACGGAGGAAAGTTCATTTCAAGCTAACATTTGAAATCCTCCTGAAGACGCTTTTCTTCAAAGACGACTCAGTCATTCAACTCAACATTCGAAAGTCCGAACACTGCATCTTGTCAAAAGTATTGATGAACATAGCCAAGGAAAGGAAGCGTCAGTCGGGTAGGGATCCAGCCACAAGTGGAACTGTGCATACACACGAGGTTCAGTCGGAGGATCCACCAACTACTGGCCTGGTATACTATTCAGCAACGTCAAGAAATCCACAGCAATCCTAGTTCGAGGGTTAGAAACTAACAGATTATGGTACGATGAGTGAGACAAATAGGAAGGCAGATGCGCTATACTAAACACACGTGTCGGATATGAGCATTGTGAGTGGCTTGAGGATCAATGTTGATCTATTGTACAGTTCTGTTCCGTAGCCTGGTCGAGCTCTCAACAGGATATCTGTTTGAACCTTCATATATCCCATCCTCCATTCAAAACTTTGCCACGACGATTGTGGAGCCCCGCGTCAGTGGCCTGATCACCTAGATTGCAAACCTCTCACATGAAGAGAGTGGCTAAATGGAGGTCCTATTCCCTTTCTCTTTCTCCTCCGGTATCTTCAAAGACCAAACACAAGAAAAAGGCCAATATCTTGCTGCTACCAGCAACAGCAAAGCCTAAGCCAACCCAGCATACCAACTCAACCACAGTAACGGCCATGATACTTGTAAAGATCAGCGTCCCCGCGATGTAGTAAATACCCCAAGCGAGCTGGACTGGCCATTCCTCGTCCGCTCCTTGGACTGCTGACACTATCTTCGCTTTCCGCTCCAGTTCAATCGGATCTCTTTCCGAAATATCAAATCCACCCTTGGCAGCTTCCTGCTGCGGCTCACTGTTATGTCCGTGTCGGACATGTTTCTTTGTCCGCCTTCTCCGAAGCCTTGCGAAGAAGGCGTGGATAGCAGCAGGCAAAAGAGCGATCACATACCAAAGAGGCACGAAGACCGGGAAAGGGCAACCTAAGGAGCTTCGCTTGGAATATATCTCCATAATCGCCATGCCAGCATAGGAGGCAACGACCAATAGAGAGCATACGACGACCCAGAATATCGTCGAACCCCTCCCAGCTCTAAAAGCTGCTTTCGCAATCATATTCGTTTGCGCGCTTTGCCTCCTGGTTAATGCCTTGTTACCCGTCTCCACTGGCACAAGCCCGAGAGCCAGTACCAAGATCTCGATGGAGGGCTTTAGCTCTTTCGTGACGTGCATGATTCTGCGTTCCGGCCATGCGATATCCTTGAGCGTGAGGGGGATCAGGCCCATGACCAGCGCTGTCGAGGCAAACTGCTGCTTGCGCGACTCGCCTGCCGCTTCCATAAGACAATCTGCAGCTACCCAGCACTTCTGGACATCGCCTCTGAACTTCGGCCAGTGGAAGTATGGTTTGAAAGGGGAGTAGACCATTGTTCCCTCCGTATTGGGTGGGCATTGTCCCGTTTCAATGCGGTTCGAACCAGTGGAACCGTCTTCAGCGGCAGCGATGATAAGAGGAAGAATAGCGAGGACGAGGAAGGTGGCTAGCCTAAGGCGTTGCGAGCCTGAGACTGCCATATTGTCGCAAGGCTGTACTGTACAAAGCCTTACGTCTCGAGGATGAGTAGAGGAGTGTGAGTAGCGTTGTAAACTACGACCATATCGTGTGTCCCAGCCAGCAGCTTCGCTACTTAAGTCTTTGCTCTCACCAAGAAACAGTCATTCGTCAGCGCATGTCAATAAAATTGGAACGGCATGGAGTATGAGTCGATAGGTTGTATGTTTGAGGGGCTGCGAATCAACTACCACTCAGGTCGCGTCGCTGTGGCCCCCAAAGGGTGCAATTATTTCGTGGTGTGCCTGATACGTTCGACTGGGGGCCGTACTGACCTATGGCTGTCCATAGCAATGCTTGGAATCGTGGCGCAGTTACTAACGTCCAGTCAATTAAAAGCCATTGCCAAAAGTCTTTTCATGGCATTTGTTTCGAATAATGATATAGTTGGGTACTAACAAAAAAGTAAAGAGGATCACACTGCATTCGATGCTGTGCATTCATTGTGCACCATTCGCCGTGTTTGAAAGCTCGAAACCCAGTGAACGCGGTAAAGCTGGGTTGTTAACTCATGCATCATCTGTCACAAGCCTGGCGCACACAAGTTTAAATACTTTGCTTTCTGTTTGTTACCCTAGATACAGTTGCCTTTGCCATCGGCGTGCCGTATTGTCAGAATCATAATAGTAGTACATGCCAGCCGTTGAATCAAAAGAAAGGCTTCGATCATAAAAGCAACCAAACGCCGAAACCTCCCCCAACCGTATCGCATACAAAAAAAGAACTCCACTGAATCCTCCCAATCAAGCCATAGCCAAAGCCTAATCACTGTGTATACCTGCCCTTACCGACCATCAAACCCCAACGCCATATTCAGGTCATCGAATCGAGGAGGCTTAGGGTCTAGGCATTGATATTGCCTTCTGGAGAACCAGCCTTAGTGTCGCCTCCCTCCGACAAAGTGTTCACTCGATTGTTCCACTGCAAAGCGTTCTCGTGGACTCCCAGAAACTCCATGTAGGCCTTCCTACCCCCAACCATCTCTGTCGGCTTTCCGCGAAGCAGCAAGTTTAGATCAACTCGCATCTGTAAGTAGCCGTTTCCGAGGAAGATGACATCGATTTCATAGCCTTCGGCACCCGTGACAAGTTTTGTGACACGGAACGATGCATGCGGCGGGGCAGTGAAGGCAACGATATTGTAACTCATGGAACGCGGCGGGATGTTCAAGCGCGCGGTATATACGCCGCGATCTTTGAAACCAGCGATGGGCTTGATCTCGAGAGTTCGCATGCCGTATCCGTAGCGGTCTACGTGGTGTTGACTGTATTGTGGACAGAATAGAGTCCAGGTGCCATCAAGTCGGCCAAGGGGAACCGGGATACGAGCAGCCATGGCCACGATGAGAAAATTTTCGGCTTCATGGGTACGATAGTCAACGTCACCCATCAAGTCGTGATCGGAAGGGGCAGGCTCCTGGTCTATCAATGTTGGCATGCTGAGTTTCTCATCTTTCGCAAGACGGAGCGCATACTCTTTCTTAGCAGAGCAGCCAGTTGCTGAACCAAGGCACGGGAGTGGGAGGTCTGTTTGATTTTCTGCGTTCCAGTCAAGATGGAGATCAAGGTACTCCTTCTCTTGGTCGAAATTGACCAGGATTTGAAGGTCCAGGAACTTCTTGTTGAACTCTTGCATCGAGGCTTGCTGAAAGCCTGCACCGTGGTAGGGCTTGCGGTCTTCTACAGGGGTAAAACGACCATCTGAAGGTGTATAGGCCTTGATGAAACCGCTGGACTTGTCTGGGATGCCTTCGGATGATGCGCACGACGATGTATCCGTAGAACTTTCATTTGAACGGGGCTTCGGAGCGGGGCGTGGTTTGGGTCCGTCTGCCAGCGGCTGTCGAATCTTCATCATGCTCGTCATGCTTGGAACCTCGCTGAAGCTGGCCATGCTGGCCGGATGCATGGAACCTGGCTCCGAGGAAGGATAAATGACCAGGTGTTTGGGTGTAGTATCATGAAGTATCGGAAATGGTATGGGAGTTTTGGATACTAGCTTGGGGGTTTTGATGAGAACTGATGGAGGCGTCTCTGGGACCAACACCTCTCTTGCATTTCCCTGAGGCTCATCAGTGAGAGACCGGTCCGGAGTTACTGCCTTTCGGGTTGATCTTGGGAATGGGACTGGAGTCTTTGTTGGGGTTGGATGTGTCGACTGCATCAGCTTCTCTGGGGTCTGGGTTGATTCGGTCATGTACCTAGATTTGGCTTTCTGTGGACTACCATGAATGGCACTGCGAGATGTTGACTCCTTCGCGGTATTTGGAGGCTTTACTGGTGTCTTCTTCGATTTCTTCTGTTTCTGGGAGCTGAGATTGATATTCACATCACCCTCGCTCTTTCTCTTGCGCTTGCCAGCCTTCTTCTTTTCCTTGAGATCCTGCTTTTCGGACTCCAACATGACCTGGAAGCGATCCAAGTCGCGCATAGCACTTGCGATCGCATCGTCGGAAGTGGATGCGCCAACGTTTGCTTCTCTCTTACTCTTACGTTCTGCGGACTTTTCTTTCTTCTCCTTCCTGTACTTGGCATGGCGCTTGCGATTATCACCTGTGGAGTGATCGTTCAAGCTCGCATCTGTCGCGCCAGGCGCAGTTGAAAGGCTGCCACCGTTGAGATCAGTAGATTTGCCTTCGGCTTCATGCTTCTTCGCGCGCTTCTTGTACTGCTTCTGGTGATCCTTGCTCACGTGTGCGCCCTCTGCCAGCTTCGAAGCTTTCCTGGTAGGGTCGTCAGTGTCCGATTGCGCGAAGTCCTTGGAGTTATAGATGGGACGCAACATTTCACCGTTGTACAAGTGGTGACGAGGGATTGAATAGAGGCCGTCCTTGGGCATGTTGAAGGTCGAAGCTGCGCAAAGTTGCGATGACGCGGGTTGCGCGACGCGGACGCGGTTTGTTGATGCGACAAGGGTGCGCTTCACTAGGTGCAGACGAAGTTGTACAAAACCTTAATTGGGTAAAGGAAGCTCTTGCTCAAAAGAAAAAGCAAAACTGGCAGGATTTATGGTGGTGTTTGGGTGGTGGGGTGAGAGTGGGCGGAGGTAAAGTTGTTGAAGTTGAGGTAAACACCCCTTTGTTTTGGCGGAGGCGCTCTCTCTTCGAACAGTCGAGTGAAAACAACAATGCAGACAGCGAAAGGTCAGGCCTTGGCGTGGTACAGGTGAGTGCAGCTTTTGTGATGATCCAGATTGCGATCTAGTAAAGAGATTCTTTCGTCGTAGTATACAACTGGCTCTGTCTCTTCTTCACGATGTCGCATCACTCCCAATTTGCCGATGGGTCTTTCTTTTGTCCAGCTCACTACGTACCCAAAGATTGTAATTTACTTTGTTTGAAGAGCTATTCGGTGCGAAGACTTTAAGTTATATTCGACTTGCTAAATCTATCTTGATAGACGACTTGACATTATGATATATCGACCTTGACATTGCATTGACAAAAGCATTTACTGAGTTTGTGACGAACAGATAGATGACATACATATCAAAGCTTGCTAATTTTGCAACTTCATGTGTTCTTTTTCAGTCTCTTCCGTCCTTGACGATAAGATCTGCTGCTTTCTCCGCAACAGCATACACCGTCGAGCTAGTATGCGTTCCAGGAATAAGCGGCATGATACCTGCGTCAACTACCCTAAGATTTCCCACTCCATGTACCTTCAACTCCGGACCCACAACACCTCCTCGGCTCTTGGGTCCCAAGGCTGTCGTGCCGACAGGATGATAGAAGCTAGGCGACACACTCCTCTTCAGCCACGTTTCCCACTCCGCATCTGTCTGGACTGCCGCACCGGGGGTGAGCTCTACAGGCCCGAGAGTCTTAGCAGAGGGTGTTGTGTACAGGCGACGGAAGATCTTGACGCCTTCGGTGTAGAGTTTGACGTCCAGAGGATTAGTAAAAGTTCGATAGCTGACCAGAGGCTCCGCGGTTGGGTTTGCAGGATTGATGTTCACTGTGCCTCGGGAGAGAGGCTTGAGGAAGGCGACCATTGCTCCTGCGCCGATGGGATATTCGAAGACGGCAGCTTCGTTGGATGAGAGAAGATCTTTCATCGCTTCCAGTTGATGCGAATAACCTTCAAGCACCGTAGGATGTGTTGTGTTTGAAAGATAAGAGGACGGACTTTGCGCTTTGAGAGCGTTGATAATTGCCTGAGAGTTATTGGACAGCGTAGATAGTGGAAGAAAAGCACCGCTGTTTCCCCCGCTTAGTGTAAAAGGCCCTGTTTTGTTCTGTGCATATTCTCGACGCGCTTGTTCCATCAAGGTACGGTTCATGAACAACGACATTTGGTTCGGTTCAATATTTGTAGTCACTGAAATGCCATTAGCTAGCTCCTCTATAGCATCCTCTAATGCTCTCACTCACAGTTATAGAAGAGATTCGTCATTGCATGATCCTGGAAGTTCTGCCCTACACCGGGAAGCTCAAGTCGAACGGGGATATTCGCTGCACCAAGAACATCTTTTGGACCGATGCCACTACGTTGAAGGATACCTGGGGTATGAACAGCGCCAGCCGCAAGTATGACCTCTTGGTCGCTCGTAATCGTAATAACGGAAGCATTCTTTCCATCGACTGCTTGGATGCGAACGCCGCGAGCTTCCCATTGTTCTTCACCACTACTTGCCTCAGCCAAAACAAGATCATTGACTGCATGGCCAACCAGCAGATGGTAATTCGATCGATTAGCAACATTATCGTAGTGTCCAGTTCTCGCATATGATCGAGTCTGAGTCTGAGCATCCTGGGAACTGGGGAACCAGATCACACCGAAGGCATCACCTCCAGATCCTTCCTTTTGGGTGGGTACACCAAGTTCGTTCCACGCATGTCGTATGATTTCTGGAATCTCTATGAGCGACATCCCAAATTGTTGCGTTGCATGTACCTACTCTCGCCAGGCCATTGGAAAGGCGGGTAAACAGCCTGAATGCCCCCATCGCCTCCCCACGCGGCATCCATGTCGTAAGTATAGTCGTACTTCTCCGCAACATCCTTCGTCGGTGGGGTAAACGTTGTGCTCTTTTTGAAGTAAGGTAGGAGTCCAGCCCAGGACCAGCCCGCTTCGCGATAGCCCTCGCCGGCGACATCTCCCCAGGCATCGTAGTCTGCTGCGCTGCCACGATCGAACATCTGCGCGTTGATGGCGCTGCAACCGCCGACGATCTTACCTACGGTGACGGTAAAACTGCGATTGTTGAGGCCAGGCTCTTTCTGCGATAGGATTTGGAAGGCATATCGAGGATTTGGAACGGTTGCAGCGGGTTGTAAGATGGCAGTGTCGTTAACTAGCTGGCCGTATTCGACAACGAGAACAGAACGGCTGGGAAAGGCGGCAGTGAGTCTGTCAGCGACGGTTAAGCCCGAAGTCCCACCACCTGCGATGATGTAGTCGTAGTGTGATTCAAGCTCGGTGATATGTCGTTTGATGTTCACGCCTCGTGGTATGTGAGCCAATGTTGGAGTAGAGAGCAGCGCAACTGTGGCTTGCGCCAAAAGCAATAGTCGTGCCATATTCAGCATCAATGCGACTCGTCTGCAATTGTCGCGAGCGCAATGCTTCAGAATTAAAGATGGCGGGCCTTGATGTACTTATTGACACCCAAGGGAACGTAATAATTTGCGTAATGCCATGCTTCCCCAGATTGATACAAAGTGGAACAAATTATGGTGCAGGTACCGGGTCTTACCTATTAGCTCAGTGCCTGTACCATGAACAGCAGTCAAGCAACAGACCAAACAGGAACTTCCCTCGGTTCCAACAGCATGGGTCAGCTGTATAAGTATACCGATATATGTAAGGTCGCTGGCGTCTGTATGGCAGCAGGTTACCCGCATCGGCAGTGCGAAAACCAAATACACAACAAATAGAGTCGGCATACGATGCATGTGTGGGTATATACAGGGTTTCATGGTATTGTGAGATGCACCGCATGGTAATATCGAGAATTCCCCATTAGAAAGCTTAAAAGGAAAAGGACATCGGCAGATGCTGCATGGAGCCATTTACTAGCCTCTCCTAATTGAACGGCAAGGCCAATACTACTTGGGCAATAAGAGCAATCGCCGAGACGCATCAACACGCACGGTCCAGATTCTTCAAAAATAGCGATTTTTGTTTTTCATTTTCGTGAACCAGTCCACTCGGGACCAAGCGTCAAGGAGGACTTTCAAAATCCTCCCTTCCCTCTAACTCTTTGCACTGCTCCAACCATACCTTTTGCCCAGGCAAGACGCCCAGGATCTTTCCCACCCATGGCTCCCTCAGCTTCTTCCCCTTTGCCATTCCTCCAGATGCCATCGCTTTGCGACGCAGCACCATAAATATGTGTATCTATTGAATGTTGTTAGCGACTTGCCATATGTTCCAACGCGAGAGACTTACTCTGATTCCGCCTGATGCCCTCAATCCAGTCTCCACAAACCTCTTTAGAATCAATCATAAGATTGACTTCCATCGAATGGAACCAACTCTGGGTGTCTTGATTTCCGTTCCCTATAATACCTACGTGTCCATCCACTATCATAAGCTTGACATGACAGCTCCTAGCTTTGAACTTATTGTGGATTGGGGCGGTTTGATCCTTCGCGACATAGTAATGAATGTTCAGCCTCTGTCGTGATTCAAGATCCAGATTTTGGCAGAGGCGACTGGCGACTTGTTCGTTCGTGCCGCCTTGGAAGGGCAACATCTCTCCTGCGTCGTTGTATCCGAGACACACGTAATAGGTTACTGTGACTCCTCGTTGCACGGCTTCCTCTAACGCTGGTAGCAGAGGGGCGGCATTTAGGTTAGGGGTTTGTATGAAGACGAATGATTCGGCATTCCGAATGGCAGCTAGCCAGGCTTCGTTCTGCGGGACGATGACATGCTCGTTGTTTGGTGCGCCGAAAGGCTTGCGGTTCATCAATGCCATTGGGAATGGGTCGTGTAGTTTGTGCGCTATCATTGGCAAAAAGTCATCCTCGGGGCTGCATTCAGGTGCGAAGCCTTTCCTGTTCTGCTTGGTGGCAACGTCTGGATATGTTAGCTTTGATAATCGACTGTAGACTGATGCGACTTACTGAGATAGCGTGTCACAGCTTCTCTCTTCGTTTCATGAGTGCATGGCTCGAGGATTGCCTGTGTACGACGTATCTCCGCCCTGATATCCTTATCGTAATGAGGAGCGGCTATAGTATGTGGATGCAAGGCTTCTCGGTCCTCAACTTCTATCGAATCGCGCCGCTTTTCTGTGTCCTTGGTTTCAACGGAAACTCCATTCGTCGTTCCTAATTTTCCAAACGCTCGCTCATTACGAACTTCCTCAGATTCGAGCGATGCTGGGCTTTGCAAATAGGGCATCTGCGGCTCCATCTCTCTCTCCCAAGCTAGCATTGCAGTATCATACAATGAATCTACAATTGGTCCCTCAATGTGCGTCATCATCTCCAAGTTATCATTATCTTGAATATTGTTGCTCTGCACGATACCAACCCTACGATCCACGACCATGAACTTCGAATGAAATGTCCCCAGCATCGGGCGATGATAATTCTGCACCTGCATGTCGATATTCGGGATATCCTCCGGTGCAGGCAGTTTGACAGGTCCCGTCGCATAAGTCCCCGGCGAGACGATCTGGTGGTTATCGAGCACCTGCTTCGCGCTCCCTCGGTCGTACATAATCTTCACAACCACCTTTTCGCCCCTCGCCCTCGCACGATTCGACAGCTCGACGAGTGCATCGGTGATGTAGCGAGATGCATCGCTAGCGATCCAATAGTTCGTGGCGAGAAACACTTCCTTCTGCGCCCGCGCGATCAGATTTGACATGTGCCGTACTATCTCCGGGAGCGGTGCTATGATCGTGAGGGGTAGGATCCCGTGGCTTCCCATGAGACTGGGGCTGATCATGCCGGCGAGCGGGTCGTGTTCGAGCGAGCAGAGAGCGGCATGGTAGCACTGTAGGAAGAGATCAGAGGGCTCCGAATTGCCCCAGTTACCGCAGGCGCGAGCCCGCTCTAGCTCTGCTTTCGATGCTGGATGGCGCTCTGTGAATGTTGCAAGGGCAGCATTGTTTGAGTGGCTGTATAGTTCTTCTGCGTGTTGTCCTGCGGTTTTTGAAGTGTCTTTGCTGAGTTTAGAAGATACACTGGTCGAATTCGTACAGTATCCGAACACTGTATCCGATATTTTAGTAGACATTGGCAGGCGACTTATCCAAGGCAATCGATGATAATAGTAGAAGAGTGAAATTGATATAATTGTGGCGCTCAAAAGCCACTGCTCCATCGACATATGTATAGCCATTCTGTGCAAGATAGGAAAAGCATGGTACTGCTATCGCAAGAGTGTTCCAACTTCTTACGACGCGTCACCATAAGGAAAACCTTGGAAATGACGTTGCTGGGTCGGGAGTCGGAATCTAGATGGTCTGTTGGTAGGTCTTGGGGAAGGACCTTGGAAGCTACATCCGTCAAGCAGCCAATATGTCGTATATCTTGGTGCCGGACAGCCGGATCTGGGAAGCGTTGGAAGCAAGAGGGATACCAACCTTGCAAAAGTGGCTTGAGCGAATTTACTGCCTATCAAAAGCCCCAATGAAGGTCTACATAACTCCGACGTGCGCGGATAAAGGCATCGCGGTGACGACGTCGACGGTGCAGTAAACCTATCACAGCTTTGGACATGCGACGGCGCGACGTGCGCCACACGCAAGCGGCGGAACCAAACGGGTATTCGGCCACAAATAACTGCCCTGCGCAAGACAAAGCTTGTTTTCAGAAACAAGCTTTTACCATTTCGAAATACTATCGCTCTTTCGCGCTGCGATCTTCGTCAGTTTGGTTCTCAGCAGAGCTTCAGAAGTGGGCGCATCAGGGGGCCATTGTGGCCGCAAAACGGGCGGGCTGGCTGTGCCGCAATGCCTGAAAGGAGGGGGCCAATCGAAGGCATATCAAGTGAACAGTAGTTCGCGAGACATGTGACTGCGAACAGATGTATAATCCCTGCACTATCCATTGTTCGCAGCGGTTCCAGTGATCAACACTCCTCACCTGACTTGCCGTAAGCAGTAATTGTTCGCTTGGGATCTGGGGACCCCATCTTTCCCTCCATGCGTTGCTTATCTTGGTCACTACCGGGTCGCTTCGCACAAACTTTTAGGCGTACAATAGTTTTAGTTTGTGGCAGCGAAAGAATCGAGGTCAGAGCTGGCTTATTGTTGAAAATAATCTAGGTAACACTTATGGAGACGAGAAACCACAATTGTAGAGGACGAACCGTACGAACATAGCTTGCGAACACCCCCGCACGACTTGTACTATTCATACAACATTCCTGGTCTTAGTCTGAATCCGAGTCAGAGTCATCCTTCTTCTTCCCCGACTTTTTCGACTTGCCAGACTTGCCAGACTTCGAATTGCCCTTGCCATGCTTCGAGGTCTTCTTATCTTCTTCCGACGAGCTTGAGGAGTCGCTGGAGCTGGCATATTTTTGCTTTCCCTTTTTGCTCTTCTTCTTACTCTTGTACATTTCATCTTCATCGTCCTTCCGCGGGTCCCAACCCTTATACCTACCCTTCCTATACTTTTCCTTGTCCATTTTCTCGTCCCAAGATTGACCCATCGTCAGTTGGATGTACTTATCAAACTCCTTTACGGTGTCGCTGATGGTGTGGAATTGGCTTGGCCCCAGTTTCACCTTGACGTTGGTCGCTTGGCTATACTTTTCTGGGTCGAGAACATCCTCTGCCCGGTCCTCTTTCTTAAATTGTTTGGAGCGGGCCTGGAACTCGGCCATTGCGATTGCAGTGGAGAAAGCGTTTCTGATCTGTCGACCGTTCCAGCGTGTGTCTTCGTCATTGTTGTCGTAGTGTTCCTGGGCAAACTCTTCAATCCCGTCTGTGTCGATGAAGAAGTGATCACTGCCGTAGTTCTTCTTCGTCTGGCCAATGAATGTATCCCACACTTCCATGGTTGTCGTCCTGTCGAAGTTTGGATCTAGAATAATGTTAGCATTACTGTCGTGACTAGTCGAAGTCATCGCATTCCACTTACAAAACAATGAAAAATGAATTCGCGATTTGAAAGCCTCATCGAACGCGCCAACTCGATTCGTCGTAAGGAACAAAATGCCTTTGTAATATTCCAACATGCGAAGGAAGACTGACACAATCGCATTTCGTCCGTGGTCCTCTCTCGTCCGTTTGGACAGGAAAACATCGGCCTCGTCGAGCAGAAGGATACAATCCCAGCGACTGGCTAAGCTGAAGTGGAGAAGAAGCTCTGCTTCAATCTCTTTTGCACTGCTGCCGAGATCGCCGCACGTGATTGAGTATAGAGGTCGTTTGACCAGGTCAGCCATGCATTCTGCAGTAGCTGTTTTACCAACACCGGGTGCACCTAAACATACTGGTTAATTGAGTCTTTCAGCAGTGGTGGGGAATCACCGACCGTGTAGAAGGATAATGAGTCCCTGGCCTTTACCACGCACGATATCGAGATTGGTGTCCACGCTCTGTGTAAGCAATAACCGTTTGCGAAAGTGCTCTTGAACCTGGGCTTTGAGGATCTAACAAAGTCAATATATCTAAAGTTCTCTAGCCATGAAGACGGCGCCTACCCTCTTGTGAGCACTGGGGATCCGTAAAAGGTCAAAGCCTAAATCACTATCCCGTGGACGGATAATGGATAAATCTCGCACATGTACTTTCACTACTTCAAGTCAGTCTATGCTAAAGAGCACAACCAAGGATTACAGGGCAACTGACCCCATTGTCTAGATTGCAAACTGAACGCATAGACGCGGTGAGTGCATATTGCGTAATCATCTTCAGTCAAAGCTGGCCTCTGTGGTACTGCACGAAGTTGGAAGAGATCCTGTTTCTCGATAGTCTGTTCCATCAAATCCGAGTCTACGTAATGATCAGATAGGATAGGTGTCTTGATATGCCCACAATGCAGATCCACGTTGTTGCAGAAGCGACAATCGTGTGTGTCCGCAATATCGATCGGTTGAGGTGTCGTATACAGAATTTGTTCAGCAACATCTCGGGTTTTGAAACACTCATGCATGTCTACTATGACCTGTTCGTTCAGATCTCTGTATCTTTCCAGTTCGGTTCCTTTGCAATGACGATGAGCTGTCGTTGGGGAATAGATATAATCTATGAAGTCGTTGCCGAATTTAATTGACTTTTCTCGCCGGGTTTTCGCGTTCTCTGCAAATTCGGAGGGATACACGATAAAATTTGTAACATCCCGTCTGCCGTGGTATGGCTCAATGACAAATCTCCTTCTTTGGGGAGTTAAGTAACCACCGTTGAAATCGATCAAGTATGCGTCCACGATGAATGGGATTACGCCTCCGATTGGCGGAGGTCGCCCTGGAGGGATATTAAAGTCACCAGGGGGTGGCGGCATTGGCGACGGTATAGGGCCATTTGGGTATGGTACGCCTGGGCTGGGATATATCGATGTTCTTCCTCCACTAACTCGAAGGACCTTCATGCGATCAACGTGCAAGTTTCCAACTCCATGCTGGTCTGAAACCGCAGAAATAGTGCTGGACATAGGTTTGTGTTCTATCTCATCCCCCGGCTGGAAAAGATGCCATAAGTCAGGGAACGCAACGTTTTTCGTTTCCCTCGAGCGATGCCTCTGATGTACCGGTTTCAGGTAGTCGTCAAAGAAGTTCAAGAAAGTAGCTACGATCTGCCGCACTCTTGAGGTACTCGAAAAGTCATGCTGCAGATAATTGATGCAAACTCCGCAACAGTTCAAGTTTGCATTCAGAAGAATTAACGAGAGCCTTGCCGGGCTTAGAGGAACGCCATTGCCCTCTGACTCGGTACTCGAATCCTTCTCATCTTCGTCCAGCTCCCCGCGTTCGATAATGTCGATCTGATTGATCAACTTTGCTAACTGTGTGCGGATGTTTGCCTCTTGGTGAAACAACGCCTTGAAGGGACGCAATAGGACTATCCCCCCTTGTGCATAACTATGAGGCAAAGACATGGGACACGGTATCAATTTGCGGATCAGGTATTGAGTCGCGAAGATATTGAATCGAATCCGTTCTGGCATGGCAGTGCCTTTGATAACTTCCATATCTGTACGAGCATCGCGTACATGCGTTGGATCTGGGCTTTCCTCGTCATCGGTATCTCCGAGTGAATTGCTGTACTCCATCCTCGATGGGATATTACGAACTCGCTTCTGTTCAGGCTCTCCGACGAGCACATCAATTGGATGCCGGGTCGGCTTTATGACACATCTCTGGAATTCTTTCCAGAATTGAGGGTTTGTGCTGCAGTCGATCTTGCTGTACGGAAGTCCATGGTCGAACGATACTTCATTTGAAAATGCCCATGGAGGAGGTGGAGGTGGTGGTGGCGGCATGTGATGTAAAGGGGGTGGGGGAGGAGGTGGCGGCGGTGGCATTAGGGGAGGACTGGGTGGACTGTGTGGATTAGGAGGGTCGTAGGTGTTAAAATGAGGGGCCATAAGAGGAGGAGGAGGAGGCGGAGGAGGAGGCGGAGGCGGAGGAGTGGGCCTCTTCTTCTTCTTCATGTTGACACTTTCTAGAACCTCTTCTAGACGTTGCTCCATTTTTGCGATAGTTTCCTCTAGCTGTTGCACTCGCCCAGATTCATCCTTGGACGAAGGCAAGGGTGCCGGCTGGGAATTGGCAGATTGTTCAGTCGCCGCATTTGTTGCTCCGTCCATCTCGATTCCATCTTTTAGAGTTAGTATCGTCATCAAAATTGATATGCAGAGAGTCTCACTAGGGGAAGAACTTTCGGCAGGCGTGGTTACCTCCTGTGAGGCAATCGCACTGTCCGAATCAGGAGCCATCTTGCCCGAAGAGCCTCCACAGTATGAGCGTGATTGTAGTCTTTGGCGGTAGGAGAAGCATTTCAAATATCAACAAGGGGGGCTTCTAACTTATAAGGCCTTTCCATTGCTGCAACAGTACATTACAAGCGAGGTGGCGTCGCTTCTGCATATCCTTGAGACTTGAAAGGTGGGGGCCAGAATCCATCTGAGCGAGGGTAACGATGTGACTGATTTGACCGTTGGTGATGGTGGTGAGGATCTATGAACTATTGATAGATACAGATACTGTGCATGGAAGTCAGGAATTAGGTAATGAATGGCAGACAAGGCTGATTCGTCGGATGAACAACGAGCTGCAGTCGCTGCCAACTAGCACCATCCATTTCCGGCCTAATGTCTTGTTTCGAGATGAATGATAACGCCCGGGCGTTCATTACGCAGACCTATCATTACACCTCCTCACATCTCATCCTAATCTTTACTTGACCGATTTCGTCGCAACTCTCACTTGAAACACATGAGGCAGCTTGCGGGATTTCCCCTTCCATTTTGTGGCTGCTGTCGCACGCACCCTCTAGTACGAAGCATGATCGGTATGGGGGCCAATTCACAGCAGCATGCCGGGGTGAAAGTTTGTTAACCCCAACGTGTGAGGGGTGGTCAGCATAGCCTCATCAACATGCAGCATCCCCAGCTGCCTAGAATCCACCCACTTCAGATCTCTCTTGTCCGCATCTTCATTAATATATTCTCTTCTTACATTTTCACAATAGACCATCCTCACAATAGACATGATGCTGGCACGACCTTCTCGATCAAAAACATTCCCGCTTGCTGCACCATCTCAGACACTACCAAATGTGTCAGAACAGCCACTCTCGGTCGATTTCATCGACAATCATCGCTTCGACTTTCCAACTCGGGGTGCGGGGGACATGCGTAGTTTCGATGCCGCCAGACAAGAATACCTCCCAAATCTTGCAATCCAGACGCTAACTGCGAAACCCCCTTCCTTGGAGAATGAAGATTTTCCAGAACTCCAACAGTCGAACGAGGTGCTCTGTGCTGCAATCCAAGACCTTGAGAAAGCGAAGACAGGGAAGAACAATGCTCTCGCCAAATTCGATCCTTTCGGTAACCACTCCTGGAGCGATGTTTTGACTGTTGCGCAAGAAGCTCAAAACAAATACACCGAGCGCGATGCATCCAAGATCACACATGCATTCAGGAAATTACAAGAGCACTCAACGTCCATGAAGCCATTTCTCGACTTGCTTCCAGACGGAATGTATAAGCCGCTCTGCGGAGGGCTGAAGCTCATGCTCACCGTAGGCATATTATCTAACAATTTCTTCTTTCTGCGCTAAACATCAATAAGGCAATGATTAAGAACGCAGAAATGCGTGAGAAGATGGCAGATCTTTTCAGTGTCTTGCCTCTAAAGTTGAAGAATACAGAAGACTATGCGAAACTATACCCGGGTGAGAATTCACTCCGAGAATGCACTCGGAAATTGTACGTCAAGATTTTAGAAGCAATTACTGTCATGGTGCGTTGGTATAACGCGACAGTTATGAGTAAGTGCCATATCACATCAAACCAGTACAATGGTTTAACCATGAACTGTAGAGCGTGGTCTTGGATCTGTTTTCCGGAACGACAGATATGTTCGCGAGCTTGACGATCGAATTCGAGACATATCTACTGCACAGAGGTCCTTCGATGACGAGATCAAGAAATATCACCACCTCCAGACAGCTGCAGTCGGCACTGTTGTTTGTCAAACGAGCGACGACGTGACTCTCATCGGGCGTAAACTTTGGAACATGAACGACGATCTATTAGACATGAAGACCGATGTGACACGAGTTACGAACAATGTCATGCATGTCCTTCAAGATTTTAACAAGCAAGCTACTTGTGCGTTCTATTGCCTATTACATGATATTCTTTTACTTATTAATTGCAGGGATCAAAGAGAGAGACAGTATAAGATTAGAACTAGAGGAGAAAAACGCACACCAAAGACATTTACAGGAAGAAATCGAACGGTTACAAGCCCAGTTGGACGAAAAGTGCATCCGCCCAAGTCAACTTGCTCGGCGCCTACAACTGAATCTTCCTAAAGATGCTTATTTGAAAGATTTTGCGGACACTTCGGCCGCAACAAGGAAGTCGCAGCTATTCGCAAAGCAAATCGCAGAACACCAAGATTTCCGGCAGTGGTACATATCCGAATCCTCGTCTATCATCTTTGTCAACGCGAACTCCGATGGCGAGTTAGACTGCCCACCCACGTCGTATCTAGGTGCTTTGATGATCAGCAACCTTGAAAGTAACGATGTGTTAGTTCTGCGATTCTGCTGTTCACAACATACGCAGGGCAGCTCCATTCGGGAAGAAACAATTACCGGACCACTATTGCTGTTACGAACAATACTTGCGCAGATGATAAACCTTCGCAGCACAGAACAGCACAGACTACTTCGGTTTCTCAAATCAGACGACATCGAGGCTATGGAAGAACATGCTTTCAGGCAATACCTCGATTGCTGCGCAAGTCTTCTAGAGGCATCGCTTCAGTACCATCAGGGTATCATGCTTATAATTGACGGCCTCGAATACTATGAAACGAAATGGCCCAAGTGTAGCAAACGGCTAATTAAGGCTTTTGAAAAACTCACCGAGTCGCTGTCATCGTCCAATCGACCATTGAAGGTTTTGATAATGGCTCAGTCGCATTGCAGCCTTTTTCGCAAATTTTCGCATGTGAACGTGATAGATTTGCCAGATGAGCTTGACGATTATGCGAGTGAATTTGAAAGCATGGATGCCTTTGACGAAGGTGTAAGTTCCCCATATGAATTCACCGAATGTTTCTGTCTAATCAATTATAGTGAGTGGCACTGAAGCTGATTCACCCAACCGGCACATATGCCAATGTACCTAGGTATGTGAAGTGGCCCTTCACATGAGTCGCAGGACTTCGTCAAGCTGCAACTCCCCGCACCGCACCGCTCGTGCCGTGCCCCACGCCCGCACTCAAGATGTTGGAACAACTCCTCTATCAATAACTTCAGCGCGACAACGTCCTCAATATGAACTTCACCGTCACGTGTTCTGAATTCCTATTCGAGCAAGTTGGAGAAAAATCCGTCGATTGCTGTACAGTTAGGAGGCCCATCCATGAAGATTTATGCTTGCTTATCAAAACTGGATCCCCATCGAGGGAATGGCATAAGAGATCCAATAAGAACTCTACACCATAGTCACGCGCGCTGCCCAGTAAGGAACATCCCTTCATCAAGGCTTGAGTACCCGATTTTGATCGCCATCAGTGATGGAGAAACTGCGATGGTTGTGGATTAGGCGTATGCATCGCAAATCAATTCCTCAAATCGCCATGTGCGCTTCAATGTAGGGGTCGGAGCAAGTTGATAAATCACTCTTAATGGATCAATGTTTTCACATCGCTCAGGTTATTGACCACAGCTGACTAGGAATCCCTTGCACTGTACTCGCTATTCTGCAGGCTCTGTGCTATGTGTGAAATACTGGATTCTAAGGAAATCCTGCTTTTATTGATCGAACATCGGGGATTTCAATTTTACTGATGGGTCATAAATGACCACAAGCGATTGTTAGCTATCAATCATCCCAGCAAACGCTCTCTATGAAATCGTAGACTTTGCTCTTAATACAAAAAACATTGAAAATTGGAACATGCGCTTTTCGTGCCGAAAGGGTCGCCACGGGAGCAAAACGTCACCCTGCTTAGCAATCCAACCTCCATGGAACTTTAGGCCATACACTTTCTCATAGGGAAATGCATATAAGATTTTCGCGCTTGTGCTTATATACAAGCTTAGATCCATAATACTTTTTCAATAATGCCTTTTCCCAGACAGGGCATTCAGAAACGCAGTATAAGCCGGCTTCTTCTGAAAATTATTATTCCAGAGCAAGGCATCACCCTCTCCCGAGAAGGTCTGTGGCACCCATGAGTATTTATCGGAGACGCCCTACAAAGCCGTTAGCCCACAACTCGATCACGTATGCATTAGAAGAGCAAGATGTTCCCACTTACCCATAGCGTAATACCCACGCATCGCTCGACGTTGATGCAGCTCTTCGCGACCCTCGCATAAGCTTCGGCTTGCACCTGCAACTTCTGGGCATTGCTGGGAGTATTCATGCGGATGTCCAGCTCGGTGTACGCAACGTCGACGTTTAAGTCAGCGTAGTCTTGAAGCACTTTGGTGAGGACGGCCTCAGAGGGAGTAGGTGTGCTCTGCGTGCCGGTTTTTTCGGTCACCAGGTGGCCTTGCAGACCGACGCCGTCGATCTTGACGCCCCAGGATTGCACGAGCTTGACGATGCGGAGGGCGCCTTGGTGCTTCGCCTCGCCGTACTCGAGGTTGTAGTCGTTGTAGTAGAGCTTTGCGGCTGGGTCGGCGGCCTGGGCGAGGCGGAAGGAGATGGGCAGGTATTGCTCGCCAATGACGCGGAGGAAGACGTTGTCGCGAAGAGTTCCATCTTCGTTGAGCGCTGAAGATTTATTAGCGATTGGGAAGGAATGGTACATTTACTGAACATTAGGCTCCCTTACCCTCGTTGACGACATCCCAGTGTGTGCATTTGCCCTTATACCTTCCCATAACGGTGTTGATATGGTTCGTCATGACCTGCATCAACGTCGCATTATTGTTGATCTGGTTCACCCAATTCGGCAATTGCGAATACCAAACTAGCGTATGGCATCTCATCTGCTTCTTATTCTGCGTCGCGAAGTTCGCAATCTGGTCTGCGTTTCCGAACGAGAATTGTCCACGATTGGGCTCGGTTGCGTCCCACTTCATCGCATTCTCCGGAGTGATGGACCCGAATTCGGAACCCTTGATGAGGTTCTGCTCGGTGTTGTCGTTGCGGATGGTGAGGGAGGTGCCGATGTAGGATCGTCCTTTTGCCACGATGGCCGCGTTCAGTGTTGCGGCTTGACGGGCCTCGTTGGCGAATGTTGGAACAGCGGTGACGCTGCCCGCAATAGCGAGAGCGGTGGTGAGGACGTTGAACAGCATTTTTTACTATGGATACCTGACCAAAGGTAGACTCTCTCCAAAGCTTCGTACTGCTCAATCGATGAAGTTCACGAGAAACAAATACATATATATATTCATTGACCCTCTTCTAGAACAATTCCCCATTTATGATCGACCGTTCAAACCCGGGAAACTCGTCCTTCCAGAAATACCCGTCTTGATACCCTCGGCCTATATCGAACCTATTTCCAGACGCTTGACTGCATACCATTCGATCTCCGCTCGTGACAGTCTTTTTTTCCCTCTCAGAAATGAAAGCGTCATGAAAAGGCGGCTCGGCGGTCGCGCTAGTGCAATCTGAACTTGCTGCTGGGCAATATGCAGATTCGTTTCATTGCTCAGATTGCCGGACGGGGGGTCATGTTTGGGTATGGCGCTGGGGTGTCGGGCCTATGGAATTCGGGGGGTGAGGTTGCCTGTTTAGCCTTTTATCCGCGGTCGCGGTGGGAGGGCGGAGGAAAAGCTGGAGCAGGTGGGTTGTATGACATCTTGGATTGCGTGGCTATTTACAATAACGACTTAACTGGTATAGAAGTTTTGTGGTAGATATGTGGATTTGCTGTGAATTGTGCTGGCGTGGGTGGTGGGTGGAGGGCTTTGAATGGTGAAAGAGTCGCTTACTTTTGGAGGTGTTAGGATTCGGTCGATATGATTGGATGAGAAAGGTATATAATTGTTAAATCTATATTTACATCTAAATAAATGTATGTGTAAATGCGGGTAGAAGCTTAAGAAAGCAAGTACATTGTTCGATGAATCGCCAACAACAGAGGGTATCAGGCGACATGTGCAGGGCATTGAGTAACAGAACTTAAAGAGCAAGAGCAGCGGCAAGGATACCAGCAGCACCACCGACCATCGCGACAGCACCAGTAGGAAGAGCCATATGAGCAGCAGCACCAGTAGAAGAAGACGAGCTTGCAGCAGCAGTGGTTGAGGCAGGCACAGCAGTAACAGCAGAGAGAGCCTCACGCATAGAGACCATGCTGGCCTTCATGACGGTCTGAGTAGAGGTCTCAGTGCCCCAGACTCCCTCACCGAATTCCTTCGAGTTGGCCGACTGAAGAATAGTGCAAGTGATGTCGGCAGTCTTGAGCTCGCCGGTCCATTTACAGTCACCATCCACCTTCCATAGATCGGGCTTGGGGTCGGTCAAGTGGTATTCCCATGTGCTTGGACCCTGAACGATGGAATAGGGCTCGCAGGCGGGAATCTTGGGTAGTTCATCCTCATCGTCCCGGCGGAGACGTGCAGCCCTGGTGGGTGCGGGGATCGGAGTCAGTTCGATGTCGGGGACACCACTGGTCGGTGGTACATCAACGGTAGGTGTTGTTCGGATTGCAATGCCGCTGGTCGACGTTGAAGACACCAAGGTGCTTGGTGCGGCGCTCGATGAGCCACTCTCTGTCGCTTTCGCTGTTGATCGTTAGATTCAGTGGAATTCATTCGATTGGATTAAAACATACCACTTGAGAGGAGTGACTCCAATCCTGCCTGTCCAGTGCAGGAGTTTTCGTAGGTGGTCTTATCACCTTCAGAACCCTTTATAGTAAGAGTCTGGTCCAGTCCGTTCTGCCAAAGGCGAAGGTCGAGCAAGGTGACTACGGTGGCATTCTGAGACTGGGACTGAGATTGGGATTGGGATTGGGATTGCGCAGCTACGGCGCTGGCAAGGAGAATGATGATGTTGCTGGAATGCATCTTGAAATGATATGGAAAACTATGGTAGAATTATCAAAGGAAAGTCAAAGAATTGATGAGAAACTTTGAGCTTGCTTTATTGAAATGATTGTAATTGTGAGGATGGTTCTATGCTATACTACGGTGGACTTTTCTCCTTCTTTAAATCATGAAGCAATTGCGGCCGTGCCGTATGTTCGTGCGAGAAGGATATTTGAGAGTTCCAGTGCCTTTGGGGCGGAGAGTTCCCACACGCACGATACAGGTATGCAGGTACAATACTCAGATCTCCGCAAGGAGGGCTGTACAAGCAAAATAACTAAACTGGGACGAAAAGGTCGCTAAGCATATTAATTTTGCAACCTTAAGCTTACGATCCTTCCACCATGGATTGCCATTTGTGGCTCAGTACACAGTCACGACAGTATGTCCCCTGACCTAACTCGTTTACCTGAACGGGTTAGTTAGCGTCGGGCGTAACCAATTAGCGCTGTGAGGCTGAATCACCATGCTTCCCACCAATAGTGTGGTGGATTCAAAGTTGGCCTTTAGGGACTGTTGGAGCATGGCAACACTTTGAACAAGTCATACTACGAATTCGGATAGCTGAAAGGTCGGGTAATTCGGAAGTCACACCTGCTGTACCAACATTCGAGTAACTGTAGTTTTGGAAGGACTGCAGCAAGTTGTCTTGTAAGAATTAAGGGGTTTTGCCATGGCAGACCCATACTAAAGTGGAAGGACGTTGTGTGCATGATTACTCCGATCGCCCGGAAGATAGCATGATCCTACTGCTTTTCTGCAGACCCTTGTACTCAATGACTATCGGATGCATTGAGCTCAATCATGCATTGCGGGTTAGACATTGAGCACGTAGCAACCTTTGCGATCACTGCACTGTGAGAATGTAGCAACCGGTGCGAACACTGCACTATGAGAATGTAGATCCGCGCGATTCGTCCGGGGTGTCATACTTATTTCCACCAACGCATGTCCTTATTGCAATGGCGAAGGGGATGGAAATTATTTGTCTCACACGTTCTGTTGATCGGCGGTGGTGGTTCGTCAGAACAATATTATCAGTCGTTGGCAGCCATCAGATAGGAAATGATTTAGATTTGGGGATTTATGCTTAGGTAGTATTCGTACGATATTCGTACAAACTCGTCCATTAGTAGTGCGCATGTAGAGTTACAAAGTGAAAATCAATCCGTTTTCGGAAACAAGTCTCGAGGAGATTACCGTGCACTTGTCTTGTATGCCTCCAATGAATTGTTGCTTGACAATCCCTTGCCATCTGATAGCCAATGATTAACTCGCACGATCACCGCAATCGCAAGAGAAGACAGAAAAGGAAGAACGCCCCTCTCAGGATATAATTACTGGTGATTTGCGCATGGCACCCCTCTAAGAGCACTGCCTAGAACGGAACTTTCATATATTCTTAGGTGTAGGCAACGGAAAATGATATGTGACCCTACAATTAGTAAAACGCAGAAAGGGTTCGTGCATAGCCCCCGACATTAATCCGTTGAAACTGCATTCAAACATCATTGCGTGAACGGCATCGTACCTAAACTCGCGCACGAGAAATATTCAAGCCAAAGAAAAAAGCAATCTTGAAAAATCGAGGCGGATTTCTTGTGGGCGCGGGGCAATTCGGTCAAAGGGTGCCTCGGAGCTCTTAAACACACGCGGGGAATGGCGGGCCTTACCAGGCGTATCAGCACGGCTATTTAGATTGGCGAGAAGAGTCATCTCTGAGGTGAAGGCGGCAGAAAGCTGGATGGCGTTCGTTCTACGTTTCAGATATCCGAAACGCGATGATCTATGTCGTTTTGAATGCAGAATCCATGGTGTCACAACGGACATCCACCGTGGAAAGATTCTGCAGCCAAGAGGATTCATTTCACCCTATCGTTGATTGGATCCCCGAACCAACTTGAAAGATTTGGAAAATGGTCAGAGCAGACCAAGCCGACCCAACAATACGGTCCATAACATGCTGCATACAAGCAGGTCAGTTGGTCCTCAATTGGTCCTGGGTGATGAAGACTGCAGCTGGCGGCTTATGCCTCTCTTTGACGACCAGAAGTCGACTAAATTGCTATAGCCATCAATGGCATACGTGCGAGCTATCGCCCATCATTATATATAGCGAGGAAAAAGTGGCATATTATCATTGTTGTCGCGATATATTGATACCACGGCAAGGCTGAAATCTTTCTATAGGTACATATGACTGGGGAAGCTAAGCGCAACGGTCAGCTTTCTGCAGGCCACGATGAGGCTGACAAGCTCATGTCTGGAGTCTATTTAAGCTTTCCGACTAATAGGTGTACGCCTAGGGCACAGTGATGCCTGGGTCGACCTGTGCACCAGGTTTTATTCCTTCCAGAAGCACCCCCATTGCAGCCTCCTATCTCCACCCTGTCGTCGAACTGCTTCGTGTGGGAGAAGAATAAGCATACACGTGATAAAGAATGGCATCTTATGAGCGCCAGGGTGTGCCCCATACAGCGTGGAGAACGATGGCGATTGTGGAAAGGGGTGCGATCCGATAATTCAGGCGAAGCCGATAGTTGATGGTGTGTAATACGGCATCTCCTGACATCGAGGGTGATCTGGCTGTATCATTCAGTAACAAACTACCCGTACGAATGCCGAGTGCAGACACTGTCATTGCAGAATGTCTTCATTCTTTACGACTTGCCGAGCCATGACCATATTCCTCAAAGAGTTGCAACTACTGATAGAGTCGATTGGAGGCGTGTCAGACTTGTGTGGCTCCAGAAACTCAGTTTCTGAATATAGACAAGCTAGAATGAGAACTTCGCTTCGCGATCTGCGCAAATGTTTTCTTGGTCTTGGAGAGTATTTGTTCTTGAGATGTCATGGTCATATTAATGATGGTCTTGGCAGAGGCAGTGTCTTCACAAGGCGAAGTCCAGTGCCCCGGACTGGGTTGGGAAGCAGAAGTTCTCCGCAGCGTTAGGGCGAAGAGAAGATCCAACGTTGCATAACGGGTTGCGGTGTTCAAGTTGTCCAGCGCTTGGAAACAGACGCTACAACATTGTCGAGTGTGATGGGATTCTCAGCTACGACAGGCAACGCCGGACATCCCGCGCATCACGATTGAGAACAACACGAGCAACTATGGATAACCGAGTTCCCGGACCCCTGCTCGCCATGCAGTAAGTACAACCCCCAAGGAAATGCAAAATCGAAGAGATCCAGGTGCACGGCATGGGTCTATCACTGTAAAAGCGCCCTGGGAAACGGTGGCTTCGGCAAAATCAGGGGTACTACAGAAGTAGGGACGATGTTCTGCAATATCTTCCAGGATTGTATAGTCTTGGGTTCTGTCGGGACGGCATCCTGACATCGCATGTGATCGGATATGAGCGTGTGCTGATATTCTGCATGCCCGGGAAGGGCTGTCATGATGCGGAGTAAAGCATGCCCGCGTGCAATTTCGCCAATAAGTTTTCTTCCCTATAAGCAACATCTAGCTGCCTGAGATCATACACAGTAACTAGTGGGAAATGGAAGGATGTGTTTCGTTGTTGTAATTAGGAGACTCCATAACGGTACAAGTAGTTTGAACAAATTACATTGGGCGTATACTCATCCGGGAAAGGCGTATTCCTGATCTGGGAGGCTATCAACAACGGGAACAGCTCCCCGCTTCCCATAACCTTACCTTAACTGCTCATTCACTAACCACCTACCTAACCTACAACTAAACCTATACCCACACAGTATGTACTCCGTACAGTACACAGCTGCACCTAACAGTACGGACTACTCGCCTCCAGCTTCTCTCTCCCTCTCCCATGCCCTCTTCCTGGCAAGTAACTATCTCCATGTCTTCACCGCTTATTTCGATCCATTGTTCACGCCATCATCAATATGTACTGCTATTCATCAGCCCCCAAACCCTAGCTCAACTCGATGTGCCCATGTCATCTACCGTATATGCCCCACGAATACAATACTTGTACGATGTTGGTAGCGATCCTGGCACCGTTAAGCGGGAGGGAGGGCACGCAGCCGCCCACCAGTGTGATTTGGCCCCCGCATGCACCGCGAACCCTATTCCTCCGTGCTGACAACCGTTGAAAGCCATCTAGGTCAACACATCGGCAACAACATGATATCCAGCATAGCTACTAGACCATACCTATCCACCAAGATCTGTCCGTCATGCACTCGGTCCAATGATTATCTTCTGCGCCACGTCTTCCACGTTCTGCGTATCCCATGGCCAGGGGTCCCCTGCTCCAGCTGGAAACCATCGTGGCCCAATTCTCCGCCCACCAGCTGCGACTGCAGAGTTACCTTGGACTGCCTCTGGTATTCGGGCTACCTTAGCACCCGTTTCCTTACGCCCAAGCACCCATCGTGTCATTGAAGGCACTGCAGCCGCCCCGCGTAGCATAAGCATTTTTACCATTCCTTTGCCATGATGCTGCAAAGCGAGTTACTGTACTACTGATTGCGGGGCTCCCTCAAGCCAATTATCTCATGATACTTGTAGTCTCAGCCCTAAGGTACGAGGACAGTCTACACCTTGTTTTTCGAAGGTCGGTTCGCACATAATGATAGAGAACAAGCAGAAATGACACGCGATTTGCTTCACCCAAGGTTGCTTGCTCCTAATCTGGCCATCATGCAACAGCTTCTTGCCCGTCATGCGGTACGGAGAGGTCTGTACAGCACCTTGAGTCTCCAATGAACATCGAAGTTCGAGATTCACGACTACGAACATGATTGCCCAAGGGTGGCCACTAGTCAATCGTAGCTCATGCCCCTTAAGGCTCCGTGGGCCCCAATGCCCCGCTGTCTCGGCATCCTACTTGGTATCGTTTGTACAGTATCTGCAATGTACACATTATGTGAACAGACACTAGTCATATTTCGGGCTTTCATTGCGAATCATGGGTTTTGCGTCTCTGGAGGCGAGCATGCTTAAAGTACGCGATGCCACGGCAAATTCTTGACTGACACAATTTTAGTCTTACCAGGATATGGAAATCAGTGGTAGGTGTAACCATTTCTCACATAATTCTCCAGAGCTTCGCAGATTGCGATGCACCCTGTGTGCGCCCCGGGGCTGTATGGCCTGCTGTTGGGCCTAGCCTAAAACTGAATTCTCACACATTCAGGGCGTAACTAGACCAGGTCCCTCCGAAGGCCACGTGACTTCTCGTTGTGCGATTCTCGCACGAGAACCCTTTCCCAGGCTTCGGATATAGAGGGTATTGAACGTTTATCAATCTTCAACATGACTGACTATATCACAGCATCGTTGTGCTACCTGGTCAAAAATCTAAATTCCTAAAGTTTTTCGTCTTCTCCACATCCGGCCCGTCGTATCAGAATGTCATCGAAGAACGAAGCGCGACTTGATGCACCCACGATTACTAGACGCCGACATGTTCTGGCATGTGCAAGATGTAGAGCACGCCGAGTAAAGTGCGATCGAGCTCAACCTTCGTGCTCAAATTGTGTCAAAGCAGGATCACTATGCCAACCTGCTCAACCACAGTCAACTTCACTGCCGATACATCCCCACCCTGAAAAGCGGGATTCGAGCAACTACAACCGAACACCTAGATACGACGACGAGAGTAATCCTGCCTCAAGAGAGGTCTCTGCTGCCCCATCGCCAGAAGAAGTCAATGACTATCGGGGCATCGAGGTTCGTGGCCGATTGAATGCGGCCGATGATTCAAGCTATCTCAGTCCTTTCTCTTGGGCAGTGACCACGGAACAGGTTAGTCGGATTCTACATGTAACGTTCTCTACTGATCGTGGCATTTTAGCTCCTTGAAAATAATGACCTGTTCAGGACAAATCCGAGCAGCCCAAACCTAGGCTCAAACTTAACAAATGACACTTGTAATGAGAGCTACCCTAACTGTCTTCCAAATGAGCCATTGCATGAGTCTCTGTTGAATGCATACCACAGCCACGTCGACCCACTAGTCCGCGTGCTTCATTGGCCGTCATTCATGGAACGAGCTCGTGCGTATCGAATGGGGTCGCTCCCAAGACACTCTCCTGCAGCAACAGAGTATCAGGCAGCCTATTTTTCGGGAGCGCCTTTAGCGTCGACACCTCATGGTACTTTCAGCAGTCCATCAGTTACTCCTAACACGACTCTCCCCTCACAGCACACTCCAAGCCCAAGAACATGCACCGATGCAGCGTTCACAGCTGTTCTATACTCTGTATATTACGCCGCTGCAGTGTGCATTGTCGATAGCCCACTGGCACGGGATTTTCAGGGAGTGGATATTAACCAGCTTACAGCCGCGTTCAAGAAGGAAGTCGAGAGTCGGGTCATGGACCTTAGTAAAAGTTCCTCCAAAAGCATAGCCATCGAGCGGCTCCAGGCAATGGTCATATATCTGGTAAGCTGAGTTAGGGCCCAATTATGGTACACTTACTAATTTCTCTTGTCAGACTGCAAATCATTGCAAGGCGGATTTGAACCTTGCATCATTGCAGCTAACCATTGCAATCCGAATAGCGCAGTCTATTGGCTTACATCGGGACCCTTCGACTTTCCAATTACGGGCAATCGATATAGAGATACGACGGCGGTTATGGGCCCAGCTCTGCATCCTCGATATTCGTATCGCAGAGCAATTAGGCAATGAGCCTTCTTTACTACCTAGCTCGTACGACACCATTCTGCCACTCAATTTAGACGACACAACTCTGGCACAAATCAATGAAAACGAAGTGTCACCTGGAACGGGAGGTGACGCGACACTCGGTACCCTCCATCAGATCGAAAATTCGCAGCACCTTCGATCGTCCTTGTCGTCAATGACCTTTTTTCTGATGCAAGCGGAGGTGGCAAGAATCATGGCTATCTTGCTCTCCACTCGCTATCGCGCGCGAGATGCATTTGCCTTCAGCCAAGGTGGACACCCACGCCCTGACAGGCTCCATTTAATCAGTCAACTTGAGCATCGCCTTCGGGCATTCTATCCACAGGATGCACCAAAGTCGAACAGTCCGGTGCATGCATTCAATTCAGAAGCTACAGAAGTGAACATAGCGAAAGTCAGATTCCTCGCACGACTGCTGGAATGGAAGGACTGCTACAACAGTATGAGCGAGCAGCGGAAGGAAAGTGAGAGCTTAAGGTAAGTCTATTGATACATTACCTACCGACTCAGCTGACTCCGCATAGCATCTACCGCGATGCAATAGGTCTTTCTGCCCGCACTCTATCATTCATTCAAACACTTTCCTCGTCGCCTTTCAAATGGTATTCTCACCAGATTAAAGATGTATACTCCTCAAGCTTCATCATCATCACCCTACTGTCCAATCATTCATTGGATACACAACTTAGTTCGCTAGGACGCGCAGCTCTCGACCAACTTTTTCCACCTAGCTCTACAGCTCCCGTTGCCGAATGGACCAGCCCCTTCGAGCGACTCCTATTCCGGGCTAGATCACGCAGTAGCATTTCTTCCCAGCCCAACATCGCAGACTTTCAGATCTCTTCGTTGAATAACCGTCCAATAGATAGCTTTCAAGTCCAAACATCAGGAAGCCCCTGGCCTACCAGTATGCCCACATCAAGCATCACTGTCGCTCCGTTCCCATCAACAGGAAACCTATTCGAAGACTACGATACCATGATGTCGGAGTCTATGTGGGGAAGCAATATTCCGGGTATGGAAAACCCATATGGCCCCTGGGTAAGACCTGTCCCCTTTTAAGTTTCGCATCTGTGCAATAGAGCTGTATCTGATCATAGCTGTACTTGTATTCCACTTTTTTTTTTTCTCTTTCCTTTCCTTCTTCCTGACACTAGTTGCAGGAGCAACACTGGCCACAGTGACTTTTCCTACATCATTGCGTCATCAATTTCTCGTCAAACCATAACATTTTACTACACTACCGCCAATCGTACACGCATTAACACGTCGCCAGACTGCCCAATCCTCTTCTGAACGGACAGCTCATTTCCAGAATCGCCAGGCTTCTCACTCTCCACCAGCCGCTCCCAACTATTCTAAAGGAACAAACGATCAACTCTCCGCAATCCAAGCACTGGTATCAAAACCGACAACGAGTGCAGCTCATCATCAGTCTTTACCAATCGTCAACATTAGCGCACCAGAGAACCTAACCTCGTACGATGCCATGGATATGACCACTACATCATCGCATCTCATAAGCGGAAGCCGATCTCTCCCTCCCACACCCCTCCAGCCATCAACCTCCTGGCCTCTCGAGGAAATGAACCTCGCCGTCCGATCGAACAGAGAACGCTCTGTTTCCCAACCACAACAACCCAACTTCCTCGATGTCCATACCCAGAAGATCACACGCACGAAGTCGTTGACATCGACGACTAATCGCGCGCAGCATGGATCTTACCAGATGATGCATGATCCCAATCAAGGGCTCGCACCACCGATGTTTGCTCATCATCAACCTATGCATCAAACTCACTCGCCCTTCGCAATTCATGTTGGACAGGGCATATAGACGAGCGTTCTCTTTTCTTTTCTTTGTTTTTGTGTTTATAGATATCCAGTAGCGCTGCATATGGTATGGTTTCATGGTTTCAGCATTGCTTTCAAAATCAGGGATTAGCCCCTCAACAGGATGACAAGGGCGTTTACTTGTAGATACGGAGGATCATACGGTTCAATACCAAGAGGGAATGTTACAGGGGCTGCCACGGCGGTTGGACGTCAATCTTGCGATTTTATTGCCTTGTTCATTTTTCGTAGACATTTGTCGTACAATTTGCACGACTTGGATGGAAGATGCGGTCCATCATTATTGGTTGCATATGTACAAATATAGTACTACCGCTTGGTTTGACACATGGATACGGAGTAGTATGATAAAGAACACCCTGCCTCGGTGTCCATTAATTATCTTCATCTACTTCTCAATGTGATAGGCAGTGTGGCAGTCACGACAACTTCGCTTATTGGCGAGCCGTCTTAACCCCTAGCCAACTCCCTAAACCTTCTCAACAACGACATCCTCCTTTACAGCACCGCCATCCGCATCAGCAACACTACCATTGCTGCTATCCCCAACCACCAACTTCTCGTTGTACAACTCATTCATGCGCTCCAGACTCCTACCCCGACTCTCGCGAAGGAAGAAGTAGACATACGGGAAGCCAATGACGTTGAACACGAGAAACCAGATCCAGATCTTCCACCCTACTTTTTCGAAACCGATGGGTCCGGCATACACGGTCAGGAACGCCATGAGCCATTGCGCGGACATGCTGAGACCAACGCCCGTGTGGCGGTGGCGGAGCGGCATTGTCTCCGATACGTAGATGTACTGCAGCAGCGTGGTTAATTGGTGATTTCAAAACTTGAAAATGACACTCGGCAATGTTGGTACTGCATTCCCCAAGGTTGATTTGAGTTGGGGGCGGAATGGTTGGACTTACGGGTAGAGGCGCCCAAGTTGGGGAAAAGACAAGGATCCAACCGAAGAGCATTGCAGCCGCAGCCGCGCTCGCTCGTTTCGTGTTGACGGCCAACAGAGCCACGAACAAGATCATGAAGATAGATTGCAGGGCCGAGCCCCAGAGGAGCCATTTACGCCTACCGCCCTTCTCGCAGTAGATGGAGCCCACGAAGGAGCCTATCGCGAGGAGCGTGGTGGCCGCGCCGGAACAGACAGACGATGTAGAGGGCGGGAGTCCGATGTAGACTTGGAAGATGGTCGTCATGTAATAGAAGATCATGTTGATGCCCATCAGGTACGCTACGCCAACGAGAATAACGCCGTCACGGATGCGCGTCGCGGCTTTCGTCTCGCTCTTGTCGATGAAGAAGTCTGAGAACCGGAGCTTCTCGCCGACTTCTTGGTGCAGCTCCGTCTTGATCTCGCTGGCAACGCGTTCCGCGGTCGCCTCGTCGTTATAGATCTGACCGAGTATAAGTCTGCCCTCGTCTGGACGATTGCGCAAGAAGTACCAGCGAGGTGAGTCTGCGTTGGGGAAGACGAGGACTAGTGTCAGAAGCGACCAGAAGATCTGGAACGCTACGGGGAATCGCCATATGACTTGACCAGAAGCGTAGGTGAAGCCGAAATCGATCCAGTATGCACATGCCGTACCAATACAAGCACAGCCCATTAGGATGCCGACTAGAGGACCACGTTGCTCCGCTGTGCCAGCGGTCTCTGCGATGTAGACAGGACCAGTTGAGACCACAAATCCATTGCCAACACCCTATGGATAGTTAGGAAAGGCAGAATGCCAAGATTTATTGTACGACTTACGATGAGAACTCGGCCTGCAATCAATTGACCCGTCGAGTAGGCAGTGCATGAAACCACGGTACCCACAATTTGGAGTGCTGCTCCCACCATAACCCACACGCGGCGACCTTGTCGATCACTCCATGGAGAGGCAGCAATGCAGCACCCAAGCCAGGAAGCGAGCAAGAACGACGCAACTATCATGGCCGTGGTAGTTGTGTCAGGAGCCTATGCTTGATTAGCATCATCCATGATAACTCGCATCCATCATGATATGAAGTCTTGTTGGGGGCGACGATGGCATACCTTCATAGCAGTCTGGAAGGCACTTGTTTGAAGCACACCACCAAGTACACCCGCATCCCACCCGTAGGACACGAAGCCCATACGGACACCCCATAGGACAAGTCGAGGATGTATCTTCAATGCCATGTCTGCTCAGTGTAACGATATCAACTACCGATCGATCCTGAATAGAACCAGTGTGAGACAAGTGGCGCAAGGACAAAGAACAAGGTGAGTAGGCTGCTCAGAAGGTATATAAAAAAGAAGCAACGACAAAATCAAGGATCAATGTCGAGGTGAGGATAGGGGGTACCATAAACCTGGAGCGGTTCAGTGTGAAGGGTCCCTGGGGTTCCACGGATGCTGGAATTCGGTTTCAATGCGGGAATATATGTATGACAATGGGACGACGAGTTTGAATCAGGCTGCATCTCGCGAACTGGACGGCGAACATTGGATCATCTTGGATTTCCCTATTTGAACAACAGTATAGTGGCTTGAATGGCGTCTCTCCAATGCTAGTGATGGGGCGGTGACTGAAGCTCACCAGTGCCTATCGCAACTGCAAAAGGCTTGCCGAAGTCGCTTAGAGCTTGCAGAAGTGCAGGGCGACAACTCCTCACGAACGATCGACAATTCCGGACCACAAGCCGCGCCTGCCACAGCTCTCCTGAATGAGTCGTGTAACATATGTTGAGGAACTGCGAATGGATGCAATACGATAAGACAGAACGATAGACCCCATGGTTTGTGCTCTTCTCCGCTCATCTTCTTGTGTGAAAGGGCGCGGCGCGTGGTGGAGAACCCCAGCTGTGCGACCTCGTACATCATTGCGGAAAGGATCAGCACAACACCCCCCCACTGACAGGTTTGACATATGCACCTATGCTTTTTTTTCCGAACGGCAATTCCTCTCTTGGATGTTCACAGAGTGGACCCTGTGTGAACTGGCGCGGCCTGCCACCTGCGTTTTCCTCTTTTCACAAGTCTCGTCTCTGTTCGAGTGAAGCAGTGACAAAGCAATTAAAGCAGTGGGGTATGCAAACGTTACGTATGTAGTGCGAGGGTCGGTCCGTGGATGGGTCGGGTGCAAGCCTAACGGCGTATTGTGGTTGTGAGCAAGGGTCTCTCCATTTTATCCACTTCCCCGTTGAGAAATACTTCAGCTGTCATTGGATGCAACAAAAGGTCTGTATGGTCGTGCTAAACTCCATGACTTGCGATAATACTTCCACAACAATGCAGGGCTTGCGGCATAATGGTGGGTCTCTAGAGGAGAGACAAGATGATTGAGGAATGATAGGTTCATGAGCGACAACATGCAAGGGTATTACTGCACGAGCAAAGAACTTGGGAGCTTCAGGATGATTCCACTTTTGTGGATGCACCAACAGAGGAGCTACCCCTCTCTTCGACCAGGTTAGGATCAGCGATACCTTTCATGTGAGTGGTGCAAGTTCGTGTGCTGTACAGTCCGAGGCGAAAAATGGTGATGGTGGAATGTCAACTCTTTCTCCCTTCAATTGCTCTCTCATACTTCTTCCTTCTCTCGTTCCTTACCTTGCCTGTGTTCAACAAGCAACTTGTTCGTCGTCAACATGGGACTGCTCAGCTCTACAGGCATTGAAGCCACACCTACTGGTGTAGGCGCATCACTACTTGCTCTTTTGGTACTATCTCTTCTCGCGCGCATTGTATACATGCAATACTTCCACCCACTTGCGAAATTCCAAGGACCATGGTATGCAACTTCATTCTCAGTTGTTGGGGCCTTGATCTCCATCAAGAAGAAAGAACCAGAGTTCTTCATGTCTCTGGTGAGAAAATACGGTTGTGAGTTCCCCTAGCTTCCTTGTGATATCGCGTATCTCCGTGGGTTATTCCCAGAACTGCCACAAATGCGGGTCTGCAGTAGATGTTTTGCAACAACGTCTTTGGACGGAAACAGAAAACGCTGATGCTAACAACCATGAAGCCGAGCAACCCATCCGCATCTCTCCAACAATGCTCCTATTTCCGAAGCCATCAGCGCTTAAGGACATCTACTGGGACCCGAAGTGCAATCAGAAATCCGGTTTGTATGGTACTGGTGCGTTAGGCCCGCCGCACCTCTTCACCACCTTGGATGGGGAAGAGCACAAGGCCTTGCGAAAGGCACTCTCAAACGCCCCATGGACGATCGGCCAATTGAAGAACACTTGGGAACCTCGCTTCGATGACCAGGTCAAGCTGTTTGTCCAGAAGATGAAGGAGCATGCCGCTGCAGGACGCACGGTATGTCTCAGTGACAAGGTCGCCGAGTTTGCCGCCGATATTATGAGCATGATTTCGTTCACCAAGCCTTTCGGATGCGTGCAGAACCAACGGGACGAGAAGAACATCTTGTCGAACTGGCGCAAGGGTCTCGATTTCTTTGGGTTTGTCGGACGCTTCCGTTTCTTCAGAGAACATATCATCAAGCTTCCGGTGGTGGGACTCTGGTTCTTGCCAGCAGTTTCCAATGATTCTGGAATGGGCTGGTTGATGTGCGAAGCCGACCGCCAAGTCACCACCAGGGAAAACCTCATCGCCGAGAAGTCATTCGAAGGCAAACCTGATTTCATGCAACAGTGGGCATACTCGTTCCTCATTTCACGCTGTTTGTACTAATCATCGACAGTGCTCTCGAGGCTAGATATTCCGATGGCTCTCCCTTGACTCCGATGCAAAAGCGAGCTCATGTGACCCTTCTGATCCAGGCAGGTGCTGACACTACTGGTACTGCGCTTGGATCAATTCTTCGCTTTATTGTCACGAATCAGAAAGTGTACCAGCGCTGCCGCGAGGAGATCGAGACCGCAGACAAAGCAGGGAAGCTATCCAACCCAATCCTCTACGAAGAGACCCGCCAGCATCTACCATACTTCGTTGCCTGCATCAAGGAAGGCCTTCGATTGAACCCGCCTGCGACGAATCTCTTTGCTCGCATGGTACCCAAGGAAGGCAAAGTGCTGGATGGACACTTCATTCCCGGAAACACCGAGGTCACTTCCCACGCATACGTGATGCAGCGCGACAAGGAACTGTACGGTGCTGACGCAGAGGAATTCAACCCTGAGCGCTGGCTCCAGAGCGAGAAGACAAACTTCAAGTATGAAGCTGCACAGTTCACATTTGGTGTTGGATCACGCATTTGTCTTGGAAAGGATGTGGCCATTATGGAGCTTTACAAACTTCTCCCAGAGGTAAGCAGATCGCTTTGTCGTTGAAGATGATTATACTAATGTGGCCTTAGACTATCAGGCGTCTTGATATCTCTGTCAAAGAAGAGGGTAAATATGTCGTTGCGGGTGGTGTTGCCTACAATGAAGGATTCCTAGGAGATTTCTCGCTGCGAAGTGCTTAGATCGTGTCCACTTAATCACAGATTGCGAAAGGGGTATCAACATAGCCAGATCATTAGTTACAATTCGATTATTCTTCACTCATAGAAGTGACTTTCCAACTTTCATAAATTTGCATAGTGAAATGCTGCTCCTCTGTCGCGATACCCGCGCCTCGAAAGGTTACACCGTGCATGTGATTGGCTCAAGTAATGTGGATCCTGGCGAAATTGTTGAATGTTGATCGGTGATAGAAGTGACACGGGCACTGGGTGGTCTCAATGCCCACATACTCATGGTAGTTTTCATGGTTAGAGGTTCGAATGTTCCATTGTGTGGCGGGATACCGATAGGTTGATCAACTGGTAATGTGATATGGCTTCTAAATGGTGTCACATCGGTCAGTCACAAAGAACCCCGGAGATTCGTAAGAATATGGACAATTCTAGCGAATGGTATGGAGCGGAACTGAAAAGCAAGTATCTGGTTGCGTTGCAGCCCAGAGGCAGGGTCTCGCCGCGGCAACCTTCAACCAGGGCGGTGAAGCACGCTTTAGCAACGACACCCGCGAATTCAGTATAGGGCCAAAAAAAGAAAACACGATGCAAAGTGATCAGTCGTACGATTATTAGTTTGCAGTCCACAACCAATGGCGATCACTCGGGCCTTTTGACATTGATTTGAGGGCCTCAAGAAGCTCATCTACTCGAATACGGTGATACAGACAGCAGGGCCTCAGGTGCCGGGTTTGCTTTCATGCACGAGAATACCGCCGTATTCGAGATTGCAAGTCCCAATCATATCCAGTCTACTGGGGCAAGAAAAAGCAATGCTCGGAGGTTTGGCGTGGAGCTGTCAAACGAGGTCGATCCATGATATCGGAACCGGGGATACGGCTCACGAAGATTGTCGCTCGCTCATTGGGCGGATTCTATGCTCCGACGGACGCCATTCCTACTTAGTAAATGATCGCTGCACATTGGTCTGCCAGCACCCACATGCCTCGTACTACTGAGTAATGCAGTGATTGATTCTCAAGTCTTGCTTTTAGGAACAATAAAATGACTACCGCAGGGAGACGGCGAGACTAAGGGCAGCTTCCGCCCTTAGGCGAGCCGTTTGACACGGGACGCATGCACCACAACGTTTCGGGCACTCTCAGGATGCTGTATAAAGAAAACTAAAGGGAGATCGGTGAAGCTAAGTCTGTAATGGTTTTGAGTGTGTTTGTCGAGCAATGGGTGCCATGCTTGGTAACTCACTGCGTTCGAGTGAAGCCGACGGCATTCGAATTGCATGGATAGCACGCCCCTTCGTTCAAATTTGAAGGAAAAAGTACGGTCCCCTTACCAGGTGTGCGCGTTTGTACTGCTCTGATCGCTACTGGAAAGAGACAACCACAGGCCAGTAGCAAAGAATGTGACTTAGCAGATCTTTAGGAAACACTTCAACAAGGGGAAATCGGCGGTCGGATACATGCTTTGGCTCCAGGGATTGATGAGCGTTTGAAGTCATCTCTTCGTAGAACTGGAATAAGCAAAGACCACACATGTACTGTGTAGAGACACTGAACAAAGAGGATGCGTATATGAGTTCCAGGATCTCTCACTGTGTCAGTATCCAAGAGTTCAGCTTTGAGTTGCCTAGTGTGTTCGACCATCTGAAAGCTGATCACTCAACTTCTGTCTTTGGCAAGCAAAATTCCATACATTGGCATTCACCACCACGATGGAGATCCCGACAGAGCGACCTGCCAATGCCGATGAGACAGAGACGGTATCTGAGATGGCTGTGACCACGGCAGCTGGTGCCCTCGTAGCTGTGGTTGTCGTTCTTCGTTACACTGGTCGATGGGTTTTGAGGAAGAGGGTTAAGCAAGGCAAAGGATCCAAGGAGGCAGTCTACGGCTTGGATGACCGTGAGTAGATCGCGAAACAAAGCACTTGGCCATAACTAACTAGACTCAGTTTTCAACGTGCTTGCGGTCCTGACGTTCTACGGCCTTTGTATCGCGGTCTACTTTGCCATCAGCAGAGGCATGGGAACGCATCTCACTCTGGTCCTCTTCGAAAGGGGACTCGCAGGTTTCAGTGCGTACAATCAAGTGAGTATACGAAATCTTGTACATCTAGCATCGTAGAGGATCCTGAGCTTACATCCAGTAGTCGGTCTTTGTTTGTGCCATCTTCTACAACACGACTCTTGGTATGATCAAGCTCAGCGTTCTTGCACTTTATAGACGAATTCTGCGTGGTGTTCAATCTCAGAGGCTCCGCATCATTGTCTGGAGTGTATTTGGCATCGTCGCCTGCAACACGACAGCCAACGTGCTTGTCGCGATATTCCAGTGCTGGCCCATCAAGGCAGCGTGGGATGTGACCATAAGCCCTAATGACAAGCGGTAAGACTTCTAGACATTCCCTTCACAATCCAGATACTAATCCAGTAGATGCGTTGATGTCAATGCCTTCTACCTGGGCAACGCCATCACAGGTGTAATTACAGATGCAATGGTGTACCTCCTTTCCATCCCCATCGTTAGGCCTCTTCAATTAGATGGAAGGACGAAGATTCAATTACTAGCAACCATGTTGATTGGCGGATTGTAAGTCGCTATCCTATTGAGTACGGCTTTCACGATAATTAACCGACCTATTAGTGCCGTAGTGACAGCCGCCGTTCGTCTCGGGTTCATTCCCGCACTCCTTTCCGATGCCGATACGACTATGGCGATGGCGATACCGATGAACTGGTCAGTGGCCGAGCCCGCAGTTGGCATTCTCGTTTCGAGCATGCCTGCCATACGTGCCATTCGGTTCATGTGGCGCAAACCAGGAGACGATTCGTACGGCTCTGGTGCCGCTCATTCCACACTCAAGAGCCGGGGAGGTCACATACAGCTCATCGATATGAAGAATGGCGGTACGGAAGGTGGCAAAACCAGAAGTGCCGACAACGACAGCGAAGAGCACCTTGTTGAAGGAACGTATGGGCTGAAGGGATTGGGACAGATCTCAAGAACGACCGAGTTGGAGGTCGCATACTCCACGAAGTCAAGGGAAACCAACGTTATATGAGTGATACCGTATGACCGGCTGGCTGCAAGTAGAGCTGATACAATGAGTCTCCTGGCGAGACTCGATTCTGTTCAGAGGTTTCTGCTAAGGTATTCGATGACGCGACTACGGTATTATTCATATTCATGCTGCTTTGTGGACAGTGTTGACTTCAATGACGTTTCCTGGTCCTGGATCTGCAGGGAAACATCGCTGATCAAACGTCGCTGGTCATTATGTTCGTTACCAGTCATAGGTAGCGGCTAAGTGGCTTGCGGCTTGTGCAAAGGCTCAGCATCGTATGTTTAGAGAGAGGGTAGATGGGAGATGGATTTTTGATGGGGAAAGGAGACGCAGTAAAGGGAGATGAGGGATGTGTAGAATGTAGTTGTTTGTGAGGATGGATTATGGCGATAACGATATCGATAGCGGTAAATATATCTATGTCACATCAACTCGCGTCGCATTTTGCTCCTTGTCCCGCCACTTCTCCCTCGTTCCAAGAGAACTAAACAACAGCTCCTAAATTTCATCCGGACGAGGCTCTGGCTGTTGGCAGCTGTGCATTGCAGATCCTACCACTCTTTTACTGGCGTGGTGCTGGCGTAGCAAGGCTCGAACCAAAGCCTCTCAACTGCAGGTGCGGCGCAAACGCAAGCCGTAGCTTGGGGTCTTTGCAATCCCATATTACTTCCATGGATAAAATAGGAAATCTCATCGCAAGGATCGTTTCTGCATGTTGCGATGGCTCTTTCGCCCTCGCCTGATTGGCTTACTCGCCGGTCGTATGTCAGGATGTGAGCCGTCTTCCAATGAAGGCGGGGCATACTGCGAACATTGAACGAGCCTCGGGAAACAAAGCTACGCCGCAGTCGACGTCGCATCCACCATCATCTAAACCACATTAAATTTGGCCGATACTGAGACTATCTACTCATTCTTTTTCTTGTGAATTGAGAAATCACGACAGCTTAGTTGAGCAATTGAACAATCTCTGGTACGACAATGCCTCATGACTTCCTCAAACCACACTGGTCTCGGTTCATTGGACCGCGTGCCCCGGATCCAGTGAAGTCAGTCTACAAACCACATTCTGAGCACCTTTTCTCGTCACCATATGGACCTTTTCCAGAGTCTCCGCCGGACCTCAACATCCATGAGTTCTGCTTTCCCCCAGAGAACCCATTGCCCGAGGATTATCCTCTCTTCGTGAATGCGCTCACCGATGAGACTGTTACTCTGCATCAATTCTATGCGCGTGCGTGTGCATTAGCACGCGTCTTTCGACATGACGGGCCCAACCCTCTGGGATTGGGTAAAAGCCCTGTCAACGACAAGGAGGACGGTGAGATCCTGGGCCTGTTCTCGAAAAACCACATCCACTACCCTATGGTTGCTCACGCGTGCTTCCGAGCGGAACTCGTCTTTGGTGGTATTAGTCCTGCATCGACACCATTTGAGCTGTGGTGGGTGCTGCGCAAGATGCAAATAACCAGTCTTATGTGCCATGAATCTTTGCTTCCCGTGGTGGTTGAAGCGTTGAAATTGGGAAGTGGCGAGAACGATAAATCTACCCCACTGAGACTCCTCTTGGATCCGAAAAAGATTATAGTACTCAGCGACAACCCCGAGCATGATAGAATATCGGGCCATCCTACTCTTGAATCACTTGTACGATACGGAACTACTCTCTCTGAAGTTCCGCGCAAGCTCCTAGGTGGCGATAGGATGGCGTACCTCTTCCAATCGTCAGGCACCTCGGGGCTGCCAAAGGCAATGATGATATCCCACAAGAACGGCATCCACTCCGGCTTGCAGTCCATGATCACCGCGGTGCAAGGTTCTCGTTTGATGGGTATCGAGCCTTTGAGTATACCTTCGCGTCTCCTCGGAGTGATACCCATGTACCATTCCTACGGCATGATTCTGTGGATTCTCCGCATCAATCTTCTTCAATCTAGCAGCTACCTGCTTCCAAAGTGGGACGTCGAACTTGCATTGAAGAGCATAGAGAAGTACCAGCTCACAGTTCTGCCCCTAGTACCACCTTTGGTAAGACAAATCGCACAAAGCCCTCTCACCGAGAAGTACGACCTCTCTTCTGTCACCGGAGCGATGAGCGGCGCCGCGTATTTACCGCCAGACGTTGCTCATTCGCTAGCAAAGAAGCTGCCCAGCAGCTCAGGATTACCCATCCCGAGTGGCTACGGTCTGAGTGAAGCAGCGAGCATTGCAAGCCCCGCTCCGCCAGGTCTGTTCGGTCTTGAATATGCCCCTCCTGGAACCATTGGGTACCTACTTCCTGGCATGGAGGGACGTGTAGTAGACCCTGACACACTGCAAGAGGTACCAAAGGGTCAAAAGGGGGAATTGTGGGCGCGCGGAAACGTCGTGACTCCCGGTTACTTCAAAGACCCCAAGGCTACAGCCGAAATATTCACTGAGCCAGGTTGGCTGAGAACTGGCGATTTAGTCCTGCGAGACGAACACGATCGACTTCACTACCTAGATAGATTGAAGGAAATGATCAAAGTGAAGGGCTTACAGGTAGCTGCGACAGAAGTCGAGGACACGCTTCTCGACCATCCTGAAGCGCTCGTCAGAGACGCATGTGTAGCCGGCGTGGATAACGGCCGCGGTGATGGATCTCTGTTCGTCCGAGCATGGGTAGTATTATCTCAAGATGGAATCAAGCAGGGCGAGGAAGTCGTGGCACAGAAATTGGATGAGTTCGTCAAGCAGAGACTGAGCCGACATAAGTGGATCACAGGTGGAATTGAGGCAGTCGATTCTGTAAGTCATCTCTCTCGCTACATATGACTTTGCTGATGATTCCTAGCTACCCAGAACGCCTTCAGGTAAAATGCTCCGGCGTGAGATGAGGGACCGATACCATGCGCGTATCAAGGCTGAAGGCAAGAGCAAGCTGTAGACACTCTCTTCCCGGTTCCCAGAGCAAGAAAATAGTGCGCGAGAAATGGCAATACGACATTCGCATGACCGCTTGGCCGCGTAGCATGCAAACACCGTCCTGACGACCACACCACTTCCAAGCATCTCTTTCCCCCAACCATGCCTCCCCCAAACTCAACAACCCTTCACCCTGACTTCTTTTCCTCCTCCTTTCCCCCCTTCGTCCCGGTGCAAACTTCACACTTCAACCTATCGTGACCGCACCCCAGACAGACCATCGCCCTTGACTCCCACTGACAGACGTGACATTTCGACATGGGCGCTAGCTTTGCTTTAGGCTTTGATGCGGTGTTTGTGGTGGATTCGGTGCTGGATTCCGCGGCGTTGGTGAATCCGAAGCTGTAGTTGAGGGACACGTCGAGTGAGACGTTGGCTTGGAAGCGGTGTGTGGAGTTTTTCTTGTAATTGGATTGGTTGTTCATGTTTGGAACAGTGGTGTGTAGAGTTGGCTTTGTAGATTGGGAATTTCGTGGTGTGTATGTCTGAATTGAAATAAGGCTTCCATCCATTTTCCCTTATATACCTCGCCTGTCCGAATATGTACGAAGTCCACACCATGTCTCGCATCTCATTCACACATAGTGAGACAAAATATACGCAAGTCCCCTCAACCACCCGACCTACCCGCCCACTCCATCAAAACATCACCATAGCAATGTTTTACCATCCAACGCCACACCGCACCTAAGTACTCACCCCATACAAGGCCTCTTCCCACACGAACTCAACGTGTGCACATACCTCAACTTCCCACCCTCGACCCTAAACTCATGACTATCCGGCAGCCCCTTCGTCCCAACACTCCCATCCGTGCCCCCAAAATCCATAATAATATCCACCGTCCCATACTCCTGATCGATCACATACTGCCTATTGACCAACTTAACCCCATTTGGCACCCCAACATCGCACCTATCATTCGCCGCGCCCTTCCCCGTGTACGCACCACCTTCAAGGCGCGCGCACGGCGTCCCCCACGGCACCTTGACGTTCTTGTCGTTGAACAAGTCGCAGTACGCATCACCGGCAGCCTTGATGACCTGTCGCGTGTCCTGCTTTTCCGCGGGGATAGGGTCCCATTTCTCGCGGCTGGCCCAGTAGTACGTCCCCGTGACGTTGAACAGCCAGTCGCCCTTTGTCGTGATGATGCTGTCGATCTGGTTCACCTTCTGCGTGCTGGTGTCCAGGCGCAGTTGGCTATGGATCACGTAGGGCGCGGAGGGGTTCTGCACGATGGCTTCGAGGAAGCCGGCGCATTGCACGATGTCGTGTTGGTGCCGCTCGAAGTCGATTTTGAGGCCTTTGGAGAGGATGCCGGTTTTGATGTCGGAGGATGCGCGGTTCTCAGTGTAGGTTAGGGTGCCTGGGGAGAGGGAGGAGAAGGAGGGTGTGCCGGCTTTGAGGGCAGAGGCGTAGTCTTGCGTTATGGTTTTCAGGAGGGCCCGGGTGCAGTTCTGAGAGAGGGCCGAAGTGGCGAAAGAGAGGACCGTTAGGAGGGTACGCATTTTTTTTTTTTTGAGATGTTGCCCGTTTGAGGCTATGTTGGGATTTAGTTGATAGTGGTTCGTTTCAGTGCCTCGCAAGTTGTGTGGTTATTGTCGTTATATATTTCACCACAGTGACAGTACTCAGATCCAAATCCGGCTTGAAGTGATCCCAATTGGATGCCATTGTTTGTCGTGAATCACTATAATCGGTTCTTTGTAGAGAGGATTAAAGTCCTGGGATTGAGACGACTTCGGTAGTAGTTGATCGGCGGGGCTCTCATATGGGATAGATGAACTGACCTAGCATAGCTGTGTGGGGCAACATGACATTACCGGATCTACAAGTTTTTTCGCCTCTGATTTGGTCCAAAGGTGAAAATCGAAGGATCATTGGTTCAGGACGTCCTACACGATATTATTTTTCTGATTGATCGCAGAGTGTTTCTCCTCTTCTCGGTAGTGGTGCAAATGGAGATTGAGAAGGCTTCTGAACCAATCGCCTTGATGCATCACGAGTAGGTATCTCGATACACTGTTTCTGGAACGGATGCTGATGCAGGCCGTATAATCGAGTTGCAAGATATTCGAAGCTAGATATTAGCTATCTTCTACATTTCTTATGTCAATGAGATCAAGCCTCAACTGCAGTCCAAAAACCTCGCCCCTCATTCCCTTGCACAACCTTTGCAAACGACAAGCTTGCAGCATCCTCTTGTTGCGCGACATATCTCTGCAACACGCGCAACCACATCTTCTTCTCCGCGCGACTCGCCGCATGTCCCTCCCAAACCCAAATACCCTTTCCAGAATCCAACAGAAAGACATCATTCCCATCCAAATCCTCTCTATTGATCGCCTTCCCTTCTTTAACCAAGTTGAAGCTAAGCTGACCCTCAGCATCTGACAACCGAAACAATTTCTTCTCGCGATCCTGCGACGACCGCGACGAGATGGGCTGTTCGGCTGTAAACGTAGTCTCAAGCGGATTGACGTCCTGGCCACCTAGGTGATCGACAACGATCTTGGACCGGCTCTCGTTCTGCGAGAGAACCTCCACATCCACGTGCTTCGCAAGCGTGAGGTCGTTAACGACCTGTGCAGCTTTCATCTTCTCCATAGGAGAGCACTTCTTGCCCTGCCACACGAATATCTTATCCCCTCTATCCAAGACGAACACGTCGCCTTCGTCCAGACTCTTCCATGTCGGTTCCACCTCGTGTACGAGTATCGCGTCGCGGCCGGCCGCCGGGCTAGGATGCTTGAAGATGCGAAGCAGGGTATCGATATGTTGGGGCGTCTCGTTGACGTCGACGTGGGTGAAACCGGAGCGCACGCCGCCGCGCAGGATCTTGACGCGGGGGAACAGCGCGCTGAACGCATCGGAGGGCGCGGATTGGATCTCGCGGTGCTGGGTCGCTGCGCCGTGTAGGAACTCGTCTAGCTCGACCGTCTTGTAGGCTGCGGTGCCCGCTTCGTCCTGCGTTGTGTGACTGCCTAGCCAGAAGAATATGTCATGTATCAGTTTATCCTTTTCTCCCTCTCCGTCTTCGATGTTGTCGCTCTGCTTCGGTGCGGCTTTGACGGAGTTGAGGACGATGTACGAATCGCCCTCGTGGAACTGGCTGTACTTCTCCTTCGGCCATGGAACGACTTCGAAGTCTTCAATGCGCCAGATGAAAAGCCCCGGCTCAGTTCCTATCTTCCCATTGTTCCATGCTGGTTCGGTGGTGGCGGACTGGTACTTGACGCGGTGATCAAGCTCTGAGTTGACAAGCTCGACGTTGGAGTCCCGCCAGTCGTATTCTTTGGGGTGAACGAGGCCTTCGTTTGGTGGCATCTTCGAGGATGTATTCTGATATGATTTTGTATTATAGAGTTTACAATTGAATGTTCGGTGCGTCGATTGGAAGAGTGTAAGCAAGATGAAGCCAGCTGGAGGTGGCTGTTTCAAGATGCAAGACACCGGGCTTGGAGGGTGGAGGGGAAGCTCCGGCTACGTAATGATGGTTCAGGGTCCAGTGATCTACGGGGACGGCGCGCCTTAAACGTGGGCTAAGAGGAGCCGGCGGGCGCTACGTCATTTAGTCCCGCGAACCAGTGTTTAGTCTCCCGTCAATACTTGTAGAGGATGCATTTGAGGCGTCTTTTGCACTCTGGAAGGAATTTGAGTTGTAGAGGTAATATCAATTCTATGCCATTACTTCCCATAATAATAATAAAAGTATGGATTTCCATTACCGTTTCGCGTAATACCGTCATAAACATTTCCTTTCATCGCCATGCCATTCACAATTTCCGAGCCGAGTCGATAATGTCCATTCCAATTCCTATGTTATGCCACACCAGGTGCCATTTAATAGACGTAGAAGACCTCGACCTCGTTGTCGGACTCGCGGAGCTTCTTGTTCCTTCGAATCATGATGAACTTCGCAACCCAGGCGAGCAGAGCAGTCGCAACTGAGAATCCTGCAGAAGATCCCAAAGCGATGGCGTAGCGTGGTTCGTCAGTCTTGGGCCAGAGGTATGGTGTCCTGAGAAAGGTATGTTAGTATATACTGTTCCAAAGAATTCGGGTCTGATTGTCATAGACTTACCAGATGAAAGAAGCGTTCATGATGGTGGTAACAATGCCAATGGCGACGGCCTTCTTCTCCTTCGTTTGACCACACGTACTTCCGCACCAACCCAAGATGAGCGAATTGACACCGTATGTACCGATGGTGAAGATGACCATGGATACGTAACGTCCGGCCAAGTCCATTGTAAGACAAGCGGCGACGAATCCAATAGTTGCGACAGCTTTCGATACAGTGATATGCCAAGTCCTCTCGTTGAACTTTCCGGAAGACCATGAAACGGCGATGGTAACCGCACCAGCGATCAAGTATGGAGGGCAAGTAAGGACTAAGGTGATGGTCTGGTCAAAACCGAGGGTCTCTACGACGGTGGGGAAGAAGTTCTAATGCGTGTTAGCTCATTTCCCTACTCCATGATACTGCATCTGACTAACCTTGAAACCGTTCGCAGCAAGATGCATGTGTGCCATAAGGGCAAAGATCCATACCATAGGGTCCTTGGACGCCTGCTGGAAGCCCTTCCAGGTAGAGGTCTCGCCCTTGTTCTGGACAGTATCGAGCTCCATACGGTTGGTGGCCAATGCGCGCTCGTCTGGGGTAAGCCACTTGGTGTTGTGGGGGAAGTCGGGAAGGAGGAAGAAGCCGATGATAGCAATGACGAAAGTGACGAGACCCTGGAGGATGAAGAGCCACCTCCAGCCGGAGATTCCAGCGACATCGTCGAGACCGTAGAAGATACCAGCTGCGATAAGACCAGCAAAGGCTGTGGCGAGAATGTTACCAGTGTACAGGATAGCAATACGGGTAGCAACCTCCTTTCGGGTATAGAAGCAGGAGAGAAGATAGACAGCACCGGGATAGTACGGCGCCTCAGTGATACCCAGGAAGAAACGAGTGAGGAGGAGACCAGTGAAGTTCTTAGAGAGAGCAGTCAAGGCGCTGACGGTAGCCCAAAGCATCATGGCAATACCCATGTAACGAGAAGGTCGAGTTCGAGTCAAGAACATGTTAGAGGGGATTTGACCAAGAAGATAACCGACGAAGAGAATTGACACGCAGGTCTGGTACTGTGTGCTGCTGAGGTTCAAGTCTTTCTCAAGTTGGTTCAGACGCGCAAGAGCAATTGCATTACGGTCAAGGTAGTTGAGCCAGTACATGCTCCAAAGCATGGGCTGCACATCGTCAGTCACGTCACCACGTCCTCTCACAGCGCTAGGTACTGACCATGATCCAGCGATCCAACTTCTTCACGAGAGCAATCTCGCGAGGGTCGGTCTTTTCGTGAGCGCCGGAGTAATCCTGCTTGTCAACCGCGGGTATGGGCTTGAGGATCTCCGGGTCGTTGGTCTGCTGCTGCTCGAGCATGATGACCTCGTCTTTCTTTTCGACGGCCATGGTGGTTCAATATATCACACAACTGGATAAGTATAACAAGAATGATTGGCTGGTATCGAATTGATATTAAATTGCAGATCTGGGGAAGGCAGTGCGGAGAAGCTCTGAAACCACAGTCCTGGAGATCTGGGGAAAGACGACCTGGGGAAGCTCTTTATACAAATGAACAGACGATCACATCCCGCACCACTCAGTTGCGTGCCACAGCTAGCACCTGGTCTGGTTCGAGAAAATATCGCAATCCAGAAAAAGGACCGCGTTAAGGTAAGACGGCATACGATACGACTAGACTGGCCAAGATGCACCCAAGAAGCCCCCAAGAACTCGTGAAGCTACTATTATCAACCTAATCCAGGCAGGTGAGGCTTTCCCCGGACCACATGGTTAAGTCTTGGAATCGGGGCATGACGGATTGGTTAGTTGCGCAAACCTACTTGCCAACAACGGCATGCATGGACCTCAGCAAGTTGATGGGACAGATTAGGGAAAAGGCCCACAGCGCATAAAACGTGGAGGAACCACGTGCAATGGTTATCCCACGAAAACGAGACTCTGGAGGTGGGTGGGTGCTTTGCTACCACAGCGTTCTGGTCCCTCATACCAGTGACTTAGGGCGCTCGGCTAACCTGTGGAGATCCTGGGGTCGGTGTTTCTACGGTGTCGGATCAACCCCCGCAGGCAAAGCAGTACGAGTGGTTGGAAAATCAGCCTCTGGAGGAAACAAAACAACGATTCCACGCATCATGGTATCATCAAAAACGCGGCCGGGAAACGGGCGCGACCGGGTGTTCATGTCGGCGCATCTTGAACAGACGCGCAGTTGCGTCAAGCAGCGCGCAAGGAATCAAAGGCTTCGCTTCGTACGCTTCTATGATGCTTGGGCGTTGCGGCGTCGAGAAAATACGCTCATCACCGTCACCTCCAAGTGTAACCTCCGCGGCTTGATTGCATTCAACTCGCTGGTCAAGAAAGGCATGGCAAGCCACCAAGGTCTTGGGCGGTGATTGGGGCGAAACGCCAAGTCAGCGGAAGCGGGGGTGTTGTTGGTGTTGAGACCAGGAACGTATTATTGCAGTCGTATGAGCAGAAGCTGAAGACGAAGAATGTTCGAAGTTCGGCGCACGCGATGAAAGAGCCAAGTAGAGCGAGATTGATCTCCGGTTTGGCAAGGCTTGGTAGTCAGAGAAGGGACAAGTTAGGAACGGTGTTCTAGCCCAAGGCGATAAAAGATCGTGGGGTAATACGGTTGGTAGTCTGGTCACTAGCGAATGGTCGTAAAATGTACGAGTAGAAAAGTCGTGATAAGTCGGTCGGTGGTTGAAGTTGGCCAAATTTGGGTGAGGAATGGGTCTTGGTAGTGCCGGTAGTTATTCCAAATGTCCTTTGTTTCGTTGGTGAATAAGCCATCGTTGATTAGTCCTACCGGAGTCGCGATGCTGATTCGACGGGCAATGTTTCCTTCCCCAAACCCACAAGGATCCTATCCGCTCTGGTCTTCGTGGTCATTCTTAGTCTCTCCCGTTTACCAAGATCGGATCATTCTCTCGGAGGTGTACCTCGTAAGGTCATTGCACGCATCTTCTCGTATGTCTTCCTGTACAAGTAGCAATATTCCGCCACAGCAACAGCAACAGGGTACCTACACTCAGCGGAGAAAATCGGACAGACGAGTGGGGGCTCCGCGTCCGTGAAGATACACCTCCGAGCGGATGTTGACCTAGCCCATGCTAAGAGTTCATGGAACGACCCATTAGATCAGGCAGCCCGCGGGATAGTACCTTCCGAAGAGCCTCCAAGAGTCTTGAAAGCGGGTCTGAACTGGACACCTACTCATGAAAAGGTCATGTTATCGTGAAGGGATTGTTCAGCCCCCGTCTTGAAGATCCATAAGCCAAGGGACACGAGACGAGGTAGACACTTGAATGCTCCAGTCTGCGTTGTCCTACCGGGCCGATGTCTCTGGATCTACACCCAGATTGTTTTGCGCCCGTGGAGTTGTTTTGTTGGGGGAGGCAGAAAGGACCGAATACCTGCCCACAATCTGACTGTTTGCCACATCCTCCCGTTTCAGGGTTGTCGCGACGATGAATTTTGACTTTCGAAGGCGGTTGCACAAAGCGCAAGAGGAATATTAAGTGGGTTGGCACGGGTACATATACAATATTTGAATTTCGGAAAAGCATTGCGAAAGTGGAAACAGCATGGACAATTATCCGTGTGTAGCCGCAATTGCATTCGGAAAACAATTATACAACAGAAGGGAAGTCCTCATTACGTGCCACTTGAGAAACATGCCCGTAGGCACGCTGAATGGGATCTGCGAAAATGGAAATTGTTTGTGGACGAGCACCAGGCGCCTGGAGTCCGGTACCAGACCACGTACGACCCGTACTAATTTGAAAATGCGGGCCACGTTATGCTAAAGCATGGTTGCAGTCAGGGTAGCCCAGGGTCTTTGGGAAACTATTGACATGTTCCATGGCAGCTCAGCTGTGTTGTGAAGCGTGGAGTCGTCTCCCAATCAGAAACGTTCTACTGCATGGTACGGATTATATCATGCAGCCACATATCACTGCGCTGGTATGCCTGCTTCTGCCATGAATTTGACCTTCCAAAGTATCTATCAATCTATTGATTGCAAATGTTGAGTATAGTTGGCATTCTTAGAAGACTTGTAATTGGATTGGCAACCGATGTGTCGTGTATCTCCTGGCCCGGTTGTATTTCTGGCGCCATTCCGTTGTGTCCTGACCCGGACGTAGCTCGAGAGTTATTTATGTACCTCCTGACCCGGTTGTACTTCTAGAGTCATTCTATGTGCTGCCATTCGGGTGTTCAACTATGAACGTCACTTATCGTTTACGATCCTGGCATGATGCAAAGAGTGATTGACGAACCTATTGATTGAGCTTGGACACAAAGGTTTGAAATCGAAAGAGAAGTAGGCATGATACATATCTAGTATAAATACAAGCATAAGACTGACCTTCCAGTGACTATGTCGACGAGATTTTGCGGAGCAGTCCAGTTATCACTGGAGAATAACAACACAACTATCAACATGGTATACATTTAGTAATATAATATCGTGAATTCAATAGTTGAACAATGTTGTAGAGACAAATAAATCGCTAATTGGTGACCTAAGTAGACATTTTTGGTATATACGAGTAAAATTAGGAACATGTACAAGGCAATAGAAGTCACTGTCTCTATGTTACCTGCCGTCCAGAGCTTGAGGATCTATCACTCCAGATCTCCTCTCTCTCACTCTCAGCACCAGCCGCTTGGCCATCGGGGTCTTCGCACCCACTGAGACGACTCACAGTCTTTGTCACCATGATGCCATCCCCACCCATCCACAACCCCAATCCGCGAATGAGCCTTGGATCCCCATCCTCACTGACCCTCCCACCGCCGTTCCCTCCCGCTATGACGCCGAGATCCTCCCCCCTACCCACGCTCACCACCCTGTTCCCGAAGTTGTCCGAGCTCACGACGCGCATGATGCCCGGACGCTTATCATCCAAGCTCGACTTCCTACTCCTGCTCATGCTCCTTGACCGGGAGCGCGAGCGGGAGCGAGAACACCCGCGTTTGTGGGATTCTGAGCGGGGGATCGGGGGAGGGTGCACATCTGGGGCGTTGATTGCGTCAAAGACGCTCGAGTTCTGGATGTGGCGATTGTGGTAGCTGAGGGGAGGTGCAGTGCGCGATTTCTGTTGAGATCTGGGCGCTGTGTGTGGACAACGGTTGTTTGGCCGCACCAAGGCTTGGGGTGGTGGTGGTGATGGGGGCGAGGAGTCGAGATCGCCCAGGGTTGTGGTGGATGTTGATCGTGGGGAAGACTTGAGGTCTAGTTCGATGTCGAGACTGGTACGGGGGATGTCGCTGAGAGTTGGAGAGGATTTGAGCATCTTTTCCATTGAGTGGCTGGACATGCTGGATTCATTTCGTCTTATCACAAGGTTGGCGGCGAGTGTCTTCACACTTGATAGGCTGCTTCCTAGGCTTTTGGTGCTTCGATAGTCGGATTTCAAGGAGAGACTTGGGGCGGTCGTTCTCTCAGCTGAGTCCATCGATTCCCCGCGCTCTCTCCATTGACTGTGACGAATGTGAGCGCTATGAGCGGGGAGTGGCGTGATGTTAGTTCGCCTGACTGGGCTCTCCTCATCAGGTTTGTTGGTGATCATGTTAGTGATGCCCGAGCGGAGGAAGCGGAAGAGAGGACGCCACGTTGGCACACAGGCTGCGAGAATACCCGAGGAGATCTCCAAAGAAGATATAACTGAGAGTGGCACGTTGTCCCCTGACGAATGTCAGCATGGTCAAGATTGACAATCCCATCCCACACGAAGACTTACAGCTAACATCTGCTGATACAACTTCCTTGATGTAGAATAGACGAACAACGCTGACTACGCAAACGAATGCACCTAGGAAGAACATCCAGCACAGTGTCCATTTAGTGCGACGCTCAAGCTTCAACCCGAGAATGAAAGGTACGGGCAACACGAGGAGGAACCAATCTGTTGCAATGTTGATTATTCCAAAAGCGATCAGAGCTGTTCGTCCAAAAGTTAGTCTGTCGTCCAACTCTCCATTTTTGGTCGTACGTACCGGCCTGGAAATTGAGACAGTAGACCCTCATAAATGGTACTGGGTAGTCCAACCACAGACTATCAAGAGGTACGCATTGAAGTCCGTAGACAAATGTCTGAGGTATAGTGTAAAGCAACACAAATAGAGCGGTAGCCCCAAGGACTGCGCTGAACCACCCGGCAGTTCTCTGGAATATGCGACCATAGAGAGCCAGGATTGAGAGTTTGACTGCTCCCATACCAAGGGTATAAAATATTTGACCGGTCAATAGAGACTGAGACACTTAGTTCAGTGGCTGGCATTTCGAAAGAGGAACTGGTCACTTACAATGGCAAATTTTCTCCTGTCCGAGATGAGAATTGCATGTCTGCCCATACCATACTTGACGGCAGCTAGACAGCTACCAATATGTCCGCCTAGGAATATCTGGTAATTGTTAATCCAAAAACGAAGTCACCAAAATACTCCATACTTCATTCCCTTTCATAGAAACATTTGAAGCATTTTCTAAACTTTGAGATAGTACACACCAGAGCAAATCCAACCAGGTAATCGTCCAGCCCGAGCTTGGTTCCCAACCTCATTCGACTTGCAACCCTTAATGCCACTGCGAATATTCCCAACGCCAGACACATTACATTGACGCCGATGAACCACGGCCTCGCATCATCGCCAACATTTGCCTGCATTGATGCGAGCTGCTCTGGACTGGGATGACGCATGTTGAGATTGATTTATCGTCTCGCACGAAGACAAATCGGATTCCAGATAACGGTGAGATTGACTTGTCAGACTGATATCATTCCCCAGCTCTATGCCACTCCTCAAGGTCCCTCCTCTTCAAATTCAATTGTGGGGATATTGGCTGAGACAAAAGATGGGTGAGACAGCAGAAAGCAAAGGTGGAGTAAGACTGGGTAAGTCTTTCAGGACATGCTGAGGACTGTCTGCAGGTATGTCGATCAAAAGGACCCCGCTTGACGTCCCGCCGACAAGAAATATCGTGGAAGCAACGAAGAATTACATTCCCGACTGGTCGCTGATCCAAAGGATTGACCTGTGGAGTACATGAAACTGAACGGAAAAGGTATGGCCTGTTTCGAGCACACGACCTGAAAGGATCGGAAGCCAATCATGTCAACGACTATGACTTCAAGGCGACCATCTAAGCAATCCTACAGAGCGCTCGTTGATAAATTTGAGCATCTCGGAGTCTTTGGTTGACCAGGTATCGCTATGTGTCGTTTGTTCACCACGTGGATATGCTCATGGTTACCTGTTCTGGCCTAGTGATTGCCGAATGTGGGTGGCGTTCGGACATCGAAAGGTAAGCGTCGGTGTTGGTTGATGACAATAGCAGCAAGTCCGTTGAAACATCGTTTCCAATTCCACATGGGAGGCGTATTTATTCGACCGACTTCGCGATGGATAGTATTCAGAATTCAATCCGGAGGGAGCTCAGGATGATCAGTGAAGGTCACATGATGGCAGCGCTTTTCCATTACAAATGAAAATGAGGCGCCTCGAATATCTTATAGAGTCATTACAGTTGTGCAAAATGACTTAATCGGCGTGCAAGGCGGCTCTAGGAAGTCAATCAAATAAGGCAAGACATGGAAGAACGATTGCATGCCTTTTGTGCCCTTCAGCCTTACTGCGGGGTTTGCGTATCCTTGGCATAGCGTTGAAGCGCAACGGTGCACCGTACTCGAACCTCGAGATACCCATTCCCACGGTAGAGTAACCGGCAAAACATCGCACCGGGACAGATAGTTACATGCGTTTGCTATGGAGCAGTTGAGAGTGGAACGAGAAGCATGTGGGCCGATCTAACTCCCCCACACTAGAACATTGGATAGCTCCCCACATTCCCGACATATTTTGTTCGGTTCGTTGGATACATGGGCTGCATCGTGTGGGCAGGCGCTTATCGGTGAAGAACGCGTGGTTGTCGTACAGACCCAATCCGATAGTTAGCCATTGTTGCAGCAGTCACACAATATCACTTTCAGTCACTGGCTTGAGGACTTGGAGTGTGTGTCTGTGTGTCAGGTTGAGACGAATGGCGTAGCGATCGACGTGCCTGACAGGAAGCGAGGAAGTGGCGGGATAAAACCCAAGATCGGAACACGACTCCGAGATGGAGACGATGCAAGACAGCAAACTTCTTGAAGGACTATACCTTGGCATCGATATACGGGGGTTGCTTCATGGCACATGCTCGCCATGAAACCTAGTCAAATAAAAAGCATACATACTCCGTACTCGGATCAGTAATAGCGGAGAAGAGCGCAATCAGTATTCGACCTCCTTATGAGATTCCTTACGCCGACGGACTGGCAACTGCTGGCAAGACGACAGGCCTGTGGCAGGTGACATCTCAATTGCAGACGGGCGAAGCAGTTAGCTGTGAAAAATGACCAGCGTTAAGAGCTGCTGAAGGCTGCTGTTGCCTGAGAAGGAATAAAGTTCGACTTGATGCCACAAGGGGGCCACCATTGATGTGGATTGAACCAATAGGCAACCCGATCCAGGGAGCACTGCAGCTTCACTAAACTCCTCGAGCTCTAGAACGTAAATATCCATGATGACGATGCAGTACAAGCTAGGCGTCCTTCTGCGCCATGGTTCCGCATTGATACACAAATGATGATGATGATAATGCAGGCTCAAGGCCCTGAGGGAGGTTACCCACAACGAGCAAACATCATCCACGATGTGGATAGTGTCCCCTATGAGAGTATGGCATTGCTTCGCTTGTACGGGGCGGATGGAGCATCTGATGGCTCCATATAAGCAGAGAGTGCTTTTGTGGCGTTCCTTGAGAGATCTGCTCCGTAAATTATCGGGAAAGCTACATAGATGTATTGTTAGTGCATTAAATGGGTACATATAATTAGTGTCGTTGCGCAATGACAGTCGAACCTTCTCTTCCAACATTGTCGAATCTCGGTCTTCTCTTCATGGCATCTAGTGCGCAAGAGGGACTCGTAGAATATCTTACCAAACCAAAAAAGGCTTTTCCATCGAGCGAGCGTGCGGCGCATGCATTGGCGTTACAGTCCACTCACACCATACGCGCTCACCTTGGCACCCGACTAGTGATAGAGGTCCCTGGCATATATGCCGCTAGAATCTAATTGTATGTCTGCTTCTTTCGGGTCCTATCGACGTGCGATCAGACTTTAGTATCGTGAAGCTATGTTGCTGCTCACCAAAACAACATGGTCGCCATTTCATTACTAGGTAATTCTTTATTGCGCTGACACGACTCTATGGTTCGTTCCTTCAACTTGAGCAAGGAACCGACAGCAGTGGTAGTGTGGTAGTAGCAATACTACTTTAGTCGCTTTCTGAACCAGACAGGATAGTCGGCTGCGGTCTGGACTTCTTACTTGTGACGATGCTTGATTTCAGGGTATGAAATGGGGCCCTTCATATCTACAACGAGGTTAACGCATGCCGAAGAGAGTCAGACATTGGGGCATGCTGTTTTCCATCACGATGGACTAGATCTTGCAAAATAATGTTCCTAGGGTATCTGCTTGCGGGTCGTTCAAGGGACGCGCGGTCTGGTGCACAGCTGGGTCAGATTAAATAAAATCCCTGGGATGCAACATGTCGTCGTCGTTTTCCACGATGTACACACGGAGCAAGGCCCTTGCCTTGCCCCCTCTTCGTACGACCACGACACTGTGATATGACTGCGCGTGGCTCCTTTAGTAACCGGGAAGTGGGCCTCAGGGTTCGGTCCGCAGAAAGCACACCCGGGACTGTCACTAGAAGGAGTCGCAAGTTCTTAGAACTGCCAGCGTCGGACATATGCGTGCATGCGATACCTAATACATCTTTGACCAGTTGTAGGCAACTTGAGGATTCTTCATGCATAGGATAAAGTGTACGACAGGCGGAGGGGAATGATTTCCAGAGAAGGCTCCTGCAGCAGGACTAGTAACATGATAATGATCAGGGGCAGAGTCAGGGATGATGCGACGATAACTATTGTTACTATTTTCTGAGGGAAAGTGTGCTTAGCGACAAGAAACAATGTGCCCTAGGATGAAATGGAGACGACGAACGAAGCTCCACTCACCGATGTAAGATTTACCCTGGCCTATATCTGAGAGCATAGATTTATCATAAGTTAGTTGAGCATGTATGTACGGAGTACGGAGTATATGCCGAGTCATTGGCTTGCACAACTTATGTGTGACGATCTGTGGAAATAAAATAAATGCACGATTAAAAGCTGCGCTTATGTGCAATCATGGGATCAAGATCCTGGAGAGGAGCATCGCCAATTGGCAATGAGGCTGTCCAATGTTGGTCGTAGTTATTCTCAACATTTGATGAAGGGCCAAGGGCTGGGGATCCGAGCAAGTGAAGAAATGCGGCAAACGAGATTGGAACGCGAGGCAGTTTGTGGTAGTACTGTATACTTGGTAGGGAAGAAAGCGAAAGCGAGCGGTTTGGAATGACGGCTTGCCGGTTTGGGTAAGGGGAGTCCCCAGACAAAGTTGCCGTAGATATGAGCGTTTCATAGCGCAGCGGGGATAAGCAATCATGTATCGTCCATGCGGCTGAGAGAACTGGCGGATAGCATCGTGACTCTGATATGTGAGTCTGGACTGAAAGCGGCAGAAGGACGAGATGCAGTCCAAAAGTAGCACGTGTGTGCGTTATGTGTGAATATGGACAGAGACTGTGTCAACAAGAAAGACGACAAGAACAACGACGATAATGATGATGCGGCGGACGATGGCAAAATCGGGTACTAAAACTGAGGATGAACTGCCCAAGAGTCATGGGAGGTTCACGATATGGGAGGAAAGGGGTTAGGGTAGTGACAGGGGCGGCACGGATACGACTCGGGCAGTGTACCAGGGTGGCTTTGATCAGAGCCGTTTGCACGGATCGCGAGCTGTGACTGTGAGAAATGGATCCAGGAGGCTCGTGAAGACAATTGGGGATAATGGTTGGGGAAGACGTTTATCGCCATCGGGACACTACCGATGGATGCTAAAGCAGAATGGTTGGAAAGTGAAGACAATGCATACTGTGTGTATCGGGCCGATTGGGATTTTGAAGGTAACACGACGAATTGACGGAATACAGGGACATAGTGTTGCCCCAGATGATAGGTGGAAGATGATCGAGAGGGCGGTAGGTTGTAACTAGGGGGTTGAGCCTTGGGCTATCAACACTACGACCAACTAATGTGAATGAGATTTGTTATTTCTTTTTCTGTTGAAGGATCATTAGGGTGATAAATGGCACATTTTATTACTTACATACAGTAGTGATTTTAGTCCATACTCTGTAGCTAGTGATTATAACTGGTGGTGGTTGGACGATGGGACGATGGGATGATGGATGATGGATGCATGGTGGATACAGTGGATGATGGATAGATCATAGATGTGCAGACAGGACGAGGGTAGGAAATAATGACGATCCAGAACGGGCTTAGCTCCGGCGGCCCGGCGTCCGTTTCCCTCGGAACCTCGAGGACAAGAACAACTTACATCCACATCCCACAATTCCACGTCCATCACACTCAACATTCGCACAAACTACTGTACCTACGCCTCAATTATACAGCTTCCTGCATGATCCGAGCAAACTTCTTGCCACAATTTCATATTCACCAACAAGAACAGCCGCGTGCTAAGCATACACCCGGCCCAAAGCCGTCAAAGCCGACTCGAGTCGCTCCATCCCTTACCCACCTAAAAACACTAACCCACGCAAGATTCCTGCGAGTGACCTCCGCTACTGCCGCCTATTCTATCAATGATACACACACTAAGTGTGAATCTCCACTCTTACGGCTTCCACTGGCCACGGCACGGTCCACGATTCGACCACGCCATCACCGTAGGAAATACCCGTCGACAGTGCACCACACCAGCACCGTCTTTGGCTCTTGCTGCTGCTCCGGGTATCCTCGACATTCACCCTCGTAGACAGTCACTGCACAGAACTTGGTGGGAATCTGATTATGATGATCCCTCAATGCTCATCCACAACGTACATGATCACGCTCCCGTGTGCTAAACATATACTTTCCAGGTTTTCGGTATTGCATACTAATCACCATTGCTCCCTTATCCGCTGGTTCTCTACTCCGTACACAGTATCTGCTTCCCGCAGCTGTCAATTCTTGTCTCGTACTGGCTTGCCTCGCTTGCCAGTTTCCGTCTCGTTTGTTTTGTGCATGCTCTCTCAGTACAAGTACAAATACTCGTTCGTCCGGTTCAAACGCCTAGCGTGCATGATGACATCTTACAGGCGCTCAGTGCCCTGGAACTCTCCTAGTAGCCTGGCGTAAAACAGGACTGCATACCGACCGCACGGCGGGGGGTATCGTGTCTGTACGGAGTACTATACAGTATAGTACGGAATTCTGGACATTCGCCCTTTGCCCTCCATGCCGTGCCCACAGCGTTCCATCGTGCCAGCCCAGTCGGCCGTCTCCCAGCAATTGTTCAAGCTGTGGCGTGCCAACCCAATATCCGCGAGGACACCCTGGACCACTGGCCGAATGCTCCCACGGCGCTAACACCGAGGATGCCACCATCTATGCCACATTGCGCCAGACCTGGCCCCCCGGCTCCTCGTAGTATGGGAGCCATGACAGGCCTCCTTCAGAATATTTGCAGGCCAACTGCAGGCCATTATTGAAGACTACCACCGGCCTCAGAAGGGCACGGATGCACGTCTGCCGCCTCCCCGGGAATGCCTCGCAGATTTCACACTGCAGATGGCAACCCGCAGGCTCGCCCCGCAAATCAGGGCCCCCCAAGAACGCCGCATTCACGGGTGCGAAACTCTCATAGACCACCCTTCCCTCTAACCCCCCATGGTTTCTATGTTGTGTTAGGTCCTGCCTTCGTTCACGCCGCTACGGAGCTCACCCGTCGACTCCTCTCATGGAAGGATTGAAGACAAACTGCGTCTGCGCCTGCGTCTACTTTTTCTTGTGAGACGTCCTTCCCCCTCGAGCCTGTGCAACCTCGTCAAGTACAGCTGTCGGCCACTTCGCTGAGCATATGAATTGCTTCAACTCACCATTGCCGGCCTCTTCCTCCGCCCTCTTTTGTGTTCCGCTCCCACTCAGCTCGAGCGATGGGGAACGACTTTAAACACCTGCTCAACCCAGTTGATCAGCCATCAACACATTCCACCATTGCCCACGATAGTTTTTCCCAATATCTGCCCCTTCCTGCTACTTCTGTCGCTGCTGCTACGATTGTTGCTGCCACGACTCCCTCTCGCCCGACCTCTTTCCACGAAACCCACCTACCATCCTCTGGCATCGCATCTGGAGTATTATCGAGCAAAGATTGCTTCGCTCCCATTTCCGGGTCTTCTGAATCTTGTGTGAACGATCCTGCTGACAGACGATATATCAACTCCACAGTCTCTGTCGAAAGGTATGTAACGCGAGACTGGTAAGGTTGTGCTGAAATTTAACTCGTCAGCAGTTTGCTACGCAGTGGTGGTAGCCCTAACCGAGCCTACCCAGCGTCGTCTTCTGAACCTCACCTCAATCAGTGGTCACAGCAGCAATCAACGAGACACAAGATTGTTCAACCCCAGAGTGAAACATTCAACTTCCTATCCTCAGAGGACTCTTCGGCTTCCAGGGCACCCACATTCAGGACTGACAGCCAATCATCCGTGCACTCTATACCCAACAGGGTTCAGCCCACAACACCACCGTCACCCTCTCCTTCTCCATTGCCATCTCAAAGGTCGAAATTACCGCCTGAAAGTCCTCAGGCTTTTGCTTCCGCAACTTCAATCGCAGGGCTTACTGGGCAAGCTCAGAACCTAGCCTCAAGGGAGCCCCGCAGCGTCCGATTTGAAGATCGCCCGAGGAACGGCCCGTCCTCTCCGAATTACTCGCCGCGTTCTCACGTTGGTATCGCCAAAGACGACGTCCGTGACCAGCATCAAGTAGATTGTTCTACTGCGGCATTGGGGGAGTCTCGCCAAACCTCTGCTATTACTGTTGAAGCTACGAGTCCCGCCCTCACGTCACCAAACGCTCCATATCACCCCGCCTCCCCACCTAATAGTTTCTCTGTCACGATGGGGCACCCGTCCGGGTCCGCTGCTACTGGTCTTTTTGAAGAGACATCCAACATCGAACAACATGGAGCCATTTCGCCAGCTCAGGTCTCTACCACCACCACTTGTCCAGAGTGCGCTGCCCTCGACAGTACTTACTATACCAACCTTAGTTCAAGCGTAAGCAACCTCCAGCAGCAACATAGTGTCAAGAATACATCCTCCATCGAAGAGTTCTACAGAAGAGGAGATCGCTTATTGCAAGCAATGAGGAATGGAGGGAAGCAAACGTGCGATGCATGTCAACAACAGGCCCAGCGCCCGGTAGGTCAACGCATAGGAATAACCATCGATACGAGGGCACGTCAGCGGCGGAAGAGCATTGCGATGAGTGGGGAATCTGAAGACAGAATGCTCCAGAACAGAAAACGCAAGAGGCTAGCCGATGGTGATGTCGATGGACATCCTACCAGCCCCGGAATTCGGAACTCGAGTCTCGAGCTGTCGCCCTCCCCGAAGTGTCAATTCACGCCACCTCCAGAAGGAAGCGCCACATCACCAAATGTACAGTACGAAGTCAGGACTGTGGATGGGCGAGAGCTGGAAGTGCCCGTCTTTGTAGGGAGTCATGCAGCACGTGCATTGAGCACACCCTCGCGGGCCAACCGATCTATCGCCGCCATCGACAATAGCCCCGATAATGATATATACCGCGATACCGAAATGAAGAACGAGAAGGGAAAGCAGCGAAAAGACAGTGGCCCAGCTCCGATACCCGATGGCGTGTGAGAAGATTCCGTCCCTCTGATGGCATTCACCTTTTCTCACCCTTTATCCGACCACGTTCGTACCACTCATTCGGCTTCTACTCAAGCGGTTCTCGTGCTGTTGACTGCTTCAGCATTGTTGAGCCAGTCATGGATAGTCATGGATTCAGGATTGTCTCCAGATGCAGACACTAAATGCTAGCGCAGAAAGAGAAGGACGCTGACCATAGGTGCTTCTGGTTTCCAGCATCGGCCCATCGCTCTATTGTCGTAATCCGTTTTGGTGTTGGGGGCTCATTGTCATTTCATATACCCATCTCGTCTCCCGTCTATTTTCAACATGATATTCGTCAAGCATGAAATGAAGGGAGGAACGTTTTTATTTGGTGTTTTTGATCATTTCGCTGGTCTGTCTCGACGATGTCAACGCATTTCAAGCGGTTTCATTGCACTAAAGTCATGACCTGTTGATGACGACTTGTTTCCTGCACGTTATTCTGTTTTTCTGGCGGTGTTGTTGCTTTTCTCCGATTACTATACCCCCTTCGGACCTCATCATTCGCTTCGATTCGCCCCTCTACTTTCCGCATGTGTCTGGTGTATGTAATTTTTTTTTCACGTACATGAAACGGCCCCCGAAACTGCCTTTATTCAAGGCTTCATTCTACGCTGTCATCGTCGCTACTTTACGCACCCAGCAGTTTATTTCTTACGAGTCTCCGACGATTATTCCACTCCATTCCCCTAAATTATGTTCCTACTGGACCTAGTGTCATCTTGGAGGACTTATACTGGGTTAAACCTAGCAGCCCGGCATGTACAATTATATCGCTATGTCGTTCTTCATCTCCACAAGACAGGACAGAAATGGATCTTCCATGCCAGCCACGGCCAGCAGAGCATCGATTCATTGAAAGCCATCCCTTCGAATACCAATTTGATTCCACAGGGCCAGTCCCCAAACGAACATCAATAAGCAATTTCCATCAATCAAGTTCGAGCTTTCGTTGCATTCCTACGAATTTGCGTTGATGATTTCAAATCAGTTGACTTCCTTGTTGTATGATTCGTTCTGACACGCCGGCGAACACCGCTCCCAAGATGGGGCGTTCGGGCTCTCCTTTGCTCGCTTCGATATCCCTTGGTTGCTTCTGGACGTGCATCAAAGGGCACGGCCGACCGTATGGTATAAGGATTTCCGTATTCGTCTAAGGGACGGGTCAGCAACTCCTACAGAGCAATGCTCTGCTCGTGCAAGGAATATAGGGCTTTGTGTGTCTTGTAGCTTTCTCGTATAAATGCCTCTCTGCGAATAAGCGCGGCGACCGTGCCGCAATTGCGAGAACTACATTTGAGGTCACGGACCAACTAATACAATACAATGTCACCTCCAGCCTGTCCCGCACAGGAAATGCTTTACCTAAAGGACTCACAAACCTCGCCGCATGTTCCCTCTTTCTACCGTCTCGTCCCGAGGCGGCGCTTCCCTCCCTTCCTTCCGCGCGGGTCTCCATTTCCCACTTGCTGCGACCGCAGGGTCGATTACCCGTACCCTATGCAGTGCACTAGCCCGTGAAAGACCCGTTGAATACTATCGTTATGGTATGGATTCGGTTCCTTCGTTTCCCTTTCTCTAGCCATTTATCGGGGATGCGGCACGGAAACATTGCCATTTCACATGGTGCAAGCCGTCTGAAAGTATCTCTACGGCCGACGTCATGACGATATGCCTGCCGAATGGAGCTTGATACCTTATCCCTCCTCCAAAGGGGTTTTGCCATTGCGGCACGCATTGTGACAGCGAGCAGGTCGGCCAATCAGCTGTAAACGGTGTATCAGGGCGTAAGAGTGTCCCTCGGTTAGACCATAGTCACCAACACCCATCACCATAATTACGTTCAGCGTCCTTGAAACACGGGGGCGAAGAAACAAAGTCCATAAGGCAAGGAAGCGTGGGATGGGTGATGGGGATGGGGGAGTTGTGTCCGGTTCACCGATCAGATGCGGCGCTCAGACTGTCGTGCTGTGCATGAGTCAAGTATCGAGGGGGAAATGGTGAGACCTAACTGGTCCTCTGCCAGATTTTAGGTTTACCGTTCATCAACGGTCTGTGCGCGGAAGTAATGTGTGCCAGCTGAGTGCTGGGCTGCTGGCCATGGATGGTTCGGACGTCCGCTGGAGATCTGATCGGTGAGCACAGGATTATTGGGGAGCTTTTGGCCGCAAGAAGAGCGGTGGAGGACGTGTCTACACTGGGTAAACGCTCGACGCCTCCCAGTGATCGTGCTCACAATATGGGTCTCTTTACCTACGTTCATGACCCGGTTTTGGTCAAGTCAGATGATTGTCTTAATGAGGTGTGGACGGTGGCTCCATTACGCCGCCTAGGATATACTATCTGCAAGTGTTGGAACGCGCATTCTGCTTGCATGTCAGGGTGTGTTAGTCTGAACAGGGCTTTGCTTATCGTCTCTGCAACTCGAGATGGAAACGGAGTAGTGTATCGGAAGGCCGCAGTGACGTGTCTGACGCGCGCGTGCGTCCATCGTGCTGGTACGTCTCCTTAGAATTGGTGGAACGGTGACAAAGAGCCTTGAAGTTACCGGTGTGAACACGTTCGAAACACAGCAATTCAGAGAGATCAAGATGCTGAATGCCCTAGTAGGTGATACCGATAAATGCCATAAGCATTACCAGCATCAAGGCAATGTCGATGTATCGTAGTAGGTTTAGGTCCACAACCAGGGCCTCCCGACAGCCAGCTGCACGTTCCAATTCCCTCACAGGGCTGTGGGATCAGTACCAAACATTCCCGGTGCAAGGGATCCCGCGGGGGTTGGCTGTCAGCTCGCGGAGCCGGGAGCGCCTCACGTTCGGGACGGAAAGGCATGAGTCCAGTAGACGGCTACAGCTGCAAAGAATGGCAATACACTGCTCAAACACCGCTTACAATGCCACGCCCTGCCCCTGCATGCAAATTGAGGGTTACTCTAAGTCTTCATGAATGCCGTATTTGCAATCTAATTCGTGTCACCATTACTTGTTCACAGACAGGTCATGCGGTGCGGCAATACATCCTCGCAGAGCGCTCACTGATGCCCGAGTTCATGATTCATACTGGTCATCTCTGTATTGCCATTGCATGTATTTGTAGACGAGAAAGAGATGGAAAAATCTCTATCTCTGACAAGCATCCTACAATGATCAACTCGAAGGAGAGGACGACATGCTGCGCTGCCTTCCGGTACAGAGTACGACCTGTGCTCCGTTGAACAACCACCTATGCCGGCAGCCACCCCTGATGCCGGCCGTCCACATCTGCGGGCCGAAGTCTAGACACAGCGCTTCGCTTACGATAAACTTTTGACGAGGTGATCTCGGACCGTATTGGTCATTTCAAATTGGCCATGTCACAGTCAAACGAGGTTGACATGCTCTCACGATCCGAGGTATGGTTAGCAGGATATGCACGTAATGCTGCACAACAGCAGGCTAGACAGCACGCAAGTGTTAGAGCCTCCCCTCTCTTAATGTGCAGGGTACTCCGTACTCCGTATATAATAGCCATGTGAAAGTTTAGCATGTCATCAAATAGTGGCCTGATAGTCTGTGTGTAACGATGAGATTCTAATCCTAGTTATCTCCTTACAGTGCTTCTCGTGAAATGGTCGATAGACAGAGTGCGGTGGGAGTGCATTCGCATTCCCGGTCGACCGATACGTCGATCGTCGCCCACAAGCAAGATTGATGAATGTTTCCGTGCGGGTTGATGTTGGATTTCAGCCCACCCCTCCCCTCCCAACGCACGTCTCAGCCCTTGTCTCTCCGTCCGTGCGCTCCTGCAGGTTGCAGGTTGCAGGTTGCATGTTGGGGAAGATCACTGATCCCGCTTCCCCACCTTGGCGATTCATCCCAATCAGTTAAAGTAGGTAGGTCGTTTGTCCAACCGATATGTCACTGAGCGGGGGGAAGGACGGAGTTGGGAGGGGCCGCACATCCGAACGTTTTCGAGGAAGATGTTCGGCAGAACAGATACGAGGGACAAAAGTCAGATAGAACAAAGCCACGACTTCTGAGTTCGTGACTTCTGGAGAGGGCGATGGATTAAACCCGCCAGACCTTGGAATTTTCAGCACGACATCGCTGCACGATGGATGGCAAGCACGCAGAGTTTGAGATAGAAGTGTGCAGGCGAAGGGATCTGGTCATGATTGGCTATCAAAATGTGCCTGGAGGTCGACGTTGCAGCAATCTCGTGCGTGTTGATCCAGCCTTGCTGGCCTTCTTGTTGGATGCTGGGTGCACTTCGGTAATCCGCATGTCTGCTGCCGGGGTAGAAGAGACTCTCACAATCCAACAGTGCAAACGCCAAGGGTCAGTTCTTGAAAAGCAATGCAGCGATGAAGGACGATCCGCTAGTGCTGTCGATGGTAGCATCACTCAGTGGGACCTTGGGTGATATATTGACTCATGATAGAAACATCGATAAACCTTTATAAGTGAGCACTTGTAGGAAGAAGAAAATCCCTAATCCATGATGGTGTGCTAGGTCAATCCCTACTCTCCAGCACATCCAGGTAACTACCCTCGTGTCGTGAACCTCTCAATGTACAAGAAAAGGACAGCAACCTCTAGCAATCTTCTTCGGCTTTGTCAAGCCGAAGTTCTCGAAGAAACATTGTATAGCGTTACTTCGTACTTCTCACAATCATACCCACTCCACTCCCCAAACCTTGTCCGAAACCCCTCTTCAATTGACTCATGCCAAATTGATACACCCAGCAGCTGGGAACGTCCCTCCATCGGAAGGGATATATGAACAGGGCGTCTTAGCTGACGCTGGAATAAACCTTAAGGAGAACAGTGCATTACTGACGAGGGCAAGTCGCACCGCCTAGGCTTTCTCGCCGATCCAGAGCCTAGTCAGCATGTCACTTCTTGATGCTGTGATTCCCGCTTCGAGAGTAAGCTGCATTACGCCAGAAACCTTACTTCAATGTTACGCGGGCGTTCCAGTGTCACAATCCATGAGAGCGGACAGGATTTATTTCCCTAGTCGGGTGCCTCCGAGGGACGCGTGTCATTTGCGGTGACGGGGATGGAAGGGAGGAGGGTTGTCATACATGGTGTACTGGAAGGTATCGGAGTGTGTGGCATTAGAGCGACATGTGAGGGGCCATGGATGTCATGCATGGGGGTCGTTTTGGGGTGCAGAACTCGAGAATTGCACGCAAAAAAATGTACAATTGGATACAGACCGCCATATTCCAGACTATGCGTCTATCTGGGCTTCCAGGCCATGGGCAGGGGGCAAGGCATTTTCATCTTGTCATGCCACCTCTGCTTGATTGGATTAGCTTGGTTGCGATCGCGATCCTGGATTTTCAGGGCACGAGAATGGAGTAAGGCCAAGCGTCCAAAAGCAGCTATGCAAGCAGAATGAGAACGTTTATCAGAGCAGGCGTACATGAGAATGCTTGAGTCAGGCTGAGCTTGTAATCGGTGTGATTATGTTGCTTTGCTGCCTGCGGAACCAATTTGGTCAAGGTGCTTCAGATGCATGGGGTTGATGCATTGTGATTTTGAGTTATCCGTTCATGTCTCTCGGCATACTTGCATTGCTAGTGGTAACACAAGGGAATAATTATAAAACTACGGTAAGAACGAACAAAGGCATGATTACCCGAAATTTGAAGAACCGCAGGGGCCTGAGTAGTTAGAGGAACAGAAAGTAGGATATGTAAGTAATGGGAGGAATGTCGATTACAAGGAGAATTGCTGGTTGAAGGGTTAAAGTCTGGTATCTCGATATTGTAGGAGAAATCGACATATTCAACGAAGCCTCAACCTTGCTATTCACCATGCGAAAGGAGACGAAAGTCCCATCTTCATGTAATGGTTGACTTATTAGTGTGATAGTACTCGTAAACCTCATATCTCTCTATATTCGACTGCTTCACAATGCTCCTTACATAGCCATCTGAACTTGGATAGAGATGATTCTTTGTCTAAGTAGCATTATCTCCAGATCGTCACTGGGCTTCTTTCACTGCCCCGTTCAACATCCCCTTCGCAATGAACTGACACATATACTCATCCTCCTCATCAACCTCAAAATCAAACCTCGTAACATCCTCCTTATACGGCCACAAGTACTCGCTCGTCACCCTGCACCCATTCAATTAGCAAGCCCTTCAGCCAAACCCACAAAGGCACGTGGAACCCCTACCTATGATGCTCATCACTCTTCTGATACTCCTCCAACCCCTGCCTGTCCCTATGAAAACTCAAAAGCGCGATCTCGAACCCTTTGCTCCGCTCGATGGGATCTGTGATCGAGGGCCCGCCGACGATGAGTCGGTTGTCCTGCACACAGGGTAGGGATTTCAAAAGTTTGAGTTCGGAGACGAATTTTTGTTTGTGGGCCTGTGTGACCGAGGGGAGAAATTTGAAGAGGACTGGCGTGCGTAGTGTTAGATTTGGGGATGTGGATGGATGATAGAGGGGGAACAGTACCGATGTGGACGACGGTCATGTTGGTCTAGGATCTGAGGGTAAGATGTAGAGTTCTCGTAACTAGCGTTATTGGGAATAAAACAAATTTGCTTCAATTGCGAAAAAATATTGAATTGTTTGGAACTTTGGATTTTTCATTGATAATGGGGATATTATAAAATATTTGGTATTCGAAGATTTGAAGGTTGAGTGGACCTACGCGGAGCATATCCGTTTAATGAACGGCGTAGTCCGCATCGGCCCTTTCACTCTTCACACTAATTATCCGTTTATCTCCAAAAAGCTTCGTAAGAAGTGGAATGTGGCTACTCGTGCTGTTCATCTGCTAGGGATAGTATGTTTTTTAGTTTTCCGATCGCGCTCGTTAGGAAATTACTCTGCAAATCATTTATCGTAATCTCGCCTTCATCGAGGTACGATGTTAGAGACGGAGAAGCCTAGGAATTCTGGACGGAAATTTGCTTTCAGAGAAGACCCTGATCCAATGAGCAATCAGTGCCTTGAATTTATGTAAATTGTCCTTTTATTTTTGTTATTGCAACATATCGACTTCGCTCGCTCTCGTGATAAGATCTCGTGTCTTCGATTTTGACGGAATTCTATGACACTAAACCTGAGGATTAAGAGGGATTCAGGCAAATCAAGGAGACATAATGACGAATTTGTTAAGTACGATAAGAGTTTGCATGTTGCTATATTCTAATCGGCTTCATGCTCTCCCAGTACTACCAGTGATGCCCCCATCCACCACAACCTTCTGCCCCGTTATATACCTTGCCTCATCAGAAACAAGAAACAACGCAGCATTAGCAACATCCCATGCATCGCCCATTATTCCCATCGGCACCTGTCCATTTCTCGAATCCTTGAACTCCTCGTAATTCCTCCCATACCTATCAGCCAAGCTCTTCGTATACGGCGTGTCCATCAGGCCCGGCACCACCGTATTCAGCCGCACCCCCTTCTCCGCATACATGACAGCCGTAGCTTTCACGAACTGCATGATCGCAGCTTTGGCAGTGTTGTACGCGATCTGTGGTTTTCCGAGATATCGCATACCAGCGATGCTGGAAACACAGACAATAGCGCCGCCGCCGCTCTGCTTTTCCATGATCGGAAGCACGTGGTGGCATGCGAGGTAGACGCTCTTGAGATTGATATCCATCTGCGCGTCCCATATTGATTCGGCCATGGTTGCCGGACAGCCCGGCTGCGACTGTCCGACGTTGGTGAGCAGAATGTCGATGCGGCCGTGTTTCGCAATGCATGCGTCCACGAGAGCTTTTACGGAATCTGAATCTGTAGCATCGGTGGCGACGACATCGCAGATGCCGCCTTCGTCGTGGATTGTCTGTTGCGTTTTGGAAGTGGATTCGATGGTGCGATTCCCGCCGAAGATTATTGCGCCTTGTCGTGCGAAGAGCACTGCGCATGCGGCTCCTATGCCCCAGCCTTCGCTGCCAGATTGGCCAAGGCCAATGACAAGAGCGACTTTGTTTTTTAAATCAAGCATGACGATGGATTATGTGTGGAAAGAGTGGCTCAACTGGAGGAAATGTGAGTTGAGTGGTCCAATGACGGAGAAGATTCGATCTGAAGATGATGGACAACATTCCGATCAAGCTGAGTGAAATACCTTGACTTCTAGTACCCAAACGCGTGCCACCATCCAAATTCTGAAGATATTCGGACTCTTCCGTCGAAGAAACTAAGAATCCGGGAGGAGACTAAATGATCGACGGCTAGCAAGCCTCGGCTACAAGTTGTCGACGGACGAACCCCGTATCATCGAAGAACCAAACAGCGAGCTCCAATTAATAAATGGCCTTCGTCGCAATCCACCAAACATATCACATCACCAAAAGGCCGAACACCATCAAATTAAAAATATTCACACTTTGAAACCATCAGATCATGGCAGAGCAGCAGAATCACCCCAATTCCGACTATGATCTCGATACGCCAATCCCGACGTCCGCGTCTGGACTTCGACAAGGTCTCACGTCCTACGGAGATGCGCATTTTTCGTTGTTCTTGAGAAAAGTGTTTATCAAAGCACTTGGATATAGCGAAGATGCATTATCGCGGCCAATAATCGGAATCGTTAATACATACTCCAGCTTCAACCCGTGCCATGCCAATATCCCGCAGCTGATCGAAGCTGTGAAAAGAGGGGTCCAATTGAATGGAGGGTTGGCGATCGACTTTCCCACTATAAGTATCCATGAAAGCTTCTCGAGTCCTACGAGCATGTTTCTGAGGAACCTGATGAGTATGGATACCGAAGAGATGGTCAAGGCTCAACCTTGCGACGCTGTCGTGCTCATTGGAGGTAATTGCTCCTCACCAACTAGCATTGATCACTTCAAACTCACGGGTATTAGGATGCGACAAGACAACTCCGGCGCAATTAATGGGAGGTATTTCAGCCAACAAGCCTATAGTGCATTTGGTGACCGGCCCAATGATGCCTGGAAGTCACAAAGGAGTCCGCATTGGTGCCTGTACTGACTGCAGAAACAATTGGGCGAGTTTCCGCGCTGGAACCATTGATCTGGAGGACATATCTGCCATCAATGAAGAGTTGGCACCAACGGTGAGTAACCACAAGTAATGATTTCAGATCACCCCACTGACATGATCTAGGCTGGAACGTGCGGCGTCATGGGAACTGCAAGTACTATGGCTTGTATCCTGGCAGCTTTGGGCATGATGCCATTCAAAGGAGCAACTGCGCCGGCCGTATCGTCAGCTCGTCTTAGGATCGCTGAGGAGACTGGAAAGCTTGCAGTGCAGGCAGCCGCTACAAAGCTGAAGCCGCAGCAATTGCTGACTAGGGAGTCTTTCCTCAATGCTATCACGGTTCTTCAGGCCATAGGGGGTTCAACTAACGCTGTTGTGCATTTGCTCGCCATTATCGGAAGACATCCCGACATCGCAGGCACCATAACGCTAGACACGATTGATGAAATCGGCCGGAAAACGCCTCTTCTGGTAGATTTGAAACCGAGTGGACAAAATTATATGAACGATTTCCATAATTCCGGTGGCATGTTAGCCTTACTGCGCAGACTCAAGCCTTTACTGCATCTCAATGCAATGACGGTGTCCGGCCGAACTCTGGGTGAGGAGATTGAATCAACACCACTCATCCCCGTTCCCCAGGATAGCCCGACGATGTGCATTCAGCCCTTCGAGAAACCACTTTACGATGCATCGTCCCTAGTAGTGCTGCGTGGAAATCTTGCCCCCGGCAGTGCAGTCATGAAGGCAAGTGCTTCCAAGGACCGCCGGCTACTACGCCACAAAGGTCGTGCTGTGGTCTTCGCAAATTCCGCGGATCTCGCCATGAGAATCGATGACCCAAACCTAGAGGTTGAGGCAGACAGCATATTAGTGCTTCAGAACATTGGGCCTGTAGGAAATCCAGGCATGCCAGAGGCGGGGTTGATTCCAATTCCTCGCAAGCTTGCAGAGAAGGGTGTGCAGGATATGCTGCGGCTTTCAGACGGAAGAATGAGCGGTACTGCTGGAGGTACCATTTGCTTGCACATATCACCAGAGTCGGCCGATCCAGACTCAGTTTTAGGGATAGTGAGGACTGGAGACATCATCGAATGCGATGTTGAGCAGCGATTACTGCACCTCGAACTTTCGGACGAGGAGATCCAAAAAAGAATAGAGTCAAGGAAGCAAGAATCCGGACCGATCGGAAAAGCAGCGCAACAAAACACGAGAGGCTATCGCGGTTTGTACATGCGGTCGGTGAACCAAGCACACGAAGGTGCAGACTTCGATTTCCTAACAGCTGCTGGTCCTTCGTAGCGCCATAATAAGCTTAGAGATACCAGAATAATTTAGGGAATGAAGTCGTCAAATAGATTCCGCATGATGTCGTCCACATTGATTGAGTCGCTGAAGCCGTATTGGTCAACAGGGTTAAACAAAAAGGTATCATTCGCAAGCATTCCCGGTGCAATGCTAGGCGGCGTTGCTAAAGATGGAATAAAACCCAGACCTGCATCACCACCAGTGGTTAAGATATCAACTGGGGCTTGCGTGTATGGTATGCTTGCGGTCGAAGATGAGGCATTCGGATTGGCCTCCTCTCCCTCTCGGCTGCCCCGATGATTGACTTGTGGGGTGCCCAAATTTTTGATTCCTTGAACGGTTGACCTGCCTAGCTCATCTAGGATTTCGCGGCAGCGCTTTGCGCCCGACCAATGTTCCCCACTAGCACTTATTAGACTCAGGCTTAGACTTAAATCGCTCATTACGACGTCGAGCTTTGTCTTTGGTGCTAAATCCGGTACAACTCTAAGACAGTACAGCATTGTAATGGTACTGAACACGATGCCGTGCAAGGTAATCCAGTCATGTACGAGCATGTCTTGCCTGTATAGCTGACCATACAGTTGAATGCTTCGGCATGCAACTTCGTGGCAAGCAGTCAATGAAGCGGAAGATGGCGTAGGTATGGCGGGACTTGGTCGAAGGAGGAGCATCTTGACCGATAGGTATCGCAGCTCACACACAATGCGGATAAATTGGTGGTGATTGGATTGGGGGATTTCTGCCACCCATTCATCGAGCTGCCTCAGCATATCTTGATTCCATGCATGTATATCGGTAATCGGCAGGTAGGCGTAGGGCGGGGCCTGGCGTACAATACTGTTCGCCACATACTTGATCTCAGAGTTAAGTTTTGTCAGTTTGAAGAGGTGTATTGAGAACGAAATAGCCCCTGTTGCTTCTTCATTGGGAGCAGAAACTCCGACCAGATCATGATCGTCTATGTTCTGCGGGAACTTTAACCCTGTCAGCTACTATACAATGAGTGTACATTGGAAATTGCTTACGCGTAGCTCACAAGCTTCGTCTCTTAGACCGATAGGACGACCCATCATGGTTGCAATTGTTCGATCCAAAGCAAGGACAGTCCAAAAGACTCGGGTCCTCATTTCCTGTGTAAGGAGGGATATGCCGGATGACGTTGTTATGTCTCGTTGCAAGCCTAGATCCAGCAAGCAAGCGATGCATTGGTAGTTCACATACCATACATTTACCCGCATAAATGGACTGTGCAGGGTGAAGATAAGCAGGAGAAGCAGACATTGCAGCCCGGACAAAGAGTTCTCTATGCTGAGCTCATCGAAATATTGCAATGCGGATAGGCAATACGATTCTCCGGGAACATGGAATCTAGCCCGAGAAGATACGATACTCGAGGAAATGGCTAGAACGATATATACCTGGAACAAAATAGGTTTATCCATGTCACTGTACCCATCATTGTGCTCGTAAATCTGATCCAGGGCAAGGAAGAAGGAAGGTTCATGGAGAATGGGATACTGCGGATGTATGATATCAAAGTAGACTCTACTGAGCTGTAGTGCAGTATGTTTCTCTGGAAGAGGCAATGGCCCTCGAGCCGCTTTAACCAGTTCGTTGATTATCGATGGAGAGAAAGAACTGGAGGGATCATTGATGCGTTCCGGCTCATTGCTGTTTCTTAAAGTACGACTAAGCATGGCTCGAGCGAGAAAGTGACCGCTCGAGGGACCAACATATCTTTGATCCGAATTACTTCCCACTGCGACAAAGCCGATTTCATGGACTCGCTCGTCAGGGGCGCGGCCAATGGGTGCTGGGGGGTTCGCTTGTGGAATATTGGTGCTTAGATTATCCACAGGAACACTCATCTGGGTGTCTCGTACAACCGAGATGCATTGTTCGCTGTTGTTGGCGTCAAGAGAGGGAGTATCTGTTGACAAATCGACATCTGGGAGGCGCTCTCGAATGATTGACTCAAGCCACGTGACTCTTCTCTCTAATCGTGAAACATTATCATCACGAGGAGCATCGCGAAGTCGTAAACTTTCTCCGTCCAAACATGCAACTGAAGCCTTGTGGCAATTGCTACATGTCGGGAATTGAGCATCGCACTGTTCATTGGTGGAGATCTTTGTTAGTCAACCATTGGAGGTTATGCACGGGACAATTCTTACGCGTATCTTCCGCCTCTGGCATCGTGAGCATGCTAGCCGGAGGCGTGGATTTCTTCTCGACTCTCTTTGATTCCTCTCGGGCATTTCCCGTTAATTATGTCGTGTGACGAAGATGAAGAGCGGGGTTTCCGTTACCTGCAAAAGTTATCGCAGCCCTAGCAAATTAGCAGGTTGGTCCGTCATCCTATTAGAGCACGCGCTAAAATCAGCATGCGGGAAAACTCCGACTGCCTTTCGGTATATGTAAATAATCAATCATCTATTTCTTCGCCTTAGGAGCAGATACTAAATCATTACTCTTTTTCTTTTTCAAAATGGCGGGAATTGCACCAGATACGAAATTTTATGTTGATGCTCAGGACGCTGAACGCTTCGTCGAGTCCGTCCTCGTTGGCAATGGTGTCCCTGCAGCCCATGCCAGCGTCGTTGCGCGATGCCTGGTAGCAGCTGATCTGCGAGGCGTCGACACACATGGGATGAACCGGATACCATCCTACATGGAGCGAATACGACAAGGAGTACTCGATGCCAAAGCTACGCCAGAATTGAAGCAAGTCACTCCTGTAGTCGCGCAAGTCGACGCAAAAAATGCCTTCGGCTTCCTCGCTGCAGACATCGGCATGGCTGCAGCGATCGAGTCGGCGAAACTCTACGGTATTGGCATGACAAGCATCTTGCACTCGAACCACTTTGGAATGAGCGCTTGGGTGGTTCAGAAGGCGTTGGACGCTGATATGATGAGTCTGGTGTTTACCAATTCAAGTCCTGCGCTCCCTCCGTGGGGCGGCAAGAGTATGCTGTTGGGTGTCTCGCCGCTCGCTTGTGGAGCGCCTGGTAAAGACAACCCGTTCATCCTAGATATGGCCCCGTCAATTGCTGCAAGAGGCAAAATCTACAAAGCAAAGAGAAGAGGCGAAAAGATCCCCTCAGATTGGGCGTTAGATAAGGATGGAAATGCCACAGATGATCCCGCAGCCGCTTTGGATGGTGGTGTAATGCTACCTATGGGCGGTCCGAAGGGCTCAGGGCTGGCTGTTATGATGGACGTGTTCTCTGGCGTCCTCTCTGGATCCGCTTTCGCTGGAAACGTAACTGGTCCCTACGATCCGTCGAAACCATCGAATGTTGGGCATTTTCTGGTCGCCATCAAGCCTGACTTGTTCATGAGTCTCGATGATTTCAGAGAAAGGATGCAGTATCTGTATGATCGAGTAGTGGGTGCAGACAAGGCCGCGGGTGTTGATCGAATATATTTCCCCGGCGAGCTGGAACAATTGCAACAGCAAGAAAGGGAGAAAACAGGGATCCCTCTAGTTCAAGCCGAAATCGATGCTCTAAACGCAGAAGCAAACAAGGTCGGGGCGAAGCCGTTGGTCATCAAGAACCCGTCATAGATTTAGATAACACGTGTAATATGGAGAATTTTGTATGATCGGAACATAAAATGGGTATTCAGAATCTAAATCATCGTTAAAGAAAGAAATCGCTCTATGCTGCTCCCTCATCAAAACAACTCAAAAAGGTCCTGTTTCCGTCCTTTTTGGATCCATTTTTCTATTGCTTCGCCCTCCATCATCCGATGTACGTAGCATTCTCCAATATACCTATACCTGCCTCCTTGGGGTCTCAGAAGGTAAGGTACTTTTCCTCCGAACAGCACAGCAACAATGTCTCCTTCTCTCATCGTTTCAGGCCCGATTCCCATGAGCCCACTACGACTCACAAAGAAGCGTCTGTCCACGCAAGCATGGACAAATGCCTCGTGATAACGCCCAGAATCGGCACTGTTCACCGTCGACCATTTAGGACGGCGGTTGATTTGAAGTTTAGTCGACAGAAGGTTGGGAGAATGTTTTGAAAACCAGTGCGCTGCATCTGGTAAGAAGCAAATGTCTTCGGAGACTGGCATGTGCCTGTTGTTAAGCCCCGCGGTGAGCGTATTTACGAATACTTCTTCGATAGCCTGGTCTTTGTATGGATCGGAGGGGATGCTTGAGCAATGCTCAAACAAAGCCCAGGCGGCTTTGATGAAATCAATTTCTTCCTGATAAGTCACGTAGCCAAAACCATAGCTCATCAGCCTGTCACCGTAGGCTATGACACTGTCGACTTCAATGCCTTGCAGGACTAGTGCGTCGGGGTTCGCGCTTACTCCAATTGAAAGGGGCTGGTTGTCGTCTGCATTGTATACGTTTGGATGTCTCGAGCTCACCATTTCGTTCGTAACCTTCTCGTGTCGCCAATCGGGAACCCATGATGGCCAGTCTACTTTGAGCGTCGAACCCCCAGCATGGGAAAGGACCTCAAGGTTTCCATGCTCGATGATCAGAAATTTGGCCATGTCTCGATACACGTCGACCAGTGCTTTCGTGTAATCGGGTCGAACCAACTCATGAAATCCCTTCTCTGAGACATTGTTCATTTCTGCAGCAAGACCGAAGGTTGCATAGATCTTGTCTACCGGGTTCGTTGCTTGTCGTGTCCGGAATTCTCTGATCAACTTCAATAGTGGAATCTCATGTTTTGGCCAGGAGCAAAGGTCCCATATGGATGCAGCCTTCGAGATAGGCAGGTAGTCCTTGAGTTCGGGCATCTGATATCTCACGACTGCTGGCATCCCGTAGCCCTTCGCTTCAAACCAGACCGCAGCCTGCCCAATCGCTGCCCACTCGATCTCCCAATTACCAACCAGAACAGTCGCCCGATTAGCGAGGACAGCCTCCTGTGCGACCCATACCCGCTCAAACCACGGGTTCGTGAAGAAATCGCGCAAGTAATCCCACTCTTTCGCATCTGGGGCAGGAAACCCGTAGGCCATATTTCGGTGTTTGGAGTCTTCCGTCGGGTTCATCGCAGCGAGTTTGTTCTCACCATTTTCCATGTGCCTCAAAGCTTGCGCTATGAACGAGAGGCAAATGGGCATCATCCCATACATCCCCAAATAAAAGTAGAACCTGCTCTGCGACTCGACGGGTGCTTTAGTCTGCGGTACGGCAGTCTTCGCCCTAACTTCCTGATGCTGAAGCGACTGTTTGTTCTCTTTCCCGAGCCAGATCATGACTTTGTAGGCTTGCGAATATATCCTGCCCATGATGGCAACTTGGCTTGCTCGTTCGGCGAAATCCTCTTGGTTAATGCAGAGCGCGTCAACCCACACTAACAGCTCCTCGGCATGCGTTTCGCGCCCGCTGTACTCGTTGCGATTCTTTGCGAAACCTCCCCAAGCATTCTTGGTCGAGTGGAGTGGGTGGTCTCTCGGCCATTGAACGTTTGCGTCCCATCCGGGAAGTTTGCGCAAATGCACAAGTGCGTCGGCTAGGTTTTGTGTCACGGGTACCTCTATGCCATTGCAGATGATGGGAGTTGCACTAAGCTGTGTGCCCCAGACGTACGAGAGAGCATCGAATTCTGGTGCATCTTCCAGGTCTAATATCGTAAGGAAAGCGCATTCTATGGGTTCGGTGGGGAACCCTGGTCGGATGGATAGGAGGCGAATGGACGAGCGTCCCAGGGGTTCGTAGCCCTTTGCGCGCCACTTTTCGATGGCTATTGCATCAGGCATTGTAGCCTAGATGTCGTTGAAAGATACTATCTCAGACAATTAGATATATAGGGATTGAAGCAACATATTGTTGGATTTCAGAATGCTTAGTCCGACAGCTTACGGCGAAACAATCGTGGCTGTGTGTAGCTGCGGCAAGTAAGATTAGGTGTAACCTGGTAGGTATCGCCTAACCCTTCATTGAGCGAAACCCTTACATGTAAGTTATACTTTACAACTACTCCGCACATTCGATTTATTCAACATTCAAATAAAAAAAAGGTAGTTGTAAGTTTTATCATTCCTCGTTGCCAGCACGCAAAATTCAACTGATGTTATCGCGGAACCCGTCCACTATTCTGCTGGCTTTCGACCGTACACAACGTACAGCCAAATGAAAAGCCTCCCACGCTCCCAACTCCTAGCTTGAGCATGCAAATCTTCAATGGCGCTCTTGACCTCTCCCTCCTCCTCGGCCTTGCCAATCCCCTGCTGCAATTTGGCCAATGCTGATGGCAACATTTGGCTAATGACCCCTCTGCCTAACTCAGCGAATTGCTTCTCTGCATCCGTCATGCCCTCCCATACTCCCCACGGATACATATATCGTCGAACCTTGATGTCTACCAAACCCGCATCGGCAAACATCTGAGGCAGACGCCAGCCAATGAGAGGATCGAGCCCCTTTCTCCTCAGAAGTTTTTGGAAAGTGACGTTCCATGCCGGGTCATTGAGATACTGGTCTGCCGGATGTGACTTCGACTTTACCTGGGCCAAAGTGAGGTCGTGAGGGGCCAAAAGGGTTGGAGTAGTGACGTCGTCCGGAACACGATGTACAACGTTTTCTAGATCGTGAAATTCGACCCAGCCGCCCGGCTTCACCATAGAAACACAACGTTGCAAGTGCCCCTTCCAATCAGTCAAGCCCATGATCAACAACCGTGAGAAGACGTAGTCAAACGAAGCTGGTTTGAACCGATCATCTGGATTTGGCGGGTCGGTCAGGGTCGCAATATTCTCAATCACGTATTCGATGTTGGGTAACTTTGGCCTCAATTCCGGCACTGGGGAGAGATCGACTCCGTATATTTGAGCCGCAGGGAACTCTGATGCCATCGCGTGCGTAAGAAAACCAGTACCGCAGCCGATGTCAATGGTTTTGCGCACTATTTCCTTGTCTAGAGGTGCAAAGAAATCGGTTCCTCCTTGGTTGACGCGGAGACACTCTGCTTGCGACTCCAGTCTATGATGCTCGATGTTACTGTGAAGAGGTCAACATAGGCAAAATCTCAGGAGGGAGCTGCAGCCGGGTTCCCTGCTGTAACAAGAACATTCTATTTGGTCATGTTGCAGTCAATCAACTAACTTACTCATTGGGCAACGAGTATGCCGCCTTCGTACTATGGTATTTTCTTTCAACCTCATTGGCTGCCGTGGGGGATATTGCGCCAGGGCTCATCTTGAAAGGATTCTGTTTACTTATCAGCGTGATTGCTATAATAGATCATGCTCTGGACATGAAGTCGACTTGCATGATACAGAGTACAGAGGAGACCGCGAGTATCTTTACTTACTATTGTAGATGGTTTGAGGTTGATATTCACGATCTACAATACTGAAGATTCAATCGATTAGAAGACCTGCACATCACATTTATAACTATCATAGTCGCTTACATACAGTACAGAAAGTCTATTAGCCTCTGCTCTTCAGTCGTGGCGTACAACCAGACAGCTGTGGAGCCTCGCTTAACGCTTTTCCCAGCAAGCATCCTCTTAGGATGGCCAAGTTAACATATCGTACAACTAGTATTAGCGAAACCAAGAGCCATGGTGAGCTGAGATTACGAGACAGACACCGCACGATTCCGTAAAAGACATACGGAAGGCCAATAGGGCAGGAAATTTGCCGAACGGAATTTATCTGTCCGCTTCTGAGTCGGTATTTATCTGCGATCTAGACTCACGATCTGCAGTTATCAATGAACAAAAGGGAAAAGGATCATGTGCTAGTGCGGTAGCCGCGGCATACACAGTTGTTCTAATACGACCTAAGCAGATGCGCAAGATACCTGCCGAAACCTGATGTAGCATTTAATGAGGAATCATCATCCACCAAGCTGATAACTACCGCGTAGGACTCGGCCTTCCCGATGGTTCGTTTTCCCACCTGGGCGTACATCATTCGGATCTTCAAAGCTTACACAGCTGAAAGTAATTCGAACACATTGACCATCGCGAGTACGTTCAGTACATGCGCGATCTTAAAAGACTGACTGAAGACATATCAGTATCTTTGATTTGCTGTCCACCATGCAGACTCTAATAATAGGATATACAGTACAACTTTGCCCCTAGCCAGATGCGGCTTAGCGAATAATCCCAAATGTAAGGTATCTGAGGTGAACATAGGATTAATGTAACTCCGTAGGTACTTGAACGACACACGAGAAGAATGGTGAAACGTTAAGTAGCTATGAACCCAATATCAATGATGTCAAGTTCGATGTCAATGTAAACGAAGCAAGAGTTATGTTACATGACATGATCGGATTCGGCCCCCAACTTCTGCGACACGCGAAACGTGGCTGAGTCGCGTTTCTCCCATTGCACCGCCGCTGACCTCGATGACATTAAAGATGACCATCAGCCAACTACCATCTCTCAAGAGACGGTTCTTGGACCTCTATCGTAAATCCCATATAATCACGTGCCATGATGATACCCACTTCAATAACAGATAATATAAAGAAAGATCTGCAATTACGGAACTTCAGTGAGTCGCGTGCAACGAGATACCTAATTTGTACCCATGCTGACGATTCCATAATATAGCTATCTACGGACAATGGTACATCATCCCAATAGACCACCACCTTATTCCTAGTATGAAAACTAACATGACGATCCCAAAGGCTCGGCATACTCGGAATCGCCATCCTCTGGCTATCTGAAGCCTCCTGGCTCTTCCACCCCTCGTTCCCAAGCTACGCGCACATAACCTTCTTCTACATCTTCAAAACCCTCATGATCCTCCTGTACGCCCCCCATCCCACCCCCTCACACTCCCTCCAACTCACCATCTCCCACAGATTCTACCCCCTCGCGATCCTCACCCTAGAAGCACCACACCTCGTCCCCCGAAACCCCTTCACCTACCTCTCCGTAGCATCATGGTTCGCCCTCCCGCTCTGCTACATCTTCACGAATTCGTCCTTCATGAGCACCTTCCAATTCCCCGCGGCGTTTGAGATCGTGCTCTTGCTGCCCACCCCTTGGATCCTCGGCCTCGCGATCACGCTGTGCGTGTCGCGGATGCCGGGCACCATAGTGAGGGGGATACTGTACGCTTTCTACGCGCTGGACATGGGCATCTGGACGCAGGACGTTGGGTTCTTGTCCACGGCGGAGTGGCATGCGGGTCGGGATGGGTCGTTGGGGCTCACGTGGGTTGGGAGGAGCGTCTGGGGTGTGGGGTCTTCGGTGGTTGTGTCGGGGGTGTTTGCGGGGGCGGCGGTGATGTACGTGGTCGCGACGGTGAGGCTCCAGGGGTGGGTGGGGAGTAGGGTGCTGGGGGGTAGTGGGGTGGAGCCTATGGCGTTGATGAGGTTGAGGGAGGGGCCGCTGTATCAGTCTGTGGAGGATGAGACGGAGGGGAGGATTAGGCTTGTTTGATGGGGACTGTGAATGGGGATGATATACGAATGCGTTTGTATGGGTTGTTGCGGATATACCTTAGATACCATTGCTAGATTATTACAAGAGCTCACTTGTCTCCGTTCCCGCCGCCAGGTAATTCGGTCATCCCTACATGAGTCAGTCAGTCATTGATAATTCTCATCAGAACCGCACCCTTCTCCCCTCAAAAGAATCACAAAAGGGGAAGATAGAACGCTCAAACTCACAGCCCTCAATATCCTCATCAACCGTAACCGGCACCTGACACTCATTCTTGACCTTGGGCGCCAACTCCGTCAGTAGCGTACAGTTCCTCAGATAACACCTATTATCCATCGACTGCTGCAAGCTGTCGCCCTCCCACCCAAACACATAGTCTCCATGCTGGCCGAACCCCGTCGCGTCGCCCGTCGACAGGACGAAAGGTTGCGATCCGTCCTCAGGCCAGTCCGCGGGGTCGTTGAACGGCGTCGTGTCCCACATGACCTGCGATAATAACTCATCAGCAAACCACATCTCCCCGTTCAGGCAACAGTATGCTCATGTTCGACTTACCTCCAGCATGACCTGCGGAATCTTGATAGGATGGCTACTCGGGCACGTCCCATTAACAACACTAAACGACGTCGGCCCTCCGACAGGATGAGCGACGTGGTCCCTATGATTCGGCGAGTCGAGGTTCTTTCCGTCCCAGCACAGGGGGAAGATGATGTTGGAGCGGATGCCGCCGGCGCAGGGCTGCGTCGGGAAGTGGTCGGTGTCGTACTTGGGATCCATGCAGGGGCTGGAGAGGGCGCCGCCAAAGTCAGGCGCCGTGTAGCAGCGGTAGCATTGCTGCATCTTGCGGCCTAGGTTTTCCGAGGTGCGGCGCGTGGCGTCGCCGGTTAGCATTCGGAAGCCCTTTGAAGATGGGAATTAGTGTTAGCTGGATGTGGAGGATATGGGGGAGTAGGAGGAGGCGTACGGGCTTGAAGGCTGTCGTGAGGCCTTTGCCGGGACTGGTGTAGTATACTGTCAACCCGGCATTATCGTAGTCGTTGAACTGGTTGGCGATCTGGGGAACGCGTTTGTAGCTTCCATTCCTCGCTTTGAAGTACAAGTTTGCGGTCCAGTAGTTCGAGAGGTCTTGTTTGAAGTGGCAAGTCGTGCAATTGGCGAGCTGGGCGATGTCGGAATATGGCATCGATGGCGTGAATGCATTCTATCAACGTCGTCATCAGTGCGAGAATTCAATGAGAAAGAGTCAGGAAGTCTCACGCCTCCAACGATCTGATGCATATGAGTTGATGGATTCAAGCCTGGGTTCACCAAACTGCAACATTTGTCAATTCAAACGTTCCCCTATGTATACAGTTGATGAATTCATACGGATCCAGACGCTCAACTACAACCTAAACAACCCATTAGCAAACATCGAAGTTCAATCGAGACCAATTCATAATACCTGCGAGCAACCAAACCTCAGCATCGCCCCTTGCCCTCTCATGCCCCCACCTCTCAACATCGGTTCATCGAGCTCGACACCCGTCTTCTGCGCGAAGACACCTCCCGCAAATACCACGAATCCAAGTATACCGGCGGTCGTGAACATTTTTGTCGTTCGATCACGCAAAAAGGATATCTCCTAGACAAAAAAAAAGCGCAAAAGAATCGATGAAAAGCTACCGCACAATTCACCCCCGCGGTACTCACTCCCATCTTATCAGTCCGCCACCACGAACACCGCACCATAGATGAACTCGCCTCGGCGTCCCACATTCGCATAGATGAACACTATACGCGACCTTGGGTCGATGAGCGTACCGGTCAGTGCGAAACATGTACTATGTTTTTCTCATCGGTATTTCGCTGGTCGTCAAATTGCCGAATAGAGGGCGGACGGTCCGTGGGGCGTGATCTCGAATGGGAATCCTGGTCGGATTTAGATTGCTAGCATAGCCGTAGAGATGGATCGCAGATATTTGGGCTGGGAAAACGGGTTGAGGTAGATTGAGTTCCTGGGTGGTGGATGCGTGAGAGGAATGAAGGGAAAGATGGTTTTGTGGTTGATTATTGTATGTAGTTGTATGGAAGGCCGATACTATAGGTGAGGTACCTACCTGATGTCCTATGCACAGACGGTTACGTGATTGGTCAATTGGGTCTTTCGCACAGATGTTGGGGGCTTGGTCTACGACCGAGGATCACCCACGCACACGCACACGTGAAATATTACATGGGAGAGGGTGATGGTGATTGGAATAATGCCATTGATTCTTAGGTATTGAGCTTTGGCTATGAATGCCAATTCTAGTATGATAGAAGTAGATTATGCAGGGGCTAGCCTTACATTTGTTGTTTAAAGGATGTAAAGAAATAGATTAGTGATTGTAGAGCGGGGAGAGAATTGAAGTAGAGTATTATATTAAGATTTGAGCTAAGATCAGAGCGCAAGCTAATCCTATGCTAGCTATGGTCGTCCCCTTGGAGCATCCACCTTTTATTCACGGGAGCTGTCCATCATGCTTGCGACTTTTATGGAGAGTGGGTTGATTTACAACTTCTCGGGAACCTTCTCACCAGTTGCGACGGGGCCCTTCTCGGCGGCAACGCTGAGACGCCTCTCAAGATCCTCGGCCTGGGCGGCGGAACCGATCTGACCAGTGGGGAGCAAGTTGAGCTTGTCCTCGTTCTTGTCCATGGTGCGGTAAGTGATGTAGAATACAACACCAGTAACGAAGGAGATGATGGCAACACTTCCGTAGTTCCAGACGAGATGGGGGTCGAGGGTCAAGGGAGTGAAGGCCTGGGCAAGGGCAGCAGAGAAGGCAGTGGTGAAGCACTGAACACCCTGGACCAAAGACCTCATGCTCTTGGGTGCCTTGGTGAAAGCGTACTCGAGGGTAGTGACAGAGGCGAAAATCTCAGAGATAGCGACGAGAATGTAGATGCCAATGACAGCCCAAACGTTGATGGGCGACTTGTAGTCTGGGTCCTGGGTGTCGTAGTATCCAGAGGTCTTGTAGACGTAGTACTGAAGAACGGCAGCGTAGACCATGGAGAGAGCACCACAGATGAAACCAGCGGTGATCTTCTTGATGGGGCTGAAGTTGATACCACGCTTACGGAGGAAGGGGTAGACAAGAGTATCCATGACTGAATCGACTGTTAGAAGATATACCATATATGGTGGAGAAGAACAACTTACTGGGAACAAGGATGATGATGGCAATGGGGTCGAAGTTGGAGAGCAAGTCATTGGGAATACCGTGGAGAGCCATGGTAGAGCACATCTGGGTCAAGTTGGAATCCATCTGCCTGTAGGCCAACCAGAAAATGGGAACCCAGAAGAAGACACTGCAAGCACCGAAACCACGAGCGACCTCATCAACCCAAGCATCGTCGAAGGTGTACCACTTGGGCTTGTTAGCTCCAAGAGTGGAGGGCTTGACAGAGTTCCAGAGGTTGCCGCTGGTCCAGTTCTTGTAGGTGGCGACAGGGTTGACAGAGAAACCCTTGCCGAGAGCGCTGAACAACAACTTGAAGGCGGGGCCAAGGACGTTGCCAGCAGGGGGGCTGAGGATGTAGGTCTTCTTGCAGAAGAAAAGAACAGGGAAGCAGAGGAGGAAGAAAGCGGTGGGGAGGAGGTAAGCGAGGTAGAAACCAACGTATCGCTCGGCGTACACCATGCCCAACTGACCAGCCAAAGCACCAAGGTTGATGAAGAGGTAGAACCAGTTGTAGATACGGGTGATGGTGACAGCGGGGTCAACGATGACACGCTCTCCGTTCCTCTCCTCGACACGCATCTTCTCCTGAGGAACCTGCTCGGCAATGAGGGGGGAGATGTTGGGCTTGAAAGTTCCCGTTCCAAGACCCATGACGATCAAACCAACGATGAATGCACCGAGAGCGCTGTTGGGATTGGCCAAAACAGAGGGAGCGGAGGAAGCAACGAGGATGACGTGACCGATTTCAGCGATAATGACGGAGTAGACGATGGTCTTGAAACGTCCCAAGTAAGTATCGGCAATCCAGGCACCAAGGAGAGGGCAGACGTAAACCCAGAAAGCATTGAAGGTGGTCAAACTGAAGGCGACCTGCTTTCCGAGACCGAGAGCTCCCGGCTGAGCATCGGCATCGTCAGGGTTGAGGGCAGCTCCAGTAGGAGTCGTTCTCGGCTTGGCGATGTAGTTGGAGTAGACAGCGGTGGTACCATAGTAGGACATACGCTCGACAAGCTCGACGAAGGCGATGGTGTAGATCCTCCAGGGAATGGCGGCGGGGACCCTGGGGAGAGTGCGGAGCTCCTCCTCGGTGGGGAGAGACTCATCGTCGAGGTAGCTGTCCTGGAGAGTGGCCTTGCCCTCGGAGTGAAGGTAGGCAGGAGGAACGGCCTGGTGCTGCTCTGGGTGCTTGCGCTGGGGGTCGCCAGAGTGGTCGAGGGCAGTGGGGTCCAAGCCAACGGCCTGCTGCAATGGAAGTTAGCGATCTGGTGATAGGATATGAGGTTAGATATTGGAGAACATACAACAACGTCGTCGTCACCGATAGGCATCTTGTATGCTTGCTTGCTTCTACTGCAAGAAGAAAAGATGGACGAAGGTCCGGGTCGAAGAAAGAATGGGAGGGGGGTTAGAAAGAGTGGTGGAGAGCGACACAGAAAAGAAAAGAAAGTAGACGGAGGGAGAGGGGAGGGAGTATTAATATAGAGATGTGAAGTATAATGAAGGGAAGAGAGGGTGTTGAGTGTATACCTACCTAGGTACACACAGACAGACAGATACGATACGGTGGGTGGTGGCACGGTGGTGGGTGGTGGGAAACGAAAGTGACTTCCACCTTTGGTATGGTACCGTTGGTGATGAGCTGCAATGGGCCCCAATGGACCCCCCGTAGTTCCCGTTTATGCCGTTAGAATGGAATCAATCATTTGACATGAACGTGAACATGAATTGTTTAGCGCCCTGATCTCTCTCGTAGCCTCGTAGGTTTGGTGGTTTGGTATGATACTCCGTACTGGCCGTACTGTGTGTCAACTGCGTCTACTGTATTCGTTATGGTCTGGCCCGCCCCCAGTTTGCCCCAATCGGGAAGGAGCCTTCCACCCTTCGTACCTCTCCCTCACCAATTAACCCCCCTCCAAAGCCTCAAACCACTACAACCTCTCATCTCTCATCTCCCACGTTAGATGTCTCCACCAACCTGCCTCGTCTACGCCGTCTACGCCGTCCGCTAACCCACAACCATCATCGTCTCTCGTCTACTTATCTATGCAGAAGGTCGATGAATTTCCCCCAGCGATCTCTCTTGCCACTTTCGATGGAGACGCCATGCACTTTCGGGTATCAACACCGAGATGCGCCCCCGGTAGCCAAGATCTAGACTAAACACTTAAGCTCCACAACAACGACAAGCAACCTCAAGACCGACGAGGCCAACAAGGGGAAACCAACAAGCCTCGACAAGATGCCTCGGGCCTGCATCGTACAAGGGGGCGCATTCGCAAATTCCAGCGATAAGGGCCAGAAGAAGCTTTGCACATCATCTCCTGGCAGAAGGACAAGGGCGAGATTCCAAGATACAGGTCGTTAGATCAAGAAACACAAGACAATCAAGACTTCTTTTCCCTGTGCTGTGTGGCTGCGGAAGGCTGTTGCGGCGCTTGCAAGATGACGGAGTGGGCTGGATGGCCATCCTTGGGAACGCTACGATATACCGACCAGTATTCCGTGCTAAACATTTGATATGACCTGCTCTCTACCCATTGGCCACCGGGCCCGGATGTCGCAATCGCAACTGCAATATCAGTGCGATTCCATTGGGACGCCACCAGGATTCCAACACGATTTCTGCGTGGGTATCGGCAAATGGTTACTGATGGTCCTTCGACAATCCCGCCCACTTATTCGCCTTCTCACAGCGACTCAGACTTCGCTGTAGACGGGAAACCTTACCACTGGAAAAGAATAGGCTCCAAACATGTGAGTCTGAGGCGAAGAGGGACGCTTTGCGAATTGCACAAGAGCGATTCCCCTCCACTATCAGGTTGGTTTCGCGCAATTCCCAATGAGGCAGGAGCCTGGAAAATACGAAGATTTGGGGTGCCTTTGGGGTCTTGGGGTTTCTTGGCCTAGACCATGGCGCCGATTCTCAAGCCAACAGAAGCACTTTGAACAAGACGGGGACTAACGCCTGCTACGCTTAATTTTCATTAACCTTCACGACAAATGATGCCAAACTTCCATTCCGTCGGCACCAAGACTCCAGGAGGGCGGTTGTGTACCCAACATTGGATGCATCGCGGGAATCCTCGATTTTGGTGGCTGGGCGTTATCAGCGCACTTTCGCCCCAATTAAATCAGACCATGGTGAAAAATCTTCGAAATTCCACATGTTCGAGAGACAATCCGAACCATGAAGATAACAGCGTTGTGGTTGACCGTTACGAGCGGTACAATGTCGGTTTGGAGGTGTTGTAGCACATTTTACAACACGACAACCATCGCGAAGCCAAGACCAGCAGTGAAACGAACCAATTCGCATTCTTCCATTATTGCGATGGTCAATTATTATTACTTACCAGGAACGTCTCTCGGCCGTCCCGATAGAATTCTTTTTACAAATGGGCACATGTGCGTACCCAATCCGAGACACGCACCCTGACAATCCCAGCTGGCAACTCGCATCGTGGACCTTGCACATGTCGCGTGTGCTCTACTGTGCGGTGCCTGTCAGCCTGTACCCTCGGTTGGGCCATGCCCATGCCAGACCCTTTGTCCTGGTAATCGGATTTCACGGCCAATACTTAGAACAAGGCCAAACACATCTCATGCTATGCTCATCCAAAGTCGTCTGTTGTGATATTCAACGGTTCTGACGCAAGAACAGCTAGAAAAAAAAAAATCTGCGTTGCACTGTTCACTACAACGAGATTCTCTGAGTGCGCGCACGGCACGAATAGAGAACAATCTCGGTGGCTGCGATGAGCAATGCAAATCTCTTTGACTCAGCTATTAGAAAAGTCGCATAGTACAAGTACACAGTACATGGAGCTTCGACGCTTTCGCCTGCCACCACAGCTTGTTGCTGTCTTTCTACACAGTGTCGCTGTGCCACTAGTTACTGTGTACTGATTTTATCTCACGGCGTCCAATCGCGCTGTTTCCTTTCTACAAACCCCAGAACGCCTTGCCACTAGTAATAGCCGATGTCACCCCTTGCTCGCCCCTTTTACTCACTAACTGAATCACGCCTACTGCTCAACTTCCTCTCGTTCATGAACTTGTAAGGAATGGCCACTGTGCCGTATTCAACCATTCAACCACGCGCTTGCTATTTAAGTTCCATACTACAGATTACAGCACATGGCTACCTACCTAGACAGTCTTAGACTATTCCCAAGGACAAGGCTGCCCGTGGCTAGAGCAGCTAATTCCCGTATTGTCACGGAGAACACATTGAATCATCTGTTCAATTCCACTGTGTCTCCACCATGAATGTTGACCCTCAAATAATCCACCGCCTATTTGATATATTTATTGTCATTATCTTCGGCATGTCATCCGCGCCGACCACAGGGTTCTCGTATGGTCAGAATTAAGGTTATCTGACAAACGGATTTCCTCGTACAATGCAGAGGATACGAACATACGAACCCAAAACATCGCTTCCAAACCGGCCGGTGGCCTGGAAACATACAATTTCGCCCCTCTATCCAATAATCCTTTATCACGTCTTTCCAACAGATTCGGTCATAGACTCATAGCCTCATATCTATTGCTCAACAACAACTCGATAGACATAGGCCTTTCTATCTACCATACCCACTTGTTTCCAGGTCCATCAGGCCATGCATACCTACAGTCTACATGTCGAAAAGACCGTGCTTTACAAAGTCGAACTATCCGACTACAATACACAATTTCAAGTAGGCCCAAGCTCTGCATTCTTATTGATCATCACCTCCGTCCCCCGACAATTTCTAATCGGTATTCCTCTTTCGCATTTGACAACATTTTGCATCAACTTCACTGTCCGCCCCTGTTATCTCCTTACTCGGGGCTCATCTTGAGTGTTTCAGGCAACTTTCCATAAATTTCAATTCAAGTTACTATGAGATGCCTGAATCAATACTCACTTTGACAACCGAGCAATCCCCCGGAGTGAGCTTCGCTTCAATTACCTTTCCGCCACTACCCAGAGGAATATTATCCAATCTAATAGGTACATCAGCCGGCGTTATCCGTTATACTTCCAATACCGAACCCCACAATCCCCTATTCCTTCTTACTCGGCACCGTCCGACGCTTTAAAGCCTGGTATACCGCACTCCGGATTTGCTAGCACTAGACTGCGAGGGGTAAGCTGGGGTACCCGAGGCTAATGGCAAAAAGAATGGTGCATGGTGAGAGAGTTCCGTTGAAGCAACATTTACCATGTCCTTCCTACTTCGACAATGGCCATTATAATAACGGTTCCGGAATGGCCGACACTGGCGATCATCTGTATCCGCGACGGACATTGTGACTGAAACCCCGCGTCCGTTACTCTCATCTTTGATTCGTCGCTTCATCCGCGTAATTCTTAGAAATTATCGCACATGAATAGCGCGCTCGCGCATGAGCGATGATCCTATGTTTCCTGGATTCGACCCGTTATCTTATCGCTTCGGGGCAACTATCTCTGTCTCGAATCTGGACCTGGTGATCTGCACAACATTTTCCATGCTAAGGACAGCGTTGTCACGTTCAAGTTGGACTTCAAATGTAGAAGTCAGTGCTGGATCGACAGAGTTAGGTACTGAAACGGTAAGACTTCGCACCGAGGTCTGACTTCAAAGGGCCATGCGACCACTTTCATTCGAGCCTTGAGCATTCATCTTAGAACAGTCGTTCTCAATCGATCATCTTGTCTTTCGTGGAGAAGCCTACGCCACGCCATTTAGTTGGGTAAACATCACCTCAGCCATCTCAGGTACTCGATAACTGCATGCAAAAGTGGCAGACTGTTTCCGTTCGTTCGTAGGTTGATAACCTTTTTCGCGACGATACCGACTACTTCTCTTTCTTTTCCTTCCTACTTTATGTGCTTTCATGAACAAATCTTTCGGCTTGCGGTCTCAGATACTCGTTCCCAAGATTTCGCTCAGGGTTAACAAGTCACCGGCAACAGGGGCATACGTGTTCATCTTTCTTGTGATATTGGGACGCCTGTCTTGGAACGGAGCCCACATTTCTTTTAGCGAAGACGTCTTGACTGCGGCTTAAAGACATCAGTCTAATCATCATCCTCAGCTCAGGCTAGGGAAGTGGTCGTTCGCCTGCACTATTCCATCAGTTCCATCTTCAAGGGACCCCGAAGGATCAGTAATAGCATTGCGCCTTCTACTGTCTTGCGAATAACTATGACTATTTACGCAGAGCGGATTCATCTCGTTCGCCGCAGTTCTTCATTCAGTATAATATACATCTACTAAGTCAGACAGAAGCCATAGCGAGGGCACGACGGCTATTTACACATCTTAGCGTTCGACCACCTGACTACGACAACGAGCTAAACAAGATGATCCTGCGAGAGTGATGGTGGCGGCGTCGCTTACAAGCTTCCACTGATCCGGCGATCTTTGGACATCGAGGATGACACTCGAATCTGCTCTGTAGCCTATAGTATGGGTCCTCATATTTCGCGAAGTACGATGTTCACCAAATTTACGCAATGGCCGCTGCCTACGGCTGGTTTGATCATAGATTCTGAATCGACCATAGATACGACTATCTATAGTATATACATGTAAGTTCACAGTAGCTTGACGATCATCGATTTCACAAAAGACGGATCAAATTGTCTGACGTCCGCTCGACCACAGTCTAAAATGAGGAAAAAGGAACACGTACCAGCAAGATCGAAGGCTGCATGATCCCATGCATGATGCATGCCAATCTCACCGAGTCGCCAAACACATCTGGGTATCGCCCGATGTCGAATCATAACAAGAGCTTCTAGAAGTAGCTTCTCTGCATTGCACCGTGCGCCGTGTGACCGTGATCATGCAGGAGAAACTTGGCAGGTCAGCGAAAGCGACTCTCAGCCTCATTGCTTTACGTGCATGTCAGACTGGCCGCTTTTACGTCCTGCTGTCCAGTCTTGTGGACATTGACCGTTGTGCCTGTCAGCACATTATCTTCTCTTCGACTACGCCCCAAGTAGCTCATTCCGATCGTCTCAAGCAGATCACCATGAGCAACAATTATTGTTTACAAATGTCAATTTCCAAGCCTATAAAAAAGTATGTGGTTAAGACCTGGGGTAAGCCAACACAAGAGGCTAGACCCTATGTATGCCCCTTAGCGCGGATCCAATGGCCAATCTAGGTGTATCCTGCGGCTTGTGCATCATCACATATAATGCATCTCACCATTAATACCCCAATCGAAGCAAGCATCGCAGTTCCCTAACGGCCATCGACCAATCATATTTCAAGTATCATTTCCTGTTAGCTACAAAGGGTTTGATTGAGCATACATATTGAACCGAGAACGAACAGGCATAGGACAGCAAAGGCTACAATCTCACACTTCAACACCGCCACGCAAGTGGTCACGAATCGCACGGATGGACCGGACCAATGATCATCCATCAGCAATGCTGATTCTATGGTAGCTGAGTACGTTCACGGTGGGAGGAAGCGCCATGCATCGGGTGTCGGCCCGCAAGGCTACCTGCTGTAGCGTCACGACTAGGCAGTGGATGTGCAACCTTATTAGATTAACGCTTCAACTTTACTCCAACAACATGCTCTGTCGAGGACATATTTAATATCCGAAGGGGTAAAGTCTACTCGCGAGCATAGTAGTATCATTTTGCACTAAGAAAACCGACCTCAAATCGATTCATACGGCAAGAACGAAGAAAAGAAGAAGAAGAAGAATATTCCAAGGTCACATAGCTAAGCATTGCCTCGAAATCCCACGCAAGATTACTGCTTGTGCTTACATTTGCCTTCTGCCAGTGACGCACTGATTCCCATCACACCAACATGTTCGTCAAGAAGCATTGTCCTCCACGGTGGACGCCGCGGTGCTCGCAAGATGCTCCAATGCTGGCCGTGCATTGGTTGAATTGGAACAGCAATGGCTGTGAAGCAGTGCTGAATCCTACGTTCAACTTCAACAGACTTCTGCCTGCATACGATGCATGTCCGTCACAGAGCCATGATGCTGATGATGACCATTCCACCTACCCGTGACCACGAATTGGAACTTCTATTCGTCCGGAGCTCACCGCATAGTTCGTATTGTCAAGCCTTCGACTGTCCTCCTAAACGATTCTGTGCATCTCGAAGATGAGATATTAACAGGGAGCATCATATCAAGTCGCCCAAGCTGCACGAAAACGAATATAAAAAGACAATAACCACCGTCCAAACTTCTCATCCACCACTCCACAGTTCTCAATCTTCCATCTTCACCACTTCTCTCAATCACTTCCAAACTCAAAGTCTTTCAGACATCCCAAAAACCCACCTTCCAAAATGCAGTTCTCCACCGCCATCGCCGCTCTCGTCCTCGCCGCCGTCGGCACCCAGGCCGCTCCCGTCATCGAGGAGCGCCAGGTCAACACCATCTACGCCCGCTACTTCGGCGGAGGCGGCTGCCAGGGCCCATGGCTCGAGGACTACGTCTTCGTTGAGGGCGACAACCCCACCGCCTGCGTCAACAACAACCTCAACCTCCAATACGGCAGCATCTTCTACGATCCCCACACCACCGTCCGCACTCGTGAGTCATCCCTTAACCCTCCTCTACAATCCCATTTTCCTTTTGCAGAGAATAGAGTTTACAAGACCAATGTGCTGACTATATCGTGCTTTCCAGTCCGCGTCTTCAATAGCCCTGACTGCCAGGAGACCGGCACCGGCGTCACCTTCTACGACGTCAAGCCCACCGACGTTGGATGCCGTGCTGGCCAGTTCAAGTCCTACCGCTTCCTCTGAGCGATTCGCCTCGATCGCTGAGCGCGTGAGAGACGTGACCAGGCCATTGAAGTGGAGTATTGCAATGGTAGTGGCGAAGTGATGATGAGGGGTTGAGGTGGTAGTGAGAGGGGACTACGAAATATGTGGGCAATTGTGGAAACCAATTCAATTGGACATTCCTTCTTCTTCATTATGGCACTTGCCACTTTTTTTCCTTAGTTTCAACCTTCCTTTTACATAGTAGCAATCAAGTCTTCCCGGGAATACATTATGTGTGCAATTCTTGGTGACAATGTGATGTGGACTAAGCCTCCTAAACCCATAACACCTCAACGCCTTTGAGACATTCCCTCCGTCTTTCCCGATCACAAACCACATGACAGCGAAAAGATTTCACTCCAGCTTCACCGTCCACCCATCACCGACCCTCTCCCCCTTAGCATCCTGCCCACCCCAGAAAACCACCGTACACCCATCCCCCGCAACGTCAGCGCCAAAGAACCCCCTTGGCCCCGGATGCACTTTACCCTCCGGAATCTCAAAGTCAGGCGGCGGCTGGACGACGGCCTCTGCCCAAGTATGCTGGCCTGATTCGACGCCTAGCGCAGACCTGATCGCGTCCTTGATCTTCGCGGGCTTGATCGCCTTGCTGAAGCTCAGGCTCGCCTGTGGCTGCAGGCTGCTTGACGGGATCTGCAGCGTCCATATGTCGCTCCACTGCGTCACGTCGTGCGTGTCGTCCTCAGGCGGGGGAGGCAGAGCATCTTTCGGCTTCTCCTTCGAACCGAGGAAGTACACGAGATACCTGCGGCCGTATCCCGTCGTGATCGGAAGCAGTCCCGCGTCGTGGCGAGGCTGGGGACCAGGAGCCACTGGGTTCGTCGGGAACGTGAAAGTGTCCCATTTCATGTCCTCGACGGGCACGGAGAGGTCGATGTGGTGGAGCGAGCTGCTCATGGGGTCAGAGCCGGATATCAGGTACAATTGGCCGTCGTCTTCTGTGAACGCGGCGTTCGACGTCGAGACAGGGGCGTTGGGGAGCTGTTCCCAGGTCCGCTCGAGGGGGTCGATACGCCACACGTCTGACAGGTCTTCGCCGTTGGGTCCCTTTCCGCCGTAGATGATGAGGGTGGTTTTGGTCGCGAAGAGTTTGGGTGAGCTCCGCGGACCGGGTCCGAATTGCAGGTCGGTGGTGTCGAGATGGCTCCAGGCTGATTGCGCGGGGTGGAAGAGCCAGATGGTGGAGGCCTCGCGGAGGAGGTCTCCTGTGGTAGAGAATCCGCCGTAGATGGCGAGTGAGTCGTTGAATGCGCATGCTGCGTGCTTGGTTCGTGCTGGGGGCACGTTGGAGTCGTTCACGGCGGCGGTGGTGGTCGTGGGAGTCTCGACAGGAACGGCTGGGATTAGGCTGTAGTCGACGTCCGGCTTCCCGGTCGACGCAATGGTGATGGCATGGATGTCGTTGCTCGCAACGTCGTCGTGATCAGTCTCCCCGCCGAAAATGTAAGCTTTGTTCGATATCACGGTCAGGGTGTGGTTAGAACGGCTGAGTGATCGTCTGGATGAGGGTGGTGGGCGTCAGCTGACGATCAGAGTATGTCGCTTTTCGTTAAGAGCTCTTACCTACCGTGATGGGTCATCGTCAGCCGTCGCTATCCTGGTGTAGGTTGCTTTCAAAGGCATCGTCGGCTTTGCAATCATGTATGCTGCTAAGCCGACCTCTGCGCCGCGGCTCACGACTTCTTCCGCCGCTATTGCAACGCCTGCGCCTGCTGCTACTTCTGCCATCTTCGTTTTGTGATATGAGGAAAAGCTTTCGTGCTCAGTGGGTATCTTTATTGTGATGATGGGTTTGATATGGTTGCGGCTGTCTTTCAGTTTGTTTTAACTCGAATTTAATTATCAGGTTGTGACGTCATGTTTCATCTCAGGCCACATTGATTACTCTTTTTGATTCACCCTTGTTCGTGTTCCCATATCCATATTTCATAATGGAATGGAGGGAATCGCTTATCCGTGAATGCTGCAAACACGTGTTTCACACGTTTACATATAAATGGCGTTCCCGTTGCGCGCCGCTCCTCCCGCAACTTTCTACGGATTCCACATGCTTGGGAATGACGTGCTTACCATCTTACAGTTTTGTGTGTGATGCCGACGATACTAACGCTACGGAAGTTTACTGCTCCATGTTGTTCTATTCGTTTATCTGTTCAGGCGTTTTTATCGACAATTTTGGTTATGTCTACAAACAGTATTTAGCATCATAAAACAAAAGACATATTGCAAAATAAACCAATGAACCAAATACCTGACGGTACCCATACACACATCCGAGTGCCTTGTCTCCAAGTAACGTAAAGGGCTGTTGCGCATTCCTAAGAACTATGGCTGATCAATACAAAGTCCATAAACTGCCCGCCGTGCCTGGTATCCCAACTTTTCATCCCACACCCAAGCTGATCTGCCGTACACTTGGTCTTTAAACAATCACCACGACGACCACTCCGGACGACAATCCTCCCACAGCATATATACGACATAGATCGTCTTCAACACACGCATGGCGGTGACCCGCGGCAGAAAGCCCAAATTCATCGTTACGGACTATCGCACGTGACCCCATTCCGCATTAGGCAATTTATATACAATTACCCCGACCACGATCGTCAACGTCCCTGACAAAAAGCCACGCAACGCCTTGTTTGAAAAGCAAAAGCAAAAAGCAAAGAGATTGTCCTCTCCCGTTTCAATGGTCCTCGCACGTACCTAGCATTCTCGGCTACCGAGCACAATGCAGCAACGCGCGCGCCGCCGCCGCGGCCGCCCTGGCTGTCCGGCGGGCGGCAGGTAGCGAATGGTGGGTCTCTCGTCTCGTGTTGTTTCGTTTCGTTTGGAATCGCCCGTACGATTTGATAGCTGGCTGTCTCAGGTTTCGACGGCAATTGCAAGACAAGCTTTGCAGACCCACAGGCTTTCCGCGTCCGGAGACGAGTGTACTCAGCCCTTCCCGTCCCCGGGGGCATACGTAGTGTAGAGTAGTGCAGATAAGCGAGGATTATAATGGTCGCCTATGATCCTTTTGTTGGAATCTTGTCTTTTTGTTTTTACACTTCTAAGGTTTGATTTCTTTCAATGGGCGCTACGTTCCCGGAGATATTGGCTTTTGTGTATTCGTTCCGCTATCTGTGAATTACTGTCTGAACAATCCGGCGTTGCGATACCACCTTTCATCTGAACACCCTACACACCAAACCCTCCTCCCCTCCCATCAACATTCGACTTCCCACACCGCACCGCAGACATGGCAACCCTCATCCTGATCCCCGGGCACTGGAACACGCCCGCATGCTACGACGCCCTGCTCACCGCGCTCCTAAGCTACGGCTACAGCTCCGCGACCGTGATCCTCCCGTCTCCCGGCCTCGACGCCGAAACCTTCGACCTCTCTTCCGAATCCACCGAGATAAAATGGACGCTCACGCAACTATCCAAGATCCGACGGGACGTCATCCTCGTGCTGCACCCGACGCACCGGCGCTCCGAGTACTACCCGCGGAAGCTGGAGAAGATGCACGCGGAGCGGAGCCTGAAGTCGGGGGTCCCGAGGATGATTTTCTTTATGAGTTATATGAGTCCGAGGGGGTTTAATGAGACGGTGGATGGGAATGGGAGGGAGATTCTGGAGGACCCGGCGGAGTTTGAATTGGAGGTACGTTTTTGTGGAGTCGCCATCCCCGTTTCTTCTTCGAGCACGAGAGAATATGTGGCTAACGATTGGTTTGTTTGTAGAGAGGCACAGTGACTGTCGACTCGGAAGGCCACCACAACGTCCTCTTCCAGTACCTCCCCGCGTCGGAAGCGCAGCATTGGGCCGCGCGAATGCTGCCAGAGAGCGTCGGGAAGTTCTGGAGCACGTCGCAGTCGACGGGGTGGCGACACATTCCGTCGCGGTACATGCTGCATTCGGACCATCGGTCGTTCAGGGTACCGTATGCGCATTATAAGATCGAAAGGACGAGGGAGTTGAGCTTTGCGAGGTGAGAAAGAGGTTGATGGGGAGTGTTGCATGACTATGCATCTGATGGTGGGGAAATGGCTTTGTGAATTGGTAGATCATGACCGTTATGGTGACATTATTATTTTGTATATATGTATATAGATTCAAGAATCAAGGCCGGAGTTTTTTTGGTTGGGTGTTCGGATGGTAGATTGGCCGATTGTTTGTTTGTTTGTTTGTTTTGAGACGGGAGGCTGCGTTTATCACTGGTGGGTGAGGCCGAGACGGCGAGTGAAACAAAGGCTGCCGCCTACTTCAACTGTACATATGTTAAGAAAATGTTTGCTTGTTTATTGTATGATACCTGTCATATTCACTTCGGCTATTGCGCATGTGCCCGTCGTTGCCAAAGGAACGAAATCACCGCATTGCTCACCTCCACTCCAACCCTCAACAGTGTCATATTTGAGGGCACCCTCCAGGACTAGTCCTCCTAGAGAAAGTCTCACACATTTATGGAAAGTGTCTCCCTGATTTTGCTAATCCTCGATCCATCAACATGATTGGCGCCTTCAGCAGCTCGCCTATGCCACCACCAGCGAAGAAGCTGAAACTTTCTCCACCGGCCGACTATCCTGCACCGACGGGGAAGTCGAACGACCCAAACTATCCCCAGACGTGGACGACTTTGTATCTCCCATATCATACCCAGCCTCGTGCATCCATTCCCACGAGTCTAGAGGACATGCTTTCATACACAGCATATGCGGGCCAGGGCGCCTTGAAGCTGAATGTCCTGATCTGTGAATTTGCTCAAGGCATTCAAGAGGAAAGCGAAGAAGCGGAGGACTTCATGCTCAGTGTATTCCTCTGCTGGCCGTTCAACGTGACGAGTAATGGGCGGTGGAAGCAGGAGCCAATAATGGCAGAGGAGGAGCTCGAGATGTGGATGAGGTTGAGAATGTGGAAGGCAAGTTGTGCAGAAGCGACAAAGGCGAGTGTTCTTGTTAACATGGCTGAAAGATCTCTCAAGAACTTCATCAGCAGCAGGATTGAAAGGCTGCGTCTAGAATCGTCGCCACGAAAGGCATTGAGAAGTCCAGATAAGGAGCGTCATGGAAGGGAATCCATCAGGTAATTGTCCTCACAGCTAAGCCCACACTGCCCGTCTGGAAACACTCGACCAGGCCTGCGCCTACGCATTCTTCTAGTATCCACTCAAACCGCATGCCGTAAAAGTGTTTCCATTTCTTCGTCCGTCTAGGGAGTACGCCAGTGAACTCGCCCCTTGCTCGTTTGGCTCTCGCCTGTTGGTCCTGAGCAGGGATCCCGCCGTCCCAGCGTTCGCGCATGATATCGAAGGGAGCCTCCTTATGTTTGGATTTGTTCAAGAGGCTCAGAAAATGCGTGCGTGCTTCGACGAGAAGCTTCATGTGCGATCCTGTATGCGGAAGGGAAAAGTTGTAATAGGATATCGGCATCTTTCGATGGCCAATTCCACCTCCTGCCATATGCTTTGTTGCTTCGGCACCGCCTACAGCAGCCAGAGATCCAGCGGCATGGCGAGACCCAGCAGACGATAGAGAAGCGAGAGTCCCTAGACTTCCAGCCCCGGGTGATGCAAAGAGTGAAGAGCGATTATCCGGAGACGCACAACTCGTGAGAAAACCAGATGCAGTGAGTGCTGACAACTCAGCAGGTGTAAAAGCTGTACTTGGTATAGCCGTCGTCGTCGGGTTCGAGTTCATGACCGCGATATATTTCTCCTTCAGGTCGGCATCCAGATCCGGGTGGGAGCGAATTAATCTCTGCCATTCTATTACCGAAGCAATTCCATCGCCAACGGCAGCTGCACCTACGCCTCTGTTGGGTATGATTACCCGACGAAGGACGCCAGCTTGAGCCAGTTCCACAATCTCGCGCTCGGTGGTGGTTGATGACGAGCTTAAAGCATCAATGTGTGCTATCGTGACTATGGGGGGTAAGGCTTTTCTGTAATTCAGTACTTCTGCAATTCTAGTCGAATTCATTCCTGCGCCGGTCTGTGGGATATCTTGAAACATCCTATTGCGGATGTATTCCATATATTGAGGTACATCGCGGAAATTTAGGTCTGCAGCCAATGAAGCAATCTCCCCGGTATCATCTAACTTTTCATCTTCACCTGCAAAGCTAGTCGATCTCGTAGGCTGAGAAGTCTTCCGCCGAGTACTGGTTGTAGATGGAGAGGACGTTGTTCGTCGCAGTCCTAACGCAGATGCCGCAGATTGCTTTCTTGGTTTCGTTATGCGTGACGAGCGCGCAGCCGTCGCTTGGAACGACATTGCGATTAAGAACGTACAACAACGCAGGTAGAAGAAGAGAGCATCTATGAATGAGTGAAATGTGGCGAGGTATGACTCAACGGTGATATTCGCCGTGGAGTATCAGTCTGACAGGGAAAGAGTAGGTAATGGTCAACGCATAATCCATTTGATGTCTGACAGGAGCATGTCTTGAAATTGACGAATAGGAGAACAGGAGAGCCGGTGGTTTAGGCACCTTTGTCGAAGAGTAAACGATGAGACTGAAATGTGTACGGGCATAAAATTGCTGTACATTAATTGTTAGCATTATCCATGTTACGCCACCAAGAGATCCGCGCAGCCGCAGTGCCGGCTAGGCAAGTCGAGTCGCAGTCCTACCCTACCTACTGTACTTGTGCTTGTGCTAGTTATCCACTATCCTATCCTATGGCACCGTCACAGCACAAAGACACACGACAGACACTACGCCGCTTTCAGGTGTATTCTTGAACACGTAGGTTGACGTCAAAGATTTTGGCGAGACGGTCTTGAGCTGAGGGAGGGAGCGGTGTATCCTTCATTCAACTCTTTTCTCAGACTTTCAGACAATGTTCAGCGATGCCCTCAATCCGTGAGCAGTTCTCTCTTCGCGTTCCCTTGCGCAGGATCAAGTTGCAGCTATCGCACAGGAAGAGTAGCAGTGGTGGAGATCGATCTGCTGCGTCTGCTGGTGCATCTCCTGCCGCCCCTGTCGCTCCGGCTGCCGTTGTCGCTGCTGCCACTGCCGTTGCCAGATCCCACCCAGAGGAGGAGGGCGAACACGAGCCGGAGCAAGAGCAAGAGCAAGAGCTCGAGCATCAGCACGGACCCGCCAGGCCTGAGCCTCCACCTCTTACAAGTACAAGTACAAGCACGGGCGACGTCATCCCTGACCAGGCGCAATCAGATGTCAGAAGCATTACGAAGGACTCAACAAAACAACCTGACGTCCCTGAGCCCCATCAAATTCACGATTACGTCCATCATGAGCAACCCCTCGCTATAGCTGCTCCACTGACACCACCGCCCTCCCATTTCTCCTTCTCACAGCAATCCCACACCTCGAGCCCGTCCTCCTCAATGTCGCTCAATCCAGAACCCTCCGCGCCCGAGGACCGTGACGCCCAAAGTCTTCCCCCCAAGTCCTATGCCGAAGCTGCCGAAGAAGCTATTCCCAACGGCTCGCACCCCATTGGTGTCTATAATTCGAGGGAACAAAAACTGAAGAATGTGGAAAACATTCAGAGAAATGGAAAGATCACAATCCCTTCCGGGGACGAGAAAGACCAGTACGAGGGCGAGGGGCTCGACAGCAGTCCGAAGAGTCCGACTAGAGGCCACAAACGCACCTCCTCCCGAAAGTCGAACGGTTCCATTGGCCGCAAACAGGGCGAAAATATTAGTAGTACTGAGGTGTACGAAAAGTTTCAGGACGGCAACGGGCGGGCTCTGACGAGCGCGAAGCCACCCGCCGAGTATGAGAAGGACGCTCGACAGGACGACGGACCATCATTAACCACTGGGAGAGAAGCGGGTGCTGGGTGGCACAAGAGCAAGTATGCAAATTTCCTATTTCTCAATGGCGTGCTCATGCTCTTTGCCGTCTCCAAGATCGCATTGATGTTGATCGAGGAATGTCTCGATGGTTGAGCAGGTATCGAAGGCCATCGTTTGGTAGGATGCAGTTCAGCAACCACTATGACATGCGCCCGAATCCTTACAAGCTCCATCACTTCCTCCTTTCCGATTTAAAGATGCTAACAATGCTAGGATTCGATGGGCACCTTTCAACGTTCCCGTCAAGCGCCGCCTCCAGACTCTAGCCGTCCTCATGCACACCCTCAGCATCGCGGGTCTCCTCGCTTTCTTTTTCTTCCTCTGCAGCATACCGTTGCTGTGGCCCATTCTCGTTCCCTACCTTATCTACGCGTTAATGTCAAATGCCGGCGTATCCGGCGAGCTGTACTTCCGCAGCGAACGATGCCGGCGCCTCCCAGTGTGGTCTCTCTTCGCGTCATACTTCCCGATGCGTCTGCACCGGACACAGGAACTTGAACCTACAAGGAAATACATTTTTGGCTACCATCCGCATGGAATCATCTCGCATGGTGCCTTCGCTGCCTTTGCGACCGAGGCATTAGGATTTGGACAATTGTTCCCTGGCATCACCAATACTCTGCTCACCTTGGACTCGAACTTCCGCTTGCCCTTGTATCGAGAGTATGCCCTTCGAATGGGACTTGCTTCCGTTTCTCGAGAGTCTATCCAGAACATTCTGTCTCGAGGTGGTACAAATGGCGAGGGAATGGGACGCGCAGTCACCATCGTCGTTGGTGGCGCTCGTGAAGCACTAGAGGCCAGGCCAGGTCACCTACGCCTCGTTCTGAAGCGACGCAAGGGATTCGTCAAGCTTGCTATCCAGTCTGGTGCCGATCTTGTACCTGTTGTCGCCTTCGGTGAGAATGACATGTACGACCAATTCGACCTCACCAAACGTCCTCTCTTCAAGAAGCTACAGATGATAGTCAAGACCGTCTTCGGGTTCACAGCTCCCCTATTTCACGCCCGTGGTATTTTCAACTATGACGTTGGTTTAATGCCGTACCGAACGCCCATCAACATTGTTGTCGGCAAGCCCATCCTCGTTAAGCAGGAATCGCACCCCGACCAGGCCACGATCGATGAGCTGCATGCTCAGTACGTCGCTGAGTTGCAGAAGCTATGGGACAATTGGAAGGACACGTTCGCGACAGAGCGCGTCGAAGAGATGAAGTTCATCGAGTGAACATAACTTCGACTGACATTGATGATAATCGTTCATCATTCTTTCACTTGCTAAACCATATTTCGGTCGACTAGCTTGAAGAACCAAGTCAACGGCCACGTATATAGAATATATCAGGCGTTTGCGCACACTGTGAGGGGGGGTTTTCTGGTGCACTATTGTTCAGCTGGACTGGGATGGAAAAGGGGCTTGTACTAATATTTTTCATGAATTAATGCCATACATTCTTTCACAAAGCCATATTCACTCGTCGTCTATGTTGTAATCGCCTGTGGATCTCAGGTATCGAGACAGTGCCAGGCTATCCACCACATCGCAAATAATCGCCAACAAAATCATCTCAATTAGAAAGATACACTCTTAGGGGTAGTTCCTTCTCATCACCCGAGTGAATCTATATCCCATCGCCATCGTAGCTACCATCGCTCAACACATCACCACAACTACTGGTCTCATCCGCGCCTTCTTCCCCATGACGCTGACTACCTCTTGACGCTGACTACGTCTCTCATCACCTGCTCGACCCCATTCATCCACCAACAAACCCCTACCAAAACTTTCAGACTTTGACTGCCACATCCCATCGCTCGCACCAATACCAACACCAAAACCCACGCACTTCCCAAGCGTACAACATCTAAAGAAACCGCATCCCAGCCTGCCCGCTCCCAACGAAATCGCGGGCTACAAAACCAGCCACAAGGCACACGAGCAAACGGGAAAACAAACCGAGTAACAACGCCCACGGGCGAATACCGACGCCCAAAGCGAAACAACTCAACATCAGAGCACGCGCTCAAGAACCTCACACGCACGCACGCACGACTCACCATGGGCGCGGCACTTTCAACGGGGACACGAGGGGACGACTCGGGAAGCTTTGCGGCGTGGGTGGTGAGGGTGCTGACGTAGTCGGACTGGTCTACGGGGCCAGGGAGGACGGTCGGGGTGGATGTTTCAGGGAAGTTGGAGTTGGAGAGATTTCATGGGGAGGTATGTTTAGGTTGGGTGAGGTGGTAGTTGGGCTTGAGTTATTGTTATTGATGATTGAGTTTAAATGTGATTTTCCGTTTTTGATATAGGATATTGGAAGGTTTGGGCGGTTGATAAATTATATTCATAGAGGTGATACTATGATTACCTCTCTTTTCTACTTGGGCTGCCCGCATTATCTCTGGGATAGTATTAATGGCCGTTATAGATCTTGTTCTAGATATGTATGTTGTGAGGTAATGTTATATAGAAGAAGTAAATGTCCAAGCCAAGTAACCTTTCCACTGGCTCATGCTCCCCAAATAACAACGGCGACTCCGCCGACGGGTCGATCGCCATGATGCCGCAGGCAAGACAGACCAGTGGCGTTACTTTGACAGGAGGTCTCCGCAACACTAGAGCACGAGTACTCGTATTTCGGGACCACCCGCTCTCTTCTCCAACGGCCTATTTTCGCTGGTAGGTACCCAGCGCTTCGCATCTCCATTTCCGGGTTCCCTAGCCCTGCCTTTCCTATTTTCCTCTCCCCCCTTCGCATCACCCAAAACCCCCTCATCAACTCTCAGGCATATTCTTCCCAAACTGATACGACGGCAAATTCGACGCCGAATCCTCCGCCGCCTCAATCACAACGCCGCGCTTCAACTTCTCACTCAGCTCGTCCGCCAGCGCAACCGCCTGCCTCATCCCGATCTTCAGCGCAATAAAGTACAACACCTTGATCGTCCACGCCGTCAGGTCCGGCGGCGACAGCTCCGCCGCGCCGATCGCGTACAGCGGCCATATGAGGTGGTATATCCCCGTCGGCTTCGCGACGTTGGCGAACGTGCCCGGGGGCTGGAGACGATACTTTGGGTCTTTGGCGTCGATGAGGTCGGACGGGTGGGTCGCCTCGCTTGCTTCGGCGGGGTTGAGCGTCGGGAACGGGAGCTGCCCAATGATTTGCGGGGTCGCGGCGCAGATGCCTGCGGACCCGGCTCGCAGGACTTGGAGGGACGCTTTGGATTGCGAGGCCGCGTATTCGGGGGTGAAGAGCGGGGGAGTGTGTGCGAGGCCCTTGCGGAGGGAGGTGTAGATTGCGCCGTGGAGGAGGAGGCGGCAGGAGCGGAGGTTGTTGAGCATTTGGGCGACCCAGGGGTCGAGGTAGATGTGGTAGTGGTCGGTGTAGCAGTACTCGTCTGGTTCGTCGAGGTAGACTGTCTCGTATAGCCAGATGTTCGGGATAAGGGTCTTCAGGTGGTCGAGCTCGCGGTCGAGTTCTAGGGCGTCGTTGAGCATCTCGGGGGGGGTCTTCGTGGTCACTTGTGTCAGTGTGATGGCCCGCGCCATGAAGCCTACCATCTTGGTCGTCCAGGATTTTCCGAATACGCTGTAGTCGGCAATGTTGACTGCCTCTTTCCGCAGCTCGATAATTGGTTCTGGGATGGGCATGCCGGTCTCCAGGGACACCAGGAGAATGGTTCCGTAGAATTGCTGGAAGATACGTAGACCGACGTCGTCGCGTAGCTGTTCGGGTCCGCGCAGGTCCATGAGCGTGCATGCGCCTTTGACATGCTTCGCCCACGACGCGAGTGACCCATGCTCGTTGTGCATGAAATTCTCGTACATGCCGAGGAGGATGACGGACACCAGCGTGCTGTTGGTTGTGGCCGTTGATGTTCGCTGTAAGGCTTTGTTCGTGAGGTTCAGCGCACTTACGTATTCCTGCTGTGCTCGCTTCGTGACCTCAGGGTTCTTGGTCGTGATGGCGAGGCTGGCCAAGCCTGCTGCGGTTACACTTGTCCGCAGAGCTAATGTGGTGTCTGGCCTGTCCAGCAGCTCCAGCATGAAATCGAAATTTCCTCGAGGAACGAAAGTTGGAGTCTGGACAAAGTTGGCGAGGAAGAAACTCATCCCCTGGTCCTCGATGGACGGGACCGCCGCATAGGTGAGGGCAAGAGGGTTCTCAGAACGTGCCTTCATTGGCACTATTCGCTGCTCAGATTTCCGCAAACTTGATCGAGAGGACCATTGGGAATGACTTGACGATGACGATGAAGTCGATGACGATGAGAACGTCGAAGAAGAAGAAGATGATGATGATGAGCTTGAATCGGAACCCCGATGCTCGCCGCTATATGTCGGCTTTTTTGACTTCCTCGACAGCATTTCATATCTGTTTTGCGCTTTCCGAGCAACCACGTCACTTTCATTTCGAAACATCATGGTCAACGGGTCCCTGTAGCCATGGCATTCTCTTCCAGTCCTTAGACATTGCGAGCACGATGGTCGCTTCTGATCGCACTAACCCAAGATCAGCCTTGTGGAAGCCTCCAAAGGCCAGACCATACTTACTTTGACTTTGCGCTCCCTGCAGTTCTTACATCCCTTCGATGGCTTACCTACATTAGGCATACTGAATGTTTGCTCACGTGAACGACTCGTGCAGGGCAGATGAAGGTGTGTTTGTCCTGTTTGAGGAGGAAAGTAACGACTACCGCCAAATCATGTAGGGCAGCTGGAGCAAAGACTGTGGACTGCTGCCTTTGCTTGTTTCGATTTTGGGCTCTAGTATGGCGGGGAGGGAACTTTTGGGGTTTGATACGTTCGTGGCCGTGATACTTGTGAGGTTGAGGAGGAATAGTTTCGCCCCACGCGAGACGTAACTTAAGTTTGATGACTGCGGGCGACCTTGGTTACTAGCTTCTAAGTGGATCGGATGTGCACGGTCACACAAATCGTTTATCGACAAGGGTTTGCCCTGTCCACCTCTAGGCAGCTCACCTTGCAGACCATCAGACTATTGGTCGGCAGAGAGCGACGTGTATACTAGACACGGCGGTGGGATACAAATAGAGGATGACACTTAACGTCGAAGTTATGAACGGGGCGTTGATAGGGTTCTAAGACTCCGATGCGTGGCCCATTGAACTATTACGAGGTATCTAATATGCTAGTGCTGACAACATCTAAAGCTTCAGCTCTCGGCTGCCTTCGATGTCTAATTCTACAACGCTCTCGATGTTTGCAGTGGATTGACCAAAAGAAAACTTGTATCGACCTCTATCGACCTTGAATGCGCTCGATGCTTCGTCGAAGTAAGCGAAGTCCCTCAGAGCCAACGTAAGCTCGACCTCTTGCTCCTTGCCGGCTTCCACAGTCACCTTCTGGAATGCCGCTAGCGTCTTGACGGGATGATCTGCAGACTCCTCAGCCCTACCAACGTATAGCTGCACGACTGTGGCACCGGTGCGGCGGCCGGTGTTAGCAACCTTGACCTTAGCAGTGAAGACATCGGTGGACCTCTGTGCTACGCTAGCATCCTTCAAGCTGAACGTAGTGTAAGACAGTCCAAATCCGAAGGGGAACTGGACCTTGTCCTGAGATACGCGATCGTAGTGGCGGTATCCAACAAAGACGCCCTCCTCGTATCGGACGGTGAGCTGGCCATCCTTCCTCGTGCCTGGGAAGTTTCCGTGTGCTGGCGCATCTTCGATACGCTTAGGGAAGGAGACGGGAAGTCTGCCAGATGGGTTGATGGTGCCGGAGATCACATCTGCAATTGCATTGCCTGCCTCCTGTCCGGGGAACCACGCTTGGACGAGAGCGCCGACCTCAGACAACCAGGGCATAGCAACAGCAACACCAGTGGAGTTCACCACGATGGTCTTGGAGTTCACCTTGGCAACAGCCGAGACTAGCTTATCTTGTGAACCGTCCTTGGGCAGACTGAAACTGAACTGATCCTGTCCCTCGGTTTCCCAGACTGGTGTGTGACCTGTGAAGACAATCGCATAGTCGCACTCCTTTGCGAGGTCTACGGCTGGAGTCAATAGGTCCTCGTCGTGCTCTTGTTGATCCATGAATCCGAGTCGGAAGCCAGGGAAACCGTCCAAGATGCCCTCCATGGCATCGTCGCCCTCCGAAGCAGGAGGCGCAGAGAACACCTGGACCTTGTAAGATTGACCCTTCTCGAAAGAGTATGTGAACTCCTTCTCCGGGTTGCCGCCGAAGAGGAAGGCCATAGCATCAGGGGAGTTTTCCGTCTGTTCAAAAACCTGTTCTCCATTGATGGTGACCTTTGTAGGGCCAATTCCAGAGCAAGAAAGATAGTGAGCACCGGATTGCTGGGGGACGAATGTTGCAGTGAACTTGAGATCCTTCGATTTGGCGCTGGCGTCGAGCAGAGGCATAAATGATGCATCCTTGAGACCATTCCTGGTCTCCAACGGCTTGCCAGTGCTTCCCTGCTCAAAGAACTCAGCGGTCCAACCGGCCTTGCCATCGACTCCGGTGCAGTTATCGGACAAAGGCGGGATCTGCCTGTAGGTATGGGCACCCTTTGCGTATTTGAACTCTACGTCATCGCCGTAGGCGTTGCGCAGACCCTCCTCGGGAGTGATCCTGTAGTGAGAGTGCAATGAAGCGCTTCCACCACCGTGAATGAGAGCCTCCTTGGCCAATCCGAGCAAAGCAATCTTCTTGCCCTTGGCATTCTCCTTGGTCAAAGGAAGTACGTTGTCGTTCTTCAGAAGGACGAGACCCTCGCCGGCCGTCTCCCTGATAAGAGCACGGTGGGCAGGGTCATCGACTGACCTCTCAGGAGGGATCTCAGGGTTCTCGAATCCGCCCACCTTCTTAATGAGCTCAAGGACATTCTTTGCCCGGGCGTTGATGGTAGCCTCGGACACGGTGCCCTTCTTGACAGCCTCGACGACAGCTTCGGCAGTCCTGAATCGCGTGGGACCTGGCATTTCAAGGTCCAGACCAGCATTCAAAGCATCAGCGGTCGAGTTGGTACCTCCCCAGTCGCTCATGACCAGACCCTACATTTGAATTAGCGAATACCACAGAAGCCGTTGAAGCAAGAGTACTTACATTCCATCCCCATTCGCCCCGGAGAACGTGCTCAAGCATGTACTTGTGAGCGTCTGCGTGAGTACCGTTTACCAGGTTGTAAGCGGTCATGACGGCCCAGGGATTGGCTTCACGTATGGCAATCTCAAAGGGCTTCATGTAGATCTCTCGCAGGGCACGCTCAGGCACGATCTCATCGACCTTCAGACGGTCGGTCTCCTGCTCATTGGCAGCGAAATGCTTAATGGTGGCAGCAACTCCCTTCTCCTGCAGTCCAGTGACGACCTGCGCAGCGAGCTTTCCAGCCAGGAACGGGTCTTCGGAGAAACTCTCGAAGTTACGGCCTCCAAGAGGATGCCTATGGTTGCACATGGTAGGGCCGAGCCTGGAAACACGTGAGCTCGATGGTCTAACAATTGACAGTCTGATCACTTACAAGACACGGGCACCTTTGGTTAAGGCCTCTTCGGCTAGGGCGTTTCCGAAGCGCTTGGATAGCGTGGGGTTCCATGTCGAAGCAGCACAAACTGCCGCAGGGAAGCAAGCAGCGCGTGTGCCACCAGAGAAAACAGCGCCACGTGCACCGTTTGGTCCATCAGAAGTCTGGACAGATTGTCAGCTTGGGGTTACGTTGGAAAAGATGGACGCTGCGGTACATACCTTGATTGCGGGGACATTCTTTCCGGGAATGGGGACTGTCTCCCAGAAATCCTTTCCGGCGAGAAGGGAGACCTGTTTTCGTTAGGCTACGCATCTCATTGGGAGGATCGAGAAGCGTACCTTCTCCTCCAGAGTAAGTGTCTGGAGGATCCCGTCGATGTTGGTCTCGATGACTGCCGATCCCATCTTGATATACTGAGTGCAGGCAGAAACAATCGCTAGCAATACAGGCGGCACAACCAAGTCCTACGTAACGAAGACAAGAATGGGGGTATCAAGATATGATCATAAATTTCAGAGTGAACGAACGGATCTCAGGCTTCTTAAGAGTCGAGTACCGCATAACCGTCGTACCCACAGCCATCGCGCTGGCGTCCATCATGTATCATCTGACGGACGCTACAACCGTAACTCCGGTCATCCAAAGAGCAGTTTCTCCAAGGTGTGGAGCATCTGGGCCTGCGGAGGCATACCGTCATTGGCTCAGACAGCAATCAAGTCTCAGGAACCAAGAGCAAAAGTGCGTCCGAGGTTTTTCCATTGAAAGCTCGCAAGGCCAGGCACCGACCGAAGATGAACCGATGTTGACCCGTGGACGAAGCAATCATAGCCTGTCGGTCTCATGTGGGGTTATTGGGTGTCTCCAGATCTTGGCGGCCTTACATACGAGGATGGCCGTCTAATCTGAACCACGTGATTTTACTGTCTATCGGAATTTCCAGAAAAGTTATTCCCGACCTGACGTCAACCAGAGCTGAGAGTTGGCCCCACGTGCTCGGAACCGGCTCTGTTCTTCACCGCGTCTTCAAACTTCACGTTCACGATACAGTTCTCCTTCCATCTGGACATTTCGTGCTATTGTACTTCTCTATTCTTTTCTTTGTAAGATAAAATTTACGCATCATGAGTACAGTACTGGAAGTTGAGAGAGCGAAGCGGAAACATCCACTCCAGCGGCTGGATTCACCGTCTAAAGGGTTCTCGGGTGCATTGCATGTATGTACTATCAATTGACAATTGCTTTGAATGGTGTTGTTGTTGGTGGCTGGTGTTGACAATTTGATAGGTACTTGGACTTGCTAGCTTTTACTCGTCTTTTAAATTGTGAACCATCTTCCGTTGGGGGAATTTGTATGCTTGTGCTAATGCCATCTCCAGCTTGCATGATTTTCCCAATGCCATTGTAAGTAGAATATACCTTTTTGGTGGTTTTAGATGATACTGTTATGCCATGTTCTTTTTTGGCCATGCATTTCACAGTGGTACCCATAAATTTGCTATCAATTGATACCTCAATTGATACCAATATCCAATATCAAACCAAAGAATTCTACCACCCCATTCATTCACACACATGCACATATACATTTATATGTACATCACGTCCGTTCATACAATCATGAGCATCACTAACCAAGCCCAATCCAACAGAACGACTCCTTCGGCGGCCACTTCCAATACCTCACCATCATCGGCCTAACAATCTGCACCTTAAGCTTCGCCTGCGGCATCATCGCCGACATCGTACGTCTCCCCTCCTCACCACCTACCCCATCAATCCTCAACCAAACCCGCAAACAAAACACCCTCCACCTCCCATGCTAACACCTCCCAGACAAACTCCCGCACATTCTTCCTCCTGAAAAACTACCTCTCCCTCACCGCCGCCCCCCTCGAACTCCTCATCTCCCTCCTCTACTGGTCCCTCCGCCTCATCGACACCTCCCTCGTCATCCCGCCCGACCTCCCCATGCTCCCCCTCGCCACCGACCTAACCTTCCACCTCTTCCCCGCGATCTTCCTCTCCCTCGACGCACTGCTGCTGTCGCCGCCGTGGCCGACGTCGCCCGTCAACCCCAACGCCCCGCTCGTCACGCTGGCGATGTCCACGGTCCTCGCGTTCGCGTACTGGTTCTGGATCGAGGTGTGCTATGAGAGGAATGGGTTCTATCCGTATCCGATATTTGCGCTGCTCGGGTTGTGGCAGAGGGTGGGGCTGTTTTTGGGGAGCGCGGTCACGATGTGGGTTGTGGGTGGGGGGTTGAGGGCTGTGTATGCGTATGTGAATGGGTTTGAGAGGGTGGAGGGGAAGAGGGATTAGAATGGTGGGTGGTGGGTGGATCGCTTTTGTTCTGGGGACTGGAAGAGGTTGGAATGTGCATGATGTATGGGGACGGGTGCATGTAGGATAGAAATAAAAGGTGGCTACGATTTCCCAATTACTTAAATGGGAACGTTTCCTTAATTGGAGACTACCATAATTAGCGTTATAGCAATATAGAGACTTAAGTTGATGAAGAGAGTGTTGAAGGATCAAATACGCATACACATCACCGGCATCAACAATTTTGGAAATTAAGACCGTACAAGTAATTATATATTAACTATTGTTCGTGACAGCATAATATCGTACGACATCCTCATACCCGCTCAGCTGATAACCTTTGGGCCCAGCTTGTAGCGCGAACTCGTTACGCGTTATAATGAAATAGCAACATGCTTCTTTCGCCGGTACTAAATAATCTTGTAACCTGACGGCATACGGTAAGCTGCCGTAGCGTCTGATATTGTCTGTAATCGAAGTGTAAGTAAAGTCTATGCTCGTTGGCAAGAATAGAATGTCCTCCAAGCGAGAAGCGATTGAGTTGAACTGGGCGATGCAAAAGCCGCTGGTACGAAACTTTTGGGAAAACGTTTTATGATGTAGAGAAACGAAGTAAGCCGGAACTGGGGGGATAAATAATCGGGGTCGTCCTGCTGAAAGGCAGCTGTGCGGCCATGTCAATCGATCTAGCCGGTAGATGGCGATGGCGAGGCGGTGAGGGTACGGGCGTCATCAACTTCACCCTCAGTTTGCTGCTGATAAATGTTGTTCATGTATAGATGGTTGTTGTATTGAAAAGCGTGCTGGTCCTGGCCTAGACCGTAGGTGAAGGCATGGAGAGGCAAGCCATTCGAAATGTGGGAGCCGTGGCCATGGTGGTGCATGTCGTAGATTGGCTCCTGAAAGGATGGGGTGGCATTCTCTTTGTCCTCGTTCTGGTAGAGCCCTCCATAGGCCTTGTACGGAAATGTGGGAGCCGGAGAGGGTGACACCTGATGAGGGCGGAAACCCGCTGTGAGATATTCGAATCCCGCAGGCTGCCCGAAGGGCACTTCATCGTCTTGGAAAACCTCAAAGGTGCGACGCTTTCGGGGTGCGAAGCCATCAACAGCATAGGCGGTATTGTTGCGGCCGTTATGCTGACCTCGAGCAGGTAAGAAGCCTTGGGTGCGAGAGGCTTGACGCGGGCGGCGACTAGCATTGACATCCAGATTTGCCAATGCTGGTCGTCTCGAAGGAGCCCTAGGACTCTTTCGAGGGACTGGGTTGTCCTCCTCATCGTCATCAAACTCGGAACAGGACATCCTCCGCTGGCGTTTGAATGAGCCACGAGGAGTGAAGATCATCTCTGTTGGTTCGACACCCTGAGAATTTACTTCTAGCCGCTCAACTACCGAGCTATCCTTCTTCTGGTTGCGTTTACGGCGCATCTCAGGAGTGGCAGAGTCAAAGATATTCATTCCTGGCCAGTAGACCCCCTTGAGTCTGGTGGACTCGCTGACAGCCATTGGGTCTTCTACGGAGACTTCAGGGGCGCTGAAAGGGTCTTCCATCACAACAGACCCTCGTGCTGCTCGGACAAATCGCCCCCGAGTGCTCGGTTCCGAGTACTCGCTCGAGGTCTCGTAGTCTGGGGTTGTGTAGCTCTGCGAGGTAGAGCGGGAGTCCATAGCCCAGTATTGCATGCGAGGCACGTATGGGCGCTGTCGAAGAACTGGGCCAGTTTGTGAAGTGAGTGCTGGAACCACGGCAGCCTCATTTTGCGTGGCTACCAGCTGTTGTGGGGGTTGCTCATAAAGACGTGGATCGAGGAGGTCACCGACGGCGGCTTGGGAACGAGCGGACACTGGGGTGGGAGCTTCAAGTTTCGGTTGCATAGATGGAAACCTAGCTGTGACAAGATTGAGGTTAACCAAAAGTCTTCGATCAAAGCGAAGATCTTACTTGGAAGCCTCGATCGTGCCCTCCGCTTGTTGTCCTTCTGCACCATCCGCTCCGACATCAGCTCCTCGACATTCCATTCGGCATACCAGCGATCGTAGGCCTCTAGCATCTGGCGAGACTCCTCCTCACAGGCTGCACGGAGTCTGACCTTGTAATGATTGGCCAGGTGTGCCTTGCTTGAAATGTGAGTAAGCAGATGAGATACATCGCTGAAATTGGGTTTCTTTGGGCAGATGTTGCAGTGGAGAGGTATGCTGTTAGCCGCCATTGCGACTTGGAGCCCGTGGTAGGGACTGTGATGAGACGAAAATGAAGGTGAAAGTGCTACGCAGTCGTCGGTGAGTGAAGGGAGTGAAAGGAGCGTGTTGGTAGTGAAGAAGGAGAAAGGCGGCGGGACCAGCAGATAAGTTTCGAGCTACTGCCATGCCCCTCACGACATTGTTGATGAAAGACAGGACAATTGGAAAGAACAAATTTGATTGTTAAAGAGGAAAGGGAAGAAAGAAGTTCTCTACTTGAAGGAAGAGCATTTTGTGATTTGCGGGATTGGGTAGGCCAGCCACGTGGGAAAGGCTGGGCATCTACAAACCACACAGACTATTCGCTCCGCTCAGACTTTGTATTTGGCAACCCATCGATGAGGGCTAGATTAATGTTTGGCATAATAGCGTTAGTGATGAACTAGCTCTTGGAAATGTAATAGCAACTGTCCACTACCCAGAGGCTTCAAATCTTAAGGTGATCGAGGAATCAGTACCTAAGTACCTAGGTATTTGTACCACTGGTCGACGGCCTACGAGCGGGTTCACATAACCTTACGGGAGCATTTATATCTTTTTATGCTATGCGAGATGGTAATATCCAACAGTTGTAGGACTGTGCTGTAACCAATTATGTTTGTGTGTGCCAGAATAATAAACTCTGTGTACCATGTGCCTACTTGCCCAAACATCTCCGAGTTACTTCACGAGGCATACAACTGAAATATCGCGTCAGCCAAGCATCATTGACGATTATTATCTTTATACTTACTAAGTGGGATCGACCTCAGCAAGCCCGGGGTACTTGAGGAGGCTCAGACCAGCGATACCGAAGACGGTATGAAACACATCTACCATGTCGCCGGGGCGATCCGCAAGGCCGCCCAGTTCGGGATCCTACATCGGTCAGGTATAGAACATGATCAGTACGTGACAGCGGGGCGTACCTGACACTGTAAGATGAATTCTGTTAATTTCCGGCCATCAATCCAATGCAGCCTTTTGAGGTTGGCGAGGCTGCTCATCACCCACCAACTGTAGCAGACATCCTCTTTCTTCTCAGGTCTGCCATTGAGGCCACCGTTTTTCAATTGTCTCTCGCTGAGCCACGCTCCAAGCTTGTCATGGTCTACTAGATCCAATCTTCCAGCAATGGTCAAAGCACTCACACACGTGAATATCTGACCCGAGTGAGACTCGGCTCCTGGGCTTGTACCATATCCACCATCGAAATTGGCGCATGACTGGATGTGTTCGACAGCTTTGTCGACGTTGACTAGATGAAGTAACTTCATGAGCGATAATGCATTCAGTGCACCATAGAGGAATCGTGTGTCTCGCTCTCCCCACTCGTCGCCAGCAAATGTACCGGTTTCTGGATCCTGCAAGCCTGCAATGACTGTAGATTATGAGCATTAGGAAATATCAACAAAGGCGCTCTGGAAGCCAACGCACACTGTCCGATCTTTTGGCGACCACCCGGGACGCGCCTGTCCAGCTCATCGAAAGCATCCAGAGTGGCGAGGATCTGTACACCGCTGACAGTGTAGAGCATATGCGCATCATGGCCTGGTGCAGCACCGAAACCCCCGTTATCATGCAAGCACGAGAGCACAAACTCCAAGACCTCATCGCGTGGTAGAGCATCCGGATGTCCTAGAAGATGGAGGGCGGTGAGTCCCCAGTACAAACCATTTAGACGTAGGTGTTCGGTGAGCCAGTACTCGAGCTCGTCTTTACGCTGTATGTGGGTCAGTGGGGGGTTTGATGGTACTGTTTCGAAACTATGCGACGTTTTGGGTATGCATGCGGAGAAGAAGATGCGCAGAGGAAAGAACTCAGATCTCAAGGCGGACGCACGGTGTCGAGGCTCTGAATGTAGCGAACATGCTTATCGACGAACAGCCGCATTTCAACGGGCATGTCGGACATGCCACCACGACCGGGACCAGAGACGAGCGCCATGGTATGAAAGGGCGATACGCGAGCAGAGATAGTATCTCGCAGGATTAGGACCACAGTTGCCTTTGCCGCTGCCACCGGAGCGGTAAAGTGCGGTAGAGCTGGGTTTCGTCGGGAGGAAAATGGGGTTTGGGTTGATTGAGGTGACGGAGAATATAATTCAGGACCTGGACACTCTGAAACGCGATCTCACGAGAAGTCTTGGCATAAGGCATACGTGCACGGACTACAGGCGAGGCGCCGAAGGGTGTCTCACTCTCTCAACCGTTAAGCCTACGAGCATGCATACAGTAATACTCCACTCCGTCCACAGTCAACGATGATTATTACACAGTCAGGTGTGGGATAGGGAAGCGGTGATCTTCCGCCCCTATCAAGTTGGTCGAGATGTGTGTGCAGGTGTTGGTGGCAGAGGAGACAGCCCTCGGAACGGGAAACAGTAGCCAGCAACCACAGTCGATCAGTTTCCTTATATTGAGTTTTGGCTGCACGCTAGGAGACAATCTCTCGCAAGTTTGCAACAGGAAAAGCATCAGCAATTAATCGATAATCGCTAAATAGCTGTTAAATTGGCTATCAATTGTTAGCGATTAAACCTGGGCCAACTTCGTATAGATACCAGCGAGGTTGAAGCACCAGACCACCCCGAGTCGCCGCTGATGCACCATTGCCTAGATGAAGTGTACGGAGTGCATGGATAGACGATGCCTGGATATACAGCGATACTGAGAAGTTGGTGGAAAGGTAGGGTTTGTGGTTGGTCTTCGTAGATTATTATGAAAACCTCCGGGAGATACGGAGTACATCAGGATTCAGTGGCTTTGGGCGCTGGAACAAATAACGGCCAGGAAGCGTATAAGACGTCAGCGTCGGCGTGAGTTGAGCCTTGAGCGCTGGGCTTAAGCTGCTTCCAGACGGCAAAGGGAAATCTTCGCCAGCAAAAAATAGTCGGGAAAGCTCTGCTCTGCCCTGTGACCTTGAAATTGAGATTCGTACCCGAGGTCTCTTTCGAGGGCGCCGAACTTCAAGTACACACTCGTAAGGTGTAATTAATAATAGCCGCCGTACTTTAGTTACCTAGGTACAAGTGTTGTGTTGGAGTATGGAGTACAGTGTACTCTGAACAACATCTTTGCTCAAGCCATGCAGGTCATTCTTCCATGAAGCCTTTGATAAACTGTCTTTTGTATGTGAGTACTGGAACCACATGTGCTTCTGTCTTGTTTGCTGTACTGCGTGACACTCCCTGTTCGGGGATTGGTAATTACTTGATATCTCGTACCTGATACATTGTTGTACCTGTGCCTGTGCCTGTGCCTGTGCCTATGCCTGTACCTGTACCAGCGTATCTGTACTTGTACTTGTACCTGTATCCGTGCCTGTACCTGTGCTTTTCTACCTGTACCCCTGGGCCCAAGCGTCCCGCAACTGACACCGGTGATATGAATCATCAAGCATTATCGCCGTTTGAGAGGAGAGGTCAGACATCCTATCCAGTCCCTACTCCCTACATTAAAATACTAATACAGTAGTTGATATCTATTATTCCTACCTCAAAGAGAGGACCCAGAAACCGTTCGTCTCGTTGGGTTTGAGGTCCTATCCCTATCCTTGTCCCTGTCCCTTATTGCCCCCTATCTTGCACTAACTAAACCCTAATTGATTCTCTCCGGCCTCTCCATCTCTATAGTTAGGTAGTTATCTTGGTAATTAATTCAAAGTCTACTTCTAGTGCGTATACGGAGTACACATACGCAAGCCTACCATGGTAACTACTTGTAGTCTTGTACTGTGTACAGAGAGATACCTTCTACTGAGTCTCCTCCATATCCATATCCATATCCACATCCATATCACACACCGGGTACAGACAGATACTCTCCAGCCTATTTACTCCGTACTTCTCTGTGATATTAAACCAACTAATAATTACCTAGACTACTGGTCTGGCGTACTTGAAGTATTGTTGAGTGTGTGCATACGCTGGCTGTTGTACGCGTTTGCGGCCTTGCACGACTGCGCTACATTCTCTCCTCCCTCTTTCTCTCTCCTTCCACCCCCACCGCCATTCTCTCCACACGCACACAAACTCAATCACATACACTCTCACACACCTCACACAACCTCACCCACACAATCACACAAAACACTCGGAGTAAGTACACACTGCATTTTCTATTTCTGCCTTCATCGTTTCGGAACCTATCCTTCACTACACCATCAACTACCTGCAACGTGCCGCTCGCAACAAGCACGCGCTCTACTTCCTGGTCCACGGCAACCTGCACAGTAACTACCATCGGTACATATCCTAAGGTCCTACCAACAACAACAACCTACCACTACTCGTACCTACAATTACAGTAATAACAATAACATACGCCCGCCGCTTGTTCCTCCGTCGCGGGCCAACTAACGCACCTCCTGTAAACAGGTCCACTTGCACTCGCGTAGACCCCGAAAATAGCACAGCGGCACGTCAGCCAGAGCCAGCACCAACCATCATATTGATTCATACACCAGGAGAACATCCTCTCCCGCTGCTCCGTTCTCTCCTCTCGTCCCGAACAGCCCACCGCCACGGTCAAGCCTCTTTGTCCCTCCCTCCCCTACTACCTCCCTACCTACCTCCCTCCCTCCGCAACCGTTGGCGACCCCTTGCCCAGGCCGACACTGGTAAGTGTTGCTCAACGACATCGTTGAGATGCCCCTCCCTCCTTTGTTTCGGCATCGTGGCAGATTCAATGTTGTACAACATCCTCCATTCTAGCATCTCTTTCTCCACTTCACCACCTCGCACCACAAGGCTAATGCCATTGCAAGCATAGATATCGATCCGTTGCCATCCTCGACCTCATCCTCGCCACCCATCGAACGTAAGCACAACCCAGGAAAAGCCGGGCATACTCGTGGATTTTGTTAGATACTGGGGGCGGTAAGCGGTAGCACTGCCCTACCGTCGAATCCCGCAGCGGACTCTCGCATATCGTAGATCTATTCATCTACTTGCTGCGCATTATAAGCAGAATCAGATCGACTATATTCGGCCACATATCTGTGGGCGCCTGCAGACCTTCTTGCGCAAGGAATAACTTCATCTGCCATACGGTTCGTACTACCCAACCCTGTCCCCCACACGTCACCGCCTCCCCTTCGACGAGCCGGCCTCAGCAATATTGCCAGTTCATGCATGCACAAGAGCAGGTGGAAGCCGGATCTTTCTCTGCGCGTTTCCGTCGAGTTCTTCGCAACACATGGCCAACGCTGGGATCAATATACGTCTCTCGAGACCGACCATCGAACGCTGTGTATTGGCTAACAAGATGAGCGAGCAGACCCCCAATATTCGAACACACCCCATCGACCGGTTTATCACGAGCAACCCGCCCAATGTTATAAACTCGCACGCATCCACATCGCCTATATCGTATCTTTCGCGGTCACAGTTGGAAGCTGAGCCCCATCAGCCTGTCCGTCGCAGCGAGGCGCGTCTGCTACCCAATACAATCGAGGTATTTCGCCCAGTACACACACGATACACACCAATTAGAAGGGGGTCAAGCACTTGGCTGCTTCATGATACAGCAGAGCTAAGATTCTATTAGCCTTGGGCGCCGCCGCGGAAATCTTTAAGGAAGATGCCCAAGTCGTCAACTCTGTCGCTCGCGATGCGAACGAAGGGGGGCAAGGACAATGTCACATCGCCTCTGAGCCCTCGTAGTCCAGGCTCCCCTAACGCCGTGTATGGTGCCGACTCGGAGAACTCGGTGACCCCCACTGGCGCGTACCACAACGAAGTTCCAGCTTCGCCCGCGTCACCGAAACTACGGAAGGACTCCAAGAGCATATTCTCCAACTTTGGAGCAACGAAATCTTCGACACGGGTTGCTGCATCTCCAGATAACTCAATCCGACAAGTGCCTGAACAGGATGGCCGAGGCACATTCTACACAAACGGCAAGCAAGGTGGATCTACACCAGAATTGACCCGTCCTGTCCAGACCTCCAATTCTGAAGGTAATAATGATTTGGTGCTACAATGGCGGGAGAAGATGCTAAGTGAGTCAGACCATCGCGCGGACAATGCAGACACGGCACCGCGATCCAACAGTGGGTCTGGAAGATCTCACGACACGCCCGATCGAAGTCAAGACTCAACCAACCGGACCACCACAAAACCAAAGAAACAAGGCGTGCTCACGAGATCCAAATCGATCAAAGTCGAAGAGACTGCCAGCTCACGCGCTAAACTCAAGGCCAATCCTCCAAAGATCTCTCCCGATCCTGGAAACTGGAGAAATCCCGACGATTCTCTACCATTGAAAACTGCACCTCTAGAGAAAGGCCAGTCGTGGCGCCAAAACATCGCATTCGGAAAACTCAGGACTCACTCCGCCGACCGCCATGAGGGCTCTCGCGACGAAGATGTCCCCCTACGCAAGGAAAGGGCAGAACAAAGCTCCTTGGCCTCAAACTCCATGGCCTCACATTCGATGGCCTCCAACTCGTATAACGAGAGTAGGGGTGCAACGTTGATGTCAAGTCTTGGTTCAGGTGCGAGGAAGATGGGTGAGAAAATGGAGACGGCGCGCAAGGGAATGTTTGGAAAGCTGGGACGCAGCTCCAGCAATCACGAGAGAGAGCCTCAAATTCCGAAGGAGCCATACCAGTTCAAAATTATACACCAGCCTTTAGTTGAGCAGACTAGGTTGACAAGAATCTCCAATCGTTTGGAGAGCTCCAGAGACAAGACTGAATTCTGGATGCCAGCACTGCCCTGGCGCTGTATAGAGTAAGTGCCTCGGTGATGTCTATGCCGGATCGTATTGACAAGTTCTTCTAGTTACCTGAATATGAGGGGCTGCGAAGAAGAAGGACTGTATCGAGTACCAGGAGCTGCCCACACGGTCAAATATTATGAGCAGAAATTCGATCAAGGTATGTGGCGTATCCTGCCATCCCATCTTAATGCACACCCCTTATTGACATACCGTAGACCGCGACATCGACTTGATTAGTGACGACAATCTCAATGACCCGAATGTCATTGGTTCGCTCTTCAAGAATTGGCTACGGCAACTTCCTGATGATATCTTCCCGAAGGCGACGCAAGCCAGGATTCAGCAAGAATGTCAGGGAGCCAAGACTACACCTCAGATGTTGAAGGACGAGCTGTCGAAACTGCCCCCCTTCAATTACTATCTGCTGTTCGCAATCACCTGCCACATCAGTCTTCTTCATTCTTGTTCGGAATTCAACAAAATGAACTACAACAACCTCTGTATCTGTTTCCAACCAGCTATCAAGATCGACGCTTTCTGTTTCCAATTCCTCATTCTGGACTGGAGAAATTGCTGGCAGGGTTGCTGGACCGAAAAGGAGTTCCTCGACGAGGAAGTGAGGTTGCTAGAAGTTGCCCAGTTGCAAGCTGAAGCACAAGCACAGGCTCAGGCGCAGGCGCAGGCCGTGCATCCTCCTTCACGAAATGGGCACACGCCTGCAAAGGCTAAAGGCTCCCACCTCGGTGACGCATTCAAGAAATCAGGCCGAAGCGATTCAAAGGATCGATCCAAAGGATCGACTCGTGGAGTCTCAGCAGACCGAAGCATTGCCTCTTCTGGCCGTGCTACTCCTCCTGAGAAGTCTAGTAGCTCGAGGCGAGGAGTTCCATCTCGTGAACCTTCGACAGATCGAGCCATTTCCTCGTCGCATAGTCGCGATGTGGCTGTTGATACGCGGGCAACGCCCCGACGCGCTCCCACCGCGACGCTGGGTCCTGAGATCGCGGTCGATGACGATGAAAGCGCTACACCCACCCAAGCCCAGCATAATCGGGCTGAGTCTGAAACGCAGTTTCGACTGGATCTCAACCATCCTCCCAGCTCGCCGTTCTCCATAAAGTTCTGATGACAGCTGGTTCGACCAACCAGTAGGAGCGATGTACTAATACTGAACGTACTTCATCTGGCGGTGGCTTTTTTTTTCTCTGCTTTTTGCTCAAAAGGATCTGGATTTGCATGTTTCTTACATGGCCGTTGGCGCGACGTCACGATACCCCGTTCGGACTTTGTACGATCGCGTCAACCGCCTTTGCTCTGTTTCAATTTCGTATTACAGTACCAGCGGCGGAGTTCTGGCGAGATATCTTTGCATATTCTGCGCTCTGGCATTGGGTTTCGGGGCTGGGAATGGATGTTCGGTAGGCATAGCACTCTGTGAGTTGACTTCGGGCAGTTGGAGGCCAGTCGGAGGCCTATTGTACGATAATATAATTGGCACGGATGATTAAGAATTTGATGGACGAGTGAGTGGAGAAACGCTAGTGTGCTTATATCTAGGTACCAAGGTTTCTGCCGTCTTGCTTATACTTCTAAACGTAACCTTTGAATCGTTGTGAGGCTCCGCGTGATCGTGACGATCGTGGCGGTGGTGGTGATGTTGGATCGTATGTAAACTGGCTCAACATATCCCAGCAATATTGACCCGTTCCAGATTGCGTTAACTCCCGTAATTTTTCTCTTGAAACGATCGAACAGGAGCACATCAGGTTTTCATTTGGCCTGCCAACCTATGCATCAACTACCTACACCGTAATTAGAGAAACTGTTGAATGTGTGGAGTATGCGAGAAAAAGCCGCGCACAGAGGCACATCAAGGGGAATTGTCCAATCGAATGAAATGACCAACACACGGCGGCCACCATGGAACAGGTGCATAATCAATACGCCAGGCCTGTTGTATTCGTAGCGTTGTAGGCTTGTAACCATAGCAGCAGCCCGTTCGAGGTCTGGCGGTGGGACGTTCGACTCGCGGGGCGTCTCGACTCGCTTGGCTTAGGCGGCTAGTACACGGCTAGTATCAGTAGGAGGAATGACGTAGCGCGGGAAATGGAAAATCCCACCTGTTCCTTGCCGATCTCACACGTCTCACCAAAGCTCTTGCACCGCTGGCTTCTTTTCAATAAACAACATCGTGGCGGGCAATTGCTCCCTCATTCCTTTTCTTCACTTGTCCATACTCTCTGCCTTTTTGACTTGACGCTGTCCATCGTTTCTCTCAAAAGTAAACTTTGCAATACCTCCATACCTCACACCTCATCCGCACCTCTGTCCTAAACCATCGCTATTACTACCAGCTTACTGCGTGAAAATCTCGTCGCATTATTTACTTTGAGGCCGATCTCCCATATTCACACATCCTACCCGCCTCTCAATTCATCTCACGAAAATGTCAGCAATAACGTCAAAGAGACAAGGCTCTCAGGTGGTCTACCAGCTGCCATTGACCGACTCCGGCGCCCCTGCGGTCCCCGGAACCTACATCTACCTCCCACCGCCAACGGAGCCTGCGTACGTTGTCAGATTTCAGATCGAGGGTACCAGCTCGATATGTCGCGAAGGGAGTTTGTGGGTGAATATTCCCGCCAAAGGCGACAAATTCAAGCGTGATCAGTATCGCGAGTACAAGTAAGCCGGACCGAACATGCTCACCGCCCGCACCCTCTGACATCGTGACCAGGCTGAAACCCGATTTCAACGGCACCACCGAAATTGATGTCCCTATCCATGAAGCCAATGCATACTCCTTCTACACGACCTACTCCCCCCTTCCAAAGTGGTCTTTCACCGACGTCACCCCAACAGAGCCCACGCGGACACCTACATACTACATCGATGTATGTCCAAAGCTGGAGCTTGGAGGTGAGCGGCTCCCCGTTGAAGCCGTGTCGGTGATCTCGATATTATCGAAGTTCATGGGCAGCTTTCCATCGGAATGGGAAAATCATCTGCGGGGGATCAGCCAGCGCGGCTACAACATGGTGCACTTTACGCCACTTTCAATCCGCGGCGCATCAAATTCTCCCTACAGTATATACGATCAGCTTCATTTCGACAAGGAGGCGTTTCCCAACGGCGAGGAGGATGTTGCCAATATGGTGAAGAAAATGCGCGAGGAGTACAACCTCTTGGCCATGACTGACGTGGTTTGGAATCACACGGCCAACAACAGCAAGTGGCTGGAGGAACACCCGGAAGCTGGCTACAACGTAGACACGGCGCCATGGCTACGGGCTGCCCTCGACCTGGATACTGCTTTACTACAGTACAGCAAAGATCTGAAGTCTCTTGGACTGCCGACCAAGCTTGAGAGTACAGACGACCTTCTTAAGATTATGGAGGGCGTCAAGACTCGCGTTCTCGCAGGCTGCAAACTATGGGAGTACTACGTTCTTGATGTTGAACGTGACACCGAGGCCATTGTCCAGTCGTGGAAGAGTGGACAAGCTGAATTCCCCGAGGACGGCTTTAGAAAAGCTGGCATCCGAGGCTTGGAAGCAGTGAAAGATTGGACCCTGAAGCAGAAGGCAGATTTCCTCGTTGATCACGCCCTTCAAGGAGGAGATCGCTTGGGCGAGAGGTTCCGACGCCACATCGACCCAACTACAGGTGCTAGCCTGCTTTGCGCTCTCTTCGGACGGTTCGACAGTCGTTCTGATGCTACACCGGATGAGAAGGCAGCGCATGATGCTATTCGCCGAGTCGCAGAAGAGGTCAATCTGCAATTCTACCGCGAGTACGATGGCGACATCGCAGAAATGCTCGAGCAACTCTTCAACCGCATCAAGTATGTCCGCATTGATGACCATGGCCCCAAGCAAGGCGAGATTACCGAGGCCAGCCCACTGATCGAATCATACTTCACTCGCCTTCCCCTTAATCAGACTACGGAGAAGCATAATCCTGAGGCCCTTGCCCTTGTCAACAATGGTTGGGTCTGGGCAGCAGATGCCATGAGGGACAACGCTGGCCCGAAGTCCCGTGCCTACCTCAGACGAGAGGTCATTGTCTGGGGAGATTGTGTGAAACTTCGGTATGGTGACGGTCCCAAGGACAATCCGTACCTATGGGAGCATATGGCAGCATACACACGTCTCATGGCCAAATACTTCTCCGGATTCCGTATCGACAATTGTCACTCCACACCCATCCACCTCGCCGAGTACATGTTGGACCAGGCTCGAACAGTCAATTCCAACATCTTCGTCTGCGCTGAGCTGTTCTCGGGATCGGAAGAGATGGACTTCAAATTCGTGATGCGCCTTGGCCTTAGTGCACTGATCCGTGAAGCCATGCAGGCTTGGAGTACCCAGGAGCTTAGCAGATTAGTCCATCGTCATGGCGGTGTGCCCATTGGAAGCTTCGACCCAGACGAGGTTTTGAATGCGGATTCCGAGACAACCAACGAGATCATTCACAAGATCAAGCGTAGCCCAGTACATGCTCTCTTCATGGACTGCACACACGATAACGAAACGCCTGCACAGAAGCGTGATGCCCGTGATACCCTCCCTACCGCTGCACTTGTTTCAATGTGTTCTTGTGCAACTGGAAGTGTTATGGGTTTCGACGAAGTCTACCCCGAGCTTATCGAGCTTGTGCATGAGAAGAGGCTCTACTCTTCTATCAACTCCTCTGCGCCCGTCCAGGAGGGAGCTGGTGAGGGTGGCATCGGGGGCATCAAAAAGATCCTCAACCGAGTCCATGTCGAGATGGGTAAGAAGGAGTATTCTGAGACCTACATCCACCACGACCGCGAGTACATCACTGTGCACAGGGTGAATCCCGATTCCAGGAAGGGCTACTTCCTTATTGCCCATACTGCATTCCCAGGTTCTGGTGACGGCAATGGCGGGTTTGGCCCCACCAACCTCCCCGGCACTCAAGCCAAGCTTATCGGTAGCTGGAATTTGGAGGTCGACAACAGCGCAGAGACGCGAGCGAAAATCATCGGAGATGAGAAGTTGCTGCGCGGTCTGCCTAGCCGCACGAAAGATCTCGAGGGTGTTGTCATTGAATCCGCCGGCGAGGACACGAACATCAAGATCCCCGACCATTTCCCACCAGGCAGTATTGCTCTGTTCGAAACTTGGGTCCCAAGTGCTGAGCATGCCGAGGGTCTCGATAAATTCGTTACGAGCGGCGCACGAGCTGCTTTCAAAGATGTCAATTTGGCCGATCTCAACTACATCCTTTACAGGTGCGACGCTGAGGAGCGAGATGCTACGGATAACCGCGATGGCTGTTATGATGTACCTGGCCACGGACCTCTAGTCTACGCCGGCCTCCAAGGTTGGTGGAGTGTTCTCAAAGACATTGTCAATGACAACAACCTTGGTCATCCTCTTTGCAACCACTTGCGAGAGGGGCAATGGGCTCTCGATTACTGCGTAGGCCGTCTGGAGCGTATCTCACAGAAGGAGAGGTACAGCCGTATCCAAGGTCCCGCTAAGTGGCTGAAAGAGCGCTGTGACGCTATTCGCAAGGTTCCAAGCTACCTGCTACCCAGATATTTCGCCCTGGTGATCCAGACTGCCTATAATGCCGCAGTAGACCGCAACATCGAACTCCTTGGTGAGAACGTTCGAAATGGTCAGCCTTTCTTGCGTAGCCTTGCCCTGGTCAGCACCCAAGTGACGGGATACATGAACAGCGCATCCCTTTGGCCAACCAAGACCGTACCCAGCTGCGCTGCGGGCTTGCCGCATTTCGCGTACGATTGGGCACGCTGCTGGGGACGTGATATCTGCATCTCGGCCCGTGGACTTTACATGGGTACAGGACGCTACGATGATGCACGAGAGCACATCCTCGCGTTCGCCAGCGTTCTCAAGCATGGTATGATTCCAAATCTGCTGAGCGGCGGAAAGCTTCCTCGCTACAATTCTCGCGACTCTGTATGGTGGTTCCTCCAGAACATCCAAGACTACACTAAGATCGTTCCCAACGGCCTCGACATCCTCCAGGACAAGGTCCAACGCCGCTTCCTGCCGTACGATGATACATGGTTCTCTCACGAGGACGAGCGAGCTTACTCTCAATCTTCCACCATTGAGGACGTGATTCAAGAAGCTTTGCAGCGACATGCAACTGGTATGGACTTCCGTGAATACAACGCCGGTCCTAACCTTGATAGCCAAATGAAATCGGAAGGTTTCGACATCAAGATCTGGACTGACTGGGAGACCGGTATCATCTTCGGAGGCAACCAGTGGAACTGTGGCACGTGGATGGACAAGATGGGCGAGAGCGAAAAGGCTGGCAGCAAAGGTGTTCCCGGCACTCCCCGCGACGGCGCTCCCGTCGAGATCACCGGCATGTTGTACAGCACTCTGAACTGGGTCGCTCAGCTCCATGAGCGTGGCACCTACAAGTACGACGGTGTCACTCTCAATGATGGAAAGGAGACGATCACTTTCAAGGCTTGGGCTGAGAAACTGAAAGCTAGCTTCGAGCACGCCTACTACGTCCCCCGAACCGTAGAAGAGGACGCAAAATACGATGTCAACTCCAACGTTGTCAATCGCCGTGGTATCTACAAGGATGTCTACCGCTCCGGAAAGGAATACGAGGATTACCAACTGCGCCCGAATTTCCCGGTCGCGATGGCTGTTGCACCTGAGCTGTTCACCACCGAACATGCTCTTTACGCTTTGCAGCAAGCAGACCAACACCTGCTTGGCCCTCAAGGAATGAGGACGCTCGATCCTTCCGACCTCAACTATCGACCTTACTACATCAACAGCGAGGACTCGACAGACTTCCACACGTCCAAGGGCCGTAACTACCATCAGGGTCCGGAGTGGCTCTGGCCCACCGGTTTCTTCTTGCGCGCCCTGCTGAAGTTCGACTTGAAGAGGCGCAAGACACCAGAAGAAAGGGTTGAGAGTTACCAGCAGGTCACTCGTCGCATGGCGGGATGCATGAAGGCAATCCAGGAGTCTCCCTGGGCAGGATTGACCGAACTCACACAGAAGGACGGCGAGCTGTGCGGTGATTCTTGTCCGACGCAAGCATGGTCGGCTAGCTGCCTGATCGACCTGTTCCAGGATGCGAGAGAATATGAATTGGCGGGTAATGTCTAATAGTTAGGAGCACGATTTCATTCTGCGCTTGACTTCACTGGATGATGGCTCAAGCTCGCCATGGCACGGGAATGGTGCCATGGACGTATTCTTACATATATAGATACCTAGATCCTAGGACTGTACACGCTGTTGATAAAATGGAATTTCCATTTTTATACGATTCAATAAACTCCCATGAAAGTTTGTGGTAATAGCTTTTTGTGGACCATTTTTGCTTGCGATGATAGGAATGTTTTGTGTGATGTCATGGCCGCCAAACACGTGGGTCGCGTCCTTAGCGCGTTCCCCATGAACTGTAAACATAGATCCCCACTCTCGCTTCGCGACTTTAACAGCCCCCACACCCTCTTCACCTTCCCAGAATTCTCCTAGTATCTTCCTAGTATCTATCTTTCCTAAAGCGAATATATTGCATCTGCTAGTATGCCTCCGCGTAAGAGGCACGTTGAGACAATTGATCTCACCGGCGATGATGACGATGACTTCCCACGCTCCTCGCAGCCATCATCCACCCCATACTCTTCCCAAGGATATGCCGTCTCTCACGCGTCTTCATCCCAACCAGGACGTCCACGTCCATCCAAGCAGGCGCGCACCGGCTATAATAACCGCACCCCCAGCTCCTCATCCCAACCCCAATCAAGCTCCCAATCCCGCCCAGGCGCCCCCCAATCGCAGCCCTACGTCTTCGAGGACGACGAAGAAGACGATGGCTCCCAGGAAGTTCCGGACTCAACGCAGGCACCCAGCAACCGTGAATACGACTACGTCTTCTACGGGCCCATGCACGCGAAGATCGTAGGAATCCGCTACTATTCCGGCTACGCGACCATGGGCGAGATGGTGATTGTCCGCCGCGAGCCAGAGAACGCGTACGACAGCAACGCGATCCGCGTGCTGAACGTCCAGGGCGAGCAGATCGGGCACATCCCGCGGACCATTGCGGCGAAACTCGCGCCGTACATGGATGACCGGTCGCTGAGGGTCGAGGGGATTCTGACGGGCGAGAAGGGGTTCTACGATTGTCCGGTGGATCTGTTCCTCTACGGCACGAATGAGCCGGTCGAGAGGATGAATCTCGTCCAGAGGATGAAGGATAGTAAGCTCCCCGTCAAGTCTGTCGTCGACCGCCAGCGGAGGGAGGAGAAGGAGAGGAAGGAGAGGGAGAAGCTGGCGGCGAAGGCGGCGAAGGAGGCGAAGAAGAATGGCGAGGCCGTAGTCGATGCGTTCCAGGCTTGGGGGGAGAATCCGTTGGGTGAGTTTGCGGGTGGGGGGTCACAGGGCATGGGGCCTGGGCCGAGTATGGAGGATATCATGGGTGGTAGTCAGCGGTTTAATCCGAGGAATGTCGAGGAGATTGTGGAGCAGTACGGTATCAAGGAGAAGGATTTGGAGGCCATACCCAAGGCTGAACAGCCTGCTGCCCTCCTCACTGAACTCCATCCCTTCCAGCTTCAAGGTCTTCAGTGGATGCTGGACAAGGAGAGTCCGGAGTTGCCTGCTGCTGGAAGCGGCAAGGTGGTCCAGCTCTGGCAACGCCATGCTAGACAGGCCAATGTCTTCACCAACGTCGCCACGAATTTCTCCTTGGCCAATCCTCCACTGGCTTCTGGTGGCATTCTTGCCGATGATATGGGCCTTGGAAAGACAATCCAGGTCATCTCGCTCATAATGGCAGACCGAGCGCTCGGCCGGCGTCATTCAGATACCGCAGATTCGACTCTGATATTAGCCCCTGTCTCTGTCATGAGCAATTGGAGCACTCAGATGGCCAAGCACATCAAGGAGGAATACGCTCTACGCATCATGTTCTACCACGGAACCAGGAAGCAAAAGATCGACCCGAAGGAAATTAAGAATTACGATGTGGTCATCAGCACCTACGACTCCGTGTCTTCCGAGTACCACTCTGTGAAGAACACTGCAGTTCCACGGAAAACGGGTGTCTTCTCTGTGAAATGGCGCCGGATCATTCTAGACGAAGGGCACAACATCCGTAACCCTAAGTCCAAGAGGGCCGTCGCTGTAACGCAGATCATGGCTCAGTCCAAATGGGCGCTAACAGGCACTCCTATCATCAATACTCTGAAGGATTTGTTCTCCCTCGTCAAGTTCATTGGCCTCTCTGGCGGCTTGAGCCAGCTTGAGATCTTCCACGGCGCAATTATCCGGCCTGTCGCGCAGGGTGATACTCGAGCCAACAAGACACTGCAACAGCTCATGGGTGATATCTGTCTCCGCCGTAAGAAAGAGATGGCATTCATCGACCTTCGCCTCCCCGAGCTCTCCGAGTACGTCCACCATATCAAGCTGTTGCCCCACGAACAGGAGAAGTACGATGCCCTAGAGGCCCAGGCCAAGGGAACGCTCGACGTCTACCGCAAGAACCTCAACGGACGCAAGGACGCCGCAAACATGTACCGCCATCTACTCGAGGCCCTCCTCCGCATGAGGCAGCTATGCGACCACTGGAAGCTCGTCGGCGAAGAACGCCTCGCATCAGTGATGTCGCAGCTCGAAGAAGAAGGCATTGTAGACCTGACGGACGAGAACAAAGTGGCCCTCCAAAAGATGCTCCAACTCTCCATCGACTCCCAAGAAGACTGCCCCATTTGCCTCGACTCCCTCCGCGAGCCCGTCATAACGCGCTGCGCCCACGTCTTCTGCACACCCTGCCTCGAGCGCGTCATCGAAACCCAACACAAATGCCCCATGTGCCGCGCGGAGCTCGAATCCCTCCCCTCCACGACCGTGAAACCTGCCAAAGAGACCATCGCCCCTCCACAACCCTCCCAAGCAGACCTGACCTCCCTCTCCACCTCGACGTCCTCCAAAACCGAAGCCCTGCTCTCCATCCTCCGCGCCACCGCCCAGCAAGACCCAACCAACAAAACGATCATCTTCTCCCAGTGGACCTCCTTCCTCGACATCCTGGCCCCGCACATCACGGCCGCGGGCTTCAAGACTACGCGAATCGACGGCTCCATGTCCGCGACCCAGCGCGACGCCGCGCTCGCGGCCCTCGACTCCGACCCTGACACGACGGTGATGCTGGCGTCCCTGGCTGTCTGCTCCGTCGGGCTCAACCTCGTCGCTGCCAACCACGTCATCATGTCCGACTCGTGGTGGGCGCCGGCGATCGAAGACCAGGCCGTCGACCGCGTGCACCGCCTCGGCCAGAAGAGGGAGACGAAGGTTTTCAGGCTGGTCGTCGAGGGGAGTATCGAGCAGCGCGTGCTGGGGATCCAGGAGGATAAGAGGAAGTTGATGGGGTTGGCGTTTGCGGAGAAGGAGGGCGAGAGGAAGAGGAAGGGGAACAGGAGGGCGGGCGCGGGTCTCGCGGATTTGCAGCGGTTGCTTGGGGAGGCGTCGCAGGCTTCTCAGGCTTCTTAGGTGTAGGGATGGTGGATGTTGTTTGCTAGGCTTTTTTTTTCTTTTTCTTTTCCAAAAAAGGGCGTTTATATAATATGGTAGATATCAGGTATCAGAGTATAAGGTATAGGGATAAGAACCGGAGTTATAGGCATGAAAAGATAGGTTCACATTCAATACAACAAGTATCAGGTAATGTTGATTTCAGGCATGTTTACAGTGCACTGTGTTGTAAGACACATTGGGGGGAGAGTTTCTTCAGTAAAATATTTTGATTTACTTGTGATTATTACCTCCAAGCTGCCACTTGCTGCGTTTCGTTAAGATATATCCTGCGGACTTTCCAAGATGGTTGTTGTATTAGCAAGCAATTTCATCGCCTGGAGGAATATCGAATCCCTGTTATTGCGCCGGGTGAAAGAGGTAATACACCAGCCCCATAACCATGCCACCCGTTAACGCCCATTATGCATGCATTTTTCGCTTTCGATTGATTGAATAGCGTGTCGCGAATCTCGTCGCCGCCGCTTCAAGGGAAGGGATCCCGCTCGCGAGCCATACGCTCCTGCTCACCCTCCGAAACGATGCGCTTGCCGAGCCATTCGGTGGTGAAGCTGCGGCTCACCTGCTCGAGGTCCCCGACGATGTCCCTGCAGCATGCGATGACGGCTTCCTTGGGGGTGACTGTTCCGTCCGTGGACACGCGGAGCTCGAAGCGGGCGAAGAGCGGGTGGGGGATCTTGTAGGCGCTGAAGGTCACGTAGGGGTATTTGTGGAGGCGCTGCGAGAGCAGGTTGCCGAGGGTGTGGTCTTCCTTGTTGAACGTGAAGACAGTGGTATGAGGTGCGCCTGGAGGATAAAAAGATTAGGCGCGCTGGATCTTGAACGCTGAAGGATGGTTTACTTACGGGTCTCCTCCTTGGTCTCGACCTTCTTCTCGTCTGGATCGAGAATAAAGAGTTCGAATCTATCCACACCCTCATGGTCAGATCTGAATGTAATAGGACGATAATAACACAAGGGATTGCTCTTAATCGCACTCGGATGCTCCTCGATGTACTGGCTGGCGGTCTTTGTATAAACCATGGCTGCGGGGTTGCAATGTTGCCGTGGGGAATCGCTCGCTGCAATGGTTGTGGCGGGGTACGTGGAAAGTTGCGTCCGAAGCGGTACGGCGGTGCAGTCAAAACAAACACGCCCAGCGCGACGCGGCGTGATGATGGTGAAGGCGCGCGTTGCTGCGCAAAACAATGTCGTGAATGTGACTTTCACCCGTCATGGTGAACGAGCCAGGCAAACAGTGTCGCGCGTTTCTCGAGGATGATGCGAACCGAGCAGCCGGGTGTAGTTTGTGCGAAGACCGTGTACATCGAGAGCCGAGAGCGATTGTAGAGGGATTTTCGAGGTAGAATGGAAGAAGATCAGAAGTTATGGACTTACCTATCTGGTGCGTTCATGGCGACTTTTGAACTGGCTGGTCTTAAGGTGGTGCGTTGAAATTGCGATTATATGATAAGAATATAGATGGCACCCCCGACTCCAAAGAAATGCGTGTACAGGTGGTTGACGAAGTTGAAGATGGCGAGATCAGCAAAATGGAGGAATGGAGAAGAAGACAGACGAGGTTGAAGTTAGGATTGAGGTTCCAAAGCTCCCCAGGATCCTTTGTACGCCACTCACCGCCTTCCTTATGTAGAGTAGGTAGGCACCTGCTGAGATTCACCAGCGCTAGTGACTCAGCAGTGCCTTCATCCTATTCACTTCGAGGTGCATCATTCACTTCACGCCCAGTATACAGACAAGGAACGGGGCTGAACTATCTAGGTCCATACGCATTGTGTGATTGCACTTCTGAGCGAATCCCGACTAACAATCCATACGCAAAATGCCGTCACCCAATTACTATTCACTACAGGCTCAGAGCCCAGACCAGCATTCACCACACAACTTCACTCTTTACATTGAGGTCAAGCTTTATGAGGATGCCAAAGACGATGGATGCATCAACATCCATCAAATCCAGGATCAAGTCCGCAGGTGGCTTTTCCAAACCTATCGATCAGTCAGGATAGGCCAGCAGCTCAATGACACGAGTGGGTTTCTTCGCATCGCCTTCTATAACTAACACAGCCATACCATTGCATTTGATATGATTACTCACAGATCATGACTATAGATACACTTTCCTGTCAGAACCTCATCCAGAGTTGCAAAGTTACAGGCCATTCAGATCTGGACAGCAGTGCCGTGAACCATACCCTGTCCAACAACAACGTCGAAGTGGCAGTATACAATCTTCACACAGTCGAAGATCACGTCGAAACCCCTGATGATGATTCGGATAGTGCTTCTTCATTTTCCATACTACCCTTACCGTACCTAGACTTTGATGGGTGTTGGGAAGGTCTTGTTTTCGATGAACCGCTCCCAGAACAATTGTTTCGGATCATCACTCGCATGATGCATATTATTCACAAGACTGACCTGAGATCATCTACAATAACCTGGCTGAATTTGGTCTTGCTGTATGGTGCCCCAGGCACCGGAAAGACTACGCTTGCAAAAGCCCTTGCCCAAAAGCTCTCAATTCGGATGGCCCACATCTACCCTAAAGCCAGGTTCCTTGAAATCAATTGCCATATACTGCTCAGTAGATGGTTCGGAGAATCAAGCAAACTTGTAGGCAAGCTATTCGAGAACATACGTTTGCATTCAGACGATCCATCGACTCTCGTTGTGGTATCAATAGACGAGGTTGAAACACTGGCAGGGTCACGCGAGAAGGCGGCATCCGGCACTGAATGTCACGAAAATCTCAGAGTAGGTGAATGCACAAAGTTCACTACTCGCCACTAGATTACTGGTTCCAACAGGCTTACATTACCTGCAGTCCACAAATGAATTACTCAGAGGTCTTGACAAGCTCTACAACCGACCAAACGTAGTGATCATCTGCACGAGCAATCTTAAAGACGTGCTCGATGACGCTTTCGTGGACCGTTGCCGAATAAAGAAACATCTCGACAGCCCGAACGTGGATTGCATCTATAATATCCTTCGCTCAGCTATCAACGAACTTATCAAACTTGGACTCGTGGTCTATGATGTCACAGAACTCAACGCAGCCACCAAGAATAGCACACAAGCGGAACAAGGGACCCCAAAATTCATGCCTGTGTCTCTTTCCCCATTAAGCGCACACAACTCTCTTCATAAGGAGGACAGGTCGTACGTCCCTGATCTGGACTGGGTCATCGGCAACCTATCACATCTCACATATGATGATCAGCCTGAAACAGCGCCAATATTGCTGCGAAGAATAGCACAGTCTGCAATGGGTCTCTCTTCACGGACCCTTCGGACCCTGCCCATCGCGGCTCTTGCTGAGTACACTGTCGCCGAGCCGTGTGACTTCCGGCAGCTGCTTGGGGCGCTTGAACGGAAGCTCGCTGAGGAGCGTGGGACTTGATTGGATCACGAACGACGGTTGAGGCATCACACGATGGGAATTGAGGTGAAGGCAAGCCAGGTGACAATTTGTGGAATAGGCTTGACTACTTGATCTATTATAGTGACAATATTAATACGAAACGAACCGACTGTGTAGAATAGATTTTCATTTGTTGTAATAAAATAAAACAGACAATGCCAAAGCAGCAGTCTGGGTGGGTGGCAAGGCCTGGTATCATGTATTTCCTCTCAAAGGGCAAACGCCGACCACCGAACAAGAAACGACTATTAGAAAGAAAACTCCTGATCAGATGCAGTATGTCATGTGCAAAGGCACCAAAAGAAAACTCCCGCTCCGATGTAAATGAATGACAGAAGGCCGAAAAGAGCCCAAAAGACTACAACGACACGAATCTCAATCACCTCGCCTGTCCAGGGGTCGCTTGAAAGTTCCGGACTTTCTCCCTGTCGGCCTCACCATATCCCACACTCTCCATCAGCTTCGTCACCGTCGTGGTGTTCGAATCCTGTGTCCACCTGTTGTTCTCACGCATGCCCGGTGCCTTTGGCGGTCGGAGGAGAGAATCGCTGTTTGATGGCATCAGGATGTCTATCGTCTCTTGGCTTTCGCTGCGTGCCACGAAGGGGCGATTCTCGTGCTGCGAGATCGAAGGTCTCCTTGCGTGGTTGTTGATCGATGCCGTGCCTATCGATGTCGCGCGCGAGCGAGACGATGTTGCCTGTCGAGGTGTCTGACGAGGCGTTCTGTACGGATCTCGATGGTCGCCAGCGCGGATTGCGGGAGCAGGTGGTGCGGGATTCGCAGGCAGTCCGTTCGATGGGAATGCGCTGCTACTACTGCTGAAGCCCAGGGCCCCGAGTCTCGGCGTGCGTTCCCACATGCTCTTGATCCTTGGGGTCAGACCGCCTCCTGTGGGTTTGTTGTTATTGCGGTTGTTCATAAAGCCGGTCGTCGAATTTGGCGAATTCTGAGCGGAGTGCGAGCCCCGGCGGATGAAGTCGACGCGAGCAGCGCGGGCGGGATCATAGATTGGGTCGCTAATCGTTCGTGCAACATGTCCGAAGTCGCCAGAGTAGCGGTTCTTCTCATTGAGATCGCGACGCTTCTTGATGAGCCACATGATGCCTAGTGTTGCTAGGACACCTAGTATGATGCCAGGAAAGAAACCCGCGGCGAACGATTTGGCGTTGAAGCCTTGCTCGACTTTGACAACAGGTGGGAACTCTGCTGTTGCAGTCTGAGAGACCGACGATGTATCCGTGGAAGACGGCGTTGGAGATCCAGTGGGTGTACCTGATGGGGGAGTGCTGCCATTGTCGGCAGAGCACATATCGCCTTTGCAAGAGTAACCCAATGGACAGCACTTGGATCCGCACTTGGGAAGCTCGACCGCAGAACTGTTGGCAAGATGAACCTGGTTGTCTGGGTGGAGCGTTGCGTTGAGTGCAGTGATATCACAAGTGATGGGTAGAAGAAACGAGCAATCTTGTCCCTTTGGACAACATATTGCGGAGATGCCGTCTTTTACGTTGAGGGACTTGCATTCCGTGTTCGCTGGGCAGCAGAAGTCTGAAGGAAATGCATTCCCACACTGAGACAGTTCTTTGTTCCCACCGCATGTTTCTGCTTGTCGAGGGAATATGCTTGCTGCCTGGATGAGTGGAAAGGTGGTTGTCGCGAGGAGGAGGAGAGATATGCTGGAAACGCCCATCAAGGACTTGTTTGTCGAGGAGAAACGCATTACGAATAGTTGTACAGTGGTACCTCCAGGGTACTCGACGAGTTATATACCTGAATAGATTCGAAAGAAAGGTCTATTGTTTCGTGGGGGGATGTTTATGAGACAAATTATAATGACATAGTTGGATTCGGAAGATGACCAGAGAAAAAGGAAACCGTGAAACGAAGTCGAACGATGCAAACAAGAGATGCAAAGGAAATGGGCTCATTATGCGACCTGCCAGTATATACCTACATATCTTGATCGTGTAACAAACGGGCGACAAGCCGGAACAAAGTCTGGTCAACCGCCGCTCGAGCTCCGGTAGTACCAGTAATTCATTGCCTAGTGTTCTGGAAATAGAGACATGGACGCGCCGACTGGATGGCAGACGCTGAATGGCTAGTGTGGGAGGACACGCTAAGAGCTTTGCAATGTTACAATGGCATATGACTCTTCACGACGTGTGGCTATGCATTGTCGATGTCGTGGAAGGGGACATGCGGGCGGTAATGTTTGGTGTTTCGAATCCAGGACGGATGTTTGGGGTAGCGCGCTGTGATTGGCTCGTCGCCTTAGCGCGTGCGGGAAGAAAAGATATTGGACATGATCGTAGGAACCGACGTCGTTGTCGTCTGCCCATCCAGAATTCCCCAATTCCCAATCAATACACACACAACTCCACAGCCATGATAATACGCACACTTTTACGGCGGCCAGGTGCCATTCAATCGCGCACTGCAGCTCCTGCCGTGAGTCCCGCCCAACGCATCTCGCGGCCGCATCTGGGGCCCGATGGATCGATCCACTGACAACTCACAATAGAGATCATTTTCCCCTGCCATCGCACGATACATCCACCGAAGAGCAACCCTTGCGAACCATGAGCAATTGAGCAAAAATGGCATACCGGGACTCTTCAGTCCCAAGGGCTTCTCAATTGCCTACGACCAATACCAGCAGCACATCACAGACGAGCTAAATGCGACGACATCAGGTGCGACAATTTCCCCTCAATTCCACGATCTCACTCATTAGAGCTATCCAAGCTAACACAATAGCCTTCCCACAGGCACACCGTTCGAAAACAAGGACGTCAAAGACCTCGTCATCGAATGGTCACGAAACCCCACCACGGCCTACGGCTTCAACGTCGCCTCGATGGCCTACAACAACCACTTCTTTTTCAGCGGCATCTCCAAGGACCCGAACGTGCAATCCACTCCCCCCTCCGAGCTCGCCACTGCTATAAACAACAACTTCTCTTCCTTCGAGTCCCTCCGCGAAGAGTTCCTCGCAACCGCTGATGCCATGTTCGGCCCAGGCTTCGTCTGGCTCGTCCAAACCAATGACACCTCCCTCCGCCCTCTCCGCATCCTTCCCACCTACCTCGCGGGTACCCCCATCTCCGGTGCGCACTACCGCCGCCAGTCCCACGACCTCAACACCCACAGCGCGGAATCGTTCCAGCAGCTCAACAACGTCGGCACCTTCGGCCAGGCAGCGAAGCAGGATAACAGGCCGAAGAAGCCCCTAGGAGGTATCGATGTTGTCCCGCTGCTCTGCGTGAGCACGTGGGAACACGCGTGGCTCCACGACTACGGCGTCAAGGGCAAGAGCAAGTACCTCCAGGCGTGGTGGAATAAGATCGATTGGAACACGGTTAGCAGCTTGGGACAGTTCACGAAGTCGGACCAGAGCGTCCAGGTGAATAAGTTCTTCACCTAAAGAAAAAGAAAATACATCATCGCTCTGGAAGAAACATAAAGGAGAGGAAAGACAACAAAAGGAGAACGGAAAATGAGGAATTGATTGAAAGCAGACAAACCGGGATCGCATTACGCTACTGTAACAATATCATCTGTACCGATACTCGCTTTTATTTATTGATAGATGATTTGCGGGAGATCACATCTGTAGTCACCAACTGCATGTAGAAATATAAAAAAGGTACAAAACTCAATTCGCTTCTCTCGCACTAGACAGACATGGACTTCGAGATTTGGGATTGTGTGGCCGTGTATGCATCACTGGGTGACCTGTCACCAAAACAAAGACCTTCCCTTTGTGTAACAATGGCGAGAGCAACATAAGATGCTGTGCGAATACACTATAGCATGAGGTTACACAGCGACGTGCGCACCAAAAAGGCGACAAAGGCGCCCATCCCAAGAACAATGAACCCCGCGTCAACGAGTGCGATTCAGGAATTTAGATCTCACGCAGATCTCCATGTTTGCCGTATGGATCTAATGTATGTACTATCAAATGCAATCTCCCTTGCAAGTAGAATGTTCAAATGCATTAGAAGCGGCAGAGTGTCATAGAATGGGAGACGAAGTCCAATTCAAAACATTCATTGGTATATCCGATCTATCATCCAAAATCGCTATTCCACGTCCGTTTCTTCCTTATCAAATCGTAATTGTACAACTATACATGCTGGGAATGTTTTCTTTTCGTTGGAAGCAAAACGCCGGGCTCGGATGCCGTGAGTGGAGTAATGTACAATGGCCCTTTCCCTTCGCTTCTGTTCGCTCCGGGGCAGGGTGGGGGTTTCGGAGGGGATGTGGAGGTGGATGGTGTTGATTTCTCACATCACATCATCCGAACCATGAGGTTTTCTTTCGGGCTTCTTTCCGTGCGTTTTGCTGTTTTGTGAGAGGTAATTTGTCAGCTTCTGATCTGGATAGAGGTGTTGTAGGAGAATGTTCCAATTGTGAGGGTTGATAATGATATGGATTAGAGGGTGGGGAGGTAGTCAAGATCATATTGCGTGAGAGGGGTCGGTGGTTCGATGCGGATGTAGTAAGTCGATAAATGTACGTACCCATTGCTCTTTGCAGTCTCGGTAGGCTCTGTTCAAACACAAATGAATTAGCAAGCGGTTTATAATAAAGCCAATTTTATCAGGAAGATATGGAGGAAGTAGAACATGTAGCGAATAGACCATGCGCGCCGCATGATAAATAAACGAAGGAAGAGTATGAGGTCATACTGGAAGAAATCCGTGCACATCTCCCTTTCGCCTCCATTTCGATGCAAACATCGTATGCTCTTCTGTGCAGCTTCCTGGCATGGATCGAAGTATTCGCTGTAGGCTTTGCTGTTGGTCCCATAAGTCAGTCGAGGTTGTCAATGGTTGTTTCGGTCGTGATGGAGGATGGCGCACTTTTCGAATTTGGTTGCTGTCGCGCCCTTCCATTCGGTCTCGGGCGTGTTCGTCTTCGAGTCGGAGCTCCCATTGGTGTCCTTTTCGCCCATCTTGAACCTAGGTAGACGTTTTGGCTCTTAAAGTCGTTGCTCGAAGTAGTGGTAGGTTAATGGACATAGTAGGTTGCATGAGCTTCTTCGGGAGAACTTCGGAAACCCATGGGTCTGGAGGTCTCGCTCAAGGTGGTGTATAACTATGCTAATCGAGTTAGACGACAAACAAGGTTGCAGCCTTGTCCGCCTTGTCGGTGACAGGGTTCGGCTGCAGATCTAGCCAAGGGAGTCATTGTGGGTATAACTAGAACAGATGAAATGAGATCATCATGATATTCCCTAGAAAACCTCATAATGCTTCGTTCTCGATAAGGTGGTGTGTTTTTTCGGTGAAGAATTTGATTGCAGCTTCAACAATTGCGGAATCATGGTATGCTGACAGTAAATCCAGGAAGCGTCCCGAGAAGGTCGCTAATTGATACGATCGACACTCCTCTAAGGCATCGCATGCTTTTCCTTCTTCGTTCTTGTCGGTAGTATAGTCGCGTTTCAAAAGTTTATTACACTGACGACAGAGACTCTCGCACAATGGCCAAGTTGGATAAAGTCAATGTTCCCGTAGATCAACTACTTTAACAATCGCGCAACGGAAGAAAAGTAACTCTGCATATATGAAATCGACCGCACCACCTTTTTGAGAACCAGTCATTTAGCCCAAAACATGAATTGATCAGACAAATGCGCCTACTTTCCCTCACCCCTTGTCAAATGATCTGTGCTTTTGTCTCCACGTTCCGTCTGTTACATAGAGTGTGAATCTTACAAAACCCAATACCAATACTACTGAGTAAGCGATGCTTGCCGTATCTATGACATATTGGACTGCTTATCCTGCGAGGAACTTCGTCGGTTCCATTCCCGAGATGAGCTGGTAGTTTGCTCAGATATCGTCTCGCCAGAGAGGTTGGTAACTGTTGGAGCTTCATCGACATAGTGTTGATATTTCCTTCCAAGAGCTAGAATGGCCGTTGCGACCTCTCGATCTTCGAATCCGTCTGGCATTACTGCTGTAGTTCTATCCCATGATTTATATCCTGGTCCCGTGATTTTGAGGATATATCCAAAATCTACGAAAAAGAGTCGACGGGCTTGCACATATTCGTGCCACCCAGCAATGTATTTGCCAGAATCACTGTCTTCGAGAATATCGATCGCCTTCTGAACGTTCTCGAGCAAGTTTGTAAAACCACCAGCATAATTGATCAATATTGCTGCCTCGGCCCAGCCGATGCATTCGGTGGTTTGTATATATCGTACGAGTGGCTTGCAAAGTTCTTCCACGATCCTCTTGTCGTCTTCATCAAGGTTCTCTGGAAGAGATGCTGCATGCCAGCTATCCCCCATACCGTATGCCATTTCAAAGTACGCGCCAACACCATTACCGTAAGGATCTTCTCGAAGCTCGGATAGAACGTGCTTGAAGTCGTTACTCTCCGTAAAATACCAGGCTGAAGTGACCCCACGGTACAATTTGCGCAATTTCCGGTGCCCCAGGATTCGCGGCAGCTGATTGGAATCTATGTCCGAGGTCCATTTGAGGTATTGCTCTGCGCTGTAGTGCACAAAGCTGGCCGCAAAAGGACATCTTTCCCCGTCTATTGTCTTGTAAAAGACGTCAACGAGCGGAAAACATAGCCTTTGTATCAACGTCATAGGATCGAACACCTCCTCTTCCCCGTTCGCAAAGGTTATAAGCACGGTGAGGGCACTATCTTCGAGGATATCGTTCGAATGAAAATGCCACCAGGGCATGTAGTCTGCCCCATCGATCCAGATGAATATTTCCTGCGCGATGCGAATCTGTGACTCAGAAAATCGAGCCTCTGATGATCTTATGATGGAGCTGTACAAGGATATCAAGTCCTTGGGGAGACTACTCAAAAGTCTTCTGACCTCGGATCTACCTGAAGCTTGACTTATTTCGTCCAAGGCGAGTCTGGCGTATAACCACAGTCCATCGGCTGCTTGAGATACCTCAGCTATTACCTCCTCACGGAGCCCTTTCGCCTGCGCAAAATCTAAACCAGCAACCCTGTTGGCAACGTAGCTCCTGATGGCAACCTCAGTGAAGTGTACTGGAAACGTAATTTGGGCATCCACGAAGTCAAACAAGGATCTTAAATTCGGATAGTCGCGGCTTGTCAAGATCATGTGTACAGGTCCAGGAGCCAAGTATTTGCATTTCTGAAGAATTTTGATCAATTCTTGCGGTTCGGTGCACTCGTCTATTGCATCAATGATGATGCATAATGGCTGTTTGCCGATCCGTGGAAGCAAGTCAAGGAATGCAGCGCACAGTTCTGTAAAGGACTCCGCTATCGGGCGGCCGGAGTTCTGGTACCATTTCTCCAATTGATTATAACCGTCATCGTGCAATTGTAGCAGTTGCGAAAGCAAAGTTCGAATGACATGTACTGCTAAGCGCTTCTGAGCATCACCAGCTTTGCAAAAGAAGCAAAGGACTCGCATTGAGTCCATGCGTTGGAACTTTTGCATAACCCAGGCCGATAGCGTGGTCTTGCCTTCACCAGGTCTGCCGACAATACGAATTGCGTAGGAGTCGTAAACCGAAGTGAGCATATTGTAATGATCGCTATCTTGGAACCATTTACAGGAGCCTTCCACACACTCAGCGGCGCATCTGTTAAGGTCGTCGGCAATCGAGGCCGGGAAAAGCCATCGTTGCATGTCACCGCGAAGTTGAGCTAACCAATCGTTAGCAACATGTAGCCAAGATGACGCATGTGAGCTTACCCTGGCGACGATCATTCTCGGCCGTTCGAAGTGCACTTGATTGTGTGATGTGAACAAAGTTTGCAGCAATGTCAATCTCGGTCCAATGATGCCGAATGTTCTCAGACACTTCGCGAAAATCTTTGTCGAAAGACCCAAATATGGTCCCTGTAGGTACGAACTCAGCACAGGTAATGAATGTGGATAAGGGAGTTTGACTTACGAACTGATCTTTTGCCAAAGAAGCGCACAGCTCGAGTACAGAAGTCTATCAGGTCGCTGTACAGCGCGCCAATAGCTGCTTGAAGAGCTGGGTTCCCACTGAAGATGTTCTCGTATGTTTGAAAGCGTTTGAGGGGTTCCACTAAGCGTTCGAGAAGACGGGTAAGTGTCTGAAGTGTAGTTATTCGGTCCGAGGCAAGCTGCAACAAGTCTTGGTTAGAATCAATGCAGGCAGACTCAAGGTAAGTGCAGGAAACATACCGTAATGACAGCGCGCAATGGACCCCATACAGGCGCAATCATACCACTTTGAACTTGCGCAATGACATCGATGGCACCTTGGAAACGCTCCAACGGCTCAATAATTGGGCGAAGTGTTTCTAACAATTTGTGATATTTTTGCCGATGACGATGCCGTACCATGTGGACTTTGGTCATACAGTCTTCTACGGATGCCGGCGCCTGGAACGCGGCTCTCTCACCGGGCGGGAGCGAAGCAAGATGCTTCTGAACAGCGACCTCCCAAGCATTCATATCAATAGCTTCAAATTTTTCAGGGTTGATTGCACGCTAGGCTGTAGGCTGTGAGCAAGGCTCTTTGGCCTTAGGTTTGCAACCGGCCCTTCTACCTTCTTTATCCACACGTGTCAGCCTTGCTGGTTTTTGTGTTTGTTTGCTTTCACCACGGCCCCCACTTCCACTTGCATCTGCATCTGCACCTGCACCTGCACCTTGATTCAGCCCGTGTTAGTGCTGCATACATCGGTGTGAGGGGCAAATCGTACGACGTACATCTTATCACAACTTCGTGTATTCTTGCTTGGCGTAACCCCCGCGTATATTCTCTTATTGGGCTGATTGGCGGGAGCAGTATGCCACACTACGTATCCCATCAGGCCAGCCGAAGGATTCAGCCTTCCTGTGTCTACCCCTCCGCCTGGTCTTTCTATATACTTCCATTGTATGTATGTAGTATTTTGCGGGTATATATGCGTTTCTGTTGGGTTCAACAATCGCCACCATTAGAGCGGTCCACCCGTACTCGTAAATGCACGACCCAATCGTTTGCACTCTCAAAGCTGACTTGTGTGCTCGAAGTGACATGTCGGCTTGAACCTCCTGTTGTGTGAGGTAGATGCTACAGTGCGCCTATCATATTTTGGTAGCCGATCTCTCAATTTGCAGTGCAAGATATGCCATTATTTCAAAAACGCTTTGCACGTGATTCGGAACAAAACTCCTGATGGACTTCCATTGAGGTTTCTGGTTTTACTCCTAGTATTGTTGCGTGACAAGGCTGTCTACCCAAGTAGGTAAACAGCATTGATCTATGGAAGTTGAACAATGTTGCTTACTTAAGCTATGTGTAACTCTTCGCTAACCCTACTGCGTTAATATCCATATCCACTTTCCCTACACGCGATATTAGAGTATTGTCCCTGCCGAGTTCTATGGGGACGATTGTCGTGGTGCTAACCAGAATTGTACTAGATCACCCACTTACACCGGTACCGGTGGGGTCGTGCGTATAGACCATATGATATCCCCAACTCCTCTCCAAGGCACATTGCGACTCAGGTTCCATGACCAAACTGCTCCATATAACACTCCTCGCCCATAATTCTTCATGAAGCTATTTAGGCGGTTCGTGTCTCCCAATCCTTCTTCAAAACCGATACAGCCTGCAACAATGCCGGACGAACCACACGTCGAGCGTGCCACTAAATCGCACTTCATTGGCGTCGATGTCGGGACTGGTTCTGCACGCGCCTGTCTCATTGATCAAAATGGCACTATAATTACCACGGCATCAAGAGATATCCAGCAATGGCAGCCTCGACCAGGCATATATGTATGTAGGCCTCTGTTCTCACATATCAGCGAACCAACTCATGAGTTCCACTATAGGTGCAATCCACATCAGATATCTGGGCCAGCGTCTGTTATGCTGTCAGAGAAGCCATGAAGCAGAGTCAAGTTCACGCACCTTCCGTGGGCGGCATAGCATTTGTAGCGACCTGCTCTCTTGCCATTTTCACTCATGACACTGATGAACCTGTCGCTGCAGGTGGCAGCAAAGGCGATGAGTCTGATCATAACATCATCCTGTGGATGGACCAAAGGGCAGGCTCAGAGACTGACACCATCAATAAGACTAAGAACGAACTGCTTAGATATCTTGGTGGCTCGATCTCGATACTGATGGAACTTCCCAAGATCCTGTGGCTGAAAAACCATATGACGCCCGAAGAATTCCAGAAGTGTAGATTCTTCGATCTTCATGATGCATTGACCCACATTGCCACTGGGAACCAGCGTTTTCCCTGTTCCGATAACTGTACTCAAGACAATCTGCCTCCCACTCTGCCACTTGGAGTGGACGGCACAGCAAAGGGATGGAGTAAGGAGTTTTTAGAAGAAATTGGACTTGAGGAATTGGCCGCCAATGACTTCCGAATGGTTGGTGGAGTATGTCCTGTGAGTCTGAATTGCCCAATTGCCTTCCTCCGACATCGCTGAACTCCTTGTAAGCATGGTAAACCGCCGCTCGCGGCTGCGTTGGTCGGGTCTCTCAGCCCCAAATCCGCTCAGGACCTCGGCCTCACTACTGATGTAGCAGTCGGTGTTGGCACCATTGATGCCTATTCAGGTTGGGTAGGAACGATAGGGTCACAATTTGAGGGTCAAGATCGGTTTCCCCTGCATTCTCGAATGGCTGCTATTGCTGGTACATCCTCATGTTATCTGGTCGCCAACCGAAAACCGGTTTTCGCAGATGGCATATGGGGACCTTACCAGGATTGGATAATGCCAGGGCACTGGATGTCTAGCGGTGGTCAGGCCGCAACAGGTGAGCATGTCCAGAATTCCTTCCTTTCGAGTACCGTCCGGGAGAATACAATCAGTGCACACTTGGACTAACCTCTCTTTTACAGGTATGCTGATCCAACATGTGATGGAAATTCATCCCGCGTACAATGAGGCTGTATCGTCAGCCAAAAGCTCAAACACTAGCATTTTTGACTTTCTTGATCGGCATCTTGAGCACATGAGAACAACCGCCCAAGCTTCAAGTATCTCATACCTTGCGCGCCATTACTTTTTCTACGGCGATTTGTATGGCAATCGGTCACCTATTGCAGACCCGCATATGACAGGCTCCGTGGTGGGCCTGACCGCCGATAAAAGCCTTGACAATCTCGCCATCCAGTACTACGGTGTCCTGGAGTTCATTGCCCATCAAATACGGCAAGTAATCACAACTATGAATGATAGTGGCGCAGAGATAACGTCGCTCTTCATGTCCGGATCTGTCGCATTGAATCCCATATTACTGAAGTTGATTACTCTCTCATGTGATATGCCAGTCATAGTTCCAAAGTCAGTGAGCACTTCTGTGTGTTTCGGGGCTGCTATACTGTCTGTTAAAGCGGCGACTCAGAGCACAGACAGTCTTTGGTCAACCATGCAGACTGTGGGGCAGAGAGCTGAAGTCTGGTATCCAGAAGAGGATGCCGGGAAGAAAGCACTTCTCGATGTAAAGTATACCATTTATCTGGAGCAGTGTGCAAGGCAACAAGCGTTCAGGGGTATGGTGGATGCTGCAATAGCGAAGCACCCACGCACATCTTTATTGTAAATCAAAATACGTTAGAGATATTTCCGCAATCAACGCCTTTTTTCTCTTTGCTTGCTGAGGATATTGTACGAAATGATCAGTGAGTGTGGCCAGACACTCTAGGCCACAACTTCCCCTCAAAATCATTCATCATTTCCTTCGACTGTATCGGTCAGTATTGTACTTCTGATTCGCTTGTTTCAAGACTTACACCTGAGGTCCCAGCCGATTTGTGGCCCAAGTTTTGGGAGCTTCTCTGCGATATTCTGGACGTCCTTGTCACCTCTTCCACTCACGCAGATGACTACATTCTGGTCTTTCTTCATTGTTTTGGCTAATTCGACGGCACCCCAAACCGCATGCGCGGTTTCAAGAGCTGGGATGATGCCCTCAAACTGTGACAAGAGACGAAAGCCTTGGAATGCCTGAGCATCTGTTGCCGCAATGAATTTTCCCCTGCCACTATCCTTCCACCAGGAAAGCTCTGGTCCCACACCGGGATAGTCCAAGCCGGCCGAGACAGAATGTGTATCTATGATTTGACCCTCTTGGTCTTGAAGAATATATGTCTTCACGCCATGAAGAACACCCGGCTTTCCCTATCGCTTTGTTAGCACTGGTGTTGATAACCTGAAACCTAATGCTTGACTCACCTTGCTCAGGGTAGCTGCATGTTGTTTTGTGTCCAGTCCATCACCGGCCGCCTCGACACCTAACAGTTGGACGCTTAAATCGTCTCGGAATGGAGCAAACATTCCGGAGGCGTTACTTCCTCCTCCAACACAAGCAACAACAGCGTCGGGAAGCTTGCCAACCTGTTCCATCATTTGGCTCTTCGTTTCATTGCCTATAACGCTTTGAAATGTCCTCACAATCGTCGGGAATGGATGAGGGCCGATGGCACTCCCAATGAGATAGTGGGTAGTGTCTAGATCCACCACCCAAGACCTCAATGCCTCATTCACTGCATCTCTCAGGGTTTTCGTGCCCGCTTCAACCGGGATGACCTCCGCGCCGAGGATTCTGATTCTGAACACGTTGAGTGCCTGGCGCCTTACATCCTCCGCACCCATGAAGATAGTACACTTCATCCCCAACTGGGTGCAGGCTGTGGCCGTTGCAACTCCATGCTGACCGGCACCTGTCTCAGCAATAATGGCTGTTTTTCCCATCCGTTTTGCGAGAAGGATCTGTCCGATCGCGTTGTTGATTTTGTGACTTCCTGTATGGTTGAGGTCTTCACGTTTCACCCAAATCCTGGCACCATCTACATGTTTAGACAGGCGGTCAACAGGGTGCAGAGAGCTGGGACGTCCCATGTACGCATAGTAAGAGCGGAATTCCTTCCAGAATTCGGGGTCGTCCTTGGCGACATTCCAGCAAGCTTCAAGCTCTTCAATGCACGCGATGAGCGATTCGGGTACGTATTGCCCTCCAAAGTCTCCGAATTCCGGCAAATGTGCAGTCACATCTTCGGGAACCGGCTGGATATCAATGCCGTTACTGGTTCCGTTGCTCAACTCTTTTTCCCAATCAGGGCTGACCGTGCCATGAGTCGGATCCACCTCACGAAGACTAATCTCGCTGCAATACTTTTGTGCTGCAGCGGCGGCCTGGCCCGGCGGTGCGCGTGTAAGGACGCTAACAAGTGCGCTTCCTATGACAACGCCATCTGCGATGTCTGCCACACTGAGAAATTGTTCGCGTGTGCTCACTCCGAATCCGACAACCGCAGATATGTCACCAGTGTGCTTATTAACTCTCTTCATGACCTCAGGCAGGGCTTGATTCAACTTTCCTGTGACACCCGTGACACCCATCCTTGAAACGACGTAGACGAAGGTGTCCGCCATATCGAAGATGAGTTTGAGACGTTCTTCGCTCGTGACAGGTGCAATGAGCGGGACCATGGACAAGCTAGAGAATATTAGCGGCATGAGCGACCGTGTCGAAACAAACCAATCTTACCCGTATGTCTTGCAGTGCTTTCGAAAGCTCCCGCTTTCTTCGGGAGGAAGGTCGGCAATGAGGAATCCGTTCACACCGGCTGCGCGGCAATCCCGAACCAGATTCTCTTCTCCGTAACTCATCACTGGGTTATAGTAGCCCATAAGCACGATAGGCAGGTGGAAGCCCTTGTTGCGGCTTTCCTTGATCAATTTCAAGGTCTTCTCGATGTTCACATTGTTGGACAACGCAGTGAGGTTGGACTTTTGGATAGTCGGGCCATCAGCAACCGGATCTGTAAAGGGCACTCCGATTTCAACTAGATCGGTGCCACCAGCTGCCAGGCCCAGAAGGACATCGGGAAACTCGGCGGGGGTGGGATAGCCGGCGGTGATGTATATGCTCAGAGCGGACTAATTCGTTAGTGAGCCTCTATTGTAGGAATTTAACATGGACTTGAGTATAGATTTCACTAACCCTTTTTTCTTTCTTGCATTCCGCGAAAGTTGCTTTGAGGGCTTCCATGGTTGGATTGGATTCCACGCAAGAGCAGGCGATGACTTTGGTGTTCCACTGCGATACTGAGGAGAGTATGGAACAAAGGCGAAAAATTCTGGTGAGGTTATTGTGACATCAAGTACGAAGGGGGGTTTCAAATGTATGTTTATTCAGTTCCCGCGCTACGCCAATTCTTGCCTAGCGCTGGTAGTACTCATACATAGGCAAAAAGTACTCGTGTATGTATGCGCCCTTTCGCCCATTTTCGTACTCCGTAGAGCTGAGCTGAATCAATTTGGCGGGGTATGGTTGTTTGAACTCTGCCTGATGCCTTGTGGCGCCACAGCCCAGGGGGGCCATGCTCCTGACGGGCCGTGGTGGGGTGGTCTAGACATGTCCCCGTTTCTCCACGCCCGTTAAATGTTGGCTATGCCATCCAGGGAATGGTGTAACCACGTCCGCGGAGGCAGGCTGAGAAGGACACCAAGTCTGCACCTGGGACATATATTATCACAAACTCTGCCGTCCCGTGTGTATGCAGGTCGACGCGGCTGTGCCAATGTTTCGCCGGATTTGGCACTGATTCGATCAAGTAGCCACTCATGTCGTTCTGTGGATTTATTATCAATATCTTCACACATTTGAACCGAGCTTCGCCGACCCCGCGATAAGCATGCCAACGTGGAGGTAATACCGATCCTTCGATATGTCGCCGGATTCGGTGCTGACCTGCATTTTGAGCCTCATAAATCACCCCATAGACGTCTTTGGTAACTCATTCGTTTCTCGACTTTCATGTCCTTCTCACCGGAAGGAAACACGGCTGGGTTTCAAGCGTAGTGGCGACCATACAGATGCAGGCGACTATGTGCCCAAAGTGCATTTTTGTGTGTCTTCAAAAAGCAAGCCCTACACTGAAGCATCAAATGTGGGTGAACTGCCTGCAGGAAGGATTCACGGCTGGGGTTCAGGCGTACTGGTGACCACATAGACGCAGGCGACTCTGTGGCCCAGGTGCATTATTATGTATCTTCAAAAAGCAAGACCACACTGAAGCATCAAGCGTGGGTGAACTGCCCACGGGCGGCGTTCTCCTCTATCTGATACTGGCCTGGAGCTTCCTCAATTGACCTCGTTGCCGTAGCCTCGACGGTGAATTGGGGGTCTGGCTGTACGTGGCAAACTTTACCAGCACACCATTTGAAGAGCCTCACAATGTTGGACTCTTCTACAGCTTGGGACTTCCCAGGCATCTCTCGTTTTCCCTCAATTGCAATTCTCTCATCCCTCTGCTGTTTCCGCCCCCAGGCCATCACTTGACTTTCCCAATCACTGGTCGTAAAGCTATCTCAGCCCTGTGAAACAAAATGGTCATCAAAATAGGAATCAACGGGTTCGGTCGCATCGGTACTACCGTCTTTCGATGCGCTGTTGAGCGCTCAGACATCCAGGTTGTTGCCATAAATGATCCTTTCCTCGACCTCAAACGCGCTGTAAGCTCAACTAGCCATACACAAGATGCAGTGAGCCTGTAATGACGCTAATGTGTTTTCTAAACTATTAGGAATACCTAATGAGGTATGATTCTACTCGTGGCACCTTTGATGGCGAGATAGCAGTGGAGGATTCCGGCCTCATCGTTAGAGGCAATAAGATCAAGTTCTTCTCAGAAAAGCAGCCTGCTGCCATTCCATGGAGTGATGCTGACGTTGAGTATGTCGTTGACTCGACAGGAATCTTCGTCAAGGCAGAACGGGCTAAAGCCCATCTGACTGACGGCGTCAAGAAGGTGATTATCTGCAGTCCATCTGTCGATGCACCCATGTTTGTCTACGGCGTCAACGAGAAGAGCTACGATAGCACAATCGATGTCTTATCCTGCGCTTCTTGCACGACAAATGCAATATCAGGCTTAGCCAAGGTCATCAATGATAAGTTCACAATTGCTGAAGCTCTCATAACAACTATACACGCCTATACGGCTGCCCAGAAGCTTGTGGACGGGCCATCTTCTAAGACTCTACGAGACGGTCGCAGTGCGCCACAAAACATCATTCCTAGTAGCACGAGTGCGGCAATGGCAGTCGGAAAAGTCCTTCCTGAGCTGGATGGAAAACTCACCGGCATAGCCATGATCGTTCCCATCTCTTCTGTCTCTCTCGTCGATTTGACGTGTCGCGTCGAAAAGGAAACTTCTCTCGAGGACATTATAGATGCCATCAAAGAGGCTGCCAACGGAGACATGAAAGGTGAGTCAGCAAAGCTAGCCATGAATCATTCTGTACATCTCTGGACTATACTGATGGTATAATCATAAGGCATACTCTCTTACACAGAGGACGAAGTCGTCTCGAACGACATGAGGGGCAATCCTAACTCGTGCGTCGTTGACGTCAAAGCCAGTATTGTCTTGAATAAGAATTTCTTCAAGCTTGTTGGCTGGTACGACCATCAATGGGCCTACAGTCGCCGCGTTTTAGATATGATCTCATATATCGACACGTTGAACGCGACCGAGAAAGTGGCTCCAGAGTGAGCAGGAAAGGACCAGAGGTCTTTCAGCATTGAGCATTCTAAGCATTACGCATTGCAAAGCAGTGTGCATTCTATTTACTTTGGTGCTGGGAGAAGTATGTACAAATTGTTATATCACATGATGGGGTGGGCACTATTGCTTCAGATGTTCCTTGTCTTCTACATTCATTTGTCCATGTTTCAATATCTAGTCTTAGCTTCGAAAGCCTCAATTTCATCCAACCATGGAATACCTTCCTGCGCTCCAAATTTGCTGACTGCAAGAGCGGCGGCTTTATTCGCTCGTAGAATGGCACTCTTGATATCCCAAGAGCCGCCTGCTTTCTGCTGCAAATAATCTGAAGCATATGTTCCTGTGAAAGTGTCCCTATAATGCTGATTAGATTGGGTTTGGTAGAATCGAGTGGAATTACTGACCCAGCACCAGTAGTATCTAACACTTCGACTTCGAATCCTGGAATGTGGCCATGGCCGTCAGAGGTAGCGTAGTATGCACCTTTTTCACCTAGAGTTAATACCACGTTCTTGACGCCTCGATCCAGAAACTCCTGAGTGACAAGTCGCCAGGTCTCTTGGCATAACTCATCCAAACTTCGACCTGACAGAATTGATGCCTCCGTCTCATTGACTATAAGGTGAGTGATATTTTCGTAGGTCCGCGGGTTGATTGGAGTAGCTGGGGCAGCGTTTAGCAGGAAGTCAATGCCAGCCTTCCCGGCAGTTTCAATCATCTGCTCAACAGCCTCTTTGCAGATTTCCAATTGCGCGACAACGAGATCGGGTCGTATGCCATTTCCCAAGTCTTCAGCTCTCAGAAAGTGATGTGGTTTCCAGTAACTGAGTGCATTGGGAGTCACCAGGATTCGATTCTCGCGTGTGGCATTTTCTATCAAGACGAAGCAGACACTCGATCGCGTGTTTGGTACCGTAACCAATCCTGAAATATCCACGTGATCCTCCTGCAAGACTTTCTTGAATTTCTTCTCCAAATGGTCATCTCCGATAGCACCAATCATTCTGACTTCAATGTCGCCGTTCGATGATGTCCTGACATCTTGAAAACTGTCAGAGCGTTTGAGTTTTGGCAGAGCGATCTCTGTAGGCCTTTTATGCGATGTACGGTAGGCAGCAACCGCGGCGTTGCAGCCTTTACCACCCAAAAGTTCGATGTATTCCAATGCCATGATAGTTTCTCCGCCGTCAGGTATGCGGTCTGTCACCATCATCATGTTGGCCATCAGGGAGCCGATAACAGCGATAACTTGTGGAGCCATGATGTTGAATGCCTACTACAAGCTAGGTATTCCAGTCCTAAGATATATATACAAGGCAAGTCAAATACTTATCAATAGAGCTCAGCCTGGTCACAATCATGGGTCCAGATTGCTCAGCCTGATGCAGCTGTTCACGCTCGGCAAGAGATAAGCGAATCGCAGCGCCTGATTGATGTTATTGCACATGCGGATTGATGCGTGGGGTCAACATTAGGTAGTCTCGAATGCTCTGACTTACGCAACTCAATTTGTTTTAGCATGGTCATGTATGAAGCCATTTCTCCTCTCCAAGCAGGAGATCGTCAAGCCTTACAAGTATACTTCTCCTTCCACCCGCAGAAACTGGTTGTGCAGTAGCATACTAATCCCAATCGAGGGACCTTTTCGTCCAGTCAGATCAATAGAAAGCTTTATTAGACTTGGTATCAAAAAACGCTCAGTCCTTAGAGGTAGTTGTAAGGAGTGAAAGAATAGACTAAGGTAACCATCACGTGTGATTCTAGTCACGTGCTACTATACCGCCGACGTTGTAAGTAAGGGTTTGTTAGCCCCACCTCTATTGATTTGATTGGACGAGAAAGGCCCTCGATTGGGATTAGTATGCTACTGCACAACCAGTTTCTGAGGCTACAACCCGGCGTCACCGTCTTTGACGAAAAGCAACAGTGACCATATTTGCTCACGTCTGTGCTACGATCGTAGTAACGCCCCGCTGAAGCTTCTTTTATACGGGCGGCGTTTCGTCGATTTTGTGGGGTAACGGTAATTTGAAGCAACTTTGCATCTGATTACATTAACAATTATTCTACAAATGCTCAAACGAAGTATAGCAACCTTTTCCTCGTTTCGAGCGATGAAAGTATTCCCATTGCAAATGGAAACTCTACCGTGGCCTATGGATATATGGTCAAGCAAAGATACAGACGTTAGTATTTTCCTCTAGATATGTTCTGGGCTCGAGAGTAAGTTTTGCTTTGAGAAAGAGGTGGAAGAGGCCAATGTCAACCTCCTCTCTTGCTATCGATAAGTCGCAACAACACAACATGTGTCCGGGGGAGAAGCTCGTCCACGGGTACCCAGAAAGCTCCCCCAGATTAGCCTCTGACTTGTTCCATGTAATCTAGACAGCTCCACGCGACCTTTGCAGGTTCAACCGCAGATTTCGATCTTTTTGTCTGCTTCACATTGGCCCACCCTCCTCGCCGGGATCCCGCGGAGCATCACATCTGCCAAGTGATAACCCAGGACGGTAATAGAGTGTGCACCACAGTCACAATCCGGGAGCGCTATCACATAGGTACGGAATTGGACCCGACCATCAAGTTTCCCCGCATAACCTCTCGTCATGAGGTACAAGGGTGGGCTGACGTCGCATCACGGTGAATAATAGCCAATTGTCCAGTCCATATGGAACATGCAACTTCGAGTCTTCATTTCCAGAGTTTTCAGCTATTGAGTCGGCCATCCCGCTTCATGAGCCAATTTGTGATATTCTGAGTAATGTCCCTGGTGATGTTAGCAGCGTTGATGATTAGGGACGGCAGTGGCGTAAGACCAATGGATTTGATATCGGGCATTGCCGATGGAGCATCGCAGCCTCCTGGGCAGTATAGTAATATGGAACGTGATATGTCACATCGGCATTGTTAATCTCTCTCGCGCGCCTTCTCCGAGACCACCATTTCCAGTCCTTGCAAATCGCGTGATAAGTGTGCAGTCCGTCAATGAGATGTTTGAAGGTTAGCATGTGCAAAATATGAGAAAATGCAGTGGAGTCGACTGACGATGGTGAAGGAAATTCGTGGCCTAATTAATCATTTTCCCATCCAGAATAGAGGTGATTTTGCCGCTCATGGTATAGTCGCTCGCACGAAGCGGCGTTACGCGCTCAGATCATAGTGATGTGTCTTGAGTGTGACTTGAAAGAAGGACTAGATATTGTTCGAGTCCATCGAGAATGAGAGCCATCAACGCCAGTATAGTACATACTGCCGTACAGCTCTTTGTAGTAATGGCCTATTGAGCCTTTCTCAATTAGACCAGCATCGCATTTATTGCTAGCACCTCGGTGGGCCTGATGTAGAAAGGCATTGTCAGTTTCATCGCCTTCGAGGGAATGCCACTGTCTAGCCCTCGATCTCAGTCATATTCTCCACTTTTGACGTACTTCTCGTTATAACCGCAACGAGACATCTAAAGTATGAGCAATAGACCCATGCTCGTTGTACTCAATAAGTTGGTCATATCCACACCAGCACCACGAGGTGAAGCATGATCGAATCAATCTGTTTGGCTCGGTTCGAAGTCTTTAGTTTGGCCAGGAATATGAGATGGTCCTGTCCAAACATTTATCGTGCCGGCTTTGTTAGAACACCCTAAAAGGGCGACTTGACATGGCTCTGGAATCTCAGGTGACACGGGCTAGCGAGGTCGAGTTTCCGTGAACAGAACCGCGCGCCATCCATAAACAAAGTGGCCTAGCAAGCGCGCTCCAGACGTTCGAAACTTTTGTCAGATCGATAACTACGCGATTGATTGTGCGAAGCCAATGACACAGTTCCACAAGGATGCTGCTTGCAAAGCTCAGTTCAATGCTGGTCCAATTTGGCAATTCAGGTGGGCGTGATAAGGTCTTTCACCACCGAAAGGCCATTAGAATGATTCGCTCATTGCAGGATTGCCGTTCAATCACTCCATTTAACCCGAGCAAAATGCGCACTGATGATGTAACGAGCTTGCAGTGTGGATACAGATTGACGATGCTTAGTTGATGTGGCCAACTCGTCCCACATGAATGGTACAGGACCGTCTAAATCCGGGCCATGCGTTATCCCATCAGCTGCGATACCATGCATTTGACAAAAGGCTAGACGTTGCGAAGCAGGTATAAGAATTCAGACGTCTCTCTTTGTTATCGTGGAATCCTGATAATTGACCATTGTCGAAAGTATATGCTGCAACTACCTGGTAGCTTGATCAGAGAAGAACATCTTGAGAAGTCAACCCCTGACTTCACATTACCAACCGCCTTTCTCAGTCCAGCCTTTCCCACGTGGAACTCTCGGTCTCTCCGTTGCTCCCGCAGGTGAGCCTGGTTTTCCTTGTCTTCAACAGCGGTAGTGGTCGAGTTGGCCTGGAAACAGGAGTCAAGGCAACCACCCTTTCACCTTTCCCTGACGAAGAGTTAACAGTGATTGGCTCTGTGCAGAGCACTTCACATTGCGTTCACCCGATCCCCTGAGAAGTCACGTGCAACCAGGCTCTTGCCTTGGTGTGCATGCCCACCATTTCCCATGTCGTATATAAATCACTTACACCTACCCCGACCCCCATCCGAATATTTCAACTGGATTCGACAGCCTTCGCAAACTTACCAGAACATCCATAACACCAAAATGACTGACCACCTTCTCTCAGCTGCGAACAAGCGCAAACATATAATGGCCGCTGTCGCTACTCAGCGTGCATCGGCGCTCCCTCGTCCGCACTGTCAACCCATCATTGAGCATGTGTCGGCTCAGAAAGTGAATGCCCGTGTCGTCGAGTTCGATGCTCAGAAACATATCGCATACAAGACCGAGCCTAAGGTCCTGACCATGAAGGACATTGGATATGCGGATGATACTGGCGTTTCTCCCGTAGCTGTGTCCCATCCCTTCCAGTTGTTCTCATCGGAGGCGGTCCAGCAGATGCGGGCCGAAATCTTCAAGCGCGAAGTCATGGAGAACTGTAGCTTCAGCAGCAATATAGCTGCGTGTCAGCTCCGTGGATACGCCCCGAAGTAAGTGTACTCGACATGTCGAGTGATATTACTAATGTCCCTCAGGTATGCCCCGTTCACCTATGATGCATGGATGAGTCCCGAAACCCTTGCTATCATCTCGAAGATTGCCGGGGTCGACTTGGTACCGGTTGGCGACTATGAGATCGCACACATCAATCTTTCCGTCAAGACTGATGAGCAGACCAAAGAAGAGCTCGCTGTGATCAACAAACAGAAGCGACTCTTTGCCGATGATGAAGGCATTGGAGGATGTCCGTGGGAGGACAACAAGCCTGTAGTCGGATGGCACACTGACAGTTATACCTTTGTTTGTGTCCTGATGATGAGCGATTGCACAAACATGGTCGGGGGTGAGACTGCTCTTCGTACGGCTACTGGAGACGTCATCAAGGTCCGAGGCCCAACAGAAGTAGGTAGCAACCCCCCCCTAACCCTATATCTTGTCAGACTAATGAATGAAATAGGGTTGTGCGGTGATCTTGCAAGGTCGATACATCACCCACCAAGCACTTCGAGCCCTGGGTGCGAAGGAACGTATCACATCAGTCACGAGCTTCCGCCCACGTTCCGCCATGTTGAAAGATGAGTCCGTACTAGCGACTGTTCGACCGGTCTCGGACTTGTCAGGCCTCTACTATGATTTCGCGAACTTCCGTCTTGAGATTCTCGAGGAACGTATACGGAAAGAACGCGAGACGCTCGAAGCAAGCCGTATTGCTCAAAAGAAGTTCGACACTCTTACGCACAAGAGGTTCATCGCCGATTCGATCGCATTCCTCGAGCACAACCAGAAAGAGATCGTGGAAGAGGACAAAGTTGTTCCAGGATTGGTCGAGGAGGTGGACTACCCAGACGTCGTAGTCAATGGTGCCAAAGAAGCCCGGGCTGCGAAACGAGGTCGAGGTGGCAGGCCCTAGACTGGAAAAACGTCTTGCTCAAGGAAAACAAACTTGTTGGAAAAGTGTCAACAGATATCAGAATCGGGTTACGATATTGCACGAGCCGGTGGCGGTTGAGACTGCCACACGGTGCATACACTCTTTTATCTCTTATATTTCAACTTGTCAATAGTTTCCCTTCCAGTAAATAGTACAGAGGTACCGATGTAAACGAAACGGGGATTGCGGAGGAAAGCCATATTGATAGCATCGTCTTTCGGCCGCGACAGCGATATCATCTGAGTATTATTCATGGTCTATACCACCAAAAAGGAATCAATGACAGTGACTGCAGTGATGATAAGTGCAAATCCATCACATCCTCTGAGAGGTTGATAGCGCATGTTCTTCGACTCTATATACTTGACATTACCTAGCTGTACATGCTTGAGTAACATGCTTGCGGTCGATCCATATCCCCGCTTCTGATGTCAGCTGGTCGTGCCGCTGGAGGCGCGCCTATGAGGTGGCAACGGCTTGGCGTAGACGGATGCACTCAACTTTGGATCTCTGACTACCTGAGAACATCTCTACAATTCCTTCTTGGGCATGAGTTGGACGATAGGTCGTGTAATGGTAACAAATTGCGTATAGTCAAAGGAACGAGCGTGATCAACGACAAGTCATTGAACACCTCTTTAGGCAACTAAAGCGTTTCATAGTTGAGGAATGGCCATTGGCGACCGAGCGAACAATGGCATTGGCCACGATAGGTTGATCTTTCTCGGGGTTTATACAAGATTATGGCTAAGTGGCAAGATGGCAAGATGAATCTTGTTGTAGCAAAGTCGTGGAGCGGCTATCTGGTGCTCATTGAATCTATCGTCTTGAAGTCATCAAAAGAGACGGAAAGTTGGAACTAGAAGCACTCGAATGAACGGACCACAAAGGGAATTGTGTCGTTCATTATTTTATTCTAAGCGCCGGGGATGAGAGAAAGAGGAATTGAAGGAATTGAAAGGCGCGAGTTAGATGTTAGATACCTACAAGTCGAGACGAGGCGTGATGAGTTAAGTGAGTGGAGAGGGCAAGAAGAGTGCTGGACGCGCTAAGGAATGAACTTGGCAATCACGCACCCGCCCATCCATTCAATGTGCCAGACTGCCAGTCGAGTGTCCACCACCCACCATCCGATCCGCCCACTAGTGAATGACTTGTACCCAGACGACATACGAGTACCACCAGTGACCACCACCACCACCTACCACCTACCTTACCTTACCTTACCTGACTACCGTCGGAGGCTTCTTCTCGACCTTTACCCTTTCTCGTACTCGCATACGCAGTACGCATTACCCTTCTGCCAAACTGGTTCCGTGCTTGGTTTTCCACCCCCCACGGCGGTGGACTTGCATGCCTGGCGTCCTTGGGTTTTGGTCTCGTCTACCTCTGCTTCCTTCTCTCGACTCTCTCCCTCTCTCTAGTTCGCCATGCCTAATCAATCCCCGACCCCGCCAACCGTGGCTGGAGCCAGACCAAAGACCTCATCTTCGTCTCTTCTATCATCCAATGCTGCTAGCAGTTCGCAACAATCTATATCCATGGCGTCGAGCGGAAGACCAGGCCGTGGTAGCACCCCAACCTTGACCGGCCCAAAACCAACAGCCAAGGCTGCGGATGGCGAACGACCTACACGCCCATCGAGTAAAGACAGCCTCAAGGCCAAGTTGAAGAAACCCGAGCTGGAAGGTCCGAGGCCCAGCAAGTCAGATGAGGTGAGTGGCCTTGCCTTGTGAATATCATCAAGTCACCGGATTGCTGATTGTACTTCCGTCCAGCAACTCAAGGTTCTCAAGGCCGATTTTGACAGCCTCCGCTCACACCTCACTTGCAAAATATGTGACCGCCTTTTATACCAACCATACATCATCTCCTGTGGACATACATACTGCTATAGCGTAAGTTCCATTGCTACTCATGGAGAATTGCACTAAACTGTGTTGACCAGTGCCTCTGCACCTGGTTCGTCAACAACAAGTCTCGAAAGACTTGTCCGGATTGTCGAGCTGTTGTGACGGAGCAACCAGCACCAGCATACTTGGTAAGTAGCTATCCTTTGCATGATATCATAGCACCCCCGCCCAATCTAACAAATCATAGATTCGCGAAATGACAATGGTCTTCATCACTCGAGCCGAACTTTTACCCGCGGGCGAGACGATAGAGCAGCACAGAAAATGGCAAAAGGAAGAGGCAGACCTGGTCCAGCAAGACAAAGATAGCCAAGACCGGCAGACGGGCGGTCTTTTCAAGGGCTGCTTCCGTGTGAGCCGCCCCACTCTTCGTGCCGTCAGAGACCAAGAGGATGGCGTCGAACGTTGCCCTCTTTGTGCATGGGAGCTTGAAGATGGTGAATGTGCACAGTGCGGCCTCCTCTTCGACGAAAATGGAGAACTGGGCTGGGGAGATTCTTTCACGGGTTTCAGCGACATGGACGAGATGTCTGAGCGTGACATGTCGGGAGAGGATCTCGATGCTGAAATGGACATGGATGATGTATACGACGGGTTCGATAACAGGGGCCCTTGGCCCGGCTACACAAGAGAGGAGCATGATTCATACATGATGCAGCGTTACCTCGAGCATGGAATCCCACCGCATGCATACGCCCCTCGCCGTCGAATGACCCATAGCGAGGCCGGGAGCCGTGGCAGATCCTACAGCCAAAGCATTGTGTCGGACATGTACACGGAAGAAATGGACACGGTTGAAGAAGAGGAGGACGAAGACGAGGTTGAAGATTCCTCAATGAATGACTTCATTGCGGAGGACGACGAAGAAGAAGAAGAAGCAAGCTCGCTTAGTACTTCTTCCACGCCGGGCCAAACCCCACAACCGTCTGGTAGTCGCAGGCCAGTGCAAAGCCGAGCCCGCCGCGTTGTAGAGTCCGATGCTTCTTCCACTACTTCCAGTGTCATCGAGGAGGAGGAGGAAGATGAAGAAGACCAGGGTCCAATTCGACGAGGCCAACGCAATCGAGCACAAACACGACTTCTCAACCGCGCGAATGGCTCTCGCGAACCCACCAGACCGCCTTCATCCGCCTCAACAGAGGCGTCACATGAACAGGACCTCGACGAGGATACACAAGCGTTATTACGAGCAGATGGATGGATGTTACAGCACGATGGGCCAGATGAGGAAATGGAGGGAGAAGATGATGATGATGATAGCGACGGAGGGCGCACGACCGTTGGGTGGGAACCGACCGCGAATTCCAATGACAGAGTCCGAATGGGCGGTTCTCTAACACCTACTGCAGATCGACCTCGGCCTAATGGCACCATACGACCCCCTTCGCGTACCGGCAACCCTCGATTCATGGACGCATCACGCGGCCTGCGACGGAGATCGTCCGTTCTCACAACGTCAACAATGAGTTACGAAGACGGAGAGGCGGATGATGATGACTCGGATAGGGATCAGGATGGTGATATTACCATGGCTATGAATGCACTACGACAGCGCCGTTCCCGCGCCCAGTTACGCAACTCCGTTGGGCTTCATCCCCACAACCCCAATGTCAATAACAGATTCGCGAATCGAGGCTTTTCCCAAGGTGACGCTATTGATTTGGATACTGATGACAACTCAGACACGTCACAAAATGGAAACCGTGGCAATGCTCCTCGTGTGCGTCACCCAGAGTACAATCCCCGGATCAGTTGGATGTTTGCAGACCATCAGCGTGCTTTGCAAGAGTTTCAACGTGGTGGTCCCCTTCTGGATCTAGAGGCTCGCTCAACGACTCCAATTGCTCGTCCGCGGACAGCGAATCGAGGCCGTCCGAGCCCAGGTCCTCAATTTTCGCCCTTCATGGCACCTGCACGTTTACGAACGCCTTCGATGGACCATCCGTCAGCCAATCCCGTTGGCATGCGAGGCTTGGTCTCCCCTCCGAGACGTTCAGTTGCTACGCCGACCAGCCCTGCCGCTACTCGTTCTGAGAACGCTCTCCTCATCAACACTGCCATGGCGACTTCAAACACCACCACCAGTGGTCCCGAAAGTGCCGCAGCCATTCGTGGTCAAGAAGGAGTTGCATCTACATCACAACAGCAAGCCAATGCAGTGTCTCAATTGCAACCAACATCGGTGGTTGATATCATAGATCGACCACTTAGTAGAGTGAGTGCACGGCCTCCATCGGCGGCGGGCAGACGAAATTCTGCAGGGTTTTCTCCAGTATATCAGGGATTTCCCCATTCAAGCGTAGGCCTCAACGTACCTGGAAGGATGATTCAGAATCAACGACTTGGCGGCAACCCTTGGGCACATTTGATGCAACAAAGTGTACGGCCGCGCAACTCTCGGCCTGTTCTGCGGGATCAATCATCCACAGCAACGTTGCGGCCGGCGAATTCTCGCATCAACATACGAGAAGCTGCAGGGCAACAGCAAGGTATCAGGCCGCAGGTGTCAAGAATAGATCTGCGGCACCAAAGCTCGCGAAGGCGACTCAATCCTCAAGCATCGACCCGTACTCTCCGCGCCAGCGAACATGCTCGGCCCCCTCCCTCGCCAGTATCGAACGCAGGGACTAATTCCTCGTCCATTGGCCAAACCACGTATCTATCGGAAGCTGAGCGCAACACAAGAGCTCGTGAACTTGTCAACAACAGGCTACGCTTAATTCAGCAACCAAACTCGAATCCCGTACGCACCAACCCCTTCACGCAGGGCTTTCGACAAGCAGTCAATGTCAACGAAAGAGTCGCTCCAGGCGCGACTCTCGGAGAGCCTCTCCATGTAAGGAGCAATTCCAACGAGAGTAATATCTCAAACAATTCATCCGCGACTGCTCAGTCTGGCTCTTCTTCTCCCAACCTTAACCGCCGTCGAAGTAACCGGAATATGTCGGCCCCGGCAGCCCCTCCGATGGCAACAAACCAAGGGAACTTCATCTATGCTAACGACTATCTACGAGCACAACAACGCCCAATTCACAACAGCAATCCTGTTTATGAATCTCCGCTGAACCCGCCAGCTCACAACATGAACACTATGGTCACCGCCAGTGGCCCACTCATATAACACTCTTCACCTCTGAAGCGCGGGGTGTGCAATCAGCCTATATGGTTTACACAGGGACGCCATACTGCACAAGGTGCATTACGAATCCATTCTACATTCTCTTTTGTTTTCGTTTTTATTTTTTACGTTGAAGGCCACTGCATCCTTCTTAGCATGGAGTTTGGTTTTGGGGGCATTCATGACTACCTACGAATATGAATATTTCCTTCTGTCTGTGGCGCTTTTGGAATCAAAATAGTATTCTGGCATTTTGTAGGCGTCGAGCTCTCTTTCACAACAGGACTGATACCAAATCATGTCGCTTGGTAGCGACCTCACGGGAATGGGTCATAGCGATACTGGCGCAAATTCATTGTTAGTGCTTCAGTAACATTTGCTTTCCGGGCGTGCTGTAATGACAAAGAAAGGAATATTTTGGATTCATGCCCACTCGTATTTGTTAGCCATTCAAGTGATTGCAATGCTTGTCACCATGCCTGCTTTATGTTCCATATATGTGTCTGACAAGTGCCATCTGAGTCAGTACTCACTATTTTGGCGGTACTAGCCTTGCTACGAGTACACGGTGATCGGCTATCTGTTGATTCAGAATAGTTTATTGTGAATATATGACTAGTTGCATACGGTGAGGTAAGCTGTTCCCTCAGTGATCGAAACATGGGGATCTTGAGGTGAAGTTAGATTCGCAATTTTCCCTTCAATCTAAAGCATGAAGTCATGTCCAAAGCAAACGGACTCCAAAAGGCCGACATAATGTAATGTTACAAGTTGTTTGAAACATGAGTTGGGCAATCATGGGGAAGATAATGGCGAGTTCGTTGTGAAATCGCTCTTCTGTTCCCCTGCGATAGTAAAAGATTGTGAAGTGACTTCAGCGAATGTGGATATCACTTGTCTGGTCTGTTACAGGATCAGTACTTCGAGTTCATCGGCTTCTTCGTTTGCTATTTGTAGCATCACGAGATAACTTTGTTTGAAAATCTCATCGTTCAAATGAGAAGTATCCTCAACCACTGAAGCTTTGGCGACTGGTTCTGTAGTCACTCTTTCACCGCTGTCCAAAACAAACAAAGGATAGTCAACAGCAACAACAATAACAACAACAACTTCACATCTCATACACACAACCTACAACAGTATAAAGAACCCTCGCCTCGGTATCGCTGCGAGCTTTCAACGGCACTGCCATCGAACTTGTGAGAGCCTGCCATGCCATTGATTATCACTTTCCTTCCAGGTCGCTGTTGCTATCCAAGTAATTGAGCTCTGCAACTACCCGCTTCCCCAACGACATTTATCGCTCCTAGAAGGTGGCTGCAGCTATGGTTACACTACCTTGGCTCAACCTTAGCCCGAGAAAGCGCAAACCTACACACGTGCTCTCCACAACATCATCGAGTGCTGCGGCCAATAATGACATAAAAGTTGACAACACGCCACATCCGCTCCATAAGCCATTCGTGGGTACCCGGAATCATTCGACGCGCAAGCCCGAGCATGGAATTTGGACATGCTGCAAGTGTAACGCACGAAATCATATGTATGCCCCCATGGGAAACCCTTCCTGCTCCCCTTCCTTACCTTATCAAAAAATCCCAGTATGCATGCTAACACATAATCGTCAGGCAACTGCGTCCCGGAAAGCATCCAATCGGTGCCGTCGCATGTCGGTGCCCACACCGACCTTGTGAGGATTGCCGCTTCTCTGGTTCATTGAGGTACTTCATGCCCATCACCGACCCACTCAGCATTCCAAGGGTCGACCGCCACCACAGCACCACCGGCGACAGGATGTCCGAAATCCCTTACGGAATCGTATGCAAGACGTGCGGGCTTAGCTGGCGAGCCGAAGAAGTGCGACGAGCACGCCGCGTCCCCAGCCTGAAAGAGACGTTCCGAGACCTCCAGAAGAACCGGCTGCACCCACGCGGAGGACGCCTCCAGAAATCCCAATCGATGCTCACGCTCAATGCTTCGCCGAAATTGGTGGTGGAGGATTCGTCGTCGCCGATCGTCCGCTCGACTTCGATCAGGCTGGCCGGCAGGAAGTGCACCTGTGGGAGTGTGTCGTCCGAGGATACCTTCTGCTTCCGCATCGTTACTGAGAATGAGTTAGGGAATTCACTTGAGTCGAGTGCGAGGTATTATAGGGAGCCTAGTAGGGTTACGGATGAGGAGCTCAGGGCGAAGGGGCATCATAATTCGGTCTTGTGCATTCGCAATGTCGTGCATCCGAATCCGCTTCGAAGAAATCCGGTTGAGCTCTAGAACGATTCACGGTTACAGTGACGCCATGAGACACCTCTCAAGAGGTTGAGAAATGAGAGGTAAAGAAAGAGTCTTGGAGAAGCTATTCCTCAACAGAGAAAGAGTTGGGGCAAATCAATGAGACGGGGTTATGAGAAACTGATACATCCTGGGTCAAGATAGCCAGGGAATTGCAATTGAAAGCTCTTGTGAGTCTTGTCGCATTCACGGCACAATGAGGACTTTGCACGGATTCTCGGGTGGTTGCTGCAGTTTCTCATGAGCCGTTCTTTGTACTATGATGCAGGTCTTCATAAAGACGTTTGACTGGGCTAGGTGTGACTCTACATGAATCACCACCACATGTTTGATTAATGAAATCCACATTGCACAAAAACAATGCTTTGGTCACATCGTAAAACGTGATTATGATAGCAGGGCCATGCTGGGGAGAGCACGGCACAGCACTGTCCTAAGGATGGCTTCAATCCCTCAAGTGACATCCATTTCAGTCAACAATCTGGAAGACTGTCCCGCTTGATCGTGTGAACAGTCATTCGGCCGCAGTTCTCACTCCTCTAGCAAGCGCACTATGTAGTCATCGGTGCAGTCCGTCACCCTGTTGGCTTGAGAATCAGGGGTGGTGATCTAGTCATCACCGCCCTTTCGCGCGGGTTGTATTGTCTACCTAGGTACCTGGGTGCCTAGGTACCTGGGTAAGTAAGGTCTAGCGCTTTGTGCGCGCCAAACAAACTCCTTCATTGTTTGCCTGAAGTCCCCACAACTCGTTTAAGACAGAATGCCTTGCTTTGAGCCTGTAAAGACACTATTCCTTTATGGTAGTTCAAAAAGCCTATCGGGTGTCCGCCTTCCATGTGGCTGATGAACGCCACAATTGAATCCTCAGGCTGTGCCTCTTAGTGTACATTGTACCTGGACAATGGACTATGCCACGAGCAAGAGTAGCATCAGGCGCGCGCGAAAGATCACAAAGGTATATAATCTCAAAGAAACATATGTTTTCCAAAGGATATCTCAATTCCGTTGTATTGTTTCGTCCTCTCACATCATCAAACCAACAAACTCGTTTGTTTCAAAGACTCCACACCATCCTTTATCGCGCCAGTTCCGTTTGCATAATGGCCTGTGTGTCATCAGCCCTACTACCCCGTGCGGTCTCAGCGTATGTACCTAGTCATACCCCACCTATTCACCATTCAGCTCTTTTTAAACTGACGATCGCCTTGCTTTCCAGCAGAACAACACACCAACACTCCAACAACAGCAATTGGAAACCCGCGCGGCTATCAAGAACATCGACAGAACCCCTCGCATCTTCAACCACAATCGCAAAGGATAGAGTGCAACAAATATCCCACCACCTCTCACCAACATCATCATCAACCATGACGACCGAGCAATCAGCACCGGAGACCGTGCCCGATCAAAAAAAGATTGCTAAACTGGATGAGCCCGTCCCAGACACATTCAATCAGCTCCTACCTCTCCCAGAAGGCTGGAAGAAGGATAACAAGCACCCCAAATTTCAGCACTGCCAACCTCCCAAACCACCCGTGTATCCCAAAGGCATGCAGTCCGTCTTCCTTGCCGGCAGCATTGAAATGGGAAAGGCCATCCAGTGGCAAGAGCGCCTGGTCGAACACCTCCAGCACCTTCCGCTGACCGTCTGCAACCCGCGGCGCGGGTCGTGGACGATAGACGGGACTCCAGCAGAAATGAAGAAGGCCTTTGACGAGCAGGTCAAATGGGAGCTCGAAGCCCTCGAGAACTGCGACGTCATCTGCTTCTTCTTCGATCACGCTACCATCAGCCCGGTGACCCTCGTGGAACTCGGCCTCTGGGCCAAGAGCGGAAAGGTCGTCGTCTGCTGCTCCAAGAAGTACTGGCGCGCATCGAACGTGCACTTCGTTTGCGACAGGTACAAAGTCCCTATCACCGACACCTTCGAGAACCTATTGCCCCTTGTCAAGCACAAGCTGCAGGAGAAGGGGATGAAGTTCCCCGATAGCGAGGACGTCAGAATCCCGCCCACGGTCTCTGATCTGAGTGCGCAGCCCACGAAGTGGAAGTTCGAGCGCGACGAGTGAGGTGCAGACGAGATGGGTATCGTGCGTGCATGACTTATGGCGTTGGCGGCGTTCTTTGGGGACTTTTTCTCATTGATCCTACTTGTTGCATTGGGAGGGGGAGTCTTTGTTTGATTCCCAATTTTCCTTTGTTATAGCATCATCACATGTTGGCCTCCTTTCTCTTGGTGGATCGCATACGGTTACGACTCAATCATCTTTCATGATCTTCGTGCATGTCTATATGGGGGGCATAACTAGCATTTTCATCTGTGTGATGGAGCGGGTTTTTGCGGACATCGTGAAGCATGTAACTGGCGGTGTTTCTACATACTACAATTCAAACGTTTCTCATTAAAACTTGGGTCTGACTACTTTGCTTGATGAAGGATCCTCTGTTGTCACTATCAATAGCCAGTATGAGACCGGCAATATGAAAAGTTGAGTATGTTGGTGACCAACGTGATTGTTGCGAATTTTTAAGACATCCGGGAATAGCCTCCCTATCGGCATAGAAAAAAGGTCCTTTTTAATTACTTTCCAGACGACTACATGGCAAGTAAGGCTATCTGTTCTGTATTTTTAGAGCTGTTGGAATGCTTTGAAAAACTTGAGATATTCCAAATGCTGTAGGCTTAAGTGAGGAGATCAGCTTTATAGCATCGATCCGTTCTGTGTGAAATGGGCATCAGGCTGAAGACATTCTTTCCAGTACCAAGTATGAAGACCCGATCCAGCGAATATGGTTCTTACCTTCGCTTAGTATTCGTTTTTCACCAATCGCCCATCTGCACGGTGGCCCTCGTTCCCTCCAGCTCGAGCGGGGGCTTCGCCACGCGCATGCATCACACTCTTAGGCGCGAGTAAATCCAAGAAGGTTTCGGTTAGCTACACGGGGGGTTATGGTTGCCTGGTTGCCTCACTGCAAATTGATCAATCAAGAGCAGATGGAGCTGCTATAAAGATGTGCTGATGGTCTCGATACGACTGCCTGAGACAACAACCGGAGACCCCTCTCCTCTGCAGGTAAATGCTCGCGCTGAAACCTTCGTAGGTCCAATCATTCATTCAAGAATATCTGTACAATACAAATCTCATTACTACTCGTAGTTACGATGCCTTGCACATGTCAGCGACGCATTACAAAAACCAAGTGGCTCAACTGTACTGCCACACCAAAACATGAAAAGGAAACAATTACTTTGGTGACCTGCAGCGAGAGCGAGCATACAGGATATAAGGATGTTTATACAGGAACCAGTCTGATCAAAGTGCCGGGACACTTGTGTCCTAAGTGTTAGTCGAATGGGCCTCTCACCCAGGGCAACGCGTTATTCATGTGTTGTTGGATTGCAAGAAGATCGGTGTGCTTCATTCATCGTACATAAGGGAGAGGCGCCATTAAACATGGATGCAGCTACTTCTTAAATTGGAACCAAATAGCTGTTTTCTCTCCAAATTTCTGTGGAAATCTTATGGGAATCTAATGGCCTGAACCAGATATCAACGGCTTCTCGATATCCCTTATGTCCTCTAGTAGTTCGCTTGCAGAATCATATCGGCAATTCCAGCACTTTTGTGTAACTTTTTGAAAAGCATGAGAATCGCTTGGAAAATCGCCGCTTGCAAAACGAGATATGACTTTCTCGTGCCATCCATCCTCTCCACTCACAATATCGGGGAAAACTTCATGACCAGTCATTATGAAGTAGATCGTAGATCCAAGCGCAAAGAGGTCGGTCTTTGGAGTAGATTCGAATTCATCATCTCGAGGGCAGAAGTACCTGCATGGTTCGCCGGACCACCCATAGACGATCTCGCCGTTCTCGGAGATGTAGTTGCCTTGGAAATCGGAAAGCTTGATGTGAAGATCCTTGTCGACTAAGACGTTTGTTGGCTGAATGTCGCAATGAATTACATCTTTTGAATGTACATACTCCACCGCTTCAGCAACCTCGCGACACCAGGCTACACGCTGCTGAAGGGTCGGAGGCCTGTGATCCGCCTCAGTGAGATACTTGTATATCGTATCGTTGGTCGCACGCTCGAGGAATAATCCAATATCTGTGAGCCCCTTTTGTGCAATAATTCGCGAATGTTGACCAAGTAGACTGAGCAATCTGTATTCGTGCTTAAGACGGCTCATGTCACCGCCTGGCTGGAGAGGGTACTTGAGGACGGTCGAGCTGTCGACTTCCCCTATAAAGGCGCTGGTCCCGACTGCAATGACACGCTTGACTCCTGGCGGGTAGTAGTAGTGGTACTCTATTATCTCTGGATCTTCCATAGCGGATGATGTGGATCTTCGAGCTTGTCTTTAGTCGGGGTTTGATGCGGAGCGCGCTCGTTGCGCGAGGGGTGACTTTAGGTCGCCCAAATCTTCATGGTTAACGTGAGCAAATATGAGATGAATTGATTTAATATTCGCTGTTTAGTTCACTGCCCCTCGAGCTTTTGTTGGTCGAAGGTAAAAGTCTAATTCAAAGAACTGGAAGCGATTTAAGATGGTGAGATGTAATGGAAACCCCGTGGAGCCGAGGTTTCTCCAAGGCTCCAGCCACTGGATTTCATGCATATTTCTCGGATTTAGTGGTGTCCGTAGGCCTACTATGCCACAATTGTCTCCCATCATCCCTTGTTCATATGTTCTATGAACATGGTCGTCCGTATAATGTGAGAAGGGCGAATCTCCCTCTTTTGTCTCATAGATTGCGTGTTTAGGATTGGCGACATTTATTGTACAATATTGACAACAGACTCTATGTGGATACTTAAATCGAGTACTAACTTATGATGATAATATTCTGTACAAACAGGAGCTTTTCCAGAGGATAGCCTTTGGTATGGTATCTAAGACAGCCTTGAGCTTCTATAATGAATTAAGGTCGAGCATCTTATTTCTATAATCTAATATCTAAAAGTCGACTCCGGTTCTACCCAAGCACAACTGTCGTGAACTCAGGCTCGGCATCCGCCCACGCAGAAGCATGAATCTGCCCCACCGCCAGCCTCTCCGCCCACCCATCCTTCGTTTCCTGAACCAGTAGAACATTGCAAACGCTCTGTGGGAATTTCCCATAAAAGCTATGATGGAAAGTATTATCGATATTCTCCTCATTCAGATCATCATCCAGCTGATTGACGAACGGACCCTTGGAGGTCCCAGAAATGAGGACGTATTGACAAGCTTTGCGATCCATCTTCGGTATGACATTGTTGAAGACGAGAAGACCACATGCCCTTTGGAGCGAGTCCATGATGCGATGGACGCGGTTTCTTGGGATAGCGTCGTGTGCCCACTTCTCTCCTGGTAAAAGCCTCGCTGGATAGAGAGAATATCTCGTGGAAGAGGTCTTTTCGCTTTGAAAGACGAGCAAGTTCGGCGGTCGGGGTAGAGTGATATCCAGGGTTTCCAGTATGGCTCGAAGACTCACATCCGTTGCTACTGTTGAGGTCCTCCTTTCTTGCGTCCTGGGGATGTCGACTATGCTAGGACTCCGCGCTTTTTTCAGTCCTACGTTGTAAATGTCGAGCTTGCCCGATGGGGTCGTGATTCCAAATTCGTCGATGTAATGCTCATCGACGTTCTTGGATATTCGGAAGTGAACACCACCTGTGATAGATGCCCAAGACCATGTGGGAAGTATCAATGATTCATCGTCCGAAGCGACTCTAGCTGGTTTCAACTCCGATGACATCCAAAGTAAAGACCCATCCAGGGAAGGGATCGGTATTCCACAAGAGAACGGCCAGCTCCATTCCCGGATCATAGAGCTAGTGATTCCTCCAAAGGCGTTCAAGCGATCTTTTTCGTAAGAGAACAACCTCTGCGAGTACTGTCGAGCTAATTGATAATACGCGTACCGCATTTCTTTATGCGACATGTTCGTCTCCCCTGGAGTCCAAGTCAGACTTGGAGAGAGACCGAGCGGATCAACGCTCTGTTGGAAATACTCATACCGGTCTTCACTCCAGAGTGCATTCTCACAGTGGAAGTACACCTGCTCATTCGTGAAGTAGAGTCGTCGGATGGAAAGAAATCGCTCTTGGAACGTCCACGCTCGACGTTCATATAGGGATTCCCTGAATACACTCGCAAGCTCTGATCTCTTCCGTCCAATATGGACATTTCCGTTCTTGCAAAACACTGCCGTGTTTCTGGAGTTGGGTAAAACGCCTGGCAAGCTACTCGACGCATCCTGGCCATCCATGGCGATCAGCGTACACACCGCGCCCCTGTAAATCTTGTCCATTCGGCCAATGTCTTCGAAACGAGCGGGGCTATCTTGTATAATACACAAAGTGTCCACCCACAGATACTGCTCTCCGAGCGCTTGCACGAGCAACATTGCGTCTATAAGTACTGCAGATATCTCCTTCCAGTGGTCGTCGAGCGAATAGTCCACCATCAATCGGTCGGCGCTGGCCTGGGTGAGGAGGAATTGCTGCACTTTGCCCCAAACATAGGAAAGCGCAAAATAACGAGTCCTTGAAGACAACCGAGCCAGCTTCCTCTTCTTCACGTCGATAAAGATCATGGGCATGTCCGTTTCTGCTTGCTTTGACGCATGCTGGCATCCGTCGTGATGCTGTTCGCAATAGGCGATCCATCTATTCAACAGGTCCGTATCAATGCACTTCCGTGGTACCTTTCGAAGTATTGGATGCCCAAGCCTCCTGTCATGATTGCCGGTTTTTAGTAGTGTTTCCAGATCATCATTCTCGAACTTTGATTCAGTTCGGTCGAGTACGTCCACTAGTAGGATGATATCCGTTATATCCCCAATCGGTGGCTCTGGTGAGAACTGCTGCTTTCCGGAGATATATTCTTTTGTCAATAATGGCGACCTGCCCAGTTGATGGAAGTTGAGATTTTTCAATCGTCGTCTAGTAGCAGCAGCCCTTAGCCCTTTCTCGACATTCTTCAACCATGCAATCAGTCCCGATCCATGGAAGCTATATGGCTGCTCTGACGAGATTATGGTACTGCAAAGTGCGCAAGACCATATGTGCGTTGCGCCGTGGTGCGATGCCTCGAGATTTGAGCGCGTAATATGCTGCACATCCCCGCTTCGAATTGCTGCTTGACAAGGTGCGCAAAGTTGGAGTAGTGAAGTTATGCGGTCTGAGGGGCAGACCGATGATTCCATTGGGAAGGTATGTAGAATTATTGAGCAATCTATAAGATGTATACAGAGAATAATTCAAGTACGAGACGCATGATATAGGGGAGACTCAGCCACTTGGAGGGCACAGCCTCCGCCTTGGGCGTATTCATCAACCCTGTTTGTGGGTAGCTTTTGACCATGCGAACATCATTTTATGCCATGCGCTAGCAAATCAAGAGCCTTGGAATCAGTTAAGTGGAACTGAAACTCAAGTTTGGGTTGGAGAGTGCCTCTGTCTGGTGTCAAGGTCCATACAACAGGGGCGCGAATCCTCCCCGTCTAGTGGAGGTTCTACGTTCAACTCACGATCCACAGTAGACATTCTATCATTGCTATCGATATGGTGCTACTATATACCAGTAGTTGAACTTCTATATATTATCTTTCAAATTTTGTTTCCACGACCTACTTTGATTACATATGAGATGCCACAGTTCTTCCCCCAAGGCCAACAATCGTATCGCTATTTAATAGTTCACGTCCACCTCCATTAGAATAACATTTTGTTAACCTAGATATTGCAGGTACCAATTTCTCCTGCATTTTGCATCGACATTTATCTTTTTTGTTCATTCCCTATCGATGAATCAGCCGCATGCAGGCTCTAAGCAAATCAGGCTACGACACGTAATCAGCCAATCCCAATGGGTAGCAGCTCGTTTAAATGCTCTCAGCAAAATTATATACCTATATTTCCATCCTGATTGACGATAAACATAAGGTTTGCCGAGTTGTCGTCATTTGATATCAGTCCCTTCCCTTGCATTTTACTCGGATCTGGATAGTCGTATAAAAAAGCTCAATCAAGCATGTCTAGAAAGACTGTCAAGAGGGTGGAGTATCCAACTGCCCGAAATTTCGATGTCCTCGGAGAACTAAGCCTTGCCTACCTTGCACAGAAACTTAGTGCAGCAGAGGACACTATAGGAAGAGGTTTATTGGAAATTAGTAGAACGAGTAAAGGAGCCGCTCTACCAAATCCGTCAAATACACTACCTCTAGAACTCATCAAGCACCTTCCAAAAGACCTCTACGAAACGTTTTCAGATTCTTCAAGTGAAAATCTCCCCACGGATTCCGACAACAACAGGAGGAAGCTTCTCCAAGCGGTGGAAGAGATGTTCACTGACCTGGAGCATTACAGTAGGCAGACCATAAACTGTTAGCTTGAAATATCTGAGATCGTTGTCGTAACTGGGCCATAGATACAATTCTTCTTCAACAAAAGAAGATAGATCGATTACCACCAGCTCGATCACTGCAAGATCTTCAAGACCAGAATCCCAAGCTGATGGGCTGGAGGAAGAAGCACGTCTCACTAGATCCTTGTGTTTGTCCGCCCAAGTGTCCTCCCAAGGGTCTACGTTGGCTCCTTGATTTATTTGGCGAGGAGCCGACCCCAGAGGAACAAGATCAGGGAGCTGGAAGAAGAGTGAAAAAGAGCAAAGTACTTCTCAAACTGCTTATCCTCGTTGTCCTTGCCTTGGTTCCTACAGGTTCCATAGTAGTACTATACGTCATTCCGAATACATACGGGCGATTAGGCGCCATCTTTGGTGGATCTATCATTTTGATTACTGGACTCGCGATGTCGAAATCAACGGAAAAGAAGGATGTGTTGGCTTATATGGTTGGGTGAGTCAACCCTTACAGTACTATTTTAATTGTATACTGATAATGTTTTCCTATGTAGTCTTGCAGCGATACAAGTCGTTTTCGTAGGTTCAGTCATTGAAAACAAGTAAGACCAGTCATGGTGAGTGATATATGGGAATGCGCGGAGCATGTGTTGACTCATGCGCTTTGAATTTGAGGCACCTTGTAGATGACAGTGGAAAATTAAAGAAGGAAGAATATTCTTGGAGCTTCAACGAACTTCCAAGTAGATGTTGACATCGATGGATATCAATACTTCCCTCCTCTTCTTACAACCGGCTCACTCACTTGTACAGTGTCCTCAAAAGTCTACCGCAATAGGACACTTGATAGCGAGTACACTTATGGTGTGTTTGTCAAGCCAACAAACAACAAACAATTTCGAAAGGAATCCCCTTACACCACCTGAAAGAAATACAGCATGCAGCAATCATAATATACACTGAAACGCGATATTTTATAAGTGATCGTTATTCCGCTCAGGACTCAACCCTCAACTACGTTACTCACATCATCACACATCTTCCCACATCTCCACCATCGGAACAATGAAAACCAATCTCAGTATCGGAGACTGCGGAGACTTCCCAGTACGCTCAATCTCATGGGTGGAGAACAAGGCTTGCCCTGAACATTGCTTGTCAGGCCACACGATCACTTGTCCGAGAAAATGCTTCGTCACGTTATGGGTCATCGTTCAAAACCCTCAAAGCGGCCACGAAACGACAGTTCTAGCATCTATCGGGGGCAATCCAGAAGGAGAACCAATCCTCGACTTTCTCACACTCGGTACCTATACAAACAAGATTACGGACACCGCGAAGCGAATCGAAACTCCCGTACAGACAAAATTGGAAGGGTTCAACTTGAAGGCGGTTGTTGACAGATTAAGCGACCTCAATCAGACATTGGAATTCGATCGAGAAGGCGACCCTCATCACAAGAAGTGGGCAATTCGACAACTTGAAGCGTTAAGTGGCTGGCTCCTGAAGGAGGAGAACATCGATGTGGCAAGGGGAGAAATGGATAGTGCCTTCGACAGCTAAATTGTTCGGCTTCGAGCATGACGACATGGCTATGGCCCTTCCCGATCATTTTGAAAAGACTTGTCGTTCACCACAATATTCTTGTTACAATTAGACGGTTCGTCTACTGTCCTCTGATCTTCAGAACAATCAAAACTTCACCCATCCCCATGACTCCTACCTCTGCATGCACAGTGATCTTTGCTGAGACTGTTATTGTGAAACGCACGTATTGCATGCACCGAGATGTCCAGTACGCCGTAGATTCCAAAGACAAATCTTAGGAAAAATCTTAAGTTCACTCCTTGAGAAGAAATACCGACGAAAACAGGGCTCTCGCGAGGTCAATGTTGTGTAACCGACTGACTGATTGACTACACATATGAGAAGTCAAAGCTGTTGATCACTTGCATAGGATTTCGCTCGCCGAGACTCGTCAAACAATCGGAGTTTGTGTTCATCATATTCTTCGTGGTCTCTAGGTAGAGTAATTTCGAGACATACATTTCCCTTGCTTCATATGAAGCTGTCATCAACGTCCTGCATAGGCACATAACGTAGATTTTTAGCCGCACATTGACTCGGCGACTCTTCCATATAGCTCATCACCATTATCATCGGTTTGAGCTTGCAGTGCGAAGGCTTGTTGCCTCTGAAGGGTATCTGATTTGCTGTCAGGCTAAGTATCACCGAAAAGCCAAAGTCGTGCTCATTACCTTTTAGTCTGCAATCTGGGCGCCTTTGCCCGTCCAGAATTTCCAATGGCCAATTGTTATCAACAATTTCCGTACAATCCTCTGTGTATTAATCCGAATCGGACACATCCATAGCTGCATCGTCGTCTTCATCCTCACTCTCCTCGTCCCTACCCCTCTTCACACCCTTCGTACTGTCTTCGGGTGCGTTCATAGGTTTGGCCTTTGCAGGCGCTGCGGATCCAAACACGGCTTCGTGAGCAGTCGAGGGCTGCTCCACAGGCTTCGCGGGCTCCTCCTTCACAGGAATCTTGAATGTGCCGTCCAGTTTAGCGATGGTGTCAGACTTGCTCTTGGCGTATTGTATCCGCTTTGAAGATTAGCTGAAGGCCAGAATTGACGTAAGCTTGGTACTTACCATCTCCTTGCCGAAGAAATTGAAGCCGTTCAGCGCACGCATCGCCTGCGTGCTCGAATCGATATCTCGGAATACAATGTGCGCCTGGCCCCTCATCTGGGGTGTCTTCAAAGCTATTATGTCGAGGATAACGCCGTATGTCGCAAAAAGCATGTACAAATTACGCTTGAGGTCATCTTTGGGGATCTGGTCGGGGAGGTTGTTGCAATAGATTCTTTGAATATGAATACTGGCGAACGAGGAATCGAATAGGCAGATTTCGAACTTACGTCTGGTTCTCTTTGACAGGCTGAGCCTGTGATTTAGCGGCCATGGTCTGGAAAAGTCCAAATGCGAGGGACGTGGGCGTTGCACGAGATTTACCTGGATTAGGTGAACTCAAGCGGAGGTTGGAATTGAAGCTACAAAATGGTGCCAAGATTTCGGCCCGTGCGCTTGGGCGATGTCATGCCCCTCCAACCAACCTCAAGGTACCTACAGCTTTACATTCAACTTCCACAACCTTAACCTACCGATCGATCCTCACCCTCGCCGGCAATAGTAGAGAGCTCCTCCTATTGCAAATAACCAATTAATCAATATGGGCGCCCCCGAAGTACACCACCTCTTCCACCATCCCATTGCGGACCATTCCTTCTCTGCCGACCGCCAGACCCTCGCTGTAGCCCGCGAGAACAATGTCGATTTGTACGAGCGCTCCGGCGGCAAGTTCGAATTGAAGGATGAGCTCACCGGCCATGACAAGACCGTAACCGGTGTTGACATTGCCCCCAATACCGGCAAGATTGTGACTTGTTCTCAAGGTACCACACTCCCTATCATCCCAAGTTGACGATTAGGCAAGCTTACTTACATCTCGCAACAAGACCGCAATGCCTACGTATGGGAACCGTCGCCCGAGGGCTGGAAGCCAACACTCGTCCTCCTCCGCATCAACCGCGCAGCCACCTGCGTCCGCTGGGCCCCGTCCGAGACCAAGTTCGCCGTGGGTTCTGGAGCCCGCCTGGTCCCCGTGTGCTACTTCGAAGAGGAGGACAACTGGTGGGTGTCCAAGCACATCAAGAAGCCCATTCGCAGCACGATTACGGCAGTCGCCTGGCACCCGAACTCCGTCCTCCTCGCGGCAGGTTCGACCGACGGCCACGCCCGCGTGCTCTCCAGCTTCATCAAAGGCGTAGACGCGCGGCCGGAGCCCTCGGCCTGGGGAGAGCGACTCCCATTCAACACCGTGTGCGGCGAGTTCCTCAACAACACCGCAGGCTGGGTCCACAGCGTCGCCTTCTCCCCCTCCGGCAACGCCCTCGCGTTCGCCGCCCACGACAGCAGCCTCACGGTCGTGTACCCCAGCGGGCCCGAGCAGCCCCCCCGCGCCGTCGTCAGCATCACCACGCAACTCCTCCCCTTCATGTCGCTCGTCTGGAGCAGCGAAGACGAGATCATCGCGGCCGGCTACAACTGCGAAGCCTACCGCCTCAAGGGCTCCGAGCAAGGCTGGCAGCTCTCCGGCTCCCTCGAGTCCAAGGGCCGCCCGGGCATCGAGCAGAGGGAGGAATCCGCACTCAACATGTTCAGGCAGATGGACCTCAAGGGAAAGACCAACAGCGACGACACGAAGCTCAAGACCGTCCACCAGAACACCATCAGCACCATCCGCAGCTTCCAGGACGACGGCGCCGGAAACGTCAGCCAGATCAGCTCTACCGGCGTCGATGGCCGCGTTGTTATCTGGACTTTGTAGATCTAGCGTCGTCGCGTAGATTATGTGCATGCTACTGATAAATATCGAAGAATAATTTATGCATCTTTGAATCATTGGTTCATTTGATTGTTGACTTCAAGGCGGTACTCATTATCATCAAAGATACACATACATATCTCAAACCAATCAAGTATTTTCACACTGACACGTATATCAATCTAAACCCAAATTCAATCTAACACATCTTATTCCGTAAGAATAACAAAGACATGATGGAACATATTCCCATTCATCAACCAATCAATCTATGTCTCGCATGCCCACACGCCAATACTTATGAGTTGAGTTCGTGCAAAATGCCAAAAGCGTAAGTTGTAAAAAAAATAACAATATATAAAAGCCATTTGGGATATCACAATCAACGATTTCAAAACCTCCCCTCCCCCCAGTTCACCCGTCCGTCCACCCGTCCACCAACAACCCTCCCAAAATGAAAGGGAAAAAAAACGCCACCCTTGCCGCTGTTCTTGCCTTGAGAAAAGGAAAGGCGATCCGACCGTACCCCCGGTGCTCGTGGATGGCATGGCATGTAGATAAATATCTAACGATGGTGTGGTATAATATAAAAGTACACGAGGAGAGAATCTGTGCTCCCCAATTCTCTCCCCCTCCCCCTTCCTTCAAAAGCCCAACCCAACCCAATCATCCAAAGCCAAGGAAGGACGGATTAACGCCAAACAGCTCATTCATCTGCTGCTGTTGCTGGTGCTGGTGCTGCTGTCCCATCCCCGCCGCCGCCCCACTACCGCCGTTGAGGTGCGTGTTCCCAGCGGCGGGCGACGCCGCGTCGTTGAGGAACCAGCTCCAGTCCTGGTCGATGTCCATGGGCATGTTCTGCCAGCTGAAGTTGTTGGTGGGGAGCGGGAAGTTGTTCATGCTGTCGTCGTTGATCTGGGAGCCTAGGGTGGGGCCGTCGGCGGATTGGGATGCGGTGGAGGAGAGGGCAGGCGTGGGGTCGGCGGTGGTGGGGAAGTTGTAGAAGCCGTCGTAGGAGATGAAGGGGTCGTTGTTGTTGCCGGTGGGGTTGTTGTTGAAGTTTATGGAGGTGGTGTCGGAGGCCGGGGTGGGTTTGCCGGCGGTGGTGGTGGTGGTGGTGGTCTTGGAGAGCGGGTTGTTGAAGAAGTCGGTGGACGAGTGCGCGGAGAGTGGCGTGAATTGCGAGGGGCTTGTCGCGGTGGATGAGGCGGATACGGTGCGTGCGGTGCCCATTCGCTGCTGCTTGCTGGCGGCGGTCGCCGTTGAAGAGGAGAAGGACTTCCGTGCGTTGGGGGTGGTGGTGTTGATGTTGCAGGGCGGCGGAGGTCCCGGGTTCGCCATTCCGCCGCGTTTAATGGATATCGTGCCGAAGTAGGGGATGACGAACTCGGACATGGGGCAGCATTCGTCGTTCGGTCCCCCCTCGGCCTTACCGCTGTCGATCTTCAATTTCATGAGCATCTTTTCCAGCACTTCCGCTGATTGCAGGGCGACCTTTCCGCCCTTCTCCGACGACGCGCGGCGGAAGATATCGATGCTCATTTCGATCAGGCGGACGTCGGATTCGTGGTCCTTTGGAGAGACGATGCCGTTGGCGCCGAAGTTGAAGAGCCCGAGCATGATGAGGACGGCGGAGGTGAAGCCGATGAAGTCGACTGCCTTGCATTCGTACAGTGGCTGCACCTCGCCCGTGCGGGAGGCCTGGTAGCTTCGAAGCACTTCGCGAGAGCCGTTGAGACAGGCGTTTCGGCTGTATGTGAATCGACTATTTGCCTGGGACTTCAGCATAAAGGGCAGATGGAGGTAAACTCTGATCTGGTGGAAGACCATTTGCGCCATCAGGCGCTCGCGTAGTTCTGCGGCGTTGGATTCTACGTCTATGAGAAGGCTTGAGTAATCGATCCAGTTGGGGTCGAGTTGTTTCCACAAGTCTTCGAGTTCTTGGTCAAGTTGCAATGCCCAGGCGAAGGACTGCTCAGCAATGCCTTGATTCCGGTCGATAACTTTGCCGGCGATCTGGGATATCCTGTTTATGAATATGAGAGGCGCCATGTATTCTCCGCCCATATCTGGCAAGCTGAGATCACAGTGGGAGTCGCAAATTCCATACGGTAGGCCGAGGAGTAACGAAATGAAGCGGTCGCCGTGATATAGAGACCACCAGATACTCTCGTGCGCTGCGGAATTTGTCCGTTTCCGATGGAGGCCCTTCGAAATGTTAGCAACTTCAACTTTATCTATGCAGAATAAAAGCGGCTCACCATAAGCTGAGCGTAACCTATTCCTTTGCGATATGCTAGCCACGCTCGACGAGGCTGGCCAACATCCGCATACCACTTAGCCTTCAAAATCAAGCATTCCATTCCCTCCAGCGTAGCCGCGTATTCGTCGTCAGATAAGACCCATCGATCAATAGCCTCGATATACGGATCAATGTCGCCGCCATCGTCGGCCATACATATAGCGACAGAGAGAACGACAGTACCGATGGCGCCAATGTTTCCCTCGGCCAAGGCTTGCGAGGCAAACTGGGGGAGGGTCTGTTCGGCGCTCGAGGTGCCACTGCACTTGCGCCTCCAAGTCGTCCACCATTCGCTATTGCTGTTCAAGACCTTGTTGAGCTTATCGAAAGGTGGAAGTGCTGCCATGAGAGCTTGCTTAGCACGCTCCTTCTTGGCGTTGTACGGTGCTGAGTTCTCGGCTGACAAGTCGGACTCATTCTTGCAGGTCACGGTATATCGATGTTCTGTGGTGATGCCAATGCCTGGATAAGACTCCTTGCGCGCAGCTGGATCCATACGTGCTTTCATTTGCTCCTCGGCATCATTGAGCTATATTTGTCAGCACGTGCGTGGGCTCTGATCAGGTTTGGACCTACAGCATCTTCAAAGGCAGACAGTATGGGAACATGATTGCCGCGCTCGGATACTGCCCTCTGGCTTTGATGTTGCTGCTGCTGTTGAAAGAATGATGATGATGCTTCCGATGATAGAGGAGTCGGCGGGAATGTGTCCTTGTGAGTGAGATTAGGGGTCTTGGAAGAGCTGGTGTCCGGTATGCTCTTCTCGGTCTTGTCCTCGAGCAGAGAGTCGACGAGGGCCTCTAGACGTGACACCCTCTCGCGAAGGTTCTTTCTGTGATCCACGACGACGTCAGGGTTGGCATTTTCTTGGTCGATACATCGTGATCCTCGAGCAAAGCATTCTGAACAGACTTCAGGGTTATCTGGAGGGAAAATGCATCGAATTTTGCGCCGACGACCTAAGCAGGATTAGGAGCGGGTCGTCATAAATTATATCGTCGAGAATGATAGGGTGGATGGCGGTTTCAATCAATAGTGGACGGGTGCAATGATACAGAAGGAGAGATAGATGGCATTGACTTTGTGGAAGAGTGGTGTCTATGAAGAGTGGGAGGGCGTGAATGTTTTGGTCAAACGTACATTCGAAGCAACTATGCGTCCCCTTGCGCATCTTCTTGCGGACGGCAGCGGATTCTTCCTTGGGCATCTTGAATTGCTGGCCAAGTCAATTTCGTCCGTCCAGTATGAGGCGAATGGATATGTATAGCCTTTGAGGCAACCGAGGTGGAACCTCAGGATCAGATAATTGGAAAAATAGAAAAACCACCCACAACGTCACTCGATCAGAAAAGACAATGAAAGAGAGATCGAAGCTCAGGTATCAATGGAATTGGAAATGCAAATTATGGGTGGCTGTGTGAGAGCAGAGAGAGACTGTAGAATGTGCTGGACAGGCTTCGTCCGGATGTTCGTCCGAAAAGACCGAAGCTGATGTAAGGCGAGGGAGTAGTGCTGATTTTGAAAGTGCGAGAATTAGCGTCGAAGCATGTTTGTGGTTAGAGCTGTTTCATGGAGAGCTTTATCGCTGGCCTGTGGGGGACTGTAGAATCCTATATAACTTGCTCAAGAGTACGACATATGTCTGTGTATAGTGAAGCAGGCAGGCTGAAGGATGATTGCGCGTTTTGCGTATGTGAAGGTTTCCAAGCTGTCCCGTTGGAGAGTGGGTTGCGAGAGATGAACGCTACCAGCCAATAGGATGTCGCCCTGCCCTAGGTCTGTTCCAGGGGAGCCCCCGATTCCTTCGAAGACTCGACTTTCAGGCGAGCAATGCTGGGTTAGACTCTTGTCTTGATCTTGTCGTGATTCTTTAGCGGAGTTAACGACTGGGACGTTGATCACACAGTAGCTTGTTCACGAGCCATATGCATATGCCATCATGTACGAGTACAAAAGGAGCAGCCCATCCACGCATCCTCGTACATCTGTCGTCGGAGGTCGGAGGTGAAAACGACCGACTCTACAGGGCTGATGGCAATCTCGTTGCAGCGACGGAACGGGACAAGAGTACGAGGTATCTCGTACGAATGCTCGTTGTTATTGAACTACTCATGCACAAACTCGCACCGTACCGTACGAGGGGAGCGAGGTATTTGCCCATCTTCCCAGACGTTGATCACCAGGTATACGAGAAGAGGCGGGTACCGGAACTGTGTGTATTGCAGCCATCCGACCCACCCCCGCACGAAAAGTGGTGCTCAGTAAGAATGAATCACGATGAGCTAGAAGGCGACATAGCGAGTGTGAGTGGTGGAGACTGGGGAGAGTGAGAGATCCAGACAAAGGGAGACTTGAGCCAGAGGAAGCCAAAGGGATGGGCCAAAGGCAGCCAGAGGAAGGGCAGCAGTATTGATCTAGTCGTACCAACCACCAGCTATGGGGGTGTGAGACAATATTGGGATGGATGGAATCATGGGATGGGATAGGATGGAAAGGAAATGGAATTGGGATTGGAAGGGGAGGATGGGATTGGGTGAATGGAAGGTTGTCCACTATGGTTGTTATCGATAAGTCACCCATTGAAGACTACACAGTTACCAATACCAGACTTACCGTCATAGGTTTGACCGTATCCCGTATAGCGCCGATTGGGTAAAGCTCTCTCAGCAACCTTAATGCAGGAACCGTCATACTCTACAAAACCATCCCACAATCCTCTCCCTCACTCTCTCCCCATTCCATTAATCCTATTCTGCACGTCGAACTGCAGACGACTACTCCCACTCCCACTCCCCGAAGATTCCCATCATACCAGAATTCGGTTGTGTCGCCAGGAAATAGATAGCACCGGAACTAGACACATCAAAAGGCATACAGCACCACTACCACATTAGGCCAACATAGCTCAACACGAGCTGAAATCATCACGATGACGACGCAGACAACACAGCAACAGATCCATCTGCCTCCAAGTCCACCTCCATCACCGCCAAATGCAAGGCGAAGGCAACAAAAGAAGAAGAAGAATTCCGATCCATTCCTAGATCTCGACCTCACACCTCCCCATCTTTCACCAGCATCAACTCTAGACTTCGACTGCGATGCGCCTGAAGTGAAAGACTCCCTCGTCACCCAGGTACATCAATCCAACGCAATCATACTCCCTCGTCGTATCTAACAAGCCCACCAGCTATTCGTCACCCCCATCCTCTTCTCATCATTCATCATCTCACTCACCATCATCAACCTCCGCGACCGCGCATACCGCTTCGCAGAGCACAACCCCACCGCCAACACGATGCTATCCTGGGTATCCCCCTCCGCCTGGCTCGACCCAGAACCCTACCAGGACCCCATCGACAGCCGCTGGGAGCACCGCAACGCCGACGGCACGCACGTCGCCCCCAACGCCGTGCTCAACCCCACGCAATCATCCGGCGGCGGCGCCCGGAAGACCCGGTCGTGGCACCTCCGCAAGAAGATCCGCAAGATCACCAAGATGGAAGTCAGCGACGCGTTCGAGATGCGAAAGCGCGTCATCGTCGTCATGGTCTCCCTCTGGATCCTCATGGGCTTCGGCGTCGTCTACAGCGTAAAGTGGACCTGGAACAAGCTATGGTAAGGGGCTCTCCACCTCCCCCCATTCGCTACCATTCCATTCCTTCTCAAGATTATTGTTATAATGATTTTGAACGAGTGAATGAACGAATGAAAAAAAAGAAAGAAGAAAAATGTTCATTTTCGAAAAATTCATACTTACCCTTTTCTGTGTTTTCGACGATTTAAAGGACCCGGCCCATACGCTCCTGCCGAAACTTCTTCTCCAAAATGTTTTCTTCCTCCAAGAAGGACTAATGAATTGAAATGGAATGGAATGGAAAATCTTATAGACTAAGTTGCCTGCAAAAAGAATATCAAGTGGTTTGGGAATTGCGAGGCTTTCAGGGAGCATTGTTTTGCATGTCATACGGAACGGGATAGGATGGGATGGGATGAGTGTCTTTGTCCAAGAGGACAACAGCACACACGCATACACGAATGACTTTACGACGCTGGCGTTTTGGAATTAGTCAAGAAATGGCTTTGATCAGTATCAACATCAGTATCAGTATCACTAATGAATCGACATACTTTCATCCAAGACAGATACAAATTCAAACAAATTCAAAAAGAGAATAAACACCATGCACGCTTCCAATCACCGTGAAGATAACAAACAAGCTCAGAAGACGTCTCATTTCCAGCCCCAAAAAAGGATACAAGATAGAAAGACCACGTTTTCCTTGCGTTCTTGATTCTCTTCGTTAGTACTATCAACACCAAAGTCATATCATGTACATGCAACCCCCACCTCCGTCCTATCTACCACCCTTAAAAAACTCAACACCACTCCTATCCCATCCTACCCTGTTATTTAGACAACGAAATAACAGTCAGAGGCAGGCATATACATACCCCATGTATTTATTATCTGTAGTCTCATAAAACAAAAACATACTGCTATAAAACACTGTCATGGAACTCAAGTTACTCCCTCCTTACTTACCTAGGTACTTAGCTACAAGCCTGCCTGCATAAACATCTTTCACTACTTAGGTACTCTAGGAAGAGGGAAGGGGGAGAGAAGGCAAGGGAGTAGGTTATTCTGAAGACGTCTGACAGATACGGATTGAAAAGGCACTCATGAACAGGGAGATAGATAAGATGGAGACACAGACACACCCATTCCACGCCTTAAGCAACACCACATCACTAGAAGCATCAAAGAAAGGGGGAGAGGGAAGGGGGAAGGGAAGGTTGAGTAGAGTCGAACTAGCAGTGGCGGGGGATTCATGTAGATTTGGGTTTGGATTTGATTTGGATTTGATTTGATTTCATTTATTAATCGATCGAAGAAGAGATCGAATGAAGAGAACCGAAGGGAAGGAAAAATGCTAGATGGGTAATGATGATGGGTTCGTAATGATAATGCCGAAGAAGAAGAGGAAGAAACCACGTCAAACCTCACCTCACCTCCACGAAGAAAAGAAACACACGAATCAGTGAAGAAAGAAGAAGAGTATCAGAAAGAAAAAAATAAGATAACAGAGAAATGCAACATAAAAATGCATATCGATCAATCATGAAGAACCGGAATTTCCTCTCTTGTTCCATCGGCACAAACAACAACAACACTGAACCCAGACCCCCTATTCCCTCCCCATCACTCCCCCGAAATGTGTGTGTGTGTGTGTGTGTGTTGTGTGGGAAAATTGACGTGACACGTCGGGTATCAACCAAGAAGAAACAACCCCCTAGACCCCAGACCCCTAGCACCCCTGATCCTGATATATCGGCCGTGTGTACCCCCTGTTTAAATACTTATCACCTCCGCGATGCTTCCGATCATTGACGTCGTCGTCGTGTCCATGCCTGCTCGCATGTGCTGCGCCGCAGTGGCAGCAGCGTCGTCCAGCTCCAGTCTGATGAAGATGTCGAGGTCGAAGTCTAGTCATGCTTCGGTGGTCGGGGCGAAGAAGAGCACGATCTCCCCGCGGTCGTTCTTCTTCAGGCGCAGACTCTTCCAGAGCTCCTTCTCCTCGTCGATCTTCTCGTCGCCCCGGTCGTAGCGCTCGCGGTGGTACCGCTTGAGTGCCTTGTTGACGCTCATGCCGCGCTCTGAGTCGGGACCCTTGTTGATGAACGACATGAAGAGGTCGGCGCGAGCTTCTTCCTCCGTCTTCACGGGGGCTAGCTCTCCGTTCTTGCGGACGATCAATGCGCCGTTGCCGTTCTCAAGGCCGGGCGACCGAGAGCCGGAGCGGTGATACTCGATGGCCTTGACGGTCTTTGGCTCACGGGTTGGCGAGACTGACGAGGAGTACTGGCGGCGGCGACGACGATCCGAGTCGCGGGGCTTGCGGGCGGAATCGTCACGCCTCTTCTTCGGCTTGATCTTCACCAGCGCGCTGCTGGCCTTGTGCTCCTTCCTCTCCTTGCGCTCGCGGTCCCGGCCGCGTTCCCTCTCCTTCCTCTCTTCTTTCTCGCGTGCGAGCTCTTCCTTCACCTCGGCCTTGCGGTCCTTCTCTTGCTGGAGGTCCCACTCGCGTTGCGCGCGGGCGAAGGCCTTGGAGGGGACCTGTCGCGCGCGCTTCAAGGGGCTGAGTGGGGACGCCTCGACGTAATCGCCAGAGTAGTCAGGTGATGGCGGAAACTCGGGTCGGGCCAGGAGGCGGTTCAGACCCCCAGTCAGGCCAGAGTGGAGCATCGGTGGCGCATCTGACATGATCATCTCTCGTTCCTGCTGCGCGTGTACGAGCGACATGTCGAGCTCGGCCGGGGAATTGCGCTTGCGCTTGCGGTCCGTCTTCTTCGAGACGGTGTCGAGATCCTTGTCGCGTGATTTGGTCCTGGAGTGCTTTGACTTGGGTGCGGGCGTCGTGTAGTCTGGGTTAGGGGCCTGTTCCCTAACGTTGTAGGCCGAGTCGTAGCGTTCGCTGGTGGGGCGGATGGGTTCGTTTCCATACGCGAAGCCGTCGGTCTTGAAGTCGTTATCGTCGTCGTCGGCCACTTGATACTTCATGACGTCCGTGATTGACACCTCCTTGTCCTTCTCCTCGTAGGGCGGCGGTACGCTATCCTCAATCATGTGCGATTCGGGCGCGACTTCCATCCTGGACACCGTAGGGGTCGCCGAGGGGTCAAGGAAATCGAATACATTGACGTCGGGTAGAGCAGCAGGCTCACGATGCTCGTAACCTAAGGATCGAGAGGCAGGAGGGGGAGTGGGTGCGCGTGGAGGAGCGTTGACGACCGCGACCGCGCCAGCGTCTGCGTCGTTGGCATCCTCGACGTACGCATTGCGTGGGACGAGCGCTTGGGAATCGTTCTGCTGGCTGTCTTTTTTTTGGTACTGCGGCGGTTTCTTTTTCTCTTTATAGAGTTTGCCCTGGTACTTTTGGTCTTCGGTGATGCAGCTCTGTGGGGCGATTGTTAGTCGCTGGTGGACGGGACGAATAGCAGATTTTTCCGCCCGCGGAGGTCGACGTGGACAAGATGGAACAACAAATTGTTATACACATTGAGGGAGGTATGGAAGGCGAGGCGGTTGTCGCCATGACGGATATGAGGGGTGAATCGTACCGTATGAGCCTTGTAGCTGTTGCCCTGGAAGTGCACCATGCAGTCTAAGCAGGTGAAGGATGCGCCGTAGCATTGATTGCGATGGCCATCGAGTTTCTTCTTGGTGAGGACATCACCACAGTTCTGTTCGTAAGAGGGACCACTTGTCAGCGCATTGTATACATGGCATTGGGGACCATCCAGGAGGTGCAATGAGGGGGGAAGGGAGTCAAGCGCAAAACAGGGTGGTGCCGTGATAGGCGCTTGGAAGGTAAACAAAAGAAAAAAGAGAGAGAACCTACTTCGCAACTGAAGCTCACCATGCCTGCGGTGTGCTTGAGGATTGGGAATGTTAGGAGAGCGCGGAAAGGAGCGGTGAGTAGAGAGTGAGTTGGCAGGAGGGAAGAGTGACGATATTGAGGGTCGAAACCTCCTGTTAAGGCGAGGGAGGGAGAGAGAGTAGGATGATGCGGCGGGGAGGAGGGATGGTGAGTAGGTGGTAGGGTTGTTAAGGTTTCAAATGTCCTGGTTCTGCTACTGGGAGAGTGACACTGACTGTGAGGGCCAAAGCCAACACGCTCAAACGCGCCAGACCAGGGATTTTCTTCCGTCTCAATCGGGTTTAGCCTCTGTCTCTGTTGTCCCTGACCCTGTCTCTCTCTTAACCTAATACAATACATCCTCATCCTCTTCTCATACCAGCTCCACCAGATACTCTCTAGTTGGGTACTGCGCACTCCGTAGATAGTCACTGAACTGTGTACTCTCTTACACTGCCGCCCGCGCCTCTGCTCGTTCATGCACACTCTCTGCACACTGCACACTGCACACTGCACATACACCCAACCTGCAAGCCTGCAAGATGCGATCTCCCCTCCCTACCCCCCAGTGCAGGGCTAAGAAAGAGTAAGACAAGGAACAAACACCCAAAAATAATCACGCGACAGGTCCAAACACTACGCCAGCGGTCCCGTGTGGACAGTTCGAGCCCGCCATCCACAGCCCTTTGGCAGCCACATGCGCAGGGGGGGACGGATCGACAGGGCAGGGCTCTGCTTGCTCGAACCGCCCACGCGGAGTGCGAGTGTGTCGTCTGAATGGATTGATTGATTGATTGATTGCTTGATTGACCGAATGAGTGATGGATTATTGATGCCTCGTAGTTAGACCGAACGGATTTGATGGACGGACTGGCTGATTGATTGACGGGACTATTGGTTGATCAATCGATGGACTGACTGGTTAATGAGAGTGAACGATGATCAGTTCACAAGAATGAACTGCACGCCACCATCGTTCTTATCTCTTACGAAGACTCCGTACAACCATACGATGACGATGACAGAAGTCTCCATTCCTACGAGATACTTGGATGATTGTCATCATAGCTGATAGATTACTATACGGGACTTGGTCTTGTTATTGTTATGGGCCTCCTTACTCACTTCATCGGATACACTCTACACACTACACACTACTTCGTACTCGTAGAAGCACACGACACGGTATCCAGAGACATTCATGGCGAACAAAACATCCCAGTCCTTAAGTTACGACTAGACTAGACTACGGACAACACAGTACCTAACGTGTCTAACTAAGTACCCTTCCCTGTACCTATGATATGCTGTATGACCTGGTATCCACGCCGACCATATCATTCATTCATCTCACCCATCATCAAGAAATTAGAATTCATGGAAGAATGCGCCCGTCCCGTCGCACCTAGATACACCCCCATCACACAAGGAATTCCTCAACTCATTTCTCCCATCACCCCCCCATCCCTCCATAGAATACACCATAGTTACAACATACCCATCATCACCATCCCCCTCCCCACCAGGCAAATCCCACCCCCTCCGCCCCTCTCGCCTCGTCTCAAAAACTACTGAGACCTGAAACCCGCTGACGGACCCAACCTGACCTATCCAGTTCCAGTCCAGTACGCGCGAGCGTCCCGGACGTCAGCGGGACAAGGCACACAGCACCACAGCACCCACTATTCCGGGTCATCCATCCACTCCCCGCGCAGCTGCATGGAATGTATGCACACCCAGGTACGCGAAGGCGAGGCGACGACTAACTACCTCAGCGCGTCGAGTAGAGTTGCGTCGCGCGCCAGGAAGCTAATACTTTGGACTAATCGGGTTACTGGTAAGCTACCTGAGCGATGGATTGGCTGGCCCTATTGGGCGTCGCACAGTGCCTCAATCTCCGCTGCGTTCGGCGGGGGCTGAGAGGTACGTAGATAGATACATGGCGTGCGCCTCTTGGGAACATGCGGGTCTGTCTTTTGGGGAGTATGCATGTGCGATTGGGGTTTGGACTTGGGATTGTTTGCCGTGTTTGTGAGTCTTGATGATATTATCCCGTTCTGCCTTCTTGAGCTTTTTTGCTTTTTTCCCTGGGCTTGCATTGAATTGGATTGGAGTCCAAGGGGAGGGAGACGGGGACGGGGACGGCAAGCCATGATGATGAATGTCTATACTCGGTTTGGATCCGGTGGGAGCGTCTCCGCGTCTTTGGGGTGCGCCGCCGCCGCCGCGACGTCTTACAGCTCGTACGCTTGATATGAAAAAGGTGGCGCCTCCAACAATCCGGGGTTCTACATCCACCATTTTTACTAGGTACCGGGTAGGTAATTGTTGTTTACAGAGGAGAGGGATTCTCTTCTTTCCCCCAGCTTCCATGATCCCGAAATGCTAGTGCAAACACAAAAACACCTATCTATTTACATACAAACCTACATGTCTATCTAGGTAGTTCCCCAAAACACCTACAACAAGCTCCCAGAACCCTTGCCCTTCGCACCACCCTCCCCTTCCCCCTCCTCATCCCCGCACCCGCAATCGTACGCGTCGCCGATGTTCTCGCAGTTGAACTCGGGCTTGTGAAGCCTCTTGTTCACAATGTTGTGCACCATGCAGCCCCACATGGCCGCCGCCGAGCGCGACGACACCTGCGGGGGATACTTTTCCAGCACCGTCGAGAAGTGCTCGGCGCACTCTCCGCTGCGAAGATGGTTAGCTTTCTGTGTGTCGTTCTTACTTCCTCGTCCTAATCTTAGCCATGTTCGTCTACGACCGTGTCCGCGCCCATGTCCATGTCTACGGTATTTCTTTTTCTTTTCTTTTTTCGTTTCCTTGTCTGTGTCTACGGGGGAGGGGTGGGTTTTCAGCTCGCGAGCGAGTGAGCGCGCGCGGCGTGGCGTACGTGGATGTACGTTCATACGTACCATGGGTATAATCGCTGGAACAGATGCACATACGAGCGCAGCGCTTCCTTCTCGTCATCGGTGGGCTTCTCGGGGAAGCGAGCGAAGGTCGTGTGCAGGACTTTCCAAGCTGCCCGGCCTAGTTCTGCCCTGTAGAAATGCGCGAGAAAAGCAAATGTCAGCCTCAAATGTTGTTCATTGGTTTTGCGTTGCGTTGCGTTCGGCAGTTCGAGAGGGGGGTTTGGGGAGGGTGATGGATCGTGTTTGTAGGTTTGCGATGTTGACGTACTTGACTGTCTCGTTTCCTAGCTTTGGGGCTATTGCGTGCCCGCTTAGGAGGGGTCCATTGTTCTTCGCTGTGCTGCTGTCTTTGCCTGTCCGTACTGGCACTGGCGGTGGCGGTTGCGCGAACGATGCGATGTAGAGGATGGAGATAAAGCCGGTGACGAGGACGGCGAGAAGGAGGATCCGGTGGCCAGCACGAGTGGAAAACATTATTGTCGAGGTAGGTGGATGCTTAGACGATGCTCATGGGCGAAACAACAAGGGAGAGTGGTTTCGCGATGGCACTGGTGCGTCTCAATGGTGTGATGTTTCCCGTATACACGAGGTGGACGGACATGAAGCTCGTCGGTGATGGTTAATTCTCTCAATAGGGCTCGCCAAGACCTGCCCCATGGCTCGCGTAGAATTGCCCTCGGGAGTCCCACTCGACCAACCACAAGTAGCTGCCGCCGTCATTTGTGACCGGTGAGAATGCATGAGGTGCCTAGATGGAAGTACCTACTGTAGGTACACGATGAATGGACGAATGGCTATGGAAGCAATTGGTCATCGTGTCCCTGCAACGTCAGAGCCGCTACGAGGTACGAGGTATTGTCAGCAACAAGTCGAGTCAATCGTCACTCAACACGAGCATATATGTTGGACGGCGAATGCCGGCGTGCCCTCCGCCGCGCACCGACCGATATCGCTGGTCGGCTGGTGGGCGGGCTCGTCACGGGCTCAATACGACATCACTAAGCTTCGAATTTCGAGTCTACATAATTCGTCGAGCAACGGTCGAGCTGTTGTCCCAAAAACCACACCAAGCCTCCTAACTAAACACATAATACCAAAACAACCCGAATACAACGATGGCCGCCTACCCTCCTCCTCCCGTCAATACCATTGGTGCGTACAAGTGCCTGTTTCAAAATGCCATTGACTACGGACTTTGCTAATCTAGCCCGGTTAGACTGGAACAATGTTGGCTTCAAGATCCGCGAAGGTAAGTCCGTTGACGATGAACGGCATTGGTGTCATTTCAGGGAATGTTTTCGAAATCCGGAAATTTTCTAGAAGAGCTATTGCATTGACTCTTTTGTAAAAATATCTCGGAGAGGAGATTGCGAACTCCATGCACATCATCAAGTGTCCTCCCAGGATTCGAGAAAATGTTCCGAACGTGTCATCATTCCATCTCGAACGGGTCCTAACCTCATGAACAGTCGCCGGCCACGTCGAGTCCACCTACTCGAAACAGACAGGAAAATGGACGGCCCCGACCTTCGTCGAGGACCCCTTCCTGCGCATCCACGGAATGGCACCAGGTCTCAACTACGGCCAGCAATGCTACGAGGGCATGAAGGCGTTCCGTGCTCCCGACGGCAACATCAACATCTTCAGGCCCAACAAGAATGCCGAGCGCATGCAGCACTCCGCGTCCTTCATCTCCATCCCCGAGGTCCCCACCGAGCACTTCCTCGAGTGCTGCAAGCTCGCCGTTGGCATGAACGCCGCCTACGTCCCTCCCCATGAGACCGGCGCCGCCATGTACATCCGCCCGCTCCTGTTCGGCAGCTCAGCACAGCTGGGCCTCAACCCTCCCGAGGAGTATACCTTCGTCGTGTACGTCATCCCCACTGGTGTCTACCACGGCACGCACCCTGTGGATGCGTTGATTCTCGAGGACTTCGATCGTGCTGCCCCAGAGGGTACCGGATCGGCCAAGGTGGGTGGTAACTACGCGCCTGTCCTCAGGTGGAGCGAGAAAGCTCACAAGGACGGCTACGGCATCACCCTTCATCTGGACAGCAAGACGCGATCGGTGATCGACGAGTTCTCGACCTCTGCTTTCATCGGCGTGAAGAAGGATGGCGGCAAGGTCAAGCTCGTCGCTTCGAACAGCAAGAACGTCATTCAGAGTGTGACCGCCGACAGCATCTTGCGGATTGGAGAGTCTCTCGGCTGGGAGACCGAGTCTCGTGAGGTATGTTGATGTCGAATTGTGCGCTCTTTAATGGAAATTTTCGAGGCTAATGGCGATGTAGATTCCCTACACCGAGTTGAGCAGCTTCTCTGAGGTGTTGGCTGCTGGTACCGCGGCCGCCCTCGTGCCCATCAGGTCCATCACGTACACCTCCAAGAACGAGAAGTTCGCCTACAAGGAGGCTGCTGAGGAGCCCGGCCCGGCCTGTGTCAAGCTTCTGAGCACCCTCAAGGGTCTTCAGCAGGGCAAGATCCAGGACAGCTTCGGGTGGCTGTTCAACGTCGAGAAGCCCAAGCAGTGGGGTGTGACCAAGGGAAAGGCTGCTGACGAGGAGAACGTTGACGAGCTTCCATAAATATGCATTGCTATATGTAAAGGAATAAAAAGAAGGCAACGACTATTTTGGCAGATCTGTCTATATTGGCTACGAAAAAAGGATGGTAATGTGCAGAGGGTTTTGGCTAGACCTTTGCATTCCCCTCAAAAGCGATCAACGACACCCCCCAAAAACCCAGAACTCAAAAATTAGATTTAGATGCAACAGCGCACATCTAGTAAAGTCAAAAAGAAAAAGGCAATGAGATATGAATCGATACATGAGCACTGCTATATCTTCAAAAACACTTTGTGAAACGATGTGCCGTATCAGGTAGACTACATTTGCCATTGACCAATGAAAGGCGGGGTTGTTGTGTGATGAGAGAAGGAATGCCCAGATAAAAGGCGGCAGGCAACGTCATCACATCGAATGGGCGTCTCCCGAGTCCCTCCTCCCCCAGGCGCTTCCATACGTAGCGGCCCCTCGTCTCCTCCGCCTCCCCTCGTCTCCAAGAGTCCCAAGAAGTCCCGGCCCCTCCAATGTTCCGGTCCCATTCCATAAGACTACAGCCTACGGAGAATGTACATACTGTGTAGTATAGTACAGGATAATAAGTTGATAGTACTGTGTACACTGTATATGTGACTGGATCGGTCTTAGTGCAGGACATTGAATAGATCCAGTCCATCTCTCATTCTCGTACTACCTCATACTACCCTCGTACTAACACTACCACAACTACCACCACTCTCTACCCGGTAGGAGGTACGCACACATTTTCTCTACCGACATCACCAGCCTTGTTTTCTGTCAGTACTACCCCCTCGCACCTCGTTCTTCCCTGCATCTTCTTCTCTTGTACCACCAAACTTTCCTACCATCGTAGCACCAAACACTCACAGGACAAGAAACGTACTACCCTCGCTCTCCATCCCGCTGCCTCGGCCGACATAACATGCCCTCAGTCTCCCGCCTTGGGGACAAACTCGACAGAGTGCGCCGACATTTCGGTGACAGTCTAAGCCCTGACGATGCCTACTTGAGTTGTAAGTCGCGCGGTTTCTCTCCAAATACCACTTCTGAACATAGGCTAACACGTTGTTCGCATTCTAGACTTTGATATCCGGTGTGAGTACGCTTCACCATCGCTTTTCCTGTCCTCGGACGCTCCCGCAAGCCGTTCAACGCGACCGCGAATTTCGTAGACCATACACTAAGGAAACATACCAGTACTTCGAGAAGATGTCGACTCTATCAAACATGACTGGCTAACAGACAACGTGAGCCTTCTACATTGTCCCACCCTCCTAGATTAAACTAACAAACCCCCAGGCAATCGCATTCTGGGAAGAGTAAACCTCACCACCCACCCTCTACCCTCCCCATTCACACGTACTCACAAACGGAACCCAGATACCTCGAACGCGAAGAGCTGTCCCAATTCCCCAAAGCCCAGATCGTGCTCCTACGCCCAAGCATGTCCTTCATGCTAATGAACACACCCGACCCGCTCACTCTCCGCGAAGCGCTCCCCAATTTCTCGCGAACGACGCACATCTTCCTGCCGGTCAACGACAACCGCGACGTGTCGCGCGCAGAGGGCGGATCGCACTGGTCGCTGCTGCTCGTCAGCGTGATCGACGGCGTGTCGTTCCACTACGACAGCCTTGCGCCGGCGAACGACGCCGAGGCGCGCTCGACGAGCCAGAAGCTGGAGATTCTGCTGGGCAAGCGGCTGCGGTTCATACACCTCGAGGATGCGCCGCAGCAGGAGAACGGGAGCGATTGCGGCGTGTTTGTGTGTTTGCTGATGAAGCATCTGCTGCTGAAGAGGCTGCTCCGCGCGGACGCGAGCAAGAAGATTAGTATGAGTATGCGGGATCAGCATGTCAATGCGTACGACGGCCGGAAGGCGATGTTGAGGATCATCGAGGAGAAGAGGAAGGAAGGGGAGCGGAGAAGATCGTGAGGAATATCTCATGTCACGATATATGAATTTTACCCGACTGACTTGAACTCAGACGAAGCGGCTCGCCTTTCCGACCATCGTCCGCGAAATCAAAGAGCCCGCCGCGCATAGGCGAAGAGAACGAAAGCCTCAAAAGTCCGCAATAGACTTATCAGTCTACATACACCTCTTGAAGTCGCATTTTCACCAGCAGCATCATCAGCAGGAGCAAATATACCACCCAGGCACCAAAACTTCTCGTCATCTTCGTCAACACGCAGGATGCGTACCTAGAAGAACCACGCGCGTCCCTCTACCTCCTCCGCCCGGCTCTAACTGTCTGTCTATCTACCTACCTAGCTAGACGACCGGGATAGAACCTCTAGGATCGCCCCCTCGCCCCCCTCCCATCGTATTCAGATCCACCCTGCATCCGCGCGGAAGGAAACTATGGGGCTGTAATCACGGGCGATCATACACAAACTTTTTGGCCACATCATCATCATCATCATCTTCTTCTTCTTCTTCTCTTCCTCCTCCTTTTTTGAACACGATATACACGATACGCACGTCTTACGATTCCCCTGAGTCTCCACCCCTTTTCCCTTCCTTTTCCGTTTTCTCTTCAAGGTCTTTTTTCTTCACTTTTTTTTTATGACGGGTTCAACGGCACGTGGTAGATATATGTTCATGGCGTGTAGATATTCCCACAAATCTTACAATTTTTCCAAAAGGATTGCTATCTCTGTTCGAACCTTGGATGATTTCACGTGAATCAAATGAAGTTCAGTCATACCAGTATAGTATACTGTCTGCGGTTTTTTCATTTTCACTCGACTTCAATTATGTATGAGGATGGGGATGGGGATGGGGGTGGGGACGTTCTCATTGTAGTCTGGAGGTCTCAATCGTCATCATTGTATTATCATCGATTCGTCGTTCATTAATTAGTCTATATGTGTCTACTGTGCGTGCACGCCTGTGTGTGCGTGTGCGGTAATGGTTGCCAGCGAATATGCCGCTGACAGCCCTGTGAATGAAGGTATAGGTCCGCCTGTTGTAATGTATACTACAATGTATACTACAGGTTATAACACAACGCCGTGAAACATGATAATTCCCTCCCACCGCCCAGTCGATGAGTCCTAGGCCTCCCACCGAAAATCAAGACGCCGATAAAGTGGATGGTAATCGTAGTAATCCGTAGATGAAAAAGGTTCCGAAGACTTGGTTTGGAAAGTGATATGCAACCGCTTGAGGTCGTTAGAGACAATTATTCGTGTAATGCAAACAACGATGAACGCCGTTGGACATGATTTCCATCCACCCACCCTTTTCCGTTTCTCCCTTTCTCCTGTCGCCTTCCCTATGCATTAGTATTCCTTGTAACTCCTCAAATAGCAACAATCCTTTAATTGATCTCATGCGATTTTCTTTTGCCGATGGTAGCTCGGTCTGAACGTGGCCCCGCTACCTCACTAGCAGACCTCGAACGACGTCTCTCCTCGCGGAGAGATTCGGCAACCCTCTGGAACTCGCTCTGCATACTGGCCCTCCTGTTGTTGATGTCGTCGAGTATCTTGACCACTTCCTCCTCATTGCGCTCACTGAAGTCACTTACGAGCTGCTCGCCATCCCTGTTAAACGTATCGACAATATCTGTCACGGCCGTCTCGTGGTCCACAATGTGCCTCATGACGCGACGAGAGACACGGAAGAGTTGCTTCTCTAGAGCAAGTTGGTGCGGTTGCAGACTTTCTTCCCACTTGAGCTCTTCCGCCTCTTCGGTCGGAAGTGAAGAGTCAGACCTGGGGCCGGCTTCCTCGGCAGATGTAGAGCTTCCTCTACTGCAACCACCCTCGGAGGGCGGCGATGACGTTATGTGCACTGGCAGTAGATCATCGTCATCTGCAACCAGGGTGTCATCGGCAGCAAAGTCGTCATCCTCTCTGTCCGGTACATCTGCTTCTCGAGGCTTCTGAACCATCTGTAGTGGCTGTCGGGTTTTCCGATTCAGGCTATCCTGAACCTTCGATACTGACGTTGATAGTCCTGATCGGTTGTCCCTTGGTTGAGGACGAGCATTTCCACGAGAAAATCGAACAGGAGAACGTTCGTGGATTGTAGGCGAGGGCACATTGATGCCGATATGTTCAGAACGCTTTTTTCTAATACTCAAAGGCGTGTGATGCGGTTCATCAGCGTCAAGGACAATAACCTCTGCTTCTGTAGTGGCTTTCACAGATGTGTGTTGTGTTTCGGCCAAGCCAGCTGTCAACTTTCGTGTAAACAGGGAATTTGCTGTGCTCATGCCTGATTTACTGAAAGGGTCTCTTTTAGCCATCTCGAAATCCCCCATTCTCCTCTCAGCATCCACTTCCCTTTCATCAGAATATCCAGAAATAGCTCGCGAGGGTGCGGTTGGTGGGGCGGGCAACGGTTTGCTGTTGCTCGACAGCACCTGTACGGCGTCTGAACCACTTGACGGGAGCCACCGTGAGATATTCTGGATTGGAGTCCGAGTATGTCGCCCCTCCATTAAACCTTTTCCTTGAGATCCAAAATGTGGATTAGAGATCAACTTGTTTGACCCATACATCGCTGCAGCCACGTCGTTGTATGAGTCTTTCTTTGCACAACTTGCCGAATTCCGTTGTGATTTATTCCGATCACCACAGGGGCTTTCTGGGTCATCCACAATCCGCGATGGAGCAGTTGAGGATGGTTGATGCGTGAGCTCTGCACTTTTAGCAACATCTCCGATTCCATCGCTACCACTGAAAGTCCTTCGATACCGTGGTGTTGCAGGAGGGGGCATGTCAGTATTGCTTCTACGCAATGATGTCTTTACTTCTGCATTCGGCAAGGGCGAGCTAGGAATACGGGGCAAGGGTTCTGCAGGCAGTGCAATATTTAGTGGTGCAGGCGATAATACCAATGGCTGTAAGAAATCAGCGTCTTGTTCCTGCATTGCCGCATGGTCCTCGAGCGGCGTTTGACTTCCTTCATTCAACCTGTTCAAGACACTGGTTTCCCGATTGAGCGTGTTGGACACCAGTGATGTTGTAGGCGCTTGAACAACCGGAGATGGTGAGCTGGGGAACATGACAGATCCTGCTAAGTCATTCAAGAGTTGATCGTGCCCTTCCATGCTGTCCCCGATTACAAGATTGGAAAGGACAGAGTGTTTAGTAGGCGAAATCGAGTGTAGTCCGGACCCAGGTTTTTGTGTCTTGCTAATCCTAGTTCTCTTCGTAGATTTGGAGCTAGTCGCCGGCTTGGTGATCCTTGTATTCTTCTGAACCTTCTTGAACGAGAAAGAGCCATGTTCTTTTGGTACGACAAAGTCAGGGTCGATCGCCTGAGGATCTGATGTTTCTCCTTCATCATAATTGACCCGCTTAGCGGCTCGTAAGCCGCGACGTCCGGTCCTCTCTTGAGGATGCCTGGAGGATGTCGAAGCAAGCATTTTGCGAGAGTGTTGGTCGCCCGCCTCAGATTTAGGCTTCGTGTTCCTTGGTTGGTCTTTTGTTTTGACGGTACTCGTGTGCACAGAGTCCGTCACTACATCTTCATCTTCAGAGTCAATAACTTGCCGAAGCTCAGCTGGCGTAGCGCTTGCTGTTCCGGTTTTTTCCTTTCTGTTAACGAGCTTTCGAGCAGTGGTTTCTTTAGTCTTGCTGACACTCGGGCCCCTGAGGCGTTTTCTAGGTGGGCTTTTGGGTTTGGGGTGGTCGGGAGGGACGTCGAAATCGTCGAATGCAGCTTCGAGACTACGTTTTCTTGTGCTTGTGCTGGCTTTTGCAGTCTTCGTCTTTTTTACTTTGGGTAGTGCACCAGCGGCTGGAGCTTTTTGAGCTTTGGTACTGACGTGGCTTGACAAATCCTTTGATGCATGACCGTTATTGCGCTTGTTACTGTCTGCTATCTTCTCGGATCTATGAGTTTGTGTTGCCGCCAATGTGGCATCCATAAATGTAGAAGAGTCGCCAATTTGATCATCTTCCAGCTGTGGGGACTCGGCGCCCAAGCGTAAAACTCGAGTACTACGCATTCGATACGTACTTGCGCGTTGGTGGGTGACATTGGCATTAGTAGGTCGGATGTCCTCAATAATACGTTGGACGTATTTGGCATCATCAAGGCTTTTGAGCATGATCACAAACTCAGTGGTATGGTGCTCCACTCCATTGACCGAATATGCATAATGCGCCGAGTCGAAAGATATCACAACGTCCCACGGTTCTTGGGGGATCTGTCGGTCTTGTGAATCGTACAGTCGCCCTTGTCTTAGGCTTGTTCCATGTATACCAGATACGGAGATATCGGTGAAACTCGAAGGTACCATCAGATCATTGGAGGTTACGATAGTGAGTTTCTCATCTTGTACAAGGCCAAAGAGCACCAGGGATTGCGAAGTTGCCGATTGAAAACCGTCGGCGCTACTGATGACAACAGGGTAGAAGATGTCGTACTGATTCGAGGCTTTTGTCACCTTCAGGTCGTGTAGTGTGTCAAGGAACCTTTCCAGCTTTCCCATCCATTCATGGCCAGAAGAATCCGGGAAATTGCGCACACTGTTCGGTATCTTGTCGGATGGCCAGAAGCTTTCATAGTGAAGTCGATGCTGCATAGCGTGCTTCATGATAATGCAAGCGATGACTCTGGCTTCCGCTAACTCGTCACTCAGGAGAATCTCGCCCAATCCATTGAGTTGTTTTGGGTGCTCCTTTAGGTGAGAAACCGCATGTGTAGAAGAATTAATGAGCTTGCAGAGAACAATACCGATCCAGCGGCGTTTGCTTGCTGAGGCGGAACTATCCTGGAATGCCTGCAGGTATTTGTCTACGGTGGACCCCAGCCCGTAGTCATTGCCGATACCTGCAAGCTGTTGTGCAAATGCAAGAAGCTCGTGCTGTGTTTTGTGCGCGGATGTTGCCAGGAGCGCGTCGAGCTCCTTTGCAGACATGGTTCATTGACATCTCATGAAGGAAATTTAGAAAGAGAAAAATCACGAAGGAATGACTTGAAGTGAAGTGAAATTTAGAGAGAAGAAGTTGGAGAGGTCATTAGGGTTGAATTGAGGACAGGAAAGGTGAGGGCATGTATTTCAAAATGACGTTTGTGGTAGGTGGTACGCGAAGCGCATCGACGCGTTTGATCGCGAGGAAGGTACGCTGGGCTGAGACGCGGCAGGCCCACACTAGCACGTGAGTCCCTCTTCCTCCTCCCACCTTCGGGATTGTACCACAAAAACAACAACGACCACAGCATAGACTATATCCATTGATTAATCACCGTAGACGAATGAGGTTCCCGATGATTTCCTCTCAAGTCTGTTCAATGATACGTATGCACCTACTCGTAGTTCGATTCTTTCGTAGACCAATGTTTGACCCTTGGGTTGGTCTATCGATAACCTTTACGGGATTGTGTCTTGCGGATCCACCCTCCGGTGATCATTGTGGGGGGAGTAGTCTTGGTGACATGATACGACGAACATATCGAATCTTTTGACTATGGAAACAATACTGCCTTCAAGTGTCATTGAAAGACGCCAGCTGCCAAATTCTTTCCGAGGCAGAGTTTGCAGTTACGCCCGTTAGGCACTTCGCACTCGCGAAACAGCCATCGGTCGTCTAGAAAGGTGGCGCTGCAGGGATCGGTTAACAGGTCTAGATCTCCAGCCGATGCGATCAGCCCTCAGTCGTCGCCCTGCCATGAGCTCGTAGAGCACGTTGAATATCGCAGTGTATGTAACAAGATGGTGCGCTTGAGAATCACTCATTGCGAGAAGCGGATGAACTGTAGAGACTGGCACCCGAAACTTTCGAGCTTCGCGCATCCCTAACCTGAGCCCGTTAGTTTGTTACCTTTCGGGAATGTCCACTAGTGTCAGGCGACATGAGGCAAGCAGCAAACTGGATCCTAGGACGTTGTCATACGTGTGTATGTGTAGGATGGGCCTACTATGGATCTAATATGTAGGCGGTATGAAGAGACGAACGGACGGTCTGTTGTCCCGCGACCCCTCTATTATATGCACCTTCGCGAAGAGCATAGTATGAGCTCGCATCAGCTTCTGAATGGGGGAAGGCGCCAACGGGTACGAGGACGCCAGACGCTTAATCCTCCCTTCGCGAATGCGAAAGTCGCAACAAGCGAAAGGCGTTCGCAAACATGAGTAATTACCTACTTGTACATATATCTGCAGTCGGCAGTCTGTGGAGCGGGTAGAAAGCAGACGACCACTGCCAGCCTTCCCTCCGAATATTGACCGACCACAGGGACCTCAGATCATGGCCCAGGAACAGTCTACAACGGCGGAGGCGGGCGTAGCAGAAGCTCCTATATCGGTTGTTTCGAGCGTCAGTTTTGCAAGATTGCAAGTCATCATTGCCGGGTATGATTTGACCAGAAGGTGATCAAGATGGTTTATTGACAATCATAGGTTATGGCTCTCGCTATTCATGTCGGCAATGGACACGACCATCATTACTACAGCCCTAATAAAGATATCAAGTGAATTCAATGCATTGAGTCAAGCTGCTTGGCTGGTCACTACGTATCTTCTGACATATAACTGCAAGTCTTCTGCTCTCAGCCTCCTCGGTACTCAAGCTGACTTCAACAGCATTCTTGATGCTCACAGCCAAGTTTAGCGATGTGATAGGTTTGAAAACAACCATAATCGCTTGCAATGTATTGTTCATTGCCTTCTCAATGGGATGCGGTGGTGCACAGACTATGGTCCAATTGTAAGTCAATGCTTCTAGTCATGTGATATGGTATGCTCATAGTGAACGGAATCATTCTGCGTGCATGCCAAGGCATCGGTGGATCAGGCATGTATTCGTTGGTCTTCGTTGCCATAATGAAACTTATCACACCTGAGAAAATGGGATTCTACTCGGGAGTCATCAGCTCCGTCTTCGCGATCGCAAACCTACTTGGCCCCCTTCTGGGCGGACTAATAGTAGATCGTACAACCTGGAGATGGATATTCTGGATCAAGTTAGTCGATTTTCCCTATCAGACTAAGCAATATATGCTGGACGGTAACTGACAGTAACATGCAGTGGTCCCATTGTCGCAGTAGCTGGCGGTCTTCTATTCATCTCAATGCCAGGTCTCAAGGATGGCAAGTCATATCGGGAACGTCTTCGAGGCTTCGATATCCTTGGTGCTATACTCTCCGTATGCTGGCCAATTCCCCTCTTGTTCGCACTTCAAGAAGGCGGCACACGATACGGATGGGACAGTGGTGTCATCATCGGCACGCTGACTTCAGGGCTGATACTGCTCTTGCTCTTTGGAGGTTATGAAGCCTGGATCACGTACCGGACACATAAAGACCCCGTTTTCCCCTTCCGATTCTTGCGTAACCCAGCCTGTGCGCTGCTTCTACTGTAAGACGCATATCGAAACATCCAGAACGCTACTGACATGGCCTAGGAGTATGCTGTTACTCGGGATGCCCTTCCTCGTCGTCATAATTCAATTACCCCAACGATTCCAAGCTGTGAACTTCATAAGTGCTGAGCGTGCGGGCATCAATCTCCTCCCAGTAACCATGATCTCTCCAGTGGGCGCAATGATAGCAGGTGTAGTTATGGGAAAGAAGATTGCTGCAGAGTATATACTCGTCATGGCAAGTGTCATTACCTGCTTGGGAGTCGGTTTACTTAGCAGTCTTCCTGTTACGGCTCCATTTCCATCGGTAACGTATGGCTTTGAGATCATCACCGGTCTAGGCCTCGGCATTGCAAGCCCTCCGTACTTCTTCCTCCTCTACACCTCCGTTGAAGACAAGGATATGTCAACTGGCACCGGCGCATTGAACATGTTTCGAACTCTGGGCGGATGTATAGCTGTAGCGATTAGCACGGCCATGCACAACTCTGTGTTGGAAGCGAAGCTGCCCTCGATTCTGGACCCCGAACAGATCACAATTGTCAAGGAATCGGCTGCATCCATCAGGAGACTCCCTCCACATCTGCAGAAAAGCATTGGCGAGGTTTTTGGCGAAAGCTATAACAGGCAATTCCAGGTAATGCTGGCCTTCTGCGGATTGAACATCCTTGTTACACTGGCACTGGTGTTTGTCAGAAAGAGAATGGGCATATTTGGAAAAGTGCCAGTCAGAAAAGAGGAGAACGAATTTTACAAGAAGCCAGACAATCCCACGGAAGAAGGCAAGGAGGTCAAAGGGTGATATCCACGCAGGAAACGCGTCCGCTATTGGTCAGCAATAACTTGACTTGTGCAGATCTGATTGCGGGGACTCGCACGAGTCAAGTGGTCCCAGATGAGAGGATATTGTGGGAACACAATGCTGGATTACAAATGTCCAGACCCTGAATCTGATTCTGGCATTTCCACAATCGGGCAAAGCACGCGATCTTAAACAATTGTCGCGCCTGAGGATCGGGAGAAAGGGCCAGCAAAGTTTCAGAGAGCCGATTTATAAAAGGCCCAAACCTGCGAGCAATGTGCAACTTCGACTCTTATCTATTGTTACACACGGCTTGGCATGCACATTGCTGACTGGGAGTCACTCGACTAAACGGAGGTAAGCACGATGACTTGAAGTAAAGCGTCATTGGCCAAGGCCGTAAATACGGATTTTAAATTCCTATCAACTACACTCCGCCTCCGGCGGGAGGCTCAGAAATTTTCTCGCTTGGACAGAATTCATAACATGTGGCGCCGATCACCCGCAATTGGTCAAGCTGAAGCAGCGAGGTAATTGGTCTTGTGGGGTTTAGAGTGTTGCCCTGATGGGTCTAACACAGTAAGAGTGAGACTAGTGAGGGAGATATGGGAGACGATAGAGAACAAGAAGACAGAAATGGTTGAAGCCGCTAACGGGATGCCCCCACACGTCCAACCATGATCCACTATGATTCATTATGCACCCACATAACCATGACGAAACGGTGCTGCCCATGGCTAAAGTTTCTATAAACTCCGATTCCTCCGTATGCGCATTTGTCAACATTGAATTATTAATGCCTGCCTCCATGGCAATCTTACTTCCTATTTCATCGGTCGCATAGGGGGATCCATGTGTCTCTCGAGATCGAAGACACTGACATTCCAGAACCTCTGATCGTGATCTCACTCGAGTCGACCTCTTAGGTCCCTTGCTTGTGTGCGCAGCGTCTCTATACGAGTTTCTTCCATTCGGTTTCCTTATTCAGTAATTCTTTGCCCGCCATGTGGAATACCGGCATAGTCTCCTCTGGAGACGATGATTCTAGAGGGCGAAACCCCTGGCATAACGAGAGCCAGAACGCTCATCATGAGACAGCCGGAACCGTCAACCGTGATGGCGGTGAGAGCGATGATACTGAAGACAGCCCTGATAGATCAGGAACATGGTACGTTTTCCATCAAGAACTTTCATACACATCGCCCCGGATATGGAGAAATTCTTACGACTGATCAGGGGAGAACGGGACACTGGAATGAGCCAGCGTATGGCCATGGAGGATTTCGAGGCTTTGAAGCAGACTTTGTCTACCATATCGAGGACAAAGTCCCATGCCCAGTCCGAGCGCGAGAGCGTTCGAAGGCCACTCAGCCGCAAGAGTACGCGCCGTACGATTGGGCGCCGTGCTTCCAACCGTTGGGCAGACGATGCCGACGAAGAAGCTGGCGAGTTCGGCACTGGGCTGTCAGAGAAGGAAGATGAGTTCGAGCTGGGACAGTTCATGAAGGAAGGTCACTTCGAGAAGCGCAAGGACGGCCAGTCGGCGAAGAAGGTCGGCGTCATCTGGAAGAATCTTACCGTGAAAGGAGTCGGTTCGACGTCTACCTTTGTTCGCACCCTTCCCGATGCCGTAATAGGCACTTTCGGGCCGGATTTGTACAGAATCATTTCTAGATATATACCTGCGTTGAGGCTCTCCCGTCACTCGCAGATGAGAACACTCATCCATGACTTTTCGGGAACTGTCAAGGATGGAGAGATGATGCTTGTCCTGGGCAGACCTGGTTCAGGCTGTTCCACATTCCTCAAGGCCATTTCGAACAACCGAGAAAGCTATGCCTCTGTGGAAGGCGATGTCTCCTATGGTGGTATCTCTGCTGCAGAGCAGAAGAAGCATTTCAGAGGTGAGGTGAACTACAATCCAGAAGACGACACCCACTTCGCGAACTTGAATGTCTGGCAGACACTCAAGTTTGCATTGATGAACAAGACAAAGAAGAATGAAAAGCATGAGATACCAATCATTCTCGATGCTCTTTTGAAGATCTTCGGTATCCCACACACGAAGTACACGCCGGTCGGTGACGAATTCGTCCGCGGTGTCAGTGGTGGTGAGCGGAAACGCGTTTCCATTGCAGAGACTCTCGCAACAAAATCAACGGTCGTATGCTGGGATAACTCAACCCGTGGTCTTGATGCCTCGACCGCACTTGACTACGCAAAGTCACTGCGCGTCATGACCGATATTTCCAACCGAACGACATTTGTTACCTTATACCAAGCTGGTGAAGGTATCTACGATTTGATGGACAAAGTCCTGGTCATCGACCAAGGACGATGCATCTTCCAAGGCCGTGCCAGCGAAGCGAAGCAGTACTTCATCGATCTCGGCTTCTACTGTCCCGACCGACAAACGACCGCCGACTTCCTCACCTCCGTCACCGACCCAACTGAGCGCAAGTTCCGTGAGGGGTGCGAAGCCAGCACCCCGAAGACCCCAGAAGAGCTTGAAAAGGCTTTCAGGGAGTCTGCTCACTGTCGATTGATGTTGAAGGAAGTGGATGCATATGAGCAGGAGCTCAAGAGGACGGACTACTCCGATGCGAAGGAGTTCGCTGGTGCTGTCCGCGAGGGCAAGAGCAAGACTGTGTCGAAGAAGTCTGCATATACTGTTAGCTTCGTTCGCCAGGTCTGGGCTTGCACTCAACGCGAGTTCTGGCTGACCTGGGGCGATAAGACTACTTTGTAAGATTCAAATCTTGATGCTCACATTGTCGACCACTAACGTTTGTAGGTACACGAAGTTCTTCATCATCGTCAGTAACGCCTTGATCGTTGGCTCGCTCTTCTACGGGCAATCTAAGGATACTTCGGGCGCCTTTAGCAGAGGCGGAAGTATGTTCTTCTCCATCTTGTTCTTGGGCTGGTTGCAACTTTCAGAGTTGATGAAAGCGGTTTCTGGACGCGCTGTTGTGAAGCGCCATGAGGACTATGCTTTCTATAGACCCACGGCAGTGACCATTGCACGTGTTGTCCAGGACTTCCCGTTGATATTAGCCCAAGTTATTCCTTTCAGTAAGTACCCCTTATTCCCGTAAATTGTGGATGAGAGTTGATGCTAACGCAACATAGCACTCATCATGTACTTCATAAACGAGCTCGACGTCGACGTCTCCAAGTTCTGGATCTATTTCCTCTTCGTCTACACAACCACATTATGCATAACAGCCCTCTACCGGATGTTTGCCGCACTATCGCCTACGATCGACGACGCTGTCCGATTCTCCGGTCTCGCCCTAAACCTCCTGATCATCTACGCCGGCTACGTGATCCCCAAGACACAGCTTCTCGACAAGTACATCTGGTTCGGCTGGTTGTACTACCTCAACCCCGTGGCTTACTCCTTCGAAGGCGTCGTGTCGAGCGAGTTCGCAAACCGCGTCATGGACTGCGCACCAGACCAGCTCGTCCCGCAGGGTCCTGGCATCGACCCGGCGTTCCAAGGCTGCGCCCTCACTGGCGCGCAGCCTAACTCGCGAACCGTTCCGGGTGCGGATTACCTGGCGACGACATTCAACTATTCGCGTAGTAACCTCTGGCGTAACTGGGCAGTGTTGATCGCCTTCTCCGTGCTGTACATCCTCGTCACTGTTATCGCAACCCAAGCAATATCCTTCACGTCGGAAGGAGGGGGCGCTCTGGTGTTCAAGAAGTCCAGTCGTACAAAGAAGAACCTGAAGCAAGCACCCGTAGACGAGGAGCAAGGCTCCGGCGGCAATTCATCCAGTGGAACGGAGACGAACAACTCCTTAGCCGCCAAAGAGGAAGAGGAAGCCTTCGAATCCATCTCCAGCAGCCAGAGTGTCTTCACATGGGAGAACGTCGAGTACACTGTGCCCTACCAGGGCGGCGAGAAGAAGTTGCTCAACAAAGTCAGCGGCTACGCAAAGCCCGGCGTCATGGTTGCCCTCGTCGGTGCGTCAGGAGCAGGCAAGACAACGCTGCTGAACACTCTCTCACAGCGCCAGCGAGTAGGCGTCGTCTCAGGAGACATGCTCGTCGGCGGCAAAGCGCTCGGTCGAGATTTCCAGCGTGGCACTGGTTTCTGCGAGCAGATGGATCTCCACGACGGCACTGCGACGATCCGTGAAGCGCTCGAGTTCTCGGCCATCCTCCGTCAGGACCGCAAGATCCCCCGAAAGGAGAAGATCGAATATGTCGACAAGATCATCGACCTCCTGGAGCTGACCGACATCCAAGACGCCCTGGTATCCAGTCTAGGCGTAGAGCAGAAGAAGCGGTTAACCATCGGCGTGGAACTCGCCGCAAAGCCCTCCCTCCTCCTCTTCCTCGACGAGCCGACCAGCGGCCTTGACAGCAACTCGGCCTACTCAACCGTCCGGTTCCTGAAGAAACTTGCCTCGGCCGGCCAGGCCATCGTCTGCACCATCCACCAGCCCAGCTCCGTCCTCATCCAGCAGTTCGACATGATCCTCGCCCTGAACCCGGGCGGCAATACGTTCTACTTCGGCCCCGTGGGCGAGAACGGAAAGGACGTCATCAAGTACTTCGGCGACCGCGGCGTGCAGTGTCCACCCAGCAAGAACGTCGCAGAATTCGTGCTCGAGACCGCGGCGAAGCCCGTCAGGCGCGAGGACGGCACCCGCATAGACTGGAACAAGGAGTGGAAGGAATCGAGCGAGAATCAAGAGATGCTCCAGGAGATATCTCGCATCAAGTCGGAGCGCATCAAAGCGACATCCAGCTCCCAGCAACAGCACAACGACGACAGTGAAACGTACGAATTCGCCGCGCCACTGTGGGAGCAAACCATTCTCCTCACCCGCCGCCTCTTCACACAGTACTGGCGCGACCCGTCATACCTCTACGGCAAACTCTTCGTCGCCGTTGTCATCGGCATCTTCAACGGCTTCACCTTCTACTCCCTCGGTTCCACAATCGGCGACATGCAAAACAGCATGTTCACCTCCTTCCTCATCATCCTCATCCCGCCCGTCATCGTCAACGGCGTCGTCCCCAAATTCTACACCAACATGTCCCTCTGGACGACCCGAGAGCTCCCCTCACGCATCTACTCCTGGCCCGCCTTCACGACCGCACAAGTCGTCGCCGAAATCCCCATCGCCATCCTCTCCTCAACCCTCTACTTCCTCCTCTGGTACTTCCCGACGGGGCTCCCCACCGACGCCTCGACCGCGGGCTACGTCTTCCTCATGACCCTCCTCTTCTACCTCTTCATGTCCTCCTGGGGCCAATGGATCTGCGCCTTCGCCCCCTCCTTCACGGTGATCTCCAACGTCCTTCCCTTCTTCTTCGTCGTCTTCTCCCTGTTCAACGGCGTCGTGCGGCCCTACGCCCAAATGTCCGTCTTCTGGCGCTACTGGATGTATTACCTCAACCCCTCCACCTACTGGATCTCCGGCGTCCTCGCTGCCACCCTGTCCGGCGCACCCGTATCCTGCACGTCGTCCGAGACAGCCGTCTTCGACGTCCCCCCCGGCGTGGCGTCCTGCGCCGCGTACGCGCGGGACTTCCTCGCGACCGCGGGGAGGGGGTACTTGCTCAACCCGAACGCGACGAGCGGGTGCGAGTACTGTCCGTTCGCGAGCGGGGACGAGTACTTGGCGACGCTGAACGTGGCGGCGGGCGATAAGTGGAGGGATTTCGGGGTGTTTGCGGCGTTTTGTGTGAGTAATTGGGCGTTGGTGTATTTCTTTGTGTGGAGTGTTAGGATTAAGGGGTGGAGTTTTGGGTTTGGGGCCATTTTTGGGGGGCTCGGGAGGGTAGTTGAGGCGGTTAAGGGGATGGTTGCGGGGAAGGGGGAGGGGAGTGAGTGAGGTAGTTGGGGTATGGAGTTGTTTTTGAGTATTGATATATGGTTGTGGTATGTGGTGTGGACTATAGAGTAGGTTGTGTTCTGATGAGTGAGATACATTCGTCCTGATCATGCTAGAACGGTAATGTCCATCGATTACAAAAATTTAATAACATATACATATGTACCTGTGGTATGTTCCCTGGCTCGCTCTAATAGCATATAGGAAAAGGAAATTATGGACCAAAAGTTCCAAGGAGTAGGGGGGATCAAGAACAAAGGAGAACTAGGATGATGATGATGGTAATGCCTGAAACGCCCATTCCAATGCAGATGCCTGATATAATGTCCTTTGCTTTTCAACGCCGAAGAGAGAAAGGATAATTTTAGATTCGAACGAAAAAAAGGGGCACGATCTATAGATTGACTTGGAACTTCGGGTTCGTCCGTATCCTCTCGCCGTAGTATCTGAAGAACACGGGGACGGGAATCATAGCCAGCGCGATGAAACCCAGCAGACTGTTTCCCCAGCCCAGGCCGAGCGAGTCGAAGAGGTTGAGGCCGAAGAGGGGAAACACGGCGCCGAAGATGGAGCGGAGGACGGTGTTGGCGGCGATGGCGGAGGCAGCGTGGACGGTGAATGCGTCGACCATGTACGTCTGGACGGTCATGAGGGCGGACAGGTTTCCGATGCCGAAGAAGGCCGTGCCGATGATGGGGACGATCCAGTGGACGCCCTTGTCGGTCGTCCAGCCGTAAAGGAAGATGCCGATGGGGAGGCAGATGCCGCCTGGGACGGTGAGGATGACCGGGAGACGATGCTCGGGTTTGACGGTGCCCTTGGCTTGCTTCTCTTTGATGATCTTGTCGGACATGGTGCCGAGGAACGCCATGCCGATGAACATGCCCACACCGCAGCCGATGAAGGTCAAGCCCACGGAGCCGGACGAGAAGCCGTACTTGCGCTCGAAGACGAAGGTGATGGTGGTGAAGAGGAGGTAGAGGATGCCGTAGTTGACGGCCACGTACAGTGCCATGAGGAGCACGATTGGCGAGAAGATCAGCATCTTCATGGGGCGAACGACAGCACGCACGAAGACTTCCTTGGGAGGGATGTCGAGTGCGAGCTTGGACTTGAGGTTCTGGTTTCCGGTCTCCTTGCGCAGGCGAGCGGCCTTCTGTGCAAGCAAAGTGGGTGCGTACGTCTCACGGCCGAGCGAAGCAAACAATATGCTGAAGGCACCCGCAACGATGGATAGAATCCAAAACACCCATCGCCATCCCTTCGCCTCGGCCAAGAATCCACCGGCGACGGGACCCACGACAGGGCCGAGGAGTGGGCCCATACTCCAGATCGCCATGGCGCCAGCACGCTTCTCCTGGGGAAAGAGGTCCGCAATGGTTCCACCACCGATGGTCAAGGGAGCAGAGCCTGCACATCCAGCCAGGAGTCGGAAAGCAACCAACATGCCCATGCTGTTGCTCACAGCGCAGCAAATGGTGAAGATGACGAACAAGACATTACAGATATTGTAAATCCACAGTCTGCCGTACAGTTCGGACATGGGAGCGATGATAAGGGGTCCAAGAGCAAAACCCAAAATGTAGACAGAGACCACAAAGGATGCTAACAGATTAGATGTGACGCCGAAATCACGCATGACCTGTGGAACGCCAGGAGCGAAGAAGGATGATCCAAGGGGACTGCGACATACGTTAGCCAAACTGAACCAAAAGCAATTACTACGACGGGTGCAACATACGTTACGAGAGTGACAGCCGCCAACACCGCAATCATTCCCCATTTCTTGCTGTCCGGCCAGTTCTGGGGGTTCTTAGGATCGTCTGGGCCATCCCAGTCGACGAGATCTGGATCTGCTGCCTCCTGTGCTTGGGCTTCCTTTGGTAGGTCTTCGCTGAGCGTCCGCTCGTCGCTGTGCGTTGAACCTGCCTGGCTGGGGATCGCCTTCTCGATGTCGACATTGGTGGAGTTGTTTGCTGTGCTTGGGGGTATTTCTGCGTCGTGGCCTTGTTGATATGCTTCTGATACCTTCTGGTCTTTGAGATCCCGCGCCTCTTGGACGGGATTCGAGTATTCTCCAGGCAGCGACATCGCGAGCCTTCAAGTAACTATAGAAGATTATAGTCAGCGATATGCTCAAGACATACTGAAGAGCATTATATATCCACCAGGTCTGAGAGAGCAAGCAAGTGCGTTGTGATGAAGATGATTTGCGCTACCAGACCCTACACCCGGGCACTCGGTCGACCAATCCGAAGAGCGAGTGACCTAGGACATGGGGAACGCGGGAAGAGCCGTCATACCTGTAAGAACTCTAGGTTATCTAAATCCAACCTACTCCGATGGTCTATATCCAAGCAGACGGGTGAGAAGGGTTGTGCAAGGCGGGTGTGACAATCGAATGGAAGGGTTCGAAGAATGTACCAGGCAAGTACTTTTTAATGTGATGTATAGGGGCGGGGTTGGGTTTGAATCACCGACAACGGTAGATATTGGGTACTTGACAGGTAGGTAGATAGATAGAGGCAGACAATCCAGGCCCTCCTTCCCTTTTTATTTAATTACATGCTCATGACATGGGGTGCTTAGAGGAGAGAGGAGGAGAGAGGGGAGGGGGTGACGGGGATAGTAGGGCCACCATCCGACGAGGCCTTCATCCATTTATTACCAGAGCACTCTCTTTGCGTTGAAACGGGCGAATACTCGCACCAGTGTGTTGCTGATCCTCCATGGACATTGTGGCCATTGGATGAGTTGGTACACAAGCTTCTACAAAGGCTCAGGGGTGGAGGAGCTTGAACGTATATCGGAGTCGATGATTGGAGGGATTGGTAGGGGAATGATCCAACGCCCGCTTTACCGAGAGCGAATGCGGAGGATGGGTCAGAATGGACTCAATGGAGAGTGGCAGAGTGGCATGAGTGGGCAGATTATTCGATGGATGAGACTCGCCTGCTTGACTCGGTTGCATCTTCTTGTGTAACCGTGTTGGTTGTGACTTTGCGCTTGCAGGGTTAATGGAGCATCGGAGCGGATGGTCGACGGAGGGTCGCTTCTATACGTCTATACGGAGGAACACTGTAACCAACAAGTACACATCATCGAACATGAATTAAACACCACGACCGCAATCTCTATCCTTTTTCCAGAACCTTCGAGGAACTGTTCTATCAGGGACAGAAATACATGAAACAATAAGAACGGGCATTATCCTCACCGTCCTCCGATGGACGACATACCACGCCGCCACGCGATGAGGCTGAACGGCCACCCAGTCCGCGGACTTAAATCCCCCATGTCTCCGCCTCCCCCAACCCCCAATATCATCCCATTTTAACACCTAATAATACACGTCTCATAACACCACCGCTCGCATCTGCGATCAGCCTCAGACAGAACCACTCGCCGCAATCCTCACAAAGGGAATACGTACTGTGAAGATGATGGATGACCCTCTCGCCCTATGAGAACTGGCCACCCGTTCCCCGTCGATCGACATACCTCGGGACAAGGGATGCTGAGGCGGGGACTAGTACTACAGATTTATGTATGCTAAGAGCTGCCACGAACTGCGGGGAAAGGATATACATCCGAGCAAACAAACGGGCAAGGTAGTCATGAATGTGCTCTGACTAGAATGGAAAAATGCATGTTGCATGCATGTTAGAAGTTTTCCTCGTAGGGTCTAGGTCTGTAAGGTTGTACTCGTAAGGATGGATATTTGCATACTGGAGTAGGCATGTTGTACGCATTTGTCACAGCACGACTGTGATGCTAGGTGTGCTCTGTAGGAGTACTCTGTATGTCTTAGACGGCGAGGACATGTTGTTGGAGGACAAAGGCGAGGGTAGAAAGGTGGTGTGTTGTGTTTGAAATTATAAAGGATAATTTTTCGACTGTTGTTAAGGGTACAAGCCGGATATAGGTAGGTGATCACATCAATACTTCTTGTTTTATGATGTACGGAAACATGCTGTTTTCAAGATCGATGTGGTACAACCAGATGCAAATTCGCTTGGCTAGAATGTTGATGCAATTGATCGTAAGATGTCTTGAAGATACGAGTAGTCTTTCTTGCATGTGGAGGTCGGTAAGACTGAGAATCATACTGTTCATAACTTGATGATCTGATAACTGCAATAGTTGGGGTTGTAATGCATTATTTCTCAAACTATCTCTCTGCATAGTGTACAGCCCTAAAAAGAAAAAAAAAGAAGAAACCTGTAGTATCACCCCCGAGCTCAAGCTAACACCTGAACGCAAATGGGAATATACTCGTTCAACTCGCAAACACACAGATACACACACATATGTACGTACACACAGCGAAGGGCAAGCAAGGTTGCCAGCATCATGCATTCAGCTTTGACGATAAAGAAACTTGAAGAGAAAAAGTAGAAAAGAACTCCTCCCATGCCGGGGTAACCCAAATTTTTAGATCATTGCAATTCACAAGCTCTATGTGAAGGCCATGTTCTTCTTGATCTCGGCGATCGCGAGCGCGGGGTTCAGGCCCTTGGGGCACGTCCTTGAGCAGTTGAGAATGGTGTGGCATCGGTACACGCTCATGCTGTTGTTCAAGGCGTCGAGACGTTCGGGCTTCCTCTCGTCACGGGAGTCGGCGATCCAGCGGTACGATTGGAGGAGGACGGCGGGTCCGAGGTACTCCTCCTGGTTCCACCAGTACGATGGGCAGGAGGTCGAGCAGCAGGCGCAGAGAATGCATTCGTAGAGACCGTCGAGCTTCTTGCGGTCGGCCTTGGATTGGCGGTATTCACGACCCTAAAACATGATCAGATGATGCCTCGGAAAAATTGTTAGGCATTCGACTTACATCGGGGGCGGGAGTGTCGCGCTGGAGGTATGGCTTGACGGATCGGTACTGCTTGTAGAATTGCGTCATGTCAGGGACGAGGTCCTTGACGACGTACATGTGTGGAAGAGGGTATATCCGGGACTCCTTGGTTGTGTCGGTAGGAATACGGCCTGGATTTTCAACCAGTCAGTAACAATTCGCCAAACGCTCCAAATCTTGTCGACTGCTCGTTATACGTACAAAGACATGCGAGAGTGTTGACACCGTCAATGTTCATTGCGCAACTTCCGCAAATTCCCTCACGGCAACTCCTTCGGAAGGTCAGGGTTGGGTCGGTCTCGTTCTTGATGCGGATGAGCGCATCCAACATCATAGGGCCCGTCTTGTTCAGGTCGAGAGTGTAGGACTGCATCCTCGGCTTGGATGAGGGCTCGTCAGGGTTCCATCGGTAGATGTGGAAGGTCTTGGTCTTTGGTTCCTTTGATGGCGCGGGGTCTGGTGTTGTCGACGTCTTGCTCTCTGAGACGACGGATGCGAGGCCACGAGAGAAGACAGAGGTGGCGGGACGTACGGCTGTGCGGATGACGTTAGGACATGTAGCAATTGAGGTGTTTTTGTGTGCGGAAAAGCGGCGCATGTGGATGGATGGGAGACGTACCAGCCTGCCGTGTAGCAAGACGAGCGAGGGCGCGCGTGGTGGCCATTGTGATTGTGCTGGTTCAGCGGAGGAGGATCGCGAAGTGTGAAAGGCGAAGCAATTGTGACAGTTGACGGTTGACAGTTGACAGAGTGTGAAAGGTTGGATTGGCCTTGCTTCTGGGGCGGCTGCTAATACCTCGGGATTGTGGGCGACGGGAGCCAATCAGCGTCGTCGTGTTGTCAATGTCGACCAAGTTGGCCCACGCTTCGTCGGAGGGACTCGGCACTTTCATTCGCTTCCTCTGCCAAAGTCGACGACCCGCCACATGTCGAAGACGTCAACGATATCATCCAACATCCTCCGTCCTCTATCACTACTGCGTGCACTAACGGAAGGGGAGAAAGAGAGAGAGAAAGAAAAAGAGGAAGTGGAATTGTAGCAGAGGTTACAGCCAAGTGATATATCCCATCTCATTCACTTGAAACTGTCACATTGTTGCTGAGACGAGACGGTGAATGGTGCCATCACGCGACATCTTCCGTTCATCATCTGTTGCCTGCCCATTGTCAGTCCGACGTCCACTAACATCGACTGCCTTCACTCGCTATTGTTTTCGGTACATCTCTACCACAATTGCTACTACCAGTACAAGAACTACCACTCCTAAACCATCCCCTACTCTTGGTATTCCTACTCTTGGTAGAGGTAGTCGTAGTACCTCCAGCGAATCATCAATCCTCTCCAACATGCCCACGCCAGCCATACTTCCCAATCGAGCAATACAATGGGTGCTCGATTGGGACGGCACCATCACACTAAAGGACACCCTCGACGCCCTCGTCAACATCAGCAGGCAGATCAAACCAACCTCGGGCATCCCCGAGGCATGGTCCTCCCTCACGCAAGCCTACCTATCTGACCTTGACACTGCCCTCTCCACGCACGCTCCCTCCGGGAAGCTGCCCACCAACGTGCTAGATGAACGCTCCCTCCTCCTGAAGCTTAGAGCCGTCGAGCAAGCGAGCGTGAGCCGTGTTTCCGACTCCCAAATCTTCCAATCCCTAACAGACAAAGACATCAAGAACGGCGCGCGCGACGCCGTCAAGCAAGGCCGCGTGCAGCTGCGCAACGGCTACCTCGACTTCGAGAGCCACCTGAGCTCGCGCATGGACCGCCAGCACGAAGACATCGACGTCGTGAACATCCTCAGCGTGAACTGGAGCCAGCACTTCATCGCGTCGTGCCTCAACACGGCGTCCGAGGCCTCGGCCTGGGAGTCCAAGCTCGCAAATTTCGTCCACAGCTGGCCGAACCCCATCGGCGCGTACGGCCTGAGCAAGAGCAAACAGATCCAAGAGCAAGTCTCCAGCCTGCATTGTCCCTCGTACATGGCGAACCTGATGCCCTTCCAGAAACGCATATCTGCGAATGAACTCGAGGGTCTCGGCGATGGCTCCACTGGTGTCATCTGCGCGGGCGGGGATGACTTGATCGTGTCCAGCAGTGACAAGTTGACCACGTTCCAGAAGATGCGGAAGATGAATCCGTACACTATGAAGCCGATCCCCGTTGTGTACGTCGGCGACAGCTGGACGGATTTTGATTGTCTGCTAGCGGCTGACCTAGGCATATGCATACGCGACGAAGAGCTGACTTCGACGCAGAGGAAGCTCCATGAGTCCTTCGAGAGGTTAGGCATCAAGTGTCCGCATCTCAAAGACTGGAAAACTGCTGACGATTGGGCGGTTGTCTGGGTCAGGGATTTTGCTGAGATCAAGGACTGGCTGAGCTCGTTGGAGGATGATGCTGCTGCTGCTGCTGCTGCGACATAGTCTTTGGTTAGTGCTGCCCATGTGATGTATCGATGGGAACATACGTCAGTGATGTAGGCTCTCTTCGCCCCAACGAGATTCCCATCCCATTGCAACCTCAGACTATGCCAGCTGTTACCATCGAGTGCACAATAGCATGTCATGAGAAGAATGGCACTCCCCATATCGCCAGGAAGGGTATTGGAACGTCAGGGACTGATATCACCCAAGTCCAATGACTGAGTTTCAATACCACCCCCGTGTCTAGCAAAACACGCCGCACCCTGCTGAGCACAATGCGAGCCATGCTGCACGCTTCAATAGCTACTCAGCACCACCACGTCGAGAAAGAAAGCCGGAGAGCAAAGAGCAAAGAGCAAAGGGGGCTCGGAAATAGTAGTAGTCACACATAGGAACCAATATTCAAATACCCATTACATACCTTTAACTTGAAATTGAACGTCGGACGATCTAAGTCGAGATGCTAATTGTACCTAAGCATGAATGTGGACGTGTGATGTGGTAAAACTACCTAGGTAAGTAACGTGCATTGTAGTGCAATGTCCTTTGGACTTAGAGAATTCCCATACCGACGACCGCAGCAACCCCATCACCGACAAAAAAATCAAAACAAGTAGAATTGACAGCAGTGGCAGGAGCACATAATATCGATTTCCCAATCTTGGAGATTACGGGGTAGTTGTCAGCTAGTTGACTGGATACTGACCTGTAGTCATGTGATCGGAGTACATGATAACGCTTTTTTTGGCATTGGATTTGGAGGGTTGGTATTGGATAGGTACCTAAATATTGGTACGAGGTACATATTGATTTTTTGGAGTCATACATAGTATGTCAATTAATGCTATGTGTGTCTGTATACCACGGTTTCTACACGCACTGAAGTATATTAATACTCTAGGAAAGCAAAACATGCTACCGTACAATCATCACTATAAGCAGAGACAAGCTCTTTTCCCTCACACATTGCTTGCCACTCTTGGCGCCGTCGGTCGGGTGAGCCGGGTAGGAGGGCAACGGGCGGATGGGGGCGGAGCGGAGCGGATGGGTGCTTGTTGGTTTGTGGGTTAGGGTGCGGTGCATGGGAGGGATTGGAAAGGTGACGCAGGTTTGCGGAGGTCGAGGGTGATTTAGGTACATACCCATGTGTGGAGGTAGGTAGTGTCGTCATCTGGGGTGTTGCCCGGTTGAATGTAATGGAGTTGCTACTATGTAGTTTACCTATGTACTGTGTAGTTGATTGATTGTAACGAAGTTGTTACTTAGGTGTAGTGGTTTTGCATTAGAATTGTTAGATGTTGATTGGTTCGCAGCTATGGAATGGAACAAAACAGTCACCAATTGCGACGAGCATGGAGGGAAGTGGTTTTAGTGGCGAACGGTGTTGTAGTGATTGTTTTTAGGTTGGGAGATATCACATTATTCTATCATTACCACGTCCGACAATCCAAATCCATGACTTCCCCCGGATTCACATAAACGCAAAGATGCGACCGGGAAGAGAGCCCCCAAGCGAAAAAAGTTAAAAACGTGGTATACAATGAGACGATACATATCGAGGTCTCGGTAGGGAGGGAGAGGAAATCAAAACTGCGTGGTGCGCAGCTTTGAAGTCCCAATGGTCGGCCGTAGATGGTTGGTCCCTCACCAAGGGTCGTCGTCCCATCGATCGATCATCACCTGCACGCTCCCATCGAAATCCTCGATCCAAACCAATACACACAACCTGCGCGCGCGAACACCACTGATTACGTAGCCTCCTCGTCCTTCTCTTTCCTTTCCTTTCAATGGGGTATCTATGCTTTGGCGGCACGGCGGGCGGTGATCTGATGATCATGGTCAATACTTGCCTAGGAGCACGTGAATGATGGGATGCGTCGTACCTTCTTGTGGATGAAAAGACTGAGCAACAGGATGGCAACGGCACCGATGATGGCGAAGACAAGGATGACACCGGGTTCCCGGGCAGCCCAGTTCTTGCGCTTCATGAGGTGGTTGACAGCGACCTCGCTGCGGGTGATGAGAGACTTGTCGAAAGCGGCCATTTCTGCGATTGGGGTCTGTTCGGACGTGTTAGCTTCTGTGCATTGCGAATTCATCAATTGCGACGTCGTTCCGAGCCCAATGGCACCTTGAAGGCGCATTCGACAGATTTGCGACGCGAGAGCAACCGGCAAGAGGTGGTCGGAGAGGGTCTCGGATAGGCGCAGGGATCATTGAGCCAAGGGCGATCGTGCGCGTGCGCATTGGATGCCGTGAGGGCCAGCCCAGGGCAGGAGCGTACCTTTTGAGTGACGGAGAAGAAGTTCCTCGAAGGTTGACTTTGGATTGTCGGAGGATGGAAGCTTGCTTAAGAGCTGTTGACGGGAAGAAGCTTGTCAGCGCAAAGTGGCCAATGTGATACGCGCGATTGGAAAGGTGGAGGTCGAGGAGGTGACGAGACAGTGCATTGAACGCGAGACCAGAACAGATATCGGCGGGTTATCCGCGCTCTTATGAACAGGACGGGCCGCCGAAAAATCTGCAATAGGTGAGGCATTTCTTTGGCGTGCCTGGTCGGCCGCACGAGGAAGCCGGTAGGATCCGGCGTGGGATAGGGCAAAAGCATTGGGACATGGAAGACGGCGGAGAAGCTGTGGGATACATACCTGGAGCTAAGTGGTGAAGGGAATAGGATGAGGATGGAGAGGAAGCAAGCCTGTACTTGAAGATGTGATCGGGGGTGAGGAGAGAAGAGAGAAGAGAGAGAGAGGAGGTTGGATGGAGAAGAAGAATTAAAAGACCAAAAGGACGCGGGAGAGAGACGAGAGAGTGTGGGAGCTCCAATGATGGAGAACCAAGGGAAAAGACTATAGCCAATGGCCGACGGCGGTAGGGCGGGGCTCCCGCTAGTTTTGGCCGAACAAGGCAAGAATGCGACCAAGCAATCATCGTCACAGTAATTAATCCCGTAGGGTATGTATCGTCGCTGCCATGGATGTGTTCTATCAATTGTTGTATTATATCTACTGTGGACGGGAGAGGCATTAATGGAAAACATGAAGTGCAAATGGATACCTAGATACGGCATTTGTGGGTTTCCCTTCTCAATGCCGCAAGTGGGAGTGATTTTGTTGAACAGATGGTTATTGTCTATGGAAATACTGGATGCATATGGATATGGAAGCTCAATTGGTCGCAATCAAGACCCCCAAGACCAAGCAAGAGTCTTGGTAGCAATATCACTATTCATAGATAGTATGTACATATTCGATACTGCTATACGTAGTACTATGTTTGCATTCAACACTGTATGTCGTGGATAGATAGATATCATGTACGGAGTACATGGTGAGTTGATGTGAACGAGTGAATGAATGAGTGAATGGGTGGAGTTTTGCCAGTTTCCTCCGGTCACCCGCTAAAACGTTCGGCTCCACCCCAGACCCCTGCAAGCCCAAACAGCCCATCCCACATCCGGCCTAGCATATTATGTCATTGAGAAATCGACAGGGTAGCTCTTTTTTACTTTTGCTTTTATCCCTCCCCATCACACCCACCACACGTCCATCGCGCCCACTACGCCCATCTCTCTCTCGTATCCCTACGGTCTCTAACTATCTGCGACTCTACCAGTACCTGGTTCACGATTACCTACATGCCTAGATACACCACCGTACATGACTGCTCTTCCGCGCTCTCCCAGTAGATTCTTTGAGTCAGCCACAAGAGGCTGATCCGGCACTCCACCGGCTACGTCAGAGGCAAAACTACCTTTCTCCGCGATCCGACGAACTCCCCAACAACTGACCTGACCTGAACTTGACCTGACTGGACTGGATCAGACTTGACTCGATACGATGCGCCACGACAAGGGACAGCAATATCCGGAGGTATACCCACACCACACCCTGGCCTGGTTGCTTAGATAAAAACCAAGGCGAGAGACAAGCTCATGCCAAGTTTACAGCTCATTTGGCATTGTGGACCATGCACCTTGACTAGGACGACAGGGTGTGGGTGTGGGCCTCATTGATCGCTGCGTGTTGTGTGCATACAATATTGTTATTACCGCCAGGAACAGAAACAAACTCCAACGATCCCAACCTTCTCATCGCCTCTCGGCCATCTCAATAACCATCGCAACCTTTTCCTAGCTCCCACCAACCATCCCACGCCCTGTGCTTTGTCTTATTTGACCGCCCCAACTTCGCTCAATCGCCGTCCCACGCGCCGTCCCCTCACTCGTCGTATAGCCTCGCACGAGGTCCATCACCAGTCTGTAGCCTCTCCCACGCCCGTAGCTCATACTTGCGTTACTACATGCTCCGTTCTTGTTACAGTCACGGAGTATATAGTCTGCCTGTGATACTTCGTCGCATCACCGTGAACTCTCGTTTGATCTATTACTCTATACATTTATCTATCCTTACCGCATTTCCCGCCGTCTACATATTTGTATTGGTCGGGAGTGGACTCGGCGAGACATCAGATGATCTGCAAATGTGGGAGCCAATATCAAATCTCCAAAAAATCACTCAAATTCACAATTCATAACTTTTGCTCTACCACGCATATCTCATATGTTGATCTGGGCGCCACGGCCACTGGCTTAGGTTATTAATCCCCGGGAATCACGACCGCCTCGGAGATGGGATGCGTTGTCGTCATTTTTTCGGCACTATGCTAGTCCGCCTTGCAAACCTACGTTGTACCATTTCCGTTCCTACAGCAATTGTTGCTCCTATAATTGAGCGCCAGATCGTTTCGCGGCAAATCTGCTCGAACCGAGCTTCCACCGTAGTCCTTCGTATTGTCGCGTCCAACTAATTCGTAGTCAAGGCAACATCTCCGAGTCTTACAAATGGGATGGGTGGGCGCTCGGACCATCTTGTTCGCAATTAGCTCGCAGATAAGAGGACCCTGCAGGAACCGAAAACGGAACAACAATGACCTCAATCCATTACCATCATCCATGGTCCATGAGTTATCGCCAGTATTGTTCGTTCAGCAGGAATCAACAATCACAATTGACCACCACGAGAAATTGGAATCTTCAGATTGAAAAGGCAAAGATGGAGAACAAAGGACGAGGAAGGGTCGTTCTTCTGTGGAGGTGTCCCTCGGCAACTGCAACTCCCTAGCTTCTCTGGATAGCTATGTGCATGCCAGATGTACTAACATCCACAATATCCGTCCAGAGAGAGTAATAACATTTACTCGCCACTTCCAATTGCAGCCGTCCAAAAACGACAATTGCTTCACAATCTCAACTTTCCCTTCTCCGTTAATGCAGACATGCCTGAAGATCTTCAGCACTGCAACTGCTCTGTGCTGGCAAGAGCCACACAGAGGACGTATACAAACCAAACTTTCAGCGCGTAGCAGATCGATCACGATCTATGACACTCCTCGTTATCTACCAGTATTGATTTAATCACAGGCCTCCCATCTTACCATGTCGACAGAAATACCTATTCCTGGGGCGGCCATACCCGGACTGCAAGGCCGTCGAGCATCTTATCGCGGAGCCAATTGCATGCTTGCCATCGCCGAGGCAAATCGCGCATTATCTGCTCTACGAGTCCGCAAAGCCCTCGACATATATACCTGCGTGCTCGAAGCGAACAACGGGCATATTGTCGCTTTTTTGAATCGCTCCCTTTGCTACCTACTTCTGGGATATCCGACCCTTGCAGTAGCCGATGCTCATCGAGCGGTCCTCGCGATTAACCATACAATGAATTCGTCTACCGATACACTTGATGCACGCACCCATCTGTACAATATGTGGCTATTTGTCCGAGAAGCGGATCCAGAGCTCGACTCATGGACGACTGGGCCTAATCAGTATGCTGGGGCTGGTCGATTCCCGTTTCTCAACGTTCCCCTCGCCAGCCTGACCATTGAACCGGAACCGGAACGTGGCCCGGAGAGCTGCATTGTAGACGAAGCAACGCCAATAAAACGGACGTCAACCCATCTCTTGCGTAACGTATGGCTAAAGGCTTACTATCGCCTTGCCGTTGCGTTGTGGCAATGTGGTGGTGGCGCATGGCAAAGCGCTGTAGATCAAATCGATATTGTGAGAGATATGAATGACATTTCGAGGGATGATATCTCTTGTTTCCGAAAACTATGGGAACGAATCGACACCGACGCCAGTGACATAATAACAGAGGAGGCTTTTATCCACAGCTTCCTAAAACATAGAGGCTTGGAGCCAATTCCACCTGGTAGTTGCATTCGGAGTTTGATTCGATCTCGATTCACAAAAGCAAAACGTGAAGCATTCCCATGGGATCGCGACAGCTTGGTGTGGGTGGATACTCATAGCCCAATTCCACTCGATTTAAGCATGTTGACTGAATCATCCCCTGTTGAATTCTTCTTCAAAATTGGCAATGGACCGGGCGCATCAGCGAGATTGGCATTGAGGGCCAAACGGGGCATTTATGGCAACCAATGTCTCCTCAGGGAAGACTCCGCTTTCCGTGCTGTTTTGCCACGTCCAGCAGTATTCAACTACTGTGCAGGCTGCTGTTCACCACTTCGCTATCATGCTCGGATGCAGCATCCTCGCGCGCCTATTGAGCTCGAATCGATGGAAAAAATGGTGGAAAAATTACTGGAAGCCACTCCTCGGGGCGGGAGAAACCTACCTTGTCGGGACTGCGAGGAGTACACATATTGCGCCGAAGCTTGCCGAATGAGGCATGCAAATCTCACGCACCGTAGGCTTTGTGGTGTCAAAAGGCTCACCGTCGGCCAATATGAGCACACTATTCCGAACTCCTGGTCGATTCCCAGACCAAGTTATGTACAGTTTCAACTGTCTCTTCTAGAGGAGGTCCTTGCAACGGCAGATGTTCCAGACTTGTCGAAACTTCCTTTCGTTCTGATGGATGATGGCTCCTGTGATTGTCCTTCTATCTCTCCGGACGAATGGGCTCAAGAAGAGCCCTTGAGGATTGAGCCATCGGTAGGGAGCACACCCCATGCAGGGCATGCCAGCTAGCAGCCAAATGTCAACCCCATGGACAAGATATATCCCAATCGTTTGACTTTAGATAATCTGGGAGAACGTTTCAATGCGGCAACTGATCAAAGCAAAGACGCCGAGGACTCAGGTATCGAGGAGTTGGGCAACATCACCAGGAACTTGGACGCTACAGAATCGTGTCATTACATAGATTGGTCTTATGACACCTCCGTACGTCTGCCATACGAAGCGGTGCGTCTTCGTCATGCAGGACGGTCGGAAAGCGACGGCATCGAAGCAGTGTTCAACATGAATTACGACGGGTGGATTCTCGAAACGATCCGCATGAAAATCGATGGCACAATGCGCGTGCGCAAACTTCCCGAGGACGATCCGCCAAGAGCGGACGGGAATCCAATGGACATACGTCATTACCATATGAATAAATACCTCGACCCCATGTGGACCTTCACCTATGGAGAGTATTCGCATGAGCGGCCGTCCATGGGCGCAATACAGCCTCTCATTCATGCGATCACCCCAGCTGCGCGTGTTTATACGGGTGGAGTACCTTCGGTGGCAAACGTCAAGGTGATAAATCTGGGGACTTCTATCGAGGTTGTCTCTCAGGGCAGGATCATGCCCGGCGAAGTCCTAGTTGGCTAAGTTATGTGACCATTCTTGGTAGGTATTTCACTTGATATCCACTCATTCTTTCAAAGACCAGTTACAAGACTTTTATATTGTGTAGAGTGTACGTTTCGTGATGTCTTTGTACTGGAGATGTCTTGACGATTCCAGCCTTAGACACTCCGCTGATCAAGTCTATGCACATTAACCAGACTGACTCTGTGTATGACTTATTACCGTACCGATGCGTGAAGTCGTAGTTCGAAGATGTTGGTCGGTCCAATCCACTGAGTGCGTGGAAGAGATAGTACCTGAAGTTGAACTTCCAGAACATAGATTATATAAGTTTAGCTAGGGGCAAACAATACATACATCAACTATCAGTTCTCACAGCCTCAGCTCTCCCACAACCTACAAAGTGTAAATGAAATCCGGCCTTTTATCCCCCAACATCTCCACCTCCTCCTCCCCCTTCCCCTCAACCCAAACATCCCTCTCCCCACGCACCCTCTTCCCATTCTCCTTAACCAACAACCACCTCGTCACGACGCTCCCCCCAAACAAAAACAGCACCAAATACGCCAACACGACCCCATGCCCCAGTAAGAACCTCGGCTTATCCCTCCCCCTATAGATATTCGACGCAACAACCCCATTCAGGTTCCCCCACCCGATCACAAACCCCAACGTAACGCCCCTCTTATACACGCCCTCGACATTATTACTCGCCCAGGAAATCGTATTCGCAATGCACGGGTATATCCCCACGGCCCCCAGAAACGTCCCCGCGTACTGCACGCCCGGCGTCTCACTGCCCAGCAACATCGCGAACCCCACAATCCCAAATACGGACACTCCGATATTGCACCACCCGCGCTGACGCGTGCGGTCCGCCAACCAGCCTATCCCCACGGTGACGATGGCAGCGAGTGCGTAGGGGGGAACGCTGAGCAGGTTCGCGGTCGTGCTGGTGTACCCGAGGCCGCGGATGATGGTGGGCAGGAACAAGCTGAAGGCGTAGAGGGAGCCGTCGCAGCCCATGTAGATGACCGCGAAGGCCCAGGTCTTCCAGTCGAGGACCGAGGCGTAGAAGTAGGTCATTTTGAAGGATTCGTGCGACGCCGAGGCTTGCTTGTCGGCTTTCAAGCGGCGGAGAACGCGCTGGCGATCGGACGGGGAGAGGAAGGTCGCCGTGTCCGGGAAGTCGTGGACCATCCAGTAGGAGGCCATGCCTACGAGGATTGTGGCGAGGCCTTCGAGGATCTAGGGGGGGGTTTAGTGGGTTAAGATTTGGTATGGGAAGGGGAGGGAGGGAGATGGGAGGCGTACGAAGATCCAGGCCCAGCCGCGTTTTCCGCCTATGCCATCTATGTTTCATGTCGTTAGCTTTTGAAGTGCACTTGATTTGATATAAGGCAGTATGGATTCTTCCCACGTGACGACAAGAAGGGACAGCAACTCACCCATCTGAGCAATAGCAGCAGCAAGCAGTCCGCCAAACGAGCCAGCCAACGCGGCGGCAGAGAAGAAGATGGCAGCGCGGATACCGAATTCAGAGCGTCGGTACCAGCACGAGAGGTAGTAGTTCACGCCGGGGAAGAGGCCTGCCTCTGCGACGCCGAGCCACCAGCGCTGTGTGAAAGGGGGAAAACGTCAGCGATGACTGAAGAATTGATTGGAGAAGATGGGTTGGATGGGGGAGTGGACATACAGCTGTCATCAGCCCGGCGTAGTTGTGTACGAGACCCATTGTCGTCATGCAGATACCCCCTATATATATCAAACTCAGCCTTCATTCTCATTCCTCACGTCCATTCACCACTCAAATCACGAATTCGAAACGAGAAGAGAAACACAAGAAGACTCACACCACACCATGATAATCGGCAAAAAGATGCTCGGCCGCAGCTTCTTGAGCAGGATGTTCGTGAGGGGCTCGAACAGCGCGTACGAGACGAAGAAGATGGTCAGCGAAGCGTTGTACTGCCCGTCCGTCATCCCCAGGTCCTCCTGCAGGCCATCGATCTTCGCGTTGCCGATGTTCGTCCTGTCGAGGAAGGAGATGAGGTACAGGAAGGAGAGCCAGGGGATGAGCTTTAGGTCGAGGCGCCAGAGGAGTTTGCGGTCCTGTTGGTAGTCGGTTAGTCGGTGGTTTGGTGGGCGTTGGTGGTTGGATTTGAAGGGGTATTAAGGAGAGAAAGGAAGAAGGGAAAGGAGAGAGAGACGAACAATGGCAGCGCGCTCTTCTGAGCTGAGTCCTGCGTCCGGGTCGGGCATGTCTTCCAAGCGCGTTCGATTGATGTTGGGTTGCGAAACTGCGTTTCCGTCTTCGATCTTCTCGTCGCTATTGGAATAGCGGTCTTTCTCTATTGCAGTCGCCATCTTGTCGAGATTTCGTATGCTTGTCTGTTGTACTTAGTGTCCCTAGAAGGAAATTGGCGAAGCGGTGTGCTTCGTAAGTTGATAGTATAACCTCAGTACAGCATGAGTGAGGAAAACCAATGACCCGGACAGAGTCAATTCTCGGGAGCGATTACAGCGATATAAACCACCCCATAGCCGATAACTCAACCAACTACATCATCAAACACAAGGTGGGCCTCCCTCCACACCTCACTGTGATTAAAAATCCATTGTACCCAATGTTTACCCCGGGTTGCCGCCCCAAAAAAACAACGTCACCTGTTCTGTCTCTCTCCCTCCCACCAGCACTCAAGGAGGAATTCGAACCCGAGCGGTCCAATGGAAGGGATCGAACGATTGAACCCCACGAGATCAGCGACGATAAAGCACAAAGGGAGCCTCTCAGGTGAGTTTGTAATGCGGGTAACATAACTCCACATTGCCTTAGCGCCGTGATGATCGTTTCCCCTCACGAAAGGAGCGCAGGGTTTGTAATGTTCGATTATCTGATGAGATGCATGGTGATTGTTTCCTTTTTGAACAGATTTCGAAGAGGAAAAAGGAAAAAGGAGGCGCTCTACGTTATCGCTGCTTACTTTCCTCCGCTGACAACTATTCATTCTCAAGTTTCTAAATGTCGTTCTAATCAACGGTCGTTGCATACTCAGTACATAAATACGATTTCGAGGAATGACGTTGGAGACTTAGCTCGCTTGTCTGTTTAAGCTTGTTGCTTGTGCGGGGAGCGGGAAGGGCACTCGGGCCAATGGCAAGTGGGTTCTATTACCGAGTCAGCCAATCATATTGCAGAACCTTCTAAGTCCAAGTATAAGCATCCGGCTCCTCTTCGCGGGGAGCGTTGGAGTCGAGGTGGCGGATGGAGGCTTGATGATCGGATAGGTTCGTGTGTTGCGCTTGGTTCCTTGGCTTGTTAGTTGCTGGTGACTAGGTAATTATGACATGGTTCGATTATCTGGCGATGCATTGCATGGTTCTGGCAGGTTGTGGTGAGGATACAAGGGTAGGTTGGTGGTTTGGAGAGGGGTTGAAAGTGTGTTCAATTATTGGGAATGGCGGTTAACGTTGGATTACAATTTCGTGTGTCAGCTAGATTGGTGAGGCCTTATATACTGTTAGAATGTATATTATACTAATAAGCTATCAACATAGAAATTGGACGCCATAACTCCTCTCCCACCAGTATGGAAATTATTAATGCTATTCAACCATATCAGAAAAAGATTCCAGATATGACTTAACTGTATATGTGAAACATGCTAGACTGCCCATACACTTCCTATCTCTTCAACCAAGCCCAAGTCTCTTTAGCAGCAGCAATGCTGGGGAGGTCAATGACTCGATAGAACACCTCCGCAGCCAATCCAACAAGAGGAACACACACGATGAAACAGACAAATGTAGCCATCTCGTGAGAAATTCCCGAAGCATGCATATGCATGTACAGTTTGATGCCAGCAGTGTACAACAAGATCGGTTGCGCGAGGAAGATGCCTTGGCAAATGTGAGCATCAAGTGTGTTACTTAGACGATTAGAAGAGTGGAAAGAAAGCAAGACTTACTGAAGCTCCTCTTTCCGAGACCTACAAGGACTCTATTGCGGAGAACTCTCTGCAGAACATCGTATGTCTCAACGAACAGCATCGTCCCCAGAATGACCAAGTAGTTATCGTCCCTAGCCTGTGGCTGCTCGGTGTCAACGCCCGAGTTCAACGACCCAGAAGTATACAGTCCGGTATGTCCCTGCAACTCCTTATGCCGGAACTCAGGCCTCCACGCAATGAACAGATATTGCAACAGAACACCAGTGAACACCAGCACCCCGTAGATAGGCCACATCGGCACTCGGTATCGTCCGACCCGAATGCCACTGCGCGACTTGAACTGGAGATCCATGTTCAAAGTGGCGTCTGCGAGCAACAGACCGGTGACGCTATACCAAGCCCAGCTTTGAACCCACCATGCTGTGAGAATGAAGACGATGAAGGCCTTGACTCGCCAGGAAGTGCGTGTGTAGGGGATTGTGATCATAGTCATGTAGACTGTATAGCTCTGCTGGAAAATGACTGATATGAGCCAAATTGTACCAGAAGGGAATGCCAGGTTGGCAGCCTGCGACGTGTAATGCTTGGTCACCCAGAACATGTCGAATTGGGAGTTGAAGTAGACGAGAAAGGTACGCATTCGTAGCGGTGCTGTTGTAGAAACATTTCCGGTGGTGTGAAGGAAGGTTTCGATGTAATCTGTAGACGTGGTGCTGAAGGCGGCTACGGATAGCGAGAATCCAACGAAGGTGGGAAGCCAGAGACGCAAGGCTCGACGGAATATCGAAGACGAGCAGATGGTGCGGTCTGGATTATGGAGATACGGGAGGCACAATGTGCGGGCTGAAAGGAGAATGATAAAGGAGTAAATGAGTGATTCGTTCCAGAAAAGCACTGAGAGCGTCTTGCGGATGAGTTTTTGATACAGACGACCATCTTCATTTGATGAGTCGGCAACAGAGGTAGGCAAGAACAGTTGGAAGAAAGTAAACAAGAAGCACTGAATTGCAAGAAGCCCCCGCAAGCCGATAAGGTAATTTTGCGAGGGTATAGTGCTGGAAGAGGACATGGAGGAGAAACGCGACGGTAAAGGAATGGAAGGGAGTTGGAACTGCATGGTGAAAGTACGCGTGTCTACAAGTTCAAGTCAATACAGAGGCAAATTGATAAAGTAAATGGGGACATAAAAACAAACCACAACGGAGGCAAGCTCATTTCGCGCAGAGGCACGTGAAATGGAATCTCAATGTAGTCAAGTGGCAATGGAAACTCGAAATCCTGGGAACTCGACGTCCATCCGTGGGGGAGCCGAGATCTGCGAGTTGAGCTTTATTGATAGTTACTTGATGAGCGAGGCTCTGGGTACCAACGGTTCGTCTTGTAGCACGTATATGCGGTGGGCGCCGTTTCATTCAGCTACTCCCGGGAAGATAATGTGTTTGTTGAGATACTTACATGCCAAGATACAACGATACAGCCCGGCGTTTTTGTGATTCTCGCCTGTAACCACCGTAGGAAACCAATAATATTAGATCACTATAGTGTGGGGTGATGTTAATCAATGTTTAAACAGTATTGGCGCATCTTCCAACTGCTGCCAGTCAACGGGTGATGTTTCTCCACTTCAAATGACAGAATGGTTGCAAGTCAGTGGGGCCTTACGGAGTTCAAAATTTCCGTAAATATTGCCTTGAAGCTTCCATTAGGCCAAGACGGAAACTACAATTGCTTCGAGAGTTTGGCGCAGAATTGATGTGCAACGGGAGCCATTCCTGCAATGTTCAGGGGTGCATGTTGCTCGTTGTATGTATGAAGTAGTGACGACATTCGCTCTGTATTACACGAGAACCGTAGGCTTGGCCAAATATTCAGCTCCTTGTTTCTTAATGTGGCTTCATGGAAAATCGGAACCTGGTTGTCAAGAGTATTTTGCGTCCGTGTCCAGGGACGACCCGCGGATGTGCGTTGTCGATCAAGATTGTAATTTGATGAAACAAGAAACGATAAGAATTGCCACGCGGCAGTAGCGCATAAGCACACAGCAGGGTGATTCAGTGCGTTCGATTGGTAAGATAGATAATTGGATCAGCTATGCCGTGTAACATTCGAAGGACGTGACGACTTTAGTTCTTGGCAGCGAGAACGAGAAATGGACATGTCATTTTTACGATTGTGCTCGTCACACTCTAAACAGGAAGACCTTTAGAAGAGAGTGTATAGGTGGTTAACGTAGTGTATCAAGCCCAATTTAATGAAGAAATAGAGTTTCGTGGTCTATACTGAGAATTGATGGAAGATTTGTTGATTACAAACACGAACCCAAGTTTTGTACCCTAAAAACAATATGGAGAAGCTTGACATGTACGAATCGGAGAATATAATTGCTGAAGAGTAAATCCAGACTAAAATTACTTCCTGGCGGTAGGGTTCCAGTTGCTGTACTTGACAATCTGTCGGGCATGTCCATACAGCCCGATAACTGCCATAAAAACCAAGTAGAACGGATACTGGATAGAAAACAAAATGATCATTTTTCGAGAAACGAACTCGGACTTGACCTGATTGGTGATCCACAGCGTTGCGACCAAACAAATTATACTGCATGACGTTAGCTACAGTCTTGAAACATCCGGTGTTGTACGAGCCTTATGATGAAAAGCCACTGTGACACAGGGTATTGGAAGTATACGAGCTTCCAAAGTTCCGCGCCAGAAGATGGAAATTTGACGATGAGGAAACTGAGTACTAAACAAGTGTACTGAGTCACAAGGTAATATGAACTCTCTCGAATGAAGAGAAGCGAAAGTATGCCGAATCGAGCAGTGAAGTCACGACTGTAGTTGTCGTGTAGGGGCTCTAACGGTTTGTTGTAGATCATCTTCAAATGCTTCATACTTGCTTGTGCCTAGGGTAGTCAATAGGTCAGCTATGGGCATAGTGAATATTATCGTTGACTGCTCACCCAGCCTTGTGCCCATCGTAATCGTTGTTTCCAGAAAGCGGATAGCGTCGTAGGTGCAAGCTCATAGGAAGTTACATTGAGGTCGTGGACTGTTTTTGATCCGCGGGAAAATGCACGTAAAGCAGAATCAATATCTTCCGTAAGCATGTTGCCGTCCATACGGAGATCGCGCAGCAGGGACGTTCGCCAATAACCATTAGAGCCACAAAACAGACCGAATCTGAAAACCGGTCAGCTACGCCTACGAGCAGAATTTGCAGCTACTTACCCCCACATTGCAGCGCGCCCAGGATGAGACACGGCATATATTTTGTCAAACTCTACAGCGATCATACTGGAGAGAAATGTGTCTCCTGAGTTGAAGACAATGCACCTGCCTTGGACAATGTCTGTCTCTGGATCCGCAATGAATCTCTCGACTGCCCAGCGAGGACTGTTAGGGTGCGGATAATGATCGCAGTCATATATGGCAATGAGGTCAGATCCAGTGTCCAGTGTAAAGAAGTAGTTGAGATTGTCTGCATCATGTTAATCACATGAAAACGAAGTTGTTGTTGGGGTAATATACCTGCTTTAGACGTAGAATTGGGGACTTTAATGACTCGAGCGTGGGAATACTTTTCTTCTAAACCGTAAAGTTCGCTCTCCAGTGGTTCAATAGGATGTGGCGTGTTGTAGAGAATGTTGATGCGCAATTTATCTTTTGGGTAGTCGATCTGCTCCAATGCATAAATGGCACGATCCATGATGATATCCTTTTCATTTGGAAGATAGGCCACGATGATGAGATCAAGTATCAGGAGATTGTTGTGTGGTGTTGGAAAAAGCCAGCCTTTCTCTTCTGCTTGGGTGACGACTTTCCTTGCCTCACGGCAAGGTGTGATACTCATGAAAGCTTCAAGCACTGTTGCACCAGCAATGTAGAAGTTGGTGCACATGTAGATGAACCAGAAGATTGCAACGAGCTCGTCACTGCAATAAGTGTAAAGGCAAGTTGAAAAGACGAAGTATGACACCACAAGCCCAAAGGGTGTCCACTCTGCAATGAATGCAGATAGCCGGGTAGAAGCATCTTGGAATAGCCAAAATTTCTTAACGTGCGTTTGTTCGAAATCGGCCTGGGTGGTTCCAATATCAACGGTAAAGTCATTATGCTCTTTCATTTTGAAGATATCAAGTGGCTGCGTCTAAGGCGTTTAAGGGAAACAGAAGTAACGAATGATAAAGTGGTTAAGGGAAATAGTAGTAACGAACGGCTGGCCTAGTCAAAGCGAGTGATGACAGAGACCTTGAGAGAAGGCTTAGTATGTAAAACGAGAGACAAAATATACCATGGGTAAGGCAGTGAGACGCATCAGTGAGTTCTACGGCATTGGACAGTCACTTATCAGAAAGTATCGCAGGGCAACACGCTGATAATGAGTAGTGCAGTGACAACTATATCGGCCCCTTTTCCGCGAGCCTCCGATGTGTCATTTTTGTCAAGCCCTTGATCGACGTAATAAATGGAGATTGCCGACAATACCTGCCCTTGATGCGGACGTAAATCCTTGTCTTTGCATTTGAGGACAATCAGCCCGTTTGTCTCAGTCACTGGCTTGCCGTGGCTTGTGCTAGATGCCTGCACAGCAATAGTACCTTAAGCAAATCCAGCAAATTTGGATCCACCAGTCTATCTATCTGGCTCGGTAATACGGAGTGCGTTGAGAATGCCATCACTGCTTCTGGTGTCCTGCTTTCAAATTTTAGTGGTGGCTTGCTTGTAGATAGGACAAGAATGGTTCTCGCCAAGGGCGGAAAGTCAGCTTCCAACCTGGTCAGAGCGATAGGCAGTGTATGGCGGCGGACATTGATTCCAATGTGAACGTAGATCACAGATTGAAATGTGGAAATGGGATAGAACAAGGATGGAATATCTCCAGCGTTCGGAATTGCTATGCTGTGACAGGCACTAACATCCTTGGCATTCACACCTGCCCGACACTCATCATCCCACGGCCATGCCTAACCACCAATCAATGAACAACCCACAACCCAATTCTATGGTTCGTGAGACCAACAGGACGATCTCGATATCTACATATGGCAGGAAGAGCAGTATGCAGGCTAGCAAGGCCCCGTTCTGGCGTCTTTCGCGTGCCTGGATGCGTGTCCCGTATCCGCCAAGCTGGAATTTTGTGAAGGATGATCCTCCGACTGGATATAATGCAATATCGAAGTGACAAGGCATTTCGGAATTAGCTTGATTTTGGTTCACCAGTGACTAGTCAGGTCCTGTCGGCAGGCTGCTGGCATTGTTTGTATTTTGAGTATACTAGGAAAACACAGTAATAACAAAAGAGCCAGCTCGTCTACCCTGTGCGAACACATACGAAGTACTCAGACTGTCAATCAAGATGTATCGATGCCATCATATTTTTTTGATTTTGTTGTTGTTTTCTGGTGGCATTCTTGGAGAGGTTTTCCGAGGCGATCAAAATTGTTCCTGCGGATTCTACGACCCAGACACCGAAGAGCTCTTCACCGACGCCATCATCGTGTATTTCAACGAAACTGACAGGATACCGGATGATTTTGTTACCGAGAAATACGAAAACACGTATGAGAAAGATTGGAATGCGATCTATCGCCAAGGTGCCCTGCCATCCAATGTTCAGCTGAATGGATCATCGAAGACATTGGATTTATTTGTTTCGCCTCCTACAGACGAGCACCTGGTCAATGGAGCGGGACTTTTGACTCGAAGAAAAGACATACAGCACGGCTCGTTCCGCGTTTCCATGAAGGGCGCCTCCAGATCATCGCGTGGGACGGCAATGTCAATGATGTGGCAATTCAACGAAACCGAAGTCACAGAATTAAGCGTAATGAACATGAACGACCCGATGGAAGCCTGGGTTGGGACCTTCGTGAACAACGAATTCACAACCCGCGACTTGGGTACAAACTTTTCTACGGCTCTCGCTACTTCGCATGCGAGTTCCAATTACTCGACCCTTGGGACGTCCCTGACTAACGGAAGTATGGATCTATGGTACTTCACCGAGTACCGAATCGACTGGACCAAAGACATGATCAACTTCTTTATTCAAGGGAACATGTCGCGCTCGGTTGAGAGAGCTAAAAATAGAGGAATGCCGTCCGTCCCAGCACCGTTTCATTTCAAACATTGGTCAACGTACGTATTCATGCCTACCTAACTAGGACGTCATCTAACCCTCTTTCAGTGGCAACCGATTCTCGATGCGAGGGCCACCGAGGAAACCAGCGATTGCTAAAATTGAATGGATACGGATGTTTTTCAATTCGTCAACGACGACGACCCAAGCTCGCGAAGACTTCAATGCGCAATGCTCCCTGGTAAATGCTTGCTCAATGGGAGATCATACATTACGAGGCTCCACGCCCTCCTCTCGCGAGTCGGCGGAAAGGTGGAAGCAAGAAGGTAGCAAAAGCATCATACGAAAGCCTGCATTGTGGATATCGGTCATTTGCCTGTGTTTTTCCTCTTTCCTGGTTATACACGCTCTCATTCTCCGAGCTCCGTGGAGAAGACGCAGTAAGCCAGATGCGGAGGATAAGACCTCTCAATCGGGACCCAAACCAGCGGATCAGTCCGATTCCAATCCATTTGAAGCGCCAGCGTACATTATAGAAGCGCGAACTTCGACATCCCCTTCACCAACAATCACAAGCGGGTCAATGCTTTCGGGAGGTCAGTCTCAGGACGACCTTGCGATCGAGAAAGTCGAGGCCAGTCCTGAGGCCTCTCTTTGGGGTGGTTCCACCCATGGCGGCCCGTCCCGGCCGGCATCTACTAGATTCGATAGTCGAGGTACAACACCTAAAGTGCTGTCGCCTTGTCCAAGCACCATCAATATAGCTCGTGAAGAGATGCCTCTACCGAACCGCAGTCTCCATCGATTGGAGAGATTGTCCGTCGCGACTTCCAAACGAGGTTCCGAGAGGACACTGGTGCCCTCGAACACCAAAGAACCGCAGGACAAAGTGCAGATGAGCACTGTCACTGAGTCTGCGTTGCCGGCCCCTCGTATGAAACCTCAGCCGCTTCCGCCTCGACAGAGGATTGACTATCTCGCTGGACTGGTTGCCATGTGTGCTATCTTAGTCACTGTGATGCACTTCGGCTTAACGTTTGTTCCAGCGATAGTGATACCAGGCGCCCCACGACATCATGAATCCGAATACTGGGCGCAGCGGATTGTCGCGCCCTTCATTCTCAATCAGATGTGGCTTGGTGTCTTCTTCACTACCTCTGTCCGCTTCTTAGTTTCGCCATACCTGAAAAGGGGCAACTTGCAAGATATTGCGAAAGCTGCTGTCCGTAGAACACCACGTCTCATGATTCCGGTGGCTTCAATTGCAATGCTTGAGTATTTCCTTGTTGACTGTGGGGCGACAAAGTTCTTGAGATACATACCATCGCTCACATGGTCCACATGGCCATACGTGACCCGCTACCCAACAGCCGGACACTTTGTCTCCGAGGTGCTAGAACTCATATATCTTGTGCCCAACGGCGTGCCACAAATCACCTTCAACTTTTGTACGGGTGTGCTGTGGACAATTGCCGTGCAACTTCAAGGCACATGGCTCATTCTGTGTGGCGTAATCGTCGTGTATGAGATCAGGAGTCCGTGGAAGCGCATGGCATATTATGCCTTCTGCGTGCTCAACCATTGGTATGCCCAATCCTGGGGCTCGTACCTCTGGCTCGGGCTCCTCCTGACCGATCTGGATATCTCGTTCAAATACAGAGAGTATCTTCATGCCTCACCTTGCGTCTACTATCCACTGATCACTTTGCTATGGCTGTGCGTCGCCACCGGCTTCTCAGCAAACGTCATTCCCAACTGTAAGCCCCAACCCCCTCAAGGCATCATAACCACAAAATCAATACTAACTCCCCCTCCCACCCAGGGATCGATTTCAACTTCGCAACCTACGAACACAACATCCACCCAGACATCCCGAGCGGCGAAGCCCTCTGGAACACCCCCAACGCCGGCTACCCAGCGTACTACAAGCCGCGCCTGAACGGCCTCCTCTTCGCAGCAGGCATGCAAGCCATCGTCGAGATCTCCCCATCCGTCCAATGGGTCCTCTCCATGCGCGCCTTCCTCGTCCTCTTCCCCCACATCTTCACAATCTACCTTCTCCACGGCCTCGTCTTCTGGAGCTGGGGCTCCTGGCTCATGATCTTCCTCGCCGACCGCGGCCTCAGCTACGGCACCAACGTCGCCGTCGTCGGCGTCACTTCGTACGCCCTGCTGTTCGCCAGTCTCCCCCTTGTCACGCCCGTCATCGAGGCGCTGGGTAAGGACATCACGTCGCTGGTGTGGATGTCGGCTGTCGAGGAGAGTCCGCCGCGCCGACGCACGCTGTTTCCGTTTCCGGACGACTTGCTGGCTTCGCGGCAGGGCGGCGGGAAGGGGGAGGGCGATGTAGAGAAGAATGGAGGCGTGGCGGTGAGGAATAGTGCGGGGAGTGGGAGCGTGGTGGTGAGTAGTGGGTCGGCGACGCCGAGTAGTGAGAAGGCGAAGGCGAAAGATGAGATTAAGGAGATCAGTCAGTTTGACTTCCAGTTTAAGGGGAAGGGGAAGGTGCAGCAGGTTAGGAGTGTTTGGGATGAGTGAGAGAGTATGTAAGTACGTCAAGGGGTGGTAAATAATCATGGCGGTGGTGAGGTAGAGATTTGGAGTCTGTCGTCGTTTGAGTTTTATATTCCTTTTACAGAGATGTATGTATTGGTCGTTCGTGTCGCAACGATCATAAGGTCGTTGGGATGGTAGGAAGGGGTTGGATACATGAGCATGTATCGTTTTTTTCCCTTCCCTTCTTTGTTTAGGGGCTGGTAAATAATAGCTTTAGTACATTATAATATTTACATGCAGCATCGATCCGTCCTATTGAAAAAAGGTGTGAAAATTGAACGACGTCAAACGAAATGTGAATGATATGCTTCACCGAAGTAACGGAACGTCATACATAAGTGAATTATTCGTCAATCATCTATCCAAAGTCGTACAAATACAAAATGGCGCCCCCCTTTCTTCATTTCTAAAGAAAGAGTGCCATCCTCTCTCCCTCCCGGAGATCAGAAAGTCGGTCTCGTCCTCTCCCCCTTCCAAAGCCCCATGACCTCGCCCGTCTCCCCAACCCACTCCCTAACCCCCGTGACGACCGCCTTCGCCATCCCCGCATTCGTCCCGCTCCTCTGCCTCCTCCTGCCCTCTCCCGCCCCCGTACCGCTTCCAAACGCGCCCCCGGTGGAGCCAGCAGGAACCTTGCCCGAGCTCATGAAGCTGCTGCCCTCGCCGGTCGCGTACTCCGACCCCATGCTCGGCAGGACGTTCTCGCCCGCAGATAGGGAGACGAACAGCGCGAAGGGCACCAGCCACACGCAGAGCCCGAAGTAGGATGCGATCTCGGTGAAGGAGGGGATGTTGGCGTCGCGGGCGTACGGGTACGACGAGGAGTAGGTGTTCGGGGGCGGGGCGCTGAAGTGCCGGAACCAGAGGTAGTGGTTCGCGATTACGAGGCCTGTTTGAGCGGTTTGAGTTAGTTTGGAGGTTCTGTTTTGTGTGGTTTGCGCAATGTTGTGTGGTTTTATTTATCTCTTTCTCTTTCTTTGTGAAGTCTTCGCCTGTGCGCTTGCTTGCTCTGGTAGGGTAGACAAATGGGTAGAAAGAAGGGGCGTAGTGTATTCTATCGATTTCGGAATGGCAACCTACCACAAGATAACAGGAACAGAGGGTCCGTGAGTTTAACGATGGGGAACCGCCGTAGGTTCTGTGCATATATGAGGTGCGACACTATGCTCAGGACGCTCAGGCCGGCCGGGAATCCATCGATCAGGAGGAGCAGGAGCTGTAGTGCGATGATGCCGTAGATCAATTGGTAGAGGAGTCTCTTCGCGATCACGGTGTGCTCTTCTACGAGCTCTGATAGGTAGTATAGTCCAGAGGCTACATCGTAAAGGGTGTGCATCAGCTTATGGAACTATAATACAAGAACGTGGGGTCATGGTTTTTGGTGATATGGGGAACTTGGAGGGAGGGAGAGAGGGTAGTGTGTACCAATAGCCAACGTTAAGAACGCAAACCCCAATATCACGCCGACATAACCAAGAAATGGTAGAATCCACATGGTGCGACCCTTCGAACCCCTTTCTTTTCGTTTTAGAAGAAATCGAGTTTTACAAAAAAGAAAACATTTGGGTATTGTTTTAGCAAATCGATGAGGTCAGACGCAAGGAGAGGTGTCCTCGAGGAAGCACGGGGAAACGTTGAAGCGACCTCCGGATGATTGGGCTACGGGCCTTTTCCCCACCAAAATTTATGGCGGGACGACTAAGCTCGCAGACGAGGCGTCAAAAGTTATTTAGAATCGAAATCTTGGCATATTGTGTCGATTGTTCAATTGCGCTCCAGCATCTTCATAACACTGTACGCCCAGCCGCCTATTGAGGTTTCTTTACTGGAAGAGGGGATTATACTACACATCATGTCGCGACCAGAAGATATATTGTACGTCCACCGCAATCGCAACCACCACGCACCCCTCCTCAACTAACATCACTCTCCACAAAAAAGACCTCCCGACCTCTTCTACAATGACTCCGAGTCCCGCAAATACACCACCTCGTCCCGCATCCAGCGGATCCAGTCCGACATGACGCACCGCGCGCTCGACATGCTGGACCTCACCTCGCCGTCCATGATCCTCGACGTGGGCTGCGGCTCCGGCCTCTCTGGCGAGATCCTGTCCGCGTCCGACGAAGACGGCACGCCAGGGGGCCCGCACGTCTGGATCGGCTTCGACATCTCCGCGTCGATGCTCGGCGTCGCGCTCGAGAAGGAGGTCGAGGGCGATTTGTTCCTCGCCGATGCGGGACAGGGCGTGCCGTTCCGCGCGGGCACGTTCGATGCTGCGATATCGATTTCTGCGATACAGTGGCTTTGCAATGCGGAGACGAGTGAGGATAGCCCTGCGGGAAGGCTTTCCAGGTTCTTCAATGGGTTGTATGCGAGTTTGAGAAGGGGTGGGAGGGCCGTGTGCCAGTTTTATCCTAAGAACGATGAGCAGAAGCAGATGGTTAGCTCGGCGGCTGTCAAGGCGGGGTTCGGAGCGGGTTTGCTAGAGGATGACCCCGGGACAAAGAATGCGAAGACGTATCTTGTTTTGACTGTGGGTGGTGGGGATACCGATGGAGACATCACGGGTGTCGTTCGGGGTATGGATGGTGTGGATGTCCAGGATAGCAGGAGGAGAGGTAGGGACAGGCATGGAAAGGATGTCAAGGGAAGCAAAGCATGGATCTTGCGCAAGAAAGAACAGCAAGAGTCGAGGGGCAAAGTGGTCAAGGCTACTTCGAAGTACACTGGCCGCAAGCGTAGGATCCAGTGGTGAGGAGCCTACATGGCTTTGCTCTCTTTCTTCTTTTACCAAAACGATTTTCACGAAATGCATTAGCGCGGAGTTTTGGGGGGTATAGAAATAAAGATTCATGCATGCTGGCTAGCTATATACCACCTAAAAGTACAGCTCTATTCACATGCGCGTACTTGTACATAAAGCCGTATCCAATCGCCCCAGGTCTATTGCATATAACTACCAAACCGGAAAGGGTAGCAATCGTTGAGTGTCAGTTACGTGAAGCAAGGTTTCGACGACCTTGGTCAGCCTATGCCTGCTCCATCTTGCTAAGGACTGCACGGGTGAACTCCTGGGTGGTGCTGTTACCGCCCATATCGCGTGTTCGGGTTTTTCTAGATTCGAAATCAGTACTGCGATTCGGAGGATGTGCTCGGAATAGATTTTTACATACCCATCAGCAATGACCTGGTAAACGGACTGGGAGATGCGGTTTGCGTGATCATCGAGACCAAGGTGGCGCAGCATCATGGAGGCGGAGAGGATCAAGGCAGTGGGGTTGGCCTGGTCCTTGCCCTTGATATCGAGACCGACGTGACGGCATCCAGGCTCGAAGACGGCAACGTTGCGGCCCATGTTGCATCCAGGGACGACGCCGGGTCCACCGACGAGACCAGCACCGATGTTGGACAAGATACCTCCGTACAAGTTGGGCATGACGAGGACGTCGAACTGCTGTGGCCTGGACACGCACTGCATGGAGGCGTTGTCGACGATCATGTCGTTGGTCTCAAGGGTAGGGTAGTCCTCGGCGACCTTCTTGAAGGTGTTGCGGAAGAGACCATCGGCCAACTTCATGATGTTGGCCTTGTGGATGCAGGTGACCTTCTCCCTGTTGTTGGCAAGGGCGAAAGCAAAAGCAAACTTGGCAATGCGCTCGGATTTGGCGCGGGTGATGATCTTGAGGGACTCAACGACACCGCCAACGGACTGGTGCTCGAGGCCGGAGTATTCACCCTCGGTGTTCTCACGGATGATGCAGAGGTCGACGTTCTTGTGGCGGGTCTCGTATCCGGGGATGTTCTTGATGAGGACGATGGAGGCGTAGATGTCCAACTCCTGGCGGAGGGCGACGTTGAAAGACTGGTGGCCGGAGCGCTCGACTGGAGTGTGGAGGATACCCTTGAGACCCAACTTGTTGCGCTTGAGCGAGGCGATGGACTCGCGGAAGAGATCCTCGGAGTGCTTGTTGCCCGTCTCGACACCAGACACGTTAACCTGCTCCCACTCAATGGGAACGTTGTCCGCCTTGAAGATCTGCTTGACCGACTCTGAGACCTCCGCACCGATACCGTCACCTGTGCTATGTTCAATATCAACTCGTAGGGTCGAGGAATCTCGTTTGCGTACCAGGAATCAAGGTCACGGTGTATTTGCCGCCGAACTTGGTGGGCTTGAAGATGTCGCTGTTGACCGTGGCCATTGCTGGAGGAATTGTGAGCACATGGGCAATTCTTTCTCAAGAGATCCAGATCGTTCCGGAGGGGTTCTACGCACAGCGAGTGGCCATGGAAGGGCCAGCAGCGCATCGAGAGGCAGATCCAGCGCCCCGCAGGAGCGTCTGTGGAAGTCGCAGTAGGTTAGCAGAGGTTCTGTGACAATGTATAGGTCAATTGGTAGAGGAACAGTGGCTACGTACCTGCGCCGTCTTTTGGGAGGTCCTCGAAAGCATCTTGGTTGTGGTCGGCAGAACGGAGTTGGAGGTTCTGAGGGATTTGAGGGAAGCAAGCAAGAGTTAGAGCGAGAGAGACTCTGGATGGAGCTCGCCGGCCGAAAAAGCAAAAGCGTAGGAAGGCTTGGCGGGCATCCCGGCCCATGACAACAAGCGCCGCCGCCGCCGAACGAGCCACTTTACGAGTATTTCCAGTTTGTGTGCGAGTTTCCTGGTTAATTGCCTTTTTTTCTTCTCCATAGGATCTAATCAGTAATGGTATAAGTTTCGCTCGTTATCTGATCTGATCTGATCTGATCTGATCCTGCGCAAAGATCTTGCCGCAGAGATTTCCGTCTTCACACCCCTACTCCTACTCCTACTTCTAATTATCTGATATTATTGAATGTAAATGCAATATTCTATGGCAATTACAATATTGGTGACTTTATGCCAATGACTTGACAAACACTTGCTTCCTTACCACTGCACGAATCATGCATTCCCACTTGGTCGTCAATACGAGTATCTTCAGGACACACAGACACCTTTAGAGTACTGTGCAATAATGATAGTAAGGAAAGACTCGGAACATCAATTGGCGATGCGTACAAGTATAGGTACCTACGTTCTCCAACAAACCGCGCTGTGTAGTATGTACTGTATACTGTGTCAGGTAACTACCGTCCTCGTCTGCCATGCCATGGCTGCAATTTTTGTCGGCCGCGCAACAGCAATGCCCCGGATAAGGACTAGATTCCGAATATGGCAAGAACACATTCATGTGATAGTTGGTCAGTGCGTCATCAGGTACAGTACATACAAAGTACATGTAATTACACGCATATACATTCGTCCTATAGAGGGCAGTACTGGAAGCTGTAAACCACCTCATATCGTAGGTTCAATCTGAAGTTAGACTCTCTACTGTGCCAATTCACATCTCTGCGCCCGTCTACAACGCCGCACTGTTTCATGCATTGTCCGCTTTTTTTTAGAATCACATCCAGCTTCCTCATTCGGCTTAGTTTACTCTCGTCTGTGCCGATTCAGACCTTCCGATTCCGACGTCAGTGTTTGACAGTCGCTGTACACATATAATTGCTGCTTGTACTTATATGTAGCTGTACCTTGAACATCTTCAAAGTACATGTGTACTCTGACCCTCTCGCTAAGCTACCTCACCAGACTCTCAATAGGTACCTACCTAGATAGTTATCTAACGTACCACAAGTGTGGGGTAACGCGGAAGCATGCGCAAAGCCGCCTAAAAGGAGTACTATAGTTCTCCACATCATGGAATTCAACTCGTGAATGCTCATCTTCTCTTCCTCCCAGGACAAACAAAATGGAGTCACTCCAAGTTGGCTGGATTGGCCTGGGCAACGCTGGCTACCCGATGGCAGCCTGCCTTGCCAAAAGAGGACATCGACTCCTCGTCCGCGACGCAGATCCCGCCCGTAGTGTGCAGTTCGTCGAAAAGTATCCCAAGTGCAGGATGGCGACGCTCGACGCCGAGTCCTTCAAAGACTGTGATGTTGTTGTGACCATGTTGCCAAACGGCGAGGTCGTGAGAGACGTCCTGTTTGGCGACCATGGAATCGCCGGGCACTTGAAGCCAGGCATGTTAATTGCTCCTGGCTATAGACGGTGACTGGCAAGCTGCTTGCTGATCGGTTATCAGGCTCGGTCGTCATCGACACCAGCTCATCCTCGCCCTTTCATACTCGCGACTTGGGAGGCGAGCTCGCGAAGCTCTCTGTCGATCTTGTCGATTCGCCCATCACGCAGGAACGGCTTCACGCCATTGATGATCGGGGCGCTACTCTCATGGTAGGCTCGGACTCACCCGACGCCCTTCAGAAGGTCATGCCGATCCTCAAAGATATGAGTACTCATGTCTTCCCAATGGGCGGATTGGGAACCGGCCATACCATGAAGACACTTAACAATTATGTCAGTGTTGGTAGCATCATCGCTCTCTGCGATGCTTTGGTAAGGATATCGGGTGCAATATAACATTCGCAAAACAGCCTCCTTCTCACAAGCATAGGTGACCGGCCAAAAGCTCGGATTGGATCCGCAGACCATGATCGATGTTTTAAATGTCGGCACAGGAGTGAACTTCTCGACCAAGTATTCCATGCGGAACTTAAAGTCCTTCGATACGGGTTACCAACTTGAATTACTTGTCAAAGACGTCAAGATCGCCAAAGAAGTCATCGAACAGTCCGGGTTCGAATCAGAACTCCCTGGATTGGCTCTGAAGTACTTGGAGGACTCGTTGAAGCTGGTTGAAACGGGAGCTGATCATTCTGAATGCATCAAAAGCTGGGAACAGCGAGCCGGTGTCGAGATTGCGAAGACAGAACGAAGGGGTGATGAGACGAGACTTCAACGCTCGGGCAGCGTCTCTCAGAAGGAGCCTGTTCTATATTTCTGATTGAAGCTAATACGTCGCTTGGGAGCAGCGCATTCAATGTATACAGGCGACTTCTAGGGCGCATTCACTGTTCTGAAATCCTGCAGTGTTGTTTTCCACAGAGCTTGTTTGCAAATCACAGTGCTACTACCTCCCATGATTGAGGTACGCCATTGCTATCAAAACATACGAAAAGGATACTCTCTTGCATGTTCAACAATAATAAAAGGGGTTTGTATTGTACATATGTGAATGAGCATATTCAATGTTTATATAGGTACCCAGTGCACAGACCACAACAGCTAACCCCGCCACGTGAAAGCGTATTTTCGCGATTTCCAAACGTTCAATCATCGTGCACACCCCATACATTCAAAGATCCTACACAGACGCCCCAGCACTTTCAGTCGAATGACGCTAATATTCCCAAGTTGAAACAAGGAGAAAGAAGAAAACAACAGCTACACACACAAGAAACCACCGAAAATGAATGACGAATCGCAACTCACAGCCGCGGAGAAGGCTGAATACACCGCCGACATTACCGCCTGCAACGGTACGCGACCCCTCCCCGCCCCGACGAACAAGAAGTTTGGTAGTTAATATGAGAGAGTAAAAATATAGCCGCGGAAGCATTCACCGACGCCTACTACTTCGCTCTGCAAAAAGACCGCCAGAACATCCCATCGTTCTACTGCCCGCCACTGGCCAACGGCGATCAATCGGTTCCGTTCATCGCATGGAACGGCGAGGTCTTCAGCGACGTTGTCGCCCTGCAGACGCGCATCCAGACACTCCCACACACCTGGTTCGATGTCGAAAGCCTGGACTGCGACGTCCTAAACCCGAAATTCATCCCGGCGAGCGAAGTCAAGAACGGCAGCGGCAACGACGACGAGGACCTGCACCGCCGGATGTCGATCACCGTTGCGGTCGCCGGCGCGATCAGGATGGAGGAGCAGTTCAAGGGGCCGCTTAGAGAGTTCTCGGAGACGTTCGTGCTGGTTCCCAATCCCGAGAAGTTAACTACCAAGGCCGTCCATTTCGACAAGGGCTGGCAGAAAGAATGGTTGATCCAGTCGCAGAACTTCAGGTTCACTGAGTGGAGCGCGAATGAGCTGGTGGATCCTGCCGAGGCGAGTGTGCCCATGGAGACCGACAAGACGAGGGTCAATGGCGGGAAGAACACTTTCAGGGGAACGAACAAAGGCATCGCTGGACAGTTCGCCGCGGCAGGATTGTTGAAGGGAAAGGGAAAAGCATGAAGGAATGAAATCATCTTGATTCGATAGCATAGCGATGGATTCACTGGCCTAGGAGGTACGAAATACGAAAATGTCTGGTCGGTCAGCTTTTGCTTTTTATTTTTGGTTGGGAACCTCCACTGCATCCGTGTGTCAACGCACCACACACGATCATCACATTGTATAGATAGGCGATGTCTGTTTTGCGAAAGCAGACTGTGAATACCTAAAACTCCATAGCTACCTAGCTATTATTTTGATGTGATGATGGTCAGTGAGTTTGCCTAGATCCCCTCCCACTTGATAAGAGAAGAGACCTTAGGACTTCACGACCTCAAACACGCTTCCAAGCGTCCCGTGATCCACATCTCCCACGGATCGAGACGTAATCTGATATGATGAAAATGAACCGTAACGCCAGCCCAGTCCCTATCCCTCCAAGGCAAGACCTTGATGAATCATGAAAAAAGCCACCGGAATCCTAATGAAGAAAAGCTCCCAGTAAAAAGAGCATCTGGACCATCCCCACTCAAAAATCCCCAACGAAACTTCCATTAGAAATTCTGAAAGCAGAGCACGTCCTGGTGTGCTCCTAGGATTTTCGCCTCCTGAACGTAATTTGAGAAACCCACTCCAGGAAAAGAAAAAGAAAAACCGTAAACCCGACTTCATACTCCCAAGCAATCCCGCTCCGGCATCATCATCCGCAAGACCAGACGTCTAGCGGACAGACACCAAAGACATCGGAAACCCCCAACACCGTTCACTCGTCGTCAGCATCAACCTCCTCCTCTTCCTCACTCTGGAACTTCTGCAGCAGCTCCATGCTCTCCTGAAGCTGCAACTCGCACTCCTCAGCCGCGGCCTCCTCCTCCTTCGCAAGCTTATTCACCGCCTCGATCTCCTCCTCCATGCGCTTGAGGTACGGCGCCAGCGTCTCGTCGACCTGCTTGCGCTTGTCCTCCGCGCGGGCGCGCTTCGCCCGGGACGCCATGAGGCGCTCGCGGGCTTCGGCGAGCTGCTGTGCGGCGACGGAGGAGCGGGACGGTGCGGGCGAGAGGGAGGGGGATCCCGAGCGGGTGGTGGATGCGAGAACACTGGAGAGGTAGGTGGGTGGTGGTAGCTCGTGGGATTGCCTGGGGCGTTTGGGGTCCGGGGAGCCGGGGGGACTGAGGGTCTGGGTGCGCTTTGGAGGGCCGGCGATGGTGGGCGTGGAGAGGCGTTTGGCTTCTGGGGTGGTGAGCATGGAGACGGTTGGGGCGGTCAGGGTGCTGGGGAGCATGTCGTCTGCGGTGGAATCGTCCGTGTGGTTGGGGTCTGGGTCGGTGAACCCGGTGAGCGACATCTCGCTTGGCTTCTTCGTGAGGACGTGTCCGGTAATGCTCTCTTCGTCTAGAGTTTGTTTGGTCGGTTTGGTCATGTCGTTCTGATGATGTTCTCCGAGATCCGAGACCTTGTCCTGAGGAACATCCATCTTATGAGTAGAAGTAGGCTTGGAAAGCGGAAGTGTACGCAAGCCAAATTTTCGATTCAGTTCCTCGATGTCGTAAGTGGAGTGGCTATTTGGCGAGATTGGAGAGGAAAGAGAGTGTGTCTTTAGGATTACGTTAGCTGTTATATCACTGACAGTGGAGGAAAGGCGGTCTGGCTGAACAATCGGATCCCTGGACTATTCGTTGAGCGTTAGGCAACAATACCTAACGTGAATTTGAAACGAAAGACCAGGGAAAGTTGACCGGCTGTATGAGTGGATTTTGAAGAAAGGTTTCACTCACAGTGTCTTTCGCAGAGGCATTGCTGGGGGGCAATGCGGGCGTTCTGTGGCTGGCAATGGATGGGGCCGGAGAGGACTGGCGTGTCGAGTTGACATCGACCTCTGAGCCTCCAGGCTTAGAGATATCCGGCACAGGCACAGACTCAATGAGTAGTTTTCGGGGCTCAGGTCGTTCAGATTTGCGCATGTCGGCGTGCAGAGTTAAGTCAAACCCAGACTCCCTGATCGATACTAGTGATCCAGTTAGTCATTGAACTAGATGTGGGAATGGGGGATTGTAAATACCCTGGCTGCGGTAATGGAAGCGGAAGACAGCCCATGTCTCTAGACCGGGACGCTTCACAGTCATCTTCTTTCTGAGCCTGTTAGCCGTGGCATTATCAAGCGGCGTTACATTCATCTCAAATCCCATCCGGCAATCCGGAGAACACTCGAGGCTTCCGGCGGGCGCTTTGCCAGTGAACCCCTCGTTCATGATGTCTTCATAGGTAGTCACATCGTAAAGAGTATGCTCTTCACCTGGACGACGCAGCACACAAATTCGCACTTCGATGGTTCCCAAGCAGGGTGGCTCGTGTTTGCGAGGCTCGAAGCCAGGGGGCAGTTTACGCACTACGAGATCGGTATCCAGGATGCCGTCCTCGATCTTGTAGAGGTATTTAGGGGTGTCCAGCTTTTTGTTCTTTTGCACGATGAAACTCTTCCCAGCGTACTCCTGTGACTTGCGATAGATACCATCAACCAGCACGTCGTGGTGCATCGCTTTAGTTGTTCCGTCGAACCTGCCTCCGACCTTGATTTGGTCGCCGATTTTGACTGGGACATAGCATCCAATGGCTCCATCGAATGGATCAACGTATTCGCCGTACTCAGGTAGGTGTTTGATGGTTCCTGCGGCAAACAGATGGACTTCTGCTGAACGGTCAGTATTTTCCTCGTACACCTTCATGGTGGGCGATGCAGAAAGTAGGGAAGTGGGGATGGATTTGAAAGGAGAGGAGGACGAGCAAGTTGCCGTTAAGAACCATTATATCTAGAAGACAAATACGGATAGCCGATCTAACGAAGGCGGGGTCCCAGAAGAGGTGAAGTTGAGAGTAAAGGCACAAGGGCAGTTGATACGATAAGTGGCGGTTGTCATGTGAAGGTAGACGACTATCGTATGAGCGAGGTGAAGGTAGTAGAAAATCGGTTGGTATTATTGGTTGAAATGAATCATTATTATGGTATCATAGAGTTACTGGACCAGTCACTCTATAGTTTCTGTGCGAAAACGAAGATACACTTCACCGCCTTTTGATAGTGAGAGAGATGCCTGTACACAAGGTAAGTACATCAGAGTGATAGGATGATATATGAGAGTCTCAAAATTGGAATAGACTCGTAGAATTGTCTTGCGGAAGTCAACAACCGGGTATCAAATTCTCGTTACTACGTGAGCACACAGCTGAACATGTTCATGTCGCCAATAAATCAACGAAACACCCCCTCAAAAAATCATCTTTGTTAGACAGGGTGAATCGACGAATGTCACTTCATCCTCTACTTCCGCTCCACACGCATGTTGGCCTTGATTCGTTCCAAGAGCTCTGCAGTGGTAGCCAAGGGTGATGGATGGAGGTTACGCTATGTTTGAGAATCAGTATGCATGGTAATGCGGAAAGATGAGTGACTACTTACGTTTTTGAGCCAGCGGGTGCACTCCTCATGGCTCCAGGTCTCGGGATCTGGACCGAATAATTAGTAAATTGAATAAACCACTCCAGTAAGCTATCCACACTGACTGGAGATTTACCGATACAGCAACAGACTGAAAACACCTAAGAGTGCTACACTCAGACCGATAATTATGGAAGCACCTGGCCATGTGGCTGGCGCACAGTCAATAGCACATTAAAGTTGAGAGAGAAAAAAGAAAATGCAGAAAGAACATAATCGTTATGAAAAGGCGAAGACATGCAGATGATTGCACTTACCACCAGTCGGGTCTTGGGAAGGGAAGATATCCTGGCCCCAGATGCTCCAAGCAGCGACGCCAGTCACGATGGCTGCGAAAGCAAAGAATGGTCCCTTGTATATATTCAGTATTAACAAACGGAAACGCACTGAATATCAGACTAACTCTCGAATTCGTTGCGCGGTCCAACGGAGTTGGCATTTTGAAATGAGGTGGTGAGTGGCGAGATCAAGGAAGATGCGTGAAATCAGGTCTCTTGAGTATCCCAACTCAGGAATCGCAAGTGCTTGAATTGCGGCTTGTATTAGTTGTGTAGGAATGGAGATATAATAATATATAGGCAGCAGCAAGAAGGTAGAAGACAGTAAGAGTACTGACACCACTTGTACTGAACTCGAGAATTGGGAACGCCACAGCAGTCGTCACCAAGCGAGGATCGACCTTACCTGATACAGTCAAGTTCGTGTAAGCCCCATTGCAGCCCGTGCATCCAAGCGAATTTCAACCTCCACGAACATTATTTCCAGTAACCAGCGACCGACCGAACGAAAGACAATCCGAACGTCGACATCCCAAGACCGTCAAAATGCCTTCCGAAGTCTCCGATATCAAGCAGTTCATCGAGATCTGCAGGCGCAAGGACGCCAAGTGTACGTTCGCCTACTTGAGTTGCCATTGCTCGAATTTGCAAGTTTGTGCGGCCTTTGCGCGACTGCGTGCTGGACGATGCGGCGAGCAATTGGGAATGGCAGCGAAGGATTGAAGACATATTCTCGGAGCGTTATCTAACAATACCAACAGCCGCCTGCATCAAGAAGAACAAGCCTTCGAACAACATCAAGTTCAAGGTCCGGGCTTCGCGATTCGTCTACACCCTCGTCCTCAAGGACGCTGACAAGGCCGAGAAGCTCAAGCAGAGTCTGCCCCCGGGTACGTTATCGAATACCTCCAGCGAAAATTTTCTCGGATTCGCAACACAGGCAGCATGATCACGAATTGAACTAACATCTTCCGATTAGGTCTTACCATCACCGACGTTGGCAAGAAGAACCCCAAGGGCAAGCGTGCCATTTAAGCGATTCATCGGGATGGGATTATGACATACGATCAGGCGAAGGAGGGGAGACGACGAAAACACCACCATGCATATTGAGGAAAAGGTGGCAGGACGTTTGGCGTCTTCGGATGGCTGGCTTCTCTACTGGCATACTTTAGCTCTCTCTCACCCATGAGGAGCATGAATCAAAAAAGTCAACAAATCTTCAAAAAAACGACCCTAGCAATGATTGATGGAGTGATATGAATAGGTTGTTAGCATTGCTGACCGCCTAGGAAACTACGCTGCACGCTCTATTGTATTGAGCTGCGAATTCACCTTGAACTTGAATTCATCCTTCCGATCAAGATAGACTACCTTCTCAGTCCACCCAGCTTCTTCAACCGCTTTCTTGAAATCCTCTAACGGCGACATGAAGACGTCGTAGTCGTCGTAATGAATCGGCACCGTCAAATCGGGATCCACCAACTCCATCAATTGGATTCCTTGGTTTGCATCCATTGTGACCATCAACAATGGTAGCTTCGGCCCAGGAATTGTTGTGCCACCGAGATGTATCAACATCAGATCAATGTTTCTTCCAGTGTAACGTTTCGGAATCTCCTTCAACTCGTCAACCATCAATGTATCTCCCGTGATATAAATTCGGTATCCTGAATCGAAATTGTCTCCCTCTTTGGCATTCTGATACCCTAATTCAACCATCCAACCGTTCGTTGGGGGGACAGCACTGAGCAGATCATTGGCGATTGAAAGAGGGCCAGGTGGTACATGCTTCCCCGGCATACCAGCGACCCGTATGGCCGGCTTTCGACCACCTTGTATTTTATTCGTGTGCAAATCCAACAGTACGTCTTCCCAATGATCAACAGCGTGAACCTGAGTAAAGCTGTCATCTCCCTTGCTTGTCAGGCACGAATGGGCATGCGGCGTGGTAATGATTGGAATAGACTTCGACAATTTGGCTTCAACCTCTTGGTCGAAATGATCAGCGTGGTAATGGGAAAGGAGAATGGCGTCTATCCGCGGGAGCTGCTCGAGATCTATTGCAGGATTTGTTTGACGTGTGCCGGTTACTCCAGGCCCCAGGTGAACATGGTCCCCCTTGTGTAAAAAGTTTGGATCCGTAAGAATTCGTATGCCCTCCCATTCTAATATCGTTGTTGCAGTGCCCACGAAAAAAAGCGATGCATTCTCGCCTCCTTCGGCATTTCTTGGATGCAATTTGGTCTCCTTGGCCTCTGCACGTTCAAGTGGGACATAAGTGATCTCCTTCGTTGGCGGGCCCGACTGTGATGGATCAATAGTAATACGCTTCATGGTTATGAGTGTTTGATATCAGGTAGGGGTTTGGGTGCACAGCTTCTTTTGAGCAGATTATGATTGTGGGTCTGAATTTATTGAGTAGTAGAAAGAAAGAAAGTAAAACAGGAGACATGGCAAAGAACAAAAATCGAATTGCTCCATTGTATATGCGGTGCCATTGAGATGACGAAATGAAGTTGTAATGAGGTGAAATGGTCGTGATTGGAGGAGAATAGAGCCAGGGTCTTTGATGATCATTGGGACCCGGAGTGACGGATAGGAGAAGAAAGCATGCAACTTGTGGTAACTAGGTAATTGCCAACCTTTTTTTTAATGATGGATGTATTGCATACATTTGATGCAATGCCCCGTTCCTATTCATAGTTATCACCAGCATTTAGATTATGGTCGTCGCGCTGAGGTAAGGAAACCATGGCTGACGAGCTACGTTGAAACTTGACAGTCCCGCCACTACGTATTCGTACCACGATTCGTTGACAGCTCCTCTGTCGGATCCCGGACCACGGGGCAAGGGGCACGCGAGTTCCCAGGCATGTCAGAATGTATTGTGCAAACAGGAATTTATACAAGAACTCTCACGTACCAAGGGCAGGGGAACGCATAGAGAACGATGCATTAGATGAATAACCACACTACGCCCCTTTCGGCAATCTGCTTTTAACGACACCTGGCAAAGCACATCTGCACAGCAACAGCACACATTTTCCGTGCCAATTTCTTTATTTAATATTATTCGAGAGGATCCATTCCATTGATGTGGATGCGGCGCGGCTCTCTACTCATCTTCCACAATTTAGGGGTCTGAGGCACGGTACGAACAGTCCGCCGGCGGCTAGTGTGTAGATTCAAGTCAGATGTACTCGCGAGACCCTTTCAACCTCCGCAGCAAAGCACCGCCATCCGCAGCATTGAAGTATTTGCAGACCGCTGCGACCAAGACCATCGAAACCGGCACCGCTGCCGTCGAGTCCACGAAGCAAGCGATCCAGGACGCCGATATGTCCTTTACCATCCCCCGCAACGTACCGAACTTCCAGAACGCGTCGCGCCGTTTCGAGGATAATGTGTGGAACAAATTCACAGGGAACGAGAACTCGCTGCCAATGTATAAGGACAAGCCTGCCAACTATGGACAAATGAAGGGGGGAGGTTCCAAGTTCGGGAAGAGGATGGCTGCTGGATTGATATTTGGTGTCCTGGTCTTGTTTTACTGGCTTGGTTGGTTGGGTAGCAGTAGTACTGTAACCAAAGTAGGCCCAGGGAAGGACAGTAGCAGCAGCACTTGGGCGAATATAATGCCCGGATCGACCAAAGGCAAGAAGGTCGATTGGGAAAGGAGGAGGGAGAGTGTGAAAGACGCTTTCTTACTGAGCTGGAAAGCTTATGAGGAGCATGGTTGGGGTAAGTTTCTTTGTGCCTGCCTACTATGCAGACTCGGCAATGCTAAAACTGGACAGGATATGATGAATATCATCCCGTGTCCAAGAACGGACGATACATGGCACAACCTAACGGTTTGGGTTGGATCATTGTGGATGCATTGGATACTATGATGTTGATGAATCTTACGAAAGAGTTGAAGCATGCGAGGGAATGGGTCTCCACCACTCTGGACTACAACAAGGATCAGGATGTCAACACCTTCGAAACCACTATCAGGATGTTAGGTGGATTATTGTCAGCACATTATTTGCAAGAATTGCTTCCTGGGATAAAACCCGAGAATGCGAATGAGGAGGATGTTTTCCTAGAGAAAGCTACCGACCTTGCCGATCGCTTGATTGGGGCATACGACTCTGGATCCGGCGTTCCGTGGGCAAGTGTCATTCTCAGTACCGGAAAGGGGGAGAAGTCTCATGCTGATGGCGGTGCTTCCTCCACCGCAGAAGCGACAACTCTGCAGCTGGAGATGAAGTATCTGGCATATCTCACCGGCGAAGAACACTACTGGGAGAAGGCAGAGAAGGTCATGGAGGTGATCGACAACAATGGAGCCAAAGACGGGCTCGTGCCAATTTTCATCTATGCCGACAAAGGTGACTTCCGCGGAAATGAAATCCGCCTCGGTAGTCGAGGAGATTCCTACTACGAATATTTGATCAAGCAATACCTCCAGACTCAGGGACAAGAACCAGTTTATCAGGATATGTGGGAGGAATCCCTGGCAGGTGTTAAAAAACATCTCATCACGTACTCAAAGGATAGCCACTTCACGGTTCTAGCCGAGCGACCCAACGGTCTGGAGGGCAAGCTACACCCCAAGATGGACCATCTCGTCTGCTTCTACCCGGGTACAATTGCGCTTGGAGTAACGGGAGGTAAGACACTTGCCGAAGCCAAAGCTCTTCCCAACTGGGGAAAGAAGCAGGAAGAAGACATGGAGCTCGCACGCGAACTCACAAAGACCTGCATGGGCATGTATCGCGTCGCTGCCACAGGCCTTTCCCCCGAAATCGCTCACTTCGAGATCTACGATCCGCCGAAGATGATGCGACAGGAGATCCTTAAATCAAAGAGCAATCTCGAGCTAGAGGAAGATGCGGACTGGAAGACAGATTATATCATCAAGTCGGCAGATAGCCATAACCTTCAACGCCCAGAGACCGTTGAGAGCTTGTTCTACATGTGGAGAATCACGGGCGATGAAATCTACAGGGAGTGGGGTTGGGAAATGTTCGAGTCGTTCGTCAAGCACACCATTGTCGAGAACGGTGGCGGCTTCACATCTGTCAACGATGTTATGGTCGTGCCTCCGCCTTCTCGTGACAACATGGAGAGCTTCTGGCTGGTAAGTAAAACGCAAACAGTGACTATTCCACGGTACTAATCATCGTCTAGGCTGAGACGCTCAAATACTTCTACCTCCTCTTCGGCCCCAACGACATCCTTCCCCTGGACCAAATCGTCCTCAACACTGAAGCCCATCCCTTCCCACGCTTCGACGCAAGCAAGAAGAGATTCAAGACAGGCTGGAAGCGAATTCCTCGTGATGCACAGGGCAACCTGGTTCGAGAAAGAACCCCTTCCTCAAAAGAGCCGGCAAGCAGTGAGCGTGTATGAATATAGACAACCATTTATTTCTATTGTAGATCTATATTTATTTCGTGTTTTTTGTCTCCCTTTTTTTATTATGCAAGGCGCACATAAAGAGCATGCATTCAAGGCGTTGAGATAGCAAGTTGGTACAGAACCCGAATTGTGTGAATATAGATGACTATGTAAGTTGAAAAAGCACTTGAGCATTATTGATGTAGCAAATTTTACCAATCAATTCCTCGAATATACACTTAACCGTCTTTCTGGCACAAATATTCCAGCTTATTTAATTCTCAATCCTTGCATTCATATATGGTCATGATATTTTCGCCGTAGTTTATCATAGAATCAAATATTCTACAGACATATGCCTTTCAATATTCTGGCCCGGCTATTGGAACTCCAACAAGATTCCTTCACACACCTTGTTGACTAGGCCGTTGATAACGCATAGTATATGAGTAATCTGAGACATCAAAGTAGCACAACGACTTGACAACACCATTGCATAGCCATGCCTAGTCATGCTTAGGGGACGTATTCGCCAAGTAGAAATTCTAATCACCTACAGTGATCCTTTACGCCTGCATGAGTTACATGATTAATATAGATCCAAGTATTTCTCTTGATAAGCATTGGAAGCTAGACCTCGGGTTGATATAGATGAGTAAACAACCCCGGGAGGCTATAGAACATCTTCATGTGCAATGAATATCTTTATACGCGGATGCATGATATAGTTACACATCAGCTGGTCTGCTAAAGAGTGATACGAGAAGTATCTATGTCTACGAAGATATTTTCTACGGGCGCAGTGTAGATAGGAGCATCGAATCTGGAATGGAGTATTCTTGCACTGCTGTCCACGCACGACGTAAACCAATGCTTCAACAGACATTCATTCACGATGGAGACTGATAGCATGTGTCGTTTCCTAAGTACATATATCGTCACTGAGTGTCAACTACCTAGAAGGACAATTATAGACAAGTATTCTTGGGAAGACGAAAGCCCAGAACGTCCACAATTTCCACAAGTTCCACCTGCTCGACGCTACACCTTCTACCGAGACAAACGTTCAGGATACCTTCAAAGTCTATACCTCATCTCTCGCACGTGCAAGCTCCAAGATGTCAGCTTGCAATCAGCTAGATAGCACTAGACTTCGAAAGCGCCCATCTGCTGCTGACCTCAGGCGTATCTCGAATCTATGGAATCAACACACGAGACACTTTCGTCGTCCCGATGCCAATGCCAACCCAATCATCCCCTCCCGTCTGACAGGTCCCTGGGCTGCCATGGGTCACTCGTACGAGGGAGCATACATAACAATCATCTCGGCAGTTCGAGGAAATTGCAACGTTATCGGTCAATGTTTCTCACGACCTTGAGAGAGTCCCCAAGATGTGGGAAGTTAGATCATAGCGGTGAACACCCCCGCGGAATGGGGGAAACAGTAGGCATCATGCGGTGGTCTAGATCTTTGGTTGACTTTCCGTTTAACCGCTCGGATTCAAGGTCATACACAGCGTGCGTAGAGCGCGATTTCGTCAAGTTCACGTTCGAGTCCAAGTCATGGGTGCAGGAGATAGACGGGGCGTTGTGGCTTGATTGAGAAGGTTGGGGTAGGTAACGTAGATGCTTATAGGGTAGGGGGTTGAGGTAAGGGAACGTGACTTTTAGTGTAATTGTGCTTCACATATCTCGAGATGTTGTCTTGACGTAATGATTAAATTGGTTTTGTATACGGAGTATTCTTGTGGACCTCGTATTTCGTCTACTCTTTGCGAGGGTGCATGGGTCAGACAACGTGCAGCGTAAGCCACGTTTTTGGGGGAGCGTTTTCTTGACGCCATTACAGCATACGCAGGAGGCCGTCCTGAGATCTGGACGCGGCCATTTCAGATGCCCCTCGTGCGAGGACAGAGTACGAGTACGGAGTGGTTAGTTGTGATATATGTGGTATGAATACATGGATTGTTGGGTGCGCAGGGCTACACAGTACAGGCTGGAACCGGGGGCCGAAAGCTCGCATTTTGAGAGGCTTTAGGGTCGAGGGATCTGGATGGGCCTACAACTGCGCCACTTTTCTGTTTCTTTGAACAGTGCGACCGCGACTTGCGCGGAACGGATGGGTAATGGAAGCTGTTGCGCGCGAGCATTGTTTTCCCATGGTACATCGCAGGACTGGAATCGAGATTGATATAAGTGATCTTCGATTATGATGTCCGAAGAATTGATTTGCGAATCGTTGGGTCATCAGGAAGGCCCGGATCGTGGACTACCACTTTGGGTAAGCCCGATGCCAGTACCAACAAGTGGAGGACTGATCATGCGAAACGGCAGCGGGAGAACAACAACGGGCGGCTATGGAACATCGTCTAGGTATATCTTTGCAGATGTTGTCATGTCGGATTACTCTGCGCATGCGCTCCGCTATGGGTGGGTATGATGAAACGAAGGCATCCCATGTTTAGGTACAGCCTAGACCATGGCCTAGGCCTGGCCTTAATCCGCCCAATCCAAGTGTAACGTATCTGTATCGCATCAGAGGCGCCTCCTTAGAGAACTAAAAGTAGTGAGAGGACTGCTCGTTATTGTTTGACACGCTGGCTCGCCTGACTGCTAATGCGATCGGATCCAGGCCGTTGCCAAGATAAAATATCGCGAGACCACTATAGGGCAACTGATGTACGAACGGAGCTGAGCACTCCCATTATTCCGTCCTCCTTTTTGTTTTTTACTACGGCGTAGCGTTGACCTATTCGTGGGCACTTTAGACTAAGTAGTGAAGGTGACGTCTTGCTAATATAGATCGAGCAGCGTATAGTGTTCGGAATACCTCATGCGTACATCGTCCCTGGCCGATTCGGAATCATGGGCATACGCTAGATGTGTTCCAGAGGGCGGCGTTGGTGTTCAAGGATATTATCATAGGCGTGACCTGGACCCGGTAGAGAAGTGACTGGGTTGATCGGAGTATTCGTCGCACTGAATTCGAAACGAGCAAGTCCGCAGGTAGAATGTATGCGACGACTGGAAGGAACCGAAGTATTGGGATAGGACGGATCCCCCATCTAAAAGAAGGAACGCAGTAAATGTGGTAAAAATACACAAGTGTTCCATGAGCGTGGAGAACCATACCTGACTATATTCGTCTACACGTTTTGTGACTAGAATGTATATCACCCTTCGTAGAGGAGAGCGATTCATTGCGGAATGGCCGTGTTTTCGCACGATGCATTGTGTTGACGATAGAGCATACCTATATGGGGGCAGACAGGGAGAAAGTCCGTAGCAAAGCTAAATGGCACTCAAATGTGAATACTCACAATAGGTTGTTGTGCACAAGATAAGATACGATGCCCTACTTACAGTAACCAAGCATACCTATTGAACATGTACTCCGTGGGCGGAGTAGTCGCCAGCCAAGATCGGTGCTCGGGAAATTTTCCATGGTCGCTGGCAGTCTAGGCCGGGCTGCTGGACTCCCGGGCGCCTCGGGCGGTCAGAAGTGGTCAAGATTGTCTTATTAGTGAATTCTCCGTAAGTCAAACACGGATACGGTCATGATCTTGATAGGGGAGTGCGATGATACGCGGGATGTAAATCGTAGTTCCTCCTCAGAGAAAGCTGGGCACGATAGAATAAGTTACGATCTGCATGAGGGCGCCGAATGTGTACTTCGTTACACAGACCTCTAACTGCAAAAGGGTCATCAGCAGCAACCATGTCCGCAGCTGAAGGTTGAACGATAATGAATTCGGCAAGTTTGATCAACATGCAAACCGTAAGGGTCCATGAACACGATCTACACTCAAGCCAACCTGACTCTGGTTGTAAATTGTCACGATAGACCTCGTCATGAGAACATCCCTTTGGACTAGGGTAAAGACACCAAAGCGACGCCATGTAACGTGGCTTTCAGAATTGGTTACTTTGGCAGCGACGCCCTCGAATGTTCTGGGGCAAGCAGTGTATCTCGCCCTTGCTGGGTTGGGGTTTAGTCTTGCACAATCTACGAGCAAACGAGCAACGGAGGACGGGATCGACGGAGGGAACGCGGGCGACGGCTGGAAGCTGAACGCCATCTATTGCTCGGCCGAGTGTCACGGCCTCTGCCCGCGGCCACATTGGTGGTAGTTAAGATAATAGTGGACGGTGAGCTCCCACCCATACACAATCTCACTGCATTTGGGGAATGGTGCAACGGAGCCAATTCCCCCAATCTCTGCCAGGTCTGGATGTGAGGAGAGCAGTCGCCGGTACATATTGGAGTTGTAACGGCTTCGAGATTAGGACAGAGTTTGAACACGTAGCCTTTCTGACTGGAGCAGATCTTCTCCCGGAAATAAAGAAACGTCCGAATTCGATAGTGGAAGAAGGGGTTGGCCCTTGAAAGGTGTTTGGTCGTTCAAAATTCCCAAGTTCCAGGTACATGTCTAGTTTGAACTTTGCTCCACGAGAGGAGATATTCCTGTCTCCACACGATCGTCAATCGATCTGAGATAAGCGCCTAGTGGGCAGCAAGAGATATGGTGTGCTACTGTGTATTGGTTTACCAAGCACGTCTTGTGTACGCCCTCACTTTCTAAAGTTGTACTGGCAATGCCGTCTCGCGAACTGCGTTACCCCAGGGCCTTTCTGCTGAAGCAAACATGGGTCAAGCAATCCGATATTCCCGAGCAATATGTGGCAGGCGCATAGCCACTGACGTGAGCCCAGGCGTGTGACAAACATGCAGATGGGAATTGTTCATTAACAGTAGACTAGAATGCTTCAGAGGACGCGTGCGGCGCACAGTAGTGCAGTGCAAGTACGGAGTACGAAAGATGGCGTATATGGGCTTTTGTGGTTGTCGTGAAGGTTTGCTGTGCAAAGGCGAGAGTGGGCCCCTGTCGCTGGAGTCTAATGCGGGTTAGTGTGTCTGTAGGCGTTTAGTCAGACGGCTGGCCGCTGCAGGTGCCATTGCATTGCTTCGTGCACCACCAATTTTTTATCGTATTCACAGCTCTCTCCAGAAGGAAAAAACAAGAGAACCCCCTTTGAACACTCGCTGCCATATTCTATTCCTATCATCGTAGGGCCACATCACGAGCATCTACACTAACTTCCATTTCCATACGTATCCACGCTTAAGTCGAGTGAAGACCAGATTGTACACGATGAGACCAGGCGAGACGAAACGAGACAAGACGAGACCAAACGCGACATCCCTCGCCCTACCTACCTATCACTGTCTTTTACGCACCTGGGTGCGCACCTCAGTCATATGCGGGCAGGCGGCAGAGCATCGCATATCCAAGTCTCGGCGCCATTCCACACAGTTGGTGACTGAGTGATCTGTAACTCACCCACTCGTTTGTCTACGAGTAATTGGGTACATACTAAGTGACTGCTCCTTAGAAGGGTCTGAAGAGTGAGAGCCTGAAGGAATGGCTTAAAGCGGCCGGTCTTGAGACCAGCCTCTGGATTGCCCAGACTTTGATTCCACGCAAGTCTACAGGGATTGCCTTGGTGCCCTAAGATTCTAGACTGTGAGATGGACCACAAGAGACGGCTCAGGTATGATCCACTGGCTAAAGATGCCGAAAGTCAAACAGTGTGGCCTGTCCTATGGGCAGGGCAGGACAGCCTGGACAGGGCAGGGCAGGGTCCACCCGCAAAAGTCAAGCCCCCACAGGCCGATCACCATCAGAGACCCTCCTGCCTCCGTGCCTCCCTCTCCTCTTCTCCTCCCAGAGAGACTCTAACTAAAGGTCTCGCTGGAGTGGGAAAGGGCGTGGCGCGGCGTAGACTCAGCGAACTCTCCCATCCCATGTCCTGACTCCTGCACGCTACACCATCCAGGCCCCAAGGCTGCTTTGCTTCGATCCTCATTGCTAAGAAGTTTGCGGTGCAGTGTACAGGCAGGAAATTACGTCCTCAGTATACACAGGGACCCCTTGTTCCGCGACGCCTTGTTTGACTTGACCCAACTGTGCCGTTTGGTGTCTTTGTCTACCTTTCTACCTACGGGTCTACGACTGTCTGCACACCCGTGAGCTTGTCTTGTAATCGGGGAGACAAGGATAGTGCAAGAGAACGCCGGAAGGCGTTCTAGATCTACTCGGCCCACCCTCCTTTAGTCTGCGATCCAGCTCAGTCCAACCATACCGTGCCCTCCTCTTCATCCCTCGCATTCCTCCCACCAAACCACCCAAACCAGCACAAATCTCGCAGCATTCCTGACCCCGCCGTTGCTCTTACGAGGACTCTGCACCATTACCACCGTCGCCTTCGCCCTTGTTACTAATCTTTCTCTCCGAATGCACTCGCTACTACTGCACTGCCGTCCGTGAGTCCGTGGCTATTCGGTTCTAACATCACAAACTTGTTTGCTTTCTACCGCATCCAGTTTCCCCAGCATTCCTTACTTCCACACTCTCAACCCTCTCCACCGTTGGACAAAACCACTGCCCGATCGATCTATCTTCCACAAGATAGCATCAACTGGCCACCTCTGGGACGTTGTCTTACTGAGGAGCCCTTGGACCCCATCACCCGCCTACGCTCCCCGCAACCGCCCATCTCGACGTTGACGTCCTGGACCAGCTCGACCCGCATGAGTCCAGAAAATGGGACATTACGCTCTGGACCCAAGTACTGTACCGCCTGATATAGTCGAACGACAGACAGTCTGTTTCTCAAGTCCTCAGCCAGGCATGGTCGTGCAGCACGGCGAGGCCGGGTTCAAGAATGAGTTATTACGACTTTACTCCGCAGCCGAGAGCAACGCCGCCGAAGAGCTCGTCAAGCTCAAGGATGCCCTAAGGAAATCCGACTCGGAGTCCTTCTGGCCGCTACTTACCGAAGGATTAGCTACCATTGCCGATGCTCAATATGCTTTCGTTTCAAAGAGGATCCTCGCCGATGACGATGACCTCGCCGTGGAGATGCCACCTATTGGAGAACCAGGATCTTGTTTGATGGGAGCCGCTTTCTATTTGAACGATGGACATGGAGTCAAGCAACAACTAAACAACTTCAAATATCACGCCTACTCGTGTCCTTGTGCGTACATGCGTCACGACAAAATCTTTATCATTCCAGATAGACTGAATGATTTCATCGTCAATAACCCAAATCCACTTGTTGTTCCTGGAGAGGCGTACCTAGGAATTCCTCTTTTCGCTGACGGCAAATGCTTTGCTCACTTTGGGGTCATGTGGAGTGAAGAGGGAGCTTCCAGGCGTGCTTTGGGCTGGGGATATCTGGAGCTACTATTTCACAGTTTGGAAGATCTCATTTTGGAACGTGTTCTGGAGGGAAAGAACTTTGCGCATTCAGCCGAGCCATGCCAGGAGGGGCGTCCGTTGATCATCCCACACGAATCGGTATCTGTAGCGCAGTCTTTGAAACCTTACGCTCGAAGCCTGTCCCACGAACTTAGGACCCCAATGCAGGGAGTCGTCGGTATGTTGGACGTCATCATGGCGACTGTCAAAGAAGCTGCCGAAGCACCAGAAGACTTTGACGTACGTGATCTCCTCGAAACTTTGAAGGGAAATATCGAGGTTGTTCAAGGTCAGTTTTATCCCGTGCAATCCTTTCAAAACCGCAGAGACAGGAGCTGACATCATTTAGACTCATCACGTCGTGCGGTCGAGGCTGCAGACAACATTGTGCATGCTTATGACATGAATATGGGTGTTCCTGAGACACCTCTAACACCACTTGATAAGATCTTACATGACGACACAAGCGCGCGCGAAAGACATCCCGACATATTAGTGGCAGGAAACAACATTTCGATGAAGCAATTTCGAGGTACTAAACGAAAGAGGAGTGAATCGGCAAGCAGAAGCGAAAGAATGCTGGAAGCTCGAGCTAGGGTATCCCGAGCACCCCGTCAACGGCCTCGATACAGCAACACGGTAGACCCGTCCTCATCATGTAAGCCGATACCTGACTCGACAATGAATGCGGCATCCAATATGATTATGGAAGATGATGAGACTTGTTTGCACGACCTGGAACCAAGCTGCGATTTTCCCATGTCTCCCATGTTTGCCTCGGAACAATCCACCGCCCCAGGGTTGAGAAACACGGATTTGAGAGAGGTTGTACAGTACGTCTTCAACGATGCTCTGAAGGTGGGCGGACGACCCGACTCCGCCATAGCTCACCAAATGGATTTCGGAGAAGAGATTGAAGTCCAGACGAGGAGTTCCAACGGCCAGATTAGCACGAAGCGCATCGAATGGATGGTATCTCCGGACGTTCCCAAAACTATTCAGATCGATGAGAAGGATCTGGCCAAGATGATATCTTGTGTCGTACTCAATGCCATCAAATTCACTGATAACGGTACTATTCAGCTCAATGCAGCTTTAAGTGCCCAAAACCGTTACATTGTAATCACTGTCAAAGACACGGGTGCTGGGATACCTGCAGCCTTCCTACCTAGCCTGTTCAAGCCCTTCGCCAGAGAGGATAACTCTACTACCAGAGAGAGTGAGGGACTGGGTCTCGGATTACTAGTCGCAAAGGGCCTTGCTAGAAAATTGGGCGGCGATCTCCTCTGCGTGCAATCGCACGTCTCGGGACCACAGAAAGGGTCTGAGTTCGAAATGCGCGTTCCCCTCACACCTGGAGATGTCTGTAGCCGCTCTACCTCCCCGTTCGGATCTCGTTCTCCTTCGATGAAGGATCGTATGTCCGTGGAAGCAGATGAGGCAGCCTTCTCAAATTCTCAACAGGTCACCACCCCTCCACTGTCGAGCGATTCCTCATCTGAAACACAAGGAAGTACAGACAAGAGGGGCTCGATCGCGTCGTCATTGCCAGAGGTCTACAAGACAGCCCCTTCGCTACAGCATCTCGGGTTGCCTTCTCCGCGACGCACCGAATCGCCAGCCTGGACACGGAGTAGATCGAAGAGCCGCACCATCTCCGACAGCAGCGCGTTCGACCATGCTCTAGCCAGCCGTTATCCCTTGAACATTTTGGTAGTGGAAGACAACAAAATCAACAGGAAGCTCCTCATCACCATGCTCCGCAAATTGGGATACACCAACGTCTCCGAGGCATTCGACGGCAACGACGCGGTCGATCAGATGAGGAGAAAACACGAGAACGGGGAAAGGGTTGATGTGATTTTGATGGATCTCTGGATGCCTTTATTGGACGGTTTCCAGGCCTCAGACGCCATCATGCGCATGAAACTTCCGTCGCCCCCTACGATCCTCGCGGTCAGTGCCGACATTACCGAGGCCGCCCTCGAGCGTGCGGCCAAAGTTGGCATGAAAGGATTCATGACGAAGCCCTTCCAGATCCGCGATCTGGAAAAGCTGATCACCCAGTACTGTGACACACAGTAGAGAGAGAGGAAAATACCATTTGGGTCTTCAAGCACAGTTTTTTTTTTCAAAACCAGGGCGTACCACTATGAAGCTTTTGGAATGAGCTTCAGCAGGACCCCATTTTATTTATCTCCGAATATATAGCATAGCGTGGAGCGTTCCCGGCGTACATCTGGCGTTCTTTTATTTATTTTTTGGGCATTTTCTAGTCCACTTTTGGGGGATATATTCTCGATTCAGCAGGCATGTCTGCATAGGGCGGGACACTGATAGCACATTTTATTTCACGATCAACGAACCATGATCAAGATACCTGGGTAGATAGCGGGGACCCAAGGAAGAAGAGGAGCAAGAGAAGGAAACAGAGTAGGATCAGAAACATAGTAGCGTAATAGTGGATCTGAACAATGGAAGAGTGAACATATCTACAAGAATAATGACGCACATGGATCGAATGTTCTCGAGTGCAGGCAGGCAAGCAAGCATGGCAGGGTCTCTAGCCGAAACAATGCTTGACTTTTACCAATTTCGAGTGCTCTAAACCTCATCTCTTTAGCAAGGATTACTACAATCCACCCTAGCCTGCCCTCGTAAGAAGGAAAGGAAAGAACTACGAAGTTTAAGATCCAGCAGGATTGCCGAACCCTCCAGAGGCAAATACCACTAATCAATCTGGACGCTCTGCTTTTAGTGTAGTAACAGTATAACAGCTTACTGATTAGTTCCAACCCACCCACCCATTCTCTGACATATTGTAGAGAAAGGGAGGCAAGGCTACGCAATAGAAGGCAAAAACGACAGACGTGAAAAACAAAAAAAAAAACTGGGAAGCAAGTTCGACCCAGTTCAAGTACGTGCAATGTCGTTGAGCTCTTTCGAAAGGGTACGTACCCAGTTTTCAGATACCGTCCTTACCGTTTGAAAGGGCGAGGTGGGGTGTGGGGAATCCCGATTTTTCCGAAGCGCAAAGCCTTTTCTGGTATGGGAGAAGTCTTGTTTGGAGGACGGTGCTTGGTAGGGTGGTGGGAATGACGTAAGAGGGAGATGGGTTGCGTATGCTGGGTGTGGAGGTGGTGGTTCTTTGGAAGATGAGGTCGGGATGTGGTGATGGATTTGAGGGTTTATAGTCTGCTATATAGAATGGATATACTCCGTACAGTACATGGTGATGTTGATATGTAATGTACACAGTAGAAGTTGATGATGATACTCGTAGCCCTGAAGAGGATTAGTGGCGGCTCTTCCGATCCACGTGCAGCGACCTGCCGTTGGGGATTGGGGTCACGACTGCCGAAGATGGACTAGTACCTTCCGGATCTACATTAGCCTTGTCAACTCACAAGGATGGTGATTGGTCATGGCCGGTACCTCACCTGGAACTAGACGACCTAGATGCCCTAGAGTAGAGGACACGCTTTCAAGTTCGTCCCAACTCACTAATTTACTCCCGAGACCGCAAAAATAATTGTACCGATAATACGACGACGCAAGTCCAGAGAGGCAAAAGAGAGATAGACACTCACAGAGAGACAAGTTTACTGCTGTGATCTGTCAGTGCCGACTTTTCCTGGCTTCAAATCTCCTTCCTCTCTCCCAGCCCCCCCCACCCACACCACAGTCCGCCTCAAATATATAGTACTTTCTTCCCTCTTCATTCCTTCCCTCCCTCCTTCTCCCCCACTTCCGGGCCAATTCCCCCAAGCCTGCATATCATCCCTGAACAGACCCGCGGTATTACTGTACCACCCACTGACTGTGCAGCTCCTCCGCCCTGTTCGCTCCCAGCCAGGCGCCCATCTAGCATTTCCGCGCGCAGTCTTGCGATCTCGGTTATCTTCCTCATCTTCGAAGACCCGCGTCGAGCAAACCATCCACGCCCTGACAACGACAAACAACGCCTCGACGCCTCGCAATCGCTTGCGGGAACCATGGAGAATGCATATGTGAAGACGCCCGCCGAGGCTCTGAAGCAATTCGGAGTCACGGAGGCGGGAGGTCTGTCCGATCAACAGGTTGTAGGTTCGAGGGCGAAGCACGGTAGAAATGGTACGTTGCATTGGGAAACCTGGGAAAGAGCTAGGAAGGCATTGTCTCCTGCTCTGAAGATGGAGAAAAGAGGAACGGCAAGGACGCAATTGCTAATTGAGAAAAACAGCGCTGCCCGAAGACCCCCCGACCCCGATCTGGGAGCTCATCCTCGAACAATTCAAGGACCAGCTGGTTATCATCCTGCTGGGTTCCGCCGCCGTATCTTTCGTTTTGGCCCTGTTTGAAGAAGGCGAGGGCTGGACTGCCTTTGTCGATCCCGCTGTTGTGAGTTGCCGGTTGGAGTCGTTAAAGAGGAAGAAACAGTGCGCTGACTGGAATACGTAGATTTTGACTATCCTCATCCTCAACGCCGTCGTGGGTGTCTCCCAGGAGACCAGCGCCGAGAAGGCAATCGCTGCTCTTCAAGAATACTCCGCGAACGAAGCCAAGGTTATTCGTAATGGTACCCTCAAGCGCATCAAGGCTGATGATCTGGTTCCTGGAGATGTTATCTCCGTCACGATTGGTGATAGAATCCCGGCTGATTGCAGGATTCTGTCGATTCAGAGCAACAGCTTCAACATCGACCAGTCTATCTTGACTGGAGAGAGCGAGAGTGTTCCCAAGGACACTAGGGCAATTCAGGATGCCGATGCGGTCAAGCAGGACCAGATCAACATGCTTTTCTCAGGTACGACAGTCGTTGTAGGACACGCTACGGCTTTGGTGGTCCTTACCGGTCCCAACACGGCGATTGGAGATATCCACGAGAGCATCACGGCCCAGATCTCGCAGCCTACACCTCTCAAGGAGAAGCTCAACGATTTTGGTGACATGTTGGCCAAGGTCATCACGGCTATCTGCATTCTTGTCTGGTTGATCAACATCCGCAACTTCAACGACCCCTCTCACGGAAGCTTCACCAAGGGTGCCATCTACTATCTCAAGATTGCGGTTTCCCTTGGTGTGGCTGCTATTCCCGAAGGTCTCGCTGTTGTCATCACTACCTGCTTGGCTCTTGGTACTCGAAAGATGGCCGCCAGGAATGCCGTCGTTCGAAGCCTCCCATCCGTCGAGACTCTCGGTAGCTGCAGCGTCATCTGCTCCGACAAGACCGGTACTTTGACTACTAACCAGATGAGTGTCAACCGAATTGTTTTCATTTCTGAAGATGGTCGTGGACTCGAGGAGATCAATGTCGAGGGTACCAGCTTTGCCCCCGAAGGCGAGCTCACTTGGAACGGAAAGAAGATTGAGAACCTCGCCGCCTCTTCTGCCACCATCAGGGAAATCTGCGAAGTCACCGCCGTCTGTAACGATGCTACTCTCTCGATCGACCCTAAGAATGGCACCCACAGCATTATTGGCGAGCCAACCGAAGGAGCCCTCCGTGTTTTGGTGGAGAAGGTTGGAACCTCTGACGTCGTAGTCAACAACAGCCGTGCCGATACCACCCCTAGCGAGCGTCTTCACTTTGCAAGCAAGCACTACGAGGACCGTGCCCCCCGTCTAGCTACCTACGAATTCTCCCGTGACCGAAAGAGCATGTCCGTCTTGGTTCAAAACCAGAAGACTCAGAAGTTGTTGGTCAAGGGTGCTCCGGAGTCCCTTCTCGACCGCTGCTCCCACATCGTTGTTGGCTCTCAAGGAAAGCGTGTTCCTTTAACCAAGGAACTTGCCAGCCTCATCACCAAGGAGGTCGTCTGCTATGGTAACGCTGGATTCCGTGTGATTGCTTTGGCTTCCGTCGATGACGTTGGATCCAACCCTCTCTTGAAGAAGGCCAAAACTACCAAGGATTACGCTCAATTGGAGCAGAACATGACATTGATTGGTCTCTGCGGCATGCTGGATCCTCCCCGTCCTGAAGTGCGAGACTCCATTGCTAAGTGCCGTTCCGCTGGTATTCGCGTTGTGGTTATCACTGGTGACAACCAAAACACCGCCGAGAGCATCTGCCGTCAAATCGGTGTATTCGGAGAAAACGAGGACCTTACTGGAAAGAGCTACACTGGACGTCAATTCGACGATTTGAGCGAGTCCGAGAAGATGGAGGCCGCCAAGCGTGCCTCTCTCTTCTCTCGAACAGAACCTACGCATAAGTCTAAGCTTGTGGATCTCCTCCAGCAGGCCGGTGAAGTCGTTGCCATGACTGGTGACGGTGTCAACGATGCCCCTGCGCTCAAGAAGGCCGACATTGGTGTTGCCATGGGCTCGGGAACTGACGTTGCCAAGCTCGCTGCCGACATGGTTCTCGTTGACGACAATTTCGCTACCATCGAAGGTGCTGTTGAGGAGGGTCGTTCCATCTACAACAACACCCAGCAGTTCATCCGCTATCTCATCTCGTCCAACATCGGAGAAGTCGTTTCAATCTTCCTCACTGCTGCCGCCGGCATGCCTGAAGCTCTCATCCCCGTTCAACTTCTTTGGGTCAATCTCGTCACTGATGGTCTCCCCGCCACTGCTCTGTCTTTCAACCCTGCTGACCACGATGTCATGAAACGCCAGCCCCGTAAGCGCGATGAACCTCTTGTAGGAGGATGGCTCTTCTTCCGTTACATGGTCATTGGCACCTATGTTGGCGCTGCCACCGTTTTCGGTTACGCCTGGTGGTTCATGTTCAACCCTGCCGGCCCCCAGATCACTTTCTACCAGCTCTCCCACTTCCACCGCTGCTCTTCCCAGTTCCCAGAGATCGGCTGCGAGATCTTCTCCAACAACGCTGCCAAGTCCGCTTCCACCGTCTCTCTCTCCATCCTTGTCGTGATCGAAATGCTCAACGCCATGAACGCCCTCTCATCCTCGGAGTCGCTTCTGACTTTGCCTCTCTGGAAGAACATGATGCTCGTATACGCCATCTGCCTTTCCATGGCTCTCCACTTTGCGCTCCTCTACGTACCTTTCTTGCAGGGTCTGTTCAGCGTCATCCCGCTTGACTGGCCCGAATGGAAGGCCGTCCTCGCCATCTCCGCACCCATCGTCATCATCGATGAGGTTCTCAAATTCATCGAGAGGCAGTTCTTCACGGCCAAGATCGCCTCATCGGACTCCCGCAACCTCGCTGCCAATGGAAAGACCGTCAGGCCTAAAAAGGAGTAAATCCTTTTTGTCTCTTTCTTTCCACCCCCCTATATTTTGAACCGCGCATTCGATTTCCTCTTTTTGGGTGTAAGGCTAGGCATATCCGTGCGGCTGTCTGTCTTGTCTTGTCTGTCTGATTATATGCAACTCTGCTCTTGTAACTAGACCACGTTGCTTTTGCTCCCTTTTTGTGTCGTATTGCGTTCGTTGCATTTGCATTCCGACTGTGCGTAAGGTGCTCATGAGGTGTGTGATGTCTGACTTAGAGGCGCCACGCGCCCCAGCACCCACACACGAAGCCAGCCATATAGATCGATCATTCACAAAATTAAAGATCACGGATCGGCAGGATGGGATGGGATGTGAGATATATATATGTACATATATGATAACTACTAGAGAGAAAGAGAGAAGAGGGAACAAAAACACAACACAACAAAATAAAACAAAACAAACGATAATCAAGAAAACTTGCTCACCCGACTCGACGCCCCCTTTCTCACACGAATGACCTTTGCGTGATGTGATGGTGGTTTGGTTATGTGGAGGTAGGTTAGCCGCGTGACATTGTTGTTGTCATTCCATTAGAAAACATGACGGAGACGGAGAAAGAAGGAAGGGTGTGGCGGATAGATATGTGCGCATTGATTAGTTGCTTGGGGGATTGCTTGATACTTTGGGGTTGTCCTTCCAGCCTACCCGTTGATGAATTGAATATTAATGATTTTTCTCATTCACGCTATATATGCTGTATGTAAGTGGGATATGAGTAAGAGAAGGTGAGACCAGGGTGATTCATATTTCCGACTGTCCTCCCTTGAATTTCGTGAGGTATGTGGAAGAATATGGCACTTTTATTTTCACTTCAGCTTTTTTGTTCACATTCATTATAGGAAGCTTCATGTTTGATTGATGAAAGCGCTTTGAATTGTATGCATGTATGCTAAACCGCCTTTGGAGAATATTACTATGCTGCTAACAACGAACGCCTTTTGTGCCATGCTGACGATTTATGCAAAACGTCTTGGTGTGTATATTCCTCTTGATGCAAAAAGTAGGTAGAGAGAAAGGAAAAGAGAAGACTCCTGGCTATGCAAAAAAAAAGGGTACAATCGTTGTAGTACGGTCGCCTATGTATGGGTATTGGTATGGGAACAGGAATGAAAACACGAAAACAACGGCTTGGACCCGTTCTAAATAAGGTTCTCGCCTTCTAGAATGCCTCTGAGGATGCCACTGCCGGCGCCGACAAGTGCTGTCGCGAGCTCCTTGGTCTCGACAACGCTGGCAACACGTCGGTCTTCGACGACAGCACCGCCAAATCCTCCAGCGCCTCTGCCCTTGCGGCTCGGCGTGCCAACTGCAACGAGCGATCCGGCTTTCCCTTCTACTGCAGAAATGAGGGAAAGCGTTTCCAAGCTTCCGACAATGTCTCGGAACTCGGTGCTGGTGAGTGGGTGGAGAATGTTCTCGCGCTTGCACAAAGCTGTGTACGCTTCGAAGAGGGCCTTGATGGTTGGTGCAGTGCCTTGGGATTTCGATGGAGTCGAAAACACATTATCGGCGGCCACAGTTCTTGTCTTCTTCTCCAGAGCTGCAAGAGAGCACAAAACGGCCTTTTGCTGCAAGTTGAGATTCTGCAGACGCTGGACTGTGCCGTTGCTGAAGACTGCTGCGGTGATTCGGGCCATATGGGCAATGGTTGCACGCGGGGCCGTCTCGACAGTCAATTTGGCGAGTGATTCGGCAATGGCAGTGTGGATTTTATCTTTTGAGGGAGACCGCTTTGAAGGGGACGACAAGTTGATGTTCTCGACCAGAGGCGTCTTGGAGGGTGAAGGTGTTGGAGAAGGAGTTATCTCAGTGGCTTTTTTGGCATGTTGATCACGAGTATCGGCCTCGATCAGGTCGATGGCTCGCCGGCAGATGTCGAAAGCCTTGCGAAGATCTCCAGACTGAGCAGCGACCTTCTTAGAGAGGAACATGATTGCGGTGGGATGGATGAAAGGAACCTGGCTGATATCCGCGGGGAGCAGACTCTTGAGCTTCTCGGTGATGACAGATGCAATCTGATGAGCAGTGTATGGCAGGAAAGGGAGCAAGTGCGGCTTCAACCCCCGGGCCTTAAGGCGTGGCAAAAACCGATCCGTGAAATCTAGGGCATTGGCGATTCCAACCAAGATAAGCCCCGACGACTTTTGCAGCGACCATTCGAAAATGTTGTAGAGAAGGTCTAGGTCAAGCTCCAACAGATGATCGACTTCGTCGAGGGTAACAACATAGGAAGTCTTTCGTTGCATGAAGAGATCCTTCAATGTGTCCATCTCCTCGCCTTCTGCGATTTCGGTGATATCAACGAATTCTTCCAAAAGAGTCCGGTACAGATCGAGAGCATTCTTCACACTCATGCAATTGATATAACCAGTCTTGACATCCCCGTCGTGCTTGATTGATTGACAGATCTCATTGACGAAAGCACTCTTTCCGGTTCCAGGGGGCCCAGAAACATACATGCAGCCAGATGTCTTCTCACTGGTGCGCGAGGAGATGAAGTCTGCAAGCTCTTTACGTTCGGTATCACGGCCAAACAGGGCACTTGGAGCAGTACCCCGGGTGAATAGCTGACGAGCTTCATTGTAGATGGTCGGTACTAGACTGCGAGGTGTTGATGGCGAATGTGGAGTTCGTGGTGTAAGGGGTCGGCCAGCGACTATGAGACGGTGTCTTGGGGTTACTGCGATCTTCGATGATTGAGCGGCGCGCCGACTGGGAGTTTGGGGAACTGCATTCGGTTTCTCTGGGCTTGCCACACGGGGTTTGGTTGGCGAGTTGACGACTGTCGTTGACAGAGGAAGTCTCGTTTGGGGTGCGCCGTGTTTAGCAGGAGTACTCCTCGTCTTTCGAGTGGGCTTTCCGGATGCGTTCTCCACCGCCTCATCAACATCCATAGCATCGCCATTTTGTTGAACCCTCTTCTTTGGGGTGATGAAGGGATTTTCCTGTTCTGTATCATCGAGGATAACGAATTGTGCTCGGCGCTTTGCTCGAGTCTTGATGGGCGATAGAGGCTCTGTTAGAACCGTGTTAGCAAGTGTCGCGTCCTCCTGAAAGCACTATATGCGCCTACCTTGCACTTCTGTAGTTGCAGAGCTGCGAAGTCTCTTTCCAAGAACAGTAGAAGACATCGTGAACAGCTGGGTCGTATGTGCGGAAGGAAGATGTGGTGGGAGGGGAGGTACAACTGGTGGGATAAGAAGAGAAGGAGTGGACCGCGACGCGACATGAATTAAGAAAGCGCGAAAGCGCGTAAAGTGGCTTGGCGCTGCTAGCCCTCCTTGCACGGACCTCTAAACGCGTCCGCGCGTTACGTGCGCCATATAGACATTTCAATTAATGACCCGCATCAGGAACAAGTATTGTAACGTCTTCTATGCTCCGTACTATCTGTTGTCCATTGACTCGTTTCTATTTCCAGCTCCACATCTGATCCACAATCCTGATTGGACTCCGCAATGTCTGTACTCGTAGATGTAAGACCAAATTGAACGGCGCAAGAGGAATGCAGACAGCAATCATAAGACTTGATCCCGTATGAACTAATTATCAACTGAGAACTGAGATAAGAGTAATTATTCACATTCTAAGCCTGGTAGAGTAATGGCTGGTGTATGCTGTCCAACATCCAGGCCTCTTACATCAGTTCCTCTACGGAGTACATCATGCGTATAAGTCCCAATGGGCTCCTGAACCCACCTATGTTATGACTATTCCCTCTACGAAGCTGTAATTCCCTGAACGGGCCTCTGAAACTCTGTAATTGCTGCAGCATTAGACTTCATCGGTACAATCAATACTATACCTTATCATCGCAAGTCTGCAGAGTACGTGAACAGAAAAATCATGGGGTAAATTGACGCTAAACCAAAAAAGGCCAATGATCTAACGATCAGCGTGACTGCGCGTCAACCTTTCTAATTAACGCGTCCCCCAACTTGATACTCCCAATCCTACGTCAACTTGAGGACCAGAGTCATCGTCAGACCAATGGCACCAAAAAGCAGTCCGCCGCAGTCGAGCTCTTCTCAAAATAAAAAACAGCAGACGATATCGAGCTTCTTTGCCCCCAAGCCATCGTCGATAAAGAAGACACCCGCGCCCGTCGAGGTCGTTTCGCCTGCGACAAACGGTGCCTCTAAGAAACCGGACGACGATGCTTCCGACGAAGACGATGCGCAAGTTATTGCTCGATCGACGGCCTCTCGAAGGAAACGTATAGTCGAAGACGACGACGACAGCGATGGAGACCCTGATCTGCCGGTGCAGAAGCGCATACGCAGCATCGCGAGTGTAGTGAATCCTGAGCAGGAGGTTACAGATATACCACATCGACCATCTCTAGGTCAGACGTCGGCGACATCTCTCAATGTTGCGAAACCAAAGGCACCTTCCGACCGCACATCAAAGTTCATTTTCTCCTCCTCACCCCCAGAACAAAACGAGAACGAAGTGGAAGAGGATGTCGATATTACACAAGAAGAGAAAGAGAGACTCCATCGGAAGTTTGTCGAGAAACTTGGAAAGCCCGACAGTTTTGCATCATTAAGAAGGAAAAACAAGTTGATATCGGAGGAAGCGGCAGAAGGCGAGGAGGGCGAAGACGAGGATGAAGAAGATAATCCAAAGGCCACAAAGGGCAAAAAGGGTGCTGCATCGAAAGCTGCACCAAAGCTCACACCAATGGACAAGCAATATCTGGACATCAAGCGAAAGCATCTGGATACTATCATTGTCATGGAGGTAGGGTACAAATATAAAATTTACGGAGAGGATGCACGGATCGCGTCGAAAGAACTGGGAATTGTTTGCATTCCAGGAAAGTTCAGATATGACGAACATCCCTCGGAGGCCCATTACAGCAAGTTTGCGTCTGCTAGTTTCCCCGTTCATCGATTGCAAGTTCACGTCAAACGATTGGTACAAGCAAACCACAAGGTTGGAGTTGTACGACAGGTCGAAACGGCCGCTTTGAAAGCCGCAGGCGACAACAGGAATACACCCTTCGTGCGGAAGCTCACAAATCTCTACACGAAAGGCACCTATGTCGATGACGTAGAAGGACTAGATTCAACGGGGGCCACGAACCCAGGGGCACAGTCCACAGGTTATCTACTTTGCATTACGGAATCCAACGCGAAAGGATGGGGCACCGATGAAAAGGTCCACGTGGGCATTGTTGCAGTTCAGCCAGCGACAGGTGATATAATATACGATGACTTTGAGGATGGGTTCATGAGAAGCGACATTGAGACGAGACTCCTTCATATCGCGCCGGCAGAATTCCTGATCGTCGGCGAACTCTCGAAAGCTACGGACAAGCTCATTCAGCACCTTTCGGCTAGCAAGACCAATGTCTTTGGAGACAAAGCTCGCGTTGAACGGGTCGACAAATCAAAGACCATGGCAGCTGAAGCCTACAGCCATATCTCCAACTTCTACGCAGACAAGATGAAGTCCGACGCCACAGTCACTTCAGATGGGTCAGGAGCTATCCTAGATACGGTTCACCAACTGTCTGAGCATGTCACGGTCTGTCTCTCAGCGATGATAAAACATCTCAGTGACTATGGCTTGGAACATGTTTTTGACCTCACCAAATACTTCCAATCTTTCAGTGCGCGTTCATACATGTTGCTAAATGGCAACACACTGTCGAGTCTGGAGATTTATCAGAATTCGGAGGACCAGTCCAGCAAAGGTAGTTTGTTCTGGACAATGGACCGGACCAAGACCCGTTTCGGGCAGCGACTGCTCAGAAAGTGGGTTGGTCGACCTCTAATTGACAAGAATCAATTAGAAGAGCGCATTGCGGCTGTGGAGGAGCTGAAAGAAGGAGAAAGGACCATCCCAGTCGATAAGCTCAAGTTTCTGCTCGGAAAGATCAAAGCCGACCTAGAGAAAGTCCTTATCCGCATATACTACAAGAAGTGCTCGCGCCCCGAGCTTCTTGTAGCATTACAGACCCTCCAGAGCATATCCGGCGAATACTCAAACACAAGGGACTCCTCAAAGGGAGGGTTTACATCGCCATTACTCAACACAGCTGTGTCCAATGTTCCCAAGATCTATCAAGACGTCACTGATTTCCTGGAAAAGATCAACGCTCAGGCAGCCAAAGACGACGACAAATATTCGTTCTTCCGTGAAGAACACGAGGCCGAGGATATCAATGACCACAAACTCAGCATTGCGTCCGTCGAGGATGATCTGAACACATACAAGAAGGAGGCAGCAGCAAAGCTAGGAAAGAGCAAGGTTGAATATGTTACCGTGGCAGGGGTTGAGTATCTCATCGAAGTGAAGAAGAAATCGCCCGAGGAGAGGAAAGTCCCTGCATCTTGGGCGCAGATATCTGCAACGAAAGCTGTAGTACGATTCCATACACCAGAAGTGAAACGTATGCTTCAGGAGCGAGATCAGCACAAGGAGTCTCTGGCAGCAGCGTGCGATGCAGCTTATTCCCGCCTGCTAGGCGATATCTCTGCAAAGTATCAAGAGCTTCGAGACTGCGTGCAGTCCCTTGCCACTCTCGATGCCCTGCTCTCATTAGCAACATTGGCATCGCAGCCAGGGTATGTCAAACCTACATTTGCGTCCGACATTCAGCTCTCCATCACCGGAGGACGGCACCCCATGGTTGAACAACTCCTACTGGACACCTATGTACCAAACGATGTTTCGCTTTCCCAGGATGCCACTCGAGCCCTGCTCGTCACAGGACCGAATATGGGAGGAAAATCATCCTACGTGCGGTCCGCAGCACTCATCGCCATCATGGGCCAGATCGGCTCGTACGTGCCCGCCACCGAAGCGCACCTCGGCATGCTAGACGCCGTGTACACGCGGATGGGTGCCTTCGACAACATGCTCAAGGGGGAGAGCACATTCATGGTCGAGCTGAGCGAAACAGCCGACATCCTCAAATCAGCGACGCCACGATCCCTGGTGATCCTCGACGAGCTGGGCCGTGGAACCAGCACGTTCGATGGCGTGGCTATCGCCGAGGCGGTCCTCGACTACGTGATCCGCGAACTCAAGTCTCTCACGCTGTTCATCACGCACTATCAGCATCTTGCCCGGGTGCAGGATCGTTTCGAGAACCACGAGCTGAAAAACGTGCACATGAGGTTCGAGGAGCGTGACGGCGGGAAAGAGGTCGTGTTCTTGTACGAGGCTGCGGAGGGAACGAGCCATCGATCGTATGGATTGAATGTTGCGAGATTAGCGGACGTGCCAGAGAAAGTCATCGATGTTGCAGAAGTGAAGAGCGCCGAGCTGGAAAACACGATGGCGGCGTGCAAGATGGCGAACCTGTAAGTTCACTCTAGAGTCTCCAAGCTCGGGAGGATCACGGTATCTAACTTTTCAACAGTGCTCGAATGCTCAGAGGCGTGGTTCGGGATGGCGACGAGAATGAGCTAGAGAAGCTTGTTGATGGGATATCACAATTGTAAAACAATTTGGTGCTAGGCGCTTTGGAGAACATACAGGGTATTGCATATTGCCAGGGGGACATCAAAAACAACTGTAATATCAAGGTATCGAGGTATATGTTTCACGCTGTCATCCCACGGGATGACCTCTATCTAGGTAGTAGTCCACCTCCGCCCTCAAATTCACGACTTCAATCACGAATAATAACGAAACCCCTTACGCCATCATGATGACCGCAATATGCATCCACCCGTCCATGTACGCCGCAACCCGTAGCAGATCCTCCACACTAGAAGCCAGCGGCAGCACCGCACCGTGCAGCACCGCCTGTGCGAGCAGCGGACTCCGTCGGCTGGGAAACAAACTTGGTATGATCTGGTTCAGCGCCGTGCCCACCGTCTGCGGTTGTCCTGCATCAAAACAGTCAGTGAAACCGTTTTTTCTTTGGAAGACCATACCAGTGGCCGGCACGGGGGGTAAAGTTACGTACGTGATGAAAGCGCGGGCGTGACAAGTGCCTGCACGACCCTCAACGATCCGGGAGCTTTATCTTTGCTCTTGGCCGCTGCGTCTGCCTTTGACGACGACGTAGCGTGCGGTAGGTACAGCTTAATCGGGATGTGTCGTAAGTTGACGCCCTGGGGGTTGAGCAGCTTCTGGTTGATGGGGCCGAAGAGCGAGAAGTCGTGCTGTTGGACCGAGTCCCAGAGCTGCGTGGAGTCTTCTTTGCTGAGCGACATTACGGTTCTGCCCGTGCCGTTGCGGAGGTAGTCTGCCTGTCGAGTGGGGGGTTTGATGAGCATTCGGATGTGTGGCCTAGGGGAGGGGTTGGCATACTTCCTTTGCACTGTTGATGAACATGTCGTAGAGATGTTTGCCATCCGCGTCGAGCTTGACGAGGTGCTCGACCGGGTAGTCTGAGAAGTGGACGGTGAGCCGCCAGGGAAGATTCACCTGGTCGTCTGCTGCTGTGTCGACTTTGCTGGAGGTGGCATCGTTGGGGTACGCGGGTTCATTCCCAGAGTAGAGGTCGTAGAGGAGGCCGAGGGGGTAGTGCCATTTCAAGGGGACGCCCTCGTGCTCCAGCCAGAGGTCGGTGACGTCTACGTCTGGGTAGATGAGTTTGTTGGAGAAGAAAGCGCGGAGGCGGTGGATTAGCAGGCCGAGGTATGATAGTCGGGGATATTGGATCTACATGGTTGTTTCTTTTGTGTGAGTGATTGATGGTTGGTGAGGGGATTACCGGTTTAGGCAATGATGGTATATAAAAAGGATGGGTTCCAAGAGGTGTGGTGGTGGTGTGGATCTGGCTTACTAGGTATGGATCAGAGTCATCGTACGTCCTGCAGTCGCCTTTGTGCAGCCGAATCTCGAGCGGAAGGCTTCCATTCCAGATGGTCTGGCGCAGTCTACTCGTTACATCGCGTGAACTGCTCATGTTCGGAGCAGACTATGGGGGGAGAGTCAGTTGCTAAGGGTCCCAGTATTAGGTTGTCGAGTCGTTCGTTAATAGGTGGGGGTTGTGGTTGGCTGGTCTAGTTCCATGGAGGCAAAAGGTTACTGGCAAAGCAAAGCAAAGCAAAGCGGGGGAATTAACATCCAGGGTCTACAAATAGATCCATTAATTACCCTTTGCGTGCCTGAGGTTGCTCGATAGTCAATAATCAAGGATCATCTATCCCGTAATCGTACCTAAGACGATTCCTTTTGCGGGGAAGTACTGCCGGTGGTCGTTATAACAACGGCAGCAGACCCACTTCCCCCCAATTACCATCTCGCCATTCATCAGCAACGTTCACTTGGAGCTCTTCATTAGTTTCCGTTCAATCACATAGGAAAACAATACAGCTTTGGGTGATCGATAGCTGAGCATTGCATTAAGCTGCTCCAACCAGATGACGACGATAACACTACTTGTCGAGCCGCCCACTCGGACCATGAGTTTCGCACTCAACCGCAAACGATCGAGGTTGATGTTGGAGTCGGACGACGAGGATGACAGCCGACTTGTACCGGCACACGCCTTGGCTGGCAGCAGTAGTAGCACCGGCCATCTTTTCAATAGCAACAATAATAGCAGCAATGCAGCGTCGTTACTATCTCCTACAGACAGCTTGAAGAAGACGAGAACGCAGGGCGAGCTGGACGAGCTGGACATCATACCGGCCGGCGAGGCGTGGAAAGTAGACCTCAAAAGCCTCCTGGAGAATGTCCCCATGCGCCCGAAGCCGGATGGAAGTTTGCTGCAGCCGCATGACAATAATGCAAGGTACCAGAGGGGCAAGTCAATCACCGTCCTGTGTGTGCAGGGAGCCCTGCAGCTACACTACGATCTTCTCTGGTATGTTGAACCGCTCTCATGACAACTCCTATCTACAATATTCCGGCGCGATTGCTAACGATACGATCTAGCGATGCGTTACCGGAGCTCTACTCGATCTCACCCTCATTGCAAGCCGTCGTCCTCTGCCGCGACCCGTCGTCCCACACTCCCACGAACACAATCCCCTTCTCGTTACCTCTACTCCAAGCCGTCAATCCCGGAAACAACTCATTCGTCAAGCTAGGCCTGCTGCATCCGCTGGGCGGTGGGCACTGTCCACTCGATGCGCTCGTGGTCATCGATGCACAGGGACGACGGAGGCTGGTCCTCCCGTTCGGCTGGGGCGCCGGCAGACACGCTGGGACAGCTGGAGGGAAGCTGGTGCGCGACACGCTGATGTCGCTGCTTAGATCGTGCGTGGAGGCGCTCGCGAGAGAGGGTTGAGATCGCGGCGTTGGTCTGGAGGCCCGTGGCATCACACCGCGCATTGAAGTTCGGGTAGGCAGGCAGGCGGGTTCCTTGCCGTTAATCGGTATTCTCGGGGGTAGAAAGTTGACCCCGAGATGTTGTAATAATAAATATACATAATGTTTGAATAGGGAGGGGAGACACGCGATGCGAGCAGGTTCACATATCAGGGTATACCCACAGCCAACAGTGGCGACACGAGTACATATTGCATAAATTATTCATTACTCATTGCGATATCATTCTTATACACGCATAATCCTCCCTTTGAGAGCCATAAACCGATCTTCCAGGTCAGGTTCCTCAGTCGTCAAGAGGAGTGTGTTGTTCATTTATCTGCAACGGGGAAGTCGCTGCCAGTCGTAGACTTGTAGCCCTTCCTGATGTAATCGGAGATCTGCTCGTCCTTGGCCTGCTCGACGGCAGACTGATGGTTGTTATCGTCAGCTTGAATACACGATAGTCGCCACATCACCTTACCTCATTATCCTGGGCACCCTGACCGAGGAACTTCTCCTGCACGAAGTCGACACCTACTCGACGCGTTAGTTGAAGAACAAAACGGAGCTTTGATATAGCATCATTGAGGAGAGGAGGGGGAGCAAAGGAGGTACCCACCCTTGTCAAGCAGGTCCTCATTCTTCTCGCTCTCGCGACCACCGCCAGCGGCAGAGTTGAGCTTGTCGCCGAGGCCGCCGAGGAAACCGCCGCCCTCTTGCTTCTGCTCCGGGTTGGAGGATGAGGCTTGGTTCTGGTTCTCGTTGTTGCCGCCGGTGAATTTGTTGACGAAGTCCATGGTTGGTAGTGTAGGGGGTTGGCTAGGTTGAGTTGTGTGTGTGTTTTGTGAGGGGGTATGGAAGAATAGGAATGGGAGATGATAGCTATGGGAGGAGGATTGGGTTCACTTTAAGGAAGATAAAAGAGGTATTTAAAGGACAGAGAGAGAAGAGGGGGGAAACTGGATTTCTTAGGTTCTTGGATGCAGTAGTGTTGTGCTCAGCCGTGCTTGTTTGTGGTGTAGTCAATCAGTCCATCAGTCCATCATGCCCCTTCTCACACATTCACTATTCTTGTAATGGAACTACGTCACTCGGCTTGTCCTGATTCGATCTAACCCAATCGCCCACCCCGCGTTTAGCGTCAGACCCACCCACCAACAAGATGCGCCAATCTAGGCCATTGAACGAGACAAGACATCCCACTACATACACGCACTAAGATAACTTCTTCAACCTTTCAGGGCGAGTGTTACGAGTAGCTGCATCGCACTTCTACAAACAACCTGCGTCGGTTTGTCTGTTCCTTCGTGCGTGCCATAGTTAACTGGTGAAGAGAGAGAGTCTTCCCCACCATGATTCCCATCACCATCATCACAGGCTTCCTGGGGTCAGGAAAGACTAGTGAGTCGCAAACTGCACGCAGCAAACACCCCACGCATCGGCCCTTTTCTCTCTGACAACAAGGTCACAGCCCTGATTCTCAACCTCATACCCCAGCTCCCCAAGACCTACAAGCTTGCGCTCCTGAAGAACGAGTTCGGTGACGTCGCCATTGACTCCCAATTGGCATCATCCAGCGCCATCAGCGGTGTCCAGGAACTGCTCAACGGCTGCATCTGCTGTAACCTCGTCGGTCAGCTCTCTGACGCCCTCGAGACGCTCGCAAATGATATCACTCCAGATCGCATCGTTATCGAGACCTCCGGGTCGGCGTTTCCTGCTACCCTTGCCATGGAGGTCAATCGGTTGTCGCAGAGTACCGGCAAATACGTCCTAGATGGAGTTATGTCAGTCATCGATACCGAGAACTGGAAGGGCTACGAAGACACCTCGATAACAGCAAAGATGCAAGCTCGTTACACGGACCTGATTGTGCTGAACAAATGGGAACTCGTCAGCGAGAGGAGGGTTGAAGATGTGGAGGATAAGATCCTTGATCTCGAAGTAGACCCCCCAACTCCACGAACGAAGAGTGACAAGGGATGGGTCGATAAGGACATAGTTTTCGGACTGGATGCGAAGCTGGCGAAGTCCATAGGCACAAAGTCCGAGCACCATCATGATCATGATCATCAGAGCGAAGTGGAGGTACTATCAGTAACACTGACTTCGCCCTCGAAAGCCGGCGTCGATGTCGAAAAGCTCCACAAGCTGCTAGAGCAGCCAACAAAGGACTCGATATACCGCATCAAGGGAATTCTTCACTCGTCCTCAGTGCCAAAATCTTCTGGTGGAAGTGCGACCTCGACATTGGAGGTCAGCAGTGGACGATCGCGTTACATTCTCAACTGGGCATTCGGTCGATGGACGTACACCCAGGTTCCTCCTCCTTCAACCACCACAACTCCACTCGCATCCGGCACTGCTACGCCAATAAGCTCTGGACAGAACACACCACTTCCTCCGGGCGAAGAGCCTGAGCTGCGGTTGACGGTGGTCACCGCAAAGTACGAATCCAATCAATGGCAGAAACGTATCGAATCCAGCGGGTTCGTCTCGTTGCAGAATTCAACCGATGGCACCTTGACCGTCCAGCGGATCCTTTAGAAACCTTCTCACCATCTGAATTGCCTCTGGCCCCGGCGTTGACCAAATTCGGACAGAAGACACGACCTCCTGCTGTCTCTTTCCAAATGTAGATAACCAACAATAGCATCGTTTTTGGTAGTATGGCGACAGATGCGGCTCGAATTGAATGTGGCGGCCGGTCCAGCCAATACTCTCCAAAACATCCAACATCCTCCCTCGTCCAGCATCAAAGATCGTCATGCAAACGTATTGAATCCGAAGTCTTGTCCTGAAAATTTCAAGGGCATGATGTTGCAACATTCTTACTATATAGAAGATAGAAATAGATTCACGCTGATTAAGTCTTCAAGACACAGCCGCCAACAGCTGTGGCTGCCTGTGCCTATACTCTATGTCGTTTCCCAGGGTACTCAAATGCAGCCAACCCATCTCCTACCCGGCGCATTGCAACAACTTGGCATATTGAGCTGTATGTAGAATTTTATCTTATTGGTCTGCGCGTAACACAGCATCTGTATTTGCAGGCGGTCAGGAGACGTCGGTAGATTGATGGACGGGTAGCTGCATGTCATGCTCGTGTATCAGCTCCACAAAATTTTCGACCTGCATTCTAACGGCCCGCCCTGCTTATGAGCACGCATTACAATTTTGTGAATGACCTCAAAACCAACTTACCCCAGACTTTGCATCAATATTGCCTCTCAACAGTGGCTTGCGTAGAGTAGGACAGCCCCACCGTCTATTAGTCGTTTTTTCACGATGTCTAGAGCGCAACAACTTCCCAATCCAAGCCTTGCGCTCAGCTTGTTACGAACAGCCTAACCGATTTTCTGGGGGAATGCTCTCACTCATGCGCAATCCAGAGGCACGATGAATCCATTACGTGCGAATAACTGCAACTATCACCATTTCCATCAACTCCGGTCCTTCGAGACTGCAATGGACGACGATGCATACCTCGAGACATAGCAAGATGCTCGAATATAAATAAGGACTTCTATCGTCTCCATCCACGAATCTCCACCACCAAGTTCAACAATCATTGCCCTTCAAGACTCCACTCCAAACAATTCACCAGCTCTCCAAGCATCTTTTTCCTTCGAAAATGAAGTTCACACTCCCACTCCTCCTCACCGGCCTCCTCACAAGCCTCACCACCGCCATCGCCCTCCCTCGTGGCTCCTCTTCCGCCGCCATCCAAATCCCAGGCAAGAGCGAGCTCCGCGTCTACTACCAAAACGGGCAGAACTTCATCTTCGAAGCCAACGTCGGGCCGCCGACCAGCGCACCCTCCGCGACTAGGAACATCTTCACCGGCGTCACTCGCACCAACACGCCACTCGCCGCCGTAACCTGGCTCGAGACCGACCCCGCGAACCCTGAGGTACGTCCATACGTCCAAGCCATCTCTCCATCTCTTCCCCCTTCACTCCCACTGACATTCTCCCACCCAATAGATCCGAGTCTACTACGTGACGCCGCGCAACACGCTCGCCGAGCTCGCCTTCATCAAGGGCCAGTGGAAGGTCGGCGCGGACATCGGATTCGCGGTCCAGCCTGACTCCGACGCCCTGTATGCGCTGCGCGTCGGCACCACCATCATCGTGGGCTACTCGAACGCGGACGGGAATCTCGCCGAGGCGTACTACTCCACCGGCACGCCGGTCTGGCAGACGTACACGCTTTGAGGCGGCAGTGGCTAGGCCTGGGAGGGCACGGGACTGCCCGGATTCAGGGGTGAATGACGGGTGGCATGTAGTGGAGATGTGAGGGCAGGGGGAAGGGTGGGGGACGGTTTCTTTTGTAGCTCAGTCTGTCGTTTCAGTAGTTAGGTCGTCAATTCCGATCCTTCGACTTCCTCCGCTTCTTCGCTAGAGGCTCGGAGGCATTTGCATTGCTTTCGCGCCGTTGTCTCGTTGCCGTGATTTCTCCTAGCTGTCGACTAGAATCGTGACGGAACAGATAGACGTGCACGTCTTCCTCCCCAGGTTCTTCGTCTCCCGGCAGCGGGATCTCGTGTTCTGCGACCTTGACGAAGCCCGCATCTGCCATCAGGTCGAAGAAGACCTCCTCGCTTGAGTGTCGGAATTTCATGGCGATGATCACGGCGAGGGTTGGAGACTGTTTGCTGATGCGGGAGATCGTGTTCACCAGTGCCGGGCTGTGGGTTTGTCAGTCATACAATGTTCTCAAGGATTGATATTTAATTTACATAAAATGGAAACTAACCTGCTGTCTGGATTGTAAGTGCAGTCTGCGGCCATGGCGATGTCTATGGGCTTCGCTGTGAGAATACTGGGTAACTCGGCTTCCCAGTCGAGTTCCAGGAAGCTGGCGGAGGTGTTGCTGGCCGTTTTGATGCCTTTGAGGTTGTGGTCGACAATCTCTTCGGCTTCGGATAGATCGGTGAGAATAAGTTCAGTGGATTCTAGGACTTGTGCTAGGGACATGCTGGCCTGCGGTTCGACATAAGTATGATATCTCTTTCGCTCTTGAGATTTAAGTGGGTCTTACCATTCCGCAGCCTGTGCCGAGTTCTAGTATCCGTAAAGATTGGTTGTCTTTTGAACGTTTGAAAACATTTGAAAAGGCATCGTTGGTGGGGTTTCGAACTTGTTCTACAAGATATGACGACGCTGCAATCCCGGCATCCCTAAGTTTTTGTCTCAGTCTAGGAGTACTACCACGCTATTCACAGGAGGGAAACGGACCATAAGTGCCGCGCAATGCTCTCGCCAGTCTCCTCCCAAATCCGGATTTCTGATTTTCCTTCAGAAGTGTCCGAGTCACCGAGTCCTATGCGTCTCTCGACCAACTTTCTCGCTTCCTTGGTGCCTTTTATGGGGTCTATTGGCGCACTGAATGCAGATACTATACCGCGTGTTTCTCGCCGAAGGAGACTGTTGAAATCGTCCCTCGAGATCTTAGGCTGCGTTCCTACTCTTACAATCACGGCGCCATTTACTTTGGATTTCTTGAATGGTAGACTGATTGGGAGAGTTCGCATTCCGGGGCCCCATACTATCTTTTTTGAAGCAATGATTGGACCTCCCGATTCGGGAATCAGTTCTGCAAAAAGAGTGACATCGTAAGGTAAGAAAGAGTCACCCAGATCAGAAGTGATCGTTATTAGGAAAGAGATCTCCGGCTCTGAGGATTTTGGTCCATTCACAATCCTGGGCGTTTTGAGAAATCGTAGGTAGCGCATGGCCTTGGGTGAGAAATGGCTAAATGAGTATGCAAGCACTCATGCAAGATAACATTGAAAAGTAATGAATGCGATGTAGATCTGTCTGGAGAGAGATATGATCACTGGACGCCAGGAAAAGATAGAGCATGGATCAGGCTCTCGGCTAACACCAGTGAATTGTGGAGTGCACGTGCACGTGCCCTGCACCGGGAGCTTTCTTTGGGGGGGAGGAGGAGGCTGGGGGGCCGGCCGACGACCGAACTTAGACCAGACGTTGGCGACACAACGCAACCGCAAACCTTACTTCAACACCATTGCAAGCACCCCCCTCCCTTGGATAAACGCTCCGTTCCTCCCTTCCGACCAAGCTCAATGCGCCCGCGATCCTCAGCGCGCCTTGGCCGCTGCGATTCGTTTCCTTCTTCAACCGCCTCGTCGACTTGAGACAAGCCCAATTTAGGCGCACGCCAGACGTCATGTATCGTCGCGGGGACCCTCGTTGGAACCGGACTATACAGAATATCGCTGACAATATCGAACATGCAAACGAGTCCACGCAGGAGCACCTCTACTCGTTCACCCATAGCTACGTGAATCCCTGCTTATCGTCCATCACGCAATGCTTGAACAGTTGCACGGAGCCGTGTCTCCCAGCGCGCGACGAGCGCCGGCGACACCATCGTCGTTCGCGGGGGAGAGCCGAGCTGAGCTTCGACTTCTATGATGACTGGGAGGAGGATGAGAATGATGGTTTGCTTGGTTGGGGAGGAGACAGCCTAGACAGGATGCTGGCCGGTTCCAACAGCTACGGCGCAGTGTCACAACCCGGTCGGCAGCGCGCCATGAGCTACGGGACGAGGAATCGCGACCCTAGGTACAACGCGGGGAGGAGAAAGAGCGCCGTGCAGCCTCATGATGGCGGCCCAGATCCGACCATCATACCGAGCTCATCATATTTTGGGTTCTTGGGGAGACTGCCTTTCAAGATTGGCGGGAAAGGATTGCGCTATAAGCCTTCAGCAGCAGATCTCACGGAGCATCCAGGCCAGACTAGAAGAAGTTTAGAAGAGGAACAGCCTCTGATTGAAGATAGCGACGAGGATGCAGGGTCAGGTCCCGAGCACAAGGGGCATCGTCGACAGAGAAGCCATACAAACACTTCAGGACACACCACCGACTCGCTTAGTTCGAGAGGAGACATATTCCCCAGCGAAGATGAATTAGACGATGCTGTACCTTTGGACGACGAATTCACGGCCGCGCTCGAAAGACGCACAACGAGTCAATGGCAAGATGAGAGCAGCAGTGGGAAGGCTCACTCCATAAGAGGAGGGAAAAGACCGAGCCATTCCCAGTTATCTAGCCGCAGAGCGTCGTCGCGCAATTCGCGAGGCTCCCGACGGAAGAGCAATGACGATACGAACAAACTGCTCTCCTCATCCCCGACTCCGGAAGAAGCCCCTACATTATCGGATCTAAAGCAAGAAGAGGAACGCATTCGATTGCAAGAAGAAGGCGAAATCGAGCGCAGGCGCCACGAAGCCCAGAAACTCGCCGTGCAGCGTGGTCTCGCAACGAACTCAGACCAACACCTCAGCGTCCGATCGGCCTCGCCCTCCTCCATGAAGATGCGCCGGTCGCCTTCGCCTTCCTACAGGCTCACCCAAAGCATACAAAGGGAGAGATCCCGCTCTCCACTGGTCGCTCCGCCAGCTACCGATACACACAACCCCGCCGACCTCGCGCCGTTCCCGCAGTTCGAAGAGCCGCAGACTGCCCCGGATAGCGGGTCTTTCCATATCGATGACAGCGATTATTCGAGCTTCGCGCCGACGCCGAATCGCCCGCTCTCGCTGATTAATGAGCCGAGAGAGATACCGGCCGATTCGAACTTCGTACCTGCTCGACTGCCACATTTCGATTCTTAGCTACCGTATTGGAAGGTTTGAACTATTATAGGGGTTGCAGAAATGGCGGGAGGTTTTCAGTGCACACTTGAGCTGTGCAGATGATTTACCAGAGCCTATTGGCTCCCTACCGGTGCACATAGAGATTGCTTGCTCTCCCAAGGGATTCAGCTATGCCTCTGGCACACAGCTGTCAGCTTGCAGTAGAGTCGAATGAAAGGTAATGACTTGAGAGCAGTTGTATTACGGATCATGAACTGCATGTACGTTTAATGTCTTGCATATGAATTGAAGCATTTTATGTGCTCCTTCCCAGCTGGTATTTTCTTCACAAGCTCGAAAGTGAGTAGATAGATGGTTAGATAGATAGAGAATTAAAGCATCAAAGTTCGACTAAATCCCCTCAGATTCCTCCAAAAGTGATCTTCCGCTTTGTGAGATCCTGGTATATCTCCTCCAAGGCATTACGTTTCCTCTTCTTGCTCACGTCCCTTTCTTCCCGCTCCTGCTCCTCTTCCTCGTCCAGGTCGGCGTCCTCCTGCGTGCGCGGTTTCCAGGCTGCGATCGAGCCGTCCTGGTGCGCGGAGTACATCTCCACGTCGTGTGCGCGCCATGAGAGCGAAGTGATTCTGTCTTTGGTGATTGCGGGTGCTTTCCCGGACGATGCGGCAGGCGCGTGATGCTGTCGCTCGGGCCGCTTGAGTCGCCGCACCAGCTCGCCTTCGAACAGTTCGTAACCCAAGATCTCGTGCCCGTTAGGATAGAACAGGAAGTCTTGTTCGAGCGGCAGGAATTGAGTGGGCGGAAGGACGGGTATGCAAGGTGCTAGTCCGGAATTCCTTACCATGGGCCCGAAGTTGGCAAGGGTGTTGGCGTAGCTGTTCGTGTCCCAGACTCGGATGCGCTCATCATGCCCACATGTGACGAGATGTCTGCCATCTTCGGTCCAGACGATACCGTTGACCGGTCCTCGGTGGGCCTTTCCGTGTACAGAGTTCCGGGTGAACGACGACGAGGCCGACTGGTTGATTCCTATGGAGTCTTCCAGGTCGAGTAGTCCCAGTTCGCCAACGCTGCGACGGATATCCCAAAACCGCACGCTGCCGTCCGTGGCACCACTTGCGAGAAGATGTTCTTGGACAGGGCTCCATGCTGTGGACAGGACGGCGCCGGAATGCCCTGCGAGTGAATGTGTACTGGCGCCAGAGCGCAGATCTACGAGGCGCACGGCGGGATATTGGGTCGCGCATGCAACTAGAAGATGGTCCGCGATCGGGGACAGCGCGATGTTGTAAACGACAGAGTCCAGGTCGAATGACGCCGAAACGTGTAGGGTCTCGCTGGAGTATATCTTTACGGTGTGATCGTATGACGAAGTGAGAAATGCGAGTGAGTCAAATGGGTAATATGCGACTTGGGTTATCCCGAGCTTATGTTGATCCGACGATTTCTTCACGCTGGAGAGCGGGCGATATGACAGGTTCCCGTCGTCTGCGACGGAAGGCTCTTCGAGATCCCATACGGCGATCGAGGAATCAGCGCCTCCGGAAAGTAGATAGCGGCCTTCGAAACGATCGATAGCGATCGCATTCACGCCAGATGCATGGGCAGGAGGGCATTCGTTGGGGTTTTCCTTTGAAGGCGATTTGTGACTGAATGTCACGGAGGTCGGCTGGATTGCGTAGACAAGCCGCGAGGTGGTTGCGCGTTTGACATCGTTGGGGGTATTGAAGCCGATCGATCGGGCGAGGAGGTCTTGCGTGTTCATGTGAGAGCTACATGCTCTGGAGTGAAGTGATGTTAGGGTTTGGGGTAATAGTGAGATGACGCATGTAGAGGTATGCGGGTGGTTATATAAGCCATTCACGCGCCCCACTTTTTAAGATCTGAGCACCTTGCTCTACTTTACCAAGAGCCTTTCGTTCTAACACTCAAAACGCATGCTGTGAGGTTCTGTGTCAATTCGAATGACACAATCAAAGAGATCTCGATCGGAGATGACGACCGGAGATGAGGGAGAGTTACCTGAAAGAAATCATAAACGAGCAGCGACTGTTTACGATGCCGTAGCAGGTCAGAGATTCGAGATTTCTATACACTGAAGAGATCTGACTATTTTCAGGACGGGTATCTCAATGGGGGTTTATCGGGTCCGAAAGGCCTTCTTCTATGCTGCAACCTCTCAGACCAGACGAAGTTCTATACAGGGCCAGCAATGCCCCAACACGTTATGAGGAGACCGACCATTATTTTGCACATACTAAACTCCGCCCGGATCAGAAACTTCCCAGTAGTGAGCTTCTCACTGCGTTGCATGCCTATTTCTCGGAGTACTATGAGAGAAGTGAGGAGCAATTCAACCAGAAAATATGGAACAGTATGGACGAGACCGCACTTATTGCACTAGGCATTTTGATGGAAGAGACGGCAAGGGAGGTTCTTGGGGAGACTGGCGATCTAGCATTTCTTGAGGCGGCGGGCGCTGAAGATGAATTGTATGAAGAGGCCGAGGAGAAGAGGACGGCCAAGCAAGAGTCTCAATCGCGGCAGGTGTCGTCAACCCGTGAGACATTGTCAAGGGTTGAAGCAGAAGACGATAGCATCTCATCCAACTTTGCATCACCGAGTTTATCGGGCGACTCAGATTTGGATTGAATGTGAAATGCGGATTGCAAACGACAGACCTGTCTAAGCGCGCTGGCCGTAGATCTCGTTGACAGATCTACTTGGAGATCCCAGAGCACATGAATCGATCATGAAGTGCTAGTTAAGGTAGGTAGGTACTTGGGTATCATTTGTAAGGGCATGACTTTGCTTGGCATGGCAATTGGGGAAGGCACGCTGGGCCATCACTTCACCACAAATCCTGCAACTTGCAATACAACTTCATGGTATGTGGTTTTTGTCCTTTCGATTGTGGTGTATCTGATTCAAGTCAGGCTCCCAAAATAACCGCAAATGCAGCCAAACAGGCGCTCATCCTCTCCTGGTTCCACAAGACCGCTGTGGCCCACAGCATCAAAGACCTTGAGAAAGCGCTCCCCTCTGTTGCGTCTATCAATGGAATGCAAGTGAAGGACTACTTGCAGTCTTTATCTGACGACAACAAGATTCGTGTTGAAAAGATCGGCAGCGGCAACTGGTACTGGAGCTTCCCAAGCGACGAGAAAAAAGCCAAACAGAAGGCCCTCGCCCAGGCTCAAGACGAGCATGACAAGGCCCAGGCTTTGGTCGACGAACTTCAATCCAAGGTCAACGAAGCAGGTGCTGCAAGAGAAGAAGATGCAGATATGCGTATGGGAACAGGTTAGTGTACATGGAGGGTTTAGGCAGCGTCTCTAAATATACTAGGTGGCGACCGCAAAACCCTCATCAAAGAGCACACAGACCTGACTACGGAGATCGAGCACCTTCGTCAGGAGCTCGCTGCGTATAGCGAGCATGATCCTGTAGAGATGGAAAAGAAGAAGCAAGAAGTACAACAATTCAAGGAGGAAGCAGAGAAAAATATGGACAAGATCCTGAGCATGGAAGACTGGTTTAGGAAGCAGGTTGGTGGCGACAAAGAGCAGATGGAGGCCATCATGCGAGACTGCTATGGCGATGAGTTTGACGAAGAGGTGTCCGGCCTACGGGAATTGTAATGTCTTCGGATTCCCCACTCCAGCTGGACCTATGTAGGCTGATTCCTTGTACTCCTTGCGAGGCGTCACTACGGTGGTGGGCTCCGTGTATCCCACCCTAACTGCGGTACAGTGATATCCCGCTAGATATTCCAATGCTCCGCCACACTTTGCAATGACGAGGGATGAATCATCTGTGCCATAGCCAGTCAATATACGAGAATCAAATACATCCCAAGGAAGGGTTGAGTCACTTTCCATGACTGTTCCTGAGGCTTGTCCGCATGTGGTAGTTGCGTGGACCGAGCTCTAAATGTTAGTGGCTGTGACAATCGCTCGCTCGCTCGCTTCCGGACCCGCGTCATCAACCTTAGGTAGTTACTTTTAACAAAACCTCCCCTCCAGGTTGTCGCCGAAAACGTACTCCATATCCACATCTGTGCTCCCACGGGACAGCAACCCCCGCCAATTGCAACACTTCACACACGCAAATTTATCGATACCACTAGATTCATTCCTTCCATACCCTTAACAACTTCTGTACATATACCCCGCATGGCTTCAGCGACCGACGAAGGCGCATCTCACGACAGCCAAGCTGGTCCGACAAGCCCACCGCGGAGGGGCGGACCAGGCCGTGGCAGAGGCAGAGGAGCTTCTCGAGGGCCTCGAACTGCAGAGGATCAGCAAGAGTTCCCAGGATCGAGGGGGCGAGGGCGTGGCACAAACAGAGGTGGAGGAAGAGGCCGTGGCGACCGCGGTGGTCGAGGGGCCGAGCGAAGCTCTGGAAAGGCACCCGCAGCTGATGCTGAGCCTGGTATGACTATCAAATATACCTACTCGGTCGCAAAGCATGTATTGTTAAGTGATGCTAACGAGTACGACTAGCAGCTCCAAAACTAGAGGCGCCCGCAGCAGCAGAAGACCCAGACGCTGAAGTTTGCTTCATCTGCGCATCCCCCGTTCAACATACGGCAGTGTCCCCTTGCAACCACCGTACCTGTCACATCTGCTCTTTGCGGTTGAGAGCGCTATACAAGACTAAAACCTGCGCACATTGCAGAACAGAATCCGACCACGTTATTTTCACAGACGATGTTGTCAAAAATTATGAAGATTATGGGGCAAAGGATTTCTTCAAGTCTGATGATAATCTTGGGATCCGATTCGAAACGACCGAGACATATGAGGATACAGTGCTGTTGTTGAGGTATAATTGCCCAGACGCCGACTGTGATGTAGCTTGCTTGGGATGGCCGGATCTGCATCGACATGTGAAGACTGCGCATGGAAAATCTATGTGGTGGGTATACATTGAAGCAACAGTATTGTTCCGCTCGACTAACAACCTGCAGTGATTTATGCACGCGAAATAAGAAAGTATTCACACATGAACACGAATTATTCACACCAGCAGAACTAGGAAGGCATCGGAAATTCGGAGACGACAATCCAGGAGCTATCGACCAGAGCGGTTTCAAAGGTCACCCCGAATGCGGATTTTGCAAAGAACGATTCTACGGGGATGACGAGCTCTACACACATTGCAGAGATAAGCACGAGCGCTGTCATATTTGTGACCGCCGCGACGGTGGACGGAAACAACAGTACTACGTGGACTACAACGGTCTCGAGGCTCATTTCCGGAAAGATCATTTCCTTTGCCCGGACACGGAATGTTTGGAGAAGAAGTTCGTAGTCTTCGACTCTGAGATGGACTTGAAGGCGCACCAGATTGAAGTGCATCCAAATGGTTTATCGAAGGATGCGCTGCGCGACGCTCGCAGGGTGGACATGTCAGGATTTCAATATCGGGCACCCCATGAACAAGAACGAGGCGGACGCAGGGGGAGAGGCAGAGAGGGAGGAGGAAGAGGACGCGGACGTGATCCAAACGCCGAGCCACTTCCTGCATCGTCTGCACAGCCGCTGACTCGAGCCGAATTGGCATATCAGAGACAGATGGCGATCCAAAGTGCACCGACTGCGACTAGCCGCTCTTTCGGTGGACAGCTAACGTCAACACCAACGCCTTCGGAAGCTTTTACTGCTCGCGCCCCTCCTAACACCGCGGAACCCGCCACAGTGACAGCATCTCGACCCCCAGCTCCTTCCAATGGAGTTTCAAACACCACCAATGCCACCAACACTCCAGCAGCAGCTAACATTCCTCGAACACCGGCCGAGCATGCAAGACAGTTGCGCCACAATGCCGTGATAGAGCGAGCAGCAGGTCTTTTGCGGAATGACCAAAGCAAGCTTGGCGAATTCCGCAACCAAGTCACGGCGTATCGGACATCGAAAGTCACGGCGACACAATTGATAGATGGCTTCTTCTCGTTGTTCGATACAAGCTCAGCGGAGCTGGGCAAGCTGGTGAAGGAGTTGGCAGACATCTTTGAGATTCCAGGCAAGAAAGATAATCTGCTCAAGTCTTGGAATGATTGGAGGGCTATCAACGAAGACTACCCATCTTTACCTGGAGCAGCTAGCGGACTATCTCTGGGTGGTTCTGCAGCACACGGTGGTTCAAGGGTGCTGAAACTCAAGAGTTCTACAGCACAATCATCGCGATCTTCGGTCAACAAGCAAGCCAGCTGGTCGTCATCGTCATCTAGCAACCCATTCCCTGCGCTCCCAACAGCGGCGTCGTTAAGTCGGATAGGAGCCAAGCCCGGACAGACACCTTGGTCATCATCCTCGGCGTCGGGTTCGGCACCAGCGGCAAGGATCTCGCCACTGCCGTCACGAACCTCGTCGTCCGTCGCGCTGAACAACGCCACCAAGAAGGCACCCGCCAGGTCGGCCGACGCATTCCCTGCACTGCCGGCGGCACCGAAGCCAACAAGTACCATCTTCAGTCCAGGATACACGGGCGCAGGCCTCCGACGGGACAACAGCGGGCGCAATACCCCAGTCAATGCTTGGGCAGGGGGAGCAGCCGGGCAGAGCAGTGCAGCATTGCCCGACGACGACGCAGCCGCTGGGCTTCCAGGAGCAAAGAAGAAGGGGAACAAGAACAAGAAGCAGACACTATTCCACTTCGGATAGGTTCAAGGCTCCTGAAAAGAAGATGAGAAGTGGTCCATGGTTACGTTGCAAAGCTAGACAAACAGGTACCTGGACTGTGACAACCTTGCGCTGGGCGGGAGGATGGCGCAGGATCCCTGGGAATTTAGACCAGAGGCATAAGAGATAGGTAGCCAGATACCTGAGTTTTGGATGTAATTACCTAGTCATCACAGTGTTGGACCGATCCAAGCAACACCGGGAACGAAAACGGGAAAACATGGCTCGTGCACGCATCTGTCAATGTCACGTACAACAGACACAGCCGTGACAACTACGTCGTACCCGGTGATCATCAGGAACAGACTCCAAATAAAGAAATCATCATGAAGCTAAAACAGAGTTTATCAAAACCAACGTCCATGCATGCATATACGGCCGCTTCTTCCCGGAGCGGCCCCGATCAAGTGGGTCTGTCTGGCTGTTCGTCGACCATACAGATAGATGTTGTTGGGATGGATTGGTTGTTGGTTGGTTCGTGCGTGCGTGCTCGATCATGGTGAGATCTCAACTTTACGTCTTGTAATTATCGCAATTTGCGAATGGTTAGGTAAGATGTGACGTGTGAGTTGCAGACAGGACTGTGACGCACGATCAAGAGACGTGGTTGAGGGTATATGCATTTCTCGCAATGATGTAAATTGCGGCTTCTGACTTGACGCAAAGGTATGGTTATGGATGGGGCCAATGAATGCGCTCGCGGCGCTACAATGATGAACGAGTTGTTTCTGTTTGGGGATATGTTGAGAGAGGGAAAGACCGTCGATGGTACTGTTCTAACTGCTTCTGCTCATGTTTGATGTTGGGCTGGGTTCGTGAAATTTAACGTACTATGTACGGAGTACATTCACACTTGCTACATGAACGAATTGTGTGGCCAATGAGTAAACTGTGTCTTTCTTTCCCTCTCACTTTGAATTTTACCTTGAGGATTAGGGCGAGTAATCAAATGTTCTGATAATGATGCCGTAAGTGTGTATGCAGTTTCATTGAGTACATCTATCTGAGAGTCTGCTACTCCATGCACAACATATATCGAAAAGACATTGTCCCCTGACAGAGTCCTCCGTAACTAGGTAACTACCTAGTTACCAGGAGAAAGAAAAAGAAACAAAAAGATCTTCCACGTCACACGGCACGGCACCAGACTGTCGGGAAATCCGGCGCCCGTGTCGATGGGCGGGCGACAGATAGACAAATGGATGGACGGCCAACGCAAGGCAGGGCAAGGCAGGGCTGGCTTAGGCTGGGCTTGGGGCGTTCGAAGGGGGTGTGGGATGGCTGCGACTGGCTACAAGCGGCCATGTTAAGTACATTAGGGTCTACTGTATGTATGGCTGAGGCACAGAGAGGGTCACAGGCACGGAGAAGGTGATAATCAGGAGGATTGAGAGGGTAAGGGTGTCGGTTGCAGGACCAGGAGAATCATCGGTGGGGGTGGTTGAATGGATAAATAAGTGGGATGATGACGATGGCGATGGCGATGATGGGGATGTTAATGTTGTTGTTGTTTTCGTTATAGGTGTTCGGAGGTGTTGCTGATAGACAAAGGGTTAGGTTTCAGATGTACTCCATACATTGTACATGTATGTGCATATCTACCTACCTAACTGGGTAAAATCTTGGGGCTGGTGGGATGTAACTCTCCTGCATGAGTGAACGTTTTTCTTGAAACATTGGCACTTCATTTTCCATTGTTCTCCTTTTACTCCGTACACACACAGACACATCCGTTGAGTGTGGAAAAATTCGACTTCGTACGTGGAGTCTTTCTACAATAATTAAAAGGCGTGAAATGGAATGCGCCAACCGTTCCACAGACAGGCCAACGGCGGGTACTACCACAGGTACCACAGTTTGATTTCCACCATACGAGTGGTCTCAACTACAGCCACCCACCCACCCACCGTGCCCTCGGGGTTCCGTCGCATCTTGAGTATTGGTGCCCTGTTCATCGTCTGATTTCCTCCTCTCCTCCTCCTCTTCCGTTCTTCTGGTTCTAACGTCATTCGGCTGCCAATTGTTGGGGAATCTGTTGACCGAGGATTGGGATATTGGAAACCGAAGGGAAGGAAATCGAAAACCAAATAAGCAGGCAAATCGTCGTAATCATCGGTGCGTTTTAGTCATTGCTTCGAGATCCATTGCCTACATTGGTAAGGTATTCTTTACGCATACAACGTCTTAGTCAGTCTATACTACACTGCAACGCATATTGGGTCTACAAGTGACAGCTATTCTGTACGGAGTAGCCTATACTCCGTATACCAAAGCAGCAAAACAAAACTAGCAAAGCACAGTATATCGTACACATACAATTACAGAGTATTACAGAGTATGGAGTACTGTTCAATGCCAAATGATAAGTGTAAAGTGTCAGCGCCAGTGTCAGTGCCAGTGCCAGTGCCCCGTCCACCCGCCAATCTGCCAGTCGCCCGCCGCCAGCTGACGCCTCCGCCGACGCCAACGAAAATCAGATGGTCGCGTCCTTTTCTTTATTCTCCCCACTGGGGAAATAATTAACTAATACTGTGTACTACTCCGTACTTGGCAGCAGAAGAGGAGGAAGAGGAGGAAGAGAAGAAGGAGAGGAAAACAGAGAAGGCAATCCTAGTCCCCGGGTGTATCGTTCAAGCTTGACAACTCTATCTGAGGCTATTAATTTAGAGGTAGTATCTTACCCTTTTCTTACCATTACAGCAACAAGATTGAACAGCCAATACCATACACATACTCTGTACTCGGTACTCCATATCGGATCTCCATGCCCTCTCCAGGCAATTCCTTTCACTTTATCCCTTCCCAGCAAGATCCCTGGCAGCCATCCTATCGCTGCATCAGTGCATATCATACTCGTCCTGTCAGTGCAGTGCCATTATTGCTAACTATTGGTATTTGCCATTGCCACTGTCGCGGGCCCTCTCCGATCCCTCCCTCCTGATTTTCGTATCGTCTTGTCTTCCCTTTCTTCTTTTGTTTTTTTTTGTTCTTTGTTCTCGCGCATCCTTTTGCGATCCCCCCTCAGGCACACACACACACACACACACACACACACACACACACACACATCACCCACCCACCATACACAAACACAGACACAGGCCAGAAGGGGATTAGTGTGACGAGTCTGTCTGTTCTTGGACTAATCAGCCATCGCCGGCGCCGGCAACTTTATTTCTCCACATCCACCATCTCCCACACATCCACCTCGTCCCATCTCCATCTCCATCTCCATCCATTCACCCTTCCAATTCACACTCATTCACTCATACGTACAATCCTCCATACTTTCACCTCATCTCATCTCATGCCATCCCGCTGTTTCGTCCTATCCTATCCCAATCTATTCCACTGCTTCTCGCACATTTATACGTTACTACTCATTACTTGCTACGCCAAACCCATATCCCTGACTCGCTCCCTATCCTATTCTATCCTATCCTATTCTACCCTACTCCGTACTATCAACCTACCTACCCTACCTTCCCACTAACCGCTAAACCTCCTGCACCTTCCCGTCCGCGACCCAACCTCACATCCACGCCAACATCAACCTACTCGTACTACATTCACCACCATCCACCTGTCACATCTACGGAGTACTTCCTCACCTTCTCAAGCACATATATATTGGGTACATATATAGACTACCTGCCTGCCTGTCTCGCTTTACCTTTGTATTCCCCTTGCACACCTCCCATCACCTCACCAACTCCTCCATATCAACTTTCCAACACCGCGTCTCCTTTTGCGCGCGCGACAACAACACAACGACACCGGCAACGACAGTGACTACTGATCTTCTCTGCGCGTATCAACACCGAGACAATCCGTCGGCGCGATCCAGGCCCATCTTTCTTTCTTCTCCGCCTTTCTGTTGAGTCCACACCAAGTCCAGAAACAAGCAGCACAAAGACAATGCAATCGCTGGATTAAGACGAAGCGCCATCTGCACGTGTCCTTGGCTTAGCTAGCCAGTAAACCTTAACGAGCTGTCCCTACATCGTTTCTAACGGCTCCCGACCACCATTTCACGACCACCGCACGCATCCATAGTTCCGACTTGCACTTCCGCTGCCCTTTCGCTAAATAGAGCCCTGGTATCTCCATCCGTCTGTCTCTCTCGCCCCGTTCCTCTTGCCTGTTCTTCGGCCCCAAAGGTTCCCCCGTTCAACCATTTCGGCTCTGATCATCACGTGGGCCTCTTTCCCCTTCACCACCATTCCCACAGGCACGGATCAATATTTGTACCTACCCATACCGTAGGTATTTATTTACGGTCCCTGTACATAGGTATCCGTCCAGGTATCTGCGATATCTGCTAGGGCGTGCTTTCTCCATAGTGTCTTGTTGGGCTACATCCACAGGCCTGGGCACACGATTCGCCATATATATCTCGACTATCCCATCCCAGTCTTTCCTTCCCAGTCTCCTCCTGTCATCCCGTCGCTGTTGGAACTCAATCCCGAACCGACATGTTCCCTCCATCATCTCGGCAAAACAATCAATTCCCTGTGGCCGCCCCTCCTCCATCGCTTCCACAAAAACAAGAGAGCTCTCTTCCACCCATCGCAAACCCAGCTCAGGATCATCCCGCCGCCATGAACTATCCACCACCTGTTCCCCAGTCTCAACTCTATGCGCAGCCTCCTCCACCACCCCCCAGTGAGATGCTCAAGCCATACAATGGCCGGAAAGGAGATCGCATTTACAAGTACGTTCTGTCCTCTCCCTCTCCACATTGCTGGCTGTCCCTGGCACGCCCTGGCGTCTTGCCGTGCGCAGAAGTCGTCATTGTAGTAGATCTTTCCACTGACCTGTCATATAGGCTGTCCGTTGAACAACAGCCAATTCGTGCGCGCATGTGCGGTTTTGGTGACAAGGTCAGGCTGCCCGCAAGCTTTCCGTCAATCCGGTGCAATGCTAATATATGCGGCCATTAACAGGACCGACGACCCATAACCCCTCCGCCTTGCATTAGGCTCGTCGTGTGTGACGCTGCCACCGGCAAGGAGATCGACTATCAGGAAGTTGACAGCACATTCTTCGTCCTCACTGTGGACCTGTGGGACGCGGAGGCCACCCGCGAGGTCAACCTGGTGAGGCACTCCAGCGGCGCACCCACGGTTAGCATCTCGTCTAGTACCACGACATCTTACCCCCCTCCACCAGAGCGTCCCATGGGCTACATGCAACAGCACATAATGCCTCCGCAATTCGACGCATATGGCCGGCAAGTTGGGCCTCCCCAGGCTGTAAATCCGTACGGCCCGCCGCAGATAGCCGGTGGCTACTACCAGCAGCCCGCTGCGCCAGGTTACAATCCATACAATGCCGCGACGTTCAACCCAATAGGCTTGCCCGTCGCCCCTCCGACAACCTCAGCCACTGGCATGTTCACAAGAAACCTCATCGGGAGCCTGACTGTCAATGCTTTCCGACTCACAGACACTGAGGGCAAGGTCGGGTTCTGGTTCGTTCTTCAAGATCTCTCCGTCAGGACCGAGGGCATATTCAGGTTAGTTTTTTTTTTTTTTGCAATAGATGGCGATTGGTAGCTAACGAATGACCACAGACTCAAGATGAACTTTGTAGACGTGGGAAGCGGTCAGAACAACAACACTCTCAACACAGGACGCGCACCGGTGCTTGCGACATGTTTCTCAGACCAATTCCAGGTCTACTCAGCGAAGAAGTTCCCAGGCGTCATTGAGTCCACACCACTCAGCAAGGCTTTTGCTAGCCAGGGAATCAAAATTCCGATTCGTAAAGATGGTCCGAAAACGTTGAGCAATCAGGCAGAATATGATGCAGACGACTAAGATGTCCAACTTGTCAGTGTAGGTAGGGCGCTTTAGAGTCGAGAACAACCGATGGAGTATCCAGTACTGTTGTTGATACCAAGAGACGTTTATATTTCAATCGTTAGAAGGATATCGGACAGGGCGGCGTTGGGTTCGGAAAATAGATGCTCCTTCACGTTCAGGTCAGGAGTAGGTTTTACGTTGGACCCAGGGCGGGTTTTCCCCTGTCTTGGTTAGTCATCCAACTCCCATGCGAGGTTGTTGTTATATTATGTTTTGGTTCGTTTGGTTTTTTGCTTCATGTCCCTTGAATGTCAAAGAGTCGTCGACGCATGATGCTTAGAACGGATTCCAGATGGAGAAGGAGACGAACAGATGGTGTGAAATCCGCCGTATGTGGCCGCACCGTGCTACCTTCTCGTTGCGAGACATATCATCTACATTTCTTTGATTGTACCACTTCTTCCAAGGGAGCCTCATCATGTATCTCCACGTCCAAGATGACAGAAACGTAATTGACTCACGTCCATGTCGCGAGTCAAGCCGGGTTAGGACAGGGCAAGGAGGGATGGGTGAAGGGAAAAGGCGCGAAGAAAGGGAGAGAGGACCTGATAACCATTGATAACTACCTATTATCACAATACTGGAAAAAAAAAAGAATAAACCCAAGCTCTTTTCCTGTGTGTGATCTCTCTTTGGAATCTGACTTGCTTTCTTCCAAATCTGAAATCCCCAACAGTCATCGAAGGCCGTCTTATTGATGGTTTTCTGTTTAACGTGGGATCCGTGGTGTGGTTGGGTTTTTTTTATGCTGTGTCGCCAATGGGAAATAGGAGATGGGATTATTCTTTCTCCTTCGTCTCCTCCTCCTCCCGTGACAAGAGTGAGGTAGGCGTACCCTAAATCAGGTCAAGAGGGTGGCGATGGATACAATGCCTAGGTAGATACTTCAAGTCTCGATCAATGCTCCCGTCCCGCCACACGAGCAGAGGGAAAAGATGCATTTCCGAACATATTACATGGTGAGTGCTTCCTTGGGATGGATATGATGCGCGTTGGACGTTTCCCAGGGGAACGGTGGGTGGATGGGATGTGTGTAAGGTGGACGGGTGGACGGGTGGGTGTACATATGTATGTATGTGCAAGATGGATGGGTGGGGTTTGCAACGTTGCGGGGTGAATGAGTGTGCACTGTGCGGAATGGTCTGTCTGAGGGGGTCTGCCCGCCCGTCGCTCTATCTGCATTCACGGCAAAGCCACCACAATCGAGGCAAAAGGATGCACGCATAGCATAGGTAGGATCGAGTGATTGTGCTGCAAAGTGGTCCCTAAAGCAGTGCGCAGGCAGTAATGGTCGCTAGCCCGAGTGGTCGAGAAGCGAATGGGCTTCCTTTTCCTTTCATCGACACCACCCGATCACAGTGTTGGCGCGCGCAGGCCTTTGTAATTATAGAATATACATTAGAAGCGATCCAATACTATTAGTTGATTATCCTAAGTCCCGAGAGAAGAAAACCTATAAGACAAACGCCGGATTAGGACGGAAACTGGAAAGGACTACGAACGATTAATCAAGCACGAAGCCAAGAAAACAAAATTAATGTTCAAAAACAAGAACAAGAGAATCAAAGTATGGACAAAGGGAAAAACGAAGGGACGACTATGAGGAGAGGATCCTCGCACAGACAGTAAGGATACAAAGTCCTCCGCTTCCGTCTCTTTCTCTAGCTGAATCCAGACGAAATAGAATCTTCGGTTTGACGACAGAGGGTAGGGAAGACTTGGACAAGACCTCGATGATTGCAGAGGATGGCTGGGGATGACGGTTACCAAGAGGAAGAAGACCACATCTCGACGCCCACGGCATGACCCGTAGGCTAGACAGACCTAAGTACCGTTAAAGCAGGCGAACGTCCCGATATTAAACGGGACATTATTTGAATAGAATACTGCATGGGACTCTCCAACACAGTTCAGTTTGTTGTAGAGTCCCATACGGTATCCCAAGCAGCATCAAGATAGTAGTCGGATTGTTCGCCTGGTTTAAAGGTAAGTCGTATGCCATTATCCTTGCAGGGTTGGTCCAAGCGGTCGTGCACCATGAATGCAAGGTTAGAACAACCTCTTTCATCGATCTGGTATACATCAGGATCACCTTGATACACGCCTGTAGAGCGCATATCCATGACCAAGTCCTTGAGGTGGGGTGTTGCCGTTTTGAACTCCTCTATGTAGGACCGAATGACTGCTAGGTACTTCTCTTCATACCAATCAGCATGATCTGGGATTGCAGTAGGGTGGAATGCAGTAGAATCGGACATGAAATCGTCCAGAATGACCAATCGCTTCAAACCAGGTGGTAACAATCCCCCGAGGGATGTAACTGCCTTCCTCTCACCAACTAACGTAGCCAACGATATCTCCATATCTGTTAGTGCAGTATAGGAGCAGAAGCTTCCTAGCTCCTGTTGCACTACATGTATAGTATCTTGATACACATACGCCATGTCGCCCACCGCCGAAGCATGGAAGCGCAAGAAAACAAGGGTGTTTCGTAAACCGTCAAGGCTTTCTTTAATTTTACCCAGGTTGCACATGAATTTGTCTTCAATTGCGCGGTCCCAGGAAAAACTTTTGAGTGCGGGGGTCCTCTGTAGCAGGAGCTTGACTGTGTCCTCTTCTGCCCACAATCCCTGGATTCGAAGAGTGTGGAGACGCGATAATGGTGGAGCCTGGTGCAGAAGAGTTGTGCATGGAGACGCCTGAGGGCGTACATTCTTTCCCCAACGATCAGTTACCTCAATGTGCCCAATGTTTGGAAAGTACCAAAAGGGGAACAGTATTTCATGTACTCTGCTTGGATGCCAGGATTTGTTGGACATTGAAGGCTCGGTATTGTCGCCACTTGTTCCATTAAAACACGTAATGTATACCGTTTCCAACCTTCCAAAATTTGACATCTGTCCTGCTTGAATTGCTGGATTCTGAGATGTAGAGTAACGTACATCCCTCCGCAGCGGAATAAACGGTGCAACGGAACAAGATTTTCCAAATCAGTATATATAAACCAGAAAAGCCATTCCAAGGACATTAATAACACGTCTAGCCTGTTATCTGTTCTGAATCTATGTACTGCTAATACTCTGATAGAAAATTACACAGTACTGTAGCTAGTAGCAATCGATCTCCTACAGGCGACATTTTGTGTTTCAGCTTGCAATCTTAACCTAAGCAATCATTTCAAGTTGATTTCGTATGTCGGGGATATATGGGATACCTTTAGATGTGTAATTTCATGTATCCGCTATTGATATGTTTGATTTCGATCTGTGGCGGTGATAATAATGTTTCTCCGTTGCGATGCCACCGCGTTGATTTGACGTGAGAACGTAGCGTGGTAGAGAAACACTTTGTCATCTGTAAAGATTACCCACGTGATTTTCGAGAGCATCACGTGAGCGTCTTCCTTTGTTCTATTCTTAGCACAACACTACGAGGATGGTGATCGTGTCCTCTCAACTCAGAGCATCTGTAACGACAGCAGACCCCAGTAACTATGGACCCGGCCAGTCATGCACTGGCTTTAGAACTACCTCCGGACGTTCGCGAAAGCATCTCTGCTCGGGCTAGGCATGGTAATGTCCCTCGTACTACTGTACATTATCGTTCCAAAGGACGACCCGCGAGAAGAGCGAAAGATGTAGGCCAGCAATACCTAACCCCTTCTGAGGAGAAAGCACTTGTCGAGTTCGTGTTACGTATGAGTACCAGCGGGTCTCCCATCCGTATAAAGTACATTCCCTCGCTTGCTTTTTGCATCGCCCGTAGACGTGCAACGAACCGACCCGCTGGCCCGCCACATAAGAACTGGCCACAGGCCTTTCGCCGCCGCCATCCAGAGATCAAATCGAGAAACAATAGAGCAATAGCCTGGGAGCGTCATGATAACAACATATATGATAAGGTGGCATATTGGTTCGATGTGATCGGACCAGAAGTCCATAGACCTGACGTCAGACCAGAGAATGTCTATAATATGGATGAAACAGGAATTATGCTTTCTATGCTCGGCTCTGTAAAAGTCCTTGTAGGTAAGGATGATCGACGAAACTATAGAGGTGCTGGTGTAAAGCGTACGATGGTGACTGCTATTGAGTGCGTGTCAGCAAGTGGTGAGTATCTGCACCCGATGATTATCTGGCCTGCCTCTACCCACCGGAGCAACTGGACCACATACCCTACTCCTGGATGGGTCTTTGCTCTCTCTGAAACAGGCTATAACGACTCTTATCTTAGTCTAAAATGGATGAAAGGAGTATTTGATCCTCAGACTAAAGTCCGTGCTTGCGGAAAACCACGAATACTAATCTGCGACGGCTTCGGAACACACGAAACCCTTGAGATTCTAGAGTTTTGCTTCGAGAACAACATAGTGTTATGTAGACTTCCTTCTCATACGTCTCATAAGCTCCAGCCCTGCGATGTATCAGTATTTGGCCCACTGAAGTCGGCATATCGAGAGCAAGTAGAACGACTTTACCGCGGAGGTTTGACGAATGTCAACAAGGAGCACTTCACTACCATCTACAGCCAAGCAAGAGAGAAGGCGATGACCAAGAAAAATATTCTTGCAGGCTGGGCAAAGGCTGGACTATTCCCATTTAACCCCGCAAGGGTTCTTCGCGACCTTACCAAGCCGGACGCTCCACTGACTGTTCAAGTAATCAGAGCAGAAGTAGCTTCTCGAGACGAGATCGTTCAAACTCCAGTGACACCCATGTCATCAGAAGCTCTGAAAGATGTGCTAAACCAGATTAAGCAGTGTTCTGGGCCTGATCAGCGACATGGTAAGCTCGTTCAAAAGCTTGCCAACGCCGTAGAGAAATCTCTTGCTCGCCAAGCTCTCGACCAGAACTACATCAAAGTCCTTAAGACTGTAAATAACGAGGCAAAGACTCGCAGAAGGACCAAGTCTGAAATACTTGGGAAAGCAAGGGTGATGACTTACGAGGACATCGTTGCAGAACGTGCCAGGAGGGATGCTGCAGCTCAAACTCAAGGCAAAGGCAAAGGAAAGCGTGGTCGACCACGGAAGGCTTCTATGAAGGCTCACAGTGAATCAGCAGATGACGTAACAAATGCTCTTCATTGCCAGACTTCGGCTGCCGATGCAAGTAAGCCAAATAATGGTGAACAAGATTCGTCTCAGCCATCAGCTGGAGTAGCATGGACAGTCGGGATACAAGTAGATCCAGCATTGGAGCCTTGGAGAGCACCTATAGCCCGAATGTGGTGATGATGAGATGTTTCAGACTGTAATTAGATTGTAGACTTGAGCGTGGGCGTAATTTGAACCTTTTTCATTCCTCGCTTTATGACTGTGTAATATACCTCACTACGTAGCGAGAGCCACTGCGTAGCGAGATGGAAACACCATTCTTGCATCATCATTCTCTTCTACAGATGCATATCAAAAACCGCATTCCGACATGGCGTTGGATCTCTGCGCTACCAGTCAAAGCCAGATAAGGCAAACCTGCCAGCGAAATTAAAACTTTCGGGCATAGAGAGCAAAACATTTGATATATACGAGTGAGACCTCTAATTTTGAAATGTTCCATTCCATTTAGCGTGGCTGCCGGGGCCTCCGTTAAGGACAGGAAGGGGTATCTCGGCTTTACCCCACGCATTACACTATTTTAGACATTCAGGCTAACCGTTGACGACAGTATCGGATTTAGGTTACTGTTAGCTCTGTGGTGCGTGATTTGGCTTATTTGCACTGTTTGCACTGTTTGTCTTGTTACGCTGTCCTTTGCTACCTGGAGGCAGTAGTTACGTAGCAATCTAGGATTGTTCGCAATTAATTTCATAAATGCATTAGGCGTGAACTAACATGGACAGAGCCACTAGAGCATTAAGTAGGGCGTACCAGATAGTATGCCCAAGACGTACCCGTTCCTTGCTGCACATACCAATGTTCCTACCTCTACCCTCCATCATCGTGACTGTGGACGACGCTTGCGAGAAGCTAAAGCGTAAAGCCAACGATACCTGTATGACTACGATGAGGACGCTGTTGTCGATTTAATCTTACACATGAGCGCCCTTAGACAGCCTGTTTGAATGAAGTATGTATTGCCACAGCCTTCAGTACTGCTCGCCATCGCCCAGCACCCTATAGACCACCGAAGCCTGAAGCCTCCCGGCGTGAACTGGGCGAGGGGACTCGAAAAACGAAGTCCGGAGACCGTCGCGACGAAATGTGGACCGCAAGATTGGAACCAGTATAACATCTACGACAAAGTAGGGCACTGGTGTAAGATAATAGGAAGGGAGCTATAAAAGCCTACTATATTATCGGAAAACGTATGTAAAATGGATTAGACTGGAGTCATGCTGAGCATGCTGAGCTCAATCAAAGTCCTTGTGGGTAAGAGTGACTAGGAAAGGTAAACAAGGCCGCCCTTAAGTCATTTGCCAATACTGCACTCCTTAAAGTTCAGAATAAGTTCTTAATCAAGATGAATGACGAGGGTGAACAATGTTGATCCGCGAAGTCAAAGATATTAGTAATGGGGAAGGGAGAGGGGAAGGTTATTCAATTCAAAGACCTTGTAAAGGCGCAAGCAGATCGTAATGCAAAGGCCGCGCTTATCAAAGCTTCTGCTGCCTTCGCTACATTTACAGATTTAAAAAGATATGCTGTTGCTAACGCAGAGCGCTTTGGTTTCTCCACACTTTTGCTTGCTCTGGGCATTTGTTGCAGAATTTCGCTTAGCACGCCTCGCTCGTGTAGTCTCGATATCATCATAGGTCATCAGCCTAGTAGTGACGGCAGCGGCAAGCTAGACAAGCAATCACTTTAGGCTGCATAGACAGTAGTGACGTTACAAATAACTCCAGTCGTGGTATGTACCAAAGTTGATTACCTAAAGCTAACGAAGGCAGAACATAGTAAGGGCTCCTCCAAATCGAGCATTAGTATGCATCAGTGTAGTCCAACTTAAGACTAACTAAAACAACCTTTCGACCAATGTCCTCTCTTGCCACATGTGAAGCATGTTTCCGGGCAATCTCGCGACCAATGACCAGGTTCTCCACATAAGAAGCATTTGTCAACCACGCGCGCTTTGCTTTTTCTACCCTGTTTTTGACGCATAAAGTGATCCTGTTTCTGCATTGCTTCTAATATCGCTTCGCCATCTTCATAGTCGGCAGGCATCAACCCATACGATGCCTGGAAATTTGCTCGGTAACCCCAACCCTTCCTAATTATGTCGTGCGTGTTGGGAACACTGCTCAAGGTAGGGCGTTGGTGGCGGCTCGATTGGCGTTGTGGAGACCGTTCGACCTTTTTCGTGCTGATATTATCATTGTGGTCTCGGTGCTTCTGAATCTCCTCTTTTAGCCGCCTCCTTGCATTCGGTATTCCTTCCCCATATATGAGTGGCAGGAATACTCCAAAGAGCCCTAGCAAACAGTACACAATGTCCTCCTTTACTGTTGTTGTGCGCAGGGCCACCCATCTCATCCGTTCCTCAACGCTGAAGTTGGCGAGACTCTGCCCTCCTAAAGCGCGGAGTGGTATCCCGGTGATATCATAGATCTCGTGTTTCAAGGATATCTTGCTACCTAAAAGTTTGCCCTCTCTCGAGAAGAATTCCACAATGGGGGGCGCCAAAAGCTCTTGTAACGTCCAGCCACGTGTGAACCATCGGCTGCATCGAAAGGCGGACGCCCATGTAACCCGCATAGTCGAGGCGTCAGTAACCAGCTCAGGCACTGAGACGTCGGACAGGTAGACGTAGCATCTGGACGCGCGCTGATACCACTTGAACATCGAATTGATCGCCGTACTGTGTTCGACGTATGAAGAAGTGTCGATACAGCAAGTATCTACCCAAAAGTAATGCAGTCTATCCACTGCAGCTTGTTCACCACAAAAACGAATCTTGTCAAATCCTGTCTTGTCCCTGCCTCTACCAGCTTTCAACTCTTCGTACGTGATTTCTTGATCTTCTGCCCAAGTATGTGAGAGGATGGCGTATGGCGGCGGATGGTCGTCATCGACAGACGTCAGCTCGAAGGTGTCCCCCGGCAGGCGGTGTAGAAGGCGCATCGTAGTAAGGGTAATTATATTATGTGATCGCGAAAGTCGTTAGCAAATACTGACAGGGCAGCAGGAAGTTGAGGCGGGTGGCTATCTATTCGGAGATCAAGCAGTTACGGCTGAACGCTTATGTATTTCTGGTCTTCAACCAGTCGCGCATGACTGCAGCCTGGTGCTCGAGCAACGGTATCACCTCCGCTGAGTCATCACGTGATTTGGCACATACTAAGTTAAGACTCCATTAAATTTCTCGTTACGTAGCGGTTTTCGCTACGTAGTGAGGTATGTTAATCCTCGTTGTTATGTCGAGCACTCATAACCACGTGTATTGACCGAGCACGTGACTCAGAGTAATAGTGATTGATGATTGGCTATCTTGTTCAGGTTAGCTGTAAGATTGAAAACTCTGTCAGCGCATGTTCACTGGACAATCTGTCCCGCAGGTACCGATCAATGTGGCGATCCCGAATCAATTGGACCGTACATCAGCCACGATAGTGCCGTATTAGTTTCAAATGATACGCAAGACTCTTGGATGTATATCGAATCTGTGCCGACATCTACAAAGTCGAAAAGCGATGATAGTGGGCTTAAGTTCTCGAAAGGCCAGCCGTAGCTATGAAGTAGTCACTTCGCAGTGATGGGGTTGAACACCCATGCCACCGTAATATTTGTATATAACGACATAGATTAACTCAGGAGTTGTCCTAGTATTATCCCTAGGAAAGTCTAAGATTATAGGAGTACCATTCTAGCTTAAGATAGGTACGAAGTCTAAGTACCTATGATTTTGTCCGCTGCGGGGGTTGTTCCGTTGCAAAGGGATATACGGTTATATGAGCATGGTTGAAATCCAGTAAATGGCGTCGTGGCCGATTACCTTGTCGATGCTCTCGCCAAGGGGACGACGGTATGCGTTGGGGGAGCGGACGAGGTCGAACATGTTCTTATCGTAGTCTTCGATTCCAGCAATCGCCCTGTGAGAACCCAAGTGTGGGCCGAATTTCATGTTAAGCACTTCAATGTTTCTGCAGAGCGCAAGGATTAGTGCGGCCATAGGACCAAAGCGTTGTTTAGATACAGCATTTGCCCATTGGTTAGGCTGTGGAAAACCTAAATCCCATACTCCCCATAATATAGAAGTGTAACTAAGATCTGAAATCGGCTTGCTAGTATTCTTTGGGATTATTTTCCACTGTGACGGCTTAATATAATCTTTGGCATGCTCCGCGTATGTTGGATGCGAGATTACATGCACCTGCTTGATGAGATCTGCGTATTTTGGTCGTCCTAGTAACGTTCTTAAGAGAAGTGCAGCTGTCCTTGAGGAGGATACCTTAATGCAGTAATAGATTCTGGGAAGAACTGTACAATAAAAACGCTTGCATGTTTTACTAATGTTCAAAATGTCGCGTGGCGATAAGTCAGATATAATGTCGTCAAGTAGTTCGTTGGGTAGGCTGGTTATAAGCGCCATCGATGGAAGATTGTGAAAATTAAAACGCAAAGATATGTGATATAGTCTGAAGTTAGATCTGATGGACAGGCGGCTCTATACCTTATTTATATACGGAGTAGTATACTATTATTTTGCCTTCGTCCACAAACGTATTTTGTCGTACAATCAGGCTATCGCTGTACGGAGATGTATTCTTATTACCCCTCTTCAATTCCAATAATAGTCCTGATGACAAGGACCCATCAAGGCCTCTTTCACGGACGCGTCGCAAATGTCAAAGCACACACATACATTGTTGCTCAAAGGTGAGATCAGAGAAATTTTTCTTCTTCTTATTTTTTTCTCAATAAAAAAAGTCGCATTCGGAAGAAGTCTCAAACTTGAAGGATTCAATGTTGATGAATTTCGCTTTGCCAGGTGGTTAAGTAAAGACTACGCCCCCATGTCGAAAATGCCCTTTGTTTCGTTCCACCACCATGACTTGTCTTCTCACTTGCCCATCTATTTCACCATAACTCTGAAAAATAATACAAAAGCATTTAGTTTTTGGATGTAGGATCCAATGACTCTGACAAAAAGTGATGCAACGGTTATCTCATGTGTGACAACAGACTCCATATTCCATGCGCCGCCATAGATCAATAACGCCCACCCAACTTCAAAATCCTTAACCCCAGACTTCCGCCAGATCAATATTCGAAACTGCCGTAACACTCTCCCCCACAGCCTCAAGTTCTGTGCCTGTCTCGACACGTTCGGCCCCAAGGCTCTCCAATAAATTAGAGCATCCGAATTGGGTACCTTCCTGGCTACACGGGTCCACCAACCCTAGATCCTTATACCAGCTCGCAAAGACAGGGGGCTGCTGGATCTTTCTAGGTATTGTTTTTGTCTTGTGGATGGCCATCGACAACGCCCATATCTCGGCGCACGACCATTTATTCTTATGATGGCATTCCTTGTTACCATCTCCATCTTCACCAACATGATCTCCTTCGAGACCCAGTCCGTTGGAAATCTTGTAACATGGTTTTCGTTTGAGAAGTCGATTCGTCGAATAACGGGTTGTTTTTCTTATTTCGCATAGAGCTTGCAAAGTAGAGTACGTCGTCATGTGCAAGAGCAACCATTACAGTCGGAACTAGTTTTGGTTGGAATCCAAGCTTAGTGTGTTCCGCTTTCATCTCAGCAAATGCTAATTTCTGGAATCAGTTTCTTGTGCAAAAACATTGAAATGAATGATATGAAATGAAAGAGTTCCTACCCTCTGCACACAGGCTACCGAGCTGTGAATGGGTAAGTCGTTGGACGACCCCATGTTCGAAATGTACGATGCTTGTATACCTGTTGCGACAAAAAGGTCAGCTTAAAAGCTTGATCAAAGGTTGTGGGGAAGTGCGTTATTGAACCATGCGCACGCCCAGACGTACACAAGATTATCAAATTGAAAGTAACGGGACGGCTCCTTCGCGGGTAACGTCGTGGTGAATTGGTTGAGTTTAATTCCAAGACGTGAAGACTTTCTCGACATGATGAGGAAATAATGCTGTCGCCCTGAAAGATGAAGGGGTAAAGGGTATTGGACTGTATGAAGGGGTGCTCTGACGGAACAACGCTGATATGACCAAGACTCTTGTTTGAGAGGAGTAATAGCGATACTGATTCTTTTGTTTTGCAGGTGTCAATCGAGCAGATATAGAAATATATACTCTACAGCTTGTCTTCTTTTCACCGTGCGTCCAAGACAATCAAGCCAACGTCTGAGGTTTGAGCAATGAGGCCCAACCACATGCTGCAAGTGAAGGGGGATGAAAGTAAGACATACTGGAACAAGTAAAACGTACTAGACGAGACGGCGAAAGAGATGTATGCCATTGCTCAAACAGAAGACGCGATCAACGATATTGTTTCGACCACTCACAAACTGACTGATGGAACTATGTCAAAGGCACGATTGATATTCACTATTCACATCTCCTAGGCTCCGTTCTGTGCAAAAGCGCCGACGCACTGCGCTCAGTTGATTTCGCCGTATTCATGGCGTGTTGGTCGTTCCGGATGGCAATTGTCAAGAAAGCGGTAGTCCGTCCGGTGAAGGAGAGAAACAACAGATTACATGGGTTAGCGACACGTTCAGTGAATAGCAACACTAAATATTGGTCATAGCAGACTGGGCACCGTAGTTCCAGACCCTTCCAACAGATGTGTGAGAAGCAGAGTCAGACAATTATCCAAGCTTCAAACGATGGCAAACATCACATGCGCATGCTCGCGCTGAGAAAAACAATGTTTCGGCCAGTACGTAGGTCCTCTGATCTACTAATCCCGATGCACTAGTAGCCGCGAAGATCGTCTCTTTCAGCCTGCTTTTCAGATCAATGAGATAGGCGAAAAATGATTGAGAGATGACACTTGGGGGCCCGGTCGACTAGTGCGACATGGTATCTAAAACCATGCTCTGAATCGACTGGTTGACTAGATTACCAAAAGTATGCACAGCTTCCTACATCGGATCCATATCCAATGCTCTATGGGGTATCTAGGCATGGAAGCGAACCGCTCGGAGTAATTCATAGGGATTATGTGAACCAAGATTTGCTTCCGCTATTAGATTTCTCTAGGACAACAGCTTGCGAGGATTTCGAAACGTCAACATACAAGCAATCGAAGGTAAAGACGAATACTACGATGGGAAGAGCACAACTTGGTTTATGGAAATCGCTAATCGCGATATCTCATATTGTCTCGATCAAAGAGTCATTCCGCAAGCCAGATTATGGCAATTTGGCTCGTGCTGGTGCTAGTCGTTCAGACAAAAGCCAGTGATAGACTACAGTTGTAGCGCTAAAGGATGCAGTGACAGAGGGGCTTTCCATCAAACTTGCAGACGTGTGGCTTGCGAGAGACATCTGCGCTAAGGGGAGCACATGGCCTGTCACATCTTGTTGAAATTGTGAAAAGCTAAGCACGATTGGCTCGTTATCAACTTCTGTTATGGGGATGTACCTGTCTTGCATCTGAATCCGCTACAGCCAACTGCCCCTGTCTCTGCTCGTGGTGTAGACAGCGAGAAGTGGTGGGACTGAACTCTTCCATCGACAGCACGTCAGGTCTGTGATGATTCCTGTCGCCAGTCTCTGCGCGATAGAGCATAGGAACATGCGAAATCAATCACCTTCTACTCCGTACACCTTTCTATGCATAGATTTTGCGGCACTGATGCAGTCACGCAGTACAGTGTACCCTGATGTAAGCGTGTCCCGAAACAGTGGTTCTACGGTTGATCTAGACTGTTTTGGGCTTAAATAGGGCCGGGTGCACTAGAAGAGGCTAGGGGTTGATTGCTATTTGGAGTGACGTGCAGGGCGGCATATTTGACATACCACATTATACATGCCTACCGATGTAGTACGTTGCCACCTAATCTTGGATAGCAGTACTGCTCGCCATCTCGTTTTGCATTCTCTATACAGAGTACCATGCCTGGTGTCGCCTTTTCCGATTCTCTAACAGAGACGTTCTGATCCCCACCCCACAACGAGTGGTTGTGAAGCTTGACTGAGGTACTTTGTCACCACGAACCTGAATTCTTTTTTTAGATAAGCTTCATTTGTGATGAATGTATCCAATACTCCGTGCTCCTAAGTGAGCAGCTCGTCCCTGCTGTGCCATCCTGCTACAGGGCTACGCCACTATCTTGGCAACTGATCTTCTCCAACTTCCCTCCCCCTTATCCCCTCCTCCGCAACGTCGGCAACAGCGACACAATTCTCCCCAGAAGGCCATGATGTTTGTCAAACTGGTCGTGAGTTCGATCTTCTCCTATCTGAGCTGGAGCTTGGTGACGTTACAGATCAATCATCGACGTGCCTCGACTATGGGCATCCCTCTCATCAGGCTGCCCACCGACCCGCTCAACGTATTCTTTCAAGTCTTAGAGCCTCACATCTTCCGATTGCTCGATGCGCTCCCTATATCCCTCCCTGAATGTATATACTGCTTGCGTCGAGGCTGGTACTTTAAAGATAAAGCCGATATGCACCTTAAATATGGGCCAGTGTGGGCTCTCGTCACGCCCCGTGACATTCATGTCCACCTTTCCGACTCTGAAGCCATCCACGAAGTTTTCTCTCGCCGAGCAGATTTCATTCGTCCCTCAAAGATGTATGGTAGGTCTTCTGCTCCTTACCATTGACTGAGCAGGGTATTGACGACCTTGCAGAGCTTTTGGAGGTGTATGGCCCGTGTATATCAACTGCAGACGTGAAAAATTGGCCCCGTCATCGCAAGATTCTCGCGGCGCCATTCAGTGAGAGTGCAATGAGTTACGTATGGTCTGAATCATTGCACCAAACACAACAGATGATGCAAACCTGGATCTCAGCGCCTAGGGTTTCGAGCGTAGGAAAGGACATGCGCACACTATCACTGAACGTGCTTGCTGCCATTGGCTTCCGTCGCTCTTTCCACTTCCGTGGATCTAACAACAATGCCACGATTAGGGAAGATGGAATGTTTTCCTATCGCGATGCGCTTCAGATTGTTCTCGATAATGTTATTCTCCTCATGCTGATACCCCGGCGTTATCTTACTTACTCGTGGATGCCAGCCTCCCTACAAAGGATCGGCCACGCCGCCTCGGATTTCAAAAAGCATATGGTTCAGATGCTTGATGAGGAGACAAGACTACTGAGCGAAGGCAAGAAAGGTAGTGGAAGCCTAATGACGTCTTTTATCCAAGCCCAAGCCCGAAGTGAACGAAGCAAAGATACCGGAAGCAACGCACCCCAGGGACTTTCAGTGGACGAGATTTTTGGCAACATCTTCGTCATCAACTTCGCTGGCCACGATACTACAGCAAACACACTAGCCTTCAGTACCTTGCTGCTTGCTGCGCATCCAGCTGTTCAGGAATGGGTCGCGGAAGAAGTTACAAGTGTAATTTCAGGAAAGCCGGAGGAGGAATGGAACTACGCCGATCTCTTCCCGCGCTTGAAAAGGTGTCAGGCTGTCCTGGTACGTGAATCTGATGCTCGATATCACTGCTATAGCAAACCTCGGTGCTAACAGAACCACAGCTTGAGACCCTTCGCCTCTATCCCCCCATCATGGCACTACCGAAATCGACAAACGAATACCCGCAGCCACTACAAGTCGGCGACCGCCGAATCGTCATTCCGCCACGGACCGGAGTCCAACCTAACATCATCGCAACCCAGACGCACCCGCAATACTGGGGGCCAGATCCCCGTGCGTGGAGACCCAGTCGCTGGATTACAACGAGCTCTGGGGATCAAGAAGGGCTGGTAACTCCACCTCGGGACACGTTCCTCCCCTGGTCCGATGGACCACAGAACTGTCCGGGGATGAACTTCAGCCAAGTGGAATTCGTGGCCGTTCTTGCTCGCCTGCTGTTTCGCCATCGCCTCCAGGTGATCAAAGAGCGGCCTCTGGAGACAGACGCCGAAGCTACGGCGAGGGTCTTGAGAGTGGTCAACGAGTGCGATGCGCAGATGTTGCTCAGGATGCTGGATCCAGACCGTGTCAGTGTGGCTTGCGTACCTGCCCTGTGAAGATTGAAATGGTCGCAGCGTGGAGCAACCAGGGGGAGAAGGGTTGAGCACTGCGCTGCGCGCCGAACCAAGGCCGATGATGAAAAAGGACCAATTTGACGTGGACTGCAGTCTTTTTCTATCAATGTTGCACAGCATGCAGGAACTCCTGGGTTCTTTCTTGTTACAACACCTCGACATTCGGGCGACATCACAGTCAAGGCCCGCAATCGGTGGGTACATAGGTAGGGTAAGTCAGACAGATATTCGCCATTGTCGATGGGCCTCCGCAGGTATGTGAATAAATGGGGCCTTCGATCCCTCTCGGCTGCCCTAATTTTACTTATCTATCTACCTCGTATGACCTACTCAGTGCCGTTGCCACTATACATGATCTCCGAATAACCTCACCTTTGACGCCATACTGCACGATATCAACAGCTTTAAATTTTATCGCGTTGTGCAAACGACGCACAATTGAACGCCACTGCCACTGCCACTGTCACCGTCATCACCTCCCTGGGCATCGAAAGCCGAACCCGCAGCCTAAGAGACCCCTGAGTGGTAATTGCACACCTGCAACTACCTACCTACCTAGGTACACTGCCATCGTCCAACTCAAACACCCCCCCTCCCCCCCTCTGAGAGGCAGCCATATGACGCGCCAGCTCACGAGCAGCCGCCCGACAGGATAACCACCTAGGTACGAGTACCAACCTCGTACCATTACCACCCACCCACCCAACCACGGCGCCACCACATCCCCCCCCAACCCAACCTCGCTCTCTCTCTCTCTCTCGCATCCAGCCAGCTCCCCGGCTTCCCGCCCCACCAGAGGAGGATACAAAGGGGGCAATCAGTCAGTCAGTCCACAGCACGCACAGCAAAAAGAGATATGAGTGGCATAGTGAGGGAAGAATGATACATACGACCATTGGACTATGAAAACAGGGCTTCCCGTTCGCTCAGCCATACTTAAGCATAGTACCGGCGGACTAGTAGTTGAGTGGGTGACCATCAGCGAATCCCCGCTGTTGTATGTTTTTTTGTACTTTTTTTTGGCTGCCGGGTTGTATGTGTGGAGGTAGGGGGAAGAGTGGGTAGTTAAGTGGTAGTGTGGTGAGTGTGTGGTGGAGGTGGTTTATGGAAGTGTTCATCGTGGCGGTGTTTGTGTAACTATTGATTGGCTGTAATTGTTGATACTTTTATGTTTCAGACTGAGAAGTCGTGGAATTAATAAATACTCTGTGCAAAAGTGATACTAGGTCTTTTAGACATTTCTAGTGATTGCAATATGATGTAGCTTTCTGTTTGTATTTTGTTCGCAGCTACATATATATTTATGTGGTAGTCCATTTGCTTGCGCAGACCTGGACCAATGAGTGCCAAGGAGCTGTTTCTCAGAATACGCCGGGCACCTTCCTTTTTGTGCACTCAACCGGGCTACCCAAAGCAAAGTGACCTTCGCAAACCTTCTTGCGTATCCACGTTTCTGGCTGAGTGGCCATGAACGGGGAGATAAAACAACGACTTAATCGTGACATGAACACTTGGATGTTGAGTTCAAAGGAACCGTCGTCCAAAACAGAATACGGCAAAATGAGGTGCCGACGGAGGAAAACAAAGAAGAAGAAAACTAAGAGAAATGGAAATTCGTATGTCAAACTGAAACCTCGGGAAACCTTTTGAAAATGGGGTATCTTTAGAAGAAAACATCATCAAAGTTGAAACTTTAAAAACCACCGACACGTGTCAGAAAGAAAGCCATACTGGTGCCGCTACCACAATGGCTGTTCGTGACAATCAAGATGATTTATGTCGGTTGGTCCTCTACATCTTCATCGATGTCCTCCAGAAAGTCGAATCCAGTGAAATCGTCGTTTGAGTCCATGTGCGGACTCGGTAGAGAGTTGATGCTGTTTTCGCGGTCGAATCCGGACGTATTCATTGTACTCAGTACCGGGCTGATATTCTGCGATTCTCGGCGCGACGCAGCTTCGCTTCGTGAGAGGGGGTCCATGCCCAGGAGATCTCCTGCACATCTCGCAAGATACTCGTCAACGGCCCAGAAGCCACAGCCGGCATGACGCAAAACTTCATTCTTGAGAGTGAGAACTTCCTCACGGAGCATGGCAACGTTATCCTTCAGAGCCTTGTTCTTGCAGGAGAACTCGCGAGCGCGCCCTTCGAGGCCATTGATATATTCCTTCTTGCGCTGACGGCATTTATGGGCTGCGACTCGGTTCTTCTCGAGGTGGGATTGCCGAGCCGACGAGACCTCGAATGGATACCCCTCGGCGGTATAAGCGACCTGAGGCTGTGACTTGGGCCGGCCGCGTTTGCGCTTCGCGGGCTGCGGGTTGCCATCCGTCACTGACTGGGAAACGGCCTGTGGAAGTGACTGGTCAGTAGAGGGCTGCTTGGCTGTCCGTCGGCGCTTGGAAGCGCGTTGTGGAGGTGACTGTCCCGGTGGTGTAGGGAGTGAGCTGGGCGGGCATTGCTCCTCTTCCTTCTGTTCCGGTTGGTAGTTGGCCAACGCTTGCATTTGCTGGTCAGCCGGCCAGGAGAGTTCGTCGTGAAGTTCGTCCACAGGAATGGAGTTTTGGCGGTCGGACTTCCGATTCTCTGGGTCCGTGGGTGCGATGTCTGCGGGTGGGGTGATCTGGCCAAAGCGCTCTATTGAGGATTCCGAGAGCAGAGTGGAGGGAAAGGTAAATGCAGAAGGGGGCATAGAATCCTGTGGCTGTGACATGGCGGCCCATTTCTCGTGTGAGGTAGTTGCGGGGTCGGCCAAAGCCATGTAGGTGTCGTTGACCCAGTCGAATTGGGGGTTTGCGGAATCAATCTCCATTGCGGATATGAAGGTGTTGTAGGAACCTAAAAGCCCCGGAGATTGAGAAGAGGGATGAACGGGGTTGCCGAGTGGAGTTGCAGGCAATCTGTACGACCAAGACGGCGCAGTTGAAATGATGGGTTGGTGGGCGTTGGTTCGATAGGCCTGAGAAAGTAGCCAGTGCGGACTTGCGCCGTTGATACGATGGAGGTTTTGGAAATCACAAATCCGAAGTGGTTATTGTTTTTCAAAGGAATGTAGCCGAGGAGCAAGAGGTGGTTTTGTTGTATGAGAGGGGGGATGCGTTGTTTGCTTTATAGCCGGCGCGGGGCGGGGTGCGCGGAAGGCAAGAGCAAGGGAGGTATGTACCTATACGTATGCAAAGCCGGTGACAAGCCGTGCGAGGTGAGAGGCAAGTGGCGAGAAGAAGCGGAAGGAGTCGAATAGAGCCTTGGTATATGTAGTAGTAGTAGTAGTAGTAGTAGTAGTAGTAGTAGTAGTAGTAGTAGTAGTAGTAGTTGTTGTTGTTGTTGTTGTAGTAAGATGTGGAAGTGTAGTGGATTGAGAGGATGGTCGAGAGAGGGAAAGGTGTTGTGGAAGGTATGGTATGGTATGGTGTGTTGTGGTATGTGGTATGTGGGTGAGAAGTGGTGGTTGTATGTCGAGTCGAGGTATTTAAGAGGAACAAGGAATGGGAGGAGAGGGGTTAAGAAGGAATAGGATGTTGGAAGAAATGGGAAAGTAGAAAGTAGCAAGTCAGCTGCAGCAGAAGAAGATTGGGAGAGACAGAGAGAGAAAGAGAGAAAAGATATGGAACAGGGTTTTAGATTTTGGAAGGGAGTGGACAGGGTTGAGAAGAAGTGGAAGAGGTGGAAAGATGGTGAATGGGCGAGGGGATACCTCTAGGGTATGGGTAGGTATGGGCTATGTGATGGGTAAAATGGGCAAAAAACCAGGCGATGGGAAAGTCTCGATGGGAAAGTTGGAAAATCGATGATGAGGCACTCCAGATCGCCGATTGCTCCTCATCGGGATCATCTGGTGACGTAAAACCGGTTAGAGCATGTCTGAGGGCTGCGTGGGCATGGTTGACCACGGTAACCGCCAATCACACCACTCCGGCCGTTCGCGGGGTCGGTTCTACAGCTAAGAGTAAGGGTAAGGGTAAGAATGTGAGAGGGAGTGTGTAAGAGGGAAAGAGAATGGGTGTTGTATGATTATGGTTGGTACTCCCTGGTAGCTATGTAGGCACGTATGTACATAGCCACCTGTAACTACCAACAGGCAGATGCACAAACCAGATACATACCTACCTCGGCACTCTTGTGAATGGGGCATTTCCTCTCCCGGTAATAACATCACCTCAATCACAACCACCTGTAGCTTCATAATGACCAAGTAGCCATACCGACTACACCATATCATACCATGAGACATAATTCCGTACCTTAAGACTACGAGTATAACTAAATACCTAAAGTTACCTAGGTACCTGCTACAACTATTGAGCTATGACTGATGTGGTTCGCGCGAACGAACGAACGATGCCACCAACGAATCAGCGATCCCCGATCTCCTTCCTTCATCGAAGCTGCAGTCCACCAAATACCTCGTGTGTACCTCGTCTCGTCGACAGACAGCTCCAGGTATCTCACCACTGTTTTATTCATCCTTCATGTTTATAGTTACTTCTTGGTACGGAGGGATACACCTAAGCTTACGCTTCGTCTATCTCCCCTTCCTGTAAGGTACAACACCCTCTCGCAGTGTATGCAATAGATACCATAACGGACATTGGGACGCCGGCAACCAGTGAGCAATGTAAAACGCGCACCCATCATCACGGGCGCTGCTGATTGGTCCAAACGCCCTTCTACCCCATCGAGTGGCTTTCCCTTCAGCTCCCCTCGTCGAGTAACTATCGAATGTCCCTCCCACTGCGACCTGTCACGCCATTGGGCGAGCATAGGAAAAAGTAGATTTGCGACAACGTTGCTAAGGAATGGACCAGTAGAGCGCATGGGCTAAACAAGAGATGTCACTTCCCGTCAGGCCGCAACGGGATGGTGAGTGCCATAGCAGACAAGCCACTCCTAAACCAAGGCCTAGAATGATACGACAGAACATCATTGATTAGTACAAGACATACAGAAAATTGAGAAATATGGATGCCTAGACTGGACTGGGTGATGCGTTACGATAGTAACCATAAAGTAGTGTGACTTGGTATGCAGTTTGGCTTATTGCAAGAAAGGTATATGTCGGAGGGGAACTACCATTCCATGCAGTTGGCCATGATGCATTACTCGAAAATACCTACGAGGTACCGATGCTGCTAGACTATCTAATGTTTTTCTATCTGTCTTTACTTTTCTTTAATTATTGTTATACAAGTATCATTCGATCAGCCAGGGGCTATTGGAAATGTTAGTAGAGTAAGCTATCGGCCTTGTGAATCGACCTTGGCCGCGCGTTGTTACTCTGGTCACTTGTGTCGAACAGGTTTGCGTGCTTTACTTACTAGAGTAGAGGGTAATTACCTAGCTGGCCCCGCCCGCCTAACATAGGGTAGGGTTGGTTCTTCCGGCCATCGACGTTCACTAACACGATCGACAATTCCCAGCCCTTTCCCCCCGTTCGCCCCCTTGACCTTGTTGCCCATCAAACAACTCCATCCCTCCTCTCCCCTCACAATTCATCGGGCTCAGATCATGGTCACTGCTCGCCCCATACCATTTCATCATCTGCATTGTCGTCTTGCCCATTGCCCATTGCCCATTGCCCATTGCCCATCCCATCTGTCGGATTTCCATCGGATTTCCATAACCTTCTCTCCCTGTTCCACCAAAAACCCATCCCCATCCGGATCCTTCCTGTTTCTTCCTGCTTCTTCCAGGGCCCTTCCATCCGTCCATTCGACCCTGAGGCTTTTCGACCCTGGTCCTGAATCCCGAGGTCGTACAATAGTTCATTGAAACGCATTTGATCTCCCCGCCGCGCCAACACCCGTCCCCGACTACTGCATTCGGATTCCCTCGTATTATATAAGGTTAGGTACGGTACCTACGAGTACAAACAAACAAACAAACAAACACCCATCCGAACTACCGACGGCGAACCGGCTATCCACCAATAATTGCACGGAGTATGGGGTACCAATCAACAACAGCTAATACTCGTTGCAGTTACAGTTACTGTTACCGTTGCCAACCACCCGACTGCCACCTATGATTCATTGTTTCTCGTTTCCCCTCAGTTGGAAACTCAAGTCTCAACGGGATCAATTCATCCCCTTATTGGAACATCGGGAACATGCTCCAGCCTATCATCACAAGTAATCGACAGTCGGCATCTCTTCCCAGCCTATCGCAGCCAAGATTCGCCTCCAATTGATCGACATGCCATCATCACTTACGACTATGGTGGACTTTTCCCCAGATTTTCACTGTCCCGGTATTTCAGTCCATGCCTTGCTTTGCCTTTTCTTGTCACCAACCACGCGTCCTCTGTTCAAACGACCGCCGTGACGCGAATGGACAGCGAAAGCTTTGAGCGTCTTCCCTCCGTTTGCGCCTTCCCTGACCTGATCTGCACTGTCCCCTCTCCCCTCTTTTCGTCACGGAACGGCTGCACTTAATCCGCGCTCTCCGCATCCCGCCATTAGCTACCCTCCCACGCCTCCCCCTCCTGCGCCTCCTTATCTCATGAGACCTTGACCTCGACCTTGTCCCCGCTTACTCTCGGTATTCCAGTTTGAACCGTCCTGGGCGATTGTGCCATTTCCAACTCGCCGCTGTCTACCACATCCATATCATGAAATGCTCTTACTCGTACTGTCGCTTCTTTGATACGCTTCTTTGATCAAGCATCGCACTACTAGACTTTGCGCATTGCGGCGCATTAACGCCCATCATAGCATAGCGTGACATGCGGTGTCAATCTTCCTAATAACAAAAGCTTAAGGAACGTTATCCACATCGACTTGAGTAAAGTAAATTAGGAAATGCTCCGTGAATAAAAACATCCATTTACAACTTTGTTTTTCACCTAGTTAGGTAGATATTATTCCCGTCCCGATCAAACGGGGAACCACATACGCGTGCCGACCGAATCGCCAACAAAGTCCGATCGATCCTCCTCCTTCCAACAATGACGTCGTTTCTACAGCTGACACCCTTAGCCTCAAACGCATCCCTCGAGGATCAAACGACTCGCCAACCATGTCTCGTCTCATAGTTACCCACAACGGAAGGAAAAGAGAACACGTGCGTGCAAGCCTAGAAATCGTGGGAGATCGCAAATCTGAGCCACATCTCGCGAAATGCCCGCTTACCATCTGTCTATCTTGTTTGACGTACATACTTTTGTCTGACCTTCAGTACTCGTAACACCACTAATAGACACCATCATCATCGCCTCAACTCGTACCGGTACATTCACCCGAGTAACTTGTCGCACGCAGTTCGTCGCGGGCCAGAATTCCGTCGCTGCGGGGATTTGTATGCTACCGGTAGAACAATCAGGAACCTGTTTCTCTGCCTGTCTTCTGTAATCACCACTACTGCTCCGCGGAGAGGTAAAAAAAAAAGAGTGGACAGGAACAATTCCACAGGGCGTTTCGCCACATCGCTCGCCCTAGCCGGCCGTCTGTGGCGGCGCGGGTTTGACATGTGTATACACACAGGCATGTCTCAAAGCAAAACCACATTATTTCTGCACCATGTCCGCTTTTAAAATCTGCTCGATGACTTCATTGATCTCAACTCCCTGTCACTTCTCACGCGTTCACATCCCTGCTCGCGCGTGCGGAGTCATATATGTTTTTTGTTCCGCATTTCTAATCATACATTGAGACATGGGATCCGTTGGGGGATCATCCCCATGCCGTCATCGAGATTGCGGCCACATTGCCCATGATGCCATGGCATTTCCAACAATCCCATGTTTTCGTCATGCGCAATTGCCATCCTGATTTGAATTTTCCCATGAGCCTGGCCGACATTGCCCATGCTTGTCGATCTTCGATTTCCAGGTATCCCCCCACACCCCCCAAAAATCATCGGTTTCCTAGTGATGCCTTGCCTTGCCATGCCTTGCCTTACCATGCCTTGCCATGCGTACATGCCTAATAAACATACGAATCCGAATCGTGACCTCCCGGCCCTGAAGCCCCAAGAGCAGCGTACCCAATCCTCCTCACCTCCTCGTTCTCACTCATCTTCCACGTCGTGATCATGCCCTCCACCTTCTCTTCCAGCACCTCGACATCCCTGTCAAAATCCCTCTCCTCATCTCCAGGAGGTCCGTAAGAAGTATACATGACGCCCCTGAGCATCACCATCTCGCCGCGCGGCGCGGGCCTCTCGACGAGCAACTTCCCGCCGATACCCCTAATCAACTTACTCGCCAGCTCGACCCTCAACTGGTCCTGCAGCGTGATCCAACTCAGCCTCGTCCTCGTGATGTCCCCAAGATGCAGCGCGACGACCACCTTGTCGACGCCGGAAAGGTAACCACCCTGCAGGTACTCCGCCAGCGTCGCGAGCCTACCGTGGTAGATGCGGCCCGCGAACCCATCCACCTCCTTCGCGACCTGCTCCGCGAAAACCTTGCATCTGCGGTCCCGCTCTTCGGCCGCGACGGCGGGGGAAACGGTGGACGGCGGGACGTCAAGAGTGGCGGGCCACTTGAGGAGCCAGAGTCGCTGCTCGTACAAGTCTGGTAGGACGCGGGGGCTGCGGTTGGGGTCCGCGTGCCATGCTTTGGTGCGCAGCGACTCGACGTATAGGACCATGGCTTCGACGACGGGACGCTTGTGTTCGAGCCATGCTGGGTCGGTGAAGGTCGTCGGCTTCAGGGTTGTCGCGAGGTAGGTTGCGTCGTCGTTGCTCGCGTGGCCGCGGAGGACTGCGACGGTGAAGAGGTTGAGGTAGAGTTCCTGTGCGCGCTTCGTGGTCACGCCGGCGGTGGTGTCGTCGAGCTTGGAGGGGGATACGCCGAAGAGGGGTGGGAGGACGGAGGGCGCGACGGCGCGGATGGCGTCCAGGCCTTGGCCGAAGGTTGCGAGCCAGTACCTCACGGCTTGCTGGGAGAGAAGCGCTGAGTCGTCGCGGAATCGCTTGTTCAGTTCTGCGATTGGGGCTGGGGGGTTCGCGTTGAGGATGATGTGTTGGACGAGTTGCTCCAACACAGTCACTGGGACGTGCTCTGGGTGTGTCTGTAGTACGGCTTGCCATAGTTCATAACCTCCTGGTGGATAGGTGAGGGCAAGCTCGTTTTGGATCTTTCTGCCCACGCCGTGCTTGCGGAGAAATAGTGACATCCATTTGGTGGTGCCTTCTTGGAGGCGCGTAAGGATGGGCAGCATGATGCGGGACATGAAGGGCCCCGTGTGCGGCGAGTCCTTCGAGAGGCTGTTTTTGAGGAAGTTGCGGAAGGACCCGAGCATCGGTCTGGACTGTTCATCATAAAAGCTGAAATTGTACTCGATCTCTGGTGGATCCGGTGCGCAGACGTCCCAGTCTGCGTCTGTCAATCTGCAGCGCTCGTTGAGGTTCGCGACGATGGGTATCATGTCTTCGAGGGACGAGAAGATACGTTTCTGTAAGTTGACGGAAGAGGTTACGAGTAGCATGGTGAGTAGACTGTCGACGACGGGCCTTCGAATGTCAACGTGTGATGCCTTCTGTATCAACGTCGTCAAGAGGTCAACCGCAAATTTCTCTGAAACTATGTCTGTGTCTCCGAGAAGCTGTGCCAGTAGTTTGACTGTAGTAACCTTAATCAGAGGATCTGGGAATGGCATGGATGGATCTTTCTTTCTGGACCCTGGCTTGTTGTAGACACTATCTTGTTGCGCCTGCTCATCTATTCGTTCGATGATGGCATCAGCGAATGTTGCTAGACATGCTCTCGCATCTGACGCAGACAACCGCCTGAAATATCCTCTTGCGATCAATTGACGATGCCACGCGCTCGCTTTCGGTCGCTTTAGAACTGTCTCGATGGCGACCCTTGACGCCAACATCGGCCTATCACTCTTCGCGAGCAGTTTGATGAGCATGAAAGTCGTCAATTGTAGACCAGCATGCGCCTCTTCGCTGGAAGATGTGTCGAGTGCGTGCACGGCGTGTTCGACGACTTGTGCAAGTAAGTTCGGAGGAACGCTCTTGATATGCTGCTGAAGTGTCTTGATCGCCCACTGTGTCTTCATGTCCTTGGATAGGAATTTGTGTTCCAGATACACACAGGGGAAACGTACGTCGTCCCGCGCAGGGAATGGGGTATTGGCAAGTATGCGGGACTTCGACGAGACACTCGAGTCTAGGTACAGCAACGCAGCGAGGATTTGGCCTTCCCGAACCGCTGGCGAGGCTGACCCTTTATTATTCCTGGACTGATCGAAAATGTCTGGCTCGTTGAATTCCTTCTCTGGAACAGCTGGCTCGAAAGGTTTCATGGTTGATCTAATCGTCAAGCTGTTCGACGTGTCGTTGCTGATGTTTCGTGATAAATCGATGTACGTCAATCCTCCGAGAGGCTTTGATGGGATGTCTTTCAATGCGTCAGGCACTGGATTCCATTCTTCCGTCTCGCATGGATCGTCCACTTTAGGAACCACAGGCCACTCTCTAAGAATTTGTCCGGCTGGTCTGAAAGATGATCGCAAATTGGTGGAGTCGACCTGCTCTGCCCAATTACTCCAGAAACGCTCTGCCTCGCCGGGAGTCATTCGCGACTCACTCAACGCACCAACCGCATGTTTCCATGCATCATCGGCACGTTGCTCTTGTTCGTGCTTCTCCAATGATGATGGTGATAGTAGCTTGAGAGCGAATATGTAATCGTCTATGAAATACCCGTACGCTTCGCGGAGCTCTTCATCGTCAGGAATCGGCTCGAGCGCCTTTGTAGGGTCGGGATAGACGGCTGCGTGAGCACGGCTATATATGTAAGGGCAAATTTTGTCCAAGTCTGGAACATTGAGGACATATGGACGGATCAAGTCTTGGATAGCCAGTCCAGTCGGGAAGATTTCTGGCATACTCGCGGCTGCTGGGTGAACGGTTGGCCTGTGTTCGCGCCAAAGGCTATCACGCCTTTTTGCGAATTCATCCAAGAAGCGATATGTGGATGGTTGTTCGTCTTTTAGCTCAATGTATGACCATACGTGCCTAACCCCAAGGATGCCTCCAAGCTTGTTGAGGCCCAACATCTCTTGTCCGGGGCTCAAGCCAACCTTTTCCACTCCGATGAGCAGGTCGAGGGTGTTTGGCCAAAGTATGTCGAAAACCTCGTTGTCCTCGAGGGCTAGAACTGACTTCAAAGATGACGACCGTCGCATTCGTAGTCGCATGACATCGTGGAATAGATTATAGCGATCCTCCCATTGACCAATGCTAAACCCTGGCTCTTGCGAAAGAAGACGGATCGTATCGAAGATAACCTTAAAAATCTCATTGCCTCCTTTGACACGCTCTTTCAGTTCGTTGGGGGTATACTGTCTGGCTCTCAGATCCTCCGGAACGCCACACATGAGCTCGGTCAAGTCTAAAGTCATCCTATCATGAACAAGAATTTCTTTCGCTCTTGGATCACGCACAAATCTCTGAGCCCACAAGAGGAAATCTTTCAGAAGATCCGATCTGCCACTCGCAATCGCATAAGCTTGTGCCATCTGCGAGTTCCACACGCGGTCGTTGGAGTCTGCACTCAACTTTGCCTTCTTTTTCAACTCCTCGATCTTTGCCGATGCAATTGTCAATATCTCTTCTGTGTCCAGGACCTGTTGCCCTAAGATCAGACACATGAGGTTTGGATCCAATCCTTTTGCATTTCGGTGGATGGCCATCCTTGCCCATTGGAAACGCGACCGACCCTGACTAATAATGTCTTCATCGCCCCTGGCAGCCTGTAGACGACGAAGCAACCCTACTGCATGTCTTGCATCCATCTCTTCAAGTACCGTATACAGAAAGGGATATTTAAGTTTCGCAAGATCCCTTTCGTCGTCGATGTCGACTTTGGCGACCTCTTGGCAGTAGATTCGCAGGAAAGAATATCGAAAGGATTTCTTGATTCCACTGGAAAGGAATTGAACCTCCGCCACGTCCTCGAAACATGATTTCTTGCCAAGCTTTACCAACAGCATTCGTAGTGGAGCTTCAAAGAGCTCTGGCTTCTTGGACCAGCTGGAAATCACAAGGTACAAGAGGCCCTTCGGTCTGGTATTGACCACTGCTGCTGCCTCGGGATGCTGATTCAAGTATTGTATGCTGAGATCGACAATCTGGCGTGTTTGAATCCATGGTACTTTCTTCTTGATGGCACGTCGAAGTAAAGATTCGACCAGTCCTGGTATGAAAGTTTGCTTCGGAAGTTTGGCCTCCCCGGATCCCACGAGAGTCTTCAGAACCTCGAAAGAAAACAGCATAGATGCCGAAAACTTAGGCTGACTACTCGGACTTGGAGGTTGTTGTCGAAGCAGATCTGGAAGCCATTTCGGCTCCATCTCCTTGTTTGCTAGGGTCGCCTGTAGCGCGAGCTTCCCTATGGTGTCCGCATGGTTTCGTAACCAACATCCCTTCCTCACATACTTCCAATCCCCCTTCACCGCGTGCTCTATCACTTCCGTGACAATCTTTGATGTGCACGCAGGGACAATCTTTATGTATTGCTTCGACAACGGTCTGGGGTCAGATGTTGTTGGACCCGTCTCCTCGACGTCGGCAATACCACTCAAGAATCGAGGAAGCAAAGCTGCAAGCAATGTGCTCACAGCCTCCCTCTTCTCTTCACAATCATCTTGCTTGGCGGACTGTCCAATTGCTCCACAGAATGTGCCGACTTCGATGACTGAGAACTCACTGCATACCGCGACCAATCCAGTGTTCCCACCAAGCCCTTCCCAAGTCTCCTTCCAGCGAGATGATCCGAACGTTTTGCGAAATGCGTGGATCCCATACTTACGGATCTGGACAGAAATGTTCTGCGTAAGTGCTTGTGAGATGACCGAGGGATCGTAACGTGAGACACCGAGCCAGATGGAGAAGGTGAAAGGTGTTATGGAGCCACGTTCTATCGCGGCGAGGAGGTCTTGGGTAAGTGAAGCTGCACTTAAATCTGCAGAAGCTGCTTTCAGATACAGCGCAACTTCTGAGGGCTCAGAGCAACGGATCAATACTTTATCTAAAGCCATGGTGATATTGTATTGGTGGCAATGAGTGAGTGAAGTTGGTTTGACTGTCGAGACCACGAGTGTTGTGTAGTGGATTTGAGGACGTGCGCAACAAACATGCGGGAGCCTGAGTAACAAGAAATCGTCAACAAAGCGAGGAGATTGGCTTTATATAGACGCCAAAATATTGGTATCACATACAACGGACAAGGCAATCGTCAACTCACGTGAGGGAGAGGGGAAGCCTGATGAAGCCTAGAAAGTTGGAGCTGAAGTTGTGGAGTGACAAGAGAAACGAACGTTTGATTGGTTGCTCCATTGTGATGCTTTAAACACGGGTGGCTGCGCCTAATTTAGCGCCCTAGCGCACGCCCTTTCGCCCTTGTACACTTTCTCCTTTACATTGATGACTATGTCTCGTAGTCCAAAAGTATAATGAAGAAAAGAGGCTGTGATCGGCGACGCTTCAGTAACATAAGCATTCATGATTCCCCATGCTATATGCATCTGTGCTGTAGGGGAGTATCGGCCTCAACTACGTTCTTGTATTATGTATGTACATTTATCAAAAGTAACAAGTAACCACCCCACTTACTTCCAGGATGTACATTTTTGACTTCCATCATTCCAAGGGCCCTTCAATGGGAAGGAAAAGATTTCACCCACTGTGTCTATAAGATGTCTATAAGATGGGCTACATAAACGGTTCGGTTACATACTAATCGATTGTCACTTCTTCCCACCCTGGTCGAGACTTATTAGAGATACTCAAATCTAAGACTATGAACTCGAGTCTCAAAGAGCGAGATCTTAGCATTGAAGTATAATTCAAATTAAGCTTTTGCTATTTTATCGTTTTCGCCACTTAGGGCCTTGTCAATCTCGTTCATATTGACTACTTCAGTGGCCGAGTTAACCGAAAACATGTTGCAAAAGCTGCATTTGTATGCTTCGAGACTCATTGAACATCGAAGCACCTGTAGGCATAGTATGTCCATAATATAACTATAGTTTCGAAATTGACTTCCACGGTCTTTCGGAGATGCATGATCAAATGCCTGATGTTGAGATCCATTTGATCGAACTCAGATGACAAATCCCAATCCCTTTGAGGTTTAGCGTAAGGGCCTGAGTCTTACCCTGTTATTAATACATGATGAATCACAATCTCCAAGTCGTAATTGTTTTTCTCATTCCCTATATTGACCGTTGAAGCTGTTGCCAAATTTTGTGCGTCGCATAGGTCTTTTCGTACATCATCATACTTTTCGTGTTCAATACACGGTTAAATCATAGTCGGAATGCCAGCTCGAACACGAGCTTGTGCCATTTGCCGAAGAAAGAGAATCAAATGCGATGAAACCTTACCGCAATGCTTGATGTGCATTCGCACGAATAAAGAATGTCCTGGGCCTGTCAACGGACCTCTGTTCGTTGACATGGGAGCCTCGGCTGCAAGAGCATCCTGGGTACAAAAGCACAAGTCTTCTGGACGGATCTCCGACACCATATCGACAGTACAAAATGTCGCCTCGCACCGGCAGGACGGCTTGATATCTCATCTGCCAATGCAGGTGGATCAATCTTGGGTACTCACTGAAGCATTCTATGGGAAGTTTCTTGCATACTTCTCCTCCGGCGGGGAATCTCGCGACTTGAGAAATCGATTGACGTGGCTGCATGAACTCCCAACTCTATCGACTGATGGCACCAATACTGCACTCGCCCTCGCAATCCGAGCTTCAGCATCAATATATTGTGGAGCGGAATCCTCAAGTATCCCCTTGCAGCAGAAGGCTTTCAAGTTGTATGGGCAAGCATTGGCGACACATGCTAAGATACTCAGATCCAATCCCAAATTGATCACCGTCCACATGATCTCTACTAGTGTTATGCTGAGCCTGTTCGAGGCAATGCAAGCGACAACAGCGGATGCATATCGATCGCACATCTATGGTGCAGCAAGATTGATAGAACTCACGACACCAGGGCAGTGTGTCTTCGGTGTTTTGTGCCAATTGTTCTTTCATATCAGGACCCAAATGGCGTTCATCTACCTAACAACAGCAAAGCATCATTCAATGCCTGTCACTAGAATTCTCACCGAGACATTGAGCTACCAGGATGTTCCGGTTATACAGCGCTTGATGTCGCATATCGCCGCATTAGCGCAAATGTTTCACAAAAATACATCAATAACCGCCCTTGAACATTGCCTTGAGCTTGAGACATATCAGCGTGTCAAAATGGGAGTGGAAGCTCTTTGGACTGAATATTCTTGGCAAGCATTGTCAAGCAACGAGCAGCTTTCATACGTCATTGATACTGGCGAGAATGTATACCGGGATTCTTTTACAGCACTCACAGTTGCCTATTTCGCCTGTGCAGAGATTCTATTCCGCATATTGGCACCACGACTGTCGCAACCGTATGAGGACTCGAGAGATCCTTATACCGCTATAATAGCCTGCGCACACTATCTAGACCCCTGTAACATCGGATTCGCATTCATGAGAATGGCGACGCCTCTATATCTTGTCGCCTTATATAGTCCAAAGGAAGAACAGCGTTCAGAAGCCATCAATGTCTTTCAAAGTTGGGAGAACGGCCATATGTCAGGTATCAGCGCCCTGGCGCTCGAAACCATCCGCATACGAACTTCACAAGGCAACAGATCAAATACATGAGTCGTAGATCTTATTGGAGTATGCTCGTGTCTATCATTATCTATGGACATTGTTCCGCCGTTTTAGTGGCTTGGTCTAACTTAGATGTCAAACTATCTTTGCGCTCCTTTTTCGGCTCTAGAAACTGGAATTCGTTCAAGTAACCCGTCAGGCCTTCTGGATCTCCCGATCGATCTGCCAACGTCCATCCATTTCCGAACCATCCAAACTTGTTTCCGTCCAGATATTCCACATCGTAATCCTCCCACCTCACTGTCTTAAGCGCAGTCAGTGCATGGATGCTGCTCCCTGGCCATAGTGCAGTCACACGACCACGCATGCGCTCTTCCACTGTTGCTCCCGGTGGCGCAGTTTTATACCAGCTCAGACAGTTGGCAGTGTAAACAGTCCTCTTGAAGTACTCATCACAGAACTTGGTGAAATTGTTCACTGGGCCCCTCTTTGGCTCGACAGTCCTCAAGTTGCCAATTGCAAGTCTTTGCAACACCTGACCTATGTAATGATGAATGGCTTCGATGATGATCAGAAGACTCCCTGCACCTTGGAAAGAATTGGGCCCGAGTGATTGGAAGAAGTTCGGAAAGCCATCTGTACAAAGCCCGAGGTATGTTCGAGGATGTGTGGTGTATTTGGAGCGAAGGTTTAAGCCGTCGCGCCCGTATATCGGAAATCCGGAGGAAACGGAGGTATCGAAGCCAGTTGCACAGATTATTGCGTCTACGCTTCTATGCTGGCCATCATTTGTCGTTATTCCAGTTGCATCGATGTGCTGTATTGCCGTCCCTATAACATCTACTGAGGGCGATGCAAGTGCTTCCAGGTAGCCCGGCCCTGGAGTGAGTCGCTTACATAGTGGTGGATAGCTGGGGATGAGGCTGTCAACCAGCTCGGGTTTGGCCTTTAATCGCTCTCTCATTGCTGCCTCAAATTTCTTCTCGATTCCAGCATATTGAGGATGATTACGTTCGCAACTTGCGTAAAAACCTTGAAGAGACAGTTCCAGTGTCTTGCGGTATTCAAGATATGCTTTTGGATTCTCTCGCCATGCCTTCTTCTCTTCAGGCGAGTAAGAGAAATTGCCGTTCGTCGATTCGCTCTGGCGTTCTTTGACGTGCTGTTCGGCGATCTGGTTCGCGATCCATGTTTTGCCTCGAATGTAGTGGTCCATTCTCTGCACTTTATCCGCCAAAGCTGGTACGATTTGGATTCCACTGCTACCACCCCCAATAACTGCAACTGTTTTGCCCTAAATAACACCTGTCAGACCAATTGAACTTTTAATTCATTCAAGATTCCTTACTGTAGGATCAAATGACGTGTCCCAATTTGCACTGTGCAACAGCTTTCCTTGGTAACTCTCGATGCCTTTAATCTCTGGCCATTTCCACTCATTCAGCGTACCAGTTCCAGTAATAAGTACATCTGATGTGTCTTCAACAACCTCGGGTGCTCCGTTTGTGCTGAGTTTCAGGAGCTTGACCGTCCAGTTCGATGCATCCTCGTTCCAGCGGGCTTCTATGCATTTATGCTCGAATTTGATATGTCTTTCTATGTCGTACTTCGAAGCGACATTTTTCCAATAATCCAGAATTTCCGGTGCAGATGCATAGAACTGGCTCCATTCGGTGGATGACTCGAAGCTAAGCTGGTAGGAGAGAGAAGGCACATCTAAATATTACAGTCAGAACTGCATACGTTACGATAATTTCGAGCATACCACAAGCGCAACCTGGATATCTATTCTCATACCAAGTACCCCCAAGTTGAGGGTTCTTTTCGTAAATGGTAAGGTCAATGCTGGGAACAAGTTTGCGAAATTGTATAGCGCCACAGATCCCCGATACACCAGCGCCAATGTAAATGACCTTGAGAGGTCGAGGTCTGTCAATCTCTCTTTCGGAAATTAGACTCGAGGCGTATGGATTAGATTTGACGTCAGCAGCAGGCATAGCGTCGGCGTTTGATAGGAAAGGCATGACGAAATTATGCAAAGATGTTTTGTTAAGCAATCATTACATTCAGTCCATCAATTGTACCTTTATGCTTTCACTATCTCATACTACAGTGCTCTGTGTGGGGATGTAAGCCTTGCGGATGTCTAGCCGCCCCAATCAACCCAATTCGTATCAAACTGGAGAGGTTAGACATCCGTTCAGGGTCAAGTGATTAGATCTGGAGATAACATGCGTTCCCCCACAAAACTCCCTATCTCTGAATGTGAGGTGCATGTGGTGATCTTAGGATACTGCTAGCTCGCATTGCCCACTTTCATGTTTGGTGTTCTCACGTTTCGATACCGAGCTGTGCGGCTAGATATCCGCATCTCACGGGGGTTATTTGTAGGGGCCTGTGATTGGCAGACGGCATCGACTCCTGTCCCATAAATAACCTTAATTGCCTATCTCTCTGCCAGAGCAAGTCATCCCGACTGCGCTCATTATGTTTTGCACATTTATCGAGACATGGCCAATTCAGTGATATCATTGGTCGGATACTCGGAAGAAGATACCTTTTCTCAACGGAAGATAACATCACAGCACAACCTCAATCCAACTGACGCCATGATTCAAGTTCAACAAGTTTAAGATACTGCGTTGTGTTTAGATCTTGCGTGTAATCGGTAGGAGTTACCCTCTCAGGTGGCACTTTGCTTAACGCCAGGCTGAAATTCCCTGACAGGCGCGATCCAGACTGCTCTCTCTCTTCGGCTACGGGAAGCGCAAGCGCAGGATGCGGCTCTATAGAACACCATCCGACGCCCTAAGCCCGCCACCAAGTCACTACGGATAGCTTTCCGATGGTTCGCGCACGTTGCTCAAGACTGACTTTACCGCAAGGAAACCAAGTGGCGAAGCTGGAGGAAATCTGCGTATCTTGGTCACAACTAATCAAAGCGGAGCCCCCCGCATTTTCCCCATGTTTTTAGATAAGAAGTGAATCCGAGCTAAGCTTCCTTGCATCTAGACCCGGACGACCTGCCCAGATAACAGGATAGTACCACCGAGAAGCCATGGCATTCCAAACATCTATAAAGTGACCGGGGTCTGTCTCGACCAGAATGTTCAGCAGCGTCGATTCTCATTCCCTTTCTACCTTTGCGCAACCTCCATCTCCATTTCCATCATGTCGAAGGACGAATACAGCCAAGATATCCGTCCTAGCGACGATCTGGCAGCAGTCGAGAAGAACGATGGCGGCGCGTTAGAGTCGACCGTTAGCTGTGCTCAAGGGGAAGTTCACGATGCGAGAAATGGCGAATTCAAGCGGACCTTTACACAACGGCAAATCCATGTACGGATGTACAATTACTCTGATCTGACCATTGAACTCTAACATATTTATCTAGATTATTGCCCTCGGATCCAATGTTGGCAGTGGTATCTTCATCGGTATCGGCAAAGCTCTCGCAGATGGTGGCCCTGGAAACATGATACTCGCATATCTCATGGTCTGCGTTCTCGTGTGGGCTGTGCTGCAGACTTTGTCAGAGATGACGATCATTTTTCCAACATCGGGTAACTTCATCGATTATGCGGATAGATGGGTTGATCCTGCATTGGCCTTTGGTGCAGGTTTTGCAGAGTGGTTGGGTAAGATATTGTCGAACTCCATATAGCGATTGCTACGTCAACTAACACCGCGAAGGATGGACCGCCATCGTTGCAGCAGAAGCTATCTTCTTCTCTGTCCTGGTTGACCTCTGGGCCGATGGAGCTGTTCCCCTGGCTGCACTATGTATGGAGACCCCCTGCAACTTTATCAAAACCCCCACTGACCTTATCATGCAGTGACCATGTTCCTTGTCGCTACTTTCATCATTTTCCTCCTCCCGAACTCCTATTTTGCATGGTTCGAATATGTCACATCCGTCATTAAGATCTTTTTGTTCCTCTTGATCATTGTTTCCGGTATCGCCGTCCTTTGCGGTGCTGGACCAAAAGGATATATTCACAGCGGCGTCAACTATACTGAGTTGGGCGCTTTCAAGAACGGTTTCGGAGTAAGGCGGACTCAGAGATATCATTGATGATGCAAATTGAACTGAAATGACCATAGGGCTTCGCACGATGCGCACTTCTCGCCTGCTGGGCAGTCGGCGACCAGGTATTCATCGGTATTCTCGCGGGTGAAACAAAGTCGCCACGTATGAGTATGGGTCATGCTACGAAACTCGTCCCTTATCGAGTTATCGGCATGTACATGACTAGCGTGATCTTGGCCACTTTCTTGGTTAGGTCCGATAACAGTCGTCTGCTCGGTGGATCAGGAGCAAGTGGCGCAGCTGCATCTCCATTCGTCATTGGATTGAGGGACGTTGGAATTGCTGGCATTCCGGATATCCTCAACGCCGGAATGATTCTCGGTGTCCTAGCCATCTCGGCCGAAGCTGTCTACCTGTCATCGAGAATTCTTAGAACGATGGCACATCAAAAGCTGATCCCAGAATTCATGGCCAAGGTCGACTCCAAGGGTAGGCCTAGGTGGGCATTGGCCATCACCGTTGCGACATCAATCTTATTGACATATCTTGCTCTGAGCGGTATGTACTGAGCGCTTTTCGTATGAATGACCACTAATGCAATTACAGGAGGCGGAAACGAAGCGCTGAACTGGTTCCTCAACATTACGAGTTCGTCATTCTTCTGCAACTGGCTTATCATTGGATTCACCTCGTTCCGATTCAGGGCATCCATCAAAGCACAACAAGACCCAGTCTTCTCGGCACCGTTTGCTTGGAAGTCTAGCAAGTATCCTCTTGCACCGGCATTCCTACTCGCTGGTTCTACTGTACTTTTGATCTCTTGCATATATGCGGGAGTTAAGCCTTTGGTAAGCACTGCAACATCCAACGCTGAAAACTTTTAGCTTACCATTTGACAGGGCGGCGGTGGATTCACGGCAGAGAACTTCTTCTCTTACATGTTGGGCTTCCTCATCATCTTTGGGTTTACCCTGATTTACAAGATCGGCATGCGCACAAAATGGCGGAGCCCTTCCACGGCAGATCTTACTACGGGACGGAGGAACCTATCAGAGGAGGAAATCCTAGAGTTGGAAAGCTACTACAAGCTCTCTAGCTGGCAAAGGTTCAAGACCTATGTCCAACTATGGTGATCGTATTGATGGAAGGAAATATTAGGAGAAGCAATTGCTTTCTCGGTTATTTAGTTTCTACAAAGAGGAGACGAATTCTAGACCAAATCCAACTGTGTTCGTTCATCCTCGTCCTGCCAACTGCCCTGCAGATCTAGTGGTGTTCCAAACATGACCTGATTAACTACACTATCAAGGGCATCGGATGACAGCCCGAAGCTCGCCAAGAAGTCTTCGTTAGGGAACATGGGGTAAGACGGGATTGAGTTCACCAGAAAGTGGCTTTCAGGCTCGACAGGTAGCTCCGGAATGGGATAGTAATCCAGTGGGAGTGTGGCTTGCTCTTCTGATTGAACGGAAGGCTCTCCTGGCGAACCCCGGCGCGACTGAAATCGGCTTGCTAACCGATCAAGGAGATCTCGAATATAAAATAGACATTCCTTGCGGTTCAATGCGATATGATTTCCTCGAGCGATCATCTCGTCAAGAATTGCGACTGCTTTATCCACAAGTGTAGAGCAATCGAGATGGGATGAGAAGACAAATGGCAATATTTGTAGTATAATTGTCGCTGAAGTCAGATTCGCGAGTTGAAAAGGAAGAAAGGCTTCTGTCTTGATGAGCCACGTAATAGCCGCACAAGGGATGCAATACCTACCAATCATGTTATTCTCCAATCTTACGGTTAATAGATCAATGATCTTGGCCGCCGATTTGGCGCAGGTCTCGACTAGAGTCTTAATGCCTGCTGAATACGGTCGTTGATCCGTAGACCGCTGTTGCGCGTTTCTGAGTCGCCTCTTGAACAATGAAAGCAACACTGGCCGGGTGGCAAGTATCGCACACTAATTGATTGATTAGCAACGCGAAACCCATCAGACGCATCCACAGTAACATACTTCATGATATGAAAGCGTTATAAGCGTTACAGCCGACAAGTCTAGTTGAACAGTACTCTGAAGCTCATTATGGATCGTATCTTCGAGCTCTCGTGCAAGACCAGCCAAGTGTTTCAGGAGGCGTCGTGTGCGGTCTAGAAATGTTCGATCGGATACATCATCCGGGATGTATACCGCTGATAGTCACATGGTCAGCTGCGGTATCTTGAGGCTGTGTCATAGACCAATTAGAAATAACTCACTGGCGATAACCTTTGATACTAAGCGAGTCACCTTGACATGGAGAGTATAAACGACGTGTCTTTGGGATGAGGCGGTGGAAGTAGGTAGCGGCGCAGTTATGTCTTCCTCTGGTACGGCTTTGGGACAACCTGAAGCTGAGGATATGTGCCGGTCCATCACATAGATGGACCACCATAGATTGTTGTACCTCCGGGCACGGTCGTCTCCAATGACTTCAGTGGGAACATTCTTGTGTAAACCACACCACATTGCCAAGCGTGCGGCTTGTCCGATCTAAGATTGCATTTCCTTGTCAGCCTTTGGTCGTTATCTCGCTATCTTCCCGATACTTACGTGGATATATGCAGCAGCTCTCATATCAAGGCAATACATGTACAATGATATCAGAGCCAGTAGTTCCACAGCCATTATAGGCTCGCTTTGCAGATCAGGAATAGTCGGAAGTAATGCCATAGCGCGCGAGAAGAACTCAAATCCTGGAGGAGTCGTGCGATTCTGGAACGGGACCACGAACGCTTTACCAAAAGACAGTACAACGAGAAACTGGGTATACCAGATACGAGATGTTTTGACCGTCTCTTGCGGATTCTCGTAGAACTTAGAAGTTTGCTTGGTGAACTCGTCCTCATCAAAAAACGGCAGGATATTGCATAAATTGAACTTGACCGCGTTTAATAGATAGATCGCGTAATCCTGTGGTGGAACCCCCTGCAGTATACTTGATTGATCAGGCAGTTCATTTGTCCAGTCTAGCGAGTACGCATCGCCGTCGAAGAGATATCGGAAATCTTGTGTCGGCTCGGGTTGCAACGTTCTCCTAATCATCTCCGCTACCCGGAAGGTGAACGACCAACTTGATGATTGTGAAATGTACACTTTTTCTGTTAGAATTTTGATGCATAGAACATGGATCGAGCCTTACACCACTGATCTTTTGTCGTCCTAACGTCTCTGATAAACGGCGTAGGCTTAGGAAAAGGACTTTCGCTCAACTCGTTCTCCCAGACCTCCCCACTCTGCTCGTCAGCATCTTCGTCCGATGGATTTATAGTAATGGAAGCAGAGTCTTGGGCGCTTTGGGAGCCTATATCGACAGGTTACATAAAGCTTACGATGAAATGTACCCATCTCAGGGCCCTAGCTTACCTCCACGGTGAGGATCATCCATTTGCTCAGAACTAGTTCCATGTGGAGAAACATGACTAGAGTTTTCTCTCCTTCGGGCGCGTTGATGTAGAGAGTTCAAGTATCTATGGGTGTTGGTGTTCTCGCATCTTTACTGATTGCTGGTCAATATACTGACCGTTCCGACACAATTATTCGCCTACTATCCTCGGACACATGGCAAGGTATCGACTTGCGCTGACATGAAGTACATGGGGCAGTACCTGAGCATTTAATTTTCCTTTTGCGGCACGTATCACATCTATTCATTCTATTTTAGCCAGTATTTGGATTGGTAGTAGGTATGGGCTCTCGAACATACGCTACGTTCGTCCTTGTATGCCTGGCTTTCCCTTTATTTCCCCGAGAACTCATCGCTCGTCACCGCCACCTAATTGTGTAAATTAATTGGCGCGTGGAAGAAAGGGATTTGCAGTTGAAGAGCGAAGCTCGCAGAGCACAGAAAAAAAATGTATTCTGGCTTTGTTCACTAGAACCAAATTAGGTAATCCTACCCATTAACTATCGCTTGCACTCATCATGAATGCCTTCATATGGCCATTTTCCTTTTGATCGCAATCACTCTCCATCTTACTTAGTTCCCCAGCAACCCCGCAATTCTCTGAATCGCTCCCTATCTTATCACACGAGCTCCATTTGAGGGATCTTCTCAGTCTTTACGTTATCGTCATCGTTCATTGGATCATAATGCTTCAATGTGGAGGGGAAGAAGAAGCAGCCAATCGGAGACCGTTCCGCACCTCGGATAGCGACTCAACTGACCCGCACTGCGCGTTTGCGATGCGATAGAGCTATCACTCAGCGACTCTTTCAAATATAAGCTGTTGATAAACGAAAGGAGAAGCAATGATTCCCTTATCAGACATACAACCCACGTTATCAAAACCGCCTCTATCAACATGGTGGAAACCAAGATCTATCATTTACCCCCAACGGCTTTGATGCCAAATTCGCCTCTACCCTTGATTCACTACACTGGTGTTCTGAAAGAGTCGGAGCGTACCTCGGGCCATGCTTTTGATCTCTTCTGGGACAACGGTTGGAGGGTGCAGTGGCTGGTGCGATATCCACATACCCAGCGTGCCCATTACCATGGCGCGTCTCATGAATGTATGGCGGTGCTGACAGGTACTGCCACCATTCGTTTTGGTGTTGCCGACACAGCCGAGGATCTTGAGGAAAATACACACGGATCCGCCTATGAAGAGGGCGGTATAGAACTGCAGGCCAATGCTGGCGATGTCTTCATAATACCTGCTGGGGTCTCCCATAAAACGTACAATACCCTCCCGGCTGCAGAATTCGAGCGCTTGAGCGGTGGCGATGGGCACGATGTTGATATTGAAACTGCACGGGAGCTCTACCATTCTATCAAGCTTTCCGGATTCACTATGCTCGGTGCATACCCTAAGGGGTGTCAATGGGACTTTTTGGAGGGTGGCGAGCACGAAGGAAATTATGAAAAGGTTTGGAGTGTTCCCAAACCAGACACGGATCCTGTATTCGGTACGGGAAAGAGAGGTATCATGAATCTATGGGGTAAGACGGAAATTGTTCCTAGGCTTTAATCATGCCGGAAATGAGTCAACAGAGAACTGTTCACGAATCCTGTGGAGTAAGAAAGGTATAATGAGTCGCCTTAAAGGAACACGATGCATTTAAGAATTTAATGTACATAGATGTTATATGAGCAAAATTGATGAGAACAAATGATAACATACCCCAGCAAGAGTATGCAATGGAGTGATTGCCCTAACTTTTACCGAGGACCTCTTCGCATACACTACCCCTACAACCACTAACTTACAACAGCACTGCCATACCCTGCGCGTTCTTGCTTGCGATGCCAGAAAGTTCGAAATGTTGTGCTTGCTTCATCGAACCTTGTCCTCCCGAGATATCCAATACTGTGATAGCAGCCTCGATTGTGCCGTTCCCAGGAGAAAGCGCGTATACAAAGTTCCCAGCAGCCCGTAGGTCGATGAGACCAGGGTCACCGTTCGTGAGGTTCAGTTCGCCGACAATGCTCGCGTCCTCCAGGCTCATCTCAACCACACGGTTGACACCCACATCTGTAACGAATGCGCTTTTTGTGTTGTCGGACACAGTGGCCCAGCAAGTTGCCGCCTGTCCATCGATGGGTTGAGCTCGTACAGTCGAGGCTTGTCCATTTTGATCGACCGAAAGAACAGCAGCGCCAAATGAAGCATCGGTCGCAAAGATAGTGGACGGGTTGCCAGGAAGAGCGACAGAGCCGAACAGCACTGCAGTCCCTGCGGGTGAGCTGCGGCTTTCAACTTCAGAAACTTGCGCGGCGCCGTTGTTGCCTTGTTCTACAGCAAAGGAAGATAGGAATCCGGTGTTGTTTACCGCTGGATCTCCTTTGACGGTGGTGAAGAGAACAGATTCGTCCGCAGAAAAGAAGGTCTGAGAAACACTGTTCAGCGGTCCACGGGGAGGGGTTGTCTGGCCAATGTCGAAGGGGCGGAGACAGTCCATTTCACTGAGACCTTGTTCTGAGAACCTTGCGCAGGAAATACCTGCCATAGCTCCGGTCGTGCCGACACAGACGAGCTGGTTCTTCAAAGATGCTGAAACAGTGGTAGGAAATTCTCCAAGAACATTTATAGGCTGACCAACCATGGTTAGGGAGGTTGGATCATTCGGAGATATGGCCATCATAGTGAGAGTGTTGGAGCCAGCGTTGACTGCAAACAGGTTCTTCGAAGCCATTAGCAAATCTGTTCTTGTAGGTCGTGATCTCAACACTTACATTTCCCACAATGGTCAAGGCGGATTGGCCCACCAACGCATCTGGAGCACTTGTAGTATTGTCCGCGCTGTTGATGAAATTCGACCCAGCGCCCCCCGTCACAGTGGTGGTTCCTCTCGAAACCAAGCCAGTATTATCAATTGGTAGGGCTACGACAGCGTTCTGGGCCTCGTTTGATAGGAAGTAAATAGCCTTCCCAACATCATTTTGCACAGTCTCAGCGACGCAACCATTGCCAGATGGTGCTTTGTTTCGATGTGCGCGGTTATTTCGATGGGGCGCGGCGGAGGCGAACGAGGAGAGAAAGACGAGAGAAGCCAGTAATTTCGCCATGTTGTGAAATATGTTGATAGAAGTTGTATCGGTAAGTCGAGAATCTAAGAGCGAAGAATGCCTTGTAACTGAAAAAGCGAGTAAAAGGATGACAGTAAAGCGGGTGCCTGGGTAGATTCACAGAATCTAATGAAGCTTGATGCTCTCAAGTTACTGGAGTTACACTCCGCATCTTATATATCTGCCTTATTCTGCACTGATGCGAAGTCCTAACTTACCCATACAAAAGCAGTACAGAGGATTATTCGATCGAAATTGCCTAATCAAGTATAGCCCATTCACCAAATGGCAATCTCCCGTGTGGAGGTCAGCATGTCGGTTGGGTGCACAGACCTGAATTCAGGCCATCCTTGTCTAAGGGGACCACTTGCGCAGATGGCCTTGCAACGCCAACTGAGGCGTCTCAAGTGTGTCGCAGTAAGCCCGTACGAGCAGTTCATCTCTGAATGGTACCAGTCGATTTTTCCGACGGTAGGACATGCATCGGGTTCATTCTTACCCACGAAGATAGTAAATGAAAGCTCATTCAATAAATAACTGCCAATTTATTAAAGTAAAGATTGGAAAAAATGGTAAACATTCGTATAGTGCTCAATTTCTATCTACAATTTACGAAGTATCGACCAAGAGACCGAATAAGTGCCTTCCAAATGTTCAATAAGCACGTCCTAAAGAAAATGATTCCAGCACAAGGCTTTCAAATATATTGAGATCAATGACTGCACCATATCTGTACGCGAGTGAGCTTTATGCCGCTACTGTTATCGCAATGATGTTGAGGCTTACCCATGGCATTTGATGTAAGCCAGAAGGCTCGTTTTCAAGCGTTCCAAATCGGACAGCTGCAGAGTGCTGAATCTTTCATGGTGTCGGATATAGTCCCATGCCTGCACGGGTGTAATTTCATCGGCCAAAGGAAGATTTCGAGCCAATTCAAGAAGACGCTCGATTCCAGCTTCCGATACCTGCCAGGTTCGGTCTAACCCTGCACGGCTGTGGGTTGATGCTGCGCACTGGTGTAACAGGGTAGCGGTTGCTGTAAGAGCATGGCCTGTGGGTTTGAGTTCGTCCGATTCTGGAGCCTCTGTATGTCCCAAACAGGGATTCTCAAGTCTAATTCGAGTGAGCTAGAGATCTGTTTCCCAAAATCGGTGTGTTAGGATATACTTACGTTAGGACAAAATCTATGCCAATACTCGTGATGTCGGGATTTGTTACGTTGAACGAGGACGAATTTTGTGCCGTGATTGCCCCACTACCATGAACGTTTGGTGTGATATGATATTGGAATGCAGGCAGATTTGGCGGGGACGAGTAGGCAGAGTGCGATGCACTTCCAGCGCTAGAAGGTCCAGCACTGATTGGTTTATCTTGGGTATTGGGTGCTGTAGTCTTCTGAATATGAATACGTTCCGGCTCATTCTTTCCGCTCCTTGTAGGGAGATTGAAGATAAAGGCAGGAGATGAGGCTTCGGCTTGGTTACCCATGAGTTGTTGCTTAGTCCCAGTAGGAATTGGGATTCCATGCTGAGATAACAAATCTTTCAGAATACTGATCTCGGCATACAAGCTTTTAGTTTCCTGAAATAGCCTTGACTCATTGGAACGAAGCTGAACGACTTCTCTTTCTAATTGCTTCGTGTATATTTCTTTACGATCGCGATGATTCCTATATTTGGAATTGTAAGTAATCAAGCATGCTACTCTTGCGTGAGGCTTGTACTACTTTTGCGCGCGTCGAACCTGCTCCCTACGCTTCTGCTGCTTATCCTGGTTCTCATTCGAAGTGTCTGATTAGCATATCAGTACTGATCTAGACTAATTGAGATGCGCCAAAATCTGTCATGAAATCTGCTCAAATTTCAAGCTGCACAAGAAGTATTCTCAAAGGCGCCGAGCGGCCCGGGAGAAGAATTACGTACCGGGTGACGAGCCCTTGTCGCCTTTGAAAGCCTTGAAGGTAAACTTCATGTTGTGAGGAATCAACGAGTGAAACTTGGTTACTCTAGATTCAATGATCGTTACCAATGGAGCTAAGAATTAGGCGTGATTATAGCAGTTATTTTGGCCCCCTACGGCATCTGAATCGCGGACGTGAGATGCAAGGCTGAAACTTGTCAACTCGATACATGTGAGATACACAGCCCAGGGTCTGCGCTAGGCTCTTTATGGTAATTGTTCAGGAATCAACATTTCCGTTTTGACTGAAGCTAATTTTCCAAATAATGCATGTAAATAAGCCGTATAGCCCCACCATGATATCAAAGTACCGGCATCTTCGCAATTTGCATGTACTTATGACTGTAATTAGGACCTGATAGTTGAAGAGCAGGCATTGAAGGAAAGCGTACTTGAGCAATCACTCCACCGCATGGAGGTGAGGATCTTTCGCAAGGACCGTCGTGTCATGGCTGTAACACTGAAAATAGAAAGACACAAAAGGGCTGGAACAATCACCGTAGCAATGAGAAGGCACAAGGTTGCAGTACGAACAACACCATCGGTACATTTCACCTATCGTATCGTACCAAAGAGTCAAGCTTGAAGATGGGAACAAATAACTAGAACGCCTTCGGTCCATTTCCTGGTATCCTACTCCTAAGACATCATATCATCCACCTTCTGTACATTTGGACGGGTAGGAAGGCTATCGCGAACGGTGAGTGAAAGAACAACCTAGCTCTTTTGCATTCCATCCACGAACTCGAGAGCATCTTCCCTTCCAACAACATCGATACTACTGGTCTTATTACTGTAACTCACACCGTAGCATTTCTCGGCCACAAGCACCATTTCCGGTCGGAAGGTAGTGCAAATGAATTGACCACCACCTTCCCCGGCCTCGCCTCCTTTACCTGAAAGTTTGCGAAGCATTTCAGCCACAGCTGTACGATATTGTGCGTCAAGATTGGCGTCGATCTCGTCGAAAAGGTAAAATGGCGCCGGGTCACACTGCTGGATGGCAAAGACTAAAGCCAAAGCGCAAAGAGACTTTTGACCACCGGAAAGTTGGCCGATACGCTGCTGCTCGTCGTGTTTGCTGTTAAAGGATACCGAGATACCGACGCCCTTATAGGACTCAACGGTGCCCCTCACGCCTCTTTCCTCTTCCTCATCACTGTCTTCATCATCACCGCCACGGCCGGCCTCTCGGTCACTTTTGCGCTGGATTACGAGACGGCCGATACCAGCAGGCACAAGCTGCACAAAGACCTCGGCAAAAGCTTTAGACACCTGTTTGAAGGTTCGGTCGATGGCTTCGTCTTTACGCTGATCGAGGATTTCAATGAGATCCTCGATGGATTTGCGTGATGTGTCAAGCTCGTTCCGTCGATCGGTAAGCATGCGTCGTTGCTTGGTAAATGTCTCGTACTGCTCGAAAGCTTTTTTGTTGACTTGCGAGTACTTTTTCAGAGCCTCGTTCGCCTTATGAAGTTCCCGGGATAGCTGGTACAAGTTAGCAATGAGGCAGTAACACGATTGAGGAAAGAACTTACCCTTTCTGCACTCTTTCCGCTATGCACAGTCTGGGCGTCTGAAGGTAAGGTGCCGAGTTCTCGAATATCACGCTGCACTCTGTTCAGGTTCTCCTGTGCCTGTGCTCGATCTTGCATGCTCAAGTCCATACGTTTTTGATCCTTCTCGATATGGCGGGCAAGTTGGTGGTTGTTTTGTATTAACTGAGCCTTTTCCTTCTCCAGTTGGTCAATTTGGCTATTCAGTCCGTTGATCTCGCTGTCTGCTTGCTCAATTTGCTCATCAAAACTGGCAATGGCACGGTTGATACTCTTTAAAGACCGCTCACACTCCTTGAGGCGTGTTGATTGGTTGCCTGTGCCACCTACGCTGTCATCCGAAGCGAGAAATTCATCCAGTTTTGGTAGGAGAGTCTCGCGTAGCTCTGACTCTATCTGGGACTTCCTTGTCTCGATAGTTACTCGATCAGATGTGAGTGTTATTAATTGTCGACTGAGATCTTGAAGCTTCGAAGCTAATGCTACCAGCATCTGTTCTTCGTCCTTTGACAATGCCTTTTTGAAGTCCGATGCAAGTTCGCTCTCCAAGTCAGCCTGTCGATTTCCAATTATGTTGATCCTCGACTCAAGTTCAGTGGCTGTGCGACGCGCTTGTTCGAGTGCATCCTTTTTGTTCTGCAACTCAGTCTGCTTGGCGCGGAGCTCTAGTCGCATTGGTCCGTAGCTGCTTTCGACCTGGTTTCTCTGGTGCTCAATCTTGCGGAGTTCACCCTGTGCACGCGTAATCTCTTGCTCCAGTTGTTGGAGGTCATCTCGAACCTTGTCATTGTTGGTGCGGATCTTCTCTCTCTCTTCACGCCATCGAGCGACGTTCTGGACTGCGTCAAGTCTGGACTTTGAAGGATCTGTCCATCCTCCTTGCAAGCGACCCTTTTGATCTGCCTTGTCTCCGTCGGGTGTGAGAGCGGTCACGCCGTGCGTTCGAGCGTAGCCCGCGGCAATCTCCAATGTGGGACATACGATGGTTTTCCCAAAGACGTGCTGGAAAGCATTCTCGTACTTCGGGTCGTACTTGAGTTTCTGGATGAGAGGTTGAGCGTCTGTTGATTTTGGCAATTGAATGCTCTTCGTCCTGACGCGGTTGAGCGGTATGCAGGTAAGACGACCACCTTTCTCGCGGTTCAGTAAATCGACAAGGTGAGTGGCCGTATCATCGGTGTCACAAACAACGTGGAAAAGGGTATTTCCAGCCGTGACCTCAGCCGCAGTCTTGTAAGTATCAGAGACTTCCAGCAGTTCTGCCACTGTCCCATACACACCCTCTAGGTTGTGCTGGCGCCTTAAGCGACGGAGTGTCTCAAGTCCTCTGCTGGTATTGTGGTCGAGTATGTGGGAGAGAGTGCCTTCGGCATGTCTCAGCTGCGATTCCACGTTCTGAACCTGACCATTGAGTCTGGCTTCCTCTCGCCAAAGTCCCTTTCGCTTGTCCATGAGTTCGTCTCGTGCATCCTTTGCCTTTTGGACTTGTGTTGCGTGTGACATTGTGTCATCTCCTTGGTTCTCAATGGCAGAACGCAGCTCGACGATCTTGGTCTCCATTGCACCTATGTCTGTCTCGAGATTTCCAATCATTTCGTTTGTATCCATAAGTAAGGCTTTGCGTCGTGCCATATCCATTGTGGCGTCTTTAATCTCTTTCTTCAGTGCCTCATCGCGCTCTCGCTTGTTGGAATAGAAAGCAGTGCGGCCTTGTTTGTCCTCAAGGCGCTTTCTGTAACTTTCTGCATCAGCCAGCTCGGATCGTATTGCGTTTTCCTCGCTCTTCTTTGCCTCATATTGCGGAAGAAGCCTTGACAGCTCCTTTTCAAGTGACTTGATCGTTTGCCTGATTCTATTTTGATTGACATCGTTGCGCTCCTTCAACCTTTGGGTTTCTGACTGCCCTTCGCGTAGGTCTTTGAGCTCCAGTTCTACCTTGGCTTTCTCTCGAGTGGAAGCCCTTCGATCATTTTCCAGCTGGGCACGATCTTCCTGCAACAATGCGATTTGACTCTTGAGTTGGTTGACTTCTGTATCAATGCGCTCCATGGCCTTCTCGTTCTCTTGGAAGGATCGGGTGTTTTGGTCATTGCCTAACATGCCGTTCTGTCTGCGCTGATCGATATCTTCAATGATAGCCTTGTATTTATCCTCGTCGCGTCTGTTGATCGTGTAGAGTAGTGTTCGCCGATTCCGATCGCTCTTGTTATATTCATCCAGCTCTTTCTTTTCTTGCTCGAGCTCTCCGAGGCGCTCCTCTATAGATTTCACCAAGTCATCGATCTTGGATCGTTTGCTATCTGTGTCATTCAGAAGCTTCAACGAATCGGTACGTCTTGTCTCGTAGACTTTGGAGCCAGATATCTCCTTCAGAAGATTCAAACGTTCCGTGTCCTTCATGTTTGTAAGGGCAGTTACACGACCCTGCGGAACAATGTAGTATGGATTCGAGCGTGAGAAACCGGCGGATTCAAGGATTTGCTGTACTTCGGCTTTGGTAGCATTTTTGCGGTCAATCGAGTACTCGTCTTTCTTTACGCCGATGGTGCGCCTGAGGAAGAATTCGGGGCGGCCGGTGTGGAAACGGTCCTGGCTGTTATCGAAGCACACTTCTACATACGCTGACATTACAGCGGAGCCTGATCCTTCCTACACAGTGTCAGCACTGGTTATCATAAGCTTTATGGACCTCAATTACGTGTAGTAACGCCTGCCGTTCCTCACGACTCATGTGATGGTAATCGTCTCCTAGTACGAACCGCACGGCAGCGAAGAAGTTACTCTTGCCAGACCCATTGCGACCAACGATTATATTGCTGTTAGGAGAGAAGGGCTCGATTTGCGTCTGCTCCTTGTAGCTAACATTGTAAAGTCAGTAGCGCTCCGAAGGCGGGATGAATGTCATACCTTTTAAACCCTTGAATGGTAATCTGTTTGATGTGACCCATCGTGAAAAGCGGCTCACGGAGCCCAGCGCAGCTATTTCAGATCTCTATGATTTGTCGCGAGCCTATTCAGAGTCGATTCCCAGTAGATATCCTTGGGTCATGGTGGGGTAACTGCGTGATTGTGCACCGATTCTGGGAATCGTTTTGTTACGGACGCGTCGCGACAACGCGCCAAGAAATTGACCAAGAGCCTGTAGCTCCGCTTATGTAAGCATAGACCTGGATCCATCCTTCGTTCTTTTACCTCCTAATAACTGTCATCCACATCATTCTTTCGTACCTTCACCGACCTTTAAGTTTTCCTCTCGTATATTGTCCGTAGAAGATCTTTTGAGGTGATTTATAGAATCTCTCCCAACATCGGAATGCATCATCTATGACCACCAGCATCAATCTTCCTACTGACGGTGCAAGACCGATTGGTCTACTGATGATCTAGATCACTCTCTGCAATACATCTTGGCCAAATAATGTCCAAATCTACAAAGCCGGTTCATGGATCGGAGTCGCACATTGTAAGTATTCTACACCCTGACTACCTCTGGTTGTGTTCCATCATGATGAATGGAGGCGGTGTTGGTCTGAACAACCTTTCCGCAATCCTCCACATACACTTGAACTGTAGAGAACCGGCGCATAATCCATGCGCTTCTAAGTCGCTGTTTTGTTCTGTCGCCTGGTCCTCTTTGAAAGATTCAAAGAGAGGTCTGAAATTTGGAAATACAAGTCGAGCAGGGCGCAGCCATCGTTGTTCCAAGAATTTGTATCTGACTAGTAAATAGGTAATCGACAATAATTTCGACATAGCCCCGAACTGTTTGAGGGTCATTCCATGTGATATTAATGAACGATAACTATCAGAGTTTAATTACTTTGCTTTGAGACCGAAATGCTCACCTTCATATACCCATCGATGCAGCCAATGTGCTCATGTTTATGGTGTTTCATTACACAAACTTCAACTAGTCACATTTCAATCTTAAAAAATGGCAATCCTTGTAATAAGTATGGTAGACTGCGACCTCTTTCCAACCGTCAGACAGCTCGCCAATGTCACCGTCTCGGGCACAATCCGAGGATGCCGCTGCTGGTTTGAGACAAGACGCTCAGGGACCCCATGCCTGCCATCTTCCAAACAGACAAGTCCCAAAGAGGATGGAGAAGAAAAGGTAATTACTTAAGTCACTAGGTAAGAGCATGAGAACTGGAATTGCAAGCCGTCTATCGTTTGAATACCCAGGAAAAAGGAATCTCAGAAATTTACGGTGCGATGCGTCCGACAAGAGTACTACTCCCAAAACTGTAACCCAAATACCGCGCGGCATGAAGCCTTCACTTGTGAATATAATGTTAGATGTTCCCAATAATGTTCAGGATAAGGGAAAGCTTACAGTTGCCTAGAGTGCAATCTTCGTTATATGGGACCTGGTTGATGTTGTCCTTTCATTTTGCATCGAATTTGTGCAGGGGACCCTAAAGTTCCAAGCTTGCTACCCACAACTACTTGACAAAGATCGAAGTTATTAGGGTGATCCACGGTCATATTACCCACATTCCGTTTGCTGGTCTCTGTACATAGTAAACGCTGTCAACATGCCTACTTGTAGGCGGCTTGGGCTCTCCTTTGAGATCGTCGGATCGTCAGGGCGGGCCGATCATCACGCGTCACCAATCAGGCGCAGTTGGGCCATTGCGGAGAACCCTCGTTGATATTCGAGATCTTCCAAAAGACATGATATCATCCTCTTCGTCTACGAGAACGAAAGTAGAAAGGGGGCCAGTGTTCGCGCACATCACAATATCATGGAAGATAAATGGTCGATTGCTAGCTTTTGTGTCGGTGTTGACAGTTATCCAACAATGGACGGAGAGCATACAATCGATACCTAGGTATACAACGGACATCCCAAGTACGACTCCGACTGTACTCCGTACATAATATGCAACCTGCCAATTCAGATACCGACTTGCCTTTGTGGAGCTTATCGATTACGAAGCTGGATGTAACCTTCATTACGAACGCTGGTAGGGGCCGGCTCGGCTTTTCAGCTGGGATTGTGACTGCACCGCCTCATGGGCAAATGTGGCAACGCAACCCTAGTCACACTCAGTGCGTGACGACAATACCTCGTATGGTCAATGCATACCTACGAGTCCGGCTCACCCCCGGAGTCACGAGTGGTGAACTCGAGAGCAGCAACCACAGTGAACAGAACAGAATTGATAGGGTGGAATGTCGATTGCAGTACCGTCTGTGCCTCTGTGAAAGGCTCAGGCCCTCAGGGGCACGATGCGGCGCTCGCACACCTACAATCTTCAAGCACAAAAGTAGCAAAATGCAGGGCCTGTGTGGCTTCCGCCGCTTCGCTCGGGTCGTGGCAGGCAACCCCCAGCGCAGCGAACGTAAATAATCGGCGCCAAACCGACGTCTGCTTAAAGTGAAAATGGACAAGGGAAGCGCAAGCAGGGTGAAGTAGCGCCAGGTACTCGGAGAAGGCGATTGGCCGACATGGAGATTGAAGTCGTCACTCTGGCATTTTTGCATGACACCCGCTCGCCCACTAAGGAGATCTGACACACCTAACGCCGCCCGGGGACGACCGAGGCTCCACACCTGTTTCAAGAAACACCAAAGGAGAAAGAAGATTGAGCTCTCTCCACCACTCACGCAGCATGCTCTGCGAAACAGGAGGCCTGCTGCGGGCCGTGTCAAAGTAGGCCAGGAAAGAGTACCGCTGATTGCATTCTTCTAGTCTTCGAGGTTGTGCGTCAGACTAGGCACATGGAATGTCTTCTTTTATTATCAACCTCCGCTGATGTGCAGCTCTTTTCCTCCTCTCACCTCACCTCATCTATCACCTTTTTAACCTTCATACTTTTCGACCTTTTCCTTTGAGCCTCTCGCTCTTCATCTTTCTTTTTCCAACTTTCTCTCGATAACGCAGTGCGATCACCGTGCCGGTCATTCTTTCACTCAACTGCTGCACAAGGCCACTCTTTGTCGTAGCATTCCATTCATTCACCGAGCACCATTCACACGAACCACACTTGTCACGCCCAAACGACAACGTCGACGTTGGATCCTTTCTTTTACGATTATCTTCTGTGAAGGTAGTCTTTACTTTTCTCACCATCCAACTTTTTTGACCTGAGAACTTTCTTTACACACCCACCGGACTCTTGATACATCAAACTCCACCATGCGTTTCACAACTGCGTTCACTGCGAGTGCGCTCGCTGCATTGGCCCACGCTCAAACCTTCACGACCTGCAACCCCATGAAGAAGGATTGCCCCAATGATCCCGCCATGCCTGCCAAATTCGACACCGATTTCAGGAAGGGTGCTGAGAGCATTCGAGGCTGGAAGCAGACTGCCGGATCTTTGAAGTACACCTCCGAGGGTGCTCAATTCACCGTCGCCAAGCAGGGCGAAGCTCCTACCATCCAGTCCGAGGGATATCTCCACTTCGGTTACATCGAGGTCAAATGCAAGGCCGCCGCAGGCCAGGGTATCGTCTCATCCATCGTTGTGCAATCCGAGGACCTGGACGAGGTCGACTGGGAGTTCCTGGGCGGATTCGACAACAAGGTTCAGATGAACTATTTCGGAAAGGGTAACACCACCACGTACGATCGCATGATCGAGGCACCTGTTACCCAACCCCAGGAAGTCATGCACACGTATGCTCTCAATTGGACCGCAGAGGCCCTAGTCTGGATTATCGATGGGGTAGAGGTCCGCACTCTTCCGTTCGCCGAAGCCAATGGGGGCAAGAACTTTCCTCAAACCCCCAGCACGGTCCGAATCGGCATCTGGGCTGGTGGAGATCCGAACAACGAGAAAGGTGTCATTGAGTGGGCTGGCGGCGAGACCGATTACACAAAGGCACCCTTCACGATGACTGTGGAGAGTGTCAAGGTTACCAATTACTCTCCTGGTAAGGAGTACGAGTGGACTGATCGCAGTGGAAGCCATGAAAGCATTAAGGTCATCGAGCCTGGTAATCAGGCTGGTGCTCCCCAGAATACGGTCATTCTAGAACCAACTGCTTCTGCTACTCAAGGTGGCCTTCAGTCCGGCATCAACGTCCCCAGTGGCACTCTCCCAGCGACTACTGGGGCTCCGTTCCCCACCGGCAACGGCACGTCTCCTTGTGACTGCGGTGTCGCTACCGTCACCATCACTGGCAGTTCTCCCCCACCAGAGAGTCCCACCTTCATCCCTCCTCCTGGTACCACAGTTCCTGTCCCCACTACCGGCTTGATCGTTGAGACCAGCCCGGCTCCAAGCGTCCCTGCCCCATCTGCTCCGTCTGCTCCATCTGGCCTTCTTCCTGTTCCCTCAGGCAACGCCACTGTGAGCGCACCTCCTGCCGAGTTCACTGGTGCTGCCACCTCTAACAAGGCTGGCGCCCTCGTGGCCGTTGTCGCTGGTGCCGTTCTGTTCGCTTTCTAAGCATGCATGTCTCGTTGCATAGCATCTCGCGTACATGATAGATTAGAACGTCTTGTGCCTGGAGCAACCTTTCCTTCTCTCAGTCGAATTAATCATAGACAGATGGCTGATGTCAACCGATTCGACATCTTCATTCACCAATTTTCTTTTCTTGGCCTATTCCTTAATTAGATGGATGGTATTTTTGGGGACCCTCATTTTTGTATATATAGCATGTCAGGATTCATCAATGCCACGGCATTGGGAATCCGTCAGAAGAGCTGCCCAGTGGATACGAATTTCCCACGAATTCTCCACTGTATAATTGTATCTGCCCTGCGCAGTCACAAGTACAGTACGCATGTATGTACATCCAAAACAAATAAAATATTATGGATATGAAATAACCCTTCTCTCGCTCACTTCAATGCCTTGCGTTATCACCATGGTGCCCCTTTCGAATCTAGATGCTAAAAACCATATCCATTCATATCCAGGTTTCAGAAAGCTATATTACACTAATATCCTGGCTCAAGACTAATATCAACGCGATATAAAGTATGTACAATTTCGCACTAGCATTGATGCGCCACACCTATAGAGGGCAGGGTAGGAATGTTGGGTTCACCTCCCCCCATGTTAATACTGATGCCTACGACCGTACATTTACAAATACCTTTAGTTACCTTTAAGCTATTCAACCAGCCATAACATCTAAAGTAGCTAATCGAGGCAAAGAAGATACACGTAGCTACACGCCACAAGTATACATTTGCAAGGGCAGGACTTTGATCATATCAATATCTTACAATATACCCCTGAATATATGGTTTAGGCAACAAGATAAGTCATAGAAGATATCTAGGTATATCAAAGTAGCAGCTAACCAGCCTAACATGTCTACTGTTCGTACGCCCATTCCACTCTCATCATATATCGGTCTTCCTCCAATCAGCTTATTAAAGGATGCGATAACATACCTCGTACTTTTGATCAGACCTCGCATGCCATATCTACCGCATTGACCACCCAGGTGTGGTTTCCCAGCAGAATTTGAATGTTCGTTATACACAATTCTGATAGATATTGTATGGTTCGTTTAATCAATAAAGCCAAGCAGTCTCCCTGCACGTGTCTGCATACCTACCATTTTCATTGGTTCAGAGTCATTTGCCAGAGCCTGTGTCATGATAGGAACCTCGGAGCTCAGCCACATCGCACCGCCCTCGTCACACTGTCAGCGCAAGGGGGATTCAGCCTTGTGGATTATATCTCGAACGTCTTCAGCATGATTGAAATTCCCTCACAACGCCACAACGCTCTATTCAAGGCCCGAGTAGTGCGGAATAACCTACAATGGAGGTTGCAACAAGTCCTGTTGCGGTGTCGCAGCCAACCTTGCCATCCTCAAGGGAGGTGCGGCGAAGGAGGGACTCATCGCCAGCCGCCGAACATGTACCAACTGCAGAAGTTAATGGTCTTATTTTCACATGGGAACGCTCATGGGAACACGGACGAAATCTCCGTGTATCGACACGTTCTCTTTCAGATAGCTTGGACATGACCGATTGTTCCGAGAGCTTCGAGATGTCCAATCATTCCGAGAGCAATGATTCCATGGTCCCCGCCTTCACCCATCAATCACCCGCTGGTTCCGTTCGTGAACCTTCCCTTCACAATTTCTCTGAAGCTTCACCTACCGAAACGAGTATCAGCTCAGGGCTTGTCAGTCGCTTCTCCGGCGTGCCATTGCTGGACGATGTAAATGGTGTCTTAGAAACACCAGCAGAAGCACCTAGAAGACCTGTCTACGAATGTACCTTTTGGTTTCTATATTGTTCATACGTCACACAAGATGAAGACGATTGGAATGTACATTGCCTTTCTCATTTTCGAGGCGAGGAACCACCTACATCAGTTCAATGCCCGCTGTGTGATTTCAGTAATACGAGCGTCACGGGCTGGCTTGCATGGTATGTATGCCCTACTATCTTTGATCTGGAGATATCCAAGTATCTTGAAAGAGCCTCTGTGAATAAATCCGGCCATTTGTTCCCCCTTTACTTCTCCATCTCTTTCGTTGTTGAAAATTTATTAATCTGTGTTAATAACTTTCAGGGAGTTTCATATGAAACATATATCAGAGACGCATGTTATGATTGGGCAGACTCTTAAAATATCAAGACCAGACTTTTCTCTATATCGGCACCTCTGGCAAAAGCAGCTGATCGATGACCAAGATCTCAGAGAACTTCGTGGCGGGAACCATTGTTTGACTCGGCCACCGTTAAGTTATACCATTGCTACAAAGCGGCGCTCTTCTAGACAGCGAAGACGACGTGGTACTGCCTCTAGACCTTCCGCGGATCGTATGATCGTTCACCCAGACTATTGGACTCCGCGGCATACCCCTAGCAATAGTGGATCAGAAGACAATGATGGTCTCAGCCAAGTGCAACTCGAGAGAATAGTGTCCCTTGAGTCCGATCCTGATGTTCCTAATCCTGCGCCTGACGGAAGCACCATGGCGCCCACAGATACCCACTTCGATTCTGGCTACCACTCCGTGACAGACACTGGGGCAAAAGCAACTTCCGAAATCGACGACACGATGTCAATAAGATCCATACTCACTAATGCATCTCGAGTGGATCTTCCAGCTCACGAAAGAGAACAACTTACGTCTGCATTTGCAGTAGACTTGTGCCAGGACATGAAGCTCAGCCGCTACAGCGACGATGCCCGTGAACGGATACTTAGTCGGCTTCCCGATCTTTTGAAGGGATTTACGTTAAGGTTGGAAGAAAGTACGACCTGTAAAGCGGAGCGCAACGCGAAGGAGTTCCTCAGACAACAACGCAAGTCAGTGGAATCCGATTCCTCTACCATAATATTCTATCGCGTCTCCAAAAACAAACTAACGATTCGAATTCTAGTCGTATCACACATCAATTGCGCAAGAGCCAATCCCCAGAAGAGCCAGCCGAAGATGATAGCCAAACTCTTACGTCGAAAGGCGGAATGTCTGTGATGGAAAAGATGGCACTATGGAAAATTGACGTGGAGTCTGACCCATCATCAGAGCGTGCGACAAACAATCAACTCTACGAATTCGAGAGACCGCCGCGATATGAAGAAGTCCGTTCATATCTGCTTGAAGGACTTGCCTACGAGTGGTTGATCAAGAGGGTTCAGACTGCAGGACTTTTAACCGACAGGAAAGGGACAACTGTCGAGACGATTGCAGAAACAATGAATACCATACTTGCCTCGACGGTGACTCCGAAATCACGGGAAAATCACGTCATACAGGTACACTTCTCCCTTGATTGGGATCTTCTATACTTTTTAAAGGAGCAGGAGTATGGAGTCTCTCCCGAAATTGCTATTGAACGCGCTATCACAATCACAGGAGCTCACGATGATGCTCAAGCATTGAGTTGTGTGGACTATATGTGGCAAACTTGGGAGTCAATTGGCCAAGAAATGATAGAGGTTCTGAAAAACACTTTGATGTCTCCAATCCACACCTATTCAAGTGAGTAACCTATTTGTTTGAAAATATTTCCCTTATCTAATAAGTTAGCTTGTCTCACCGATGGAACCACAATCGAAGTCACTCTTGAATCATCGCGAACAAAGATTATGGCGTGCGGAGGCCAGGCGACTTTGGTGGAGCTTTGCGAGCAGTTTGCCTGGCTTGGAGCTGCACTCCGTTCCGGCCCTTCAGTTGGACAACATTCGGTGACACCTCGAGTCAAAGCTATGAAGAATGACATATCTGTGAGTAATACTCCCAGTATAACGGTCGAGATAGTATTCGAGGTCGTGCCAATTCCAAAGGAAGTGTCTGCTAGCCTAGAAGGCACTTGTTGGCATGCCATGTTCAGCGCCCCGATGGTTGTCACCGGCTTCCCAATACGTTCTCGTGATATGGATGAGAGAGGATTGGAGATCTCATTAGACATGATTATCACACTCGCTGAAACACAGTTTGCGACTCACTACGACGCGATGTTGCTTTTGAAGGGGTTCCATACGATGCTTGTCCCCACGATGTATAGGATAGATTCCATCACATGGCACTTTCTGTTTACCACTGAAAGAAGAATACCCTACCATCATTTCCGGAAATACTGCAGAGACTGTGTCAGTACCAGATCGTTCAACGTCGATACACTGGAGTCTCAAACAATCCGCCATTTCGTTGGCTGGGCCTCTGAAACATCAAAACATTTGGGTACGTGCGATTACTAATGTCAATATCACATTGTGAGGCTAAAAGTTCAAACAGGCACAGAAGATATATCCTATGAGAAGATACGCTGGGCTGGAGCAAAGAAATGCAGCGCTGGCCTAGCTGTCGAACAGAAGCTCACTATTTCCGCAAGCAAGATCGTTGGTGTAAGTGGCAGTGTACTCCGAGGTAACAGAGACAAGCCAGATTATATCAAACATTCTGCGTACACTATGCAGATCGAGGCTGCTCGCAACATGCCTGTAGTACTCTATGATACAGGGTCGCAACGTGGGTGGTTGGTGGATGGGGCCAGCGCTTTATTGCACCTTGTACGGACCCAGGTCGCGACAAAGCCCTACGGTGGGTCCGATTCACTATTCAACGATTCCAATGTCAACATTGTACCGTTCAGACACCCAAAATCCGATGGAGGCCCAGATGCTGCAGCAGAAATTCTCAGAGATGAAAACAACATGAAGCACATCATACTGAGAGAATTTGACTCTTACACTGAAGAGACTGTTACGCTGACCAAATCTTCTGAGGCGAGAAAAGAAAAATATAAGACAACTTGTTTGAGAGAACTTATCTCGCAAACCTGGAGCGTGATAGAGCAAATTTATGACCGTCAAGTTGACGCCGCAACAACCCACACCGTGAAGCAATTGCGGCTTCCCTTTCGAGTTGCATTAGAAGGTTACGAATTCATGGATATTGTTTCAGCAAAACACATCCTCAGACGACGGGCCATTGGCTTCGAATCGAACGGATCGGCCTGGATCGACTTTACCACGAAAACTCAAGCAATTACGCTGTTCGGTCAAAACTTCGGTGACATATACAAGCCGGCGCCGGGTATTCAAAGACAGATCTGCAAAGACTGGACATTAGTCCCGCCAGGACATGAGTTTCTTACAATCCCTGTCTCTCTTCTAAGAGATATCAAACAACGTCTTTGGGAGGACGGCGAAGTTGACGCTAGTTCCTCAGAACTAGCTCAGGGCCTCTTCTGGATGCCTTCAGAGCCTTGTTTCAGCATCTGTGGGCCTGGTTGTAAACACATACTGCCTGGACGCGTGCAACGTTTCCTTGCTTCTATTTCAAATAAGACTGTCATGTCTGGGGACGGCTCATGGAGCGATCGCATGTTCACACACAAGCAGGGTGTCGTGATATTTGGCAGCAGCAGCAACCTAGATCCCCGAAAGCTGGAGCACTTCTCACGGCTTATAGTGCCAGTAGAGGATAGCTTTCACGACAGTGGCCTCGGCTCAAGTGTGCAGTCTGCGTCCCGTGACAGTTCTCACGAGGAGCAAGCTAGCGGCAGGGATCGGGAATCAGAGCTGGTTAGGGACAATACCAGTCATGTGGACATTAACTGTCAGGATACAGAGGACACAGGTGCTGGAGCGCAATCGCCCGCAGAGGCCGACGATGTTACACAACGCCAGAGTCAGCCTACACTCGGCAACCAAACATCAAAGGCGCCCCCAAAAGAGATGCGGAAACCAGAAAGCAGCCTTCTTAGAAAGCTTGCGAAGAAGGTATTTTCACGGTCTCCAAAGCGGGCTATGTAGGCATTTTTAGAATTCTCAAAATCGATTCTTCTGGTTACAGGCCATTCGTGGTAGTTAGAAAATCATGTTTCTAGAGTTTATTGTTCTGCCTTTACCAAGAAGTCAAACCCTGTCCAGTCATTCCCAATCTCCAACACATCGAGAGGGACTGGATTTCGATAAGTCATTCAACATTCAGAATTAGTCTGAGTAAGTAGTGCTAGCTTCCATGGAAGATTGTTGTAATTTGTCGTCACATTCGGATCCCTCCCTTGGTACATGTACTGCAATTTGCACGGGGTAATCGTCAGAGTCTGATCGACTTTATCGCGAATGATTTCGCCATGACTGATATCTTTAGTCCATGTCGGTCCACTGAATGCTACATTATTCCTCCTCGCAAACGGATTTTCATTCGTCGCGGCAAGTTCGTCCCACGGCCCTTCGAGGCTTTCGGCAGTCCACGAGCGGAACCAACGATGTTCTTCTGCATCAATGCACTCGACGATGAGAAGATATGACCCATTTTCGATTCGATAGACGTTTGACGCCTCGAATAAGTCGAATCTTTTGTCCGACTTCGCGATGACGGTGTTATTGCTATCAAAGCCACGGGGAAAATCCGTAAGTTTTGTTTGTGAGCGGTACAGTTGGCCCATGTCGTCCGAAGAAAAGAGGTGACAATTTTCATCATCACAAATAACCCACATGTCGACCCAGTAGCCATCTGCAATGTTCTTATCGATGACAGCTGGTCTCTTGTCGTAGAAATTCGTGACTGCGCTCCAACCACTTGGGTCGCTGATGTTTTTGTTCGTCGAGTACGCAGCATTGTCGTTCTGAAAGACAAGGTACCATAGTCCGTGGGGTTCGAAGTAGAACACCTGGGGTGCTGCACGATACCCCACACCGATGGCTGATTGATCTAGGTAGAAGAAATCGGCAGTGGGCGCTTGCTCGAAATCCGTAAACGTGATGTAGACGAGGTTGTAGCTACTGCCCCCAGATTTTGCAGTCGAGGCGAATAAATGGTATCTGCCATCCACGTATACTACAGAGGGGTCTTTTATTCCAGCAATCTTACGGTCGTCGTTCTTGGGGCCGATGAGGGCGCGAGTGGAGTTCCATTGAAAGGTGCTCTGAATGCCTGGCTTTCTTTGAGGTTGAACAGCGGAATCAAGAAATGATGGGGATACTTGCGCACCCAGTACCGTATTGAGTAAAGAGAATAGGGAGAGCAGCAACATTTTACAACTGCTCTTGTAGTAATGATGTAGTACATAAATTGCTGTAGCACGATCTTCTTCTTTATACCTCAACAATGCTTTGTCGGAGGAATCAGAATCCGGGTTATTGGATCAACTCGAACAGTAACAATATATCTGTAGTCGCAATGCTGCAAGCAATTGAGTTTAATATTTCGACGGGGTCTACAATTGTGACGGAATCGGTTTTCGGGAATTGTAAATTGCATGGTTATCTGGTTAAAGTGCGTGGACCCGGGAGGTGCCCAACAATTTCATTCTCATTGCATATTACCTTCACGAAATCGATACTAACGGTTATGAAAGTTCCCACCAATCTGATCTCCATTTGTGACTGCGGGATTAATAGATCTAGCGATCACCAAGTTTCGAAGAGAAGTAAGAAGCACTTAGCAATGAATACTTTCAAATCTATTACGACTATTTATGATGGCTGATGGGATCCTCGCAATGAGGCTTGCCTCTCAGCAACCACCTCAAAAATTCCTTTCGATCTCTCCACGACGGACCCACCAGGGACTAGGTAGGACACAAAGGCGGTAGTCTCATTGCCACGAATGTTATCGAGATCTACTACAGGCATGTCATGCATGCGGTCTGCACCATGCTCCGGATCATTAGGAGAGGCTTCGAGTCCATCCTCCCCGACTGCAGCCACTGAAGAGTTCACTCCACTTTTTCTTCTTTCTTGTCTTCTGTTATTCTTGATCTGCAGGAGCCGGAGTTCAGAGCCTACACAGGGTTTGTTGATAACACTGTCGTATGTAGACCACAACCGACGCGTATGGCTTCCTAACTCATCCGACTGTTCCAAAGATCCAGTTTCACATGCTACGTCTAGCAATGCCTCGATGCTCGTAGAAAGATCAGAAAGGACCTGAAGAAGGTCATCACACCTCTGGTGGACAGAACTTGCAGCGTCATCCTTTCGTTTTTGATACTTGCGTTGTGCACTCCGGATCTGTGCCCGTCTTTTCTGATTTCGATTAGTAGGTGGGTTGGGCACGGGTAGGTTGATGTACTTCAATGCCGCCGACTGTTGGAGCTGTAGTCACTCTAGGTCGACCTCGACCTCGCCGCCCAGTCGGTGGAACATGAGAGGGTTTGGGATCAGAGGTTCCTGGGTCCATAGTTGTAGCATCCTTTTGAAAGAGAATTGGCTCTATCCATTGGCCGTAACCAGCATCGAGACCTCTTTGTGACGTTTGTTCTGCTTGCACATCTGCTATCTCTGTTATGTTCATTCTGTTCATTCCACGATCAAATGGTAGAAAAGCAGAAGGCCATGACGATCGTAGGAAGTGTTTGGATAAAACAGCAAGACGCTGCGATATACTACTGTCAGAACCCTTGATCATGAATGTCAGAAGGTCGGACGGGGCTTTCGTCCGCAAAATCGCGCTAACCGCTTTGGCCACAGCATGCCACCAAGACTGGATACAGTGAGCAAAACTGTCACGCAAAGCAGAGACCAATTATTCCAGGTTAAGAGCTTTTCAAAATCAGCATCATGTATGCTCTACTTCTATAATTGTGCGTAGTTATACCGGGCATACTTGGGTTGGCAATTCATTGCGTAACACAGTTCAAACATCCCACCTTCCCATTGTAGTCTAACCAACTCAAGCTTCCCCACTTGTCTACATGTTGTACATACACGACAGCTTGCATGCTATCTGGTCTGATAGGGCGTTGATGGTCTTGTAGGGCGTGGAATCTATCTTGATTACGTTTTGAATCTCCTTGTCAACATTTCATGGATATATATAAACACACTATTCTGTCATCGAACTTGACTCGTTAGGCCCTTATCGACTAGTTCTTACAACAATGCCTGGTAGTTTTAGTATCAACAATGCGCGTAAGCGCTTCCCCGCTCTGCAGCAAGATCAGGTGTTCCTAGATAACGCGGGTGGGAGTCAAGCACTTGGAGATGTGGTCGATGCGTGAGTTGACTGCATTTCACGATTTAACGGTTTGGCTTGCTGATAATTTGAAGGATTACGCAATATTTGTCCAAGACGAATGTTCAACTCGGTGCCAGCTACCACACGGGAACAATCTCGAATACAAAGTACGAGCAAGGCTACCAAGCCGCCGCAAAATACATCAACGCAGGTCGAGATGAGATTGGTACGCCAATGTCTATTATCCAAGATGTGCCATTGCTAATTTAGAACAGTCCTCGGCGCATCGACAACACAGCTGTTCATGAATCTTGGAGGTGCTCTGAAATTCAACGAGGGCGATGAGATCATTCTCTCCAAAGCCGAGCATGAAACGAACGTCAAGCCATGGTTGCATATGGCCGACCGCTTGAAACTATCAGTCAAGTGGTGGGTACCCGACAAAAATGAGTTGAAGCTCACTCCAGACAACTTGAAGCCGCTTCTGTCCGATAAGACGAAGTTCGTCTCATGCACTCATGTTTCCAATATCCTTGGATCAATTCACGATATCAAGTCAATTGCAGACACAGTACATTCTGTGGGCGCGCTATTTTGCGTGGATGGCGTCTCATTTGCACCACATCGTCAGGTTGACGTCAAGGCTTTCGGGGTGGACTTCTATGCTTTCTCATGGTACAAGGTACGACGAACGTCCCATTTCATGTATCTGTAACGATGCATGCTGACATGCGTAAAGGTATATGGACCACATATTTCCGTCCTATACGCGAAGAAAGCAGCCCAGGCGAATATCAAGCCTCAGAATCATTACTTCAACCCCACCGAGACCCTAGAAGACAAACTCGGTTTCGCTGCCTCCAACTACGAAGCCACCCAGTCGATTCCTTCGATTGTATCCTATCTTGGCGGAGACAACCCTGGGCCTGTCTTCGCTGCCATCGCTGAACACGAAGGCAAGCTCCAGAAAACCCTACTCGACTTCTTGACATCCAGAGATGATATCACCGTCCACGGCTCCACGTCCTCTGACTCGAGCATCAGGGTGCCGACAATATCATTTACGGTGAAGGGTAAGAACTCGAGGGCTATTGTCGAGGAGGCGGACAAGATTTCGAACTTCGGGTTCAGGTGGGGACACTTCTATTCAAAGAGGCTTTGCGACGAGGTTCTGGGCCTGGGACCAGAGGCGGTAGTGAGAGTGAGCATGGTTCATTACAACACCGAAGAAGAGGTCAAAGGGTTGGTTGAGGTGTTGGATAAGATCTTGTCAAAGTAGGCTCAGAATTGCCAACGACACGGGTTGGTGGTGTGATCCTAACCCGGATGCTGTCCAATGGATAGAGACTTAATTCAGGTCCATAATTTGTTCGTAAACGTTTGCGTCACTAGATCTCAATGAACTTTGGGCCCCGTCCGCGCAGCCAAATTATGAGGAGAAGTATCATGCAAGCAACTATGTTCACAGTCAGTTCAATAGCCTGTTTTCTAATGGCCATAATCCGGATACCCACTGTCGATGATGTTCCAATGTAGCCCTAACCCTCTACTTGTAAGTAGCCAAGAGGCAACTAAGCCGATTCCAAAGATATTGCTCTGTTGAGTAGATGATATGGATGCGGAGCGAATCATATGAGGCGAACTTGGAATCATTGTGGAATAAAAGCGCAGGATACGATGAACACTATAAACAGAGGTGGTACAAGAAATTTGATTATCAAGACGGTCCTTTCGCGAATTATAAGTTGCGACCGCCAGCATATATAATAGTTATGATGGCATGCTAGTTATGGCGCAGACGCCCTGTTATACAGATAAGCCACCAGGTTGTTGGTGCTTTACAAAATGGGCGTTAATTCGCCTCGCGCCCAGAGGTTAAGTCCCGAGATTTCCAGTCAGCTGCTATCATTGCACGAAGTGGCGCGTATGGCTGCAATCAGAGGCTGTCTGTGTGAGGCGAAGGTCGCTGACGGGGCCAACTTGCGTGTAGTAAGCTGAATCATGTTTCAGATCCTTTTGAGAAGGCTGCTATATGATGACCGATGATTGCCAAAATATTTCCTGTTTGGGCTCACAGCCAACACATGCTTCGAATCAGATTGCTCCGACCGCAGATTATGGTACGGTATGCCAAATTCGATCGCCTTCCTTTGGCTCTTCCAAGAAGTCTTTCGGCGGGTGCTCCGGAAGTTGGTGCACTTCAGCCCAATCTCGAATATTTTCGAAATTGCGGCACTTGTGTCTCGTGTTGAAATCGACGAAGGCTTGTAACGGTTTTCCAGGCGGCTCGTACCAGACTTGCCCAAGCACACCAACGTCAACGGTGCACATCAACTGCTGGCGAAGAATATCGAGACAATGTGCTGCTGCGATCAGCAACGGGAAGTTAGTCAAGAGTAAGGTCTTACATACTGACGTGATGTTTCAATATGGTTCCATCGTTCGAAAACGGCCCAAGACCTTGTTTCTGATAGTAATCGAAATTCCAAGCGAGCGACTTTCGAAGAAGATTCTGACCAAGTTTGAGTTACGAGCATATCATATCGATGATGTACTTACGAGACAGTGTAAGTGATGAAGGCCTTCTACATGCGCTGGATAACCTCCGCCGTATTCTTGCTTAACCTTGACCTGATCAGAGGCGAGGCCAGACTTTTCCGCCAAATCTGCCGGAATGCGCACGGCGCGGACTGGAGATGACAATGAGCATCTAATCAATCGCAATGCTACACATGGAAATATTACTGACAGTCTGCGCCTAATGATTTCCAAGCTGCATCGACTGCAGGCCCAGCGTCCTCGCGGAAAGTGTTTGATCTCAGCAAAGAGCCGTTGAACCGGATCCAATCGTAAGCCACAGTCCCATCATGAACGATCGGTGCTGATTTTCGTCAGATACGAGTAAAATTGTCCACAGAGAAGAAGAGCCTACAGTATTGTGAAGTATGTCTTATGCTCAGTCGATCGAGGTTGAGCAACCATGTTCGCCCAACAAAGAGTCCTATCGAGGCTGATAATATGGAAGTCGCAAATAAGAGCAACGATATTACGATCCACTGGGTCTTTCCACTGGAGTTGTTCCGCCGCAATGATCGGTTTGAGGCGTCTTTCTCGGAGTGTTCCAGAAGGTCCTCTGTGCTCTCTGCATCGTCGACATCCTCGTACGCTCGTTGTCGTTTTGATTTTTCACTGAACATAGTGGTGATTGTGTGAAGAAACTCAGTGCGATGCTGTTCTTCCCTGATTGTAGTATCCAAACGCTCGTCATAAGGCCATCCCCAAAATCAGCAAGTGCAAGCTTTCTCACCGGCAAAGCCACCAGAAAGACCAGACCAATCCATTGTGAAGCTAAGATACGTGCTCTATTTGCCAAGCGATTATAAGATCCCCAATGTTTTCAGCTGCTGCTTTGGCCCCGCTCTTGGCTATATATGCGATGCCATCGTGCATCCATTGACGATCGTCTGTGGCGTCTAGGGCTGAATCTAGCCAACCCCAACCTCAAGCGAGACTCAGCTCGGGATTTTCCGACTCCAGAATGCCAGACGGTGTTCAGGATCTATTGATTATGCTAAAACTTGATAAGAAGGATTAGTAGCGATCTCGCTTGTGTGAAGCTTAATTGCTCGATTGCGGTATATCACTGAAGACATCCTCTTCGTCGATGCTGGGGGCAAACACAACCTAATCAGTTGACATTATAGAGAATGAAAGAAGATAAAATGTCAAGCTAAACCAAAGAAACCGACTTGACTTCAAAAAGTCAAATTCTCACAGTGAGGCACAATTCAAAAGTCCAGATCGCAACACTGATCGCATCCTCATTAGCCTCACCGCAACAACTTGCGTCAATACGAGCCGTCTGTGGAGGCGGATCGACCATGCTTCTTATCCAATATAGCGCCATATTCGCCTACCCAGCGTGGCCTCAGCCAAGTCATCAGTGACTGACCCTGCTAGAAACGCCATCAGAGTGACATGCGCACACATAGACTGCTAGTGATTCGCTACACCGAGCCTATTCGGTCGAAGTGTTGTCCATTGTACATTCTTCGACCTTCATGACGCTACGAAGCTAATAGCTGTTTTCCTAAACAAGATAGTAAGCCGTCCAACTACATGTACCGCTGTTGCTTCTCTATTGTTGCTCTCCATATAAGAGGTAGACCTGCAGCCTGCTGAATGGTACAGAGTCCTCCGGCAAGCTCGCTCTGCAAACATCTTCCAGCAGCACTGTTCTATCTACACAAACATCATGAAGCTCACAATCGCCCTCTTGACTCTCGCAGTCTCTGCCATTGCGGCTCCGATCGCCCAGGGCTCATACGATGACTACGGTATGTATCTCGCGCTTCCGATACATGAACTTGAACTGAGAACCCGTCATAGGTGACTACAGCAACGTCCCTGTCAATCCTCCGGCAAACGGCAACTACGGAAGCTATGGTTCGTACAATCACCCCTCAACCAAGCCTGCATAGATGACTGACAATATCCAGGTGACTACGGCAACGTCCCAGCTCCACCAGTGAACAACCCTCCCCCACCAGCTGGAGGCTACGGAACATATGGAGATTATGGCTCCTACAAGCGTGATGCCGAGGAGAAGGCATGAATGCAGAAGCAATGACTCTCGATGTTCAGACTGAATCAGACTGGAGTGAACTATTGCGGATTCGAAAATGTCAAAAGCTGCTTTGACGATGATCGACTTGGAACGAACTTATCAGACCCCTAATGAAGGAAATAATCACAATCAATATATGGATTCATCGGTTATGAATTAAACTAAAATAAAAATAAACATGATCATAATTTTGCATTTATAAGAAAACTGTTTTTTTGGTCTACGAATAGATCCCTTCCCATTTCGATCCACGCAGTAATGCAGTCATAAATGCTCCCTCCCAGAAAATCACGTCTCTATGCCACGGGAGTTGGGAATACAAGGGCAACCTTGTCATCGCCTGCTGTGACCACCACATCACCATTGCCTTGCACAAAAGACATGATACCACCGCCCTCTCCCCCACCTCTATGGCCTCTCCATTCACCCACCAATCCCTTTGCCGCGGCTGCTGTGCCGCCCCTTGCATCCCAACTCCTCAAGACACCATCGTAGCCCACTGACCTAAGTAGGGCGCTACCAGGACCCTCTCGCTTCACGAACTCTACCTTGACGACAGCTTGTGGGGCATCCTCGTCAGCATGTGCTTCCTCGATCCTCCTCCGGATGGCGAAACGGTGAGCTGTGTCGAAGAGTGTGATGGAGCCGTCGACGTTGCCAGCGGCGAGTAGTGTGAGAGGCGGGGAGGAGAAAGAGAGAGTCTCGACATTGTCGCTGCCAGCTTGTAAGCTGGCGAGGATCTGGCCTGCTTGACCGGCGCTGCCCGCGGCACCCTTTGCAGCAGCCTGCTTTGCGCCACCAGCCTTGTTCCTTGCACCTCCGCCTGCACTTGATCCCGCTTCTGCTGAAGGTGTGATGCGAGGCAGCCCGACGATACGGACCTGGCCCTCTGGTCCACCAACAGCCGCGAAAGAGCCATTGGGGGCCACAGCAACCGAGTAGAGACCTCCCTCCACACGGAAACGCTCGTCAAGTCCTGTCAATCCGACCACGCTTTGGGCGTTGGATGTGGATGTCAGACCTGCAGCCGCGGCATCCCCGAAAACATCCCACACGTAAAAGCTTGAGTCCTCGCTCACTGTCGCTAGGAATTTGCCGTCCGGACTCCATGAACCTGCCGTGCAGGATTCTGTGTGGAGGTAGAACGCCTGGATGGCCGTCAAGGGGGAGTCCTTCTGAGATGCGTCGAGTTGGTAGACCCAAACGCTACCATCGTTGGCTCCGAGCGCAACGACATTAGGATGTTCCGGGTCCGGGCATGGAAGCAACCAGTTGATTTCCTCGACTTCCTGTGCTTCAGCGAGAAATTTCCACCTTTTACCAGCTGGCTCGCCCTGCCAAACTCTGAGCTTTCCGTCAAGGCCGGCGGTCGCAACGTATTGGCCCTTAGGGTAAGAAAAAGTGATTGCATTAATTGAGTCGGAATGCCCTTCGAGTTTGAACAGACTCTTCAAACCTTCTCTTTCAACATTCGCAACGTTACCGCCGGCAGGAATATCGGATACATCGACCACGTAACCGGTGTCGTCGCCACCTCCCGTCGCTACGATGGAGGGGTGCACGGGATGCTGTGCGATGCAAAAAATACTGTCTTGATGGCCGTCGAAGTGAGCAACACTGTCGTTTTGGAGCTCAATTTCTACCTGCATGCCTTGGTCTCCATCCTGGCCGTCCTCGTCGTCGGACTCCATGGGGGCATCTTCATCGTCGGGAACTTCCTCGCCAGCCTCGGCGGGATCGAGCATCACCTCCTCCTCTTCCACATCCATGTCGTCGTCACGGTGCTCGGCGGGGTTTGCAATCGCCATTTTTTGGTTGCGTTTCCTGGGTATCTAAATTTTTGGGGGTTTCACCGTGTGAAGAAATGGCTGTCTGCTTTTATGCAGTGGCGCAAGGTTTATATTTGCAGATTGATGCTTAGAAATGCAGATGCCCAACTTGTTGCTATTACCAAGAACATTTTTTTCCCTAATTTTCGGGTCCATGTCGGAGTTTTTGGTGGTTCTAACACCGACGTCACTCGCTTAGATAAGCTTCACATGGCACTACTGTAGGTGTGACTCTTCAATTGTCTTGGAAGGATTCGAATTACAGATGATAGTGGAAGGACTTGGAAATGTATGAATAATTGCTATCAAAGGCAACACCCAATGGGAATATATCAAAATGCGCCAACAGAAATTATGGTGTGGCGGTGTTCTATAGTTTCGCGCCAGCCGCCCTCCTCTTCTCCTTCTCCTTGTCCCGCAAGAATCTTCGGAGAATCTTACCGCTTGGGCTCTTGGGAATCTCGTTGATGAATTCCACTCCACCCGTGATCCACTTATACTTGGCCTTGTGCTCCTCTACGTGCTTTTGGATCGATCGAGCAAGCACGCGATCGTTCTCCTCCAGGCCGACAGAAGGTGCTTTCACTACGAAGGCCTTGGGGACCTCTCCTGCGGCATCATCCGGTACCTGGATGACTGCGCAATCGTTTACGGCCGGATGGGTCAGGAGATGGGCCTCGAGTTCGGCAGGTGCGACTTGGTGACCCTGATGAAAATCAGTACATGCACTCTCGTGATTAAATGTTCGGGATACATACCTTGACCTTGATCAACTCCTTTATCCGGTCAGTGATAAACAAATGCTCAACGCCTGATGGTGCTTTGCGGATCACGGCCTCGTCGCCAGTGCGCATAAAACCGTCTTGAAAGGTCTCCTTGTTGGCTTTATCATTTTTCAAGTATCCAAGAACGACCGCGGGTGACTTTACGAGCAGCTCTCCTGGCTGATCATAACCTGTGATCTCCTCGCCTTCGGGTGTGACGATCTTGCACTCGATCGAGGGGAGAATTGATCCGGAAGAACCGAACCAAATGTCATCGGCGGCGGTTGAGGTTACAACGGTGCACGTCTCAGTCAAGCCATAGCCCTGGCGAATGGCCCAGTTGGGGAAGATCGATTGGAGATCTGCGGCTGTCTCTTTGCCCAGAGGTGCTGCGCCCGTGAAGATGGCAGTTACATTGCTAAGGTCATACTTCGACAGTACTTCCTTGTTCTTTGTGAGAAGAATAATGATCGGGGGTACCTAGAAGAGGGTAAGTTATGAACAGGCTCCGTACCAATCGCAAGGCTTACCAAAAACAATGTGCTGATCTTGTTGTCCTGGATAGCTTTCAACATTAGGGCAAAGTCAAACTTTGGTAGCACGACAACTCCATAGCCTCGGTAAATGCTGGAGTGTGCAACGACTACTAGTCCGTAAATGTGGCTCATTGGGAGAAGTCCCAGGACATTCTCGGTGTAGTCGGACTGGGTGCCAGCTGGGCGTTTCCTATCTCGGTCAGGTTGCTCGAAGGTCGAAATTTGCACTATTTCTGTCAGTACTGCTTGTTCGATGGTGGTATAGACCGCTACATACAGGTATTTGCAATCACGTTTCGATGTGATATCATAACACCTTTCTGTAGGTATGTCAGTATCGTGTACAAAGCTTCCTGCAGAATCAACGTACGGGCAACCCCGAAGTTCCACTCGAGTAGCAAAGGAATGCAGTCTTCTTTGCGCCGTCTCCCTGCTTCCAATTCAATGGCTCTAGCCTGGGCAGCTGGGCGCCTTCGCGGATGAAATCATCAACGGTCTTAGCATTACTGGTCACACCCGCTGGAACAGCAAACTTTGGCACTTCCAGGATATAGATGCGATTCTCTGGGATACCAGCGTTCTTTGCAGCCTCCTTTGCGGTGCTTAGAAGAGGAAGGCAGGTGAAGAGCGCCTTTGCGCCGGAGTTCTTTAATTGGTATTCGAGCTCAGCAGCACTGTATGCGGCATTCGCAGGGGACTGGAGACCGCCCAATCGATGAGTTGCCCATGCCAGCGGGATCGTGTCAAGCTACGCACGTCAGTCTTCCGGACTGTATCGTATCAATTGCGGGTTCGCAACGGGTACTCACAGTATTGACAGAAAAGACTGCAATGACCTTATCCCACTCGGAGCCCTTGTTCGGCTCCCAGCCAAGCTCTTTCGCAAGACCACGTGCGAGGTAATCGACACGCTCCTTGACCTCCAGAGTTGAATAGCTTTTACCTGTCAAGCCACAGATGAAGGGTGCGTTTGAGTATCCCAGCGGGTGTCTGCCATAATGCTCCTCCAAGAGGAAGTCGGCCACGGTGATCGAATCCGGAGGGTCGAAGGGCAGCTTCGGGACCCATTCGGGAGGGTAGAAAGGCATGCTGGATAGCTATCTGTGATACCGTGAGTCTTGTGTACGACGGTTGAGGGAATTGGGGAATCTGGCCTACCTGGGGGTGACTTTGCGAGAACGCTGGCTGGCGACTAAGGGAATGGGGAACGAGCAACAGCTACAGGCAGACTTTGTGTGCGACCGAGGCCAACAGAGGTTTTAAAAGAAGGAAAGACTGGGGACGATGAAGAGACAGCGGAGTCGGCGAGATGACGCTAGCAAGCTTCGGATGACGGTCATGGCTCGGCGAAGAGCATCAGCAACAACAACGTGTAGCATCAGCGTATCATCGAGCAGCGATTCGCGAAATGCGGACGAAGCGTGGGGAATTCTGGGGCTGGGCCGCTGGGGTAAAACGAACAAGGTACGCGCTGGTTCAACTGCCTCGGTAAAAAGAGCATAGTGCGGGAAAGGGTAACCTGATTGGGTTTACCGACTCTGCATCGAATTCCACGGGTTGTGTTTTCGGATGCTCCATCTACCTGCACCTAATAAGTTGAACTCAACCTGGTTTCCGTAGAAAAAAAAATGTCTTTATCGTGTTTGATAGAAAGAGAAGCATCGCCATCATGAGTCTCTATATAAACCCATTCACGCCTGCTACAACCCAAGGTCATATCCAAGTACACCTACCATCGTTACGTTGTCGAGTCACCTATATCTGACTTGCTCGCACTGCATGTTACTGGGCACGTTTGTGTACTTGCACAGCAGCTCCGGCAGCGGCGTCGTAGAAATATGATGGCTACGAGTAGTTTTCGTCGCAGCTACTCATGCATTACTGAATTCTTGACGGACTTTTCGAATCACCGATAACACCGCTTGCTTCACGCTAACCTTCATCGACATCTTGTTCATACTTCCTCGGCCGAAGCCAGTCGCAAACATATCGTTCATACTCGTAGGTCTAGGGAGAAATCTTCTCTAATTTGAATCCAGCACGCGTCATAAAAGAATATGGGTCATCAAATCACGCCCCGAAAAACGACGCAAAAAACTCGGCGACCTCTTGCGGGCGCTCGACCATAGGCAAATGGCCAGCACCCTCGATGACCTGCAGCTTCGCGCCGGCACCCAAACCATCCGCCATATCCTTCATAGTCTTTGGTAACACGCCGTCGCCAGCGCCGACCAAGAATGCACCTTTACCCTTGTACTCCTTCATCTCGGCCCGGAAGTCGTACTGGTACAGCGCCTTAACGCTCTTCCTGAAGCCGTCGAGGCTGTTGTTCGCGACCATTTGCTTCGTGGTCTCGATCTTTCCCTGCAATGAAGCGTCGTCGTAGGACTCCTTGACGAACCATCGGCGCACGGTGACTTCGGCGAGCTCCTGGCCGACAATGGGTTCACCGGTGGCGGACGACTTCAAGCCCTCCTTCTCCGCGACCTCGATACGCTCTTGCCACGCCTTTGGGTTTCCTGGGGGAGCGAGGGAGTTGGTGTCGCAGGCGATGAAGGATGTGATGCGAGATGGGTAGGCGAGAGCCGTCTTTAGAGATGTAGCGCCTCCGAGGGAGACACCGGCCACAGAAGCCTGCTTGATGCGGAGGGCGTCGAGGATGGTGATGACGTCCTGTGCTAGAGTGTCGACCGTGATCGAGGAGTTTGAGGAGTCAGGGAGACTCGATCGTCCACGAGTATTGTAGCGAATGATTCTGTACTTGTTCTGTGTGGCTTTGAGGAATGCGGGGATGAAGTCGTCCCAGATGCCGTAGTCTACAAGAATGGAGTTGACGAGGACAAGTGCTGGTGCGTTGGGATCGGAAGACCCGGTGAGCTCGTAAGGAAGCTGTACGCCATCTTTTGTCGTGATGAAGCTTGCGATGGTCGGATAAGACGTGCTAGATTTCGACGCTGGGGTAGTCTTCGTCAATGCATCAGTGCTCTCCGCAGGATTCGTCTCTGGCTCCGACAAGCTCTGCAAGTCCCGTGGCGCAGGTCCGAATGTATAGTATAGATCGTAGGTCCTCCTGGCCTTCTCCTTGATAACACTCTTGTACATTTCGTTATTCCACGGCGTGCTGGTCGCGGTCTTGAACTCCTCTCCACCCAACCCATTCTTCGGGGCATATTCGTGCAGAGCCATAAACTCCTTCGCCTTCCCCTCCTTCAGGTCCAGATAACTCGTCACAAATCTCCTCGTCCTCCTCCACCCGGGCACCTTTTGAAGTAGCGGCACGTGCTCCTCCTCATACCACTTCCTGAGCTCCTCCTCCTTCTCGTCACCATCATGCAGCGTTAACCTCACAGACACCAAAACATTGCCCTCTCCCTCCTGCTCCACGTCCTCAAATGTAGGGAAATCACTAGCTTTCCACTCTCCCAACAGATCGTAAAACTTCCTGTCGACAGTGATCTGCTTCATGGTGTCGCGCTCCCTTTGACTCTGCACAGGCGGCAACCTCAGCTTCGTGTACACGTCCTTGGTCAGCCAGTCCATATCGTCGATGTCGTAGATAGCCATCCATTCGGGCCTCGTAGCGGAGAACGAGGCATCGTTTGCGCGGTACCGGAAGCCGTTCTGGCAGAAGGAGAGGCGCAGGCGTCCGGGTCCGTGTTCGTTATTATACCAGTCGTGGAATTGGGACACGGGGAGCGTGTCCTTGGGTTGCATGGTGACGTACAGGATTCCCGGTGTCTTCGCCATGATTGCGGATGGGGATGTGTGGCTGTCACAGTGGATATGAGGGGGATATGCAATGGCTCTGTAGCGATTGAGTGCACTTGAAATACCTTAAGTATCGAGGCCACGAATTGAAGTACAAAAAATCACGGTATGCGTGGAAAGAGAAGGAAGGAAGAAATCTACACGATTTCTTTTTAGTACTCTCAAAAGAATGGGTTTTCCGTTTAATGAATCGGATACAGCTTTTGGAGAAAAGGCAATCCAAGAGCTTAGATCCTTGTGGATGTGACCTTCTCCGACTCCATCTGCCGGGACGCTGATGACGGAGGGGGGCTAGCTAACTAGGGCACGCCCGGAATCAACGCAACTGGTGCCCCTCATCTTTCCGAGGTCGGAACTGCGGGCGGACTAGCGAGCGCATCCCCAAATCTTCCCCCAAAGGCATTGGCCTCAATCATGGTTGGGGTCCATTGGGGTAGATAATGAGGGGAGAGAGGATAATTTGATAGCTTTCAATGATCACATCATAAATGAGTTGGGGCAATTGCGCATGTTGTTCTCCAAATTGGACTGAGAGACCTGCTCTGCATGGTGTACTTGACATGTCCTGGAACACATTTCTACTACTACCAATTTTGTAGCAATACGTGTATAAACACTATGATATCTATGAAATGTTCTACCTCTAGTCGTACCAGATCGCGTTCATACCAAATCCCTTCTCTTTGATCTCTAATCTCGCGACTCGTGCGAGGTATTCCTTATGCCATCTGTAGATCTCGATGCCACCTTTTTCGTCATCCGTCAAGGCCAGCCATTCATCTGTCCATGGGCAAGGGCTGACGGCATTTGAATGGCCACCGCTCGTTGGGGTAGGGTTGAGACAGATCTGTCGTTCGATGGCGCCGGAGTCGCTGATCTTGAACGCTGCGATGTAGCCCGTGAGATCGAATGAATTTGCTCGGGAGGTCGCAAAGAGGTATTGTGAGGACTGTGTCAGGAAGACTACGTCGGAGCGGTACATCTTTGGGTTGGGAATATCTATAGGATCATGATGTGAGTGATTGCAGTAATCAGGGCATGATTTGAAATCTTACCAGGCGGGATGAGCGGGTATTCCTTGTGCGTGTAAACAGGCAACTTGGTCTTCTCGTCGATCACGAACTCGCATATCCGGTTACCGCTCTCCATCAGTGCATACAGGAACTTGCCCTTGGGATGCATCTCAACCCATCGCGGATGATCGTGGTCGCCTGGCGCGTCTACATATCCCACAAGGTCCACCGTGCCGTCCTCTTTCTTCTTGTGGCACCATATCCTGTTTGCCCACATGTCTGCAGAGTAGAGATACGTTTCGGTGGGATCGAATACCATGCCGTGGATGGCGGTCTTTTCGCAGTACTCGTAGTTCTGGATGTTTTTGGCGATAGAGCCGTCTGGATTCGTGCTGAAGACGTTGCCAAAGCCTGCATGCTCGTAGAATGGGTTGCCGTACACGCAATATGGTGGCTGTTTGGCTGCGAGGACGAAGATGGCGCGAGTCCGGGTATCTGCTTCTACTGCTTTTGCTACAAGGTTGTCAAAAATCTGAACCCCGTTTTAGGAGACTTTGTGAACACTTACGGTGACCGCCCATGGGATGCGACGAGCTGTGGACAATCTCAGACGGGCTCTTGACAGTGTGGCTCGACCATTTCTTCATTGAAGCACCATAAATGTTTTTGCGTTGATGCTATGAAATTCATGATTAGCTATACCAACGATCAGTCTACCGGAAAGCACTTACGTCAAAAGTCATCCATGAAATTGGCTCGTCTTCTGGAATGTCGGTCTTCTTGACGAGCTTCAGGGTCAGAGCCTCATCATCGAATTCGACCGTAATGATAACACCCGGAGGAGTCCAGGTCCCAATCATAAGATGGTGTTTCATCCTGGGCAAGAAGTCAAGTCTCCGGTTTGTGTGTACTCGTGGTCTTGCGAGGTGTCGTCCAAAGTTTGACAGCAGTGATGAGCGAAACATGTCTGTCCATGGCGGCTTGGAAAAGTAAATCTAGTAGTGGAGCATTGGCACGCAGCCCCCGGAAACAGCAAATAGCATGAATGGGGGTTCCGGTGACATAGTGCAGGTACAGTTCAAGCATAGTGCAATACAAAAGGTACCCGAAATGCAATCCGAACGGCGGGGCAACGTCCATGAGACGGAAAAGTGCTGGATGAGCATTCATCCGGAATGGATCATCGCTGATTGGTCAATCTCGTTCCGAGCTGCGGGGCAGACATCGGCACTCAATTGGGAGACCATGAAGAACAATCCTTTGAAACTTTGCGGATTGAGAAAAGTGAAGAGCTACATGTGTTTCCCTCTGGTTAATTGGCAATGATAATCTAATGTATCGGGCATATTGAATTTTGATAGAAATTAAACAACCGAGAAAGATTGCCTTCCCAATTTCAAGTTGGAGTGGACATTTAAGCACTGTGCTTCTCCCTTCACATGGATCCTGAGAATCATGGTTGAAACAATGTATCTCTTCAAATCTTCCATCCTCTATACAGAATCAAAATTGCTAAAATTTTCCCCAAAATGGCGAGAGATGCAAAGCTGCAATGTGCGGAACTTGTCCGATATCGTGGTGAGGTGTGCAGGCATGTACCGAGAACGGTTCCGACTGTTCCTCGCAAATAAACCTTCGATCTCCCACTACAGCAGTACTGATGCTGCTATTACTACTACACTTCCGACATCTTAGATCTCTCTCCCAATTACGGCGAATAACCCTCACGACGACCTACAATTCTTCTGCCCACCTACACAAAACCTCTCACACAAACATGCGTGTCCCGTACGCACCCAAGGAACCCCAAAACCCGGAGGATGCACCTATATACGAACGCATCGCCGCTCGACGTGCACCCCGTCCCCTGATCCCTCTCGACCTCGCACTCCTGCACAATCCCGCCGTGGCCGACGGATGGAACTCATTCATCGGCGCCATCCGGACGAAGAACAGCGTCCCAGAGTCTCTCAAAGAGCTTGCCATCTCGCGTGTGGCCGTACACAACCATGCGGTGCATGAATGGAATATCCACGGGGCTTTGGCACTGAAGGGCGGAATAAGTAAAGAAGGACTTGAGACCGTTCTCTCGGCGCCTTTGGTCAAGAGAGGGGATGAGGTCACGAAAGGCAGAGGCGGCGGGTTAAGTGATGAGGAATGGGCTGTTCTTGCTTATACGGATCAGATGACGGTGGGCGTTCAAGTTGATGAGGCGGTTTCACAAGGTGTTAAAGATATTCTGAGCGACAAGCAGGTGGTAGAGTTGACAGCTACCATTGCGGCGTACAACTGTGTTAGCAGATTCCTAGTTGCACTGGATGTGGGGGAGAATAATGGACATGAAATGTTGCCTGTCAAAGATTTGTGAAGATTAAGAATTCATCACGCAATTTTCTCTCTTTTCAAATCCTTATGTCATTCCTGATCTTAATCTTTGGTGGTTTCTGTTTCTTTTGGATACTAGCGGAACTCCAGCTTTTACCATTGCTTTGTTGATGTCACCAGAGCTGGAACGGGAAGCTCCTTCCCCATCCGTGCTCGAATCAACCGACACTACCCACCCTATGCCGAGGCATGAATTCCATCTTGTCCAACTCTCAGTTCACATCTTACGAGAAATTCGCACTTTGTGAATTTCGTATCTGTTGAAAAGTTTTTGTTTCCTACCTCACATTGCAATATCATGGCTTCTCTGCAACCACGACTTCTCTCCCGCACCGTGCGTCAGCTGTGCAGACAGCAACCACGCCCGTTGTGCCTCAATGCTCGCCGTCATGCGTCTACCAAACACCCCAAGGGCTTCGTCCCACCCACGCAGAGCGACCTAGACGAACTGCGGGAAAGAGTCCAGGAATTCACACGTAAGTTCCAAGCAAGGAAGCAATACATAAGGCACGTCACTGACCCCGATGCTGCATGTAGGCCGCGAGATCCCAGAGACCCTTGCACAGAAAACCGACGAGGAGAACGCATTTCCCAACGACATGTGGGCGAAATTCGGCGAGGCGGGATTCTTGGGAATAACGGCCGATGAGGACTTTGGTGGCCTTGCAATGGGATACCAAGCACATTGCGTAGTGATGGAGGAGATATCGAGGGCGAGCGGCAGCATTGCGCTCTCCTATGCCGCGCACTCACAACTATGCGTTAATCAATTGATGCTGAATGCAAATGCCGAGCAGAAGGCGAAGTATTTGCCTGGTTTGATCAGCGGAGAGCAAATAGGCGCATTGGCTATGAGCGAGCACTCCGCCGGCAGTGATGTCGTCAGCATGAAGACGACAGCAAAGGAAGTCGACGGCGGCTATCTATTGAACGGCACCAAGATGTGGATCACAAATGTAAGATTTTTTCACCAGGCCGAGGGGCACATGCACATGAAGATCAATGGCTAATCATTGGAACAGGGACCCGATGCACACACGATAATAGTTTATGCCAAAACCGATCCCCAGGGTGCCAGCAAAGGCATCACGGCATTCATTGTTCCCACAGACACCAAGGGATTCTCGTGCGCTAAGAAGCTTGACAAGCTCGGTATGCGCGGTTCGAACACCGGAGAACTCGTCTTTGAGGATGTCTTCGTTCCCAAAGAAAACGTTCTCGGCCAGGTCAACAAGGGTGTCCGCGTTTTGATGGAGGGTCTTGACCTTGAGCGCCTGGTGCTGAGTGCTGGACCATTGGGCTTGATGCAGGCATCGCTGGACGCGGTCTTGCCCTACGTCCACACAAGAAAACAGTTTGGCCAACCCATCGGGCACAACCAGCTTGTCCAGGGCAAACTCGCAGACATGTATACAAAATACCGCGCGTCTCAAGCATTTACGTACTCGGTCGCGAGGGCTGTGGATGAGAGTCACGAATCAGTAGACGTTAAAACCCAAGATTGCGCTGGCGCCATCTTGTATGCAGCAGAACGGGCGACGGAGACTGCGCTAGATGCAATTCAGCTGATGGGCGGTATGGGTTATATGAACGAAGTGCCCGTTGGAAGGATACTTCGGGATGCAAAGCTATATGAGATTGGCGCAGGTACGAGCGAAGTGAGGAGGATGGTCATTGGACGAGCTTTTAACAAGGAGTACGCGGAGGGGAGGTAGATACCTACGCGAGTAGATTAGAATCATTTTTTAGCAGTGCTCCACTAATTACTGGTCCATCGAATGCCTTCCATGGGCCACGAGTAATACGATGTTGGCCCTATTCAGTGTCGTGAAGCCCTACAAAGGTGCTGAAAGTTAGCGGACCGCGGAAGTATATAAATAGAACACCCGGATACCAGCAAGCATAATTACGAGCACATATTCGTCCTCCCTAGATAGACTATCATAGATCATACGCGTACGCCTCGTAGTGTATTGCTCATTTACTCGAGATAATACCATATTTCAGTAATGGCCCTGTCCAAGCAGCAGCAGCAGACGAGAAGAACAAGCAGCAGGGAGGAGTTTAGCGTCTGGGCGTGTAAGGAACAAGCTCACGCCCATCCCCTCACAAGCTTTTCCCCAGTTATTCATTGCAACTAAGGTCTGTTCTGATGACGATCAACATCAACAATTGGAGACAAGACGTCACGTCCACTTCACATAACCAGGTAGCTTCCTTTCCGCGCAAAGACGTACGCGTAAGGCTTTCTTTCAACAAAACCAAACTACCAGTCAGGCCGTCCGCTGTGGAATAACGACCGACAACGTTTGACTGGTGACGATCCCGTTAGACTGATCCACAACTCGATCGAAGACCCGATTTTGTCAGTCCTAGGACTCCCAGCCGATGTATCCGGAATAATGGGTGGTTCTTCGTGTTCAGGCAGCGCCGCCCCATATGGAGGACTCGTTTTATCCGTATTTGCCATTTGATGCTTGTCGAAGGACGAATAAGGCAAACATAAGTCTCATTTCGGTAAGGTGGAGATCCCGAATCGATGAGGGATTGTGGCAGTGTTTTTGTATCGAGGGATTATTAAGTACAATGTCGGTTCTACGAGGTATGGCAACCGGAGTCGAACAACAACCAGTGCTGCTCGTCCCTGTACGTACTCGTGGAAACTCGCCTTGCCAGCTCAAGTTTGTGGGTTTACCCTGCGCATTCCTCAGGGTGCCTAAGGAAGGGAGTTCTCCCATGATGACGCAACGTAACAGGGCCGAAAGCTAGTTACCATACCAGCAATACTGTGGAGGGGGTCGCGTGCGGTTGACAGGAACCACTTGTTTTCCTTCGCCGTTCAGGTAGTTAGACAAATCCTCCCGTCTTACGGGGCACGGTTAGGTCCCGTTCTTTTACATTACATCCGCTGGAGGATGTAAGCTTTTGCTTGTCTTTGCTCTTGACATCTCTTGACTGTTGCTTGGTCTGTCGTTTCCTCTTGATTTACTTCACGAAACTACTCGTACCTTTCAGTAGCTGCATCCCATCTACATACATACATATATACAATTCTTCACCCTTCACCAACCTCACAACCCAGAAAGAGATATATTGCGACTACTTGAAGACCAAAACTCGGGAACATCGTAATTCCTACGCCATTTTGCAAACCACGAATAACTCTTCGATACACCTTTACGAACACATGTGGACGCGAAGATGAGGTTATCCCTACCAGCCCAGCTGCTCACTGCGCTGTGTATCTTCAGCAGCAATCCGACCGCACCACCCGTAGCATCAGCCTTAGACCTCGATCCCACACAGCCTTGTAAATGCGCCCAACTCTCCTTCCCCACATCCTTCTGAAAAGAGAAAGAAAAGACAAGAAACCTCGACCCCATCCCCTCTTTCAAAATCAAACGTCAATAACATACACGTCCAAGTCGCTGACACTTCCCCCCCAAAGCAAACGTCCGAGATGTCGCAAAGAAGGTCGCCGGCGAGCTCGTCTCCATGTACGCGACCATCGACTCCGACGGCAGCGTCCACCCACTCAGCGGCATCCCAGGCCTGTTGACGTACCCGCCGTACTACTGGTGGGAGGCGGGGGCCATGTTCGGCCAGCTGATCGACTACTGGTACTACACGAACGACTCGACGTACAACGACATGGTGAGGGATGGACTGCTGCATCAGATTGGGGACTCGGCGAATCTTGTAAGTGTGGTTGGAAAGTAGAGTGGGGTTAGATGCGTTCGAAGGAGGTGGGAAAGACGTTGGTTCATTAATTGGAGGTCATGACGACTGGATCACTGGATATGCATATGTTTCTTGTAGAGATAAGACACTGACTAATTCCACCAGATGCCCGCCAACCAAAGCAAGGACGAAGGCAACGACGACCAGCTCTTCTGGGCCTTCTCCGTCATGTCCGCCGTCGAACTCAACTTCCCGAACCCTCCCGACGACAAGCCCGGATGGCTCGCGGTCGCCCAGTCCGTCATGAACCAGCTGATCGGACGGTACCAGATCGAGGAGGAAGGCGACGTGTGCGGTGGGGGTTTGCGCTGGCAGATCTACCAATGGCTCGGGGGATACAATTACAAGAACACAGCCGCGAACGGAGGCATGTTCCAGTTGGGCGCGAGGTTGGCCAAGTACACAGGCAACGCGACATACGCCGAGTGGGCGGAGAAGGCGTTCGACTGGATGGCGAAGTCGCCGCTCATGACGAGCGACTGGAAGGTGTACGACGGGACGGACGTGCTGAAGGGGTGTCAATCGGCGGACCAGACGCAGTGGAGTTACAACTACGGCATTATGATCGGTGGTGCGGCTTATGTACGTCTTCTCCCCATCCCTCCTCACCCATACCCAACCCCCCTTGTACACACAACAAACTCCCATGCTTACAAGCAACCAGATGTACAACTACACCAACGGCTCCGCCCTCTGGCAATCTCGAATCGAAGGCTTCCTAAACCACACATCGTACTTCTTTCCCGACTACAACTCAGGCGTGATGACCGAGGTCTGCGAGCGCAACTACAAATGCAACATCGACCAACCCTCCTTCAAAGCGTACCTTGCGCGCTGGCTCGCCGTGTGCGCGCAGCTCGCACCCTTCACGTACGACCGGATCCTGCCGCTCCTCCAGCACTCCGCCGTCGCGGCCGCGCAGTCCTGCGACGCGGGGAACCAGTGCGGGATGCAGTGGTACGTTAAGGGGTTCGATGGTCACGGGGGCGTGGGCCAGCAGATGAGTGCGTTGAGTGTGATTTCGGCGAATTTGATAGGGGAGGTTAAAGGGCCGTATACGAAGGATGATGGCGGGACGAGTAAGGGGAATCCCGCCGCGGGGACGGGCGATGAGGATCCGACAGTTAGGGACGATAGGAAGGCGACGACGGCGGATAAGGCGGGCGCCTCGATTGTTACGATATTGGTGGTGGTGTTTGTGGTCGGGGGTGGGTATTGGTTGGTTTTGGAGTGAATGGTGGTTTGATATATGGATGTGGGAGGAGAGAGAAAGGAGAGGAGTGGTGGGATCTCGATGGTGTTTTCATGGATGTATGATATACTTACTTACCTACCTTTGCATAGCGTTCTGCAATTCTTTATTTTCTTCACAAGTCTCCTCTTCGCGAGGAAAGGGAGATACAGGGACATGTTGATATTGGAAGAGATATCACGGATAATAGCCGTCCCATACAAAAGAAAAACGGAAATAGAGGCAGATTCTTGACGAAAGAAAAGAAGACTCTCTACATCTTCTCCTCAACCAACTTTGCCTCTTCAAGTGATGTTCCTGGCGTCTCGAGAGACGAATGTAGAATGGACAAGCGAGTGAGTGAGTTTGCATATAAGGACGAGGAATTAACTTTTCTTTATAGATGATATATCATTACCTAACATGCACACCCTTCTTCTCAATACCTTCTACGTCCCCTGAGACTCTTCTACATCCTAAACACACCATACTGCGTCTCCTTCTCCTCCCTCTGTCCGCCCATCGCGGCACGGAGTCCGAGTCCCAGCACCCTCCTCGTGTGGGAAGGGGGAATGATGCCGTCGTCCCACAGCCTGGCGGACCCGAACGTCGCCTCGCTCTCGCGCTCGATCCGCGCCTTGAGCTCCGGGTCCGCCTGTCGGCCCACGGCTTCCATGACGGAGGAGAGTTGCTCGGCGCCCATGACGGACGTCTTCGCGTTGGGCCAGGTGAAGAGGAGGCGGGGGGAGTAGGCGCGGCCGCTGGTGGGATTGTTAGTCTCGTTTTTCCTTTTTATTTATACTCGGTGTACTCGTATTCTTGCATTTGAAAGGGGGATCACTTACCACATGCCGTAGTTACCAGCACCAGCCGAGCTTCCAACAACGACGGTGAACTTGGGCACGTCGACGCAGCTGACGGCGGTGACGAGCTTCGCGCCGTTCTTCGCGATGCCGCCCTTCTCGGCGTCGGCGCCGACCATGAACCCGCTGATGTTCTGCAGGAAGACGAGCGGGATCTGGCGCTTGCCGCAGAGCTGGACGAAGTGGGCGCCCTTGAGCGACGACTCGGAGAACAGGATGCCGTTGTTCGCGACGATGCCGACGGGCTGGCCGTAGATCTTCGCGAACCCGGTCACCAGCGTCGTGCCGTACGAGGGCTTGAATTCCGCGAACGAGGAGCCGTCGACGATGCGCGCGATGATCTCGTGGGCGGGGATCTGGCGTCGGAGGGATGTACCCACGATGCCGTCCAACTCGGCAGGGTCATAGAGAGGCTCTTCGTAGGCTACCTCCGCCGGGGCGGGTGCATTGCGGTGCCAGTTCAAGTTCGCTACGCTGCGTCTGGCGAGCACCAAAGCGTGAGCATCATCCACAGCCAAGTAGTCAGTGACGCCAGAAATCTCAGTGTGCAATCTACCACCACCCAGATCCTCCGCAGAGACAACCTCTCCGGTAGCCGCCTTCACGAGCGGAGGGCCAGCAAGGAAAACAGTGCCCTGGTTCTCGACAATGATGCTCTCATCGCACATGCTCGGCACGTACGCGCCGCCAGCAGTGCAAGGTCCCATCACCACGCTGATCTGCGGGATCCCAGCAGCGCTCATGCGCGCCTGGTTGTAGAAGATACGTCCGAAATGCTCCTTATCCGGAAACACATCAGCCTGGTGCGGCAAGTTGGCACCCCCGGAGTCAACCAAGTACAAGCATGGCAGACGGTTCTCGAGCGCAATCGCCTGCGCACGCAAGTGCTTCTTCACAGTGATCGGGTAGTAGGTCCCGCCCTTCACGGTGCTGTCGTTGGCAACAATGACGCAAGTGACGCCAGACACGGAGCCAATGCCCGTCACGATGCCGCCCGCGGGCACGTCTTCCCCCTCGTACACATTGTACCCGGCGAGCTGCGAGAGCTCGAGGAAGGTAGTTCCCGGGTCCACGAGCGCGGTGATGCGGTCGCGCACCAGCATCTTGCCGCGCTGTACGTGCTTGTCCCTCGCCTTCTGGGGCCCGCCCTGCGAGATCTTGGTGTGTAGGTCTGTGAGTCGGGTCATGGCGTCGTCCATTTGCGCCTTGTTCTCCTGGAATTCGGCGGAGCTTGGGTCCACGGAGGTGGGGATCGTGGACACCGCTTTGGCATGGTGCGAGTGCGTGAAGGTTGCTATGCCCCGGTGGAGCTGGAGCTGCTGCTGGTGACGGAGGAGAGGTGCGGTTCGACGCGTGCGGAGTGCGGGGCGGATGGCATGGCGGAGGAGCGTGAGAGCTTCTCGAGAGGGTGCCATGGGAGGCATGATTGTGATCTTTGCACAATTAGATCAGAGGAGGAGTGCTTGAGGCCAGGAAGAGCCAAAAGAGCGCAAAGTGCAGTGTGCAGATAGGTTCTCGTAAAAATGACCTGGAGTCGTTGTTGCGGATGTTGGAAGTAACATTCCCAGGTACCTGAACCGATGTAAGCCGCCGCAGCCGGGGTTTGTGGGGAAGGACGCCAAACCCAAATGAGACTTTACCTAGGTACGTCGGTCCAGCAGACGCTTTTGAGCCTCCAAATTCCAGCAATAGCCTGACATGCAGCACGGCACAGCGGGAAATACGATATGATGCTAAAATTCTTTCTTGCTCTGGTGCAATGATCATAGCTACAGTCGAAGGCAGTATGACGCCACATTGTCAAAGAGAAAACGAACCATCCCCTTCATGTATCGATTGAACTGCAGTCGAGCCACAGTAGATGCAACAACATCACTATCACAAGTTGTCTTTGCACCAGATCGGTTGGTTAATGATAATCATAGAGATAAAGATCTATCATCTAGGGTATGTATGAGGAGATGGGTGCACACTATAGAACCCATCCTTAGAAGCACCATTACTTTTGCAACGAGCAGATAAAACGCCATGAGAGAACAAGCAAACCGGCGCAAAATGCGCAGAGAGAAAGGAATAATAAGACGGGCCAGCCTCAGGTTGGCTTATCGCAACCGATGCGCCCAAGCAACTCCTTCCTGTCACCGTGTCCCGGAATGCTGATGCCGGAAGCCCTGCTCCCGCTGCTACGATTCGAGGCGCGCCTGTAGTTCCTAACTCCATTGTTACCCTTGCGTGAGAGATTGAGGGCCTCAACGCCAACGTCCTGTTCGACCGGTGCCCAGTCTGGTCCACCGGCCTTGAGCTCCTCCTCTACGCTGAGCTCCTCGTCTTCGCCCTCATCGTCAGAACGAACGTCATCGGCACCCTTGCCGCTAACCACACGCCAGACCACCTTGATGATCATGGCAAACCATAGAAGAAGCAGCGCTTGCAACGAGAGGAGAAGACCCAGAAAGTTGTATCGCATCGTCGGGTTCCAGCAGATTGTGCCATTTCGGTCCGTGTATGCCTTGAGGATGTTGCCCCAAATGTCGTTGCCTCCGAGAGCCTCGAATTGCGCCGTAGAGCTCATGGGTACGACAGAGCCATCGGCTAGGTAGCATCCAGGGGCCATTGCGGTGGGAGCATGTGCATAGATGGACCAGCAGACCATCATGAAGAAAACGTGACGAGTGATGAACCAGGCCACGACGAACAGCCCAAAAGCAGCGTCGCAAGCAGTGCTGTATCCCGAGTACTTGAGGAGCTTAGCAGTCTACAAAATGTCAGTACCGAGTCTGTGAACATAGTTAAGAAAGTCCACTCACTGGCAAAATAATATCCACAAAGTCCATAATGCATAAGATGACCGTGCCAACTCGCATATGGTAATAGCCATAGCTCAGGGCGATCAAAGCGCAAGTGAAGATGTGGTGGGTGAACATTTGTGCGTAATCCTTGCGCTTCTCCTCAATGTTGACGCTCAGGTTCTGCTGGAGGTACGACGCCCATTGGACGAGGTAGTACCATTTGAACAAACCGTCAATCTCCCGGTGCGGCCACCCTTCCCACATTCCTGTGAGGTTCATCCAGAATTCGGAGTGGTACATGATATACTAAATGAGCATGTTAACGACTTGATCTTCGTCCTCAATGTGCTCGTTGTACGTACCATTCCCAGGGTCCACGATCCCGTGTAGTAAACAATCAACCAACCCTGCTCCTTGAAACGAGCCAGGCCCTTCTTCGTTTTGACACCTGCTGCACGGGCAAGCGGGTCTAGGAAGTAATCCATGACAACTGCTCGCATTCCCGTCAAGATCACGACCCAGAGCGCCACGAGATAGATATCGTCGGTACCGCATCCGTACATCTCAGTATCGGGGTTGTAGTAGGACAGGTGGAAGAACTTGGAGGTGCGCCGCCTGGCTCTGGGGAAGAATGTGTGGGTAAGAAAGAGGAGGAGAACGAGGTTGATGGCGATACCTGGAGCTTTTGTTAGCAATTTTCCTTTTGTGTAAATTCTGCTGCAAACACGGCATAACCGCAGCATGAATTGATTCTCAAGCATGAGAATATGACATACCAATCTGATGGTTGCAAATGAGAGCGCAAAGGCTTCCACTCAAGCTCTCCTTTTCCACCTTTTTGGTCCTCCTCAACGGGCTGTTTGTACGGGCGACAAATTCCCTCGTCTCGATTGTTTGCGTTTCGATTGCATGGTCGGAGGATCGAACCTGCCCATTGGGGACATACGCCACTTTTGTTGACATGATATGGATTGCGCGAGTAGAGTCTGTGGGCGAATTTATACTGTTACGCTGGTGGTCATAGGAAGGAAAGCCGTTGTTGTATGTGGGGATGGTTTTCGCGGGGGTGTTTCAAGACCAGGGCGGTGTGCGAACAATTGAAATGGCGATTGCGCAGCAATGGACGTACTTGACACTCGTGGTGAAGTGTAAGTGATGTGGGCAGCTGCTGCGGAGGTTGCAGGCCAGAAAAAGTGCGTTCTGTTCTGGTTATGTCGTTCCGCGCGTCGTTAAGGGGAGGGGGGCGTCAGGGCGAGATCGTCGCAACGAGGGTTCTTCTTTGGCGAAGCAAAGGCGGTGTGAAGAGCAAGTCTACGATGGCGGCATTTGGGTATCTGAAATGACTAGAACGAAAGGATGAGGGTGAAAAGCAGACGCAGACGCAGGTGCAGTTTGCAAACTGTTATGTATGGACGGGGGCCAATTGCAGCTTTTGTGATTGAGGAGATGTGGATGTTGGCGGTGGTGGTGGTGGGTAGTGGCTCTGGTAGCTTTTTCCTGTGTGGTAGAGGGATTGCTAGCGCACGGGTGGGTGAACTGAACTCGTACAAGGGACAGGACAGGTCAGGTCAGTTCCGCTTTTCCAAGTAACGCAAGCTCGAGAAGAACGTTGGACACGCGAAGTACAGATTGACCGTTAACGTATGTAGGTGCCTATGTATGTACGGAGTACGGAGTACGTATGCAAGCGCGACAGGACGCGAGGATGGATGGCAGCAGGGAAATGCAAGAAAAGAGGAAACAACAAGCAAGACAATATGTTGAGAGGGGGGTGGGAAGGGGAGGGGAGGGGAAGGTATCGAAGGGAAGGGCACCCAGAGGAGGTTTTGTATTTGCTACTCTCCGTAACGATAGACTTGGTCTGGGCGGGCGAGAGTGATGATGGGATGGGATGGGGGGAAATTGGGGGCAAATGGGATGGACCGTAGATGTGATCTGTCTACGGAGCATTGTTGTTATTAACACTACGGCAACTATTTGCTATTTACAAGGAGAAGGGAAAGGGAAAGGGAAAAGGGATCCCAATGTTGACAAGGGAAAAGAAAAAAAGGGACCAAGTCATGTTCAGGTCGGGTGGAGACCCAGAACAGGCGGAAAGAAACGAATGATGCGCCGTCGATTCCCTCGCCAAGTAACACTCGTTGCATCTACCGTGCCTATCTACTACTTGTAGCCATCTAGCGGTGGTGGTGCAGAATTGTTGATCGAGGATTGTTGAACCCTTGAATTTCAATACGAGTATGGTACGAGCAGCTACAGGTCGATTCGGAAGAAAGATGTGGTTGAATGATAAGTACAAGTAGTAGAGACTGTAGACTCTACATAGTCGTAAAGAGAAATACTTTGTAAGAGTAATAGTTAGGGGTACGGAGTATTGTAGGAAGAGTCAAGACTACCTGCATACTCCGCAACTATGAGAATGATATCCTTGAAAGTTGATATTCTTTCCCACCCATACTCGTCCATCCTCCGCAGTTCTGGCCAATCATTCCTCCCATGTGCTAATGCGACTCTGGCGCTCTGGTCAACTTCGCCTATTCTCCACCCTTTTCTCAATTAGGGGGGAAGAGGGGGACAATGTGCTAGATACCCCGCGATGATCAGGAGAGATCTGATAGATGAAGCGCCCATGATTTACACACGAGTATGACGGGTAGCTCATTAATTACGAATTCCTAGAGGTATATATATTACCTGAAGTACTTAGCCGTAGTCATACTGCATAGGCAATCAGTTGTTTCAATACTCTATGGACGGTCGCTTGTAGATGTACTTGTAGATGTTGCGAGTAGATTGGACGTTATTGTGATTTGCAGCTAGACACACGGACGGACATGGTTCAGAGTAGGAATAGTCTCCATTTCTCCACTTATTACGACTCCTCTCACCATGCTCCATAACCCTTTCTCTCCAAAAGAATCAGTGTCAGACAAAAGAAAAGCATGCTGCATTGCGCCTATTGTAATGATCCCAAAATCCCACAACTCCAATAATCTACCCTATTGTAAGGCAGAGTGTGATTCAAGGTCCTTTCCCTTGTCCTCCTATCCATGCGATCCAGCCATCCACACATCTATCCATTCCCGAATTTGCATCGCACCTTTTGATTTCTGCGTCTTAGATAGTCCCATGGATTGTCCAATGAACAATGGTGGTGCTTAGCTGACCGAAGCATTTCTCCCGCTTGACTTCAAGCAATCTAATTCTGATTTTGGGAGTTCAAGATGCGCAGAATAGCAAGGAAGAGGTTGATGATGTCCAAGTACAAGGAAATGGCCGCTGCAATCTCCTCCTCGACATGGTAGTGGCGCATGATCATCTGTGTGTCCACCAAGATGTAACCGCTGAAGATGAGCGCAGCAACGACGCCGTACCCAAGCTCGACCTTGCTGTTGTAAGGGAAGAAGGCGTACATAAATCCGAACAGAATCAGTACCCAGACTCCGCCGAATAGATATGGCGCCCAGTGCGTGAAGTCGTACTTGGACTGGCAGGCGAACAGGCTCAGCGCAACGAAGATGCCGAAGGTGAGGATGACGGCTTCCAGGACGATCTTGCTCTCGGTGAAGGACACGATGATGGAGATGGAGTAGGCTTCCATGGCTGTGAACCCGGCGAGGAAGAGCAGGTTGGTGGGATACGATTTGCGCTTCCAGAACGTGAGGCCGAGGAATACGAAAGAGCCGATCAGAGAGGTCCACATCGCCCATGGGTTATTCTGAATCCAAGTCCTGTATGAAGGACTCGCCATAGAGATACCGCTGAGGAGCGCGGTGGCGAGGAGCTGTACAGTCCTACGAGCAAGTTATTATACCAACATTGAGACCTCCAAGCCGGACTTCAGATAGATCATGTATATACTTACAGAATAGCATAGACCTTGCGGATAAACGCCATGCGAATATCCAGTGTAGCCTCGCTCACAACACCTCCAAACTTGAAGTCATCGGGGATATTGTCGTCTTCGCTCCTGGGAACACCTCCCAACAAAGCTGCCTGTGTAGATGCTTCGGCATCATAGCTCGGTGGCGGCTGGCTGTAGCTCGCCTCTTCGTCGTGATCGGGGACGCGCTGGTACTTGGGACCCGCCATGGTCTTTTTTTTCGCGAATGTCGGTGGTTTGCGATGAACAGTGAGAAGAGTTCTGTGCGATCGACGAACTGCTGTGGGGTTGTTGAAGCAATGGTGGAGGTCACAGGCCCGTGGTTGAATGACGCGCATTGGTTAGGCTGACATATGCGACCACGCTTGGCGCTATCACGTGCATCGACATTCATCATGACAGTTTGATGTCTGAATGGATCGTCAACATTGTTCTCTTCACTTTCGATTCGAATTTTTGCACTATCAAACTTATCACAAATCTACTTATTCGTCCAAACGCCATGATCTGCCTTCTAACCCCAATTACCACACCTCTTTCGACGCGTCTTTTAATCCTCTTATCATAATGGTCTGACAATGAATTTCATTGACTGTTTCCTTCAAAAGAGGATTGCGTTGCCCTTCATCCTCCCATAATCACTCATACAGATGTTTGAAGTAACATGTGTTCATCTGTGACGTCAGGCAAACATACAAGCTGGCCAGCATCACCTTCGTCCTTCCATCCCGAATCCCATAATCCTACCGCAGTCTGTATACGAGGTATCACGTAACGAAAACTAGCATAGTTCGGAGCTATTCGATTCTGAATATCATTTCATTAGAATTTCTCATACTTTGCAATTGAATTTTTGTCTCATCTACCGCCGTTTCGTCCTATGTATTCCACCGCACACTTCTCAATAAAGAACTCGACTATTTCTTTCCATGCATTCTTTCTCCGATTCATTCATTCTCACAGAAGACGAAGAAGACCAGAAAGCTCCTCGCCACGGTGACCGGGGACGACGAACAGTGACTGTTCCAATCCGAGCGATATGTGAGATTCCAAGAACAGGGATGTTCACTACGACTACCACATACATAATACTGCCCCAACAAACTGACATAGGGAAATCCAATCAAGCTTGGTGGGGAAGAAAGGAAGGAAAATACAAAAACGCCACACAAAAAAAAAGACCCAAACCGTATAGAATACATGAGAATAGCCAAACACTCGGGACAAAGCTGACGAAGTAACATCCGACATGGAGGTCGAAATATGTTGTGACACGTAGCCAGGAAAGGAATCGAGTGGAGGATGGGGTTGAAAGGAAGGTAATTGCCGAGCAACGGCTTGATCAGTAGGATTTAAAATTATGTATGGCAGACCGGGTATCGTGCGGGGTCCAATGTTCAGCAAACAACACCCCCTAAAGGAAAGGCTGGCTGGCCGGGGCTATTACCCCAGCCGGGCAGTGTGTAGAATGGAAGGGCGATGGACAAAAGGAGATTCGTCGACGAAGTCGTGACAGGAAGATCCAGCCTTCGCACTACAACAAGATGAGGTAATTGCTTGGTGCGATACCAGTCTCGCCATTAGGCTTCTTGGCCTGCCACCATCGCCCACTGACATCGGACACCTCGAGGATATCGTGCTTCTGGAAGCTGATCTCGTTTGCGTCATCGGGGTTGGCCTCGTAGCTGTAGATGGCCTTCGCGCGGTACGGGTACTCGACTGGGGCTTCTTGTTGTGGCTCCTCCATACCGTTGGTGGGTGTTTGACTCTGGGGGACACCGCCCATGCCGCCGAAACGAGGCTGGGAAGAGTTCCTTGCATCCATAGCGCCAGCAGGGCCACCGGGATAACCAGAAACAGGAGAAGACGTCTCAAATCCGTTCAGTTGTGCAGATGTATACATCTGAGGAGCCTGGTTGGGGGTGATTGAGGCGGGTTGAGCACCGTAGTTGTTAGACATCTGGCGCGAGCTTCGTGATCCTGGGTGCTCCTTGTGGAGGGCGTAGGAATCCACGAATTGGCGAGGGCCAGCTTGCGGCTGCGATCCATAGTAGAAAATCCATACAATCTGAAATTCAAGTCAGCATGCCGAATGGAATACGTAGAAGGTTCGGATCCAAGGGATCGTGTGTTGAAGTAAACGTACGGCAATCATGGACAGCAGGATGAAGCCCGCAGCGGCGGCCTCAAAGGCGGCATTGGCGGAGTAGACGAGCGAGTTGACCGACGATGTGGTGAACACGAGGCCAGCGGCAAGGAAGCTGGTAATCTAGATAGAATGAGCAGGTGCGTCCCATGGGTGCGCACGCGCACTAGCGGCCCAATATTGGCTGGACGTTCACTTACAGCAACGTGATATGTTCGCTCAGCATCCGAAGCGACGGTGACGGTGACGCCGAGAATGCAGAAGAGCATGTAAACAATCGTCCACCATGCATAGTTGGGGAACTTTCCCTGGATATCCGAAATGATGGAGCCGACAAAGGCGATAATCCAAGCAAGCTGTTACATGATGTTAGCCCCTCAGCCTCGCCAGACCACACGAGCCTCGTGAGATCAGGTACTGACCATGCCAATAGATATGGTCGCTAATGAGAATGGGTCGCCGATGATGCGTCCCGGATCGAAGCTGGCGCGCGACCCGTAAGTGTTTCCGTTCTCCATTTTGCGCAAGGACGGTGAGCCTAGAGAGCCGTAGGGGGGCATATGAGGCGATACAATAGATCGCGCGAAGTATTAAGGTAGTAACTGGGAGAGTTGATCGAGGGCGCGTAGGTGATATAAAGGAACGTGGTGTCGGTTCGAAAGTTCGAAAGGCCGACTCGAGATGGTGAGCAGGCGTCAGTCGCGCAGCGAGAGATGCTGAATAGTAGGAGAAAGCGTCGAGGTTCGAGGGAGAGTGGAGGGTTGGTGTCTGGCCGGAGACGTAGAAAGGGAAGACGAACGGTTGCGAAGGTCAGAAGCGGTGGATCGGCTCTGGTGTAGGTGGAGGGAGACGCAGATGCAGATGTGGGCAGTCAAACGATCAGGAGCGCCAGGAACCAGAGGTTATGGAACTCTTGAGGGTACTGCGACGAGACGGCGGCTGCAAGTGTCGAAGGTGTAGAGGCGGAGAGTGAGTGAGTGGTGGATGTGTGAGTGTCGGGTTTGAGGCGGCGGCGGGTTTTTGGTAGTAGCAGGAGAGTAGGAGAGAGGCGAATGGGCAGAGACCAAGTGAGAGAGTGAGTGGTGGGTGAGCGATTGATTGATTAGTGGTACGAAGTAACGGGAGCGAGAATTGGGTGGTGGATTGGGCCCTGTGGGAGGAGGGGATGGGTGGGAGCTTGGAAGGGAACAGGCACGAAAAGGCACGACAGACTCCCCTAACCGTTTCACTTTGGCTTCGGGGACGCGATCGATTGGCCAGGCTTGTTGGCTTGGACCGGGGATATTGGCAATGGCACTGCTGGCACCGGCGACTCTAAAATGGATGAACGTCAGCCGTGGCTTGCGCTACAGAATCCTTAGCCACTCGCTACTGTACGTACATGTATGAACAGGGAGGGAGAAGAAGTAATAGTTGAAGGTACGGAATACGAGTTGTTGGTACTCTGAAGTCGTAGTTTTCTGAGATGAATCGATGGTTGATGATGTGAATGAATGAACGGACGTTAGAAAGAGTGAATGAAGCGAACAATTTGCACCGCCGACATCCGAGATTGGCTGTTGTTACGTTGCTGGCTGTCCATGTGTCTAGATGGGACCACAGTATACGGACACGAAGGGAGGTTCAATGGTTCTTATTACTACCAACGGGTATGATATCACCGAAAGGAAGAAGGAAGAGGCTGTACAAACTTACTACAGGTACAAGAAGCATCACAGGAGCAATGAAGGACTGCTACAAGACAACTATGATGATCATGATGGTGATGGGCTTCAAACAATACCATCCATCAACAGCAACATTCACGAACAGGCACACGCACACAGAGGCCGGGCACTACAGGGGATGTGGACAGGGACTGAAAGCCGAGTCCATTCAATTCTTATTTCCCCAATAGGAACAGATACATACACACCTACTGTGTAGTGTGTAATAGTAATGCATACTGTCATTGACAACTGCCACGGCTAAACTGTCGCCGAAGGACAGCACGCATATGGACAATCAACGAGAGGAGGGAAAAGCTGCACGAGATGGCGTTTGTGATTCGCCCTGTGGCCTCCTGTTCGTGTGTCTATCCCAATGCATGCCATGGAAATACCATGCCTTGCCCTAGCCCGTGAGTATGGGTGTTTGCTTGGTAACATTAATTATGTATCTGCTTGTATCTACGAGTTGTCTACTGTGCATATACTCCTTCACAGTATACTCCGTACAGTACTCCGTACAAGTAACAACGACGGTAGACGATAATGTTCGTTACACACTTGTACCTCACCTAAAAGCAAGAGTACCGAAGAGTGGACTCAAAAGAGTGGAGTTGTGTTCGGCCCAGGGCCCAGCCGCCCGCTGGCATGTGGCGCCCATCTGGCTAATTTAACCAATTCCTGTGCGGTCACTGCGGTGTACCTATTTATTACCTTTCTTACTAGTCGTACCAAACTCGTACCTGAACAGCAAATAAGAAATGACACCAACAATGAAAAAGAGATGAGGGCGTGGGTTTTTTCTCACAGCTCCTTTGTGATGCACAAGGATGGACCACACCTCGTTCTGTCCTGACCTCGAGCCCTAAAAGAAAGAAACTCACTCCTCCTCCCTCTCTCTCTCTTTTTGTCGATATCTAGCCTAGCTCTACAAAGATTTAATGCATCTTCCCGAGTCCCGAGAGACTGGTAGATATTACGAATGTTCGTGGTCGAGTACCAAGACCGTCAATAATTATATGAAGCCCCTTATCAATAACCAGATACCTACCCAGGTCACCCTCGACTTGCATTGCATCCCAATCAGGACAAGACAGGAAACCTCCAAGGTTACGGTTACCCATACCTATGTTCCGACTATCTACGAGTTGAATCCTGATTCCACCTTCTTCAAGACTCAAGACTGTCCCTCCGTTCCCCTCCTTGATCATCCCATGATTCCCTTCCTAGCCACGAGCACAATAGCTGAACAAGTATTAATTAATACACCTTCATGCAAGTAACATACGTAAACCGGTAACTTAACAAACTAATTACCATGCCCAGCTTGCCTCTCCACCATCAATGCTCTCCCCCGCCAATGGTTGATTCGCCGTGATTCGTTGCTCCGTGCCGCAGATTAATCTCCCACTCCCATTGTCCTCGCCACTATGCGGGCCCGCCGCGTACGCCTGGCACGACTGCAAATCTTCCACGTTGAATGTTGAATCCGCCGTTGCGCGCGCTGACAGGTAGTTACAGGTAACTACGGCGTACGCAACGCATGGCTACCTCAACTGCACAGCACACCATCTGCACGTGTCCATATTTTCAATTCCTTTTTTTTTTCTTTTCTTTTTCACGGGATTATTCGATCCCACCCCAGGCACCTCGTGCAGAATGATCCGCATCCCACCGCGCGCTCGCGCCCGTACCCTCCTCCGGCCGAGCAGGCCTCAAACTATCGCCCTGCTGAGACGTCGCTGAAACACCCTTGAACGCAGAACTTCGGAACACTGCTACTCCGCAACTCAATTTCATATCATCACACACATATCATCACTGTGAAAAAAAAAACACCACACAAAGATCATCCTCCAAAGCGCTAATCGACATTCTGTGTGCTGGGTCTCTGAATATTGATTTGTAGTTCATCTATCCTCCATTGATGCGACATTCGCTTCCCCCTCCACTCCCTCGCCTGAAGCAAGCTATCCCTTCATCATCCCTATCACAAACTCCTTGTTTACCCTAGTATAGGGAAAGATATCACCACTAGCCAACCATGTGTCGAGAATAACCCCCTCCTTCTCGCAACGCCGCGTGACAAATTGATGTCATCTGCGATCATGAAAGGCCCCGCCGAAACACTGTGACAGTGCCGGTCGTAACTATACGTAGGGATTGTTATACATTTCCATATTGGCTTCATGATGCCCACATCCCAGTGCCCGCTCACATTTTCCTTACTTATCAATAATCTCCATAATGTGGTCCATAACAGTGGGAGCGATGGGTGGTATGTCGGAGGGAAGTAACCTCCACGTAGGCTTCCCATGTTGGTGAGACGTAGGACGTAGACGAGTGTATCTTCTTGACATCAGTCCGGCGATGCGGTCAGGCGCAGCTAGATGGATTGTATCTAGATGGAATCGTTGCGTCACACAAGTAGGTTCATTCCTCATATCTCCGCCTCTTCATCTGGCCTGTTCCTGAATTCGGTTCGCACGACTGTCCGCTCGGCCTCTGTCAATCGCTTGTGCCACTCCACCCAGCAGCGGCCCTGTCCCAAGAGATGCACATGCTTCACTCGAGAGACAAGCATGCCGCTCTGTTTCCTGAGCAGCGAAATCCGCAATGCTTGTTGCAATTGGCGCTCCTCCGCCTCTGCGATTCGCGGCCGGAGTTTCGCCAGCTTGACGAACCCATCTGTCTGCGGTATCTGCTGGTCGTCGAGGGACTTGAGCTGCGAAGCGGTGGTAGCGAAGGCAGGCGCGCGGTCGGAGACAAGGATAGACTTCTGCGTCTGCGTCAAGCCCGCGTCTTCCTCTTCGACGTCCGCCGGCTGAGACAGCAGGTCGGAGTGTTTTGCGACTGCATTGTGTGAGTGATATAAGCAAACAAATCCATGTGGGAAGCTGGTCAAACATACGTAGTTGCTGTACATCGTCCAGTAGCGACGTCTTTTCAGATAGCTCGCTGAGGGTCCGCTCGATTCTCTGTATCCTTTCCGGGAGGGTCTTCGGCTTCTCCTCAGATAGATTCCTCGTCCCGCTTAACGCATATTCGATGCGGTCCAGCCGGGACTCTAGCAGAGCAAACGTAAATAGAACCGCCTCTTCATAGTCGTCCATGGTGGTGGCAACTACGCAGGTAGACAAATCCACTTCGAAGCTATGGAACGTCCCTGGAGGCCCCAAATAACATATGGCTAACGATGACATTCGTCGCGTCCGCATGCCCATTCCTGTTGGATCTTAGTGGTGGATCATGGTGGCTTGGCGGGGCCGGGATATGTCGAAATCGCGGACTTATCTTGTGAGATAGGTCAACGTCAGCCGTTGGAGAGCGTGTGAGCACGTACTCCAACCACCTCACCCTCATCCTTCAGCCTTGATATTATATCATCGTGCCCTTGTACGCTCACTCGAATTCCCCGGACTGGTACCACCATAAACAAACTGCGATCTGCTAAGCCGCATGATCGTGTGCTGTCTGAAACGTTATCGCAGAGAGGATGGCTAGTTATTCGGCAATAGATCCTGAGCCCGATGCTGTCGATGCTATGTCGTCCAGCACCGGATCGCTTCGAGGGGCCAGGCGGTAAGAAACACACAATTAAGGGAAACATTTCGCATGCTGACAGTGCCAGGCGGGGGAAGGGAAAGAAAGATATCGGCTTCACAGGCCAGGCAACATGGGCCTCGAGTGTGATTAACCTCGTTAATACCAGTATGTACACCATTTCACATATCCAATATTGCCCCCACTGACATCTCCCAGTTCTGGGTGCTGGCCTCCTTGCCATGCCGTCTGCCCTTTCGAAAATGGGTATCTTCCTCGGCATTTTCGTCATTTCCTGGGCCGGCTTGACGGCCGGCTTTGGCCTCTATCTCCAAACCAGATGCGCACGATACGTCGACCGAGGCCATGTTTCCTTCGCAGCGCTGTCGCAATTGACATACCCGAACCTGTCTATCATATTCGATGCCGCTATTGCTGTCAAGTGCTTTGGTGTGGCAGTGAGCTATCTTATCATTATTGGCGATCTTATGCCTGGAGTGGTATTGGGATTTGCGCCTGGCGCTGGAGAGATAGCATTCTTGGTGGACCGTCAATTCTGGATCACCGCATTCATGTACGGCTGTATCCTATGCTTCTGGTTGATATCACTGACAGTCTCAGGTTGATCGTCATTCCACTGTCGTTCTTGCGACGTTTAGATTCGTTGAAGTACACTAGCGTCGTCGCCCTTTGCTCGATTGCATACCTCGTGGTTCTCGTCGTTGCACATTATATCAAGGGCGATACGCTACAAGATCGCGGCGAGGTTCGAGTGTTCAGGTGGGCTGGCCCAGTATCTGCGCTTGCCGCATTTCCTGTTATTGTTTTTGCGTATACCTGCCATCAGAACGTAAGTCTATGTTCATCGTATTATGATCACTCAAAAGTTAACCTTTGTTGTAGATGTTCTCAATTTTGAACGAAATTGCAGACAATTCGCATTTCCGCACCACGAGCGTTGTATTCGCTAGTATCGGCTCCGCCTGTGGTCTATACATCTTGACTGGCATTACTGGCTACCTGTCGTATGGCGACAACATCAAGGGCAATATCGTCAGCATGTACCCGACAGCAGCCTACTCCACCATTGGCCGTGCCGCCATCGTCATTCTCGTCATGTTCTCCTATCCTCTCCAGATCCACCCCTGCCGAGCCTCGATCGACGCCTGCATGAAGTGGAAACCACGCAGGCGCAACGGACCTGGAGAGTCGTCGCCGTCTCGAAACGCGCTTCTGAACAACCCGATGCCCTCAATAAGAGCCGCCGAAATGGGTGACGTCCGCTTCGCCATCATCACGACCGTCCTCATTGTTCTCTCCTTCATCACCGCGATGACCGTGTCCTCCCTCGAGAAAGTGCTCGCCTACGTAGGTAGCACTGGCTCAACCACCATTTCCTTCATCCTGCCCGGATTGTTTTACTACAAGATCTCCGACCCAGACTCGCCGCACCATCAACGCCTCGTCAAAGACGAAGACGACGAGAACGAATTCGACAGCGGAGATGCCGAGGGCTATATCATGAGCGATGCCCACAAGAGCCGTCACTGGAGGAGAGGCTTACTACGCACCGCAAGTCTGGCCCTTGCTATCTACGGCGTATGTGTTATGATCACTTGCTTGATTACGAATACCTTCCTTGTTGCTTCCCATTGAGCGACGACCAAAGTTCCTGCCTATGGCAAGCTCGTCATCGTTCCTTCAACGCATCGCGCGGCGTACTTGAATTTTTTAAGATAGGTGCATATATTCTTTCCGCTTTTTATATCGCATCGTTTGCGAGAGACGGGGCATTTGGGACGTCAAAGAATGGTTTTTTGGCTTCATATATTTCGATGATATTTAATCGCGTAGGTTTTGGGACTGCAATATCTTCAATGTTACATGTCCGGATTTCTTCCTCCATGGACTATTGTACATATACTCTTATAAATCCAACATCTTGCATGCTTCCCAATAGTTGAAACTCAAAAACGCCCATTGATGCTAAACATTCCCTTGACGTACAGAAGGGGATCCTGGGGAACTTAGTGGAATCCCACAGCTCATATAGATTCCCCGCTATTCCTTCCTTTTGCTTCTCTTCTCGTCACATGCACAATAATCCCTTATGCGCTCTCCGTCTCTTTCGCCGCCGGCTCTGCTGGCGCGGGTGTCTGTGGTGGTATCAACGACTTCGCCGCCGAATTCGCCTTCACGACTTGTCCCTGGATCTGCTGGACGCGGTATTGCGGCTCCAGAATGCCAACCTATACGCATTCAAAAGTTAGCATGTTGAACCCTGGTATCTCGCATTTCCCGATCACAAGTTTCAATCCCAATTCCAATTGCGATTCCAATTCGCAACCCGCCAATCCATCCACCCCACCTCTTTTCCTTTCTACGTCTCTTCCTCAACCCCCAAAGCCAACCAATCCCCCTCCACCAGAAACAAATGAACCCACTCACCATGCTCAAAAGCCTCCACGCGGTATCACTCGGTTGCGCGCCAACACCGATCCAGTACCTCGCCCTCGAGATATCGAGCTTGATGTCCTTCCAGGGCCGGCCGTTGGTGTCCCCGGGGCGGGGAGGCTGTGGAATCGGGTTGTAGGTTCCGAGCACCTCGAGGGGGAGAGAATTGCGTGCTGTTCTGTTTTTCTCAATTCGTTAGACGAGTCGGAAGACTAATTGGAAGACTAATTGGTTTGCCTGGGGAATTGGGGGGAGGGGATAGATGGGCGTACCGAGCGTGTGCGACGACGATGTTGTAGAAGGGGGCGTGCTTCTTGCCGAAGCGGGCGAGGCGGATTCGCACGACCATTGTTGTGTTTGACTGTGTTTGATAGTGAGGGGGAGGTGGGTATTGAGCTTGCGGTTCTGGTGGTGCTATCTTTTTGCGGAGGTTTCGAGATTCTTTTCGGAGACGGCTGTTGTCCGAGGTTTTGCCGGGGATATGCTCGTAGGTGTAGAGGCACGTGAGGGGTCTGGGTGTCTGACTTTAGTCGGAATTGAATTTTGGAATTTAGTGCGATCTTATGATAGGTGTTAAAGCATTTGGCACATGTTTGAGGTTTGTTTTTGGATGTTGTTCGTCGTGGGGTTTATTTGTTGGTATTCCTATTGCGATGCCATGATGTAATCACCATTTCTCTGTCTGTGTTCGAACATGCCACCTATGACAGTGTCACGATCAGATTCACGAGAAGTATATTAATACCATGGCCTTGAGAGTAAGCCATTAGATCTCAATAGACAAATGACTACCATTCTCACAAAGCGACTAGACACTTTCTGCCAAGAGTGCGGCAGCGCTCGATCAAGAGCTCATGTCGACAGGTGCCTTCTCGATTGATCAATTAATGGAGTTGGCTGGTCTATCTGTCTCACAAGCCGGTCGGTCCAAATCGGTTGAAGTCGGAAAGACGAGAAAATGAGTGACTTATCACAAGAGTAGTGTTCAAATTACAGCCTTTGAGTAAAGGCAAGAGGGTGTTGGTAGCGTGCGGTCCGGGCAACAATGGTACGCCCAAACTCATTGAAACGACTGGAAGAAGCAAATATTCAATAACAAGTGTTCAGGTGGTGATGGCTTGGTTGCCGCACGGCATCTATTCCATTACGGCTACCAACCGACAGTATATTATCCTAAGCAGAGCAAAAATGAACTCTATCAGGTATCTTCACGTTACCAACCCATTCCATACCCTCGTCATAATCTAACAATGAACAGCGTCTTTGCACACAACTAAAAGACCTGAAGGTTCTCTTTACAGAAGACTTCCCATCTGCGCTACAGCAGACCGATCACATTGTTGATGCCATATTTGGCTTCTCCTTCTCAGGCGAGGTCCGTGAGCCCTTCCCGAAGGTCATCGAGGCTCTCCGAGACACCAAGCTTCCTGTACTGGCAGTGGATGCTCCGTCTTCATGGAATATTGAAAATGGCCCACCTGACTCTGGCCCTGGGAAAGGATTTATGCCTGAGGCATTGATTTCGTTGACAGCCCCTAAACCATTGGTCAAATGGTTCAAAGGAAGACACTTTGTAGGTGGAAGGTTCCTCAGCCCTCAGGTAGCAGAAAAGTATAACCTTGATTTACCCAACTATGAGGGTTTGGACCAAATTGCAGAAGTAGAGGTTTCGGAGGGTAAACTTTAAGGGGAGTCTCGAGACTTGCGTATTTCAGAATGTATAGGCGTTGTACGGAAATTACACCAATGAGCGAAGACACAGGTGTGTATGTGTTGCTTACGTGCGCCCTTGGTGTCTTGAACGTGATTGTAAATGTCCGATCTTTGATCTTCTTGGACAGGCGTGCTGGTTACTCCAGATATTTCTTCCAACCCTCTCTATACACGATCCGGCGCCCATCAGAATTGACACCAACGATGAACTTCTCCCACCGCGCATCGCTGCCCGCGCCAACCACAAAGATGGTATTCTCGTCAGTCCAACCAACGACACCTTTAGGAGGCTTGCCACCAGGCACTCCCGGTATCCCGGCGTTAAAGGTTGCAGAGCGAGAGACTGGGTTATCGTCTGGTTCCTCGCCCATTTCGAATTTTGCCGTGGCGTTCGAGTAATGGTCAGAGAATTGACGAGGTAAGAGAGGAACCTTTGAAAGGATGCCCCATTTGTGCTGTTTAGGATCAGTATCCGACATTCGATCTTCCACGTTGAAAATGTGTAAAGTCGACTTGTCAGAAGTCACAGCGAGCATTAGCCCTGACGGCGAGAAGGCTATCGAGAATATCGCAGCAGGATCCACACCTCGACGGTATTCGGTAAATTTGGTACAGCTCGGGAAAGACCAAAGTCGGACCAGTGTTCCTTGCTCACTGGCCGTGGCGACCATATCATCGTCCCTATTCAAGGCTAAGGCTCTCAACGGCGAATTGTGTGCATTGATGATGCTAATGTTCCCGGATGTGAGGTCGAAGAGCCTAACCTGACCCGCATTCATACCAGGAAACGCCACAATTTTCTTGCCAAGTGAACAAAGTCCAAAAGGATTGTTGACGGTCTCATATTCGGCTAATTTGTCCGGAGGAACCTTCATTTTATATATGCCGACCTTGTTTAGTAGGACTACTACTAGATGACTCGTAGATATTCGCACGCGCTGGATGGGGGTTTTGAATTCGAGGCTGGTGGACACAATTTGCTTCGAGTCATTCCAGATTTGGACCTTGTATCCATCAGCGTCTACCCATATCCATTCCGATCTCTGGGGGCAGACCTTGTTCTGTGGAAATTTTGGCTGCTTTCCTCCCCCAACAAGGGCAATATAGTTCGTCCTGCCGACCATCTCGGCGCAGCCGATGCCGCCACCGACTTCTACTCGAGTATTAGGGAGACGGTCGAGAGTATTTGGATCTGTTGCGGAGAGACATACCGCGTACGGAGTTCATGTCTCCAGACTTTGTCATATATACTGCACCAGATGAGTATAGGGTTCGCATCGGGAAGACGAAAGGTACATACTGCGGAAGCCATTTTCTAACGCGACGGAGAAGCACGAGTTATCCGCGTTGAAAGAGACCGAGAGACCGAAGGGTCCCGAGGACGAGTCGAGCACTGGTCGAGTGTTCATGATGTGTTGAGAATCTTATATTCACCAGTCTGCTTCGCATCCGAAGTTGAGCATGTAGAGGATGTCTTCGAGTCTATACTGCAATATAAAATGTTGGGACGGGAAGGCTGGAGTTAGGACAATAGCTATGCAACACGAACTGTAATTCGGTGTTCATGACAGTTCCATATTCGCTGCAGCATGAAGTGAGGCTTCGGGTTAGCAAGAGATCAGGTCAAGGATATTTTGTTATGAGGGTGGCTTGCTATCAGCGATGTCATCGAGGCACCAAGTATGGGCACCTGGGGAGCTTACTTGGTGCTAACCGTATCCGGTAGGTCCCCGCATATCCATGGACATCGCACTGGCCACTTATCAAACAGAATCATTACTGCGAATGTGTGACAATATAATCATTGAATTTGACTAGCGATGGGGAAGAAATACAAGAGATAGAAATGATGTGAGATGTTTCGGGTGATCAGACATGCCGGACAAAGGATAAGGTAGTTAGTTATCGTTCCGATGTGTTACCCAAGTGTGCTGTTTGCGGAAGACAGCAGCTCTGCCTGCTCCGAATAAAAATGTCCTCTTTGGGAACGAGTGCGGTGTGGCATGGCGTGAGTACTGATGATTTCCACGTGTAGGCAGATACTGTCCCTGGAGCAGGAAATAGATTTCGCATCCAGTCAAAAGCAATGTTGGATGGCAATTTGGGATTTGGAAGTAAGGAATGAACAAATAGTAATTGCCAATGTCTTCTGGTGCAGTACAATAAGTTCCCTAAGGACCCAACTGACAAGCACGAGTACCAATTAATACTGTCAACCACGTCCCGGCGCGCCAGGTGGCCGCGCTCGGATAGGGAGCAGCGACCGGGGTCCATCCCCCCGTTAGGCGAGCCCCTTTGCATCGCGCCGCCCAGGAGAGCTGTTGCCAACGTCCTAAATTTCCTGAGCGACACTTCAACAACATCAACATCGACTCTTTCTCCGTCTCGCGAAAGTCGCTCAATCCTCCATCTCACTTCAATCCACCGCCCCTTCGCGGTATCAACCTTTTCGAGAGCACACAGTGCACGCTGGTTATAGCCCAAGATGTCTTCCGTACGATCACCCCCGATCCCAAACCTTCTCTTCTGGCACACGATATCTTTCTCCGTCCGCCGTGGCTGCTTCAATTGCTTTCAATCGTGTCCACTAACACATCTCGCAGATGCTCAAGACTCGCAGAAAGAAGAATGTCAAGAAGGGAATCCAGTTCTGCCTGATGGTGTGCGGTGCCTCAGGAACAGGTACGCGCTCCCATTTGCTCCTCATAATGACAGAGCCCGAAGCTCACATCAACTCTTTGTAGGACGAACGACCTTTGTAAACACCCTCTGTGGCCAACAGGTCCTTGAGCACAAGGAATCCGATGATCCTACCGTTGCACACCTCGAGGAGGGCGTCAAAATCCAGCCCATCACAGTCGGTAAGATACATCAATTACCCGAATCTAGAGAGCAAACTAGACCAGTCTCGCGGATAACTAACATCGTTTCGCTGTGAATAGAACTCGATGAGGAGGGCACCCGTATCTCTCTCACCATCGTCGATACCCCCGGTTTCGGTGACCAGATTGATAACGAGGCCAGGTACGACATGGTTGAACAATTTGGCAGCGCCATCAGCTAATATGTGCATAGTTTCTCAGAAATTGTTGGCTATCTTGAGAGGCAATACGATGATATTCTTGCCGAGGAGTCTCGTATCAAGCGTAACCCCCGGTTCAGGGACAACCGCGTTCACGTCCTCCTATACTTCATCACACCTACCGGCCATGGGTAAGTCTATCCAAGGATCCGTGACTATTATTAAATGTTAATTCATACAGTCTTCGCGAGCTCGATATTGAACTCATGAAGCGTCTTTCCCCCCGTGTCAACGTTATCCCCGTCATTGGCAAGGCTGATGCATTGACTCCTGCTGAGCTTGCTGAGTCGAAGAAGCTTGTTATGGAAGATATCGAGCACTACCGCATCCCTGTATACAACTTCCCATACGATATCGAGGAGGATGACGAGGACACCGTCGAGGAGAACGCCGAGCTCCGTGGCCTCATGCCATTCGCCATTGTCGGATCAGAGGACGTTGTTGAGGTCAACGGCCGACGGGTGCGTGCTCGACAGTACCCATGGGGAATCGTCGAGGTTGACAACCCTCGTCACTCGGACTTCCTCGCTGTACGCAGCGCTTTGCTCCACAGCCATCTTGCCGATCTCAAGGAAATCACCCACGACTTCCTCTACGAAAACTACCGTACTGAGAAACTCAGCAAGAGTGTTGAGGGTGGTGCTGCAGCGTAAGTTAATACCTGAACTGGGAATAATCAATGTACATGCTAACCATCACAGTGATTCGTCAATGAACCCCGAGGATCTGGCCAGCCAGTCTGTCCGCCTCAAGGAGGAGCAATTGAGACGCGAGGAGGAGAAGCTTCGCGAGATCGAAGTCAAGGTCCAGCGCGAGATCAACGAGAAGCGACAGGAGCTCCTTGCACGTGAAAGCCAGCTCAAGGAAATCGAGGCCCGGATGCACAGGGAACAGAGTGGTCATTTGCAGGAGCAACACGACAACGACGAGTCGACGGCTTGAGCGCATCGCTACATCATGGAAGGCCGGAAAGCATGATTCGCCACCTGTTTTTGTTTTGGATGGCGCGCTTGCTTCGAAAAAAACTCGAAGATCCAATGAGCAAGACCTTGTGTTGCAGCGGGCGTTTGTTTAGGGAAGCAGGGGACTGGGCACACCCATTTATTCTATAACATGTCGGTGCCTTCGTTCCCAACGGAAAGATATGCAATGCACACCTCGAACAGGGTGGGTAGAGGCCGAGGGGTAGCGGAGAAAGACTCTCTTTCTAGCCTTTAGCCTGGACCGCAACTTTTCCACTGACGTTGGTCTTGACAAGGCCGTTTCATATGTTTTCTTACCATTCGATATCTATTCCCCCTTTTGAATTCCATGTAGGAATATAGTAATCAACTTGACCGACTAATAATACCCCGGTGGTCAATGTTCATATTCTTATCAGGATGTCCGTGAACCGATCTGATTTAACGTATAGCTTTTGGAGAAATGACGCTCGCGCCGCATCTGGGGAAAAGGGCAGCACTACATGATGCAGTCAGCAACATGGGCATGCCTACATCAAGACCATGGCTGGCTACCTACTCTACTGTTCGAGCCTGGTTTGTCCATCTGTCCACCGGCGGGCCTATTGTCGTCATGGTAGTTTCCCCGAGCCTATCCTACACCATACAGCAAATGCATTCTTCGCCCATGCATCCGTAGAAGCCGACCGAATGCACTCATTCGGCTCGTTTGCAAGGTTCGGTATTCCGAACGCTGGTTCTCTGCCTCCGAGCGGTGGAGTGCGTATGCTTGTTGCGATGTTGGCTTATCGCGGCTACGGTTTTAATTCACATCTGAGCTTGATCACTCGGCCATTGCCGTCCAACTGCCGGGTGGTCAAGCTTTACAGTCGAGAAGTAACGTTTGACAGCAGTAGTGACGCCTGGATTCAACATGATGGAATGTATCGTAGAACATGAGTACGGAGTAGTGATCGAGGATAGGTGGTACAAGTTTGCGGTGCGGTACTTCTTGACCGCTATCGGTCTGAACCTCCTGAAAGTGACCTTTTGGAAAGGGCTCCAAGTGCTAGTTACCACTAGGATTTTCGATCGGATGTCAACAAGCACTGCATATGCTTGACCGATGCATGTTGTGCAACGCTCAACGACATCCATGTCTCAGCGAGCCGCAGCGGAATTCGCAATGGATGTTGTATCACACTAGCCCACAACAACATGATGGCAAATTTCGATATTGCGAAAAAATCAAGCGCTTGAAAGCCAGCAGTGCAGAGGGATTAGCTTTTGACTAGAATCTGAGGGCCAATTGAGGTCAGGTTTGCCTCGCCCTCCTCCCTTTGCTCGCAGAATCTTGTTTGAAGCCATCATTGCCTCGCAATTGAACAATCCTGGTGACCATATCTGGTAATGTCGAGGTGGAATCATGAGCAGGTCCGCATATCCCCCCGCTTTTCCCCGGCTTCAAATTTCTTAGTATCGCGCTCTGCGCGGTTGAGCTATGTGTGGAGACGTCGGTGAGTTTGCACCGGGAACCTATTGCTAATAAGCAAGGCCTAACTATGAGAGTCCTGGATACCCGCCCATTTGCCAAGATTCCACTTCATCGCCTGAGTCGTTGCGCTCTCAGTAGGATTGCATATTTGTGTGGGCGCTCTCCATTTTCGTCAATTGTAGATGGATCTAGCCTACTGATGCCTTGCCGTTGCCTCGCTTGCGCTGTGATGCCTTGGTGCTCAGCTCCGCAAAGTGCCTCGTCCGTAGTATAAATAAGTAGGCCATCCTAATTTGGATTACACGCATCATCGAATGGATGGCTAGAGCGGAATAATAATCCCGCCCAAAGTCAAAGTACAGCTCCGCTACTAAGAAGGCGCCACAAACGAATGCCTAGGCTTGCATTTGGCTGTTGGAAAAGGGTTCCTATGTATTAGAGCCTCCTGAGTCCTGACTCCTGCCCCGGTAGGCATAAGCGTAATAGCTAATGTCCTCGTATAAACAGCCGAGTCACAGTCTCGACATTCTGATGTCGATCCCATGGTACTGGCTCCCAGCGGCTTGGTTCTGGGGATGCCAGGTGATGCCTATCAGTCTCATCCAATCACTCCTTTTTGAGCACACGAATAGTCATGGCCGTGAAAGAGATTTTCTTCCAGGTCAGCTTGGTGTATCTTCTACCTTATCAGCTGACGGATTGGATGAGGTGCAAGAAGCGCTGACGTCCGTCCTTTCGTTGAGCTGTGAGAGGGTGCTAGGGTTGGCGCCACATCAGGGTCGTTTTCTCTAGCAATCCGCTTGGACTGTGGAGAAGGGCGAGAGCACGTCTGCGTCCCGAATCCTCAAAGCAAGGATATTCATTGAAATGTCCGTTATCCTTGCCTTTGAGGATCGGCATTACTCGACATTCGAGAGCTGTTGTGCGTTGACAGCTGTGATATACACCGGCGCCGTCTCTTCCAGAGGACACAATGCAGCCTCTTAACGGTAGTCTCGAGAGGATTGAATCCACATGGCGTGCTTGCAGGAGTTCGCGGATGTGCATATACCTTGTTCATACATAAGCCAAAGAGAAGGGGAACAAGAGGCCAAGCGTACATCTTCGTTTAGGTGAAAAGCAATAGCGTATGCCAGTCTTCGCCAATCGGATCAAAGATCTGCGATATGGTGAACATACCCACCATCAGACATCGTATGCCACCTTTCCCTTCGCAGTAGAATAACTGCGCGCTGGATGCTGATACTCAAGATCGTAAAGCCGCTCTTGGACGTACGGATGCAGGGAGTCGACTTCCCCGGACACTAAAAAGCCACCGTTGGAACACCTGCGTCTTTTGCCCTCCCAGAGTAGACATAGTAGTTCGCCCCAGCCCAACCCTCTGTATTATCCATCGCACATGGCGGTTGCGCTAGTGAAGCTGTTCTCGATACTCGTCATCACACATCCCTTTCGCCTTCTTTCTGGTTCTGTCGATGGCTGGCTACAAGGGTAGGCTTTGCTCCTTATTTGGTTCTCTGGTGCTCCGGTCGGTGGGGACTACCTGCATATACAATTGCTCTGCATATTTCGTTATCTGGCTTCTTGTCATTCGTGAATAGCTGGGCCCTGTAACCATCAAACACTTTGAGCTCCGAGTGGAGTGCATACACAAAGGCAACAAATGCATTTGGGTTTCTAGGTTGCGGTTCGTTGATTTAAAGCAGTGGAATATTCGCTGAGAGCATATCAAACACTCATCTCGTTCACATTCTGCTATTCACATCTCTTCATTCACATCTGATGATTGAGATTTGAGTCATTGTGATATCTGAAAGCCGTTGAAATCTTCAACATACCTACTACCCATCCATATCTTTAACGACTCTACCCCTCGCTCCAAAGCAGTCTCGAATTATGACTCGCCCCCAAGAATCAATTCCACCAGTAAGCCATTCCAGATTCTTGCATATGAGTTAATCTAATCATAAACAAGGCTGCCAATGTACTAGGAGTAGGTCTTATCTTGTTCATCACGATAGCGGGAGCTGAGTATCATTTGCTGATTACAATATTATGCTGTGATAGACGTTGGGAACTGGTTCGTATCATTACACAAAGATTATGAAACATCGCTGACCATCTTGATACAGTGTATGTGCATCTATTTCCACCTTGGTAATGAACCGTTTGACTGACCAGTACCGAAAATAGCTGCTGGTGTGTTCAGGTATGCTTCAATGTCCATCTTACCCTGGTTACTCACTCACCTTGCCATAGATAATTCCACAGTGAGTTTATTGCTTGAGCGAGATCCGCTGTTGATACTCATCGCAAGGCAGGGTATGGCACAACTATCGACGAAAAAGCACCGAAGGCTTGCCGGGTTTGATGCTTATGCTTTGGGCTGGGTGTATGGGAACATCTCCTCTACATCAAAATTTGCTTACACAAACAGGTGCTGTTCCTTTCGGCGTATATGCGATCGTTCAGGTGCGTGCAACGGCAACATTTATGGGATATGTCGACTTATATTCAAGCTATAGAACTTCAATGTTGCACTCCAAGTACAGCCGCAATGCTTTGGTGCCCTCACCTTAATTTGCTGGGGACAGACTCTTTATTATCACAAGTGAGCTAGCTGGTGACCAATCTCGCAACATAACTGACACAGCCCAGCCACTGGAGAGCCTGGACAGCCACGCTCATGACTGTCATCGTCGCTCTTACGTTCGGTGTAGTGGAAGCTGTACTCATCGTAACGCTTCGCGTACGTACGCCGTTTACTACAGGCTCTCATTCCCATAACTCACAATATTACTAGATCCCGTACTACAACGGTGTAGAATGGCCGATGATGATGATGGCCATCATCGCCTCTGTGATACTGGCACTCGGACTGATCCCACCGTACTTCGAGCTGGCCAAGCGCAACGGTCGCGTAATCGGTATCAGTATGTTGTTTGCACCGAGGCCGACAGCTCGCTTTGATCATGATCTGACTTTACATACAGACTTCTTATTCCTGACCGTTGACATGGCTGGTGCTTTTCTCTCGCTGATGGCGCTTGGTATGTGGCATATATCGATGTATCAAACAAGGTTTCTGATGATCCGTTTACAGTTGCTCAGCACACCTTCGACGTCCTTGGTGGTTCCCTTTACATAGTTTGGTAGGTTCACTCAGGATGCAGTTTTTCACACAATCATTTTCATTCTACTGCCATGCTTCAAGTCGCGTCCATCATGTTGACGATTCGCGCCAGTCTCTTCCTCGAAACAGGTATCTTCCTCTCGCAAGCCATCTGGCTCTGGCGCGTCCGTCACGTCCGGCGAGAAGCCAAGAAGGCCGGCAAAACCTACGATGAATTCATCGCCGAAAATCCCTCGATCAAGATGCCCCGATCTGATTCGGCAGATTGCGTTGTAGATCCCGAGGCGGGCTTAAGGAAGACAGAAAAGACCGAGAGAGGAACACGTCCGTCTGACAGCGGGACGACTGTTGATGCTGCCCGTGAAAATGATGGGCATTAATCGTGGAGACATCGGATGGATTAATGCAAGATGGGTTATTCGTCCATGATTTGTGTGGTATTCTTATGTACTTGCTGGGTTGTGATCATCTGTTTCTGCTTGTTCAACAGCTTCTAATTGCTCTAAATTTTCTCAAGCATTGTATGGTATTTGAGTTTAGAAAAGCTGGAGTAGGGAAAAGTTCCATGATATTTACTTGAGAATCTTTCTATGAAATCAATCAACAAGAAATCGTTCGTAATAGTGGTAGTAACATTGTATCTATATTTTAACCCTTGTAAGTGTTCCCGATCTGGCTACAGTTAGTTTATCATGCGATGGTATATCATTTAGAGTAGGATTTGGTTGGTCACAAACTCAGGGCATTCATTTAGTGTCAGTCAGTCCGGACTCGGAGCCTCGGTTCAGATCTGTAACTAGTGGGGCAGGCAGTATCTGACCTCGGACTCAATGTCGCGATTGAACAAGAGAAAAGAAACATTTTGAGGGAGCAATTTTAGACCATACTCAATTCCCATAGATACATTCTATCTTTTCCATACTCTCAGTGGTCTGTCTTTTAGTAACTTTGCAATTCAGCAGCACTTTTCCGAACCGCCCCACATTTCGGAATTGTATCAACATTATCTCAGCGAGCATAGTGACTTTGAACTTGGAATTTTCTCAGCCGTTCATCCACAGTGTAGCACAACGGACTACAATTATTCCTTGTCGACCAACCTTTAAAAAATACTCTCCAGCCTAGATCAGATCAAAATGGCTGCTGAACTGCCTCAACCACCATTCTACGCTATCAAGAATATCGACAATCTTCGCGATGCAGCTTTGTTTCCCGGTGGACTCAACACCACGTCCGGAGGAAAGATCCGGGAAGGAGTATTATACCGTTCCGCAGATCCCTCAAAGTTGGACAAAGACGGATGGTCATCTCTGCGCCAGATTGGAGTCGCTCACCTCTTCGATCTGCGATCATTACCTGAGCTCGAGAAGGGATATAAAGGTGTTGGCCAAGAAGAGCTTCCTAAAGATGCAAATGGCGATTCCCGATACCCATGGATCGACACACTCGAAGCTGCAGGACTGAATCGGACCTGGACCCCTGTGTTCAAGGCGGAGGACTACAGCCCCGAACGCCTGGTTGAGCGATACATCAAATACATGGACAAAAATGTCGAAGGCTTCGTCGCTGCCTATAGGGATATTCTAAGCAATGCGGGACCCGCTTATCGTACCATCTTACGCTATCTCATTAATCTTCCGTCTCCCGCATCAACAGGATCGAGTAAGCCACTAGGCGCATTAATCCACTGCACTGCTGGCAAGGACCGAACTGGTATCTTTTTCGGGGTACTTTTCTCCTACCTGGGTGTTCCTGAAGAGAAGATTGCAGAAGAGTATAATCTCACCGAGACCGGTCTCGCACGTATTCGTGACGAAGTTGCCGCTCGACTCATGCAATCACCTGCGTTCAGGAAATACATGGAGAACAACCAAGCCGGTAAAGAGACTTCGGCATCTGACCTTGCCAGCTTCATGCAGGCAGGGAACTCCAATGAGGGAGCCGATGCTACACTAGTGAATGGGGCCGAATTGAGCCCCGAGGCGTTGGAGTTTGGAAGACAGGCTGCTTTGAGAATGGTAGGTGCGAGGAAGGAGAGCATGCTACACAGTCTGAAAATGGCAGAGAAGGAGTTTGGTGGCGCTGAAAAGTATCTCAGAAGGGTTTGTGAGCTTACAGATGGAGATTTGGATGCCCTAAGGAGGAATCTAGTGGTACCAGCATGACGGTTAGAGATGGGCGTATCCAAGCTGTAGTTTGGACACTGACCACCAACAGCTAGTTATGAGATGTATAGAGTTGAGCTGTAGAATGATCTGTAGAAGCGGACATCTGGATGTATGTTTGTAATGCAACACAACTGAGCCTGACTTTAACATAAGTTTACAGGACGTGGACTGTAGGTATTCGATTATACCTGCTGTGATTTTCATGTCTACGCGAGCAGTCAATGAGTAGCCCATGAGACGTCGTCGTGTGAATATATGTCCGATAAGGTGGGCCATTGATCCTGGGCCAGACCATACCGTTCCATTCGTACTCGTACATCAATTTAGTAAACAGCGGACAAGCTTTTGCGAGCGAACTTAGGGCGCATACGTTATTGTGGTATATCCGGAGCTTAGTGCCGGTGCAATAACTTGCGTTCATAGGTCACAACGGAGATTCTCGGGACTATGCGGCAAATGGAAACGGTATCCTCGTTCACGCACCCCATCAACGACGATGATTCATTTCAAGGTGTACCCGGGCGCAAGGAAGGGTGAATACACCCAGCGGCTGCAAGTATCAAGAAATGACCCTGATTGCCATGTTTACTCCCTGGACATGCTTGCATGCCTTTACAAAGTAATTCTACTATGACTTCCCAGCATTAGAATGATTCCATTTGTGGATATCAATAGATTCATACATAGAAGTTACTTTAGGTACGGCCTATTGAGTAATTGAATAGGAGTCAGTACAAATCACTAGTACGAGTATCTTAAGGCGAAGCTCTGCCGGCGTCTTGCCCCATCGGCCTTGTTTTGAACAAGGTTCAGTAGCTAGGCTTACTTCTTTTAGTGAACGAATGCTGTCGATCTTGCTAAACGGCTGCTACGTCTGGGGAACTTGGTGGATGGACCAATAATGAACGCGATAGCAACTGTAGCATACGCCTATTATACCTCTTTTTCGCGTGTAAATCAACAATCTCGTGGCTCCTGAATCAGAGCATGGCCGAATGAGCGCCACATCATAGGGCCAGACGACGAAGGGCATTTTGCCCCGCAAAGTCACTATCGTTCGATGCGGTAGTTAACGATGATGACGAATGTTTTCGCGCGGGGAAAGTACAGCTAGCTCATGGAAGTATTCAATAGTTCCGAGGAATTGACTCTTCTGAGGGAGCTCAATGGGTTCGACTTGATACATAGCCACCTGGAAGCCCACTTGACATCTCTGGCATCAGGTTCGACCTCTTCCACTTCCCAAACTTGTTGTGTCGTTGGATGAAACATGTCACCATCAAATAAAAGCCAGTTCAATGGCTACAATTTTCTAGTCTGCTACTTAGTGTCATTGGGGCAGGTTGCCTTTGGATACCCTGCATCCATTATTGGTACAACACTGGGCGAACCGCCCTTCCTAATTTATATGAAGCTTCTTGGTAAAGATGGAAAGCCAACAGCGGATTCGGAAGCACTCATCGGAACGATCAACGGCTTGTTTCAAGTACACCATTCCTACTATCTGACGAGAAGTCTTCAAGCTGACATAGGCAGGCTGGCGCCGTCCTCGGTATCTTAAGCACCAGTTATATCATGGACCGTTGGGGTCGTAAAGCCGGCGTATTGTATTGCTCATTTTTCTCACTGCTTGGTGGAGCACTACTCTGTGGATCTCGCAATATTGGCATGTTCATCGCTGCGCGGTTCATTGCTGGGTGGGGTAGCTGGGGGTTTCTAGCCGTGAGTACGTAACTCTGATTTTTCAAGTATTTTGATCCTTGTTCCCCTGGAGCTTACAATATCCAGCACCAACATACTCTGCCGAGCTCGCGCCACCTGGCCTACGAGGCTTTTTCGTAGGCATGAATGGTGTGAACATTGCCCTCGGGTATGCGCTAGCTTCTTATATGGGCATGGCATTCTTCTTTGCCGATAATGAAGCTGCAAAATGGAGGGGACCGCTTGGACTTGCCCTCGTTTGGCCTATAATGATGATTGGCATAATGTTAATTGTCCCAGAATCTCCGCGTTTCTTGCTGATGCAAGGTAAAGTTGAAGAGGCCCGGGAAATAGTTTACAGATTGCACAAGATCAAAGGTGATCCAGACATGGAATTTGCCCGAGGTGAATTCTATCAGATGCAGAAGCAAACCGAACGAGATCGAACATTAGATCCGGGATGGGTGGCTATGTTTACCAAGAAAGGCTACAGGCGTCGAACAGCTCTCGCCATGGGGTTCGCATTTGTAGGACAGTCGACAGGTGTACTTGTCGTGAACAATTATGGACCTACACTATACGCAACACTTGGTTATGATACGTAAGTTTGAAAGTAGCCTGCTCGTAATGTTTACGTTGCTGATATTCGTTATAGCAAACAACAACTCGAATTCCAATGCGGATGGATCACTGTCGGTATTATTTTCAATGCTGTTGGAGCCGTATTTATGGACAAAGTCGGACGAAAGCCCCTCATGTTATTTGGTGTTGCGGGATGCGGGATCTGCCTGGCCATTGAAGCAGCTATCGTAGCCACGTATGCAGCAGAAGGCACCAACAAAGCTGCTCTAGCAGCCGGAGTAGGTAAGTAGAGATCTTGCTCAGCGGTTTCGCGACGAGCTTTTACTAACACATCAAAAAGCTATGTTTTACCTCTTCCTCGCTGTCTACAGCATGGGTGTCGACGTTGCTGGTGTCGTTTTCTACTCCGAGTTGTTCCCTAACCATATTCGAGCCAAGGGTGTCTGCTTATCCATGGCTACTGTTGCCTTGACAGACTTGGTATATCTCCAGGCGACAACAACCGCATTTGCCAATATCGGTTGGAGGTTTTATCTTGTCTTCATCATCATTTGTGCCCTTGGCACAGCCCTCTTTGCTTTCCTGTTACCAGAAACCAAGGGCATTCCTCTTGAAGAAATGGCTAGAATTTTTGGCGATACAGAAGATATTGTAGTCTTCTCCGAAAATGTTCATGTCGATCACAACACTCATGAGCTGGTTGTGGGTAAAGATGGACTGGAACATATTGCAACGCACCAGGGTATGACGCCGGAGATTGAAAAAGCAATCAAGGAACACAAGGAGAAAGTAGCAGATGTGTAGTTCTTCGTGTGGATTTCGACAGGTCTTTCTTAATTGGACTCAACTGGTCTGGAAAATTAAAGAGCTTATGTCACACGACTTAATTTAAACAGGATAGCATACATGTTGAAAAGGGTATCTGGTTATTGCTGTGCCTAAATTTTTCTAGCATTTCATGCCGTGACTAGTGGTGTTTGTCGTCTTTCTTGGGAGAATGATTGCGCTGCCGTGAGCGCCTATGTTCGTCCTCTGTTGAACTATGCCGCCGGCGACGTCTATCAGGAGAATCGCGTTCTTTTCCATTGTGACGGTCTTTCGAAGAACCTCGATATCTGGCCGTATGCCTCCTGTCCCCATCCTCGCCATCAGAATCTCGATTTCGTCGGCGCTCTTTGTCTTCTGGTGTTCTCCGTCCCTCTGATCGATGGTGGTGTCTACGTTCACGATCGCGATCCTCAGCATGATCATTGCGATCTTTGAGCTTTCTCCGTTCTCTATCCCTGTCTCTGTCTCTTGAATCGTCCCTTCGATCCCGTCGAGATCGATGCTTCTCCTTCTTCTCCTTCCTCCTTGCTTTCTCATACTTTCTTACAGCGACATCCACATCTTCCTGTTTTTTCTTGACCATGGAAGCCTTCATAGGATCGTCATCATCCAAGTCTTTTATGAGTTTTGCCAGCGCGATCTCTTCCGGAAGGAGGGGACGCTCGTCCTCGCTTTCACTCTCGCTTTCGCTTTCGCTACGAGCTCGCCGTCTAGTCCGGACCTTATCATCTTCTTCGATAGGTGGCTCTCCCATTGTGTTGTCTCTCATATCCTCATCGTCCCTTGGTTTATAACGTGTATGGTCGACTCGCAGCACCCGCCCCATTATCGTAGCTCCGCCTAAGTTGTCCACAGCTAGGTCTGTACTTCGTTGATCCTCATATTTGAGCCAGCAGAAGCCGCGAGACTTTCCGGTTTCCTTGTCACGCGCCAGTTTGATCCAAACCGGCTCGCCAAATTGTGAGAAGAGTGTAATGATGTCGCCCTCGGAGAGCTCAAACGGCAGGCCACCAATGTTGATGAAGGCCGTGTCGCGATAGTCGGTATGCCACGAGCCTTCAGGAGTGATACCCTCTTCAAGCTCGCGCTGATTGAGCTTTTGGATTGCCCGTATATTGTTCATATTGGAGATTGAGGGTTGACTGGGCGCATTCACGATCGTGGAGCGTGACGTCGTAGAGATTCGCTGCGGAGGTTTGGCGGTCGTCGAAAAGTTGTATGGACCGTGCGCATGATCCCTGCATTAAACTAACAGCAACACCAGAAGCTCCTGGATATCACAAGATGCTCAACCCTTCCACACCCCGCCGCCCTTTATTCTAATTTCTAGGCAGTTTCGCTTCATCTATAACATTCAGCATACTCGATTTGCACAAGGCGATTACGACGATACCCATAACGGCAGAGGACGACGCTTGATACACCCACCATGGCAGACGCGTCGCGACAGACTTCCAACTTTCCTGGGAGGACAGTCGCTGGTTTGGAGAGACCAGGAAGTAGCGACCAGGACAAAGAAGAAATATGGAAGCCTATGTTGGACAACATATCTAGTGGAAAACGATTGCCCGAGAAGAGTCTCCTTGTTCTGGGTAAGTAGCCTACAATGTCATATTGGCAAACCGACAATCCTATTAATCAATGTTTACATTAGGTGGTACACCGGAAACGCAAAGAGAATTCCTTGAATCTGTGGCTACAGACAATTCAAACCGGAGACCGCAAGATAGGGGAAGGAAACCGCCAATTGCCAACCAATTTGCGCTCGGCTACACATATCAGGATGTCTTGGATACTGATCACGAAGGTAGCTGAGTTGATCTTAATTTTACAACAGGAAAATACTGACTGTGAACAGATACTCTCGCTCGCCTCTCCCTATATCTCCTGGCCAACCCATCCCCCTCATTTACCCCTCTTATAAAACCTTACCTGAACCCACGAACACTCCCGCACATGCTAGTAGTGATATTGCTTGATTGGAACCACCCATGGCTATGGATACGGCAATTGCGCGATTGGATTCGAGTGTTGAGATCACTCATCTTATCACTTGATGATGCTTCGAAGGAAGTCTTGGAGGAAAACATCTCTCGACTCCAAGAGAAAGGAATGGGAATACCAGAAGGCTCCAGTAGCAGCGCAACCGAAAACTTGAAGGTGCCGCTCGGACCTGGAGAATGGGACGAGCCGCTGGGAATACCTTTGTGCGTTGTATGCCAGAATGCTGACAAGATCGAGGCTCTGGAACGAGAAAAGGGCTGGAAGGAAGAACAGTTCGATTTCATACTGCAATATTTGCGCACAGTATTGTTGAAACATGGTGCGAGTCTGGTGTACACCATGCCAACCGCTCCTGGGTCGCTGCAATTGCTTCTTCATTCCACCCTGGGGATCAAATCGATGCTCAAAAAGCAGGACCTGAAACACAATGTGATTGACCGAGACAGAGTACTAGTGCCACCGAATTGGGACTCTTGGGGCAAGATCCGCATCTTGAGGGAAGGGTTCGATGTCGAAGGTGTGAGCGAGAAGTGGTCCGTGGATATCGATATACCCCAGCATATGCGAGCTATTAAAACCGATGATACTACTGCCGGAGCAGAGGAAGCCACTGAAAATGGGCATCCGCAGGAAGAGGAGGAGGAGAGATCCTCAGCTACCTCTATCTACGAAGATACCATTCGCAATCCCGAGCAAGACTACTTGCTGGCCTCGCTGAACTCTAAACAAGCAAATGGAATCGAGGTCACAAGTGAAGATACACAGGCGTTTTTGGCTGGCCAAGTCCTGAAGTTGGAAATTTTACGTCGCGAAGATGAACAAGATCAGCAGATCAAACAAGCACGGAAGAAGGATGAAGCCGCCTACAGAACTTGGACCGATGAGGCCAGTGGGGTCGTTGAAGAGCACATAGGGCCGGTGCAATTCAATATGGGCGGTATCCAAGTCAATGCTGACGAAATGGTGAAGAGATTACAGGTATGTTTCCCCTTTCCGACGAAGCGTTCTGTGAATATGATAGCATGAGTCGCGTAATTAGAGGAATGGTTGCTAACGTTGTAACAGGACCGCGAAGCAAACCGAGCAGCTTCGCCGGAAACTCCTTTGACCCCACCAGTAAACGCCCAAGATACTAAACTCCCGGACAATGATAAACTCGCTTCTTTCTTCGCCGGCTTGGCTAATAGAAGCACTGGCAGTCCACGCGGTGCTTAACCTACATCGCCTCCATTATCATTCATACGTACGGCAACGCTCTCTCTCCATTTACGAGCCATAGGGTACAGGCAAGAGCCATGCATTGCATGTGGCACAGTTTCTTGTCGTCGTCGTCTACTCTCTTACGGATTGTATGGTTTTATACCCATTTCTGCATAGTCTGCCTTGCAAGCCAAGCGACCATAATTCTGAAATAGATGTCATCATCTTGCTGAATGCCACCCCTGTCTCCTGTGAACATGACCGTATGCACTTTGAACCTGGACTAAAGAATATCTTGGATCAAAATATGCGACACCGCTGTTCTAATCTCAGACATATGCACAACCTTGATCTGTAGTTGTCATGCATTCATCTGTCTAGAAGAGTAGAAATGTGAACTCTTGAGCCCAATCGCTATGATCATGCAATCAATAGACAGCTCAGCCAGATTCAACAACCCAGGCTGTGATTTCATGTCACAGATTAGACCCGGCGTATCATTAAATGATCAATATCCGCTTCTTTAGCTCAGTGCGGGGTTTTGCGGAGACACATCAGCCCCAATGGTCAACCATAGGAAGTCCCCAAGCTAGATGGATCTTTGCAGGAAGCGGGCGTTGACGGTCGTAAGAATATTCAAGCGCGTACGAGAACTGCGGGCTTTGAATTCATTGAGTTCAGAGTAGCATTCGGACCTACTTGGTGACACGAAAGGGGCTTTGGCTGGCCACCCATATTCACCCGTAGTCAGGGGAGTAGCAGAGGCGTTCCGGAAGCTATCAACGGGCCATGGTGATTACGACGTTTGTCGCTAGATAAATTCCCGTAAGTGCTACGGACGCTCGCTCTGCCATTCATTGCTGGGAGTTTTACAGCCCATGGAATGCATTGTCAGTTGTATTGGATGTATGTAAAGCATTGCAGTAACACGCTGGACTTCTACGCCGATTGATGAATTTGAATCAGATGTTGCGAATTTGCACATCACTTGACGGCAGGCTCTTTGCGCCTGTGATACTAGAGAACAGCCTGTAGTTCTTCATGAACTTTTTTCGTAGTGTACTTAGTAGATGTATTCTCAGAGCACCCAGTTGATCTGTCATCAATGGAAATAACAGAGCCTCTACCCCGACTTTTAGCATTAGATTCATACAAATGCTTCAATTTCAGAAGTGGCTGCGGGGAGGGAATACGGAGATCCGAAAACAGAGCCAACGCTAGAGAAGCACGAGAGCGCGTCGGACCGAATTCCAACCATGACTACGAATAGGACCTTCCCAAAGAGTTGCTGATGAACTTACGCCCACTGCTCGTTCACTACTTTGAGACAGTTGATTCCTGAGCCAATCGTTGGATAGAAGTCGACAGCGATTCGCTAGCACAGCAGGTACGGGGGATTGGCGTACCAAGATCTTCTCGGCGAAGCTTGTCTCGTATCGAGTGGACAAGGCTGCAGCTGGATTATTGTAGGGCTGTTCCAGGATTTGGGTTATGTGATTGTCATGCTTGACTTGCTCGTCCGCATGTCACCAAAGCATAGGGAACAGGTAGCTACCAATGTACCGGGCATCGAAATACGAATGTAGAGGTGTCGATGGGATTTTTGTAAAGTGGAAGAATGATGTCAGTCACGTTTCGGGTCGACTTCGGACATGAACTGAGTTATACCCCGAGGAAGGTTGAACGACCGGAGTACATACGTCGATCAAAGCCTTTGAGCCATTTTGTTTTGAATGCTCTGCTCGCTTGATATTAGGATGAGGAAATATCGTTTTACCAATTGCCCACTGAGAGTACATAGCACTCGGTTGGTCGCCGAATTGATAGAATGTATGCGACTACTGACTTGATTATCTGTTTGAATATTTCTATAACATCATTATTTCATTGGCCCCAAATTATATGTTCTTTAAGATCAATTCCTGCAAAATAGTAGACGGAAATGGGTCCTTAAAGTATTTGAAATGAGGTCCAGTGCCAACGAATAGGCGCCTCAATGTGCATGGCTCAGCGTTACCTCGAATCAGGGACAAGTAGCCCGCCCTTTGCTTACATTTCAAGATTGAAAACTCTTCTAGGACAGTGGGTATCGAGTGAGTGCAGTATCCACCCCCACGCCATTCTCTGTTCTCTTGTGGTAAAATTTGTAGCTGGTCTCATGGTGGTAAGGAATGAAACTGGCCGTTATTTCCCCGATGTGGACTGACTACTGCATAGTACCTCAACGGCCGCGGTCAACTTCCGAGGTCACAAATCCTTTCGAGTACCCAAGCATTCAGCCACCCGCCTTGTCATTTCTTGAATTTATCCATGTCAATTTGCAGGCCATGCATACATGCATGTATTTCTCAGCTTGCTGTCCAATATTGTGAAGCAAAACAGAGTTGAGGCGACTTGTATACCTATAGAGTCAACGTAATGTAACTCACAAATCCAACCTGGCTCCACTTCAGAAGGTGCTTGCAGCACCGTATCCTTCAACTCTGAGCCGCGAAATCAGGCACACCAAAAGCTTGGTGGGGACTCTGCATGCTTGGACGAGTCGTGCCTCCGATCTTACCGGCGCTATCATGGCGTATTTTCTAGAAAGAGTGCTCCGAGCCTACAGAGCCGCAACACCTTGGTCTGTGCTTCAATATCCAACCAGTAGACACTCTGGTCGACCATCACCACTGCGGGTGAATTCGGAACGATGATTGAACATCATGTTTCTCTTGCAGAAAGAAGGACAAATCCAGTTTCCAGGATTGGATTACGACACATGGAATGCACCCCATTAACTCCACAAAGCTGAGGCCTCGTAGAAGTTGCCTCCTCCGGGGCTCCGTCTTGGGGTCTTGGGGACTCCATCATGGGGACAGTAACGAGGAGTTAGCTTCAACAGACGGACCGAAATCTTAGGCGTCCAGACGCCGATATAGCGGAGAAGAGCACTTGATAAGAGTTCACACTGCCGCACTTCTATTTTCGCTCCTTACTCTTTCATTTCTTTCATCGTCCTTGAGGAGTCCTCTAATCCCTCTCGTTGCAACCCTTTATCCCTAGTTGAACACGAGAAGACGATCGGTATGGGTCTCAGAGGAAGATCCCTCCGGCTGGCACAGCTTTTGCTGATTGTCATGCCTGCCTTCGTTCTGTTTGGATACAACCAGTCTGGCGTTGGTGGACTGTTGTCTTTGAAAGACTGGAATGCCCACTTTCCCGAGATCAACGTTGTCGATGCCGAAGGCGCTGACAGGCGCACCAAGTCTACCAAGCAAGGAGCTGTAGTCGCCACATTCACTCTTGGAGCTCTGGTCGGATCTCTTGGATGCACCTGGATTGGCGACCCCCTTGGACGACGTAAGGTCATTTGTCTGGCTGCAGTCCTCACGCTCATCGGAGAGATTCTCCAGTGCACCTCTTTCCAGCTCGCTCAATTCGTCGTTGGGAGATTCATCCTCGGCCTTGGAATCGGAGCGCTCAGCGCGACCGTCCCAGTGTGGCAGTCAGAATGTTCGTCTGCAGGCAACCGTGGACAGCACGTCGTTTTGGATGGATGTTTCACCAGTCTTGGTTATGCTCTCGAGGCGTGGATTAACCTTGGATTCTTTGAAATCAAGAGCATCCTTCCTCTCCAATGGCGCGTCCCTCTGGCAATTCCTTGCCTAATCTCCATGGTGGTTATCGCTGCAGTTTGGACCATCCCCGAATCCCCAAGATGGCTAGTGAACAAGGGCCGTGTCGAAGAGGCTCGAGCTAGCTTGTCAGCATTCAAAGATCGACCTTTGGATGATCCAGAAATCTCTGCCGAGTTGAGCGGTATCGAGCTTGCTCTGGAGGAGACTGGAAGGAGCGCCGCCAAATTGTCAGACATCTTCACCATGGGCAAAGACAAACTTTTCTACCGGTTCTCCTTGTGCATCTTCCTGCAGTTTTTGCAGCAGATGTGTGGAAGCAACTTGATTTCTACCTATTCCACAGTAAGTTGACCCATTATAAAGTGCGAACGGACTTCTACTAACAATGCAATCAGATCATCTTCCAACAAGGACTTCAAATGAACGCCGAGATGTCGCGCATTCTAAGCGGCGGTGCTCTGACTTGGAAGTTCCTGTCCGCATTCGTGGCTTTTTTCACAATCGACAGATTTGGTCGCCGCAAGTTGTTCATTTTTAGCGGTTTCGGAATGGCTGGATGCATGTTGGCACTTGCCGTTGCGTCAAGCTACCCCAAGTCCAACCACGCCGCCCAGATTGCTTCTGCTTTCTTCGTGTTCTTGTTCAATTTCTTCGTCCCTATTGGATTTCTCGGAGCCAACTTCCTCTACTGCACTGAGGTCGCCCCTATCCGACTACGCGTGCCTATGGCAGGTATCTCGACTGCAAATCACTGGCTCTGGAACTTTGTTGTTAACATGGCCACTCCTGTAAGTCGCCCTTTCTATGTTGAGAACTTTTACGGAATCTAGACTAATATTGTCTCGTCAGGTTGCCATTGATACTATCGGATGGAAGTACTACCTCGTGTTCCTCATTTTGTCAGCAACCATCATTCCGGTCGTCTACCTATTCTTCCCCGAAACCATGGGTCGTAGCCTAGAGGAGCTCGAGATGATGTTTACGGAGGGCGAAACTATCTTCGACGTTGTCAGAGAATCAAAGAAGCCGCTCACGGGATCCCTCTTCACCGAACACATGATGGAAAAAGGGTCGAAATTGGAGAAGGACGAGTTCAACGACGATATCTAATGGCTTTATGTGAACGAAATTTTCTTTGGCAATCGTTTCTGTGGGTGACGAGAATTCGGTAACCACATTTTAGAATCTATAGAACGACTAAAGTTACGACGTTTTTATCGGAACATACTCATGCTTTCACTGTGTGACGAATGAAGATGAAAATGTGATGGGATGGTTGGTGGAAAATACAATGTGGCCACTAACTAGTAATGGTGCAAGTGGGTCTTGAATCGATCCCACGAATCGACAACGACACCGAGTTACATGCAATTTGTATAAAAGACCATGTGCTTCATCTATATCCATGCATAGGTATTAGTCCTCCCAATCGAATAGTCGATTAAGTTACAGACGGTGAATCGAAAATCGAAAAGGACGTATTCGTGATGGCAACCGAACGCGCGACCTTCACCAACCCAATCATTCGCGGGTTCAACCCGGATCCAACCGTCTGCGTAGTCCCCGCTACACCCACTACCCCAAGAAGATATTTCATCAGTACATCAACATTTGAATACTTCCCCGGTTGCGCCATATACGTCTCCGAGGACATTGTGAATTGGAAGCTAATTGGCCATGCACTGAATCGTAGGAGTCAAATCGACCTTCGCACTGTAGAGCCAGGTGCAGGATCTTGGGCGAGCACATTGCGCTACCGGCCCAATGAGAAGCGCTGGTATCTGATCAATGGACTCTTCCACAGATATCAACCGACTACCGACGAGCGTATATTCCCACGTGGATTCTACGTCTACACAGACGATATTTACGATGACAATGCTTGGAGCGATCCTGTCTACTTCGACAACCCAGGGTTCGATCAGGATGTCTTCTGGGATGATGACACCGGAAAGGTGTATCTGTCTACGACGGTCAGATTGGCTAACCGCACGCCTGGATTGAAGTTGAAGGATTTTGCAATCCATGCATCCGAAATTGACATCAAGACTGGCCGGACTCTGACTCCGCCTGTTGTGTTAAGGCAATCACCGTACGGTGTTGCGGAGGGAAGTCATATCATGCGGAAAGGTGATTATTATTACATGTTTGTAGCCGAAGGCGGGACGGAGGCCGGACATCAAGAATGGGTGTTTCGAAGCACTGAAGGCCCGCTGGGGCCATGGGAAAGCCAGGGCCAGCCATTGTGGTACAATGGTCCCGATGAAGAAGTTCAGCGAACGGGCCATGCGGATGTTTTTGAGGATGATCAGGGGAAATGGTGGGGTGTATTCTTGGGTGTTCGGCCCGCGATAGACGGTGGTAGATACATCGAACCCCAACTAGGTATGTCCAAAAAGGTAGAGATCAACTTAATGGGGGACTGACTTGTTACAGGACGGGAAACATTCTTGGTCAAAGTTGACTGGGTGGACGATTGGCCGGTTTTTAACGACGGCAAGAACATTACATTGGAGACCGAAGCGCACTACCCTTTAAACCAACTCGAGGGAACCGGCAGCAGTGAGAATCTACGTTGGAAAGCATCATACGGATTGGACAGCGCCCCTGAAGCATTGGAACTGGGGTGGTACCAAAAGAACACTCCAATCAAGAGCTGTTATTCCTTACACCGCAACCCGGATTACATCCGCCTCTACGGAAATTGCTACTCTCCTTCAAGTCCAGAATGTCCAGCCATGCTTCTCCGGAAGCAGAAAACATATAATGAGACGTTCCACACGAAGCTACGGTTCAACCCGTCGCGGGCTGGATACGAAGCTGGAGTTACCGTGTGGTGGAGCATGTACTCACATGCAAGCATTGGTATCACTGCAGCAATCTCAGCTGATACTTCTCCCTCATCGAAACAGATTGTTTGTCGTTTGCCTACTGGGAAAGCGGGGAATTTGAAAGAGATTGTATTGCTACATGATAGCGATGAGACCTCGGCGTTAGGTAACGCAGATGAAGTGACTATTACTGCGAAAGCCAGTCCCACGAAGTACATACTTACCATCGCTTTCAACAATATCACGAAGGATATTGAATTCGATGCAGAGAAACTCACAGTAGCACCGCCAGTCGGGGGTGCATTCACAGGGACAATGTGGGGTATTTATTCGTTCGGCCAATGGGAGCCTGTGTTAGATCCAGCAGACTTCAGCGACATCTATGTAGAATGATGCATAAAGTGTAGCCATGATACCCTGGAAAAAGCTCCACCATAGAACAACCAAAAGGAACTTAACAATTATCAAAACACTAATGGAGCTGTCCAGTCGGACCAGCCTTGATGCTGAAATGGCACAACAAATCGTGAAGAGGATCAGTACATCTGCACTTATCTGGCTCGGAAGGCTCGTAAAGAGAACGAGGCACTCCAGGGAATATTGTATGAAACATTAACCATAAACCGAAAAGTCGTTGCATTGTGGGGTCGACTACTTGCATAGTCCACTGGAAAGGGTGATTCATAGCCTTTCCAAACGGTGACCGTGTAATCTGATCATCGACACTGTTGGGATGAGTGATCATTTGTACATTTCCCCAACGTCGCATTGCATCAATCACTCGCAAATTTGTTGGCATGCTTGGCTGTCAATGCTGATGCTCCCCCAATCCGGATGTACCGGTCGGAACGGACCAGCTGGTGTTTTGAATGTATGCTATTGTCTCCAGGGGTGCAAGGTGAATATTACCTCGTATGGTGTAGCAGGATAGAGGTGGCTAAACGCAACAATATGTATGAATGAGTTTGTGGTCTTCAATACTGTGTACTGTTGCATTTAACTCTTCATGTAATTAATGACGGCTTCAGATGATGTAGTCTATACCCGTGTATGTTACACACGCGGCCGTAGGCGCATCAGGTATTCTCTATGATTGTGTAAAGAGCTTGAAAGTTCATGTAGTCTGTAGTAGTTTATGGAATAATACGAGGTATTACGGGTAGTTGAAAGGTCACGTTTGAGACTATCCGTAGATTAATAGTTGGAATAAAGACGGTAGAAGGACTAACAATAGGAATTGGAGGAACATTGGATGTGGTAAACGATAGCTACAGACTTGTCGATCTTCGCGTCGTGCCTCGTGCTGACGATCGAGATCTGTGTCAAATCATCGAGCCCTTGAGGGCGGGACACCAAAGCAGAACACCAACTGCAGTGCGGAATCATCATTTAGCCATAATTAGTTTCTTTAAAGCATTTAAATAATCCATTATTGCCAGACCAGATGGTAACTCGTACGAGTGGGAGGAGAACGCAGAGCTCTAGCTCTAGACCAGTACTGAGTAGAGTCACCCAGCAGCTTGAGATCATAAAGAATGCGATATGACAAACTCACAACCTTCGTATATATGACGTGCTGCCAAGTCAAGTACTGAGGCGTTAAATGGTTTTAATGTGGAGGAGTTGTAAAATTTCATCACGTTTACGGTCACGATAGCGGCCTATAGGCAAAATTTCTTCTTTGGGAGCCCGAGGGATTGAGCCTCATTGACCAAAGAGAGGTCTCTTGCGCCAATTGGGGCCTTAAGCAGCGATGACAGCATGTATCGCTCGATGAACTGCAAGAACAAGATTCCATGGCGTCGCGTGCAGCGCGGGTGACGTCAGGAATCGGACTCCGTTTTGCACCAAATCGGCTATGCTGTCGAGCTAAGAAGCTTTGGGGCTGCCTTGGCAGATGGCGATCCGGACGCGGCGGCAAAAGCTTATGGAAAGGATGAGAGGCTTCACATTGCTTCATAATGGCAAGCATTATGTTGATGAGTTGATACCAATAATATTGATCGAAAAGTTACCATGGCTGGTTGAGAACTTGATATCTAAGTGTTTGTGCTCGATGCCTACAAGCCGCAACACCAACACCATATATCAGGATAGACAGAACAAAGAGGGGATGTACAAAATGCTGCACCTTATTCAACCAAACCAACATTGCTCTACCCACAAATCAACATGGTTAGCACCTACAACACTTCGTACAAATTCGACACCGCGGCTCCGCTACCGACGCGATCATCGTCAGCGGTACCCCATCAAGTAGTGTTAGAAGAAGTAACACAGTAGGGTAGTGTTTTCCCGACCCACTGTTCGCAAACCCTTTCGTCTCAATTCCCATGTTGACAGGCTCTCACCACGCGATGCCTGCCTCGTTAGCGCATTTCAAAGCACATTGCTTGTCATGTCACCTGTGCAAGACGTCCGCTCCATAATGTAAGATGACGAAATGCTTGCTTGTAGCTCCAACGACATCGCCGCTTTGACTCTGCGCGTGTGTCCCCGCGAAAATGGAATAAGTATATCAGTGCCTGCTCCTCTTCATCGTGACCCCAATAATCCCCACACGGAGGACCTACAAAAACCCCTTGTGATCGACCTGGGGAGCGTCAAGACTTGCTCTTCAGACCCGCATTACTAGCCGTAACATTGTCCATCGGCATACGCCTTACTTTGACACACGGCTTTACACCATGGCAGACCGCCCGCCTGCGACCGTCCCGCCGCCTGGTAGCACAGCCGACGAGGACAAGTACGAAAGTTCAGACAATGGTACTCACCGCCAGGAAAACAGTTACGATAGCCCGGGGGATGATGCCGACCGCGCTTTTTACCAGAAGTACGGCACTTACGACCGATATGAGATCACAGAAGAAGACTGCTACGAGGAATTGGGTTTTAGCTTCCCGACGTGGAAGAAGTGGATGATCCTTTCGGTTGTCTTCATCGTTCAGGTTTCTATGAACTTCAATACCTCACTGTATTCAAATGCCGTTGGGGGAATCTCTGAGGAATTCGGCGTCAGCAAGCAAGCAGCCCGACTTGGTGCTGCGATTTTCTTGATCACATATGCCTTTGGTTGTGAGCTTTGGGCTCCCTGGTCCGAGGAGTTGGGTAGATGGCCTATCTTACAGCTCTCGCTCTTCTTTGTAAATATCTGGCAAATTCCGGTTGGCATCGCTCCCAATTTCGCCACTATACTTGTCTGCCGTGCACTTGGAGGTCTTTCTACCGCTGGTGGAAGTGTCACCTTGGGCATGGTTGCAGACATGTGGGAAGCCGACACGCAACAGTACGCTGTGGTATGTGAGAGTGCACCCAAATATTCCTAACTTGGCTAACTTGTTCATGGTAGGCTTTCATTGTTTTCTCCTCCGTCGGCGGCTCCGTTCTTGGGCCAATTGTGGGTGGATTTGTCGAGTACAACCTTGCGTGGAGATGGAACATCTGGATCCAGCTTATCTTCGGTGGTGCTGTACAGATCTTGCACTTTTTCATGGTCCCCGAAACACGTACCACCATTATGATGGACAGGATCGCAAAGAAGCGTCGCCAAGAGGGCGAGAAGATTGGGAAGCCTGTCAACATCTGGGGTCCCAATGAGCTCACTCCCTTCAAGGAACGATTCTCTGCCCGCGAAATTCTCATCACTTGGGTCCGACCCTTCCGTATGTTCCTTACTGAACCCATTGTTTTGGTTCTCAGTCTACTTTCCGGATTCTCTGACGCTTTGATCTTCATGTTCCTTCAATCATACGCGCTCGTGTATGATCAATGGAACTTCAACGCCGTTACTATCGGTCTGGCCTTCATTCCCATCGGCATTGGGTATCTTCTTGCCTGGGCATCTTTCATCCCTGCCATCAAACGTAATATTCGAATTCGACATGAACGGCCTCATGACGAAATCGCTCAGTATGAATCTCGTCTATGGTGGCTTCTATACACTGCTCCTTGCTTGCCGATCGGTCTGATTGGATTTGCCTGGACAAGCACCGGCCCGCCAATCCACTGGATTGGATCAATGATCTTCAGTGCTATCATTGGTATTGCCAACTACGCCATCTATATGGCCACGATTGACTACATGATCTGTGCCTATGGACCTTACTCGGCTTCTGCAACTGGAGGCAACGGATGGTCTCGCGACTTCCTCGCTGGTGTCCTCACTCTCCCCGCCACCCCATTCTACCAAAACATCCCCAGTTCCTCGAACCCCAACCACCTTGCCTACGCTTCGACGATCCTGTTCTGCATTGCTGCCATTCTGGTCGCTGCTGTTTATGTCATCTACTGGAAGGGGCCGGTCCTCAGAAAGCGATCTCCATTCGCACAGCAATTGGCTGGAGCTCGGGAGGAGACCGGAGGAAGGAGAGTCAGCGCACTGCCGGGCCTCTACGGTTCTCGACACAACTCCATTGCTAACGGAGCTTCTGTCCCAGGGTCTAGGAGAGGAAGCGTTGTCCGTGGCCAGAGTTTCCAGGGACGCCAGAGCTCCATGTAAATTATCTGTACAAATATTTCCTTTCAAATGTATATACGTATCGATACGAATAATTAAATTGAATCAATATCATGATGACCATCGTCCAAATCGTATCTATTTCATCTACAAAGCACCACTTCTTAGTTTTCTAGTCAGAATTATAACTCAATCCCACATGCCATGATACTTCAGAGGGTCGAATCCCTTAGATCGCATAATCTGCTCTTCGATAGCAACTGCGCTCAGTAAGATATGTTGTGTCATCTCGTCGTCCACCTTCTCATGGCAAATACCAAGTACACCGACACTTACTCCATCTCCAATAATCTCGCCCTTTTCCTGCCCATCATCAGCCGCGTCTCCCTTCTTTTCCCATCTCGCACATCTAGGCTTATACACTGCAAGCACCATATCCGCCCCTGTCAATATCAACCCTCCACCAGACACCCTCCCCTTGCCTCCCCAGGAAATGTCACGATACTTTTGTGACAGCCTTGTCTGCCACTGATCGCCCTGTGCGCGCCATTCCACCCGGTCCTCTTTAATGGAAAACCCATCACTGCGATCTGGAAACCCCAACGCCTTCTCAAGAGTAGAATCAGACCACTGACCGTGACCCAATCCGCTACCGACCCACCATTCCTGAAGAGACATGTCGTCTGCCTTGCTCTTCCACTCGCCTTGTGCCTGAAAGGCAGACTGCGGTCTGACGCTGCTGACTGTGCACATATGTCGCCCGATCAAGCTGTGTGTTTGCGAGATGCTTCGAACAGATGTGGCTTTCCTATCCACGATATTTTCGACATTGGTTGTCTGAGGGAAGATGGCGATGACCTGATTGCTGTTGGACGGCCATATCGGGAAGGTCGAGTTGGCGGCGGTGTCTACAAAGTACTTGGAAACTTCTTTTAGCCCATCGCTTGTGGCATCTTCAGTCGTCTCGAAGACGCCGAAGATACGGTCTGATGGTGTCGTTGCATCGGATGATAATGATGACGAGAACCAACCTGTGGTTTTTACTTGCGTTGGTCGCAGTTCGTACGTTCGGAGTGGTGTGGCGGTGTAGATTTTGTCTTTAGACATCGTGATTGCGAATTATGTTATTTTCCTCCAGGTGGTTATGAGTCTGAATTATTGAAAAGGTGTCTTTTTGTAAATTTCACATGTTTGTCGATGCCTAGCACCATGGCTCAGCCCAGCTCATTGCATGGAGGCCTATGTGGTGGTGTTGCCTGATTGCACAGCCACATCAACACCCTTTGGCCATGTTTGGAAGCTGACTGGGGAGCGTGTGAGGAGACTTATAACATCCAGTAATCATTGCTAAGAGGCTCGGAAGTAAAAACGTACTCGTTGCTTTCGAGGATCGAGTCCAACCCAATGCGTGCATTGCATTGTAACCAGTGCTCAGAAGTTCGGTTAAAAATTGAGTGGAGGAGGTTGTAAAATCAATGTAAACCAATGTAAAATCAACATAAAGTCATACATCTTTCGCAAGAATGAATAATCAAAGTGCCGTTTCATAGCTCCGCTAATAATACCATCAAATGATACGACATTGTAGGATGCGGTTCATGGTTGCTATAATCTTCTTTTGCAACGAGCATCGCTTTCGCAATACGCAAACAGCCTGATAGTGAAGCTCCTCAAAGATCACCACTTTCGTCTGAGATTCCATTGGACGCTCCCATTAGTGGCTAATGGGGACATTTACTCGGCTTTCTTTCCCTTCTTCCCAGCCTCAGATGGGGCGTATCCCGTGTCGCTCTGACGGCAAATCCCGGCTCACAGTATCCAGTACTTTCAGATTACGCCCGCTTTGAAGTTTCCAATTTTGGTTGCTTTTTCAAGGAGTGTCTCAATTGCAGAACCACGGTGCAGATCGCACATCATCATCGATAGACACATTCAGCTTGATCTGCGATTTTCTGTACATCGAGATTCTTACCCCTGAACACAGAAACCAGATCTGGCGTACGAGTGACAGGCAGTAATACGGCAAGGCTGGAGCGTCGCGCCTCGGACTCTTCCAACCGCGCTTTGCACAGACTGCACCTAGTGAAATTCGCGACTACTTACGACTTCCACTTTCTAGAACTTCAAATTCACGACTCAAGACAGCCCCATCGAAAGACTCGATCTAGGCTCTGTAAGCAAAAAGGTACAATCCAGGTCGAGACCCCTTTCCCAAACGGGCACTATCCTTTTGACGTACAGCATGGGTCGCTTTGCGCCTAAAACGCCCCCACGCTCCGACGAACGCCATCTGTGCCACCTCACGAACGGATCTTCAATCTAAGCGAAAGATGCTTGCCGTGTTGCCGCGAGCACTTCAAAAAGATAGATGTGGCTGAATATCTGATCTTCGACTTCAGCTGAGCCAAGAAATCGAAATCTTCGGCATACAAGGAATCAGGGACTAGGGCGCCATCAGCATTGCACAATGGGAATAATTCTGGCAAAATCCCATGCACAGTGCATAGGAAACTATGTGCGGAAACTAAAGGAACCCAACTTTCTGAATTCGCGGTCCGCTTCTGCGGCGGAAGTGCGTCCAGGTTGCAACCAACTGTGAGGATACAGGTATCAACGTCAGTCCTGACAAACTTCACATAACCAACAACAAGCGACACGTTTGCAAGGCTTCGCACCAAAGCCAATTCTTGGTACAAAGATCGCGCACGAATTCCTCCACTCGACCTGCAACACTGAATCGTATAATACAACACTACTCTCTTGGTATTGCTAATGACTCGCTGTGTGTTCTTTCGTCCGGATTCTCTATCCGATAGCGAGCTATTCATCTTCTTAGTGCGCTGCCCACGGGAACGAAGCAGGGGTCCCCAGTTGAGATGGAGAATAATGACAATGCCCAATCCGACAACCTGTTTGGGGGCGTGTTTGCTTTTGTTTTGACATCAATTTCCCCCAATGCTGCATTCAGATCTCACGTCAAAGATCAACATTGTGACGAGCAATTGATCTTCAGGAGATATCAATGCACAATACTCCGTACAGACACTGTCAGCATTTAGGAGAATTTGTGTTCATTTTGTTTGAGCAAGTGACACCAAGTTTAATGAAATGTGTCACTGTGATGGCTTCATGCAGGTACCAAAACCAGTGGCTGTTACCATTGCCAAGAATATCGTTACTTCTTTTCAGCTTATGCAGGGGTAGGTTATCAACGTTCTGGCAAGTCAAAGAAAACCGGAGCGACCATTATCCGGGCCTTTTTGTGTGGCTTAGGCAATGAGAATCGTAGGGTTAGTGAGTACCCCATCCCATCATAATGTCTTTTGAGGCTTGAGTGGTTTAGACCTAGTAGGCCATGTAGCTTGATCGCGTGGACTCTTGCCCTTTTCGAGCCACGCTGAGGTCCATGCCGCTGAAAAAATGGTGCACTTTCTAGATGCTTTTGTCAAAATGTTAGATACTGGATGGTCACGCGGGTTGGGAGAGAAAAGTAAACACGACGACTTCAATTATGGAAAGTTAAGTCTACATCAACTAGTATCCAGGATTCCTCCAAGCCACCTTCAACCCCGCAAACTCGCCCATCGTGTGGATGCACCTGCTTCCTACCGCATTCAATGAATCATAATGAAAAGAGAAGAGCCTGATGAAGGACATCTGTATATAATGAGGGGCCATCATAACAGTAATCCTAAGCCGTGATATCGTTTAGACAAGGATGACGCGCCTGTTGAGAGCCTGCTTGGCCTGAGGCTCGGCCTTGCGGCGCTCGATGAGACCGCCACGCTTGACGTATCCGGCGTTGGGGGTGCCGTAGTTCTCGAGAGGCTCCTCGTAATCAGAAGATGGATCGGCAACGGGAGGAGAGGTCTTCGATGGGGTCTCGGAGGGGTAGGTCTCGTATTCAGTGGCAGTAGAAGTTGGGTAGACCTCATACTCGCTGGCAGTGGAAGTAGGGTAGACCTCATACTCACTGGCGGTGGAAGTGGGGTAAACCTCATACTCGCTGGCAGTGGAAGTGGGGTAGACCTCGTACTCGCTGGCAGTGGAGGTAGGGTAGGTCTCATACTCGCTGGCAGTGGAGGTAGGATAGGTCTCATATTCCTTGGTAGAAGAAGAGGTGGGGTAAGTCTCATACTCCTTGGTGGAAGAAGAAGTAGGGTAGGTTTCATACTCCTGGGCAGAGGAGGAAGAGGGGTAGGTCTCATACTCCTTGGTAGAAGAGGAGACAGGGTAAGGGACATAAGAAGAAGTTGGGTAGCCGTTGTATCCCTTGGTGGTGGAGGAGATGGGGTAGCTGGGCTTGTCGGTGCTCTGGAACTTGCAAGTATAGGGCTCGTTAGACTTGGTGACAGTGACGGTCTCAGCATCGTGGTGGTAGAAACCAGGAGGGTAGACAGTGGTGGTGGGGTAGACGAAGGTGGTAGGCTGCTCGAACTTGGTCGTGGTGGGCTTCTCAACCTCGTACTCTCCAGCACCAGTGCAGGTAACGACCTCAGTCTTGTAGACGGTGATGGTCTTGGTACCCTCAGTCTGGTAGCTTTGGGGAACCTTAGTAGTGATGGTGGTGGGCTCGGTCTCGGTGACAGTTATGGTGTAACCACCATAGGTGAGCGAATCACCGAACTGAGCAGTGTAAGTCGTCTCAGCAGCGACAGTCTCGTACTTGGTAATGGTCTTCTCGTAGGCCGGGATGGTGTAAACGCCGGGGGTCGCGAAGGTAGTTGCGGATGGCTTAGGCACGCCGTAGTCGAAAGTATGGACATACTTGTTCCACTTGCCGTTCTCGAACTCCTTGACGGTGACTTTCTGCTTGTCCTTGCTGCCCTTGTAGAGCTTGTTGCCCTTGTAGCCGGGAAGAGCCTTTGGTCCGAGATCCTTGTACTTGGCCTCGTGGACCTTCTCGTACAACTCGAAGTAAGGCTTCACGACGGGAGTAGCAGTGCTGTTCTTGGGGAAGTATCCGGTGGGGGCAGCATATCCAGCAGCGGGCTCAGTCCTGTAGCGGGTAGCCGTGGACTTGGTCGAGTAGAGCACAACCTTCTGGTTGGTCTTGGTGATAGTCACTGGCTCACCGTTGCATCCCTTGATGACAGTGGAGACCCAGAGATACTCAGAGCTCTTCCCAGACGCATCGTAGGTAGGGACAGCCTGGTACTGCTTGGTGACAGTGACTGGGGCGTGTCCATAGCCAGGGTTAATCGTGGTGTAAGCTGGCTTTGCCGAGCTGGAAGGGGTCTCGTAGCTAGGCTGGCCGTAGGAATCGGCAGCTGCAACGGCAACGGCGCCGGCAAGGATGGCGATGGACTTCATTGTGGATTATGATTAGGGTATATTAAGTATTTAAAAATAAAAAGAAGGACTGTGGTCGGTAGGTACTAAATGAAGGACAAGCACTCGAACGCTGGGATAGCTGAGCGATTCAGACAAAAGAATGACTGTGGTGGAATGAGTGAGTGAGTGAAGAACAACAACAAGCAGAGGAAAGCCTTCATGATATAGACTTCCTAGACGCTTGGATCGCGATTATGATGCCCCTGAGCATTTGTCTGGATTGCTCAAGGCTGCCCACATTCAGACCGGTCATTTGGCTAGGTGGATCTCTAGCATCTCATGCCTGCCAGCATGCCTGTAATCACCAGGGTCAAATTACCATTTGATATTACACCGTCTTCTTTGGTGCGGTACGGCAATGAGGAAGGGACGGAAACAGTATCGAGCAAGCGAAGAGGCTGTGATGGCTGGCTGTGTGGATAGACTATGAGTGGAGAGTCGCATGCCACATTACCCATTTTGGTAGTTTTTCATTGCCTCATACTTGCAATAGTATGATGAAAAGCCACAATCCTAACGCTAAGATGTGCCTAAACGCCGTGGAATGAAAATTGCAGCTTGGGCTGAGGGATCGGTATTTACCGTCAACCGAATGGCCAGTGGCGTCAGGAGTCAGTGCATATCTGCGCGATCTCTTCAAGACCACGGCCGAACTAGCTTCATTCTTGGCGCTAACATTGGGAGATAGTAAGAGTATTATTTTCTGATTCCATGGCATTCTCACGAGGCGTCCGATGGCGTTGCCAGCGACACCAGTAGCGGGTACCTGCGTTGGAGAACCACAGAAAGGCGGTATGAGCGCCCCTTTATTTTAATCGTGAAGATTTATTCGTCATTATTGATATGAGGAAATATGTCTATGTAGGAGATAATTCTATGTTGAAGATTGATTATTACAATTCGAAGCTCGACGGCTCCGGGAGCAGCCCTTCAAACAACGTGCTCATGACTTCGCCAAGTCTGTCCAACGCTTTAACATCAGTTGTCACCACATCATCATTCAGGCAGATTTGTCCTGCTTTCTTATTGTGCTTAAGGTATGGTTTTAGTAGAACATGCTCCGCTTGCTCAGCATCAGTCACCATGTAGAACATTGCGTCGGGTTGAACAATGGTGTACTGATACTTCATCACTGCCTTTACGACAGTTTCACGCTGTTCCGGTTTCGTGATTTTGTCCGGGAGAAGTGGTTCCAAGCCTGCTTTTCTGCGGTTCAGAATGAGCTTCAGTAGACAATCACCGCATCGCGGTGTTTGACGGGCGATCCTATCGAAGATGGCAGCCGATGAGAATACAGGGCTACGGGCGGTGGCGTCAGTCGAAGGCATCGAGAATCCAGGCGCGAGGCAGTCTTCTGTATCAAAAGCATCGCAGTCCACATCTTTGATCATAGCTGGTCCATCCAAAGATGTCCATAGAGTCTCGGTATTGACCAACGGTGGTTGAAGGCCGGCATGGTCAAGGTGCTCGGCCACACGATAAAAGATTCGATGTCGGAATAGTTCTGGTGACTCATTGCCCATGCCTTCAGCAAGATCTTCTAGGATTCGATTTCGTTCTTCCCAGTCCAAGTAACCATCGTCGTTGAAATCGCTTCGAAGCATGATATAACTCCAAAGGAGTGCCTCTCTATGTCTCTCCATGGTGTAATGGAACACGACATACCAGGAATAAAGCTGGAAGCCTGTCTCGCCGCGAAAGCGTTGGAGTGCGCTCCTCAATGCGGGGCGAGGAAAGCTCGTTATTGCCTCCTTGGTGATACTACGAGAAAGAGAATGGCCAAAATGGACTTGTCCCTTCCGCTTGCGAGCACCGAATCGACGGTTGAGCAACCAAGATGTGTAGATCAAGAAAGGCTTTTCCCCGAAACGTTCGGCGTCTTTCTCTGTAGGTGGAAGCAGTGTGTTGTATGCATTCTCCTTGAAACCTAGAGTGGGTCCAAAAAGTGGTGAGTACAAATCAGCTGCAGAGTGTGGCTTGCCGAGAATCATATCGTCCGAAAGTGCAAACAGCTGTTCCGCGTTAGCAAGGGCTCATATTTGATCGATCCAGTCAACTTACCCTATCAGTCTCAGACTTGGTGTTGTATAATTGATTTTCGATAGTCAAGGAATCAAAGGTCGGAAGACACTTGCGCTCATCTGGTCCGAAGAACTCCTCCTGTGAAAGCACCTGAACCTGAGGATTGTCGTCTCGGAGCCAGTGGGGCCTCTGCTTCCCCATCGTGCGGGGTTGTTCCGCATCTTCTTGCTCATTCTCGAACGCATTGACCAAGATTTGGATGCGATTGGTAAAATCCCCAGCGTACTTCTCAACGCTGCGCATTGAGTAGCGAAGTTCATTCCATTCACGGTATCTGTTGGTACTATGAGAAGCAATCCATACACCCTCTGGATCATTGAGAGTTGAGTTCAACTCGTATGGTTTCATAGTCGAAACGAATTCCGATTGAGAGCCATTAACCCCTGATTAGCCTGGTTAGCTTATGTTAGGAAATTTCAAAGTCGCTTGAACCTACAAGTATAGACGAAGTCAATCTTGGGTTCCTCAAGCTTAGGCCCCTGGAAGCGGGCTTCGGAAACCCACTGATCCTCCCAACCTTCAAGAATGACATCTCTCACTGACTCCTCAAAAGGCACGTGAATCATATCTGGAAGAGCATCGGCTTTCTCTTTGAGCATTTCGCACTCTTCCCAGGCGGGAAATTTATAATTCTCGTCCCAAGGTGACATCTTGTGCAGCGTCTCGATAGGGCCTCGGAGCTCCTGCTTTACAAGGGTTTCTGATGTATCTTCTGAGGTGCCCGGTTGCTTCCTCTGTGCCTCTGTTTCGCCGTGATGCTCCTGAGGCTTCTCAGTAGACTGTTGCTCTGAGGCTTCAGGCGAGGAATCGTCGTCATCGGGATGAAGCAGCTTCGCAGCATGCTCAACATTTCCACCCGTAGATTCCTGAATAACACCAATATTGTCCGAATCATGTTCCTCTGATTCATCCTCATCGTCCACGTCCGGTCTGTTGTTATTGTTGTTGCGACTGGGTGGACTTGTCCTTGGAGGCGATGGCGTAGGGCTAGGAAGCGGTTCCTTTTGGAAATTGCTTGGCCTTCGGTGTATATGATGGCCGTGCGGACCGACTTCATGTGGGTTTGGTGAAATATCTACAGGCTCCTGAGAAAGCTTCTCTTCTTCTGTAGCATGATGAGGTGATTGTTGTACGCCGACTTCTTCAACTACTTGATCCACATAGAATTGGGAGCTTCGCGAGTGCCACAGAACCAGGGCAGCGAGAATGAATAAGAGATAGTAAATTGCACGAAAAGAGCGACGCTGCCGATGATACAACGAGTGTGAATTGCCCCCAAACATGTTGAGCGAACGTAATGAATGAAATGTTGTATCAGGCTAAGAGCAAACCAAACAGCATGGAGAACTGAAGGGAAGAAAACTTGAGAGGCAAAGAGGGCACAAATGGTGCTAATATGCATCCAATCTTGTGAGGAAAAAAAAAACTCCAAAGGGGCAATATGTCGTGTGCTACATCCTCATAATCTTATCGATGTAGGCTTCAGCAAGCGCCGCAGCTCAGCCGTGAATTAGAACCACGCAGCTTCGCCAATTCACCACACCCCCTGATTTAAATGACCATGGCGCCTCAAAATGCGGACGCTCATGCAGACCCTAGTGTGATGGATATCTCGTCACTGGTGTTCCAGGTTCAAAAAAGAAAAGAGGCGCTGATTAAGTCCTAGATCACCATTGATGCCCTGGACCTGGGATGTGTTCCGGTGATACAGGGCAGAGTTGAGTGTGTCGGCTATCGTTGGGGCGTACTTGGGACCATTTGCTCGTCTGATCCGCGCGATTCGTAACTAATTTAGCTCACGCTTCAGCCCGTTGGCGCAACACTAGGTAGATCCCGATGATTCGCACGGGATGTTTCTTCGCCCAACCCTTGTCTATGTTTTCCTCCCTGAGCACGCGACACTCGCTCGTAAGTCCTCTGGTGTAGACTGTCCGGATGGATGAATCCTAAGCACGTCTGCCGATGCCGGCTGTACATATTCTCACCAGCATCAACGAGAACAATCGATGGAAACGCCAGATTGTTTCTCGTGGAGTAAGACATCACGGCCGCAATCAATCTACGACCGATCGCCGTCAGAAGGTATCATTGGGATGTTTTCTAGGGTTCAATATCGTGAGTCAAGCGGAAACATCCAATCCTCTGAAATGTGGATTCGTAGCCACTTGCCTCGTAGAAAAACCTCGCCCATCTTTCGGACAAAGCTAATGGGCTATGGAGCCGAAGCCTTATTCATGCTAATGAAGCAGGCGGACAGATTTCCCTCCCTTAAGAAAGCATTATTAAGTGGAATCGAGGTCGTATCCTATCGAGTGTCTGACTCTCTATCGGTGTTACCGAACCCAAGGCAGAGGGCAGAGCAGCCTTTCAAAGGATAAATATATTGATTATGACAAGAATGCTTAGTTCGGCAAGATTGAATCCTTTCGCGAAATCATTACAATCAACTGGGAAAACTGGATCTACTTGATCCAGATCGTGAGGGCACAGTCCATTAAGTGTCCATGTTTGTGGTGGGAACCGGGGGTTGCCTACTGGGACATTTTTTTTTATCTTACTTTCAGACCGCTGTGTTCTCCGTGCGTAAACCCGACACCGAGGTGACAGAATGCAAGGCGTGGGGTGTGTGGGGAGTGTTGATGTGCTCTGGACTTTGGATGTGGCTTGCGTAGTCACCGAGAGGCGTTCGCTGTGTCGCGTGCCTATGCCGCGGACCCTGCGCTAACAAGCAAACAAAGAGAAAAGCCCAAACCCCCTGCATCTTCGACGAATATTGGCATACACCAAGCAATGAGCCATTGTTTAGCAAGAAGCTCCTGGGTCTGGTTATCATGCACGCGTCAGGAGAATGGATTGAAGTGGGGTTGGTGTTCTTCGAAGCGCTCATAGTTCAGAACATCCCTTGAAGTAGAAATCGTGTACTCTGCAGGGCAAGCAATGGATTTCTCTGCCTCCAGTAGATATGATAATCCAAATCAGAATAAGCCGTACTCGATGAAGACTCGCATTGGGTGGGGTTTCTCAGGAAGTGATGCGAAAACAGCAATATTGTCCAGAAGTTTTTCTTCTGAGTGTATGTGCATTTGCGCGTACGCAAAAATCGATCACGGTAGCACAGCTCAAGGCGGCGTGCAATGGGATTTCAAATTCTATAACCAACACACATGAAGCCACAAACACTATCGTCTAAGCTTATTCTCCATTCACACTAATAAATTTTGTAGTGGCGGTTTCTACTCTACGGTAATGATTATATTTCAACTTAGGCTACTAAGCTGCTACTTTTATGACTGCTCGCCCTGCAAGTTTCCCAGCATTGAGGTCATCGAGAAAACCATTGATGTCCTCGAGATTACCACGCGTTAAGATAGGATGTACAAGATCTCGAGCAGTGAAATCGAGGGCCTGGATGAGGCCTGTCAGTTGAAGTTTGATAACCGAGTTTGTCTGACTTACCTCTTCGACGTCCTTCAACGTCCCCACGACACTACCAACAACATTGAGCTTCTTCAAACACAGAAGAAGCGGATGAGCGCCGGCAATGACGGACGAATCTTTGGGCAGACCAACGGCTACCATTGTTCCTCCAGGTCTCAAGAGCTGCGGTGCCGTATCATATCCAGCCTTTGAAGCTGCAGTGACGACTACACCATGTGCACCATAGGTGGTGATCTTCATTATCTCGGCTTGTACATCCTTGACAGTAGTGAAGTCAACAAATTTCTCAGCACCAAGCTTGAGACAGAGATCTCGCTTTGCGTCGCCACCATCCACAGCTATAACACGCATGCCCATCGCTTTGGCATACTGCACTGCCAGATGTCCCAGACCTGCCGACGGTTAGGGACTGATAATGATTATAATACTGGCTTGACATACCACCACCAGCACCAGGCAATACAATCCACTGCCCTGGTTTGACAGCACTCCTCTTGCATGCAACATAGGCCGTCACGCCGCCACACATGATCGGACCAGCCTCCTCATCCTTAACACCATCGGGAAGCCGTGTTGCATACCTAGCATCCGTGAGAGCGTATTCCTGGAATGTTCCCGCAATGCTGAAGCCGCTGTTGATTTGCTTTGGACAGTGACACTCGTCGACTCCATTAGTACAAAACTCGCACTTCCGGCATACACTCGCTATCCACTTGATTCCGGCACGATCACCTTCCTTCCAGAGATCCTTGACGTCGGATCCCACGGCAACGACCACTCCAGCGCCCTCATGACCAGCAACGCCATGGGTCTGTGGTTGCATGGAGACACCCGAGAATGACCATTCATCGTGAAGAAGTGACTTATCGGAGGCACAGAGACCGCTGTAGTTTATCTTCACGAGAATCTGGTCCGGCGCCGGCTGTGGGACCTCGATGGATTTGACTTCGACTTTCGCACTGTCACCCTCGCCGACCTTGACTGCTGCTCGCTGGGTGCTTGGTATCCCCATTGGTGATCTTTCTATGCTAATCAAAAACGATGTCTAATGTACTTTCTTACATGTAAAGATATCACGATGATTTATACTAAGAACCATCGGATACTTTCCCTCCATATTGCGGGGTAAGATATCCATCCGCCCTAGACTTCGAGAAGCCATTCCAAACGAAGGATGAAGCCTAAACATGGGTTCACAGCACTCGAAGCATGCTCACATACAAATCCTCGCTTGTCCCTGCCGACTAATGTCACTCTTTTCCAGATCCGCGTCATGATGTTACTAGAACGCTATTCGAGTAAGCAGAACTGACGACCGAAAACATGATCCGATAGATAGGATATAAGTGATTGGACCAATTCAATGTGCACATGAGTCTCGATGTTGACTTGGAAGGATCATGTATTGTGGGGCGTGCTGCTAGTATCATGCGGGGTAGGTGGGATGACTTTTACTACGTACAGTCATACGAGGCTGTGATGCGGTCGAACGGACCGAATCTACATGAAGAGTGTCTAGATCATTCATTTCAATTGTTGAGATGCTGAATCTGTTCTGTTATCGGATTATCGAGCTGCACTGCCGTCGCAAGACGTGTATGCAGCCCTCGAAATCTCACCTATATTAACAAGACTAATGACCCAACGTCACTGAACATAGTTTGATCAGGCACAAAGCTCGCATGAAGATTCGTATTGCTCAGTAAAAGATTACCATCGTTAGTGCACCTTTGTTCTCCGTGGACATCATTGATTTCTACATAAGGCATCGTACTTTATAGGGTAGTTCTTGTGCTTCTCGTGTGCAGAATTCAGCCAAGAAAGTTACACTTCCAGCATCGCAAAATCATGTTCATGTCCTGTTTACGACCAAAGCCCACTATAAAGCCCAGTAGCTAGAACATCCAATCGGCCTCGATTGTTTTCTCCAATGTACTGTGTACTGAGGCAGTTTGGTACTCTAGTGATTGGCGAAATGACACTGTCTTCGAGCTTCACAATGCTGTGAAAGTTAATCGCAATCGTGGGGCCCTCAATGAGAATGAAATAATCCGGATCGAGGGAAGTATTTAGTGAGTAAGGCAGTCCAAACAAAAGAACAGACGTGTTTGTATCCGAGTTCATGTTCCTGACACATCGGTCCTATCCATGGACGACTTCCACCTCCGGGTGGCCATTTCACACGGCCGAAGTTGTCGGATCGATGGTCCTTGAAACACCAAACATGGTCCTCCATAGCCTGACTTCATAAGTTGGAAAATTGGACACCAGGTGATTCCCTACGCAAACTTCGACTGCCTCGGAGGGACTCCGACCCGTTTCGTCATTCTGCAAATTCAGGAAAGTGAACATCCATCGCCGACACAAGCTGCCTTCCGTTGTGTGTTTGGGAATCAGGTTCACGCACGTTGGCCGAACCTTGAGGTAGACCTGATGTACGAGCAACTCCAAAGCATCTATTGATGTTTTCACTTGTCCGATTAAGTGTTTTGCCAGCTTCACCTGCGCTTGGAGGGCGCGAGAACATTCAGAGAGGGCCTCAAAATCAGTCATCTTCTTTCCCTGGCGCGCTTCTTTGAACATCTCGTGTGCCAAGTGGCCTATGATGTACCAATTTGAAAAGAACTCCTGGTCTCGACGCTCTGTGCCTGTCTCAAATACTGACGCAAGTCGGCAAAAGAGGTGTGGATTGCTCGCGCGGCGTGGGTGGCGACTGGCATGAGGAATAAGGTGATATCGGAAGCCAATAGATCGGTATCGGCGCTCATAATGATCAAGTTTGCGGAGAAGGTAGATACCATCGTAAGAGCAGTTGTCTAGGCAGTCTTGTAGGTATGCTATGATCTGGGAGTGCTCTGGTGCCGAATCCGGTGGTAGATACTGTGTTGGGCGAGAAGGATGGGCGTCAAGCCAGGCAGCCACGGATGCGATGGGCGCGAAAGCCATAGATTTAATCTCTATTCCCTGCTCGAGTTCACTTGTGTTGTCTGGCTGTTGGCGGCCAGATCGATGTGATTCCGGTTGTTGTATCATCGCGCGGAAAGGCTGAGACGGACTGTGTTGTTGTGTCTGCCCCATCAAAGAGGACGCAGTGAGTGACTAGCAGGTATGTGCTCTGTGTGTGAATACAACCAATTTCTTCTTTAAGGTTTCAAAGTGAAAGAAGAGTGTTACTGGTGCCCATGTCTCGCCATTAATGATCTGCACGCGCGGAATCGGTCCACAGACATCACTGGCAGCTCACCAGAGAGACATCAGGCATCAATCAGCCTCCACAACTGGTTCGCTCGGACCACGCTTCATGATAAAGTGAAAAAGTGCAGTTAACGCGCGCAAACGCGTTGGAAAGCTTATCCTCATAACACTAAGCTACAATTCTGCATTTCGCGCACACAACACGGTTGTTGCCACCGCCAGATTCACCCACACTCAGTCTCGGACTCGGACTCACGCCTTCGCCGCGCTGGAATTAGGCTTAAGCAACTTGTCTGGAACGTATCACACCAGCCCACACTCACCCGAAGAGCCTCCTGAATTATCTGAGATTCCGATTTCTTTGCTTGAAGTGCTAATTGGGTCTCTGGGAGAGTGTTGAGCCAAGTCCAGAGATCGTCGTCGCGGTCATTCTCCTGTAGGACCTCTGCTTCATCGAGTATACAGTTCGCGTTGCGGGTAAATCTCTCTGCGGTATCGACGCTTGCATCGAGAGACCACAAGCCTCTCCAGACGCATTTACAAAGTGCCCAGGCGTCCAAACATTCCTCACGCGAGGCTTCTGCTCGTACTTTAAGCGGCTTGCTATTGTCGAATAGCAGTTCAGTGGCTCTTTGGATGGAAACCTCCAGATCATTCTACGGCTGGAAAAATTGTCGTTTCCGTAGTGGCTCAGTACCATGAAACGCCCTTATAATGGTGAAGTATGTTCCTTCGTCGAGATCAGGATGGCAGTGACTGTACCAGCCAATATTGAAGTATTTCCCTCCAATCTCACGGTACCTGTCCTCGCATAGAAGGAGCTGCTGTGTCAGGCTAGCGATTGATTCCCAGACAGCTATTTCTAAGCTGCGATATTGGTAATTCAGATCCTGTACTCTGCTCAGCTCTTCCCTCATTTGGACCACTTCGTCGCGAATCTGTTCGATGTCTATACAAGAAAATATCAGCGTCTTGCACAACGGTGAGGTACTACTTGCAGACTCACTCTTCGCTTGTGTCATGTTGGAAGATACGTATGTTGGGATTCCACAGTGAAGCGAAAGTGGTGTATTCGGCCAGGAGCGTCAGGGACAGTGTTTAATATTTGGTATACCGATAGCGAATGCTCGGATAAGAATGTGATGCAGTTATGAGTAGCGATGAATATGATAAAGTGTTGGTAATTTGTCTGTGTCTATGGAACGGGCGTAGAAGCAAGTTTGTTAAACATGTGGTTGTCACAACGCAGAGGGTGGTACTTACCCCGGGGACGCCAACGACAAGGCATAGCATGCAGGAGCAGCAAAGCTACAAGAAACTTTGACTTGCAAGGCTCTTTCTGGAAAGTGACTTGGAAAGCTAGGCTTATCGTAACCGCGATTTGACAGTCCGTATTGTCGTCAGCGTTTTTTCGCTGTGCTGAGTGTAGATACTGTACCCGACTTTCAAAGGCGTAGATATCGCAAAACGTTCATGCGTTATTCGCAAACAAGTGATACCTCCCAAGCAGAAAACACCCGCAGGGCATTAGCTGCTATTGAAGACCAGTGTGATCTTGTGTAATGCAACCTCAGAGATGCATGCGCGTCATAAGGAAGCTCCGGCTTTCCGCTGAAGTTACATCGGCATTCCCTCGGCTCTCGATGAATGAACGTATGTGTGCACCTGTCAGTTCAACTTGACACCCAGAGAAGGCCTTACGCACACCGTTTCATCACAGGATCTAGTCGATCAGAGCCAAGATATGCGAAGCCCTCAAATGAGATAAAGAATTCAGAAGTTGGCTTGAAAAGAAAGTGGAAGCTTTAAGAGTTCCATGGCTGCAAATCAAGCCTGTGACCAGGCATATGAAGATGCTGCGCGTGAAGTCGGACAAGCCCGGCCTGCCTAAAGGAGGAGTGCCGCGAAGCCTTGAACGCTGATGGCTTTCGGTCAGTGATTCCTCTCTGCTGATTTATTCACTTTAAGAGTAACTACTCTTTCCGCGAATTCTAGAATTTCATAAGCTCTTCTGTTTGAACGTTCCTCGTCTTCCATGCAGATTTGACAACTTACTTTTTCATTGTAAGAAGCAATACTTAACTGGACTTTAATCGATTGTAGCATACCTGAACAGATAAATCCGAAGGGACCGAGAGGGAAGAAAATATAGTAGTTGTACCACGAGAATGATGCGCGTGGCTCAGGAACAGGCTGTGAAATCTGGGGTTGCCGTGGACCGACTGGTTTTGGTGGTGAGTGCGCGGGCGACGCGATTGGCTGCGTTCCTTGTATGACCTCAAGCCACCAGCACCCCCCTTGGTGATCCATTTCAAGGCCATCAAGTTGAGATTGTGACATCAGGTCAACCCTAGAAAGTAACATGGGACCCGCATATATTTATCCCTCATGGTCTTCAATTTCCATGGTTCTGTTCTACGCTTCCAAACTTCATCGCTGCTGTGAAACCCACCACTGTTTCTACAGTCCAAGTCGTGGTGGTATAGCATTTTGAACATATTATTTCCCCTTTTGGCTCTTCTTGTACATATTTCAACTTCTTTCATAAGCCTTTCGTCGCCATGAAGAGCTTCGTTCGCAGCTTCATCGCCAAGCATAGACCAGAGAGTCGTCGTGGGTCCTCCGGAAAGGCGCCGCCGGTAAAGGCCGCTGCCAACATTTCCAACAAACCAGATCCACCGACTGATACTATCATCAATTCCAACATGGCTGGCGAGCAGCAGGTTTTGGCAGATGGCAACCTGGCAATTGCTCTTCAGAATAAGACTTCTTCCAGCAACGTTTTTGCATATATCACAGGCCTAGCTTTGCAGAATAATAACCGACCCATTTTTATCCAAAGTGATGGGCGAACGGTGTATTCTCCGACGTCACCGGATAGACCACTTGTCGAGCTCAGTCAGGACGTTGCCATTCCATTGGGGCCACCTGGAAACACCGTCAATGTCGTTATCCCAAAGATTGCTGGAGGCCGCATTTGGTTTTCAGTTGATGCTCGACTGAAATTCCTTGTCAACCCTGGACCAGCAATTGTGGAGCCATCTGTCACAAACACGAGCGACCCGAACATCAATGTATCCTGGACGTTCTGCGAGTTTACATACAACGATGCGCAACTCTTTGCCAACATATCCTATGTCGACTTTGTCAGCGTACCCATTGCCATTTCGCTGACCAACACGTCGGGGAACACACAAAAGGTTCCCGGCATGCCGGCCAGCGGATTCAACACTATTGTGAATGAACTAAGGGCCCAGTCCGGCCGAGATGGCAGACCATGGGACAAGCTCATATATTCCCATAATGGAAAGCCACTTCGAGCTCTCAGTCCCAATTACCTGCTAGTCGGCAACGCGAATGCGTGGGACGGCTACTGGGACTCGTATGTCCAGCAAGCCTGGTCGAAATTCAGAAACGAGGACATGATTGTGAACACGCAGGCTGCTGCTGGCAACCTGAGGGGTCGTGTGAATGGAAACGAACTGTCTCTTGGCGAAGCCGGCACTTTTGGCCCACCTTCAGCACGCGACATATTCTCCTGCTCCACGGGGCCTTTCCAGACTGGTTCGAATCAAGCTAGAAATGCAGTAATCCCTAGACTGGCGGCGGCCTTCAATAGGAGCACACTCCTCGACACCAATCAATTCCCTAATGGGAGCCGCCCTGAGAACTATTACAAGAACGCGACTACCAACCACTATTCTCGAATTGTACATGCCGCGCAGATAGACAAGAGAGGTTATGCATTTCCATACGATGATGTTGTTCCTGATGGTGGAAGCGATGTCGCAGGAACCCTCTTTGATGGAAGTCCTAGACTATTTACTGTTACCGTGGGTGGAGGCTAGGTTTGCTTTCATGTTGGATGAGTCCCAGACTTATGTACATACTTGCGCATGGCTTTCTTTGACACATTTACATACTGCTCTTCTTATTATATCGTACATATTTGAATCCTAGGTAAATATTCATCTTGTATCTGGTACTACATCCTCACGACTTGATGAAGCTATCAATTGATGTGGCACCAAGGTGTAGCTTGAAGACGATACTTAGATGATCTCGTCCTCGCTGTACCCTGTTCTCAATTAATCGAAAACCCACCATTGAATTTCATCAACCTTCCAAAGGAGGAATTGCGTAACAATGTTCTTCAAAATGAAAACTGAAAAAGGATGTCATCATTCGTTATACGTAGTTATAAATGAATACCAGTTATGTATGCCGCCCAGACTTGAACGAGACGATGAGCATAAGTCGTTATACGCGACAAAGACACTAAGTACCAGTACCAAAATGAAATAACAAAAGGACAAAAGATAACGTTAGCCAGTCTCAATCTGGCGACTTTCAATCTGGAAAGGAAAATATATAGTAGACAGATAACAAGCACCTGAAGAAGGGGAAGATAGACAGAGTTAGGGACAGGAAGTGTCGATCGTCGAAGGGTAAATCTCACGTATGGTAGCGCGCGTGGCCAAATTCGAAACAATCAGGAGATTGGACCTTGCTCTTCTCGCCACCAGGCGACAAGATTCTGCATGTCCTCTGGCTGGACCATACCTAAGTCCTTGACTTTGACATTCAGTTGAATGGGGTGGTATATTCCGAATCTGAGACGGGACGTGTCGGTTAGTGCAGGCTCCCCATCCTTCATTATCACTCCAATGGTCTTGTCAACTCTTTCCCCCGGCAGCCGTAACGCGGTATTGCCAACCGAATATGCAATTGCATGCTCATATGGATCAACGCCCCTTTTGGTAGTTGCACGGCCTTCATAGGTGAACACTGGACTATTGCATTTGCAAATTCATTAGTAACATGACATTGTTTGCTGTCGGGGCAAGACTCACCACGCATAGCAATGACCATTACGGCGAGGAGCTCGCACAACGATGAAGCGCCTAATCTGCGTATACACCTGCTCGCCAAATTTCACAAACGACACAGAGTCATTGTAGGATGTTGCCGTGGAGCCGTATGCCTCCGTAAATAAGGTAGCGAACATCTAGGGCGATTAAGCGTGGGCTTCAAGATTGTTGATATTGAGTTTGCTTACCCGGCCAACCGTAAAAAATCCAACTTGTTGGATTTTGAATTCTGGTCGCATGAGATTATATTTGTCGTATGATACTGCAAGCACTTACCTGGATCGAGAGTGCTGGTCGTGTTTGGAGAAAAGTAATCCCGGATTTCCATTCCCTCTCCACGGCCTGGACTATCTAAACTCGAGATTAGCGATGAAAAAGATGTTTAATCGAACATAGAGAAGGGTAACACAAGAAACGCTTTTGGGCGGAATGGGTATCTTACGATTCGGCGGTATTGGGGCTGTTGGGGGATTCTGCCACCCATGCTGTGGCGCCGAAGTTTGAGCAGTGTTTCTCTGGAAGTTTGGAATGTGGTTGTTTTGAGTTTGTGGACGGTAATCATGGTTTCTGTCATAGGGAACTGGAGTTGCGATGGTTTGCTGAGAAGGTTGTGTGGCAGGAGGGTGGGTTATGTATGAATTCTGCGTTCCTCCACGGCCCTCATATGTAGGAGAGCTCGGTAGATAACCATGGTAGCTGGTGTTGGTTCTAGGAGTCTCTCTAGTTTCATGAGGTTCAGTATCCCCTTGAGCGTACCCTGAGTTGAGCCAAGGAAATTGTTGTTGCTGTCGCTGTTGCGGATATTGGTGGGGGGAGTTTATCACGGAGTCCTGGCGAACAGAACGAGAAGCTCGGCTATGAGACAATAATTAGCAACGAACGATTTACTTAGAGTATCTGCTACTTTACTTGTCTTGAGATGGCGGATTTGTGGAACCTGTAGAAGAGCCAGCAAGATATCAGCAGAGGTTCGCCGAGTTCATGACACAATTACGCACTATAGTTTGGATAGTAATTACGAGGCCAGTCATTGTTCGACATGATCGCAGAAGAAAGGTCTTTGGTGGATCTCGCATCGTAGTACTGGAATCGGTCGACTCATATTTATGTGCCAGTGACTTGGTCGCTCGAACTTGAGGCTCTGCTGCATCTAGGTAGGTAGGTAAGGACGAATTGGATGCATGTGGCCCTAAACAGCGCAAAGGAAGTCGATGGCTTTACATGCAAGCACTCACATGTTGAATGCAACAATAATATGTCTACAAGCCCTACATGGATATAACCAGGGTGTTGTTGCCGGCAGGTGAATGAGTTGTATGGATGGCTACCACTTCGCACTGGACGCGATTGATCGCCACCCGCCCGCCATTGCGGTCATTCGTTGTTATTGGCACCCAGCCCTGATGACCAGCTTCCCGATAGACTTGAATCCCCGGAAACGACATGCTTGCCTGCAGAGTGTTGTGCTGCCGCTTTTAAAGTGGGTGAGCAAACAGCAATCCTCCTCTGCCGTTCGGGCCGACAAATGGCTTTTCAGGGCTTACTGTGTATTTTACATATTTCGGCTGACGTTTTGCTTTTGCCGAACCCCTAACTGGGGTCCGAATGTGACGTGTAATTTTTCATACCATGCCACGCAACAGACTCCAATCATGCGTTCGTCCGGGATGTCGCACAATAGTTAAAACTAGGGACGTTGCAGTCGTGCATGCCAACCACGGATCCGACTATTCTTGTAACCAACACTTCGGAACCCCAGTGTGACAGGAGCGCGTCCATCCGCAAACACAATATGTGAAGCAGCCTTTCACTTGATTCTCCCGTTTTCTTCTTCCTTTCTGCGTTTCTACCTCTACGGATAGACTAGCTCTCGATCACTTGCAGCTACATGAAGCAAAAACCATCCCATGTTTGATCCGTTTCGAAAGCTTCGGCATGCGGTCGTTCATAGTTGGTACGACTACACCCTATCATATTCTATACTGACAACTTCAAGAATTGCCATTAAGGCGTGCTGGCCCAAAGGTACATCGATCTCACACCCCCACTACCCAGGCCATTCGCACTGCCATTGAGAAACGAGCAAATGTAGCAATAGCTCCGGAAAACAATGCGCAATCTTCTTTTCAACAAAAGTCATTGAACAGCTCCCGTCAGTCCTCTGTTGACAATTTCCACCTTGGTTCAAAGGCCCCCGAGGAACATCGACATCCGCTATGGGGTCGAAGTGTCGAACTCTCAGATGCTCAAGAGGAGCTGCAAGATAGTCGCGAAGAGTTGCTCGGTGCGCGATTTTCTCTAAGATCGCAAAGAACCAAGTTGACCCAATTAAGGCAAGAGACTGGGGGAGCTGAAGGTGGACTTTTGATGTTCGTTCGCCAAAACATCCAAGGGGCAGATTTGACATCTTCAGACAAATTGGACTCATTAGTCGGAGAATATAGTCTCTTACGAGATCGATTGGGAATTGCCGAGGTCAATTACGAACAAGCTGAACAGAAGTACAACACCCTGGAATGGAATTACACACAAAAAGAAGAAAGATTTCTTCGTTTGTTAAGGGAACAAGATCAGGCGATTGGGGACCTGGCGAGTCATTCTAGAGGCGAAATCGAGGAACTGACTCGCTTCAGCCATGGCTCACTCGAACCAACGAAAACGCACCACGAATTTCAGGACCAACAAACTGGCTCAACTTCTGTATTTCGCACAGGTATTCGTGAGTCAGATCTTGACCGACTCGATCCTGCTGCGATACTCTCAACTCAAGTCGATAGTATAGAGAATGTCCATGAATCATCATGGCTGAAAGCTCTAGCTAAAATTAATTCATGGCTACTGCAAGGTATCCTTTGCTCAACTCTTCAAGAGGCTCGCATCAGAGAGCTCCTCTTGTATAAAAAGCTCAATGATCCTGATTGGCGCAATCTGGTCGTGCAGCATTGGGACCAAGACGATTTGAACAATCTCCGACCGTATCAATTGGAACTAGAGGAGTCTGAGGAGACAATCAGGGACCAACAGAAAGACACAACATTTAGCAATACTCCGCAGATTGTTTTCAATTCGAATTTGAGCTCTGCAAATCAAGTTCACACCAATCCCGATTACGCATTCACTTCGAGGAAAGAGCAACCAAACACTGATGCACACTCGAGGATTCCATTTATCTATAATGGGCATATTTCATTTTCATCGGAGCAATCATCACAGACAGGATACAAAAACAGTTACCAATGCGTAAACCAAGCCATGCCAGAACCAGAATCTCCAGAAGAGAACGAGCCCAGGACGACTTATACTGAGAATATATGTCGAACAGATACTCCGCTCACTAGCTTGAATCCAAGGAGCGATTATCCACAAGTCCATGGTGTTTACTCGTGTTGAACATGCTTGGACTGAACTGAAATTTCAAGACTCTGCATAAAAGAACGAACGAAGCATATTTTACATCATTATTGCCCATTTCATTGTAGCGCGTTTCCTTTTCACCTCGTCAGAATCTCTTCAAGTACTTCCTTTCGTTCTCTGTCCTTCCAATCTTAGTTATATGTGTATATTATTCCATTACAGAATGTAGCATACTAATTATTAGGTAACCTCTATCAAAATTGTTGTACTTCGAATTCACGGAGTAATCTTTTATTCCATCAACACACAGGGACATGCAAAACAATGTTTCACGAAAGCCCTACTTGTTTGCGAAGTACTTCAATGCGGGACCATCTTACAGCTAGGCGAACAAGGCTGAAAGTCCGGTGCCCGCACCCACTATCACACAACCCGAATTGGCGGTTTCAGTAAGGCCGTCGAAAAGCCATATCCGTTTGTCCTTGTTACGAATGATCTCGAGCTATTGAATTCCGGTTGGTTCGACTCTCGACGTAGTAAATTTGGACACCTTTGTTCAACCGTAGATCAGCAATGGTAGCAAGGTGCGGGGTTCATAGGAATTCCGATCTGCCTGCATTTCCTAGATCGCTGGCGGTGATGACCAAGTTTCAGGCAATATCGGAAACGGCACAGTTGCTTGGAGCAAGGCATAGGGCAAGCCTGGCAAGCCCATGGAGGTACGGTGGAATTGTCTGTTTTGTCAATCTAATGATATTCATTGCTCACGGGCCGTCGGAGGAGCCCTTCCTCGCCGAATTCAGTTTCGGATTGCGGGATTTCAGCCAGCCCTGTGGCTTCTCACATGAAATACAACTTGTTTTTTTTAAGTTTCCCATCATTCCTGGCGGATACTAATCTCTATAAAGAACTGTGATTGAAGAGGTTAAGATAAAGTTATATTTCTTTGCCAACACTAACACTAATTCGGTCACCGGGAGTCAAAAATTGAAGCCTGAGATCTAAGGCCAAATCCATCCCCTTCCCTTCCACGTTCTCTACCTATGCCCTACAGGGCTTCAGCTGTCAGAAAGAAGGGCCGGACAGTGCTTGTTCGTATTCGCAACGGCTCGACCCATAATGCGACCTGGTACCCGATGATTATGCACATGCTTTCACCTCTGCCTAGCCAAATCTCAGGCTTGCATCTCGCTACTTGTAGAATACCCGCTGGGCTATTTCCGCAAACGGACATATCACATAAGCTGAGAGGGGCCCCGCAAGATGGGAAAAAAGAAAGGACCTCGCGTTCGACATGCTTTTTCTAGCATTTGGGAAATGGCGAAGCAGTGAGATCTAGGCGTGCCGCCAATGTTCTGAAAAGTATGTCGTGACCAATTACGCCCACTATTTGCCCTCTTAAGAACAGCCATCATAGGCGCATGTCATTTGTCCAACCTCGTGTTCCGTATGTAAAGCGTAGGTGGCCCATCCTTTGATCCTATAGTTGCCTTGCCCGCTTTTGAAACCCCCCACGGACTTGCGCGCAGCGCACAGCGCGCGTCTTGTGTCTGCTCTCCCGCAGCCATCTGCCAAAGTGGGGCTTGCGATCCAATCAATTTCGGGATGCTGCATGGACGATTATCGCGGAATGAGCGTGTGACCGGCATTTTCTTGGCTGCATTTGGTGTTGTATTACCAGGAAATTGGTCGAACGGGTCACCATGGCGAAGAAGGACCCCTGCGCGAATCCTGGCACTGGCTTTTGAGGGACGATGCATACAGTACTCGTTACGCTAGGATTCCAGTGCGATCAGGCTGAGATCTTTCGTAGGCGAGATTGTGAAGACATGACGACTTTTGACGGGATATATCAAAGAATTGGTGGCTTTTCATTATAGATGGATTGTCGAATCATGTCTGATAATACCCGACTGCCGTGCAGTGATATCGGTGAGTGAATATCGATTCTGCGAATCGAAAAGCGAGCATCGATATTGTGGCTAAGCAGCCTACTGCTCGCTCGTGTACAGATATCAGCGGCAGATACGTCGATGAGAAATTAGGCAAATGAGACCGTGACAGACAATCCTGCATCAAGTATGTGCCTTTCTGCGTGCTGATTGCTTACAGCTTAGATACGCAGTCCCTCCTCGCGAGCAAGTGAGTACGGTTTTGGAATCACCTCAGCCGCAGTCTCTGGCTTCGCGCGAGATGTCCAGCGGGTGTTCCAGCTTTGATTGCGAAGCTATTGGAGGTGCCAGCGAAATTAGAATGGCACGAATGGTAATACAGTCTAAGAATAATGCTGATATGAATCAGGTCCTTTCCGTCAGATCGGAGGTCTCCTTCACACCTCGCCGACGTGATACAATCTCATTGGACTCTGTGAGCTCAGATCCTGAGACCTGCTCGGGGAGGCCGTTATTCGCTCTGGCCGTCTCAGCTCTTATCAAAATAGTATCCAACGATGCGCAGGAGCAGCGAGCGAATCCAGGGCGTAAATGGATTATGGTAGGACGAGCAATAACAGACTCTTATTGGGATCACCGTGAGGAAGTACAGATAGGAGGTCGGGAACCGGCAGATAGGCTCTGGACGACTCACCTAAGAGCACATCGGAGGCGATACGAGATGCGAAAGCGCGACAATATGCCGATATGTCAGGTCAGTGTATGAAAAAGTATCGGATGAAATGTCCGGGGCAGGTCGACTTTTGTAGGTTTTTGAGTTTCAGTAATTGTCCGAACTGGCGTTCGTTATGAACCCTATCAATGAATAACCCTGGCTTCGCAACGGGCTCAACTCCAAAATGGGTCAGTCATTGGCACTCGTACCTAGTGTTCATTGAGGAATCTGCCTTGTCTCCTGACCATCGTGCTCCCATTGGGTGAAGAACCGAAGGCAGAATTCGGCCTCGTGCTAAGAGGGCGTAGGGCTGCTCACATATGTCCGTATTATCGTTCGTCATGGATGATATCCATGTCCGGAACTCCGTTCGTCCTCCAATATTTTATTTTTTTTGATTTTCTTACCCCTTTGCAGGAGTTCGCAGACGCGAACCGGTGAAAATCGAAAAAGCTTATTTTAACGATTACCAGGTCTGTGGCTTTGCTACCATGGCCGAATGTCATGACACCGCTGCATGCCAACATTCAGTCGCGCGTCAAATTGCAGTGGCTGTTCTCGAATTTTCATCAGCACCCATGGGTCTGGAACATCGCTAATAATGCAATGAGAATCGTAAACTCTTCAACAATAACGGAATTCAATTTGACGGATGTATGCACACCCTTTGCACGTATAGTCCGTACATACAATTGAGAGTTGCTTGTAACTGATAGACTTACACGCGCGTTCGAAAGGACTGAATAATCTGTGTACTTGTCATTGTACAGTATATTCTAATGTTCTCAATATATTCCATAACATAGTTGATATATTCAGAATATACATCCTGTTACTGTTCTAGCAATTGTAGGGCTGGCTGTCGGTGTCCCACCTTTCCTCGCAATGGTGATGATGATCCATCTATGCGAATAGTTTTATATACATATACACACAATGATCTCCCATTTTGCATGCATTGCCAAGGCAGATCTTTTGATTTCCAGAGCCCGTTGCCACTGACTTGATGCTTCATGCAAGCGGCAGGGGGTTGGAACGAATTGATCGATATTCCCACGTGGGTACTGTTGTCCTTCAAAATAAAGATGCGGGCCGGCCGGTTCATACCCCACTGTGGAAGCTACTGCAGACCCTGGTCGACGAAGCTTGGCAAGGTCGCTTGTCTAGGTAGGTCAGAGCATAAGAAATGGTAAACCATCGATAAATTGGCGATTGCGAATGTCAGTCGATACACGCGCCTCTACATAATGAACGGATTCAAGGTATTTCTAGATCATTCTGTAACAACAATGCATGGAAGTTTCACGTCAGAGCGATGAAGTCAATTCTGAGAAGAATATATTGCCGAAAGGATAAAGGTGCAGAAATAGTACTGACTACAAATAGAGCAAACATAAGGTTCGTTTAGGAATAAGAGATTCATCAAGTCATCAAAATCAATGAAAAATGAACGTGTGAAATTAATGAAATCCTGCTCGGTGAAATAGTCCGTTGAACGTGAGATTGAACATGAGACTTAAAATGAGCGACGATATGAGAAAACGTTGGGTTGAGGGAAGTAACGGAACACGGTCGAACTTTGCGACTGCACGTATTGTCGTGGATTAGAATCACGGAGGTGTGACTCTCAGAAAAACTACCAGCCACGCCCGGGGTGATACTGGCCATGTTGTCCTTGCCATTGGTTGTAGAAGGTGTTGGGATGCTGCTGCTGCTGTTGCTGCTGCTGCTGCTGGATCTGATTCGGGTCATTGAAGTATCCATGCGGATGATTTTGGGGTGGCCCTTGCTGTGGTACCTGGTGTTGCTCATTGGAATATCTTCGCGTTGCATTGGGAGGTAGTTGCGGATGGTAATTCTGGTCATCGTACGATTGTCTCTGGTGGTGAGATCCATGAAACTGTCCCTGCGCTGAGAACCTACCTACAGGCCCAGGCTGGGGTTGCGATTGGTATCCTGGTTGGTCAAAGGTATCATGATTCCAGGAGCGCATATAACCAGACTTGAAATGATCTTGAGAACGAGGAACATTGTCCGGATGCTGCCTGGGTTCTCTGTTTGATACAGCAATATTATACGCAGACATACCGGGACCATAACCAGGCGATACGGGAGATCTGGAATGCTCATGCTGCCCAGAAGCATCAGACGTAGTGTCTTGGGGAACGTCGTAGTCATCTGTACGATTCTCATCTCTCCAGTATTGCAATAACCTGGACATGCTTTCTGGCGCAACCTTGCCAATGTCTTTGACTTTGACGTTGCACTCAATAGGGTACGTTTTACCGAAACGTATTCGAGATGTCGGTTTCATTTCATCACGCGAATCGGCAGGCTGTATTTCAATGGCTGTTTTAGTCATCCCTTTGTCCCTCTCACCCTCATATTCGGTTGGAGTGGTGCCTGAAAAATAAACTGGGGCATGTTCTGCGGGATAGCAGCCGGGTTTCAATGTGCCCCTGTCGCCGTAGGTAAAGATCCCACTATGGGAAAGTTAGAAGATTATGCCTCTGTGATGCTGGATGGTGTTACTGACATGGCGTCTACGAAGCCCCTCCTGACTTTGACAATCACAAAGCGGCGAATTTGAGAGAAGATTCCTTGGCCAAAGCGACCAATTGTGATAGAGGTATTAACAGTACCACTTTTCGCCGCCGCCATCGTTTCACTTGCCGCCTCGGAGTATAGCAAAGAAAAAACCTGTCACGATTAGTGGCTTGCGTAGGCGTTGATGTGAGCTGGAGCGACTGTACCCTGCCTTGAACGAAGAATTCTCGTGCTTCACGCTGGGTTCTCATACGGTAGCCTGCAGGGTCAAAGGAGTGGACAGGTTTTCGTATACGGTATAGGTGACTTACTCGCATCCAATGCGTCATTCCAACCACGATTAGGGGTTCCCGCAATGAGACCAGGTATTTCTTGTCGAACTTCGTGTGGTACTTTTCAACATATTAATCAAGGTAGGCATATCGGATGGGATCTGCCAATCACCTGGATCCGGCATAGACATATGGCTGTCCAACATAGAGTCCGTCCTCTCACCACTAATAACACGGATCAGCATTGACATGAGATGCAAGAGCTGCGCACGGAATGTTGCCATATGGTATGCATACCGTACTTGAGGTTCAGGACCTTCGGACTGGCCATGGATGGGGGGAGATCGGGGTTGTTTGTTCTGCACATTTTCCGAATGAGACAATGATATCTGCTGCGAGGTGTTGCTAGGGGCTTTTGACCAAGTATAAACCGGTTTGCCTATGATGAATAAGTCGATAGCCATTTGACGCCGAAGTGTGAGCAATGTTAAAACGAACCCAGTTCATCGTAGTCTACATGATAGTAGTCACCATGTTCTTCACTCCAAGTCCAGTGCTCAGTGTCCATGATGCTGGTGGTGCGTATTGGAGGCTACAGCTGGTTCTAGACGTGTTGCAGGGTCAATAAATACACGATGCGGCTCTGCCCGCCCCTGTCGGCTTGGATATCTCTCTGTTCACTACGCTTTCCATAGAGGAGGGGGTGGAGATGGTGGGGTAAATGGTGCCATTGCTGCACCCACATGTATGCAACTCTTGATTGCTATGCTGTCGAGCTGGAGGCATGACCCGAGCAATAGGCCAACATGTGAGAGAGATGCGTGGATGGGAAGTGTGTGTGACCAGGGGGGTAGATTGGATGAGATGGAGCCATGGAGGGGTTGGAGGGAGTTGGAGGTCAACGGAGGGTGTGCGGAGGGTGTGCGGAGGGAGTCTGGAGGAGCGGATGAGCGCCATGTTTGGTGACTCTTGTCTATAAAGGGAGCATCACCGCATCGCCGTAGCGCTAAGAACCCGTCCTGCATGAATGTTGGCGGTTGTGTCGCGGACTCGCGTCGTGCCGTAGGCGACCGTGGCGACCTCAGCCTATAAGTGGTGCCTCTAGGCCACCAAATCCTGAGCACACCCCCTACCCTATCGCCCATCCCACCCCCCATGCCCTAGTCACCTATGCAATAATGGCGACGATTGATTGTCAGACATATAATGGTTCATGGCCCGAAAACAAAAAGAGGTTCGTTTAGGTGCTTATTTATTACTCCGTATTTCGTAAGGAGTGACTACTCTGAATCAAGATGGACAGCCCGTGGGGGGAGAGGAGGAGGAGGGTGGAGGGGAGGGGAGGGGAGCCAGGCGTGCCAGGGAGGCGGCGGGGGGGCTAGTACGAAGGTGGTGGTGGTGGTGGTATGGTGTATCGTGTAGGTGTCGGCACCCGTTGGTGTCTGGCATGGGCAGGGCATGGGCAGGGCAGGACTGACGGTTGACCGATGCACCATTGCACACCACCTTTGTTCTCCTCCCTTCACCCCCCCTTCATCCTCCATACCCCCTTTCCCTCTTCCCCCCAGCCCTCCCTTCCCTCCCCGGTAAACCGCTCTTATCGATCACTGCAACCAGATTTCCCGAGAGCTTGCCTTGTCCGGAGTAACTTGTCCTCCTACTAGTTACTCGAAGATTACAATACCGCCTGAGACGGCCATAGGGTACCCTAGGTAGTCAGGAGGGACTCCTTTATACAACAACGCTAGATATATGAATCGCATAAGTAGGCTGGCCACGACAGACACCTGGAATGCTCTTTTGGCCTCTCCCAACACCACTCGGTCGTACACATCCCTGCCCATATTGACACATCACTCCCATCTCCTGACAGCGGCCTCGATTTATTCACTACCGCGCCGCACCTGTGCCACTTTTCCACGTATTGCAGCTTTCAACCTACTCTCCATAACTTCTCGTTGACTTAAACTGTATATCCACAATGGGACTCTAAGCCAAACTCCTCACGCCTCTACGACAGTCAGTACATGGCCTTCATGCTACGGTTCACCCATCTATCACCCTTTCTTCGTTATTCTACCCTCGCACACTTGTGAACACGCCACAACACCAACCTGAACTTTAACTTTTGTTGATGTCGCATAAGCTCATGGAACTATGGAAATGGCCCCACACAGTCGGGGCTTCGAGTTCGACCTGGAACGTAGTCATGCAATGAACCATTTGGGTACTGGATATCAACCTCGAATCAATGTCGATCCTCTCTCTCGTATGAGGGAAAGGGTAGAAGCCTTGCTGGACGATCAAGATGAACTTGCGGAGGATAGAGAAACCTTACTCATTGCACGTCAGAGCCATTATGCCAAAGCCCTGGAGGTCCGTAAGCAGCGTATACAGACGGGAGACGCCGAAGCAGGCCTTATGACAGCCTTGCAAGACGCCTTCCCTCACGGCATCCCACCCGGGATATCCAATGCTTATCAAAGACTTCGAGAGGAGAGAGACAAACTTGGCCCTCTTGAAGATGACTATCTACAAGAAGGCGAAGCTCTTGGAGGGCAGGAATGGCGGTACGTGGCCAAAGAAAAGAGGTTCTTCTCGATAGGAGTCATGGATTTGCTTGAGGATGATGACGATGATGACGATGATGGCGGTCATGACCGCCGGGATATTCAACCAGTTCCAAATCCCTTGCCTCGAAAACCGACAAGTATCATGCCATCCATCGCTGTTCAGTATCAAGCTGCAGTTGCCAACCTCCGCTACTTGGTCAAGCAATTCGACACGTTTCGGCAAGAAACATGCCACTTCTCCGATGTCATGTCTTCCAATGCCACCGACATAGAGCCGGAACCTCTCAATCAAGTCAGTGTCTCTTCGATGAACCCGAAGCTGCAAAAGTTGTCTAGCAGCCTTCTAGACCGCATCGCAGACGCCCAGGTTAAGGTTCAACAACTACGACAGGAACTCAGGAATCATGATGATGGCGATCTCAATCGGCGGCTGCGTCGAAATTCTGAACCGACAGTTATCGCCCCGAGAACTGTGTCTTTCAACGCCTCTTTTAAAGCACCCACAGAAGGCTCAAGTCATCCGGTTGCAGAGTTCCCTCCTGTCGAACAACGAGTGCAAGAGTGGCTACTAGACATCCTTCGCGACAGTGCGCTCGAAAAGGCCTACTATCTAAATATCCTGGAAGACAGTATGCGAGACGTTGGCCTTGTGTATAACAGTCACGATTCATGGGAAGACCGAGCCGTCGAATTCTGGCAGTCCGACTCCGACAATCCATCGCCCGCGGACCAGAGGGCCCAGCATTCTGTGCTGTTAGGATCTGTCGAGCCCAGGGTTGCTGAACCTGTTGATCCAAGGCTAACAATCGACAGTCGAACCGCATCACGGAACCAGGACTTGTACGAAGACATCGACGACATGTCACCTTTTCGGACAGATGAACCGGCGCCAGCTGACAAGGAAGCCCCGATGCCCGTTGTGTATGTACCGGACGTACCAAGTGACTCCCCAGAACCAGGTAATATGCCCCGCATTGAATTCTATACCCCAGTTGACGCGGATTCCCACCCGCAAAGTATTCCGGAATCCTCTGAACCTTCTGGCATTTATCTCCAACCATCACCTTCTCGGGTACGTATTGATAGCGGCCATAACTCGGAAGGCTCACTGCAATGGTGTTCACCTCGGAATGATAACCTAGGCTCCGGAAAACCCCCGGATCCCACCGTGGATGACGATGTGGCCTCTCTTAAAGCCCTGGAACAGACGGACACAGCGACTGCCAAACCCTCAGCCCCGAGCCGGAGCAATTTGGAAGGCGATATCCCAGTACAATACAATCATCCCGATCTTGAATCACGTGGACAGCATTGTAAGCTTGGCGGTGCGTGGCTCTTTGTGGAAACAGATCGCGAGAGTAACGAGTTGTACGTTGTAGATTTGCCTCATACTTCGAATAAATCTCTTCTGAAGGCTCATGGACGGTCCCGTGCACTCTCTGCGGGACCAAAAGACTCCTCGCTCCCAAAAGATCTGGCCCCTCCAGTGACTCACAAACGTCACAAAAGTACCTCTGATCTTCGAGAGTCATCGGAGCAACAAATAAATTTGTTAATGAGTAGTCCAACATGTGAGACAGACTGTATTTTGTTCTACCATAAAGCGCTAATATGCAGATAGATCAGAACCCGGACCGTTATCCGTTTGTTTTCTCAAACCTTTACAGCTTCTCTCCCAAGATACCTTCTTTCAGATGCAATGGCTGACCTCCGGTGTGCCCTTCAACAATAAATTGCAGCATCTACGGAACTAACAAATAGTTTGGTCGTTATGCCGGACGATTTGATCAAGCCTGGATGCCTATTTGGAACATGGCCCTATACTTCTCCTCACGGATTGTGTTTTCTTTTGGATACTATTCTCCATGGACACAGAATGCCTTCCGGGCGTGGTTGTTTGGAGCGGTTCAGCCATGAACTCGTCACATCCATCCTTGGGATTTGGAAAGCTAACGTAGTGGATTTCCTTCTTACCACGTTTGTTACAGTCTGGATCCATGAGGAGCTATTGGACTGTTGCCAAATGGATCGGGAAACGGCCCTTGAATTGGACTGGAGTGTTTACCCAGAACGGAGACTGGACGCAGAGGCCTCAAATTGGACTGGTATCTTTTCCAAATTGAATTCGGGATACGGGACCCTAAAATTGGACTGGACCCTATGCCTGGCTTTGGAATATTTTCTTATGTCAACTTTCCTATTGTTGCTGTTACAGCGGACCATTTCTTATGTTACTTTCCTATCGTTACAGCGGTCCATTTTTATGTTATCTTACTATTGTTACAGCGACCTGTTTTTATGTTGTTTTCCTATCTTCACAGCGGACCATTTCTCATGTTCACTTCTTTTGTCATCAAGTTATGGGTTTGTAGACGGAGTTTGGTGTCTTAGAGAGGAAGAATTTGTAACAACATGTATTTGAAGGATTCGCATTTTTCGGTAATCATAGGGAACGGAGTTCATGTTTTTGAATTTCAGCATCTCCATTGAGTGCCGCGTTGGAAGGGAATGTTCATGGCCATCGTTACCCAACGATCTGCCTACAGTTCCTGCCACTTGACCGCTACAATCATATATACCCGCATATACTTTGGTTCGTTCGATTATGGATTTTTGGGTTTGGATTTGGATTTGGATTCTCGGATTACCACTACCACGGCCTTCTTTTTTAATGCAATATTCTGTTTTTGGGGATTGGTTCACAACTTTACACACTTCTCCTGCAACAAACAAAGCTGTCTTTTGGAACTGACAATCAGCCAAGGAAACACAGGACCACGAAACTACGGATCAACATAACTAGGATTTGATTTGGTTTCATGCTCTCCGAGCATTCTTACCGCCAGATACAGGACCATCAGAACCGAAGATAAACACTGATATCGGACGATGACACGTCACTTATTCAGAGCTCGAGAATCTCTGCCACATCAATTCGAGGCTTCTCACAATCTGAGCTGTCGATGGACTTTGCCTTGCCCTGTACATCCCTCGACTTGGGCCTCAATTCTCCAAATTGTGTAATTTCTGCCCAGATGGTTCATCTAATTGGTTGTGCGAAATCTCCCATGCCTCACCGAACATGCCAGCACGCGTTTTCGTGCTTCGTTGTGCAAAAAACAGTCAGTCCAATGCTAGGTGCCGCACCACTTTTCGCTGGCTCTCTCGAAACAGCGGTGAGCTGGCAAGGCTGAGAATGTGGCTCGTTCGAGATTCTCAATACTCAAATCTACGTACAGTACGTGTCAAGAAACAGGTACGCCTCAGTGAACAGAGCTTTTTCCACAGAACAGTAGGATCCAGCCAGCCAGGGCTCTTGAAAGGCAGTCGACCAACCCAGACGTAGCCCCAGTTCCCGTCTCTTTGTTATGGCTGATATCTTGGTAGATTGATAGCTTCCTCAAGTTTCACGCATCTATCTCTCGCACGGCTGCAGCAACAGCAACAGCAACACTTAGCACCAGCAGCAAGCCATGCAGCAGCGCCATGCACAAAGAAAACACACACCGCATGTCCCGCCAAGCGATCTTATCAAGGTCAGCCCAGTAGGGCTGGGAAAAGAAAGTTGAGATTGCTGCATGAGTTGAAGCAAATGAGTCACATCGATGAGTCTTTTGGACACGGCAGGTGTGTTAGGACGAGCAGTGTGCACTTTTCGTTTGTAGGTGCGGGGTGTGTCTCTTGCATCTACGAGCTATCAACAGGCTGTAGTTGCAGGCAAATGAAATGTTGCCTTATGCAGTTGTGCTCCGTGCAGGATATTTGCATCCATCCAATAGGGTGTAACTACCCCGTACTGGCAATTCTCTTGACTTGTGATTTGCTTGGATGATTGTGTTCTGAAAGGGATTGGCAGCGAGCGATCCTACACACAATCCTTGCGGGCGAGTTGATAACCTTGACCGTTGGCGTAGGTACGATATTGGAACTAGGTGGTTGTGGTTATCAGTTTCCTGAAGCATCCCCAACTTTCGTTTGCAGTTTCCGACATACATAGGACATGTCTTCAGCCTTGCACCCGATCTAGCATGATGCCCGCGTTCCCCCTCATCCCGGCAAGCATTCTTCCCGCAACAAACAAATAACAACAAAAAGAAAACAGGTTCCCGAGCAAGTCCATCATTCTTTCATTTCCATCCAAACCGGGAACCCCTCCCTTCCTCCCGTCCTTTCCCTTCCCTTCCCTTCACTCCTGAAGGATTCTTCCTCATCCTCTATCTCTTCCTTTTACCCTGAACGAGCAAGTGAAGCGAATTAACAGGAGACAGAAACAGAACAGACCCAGACTTCGGGTGGAAAGCCTCTTCTATCCATCGTTTACTGTGTAGTGGCATTCTTCCCAGGGTCATGGTTACTTTAAGCGCGTTGTTGCATTGGCTGGGAGCAACTGCCCACATCCCTGGGAATTGGTTCAAAAGTGAGGCAACCAATCATCGTCTCTTTCGTTTGCGCATTTCATGTAAGGAGACGCAAATTGGATGGCACACATGCCACACTCGGCACCCAAGACTTCAGATGCCAGACACACTCTAGACTCTGTCTCACAAGCACGGGGAGCACGGGGCGTAACCGTGGCCGTGCAACCGTGCAATTAGAAGATCCACTACAGGGATTCAGTGTGCACTGTCTATGTACAATGTACTCCGTACTGCATATACAGTCGTAATGTACTCGTACTGTCTAGGTACTGTGTATTGTGTACAGTGTAACATGTGAGAGATCCTTGCCTACTATTGTAATCGTTATTTCGGGCCGCTCATCGGCATCCATCCCGCAGCCGACAGTCTTTCCCATTCCGTACATATCATTCACCAAGGAGGCCGCTCCGTCCTCGACGTTCGTCCTCGCGTGCAGGCAGTCAGCCTACTATATACAGGCAACCAAACACTGCTTTCCCTCACAGAAACGTGCATGTACCATAGAGTCAGAGGCGACCGTCGTTATCAGAAAACGCCGGAATAGGTTACTCTTGCATCTTGCCTTGCTTATCAAAAAGGTCATCTGCCTCTTTCTGCGCAACGAACTCCACGCCCCATGAGAAAACTGCCGGGACCAGCTGCGAGTATGTCGATGGGCACATGCGCGTTTTCGCATGCGCGCGTTCGAGGGACGTCATCACCTTACGACATTGCCTGCTAACTACCAGCTATGGGCAAATCGGCGCCGAAGCCCATTCGCTTGGTTTATGTAGGCTGCAGATGGGGCACGTTTGGTGATCATGGCCACCGCTCGTGGAGGTCAGATCATCGTTGCCGTAGCTACTCAGCCTTCCTGACATCGCTTCCACCGTGTCGATGACCATTCTTGGCTCTTTCCTTTGCAGCCGTTGATGCTTAATTGGACTTAATTGGACGGGAGCTAAATTGCTGCCTTTCTTCCCTATTAGAGATATTGAGCCGTGGGGGTGTTGGTAATAATTGTATGAACGGTCAGAAGAGATGTTTAGCGGCTACGACAGATATTCAAGCCTCGATACCTTGAGGACCTCAGCTCTTGGAAAAGAAAAGACCAATCTTCTTGTTGCTCATCTAGTGCTGCTCTATCAAAGTGAATGCTGAGCCCAAAATGGACGATGCTAGGTTATAATGTTTATGTTTTTTCTATGGCAGCACAGAACACATCCTGCTGGACGGTGCAGCTTGAATATTGCACAAATGACAATTCATAAATCTACAGATTGTAAATAGATAAAACAGCACAGGATGGAAGAGTATCACAGAATAAATCATACCCATTCAATGTGCATCTGAGATTTGTTATCTTGGTTCGATATATGTAGCTATAGAAGACTCAGTCTATCAAACTGTAGCAGACCGTACCAACTGAACACTGAGCCCATAACGAACATATCAAAATGTGATCGCATGCATCATGCCACATGTATATTATTATTTACTAAAATTGCTTGATGCTACAATGGTTTCACTATCCTTCTCCAGGACAGACATCCTGACTCCGGTCCACCACTTCACCATCCATCCAGCTTCACGCATGTATCAGCAAAAAGATCAATAGACTCACTCCAATATCGACTCCTTACGGCCGGGTGTATCAAGAACTTGGCTAGATCAAACTGAGCCCGGAAGAATACCACAGCCATCCAAGACGCACCCCCCATTCAAGCCGTCCTCATTCGCGTCGTGAGCAAGCCGTTCCATTTCTCGCCTTGCAATCGACGCATTCGTCACCCTCTAAGCTTGCTCTTACGATATCGGAGAACAGATTATGAAAGGTAGAAGGCGTTTCATGAAAAATCTGGCAACCCAAATCCGAGCGATGGAGTGTCGTGGCGCAGTGACTACGGTCCAACCCAACACTGAGCTGGAAATGCACGATCCCGACTCTTTTCAAGCATTTTATTAAATAAAATGTCACTTCCGAGGTGCTAAGCTCCTGGGGGCTCAATAGAGACTGCCTCTAGAGTAAGTTCGTGGATCTTGGTGGTTCAAGCGTGAAGATGCTCTTTGGGAACATATGCGGAAACGTCATCCCCTTTGGTGCTAACGAATTGAAATGAAAGAATCTATAGGTCTTTCGATATAATGAACACTGTAATTGACTACACTATCGATGTACAACAACTGGCTGTACAAGCTAGTAACTTTGCCATTACTCCCCAACTAATCTACAATTGACATCGCAGCGGCGGACCCACAAGCTCTTCCGATGCATTAGCATCCTGAGCCGACTCGGGTCTCTCAGCCCCCCTATTCGACCACCAGTACACCGCCATCAACACAGCCGTGATCGCAATCGACGCGACATAAAGCAATAGAATAGCCAAAAACCCACGCTGGTACCTCGGCGCATCAGATTCGCGGAACATCTGCTGGCCCGCCAGACCTCCGAGATTAGATCCGATGACGACGAAGGCAAGGCCGATGCTACGCTTCTCGGGCGTGCGGGCATTGACGCTAAGCCATGCATCGTTGAGGCCCTGCGCGAGAGCATTGCCGCTTCCCAGGAAGGTGAAGACCCAGTACCTCGTCCATTTGTCGGAGCGGAGCGGTAGACCGAAAAGCGCGCCTGCGAAGGCCATGGACCATGCGAATGCAACTATGCACCATGGTCCACGGAGACCAGTCGCATCAGACGCGTATGATATGGCGAAGGAAAACACCACGACCAAAAAGCTGCTGACGGAGTTCAATGCGTTCGCTCTTGTCTTTGAAAATCCCAGGCCTTTGATGACGGACGGTCCGTAGAGTTGGAGTCCGCCTTTCGGCGCAAGACTGGCGAGATTGAGAATCAGATGGAGCCATAGTCTTACGTCCGTGAATGCTTCTTTGATATGCGCCCAGGAGATCTGGGCTCTGGCCGCACTCTTAGTAACACGCGCGCCCATGATCGCTCTGTCCTTATCCGTGAAAAGATCCCAGTATCCGTGAATGGGCTTAGTATGAGAGGCACTTCGGGGTAGGAATAGGACGAAAAGCAGGAAAACAACCAGAGTCATAATTCCCTCGACTAAAGAGCATGTGGTCAGCACGTTTCAGTCAAGTCATTTGCGAACAACCTACTAATAAAGAGCCATTGCCAGCCCGAAAGACCAGCTTGGCCGGCGAGGTTCAATATTCCAGCCGCCATCAGAGAACCGGTAGCAGTGGCAAAGTAATTTCCGAAGTAGAAGATGGCGGTTCTAAGAGCAAGCTCCTCTCTGGTGTAAAACAATGAGAGGACATATTGTCCTCCGGGAATGTATCCACCTTCAAACAGTCCCAGCAGAAAGCGAGTGGCATAGAACGAGTGGATGTTGGTACACCAGGCCTGAGTCAAGGCGATGGTGCCCCAGATGCACATCTGTCCAGTGAGCCAAATAGGGGCACCGACTTTCTGGAGAAGGATGTTGGAAGGCAACTCAGCAACAACGATACCTGCCAGCATCAATTGATTACCGAGGTTCACATCGTCCCTCGTAATTCCCAGGTCTTTGGTCAACGTATCTGTGAGAGCGTTGGAAATGTTGCTGCGATCTAGTTGGAGGACGAAGAAGCCAAGGACGAGTAAAGGCATCAGATAGCAGTCGAGCCTGTTAAACACATCAGCGCCTAGGTCGTAGCCGATTTCCTCGAACTCACTTTCGTAGAAGTCTTTTCTCTTCCTTCGCGGTCCACGCAATGGCTTCTCCATTCCGGTCAGGTATGGATACATCGGTTGGAAACTGTTTTTCATCTACCCCTCCCATTGATTTGGTAGCAGATGATTGATCGTTCAATGTAGTCATGATTGCTCAGTGATGATGATTTCAAAACAACTGAGCATGAGCACCTGCCATAGCATAGGCAGAACGGCCAATTATATGTCTAACATTGCGCGATCATCCTCATAGTTGACGTGCGACGACACTATGATGCTTCCGTCTCCTTTTGCGGAGAGAGATACTCGGGAAGTGGGTTCTGTTCGGAGGTCGCCAGAATAATGAGGTTGGGCAAGTTCTGAATTATAGACTTTGTCGGAGGTGAGCGTCGGCGGTCAGCGACGGACCGAATCGTAGCGTGGTCGCAATGGCAGGTCTTGCGACAATTAAATAATTTGTGCACGATAGTCACCCAACCTTATGCTTAAATATGTCAGAATTCTCTACAAACAAATAAGATAGTGATATTGCTTCAGCCACCTGATTGCGCATCTGACTTCGCTACTTTACCGATATCGACCACAAAGAAACAACCTACGAGCTTCAAGATCCGATCTTAGCCATGTCCAAAGACCCGAGCCATCCCAACATTGTACTCATCCTAGCAGATAACTTAGGATGGGGCGAGCTCGGCTGTTATGGAGGAGGTGCACTTCGCGGTGCACCAACACCTCGAATAGATGATTTTTCCACTGAGGGACTACTCCTCCACAACTTCAATGTGGAGAGTGACTGCGTCCCTACGCGTTCAGCTTTGATGACTGGGCGCCATCCAATCCGAACAGGGTGCCGTCAATCGGTGCCAGCTGGCTTCCCGCAAGGTCTCACAGCATGGGAAAAGACATTGCCTGAGTGCCTAAAACAACGTGGCTATGCAACAGCTCACCATGGCAAGTGGCACCTTGGAGACATACCGGGAAGGTATCCATCAGATCGAGGCTTTGACGAGTGGTTTGGAATCCCAAGAACAACGGATGAAAGCCAATTCACATCCGCGGTTGGATTCGATGCGGAGGTGGCCGAATTGCCCTACATCATGAAAGGCATTGCAGGCCAGGACTCCGAGAATGTTTGCGTCTACGACCTAGACAAGCGACGGCTCATTGATGAGATGCTCGTAGATAAGAGCAAAGACTGGTTATCTAGACAGGCGGCGGCTGAGGTGCCATTCTTCCTTTACCATCCACTAGTGCACCTCCACTTCCCCACACTACCGCACCCAGACTTCGAACGGACGACGGGTAACGGCGAGTTTGCGGACTCGATGGCGGAGATGGACTACCGTGTCGGTCAACTCCTTGATCATATTGATGATATTGGGGTGCGGGAGAACACAGTAGTGATATTTGCGTCGGATAATGGTCCAGAGTTCCGTCCGCCTTATCGAGGAACTGCGGGTCCTTGGTCGGGAACTTATCATACAGCAATGGAAGGTAGTCTCCGAGTGCCTTTCATAATTAGGTGGCCGGGGAAGGTACCAAAGAACGTAACTTCCAACGAGACCGTTCATGTTACGGATATCTTCACCACCATTCTAGCCATGACTGGTGCTGAAAAGCCTCTAGACCGACCAATTGACGGAATTGATCAGACCAAGTTCCTCCAGAATCCCGCATCGGAAAGGAGCGAGCGAGATGGTTTCCTTTTCTACATCAAGGATGAGTTACGAGCGGTAAAATGGAAGCATTGGAAGCTACATTTGGTGTGGGAGCCGAAGGTGAATCAGTCCTCGGGAAAGTTGGAATCGCCTTATCTTTTTAACATCATGCGCGATCCGAAAGAGGAGACTGATATTCTGGCCTATAATACCTGGGTATTGCAGCCAATGATGAGATTGCGGGCAAACTTTGAGAAAAGTCTCAAAAATGACCCAGCTCCACCAGATCCTCTCAAGAATATGTAGATAGTCCGAGTCAATGGGAAGTTGGGAACAGGAAACTTTGGAGTAACAGACAGTCTTAGTATCTTTGTATTAAATTTTTTTCGATATTGATGCATCATGATTCGCCCCTAGGAAATAGATACTGCACGTTGAGATTCGGTAGCATAAAATGGTCTGCCGTCAGGCTAGATGGGTCTGCGGGGATTATAGCATCATTACCCAGCATCGGAAATAAGTCTGTGCCTCGGTGGATTTGTGGCTGCGATTGGAGGTCTTGTCCAGCCGCCGGTCGTCGGAGTGACCGGCAAAGAATATCGAAAGTGTCCCGGCAGTGTTTCCCCGCAGGATATCTTTCAACCATTCCCCAAAGGACCGAGGAACAAGAGGTTAACGACGCCTGCATGGAGTCTCCATCGTACTCAAGCCCCGTTGGCCAGTGCTTGAGACTATAGACAAGGGCAACGCCGGCACGAAAAAGGTTATGAACAGTGCGCCAGTAGAAACGTAACTTTCCATCGCGGAACGAGGAGCGGTAGGCTTCGATGCTGCCTTGGGCGCAATCTGCGAGGAAGATTGTATCATCGCTGGATATCGACGGCATGTGACGTGATGGTGAAAAGAGCTGGAGTAGTGAATTGTAGAGACAACCGTCAAAAATCTCCATTGGTGCCAATTGAGATGGGAACTGGTGGAGCGGCATCGTGGCACGCCAATCGTACAGCCTTCGGCGCATGTCATCTCTCCAAAGCTCGTAATTAAAGGCCATCGATATTAGTGGTTGCTTCTGATGCAGTACTTGCATGATCTCGGACTCCAGTTGTCGGTATCTTATAAGATGCAGCGCAAGGGCTTTTCGTGATGATTCGGGCTGGGGAAGTATTCCGTCCTCCGTGATGTAATTATCGTCTACGTCAACTGGCAGCGACACAAAGATGGCTTCGTCGGCAATTGATACTGGGCGACCCAAGACAGTGCAAAGATTTCGCTCGAATGTGTAAGTAGCCCAAAAGAGGCGTTTTCGCCGGTCGAGAGAGAGTGGATCAAGTTGATGATGCGGAGGAGGCTCATCATGAAGTCCGAGATCGATAGCTAGCCTCGTCGCCAACCCGACATAATGCCATGTTACTGAAGGATGTGACGTGAACGATGAAAATTGTATGAGAAGTAATAGATTCTCCAGGTGTTCCAGGTCTCCAGTGAGTAGGTTAGCAGGGTTATCGAGAAGTAGGCATTTCGCAAAGGAGAAGAATGTATCAGCCCTGGAAGCAGGTATAGAAGAGTCGGTCCTGTTCAATAGCTGGATAGATATGGCCAGGATCATGAAAATCTTGTACCGTTCACGGATTTTAGTGTCATCGGCAGCTTCATCAAGCATACGAAGGACTTCGTTGCGATAGAGAATAGGAACAAAGAAGTCGCAATGCTCAAAGTAAGCGTCAATGAGCCTTATCGATGTGGCATGAGCAGGCAATTGAACCGGGATATCTTGCTGCAACAAGTCCACGATCGACGATGAATTTAAGTCGCTTCCAACTGACTGTTGAGGCAGTGTAGTAGTCCCGTCCTCGAAAAGGAGAAGTCGAAGCAGCGGCAACCCAGAACCAGTACCCATATATCGTGAATTCGAAAAACTAGACGAAGGTAAGGCAACGAAGCTGGCTTGTTCCAATATGCGTTCTATGGTCACTGTGTCCGCTTCGTTCCGGGGTATCTGCCGGTCATTTGTACGATATTCCTGGAGTTGTCGTTCTAACTGGGCGACGTGATCTTCAAGGCTTTTCAGGTAGCTTGAATCGATTAGGTTAGTAGAACTCTTTCACTATAAATATGGATGAACCACCTTCTTGGAACTGCAGCTCCATCAGTGTCGTGACTAACGCACTCCACGCCAGCGCGTTCACAATTCGAACAGGCGGGGAGGTTTTGATCACAGCGTTGCTTTCGTGATTTGCATCGAGCACAGGCAGTCACATTAGAACGCCGCACATTAGACCTTTTAGAGTCAGGCGGCATGACTTTAAATTGCTCCGTCGGTTTGGGGTTGATAATGGAGTGTCTGCTCCATCCAAAGTTCTGGGTACCATCGACTAGCTATTCGCAGCCGAGCTTGTCGGGTCTACCCGATGCTTCTAGACAGCATATTTAAACTTATTGATTTTAATTCTACTAATTTAATTTTCAACTCTTTATCGAACTCGAAGCCCTACAAATCACTTCCTCGAATTGAAAGGAATTATTGTTTTTACTGTACGCAATGATGAAGCATTTGTTTCAATTCCCTGAAATATTTAAATGCGTCAGACTTGGTTTGGAAGCAGGTACTGCAGAAAATAGTAGAGAGCATCTGTTGTCAGCCCTCAACACAGTCACAATTCAGTGGAGAGTTTTCAATTAAGATCTCATCTAGAATGATTATGTTATGAAAGTAGTATGGTATTTTATATAGGATAAGGTTAACTGCAACTTGGTTCCACGGGGTGCAAGTAGATTCATTCCATGGTAGATATTTCCGATCCATAAATGTGGGGCGCCAAGATTTCCCAGACCCTGGCCAAATTTTTAAATCTTCAACCAGCGACTGCAAGCAAACCACGAATACTTTTCCATACACAGATATTCGCTCTCGATATACCAATCTTCGCCATGCCTAAACGCAAGCTCAATGAGAAGGATGTTCCTGAGGCCACCGAGCCATCATCTCCCCCACCCGAGGTCTCATTCTCTTCGTTCGGATTAGAACCACGCCTATTGCGAGGCATTCGCGACCAGAAATGGGGATCACCAACCACAGTAAGGCTTCAAGAATTCTGCTCGAGTAAACGAACTATGCTGACAGTTTCTAGGTTCAAGCACAGGTCATACCAGTCGGCATCGAGGGCCGCGACGTTCTCCTACGATCCGGGACCGGCACAGGCAAGACCGCTGCATACTTGCTCCCCATTCTCCACAAGACGATCCAGCGCAAGGAGCGCGCAGTTACGTCGCTCATCCTCGTACCTACGACAGAACTTGCGACGCAAGTCATGAAGCTTTCGCAGTCCATATCGGCCCATTGCGGTCAGGAAATCCGGATAGCAAACATCACAGGGAAGGGTTCAGATGTGGTACAACGCGCGAAGCTTGCAGACCAGCCGGACATCGTAATTGCTACGCCCGCCAGAGCTGCCGAGAACCTCAACAATGGCGCACTAAGTCTGCAAAACCTGGAGCACCTGGTTATCGACGAGGCGGATCTCGTTATGGGCTATGGTTTTGAAAACGACCTCAGGCACCTCAAGAACAGCATACCGACCTCGACCCAGATCTTTCTCGCAAGTGCTACATTGGACACCGATATCGACACTCTTACGGGCCTCTTCTGCCAGGATCCCGTCATCGTGAAGCTCGACGATCTAGAGAAAGAGTCGAATTTGGTGAAGCAATATGTGCTGAAGTGTACGGAGCAGGACAAATTCCTGCTTCTTTACGCGTTCTACATGTTGAAGTTGATCAAGGGAAAGAGCATCATTTTCTGTGGCGACGTCGATCGATCATACAGGCTGAAGCTGTTCCTCGAACAATTCGGCATCAAAAGCTGCGTCCTAAATGCCGAGTTACCCGTCGCATCGCGGATCCACATCGTCGAGGAATTCAACAAGAACGTCTACGAGATCCTGATTGCATCGGATGAGTCCGAGATTGCGGGCAAGAACGATGGCGACTCCAAGCCACCCAAGAAGAAGTCGAAGACGGACAAGGACTCCGGCGTGAGTCGTGGCATCGACTTCAGAAATGTCGCATGCGTCTTCAACTTCGACTTCCCCACAACCTACAAGAGCTACTTCCACCGCATCGGACGGACGGCGCGGGCCGGAAAGAGTGGAACCGCCATCTCCCTCATCATTCCCAAGGACGAGTTCCGCAAGCACAAGTCGACCTCGTTCCCGACCGCAGAGCATGACGAAGAGGTGCTGAAGCAGGTCGAGAAGCACCAGAAGGAGGGCCAGACAATTGAGAACTATTCGTTCGATATGACGCGCCTGGAGAGCTTCCGGTACCGATTCGCCGACGCACTCAGGCACGTCACCAAGATCGCCGTCCGCGAAGCCCGCCTCAAGGAGCTGAGGAGCGAACTTCTCAAGAGTGAGAAGCTCTCACGATACGTAAGTCCCTCCATTTCCCCTTTTTCCTCCCTCCCATCACCCAACAACTAACTAACCAACCCCTGCAGTTCGAAGAGAACCCCGAGGCCAAACAGCACATCCGCCACGGCGAGAACCTCAATCACCCGGCCAGAATCCAACCCCACCTCAAGCACGTGCCCGATTATCTCCTCCCCGGCGGCAAGCAGCCCGGCGAGATCCCCTTCGTGGGACTTGAGAAGCCGAAGTTCAATCGAAGCAGGATCGTCAAGAGGAAGGGCCGCCCCGTGCGGATGAAAAATGGCAAGATCGATCCGCTGAAGACGTTCAACAAGAAGGGCAAGGGAAAAAAATAAAGAGTGACATTTGATTAAGCATTGGACGATTTAAAAAAGGGGGAGGATAAAGGAAAAGGAGGGCAAAAAGCATGATATCATACATATTCTATAGTTATACCCTAGAATACGGTGGCAATAACGGCGCTATACGTCAAGTAAAGACAAGGAGGGGATCTAGGAGGAAATACATACGTTCAATTATGCCCAAAATCTCTGATGTGAAATAAACAGCTATAACCCAATGCACTCATCCACGACAATGTCTATTGCGACGTGAAATTGAATCGGTACCGGTTCTTCATCGATCTAGACGTAGGGCAGATATCACTCGGCCCAATAGCATTATGTTGATGGCATATGTGACAGACTGTGAAAGGAGTAAAGCATGTTTCCAATTAAGCGTATATCGTTATTCCCTCCCCTCCAAAGACAAGAAGCTGAAGACCAGCTATAATAAAAACACCATCCTCCCAGAAATGCCCGCCCCAAGTCGAGTGCAGCACACAAACGCTAATAAGCAGAAACCCATCAACTGCGAAGCCGAAGTCCCCTTGCTAATGCAGTTATACCTGTACATCAATGAAGAAAGAGAAACCAAAGAAATCACACAAACGCCCTGGACCTGATGACGACTTTAATGGTTTTCTTTCGTCGCAACGGTCCTTGGCTCCCAACGCCTTCTGTTCCTTTTCCCTGGCTTATAGTATCGTCCAGGGAATCGCTGATTCGAGACTCGTCATCATCCACAAGAGTCTCTTCGTCAGCTTCGATGACAGCCACATCGACAATGTCATCGCATGCCAGATCCTCATCCTCTTCGATAGTCGGATTTAAGATCTGGGACCGCTTCCACGTCCCCGCCCCGGAAGCGATCCCATCAACTACAAAAAACCCTTCGTCGCGGAAGATCGTCGAAAGGTGCCACGGAGGCTGCTGACTTTTCCCTTCTCGCTTGCGGCAACTTCGCCCATCTCGCCCATGAGTAGGCCAATGGATGAGCCACGTCTGCTTCGGATTTCTCCTGCGTCGCTCCCAGCGCCAGGAACACCGAGAATGCTTCGGCGCTCGTTACGGAGGCCCTTCCAGTTGTCGAGTTCACGCTCAAGTCTGAGGCTCTTCTCTCGCTCTTCTCGTAGCTCTCGTTCGGCGCGCTTGGCAGTGAGCTGAGCGGCAGAATCGGAAGATTGAAGCTCATCGATGGTACTCAAAAGGTTTGAAATCTTGTCGCGGGCCTTGTTAAGGTCCTCTGTCGCGGCTTTGTTCTGCTTGTCGCGGCGCTCGATCTGGTTCTGGAGGTCCTTAACCGTTCGGTCAACATTTCGAACAGCCCGGGATTCTGTCAGACGAGTCGATTCAGATGTCTCGAGGGCTTTCTCAAGCTACACGGATGTTAGTACATTGCTCAAAGAAAGAGCATTTCCAGTGGATTGACTTACCTCCTGAATTCGACCGTGTAAGAATCTAACATCTTTGCCAGCAGATCCGCTGTAGCCCTTCGTCTCGAGATCCACGAGTCTCAATTGAAGATCCTTCAGAGCCTTCTCCACAGCAGCCTTATCCTTGTGCAACTGTACATTCGATTCCCTCTCGGCGACAATATCCTTCTGAAGTTCCTGCGCTAACGCGTCTGCACGTCTCATCTTACCTACAGCAGCTGCTGCAATATCTTCTTGCTGGGCAAGGCCAGATTTGAGTTCAAGAAGTTCACGATCATAGGTCGCCGCGTTGCGCAAAGCAGGAGACTCGGATTGTGCGAGATCTTCAAGCTTAGAAGCAGCCTCTTGGAGTCGAGACTCCAATCGCCTCTTCTCCTCAATCACCGAGTCGCGTTCAGCGGTGACATCATCGACATTTGTCCGCAGAGTTCGAACCTGTGACAGGAGACTGACGATCTTTGACTGAGCTTCGTTATGGGCATTTGCCGCTTCGTCACGGGAGCTCGAAATGTCCTGCAGTGTCATCTCGAGACGGCTCTTCTCCTTCGCCCATGTTGACGAGTTTAGCACTTCATCATCCCACTTGTTGCGCAACTCTTCGATCTCCTCCCTGAGTCGACCGTTCTCTTCGCGGACGTAAATCACATTTTCGCGTTCCACGTCAAGCTCATGCGTCAGGGACATCAGCTCAGACTGGTATTTCTTTCTTGTCTGTTCGATCGAGGTTTCGGTATCTTCAATGTCGTGGGCACGCTGGCTGCGATAATCCTCCAATTCATTCTGGAGGCGCTTCTTGGCTTGAAGTGCAGTTTCGAGATCGGTAGACAGATCCTCGATCCGCTCTTCGAATTGTTGGGTCTGCCTTTGCAAATCCTCAACCATGCCGTCCATTTGTTTGCGTTCGGACATGATGGTAGCGCATGTCTCTTCCGCTTCGCGAGCCTGTGTCTTCGCGAACTGCTCAGCCCTAGAGGCCTTCAGAACCGCGATCTCAGCCTGCTCTAACCTCTCAAAATACTCGTCTGCACGGCTCTTGTAGAGTGTTAGACTTGACGTAACGTCCACAAGCTTGGATGTTTCCGAATCGAGTCGAATTTGGAGATCCGCAAACTCTTGAAGGAGTTGATTGTGATTTTCCTCCTCTTCTTCACGTTCAGCCTCCGCATCCTCAAGGGCGACCTGTGCATCTCGCAACTGGACCTCCAGCTCGACGCGGACCTGCTTGATCTCATCAAAGGCAGTCTTCGCATCGGCAAGCTCATTCACTACAGTGTTATGAGCATTGACCAAAGATTTTCTTGACTGCTCCTGGGAGTTGATAAGATCGAAGAGTTCCTCGTGAGATTTGGTTTGGACCTCCTTATAAGAAAGCTCGCCAGAGCGTAGGCTATGCTCAAGAGAGGATACCTTCTTTGCTGAATCATCTAGCATATCATGGAGACGGAAGTTTTCTCTCTCAAGCTTCTGCACCCGGCGGACAGAGGGGCTCTCGTCTTGCCAACCGTTTCTTGTGGGAGATCGATCAAGCTGGCCTTGAAGATGGCGGTTACGCATCTCCGACATCTGAAGCTGATTTTGGACAAGCTCGAGCTCTGACGCGAGGTCCATTCTGTTGTTGTAAGTGACGGTGTCAACAGTTCGGTCCGACCGGGCAGAATCGTTGGTAGCATTGCTAATGTGTCTTTGGTTGGTAGGAGTGTTAGTCCTTGAAAACGGCTTTCTGTTGTCGCTGTTGGTCCTGAAGTGTGTTGGAGAGCGGCGACCATTGGCTTGGTTGACCTGGCTACTGTTCATTTCTTCCAGCAACGCACGCTTCGAGTTGGCATGACGAGCATCCATCTCATTGAGCTCGTCCTCGTGTCTATCCCTCAATTCGTCTAATTGAGCCTCAGCACGCGAGAATCGCTCTGTCGCTACTCGCAGGGCCTGGTTAACTGCCTCCAACCGTTCAGCCATATCAACAGTGCGGGCAATGTCTGGCTTGGCGGCGTCATATGTGATGGAAACATTGCCTGACTCCGGATCGAAGACCTTCCGCAAAAGAAGTAATTGATTGCGGCACTCTTCCAATTCTCGGTTGCTGTTGTCCAATGCTGTTTGGACAGTACGTGTATTGGCCTGAGCTTGTGTCTTAAGCTGGCGTTCGGTTTCGAGCTTACGATTAGCCTCAGCGAGCTGAAGATTCACGGTTGACGATGTCTTTTCAGCGTTGCGACTTGTCTTGTGTTCACGGTTGATCTCATGCGTGAGATCCTCGAGACTGAGAGATAGCTTCTCCTTTTGCTTCTCGAGTGAAGCAACTGTAAGTTGTGCATCTTCCAGCTGACGAGAAAGGTGCTTGTTGTCCTCTTCAACCTTAGACTTTTCAGTAGTCAATTGAGCAATGCGAGATCGTTGGGTGTCGCCAGCACGCGAGTTGGATCGAGCGATGTCCAAATTCTTTTGCTGGAGCTTGTTCAACAAGGCACGGTTATCATTTTCTGATGCGGTCAGACGGCCTTTGATGGTAACCAACTCACGCTCCAATCGCTCCTTCTGCTGATCATTGCGGAGCTTGAAGGAATCGGAGTCTGCCAACATCTGAGTCAAACTTTGCACCTGTTCGGCCATTTCGTTTCGTTCGGCTTCCAGTTGATCGAGTTGCTTGTCCTTCTCGTCCAATTTCTGGCGCTGTGCCGCCTCTCGCTCCACGGCTAGGCGTGCTTGTGTCTGTTCGGCGGCGGCATCCGCATCTAGCTTCTCCTCTTGCAGTGTTAAGAACTTCTCCCGCAAGCTGCGGAGTTCGGCCTGGTAGTCTTTTCGCTCCTTCTCGGCCGCAGCGCGGGATTCTGTAGCTCGGCGCAAAACATCTTGTTGGGCGTACATCTCCTTCTCGATGGTGATCTTGGATTCATTCAGGGCGTCAAAGTCACGCTTCAGATTGTCGTACTTGTGCTCGCCAAGAAGTTCTACATCGTCGCGAGACTGTCTCTCGCGGCTCAACTCTCTCTGTACTTCGAACAGCTCGTTCTTCAAGTCTTCGATCTGTTTTTCGAGGAGCTTTCGGCCTTCGCCGATCTTTGCGTCTTCGGAAATCTTCTCTTCCAACAATTGTTTGGCTTCGGCAGCCTCCCGTTCCAGCTGCTGTTTCTGAGACTGCATTGCATCCCGTTCGGCTTTGGCATCTCGAAGGCGGCCCTGCAAATCATCATGTTTAGATGCTAATGTCTTCTTCTCATCGTCGAAGATACGTCGGTCTGATTCGTAATTCTTCAGGTCGGTTCTGAGAATGGCAATTTCGCTCTCTTTTCGTCGAATCAAGTCCTCGTAACTGGTTGACGTTGAGGAGAGGTCGGCAATCTGTTGCCTCACTTGGCGGTTTTCATCTAGCAGTTCCTTGATCTGACGCTTCGTAGATTGTAATTCTCGGTCGGACGCTGCGAGTTTGATGTCGAGATCCTGGTCGGTCTTCAGCAGTTTCGCTTCCAGGTCCTGGAGTTTTCGTTCTTTCAGGCTGAGATGGCTCTTCAACATCTTCACTTCCTGACCCAGGGACTCCTCGACTTGGCTGCGCTCAGACTTTGCATGTTCAAGGTCCTGAAGCTGCTGGTCCAGACTAGAAAGCTGGTTCTCGAGATCCTGTTTCTCGCCTTCCAGCTTTCCGATGATTTGCCCAGCCTGCTCGAGCTCGTTACGCCAAAGCTCTGCCTGGTCTTCAGCTTGTTTCTTCGCCTCCATCAAAACATCTAGCTGATCTTCCAATTTGTCTTGATCGTCCAGGGCGCCAGCAAGCTTTTCCGAAAGTTCTGCCTCACGAATCTGCAATCGCTTGAAGATTTCTTCTTTGTCGAGCGCAAGAGCGCGCTCACTCTCAAGAGTTTTCTGGATGCGCTGGATATCCATCTCGGCTCTTCTTCGCTCGTCCTCAACTCGTTGCCTATCAGCTGCTTCCTCCTGCATCTTTTCCTCGAGCTTTTGAATCATTTCGTCGCGCTTCTTCACCTCAGCTGCTTGGCGTGTCGCACCCAGCATGGGGCGCATACGTGCGAAAAGTCTCCACCATGGATTTGATTGAAGATCCAAGTAGACTTGGAAATTATGCTGGATAATCCTTGTTGCTTCAGCGCGATACAGGCGTTTATGTGCGATACGTCGTTGGATGAAGCCTCGAGCAGCAGACTGGAAGCGAGAAATAATGTCACGAATAAGAGCATCGCGCTGCTCTTCCAGCTCAGCAAGCACGCCAGCTCGAAAGAAGACCTTCGTAAGACCAACTCGATACAATGCTTTGTCGAGATTCAGCTTTTCCAAAATCTTCTTCGCAGCTACTTGCCCTTCGAGGTACCCCTTAGGTAGATCGTTGCAAAGTACTTCATAACGCTGGCGGAATTCTACAAAGGGCAAACGATTGGGAAAGCCGGTACGTGCGATGCGGATACCTTCGAGGACACCATTACATCGAAGTTGATCGAGGACAAGCGGGGCACTGAACTGCTTTGGTCGCTTTTTATGATTCGGGAGGATGCAGCGAACAAAGTGAGGGTGTGTGGAGTGCAACTGTGTCATGAGGGTAGACAATTCCTCCTTGTGACGCTGTGCGACTGTACGGAATAGACCCTTCTTCACACGGTTCCGGGCACCGCCAGCCTCATCGTCCGGGTCGGCACAGTCTGCGAACAAGTTGGCGATATGCTTATCTGTGGATGCTGCGAGAAGCCTTGTGACATTGTCATTGAGGGGGTCCTTGTTCTTCTCCAGCCAACCTTCAGTCGAGTATTCCACTTCGGCGGCATAGTGGGTGAGCATGAAACCTTGAGTTAACAGAGAGCGTTTGTATTTGCTGCTCTTCCGATCCCAAAGAGAGTGGAGCTTTTCGGTAAAGCTCTTATCGGTGGCCTTTGGCATAACGGAGTCTTCATCCAAACAGGAGAATATACCTATTGGGTTTGGAAGCTCTATCAAATCAATGGTGGGCTGTAGGTCGCGACCAAAGTCGATGAACTTCCATTCGATTTGCTCTCGGGCATATTCTTCCTGCTCCAAGACAAACATGTGATGATTGAAGAACTGCTGGAGCTTCTCGTTGGTATAGTTGATGCAAAGCTGCTCGAAGCTGTTGTCTTCAAAGATTTCGAAACCGGCGATATCCAGAACACCAATGAAGTGGGAGTCATCGGCACCAGCTCCAGAACGGTCGAGCTGGCGATTGATGCGGTCGACAAGGTCACCAAATCCGCGCTGATATATACCCTTGGCTAAAGCATCGATCGCCAAGCTCACTTGCTCTGGCGTCTGAACTTTATCGACCCATTCTCTACCTGCCTTTACGCGAGGATGGAGTAGGGCTTTGACGAAATCATCTGTTTGGATTCCCAGGAGCTTGGAGACCTTCCTGGCCTGAGAGATTGCCTCCGGTTCCAGTGCTGCTTGGTCCGCTCGTCGGCTTTCTCGTATAACCTTGATATTACCAAGGAGAAGAACTGCTGCTACTGTTCTTATGATAGCAGCTTGGTCTTTGTCTGAGAAACCCATGACATGGAAAGCTTCGATCAAGAGATTCCATTCATCGCGATCGGAAACACCAGCAATGGTGTCATTTCCGTGCTTGGTGTATTCGAAATCTTCCACCTCACTATCATTCAAGAGCAGCTCCTGCCTTGTCTTCTGATCAGCGCCCCGAAGCAGCTGGTAGAAAACGTGATAGTTTCGTTCATTGGAGTTCAGCCTCACGACTCGCGACTTCTCGAGTAGATACCAGTCAATATATGCTCCAGCAATCTGACCGGTGCGGGTGAACTCGATTCTGATGAACTTTCCAAACCGGGACGAGTTGTTATTGCGAACCGTTTGGGCGTTGCCGAAGGCTTCGAGGATGGGATTCGCACGTAAGATTTGCTCCGAGAGGTTGGAGAACTGTTTGCCGCCTGACTTGGCCCGGGGGTCGTCAGTCGTAGCCACAGCTGCGAGATACTGAATAACCTTCTTCGTGTTCTCCGTTTTACCGGCACCGGATTCTCCCCTAATTAGATTTTCAGCCAAGTTCTTCATCCTCACGTAAATGTACTTACGTCACTAAGATACTCTGATTCTCACCCTCGTCCACGAGGTTTCGGAACGCTCCGTCAGCCATGGCAAAGATGTGAGGTTTAGTTTCTTCCCGGCTTCGGCCACGATACATGTTGATGTATTCTCGAGAGTAGATAGGGAGAGGACAGTACGGATTTACTGTTACCAAGAAAAGCCCGGAGTAAGTCTGCATAGCATTTAGTAGTGGTTATAGAAACGGCCTGGATCAAAACGTACATATATCAAATCAGCTTGGTAACGCATCTGGAGATTATGGATGACGGAGGGTTCGTTAAGATGTGTGAGCTCCGCCATGTCATCTGCTTTGTCGAACTTGGCTGGATTGACCTTGTCGACAGATTCCGCATCAACCTCGTGTTGCTCGCCATTGTCACACTGGACCTTGAGCTTTCCCCCAGGCAACTCCTCGACGACCCAACCGCGGACGAAGGCTGTCTTGGGATCTCGGAGCCAAACAAACCTTTTGCCAGAGAAGTCATTTTCTCCTTCAATGCCACGCACCTCCGGCAAGTCCTCGGTGCCGTCGGCGATGAATTGGGGTGCAAAGGTGCCGCCTGGGGTTCCATTCCGTGTAGAACCAGCCCGCAGCCGTAGAGAACCACTTCGAGCTAGAGGATCGGATGGTAATTGTGAGAGAGATTGGTTACGAGCATGGCCCATGTTATTACGCGACTCGGCCAGCGGCGACGATATCAGGGCGGACTTGGGTCGGGGAGAGGTAGGGTTTGGGCCTGGCGACGGCGAGGCAGAGTTTCGAGCGAAGGGGCTATTCCGCCATCGAGGGCCATTTTGCGCTGGAGCGCTCATTGTGATGGTTGTGTATTGTCTTGGTGAGTACAGCAGGTGCGTTCGAGGTTACCAAATTGCAGCATGTGCGGAGCGCATAATCGATGGTCCGGAATGAGGGAGGTAGGAATTGTAAGGAGCCAACCTGCAGTAGCAGAGCCAAACGAAAGAAGTAATTGTGGGATTACAAGTAAGTATGTATGTACAATGTCGCGACGACAGAAGCGTGCGTAATGGTCAAGCGGATGTTGTGTAATGGAGGAGTGGAGGAGGAATAGAGGGGAGGGGGGGTGGTGGTTTGTCGCCGTGGTAAGAAGACTTGGACGGGGATGGATGTGATGATGATACAAAGTAAACAAACTGTCGCCAGCACAGACCGCACACCTAGCAACGAGCAACGAGCAACAACGCCTTGATGTGAGCTGATTGGTCGGCTTCGCGTAGATAGTTCTTGACTCGCTGACTAACCAATTACTTAGTCACCCCCAAACACACCAAACACAGGTTCTGATCCACGTCTTGGCATTTGGCACTGTCTCTCATCAACCGCCAACCGCCAGCCGCCGACGCTAAGTCGAATGGATCAAAGTTCAACCATCATTTTGGCGCTTCTCTCTCTTTCCTCCTCTAACTATCCGCTTCTCACTTGTACCTGCCTACCATCACCTTCCCCATTTCTCAACCTCATCCCCCTTCCCCCAGCGGCAGATCGTTCGCGGATAGACCACATTGCCAACAGAGCATATGTATACAACACTATCCGCTAATGAGCTGCGCTAGAATACTTGCTGAGAACGTGTCTTTGGTTCCAGTTTCGGCGCGGCGTGCTACCCACTACTAACGCGTAAGACCACAGCATACCACGAATTTGCGCGCCACTCTAATTCACCTCGTCAGCTCTTTATCTTAGAGTGAGACGCCCGCGCAAAGTACCAAGGCACTGGCAGAGACGCCTTATACTTCACTACCCCGGCCTCAGTCCATACACTTGCTGCGCGGTGCATTGCTGCTTGTACCTATTCTACCGTATGCGCCTAGCATAATGGCAAATCCACAGAATCCACCGTTTGCCATCCCACCTTTTCCCTATCAACAACTTCAATACCAGGCACATCCAAATCCGCAAGCTGCGCCGGCTCACACCCAGCATGCCTCCATAGCCGAGAATTATCAAAATAACGGAGGCCTCCCGGGCTTGAACATGACTTCATATGCGCCGACTCCACAAACCAGCCAGCCCAACTATGGATACTGGCCTCCTCCTCCACCTCCACCGCCGCATGTCGCTCCTTCCCCATCCTCATACGGCAATCTACCTTTTCCCATCCCTCCCTTCTTCACTCAGAACGGCGTACCAATACCTCCTCCTCCCCCACCGCCTCTGCCTCCTTCTGTCGGCTCGAACCTATTCCCACCCGTGTCACAATCACCTGCTCAGATTCACCCCGCGCATCCGCCAGCTGGAGCACAACATCCTCGTGTATCAGAGAATAGTAAGGAAGACAAGGAAGACGGCGAAGTGAGTGAGCCAGACGCCATCGTTCGATCATCGGCGAGTAAACATAAACATATTGCCGAGCCCCCGCGATCAGTATCGCACACTCTAGCAGATTCTGCCAGGACTGATCCTCGGAAGAAGCTGAACGGGCCAGCACAGCAGTCTGCAATGGACAGCACGGTAGCCCAAGATCAGATGCGTATGGTTCCTTTGGTGCACTCTCAATCACTTGGTTTCTAACAAAACTACAGATCACCACAGCACACCACGGAACAAACAAATACCCGGACTGATGGCGGACGATGCAATCCAGAAGCGGGAGTCTTCAAAACAATTCATACAAGTTCTGTCCGATAACGACATTGGATTCTCGGCGCTAGCCGCAGAAGGTCTCGATCTAGATCACCTCAGGAGAATGTATGAAGAATTAAAGTTACCGTTGGAAAACAAACCCACTTCTCCACAAGTTTCAGTGGGATCTATAGCACCGACTCCTGCCCAGAGCACAGCTGCAAACGGTACGGCAAGAGTTACGCTGCAACCTACCCAAAAACCCTCGCCCGCTCCTGCCGTGGGTCATATTACTCACAAGCGCCCAGAGTCCGAGAAAAAGCCTGTCGCTTCAGTCGCCGCCGCTAATGTTCCTGTCAAAGTCGCTCCACCTCCCGTCGACCGCAAGGACTATGTCGCTAGGCTTCAGGCTGCGAAAGCTGCGAAGCAGGGAACCAAGCCTACGCCACCCCAACAAACGCGACCATCACAGGAAACTCCCAAACCTTCGGTGTCCACTATAGCCTCGCCCGCGCCAGGTACGCCGAAGAGCTCGTCTGAGGCGAGTGCTGCAAAGGCAGAGGAAGAACGCTTGCGGAAGAACGAGCTACTTAAGGAACGGCTCGCAAAGCTTACAGCTCAACAAAGGCAGGCTAAAACTGCCACAGCCCAGGCTGCATCGGAAGCTGCGCCATCACCTGTACAGCGGCCTCTCGGGCCATCGCAAACGGCAGCTCCTTCACCTCCACAACCATCTGAGCCGCCTCAGGCCCAGAGCGTTCCCCCGACTCCCTCCTTCACAGGTTTACCTGGCTTGTTCATGAATGCATCACCAGCTACTGTGCCTCGCGCGCCGTCGTTGGAGAAACCAGCAGCTGCTGCTCCTGCTACGAATGGATTGTCGGGGCGTAAGCGACCTGCGGCATCGGATTTTGAGGACTCCTCAACCCCTCGCTCGGGACCTATTTACACTCGACCTCTCGGGCAGTCACCGCTCGAACATGACAGCGAATCTATGATCATCGAAGTCAGTGATGACGAGGGTAGTGACATGGATATCGATGACGACCAGGCTGAAACGCAACCCATATCTACCTTCACTCCCCCGGTGCAAGGCATTGTTGACCCGCAAACAGTACGAAGTCATCTAAATATTCAGGACCTCCCTTCGAGGTCTGGTTCTGTTCGACCTGCCTCGACTGCTATAAGTACACCTCCCGCGGTGCGGACACCAGGTGCCTCCTTCGCATTGGAAGAGGAGGCTAAACGAAAGGAGCAAGAAATCATGAATCTCAAGTTACGAATTGCTGAAATAAAACGAAAACGACAAGAAGAAAAGGCCAAGAAGGAAGCCATGGGCTCTTCTCCAGCTCCTCAAAAGGTTGTCTCTCTTCCGGCATCAGAGCCGGTCAGCGCGTTGCCATCATCCCCAGCGCCTCCACCTTCCGGCTCTCCGAGAATTCAAACCGAATCGATTCGTGAGCCAACTGGACGTGTGGCCGCCCACACTACGACCTCTGTCCCCCCGAACGCGAATGCCACAGCGGAATGGAAGAGACAACGACGCGCAGAGATAGAATCGGGCCTGCTCTCACTCAACGCTGGACTTGAGAGTCGCCAGGCGCGGTTAGCGCAACTCGAAGCTGAGATGGCCAAGATTCGGGCTGATGAGACCAAGTACCAGCAAGACAGGCAAAAGCTCGTAGAGGAACTCGAAAACCTTGGTGTGGATACCGAGGGCATACCCGATGAGGAACTACAAGCCACAAAAGACGCAGTGATCCAGGAGACTATCAACGCGGCTATTGCTGAAGCTTCACGCCCACTTCCTCAGTTGGATGGCGCCTCAGGTCATATTTTTGATACAGTTCCAGCATATAGAGATGATCTCCAGTCGAGGGAAGCTAAACCGCCCGGTCCACCAATCGAGCAAGTAGCAGCTGCTCCTGTTGTACCACCCGTCAAGAGTGACTCGCCCAAAACGACGGCTGAGCCCGTCCCTCCCGTGAATGCGACAGCCGATCTTCCTCTCCCTCCAGTAGATCAACTCATGCCTACGACGGAGGTGGTGAAAACAGACACAGTGCAAGACACTGATGGGAATGCATCCACACCACGAGATGTCGAAGAGGACTTCTACTCGCCTGAGCCTGCAGTCTTACCCGAGACTATCGCACAATCAGATGCAGACAGGCCAGAGGTCTCAAGAATCCCTTCCCCTTCTGAAGAAGGAGAAGTGGAGATGTCAGAATCCTCATCCGATTCCTCATCTGAGGAGGATAGTGATGAAGAAGACTATGAGCCTGAGGAGCCAGCAGCAATCCCAGCAAACGTGCTAGATTCCTTACCCAAGTCCAACTCATCAATGCCTAGTTCGTCAGGCTCGTCACCTCTCACGTCTTCGAACTCGTCGTCAGACGATGAAGGAGATGTCTATGAGCCTCCGGATGTCAATAATGCCTCGGAGGAGGATGGCGCTGTGGCACCATTGCAGGTGACCGCAGGTTCTACCCCTGCTCAATCAACATCATCTGGTGGCGCAGCAAGTCCTGCAATTGCAATCGCGGATGACTTGGCGCCCGAACTGCAGTCCCAAGTTTCACCGGCTCAAGTGATTTCAGCTGCTCAACCCGTACGTGAGATGGCCCCATTTAGATTTTGCTAACAGCTGCAGGACCTCAATGATGAGACCGAACGGGGTCCCAAACCTTTTCTGCCCTATGATAGTCCCTTGAAAAAGTTCAAGTCCTATCGTTACCACCCCCAATTTGCCCAGAACGTTGAGGGCGGCTTTCTTTCAATGACTTACAGCCACCAGATTGACCCCGAAAAGCCTTTGTGTCGGTTTGAGTCTGTTGGTGGTGCTTGCAACGACCCAGACTGTCCTGATCAGCATTTCCGGGACATGAACATTACCGGTGCGTTTCCGGGAAAAGACTAGATTTGTCTCTAAGAAATCCACTCTCGAGGCGCACAGACTAACTCCCTGTGAGTATAGGTGAGAAACTTCTAGTTCAGCTAGGCACCGCAAATCCAGGAACCACGCCTGAAGAGAAGCAACAGTGGAACGATGGGTTGCGGCTTGTGTTGAAAGAACTCCGCCAGAATAATACCAAAGATCCAAATGGCATCGCGATGGAGATTGCGAACTATCGCCGGCGGTTCTTGAACGATGACACACGCGTGGTCAATCTCAAATGATTAGAGGCTAATCAACAGCGACAAGTTGGACATCGACCGACGTTCTTCTTCGTGGCTGCTCTTGGCGCCGTGGTCAGGTTTGTCCTATATGTGCATTATCTTGATTTGTTATCTCTCTCTCGGCCTCTCTCTCCGGCCATCTTCTCATTATGATTACGCCACCCAATGTCCGCGACCTTGTCGGACTGGCGTGGAATCGGTCATAAAAGTGGAATTTAGGAGGGTTTATTTTGGCTTTCGTAGCATCGATACCCCCGTGCATTAGGATGGAGTCATTGAGCGTGCCACTTCGCTTTAGGGTGGGCATATTCTGCCTGACAACAGCGCCACTGTGTGTCTGCAAGAGATGGATTGTCGATGGCTTTCGATCACATACGGCCTGAACACTCTCAGATAGAGGGTGAGTCTCGACGTACGATCAAACAGCGAAAGCCAGAGGTACATAATGGCAGTGGCTCTTTTAGGTACTTTTAGTTACATAGGCAGCAATTAGCCAAATACATGGTCAATTTCCATTTCCACAATCGTCTCCAAACAGTCAGTCCTTTCCGTCGTGACCTTCGCCTAGCAATACTTCTTTCGAAGCGTTCGCTTGATGTTCCTCTCTCCCCCTCACGTGTCTATTGGTACGAGTAGAATATAATTACCCGATCGAGCAAGCCTACACGCGTCTAGCCTAGTCCTCGTAACATAGATAGCCCGTCGCCCATTCCCCTCCCTCCGCACTTACGGAGCGTGAAGCGGGGTGCCACGTGAAAGGGTACTTACATCGAGCACCCTACACGCGTGAGCGATACCTATCTGGGTATACCGGCGGTACGTATTCCCTCCACTCCTCACCCTCTTCGCAATCCGCCAACTCACGATCCACAAAAGCTGTCTCGTAAGTATATATCCTTGGACCTCGGGAACCTGCTTTGCTTTGCTTTTTGAAGGGCAGTCTCTGGAGGAATGAATTGATCGTCATTTCTGCAGTTTAGGTGATTAGTAGTACTTGATGTTTATATCTAGTAGTGCCCCATCCCACGTCTTCAATTCCTACTTTCCCCTCCCTCCATCTCCACTTGTCCACATCCCTCGCCTTCGACTTTAGGGTTCAATTGGAGAGAAAACATAGCGTCTTTTCACCCTCCTCTATTTTGAGTAACCTTTATCGAAAAGACAACGAAGGGTGTATACATTGTCCACCGTCCACCGCACTCGCTCATACGCTTGCATTCGAGAACCCAGAGACACCGATCCAATCGGCAGAGACTAAAGAGATAGATACGGCGAAAGGATACAATGACTGCCTCAGCGTCTGACGACGCAGCTGCTGGTGGTGGTGGTGGTAAACGACAGAAGACGGCGGGGAACTTCAGCGTCAGGGGGAAGAGGGCGATTGTCACGGGTGCTGGGTCTGGTATGTATGATTTTATTCTTGTTATTTCGGGTTCTTTGCGTTGGCTCTTCTGGGTTTTTCATGATTTGATTCTGTACTTTCTTGATGTCTTCGTTTTTCTTCTGTGATTTTTGTGGATTGTTATAGTGGATTTGAAATGAATTTAATTCTATTTGAGGGGTTCGCAGGTTTGTTTTTATTTATCCGGGTTGTTTGTCATATTTACTACTTCTGGATCCTATTTTAAATATTCTTTTCACGTTTTGGAAGTATATATTCTCATATACGTATGTGCGTGTCTATGCATAGCAAGCAACGTCACCACTAACAACCCAACCTCACAGGCATCAACTTCTCCTTCGCAGCCCTACTCCTCTCCCGCGGCTGCAGCGTCCTTATCGCGGACATCGCGCTGCGGCCCGAGGCCAAAGAGCTCGTCGAGAAGTACAGTGCAGGCGGCGACAAGAAGGAGGGAGAGGCGAGGGCCGTGTTCCAGGAGACGGACGTGACGCAGTGGACGCAGCTGGAGCGCATGTTCGAGGTGGCGCAGAGGGAGTTCGGCGGCGTGGACGTCGTGTGTCCCGGCGCGGGGATATATGATCCGCACTGTGAGTTTTCTACTTTTCTACTTCCTTCCTTATCTTTCAAGGGGGGAAAAGGGGAAGGCTAATCACGATTGTACGTCACGCATGCAGGGAGCAATTTTTGGCATCCACCTGGCTCAGCGAAGAGCAGAGACGCGCTGGACGGGAACCGCTACGCCAGCGTCGACATCAACATCACGCATCCGATCCGCAGCACGCAGCTCGCCATCTCGGAGTTCCTCAACCCGTCGTCGACAAGCGGCGAGGGTGGCGAGGAGGAGGAGAAGGCGTCGCCGCAGAACCCGAAGCGCGTGGTCATCATCTCGAGCATAGCGGGCCAGACGTCCAACCTCAACACGCCCATCTACGTGGCGACGAAGCATGCGATGAACGGCTTCATACGCTCGCTCGCGCCGCTGGAGGCCCGTACCGGGATCCGCGTCAACGGCGTGGCGCCGGGTGTGATCAAGACACCTCTGTGGTTCGAGCATCCTGAGAAGATGGGGTTCTTGGACGAGAGCAAGGACGAGTGGGCTACGCCCGAGGAGGTCGCCGAGGCCATGCTGAGGTGCGTCGAGGATGAGGATATGGCGGGCGGGACGATCCTAGAGGTAGGTGCAAGGCAGACGAGGAAGGTTCAGCAGTTGAATGATCCGGGGCCCAGTGGTCCGGGCCATACGGTTGCGAATCTAGAAGCGTCATATGAGGAGGTTTTTGAATGGTTGGGAGAAGAGGGGTGGGGTACGAGGAAGAAGTGATGCTGTTGTTAGTGTGTCAATCGTGACATTGCGGGGGTGGGGAGGATGGAAGCATCTTATGGGTTCTGCTGTAGATGGATATAGAGCGACATCAGCTGCGAGGGCAATGCGCATTCAAAGCTAGTTGCTGTTTTGTAGGAATTGAAGCTGGTTGAATATACTAAAGTGCTGTAATTAACTGGAAGTTTGTGGTGTCGTGAACTTGGTATGAGATAGGTGTGATAGGGTAGTCAGTCTCACGGAGATGGTTGGCGCGCGGAAATGCAGCGGAAAAATATGGATACCATCCCACGTCGCTGTAAGTGCGCGGAGATGTAGTTGTAGTGTAGAAGGGTAGTGTAAGGTACGAGAATTAGTGTACCCAGAGAGGATTCATTCCATTGATTGAGTATTTTTCCACGTCGATCGGAATCAGGGTTCCAGACTGTCATGGAATCGGAATCATGTAGTGTCTCAGGGAAAGGGCGCGCATAATAATTCTTTCTCACCTCCTGACGAATAGGGAAATATGAATCCCGATTGCTCCAATCGTTCCGATTCATGTTCCGCACGTGCTGGCAGTAGTAGTCCTCGTTGGCATAGGGATGGACGAAATAGGAAAGACTGCCCTCCTTCTCTAAGATACCTAGGTACATAGATACATAGTAAACAATACAAGCCAGACAAGTCCTAGAGAGGCACGGAGAATAACTTAGTAATTGGCGCGAGGACTATTCGCGGTGGCTATTAGTTGTAACAATGTGGCATTAATTATTAGGAAGCGGGTAATGACCCTCCCGACTCCCAGCCAGGACGACTAAGATGAAGTGTTGCTTATTAACTTCTGGTGGAGAAATTCGAGCGCGGCCGCGGGACTAGTGCGGCAAGGCGGATGCGGAGGAACAGGTTGAAGGACGAGGATGGACAAGAAAAACACTCAAAGCAGATCTGAAAGATTGAAAGCATGCAATTCATGTGTGTATTCGTGGGAGACTTCATACAGAGAATAGATGAGATGGGAGGGAAAAGGTTTCGAATGCCGGACGACAGTGACCCGAAGGCGTCGCCGGCTATTGAAAACGGCTTGGCAAGGATGATGTGCGTGAGAGCGAACCGGCAGTAATGGAAAATTCTTCCGCGTCAGGAGGATCAATGCAGTCAACAGTTATGTTAGGTATGCTCAATGATTTTCCGAATGATAACAATTGTTGGTCTTGATCATTACTGGAAGACGAAGGAATAATACGATCCGTTTGAGACGACAAAATGAGAAGATATGACGTAGAATGGCATACGAAAGCTCAGAGCAGCAATAAGTATTACATAGCCACGGTAGCTTTGTAGTAAGGGGATGCACATACCAATGCGCCGGTTAGTGTTGATTAGAAGAACGTACGTCAACGGCCATCATCGGCGTTTGATCCCTAGTAGAGGGGTGGTCGATGGTATTGGAAAGAAACATACCACGCGCAACCTCTACACCAATTATATTTCCATAATTACCATGGCAGACTTTTCATGATGTTGTTAAAAGAGGTACGGAGTACTGTACCATACCACTAATGATACACTCCCCAATACCTACGAGTACAATGTGTACAAAGTGGGAGTACATACAAAGTAAGTAAGAGTGGTAGCAATGAGGCCGCGTATTCCGACCCTTATGGGAAGAGGGTTAGAGAGAAAAGGGACGGCCGTATGGAGTAGTAAGAAGCGCAAGGGACAGTAACCAGGTGTAATCATGCTGACTGTGTGTTTCTAAGTCGCTGAATGATCTGATTGATGATTGATGCGATTGATTGAGTGGGTGAAGTGGGATGGTGGGAAGCGCGGGTTGCCACTTGTGACGATGGCGGGGCGGTATTTTTCCTCAGGTGTGGATGAGGTGGTGGCAGCTAAACTCATTTCCTTACTGTGTATGGTCCTATGCCTACCTAACCTTTGCAATTCGTTTCCCAACAGTGTGTAACTAACTAACTAACTGTTACCCTTACCCTAGTAACTACCTAACCAACCCACGAGTTGCCTACGTTACAAAGTATCCCGCCGCCAGCTACCTATATACATCTCCCCGCCCTCAATTCAAATCTTCTTCCTCTTCTCTCCTCATTCCACTTCTTCACATTTCCAACAATCCAACACTCCCATTCCCACTCTTCACACATCACACATCACAATGTCTTCCTCTCTCGAGCAATTGAAGGCCACTGGCACCGTACGTTCCCCTCCTCCTCCTACCCTGACCCCACTACTATCAATCATCACAACTACCTCCATAACCACCGCAATCTCCCTTTACAATCTTCTCATCAATGCTCCACCGGGTCTCACCGGCTTTGGGGAGCGCAAACACCTCAATCAGAATTATCGCAATATTTCAAGACCCCAGACTGACATGCAGTGATTTCTATAGACCGTTGTCTGCGACTCCGGTGACTTCGCCACCATCGACAAGTACAAGCCCCAGGATGCCACCACCAACCCCTCCCTCATCCTCGCCGCTTCCAAGAAGCCCGAGTACGCCAAGTTGATCGATGCCGCTGTCGAGTACGGCAAGAAGCACGGCGGAAGCAGCATTGAGGACCAGGTCGATGCCACCCTCGACAACCTTCTCGTCCAGTTCGGAAAGGAGATCCTCAACATCGTCCCCGGAAAGGTCTCCACCGAGGTGGACGCCCGTTTCTCCTTCGATACCGAGGCTTCCGTCAAGAAGGCCCTCCGCATCATCGACGTATGTATTCCCATTTCCACACCCGAATCGCCAATTCCGGATTTACGATGAGATGCTAATTTTTTTGCTCTGAACAGCTCTACAAGGAGATCGGTATCCCCAAGGAGCGCGTCCTCATCAAGATCGCCTCCACCTGGGAGGGTATCAAGGCTGCCGAGATCCTCCAGTCCAAGTATGGAATCAACACCAACTTGACCCTCATGTTCTCTCTCGTCCAGGCCATCGCCGCCGCTGAGGCCGGTGCTTTCCTCATCTCTCCCTTCGTCGGCCGCATCCTTGACTGGTACAAGGCTGCCACCAAGAAGGAGTACTCCGCCCAGGAGGACCCCGGTGTCCAGTCCGTCGGTGCCATCTTCAACTACTACAAGAAGTTCGGCTACAACACCATTGTCATGGGTGCCTCCTTCAGGAGCATCGGTGAGGTCACCGAGCTCGCTGGATGCGACTACCTTACCATTGCTGTACGTATACCTTCTTTTGGTCATGTATGATTCGAGCACTTCGAGCAAAGAGCTAATGATTTCTCCAGCCCAACCTCCTCGAGCAGCTCTACAACTCCACCGACTCCGTCCCTAAGAAGCTCGATGCCTCCAACGCCTCCTCCCTCAACCTCGAGAAGAAGACCTACATCAACAGCGAGGCCGACTTCCGATTCGACTTCAACGAGGAGCAAATGGCCGTCGAGAAGCTCCGCGAGGGTATCTCCAAGTTCGCCGCCGATGCCAACACCCTCAAGGACATCCTCCGCCAGAAGATCCAGGCATAAAAAGTTCAAGCTCCGATATCGGTCGCTTTATGAGTAATATGAATATCACTGTGCTACCCCTTATTATTTCTCTATGAGATTGGACATTGAGAAAGGTTATTCCTTTTAAATCCAATATGGAATCTTGCTCTGGTAGTATCTAGTATGATGATGAAGATATCAAAAACAAAAATAGAATGTAATACCCCTCCAAAATTATATGGAACTTCCCGTGCCCTAAAAAATTGTACAACGACGAGCATCTTGCGTGATAAATAACTAATGCAGCTCCCCACTGCTTAGACTATGCTGCAAAGAGGGAAGCTGCTGTGTGTTGTTTCCGTGTTCCTGGCCATGTAGAAGTGGTGAAATAAAATATTACTGGTAGCTCCATAGTTGAATACTTGTACGGGGTCAATTTTGGGGGTTGGAATTGCAAGTATGAGTAAGGAATTGGGCCCAGAACTCCTCGGAATTAGTGGTGGACGGGCGAGTGAGCGACAAGCGATGAGCGATGAGGTGCGAAACGGGGCCTCGCTCGTTGCGTCACTCCGAAGAGAGCCCCGCTTAGCCCTTTAGAGGGGGGGGGGAGAGTGGAGGTGGGATGGCGAAAGCTTTCTCAGCCAGCTTGGTGGGAGGGGACCACCCCTCTCTTATTACAATTCCTCTTCCCTACCCTTACCTCGACTTCCCTTCTGCTCTCTTTTCATCTGCATATAACTTCACAACACATCCAACTACCTTCACCACTTTCTTCATCAAACCAATCTATCCTTTTATCAAACTTAAACAAACCGTCACAATGGTCAAGGCCGGTACGTCCACTCTTTATTTGTTTACCTCTAACAGCCACCATGCCACACTTCACACACACACACACCTTGCTGCATGTGGAGAAGCGGGGCATATTTCCGTGAGCCAGAATGAGCAGATTCTTGCTCACCACCTGGACCCCTTCGAGTCCATGATATTGTTGTCAATTGATTGGAGACTCGAAACCATGGGGGAGGGCTCAATTGGCCATCTATATATGTCTCCTGCTTGAGGACCCTGATGGCTCATGGCCGTTGGCGATGTAACCGATGCTCCCGTCACGCTGTCCCTGGCAGGAGGAAGGCGAACTGCTATCCTCTCCCTCTCCAATCAGATCAGCAATTCTAATTCCATCTACTACTTCAAACACCTTGATGGCTCGTTTCCACCCGCCGTATCCCTGACCTGCATGGCATTGGACTAACAGAGATTCTTTACAGTCGCTGTCCTCCGTGGAGACTCCAACGTCAAGGGTACCGTCACCTTCGAGCAAGCCAGCGAGAACGAGCCCACCACCGTCACATGGAACATCACTGGTAACGATGCCAACGCTGAGCGTGGTATCCACGTCCACACTTTCGGTGACAACACCAACGGTTGCACATCTGCCGGACCTCACTGTAAGCTGCCCTACCTCCTGCAGACAACATAGCTCGGATGTTGTCCATCCAATTCACGAATGGATCCTGACATACAATAGTCAACCCCCACGGCAAGGAGCACGGTGCTCCCTCCGACGAGAACCGCCACGTCGGTGACTTGGGCAACTTCAAGACTGACGGCCAGGGCAACGGCCAGGGAAGCGTCCAGGATAAGCTCATCAAGTTGATCGGATCCGAGAGCATCATCGGCGTAAGAACCTAAAGCTATACAGTGATCGTAATCTGTGAGAGATGGCTAACATGATCGCTAGCGTACCGTCGTTGTGCACTCCGGCACTGACGACCTCGGCAAGGGTGGACACGAGGACTCCAAGAAGACTGGTAACGCTGGTGGCCGCCCGGCTTGCGGTAGGTTTCTTCTTCCTTAGGACTACGTGATGCTTGTTTACTGATAGTGAATCCTATAGGTGTCATTGGAATCTCCAACTAGATCCTTCATACCAATTTATGACGATCAATACTGTCCTGCTCTAACAGCTCACATGGCACACTCTAAGCTATACATGAATGACAAGGTGTTTTAACAGAATGCAAATATCGACAGTAGAGGGAAGTTCTACTCTACAATAGTGGTATAGCTATATAAACCAAAGAATGGAAAAAGTACCTCACATAATACTCGTATCTTGTCACTGTCCTTGCCGTGATCCATCATTGATCGTGAATTCTATGGTACGTTTACTGCCAATAAGTAATGGATTGTCACTATTCCTCGTCGACTGATTGCTGGTGGTAATGAACCATTGTTTTCAGCCATGCGCATCAATGTGTGTCGGATACTTCGTACCTGAGGAGAAAGGCTGAAACGGTGAATTGCAAGGGACCTCACGTGCAAGCACAAAGCATGCCAGGGGGTGACGGTATTCGCTAGCTTAGCCCTCTCACCCCACAAATCCGTCTCGGTGGTTTGGGGGCAACCACCGCCGATTTCTAACAAGACACGACACCGTAAAGGGACAGCTACACTTTAACTTCCACCTCACCTCACCGACCCTTTCCCCATCACAACAACCACCCAACGCAGCTTCACAACCTTTCTTTCCCCAGACCAATTGGATACCTCTCTCCCCACCTTCTCTTGGTTTACTTCTTTTTCCCGAATTGCGGGTGCGTTGATCCCCTTTCCCGCCTACCCCGCCTGAATAAGCTATATCATAAACAGTAGAGAACACAGTAACTAACTGCTCACGCGGCCACACAGTTCCCTTTCCCCCACCCACCACAAATCCGATCCGATCCTCCATCATGTCCATTTTCGAAGCGAAGGTCAAGAGCGTACTCTCTGGAGATACAATCGTCCTTCATAACATTACAAACCCAAAGCAAGAACGAGTCCTTAGCTTGGCATTCGTTACAGCGCCGCGACTAAAGAGGGATGGCGATGAGGTTAGTTATATCCTACAATTGAGCCTGTCCTATGCGATGGCTGCACAAGGGAATGGCATGGATGTGCATGGTCTTCACTCATCTGCACAATGCGTCGATGCTTGAACGTCAATGCCTCATCTTATCCCTCGCATTTCGACTTCTCGAGTATCAGCTAACATGTGGTTGCGCAGCAATACGCCTTCGAATCCCGCGACTACCTGCGCCGCCTCCTCGTAGGTAAGGTAGTCCAATTCCGCGTCCTCTACAAGATCCCCACGGGCGTCAACCGTGAATACGGTGTCGTCTCATTGCCTAGCCGAATCCAACTACCTGAATCTGCCGTCGCCGAGGGATGGGTCAAGCTTCGGGACGATGCAGGTCGTAAGGAGGACTCCGGCGATGCCGCTGCGCTCCTCGAGAAGCTTCAGGTCCTCGAGGCGCATGCTAGGGCCGACTCGAAGGGTCTCTGGCAGGAGACTTCAAGCAAGATCAGCTCGACTTCCGAGCTCAGCGATCCCAAGAAATTCGTAGATGAGCACAAGGGCGAGCCCCTTGACGGTAAGCTTCAGCTTTCACAATATTATTGAAACTGGCTGACATTGGACAGCCATCGTCGAGAAGGTCCTCTCCGGCGACCGTATGATTGTCCGCATCCTCGTAACACCCACCGAGCACGTGCAAACAATGATCCTCATGGCGGGACTGCGAACACCCTCGACACAACGCACGAACCCGTCCGACGGAAAGGTGCAGCCGGCCGAGCCGTTCGGCGAGGAAGCACAGCAGTTCGTGGAGATCAGATTACTCCAGCGAAATATTGTCATCGATCTCCTGGGTACCAGCCCCAACGGACAGATCGTAGCGAACATCAAGCATCCCATTAACGGATCCATTGCACCGCACCTTCTGAAGGCTGGTCTCGCACGATGCACAGATCACCACACAACCCTCCTTGGACAGGAGATGTCTGTCCTGCGAAAGGCTGAGAATGAGGCCAAGCACAACCGTCAAGGTCTTTTCCAGGGTCACGTTACCCAGAAGTCGGCGGGCAACGAGAATGAGGCGGTCGTGAGCAGGGTCCAGAGTGCCGATACCATATTTTTGCGCAGCAAGGCTGGAACCGAGAAGCGTGTCAATCTCAGCAGTGTCCGTCAGCCAAAACCTTCCGACCCCAAGCAATCACCCTGGGGCCAGGAGGCCAAGGAGTTCCTACGAAAGAAGCTCATTGGAAAGCATGTCAAGTTCACCATTGATGGAAAGAGACCCGCCACCGAAGAGTTCCCTGAACGTGAGATGGCCACCATCAAGCTTCAGGACAAGAACGTTGGTTTGGCCCTCGTGGAGAACGGCATGGCCTCGGTCATTCGTCACCGTCAGGACGACACAGACAGGAGCCCCATCTACGATGAATTGCTCCTTGCCGAGCAGGCGGCACAGGAGGCCCAGAAGGGTATCTGGTCACCAAAACCACCAGCCACTAAGCAATACGTCGACTACTCGGAATCGCTAGAGAAGGCCAAGCGTCAACTCACTCTCCTCTCCCGTCAGCGCAGGGTCCCCGCAATCGTGGATTTCGTCAAGTCTGGTTCCCGATTCACCGTTCTCGTCCCCCGCGAGAACGCTAAGCTTACATTCGTCCTCTCTGGCATTCGCGCACCTCGTTCTGCCAGGAACCCTACCGAGCAGGGCGAGCCATTCGGCCAGGAGGCTCACGACTTTGCCAACAAGCGAACCCAGCAGCGAGACGTCGAGATCGACGTCGAGGACTGTGACAAGGTGGGGGGCTTCATCGGCACTCTCTATGTCAACCGCGAGAACTTCGCAAAGGTCCTTGTGGAAGAAGGTCTCGCGTCCGTCCACGCCTACTCCGCTGAGAAGTCAGGCAACGCCAACGAGCTCTTCGCCGCGGAACAGAGGGCCAAGGAGGCACGAAGGGGCCTCTGGCACGACTGGGACCCGACCCAGGACGAGGAGGACGAAGAGACGGCCGCCGGCGCTGAGACCAGCGGCCAGGCCACTGAGGCAGTCGCCCGAAAGAAGGACTACCGCGACGTTATCGTCACTCACGTCGACGATTCCGGCAAGCTCAAGGTGCAACAGATCGGCACTGGCACCGCCGCCCTCACAGAGCTCATGAACGCTTTCCGCTCGTTCCACCTCAACCCCACCAACAACTCTCCTCTCCCCGGCCCACCCAAGGCTGGCGACTTCGTAGCCGCCAGGTTCACCGCTGACGATGAGTGGTACCGCGCTCGCATCCGACGCAACGACCGCGAGGCCAAGAAGGCCGAGGTCGTCTACATTGACTACGGCAACTCGGAGCTGGTCCCCTGGACGCGCCTCCGACCCCTTACTCAGCCTCAGTTCTCTCCCACCAACAAGCTGAAGGCACAAGCCCAGGACGCCCAGCTCTCCTTCGTCCAGCTCCCGACCAATCCCGAGTACCTCGCAGACAGTATCCACTTCATCTCCCAGGAGACGGCGGACAGGCAACTCGTGGCCAACGTGGACAGCGTGGACCGCGACGGCACGATGTGGGTGACTCTGTTCGACCCCAAGGAGAGCAAGACGGGCGACCAGAGCATCAACGCCGAGGTGGTCAGCGAGGGCCTCTGCATGGTGCCCAAGAAGCTCAAGGCGTGGGAGCGCGCGTCGACGGACGTGCTGCAGGCGCTCAAGAAGCGCGAGGAGGTCGCCAAGCTGGAGAGGAGGGGCCAGTGGGAGTATGGCGACTTGACCGAGGACGACTAGATGACAACAGTCACAATCGTCGTCTGAAACACACACACACATTCTTAGTCTTATCCCTTTTTCATTTTTTGCATAGTGGGGTGGAGGAGGAATCAAGGCAAGCAAAATGGAAGCAGAAAAGTAAAGGCAATGGAATATCCTCAGCAAGCATCATTAGTGGCAGCGAACAAAAGGGGGGACTAAGTTCTGTGAACCCTTATATTAAAAAGTCAATGAGAAAAATGAAGAAAGTAAAACACACGCACACATGCCTTCCTCCTGTGCTGACTATTGAAGATGATGTCGTGAAATGAGCCCTCCATGGTTGGACCTTTCTACAGAGAAAAGGAAGAATCAGGTATGTACGTACGTATGTATGTATGTATGTATGTATGTATGTATGTATGTATGTAAGGAGGCACATTGCTATATGTACGTACTATCTGCTTTCCTTAAAATAGGTTAAACTTGAAATATCTAGTCCAAGGATGGTACTATACGCTAGTAGCAGGGAGGCAGCTGAGGACCAGAGAGTGAAAATGAGGATGAGGGTGATGGTGAGCAGTACATAGGTAGGTAGGGTACGTACATAGGTCTACAGGAGAAGGAGATAGGAGGGTATGTAGCAGAGGTATTGGGAAGTTCACCTGTTATGTTTACTTATTATGTTCACTGATACGTTTACTTGTTATGTTTACTGATATGTTCACTATATTTACTAAAACATTTACCATGTTCACTAAAACATTCACCATGTTCGCTAAAACATTCACCATGTTCGCTAAAACGTTCACTGTCTATGTCTACGTGCGCAATTCCTCTTCACTTTCACCAATACGTTTATTATCACCTTTGCTGTTCACCTTCACCTTCACCTTCACCTTCACCTTCACTGACATCTCACTTCGTCCACCCACCCAGCTAGCTTTGCAGAACAGCTCCCAGTCTGAGAGACAGGCGACAGCCATAGTAGCTTAAACATACATGTACATATGTACATGTCCTCAACATCTATGTCACAAGCATTCACATTCATTCCATCACGTGCAAAAAAAAAGGTCAGGCTTTGATAGAGAGATGAGTGAAGCAAAACAAAATCGTCTTCCGATACTATATAGAAAAAAAGCTATTCCTTTCCATCTGAAACTCTTCTTAGGGGAAGAGAAGACAAGGTAAAAGCCCGACGCCCGTTTCTCTAGTTACTAAGTGTTGGTACACTCCCCGGAGTATGGTGTTCTGGCATGGATCTTATGCAGCCGAGGTCCCTGACGTCTTTCACGTGCCCTGCGGTGCTCACTGCCCCAGACGGGAGGGGGGAGATACCGGGAAGGGGAAGAAGGGATGACACAAGGTGGTAGGTTCCAACTTCTAGGTAGGGCCTTCTCGCGTGTTGGTACGGGGGACGACGACGAATCATAATCCCCCCCAAACATCGTTGATATGCCCCGTCCAAAAGGTCATCCAGCCATCTGTTTTCGTTTTCCCTTCCTCTCCGTTCCCCAGGTTGTTCTCCCTCTCCTGCTGTTCGTGCGTGCGTGCGGGTGGGCGTGAAAGCGTCAAGTCGTCGGATGCGATCCTGGCCAGTTCCATGCTTCGAGGCGTTTTCCCACCGTTCATTCAATACTTTAGGCGTCGACACCTCCCCCTCCTCCTCCTTCCCTCTGAAGATTTCTTCGTCCAGGTCATTCCTGCCAGCTGCCAGTCCATTTCATAATCGTCATCGATCATCAACTCGTCATCTTTTTCACAACGTATGGGCTGTGCCCAGGCACGCCAACTGCCAAATACATGTGTGTGAGGAAAAAGAGAAAAAAAAAAAAAACATCAGAAACGTTGAACAAGTTAAAAGGAAACAAAAGGGGGATGAAGGGGGGTATTAAAGTCCACCAAAATCGAAAAGCCAAATGCCTCCCTTGGGAGCAGGTATTGTGCCAACAAGAACAGAAGGACGTAGTGGAAGAAAAAGATAAGAAACGGTGCTGAAGTGTAACGAAATCAGAAATACATCCGCTCGCTCAAATGGCCAGAGAAATGACAAAAATGTCGAAAGCTAGATAGGACTCGAAACATGAATAGATGCGTCGCCAATGAAATGCCACAGCCGTTGCGCAATCATACAATCCTCGATCCAAGTTGCCGACTTTCAAACTCTCAAGCCGGCGTGAAGATCTCTGAAAAGAAAAACAAATCCCGTTTGTGTGCGTGAGCACCCTTTCTAAAGCAAACAATACCAAATGTGACCTGCACTGTCGCGCGTAAAGGGCAATCCGCAAGTAGAGAAGAGGAAATGAAACGGAAAACAGGGGAATCGTGGTGAACAATACGCACTAGACAGCTTTTTTCGTCCGACGAAAAGGGATCAGCATCCAACAAGAAACTTTTAATGGTCAAAAGAACAAATTTTGGATCCAATCCGGTCCGCCCAATGAAGTAAGCTGTAGTGAAAAGGGGAATCGGGGTATGGTGGAAAGAGATGGAAAATCGTAAAGGAAATGTTTTGGAGGTTCCGCAGATCTTCACCGCTCGTCGATCTCAATGTCTCGTCGCGAACGGCGAAGTGGCTTCCGTTCCTCACGTCTGCTGTTGGAAGTACGGACGCTCCTCATTGACTGAACTTCAGCCTCCCGTCTGGCCTGGTCGGAACTGGTGATGGCCCTTCTCGTGCCATACATGCTACCTCTTTCGCTGCGGTAGGTACTTTCGGTATCGCGCTGATTGGCGATGACAATGTCGGCCATGCCGTCCTCAGCCGGGTTGATTTGAAGCGTCCGGCCTTCCATGTCGCCAGGGAGGTGTAGGCTGATCGGGTTGGAGGCATCGATCCTCAATCGGATGTCACCGTTGTTCCCATTGGTAACAGTGGTACGGTTCGACTGGCTGATGCGGGTCTTGCCTCCACTGTGCGAGGAGCCATCCTCATCATCATCGTCACCAGGTCTCACCACTCGAGAAGTGCGCTTGGCGGCCCTGTGGGTGAGGTCGTTGAAGGGAACATCGTTTCCGCGAGTCTGCCTCTGATATGCTTCGATGTCGTTCACAGCATCCTGCATCTTCGCCTGTCGCGACGGACGACTGTCGTGCTCAGTAACTGTCTTGCGGCGGCGGAGTGGCTGCTGCGGGGGCTGTGGAGCAGGCTCTTCCTCGTAGAACTCCTTGCGTCGGCGAGGTGCTGGAACAATGGCATCCTCGTCGTAGACTTCCTCCTTGCGGCGACGCTGAAGAGGCATCACCTCTTCTTCCTCGTAGAAGTCATCTTTACGGCGGCGTTGTGGTGCGACATCATCTGCGTACATGTCTTCCTTGCGGCGACGCTGAGGCCTTTCGTCTTGGTAGACTTCTTGGACGCGGCGGCGCTGAGGAGGTACGTCGTCATAATCGTCGGACTCGGAGTCGTCAGAAAGGCTCTCCACATAGATCTTCGACTGGCGTTTGCCCTCAACGGCGGCCACATGTGACCGGCGTCTCTCGATAGCCTCGTAGTTTCTGGGACGGCGTCGATCCTCGACTTCGATAACCTTTTGTCGAGGCTTGTCCTCGAAGTCGTAGACCCTCGAACGGCGTTTGTCCTCGACATTGTAGTCGACATCATATGCTTGGATTTTGCGACGACGGGGCTTCCCATTCTCGACAATGACCCTGGCATCCCGAGTATCATAGGCTGACTGTGTCTTGAGGGGCATCGAGGGCCGAGCCTTCGACTGAGCTCGAGCCTGGGCAGAAGAGTTTGCTCGTGAGGGTCGTGACTCTCTCTGCTCTCGAGGACGCTCGGAAAGGATGTGGGGCTGAGACACTGATGCGCGTCGCTCCGACGGATAGATTTGGGGAGTCGTATTGGGGCGGCGGTGGAGGCTCGGACGACGCTGGGGGCTCGGACGGTTCTGCTGAACAGGGGCTGGCGTGAGCTTTGGAGGCGGCATCAGAGCACGGCTGTTCCTCCTCTGACGGCGTTCATCGACTTCCTCCTCTTCCTCCTCCTGTTCTCCCTCGGAAGACGAGTATTCGCTCTCTGACTCCCCAGTGTACTTGAGTTGCTTCTGGGGGAGGGGCTCCTGCCTGACGAGGGCCTGCTGGACCTGTGGCTGGGGAGCATAGCGAGCCGAGGGAAGAGCCTTCTGTTCTTGGGTGACGCGAGGCTGACCATACATGGAACCACGAGCGTTAAAGCTGGCGGAGCTGTTGCGAGTGGGCATGTGAGGTCGCTGCGGCTCGTACGGTGGTGAGGTCTGCTGCATCTGATGCGGCGGGTAGTAGCCATGGGGCATGCCCGGCATGGGAGGTTGGTACATTGGGTGTACCTGGCCGCCGTACTGTTGTTGCATTGCGGGATGCTGTTGGCCTGGGTGTTGCATGACGAAGTGAGCAGACATGGCAGGTGGAGGACCATGTGGTTGAGATATTTCTTGTGGAGGAGACGGATAGGGGGCGGGCACGTTGGACATGTTATAGGAGTAGCCGGGCTGCCTGGGGTCACCGTGGTAGCTCTGGGGCCGAGCACGGGCGTTGGATGACGAGCGTCGACGTGTAGTTGTAGTAGCAGGTTGGACAACTGTTGAGCCGTGCATGTACGAAGCCTGTCGGGTGTAGGTCGGGGAATTAGGAGAGGTATAGGAGGGCGCGACGGGATCTGAGCGCGTCGAGGGCGGATAGGAAACGTCCACAGCGGAATCGAGATGAGGCGGAACGGGGCGACGACCACGGGTGGTGGAGGTGGAGGTGGTAGGGCCAGTGGAGGAGACGCACTTTTTGCAGGTTGGGTCGGTGCAGTCGACACTCCTAGATTCGGTTGGGCGACGCTCCCTAGCGGGCCTGTTCCTGGACGAGACCGAGGGAGCTCGCTGGAGAGGCTTGACGGGACTGGTCTGGTTGCTTCGCCTGCGGTCGTCACCCAAGGTCGGTCTCCTCTGGGCAGGGCTGGGAGGAGTTGGGAGGAGTGGTTCAGGGTCTTCCAGATGGACCGGAGCGACGGGCGGGCTTTGCGAGTTTGCACTGAGGGCGGAGTCAGCGCTGCTCACGGTCGCGGCGGTATGGCTGGAATACCCAGAGTCGCTTTGGCGGTCGCTGAAGACGACCTTTTCGGTGGGAGGGGATTTGTCGACGCCTAGATCGGAGGGGTGCGATCTTTTGGCGGTGACGTTTGCCTGGCTAGCGGATGGTGGCCTATTGAAGTTGGAGACTTTGACACTGTCGACATCGCTGTCATAGTCCTCGACTGTCGGGTTCAAGGACTGATGAGAGGTGGATGCAGTTGCGGCGGCCATGGCGAAGAAGTGACGACGATGATCACGACGACGGACAAAACGACAGCGACGGCAGCGACGACAGAGCCGTTGCCGGCTGGTGTCGGTTGAGGTGGATTTTTGTGGTTATGAAATGTGAGGATGTTGTTGTTGTAAGTGGAAGGACGAGAAGGCAGTCAATGAGTAATAAGAGTGTTTAAGTGCGGGAAGGATGATGGTCAGCGAGAGAGAGAGAGCGAGAAAAAAAAGAGTCGACCAGTCCCCGGCAGGCACACACACACACACACACACACACACACTTTCTTTTCCCAGTAACACAATTTACTGGGGGGGGTGTTGATGGTAGCCTGTGGTAGGGTTGGGAAGGGGGGAGGGGGGGGGGAGGAGGCTTAGGGTAAGGAGGGCGGCTGTTAGGTGTTAGGGTTGGGTTGGGCTGGCCCTTTTGCCTTGCGTTTCCTTTGGCGTGTGCGTGTGTGGGACTGAATGTACGGAGAAGGTACACACAGTACTTCCGTAGAGTAGAAGTAGAGTAGACGGTAATAATGGTGTCGTTTTGGGTTCTTGGGTTGGGTTTGGAGCGATCACACTACTGTACTCGGGTTGAGGGATGGTGTATGGTCTGCCTTGCAAGTGTGCCAGTCTATGGTAGAGACGCGGGACGGGGCGCGGTATTGTATCGATAACGGGTAAAACAGCGACGGCGCCTCACATAACCATACCAGCAGCAACTGCGATCGTCCGGGTGGAGAACGAAACTCATACGATGATCGTTTTGGGGGATGAAAAGAAAATGGATTTTCCTTTTTTTTTTTTTTGGGAGTGACGTGTGTGCGTGTGTGCTAGGATGATTGCTGTTTTGGGGGAAATGTTGGCAAGTGTTACGGCATAAGAGGTGTGCGTGTGTTGTGTGTGTGAGTGAGTAAGGGAGTTAAAAAGGGTAGGAGCAGGAGCAGGAGCAGGAGCAGGAGCAAGAATAGAAATAAGAGTGAGGATTGTAGAGTAAGATGGGAGTAAGATGAGATGAAATAAGAATATCCTCGGTGGGTTTGGCAGGAAACAGGCGAGAGATGGGAGGCAGGCGGGTAGGTAGTAATAATGGTAATGGTAAGAGCACAGGCACACAGGTAACGGCGGTGGTAGGCTGTAGAGTGTCCGCAGCGCAGTAACTAGAGTGTCCGCTGTAGGGCTTCAGAATCTCTGGAGGTCTGAGTGACGGAGTACGTGGATGTTGGTGTGTTGGTGTGGTGCTATGACCAGTAGTAGGGCAGAGCAGGGCAGACAGCGATGACTGACTGACTGACTGACTGACTGACTGAGAGTGCTAATTAGAGAATAGAGTAGTTGAAGAGTTGAGTGGAGATGGTGATGGTGAGGATGAACGAGAATGAGCAAGACGAGAAAAAGTGGATAGGGAATTGTGTGAAGAGGAAGAAGGCCTGCTCCCTTTTCTTCACTCCTGTCTTACCTTTTCGTTCTTTCTTTTCTTTTCCGGGCGGGGATTTTCCTCTTGCTCTCTCTTCCATTCATTCATTCATTCACAGTCATCAGGGCTGCCGGGGGGATGCTGGATTGCCGGGATGCTGGGATGCTGCATGATGTTTAAATAACGGACGACTAAACTCCTGTTGGGCTCACGCATGGTGGCGGCGGTAATGGTGGTAGACTGACAATACAGTTTGCAAACTACCTACAGACAGGTCCGTACACTAAACTACCATTATCATTAGTACGTACCTGTACTCCGTATATGGCGCATACTCTGTAAATTGTTATATTGTCTATGTGCGGTGCAAGTGTGCCGTGTATGTGTGTGTGTGTGTGTGTGTGTGTGATTGACATATGTATCCCACATCCTTCAGAGTTCAGGACCTGGTCATAGTAAGGGGGGAGGGGGAAGAAAGGCATTGATGATGATGTTCGCAAAAAGCCGTGAGAGGGTGGGAAATGGAGAGAAACACGGCACGGCTCCATTGTCACCACTGGCAAAACATAGTCTGTAACTCTGGAGTCGGTTGTGTTGTATGGTGATGGGTGTATGGTGATGGGCCACGGCACTAATGGGGGCGAAGGGGAGATGATCCTGGTTCTTTCTGCTGCGGTTCCGTAACACGCGCGCGATGGGCAGCAAGACGGCCGTGACGAGTGACGAGGAAGTATTATCCTTGTTTCATGCGAGCGATGCGATGCGATGCGATGCGAACCAACAACGGCTTTGATGGGATGGTCATTATTATTGTATTGTGACTACGGATCTTCGTTTCTTCGTTGCAAGCTAATCCACACAGTACGAAGGGGCATCCGTGTATCTTTACTGTATCTGTATCCAGCGTGCATCCATAGAGTAATGATTATACTGTGTACGGTACCCAGACTGTACACAAATACTATGGAGGCTGTAGAACTAGACTACGGAGTAAACCACCAATAACCACGAGTACCTGCGAGGTACTTTACCACATACAAGTTATTACTATGTACCGACTGTAACTAGTGGTACTATGGCCCGTCGCTCCACTGCCCCTACCCATGTCCTCCCTCTACCAAACCATCCACCATCCACCATCCACCATCCGCCATCCCAACCGATCATCTTCAACTTCCTTCTTCCTTCTTCCCTCCACCCTGGGTCTGTCCTCTTGCTAGTGCTGGTATCCACGTACTCGTACTACTGATACTACTACTACTACTACTACTACTACTACTCCTACTCCTGCTAGTTACAGTAATTAGTTGATCAATATCTACTGCTATCGACGGGTCGTCGGTCGGACCAACATCGAGATATTGCTTCCTCCACCCGTAATAATGAATCTCACAATCTCCTGACATCAATGTACTCGTCTCACTACTAACTAGGGAGCAGTGGCATCTGATATTCGTAGGTTGGTGTGTGCTGCTCCTCTCCGTCCATTAATGGCTTACTCCATAATCTCCAGCTCATCACGGGACATGATGAGACTCTACTCTGTACCTAGTTAATACTCTGTATACGAGTAGTTACGGTATGAGTGCTGCTGGGTACTCGTGCACCTACATAGACAGTAATTCAATGGATACTGTCTATGTCTCGCCTGTTGGTCTCGCCTGTTGGTCCCGCCTGTGTATCTTCAGCCCTGCAGGCCTTCCTCCCCCATCACCCATCGCCCGAAAGTTGTATCCCATCACCACACCGTCTCGACTCTCCCCACACGTTTGATTCCGTCATGTCGCCCTTCCCTTACCCAGAGTATGGTGACGCAGCTGCAGTACCGGCCTTTTGCTATTTGTAACGCAGCACTGGTATCCTCCATCGCCCACCACCTTCTGCTCCACAGCAGGCAACCTGCAGCAACGTACAGCAACCTCTTCCTACGCTTCACCTCTCATCTCTCGTCTCTCACCATCATCATCGAGCTAGGGTCCATCGCCCGCTGATGGCGATTAGACGCTACTGCTTTAGTCTCATTCCTCTTCCCCTCAGCTGCGCTCTTGTAACTACTCCTGCTGTACGATACTGTAGATTGCTCGCGACTCGCTCCCTGCGTATATGTCATGATCGCACATGGTCATCTCTTCGCCCACCCCATCCTCCTCCACCCCCCCTCCCTCCCGAACCGGCGCCGCGCGCACTGTGGACGCCGTGTCTTGAGGTGTCGATTGATTACCGGGTCTACGTCCAGAGAGTGGTCTAGAGAGTGCTCGTATACGGACGACGGGCGTCCCACCTCCGACCACGCTGCCAGACCAGGCCATGGTCCAAATTTCACATGCACTCATGCTATAGGCCAACTTTATCTGTAATAATATAATTATCATGGATGACCGTGAGAAAAAAGCAAACATCGACGGTTTAACCCAAACCCAAATAGACCTTCACAGCTAGCAAGGAACAGACAAGAAAACAAAAGAGAGAGAATCATGTATTAATTACACCCAAGACCATCCGTCCGATCGACGAGCGAATCATGGCCATTGCGCAAGGTCCGGCACTTTGCTGGCCCTGGAAGGAGGATTCCTTCTTCAATCTACCCTACCGGGGATTTCCTCGTGAGTCGTAATCATACAAACAAATCGCACACCTTCTCGGATGAATTACTACTATCTACTATCAACTTTGACTCGACTCGACTCGACTCGACCCGAGCGACAGTCAATACGCGGACGGTGCTGGGTTGATTGTCATCTCTCATCCATCACTATCATCCCAATTTGCCGTGTAGAGCGAGGGAACGATCATCTCCTTCATGTGAGTAATTGGCCGGCGCATGGTTCTGCCGACGGGGCTTCCCACCACCACTCGTCACCCCCATGATGACAATCGTGATAATCATGATAACAACCATCGTGCATCAGCGAGTCAAAGTGCATTGGATGCAACAAAGTGCGGGTTGCCCTACCCTGCCTACGTCGCAAGCTCCCGGCACCTGGACCCATCGCAGCTGTTTGCATATTGAGGATGCGCGTAACACAGCAGTAGCATTGACTAGCGGATCGTATCTTCTCACGATAGGGAGAAGCAGACGCAGAAGAGAAGCATGCTCCTATCACCCACCTACACAAGCACAAGGAATGCTAGCAGTACTGAGCAGTTACAATCAAGCATACTCGTAGGCTTGTTCAAAATAGGGATGGTAGGGGATAGCAGGGATGACAGGGATTGCGAGGATTACAATATTCGTCTGAGCCGGACTCGTGGTCGAATCGAAGAACATGAAACCGAAAATCGAAGCCCCAGGCTTTCACGCTCTCTCCACTCCACTCAGCACTGTCTCTGGTCCAGCTCCCCCTACCACTCCACTCCAGCATGCATCCAGCTCTCCAGACTCCAGCTAGCCATGCCTCCTCCTCTCCTGTTGTGCCGCCCTGGGACTGACATACACTACGGTCCCCTCTCAACGCCTGTCTACACTACTCTGTGTACACTTGCTGCGATTGCAGGTGGATATGCTTACCCTCTCTGACTCTCGCTTCCATCACTCTCCCCATCATTCGACCTCTCCTTTTTCTCCTACAGAATCAGACCGAGGGAACCCCCGGAACCTCCACCCACTCTTCTTCCATCTTCTTCCTGCAACCGCCTCGCCCCATTCTCTTCTCGTGGTCTTCTTCATTCTCACCGCCCTCTTGCTCTTGACTCTACGGAGTATTCGGCTAGCAATTCTACAAGGAGCGACCTGCCTGTCTGCCTTCTTGCCTACACAGGTACTACGTACTCCGTACATACATAGCACATAGTACGTACACAGCGGTCTGCATCATCTGGCCTGGGTTCGGCTCTTGCCCTTCCCTGTAATTTATAACGGCAGCCATTCCCTCCTTCCCCTAGCGGCTGATCTTTGTCCATATCCGGTTCGCTCTTTCCCCAAACAGCTGTTATTTTCAGAACCTCTTGTACTCCCGTCACCACCAACCATTGACGTCCACATCAACATCAACATCATCTACTGAATCGTCATGTCCTTCTTTGTTACCATTCCCATTCCCAATTGCTTCATCAATCTCCTCACCTGTTCAATTAAGTATTATTTTCCTCTCGCCCTTTCAAGTACTCCATACTGGCTTCTCCACACTTCTGGTCACTAGACCCGTCCTGCGCCAAGGCATGCAATACATAAATGTTCATTTTCCCTCATCAGACCAGCCACGTCAGTTCGCCAAAGAGAAACCGCGTCCGCCATGCAGGAACAACAACTCACCTCCACCCAGTACGGAGAAGACTGCCCATTCATCAAATCTCCTGCCACACTAATGGAAAACTCTGTGCTCCATCCCTCGCCACCCACACAATCCCTGACCTGACATCTTGTCGCCTTTCTCTGTGAATGGGCAACCCCGTCCGCTTCCTGCAAATCGCAGTCTTCCAGAACACCTGGTCCCCTCACCACCACACCCACCTCCATTATCTGATCCAACAGTATATAGCCACCTGTAATCCGGTGTAACACTCCCGCCTCCTCTCCTCTCCGACCAGGTCGCCTCGCCTCCCATTCCCTCCGGCCCGCAAACACCTGCTGACCCCGCCCGGCTGCCTTTCCGGTGAACAATATCGAGACTGGCACTAGCTACGATCCTGATCTCAACAAATTCGTGGCCGCGAGCGAGGAAGTGATCGGCTGGAGCGATTCGACGATTACTTTCCGGCTCCAACCGCGAAGTCTGACCACGAGCGTCACGCTCACGCTCACGCTCGCCCTCACAGCAATGCTCGTACTTCCGATTGCGTGCTGCAATGATTTACTACACTGTCCCACGTAGCCATAGACTCCACTGCATACAACGGGCAGACGGGTGTAATTGTCCTCTCGTCATATGTTCGATGACTGCGTGGGCGTACACCGTGTATTGACCGTCATCGCCCTAACTTTCGGTGGCCATTCTATATCACGACTGCTCATCCGCCAGTAACGTTGCACAGTATAAAAACCAAGTTCGGGCAACATATTCTTTGCTATCCAGCCTCGGTCTCCTGAACTTTTGATCTTGGCCAATGCTTACCCACCCTCTTGCCTTTCAGTGCTTTGACATCCCCCATTCCTCGTATCACTGTGGCTTTTGTGGCTTCGTATGTTTTCACGGAGCATATTGATTTGGTATTCCGGCACCTCCTCTGCTTCCTTGCCTAACATGTCGTGCCACGAGACAAACACTATTTCACTCGGAAGTTGCGATGGCCGTATGGAACTTGGTCAGTGACGCAGTTGACGACACGTTCTGGGCGGTCCGCATCTTCGAGCTCGGCTTGTTGGCTCAATGACATCCACGCACGATTGCCGAATCACCATCTGAATGTCTTTGAACGACCGAAGACTTCCGTGTTGACCCGTCCGACATGCTAGGAGGGAGTTGAATATCATCACAGCTATGCCGGGCGGAGGCACTGGTTCGTCAATGACAGCCTTCCTGAGCCTTGCTATAGCAACAAGAATCAGCCCAGAGAAGCCCGATTACGCCCATTCAGATCTATGGCTGATGGACGCTGTGTGGCTTGCCATTGGTGAGATTTGTACAACACTGGTATTTCGTCTTTCCTTCCGTGTTAGGGAAACAAAACTCGAGCATATTCGTATAGCTAGTAGCACCAGGTACTCCCACACGGACGCACGGCTTTTCTTTTTCAAAGAAGCAATGTCATTGTCAGAAATTCTACGACGACGCTCGAGCTGACGTCTTTTTCGAAGGTCGTGCTCGCATGATGCATGGACGAACCATACAAACGGACTCCGGGTCCCGTCGCGATGCGATGCGATACGATGCGATGCGAATCTCACTGTTCTCCTCCCAAGCTTCGACCCTTATATAATCTGCGGAATATCTTCCGAAAGACCTATTTTTATCACTTCGAGTCCTAGCTGTCTCAATCTAGTTATGGTGCGATATAACGAGCCTCATCAGCGTTTCTTAGCACGAACTGGTGGAGCAACCGTGCCTGGCTGCCGCAAGAAGTTAGGCTTAGGCCTCGGTGCGGCTCTTCTGCATCGCATTCTGTAATTTTTCCTCTTCTTATTTTACGAGTCCACACTAGGTACTGTATGTATGTACAGTACTGTTAAACATCCTAGTTGTCGAGATCCCGCTCCAAGGGCCCTGCGAACCACCTGGGGGTCCCAATTGGACATTGGAAAGCCACCAGGTCGAAAAAACAACGTCGACCCTCTGACTCACATCGTCATAATCCCTTCGAAGCCCGCAATGGCTGCCCGAAAAACCGATTGGGTACCCATCCCATGGACTTCCACGTTCCTTGCGATTCCACTTTTCCTACCTTCGCCGCCCTACGTCCCCACAAAACCTGCAAATCTCTAGCCAGAAAGTAGAAGAGTGGGCCACGAAAAGGATGCCCAACCTAAACATACTCTTAGAACCCGCCGGGCGGTTATTCTGGGTACCCAGCTGAGCATTTTCGAAACGGTCGCAAGAGTGGCCAACACTGTCACGTCGCATTATCACACGAAAGAGCTGGCTATTGGTTTCCCGTGGCCGTTGCTGTTGTTTTGAGGCTCACGGAACAGCAGCAAGCAGGATGGGTATTCTGGAATTTCTACTCTGCATGCATGCATGCATGGTGCGAACACACTGCAAGCGCGGCCGGGAGGGTCTGCTGGCAGTCCAAGAACAAGCAGAGTGACGTCGAGTTGCACGTTGGATTTTTGTTTTGGGAATATTGTTTTCGTTGTTTTTGTTTGTGCGGGGAATAGTCGAGTCACGGATGCGTATATTGAAGCACGCCCGGTTTGTTGTCCTCTCTCTGTCCCGCTAACTACGAATTTGGACCCCGTAATTACTCCAAACGAGAAAAAAGCACAATTGCTCAAGGCTCCTCACCGATGGAGTCCGCTCATCCGGGATATCCCCAGATCTATGGTACCCGCAGGAAGAAGTTATCCTCTGATCCATCAAATCTAGGCTTTTATGCGGTCGAACCATCTGAGGGTTTCTACTCGCGTTCAGAGAGATCTTTACGCTAACTTAGGACACTCTTTAACACTAGATAACGGACCCGCCACCCGAGCTCCGCTTCCGAACTCGAGAGAGGACATCTTCTCCAGCGTGCGAGGATGAACCGGACTCTAAACCTTGTGATACACAGGTTCCAAGTATTCCTCTTCCACGGCGACCAAGATAGAAAAATCAAACATGGTCCTAAACGAGGGACACGGCGCACACGATAGATCCAGAAGAAGAAAATGACCACCCGACGAGATCTCCTGACCAGAATAAAGAAAAAACTACTTACGTCCCGCGACCACCCTTCCACGAGGGGCCCTTCAAGACAAGGTCATCCATGCTAAATAAATAGCTGGAGCATCCACGACGTGCACAGTAAGCCTTCCTGTCCGCAGCGTCGAAAACGGAAAAGAGATAAGAAAAAGAAACGGGTTGTCTTCGCTTTGTGCGAGGGAATTTCAAGAGAGGGTGGTGGGTTTTGTTCGAAGGAACGGATCATTCGATTCTTGTCGTCTTTTTTCGTTACCTTGATCAAGGAATCGTTCTTTATCGTTCTACTCTACGTAAGCCCCGCGTTTGGTTCTCTGAGGGCACCAGAGAATGACGGTGAGTGAAGAAACGATAGTTGAACCCATAGAATCCTATCAACGTACAGACCACATACATATATTTTCTCCCAGTCCAATCAAATGACCAATTCAGACGTTTCCAGCTCTCCCGTGAATACCATACCATTTATCCGTCTATCCGACTGTCGTCTCCTCTCCCCCTGCTCCAGACAGGAGTATCTTATGTAGGTACTGCGTAATCACTCAACTCAACTCATACCCCATACACGCGCCCCTCCCTCCACACTGCTGTCCTTACACCTACCTACTCATACACACAAACGCTTCATACCACGAATGCAATAATCCCCAATCTCAGCCTATCGTCCTCGCATAATCCCAACATCTTCCCCTCGTCCCCTCATCCCTCTACAAGTCGCCTATGCCCTGGTGATGAAGATTTAACTTCCAGACAGACAGACAGACAGACGGAACGTAACAATCCTTGGAGGCAGGACTGTAGGAACTAGTAGCGGAGCGGAGGAGGCAAGGACGTGAGACCAGACTTTATCGATGTATATACGCTGGTACTGGCACCGGCACCGGCACCGGCTCTGATTCTATACACTGTATTCTTCATCCTTTCTGTGCTTCTTCCCCCCCATCTCTTATAGGTGTGCTTAATCCCCTTCTCTTGTGTTCTCTTCTCTTAGTTCTGCTCACAACAATCTATACTTTATTACAATACAGTACAGCACATCTAACGTGACTAAACACCTAGGAATCCTACAGGAACATATCTTTTCATATAGCTACTATACTGTTATAAGTGACATTCCTCTCTGTTGATAGATAAGGGATAGTTGGGGAGGTGGTGAGTGGTGAAGAGAAGAGGGAAGTGAAGAGGGAAGTAAAGAGAGGTGAAGAGGGAAGTGAAGAGAGGTAAAGAGGGAAGTGAAGAGAGGTAAAGAGGGAAGTGAAGAGAGGTAAAGAGGGAAGTGAAGAGAGGTAAAGAGGGAAGTGAAGAGAGGTAAAGAGGGAAGTAAAGAGTTAAATATGTTTAGTTATTTAGCTATGCAGGATTCTAAAATGTTATAACTTATAGGATTTCTATATATAAAGCTGTAGTAGCAGCAGTAGAGATAGTTTACTTAAACGCTACCTAGACAGTTCTTGTATTTTGTATTTGCTTTACTATACTATGCTATGTAGAGTAGGTAGGTAGATTGCATTTAAGATAATAAGAGGATATATAAAGGCCTTTTAGGATTTATATTTATGAAGGGTATACTATATTATAGACACGTAGCTACGTAGTAGCCCTGTGTAAAAGGTAGATTACCTCTGTTGCTCTTGAAAAAAATTAGCCTAACATAATAACAAGACATGCTTTTGTTTATACATTTTCAAATTTCATTTTCATTTATATTTTTTTTCATATTCTTGTATGAGAGAAATGTTACAAAGAGCAAGTACATCCACCCTAAAGTAAGATTGCAGTTGGAAACGCCGATTGCATATCCCCAGCATCCTTTTTCTTTACCTGTCCAACAAATCTCGGGGTGAGATTTGCGGTACATACTCCAATCATCCGCACTACATCCTCTCCACGGGGTTGAGACCCAACAGCCTCATGCCGTTGTTAAGGACTTGCCTGGCAGCAGAGTACAGAGCCAAGCGGGTGATGTTGACCTCCTTGGGGATGAGGGTCTCACCCTCGCGGGCGTTGTTGATGACGACGAGGTGGTCGTATGAACTTGAGACCGCGTGGGACACTGTTGGACGACTGGTTAGCATCGGTATTTCGGGAAATATATGGGCATTGCGCGAAATTGTGCAGACATCAAGGCAGGGATCTGGAGCAAGTAGAAGGGAATACGTACTCTTGAATAGGTAGGTCAGAATGGTGGCAGGCTCTTGCGTCTTGACGGTGTTGATGAAGACGTCTGGCCAGCTTGCGAGCTGTTTGATGAGTGCCACAGCGTGAGGTTCTGTGAGTGCGGAGAAGTCGACAGTGGACTACCGTTCACGTTAGCTTTCCTGTATTGAAAATATAGTCGTCAGTGTACACCTACGAGGTCGGCAGGAATCTCCGTCGGGATCTTAGCGGCAGCCAATTCGGCGTTGCGAATGATGGAGCACAGGCGAGCATGGGCGTCTTGGAGATTGTCAGTTGATTACGTATCCAAGGAACCTTTGCCGTTACTTACATTGGAGATAGGGACCTGTGTCACCCTCGAAAGATGTCATTCGTTTCATGTCGACTGTGAGTGGTCAGTAAATGATGCTCCTCAGATCAAAAGTGACATAAGTTGTTCATACAGTCATAGTTGTTGATCCTGGTTCTAGTTAGCACTTTCCCTTGTAATATTCAGATCGTGTACGAACCTCTTGCCCTTCATGTCCTGGACCATGACGGCAGAGATACCAAGGGTATCTGCAGTCTTCTCTGGGTCTTCAACCTGGGCGTACTTCTTCTCGTTTGCCTTCATGACATCGTGCATCACCTCTTGCACATCACTGGAAGAGATTAGTCGATGTTTTTGTACAAAATATCATCGGTCTTACCGAAGAATGTCATCCAAGAACTTAGCTGTGCCCTTGCGGGTGCTCATTCCTAGCCAAGTCAGTATCTTAAAGTTACGGGCATGATAGCAGATATCCTACCCTTCACCATTCCGAAGTTGATGTGCTGGCACTTGTCTGAGACGTCCTTGCGTCCTGTTCTAGCGGTTAGCTTCCTGTTTTTTACATCTAGTAATGTCGGGCCTTACCCATGGCCTCCTCAATCTTGAAAAGCTGTGCAAGATGAAGATCTTGTTGCGAGGCGACGACGTAAATCATTTTGCTTTTGACAAGTCAGCTAGTTACACTATGTTTTAAAGAGTTTAAAACATACTCAAAGTGGTATTGGTCCATACGTTCGAAGGCAGCACCGATATCTCGAGTGAGGTAGAGCCTACAGCGCTTGTTAATATAATTTAGAACCGATCTGCCTATAGGCTAAACTTACGAAGTTCCGTCCTTCTTCTTGACCTAAATCGCGAATTGAGTCAGCTCAGCTGAACAAGCATAGAATGATGATGATCTGGCCCTGAACTTACAATCGCTTTTCCGAGCTTCTTTGAGTACTTGGTCAGATCTACGATGACAGCACCCTCTGAGTCCTCGGAAACACCCTTCTCCTGCATAATCCTGCCAGCCTCCTCCATGGACTCATCCTTGACCTGAGATTCACCAGAGTAGACGTCATATCGGATGTTCAAACGAGCATAGACCTGCTTGTACTTCTCGATGGAGAGGTCTCGGAAACGCTTCCAAATGTCGAGAGCCTTCTGCTCACCGTCAACCATGCGCTTGAAGTAGTCACGGGCTTGCTGATCAACACCATGCTCCTGAATCTGCTTAATCTTGGCCTCGAGTTCGCTGTTGTCTTGACCTTCTTGCTGCTTGATCTTCTCAGTCAATGCCTTGACCTCGTCCTCTTCGTCCCTGGAGATCTGGGAGATCTTGACGTATACGTCTGCAAATTATTAGCAAATATAACCAATCAAAACATTCCAGTCATCCGGAACCATATTTCTACAGTGATTTCGATGGTGACATACCGTACAGATGGCCAATGGGGTTGTTTTCCAATTCTTTCTCGGATCCGAATTTATCAAAGCCCACAGCCAAAACACCATACTGCTTTCCCCAATCACCCAAGTAGTTCATGCGGATAACATCCCATCCAGCGCCCTCGTACAAGTTCGCAAGGAAACCACCAATGATGGTACTTCGGAGATGGCCAGCGTGGAATGGCTTAGCGATGTTGGGAGACGAGAACTCGACAATCATCCTCTTTTGCCCGTCCTCAGGCTTTGCGGGGTCCTTGAGGCCGAAGTAGTTATTGAATCCGTAGGACTCGCCGGCACGGAGGATCTGCGGGAGGACGAGTTTGGTCAAGGCTTCGGGCTTGAAGAAGAAACCAACGAAGGTGCCGTTGACAACAGGCTTCTCTACGAGAGGCGATTCGGGGAAGTTGTCACCGATTTCCTTCGCAAAGTCTTGCGGTTTCTTGCTCTTCTGCCTCAGAGCTGGGACTGCCAATTGCAGATCACCATTCTCGGGTTTTGCGGTCCATGCCAGAGTCGGATATATGATTGCCTTGTCTATTCCTGTCTGTTGCGCCAACAGGTCTGTAATATGCGAGCGGTAGATGTCGAATGGGTTCAATTCGGGGTAGGTATTGGGTTGCTTAGGTACGTCGTTCAGTCCCACCTTGCTGAGGACGTTCGCGATCTCGTCGATCGAAAGAGCCTTGCTCGTCGCCATGGTGTCGTTTGGTCTAAAGTGCAAGGAGTCGCGGCGGGCTGATGGGGTATGGAATCGCTGAATCGAACCCTTTGAAGTGGAATACGGACGTTTCGAGTTGGTGAAATGTAGGATGTAATCTCTTTTTGTGCTGGAGTAGAGTGTCCTCTGTGGCGAGGAGGAACCACGGTAGGGTGGTCTAGGAATCCGAGGATACGGGATGTGAGTCAAAGAAGTATGAGTGGTCGCCAGCGGCCGAACCAAAGAGAGATATGAAGAATTGAAAGGGTAGAAAAAGGTAGAGAGTGCGCGCTGCATGCAGGAGATAAATTGAGAACTTAGTCACACACACACACTCACCAGTTGGAAGTATAGTTAGTGGGGTAGCTAGGCAAGGGAAGAATCGCACTGCAAACTGTCACGCTAATCCAAAAATTTCGGAGGGGCACGAATTTACTATGAGAGAATGCGAGGGTCGTCGTCGGCGCTCGGAGGTACTGGCCCCGACCGCTCCCTATCTATCATCCCAACTGTGTAACTTCAATCACGATAGGGAGCAGGTCATTCTCCCGTTGAAAGGCAGGGCTGGAGTGCTGTTGACAGCATGCAATCGGAGATCGAAGTAGCCGTCACCAGTGCAATAGTGCAGGCATATCATGTGACATGTAGCCGCTGGAACGACTTATAGGTAGGCGTAGTCAAGATGGAAGATATAACGTTCCGCCAAGTTCAACGGTATGGAAGTTGAGCATAGCTGTAGGAACTGCAGCTGAAACCGAGTTGCAACCAACCAAGGAATCAATTGGAAGACGGTGAGGCTCTGTATCTGCTTCCTCAAATTCTTTTCCACCATGAGAAAGACCGTTAAAATCGCAACCGAACCAAAGGTCATCATTGCATAGCTTTGCCAAAGGCGGTTATGGCGCAGCTACATGTAGTAGACAGCTGTGTGGGTAAGGCACAGTAGCTGTGGTTACAGCGCAGCTGCATATAGTAGATGCAGCGTTGGAACGGTCTTTATATTAAAGGCTGACCGGCTAGATAGCTAGGGGGCTAGAAAGCTGGGCGGTTGAGGCACAGCATGTCAACAAAGTGTGAGACGGAGGCTCAATCATCATACAGTCGTTGCAAATACTGAAAATGGCGACACTCGAACAACACTCCGTCCTCAATCAACGAAGAATTCTCATAACCGGTGGTAGCGGCGGTCTCGCTAGCCAGATCCTACAGCTCTTCTCGCAGCGTGGCTGCGAATACCTACACTCTGTGGATCTCCGCCAGCCTTCTCATCGCCTTGACGGTATTACGTATCATCAAGCAGACCTGACCGATCCCAATTCGATGCACCAAGTCTTCCAAGAAGTACGACCCAATATGATAATTCATACCGCTAGTCCTAAATTCGATGCCCCGAAACATATCATGTACAAAGTCAACGTGGAGGGTACCAAGACCTTGATCCAAACCGCGAAAAAACATGGGGCCCTATTCTTTGTATACACGAGCTCTGCGAGCGTTATCAGTGATGCTAAGGCTGATCTGAAGAATGCCGACGAGACCTTCCCTGTGATACTTGGTGACCAGCAGCCGGAATTCTACGTGTCTACAAAGGCCCTCGCGGAGACATATGTCCTATCACAAAACACACGATCGCAAGATGGCTCCTCGCATTTCCTGGCTTGCGCGATCCGGCCCTCTGGCATCTTTGGTGTCGGCGATCTTGTTGTGCTTCCTGGGATTTTGGACGCTTTTTTTCGTGGCCAGACAAAGGTACAGATCGGCGACAACGGCAATCTATTCGACTTCACCGAGAATAAAAACGTAGCTCACGCGCATTACCTTGCCGCCGCGGCGCTTGCCAGGTGCGAGGAGAACCCGCCTTTAGATGATGTGAGGGTAGATGGGGAAGCGTTCCTTGTCACCAATGACGAACCTCGATATTTCTGGGACTTTACGCGGACAGTTTGGAGATACGCTGGAGACAAAACGCGGCCGAATGAAGTATGGGTGATCACTAGATCATGGGCGTTGCTGCTGGCAGGATTGCTGGAGTGGGTGTTCTGGATATTCAGATTGGGCGAACCACCTCTAACGAAGACGAAAGTTCGACTTAGCTGCATGACGAGATATTTTTGTATTGATAAGGCGAAGAACAGACTTGGGTACAAACCCTTAGTTGGTCTCGAGGAGGGATTGAGGCAAGGGGTAGAGGACTGTATGAGACGGCGGAACGCAGAGCAGAGTGCTCATGTAAACACGAACGGTGTGAAACAGAAGAAACAGTGATCTTGATTGGAGTGGGAAACACGGTAGATGTAGGTATAATGTGCTATATCACCGAGCGAGTCACCTTAGCGGTTCAATATTGCTATGTTAGAATCACATGTTGACCAAGGCCTCAATATTGAGGAGGGTAGGGGAGATAGAGGAGAAGCTATATAGTCTAACTTACCTAGCTATCCTTCTTAACTTATCCTTATTTAATATACCTCACCTAAATTTCATGTTTGGCGACATTGTATTGGAATATTGACAATAAGAAAAAACGAGATGAATTTTATAAAAGTTTATTGGAGCCCTAGGAAGTCTGGATCCAACAGATGACAGAAGAAGGTCTGTGTTCCATCTTGCTATGGATGGGCAATCAAAGTCGCGAGACTCATTGTAGGTACAAGAGTACGGGTTCGATAAAGTGCAAAGTACAACCAGATTGGGCGGGACCTCCATGGATGTGTTTAGGACTAAACCGATTACGTTAAGACAAGATCGATGCAGCTGAACTGGAAAACAAGTTCTTCTCAATGTGGATTCTTAAGACCACTTAGTGTGGGCAAATTGGCATGCAGAACTGCTGTTCTGTCAAACTCCAATGGTCAAGGTCAGTCATTAGTAGGATCTAATATAGAACTAATCTTGAAAACGGATGTGAAGCGATCTGTGCCGACGCCATTCGCGTAACAGTTCAATGATTGATAAGTATCTACAAGCCCTACCAGCCACGAGCGTTGATGGCCGCAAATCAGTTCCAAACCTGTTGATCCGCTTGGGCGGAGCTGAGTGTGCTGCTGTCTCACTTATGACGCGATGAGTAGACCAGGCGCCTGGGTTTCCGAAATCGTTTGGTGCCGAACAATCTTTGTAAACCGCTGTTTGCTCAACGTTACGCAGGCCTCGCGACACCAATGGCTTAGAAACATAGTCATCAAGCATTGATATATACCGAAGGGAGAGTAGCCAGGTCGTCCCAATACCATGGTTCGGGGATTCGTCGCCGTCGTTGTTACGAGGTGGCCAGGTGCGAGTCTCTCTGTAATCGTGCTCTGCGCTCATTATTATAATTTGTCAGCCCTCGCAGGAAGCCTTCCTTGGCGACAAGAATAGAATTGAGTTTACGATTTACCGATGTGGTTGTAGGCGATCATCATGATTCTAGTCAGCTCAGAGGATGTTGCATGAGGGTTGCTAGTCAAATTGATAGACATGCAGATAGTTGCTACGTCTACTCGTTCGTTAATAACGCCGAGGCAGGAAGAACTGGTTCCGGCTCCTATGGCTGTGGATCGATTGCAAAAGGTGGACATTGACGGTGTCTATTGGGGTTAACATCCCACTCACCGGTGGACTGAAGGCGATCGACCTGCATGCTAGACTTGATTTAGTAGGGACGAGAGGTTTAGCCAATTATCCGAGAGCACAAATACAGACAGGAGCAGCAACCAATCCAGGGTGTTGTGCGTCTGATTGAATTGCTTTTCAGTCTTGAATCCTGCAGGTGACTGGAAACGTTGGTATACATGGATGCAACGGGAACGAGCGGCCGATCGAAAGCACGTAGATTCCCACCATCCAGACCGCCCTCTCTCGAATGCACAAGGTCAGTCGAGAACCAAGTTGTCGGTATCGCCCCAGGTCATTGATGGCCCCAAAGAAATGGTCATCGGGTTGTGCGCCGGTTCCGCAGGGCACGGACGCGGGTGTGAATAGCTACCATGGGTCGATACATATTGCAGTTGAGACGCAATGAGACGCAGAAACAAGTAAAAATATGGCGTGCGGCAGCGCAACTCTCCCGTATTCCCTTTTAAGCACAAACGTGTCTCCGTAGACGGCACCGGACCAAATTTTACCAACTTGCGAGAGCAGGATGCAAGAGAGATCCTTGACGGCAATAGAAGATTCATGTGCCTTCTTGATCGCACCAAAAGCGAGCCTCTCCAGCCATAGACGATCTCTGCGGTCCGTTCCCTCTAGTACGGCAGGGGTCGAGGCAGGATCTGGGTTCATGGAATGGTTGAAAGGGCGGGGAAGAGAGCTCGAGTAGCGTGATGTTTGTCCACATGGAGGTAGAAATTGGGGAAATGTGACACATGTCCAACCCTGGAGATTGATTGAATCGACCACACTTGCATCAGCAATATGGAGCCAAAGATGTGGCGAATGATATAACTGTTAACGCTACCGGCCATGATCCGGCTGACTGGCGGAGTTCAAATGCTGCTGCATCTGGCACGGATACATTTTTTATGATGGTAGCGGTCGCAGTGGGTTGCCCACGGTAGACGGGAGATTCAAGTTACAGTCTAAGGGGTTATATTTCTTTTCTCAAGAGTTGGACCGAAAAAAGTAGGGCGTCTGTCAGTCTGGGAAATGGCCGCATCATTGCGCGGGCTGTCATGGGGTGCATACAACGGCTGTTACGGAGAAGTTCGGTGACCGCCGAGCTGTGACGATGAGATATGGATAAGACTACGATCAGGCTGTACTTGATGCAGACGGAAAAATAACTGTTGATGGCGCCGCCAACCACGGAGCATGGGTGATGTGACAGGGCAATTTGCTTTTTGTTGGAAGTGGGTGGGTTTGGCTTTCGAAACCAATGAGACCCCATTCCGAATAGGACCTCACGAGTCGCACAAACAAGACTGCTGGAGTACGAGACCTGACGGCTGGTATTGGTGGCAACATGAATGAGGCGGGCCCACTGCGATTATGAACTGCTACCGAGATGATGGCCCGAAGCATTGGTGCAAAGCTGTTCTCATCGGATCTGCGATCGTGCACCTGCATACGCCACGAGTCCATGAGATCGATTGGGGCGATTGGAAAAGGAAAGCTAAGGCGCCACGCTTCGTATGGAAATGTTCCTTTTCCTGCGGCCGAGGACGACGTGCGATGCCTGCCACCAGGAACAGACCTCCAGGAGGCTTGCTTTTGATCCACCACGGACAGCAGAATGGAGCAAGGCAGGCATACCAATGGATAGAATGCGTCAAGTACCAATGGCGGAAGCGGGAGCCCCGTCGCTGGACGCTGCAACTGTTACCAGGAGAGGCAAGAGGATTTGTACTCTGCAGCATAGAGAGAGGGCGTATAAATGGGCGGAGAGCCATCTCCACGACCGACATCGAGACTGCATGAAGCAAATTGCAGCCCAAGGCTAAAAAAGAAGCATTGGCTGCGCTCTCCGTCCGACTGAGACAATACTCACGATTTTTCTTCTCTTTTCTCACAGCGATCCAACGAAATTCCGAGGCGCGACCCCTTCTCTATTAGGTGTACGACCTGACGAGTAGCTTGAGCGCATTGGTTGGCCGCTTCTGAAAGGTACGTCGGATGAGCTCGGGATGCCTATAGCAGGACTACATGAACGAGCACACGAGAAGCGATGAGTAGATTCGAGATCATGGATAGGGCGTTGGCTTTCATGCCGCCGTCATGGGCCAGCCTGGTCGTTCCTGGGAATTTCTTGGGGCAGACTTGAATTGATCTGACCATGTGTATGATATGGGGAGGTGTAGGATTGTAGGCTTAAAGTCAAAAGGAAAAGCATAGCTAATATATCGATGGTGGTATAGGACCTCAATCCGAACCGACCGCGGGTTGCAGAACCGGACGCACCACCCGAGCCAGCATCTGGTACTTCCTGTGTAGTTCTCACTGCCGAGAAGAAGGACACCACTCTGCCGGTACATTCAGCTCCGGCCGTTAACTCGTTGCTTGCAGCTTGTTGCTTGTAGCTTGCATCGCATCACATCGCACCGCATTGCATCATAGCGTTGTGATCCGACCACATCCTACCACTGCATCCACGTTCATCAATTCATTCACTGTTGGACGGACGTACGGAACTGCCTGGTGGAACAGCATTTTGTCCCCATACCTGAGGACAAAGTTTGAATTGGGCGTCTGGGCCAATTATCTCCATTGACCTTGGGGCAGCATTTCCCCTGAGGCAGCCGGAAGCGGGATTGAGACCCAGGCCGAAATAATCACGATCCAATATCAGCGAAATCGCATTGGTACATCGGAATTACGCAACCGCGGGTTCAGAGATTGGGTGTTAGCAAGATTGGCAAAGTGACGGATTGCCAAATCGGAGAGAGAGCGGCACCCATCATCACCAATTGGCGAGGTGTAGGTGTACGACGCAACCCAAGGTGAGCGGCTTCAATTTCGCTTCAATGGCTTTTCTCGGTCATTTTATTATTCACCATCCCTGCTATCCACATGGCGCTCTGGGTTCGTTGCGATGCATTCGCACGCAGGGGCCTTGTCAATGCCTCGCCCATGTCGTCGATGCAACACCGCATGCTCCAACTCGCACACCACCCACACAATGTTCATTCCGTCTCCCACTTGTCTTTCTCCAAACCCGTTCCCATAGCACATGCACACACATGACATCTCAGCCTTATCTCCAACGTCCTCCTATTTCGTCCGCGCTATGTTCTGCCCTCCACGCCGTTCTGTACAGACGGAAGCCTCCCGTCAATTAGCCTATTTCCCTGCATTGACAGGCTCCAATCAACTGCTCCTACAATGATCCTCGCGTCACAACATAGGCCGTCTTGTGGGGCAGATGCCGACCCGTTGGAGGTTTTCTGACCTCACCTCACCACCTATATCGTTCTTCCATATCACGGCGCCTAGTGACTTTACATCACAAGAGCCCATGATAAGATTAAAGGGCCTATATACTGGACTTTGCATATTCTTCGACTGATGTTCGGGTACCGTCATCACCTGCTTTCTATGGCTGGCAATGACATGCGAGCCGTAGCAGAGCTATGGTGACAGGCCTGACTCGTGGCTTGAGCTCAATTTCCTATAATTCTGCTCTAACGGCCTTCGATCCAGTAGCCTCATGGCCTGGAGTCTACATTAGAAGCCTGTGTTGCGCGCATTTCTTCTGTTTTGGACATGTTTTCCTGCATTCCTTTTGCCTGATATTTTACTTTTCCATGTTTACCTTCCACCGACTCGGCATAACGACCTCAGCTCAGCATTATCTATCGGCAATCTTTTTGAAACTTCACTAAAGTGTACTTTAGGTTTTATCCTTCATCAGATGCAAAGGGGCCGAGGACGAGGACGAGGTAGAAATCCCAATCCTTCCCGGAGTACAAGTTCGACCAGAGGAAGCAGATCCACTTCTCGACATACCACCTCCCGCGCACGCAGTCGAGCATTGAATCTAAGACGTTCAGAAAGACTTGCACAGCTTCTCAACGGCGATTCCGAACCACCAGCTATCAACGGTGCTAACGGTATTATGGCTGATGTTGCAAGACCACGGGCGCTAGGGAACAGGACCGTACGAGCACGACACCACAGCAGCCGCACCCCAGGACGATCGAGATCAGGCCATCATTCAGCCTCTCCAGAGGACATCAATTACGCTATGGATGTTATCTTACAGCCCCCTCCGACGGCCCGCGCCGGACTTCCACTGGGTGGCAATATCATTGTTCGCTTGCGCACTCTCAATGCCGATATTGAAGACGCTCTTGCGGATTCGACCAATCTTGTCGCGGTTGCCACTTTGATTCCTGGACCCAACTCAACAGGCTCGACGGACCCAGTGGTTCTCAACACATTGCTCGCAGGACGCCGTTTCGACTCAATCCACCCATTCTCAGACGACGAAGCAGACGGCCTGATCGGCTCTATGGAAATGAACAACGATCCCCGTGGCGTCGGCTATATGTACTTTCCCGAACTCACCATTCGCCAAGCGGGCACATATCGGATTCGTATCACATTAATACGCATTCGCAACTCGAGTTCCGATCCACCGGTCGCATCCGCTGCTGGAGGGGCAAGCGTTCAGATCGTAGACAGCAACCCAATCCTCGTTCAGAGCACTGGGTCCTCGTCTAACTTGGCTGCCTACAACGGTAAGTACATGGTTGCCACTTACTAGTATATACATTTCGGTTCCCTGATATTTTCTTGTGCCATGTATAGGGGATGATGATGATGACGAAGACGATGGTGGATGGCTAGATGTTCTACGATCACTCCAGACTCGGCGAAGGTCGCCCTAAGGGGACAAAGTACAAAACTTTTCGGCTCTCTTACAACATCTTTATCTCCAATTTTATCGAACGGGTTAGGGAAGCAGACGTTATTCGCGATATCTTAAGCAGTATGTACGACCAGTGTTGGGAGAGATCTTGGCCGGGTTTTCTTATTGTATCTTTCACACTTTCATTTCAATCTGTTTGGTCCTGGTGCTTTTGTACGAATGGTCGAAGGGAAAGGGGTCATATGCAGCGTGCAACATAACAACACGATCGAACATTCAGCATAGGTTTACGGCGGGTATTTAGACGGATATTGGTACTGATTGGGTTTCATTTCATTTTTATTTTGTCGAAAATATCGTTCCTCAGGTATTCTTCCCACAATAGCGAAGGTACCATATGAAGAATTTCCCCCATCATCTACCAACGGCTCCGTGCCCCCTTGTTCCTTCTATGTGATCTAACATACGTCTAAATGTGATCCCCGCGCCCCCCCTAACAAAGCACGCACACACCATTTGGGCACCAACAACGCCTTATCTATGAACCGAGCCAAGGTCTTCAATTCAGATGGAAGACGTTTAAGAAGCCCAATCCCAGCACGCTGTCATATCGACACGGCAACCCGGGCGTTCCTGCGTCAACGCGCAAGCAGCATACTACCCTGCAGCAGATCCGCTTAACGAAACCGCGATTATGACGAAAGTGACCATGGCTCTTCCCCCAACATATTCGTATCCTTGTCGGTTGTCGTTATGATGACCGTGATATGGACAGTGTATCCTAGTCATGTAAGTTGACATATCGTTGCGCTTCCATACATCCGTGGTTGAATTATTTAGAAAGTATACTACAGAGTGTATAAAGGAGATGTGATTGCTCAAATTTTAAGACGAGGTGATAATTTCTTGGGGTGTTGAAATGCCGAATGCTTGGGAGGGAGGGGAGTTGTGGCGTTTGAGCTGGGAAGAACCAAAGTTTTGATACCAAGTATGCATTTTCAAACCGATTGTGTGGCGTAAATTCCTTAGCTTGGATGCTATCAAGGTGGAGGGTCTTGAAATTCAGCTGGGATAAGAAGATTCATAACGTCTGCTACTCGACGTTCGCGGGCGAGTAGGATGCAAGTACGGTGGCGTTCGATGATGCATATTGAGCTTCAAGCCTGCTTCCTTATCATGATCACTTAATAGAGAAATTCTGAACATGTAATAGCAGTCTCGTGGTTTTCATTCTCTGCAGTGGGGGTTTGATCGTTCCTATTTACAAGACCTCCCAAGTTTGCATCGTGAGCCAAAGCAACAATCAGATGAGAAAAGACAAAAGGAAGGCTTCCATGGAGCTATGCACTGCGGCTTTTCAATATTCCCCTAGAACAGCACTAAGTCCATCACAGAACCACTCTAGTTACCGATGTCGAGCTCGGTGCTGGGCTTTCCAATGCCGATGGTGTCACCACCGTTTCCGGAGCCTCCGCTGCCGGGTGTGCAAGGTCTCCACTGGACGTGGAGCTGTTGGGTGAAAGCGACGGTTGCATCGTCGTTGGAGAGTTCTCCGTAGGCGCTGGAGTTCCTGGAGGTCAAGGCAAGGCGGTTGTTGATGTTGAGAAGACCGGTGGTTCCGCAAGGGGACCAGATGATAGCAGTGGTCTCAACCTTATCCTGCTTGGTGTAGACAAGACCATTGGCGAGGGCACCTCCTCCGGTGGCGGTCATGCGGGTTGTCGACTGGAGCTTTTGTTAGCTTGGAACTTATGACGATTCTAGGATGGACAACTTACTGTCTTGCCGGCATCTTGGGAGAAGAAGTAGGTGGTGATGAAGTTGCCAGTGACACCCTCATCCAGACGGGCCCAACCGTGGTAGGTGGCATCGACAACAGCATACTGGAATCCACCAGGGTACTTGAGGTTCAAGTGAAGCTGGCAGTTCTTGGAGTGATCGGCGGGCTTGGTGCCAGGGCCAATGTAGGTTTGGAACTGGTCAAAACCGTAGGTGATGACTGTCTTATCGGGAGAGGTGCTGGTAGAGACTGAACCCTGAGGGCAGCCATTGCCAGAGTAGGCACTGTCAATGATAGTGATCAACTCCGGGTTTGGGGCACTGCCGGACTGGGGCACCGGGGTGGCGGCAGCAAGGACCGGGAGGACGAGAGCGGCGAACTTGGAATGCATTTTGAATGATGGTTTGATTGGAGATGCAATTGAGATTGTGCGAAACGAGGCACTGGGTATTTTATGTGTTGCGTGTAAAGTGGAAGAGATGAAGAAGACTGCTGATCGATGATGATCCTCAAGGGAGGGAGAGTTTGACCATCTTTATACATCGTGATACGGCTGTTCTTAGTACCCCAGAATCATGACTTCTTGGTAGGCTTCAATCTCGACGAGCCCGGATCCTTCAAATCTGACAATGTGTATCTTGCCACTTCACCCGCCCGTCATAGCAGGGACGAATTATCACAGCTGTGCAAATCCGGTTAGTAGGAATCCAAAATTAGTTCCCATATATCCTAGTAGCTTTATGAGCTGGTTCTCGGTGGTTCTCAACGGCTACGGTATTTTCAAATCCGGCAGGACTGGCATATGGCCGCATGTTGTAGATTAGATGTTATGGCCTAGGTTGAGCTTTGTCGAGGCCCTGGGCAAACAATTGAAACAAGGAATACGAGGACTCCAAGACCCAGACGTCAACAAAGGAATTGAATATGGCCGACCCGAACGTTGATCACACCAGGTACCTGAAATTGACAGCAGAATGTATTGACAGACTAAGAGAAATATAGTGCAAATACGAAAAGCTTCGATGGTGAGGTTAAATTGATCGCCTCCACTCAAGTCTTCTACTCTCATTCTAGTCCCCCAAACCCTAGCCAGGAAGCCAAAAATAACAGTCTGGGCGAGGACGATATATTACGGTACCGAATTTGAAGTATATTGAGAGTCAGGTGACCAGTGGCAAAATGTCAATAAAATGTGTAAAGGATTACAACCAGATGTGACTGAGCGCCTGATGAATTTTCCGACACCCGGGATCGGCGTTGCTTACAGAACAGAGTCTCGACCTGCATTTGCTGTAAATTACTACTGTGCAATTTTATGGTACTTGGCAGCCGTTGCGTTGATTACCATCGACTTTGGATAAAGTGTAGTATGCGATCTAAGGGTGAGACGCAGGCTCGCTACATCCGATATGTCGACCGGGGGCAATTAAGTCCTGACCACCAATGTGCCCTTGCTTGTCATATCCTGCAGAACACGGCTGAGTATAAACGAACGACACATATCATTAACGTTACTGTCGACTTTTCAATTTCTACCCATATGAAAGCTTCATTTACGCTGCCCGCAAATATCTGTTCTTTCGCCTCAGTCCTGGGACGACTTGAAGTCTGAACCAATCTGGGTAATCCGCAATACGGTGTCAATGTCATCCAAATCAAGTGCACGGTCTTGACCGCTGGCGAGCAACTGAGCTGTTTTGATCACATTCTTAATCTCGCGTCCATTCATCTTTCGGTGAGAGAGGAAGTCCAGATCGGACGGATCTAGGCCAACACTACCGGGAGGCAAGAGTCCAACCAGATTGTGCCAGATACGCAGGCGGGCCGTTCGGTCGAGTTCAGGGTAGGATATCTTGAGATGAATACGTGATTCCAAAGCCTTGTCGAGAACTTCAACTCGGTTCGTTGTGAGGAAGAGTACTCCTCGGTAATACTCCAGCATACGAAGGAAGACTGTGACGGATCAATACTTCAATTCCCTCTTTCAATGAGTGTTAGAAGGCCAACTTACTGGATACGAGCTTGTTGCGTTCTAGACTCTCGATGGTACGTTGTTCGAGGAAGACTTCGGTTTCATCGAGAAGTAGGATAGCTTTCCATTTCGTGACCATCTCAAGGATGTCACCTAGCTGTGTCTCTACCGTTTCACTATCAACTCCCTGGTACCATTAGCATTAAGTTTTGTCTGCGGTCGTTGCAGTCGCCTACCAGCTGGGCGGCACTCATAGAGTAAAGTGGAACCCGCATATATTCAGCGACTAAACATAGCATCACGTTAGCCCGCCCTTTCGTTTACCAGGTATCATTCCAATTTGTTATTATTTTCGGATTACTCACCTGACTCCGCAGTCAACGTCTTTCCGACACCTGGCTCTCCCAGAAGAAGGATCGTAATGCCCTGTCCTATAAGTCGGGTTAGTACGCTCTCTGGCATGCAGCGTACGCGATATAATACCTTTTCCTTCAATCACGTCGTCCATGACTGTTTCACAAGCATTTTGTGACCTTGTGAACGAGAGTATGAGGTTCTTGTAGCCCTCGGGCAGGACGAGGCTGTCGAAAGCACGGTCGTCCCAGACAATCTCATGCACATCCTTGACCTTGAACTTGGCTGCAGAGAATATCAGCAATACTTCTTTCAGAGTAGCTAGAGCTGGATGAGTGGCTTACCCCAGTTCTTGGTTTTCAGGGAATAGCCTTTCACGATTGGCGAGCAAATCGGATGCAAATCCTCGGAGAGGACCTTGGGTTCTAAATCAAGGAACTCGTAAGTACGTTGTTGAGGTTTACTTCGGCCCCTGCGTTTAGAGCGCTTACCCTGAGCGCCCGTTTGTGGTGGACCCATTGAACCGGGGTGCATAGGCATAGGCATAGGCGGTGGCGGTGGATGATGCATGGGGAACCCTGGTGGAGGAGGTGGAGGCGGAGGTGGCAAGAATTGGTTAGCCATGTGAACTGGCTCAAGCTCTGAAGGTAGGTTTGGAGCGAAGTTAATAGAGCCCAGAGGCTCGAGTGGCGGGCACTCCAAAAGATTGTAACGGCAATACATCTCAGCGTGGATGATGATTCGCCCATCGACCTGCATTTTTGTCAGATGATTCTGGTTGGTAGGCTTTGTTAGCACTACTAACTGTACGCTGTCTCGCAGGAATTGTGCGATTGCCAAAGACCATTGAAGCGAAGTGAGCAGTTCCATTGTATTTCTTGTAGTGGTAGCCTTGCAATTGTTCGAACTTTTTGCCTCGTGCTGCAAGTCTGCTCTCAATGGCAGCCGAGTCGCTATGGAACTGTATTGGGTAGGCTTCAAGGTCGGTTATTGGTTTGGTTCCTTCGAATGCTTGAATGGTAAATGTATACGAGGCATATCCGAAGTTGAATCCATCCTAAGTAGTTCGATTACGTTGGACGCCGTAATGACGAGGCAATGATTGAAGACTTACCCAATCAATATATTTGGCATGCAAGCACAGGCCAGCAGACTGCGGCATAGAGGTCTTGAGGCGCATCATCATTTGTTCGCCATCAACCTGACAAAGAATGAAATCACCCGGCTTGAACAGCGTCCAGAGGTGTTTGTAGGTAATGACACCGTGGGAGAGGAGATCTTGATAAGTGCTCACTGTCTCATCGAGCTCGCTAGCAAGGACATCATACAAGAGATTGGCGTGAGAACGAGTTTCCTCATCGATTTGTGACTGCACAGACTTCTTGAATTGAGACCATCGATAGAAGAACGGAGCGAAGGGAGTGGTGAATGTAACTTTTTTCAGACCTGCGGTTACTCCCTCATATCCGTCGAAGACTTCCTCGAGCATTGGCTTGAGCAACGGACTCTGAACCACGATGGTGTGGACTATCATTGCTTTGCCCGAGACACCATGGCTTCGCTTGTTTCGTACAATGAGAGCGTAACGCTGAACGGCGTCGGTCTCTTCGGGGTTAGGCGTCACATCTTCGGGGTACTCTTCGACTTTAAAAGAACGTGTCAGTCGTATTCTATCGAGACTACATATCGCATAACCTACTCCAATTTACACAACACTAGATCAGAGGTCGTCAGCAGTGTTTCTTGAATTATGATTCCAATCATCGAGCAAGTTATGCTGGAATAGAATGGGTGGACTCCATTCCCACAATTTCATCCATCTTTGTAACTTACAGTGCATTTTCTTTCTCCCTCCCAAAGGTTCTTTACGGCACATGTCATGCCCGTATTGGGTAGTTCTTTCTTGGTGTCCTTTTGCGCCAAGGGCAACTCGGTCACAGCATCTATGCTTGGCTCTTGGTGATCTGAAGAAGAGCTTGAGATGCTCTTAACATCGTAATCCGTTGGAGCTACAGAGGGTGCCATTTTGCAAGGCTCACAAGGCTGAGATTATGGAGAACTGAAAACCTTCGATAGTTGTATGAACTGCCGTCCGTGGCATGGCTTCTTTTATCATTGTTTGCTTTCTAGGCAACAAGGCAAGTGCTGACTCGGCTGTATCACATTCATTGGATCCGATAACGTTGTACGCAAAAGCACGCAGATATCGTGCATGACGAGCTCAATGATTGGGAGAGGTAACAAGGCATCCTCTGCCAGCTCACCGGTGCTGTGCGGGGTGAGCTACTTCCACCATGACAAACTGTTGAGGACCCATTAAACATATCGGCAAGGTGGTACACGATCTCACCTGCGGCTTTTCGTGATCTGAATCAATGATACCTCGAGCATCACCATCTAGGTAGTTATGGAGAGCTGAAGTGGTGTGAGAGCTTCGTGGCCAGAATCGGACTAGCGGATAGATCAGCACAATGTCAGCTGCGTGCACCATGATAACAGCTCCAGAGAGGTCCTTAACAATGCCACTATATTTGTATTATTCTAGAATTGACGGGAAGATCTTTATGTCAACAAATAAGACTCCATCTCTTTACTACCGATCATAATCCAAAGCGACTCAAAAGGCGCTGGGTGTGAGCTGAAACGGACTTCGAAGGAGGCTTATGCATTGAGACTCGACCCCTCATCTTCGAGTGCAACATTCCAAGCGTGCATACGGAGGTAGATGTACTTTGGACCCGGAGGACCAGGAGTCCACGCCATAAAGGAGCCCAAAGTGCCCCAGAAAGGTAGGAGAGGTGAATGTCGTCGAATACTGTGCCCCACAGGGCCGTTCCCATTCCGGAGAGTACGCCGTCCCCGCACGTTCGAACGCCTGGGGGAGAGGAGTAAAGGGATATTGGGGGGGGGCAGTGTTTTGCTGTATACGGAGTCACGGAGGATGTACCTTGTACATTACATTACATAGTGTGATACTTTGTACTGGAACTTGATCCGTGTAGGGAGGTCGACGTGCCGATGAACTTCCCCGCACTCCTACAGTGCCCTGTCAGCCAATCACAACACATCATCTCCCCAATAACAACCAGAGGATACCCTTTCACCCTTACACTTTGTAAACCCCACAAGTCTCTACGGCAAAACACCCGTGCCCTCCAAGACTCAGCGCGTGACGCAAGGCAAGAAGCGCGGCCGAAAGGTACGCTTCTTTATGTACCTTCTGTCTCGCAAACCGTGGCATCTAGACTACTGTTTGCTCTCTCCAAATCCCAGAGCAACTGTCTCGAATAACCCCCATATACAGCTCGCCACAGCTCGTGACGACCTTGAATCGAGCCAGCAGATGCGGGTTACCGTCTCTCCACTTCGTTCGATCATCTAGGAGTCTAGTCTTGGCCCAGCATGAACTCCTCAAGCTATCTGGTCGGCTGCCGGACGGTCACCTTCAGACCTCAATTATCCACAAGCCGGTCTAACTTGAGGCTCATTGCTTCGGCTCTCACCATTCACTCAGCGCCAGTTCTCGCTCGTCGTGACTTGAGCTCCAAGCGCCACAAGTCGCAACAGCCAACTGCAAGTCCTCGGAGCCTTTGCCGTCCACGACCTCTGTACCTGCAGAAACATGTTCAGGTTACACCACCCACAGAGCTTGTTCGTTTTGCATCCCTTGCTGCAGACCCGCATGACGAGGAGATCCCGACCAGTCCACCCTTCACTGCCGGTCCGTATTCCACGCTGACTGTAGGAATCCCGCGCGAGAGCTTCCCGGGTGAACGCCGCGTGGCCATCACTCCCCAGAATGTCAAGCTACTTCTGAAGAAAGGTTTCTCCCGCATTCTGATCGAGCGAGGTGCTGGCCTAGAGGCCCAATTCACCGACGAGGCCTACGAGCAAGCTGGTGCCAAGACGGTTGATCGCAGGAGCGTTTTCAGCGAGAGTGACATCTTGCTGAAGGTGCGAGCCCTCAGCATCGATGGGCCGGACAGCGAAGTCGATGCCATCCGGGAGGGGGCTACGGTCATTTCGTTCCTTTACCCCGTGCAGAACAAAGCCGTCGTTGATAGACTTTCCGACCGAAAAGCTACTGCATTTGCCATGGATATGGTACCTCGCATTTCTCGCGCTCAGGTTTTTGATGCATTGAGGTGATTATAGTCTCCAGAATCGCTGCAACTTGTGCTAACTCAGAGTCAAGTTCTATGGCGAACATTGCGGGTTACAAAGCTATTTTAGAGGCTTCAAACCATTTCGGACGTTTCCTGACTGGTCAGGTGACTGCTGCAGGAAAGGTAAATTCGCTCTTATACATAGGAAGCTTTCAAAGTGTGGAGCTAATTATGAACAGATTCCTCCCTGCAAAGTGCTTGTCATTGGAGCTGGTGTTGCAGGTTTGAGTGCTATTGCCACGGTAAGACAAAACACCACACATTATGTTGCAATCAAGCTAATTGAATCAGGCTCGCCGTATGGGTGCAATCGTTCGTGGTTTTGATACCCGCTCTGCAGCTCGCGAGCAAGTCCAGTCTCTCGGTGCTGAATTCATTGAAGTTGAGCTTCAGGAAGATGGTTCCGGAACAGGTGGTTACGCGAAAGAGATGTCCAAGGAGTTCATCGAAGCTGAGATGAAACTCTTCCACGAGCAATGCCGCGAAGTTGATATTGTGGTTACTACGGCCCTCATTCCCGGAAAGCCTGCTCCGAAACTCATCACCAAAGCTATGCTCGGCGCCATGAACCCCGGATCTGTCGTCGTTGACCTCGCAGCTGAAGCTGGAGGAAATTGCGAAGCTACAGTTGCCGGGAAGATCAACCGTTACAATGGAGTCACAGTGATTGGTATGTAGATTTTACATAACTTTCCGGATCAACCTAACACGCGTCTAGGCTACACTGATCTCCCATCTCGTCTGCCAACCCAATCTTCGACTTTGTATTCCAACAACGTTACCAAATTCTTGTTTTCCCTCGTTCCTGAAGACAAGAAGGAAAAGTATTACGACGTTGACCTAAAGGACGAGGTTACCCGTGGCTCCATCGTAACATACAATGGAAAAGTCATTCCTCCTGCACCACGACCCGCCCCGCCACCAGCACCAGCTTCGAAGGCACCATCGCCAGCTGATCAAGTCGCCAACATTGTAGCACTGACGCCATGGCAAAGCCAAACTCGTGAGGTTGCAGGCATCACCGCAGGAATGACGACTGCCCTAGCTCTTGGAAAATTCACTGGCCCTTTGTTCATGTCTAACGCCTTCACGTTCGCTCTCGCCAGTCTCATCGGATATCGGGTGGTTTGGGGAGTCGCACCGGCCCTGCATTCGCCTTTGATGAGTGTCACCAATGCCATCTCTGGTATGGTCGGTATCGGTGGCTTCTTCGTCATGGGAGGTGGATATCTCCCCGAAACGATACCCCAGACTCTTGGTGCACTCTCTGTCCTTCTCGCTTTTGTCAATGTATCTGGAGGTTTCGTCATCACCAAGCGCATGCTGGACATGTTCAGACGGCCAGGTGATCCTGCAGAGTTCCCCTGGCTTTATGCCGTTCCAGCTCTATTGTTTGGCGGAGGTTACGTCGCTGCTGCCAGCACTGGCATGGCAGGCCTTGTCCAAGCTGGATACCTAGTCAGTAGTGTTCTCTGCATGACTTCATTGTCAGGACTCGCTTCTCAAGCTACCGCCCGCCGTGGCAATCTCCTCGGAATCCTTGGTGTCTTCTCTGGTATTCTCGCATCGCTACTTGCAGTCGGTTTCCCCACAGACGTACTGGTTCAATTCGGTGGCCTCGCTGCTGCTGGAACGGTCGCTGGACTCGTCATTGGACGCAGAATCACCCCCACGTCTCTCCCTCAGACCGTCGCTGCTTTGCACTCCGTCGTCGGTCTTGCCGCCGTTCTTACCAGTATCGGTAGCGTCATCGGCCACAGCGGCGACGTCTCGACCTTGCATATGGTGAGTGCCTACCTGGGCGTCCTCATTGGAGGTATAACGTTCACTGGAAGTTTGGTCGCGTTCATGAAACTGGCTGGGCGGATGTCCTCCAAGCCTCTCATATTCAAAGGAAGACACGTTCTCAACACCTCCCTGCTCGCAGCCAACGTGGGCACAATGGGATACTTCTTGACGGCGGCCTCGGGCGCACCATTGATAGGCGCGGCCTGCTTGACCGGCAACGCTCTGCTCAGTTTCATAAAGGGATACACGACAACCGCAGCCATTGGAGGCGCAGACATGCCCGTCGTTATCACGGTGCTAAACGCATATTCTGGGTTCGCTCTGGTTGCTGAAGGCTTTATGTTGGACAATTCCCTTTTGACGACCGTCGGAGCACTCATTGGTGTCTCTGGCTCAATCCTGTCGTACATCATGTGCGTGGCAATGAACCGATCCCTCACGAACGTCCTCTTCGGCGGAATAGCGACCACACCGCAGAGTCAAGCCACCAAGATCGAAGGCGAAGTCACCAAGACGACTGCCGAAGAGACGTCCGAGGCGCTCGCGAACGCAGAAAACGTCATCATCGTCGTCGGCTACGGCATGGCAGTCGCGAAAGCACAGTACGCCATCTCAGACTTCGTCAAGTACCTACGCAGCAAGGGCGTCAATGTGCGCTTTGCCATCCACCCAGTCGCGGGACGCATGCCGGGCCAGTGTAACGTGCTGCTGGCCGAGGCGTCGGTCCCCTACGACATCGTGCTCGAGATGGACGAGATTAACGACGACTTCCCGGACACGGACGTCACGCTCGTCATTGGCGCGAACGATACTGTAAATCCGATTGCGATGGAGCCTGGTTCCGCGATCGCGGGTATGCCGGTGTTGCATGCGTGGAAGAGCAAGCACGTCGTGATTATGAAGAGAGGCATGGCTAGTGGGTATGCAGATGTGCCGAACCCAATGTTTTACATGGAGAACACGAAGATGCTTTTCGGCGATGCAAATGATAGTTGCAATGGTATGTCTAGCCTCCCCCTATTTAAATTATATATGCTAATCATTTCACAGCTATTAAACGGGCTCTCGAGGAGAAGAAGTAACGACGGTATGGATAGACGGGCAGCCGACGATGTAGATGGCGTAACACCCGATCTTTTCCTTCCTTTTTTCCCTCATTTTCCCCATCTCTCTTCTCGCTTCACTTGCAGACATCTATATCTGGCGCCTTTTGGGATCGAACAACCAGCACCTACCTACCCATCCCACCAGTCTATATCAGTAAGGCAGAAACCCGCACATATAGCATATAGCGTAGATGCATCGGAATAGACCACCACCGCCGTATATTGCCTTGCTGTGCACATGAAAACCCGCTTTTTGCAGTCATCGTGACGTGATGTTGTGCCACAGCAGCAAGCAGTACGGGATTTCGATCTCATCATGTACCACCTGGCAGACATGCACGACCTTTCGCGTTTGGGGTTTCTGAAGAAATTAAGACAATAGAAACCATGCAGGTCCTAGAAGTCAAAATAAAGAATCCACTACTCCCTCAAGTCCAGCCACCAAGCGGACATTCCAGCGCCGTCGTGGTCGTCGTCTTCATCGGAAGAGAGAGGAAGCACCAACGCATGAACGGCTGAGCAGCAGCGGGCGCTAACCCCAAAGCAGCCAAACGACGTTTGTGGAGTTACGAGTCGCGCACGGACCGGGAAGGAGTGGGGAACGAAACAGGGATGTCCATCTCTGGGTGGACGATGACGTACCCGAACCCGTACGAAAGTGAACCGCGACGTAACATTTTCCAATGTTTGAGGTGGAAGGGGTGGGAACAGGGCTGAAGGATGGAGTGGGGAATAGTGGGAATGAGAGTGCATGATTCCGGAATCTTGGAAATGGATGGGGAAATTAAATCATGTGGAAATCGTAATCCTTTTGGGTCTTTCTTCTCTTATACGTAATGCCTCATACTTCCTACTCATCATACAACAAACAACAATTCTTTGAAGCTCCAACAGAATTCTGTGTCTGAATCGCTTGTAAGTATACTCTTGAGTCGTCGTATAATTGTCATCATGTTCGTCCAAAGGTTCCTCGATGTTCTGGCCAAACTGCCCAACATACCGTTCATCTACCATATTAACTGTCCTACACTGAACCCCAACACTCTACGTATGAGTACGGAGTGTAAAATACTAACTCCTTAGCCATAGATCCTCCCATCCAGAAAAGAACAACCGGCCAACCCAAACATACAACATGTCCTCCTCACAAATCCCAATCCTCTTCACCCTCCCGCCCTCAAACCGCCATGAACTCATCCTCCTGGACACCTCCACGAAACCCACCTTGAAATCCCTAAGTACTATCCTCCCATCCCATCCCCTCACCTTCCTCCTTCTGTCCAACCCCCAAACTAACACACAGCCAAAACAGACAAACAAATCACCACCACGATCTCCACGTCCCCCAACTGCGCCGAATTCATGTCCAAGTACAAAGCCAAGCCCGAAGATGGCGAGGCAGCAGGGGGAGCGGGTGGGAAGGAGACGATACAGGAGTTCAGGGTGCACTGGAGCGAGGCGGGTAGGGACAGGAAGGTATGGCCCGAGTACACGACGCTGACGGAGGGGAACCTGGCGGCTGTGCTTGAGGTGTTGAAGTTGGGCGTTGGGAAGGACGTCCTGGAGATTAAGTTGGGGAAGGGGGAGTGAGAAGTTTTCCTTGAAGGGCTAGTGTATGAGTATGGTTATGCTGGGAGGGTTTCATTTGTATGATTTCGTGTTTTGCTTGATGGGGTCTGGGGATAGTGAGGTCATGGGTAATGATGATGCCATGGATGGAGTGGGGAAGGTCGATAAAATGATAAGAGGAACACATGGATGATCATGTAGTTGCTTGGTTATATTTCTCACTGGAGTTGGTTCGAAAGCAATTGATTGATGATTGATAATTGATTGATTGGACATGACCATTACTTTTCCCTGATTGGAGATTGAGTTGGTTTGCGTGGGCAGAATATGTGCAAGGAGCTTTCTCGTCCAGTCGCCTCTGGAGAACGCATCTTTTGAGAAATGGAGAAGAAAAGAGCCACCGACAGAAAAACTGCGAGATAAACCATGAAGATAACGCAAACCCCATTCACCATTCCCTAGTTGTGCGTCCGGCACAGTCGTATGAGCACGTTATGTGCTCAGTCAGTCGAAAAAGAAAACAGTGGAAGAAGAAAAAGTACAAAGAAAATATTCCCATGTCGATGCCCATACAGGACAGAAAGGCACTGAAGTAATATCTAGTGCGGCCCGAAAGGCGGAGGGTATCCATACCGAAGGGTGACTCCGGTGAAAAATAAAGAACAAGGGGATGATGATGATGAACCTGTCCAACGCCGATTTCCTAGGAGTTACAATGCTGATGCTTATGCTGATTTTCCATGACACACGCGCTCGATGGGCGAGAGAGTCCATGTCTGCTACTTCTCGTTCTGCTCAGCAACCATGTGCTGCCAATGAACGAGCTCACGGCTGAGGTCGTCCATCATCTGCAAGGTATCGAGTTTTCTGAACACATCCAGGTCCTCGTTTGTTTTGTTATCGTCTTCTTTGGAGTGGCCATTCGTGGCTTTGGGCGATTCCACAGCTGGCGCTGGTGAACGCTTCTCGCCAGCCATCTCGACCTGTCTTTGAGCGATGTAATTCTGCATCACACCTGCAGGTCGTCGGATTTCATTCCAAGACAGCTTCTCCAACCTCCAGCCTTTGGACTTTATGGGTTTGCTCGCGGTTGCTCCATCGCTACTGTCATGTCCATTGCTCACGCCATTGGTAGCACTTATCTGTGGCGAATTCGGCGTATCTTGGTTCGGCGCTGGCGAAGCACCATTCGTGGTAGGGGTCGGTGCGTCTCGTGTGTACTGGTTCCGACCCAGCCTGCTCTGTCGCTTCTGAGGTGGTCTTCCCGACTTTCGCTGCACTGGTGGAGGTCGCGTTTCGACGGTCGGGGTCTCTGGAGGTACCGATTCGGATTCTGTCGGTGGTGCGGGTTCTTCAGTAGGTGTAACTTCTGGGATCTCGATATCTGCGCCCGGTTAGATGGCAGTCCTTCACATCACCCTTTCCACAGCATACCATCGGCTTTCCGTCGCTCTGCTCGGCCCTTTCGCCTATTTGCAGCTTCTGCCCTCTCCCGCTCGCGCTCTTTGTCACGAAGCTCCTTCTCACGCTGGCTCCTTGCGGCAGCTCCTCGAGGCTTTTGTTTGGCGATCAGCGGCTTAGACATGTCGTCATCCGATTCGAGTACAGGTGATCCGCTAGGAGATCTCGAGCTTGTCCGTTGCCGTTTGAGTTCAGGCTTCACCCTGCAGAAAATTGGTCAGCACCCGATCTTATGCACTTCGATTCAATTGCAAGATATCAAACATACTCCTCGCTGTCGTCACGGCTCCTCTTCTTTCTGTTGCTACTGCTGTTATCGGACGGGGCTTTTCCGCCTTCGTTCTTGCTTTCTTCCAAAACCTTCCGTAACACCTCGTCTTCATCATAAGCCGCTCGACTGTTCATCGTAGAGCGTCGTTTGCTAAATGACTCAGCGCTTGCACGAGAAATTCTGTCCTTATCTCTAGTGTTCTTGTTCTCCGGTTCTTTCGAGAGGGAGGCTCTCCGCGCATTTCTGCCGTGGTGGGCATCGTAAACGGGGAGGTATCGAGAGTATTTCTGCCTATATAGAATAAACCGGTTAGCTATGGACAGATTTGAGGAGCTGCTAGAGAGCAGCGTCCGGAATTGGTGACGCAGATCTCCTCTCGCCGGTGGTGGCTAGAGAAAAACCACAATCGACAGCTGCGCTCCACCTCATCGGAGCAATATTGAGAGTATGACTGACCCTTTGGAGCTTGTCATGAGTTTGTGTAGATCCTTCCTGCACTCCTCGCAGAAATATTCTTCGGGGCTGGTCGCCTCATCCATGATGCCGACGCAGCCTCCATGCTGCCAGACTTTGCAAATGTCGCATTGGATGAATAGGCCGCCTGCATCATCGTTCTGTACGTCAGAGTCCGCTATGGCGGATGATTGAGCATCTTTGGACTTGCCGGCATCCGATGGTGGACCCGGGTATTCCTGCTGACCACACACGCATCGTGTGATCTCCTCCTCCTCCGCAATCTCTTCGTCGAGTTCGTAGTCGTTCTTCATTGAGCCGTCCTCCTCATTGTCTTGCCCGCGGGTTCGGCGTCGGGTCAGAGGCGGTTCCACCTCGGTGCCGTTGAGCGGCTCGTCGCCCTCCTCGGATGACAGTGAGTGTGGGGTCGACGACTTGTGAGGCGATGACTGCTTCTGGATCGATCTGGTCGCTCGATCGGTGCGCGCGGACGAGACAGAGGACGATGAGGTGCTGGGTGCTGCCGGGACGATTGAAGGCGGCTGGGTGATGCGAGCCCGCGACGAGCGACGCGGCGACATCGAACTAGAAAGAAACAGCTGCGCTCAACAAGCCTATCGACGATAGGAAGGAGACAGCAAGCCGGTTGTCAATGATTACCGGGCAGAGCTGGCTGTTTGTTGAGGGAAGGAGAGGTGACGGGCGCAAGTGCGGAGACTGCGGGACAAAAGCTAGTCGAGCTTCAAAGGGCGGCGACAAGGTGGATTGGCGATTGGATGACGATGTCCAAGCATCCCAGAAGCATCATACGAGCTTGCGGGGCAGAGCGCAGCGTGTATCTAGGGCAATGGGGTATGGATAGAGTTGTAGGAGGCGTGAGGGAGCAAAGAATCGAGTCCAGAAAGTGGGCGCAAGACGCGAAAGCTCGGGTGTTCTGGTCTACCGTACTTTGGTACGGCGGATCATATCAGCCAAAAGTGCAGTTTACCGGGGTTCGGCAACAGCCGGAATTGGCCGCCGCTGTGAAGGGCAGACGTGTGAGAGAAGAACGATGGATACAAGCACATGATTCTGTTCTTCTGGTAAAGAGAAGAAAATATTGGGAGGAGTCGAGAGGGAAAAAGAACACAAAATGGATGTGATCTCAGACGAAAGATTGAGCGGTGACGGTGACCTTGGATGGTGGATTTGGGGGAAGTCGCGCTTGCCGACGCCATTATTGGCCATTCACGTGTGTGTTCCACGCTAGTCCCGAATAGTTAAATTGGAGCTTGAGGGGTTTTTTCTTCTTCGGCTATGACTCTATTGGACGCTGACATCCATTCCGTGAGCTATGTATATCTACTCGGGTAGTACATACATTCACATTGAAGTGAGGACTTCAGCTCCGTCTGTATAGATACACATCGGCTCTATTGCACATCATGGCATCTAAGCGTTTACGTGTTCACTTGCACGTGGGCAGAGCTATCCAACTTTCCTGTATCGGTTATATTTAGGCGACATAAACCATCGGCAGCATCCATGAACTGATCAATTAATATACCTACACATACAATATCAAGAAGAGAAAAGTCATATCACAAGAACAAACAATGAATAAAAGGATATTCAAATCCTCCCCCTCATGCCTTCACGGCATGTGTGCCCGTCACCGGTGCACCATTCCAACCTGATTCCTTCTTCGCAGATCCAGCCGACATCCCATTCGCACCTCTCAGCTTCTCGTCCTGCGCCATCCCATTGTGCGTGCCATTGAACCTCAACCCGGAGATACCTGGGTATCCCTTCACGCCCGTCGCCTTCTCGAGCCTCGATGCCAGATCCTCGGAGACCTCGCGGAAGATTCCGATCTGGCGCTTGATGATCTCCTTGTCGGAGCAGTTGGCCATGTGGCCGGACACGTTGCCGATGAAGCGCTCCTTTGCGCCGTCGTCGAACACTCTCTCCCATAGCGCGCGCGGGGCGTTGAAGTCTTCGGGTCGGATCTCGGAGAGGAAGGTAACGGCGTTGCCGATGAAGTGGCCGTGGGTCTTGTCGAGGTCGGTCTGGCGCTCCTTGAAGGTCACGGGCTCGATGGAGGAAAGGTAGTTTGGTCGCGAACCTTGGTTGTAGAAGGCCATGGCACCGTTTCGCTGGAAGTTTGCTCCTTTGTATGCCGTCCTGGGAGCGTTCACGGGGAGCTGCTGATAGTTCGGGCCAATTCGGTGGCGGTGAGTGTCTGGATAGGAGAAGAGGCGGCTCTGGAGGACGGGATCCGCTGATGGCTCGATTCCGGGGATCAAATGAGAAGGAGCGAACGCAATTTGCTCGATCTCGGCGAAGTAGTTCTGGACGTTCTCATTAAGGAAGAACTCGCCGACCTTACGGAGAGGGAACTGCTTCTGGGGCCAGATGTGGGTGAGGTCAAAGACGTTGATCTTCTGTTTCTCCCAGAGCTCCTCAGCCTCCTTCGCGGTCATAGTTTGGATGTTGACGTCCCAGCCTGGGTAATCGCCATGCTCAATGGCGAAGAACAGATCCTTCTGTGCGTAGTCGGGAGACTTGGACGCGGAGTCGGCTTGAGTGATGAACTTGGTCCCTTGCTTCGAGTTGAAGTGGAATTGACAATAGACCCACTCGCCTTTTTTATTGATGAGCTTGAAGGTATGGCCACTGTATCCATGCATGAACCTGTAGCCGTCCGGGATACCGCGGTCGCCCATCAAGATCATGACCTGGTGAACAGACTCCGGGTTCTGCGAAAGGTAATCCCAGAAGACAGTCGAGTCATCCGCATGGGTGAGGTTTGTAGCTGGATGGCGTTTCTGAGTATGAATGAAGTGCGGGAACTTGGCAGCATCGCGGAGGAAGAACACAGGGGTGTTGTTCGCCACCATATCCCAGTTTCCCTCAGACGTGCGGAACTTTACAGAGAAGCCTCGAGGATCGCGAGCACAATCGTGGGAGCCAGACTCGCCGCCAACGGTTGAGAATCGAACTGAGATGGGGCACTCAGCGCCCTCCTTGAAGATCTCGGCCAAACTCAAGTCTTCGAGAGAGTTGGTGGTCTTGTAGTACCCATGAGCGCCGCCTCCTTTTGCGTGAACAACGCGCTCGGGAATGCGTTCGCGGTCGAAATGTGAAAGGAGATCAATCAAATGGAAGTCTTGGAGCAGGAGTGGGCCATTCTCGCCAACACGCTGGGATTCGTATGGGTGGGGATACGGTGCGCCATTGCTTGTGGTGTAAATGGTATCCTGCGACTTGGTGTTGCGATCCTCAGTATAACTAGGATAAAAATCGCCGTTGTGTTGATCCGTTGCTGAAGGTGCCATAATGGGTTCTAGTTGTTGGAATTTTGGGTATGATCACAAGTTGATATCTGCTGTAGGCACTGTGAGAAAGACAACTACCTTTCGTGAGGAGGATGACATGAAATCATTATATGGACTACAAGCAATTGATGAAGGCATGATTGTTGGCCACTAATACTATTTGGATAGCTGATTGGCAGGCACATCTGACAGCTTGCCCTCAGATCTCATGATGACGCTATTGCAAAAGCTTAATCGATGACGATGTCGATAAATCGGTAACTGGGGGAACTCCCGCCCATCGCTCATTTGCCCCCACTATGCGTTCATTGTCCAACCCCAAATGTTGCAAATTGGATCTGGACGCTCGTACATTTCTAAGCTTACATCTGTAATTGGCCTTGTTTCCTGAGTTGTTATCAACACCCTTTCTGCAATTGGTCTGTCGGCTCCACACTTCAACTTCGACTTGGTTGCTCCTTACACGAGTATCATTTCTTGTGCGCTCCTCACACAGAAAGTTGTCTTCCACGGCGAACGCTAAGCAGTTGACCGTTCCCCTTCTCGACTTTGAGATGTGCCGAGAATCCTCGGAATGCTAGCGTGGATTGAACCCATATCCTCTTCGGCCTCGAAATGGGGTAGAGATTCCAGACATGCCAAGCATCACTGCTCACATCCATCACAACTGGCATGAGAGCAGTAGAACGTTTCAAGGGTTTTTAAACAAATCAAGGGGGTATTTCGTTTCTCGACCCAGATCCAGATCAGGTCAGGTCAGTTCATAAACTACATACATAGACTATTGCAAGATGTTGCATAGCTGTTAAATTATATCGTCCCGTCATCCGTACATCTTCGTACTCCATGCCGGCGCGTGTCCGCCATGTCCAGTCCATCCATTTCATTACTGTCCTTGCCATGCACCCCTCAAGGGCCCACAGCAATATACGTGAAAATTGAGGTGAGAACGACTATGTGGGGAATAGAACCAAATAAGTGCATCCGAGACCGCCAGGGAAGAAAACAGGGAAATCCCAAAACATTAATAACAGAGAACGAGTCGCAGGTGAACGCTGGGTGTTGAAGGAAGGGAGGACGATCAAGGGTAAAAGGGAGGTACTTGTACAAATCATGAGGACTGATCAATGGGTGTTTGTGTGCGGGGGTTGTTGATGCGATGATACGATTCGCGGGTAGATCTCCCACGAAGGTCGCGATCATCGGAAGGTTGTGGCAACTCAGAGGTATGCCTACGAGGTAGCACGGTCAATGAATGACCCTGCCCGTGAAAGGTCTGGCAGCTTTCACAACTCATCCCTCACTCTCTGCGTTGCATCCGCCATGACGCTGGAGACGGTGCTCGCTGCCTCTTCTGCGGATTTCGCCGCATCCGCATAAATTTCGCTGAGTTTCGAGTTGGCTGCCTCAACTGCAAGAGCTAGTCTACTGCTTGCGCTTTCGATGGCGCCTTGCTCGGGGCCATAGACAGCGGAGCTCAAAGCCGATGCCACATTGGCTGCTTGCTCGCCAGCAGCAGAAGAAAGGGAGCTGTAAGCACTTCCTGCACCACTAGTAACAGAGGCAACGTAGTCAGCTGCAGTAGGAGTGCCCCAAATGGCTTCGCTGATGGCTGCTTGTGCGCTTGCAGCAACTCCAGCGAAGTGATCCTGTGCATTCTGAGTTCCGTAAACCGCTTCACTGGCCTTGGATTGTACAGAGGAATAAGCACTCGCAGCTGCCTCGCTGGCTTTTTCAAAGTTGCCTTTTGGTGTTCCATAGATTGCAATCGACGCGCTTTCGACAGCCAGTTCCAGTTGCTCGCTGGCTTGACTGAGAATAGTCTCCACAGCAGGAGGTGGCGAGAATACTGAGCTAACTACCGACGAAGCGGAAGCGTATGCCTCAGAAGCGTACGACGTTGCAGAATCGTAACCCTCTCCGGCATAAGAATTGACAGACTCCACAACTGCGGGAAGTCCAGTATAGTATGCGGAGGAGAGCCGGTTCATGACACTCTCCGTAAAGTCGGGCTCCTTACCCACCACTAACTCAGAGATAAGAGCATGGACAGCTGCGTACTGTTCAGTAACCTGGGCGGTTGCCTGGGCTCCATAAACGCTAGCCTGAGAGTAAGCAGATTCGTGCCAGGGAGTTGGCTTTCCGTACACCTGGGTGCTGGCCTTAGCAATCAACGCTTCCCAGTTTTGGCTCGCCTGCGACGCGAGCGATTCAGTCCAGGCAGTTTCGGTTCCGATAATGGTCGAGCTGGCTTGTGAGGCAGCGGATGCTACAGACTCGGAAGCAACCGATGCAATCGACTCGACAGTGCCTTGCTCTAGGCCGTAGATGCCGCTAGAAGCAGCTTCAAGGAATTCGGAATACCGAGCATGAGCAAGACCAATAGCTTCGTAGTATTGCCGGTGGGCGTTGTCAAGAGCTGGAGTGGGCTTGGAAGTGAACTGTGCTGAAGCTGCACTGATACCCTCAGAAAGTTTCGATGCTGCAACGGACGAAACGGACTCAAAGTAGCCTTGTGTTGGTCCAGCAGCGTAGCTCTTTACGGAGTCGGTGTATTGCAACGCTACTTGGAGTCGTTCGCTGGCAGCAGCCACAGAGTCAGAATAAGCTTTCTCAATTAGCGAAAGCATAGTCTCGTGAGCTGGCTTGGTCGTGCCAGATGCCAGCACGGATAATTGAGATTTAGCACTGGAAAGTTGCTCATTCGCGAGGCTGACAACTTGGTCGTAGCGAGAGCTGGCTTGAATCTGAATTGTTTGGAAGACGGCTGTGGGAGTTGGTGTACCGTAGATGGCGTACGATGCCCTGCACCTGTGTTAGCATGTCTACGAGTAGAGTCTAGCATGGTGGACTTACGCGGTGACGGCTCTTGCAAACTGTTCTGATGCAACGCTGGTTGCACTTTCCAGTGGCTGTTGCTCAGTGCCATAAAGTACGCTGGACGCAGCGGCCAACGCTTTTGCATACTGTTCACTTGCTAGTGAAGTAGCAGACTCAACCGAACCTTGAGTGGTGGGAGTGCCGAGAAGGGCTTCGCTCACTGCCCTGGTCAACTCGGCGGCCCGGTCTCCTGCCTCAGCAGCTAGATCTTGAATCTTCTGAGAATACGTCTCATCGTCATCGTCATCAAAGGCCTGGTCCAAGATAATCTCTTTTGCTTCTACTACGGCTTGTGCCATAACTCCGCCAAGCACCTTCTGCTGCTTGGGTTCCGACGATGCAAAATCGGGCTTCTCCGGGATTTCTTCAGCAGCCTCCTCGACCGTAGACTTGACACTTTCACTTGCTTCCGCAATGTCGCTGGTGACGGTGGACTCGGTGTCTACAATGGTCTCAGATGCTTGGGATGAAGCTTCAGAGGCGGATTCTTGAATCTTCGAAACCACACTTTCGCTGGATGGGGTTTCTGAGCCAACAATAATTTCAGAGATAGCCGACGAAGCCTCGCCTACTTTCTCCTCGGCTGAAGATACAACACTGGCAGCCGCGTCCTGGAAATTGATTAGTACCTGACCGCAGAATTGATCATTTAGAAAGGAAAGCACAGCTCACCTGAATGGACTCGGCCGAAGGGGTAGATGAACCAACGACAGCCTCAGAAGCCTGTGATGCAACATTCTCAACACCACTAGCAGCGTCCTTTGCGGCTTTGAAAACTCGAACGGGAACCTTTTTCTCGGAAAAGTCATCAGTGGCATCGCCTGCCCAGATTTTCCATCTCGAAACGTCTTTTAGTTGGACAAGCTCGGTGACCATCTTCTGTGCGATCTCCATCGCTTTGTCCTCGAGTGCCTTAGCCTCCTCGTGAGCAACACGCAGACCATCATGTCGAGCGCCAACGAGCTCTACCTCCTCCTTCCACTCCGTGAGGGTGTTTCGTAGCTTGTGATAGTTCTTCCAGTCTTTCACGGTAACGCCGTCGGTCCATGCCCATCGCATTCCCACATCTTGTAGACCCAGGTTGTGGATGCGCTCCAGGATTTCCACAGTGCTTGCAACTGCTGCACGAACAAGGTTGTCCGTCTCTTGGTCGTATGTAGCCTTCCATTCCCGAATAGCCTGAGCGCGTTGCTTGACTACGAAACCAAGTTCGCGGGTTCGTGCGATACACTGTTCATACGCAGCCTCTAGATCCTGCTCGGTGGCATCCTCTGGAATCGATTCGACGGTCTGCTTAATATAGTTCTTGATCTTCTCAATGGAAGAGTTGGCGCTCTCCTCGAGCTGTACCGTCAAGGCGGCACCATGGCCTTTGACACCATTCTCAATCTGACGATCCGTGATCTCGGCCACGCGTAGTTCGAGATCCTCGGCACCCTTATCAGCGGCAACAGCGAACTTGTTCTGCCATTCGCGTAGATCATTGTTGAGCTTCTCACGAAGCTCCGCGCCGGTCAATTTTGGCTCGGCAGGCTGAGTGTCTGTCGCCTCTTGTACTTCGGTCCCCGAGCCTCCTTTCTCCTTCGGCTCCGCCTCACCAGGCCAGAGATCATTCAAGATATCCCAGCCAGAGCCTGACTTAGAGGGCTTGGCAGAATCGGATGTAGGTGTAGGCTTCGTGGACGAACTGCTTTTAGTGGAGGACGAGGGGGAATCGGTGACTGCGAGAACCGTAGATCTGGTCGTTTTAGAGAGGAAAATGGCAATAGGTGTAGGGCGTAGAACTTACGATTCGGAGTCCAAAGCATCAATGATAGACTCGAGCTTCTGTTGATCTCGATGTCTTCCGAGGCGTTCTCGGATGCGCACTAACTGTGGCTCAACATTGTCGCCATACAATACACGAAGCTGTGGCCAGACAGTTCTCGCTAGGAACGCATAGGTGTAATCTTTGCCAGCACGGACATATGGGAAGATGACATGTGCGACGATGCGGTTGCCATGGACATAGCCCTGGCGCGCATAAGGAAGTGCTGCTTCGTAGGCGGGTAAGATGGTGAGATGATAGATCTCGAGGCAGCTTTCTCTGCCTTGTTGAAGGTAAGGCACAACGACATCAGAGGCCTGTTTGACGTGGGGCCCAAGGTATTGTTGATACTGAGCATTCGCTTGAGCTTGCACATTCTCCAATTGAGGGCGAACCGTCTTATCCCATTCAGCCTCCAGGTATTTCTGAGATTGAGCAACGCGGTGAGCGCCGTGCTTGGCATATTGATCCTTGGTGAAGCTCGCAACAGGTGTATATACTTGAGCGTCGAAGCGATCAACGTATGGCTGGATTTTCTCCACCTGCGGTGCTACGTATTGTTGATAGTAAGGGTCGAGGTATGGAGTGACGTATGCCCTTCCATACAGATATGGCTCGCAGATCCGTGGGGACTCGGAAGAAAGCTTCGATATAGAAGGAGGGCAGCGGAAGGCAAACGTAACGATGATATACCATGTTGCAATTCTAGACGAGGTCAGAAGACGTGTTGACTTGAGGGAAAGAGATATCTCACCTTGCAGCAAAGTTTATCAAGCTCCCGAAGAAAGAATTGCGGGACTTTGCCTTCGGTGAGGTCAAGGAAATGGAGTTATCAATATGGCCATTAGCGCTACCATTCAGATGACCATTGGATGTAGTCTTCTTGGGCCTCTTCGCCCTGCCGTTCTGAACAGCCATACTAGGGAGAGCAACCCAAACTTCTCTGGTCTTGCTTGTCTATTACTCGATCGTGTGTGTGCAGGGTGGATTGTGGAGGCGAGGCGAGGCGAGGAAAGACGGCGGAGGACGGAGCTTATGGTAAGTCAGCATGAAGCGTCTTTAATGAGGAAATGGAAAGTGCGGTGTAGACGCAGAGACGCGTAGACGAGAAGGAAGTGTGGACTGACGATATCAGCAGAGATGCAGCTTCTCCATGCAAGAGTTGGTGCTAGCGGAGGTCTTGCAGCGTACGGCCGGCGGTTGAGAGTGATGCAACGCGCTGCTAGAGTAGATCTATCAGTACACAGAGAGAGGGCGTTGTAGTGATGTATATGGCAGAGGGAAAGGGAAATAGAAGGGAGAGAATAGCTTACAGTGGAGTGTTTGAGATTATTTTGTAACCAAGCCAGGTGAAATGACTGGGGGGAGGGAGGAGTTGACAGACAAGGTGAGGCTTGTGGAGAAATACTTGAAGATGGAGTTGCAGGTGGTGGTGGTGGATCTGACCAGGGCAAAGCAAGCGTGTGCACGGGTGACGGTTGACGGTTCCCTCTCACTCTCTCAAACCTCAACCGAACGGAACTGGTAATACAAGGATGATGTAATGTCGTCCGTCTCTCTTCCAATGATTCCATCAACTCTCGACCTTCTTCTGGTCAGTGGCTGCCACTAGATGATCAAGACTAACTATTTCCTTCCTACTCCCACTTACACGTGCAGATACCAGTATTTCTACTTACTGTGTAACAAGTTACTATGTCCTCATCTTTAAATACAGAACGGAGTAACGGAGTAGTTACAGGAGCCATCGGTTGCGCTTATCTACACATCAGTACGAGTAACTAGTACCACCGAGTAGTCACCATAAAGAACTGTAGCACGGGTAAAAGCATTCTGTAACAGTTTTCGTGTGTAAGAGAGATACGAGCGTCAGGTCGCATTCACGTGCATACATAGCATATGTCAAATACTGTCTGCACAGTACGGAGTACTCCCTACATTTGTATGCACAGAAGTTCCGAGTGCGACGGAATGGCAAGTGTAGTACAGAGCACACAGGTGCACAAGAAGCCAGTAGTGAACGCAAGACCTACGCACCACATACATACTCACGTATCGCGCATGCATCCTGTGCATCAAGCAAGCAAGCAAGCAAGCACGCAAAGCACGCACGAAAGCACATGGGGTTGCCGCCGGATGACGATGGTGGCCACCCTAACGTCCACGCTTGCAGGCTGCGGCAGCTCGACTGAACCTGAGACGAAAGCATGCCTCCTTGAAGCAGGAGCTGCACTACCTCATACATTAGGTACCTAAGGCTACCACCCTATGTATGTACCTAACATACTTGCACGAGTCATAATCAATTGTCTTCCTTGCCTTCGTGTAGGTGTAACTACCAGATGCGATGCCTCGGAATCTCTCCCTCCCATGAGTATAGATCTACGGAGTACCGTACCGATAGACTTTGTGCTTGCAGATAGCCCGGCATTAACCAGGAATATCATGGTACTAAGTCCCTTGAATCTGCGCGACAATGGCTCATGGCAAGGGCGCCAAATGGCAACAAAGTCGTGTGCCCAATACGACATGTCTCTATGAGTAGCCCTAGAACCATCCCCTACATGAATATATATAATTATACATGTACTCCGCGTGCTGCTCATGTCCACATTGTACTTCCGTACTACCTCTTCACTTGCGCATCACCACTCTACCATGCGCACTCTGTATAGGAGCATTCGACAATGTGGATGTTCTTTCGTGTTGGGAACAGCATGTCTAGGTGAGCTGGAACACTGGAGCATATGACAACTCTTCCGGTATCCCAGTGTATACCATAATGGATCCAGCAGTAATTTGTGAGTAGTCCTCATGGAAATACATACATTCCTTATCTTTACTACACGCCACTCTATAGAATTGGTGTCCAAATGATAAGTTGGTAGTCTGGAGGCCCTCAAACACAGAGGAGTACATGCTCAGTAATTACCAATCCTTTAGAAAAGATTTCTGAATGCCTAATCCCGTTGGCTATCAATCGCTGCAGTGAGCTAGTTATTGTTCTACTCCATACGGAGTACCTTGTCTTGTACAAAGTATATCCTCAGGGAATCAACCCATGCCATGGACCATAGGATAGGGTACCGGAACAGATCTAAACCCAAAATGGAGTTTGGTGGGAATTGCCAAGAACTTACGCTTCCGTACAAACAACTTCCACCTCCAGCATCATCGGTTCTCTAAACTTCTGTTCACCTTTCACTTCTCTTCCCAGCGCTTTCTTCACTGCTGCAGTATTTCTGCACGCCATATCCTAATCACTCGAATACCACCATCGATTACACTCATCTGTCCGTAATTCCTACTAGATTCACTCTCACGCAGCGTACCGTGTCGCCCCTCCGCAATCCGCTAATACGACGACTTATTCACCCCGGATTTCCGACTCTCCACGCTCAATGTGTCCTTGAACACCCAACAGCGGCGTTTTCCGCTCCCTTTCTTAGACCAATTCACAACTACATTGTTTCTACATTTGCACGAATTTCGCGACCCAACTTTCGGCCACCGCCCCCGCCACCATGGCTTCCGAAGTCGAGCCATTCGCTGCACGCGACCCCGAACCTTCCCTGTCAGCAACGGTGCCAGAGAAATCCAATGAGGATGCCGATACCTGTCGAATATGCAGAGGAGATGGCACGGCGGAAGAGCCACTGTTCTACCCTTGCAAATGCAGTGGTAGTATCAAGTTCGTCCACCAGGAATGCCTCATGGAGTGGTTGTCGCACTCGCAGAAGAAATACTGCGAGCTGTGCAAGACACCCTTCCGCTTCACGAAGCTCTACCATCCAGGCATGCCAAGTCAGATCCCCACCTCGGTGTTCATCCGCCGGGCCGCAATACACGTTCTCAAAATGCTGTTTACATGGTGCCGTGGGCTACTAGTAGCATCAGTCTGGTTGCTAATGCTCCCATACTGCATGCGTGTAGTCTGGCGAAGCCTGTTCTGGCTAGGTGACGGCGGTTGGGTTCGCGATCTCTACACCGATGCGCAAGGCGAGCCTGTCATTGTGCCACCTGCTGCCGACCCACGTCCCACGCATTCGATAAGCCTAAACATGGACACAGTGAAATCAGCAATAGCATCAGCAAAGGCCAGCAATACAACGGTGTCCCTCCCGCTACCTGACCTTCCAGACATCTTCAAACCATACTCCCAAACCTTGAATATGAGTGCTGGCGAACCTACCGTCTGGTCTCTTGTAAAACATTTCTTTTTCGGCATTCCGCACTCAACCTCCGAGACCCGTGCATTGGGGTCAAATGCTACCACATCCAACGTCACCCTCAGTCCGTTGGGATCAAGAAATCCCTCTTTGCTCTCCGAAGTGTCCTTCTTCAATTGGTTCCCCTCACAGGCGGCGAACCGATTTACTATTGATGTTCTCGAAGGACAGATCATTACACTGCTAGTAGTCGTAGCTTTTATACTAATCTTCTTAATACGAGAATGGGTGGTACAGCAACAGCCTGTCATCAACATGGTAGCTATAAACGAAGACGCCGCGGTCGATCGGGCCCATGGCCATGGGCAACAAGCGGTTGAGGAACATGTGGACCATGTCATCGAAGATGATGTGGATCATCCCGATATTGACGACGCGGAGGAAGTGGACAATCTCGATGGAGATCACACTCACCAGACAGAGCCTGACAATGCAAGCCACCACCACAATGAATTCGACGACAGGGACCACGAGGGAGTGACCGATGACATTGACGAAAGAGGATCCCAGTCCGTGCTGACCACGCATCGCTCTTCTTCGCGCGGAAGAGATCGGATCAATGCAACTACAGCAAATGATGATGATGATATTCCCGAACGGTTGCGGCGAGCGTTGCAGGCAGACACATTCGATGAGATAGCCGAAATTATCAACAGTATCCCTACTGAAGGATCTTCACGGTTAGGAGAGCAACTTCAAAGGCTGTCTGAAGGTCATTCTGACGACAGTGCTATCGACTCTCGCCCAAGAAGAATTGGCAATGGGGAGGCCAGTCAAAGTTTATCACGCCAAGGCTCTGATGTCAACACCGAGTCTTTTCCTGAACGATCTAGTAGTCTGCCGAAGCACATCGGAAGAGACACCGGTCCAGATAGCTTAGGTCCACCTACTCCGCGAAGGCCCGATATGCCTGCTAGGAACAGATCATTTATTGCTGCAGAGATCCGACGTAGTATGGAGGAGGCGAATACGTGGTCGTTTGCAAATGTACCCCAACCATCCGACGAGGGGCGTCATCAGGGGCTTCAAGACCAGGACGTTCCTGATTCCTGGGAGGACGAGGATGGATATGAGAGATTACCAAACCATGGGCCTAGTGGAACTCCTCCCAACCAGAAACAGCCAAGTGAGCATAGTAGTGACAGCTGGCAGCAAGTGCCCGTGGTTGTTGTCGAACCTGAATCGCCCGCGGATGGAGAGGCTGGACCTTCGCATTCCAACGTGAGATCGTCACTGTCTGATGGAAGCGCAAATTCGTTACTACCTGCCGGATCTGATGCTGCAATAGACTCACACGCAACTAGTGAGGTGCAGCAGATCAACATGCCCGAAGATGACAACGCCAATGAGTTACATCAGAGCCTCAATGAAGCAGCTGTTGTCGAAGACGATGTCCAAGCGTCCGAGCCCGCTCCAGATGAGCATTTAGAGGGACATGATCACAACGCTGCTGCCGATGTGATCCCTGATCCAGCACCTCGGGTCGAACAACCCCCTCGTCGCCTCGTTGACAATGTCCTCGACTGGCTCTTCGATGGCATCGCACCCAACGTACAAGCTGCTGAAGAAGGTGGCAATGATGAGCATATCGTCCAAGATCTCGCGAACGAGGCACCGTTTGTTCCCTTCGCCGGCAATATTGATAACGAGCAACTTGAAGCTGCAAATCTCCCTATTCAAGACCCCGAAGTCGCTGCTGCCGCGGCCCAGGCTGGTATCGATGTTAATGACCAAGATGCCATCGATGATGCCGAAGACCTTGAAGGTATCATGGAACTTATAGGCATGCAAGGACCTCTTACGGGGCTTTTCCAGAACGCCATGTTCAGTGCCGTACTGATATCTGCCACTCTAGCCTGCGCAGTCTGGTTCCCGTACCTCTGCGGCAAAGTTGTCCTGCTATGCATGGGAAGCCCAATTTCACTCTTCATCAAATTCCCTCTTCAATTCGTCGCCACTCTCTGCGATTTCGTAGTCGACATGGCCATCTGCCTCGGAGCTGGTGCGGTCTTCTGGACAGCTCAGGTGCTGGGCTTTGTAGGGAGAATTTTCACACTAGGCACTCTGCCCACCTTTCTGGAGAATGGCATAGGGTTCGTCACCGGTCCTGCTCGCACTGTGGCTGAAAATGCCATGGATCGCATTGCTAGACTAATGTACGAATCCTCTCCCTTCCCCCATCCAGACTACTTCCGCCTGTCAATCAATTCCCATGCAGCACTGCGAACTATCCAGAACACCACATCCTTTGCTCTTAATCAAACTGGGCATGTTGTGGCTGCGGTATACGAGAACGTCACCGCCCAGTCCCCCACCCAGACAGCACTATGGGCGTTGCGCCAAGCTCCTGCCACGATCCAGTACTATCTTACTTACATCTATAGCAGCATTTCAGCAGTAGCCTCGTGGCTATGGACATCCAAGTCATACAACATCACTTTCAACCTAGATTCCGGTCGTAATATGACTTCGGTCGTCGCCGACCTAGAGCCTTGGACGGCAGGCGACCGATCGATAGCGATCATCGCGGGCTACGCCTTCTTTGCCATGATAGGCGCTCTTTACCTCAAACACGGCTCGCCTATCAGTACATCGCCACAGGGACGGAAGATTGAACAGATTATATCGGACATCCTTCAACAAGCTGGGGGCGTCCTGAAAGTCATTCTTATAATCAGCATAGAGATGCTGGTATTCCCACTATACTGTGGCTTGCTCCTCGACTTCGCACTTCTTCCGCTATTTTCCAATGCAACCTTGTACTCACGATGGCAGTTCGCTCGAGAAGCTCCGTGGACGTCTGGATTCGTGCATTGGTTCATTGGCACGTGCTATATGTTCCATTTCGCCTTGTTCGTATCCATGTGTCGTAAGATCATGCGAAAGGGCGTTCTTTACTTCATCCGTGACCCAGACGATCCTACGTTCCATCCTGTCCGAGATGTGCTCGAGCGCAGCGTCACTACTCAGCTTCGCAAAATTGCATTCAGTGCGCTCGTATACGGTGGATTGGTTGTGGTCTGTCTAGGCGGTGTCGTCTGGGTCCTCAATCGCACAACCACCGGCGTCCTTCCTATTCAATTCGTGTCTCAAGCACCGTCGATCGAATTTCCGCTGGATCTGCTCTTCTACAATTTCTTGACACCATTGATCATTAAGGTGTACAAGCCCAGCGATGGGTTGCAGACAATCTATCAATGGTGGTTCAAATCGTGTGCCCGAGTCCTCCGCTTGTCAAACTTTCTCTTCGGCGAGAAAATACGGCTCGAAGAGGGACGTTTGGTAAAACGCCCTTGGCACTATTCCTTCACAAGCTGGTTTACACGAAAGCCTAGCAAAGGTCAACGACTTGTGCCAGAAGAAACCGGTCCAGATTCCTCCGAAACCGAGTCCGAGACGCCAGAAGATTTCTCTTTTGAAGGCAGATATGTGCGTGCACCGGCCTCAGATCAAGTTCGTATACCCAAGGGCCAAAGGGTGTTCGTGGATGTCAACCCCGACAATGAGCGTTTCGACGGAAAGCAAGATGAAGACGGCGTTCATAATTCAGATTTGGTCACGATGGTCTACATCCCACCATGGTTCCGCGTCCGCATTGCCCTCTTCGTCTTCACGATCTGGATGTTCGCCGCCTTCACTGGGGTTGGAATTACTGTGATACCACTTCTCTTTGGACGCTACCTCTTCTCACTCATCCTCCCATCAACGATGGAAATGAACGACATTCATGCCCTATCCCTCGGTATATATACTCTGGGTACTATTGCATATAGCGCTTACCAAGCGTACAAATACGTCTCATCATTCACCCAGCCCATCCCATCGCCCTTATCGACTCTAATTACCGTCGCCACAACTGCCTCGAAATTTGGGCTTCGGGTCCTCCGCTTCGGATATGTGTGGCTATCATTTTTGCTCGGCTTCCCGCTCATGTTCTCCATCCTCCTCGAACTCTATTTCCTCATGCCGCTACATGCCTACCTGGGCCCCAACGAACCCCACGTCGTCCACATCGTGCAGGATTGGACGCTCGGGTTCCTCTACGCTCGTCTAGCCGCCCGCATCCTCTTCGCAAATCGCACGTCACGGGCCGCACGAGCCTTCCGCGCCATCGTCTCCGACGGCTACCTCAACCCGAACGCCCGCCTCGCAACGCGCTGCTTCGTCCTTCCCATCGTGGCCATCTTCACAGTTGCCGTGGCAGTCCCTTCGGTCGTCGCCACCTTCCTCCTAAAAACCGTCTGGGCAGGCGCAGACAAAGACACTCGCGCACAGGTCTTCCGCTTCAGTTTCCCTCTGCTCGGACTCCTGTTGGCGAGCGTGTGGATGGGGAGGGAAGGTGCAATGATGCTCATGCGATGGCAGATGTTAGTCAGAGATGAGGTGTACCTCATCGGAGAGAGACTTCATAATTTCGGCGACAGGAAAGCCGCCCCTCCTGCTCCTGCGGCAAATGCTCAGCAGGCGGCGGATACGTCATAGTTCTAGGGGTCGCCATTGTTTCACGTTCTAAGTACAAGAGGGGATGGTGTTATCTCATGTTATACCTAATAGGGTGCTGTACACAATAGACAATTCTTAACTCAACCATGAATAAGGGAATCTCACGTGCTATTTCTCAGTCGGGCCAAATAGGCGATGCATTTGAGTGATGATTTTTATTATGTCGTTTCTCTTCTCCACTCCAATTCACTGAAGTATATACATATCTTGCCTTCCGTCTTTCGTATCTTCCCATCTTCCCTCCCTCTTCCTCAATCCAACGGAACAGCCAAGAATTTAAACATCAAAAGAACGCCATGAAATGTTGCATTCCTAATAAACATGCGAGAATCCAAAGTTTTCGCTCGTGTCCTTTCCTTCTTTTTTTCTCCTTGTGTATAATGAAAACATGTAATGGTACGGAAGGGGTCCCCAAGTTCGGCGGAGGGGTTTAGAAACCGGGAGGATTGAGGCGCTGGCTGACTCTTGTCCATTTTGGTACTTCTGTAAAGGGTAGGTTGGTTAGCCATTGTCTCGAATACATGAAAATATATATCGACCCCACACGCACACAAAGCAAGCAGTAGAACAGAGCCCTCAAAGGCTCCAATCCCTCGAACCACCACCCCAGCGTGCGTCGGAAACTGGAAAGCGGAATTGGAAACTTACTATGAATCCCCTTCCTGTACCTCTTGACCTTCCGGTCAAAGACAGTGTACTTGTCCTTTGCCAGCATCTCCTGCTCGGTCGGCATCTCCTGCTTCCACCTATCGACCCTCTTCATCGACTGTCCGATGCGCGCGAGCGCCGAGTCGAGCGTCGAGACCACGGCGTCGACTTTCCGGAGGCGCTCGCGATGGCGGTACTTTTGGTGGCGGGAGAGGCGCCAGGGGATTTTCCTGTTCGGTGGTGTGAGCCAATTGTTTGATTTTGGTTGGAGGAGGGAGGGTCTGGGGAAAATGGTAATGTGGATGGGGGGAGAGAGGGTTTCTATGTGGCGATTGGAGTGGGAATCGGGGTCACGAACCAGAGGAGGCCTCCGGAGAGGGGGTTTGTGAGGCGGAATGGACCGAACATGGCGTGTGTGTGAGGCTGTTCGGAGGTTTGGGTTGGTTGATAGATGGGGAGGAATTGAAGGCGTGAGGTTCTATGAAAGTTTGTGCGTTGGCCAATGGGAGCGTTGCTTGGCGGAATCTCCAGGGTCGCTGATTGCGGAGCTCTGGCTTTAGCTGCGGCGGTATCAAGAGACGTCAAGGGACAAACAAACAGTACAGGAAAGGTCAAGCACAGCTTGGAGATTGGTGCGGGAGCGGCGCACGACATAAAAATTCCGCGGGTCTCGACATCTGAATACTCTCTCATATAACGAAACACAAACGTCGGTTCCAACTGCAACGTCACAGAACGATTGACCGACTACTTCCCCCCCAAAATGTCGTACACATTTACCATACTCTCCCCGACGGACAACCCGCTCTTCACCCACGAATTCGGCACTTCAAGAAGCGGCGGCGACGGCGTAGCACGCTTCACGACCTCCGAGCGCGCACTGAATCCCTTCATCATCCACTCCGCCCTCGACATCGTAGAAGAGGTCCAATGGGGCCCCAGCACCTCGTCCGGCTCCGCGCCAATGTACCTGAAGCACATCGACAAGTACCAACATAATTACATATCGTGCTGGATCACGGGCGCCAATGTACGATTTCTATTACTCACGAGGCCGAGGGACGAGGCGCTAGGGTTGGGCGGAGGAGGCGGCAGTAGGGGCAGTCTGGCGGGTGGGAGGGGCGCGTTGGGCGGAAACGTGTATAACCCTACGGCGCCGGCGACCGAGGAGGCGGTCAAGAACTTCTTCGTCGATGTGTATGAGGCATGGCTCAAGACGGTCATGAATCCGTTCTTCTCAGTGGCGAATGGAGATGTGGTGAAAAGCCCGGTTTTCAGGCAGAGGGTCGCGGCTGCAGCGAAGAAGTACTTGTGAATTTGAGGAAGAGATATGGGGAAGAAATGATATTAATGATACCAATCACGGATTGAAGATACGGAAAGCCTAACAGGGCTATGGGTCTGAGGCTCGTCCGCGTGCATGAATGGTGTAATATGACTGCTAGAGGTACATGCAGACTGAAGGAGAGCGAAGACGAGCGTTATGTGTCAGAGTAGAGGGAACTAGATCTTCTCTCTTCAAGATGCTATTAATTGTTTGGTTCTTGTCTGCCTCGATTGGACTTAGGACGCACAAGCACGAGTCAATAAAGTGAAGGATACAGGTGTAACGTATCTACCACTTGCAGTCATGAATGCATATGCATTGCATGCCTCAAGGTGCTTCACACAATAGATATATAAGAACAAGCTAGAACAAATCACATGAGAATTTAGCAAAGCTTAACTAGTTACAATTGCACAGCAACGTCAGACTAGAAACATCACAATACAACAACGCTCACCTTGACTTCAAGGTTCCATGCTCCTTCTTGCTCGTCTACAGGAAAACACGTCAACAAACTACACCTATGAAAGAATTCGTGAACATGGCTTCTCTACTCTTACCTCGAAGTCAATCATCTCACTTTCACCTTCACCTTCACCATAAGCTGGATATGATGAAGGACCGAATTCAATTCACCATCCTTCTCATCCCCGCTGATCTTCGCTGGTAATTTCACTTCACCTTCACTCCGAGCAACCCATCCAGGATGAGATATAAATACCTGACTCCAGGACTTTTCCATCTCAACACACATCCCGCGAACCTCGACACCACGGCTTCAATATCTCACGATGGATACCAACACCGTCTCAGCTGATCTGCCAGCTACTTTCAATGAGCTGAAGGCGCGACAGAGGCGAGAGATCGAACAGCTCGCCTCGAAGCACAGCGCCGAAGTCTTGGATCTGCACAGCAAGCACCGTAAGGAGTCTGTCGCGTTCACTAACAAGAAGGCCGCAGAGGCGGCATTCCCTCACAAAGCAGCTCTGGAATCAGCAAAGGGACCATCTGCAGCAACAATCAGGATTAATTCCTCGCCAAAGAAACCTATCCAGTTCACTTCGACCGAGCTCAAGTTCGAGGTTCCGGTTACTACTCGTGACAAGTTCGCAAAAGGACGAGACGTTTATGTTCCAGAGGGCACCGGGATCATCGACCTTTTGAGTGATGATGACGACGGCATACTCGAGATTACCACAAGCTCCGCAAGTGGTGCCGTCATCAGCCCAGGAAGCACTTTGGGCTCGGTGGAGTTCCTATCGCAAATTGCAACAGCAATCAAAGAAATCCCGAGCACCACGAATGAAGTCGATTCACCACCAGCAAGGACACCCTGCACACCCAGCAGCACTGGTAGGGCAGACAACAAAGTCTCAGTCCCTACACCATCGACTCCTCCTAAGCCCCGTTCACCTGGCAAAAAGGTGATCACCCCGGATAGACGAACACAGATCCCACACAATGAATTCCGTAGCTATCAGTTCGATCGATCCAATATTGTGAAGAACCCAACACAATACTCTTATGGACTTCGATTGGCTCTTGAGCAGCCAGCTCAAGTAGCCCAGATGTTTAAAGAGTCTCCTGTCGGCGAAGAACACTTCCAACAGGGACCCAACGTAAAGCAGACGGTGACTCAAAAGATACAAGGCACCAAAGGCTTTTCGGCGTCAAGGACCCTAAAAGAAAATCCTCAGAAACGTCAGTCGCGAAGAGTTGCTCCGATGACGCCTCCTCCGGCACTTTCCCTGGGTGGCTATCCTCTCACGCCTCCAACTTCGGGATCCGGAGCAGCGTCTTTTACACCAGGCATCAAGACATCAACTTCATCTATCACGTCTCGTGCCCAAAAGAGCGCTTTCATCTCACCAACTCAGGTATCCCCTACGGCGTCCAAGGGCAACAAAAGAAAGACCATCGGTCTCAGCGACTCGGAAGTTGAATCATCCAAACTATCTAACAGCAAGCTTTCACCAAAGTCACCTCGCGGAAAGCCTACAGTACAAGTTTGATCCGCATTGTTGCCTACACCTCCGCAGACCCCTATACTTGAGCTTCACAGCTCCTCTCCGCCGAAGAGCTTTGTTTCTTCCAGTGCGGCGCTTAGGGAGAAGCGCCAATCCCATCTCAAAGCGAGGAAGCAGATCAAGATCATGGCTGATGGAAAGGATTCAATCACAGAGAGGTACGATCGCCTACATCATCAATTAAGATAGCAATGAGCTGACCAATAACAACACCAGATTGCGTAATATGAGCGTTACACCGTGTCCTACCACCTCAGCGTCTGAGGACAGCGAGGACGCAGTCCACGACGAGAATAGCTGGGTGAAAGAGCGTCGGCGTGGCGACCGTCATGTGGCGAAGCATGCGCGTCGCCGATATTTGGTCGAAAGCTCCAGCGAACTGAGTTCTGAGAGTGAGGCTGGTCGCGAGGCGTACGAGGTTGTCGATGGAGTGATCGTCGCTAAGAAATAGGGACATGCTCGGAGGTAATGATGCAATTGGTGATCTTGAACGAAAAAGCAAGACATGGCAAATGATGAAGCGACTGTTCTAGGTGGCGATTGTGGTTGAGGAGAGAGACTGGAGGAAATCGCAGTAGCTCTACGGTTTGTGGCATTGCAGAGCATCTTGACGCATGCTTTGGGTGTGGATCTTGGTCTCAGCTTTACGTTGAAAACGCAACCACGTTCAGTTTCTACGCAAGGGGTTCGCTCTCTCTTGGGAGCTTCGAGTTGCAACCTTAGGTTCGAATTATTCGAATCGTACAGTTATTGCATCCATCACAATTATGGCGAAGTTTCATTTTGGCAAAGTTTGTCAATGAGAAAGCTCTTCTTGAATTTTGAAATTTAGATAAACCTCCAAACAATAAAAAAACCTTACTCAACCCCAATATAAGCAAAAGCAGACCACAAAGCAGATCCAACATATTTATAAACCACTAAAAGACCATAAAAAAAACTTTCGACGAATTTTCTTCATTGTGCGGATGGTAAAATGCCACTCAAAGGAGGATAACGCTGGGCATCTTCAGGAATACGAGGAGACCAACACCTGGTTCAACCTGACTGAATTGTCGCACGACGAACATCATAGACCTAGCAGCAGAGATAGAAAGATCATTTAGATACGGGATGATATGGGGCGTATATTAGATTTACAACTACTGTCTACAGAACTCCTTACCACTGCGTTGAACCTTCCTCACTGCCCTTGACGAGTAGGGAGCTCACTGCCTGTGAGAAAGGCACACATATGCTACAACTTATCAAAGCCCACCAGCAAGTCTCAATAGACTTAGATATACGCCGGTCTACTCGATCATAATATCTCCGTGTGACAAAAGACCAGCTGTGGCAGCCTCAAGCACTCCAAGTGTATGTGTGATTCGACCAGGTCGCAACACCCTGACGTCCTTCACGTATTCGTAGAAGCCAAAGCCCGAAGTTATCATATGTTTTCACAGAGACCACAGTAGGTTCGATCAGTGAGGGCAACGTAGGAGACGGGGGCAGGTGGTACGTTCGTATACGGCGTCACTGCAAGCTTAGCAAACACCCAGAAGGCGTTGATTCTTCAGTCTGGAACTGACTGGCAAGCAAGCTCATGGATGAGGACTTACCTGCCACCATGAACGCTACGAGAGAGGGTAAGTGAGGTGCTGATGGGCTTTTGTTGGACAACGTCTTCTCGTCGTCGAAGAAGAGAGCAGTGCGGTATGGCAACGATTCCGTTGAACGACGCTCGAGACGACGATGGGGAAAGTTGCACTGCTGGGAATCATGATGAGTGCCAGGAGGAGGCCACACTTCAATCACGCTGGCCGTATCTGACCGGACCGTAGTTTGCAGAAGTTTCCCATCGTTGGCAAGTCTGTACATGCGATTGAGGTAGGTAGATGAGGATCTGTCCCTCGTTCACGATATCATCTCTATACAATCATCAAGATGTATAGAACCGGTGGAGCCGCACTCAAAGCGCGAAGACCCGCAAGTTGAAGTTGAAGCTTAGGCCATAGAATCCCATGAGACACATCAGACAGGGCAGTCTGTTGCACTCTGTCCAGGCCAGGGCAGACAGGCAGGCATTGTCTCGCTGGGATACGACGACCCTAGACACGACGAGAAACTCGAGCAACGAAGATGCCAAAAAGTGGACAAGATCCAAACAGCAAGGGATACATGGGAAACACGATATGGCCTACAATCCGGGACTGCGAAGAAGCCCATTGTTTGCTCCTCACAGACGTGTCTTTATCACTATTATCAATGCCACCCTCCCCTGCCCCTCTCTCCTATCTACCACGCAACAAACTGGAACCGGCATCACGAGCATGGAATCTGATCCGGGTTTACCCCCATCTCCAAACTTACAACAAACTTAGCCGTTACGACCGATACAAGCAAGCTACAGCCTGTCAAGCATGACTTGAACAACAGACGTGCGGCGGCCTATCTAGGGGGGAGAGAAAGTCTGAATGATCGGCCCCCAAAATCGCTGCGCGGTCCCCTGCAAAGAAATGAACCAAAGCGTAACGTACATAGGAGTTACTCAAGCAGGTCAATGCCGATCGAAACTGCCATTCGAGCCAGACCTTTGCTCCCACCATCATCCATCTAATCCATGGGATCCAAACAATCAAGGCACGAAGCAAGCAACCAAGCAAGCAAGCTCAGAAAAAGCACAAAGCGCCACAAAGCACTCTCTACCCACCCTGATCCGTTCGGAGGGGGCGATTCTCCTCCTCGAGTTAGGTAGGCAGGTAAGTAAGTAATCTGTACTGTAGGTTATTCGTGACTCGACCAGTATTTCTCCACCTGTGGATAAACCTTTTTACCTGGGGAACCCCGGGAAGCATGGCAAACTGCCAACCGCCAGCTCATCTATCTTGTCTCCGTGCCGTTATTTTTCGCGATTGCGAACGCGTGCCCGCTTCACTTTCCGGCACGCCAGGGAACCCACGGGTTGTAAGCTATAGGCTTACATTTGCTCTAAGGCTTGGTTTACAATTTTTTACCTCATGGTGCGTCGTAATCCAATCAGTGACCATCCAAGCGACAATGTAACTATCTATCATAGGAATCATCAGCTCATACCATCTGATTTGGGCAGCAATACGCGGCGCCCGCGCTCTCTCTCTCGCGGTGTCGAAACGTTCGTTTTACGCATGGGTGGCTGGTGTTTTGATAGTGACAGGGCAGGCGGACTCGCGACGTGGGCGTCGTCGCAGATCCGTAGACCTGTGCGATAATAGGGTAAGGACTATCCGCAGTTGGTGGACCGGGGAAATCAAATCCCTTTCCCTTTGCCTGTGCGCCGTGTGTGTCTGTGTGCGTGCCCCGATTGTGCAAATGCTATTGAGGGCCTTGATTTTTCTCATCTAGTGGAGAATCCCGTCAATCACATCTCCGTCTATGTAAGGCATGTGTAAGCAGTGAGTCGAAGACCTCGAGCTAGGCCTCTCGGACGAAACTCCCAGATAGGAAGACGAGCGGGAACTTGCTTGCTTTTGCGTTACGCGGACAATTGATGAGGGCAGCAGAAAGAGAAACTATTCTTTTCTTGATTTACTCGTGCGGCTGGTTGCATTGATCTCGCACTCGTACTCGGAAATGCCCACACAAATCCTCTGAACATCTCTTGCAAAGCTGCAAGGCCGTCCGAGCGAATTGACGCCACTGGGCGAGATGCTCATGCAAAGGGATAGGGAGAGATGAGAATTCTGAGCGCAACGAATTGTCAATTGGCTGTTCGTCACCAAGCTGTGTAGTCGCACCATGTGCTTGCTGGAACTTGAACAGTGCAGCTTCCGACCCGTTTCGATTGCAGGCATTATTATTCATCAGTCGGCATCTTCCTGCCCTGGTCTCTCACGTGTGGATCCTTGATTGCTCGCTCTTGCTCTTCGAGTCTCTCTTCTTTTCAAGGCAGGCAGTCGCACCATGCCTTCACAACTGTCGTTCGCTTCAAACTCGGGAGGCTTTTGCCGATCTAGCGTGTGCAGATTGCAGATTGCGCGGTGCGGCGTGCAGGCTCGTGGCTTGTTCGAGTTTAAGCATCAGTGCTTTAGGGCTGTCAATGCGAAAGAAGCTGTCTCTTTGCGGACGCAAGTAGAATGGTCGCTGGTGATTAGAATCCGGAAGGAGTTGATAGCAGATGGTGAAACGTAGGAATGCGTCTCGGCGGCTTTAGCTCCCGTTTACCGCCGATGTTGTGAAGGTCTGGTCGCATCCATTTCGTTCGAGCGGTCGTGTGCTCCATCTCTCTGACGATCAAAATGATCCAATCTTTGCATGCTGTAGTGCGCAAAACAGGGGTTGATCATTTCCCTTCTCCAACGTATGTTACTTTCTCTCTCTGGTTCGTGCAATGAACGCTACGCCATCGCATTGAGTGGGTAATTCTTCCGCCCCCAAAAGGCTTGGACGGCTCGGTCGGAGTAAAATCTTTACGACTAAATTTGTGATGTCACTACGGGTTGGGTGATGCAAACAATTACATAGTGCAACTTGATCGGATGGTAACTTTGGTAAGGCTCGGTACCAAAATGAGTCCTCGTAGGACAATTGATCAAATATGGACCCGAGAGTAATTTCATGTTGGCAACACAGATGACACAAACCATTCCATGGAACGCATTATTGTGACATCAAGTGATATTTGCACCATTGCCTCGGGTCCAGAGCAGTACCATAGTCACCTTGCCGTCGAAGTTACTCGTGTCAGCTGAAGCAAGGTATGGTGCCTGTTCGATATATTTAGATATGAGGATGCACCCATAAGGAGATGGAGATTGATAACGACCGAAATGCTGCCTTTGAAGATGACAATCTGCGACGATTCAACGCAATTTGGTTTCGACAAGTATATTGTTAGCTAGGATATAGTCTTGAAACTGCGATTGAGCAGTTCGGCGTGAAGGTGCCGATGTAAATGATGCAATTAGCAACACCATTCGTGAGATGTGAGACAAACCAGAAAGCGGGCATTGCGCTGAAAATAGTATACTTTTGAAGCGTACAACACGAGGACAATGGCACAAGCGTTTAGCGAAGTTATCTCTTTGGGCGAGTGTGTAGCCCATTGGCCGCCCTGCCCCTGGATTCTGGAAGGCCGCTAGAAGAAGCTTTGTTCATCTACCAGAGAAGAACTCACGACGCGAATTGAGATCGCGAAACGCGTTCTGAACCAATCACAAAAGCATAGGAGTTGGAAGTGGAAGCTTTTGTTGCTTGAAGTGGCGCGATTCCTAGTCGTGAGCCACATGCATAATGGACCGGGTGAGTTCCACACAACGCCGCGCGCAGCAGACCATGTACTCGCCAAAGAGGCAGTCTCCCTACTCGCGCAACGAGTGACCAAAGACAATTTCCGGGGAACTTGCGTGGACGCAAGTTTTGACAGATTCGAATACGTTGTGGATGGAGATCTGCAACGCAATCGACGCGTGCCACAACAGTAGGCCAGGAATGGTAATGCGGTTTATCTTGGTACGGACCTGAATCCACATCGGTCTTTGGACTCGAGTGCAAAGACTCACGGTTCAGGTGAATACGTTCAGCCGATGAATGCGCACCAATCATTGTTTATTGATTCCTGAGGGCTGCATAAATGTAGATTTGCAAACATCGACACGCGTGTTGTTGATGTATTGTTCCTGCAGGTAATAGGAGAGAGACACGTGACCGACCAGCAATGCGATGGATACGGAACAAGACGGCGATATTCGGCACAGCGCAGATCTGTATCTGGGAAAACGATCACTTGCGTTGCTACTTGCAGGAACAACGGTAGAGTATTTTGTGGGAATGTTCAAAAGCAGTTGAACTCTTTCGAGCATAGGTGGATGTGTGCATGGAAGCATGCACTCGCTTTGGGTGATCATTGTGATCGTTCATCACCATGTTCCATGGAGTAAGGTAAATGATGAGCAGAGTCATGTGCCAAGGACGGGTTGATTGCAATAGGAAATTGTGAAGGTAGATCACAAGGTATTTCGATTCCGGATTTCTAACATTCCCACAAAATACTTCGGAAAATACGTACTCATATTAACTGTTGTAAACCGGTCTCAACTCGGATGGCGGCGACACTGCTGACTATGGGTTCTATGCACAAACTCCATTTTGAGGCGTTCAGTCCACTTTTCTTCATTGGGGATTCTGCTTTGCCGCGTAAGCTATTTTCCATTTCAGTGTGCGTAGTACGGAGTAATGTTGTCAGGAAGTGAAAGGCTAATCAGGTTATACCCGTGAGATGTATAGATTGAAGGGCTAGAATCAAGACAACTGAAGACCTTTGAATAATTCACTCAAGTAAAGCCAAATTCCAGCTGTTCGGTTGGAATGGGATAAATGATGATTGGCCATTGATGAGGAAATTGATAACATATTCTTGTAAATGAACTTGCTCATTCATACCGTCTATGATGTGGATAGGATTCTGTTCGCAAGCGAGGTGATGTTTCCATAGACAAAGGCGTAAGCATAGCATCGCATGGCTCTCTAACATGCTTGGGCAATCACGCGTGCGGCGTGCCATGCCTGAGAAGGACCGGTGAGGCTGGCCAATGCCCACTCACAGTTATTGGATGGGGGACGAGGCCCCAGGACCAAAAATCCCGACAGTCTGGTAAGGACAGAACCTGACTCCTGAAATACACCCTCCACCTATCATGAGTGTCTCAGTGAGAGGGGGGCTGGTCTTGAAGCTGATCTTAATGAGTGCATAAGCCGAGGAGCCTAGCTTTGATCTTTCTGGCAGGCCGCAGCCAGGAATCGAATCAGGGCGCTCCTGACATCATTGAAGCCGGACCCAAGATAGGCTGCTGCAGACTGCTGCAGGAATCAGCCCATGTCGAAAACCTCTCTTGAAGTTCCCGCTCGAATCATCGTGATCGCTGACCTTGTCACACTGACTGGGAAGTTGCGGGAAGCCGGGATGACCTTGTCCTTCTGTACGATATTGCCCGGGTTGGCACGACCCAGACATCGCGACAAAAAGCCGGCAGAAGGAAAATGCCGCCCTTGATCCAATCAGTGTGGTGAGGTAGAGTGTAGAATTGACGCTTATGCAGAGACGTTAACAACGAGGAGCTCGGTTAGGACAGAACGGCACTTGATGATAGAAGAGACTTGCTCTGGACATCGAAAAATCGAGACAATGGTGGCGTTGAGACAAAAAAGCAGCATATGTGCGTTGACATCCATTTAGGATCGTCGGCGCCGACTCAGTCATGGAGCCTGCGAACCCATATTGGAAGTTTTGCCGGTCCTGGTCGCGGTTGCCCTCCCACATCGGCATGGCTGGCTTGCCTTGTGAAAGTAAGTGTGAGGATTTGCCTGTGCCAGGTCAGAATAGAGCAGTAGCAACCCTCGAGGGGCTGCGGGAAGCAAGGTCGAGGGGCCCTGAGGCGATCTCTTCACCTGGTCACCTTGTGATGAACCAACAAGCCGCCCGTCCCAGCGTGTGCCTTTACCCAACGACCAGGCTGAAGCGCCACCGAATGCATCATGTTCGGAAAAACTTCCAGTGATGTGTGAAATGATTTCCATAATGATAAGCAGGCCGGTCCAGGCGTCTTCTGGCCGTTTGGAGGCAGCCATCATCGCAAGAGTGGAGTCCCTGCGGAAAAATCAACCTTTTAACAGAAAACGGTCCAAAACGGTCTAAACGGTCGCTCTTTTCGAATTGGCATGCCGATCTTTTGAGTCTTGACAGGCACTTCAGCCGAGACTTCGTGCTGTTTTGACTGACATCGAATATTGGGCCGGCAGTAGGTGACCACCAACTTGGGCTTTTTAATTTATCTCCAATTTCTTAGCATTCACAAGTTGTCAATAGCGACAAAGGACAGAAAATTGCCCGAAATCTGTCCAATAGACATGCCTGACCTCCTCTGCCATAATCGCGCAGGGCGAGTGAAGCGCATCGTAGGTTGTATCACCGTTGCTGCAGGCATTCTACTGCGGGCTGAACTATTGAACGGCGGGGAGGGCGCCGCGACATCGTTGCACACACTCATACTAGCATGGCCCCGATGGTCCCCGCTGCCCTAAACCCAACCCCTGCTTCCCGTCAGCAACGGACTGCTGGCAAAGCGCAGTATCGACTTTGGAATACTCATGATCTTGCTTTCTTATTATTCTGATTTTTAAGAAGAAAGAAGAGCTAATAAGCGGACATAGAGGCTAAATGGGCAATATTGACCTTTGGAGCAGAGGCGGTCCGTTTCGAATATCGCCCCAAAATGCTCCTCAGCGGTACGACCTTGCCCGGAAAGCCTTCTGTGGTAGAACATATGCATGCTGACGGCTCAAACACACATACAAGCGCTCTGCATTGTGGTCTCAACGGCCCGCTCCAGCTGACCCCTTTGTCAGATGCATACCGCCGAAGTGAACAGTTAGTGGTTTTTTGACTTAACCTGTGCGCTGTAAATACTGAATGACTTGGACGTTGGATAGCATGATAGGCGGAAAGGGCGCACCGCTGTTCTTCATCGCGCTGACAAGTCTTTCATCGAACTTGCACGATTTATGCGAGCTGGATAGCCAGGTCTGCTGTATGGTCAATCTTTCACGTGCAAGTGGACATGCTGGCGTAGAGCATGCAAGGCTTGGCTAAGCAAGAAGCACATCATGAGTGATAGTCGTTGCCACTCAATTGAGAGCGCGGGGTGGCGGATCAGGAGCATCGAAAGACGAGTGGCCCGCCTTGACATCAATCGACATGAGACGCTGGGTAGACAACATGCTGAATTCTGCTTGTGACTCTTTCGCGATACTGAGAGAGGCGAAGGCTTCGCGATACGTGCAGGTTGAAATAGAGTTCATCGTCCGCTCGGTACCTGAGATGTCTCCCTTGTCGTTGAACAGGCCAGGCCGACGATGCTCCCAGGGTTTCTCCGCACTCCACTGCGAACGCCTCGTTCGGAACATTACTTAATCATGTACCATGTCAACCAGGACCCATCATGCCAACGACACCTCAATCGTGAAGTGTTTCTTGATGCGCATCCTTCTGGAACAATGCCACCAAAACCACACAGGTGCCCTTCAAGGACCAAAGGCCGCGCGTTACTGTTTCGACATTGCGCCCTTTGAATCCAAGCAGGCACAACTTGGGGGAGAAGCATGATACGACAACTGGCTGGAGCGCGATTCCTTTATCGTGCCCCGAGCACTTGCAAAATTGGGATTCACCCACCCATCATTGCTCGGAGATGGACTTATCCCTATCGCCATAGGTAGGCCTGTGCTGGGCGATTGACGGACTGGCCGGAATATCTCAAGCAAGATTGGGCGCGTTGTTGTTCCATAACGCGCGAAGTTCGCGTCCGTAACAGCATAAAGGTCAAATTAAACTTGTTATTGTCGGCGCAATCATGGCTCCATCTTTAGAGGTTGTCATCTGCCGAAACAACTCGAGGATGATGCACGGACAACAGCGCATCGCTGGTGGATAAGCTCATGGCATGAAGGACGGAGGCAAGCATGTCGTCGTTGCAATCACCCCCTGAAGGAACCACCCCTGTCTGGCATGGCGCCCCGTTTCGAGCAGGCTGCGTCGCGATCTTGACAGCGCCAAAAGAACGATCATCAGTGATTTTCTGGAGTCCTTGACTCTATCCCGTATGCCATTTCCGAAGCCCACAACGCGTGACCGCTCCGGGCCCTAGACCCGCAGGGCATGCGAGGCCCGAAAGGGTTTAGAGGGGTTGAAGAAAATGCTAGTAGGGGGGCCCCCGGTGAGCGACTGGTTGAAGCCGTCGAGCCGTTTGAGGCGTGAAGTGGCAGGCCGGCGTGAGAAGGCTGATGTGGCCAATTGCCAGTTGGACGGTGGACCGCCGGTGTAACTGCGAAACGGTCCACTAGCGGTTGTGGAGGGGGCATTAATACTTGTATCTGATTGAGAAGAGGTGAGCGAGCGAGCGAGCGAGCGTAGCGTACACAGTACGGTAGGGTAGGCAAGAGTTGACCCTTGAGGCAAGCGAGAAACAGCCCAACTACAGTAGGTGTAGAGCATAACGTAGGTGGGTGTACCTAGTCTAGTGACTGCCTTGTAAGTTGTTCCCTACTCGCACCGGTACTCAATCTTCTCAAGTCCCATTTTTAGTTCCGAGTTCCTAGCTCTTAAGTCTTTTAGTTCCTGCTAGGTAGTTCCCAACTCCGTGCGAGCGAGTAGTGATAGTCAGTAGTGAACATGTGGTGTGGGTAGAGAAGGTGGCGGCGACACGTCGAGGCGGTGACAAGGCGGCGACGCGTTGGTGCAATGATGCGATAATGCGATAATGCGAAGACGAGACAGGAACTACCCAATTAAGTCATCTGAAAGGATGAACATGGTGGAAAACCAGAGAAAGGAGGTATTGTGCACATACCCTGGGTAGTTACTGTTACTGCCTACTCCTCCGTTCCGTACACAGGACACTCTATCTGTGGCTGTTGTTGACTTGTTCCACGGTTTTGCCGATGATGAAGGAGATCAGATGTGAGAAGGATTCGGACGACCGGGGGGGAAGGGAGGGAAGGGCGCGGTGAGGCCCGCATAGCAGGGGGGATGTTGGGAGGGGTGAGGGGAGGGGGAAGAGGGAGGAGGGGGGGGGGATCAGAAGTTGTATTGGGCTTGCTGCAGGTTGGATCGAAGCAGAAGGTGGTTTTGGCTTTTGGGTACGGGCGTGTGTGTGAACACGCGATTGCTCAGGGTAATGATGAACGGGGATATCAGTTCGTGACGAGATCAGGGTATAGGACCGGGGATTATTAGGAGAGATCTGGAAGAATGCGGCGGCTGTGATTATCATGGTGGTGGTGGTGGTGGTAGTCGTAGTCGTAGTAGTAGCCGTGATGGCTGCAGTGGATGAATTACTATTGAACAATAGCGTAGGTACCGTCATGGTCATGGTCATAGTCATAGTCATAGCAGTAGCAATAATAATCATCGCCATTATAGTAGTTACGGAGTATAGCAATAAAACTAATCAGTTCGGAGTACACTCACTCCGCATGTACATACATATCTAGTTACTGTAATTAGTCGGTAGGTAACTCGTAGATGCTACCTCAGTCGACAGGATTTATCCGCGGGCAAGGCGTTGCTAACCAAGGTAACTTGCAAAGGCGTCTCGAACTGGCGATGCGTGTGCGTGCGTGAGAGCGAGTGAGAGCTTTGTGTTCCAACCTGCAGATTTAAAATGAGTGATGACCGAGGATGGGTGAGATGGCCAGATCGAAAGAAAGGGAACTAGTCTGTGGAGGTTGAGTTGATTATATGTACGAGTATGGAGCAGTAACAAGTGCTGATGTGATGTTTTGTGTAATCCCGTAAAATGTGTCTGCCTTTGTGCGAAGGAGTAATAATCCTCTTTATTGTCGTCTTTGTACCTACACAGTACACTATTGACTATATTGCTCGTACCTCATGGGAGAGCCAGCTGCCAGCCATGCTATGCAGCGTATAATACAGTACAAACTTGCCGATACAGGCGTATATTTGAGTACACCCTCAATATAGAAACCTAGAAGGGGTACCTAAACAACGGAGTTACATGTTCAGTTATCAATGCCCGATGATTGATTATTTTTGGTGTTGACAAAGCCATCCAACATGAAAGGAGATTCGCGTGAATCTACCTGAGACTGATGATATATTAATGCAGGTTATTGCTGTTGCTGATGCTGATGTTGATGTTGATGTTATAGTACTTGTTATTCGTTGTTGTGATTGAGCAGGCTCGGTCAGCTCCTTCCTCATTGTAGCGCGCCTTCACTCACTCATTCACTCACATCCAACCGTTCTATCGACCAAAAACTCTTCCCACGCGTCGATTTCGTGTCTCATTCACTCTCAGACACCCACGGATACTCCGTACACAGCACAAACCTTCCTATTATTGATCATCCTCAATCACTTCTTCTCGCCCACCTGGTTTTTCCACTTCTTTCCACTTCGCTCGCTCATCCATCCTCCTGATATTACTCGTGGCAATCAGGAACCCGAATGAGTGCGTTTCATCCTGGACCTCCCGTCTCTCCCATACCTCTACTTGTTCAAGTAGTAACCCCCTGCGAATGCAGTAGCACAACCTGCGACGACTCGAGATAACAAGTCCCTCTGCTTCGCACGGAGTGCCCAGATACGTACACTCAGACACGATTACACACGTCGACACACGTCAACAAAGGAGAGAGCCGGCTACACGCAAAATATCGATCCAGTTTCCGTGGCTACTATTGCTTCGTAAGTACCTGATTTGTGTGTGCGTGTACGGAGTACTCTTTAGGTACATACTCCGTACATATTCACTTCAATTTCAACAGACGTTATTCACCCATTCACCATATTTTATATATCCTAACTCTCTCTCCCCTGTCCTACTTAATCCCCTGCTACGCTTTCTCCGCAGTTGTCTCCGCCATTGACCAGCGTGATCCTCGCCCACGCTAACCTTCGGCAGGTTCGTCACCGTACTCATACAAGCACTGTAAACCATCACAACCCATCATCCGTCACAACCATCACAACCCACCACGACACACACACACACACCACTACTTACCACCGGCTACCGTCTTCGACTAGGTCTGCAAAGTACTAGCCAAAGTATAGTAGCACCACTAGTACCACGCACCAAGCACCGAGCTTGTCGAGCGAAGCAAAAAAAGCACACACCAGGATCGGACGAATTCCCATACCCACGTCGAGCAAATCGAGCAATCGAGCAATCGAGCAAGTCAGGTCAGAGCAATACCTGCCTACTCGTACCCTACCCTACCTTACCGTGCCTTCCTTACCCTACCCTACCCTACCACACCAACCTAGTCGACACTCGACACCCTCCTCACAACGCAACAACCCTGCACCCTCTAATCCCTGACCCGCACGACGCATCACAGCCGCGGGCTCGGCATCCATCCTCGGGCATACCGCCGGCCGTGAAGAACAACGCGCAGGGTGGTGGCTGGACCCGGGAGGCGTTAGTTGTTTTACGTTTATTTCACGGCCCTGCTCCTGCTTCTTGCTAACCTAACTGCACTGCTCCACTATCTCTACCTTACTCTATCTACTACTACTAACCACTGCCTTGCCCTCGTCGCCCACGCTCGTTAACTCGACCACATCGACCACTCACTCTCTCCTGTTTGCTCTACTTGCCTGCCTGGTCTTGTCTTGCAACCAACCCTTCTCCTTCTTTTTTCTTCTACCCTACCTACCTTACCCTACCTTACCCTGCCATACCCTACTTACTGTACCTACTCTGGCTTTACTTTATTTTTTACCCTACCCTACCCTACCTTCCAACACCCCTGGCCCTGCTTCTGCCCTGTCCAGGTCTTGTCCCCCCTCCTATCCAACTATACACGACTCTTTCACACACCTTAACCGTCCTTTCCTTGGAGAGGAACCAGAACAGTACAGGAAGAGTCTTGGTCCGCTTGCTGCCCGTCACCTCGCTCTAGCGGCAACTGCCCCGTGTGCGCGTGAAATTGCGCAGGCTGCGCTACTGCACTCCCAGTTACTACATCCTCGTCGCCCGCGCCCGGACCCATTCGAACCGGCCATCTCTTTCTCTGCTTCTGCCCCCGACAACTGCAATAATAATAACAATGTCGCAGTCGCAGTCGCATACCCAAGATAGGCCCCGGAAGTATAAGGAAGAGCCGGCTCCTGGAGCGGCGCAGAAAATGGTGAGTTGCGTTCCCTGTTCTACTATTCACATCCCGTCTTCCACACACACCGCCATCTTCTTCGCGCCCGTTCGTCTTGCGCTGCAATCGCAATCGCAATTGTAATCCCACCACCCTCGCTCCCCCGATCCTCGACCGTTGCAAGCTCTGTCGCGCGCGCAGCCCCCAGCGTGCGCCGTTGCCCATCGCTTCTTGTCACCGCCGTTGTTGGCTTCATCCTCGCTCATTTTGCATGCTTCTGCAGCCTCTGCAAGCCGCACCCACGCTCCCTCTGTCACCCCAGCTCACGCGCGTTTCTGGCTACATGGTATGCCCTTCTCCGCCAAACAGCCCTGCTACCTGATACCTACTATCCAAGCTCCCACCCCCTGGTCTTGTCGCACCTCTCCCCAACTTCCCTGTCCACGCTGAGCTGCTGCTTCGTCGACGCTTGTCACCACAGAGGCTCTCGCAGCGGAATCCTTGCGACCGCCTTGCGACCGCCATCGACCTGCCACTATCCATCGATGGTCCGCTCTCTGTGTTGTCAACGTCGTCGTCTCCAACAACTCGCGCGCTGCTTTCTTTAGTCTGCCCTTCCCGTCCTATAAACTCAATCCTACCGTCCCGTCCTGTCTTCATCAAGACCCTGCCCCTCGCATATCTCTGAACGCCGCAACCTCGCTCTCCGAGGCGAATCATCCACCCCTCCCCGCACATCCCCCACTGCACATCTTCAATCGCTTGCTTCCCCTGGTACATTGCTTTGTGTTATAATATTCTTTACCCCAACTCGCCTCGTTTTTCTTTACACCTGGTCAACAGCTGGCCGAAGTACAACAGCAGTTTACTGACTTGCGTTCTTCCTCTTCTTCTAGCATCACCCCCACTCGGCGCAAGGCTTGCCACCGCCAACCCATCACCAACAACATCCGCACCCGCACCCGCATCAGCATCAGCATCAACACCCCCAGCATCCGCAGCACCCCCAGCAACACCACCCTCGTCCTGTAGCGGTTCATCATCAGCCTCACCCGGATTCTCCTCACCAGTCCCAACCAGCGCAATCCCCGGCCCAGGCTCATTATCCTTCGCCACACCCGTCCAACCCTCAGGTTCCTCCACCTCATCAATCACCCTACCTCCAGCAAATCCCTGGACCTCAAGGACAACAACAGCAGGACGTGCCTTACTATCCGCACCCTAGCACGTACAGCGCCAACAGTGCACCAAGTAACTACTCAGCTTCAGGTATGTATCAGTACTTTACTCTTTCATCGGCGTGGCGTTCCGATTTTGTGGTGTTTTGTGCGGCGTGCAGATGCCAAAGTATTTATTATGTGGAGAGAGGTGTCTCACGCGTTGCGCCGAACATCAATAAAGATTGAGACATGCGAGCGCCGAATTTCATCTTTGGAGGAGCTATGCTGATTCTTGAACAGAAGGTCCAGAATTGATGGCCGCTGCGACAATGAACAGGTCGGGGTACCCGCCGATTTCTTATCACACACCTCAATCCAACTCGCCAGCTTCAGTGCAATCTCCTCAGCATGATCAACATGGACGTCCCATCTATGGCCAACAACCTGCGCAGATGCAACAGCCGCCGATGTATTACACTCCATATGGGAACACTGGGGTTCCTCAGCACTCGCCCTACCCTCAGCACCCATCTACGCAGCAACAGCAACAGCAGCCGATGACCAGCTCCCTTCTCATGTCTCATCAGCAGCCAGGACAGCCACCGATGCATCCGCATCAGCCTCATCCGAACACTCCTGGAATGCCCACAGGTAGCCCGAAGTCGCGTATGTCGCAAACCCCATTGCAACGACCGCCATCAAACCTAGGCGCTCCACCCCAGGCTCCTCCTCAAGGTCCTCCAGTCGGCGCACCAAACATGCATGCAGGCGGTCCTCCAGGCTCAAATGTGAACCCCAACGCTGCCCCGGGCCCGATTCCAGCAACCACCCCGCTAGTGGTTAGGCAAGACCAGAATGGTGTCCAGTGGATCGCTTTTGAATACTCGCGCGATCGCGTCAAGATGGAGTATACTATCCGATGCGATGTCGAATCCATCGATGTGAAGGATCTCCCGCAAGAATTCAAAACGGAGAACTGCGTTTATCCCCGCGCATGTTGTCCCAAGGATCAGTACAAGGGAAATCGTTTGGCCTACGAGACCGAATGTAACCATGTTGGTTGGGCACTCGCACAATTGAACCCCTGCCTCAGAGGCAAGAGGGGCCTCATCCAGCGAGCAGTCGATAGCTGGCGTAATAGCAACCAAGACCCTCGTCTGCGGAGTCGACGCGTACGACGACAGGCGAAGATGAACAACAGGAAGGCTGTTAATGCTTCCCATGGTAACCCTATGACTGGGCCAGGTGCCTCAGGCCCAACTGGGGTGTCACCTGGCATCCCAGCTCCACCTCAACAGATGGGTATGGGAGGTTCGCAGTTGCATCATCACCATGAGCATCCCGGCGGACCTCCAGGAAGACCAGAAGATGTTAGCGGTATGTTTCACCAGATGTGATGACTTGGTATTTGGGCGCGTTTTGATGGATTTACTGTAATCATGATACCTCCTGTCGTTTCCGCACTTGCATATACATGTACATTACATTCCTTGATGTAATTCCCCTTTTGAGATACCACTACCCCACGCAAGCACACACTATCTTTTGTTAGCCACACCCGCACTTTGCACCCATGTCTACTTGTCGTTTAGCGAAATTGGCGAGGTTGATAAGTTACTCTATTTTTTGAACGTGCATGCTAATTTTCCTTTGTATAGCCAACGAATATCCCGAGGGAGCTACCCATCACCATCAAGCACCCAACGGACAATCATCACCAAACAATGTGCGCCAAGCTCAGAATTTCTACCCGTCCTTTCCCACCAACGATTCGGTAGCGGGGTCGAGTGGCATGCCGCCAATGCACGATGGAATGGGCCATCCCCCACCTCCACATGCTTCGGGTGTACCCGTCGCAAAGCACGATCAAGACGAGGAAGAGCGAAAATTGGCCATGTTCGGCGACCTACCTGAGTCGAAACGGAGGAAATTCATTCTCGTCGACGATGCTCAACGCGGTACACGCGTGAGAGTTCGAGTTACGCTCGATACAGTAAAGACTGAGGAGATGCCTGATTCGTACCGCAAATCGAACTCGGTATTCCCCCGCAGCTACTTTCCTATGCAAATGACATCTCCGCCAGCCAGTCCCCGAGGTAGCCGCGTCTTCAAGGACGAGGCGGATTCGGAGAGCGACCCTGGCTTCCCTCTAGCGGGCTCGTCCCTCGTGCCTGTACCAATTATCGAAGGAGAGGCGCAAGTTCCGAAACCGCGCCTTACCAGAGCAAAACGATCGAAGGAGATCACGTTGAACGATCTGGGCTATCGCATGAGCTGGAGCCAGAGCCGAGTCTTCGCCGGTCGCACGTTGTTCCTACAAAAATCTCGTAAGTAATTGATACCAGCAGCGATGATACCCAGTGACTTACATGTGAATAGTTGATGCATACCGCAACAAGATGCGCAGCAGCATGATGGGAGCTGGTCACGATGTTACGGCAGTGGCACCACACTTCGAAACCCGTGTCGGGAAGCGCAAGTGGAACGAGAGGATCGAGAAGAACAAGAAGTCGAGGCGCGATGCCTCGCCTTAAGAAGTGCCCGACAAGCACCCATGTTGTGATTGAATCCCCTAGTTCAACCTCGCAGCCATACCCGCTTTTCCGGCACTTGCATGGGCCCCTTACGAACGACCGGGGGTGAATACTCTTTTGAGCACGGCACTACAACCCATGTAACAGCCCGTCCTCTCGTCAAGATCGATACCCACACCTTCTGTTTCACGGTGCCTTGGGTTTCAGGACACATCCCCAAACCGACGTCATTGACGCCTGCCCTTACGATTGCTCTCTCTTTGCACCATGAGCATCTACACTTATACATACTCTCAAAAAAAAAAAAGCATCGGCCATGTACCTTATCGCATGCGCGCCGGCATCATTAGATACCCCTTGTATTGTCCTGCAAGTAATGTTTCTCTTGCAACGACACCCCTGTCCTGCGCTGCATTTGGCCTTAAAGAAAAATACGCCTTCTTTTCGTTTCCTACGTGATAGTTCTGGCTTTATCTGATATCCTGTGTGACACATTGCGAATACATGCTGCGAGGTGGACAGTTCGTATTATATTTCGGTAGGCATTGGTGCCAAAAGAACAGAAGGCGATTTTCGGACAAGTATAAAGATGGGATCGAGGAAATACGGGCTTTTGGAATAGTGTTCATACGCTATTCCGTACTTTTGTCTCTTTCCTGGTGAAAAGATATTACACAGTGCGCGACATCCTTGCGTCTCGGTTTAAATTTGCTTTTCTGATTGTTCTATGTTTAATGATTGATAGAATGGTATCTTGAGAACAATATAGCTTCTCCCTAATAGTCCGTACACACTCACTCCATAACCTCGTCCCTAATCATCGTGAAAGGATGATAACCGGACTAGGGAATCTCCGAGCAATTCGTCATCGAAAGCATGCATGATTCGTGTCGTCTATCTCTGCACATCCCAGGTAGTCAGAGAGAGGGACGGCATGATAATTGATTAATTGATAACTCAAAGGGAACGAGGCCCCCACCTTGACCGTTGAGCGCATGGTCCCACCTGGGAACTAACCGGGCGAACGACAGAATACCGAAGTATGTGCACTCTGTACTGCACTGCATAGTAGCACTTGCCAGCCCAGCTTCTCGCGTGCCATTCAAGTCATCAACACCAAGCAGATGGAACTCAAATATTTCTACATTGCGCACACCGTTCTGTGCCTGAACCGCATGTACATGTACACAGTCTCTCCCCTCGTCTTGTTATCTCGTTCTCCCCCTGCAGGACCGCCGGCCCAGCCCGATGCGAGGCAAGATGCAAATTCAAAGATCCAACAAGCTTCCCCTTGCTTGTCAATGCCCAATATGGCCATATGCCCCGTCGTGCGGCGGGGAAGGAGGACTACGCTACAGTACCTGTCGTAACCCGTGACAAAAGTCGCATCGCCTTTTCTCTCTTGTTCCTTTCGAGTCTTGCCCGTTTTTGAATCTTAAAAGCTAATGCTGTGTGCCCTGTCCCGTGCGATATGGCGGGGAATGCCTGTTTTGCCTTACCTGTTACTACGGTAAGAGATTCAATCTTCTGTGAGATTATTACTCCTTGGGAAGTTTTCATTTGTCTTCGGTTGGGATAAGCATGCACGAGTATGAGCTATTGAATATCTAGCATCCAATTCTACTGAGTAGTGGGTTTCAATAGGAAATATAAGCCAATAGTGAAGAATACTTGGTCAACGACAACATGGAGCCCTTTCCCATTTCCTTTCCCCGCTTCCTTCATTTTCCGACTTTTCACTTCGATATGTATTGCCTGCGTGTGAAACTGTTGGAGGTGGATAATAGAGTGGAGGTATCATGCGTGTGGATCGTAACATCGCGTGTGTCTGGTCTCATAATGGGCTACATGTCTCGCCTTCCTCACCTCACCCTCAGGAATCGACGGATGTCTCCGTACTTTCCAGATCTATGCTTGTCCTTCCCTTGAACGTCATGCCTACACTAAACCGCTATCCAACACAACAAATCTACAACTCCTCGGGCTTCCAACCCGTTGCGAATCATACACACCCACACCCACAAATGCACACTAGATAATTCCTCCGTACATCCACACGGCCCCACGAATCGATACTCCGTACTCGAATCGCGAACAACCCATTTGCCTTTCTTCGCCAACCAATCTAGTCCGTTTCGTATCCTCCTTCATCGTACATACCTTCCTAAGTCTACACCTAAGTTCCAACATTTCGGCGTCCCCGCGAACTGACTAACCAAGTCCACTGTCACGTTGGATTCTCGAGTTGGTTCCCCTCTACGTGCCTCGGCAAATCTCTACTTTGGACTGTGAGAAAGCAAAGCGATGAATAAGCCAACCGTCGAAGGTTTGTTGTTATTGAATCGATGGTGATAGGTAACAAGTAATAGGTAATGACTACATTAATGACAACCCTTTTCGTCATGCATGTACGAATACCCCTTCCCCTCTCTTCCCCTCCACTCGTACATACCTACTCGTAGTTACGTACGTAGTAGTTACGGCATTGCTTCATGCGGAATTGGGGAATGGAATCCCATCCCCTATCAATTAGCTGGAGCCAACGCAACGCTAAGCTAGATGCAACGGGTGATTGGTCGGAAGGATTTTTGCTCTTTTTCGGATGATGGGTCGTCCTTTTTCCCCGATCGATTGAGCAAGCTACGAATTGGGAATCAAGCCGCGTTACATTTACAATTTTACATTCACGGTCACTATCTGAATCGTTTTCGTCTGCAAAAGGAGAGTCCCTCGAGAACTCGACTTAGCGCGACTTGTCAACGGCGCAAAAAAAGAAAAGAAGAGAACTCTGCATTGGGCATACTTCTCGGTGGGGAAATTTTCTTTTCCTTTTCGTTCTCTTTCGAGCGACGAACGACCGAATGGGGTTTTTGGGTGGATTATGGCGTGCGCGGTGCCTGACGGAAAACGGTCGATCCGCACGGCGCAACCCAGTCCAGGGGTGTGTTCGTTCATGAGTCTGAGATTTTGCTTGAGTATCCACTCAACAAGTCTCTCGTCTTTCCTTTGCTCTTTGCTTGTATGCTTCTGATTTCGAGGTTCGGAAGAAAAGGCCGATTGATCATCCTATTCTACCTAGGTACTTGTTCACAACGCAAGATGAAACACAAGACATCATCAACACTCACCCAAATCCAATCCCTTCACATTTAGATCAAGAAATCGGTAATTAGTATCACCTGGCGTGTTACAACATTACCAGTATCATCCCAAGACAACAACAAGAGAACGTCCGATGACGCGTAAACCGAACCCTTTCCCTCCCCATCGCCCCATCCAGCCATACTCCCCCTCTTCTCAGGGTTTTCCTCACCACCCACGCGCGACTGCACGTGGGGACCCTGCCAATTGGCTGGCCCCCTCCCCTCCCCTCCCCTGCCGACGGTGGTTCTTCGTTCCTTTTTTTTTCTCTCTGGTTTGGTTTGGTTTGAGTTCGCCCTTGTTTTTAAGGCAGGCAGGGCAAGCAGACGAGCGAACGAACAAACGAACGAACGAGTGACCGATACGCTAGGTTTTTGGGCCCCCCTCCCCCCTCCACACACACACACACACACACACACACACATATGTATCCCCCCCTTGTCTTGGACGAACCACGGTTACGATTGGACAGGGTTGGGTGATGATGTTTAAATTGACTACCACCACGATAACATGATGAAGCACGAAGCCTACACAGTTGTAAATGAAATATTAGAAGAACAATGAAAAAGGGGAAAAACAACAGTCTCTGCTCGTGTTGTAGTCAGTTGAACCCATCGTTCAGCTCGGTTACGAAACGAAAAGGTTAAAAGGTTTGAGTTAAGGTGATTATTTAGTTGTTAGTTCTTATGGAAGTGCGGGCGAGCAGGGCCGGTGGGAAATTCCGCTTTATTGATGGGAGTCGCCCATATTCGACGTTAGCTCTTATCGTTGCAATCTAATCTTGACAGCGATAGCCCGGCCATTTTTGCAATCAGTTATAATGTTGGATATTGCACTATTGGGGGTACTTGTGGGATTGGAAAAGTTGTTTCGGATTTTTTCTCTTGGATTTGGTTGTTACTAACGTTGTTCATCTAATTTACAAAAGTACAGAGTACGGAGGATTGCTTTCCCATTTGAAAGAACCCTCCCGTCGGGTCGACTGCTTCGTCATTCGCGAGCCGCTTCATCTCCACAATGAGGTTCTAGACTTCTTTCCATCACACCTCTTATATGCTATGGGAGACGCATCGCGGTGTTTCATTCGATGGTCGTCGGTTCGACGGTCGACATCCCCGCCGTGCCCGCGTGCAATCCCAAAGTCGTGGAAAGGGCGAGTAGACTTTGAGCGTGAGATGAGTTGCGGGCTGGTGTTGGTGGAAAAAGAATGCGTAATATGTATCCAGCATGTGATAATTACCATCTCTTGCATATGCCAAACGAGCCACGCTGTATGACCACGCTGCAATGGATAGGAAGGTATATTGCGTCATGAAATACCCAGCCTGAAGGATGTGCCTGAAGGATGTTGCGGAAATAATGGACATGCATCATTCGCCGGCCGATGCATTGTCATTCGAGTCACAATTGTGATGACTTTGGATCTAGTATCCTTGATTCGCACGAGAGATCAGCGCCTCACGCGTCCACTTCGTGTCGTTTTGGCTTGGCTGGAAGCTGTGGGTGCATCGAAGGAACGTGCCGCTCGCTTTCTGGCTGTCGCTGTAGAGGCAGTCGCGTCTACATCCTCATCTGCTTTTCTCTTTCGAGACGCTTCTTGTGGTGGGATGCGGGTGTTATGGCCATTATTCGTCAAAGACCTGGAGCCTTTCGCATCAGAGTCGTCAAGCTCCATTTGGTCTTCGGCTGCCAGAGTATCTTGACTTGGTTTCGACAATGGCGATTTAGACCGAGGAGCTTCATTTTTGCTCTTAGGTCCTGCTGAATTGGCTGTTGCGGAGCCTTCTTTTTGTCGAGCTAGCCAGGAAAGTAGGTCTGCAGATTCCGTTTCACCGTCCTCGTCCCCGTCGCCTTGGTTGAGCATATCGTCGGCGAGTTCTCCTGCAATGTCATCTCCCGCATCTTGGTCATTCATCATGCGCATGGCAAACTGTAGCAACTGCTCAGGGTCCATACCACTGAGCGGACCGCCCGCTGCAGCGAGATTCTTCTGCAGAGAGGCCATCAATGCTGCCGCATCTATACCAGCACCGCCGTCTTCCTCGTCGTCCTCCTCGTTGTCTTCATCTTCCTCCACCAGGTCTTCTTCCTCCAATTCCTTGGTTTCCTCGTCATTGGGTCCAAGCTCCGATCCATCTGTCGCCTTTGCCTTTCCTTTGGCAGTTGTACCCCTTGGTGACGCAGACGCCCAGGTAGGCACACTCGCCAGTCGAACTCTCCAATCCTTTAGCAGAGCATATGGTTCGAGTCCGTCGTGTATGATCCTCGGCTTTTCTTCCCGATCTGCTTGTGCGCGCCATACAACGGGTGGCAGTACTGGTTGACCAACACTTGGTGAGGTTGATCTCCTATCATTGAGTTTTCGCACCTTCTTGTTTCGTCTACTGTCCCCTACTCGCTTCCTCTTATTCTGTGATGTATGTCCGCTCCGATGAGGTTCAAACTTTGCGTCGTCGTAACCGTCCGATGCGTACTCTAGATCGTTGAAGTAATCGAACCGGTCCCAGTTGAGCGTTGGATCTTCTTCGTCGAGGCAATTAGGAGGAGGCGGCGAGCCAACGGCATGCTCGGCAAGATCATCAGCAGCAGTGTATTCATCCTCAACATAAAACCAATCATCGTCGAACTCGATGTAATCTTCATCTCCGTAGTCGCTCATTGTGAACAGTGACAGCGCTAGTCTCGCTATATTCCAAGGATGTCTGACGCTCTTGGGATGTCTCGAGTCTTCGGCCTTGGTATTTCTGAGTCGTCTGAGGCTCGAGGATTATACAACGGCTGGGGGCGCCGCTTGCGACTATAGACAGCGTCTTCGAGGTTGTCACGCTGGCTCAGCGTTTAGGAATAGTCGTCATAGGGTAGCGTTTTCGAGACCGATGGGTGATGTGAACGATGTGATTGCAGCCACTCGTGCCTATCATGTGAGAACAGTGGACTTGAGATGCGGAGTCGTCAGTTGGTTGTGGATCGTTGAACGACGCAGCTAGTTGCTGTGCCGGATTTTGACGTGGAATGCGCGGGGCCAATAACGGCTGTCCCGGAAGAACGACGCTCAGTCAAGCGTGTTGAGCAGGTCCGATGACCCAGAAGTTGATATGGGCGAAGAGTGACCACGCTGTAAACCACTACGAAGACAATGTAGTGAAGCTGTTGTGGGGCGGAGGCGCCAGTGCAAACGCGTGTTCGTCGACAAAAGTCCGTGTCGCGAAAGTGAATCTGGCAATGGCGTCTGCCAAGACCTTCTTCGTACGGTCAGCAGCGGCTTTAGGGCGGCCGAGGTACCCCAGACTTCACCGTATGGGGGAGAATGAATTTCTAGCAAAGGAATTCCTCTTTGCTTCCTGAATGTGTTTAATTTTCTCCTTTGTGTAATATCTGTGACCATGCGTGCTGTACGAAGATCTTCCAAACTTTCCCGCCAGCTCCTTACTGCTCAATCGTCTTCACGAGTGCGCCATAGCTCTACATCAAATGTAGTAGCTCGGCCCCTCACTTCAGTACTTATAGCAAATCGTGGTGAAATCGCATTGTAAGATACGTTCCAGATATCCGCAGATCGTCCCGCATGCTCACAGATCCTCAGACGAGTAGGCCGAACAGCTTCAGAGTATGGCATTCGTACCACGACCCTGTATACCGATCCCGACTCTCGATCACAGCATGCCTTGAGCTCGCCCTTCGCGGTGAATCTCGGAGACCCTTCCGCATACCTTGATGGTGATCGAATTATCGAGATCGCAAAGGAGCGAGGGTGCCAGGGTATACATCCGGGCTATGGATTCGTAAATCTACCTACATGTCCATTTATAGTAGATGCTGGCACTGACAATCATGGTAGTTGAGCGAGAATCCAAAGTTCGCAAGGAAATGCACAGAGGCTGGGATTACTTTCATTGGCCCACCATGGCAGGCAATTGAATCAATGGGAAGCAAGAGGTAGATCAACTTTGTCGTACACAAGAAGATATCTACAGTGCTGACTCTAGGTTATAGCGAATCTAAGGATATCATGACCGCTGCTGGCGTGCCTTGCATTCCAGGATACCACGGTCGCAATCAAGATCCCGAGTATCTTAAGTCCGAAGCTGCGCAAATTGGTTACCCTGTCCTCCTGAAAGCTGTAAAGGGTGGAGGTGGAAAGGGTATGCGAATTGTCAACACCCCAGAAGAGTTCTTCGATCAGCTCTCTTCCGCAAAGAGAGAGGCTCGCAACTCATTCGATGATGAGGTTATGCTGGTAGAGAAGTACATCACCACACCTCGACATATCGAGGTCCAAGTCTTCGCCGACAAACACGGAAACTGCGTTGCACTGGGTGAACGAGACTGCAGCATCCAGAGAAGACACCAAAAGATCTTGGAAGAATCCCCTGCACCTCATCTTAAGGAAGAGATTCGTCAGGACATCTGGGAGAAGGCGAGAGCTGCAGCACTAGCTGTCAAATACGAAGGTGCCGGAACTGTTGAGTTCATTTTCGACAACGACACTGGCGAGTTCTTCTTCATGGAGATGAACACGCGATTGCAGGTTGAGCACCCAGTGACCGAGATGGTCACCGGGGAAGATCTCGTTCGATGGCAACTGATTGTAGCGGAAGGGGGCCGTCTACCTTTGACACAGTCAGAGATCGAGCAGAGGATAAAGGAGCGGGGTGCTGCCATCGAAGCCCGGATTTACGCAGAAAACCCAGATATGAACTTCATCCCCGACTCGGGTATGCTTCTTCACGTGCAGACGCCCAAGGCCACTCCTGCTGTTCGCATAGATTCCGGGTTCGTGGCTGGAGATGAGGTGTCCTCGCATTACGATCCCATGATTGCGAAACTCATCGTCCAGGGCCCAACTCGAGAGGCTGCCATTCAGAAGCTTCGGGCTGCGCTTGAAGAATACGAAGTGGCAGGCCCAATCACCAACATCGAATTCCTAAAGAAGATCTGTGTCAGCTCTGACTTCGTCGAGGGTAACGTCGAAACAGGCTATATTCAAAAGCATCATTCCGAGCTCTTCACCCCCGTAGCACCCGAGCCTGAAGTCTTCGCACAAGCTGCTTTGGGTCTTGCTCTGCAAGAGATCCAGTCATCGACCAACGACCCATTCACCGCACCTCCCGTTACAGCGGCCGGCTTCGGCGCAGGTTACCAATCACGAGAGTACAATCTTGTCGAGATACCGGCAGATGGGAAGGGTGCCAGTACGCCGACAAATGTCCAGATCCGTCAGACAGCCCCCTCGCAATTCGACATCACCATTGGTGACCGCACTTTCTCCAACGTGTCGTCTACTTTGAATACCTCATCCTCGAATCTATCATCCTTCTTCCCCCATACTCGCCTATCTACCACTTTCATCCGCGACGAAGATCGTCTGACACTATTCCAGCAAGGTCGACAGTACCGCTTGCAACTCGCTTTGCCGAAATGGGCAGAAAAGGCATTGGGTGTCAAGGATGTCACAAACAGTGTACTAGCACCAATGCCGTGCAAGGTTCTCAGAGTAGAGGTCGAGGAAGGAACCGAGGTCAAGAAGGATCAACCGCTGGTTGTCATTGAGAGTATGAAGATGGAAACTGTGATCAGGAGTCCACATGATGGTGTCATTAAGAAAGTTGTCCACAAAGCTGGGGTAAGTGTTTCTTCCGATCTTTGTGCAATCATTGTTATGATATTAACACGGTACAGGATCTTTGCAAGGCTGGTACGGCACTGGTTGAGTTTGTGGAGCAAGAGTAGACTTGGGCACCATCGTGATGCAAGCACTCACGAATTACAAAAGTTAATTAATGATAAAAATGATATCACAACCAAACTTGACACATTTCTCCCTGTCGTGACTTATGACATCTTTATCGAGTTTCCGCTACAACCAAGCAACATCACTGCTTGAATTGACACAGTCTCCATCTCATACTTTGCTAGTTCAGAAGCAAGGTATATGCATCCCTCTGCGTATAATATTTCCATATGCTTGTGTTCTGCTGCGTAGGTCCGAAATACAAAGGGTTGGCACGTCGGGCTAGCCACCTGCTAGCTTCATGTGTCTTCTAAAGAATTTTTTAAAGAGTGTATTGTAGCAAGTAAATAGTCTTGAATCCTCGAAATAAAACCTCGCAAATGCACTGCAGTGGGCATGAAATACTAGCAGGGGGGCACCCCTCCGTGCCAGCCCTCTGTACATAATTGGTATTTGTATCGTCCTGCGTATCGTTTCGCCGTACTGCTCGTGTCATGCTGCATAGGTCCGAAATGGACAGCTGTCGGACCGAGCACGTCGGACATAGACCTGTAATGCGTTTGTTGGAAGCAAAGAGGCAAAAAAGCGATTCATGGAAATTGCGTGGCACTTCAATTTGTTGTATTTACGCATGTACGTCCAAGTCACGAAATAGTAATCAGCACACGTATCAAATTAGGAGGCGAGACCTTTGCAAGTGTATCCATTACCCAGGTAATGGCTGTGTAAAAGTAGATTGTCCCTCATCGTAAATCGCGATCGAGGCATATGATATCGGTACTGTGGTAAAAGGCTGAGCCCGTAGACCTATGTTGGTTACTCAACGTACCAAGTTACACCACGGATCGGGTACCTTGCGGGTGTAATGGGACGCAGATATATATATTGTCCAAGTGCGGAAGTCGTACTCGGCATCGTTGACGATCCTGTGATACGTTGCTGCCAAAGGATCCAGTCATGCTTCAGGTCTCGAGTACTGATACTCCCTCGAATTACAACACGTAAAATGCAATACGTTATCATTGGCGTTTTGGGTTGGGAGACGAATCATTGTGGCATGTATGCGATCTTGTATGCTGCTTCATGCTCGCAAAACCCTTTGGAATTGGATAAAAAGGTAAAATGAGCGCGTCATAGAAAGCAGATGTACAACACCAACGAGGGGAGAAGGAGTAAAAGTAATCTTAGAAGTCTATGTGGGTGGTGTCAACACATTATTGGCGTTGCTGCCAGAGTACGATCTCTTGTATCTTCAAAAGCTATATATTGCGCAGGAGACTCAAGGACAAATTCAAGTTATCAACATCCTACACCATCACTTGCATAACGAATACGGATATCGCTGCCTATCACTGATCATGAACGCAAAACTCGCAGCTTCGGCACTCATCGTGTCTTTTGTTCAAGCCAATATCCTTCCACGTGCCGAACCGCTACGGACCTTCATTGTCCCTTTGCCCACGCAGGCGCAGCCATTCACTTCCACAGTACGAGGATGCAGTGATGTACCGCCTTTTGCTGTTGTTGGTGTTCCAACGGGAACTTTCCGTAAGTTGATCGAGGCACCATAGGCCTCTATTTAGTTAACCCGTTCCAGGACCTGAGACTATTACAATCTATGGTCCCCCCCAAGCAGACCCAACCTCGACCACGATTATTGACCCAGCCTCCAACGCCACCGAAGTCATTATCATCACTCGATTGCAAGGAGAATGTGCTTCATTCCCACTTCCAGAACCTACTCCAACTCCCCCCAAACTCACCGGCAATCCCACTGGAGGCGCGCCCACAGGAACACCAACTCCAAGCGCAGAAGCCTGCCCGGAGAATGGATGCCAGGCCAAAGTAATTAGAGCCGCCCAGAGCGTCATCGACGCCATCAACAAAGTGACTCTACTCTCTCAGGATCTCCAAGCTGCAGCCAGGAAGATAGGAGACCCTGTTTCGAAGCGAGACCTCGCAGCTGCACAAGCGCCATTTGATGATGTCGCTCGTGGCCTTAGAGGCATCTCGGTCACCTTGTCCGTCTCACTGCCGCGCCTCACAGTCTTGCCTCCCTTTCCTCCAGGGTGCGATACCGACGCCATTGTAATCGCTTTGATCCAGTTTGTGCGGGTGCATCAAGCGCTGTTGAACATTATCATTGGTCGCCGAGGCGTACTGGAGAACAGCCCCATCAGGAGAGACACAATCGAGGATGCTGTACTAAGGCGTGAACCCGTGGATCTTGAGACAGGTGGAGAGGCTGCGATCATTGGACCGGCTATCGCAGCAGGTCTACGTGCGGTCGAAGGTGTTGTCGACACACTGGCTTTCCAGATCTTGAGGCTTGTTCCTACTCGCTCGGAGTGTGCGAAGCAGCAGAAGGAAGCCATTGACGGATCTCTTTCAGAGGCTATCACTCAGTACGAGAGTTAGAATGTTCTGATGGTACGATACGCCATTGGCGTAGGCGGTTCAGTCTGGAAAGAAAGATTGGTTTTTTGCTGAAAGGTTAAATTGGTGGAATAACGTTCCTTATTTAATACGAATGAATAGTCGCTCTTTTACTGGGATGAATGAGGTGCATCTAAGCAGATAGTCTCGTAAATATATTCAAGTACCATCTTGAGGTTGCTACAATCAAAAGCCATGTACTGAACCGACCGCCCCCCACATCAATGCAAAGAACGTCACTGAACCACATCAAAGAACCGTAGCATTTCAATGAAGTCTCTATTCATGCATGTATGTTCTCACAATTAAATCTTCACATGAACGGCCTTTCCAGTTGAGTGAACAGACGTGTTTGCAACTACCTCAATGGCATAACCTATCAGTCGATTGCCTCACCTTCTATACATGTACTCTTCTTTGTATTTTCCCCGTACAACATATATACATCTCACCAAGTGAAGGTGGTGAGAGCGGTGAAGCAAGTGAAGGCGGTGAAGGCGGTAAAGGAAGGCGTTTGCTCTCACAGCTTCACTAACCTAACCACTATATAAGTTTCAACTTTCCTTCCATCCTTCCTTCACTCTTCTTCCTTCACTTTCTACCTCAGAACCTTTCAAACAGGCCTTACCCACCGAAGCTGTCCATCTATACTTCTTTCCTATCTGACACCTTCTTCACGCTGGCCGAGAACTAGCCGTCCTCCGGTATATTGCATGCGCAAAAGGCAAGCTGTCATCGAGTTATCACCACAGCTAAAACACCTTAAACTTCCTAAGAGCACCTGATTTGCTACTTCAACACTCTCGGTATTATTCAGATTGTCACAATCTCACCCTTCGTCGCAGGCAGAGGCTGCCAATGTCACCTATCTCGCGCAGATTGTGCAAGCCATCACCTCCCACGTTTCCCGAGGACACCAGAATTGAAGGTTAGACTAAAAGAGATTTCTCGGGAACCCTCTGTCAAACCTTGACACAACATCACGATCGCCACAGTCAACAGAGAAAGACCGTTTTGTGCTGATTCTCGACGAGAAGGTATGTGAAGCCGTTCTGGACTCACTGGACGCTGGGCTCCGCTAATATCAGACCAGGTCTTACCACTATCAATCACCTCATTCAATATGAGTGACGTCCCAAAAATCGGTTCTGCGCCCAAGACGAGCTTGAAGAAACCTTCGAGTAGAGTTGGGAAGAGCCGAGAAGCACACAAAGTCAGCAACAAGAAGATCCAGCTCACTAAAGGTGACCCGCAGAAGACTCGAAGTTTTGTGAAACTCGATTGCAGTGAAGGAGAACTTACGGCATATCTCGGCTATACTGATGTGGCGCAACTCCGAAATTTTGCCCTGTCTCCATACGTACTGAAGTTTTACAACCACCTACTTGAAGATGACGATCCGCTGCGGAAGTATCAGGTCTTGGAGTTGCTTCGAGATCGCCCTGGGCTGTTCACAACTGACGACAAGCCATCAAGAGTATTTCCATTTCAGGAGGATAAGAAACACATCGCTCATCGTCAGGCACTCAGCACTGCACAGATGGTTCGCGCCATCAGAAAAGGGGATTTTTCGCAAGCTATCGTCCAGACTACCCATTCGCGGTTTGAGGAGCTCACCAAGCGCAGGCCTCCACCAATTAATATGGCCGACTTGAGACTGCCAACGTTGGGTCCGCTGAAGAAACTAGGAGAGGACGATTTGGAGGCATATAATAGAGCGATCAATCTTCTTCGCTATATCCGTTATTCGACGAACAATTCAGTCTGGCCCAAGCGATTTGGGTCTCAGAACTGGGATAACGCCATCACTGTCAAACCATCCCATATCCCTGTATGGATGCGACCAGAGAAGATGGTTTCTTCAGAAAGCGCCTTTTTGAATGATGTGGGCGAACCTACTGCAGAAGATGACCAGGCCGGACTGGGTAAAAGCCGACTAGTGGTCAAGATGATATGGCGATTGGAAGCAATGGACGCAGAATCGCAGGCTTTCAGAGAGCACATCAAAGAGATGGATCCAGAGGTCTCTTTACCAGGCACCATGCAGCTGATCCACATGGAGCCATCGACCACCGAAGCGCAGTTCCGTGACTTCATACGGCAACAGTACTCGATGCAGGAAATCAAGGCAGAGATTGACCACGTCTGCTTGAGGGTGGATCCAGGTGAGAAGTCGGACCAGTTTTACAGCTTGTCGAGTTCAAACTGGGCAGACTTGAAGGAAATCTTGTGGAATGCCGCCTCTGCTAATGCTGAAATTCCCTACGACACTGCACTTCCAAACGCTATCTTCTACCTATTCGTCAGGAAAAGCGATATTGGCGTTCCTATCGAGGAAGAAATGGAAGAAAGGTCAGGATGAATCACTTACCTATATCATGATTACAGGGGGTAAATAACGCGTGAGGGCTGGAACCGTTCAAGCCACCGAAGGGAGCTTCAATCCACTGAAACTATTGCAAAAGGTGGAAGAACGGAATGGCAAGCAAGGAGGACGCGGGTATCAGACACTGGTTTATTCACTCGACTGGCTAAAAGGTAGATATCCCAAAAAGCATTTTTTTCTCCTTCATATCCACACATACAGATCTATCAGTAACTCACCTCGGAAGGAGAGGACTCAACACTGGTATGATATACAGGCACAAATAGTGCCCGCTGCCCTCTTGTAGGTAGACAAGAATACTTAGGTTTTCAGCTATTCTGCCTACTTTGGCTTACAACAGCTACTATTCCAATAGATAGAATTCACAATCATGCTGCCTAAATTTTCATATACTTTACTAACTTTCGATTCTTCTAGTATAGGTACCTGGTTACGATACTCTAAAGCACCCCTAGAGTGATCTTGTACTTTAAGATATAGACTAAATAAAAGTAATCTGTAGGCAGATTAGTAGATTAAGATAATACTTAATAAAAATATAAATAAGTGTGCTGTATACAGAAAGTTTAATTATAAACTTATAGAAAAAAAATCTTCTACACCGCAGTCATTTAGACAGCACCCCATCTTTCCGCGAACCGGTCATTCCCTGGATCCCTGTTTCTCTCATACTCACTCGCATCTGCCAGCAGATCCGCCGTCTCCTTGCCAAACACCTCCTCCAACCAAGCGTAAATCATATCGATGCCCGCCGCGATGCCGGAGCTCGTCCAAATGTCGCCGTCCTTGACCCATCGCGCCTTAGGAACCCATTCCACCTTCTCATTCTGCTCGCGGACCTGTTGAGAAAACGAACACGTTAGAAAATTCAATGACTCGGTTGGCTGTATCGGACGAACAGGTACGACGTCGAACAACGCCTAAAAAAGTAAAGTAGAAGGAAAACGAACGTACCCAAGAAAAAGCCTTCTTATTACTCGTGGCCCGCCTACCATCCAGCACACCACTCTTTGCCAAAATCGCACTCCCGGTACAGACCGTCAAGATCCACCTCAACGCACCCTTCTTCTCTTCGCCGCCACTACCCCACCTCTTCTGCAAGAACTCGATTACCCCGTCGAGGTTCTCCTCCTTCCTCGATCCGGTTCCGCCGGGGATGATGAGCACCTCGATGTCGTCTGGCGCGTTGGCGAAGGTGTGCGTGGGGACGATGGATTGCTGGCAGTTTGAGCCGGCCGCTTGGTGCAGGTGGTGGCGGGTGGAGACAGGGGAGAGGTCGTGGGCGAGGATGGAGAGATTGAGCGGGTGGGTTAGGGAGAGGATGTTTAGGGCGTCGAGGGGTCCGGCGGCATCGAGGAGTTGGAAGCCGGGGAAGAGGACGACGCCGATGTTTTTGGGGAGGGGTTGGGCTTCAGACATGACGATGGTCGGAGTTCACTTGGTGCAATGATGCAGGTTCTGGTCCCCTTGGATGATATCTCTTTCTATGTGTGTTATGGGTACTCGGTGGGGTAGTTGAGTTGGTAGGACTACTCGTCGCTATCGTTGGTATTGGTCGTCGTATGAGGCTACGTAGATAATACGTGCTTAAGAAATCACCTCAATTCGATGGGAGGGAGCAAATTGAGTCCGGCCAAGTTGTGGATGGTATTTATATCTATATCGCCAGCACCTAAGAGTAAATCTGGGGAATGTCACATGGAAGCCTGTCACGATAATAACGCTAATGAGCTAGTCAGAAATATAAGAATTATGACATACGCCCGTCAATTCCATAATTGCATTACTCGTAATCATCTGGGTATTTTGCAAGGCAAGCAGTGTTACTACACGCCGTAAACGGAGCTTGGAGCGAATCAGGAATCGTTTTCCCCGCATCGTCTGCGGCATCGGTCTTCTCTGCTGATTACTTGCGCATCAAGGGCGCGCCTGTGCTTGGCCTTGTCAAACAGCAAACATATCATGAGGTCTACGTACGTATTGGAGTTTTCCACGGCCGGGAAATTGATACTATTTGGTGAGACGTGGGGAAATTCAATGATTTCAAAGCAGTACTACTTGAACCTTGGCAGAGCGAGGTGTAGGCGGTTCGGGAAATTATCACAACTGGGGAGCAAAAGAACGTCACTGAAGTAAAGTCTACATATCTCCGTGTCATCAAGGGTAGTATAGGTTCTAAATATCTATTGCGACTCGCTCCAGGAACAGGACCATCTAAATGTAACTGCGTAACAATGCTATCAGACCAGATCATTGACACGGACGCCTTTGACCGTAGGCAAAAGTCTTGCCTGTGCCATTCTTTCCTTGGTCAAGATATAATTTTTAGGCAAATCACCCTTCTTGACCAGCTCTTCTTGTAACAGCGAGACATCCTCTCCAGCTGCTTCTGCAAGTACCATTTCCGCAATGGCCTTTCCGCATAGCGTACCATTCGGCATCCCATGACCAGTATACCCTCCGCACAGCCAAAGTCCCTGTCGATCCGGAAGTTCGCCAACCCAGGGGAAATTGTCCCTGGAATAACCCATGATACCCGTCCATTCATGAGTGGCTTTAAGCTCCTTCAAACCCTCCGTCTCACCGTCGAGTTCGAGCAGCTTGAGGAGACCTTCACGCAAATAAGCAGCTGATCCTTCGTCGATCACAGTGTCATCTGAGACGCCCACTCTGGGGTATAGAGCAGTTCCGCGGCCGCCGCCAAACATAAGATGACCGGCCGGATTGGGAACATCCTCAAAAGGACGTTGGATCAGGTAATCATCGTTCACCGGCTGGTCGAATGGTCCAAACATGCCGTGAGATTCTGCGAGGCGGGTTGAATTCTTGGGTGGGAGGAGAGACGACATCTCTCCACGGGCGGGCACAATGAGATCGGCGAATTGAGGTAGGAGAGCGGAGGTGTAGCCGTTGGTGGCTAGAATGACTGTTTTTGCGCTGATAAGGCCGCGTTCTGTGTGAAGTGTGTGCTTCCCTTCTGCGGATGTGACTTTGGTCACAGGAGTAAGTGTTTGGAGGTTGAGCTTTCCATCTTTGACGAGCTTCTCCAATACGTGCGCCACAAGCTTGTATGGCCATAGACTGGCAGCTCCTTGGGTGATGGTGAGACCAGCACAGTCTGGATTCACGCGGTGCTTTCTTATCTGGTCCTTGTCCTTTATAACTTCTATCGTAGCCGCCACTTCTGGCGCAACCTTTTTCAGATATTCTATCTCCTTCTCGGCCTCCTCTAAGATGTCTTCTGTCCAGTAGGAGTGACAGGCAGGCAGTGTGCGCCATTCGCAAGCTACGTTGTGCTCATCGATGTAGGATTTGACAGCGTCGACGTTTTTGATCTCGAAGGCCGCTACATCGGCGCCGCGACTCACAAGGAGTGGCTGGCAATGGCCACCATTCTAAATCAAAACATTAACACTGAAGATGTGAATGGAATCGTCTGTTGCTAGACTTACCCTGCCGGTGGCGCCCCAGCAAGCCTCTCTGGCTTCTAGGAGCACAATGCTCCTTCCTTTGCACCTCTTATCTTCTGCGAGGTATCTCGCAGCTGAGCTACCAGTGATGCCACTTCCAACAATGACAATGTCTGCCTCGGATGGGAGAGCATCCGTTGTTCGATGGCCCAGCAGGAACTCGTTCGGTTCGCTATGCCAGAAGGATTGCGTCGACTCAGGCGTCGGAATATTGGCGCTTGCGATCCTCATGGTTTAAACGAGGCTTGAAGGTTTACTATTCTAAGTTGTCGCGCAACGGTACTGGTACTGGGAATAAGCTACATATAGTAGCTCCAGAGCTCTGATCGGAATAAGAGGTCCCTAAGGGTCGGTATTCGGAATGAAGATCGGCCACGAGGTCGAATATGAAGACAACCGTGCAATTACACAGTACTAGCTCGTTGCCTAAATGAATTTAAGCCACGGGATGGCGTCTGGCTATCCTCTATGAGTCCACTGGGTATGATGGAGGAGCTGTAACGGCCGGTATAGCTGGGTCTAAACCTAGGGTATGCCGATTCCCTTAGGAAGCGTAGCGGGGCCCGCTATGACGAGACGCGAAGAGAGGAGGGAGGATTGCGAAGCTGCTGCGAGGTGGGTCGACACCCGTCTGATAACAATCGAACATGATGATTGTTCCTTCACGTTTTGGGAATTTATACTGACGTTCTGAATTGGCGGTCTGTAACATTGCGAAAAGGATCGGGAGATGTGCAGAGATATTGGAACACAATATGGACATCGAGGTGCTCTACTAGCACAGTCACAGCGCAAGGCGTGCGGTGAGGTGCTCGTACCTGGCAGCAGTACGCCTCTTGGCGCCACGGGGCTACACGCCGACATCGTCGACTGGCAATTTGTATGTACTAAGTGGAGAAACAAGAGAATTATTACTACATGACACGAGGATCTAGATTGATTAGATCTTTGAGTATCGGTCCAGTGTCACGTCCAAGAACGACCCTCTCTTGTGCTGTCACTGGAACGGAGCTTTCAGCCTAGTTAAGGGGGAAGTCGGAAATAGTCCTAGGAAGGCTCATGAGGCTATTTAATTGACTACAGAGACACTTCAGAGGGCAGAATAACATTATATTAAAAGCACTTCTTAAGGCTTCGCAATATTGTTATTAAATTTAAATACTAAATGCTATAATATTATTTACTGGATACAACGGTGCTTGGGTGGTGATCATAACAATAGTGGGTGGCCAGGACTATTTCCGACTTCCCCCTTAGGTTGAGAGCGGAGTTGACTAGAATTTGTGACCGAAGGACAGATTAGTAAGGGGGCAGTGCTCGAGGAGAGACAAAACCATTAAAGCGAGCCATCATCTCCCTAAGACACGCAATATTCACATCGCAGTACACAGTGCAGCTGCTGTCAGTGATCCTCATCACGTGGTCAGCATTTCAAACATATGGAGCAAGTCTACAAAAGGTCATATCATATGGTCTCTCAAAGCCACATCAAGTCACTAAACATAGAAGGTCTTCATTTAGAGCAGACTTCGCAACAACATTGATTTCGCAGCGACCGAAAAGCTAATCTGATGCTAATATACAAGACCTAGAAAATGATCGATAGCGATATACAACATGCTATAAGAAAGAGAATGGTCATGCAAAAGCCCTGCATCATGGCGGGCTTTCATCAAATTCGTACCAGCGATAGGCAATTTTGAATGCACTCATTACGTCCACATCCATCGTCGTTAAAAAGATCGTAAAGGAAAGCAAAGTGTTGTTGCTTGGGTATCTCTCAGCGGACCATGGGGACACTCCGTCAAGAAGTGGGATGCCTTCCAGCAGGCAATCTGGCCCGATACAGCGAGATCGATCACGGATCGTCTCGCGCCATGACTTCGTTCACGACTTCCTACCAAGGTGGAGGATGTCCTTTGCAGTCTCCGTAACCGAGAAGCCGTTGAACAGCCAGTCGTTGGAATGACGCCCGCGCCATGGGTCACTTCCAGACGTACTCCTCCGCCCAACCGCTTCGAGGTTCGGTCGAGTTGGCTTCACCTCGATAGCAGACGACTGGCTGGCGCTCGATGCATGTCGTCGTTGCTGGGTTGACGTGGTGGGAGAGATTGGGCTCGAGGGCAGTGCGGTAGTGGTGCTGGGTGGGAAGTTCTCAGGCGGGAGCATCATGGGAGACTTGGACCGATTGCGAGCGGAAGCACCCCTCGAGCGACTCCGTGACCTTCCCCTTCGCATGCGTCCCGCAATAGCACCGAAGAATGATTCCTCCGTTGGGGATGCTGCGTGGCTGCGATTGAAGACAGTTGGCGAAGCCATGTCTGAAGCAGGAGATTGTGGCCCAGAGCCCAACGACTTCTGGGAGCCAGAGGTGGATGTGCGGATTGGCGGCGGGGGCTGAAAGTGGGAGCTGCGGTGAGCTGACATGGTTGCGGATGATCTACTGGATTGATCTAGGTGGGGTAGTTGGACGAGCTGGTATGGGAGAGCAGCTGGGGCGTGGAGGTCAGGAAGCTCCAAAGCTCAGACGAAGTAGGATCTTTGAAGGCAGTTTGATTGTGAGCCTGAGGGGAAGAGGGATGCAGGTGGGCGTAGAGTAGTTCAAATAGTCTGCAGGATTATAGGAGTGTCAATAGGAATTGGGATGTCTAGACTTTGGGGACAGATTTGCGGCTCTCCTCATCTCGTGCTTTGGTCATGGCTTCGCCTTATGTATCAATCAATGCGAAGGAAGGATTGGCATGCAGGGTTGCGGACAAACCATCCAGCCAGGCCGAAGCTGGTGTTACAGCCATGGACAGAGTACACAGTAGCAGATAACGAGAAATTGCCTGGCAGGTCAGTACAGTACATCCACAGTACAATACAATACAAAAGAGTCACGACTCACAGACCCACAACAAACTTGGCGCATATACATTCCCCGAAAGGGTGTCGGTGAGCCCTACGGAGGTGCATCCAATCAACGAGGTCGCAGGCTGATGTGGACACGCAAACTGGTGGTGGGAGTGGTCTGCCACTGTTCTCCACCCAAAGCGTTCACCGACTCCAGACCTGCACGCGACGACGCCAGGCGAGAGTAGTGACCTTTCTTGGTCTGCATACCAAATGTACGAGTACTGTAACTCCATGGCGGGGCGGCAGCTAATGGGTCAAACTCTCTGCAAAGCGACGTAAAGAGGTCGCAAGACAACTGCAAAGACAGCGCATCCAGCCGAGAAGAAAGACCTGGAGCTAGAACCGCCGTGGCCTCGACCTGCCTTACAGATGTAACAACACAGAGTGATCCAAGAGTGTCACTACCTACGGTGACAATCGGCCCCAATCACAGTGCATGCAGCATATCACACATCCCGCCGAGGTTGCTGCCTTGCGATATGAAGCGTGGCCTTGATTGTTTGTGTACCCGTTCCATCTCTTCTCCCCTCGCTTGGGAAATCAAACATCACGCCGATGCCCGTCATTCCAGATCACAAGATACCTGTTTCTCCGTTGTTTGTTCATGCGAATCGACGGAGTTTCGCTTGCTTCGTTCGATTTTTTCGCATCAACACAACCCCCTTCAATTCAAAGTCGTCTGTGCCACAGTCAATGTCAGCTTTCGAAACAATGTTTCGAAACTCTTGTAATCACGTTTATGCCGTCACCAGTAATCGAAACAAGCCAGATGGTAACTTCCCGCCGATCGCACGGAAGATCCGTCTTCCATGAAGTAATCATTGATAGTCGGCTGTCCATCACTCGGAGCGCGCCGTGAGAGGCGGTCGGTTTCCCCGGCCAGGTTTGGTTTTCGTCGCAGCCGAGCTAACAGACGGTACGCGCAGTCATGACGATCACATGCATGATTGAGCAATTGCTGTTTGCTCTCTCGCGCAAGATGCATTCCACGCGTAGGACGATGCGCGCATAGGTCTACATCATTGGGCAGCTTTGGCATTGTTGGCACTCCGACACGCACTGAGAATGGCTTTCGCGGCTGCCTCTTGTTTCGCATGAATATGGCGGAAATCGGGGAATTATCCGATGGATCCTACAATGAGATACCGAAACAGGTGCAAGGCTGACTGGCGTATCGTGCCGCGCTCTCTACTTTCGCGGGATGACTTGAGAACGATTGATTGTTCGCGTCGGTGCTGTGACAGGCTGCTAATAGAATATGACATAACTAACTCTACCTCACTCAGTCCTTGTTTGGCTGGGCACCTTCAGCGAAGAATGAATAAATTTCCATGTATTCATGTTTGATCCGATTTCTCATTCTTTTGGATAACGTTGTTGCTGCTTGATGTACAGAGGGTTGGTGGCCCCATGCTAGTATTTTATGCCCACAACAGTGTCTTAGCGAGGTTTATCGCAAGCAGTTAAGATTGTTTACTGGCTACAGTACACTCTTAAGTACCTATGTAGATACTTTAGGTACTCCGTATAGAAGATACAAGAAGTTAGCAGGTGGCTAGCCTAACTTACCAACCCTCTGTCTCTTAGATGCTCGTAAGAAAATAGTGCTGTTCGTGAATTCAGCTATGCCTGAATAGGTAAGTGGTAGAAACGAGGATGATGGATTGATTGATTCTTGGCACAACAGGCCCGATTGTGGAGCTTCACGGCCTGTTCCGAAGCAGGAGTGGCAGGGTGTCTCCCTTAGCACGTTGGGATGAGTCAAGCAAATGAAGATGCACAAAAAAGTTGTCTTGGGTATATATTTGTTTAATTTTACAAGGTTTTCATCAAACAAGCAATTAGCATTGTTGGTCCAACGGTAGGATAATTGCCTTCCACGAGATCAGGATCCTGATCGCCGGAGCAATTGGCTCGGGTTCGACTCCCGGACAATGCAATAGCTGTCTTTCTTTTTTGCATTTTTTGCTTTTCAACTGCATTAAGGTTAGCGGGTACTAGTGTGCGCGAATTGATCGGCGCTTGGCATGTAGTGGTGATGACAAAGCTGATTTGGCCTGTGCGCATCTTTAGGTAGCAACCTATTATTGTTACAATCACTATAATAAAAATGTTGCGAAGACTATAAACAAATAGTCTAATATTTTATTATTTTACCCTCTGTAATATCTCTGTAGTCATTTAAATAACCTCACGAGCCTTCCCATGAGTAAGTTTTTAGCCTTGTCTTTATACAACAGCATATCCCGTAACTCAATGAATGCATGTGTAGGTTCATCATTTTATCATACCATCCAACCCTCATCACTGGCTGGCATCAGTGTCAGGATTCTTGTCATATGCGTGACGATGGCTTGGCCTCTTTGTTCCCGAATGTGACAGTTCGGATATGTCGACGTCCCTGCTCCGCTTGCCTTGCTTATTGCCGCTCATAACTTATTTCTGACGCTTGTGTCTTGAATCGCGGACTTCGAGAAAACCAACTCTAATGACTGAAGATAACCTAGCGGAAGGTAAGGGACAATCGCTATAGGTTCTCATGTCTCCAACAGCAACCTCTTGGTCTTCCTTAGAGATATCAGTCGGCCACAAGTCGATGTTTTGGTCTATATAGCCCCGAACGAATTGTTTCATAGATGTGCGATCAGTCTTGCTGTATGTGATGGGCCACAGTATGTCCTGCATCAACGGTCTCTGCCCACTGCTGTACATGTGCGAGGTTTCAAGGCTGTCAACTGGCTACAATACATCCTTGAATAGCAAGTTCGGGTATATAGATAGATTAGCCCTGTCAACCCTCAATAGATGATAACACTCTAACGAAGAACATAGACGAATTGAGATGACATTATTCTCGTAATATTAATACCCTGGAGGAATCTTGTACTTCAAGATAAAGACTGAATAAAAACAATTAATAGATAGATTAATAGGTTAAAATAATACTTAATAAAGTTATAAATAAGTGTAATGTATAACTAGTTAACTATAGATAGTTTAATTATAAACTTATAGGAAAAAAAATCTAAAGGATAGAGTATGTCTGGCAGAGGTTTACCTCACAACACATAGAGCAGAGAATCGACTCGCTCATCGAACCATTCTCCGAGATCGAGTTCCAGTAATCCACACGTCATCGCTCGAGCTTGTGCGTCTATTCCGGACTTGGGATGTCGATGTGATCAGTAGCAGATACACGCAAGCCACAGAAGAAGTCGGCTCTGGCTGCCTCCCACCGCCTCGAACTGGCTACATCATATTATTAAAGATCCAGGCTGACCTGCTTAACATCTGTATACGCAATCATTATGTATGTTACTGCTAACTCCCCTTCATTATCATTATATATATATTACGCATATCGTGCAAAATCCATGATATCCCCCTCAAGATGCAGTGACTTGAAGCCTGTCAAAATATCTGGCATCCTGTGAGCCGGCTTAACCGCAACTCCCACCATGAAGTTCTCCTCAAATGCCTGAATCTCCATTCGAACGTCTGACAACCTCTTCCCCTTCAACCAAACCTCCGTGTCTCCAACCGTCTCGCCCCAGCTGCCCAGGGTACTGCATCGAGCGGGTACGCCGGGACGCGGGCTTCTCACGTTACGGAATTCGAGTTCTTTGATCCAGTTTGCGAGGAGTGCTTCACCGTCTAGCTTGATGTATGCCTCCTTGAAGCACCAGTACGTATAGAAACGCCGTAGCTTAGCATCGACCAAGAGATCGCTACTAAACTTGCGCTGCTCTCCAGATGCTAGCGTGACCGAAAGCTGCTGATCTCGTCGACAGCATCTATCGTACCGTCCGAGCATCCCCGGCGTGACGATGGTCCCGTCAAGAAGGGGAAATCCGGTAGGATCGATGTTGTATTTCATGTCGAAAGATTCCTGCTGGCTAAAGATCTCGGCATACATATCAACCCATCCATCCACGCCTTCCTCATCGATCATGCGGTAGTCGTTTCGTTCATTCACGCAGACAATATCTACGCCGACATCAACGCTCTCCGGGATTTTCTCCTTCATGGTAATTGGATAGACATCCTCGGGCTCGAGCTTGCATCCTATGAGTGCGACGAGTCCCGCCTGGTGACTGATGTTGAATTCCACGGGCGCAGGCGTGATGCCGTCTGGGAGAAGTGCACACGGCTTCCCGTGCTTGGGATCACGCTTGCGGCCGAAGCGGATGTCCTTCCAGGCGGTCCCAAGGGTTTTGGATACGAAGAGTCGTTTGAGCAGGGCGGATGCGAGGCTCATCTTCGCATCCGCGATGTGATATTTCTTTATACATGCTGCTCGCTCCTCCGGGCTGATCAGCTGTAGAGCTTCTGAGGCCTAGGTGAGTAGCGTCAGCATCGGAACCCACTAAGGAACGGTACATAGAGGTGTGCGGATAGAAGAGGGTATCTTAACATACTGATTCAGCTATCTTCGTGCCCGGCCATAGGCTCCTTGTGTCCAGTAGCCAGCACGTAAGCTCGACTTTCTTCTCAGTGCGAGTCATACTGGTGTGAACTTGAATGTAGTAGACTCTATGCACTGAGATGTCGTGGAGATGGTGGGTATTCACGGAAGAGGGAGCAACCTGGAAGATCCGCGGTGGCCGAGATAATTAGAGTAGATCCCGGGGCTAGAACTTCGATTCTTTTTTCGACAAAGTATTAATTAGTTTGAACCGTTTGATTTGTTGCTTGCCTTTCCGATTTCGTCTCCGTCTTTTGTTTAGTTTCCCCGCGCGAAAAATCTAGTGAACCAACCCAGTAGCCGCGGGGACAACTAACACGAAGGAATTGTACAGTAGAAACTTGTATGAGCGTGTAGATAAACGCCAGGGTCTGCCCTTATCGATAACGGCCCGCATGAGTGACTCCAAGACTACTAATAAATATTCCATTCCGAGTCCCCCATCTCCGATTATTAAATCTTGACGAAGACGACAACGACTATTCGGACTCCGAAATTATATTACACACCTGTCGACGTATCATTCATCTCTTGATATATCTCAAGATGACTGTGACCATCCCGGACGTCACTGTCGGCGTCCTTGCGCTTCAAGGCGCTTTCAGCGAGCACGTCCAGTTACTCCGCAAAGCGGCGCAAACGCTCAAGGCTCGGAACGGGCAAGACTTGAAGTGGAGCTTCATTGAGGTCAGAACAGCCAAGGAGTTGGAGATATGCGATGCGCTCATTCTCCCTGGAGGCGAGAGTACGACCATGTCCCTCGTGGCAGCGCGCTCCGGTCTGTTGGACCCGCTCAGGGAATACGTAAAGTAAGGTGGCGGTAGTAATCCCATGTCGCGTGCCCGCTTTACTAACAGCATGTTTCACAGAGTACAACGCAAACCTGTCTGGGGCACCTGCGCGGGTCTCATCTTGTTGGCCGAGTCTGCGAACAGGACGAAGAAGGGCGGGCAGGAATTGATTGGTGGTTTGGATGTCCGGGTGAACAGGAACCATTTTGGTAGACAGACGGAGAGCTTCCAGACGAAGTTGGATCTTCCTTTCCTGCGGGAGGCTATCGGCGACGGAGCCGACCTGCCTTATCGCTGTGTGTTCATAAGAGCGCCTGTGGTGGAGAAGATCCTACCCCACCATTCGGGCATACAGACTGAGGAAGCTTCAAGAGACGCCACGGTTGTAGCGCCATCCAAGACTCCTGCGGACGAGCTTGCGAAGGAGGAGTTGAAAGCTGAAGTTGAGGTCATGGCAAAGGTACCTACTCAAACGCCTGCGCTACAGGGAAACAAGGCCCATGAGCATGCGGGCACAGAAGATATTGTTGCCGTTCGACAGGGAAATGTCTTTGGCACGAGCTTCCATCCGGAGCTTACAGACGATGCGCGGATACATGCATGGTGGTTGAATGAGGTATTGAAAGCAGTTGATCGAAGACAACAGTTTGAGATTGCAGATCGCACGGCATAGGGCACAATGCATGTTAGGAGTCTGGTGTTTTGAATGCATCTCGCGCATGCGGCGAACAGTTTTTGCAGTTGTTTAGACAGGTAGACTATTTGAGCTCCAGGTTCTGTTGTATCCCCATCCATTATTGAAAGAATTTGAACTCCACTCCAACGCCGGTTTTCGTGATGCTTTCGTGATGTTTTCACGCATTTGGTGGCATGCGTTCGCTCGCATGAATGCTTCAATCAACATCCTCGCCATAGTCGTCGGCAAGAGCCCTACCGTATCCGCCACGTCCAGGATCGTATTCCTGGCGGTACTCATCGCGCACTTGGCCGCCGGATTTTCCACGTCTGTGATGATTAGCGTACGTAATGCGCCAATATATATCTTCCACATACCCGTATTGTCTGCCCTCGGCGAAACCCTCGTCTAGATCGGTTCGGATTATCCGCTCGTCGAGCTTCGTGCCTCCGATGTACTTCATGCAGTCGAGTGCATCCTGATGTGTGTAATATTCGACGAAGCAGAATCCACACGGGGTCTTCTGGAACCTGTCGAGGCCCATGACCAGGCGCTTGATCTCGCCGCACCTGTAGGTGGCCCTTGTCAGCCATCTTCGTACGATTCTTGCATCTGGGGATGCACTCACTTGGAGAAAAGCTCGTGGATTTGCTCCTCGGTGGTGTAGAATGACCTGGACCAGTCTGTCAGTGAAGTGGATGGAGCAACTGGAGAGTGTGACGGACAGGTTTCCGACGTAGAGTGTAGTCGCATCCTTTAGCTTCTCCATGAGGTCCGGCTCTGGCTCCTCCTCATCGCGGCGCCTACGTCGGTTCTTGATTCCCGGTCAGTATATGTAGTTCCTCGAAGTGTATTCGTTCGGCTTGTTACACACTTTGCTCGAAGCGTATGAGCTTGGCTGGTCAAGCCGCTGAACTGTAGACCGGTTAGGAGACATTGTTGGCTAAAGCCCCGTAGAAAAAGTTAATTTGATATAGCTTGCGATCAATTACGATCTTGGTTATAGGTTGCGCGAGTAGGTTTCGCAGGTGAGTGTAAGTGAGGGAGAGTGTAAACAATATTTAGGATCGACTAAGAGTGAAGCTCGAAGCTACCTGGTCGACGCGCCGAGGTTTTTCCGAACAACGCGCCCATGCACGCGAATCTTTGACATACAGCTTCTTAGCCAATAAGTTTGTCTTGCTTCCAAGACAGAGCATTGCGGCTCTTCTATTGCCCTTCTTCCACGAAACAACCCACCTGCACTTCTGCCCCGCCGATAATGCCGCGAGTAATCAGCTATACGCCGCCATGGCTGATGCGACCTAGCTCCGGCTACCAGCTATTTGCGCCTAAACAGAGTACCAGCACCGCTCTGGTACCAAAACAAGCTCCTGGAAAGCGAAAGACCATCGCGACGAGAGGGTCGGAGATATTCACGGCCGTGGGAACAGAGATACGTTGGGCGGACCTTGCAGCATTGAAAGATGGCCTGGATTCGTCGCGGACATTGAAGCTCTCGGTTCCATTCCCTATAACACAGCTGGTCGTGTCACCCTACAACGACTACATAGCTGTGGCTACCTCGCACACGATCCATGTAGCAATTCTACCAGACTCGAGCCTCTTAAATTCCGACGATGATTCGCCAATCAAGCTGAAAGCTTTTCAAATTGGGCCACTCGCACACGTTCGAGAAGAGTCACCGTTGGCTTCAGTGCTATGGCACCCGCTAGGATACCATGGTCGTTGCTTGGTTACAATCACTCAAGATGGAATTGTCCGCCTATGGGAGATCAATCGTACGGACCGGTCCAGTTTCGCCGAGCCGGCGCTCTCTGTCGACCTCAAGAAACTTGCCAATGCTGAGAACGATGAGGACGATCTCAGCGCGTCGAAGCTTGGTGCTACAAAAGGCTTCTCGCCAGATTCATTTGAGCTCGAAGTGGCGTCCGCCTGCTTCGGCGACTTTCCTGAGCAAGAGGGTGTCCATGGCTGGGCGCCGATGACGCTGTGGGTTGCTATGGTTGAAGGGGATCTCTATGCCCTGTGTCCGTTGCTTCCTAGCAAGTGGCAGTTGGTAGAGGCCGATTCCTCCAATACCATCATGGAGACATTGGCAACTTCAATCAATGTTGCCCATGAAGACTCTCAAGAGAATAAGGATACGCCAGCTGAAGAGGTTGAGACGGCCCAGAAGCAGCTGTCGTGGCTCTCTGATATCATTTACTCAGAACCTTTTCAAGAGGTAACACCTTTTGGAGAATCTATAAAGGTGTATACACGGCCTAATAGTGTTCCCGCTGTTCCGTTGCTCCAGGGTCCTTTTTCAATCTCATCACAGGGGCTGGATGATTTCGAACTTACCGATCTTATCGTATTTTCTCTGAAAACATTCACGGATGGAGAGGATGGGGAGCCGGCAGAAGGCTTGCCTGCTGCGGTAGTGTGTATTCTTACAGATACTGCAAAAGTACACATATGCTTGGATTTGGAGGGAATTGTAGGACGTTGGTTGCCTTCCGCAACAGTAAGTGATGCAATCACTTTGCAAAGACCCCCTGCTAACGTTTACAAGGACGACTTTTCTGCCTCCAAGCCCGTTGAGCATAACCTCGTTCTACTGGAGACCCTTGTCTTGACCAAGGAAGAAACTTCTACTTACAGCCAGAGCATTACCACAGATGTACACACGGATTTCTCGTTCTTCGTGTCTCATCCTAGCGGTATTTTTTATATTTCTCTTGAATCGTGGGTCCGTAATCTCGAGGAAGAACTCGCCAATCCGCAGAGCGAAGGCATGCAGTTCCGTCTAACGCGCATGTTGGATTCTGCCACCACTCACTTGGAACTCTGCCTGCCGCGACCTGCAAGCAACAGTGGAGCAGCAGTTCCAGATAATGCGACTTCATGCATTGCAATTGAGGATGGCAATATTGGATACTTCCTCCTCACAACATTCGATAATGAGCCTCATGCTGTTATCCTAGACGCACCGGAAGATGGCATGCCTACAGAAGAGCAACTTGCAGAATACATGGAAGTCGGCACGCTTCCAATGCAGACACGCCCTGCGTACCAGCCTCCCAAAGAGCTATACGAGCCACTGCAGTCCGTAGCTGGATTAGACAAACTCATTCCACAACGACATCGGGCTAGTCTGAAGGAGGAGATTCGCTTGTCCCCGGCCAACCTGAACATATTGATGGACGTCCACCGGGTACTGAGTGATGACACGCAGAAGCTCCAACGCGCAGTTGCAGACCTATTCAGACGCTGCCAGCGTCTGCAGGATGAATACCGGGACCAGATCTTCAGAACAAGTCAAGCAATGACAAACATAGAGGCTGTCACAGGTAATGATGGGACTGATTCGAACGGGGAGGTGAACGAACACTCCGCTGCTAAGATCGATGAGCGCTTGGAGAGGGTCAAATCTCGTCAAGAGGAGATCAATGCAAGATATGAGGCGATTAGAAGGAAGATGGCATCGGTTGGAGGGTCGGAACTGAGCGAAAAAGAGGCCGGACTGGTGGAAGAGTTGCAAGTGATGGAACGCAGCCTAGATCCCAGCGCGCAGACATTGACAGACGATGCCGACGGTAGCGACATCCCAGCGTGGCAGCGTCTAGAGAAAATCAAGCAACTCAAGAAGACCCTCACGAAGCAAGCCGAGCAGACATTGAGCGCGATACAGGAGCAACGGGCGGCTGGTGACACGGGAGTGAAGGTGCCATCACACTCTCGCAAGCAGGAGAACGAACAGATCGAAGCACTGCTTCAGCGCGAGACGGCCCTGGTAGAGGCGGCTACAAATCGACTAAGGAGCTTGGGAGTATCAATACCCCAGGTCGAGGGGAATTAAATCATCTTTTGCGCATGTATTGGGTGCGTTTGCAGCGACAAGTTTCAGGGTCAAGATTTTGCGCAAAGAAAGACTATCTGATAACTACTCAGGTAGATAACTCCGCGAGGAAGTCTTGCCGGGTTTGTACAGTACATATCAATCCTCGAAATCAATTATTATATTTATTCGAAACTATTACACAATATCTCTTTCCTCTCATGCGTACGATTTGCCTAGAGAGGCGAACAGAAAATGTGCACATTAGAAAACGATTGATGCTCAATGAACGATATTCCACGTATGCCCTGCGCAATTCTTCCATTACAGCCCTACAATTAATCACTCACGATAACGTCAATAAGCAGCAATGACAAAATGTGCGAGGGGTTCCAGACCGAAGGCATCGAGTCCCACGATTCTACCTTCTCTAATTCGCTCAGCCCGCTCCCCTCCCCATGGACAAAATATACCAGGGGTGCGGGAAACACCAACCGCCGAATTAGCGGGGGGCAAGCGTCAGCTCGTCACATCTGCCATTGACAAGCAATCTCGCTGCAGGCATTATTGCATGCAAATACTGCATGCATTGATATGCGATTGGGGCTGCAGTGCAGTGCACTATCTTAAGGCATTTGATATATTAATGTGAATTCCCCAAGCGAGAGTGATCCGGCGAGATGGAAGGTTAGGGCTGAACGAGAAGGGGGAGGGCGTGGAAACGCAATTAGCTACGGCTCTGTGTTTGATTATGACGGTGATGTGAAGGTTGTCTTTTAAGGCAGCCGATGATGTTAAACGATGATGGCACAACATGATGCTTTTTTAGACGGAACAAGGCAATGCACGTCTGACTGTGCCCCTCGGATGCTTTCCCATAACAGAACAGTACCATCGCTTTGGGATGCAAACGTGACGGGGCAAAAGATGGAAAGCAGAAAGGCACAAGCATTTACTTGTGTAGAGCAGACCGATGGGGCAGCTCTGGATTGCAGGCGTAGGCGCCTAAATGAGTTGGTTAATGGATAATCGATGTGCTGAATTCATCGTTAGCAGAGTCCCAGTTCGGAGGTGATAAGTATGAAGGCGGCACAGTTGACTTTATATCACGCTGGCATCACATCAGTATCATGGGATACGCGCACTTAGACGCTGCTGTCCTGGCGATCTTTCCACGATGACAATTGGAAAAGAACGGAAACTACTGAAAGGCGTTGAAGATTGATGATGGGGATGGTGGTGTGGAGGGTTACAATACAGGAGTTGGGCGCTTAGAGTGGAGTCTCTTGGGAATTGCCGACGAGTCGAGTTGCGAAGAGCGTACAAGCAGCAGTGACTAGTGCAATAATACCTTCGCACCTTGGGGATACTTTACAAAGGTTATTGGGGCGATTGGGGGCCCTGCAAAGACCATCACATCGTTCACATTGCTCGCATCCACCCCTCGAGCCAATCACAAGGGTAAAGTCCTTGGGAGGAAGAACATGCACAACCAAACAACCAACTAGACTCGACTACACTCCAACCTTCTTTTACGAGAGGCGAAGCTACCGTGCCACGCTCTGGTCCGGCCGCACCTTGGGGCATCGAGAAAGGATCCGCCTCCCGTCCGAGGGCCCTGGCATTCGCGCCGCTCAATGGTGGAAGACCCTGGCGACTTCAATATCCTGGGCATATCCTCATCCTCCACTGATTGGACCTTTCACCTAACAAATACTTGCAAGACCAAGCTTACATGCGTATTGCTCCAGCCATTCGACACCGTTCTGGCTCTTCCTGGCTCTTCCTGGCTCGTCCCTTGTGGAGCAGTCTAGAGAGGCGCACCCTCTTTTCGACAGATCAGTAGGGTCGCACGAGGCAGAGATGCAGATGGCGCACTGCCGCCGCGCCGCAGGCCCAAGAGAAGAAGAGGGAAGCATGAACCCAATTTAAGTGCTGATGCCCCCGCCACTCGCCCGTGGAAAGACTATTTGATTGTATCTATCTGTTGCTCTGTCTGCTAGAGTATTCGTCGTTGCTTAGCTGCACTGCTACCACTTCTACCAACACCAGTGCCACCATTGACCTACACACACTTCAACTCCTTTGTTGTTGTCTATTGTAGAAGATACCACTTGCACCCACGTTGAAAGGACATTTAGGGGCGCTATAGACGGTCTGCTTCCTTTGGAATCCTCATCCTCCCTGTCGTCTCACTTTCCGCTGTCATAAACTACGCCGCCGTCCCGCAACATGTTTCGTTTCACAGAGCTCGTATTCCTCGTCGCCAGCTGGTCGTCGCTTGTCTCTGCACACACCGTCATTGTGTATCCAGGATGGAGGGGAAATAACATCATGACGAATGGCACCGAGTCACCTACGGACCCATCAATTAAACCCGGATCGCTAGGAATCAATTATGACAACGGAACTCTAGGATTTCCCTATGGCATGCAGTGGATGTATCCTTGTACGTTGTACCGCACCCCAGAACCGGGCTTGTGCTGTCGCTCGATTCGTTTCCTTCTCTTTTCTTGTTGTTCAGACGAGTAACAATATTTAATAATGACATGAAACTGACTTTGTGCTCAGGTGGTGGCATGCCGACATCGACAAATCGCACAAAGTGGCCCCTACAGGGAGGAGCCATCTCAATCCAACCCGGCTGGTTCCCCGGCCATTCGCTCGCACAGTTCTACATCAATATGGGCTTCGGCAATGAGCCACTCAACTACTCGCACGCCATGCTGCCTGTCTTTCAAATCACAGGCCCTGCAAACGTCCAATATAATGGCTCGTTCTGTCTGCCTCAAGTACCTCTGCCAGCAAATTACACGCCTTCGATCGGCGACAATGCAACGATTCAAGTCATCGAGTTGGCGCAACACGGTGCCGCGCTTTACAATGTACGTTCCGTCTCACAAAGTCAAAATGAAAAGATTAGTAAATATACTAACAATTCACGTAAATAGTGCGCCGACATCACCTTCGCTGATCCCAAAGACGTCCCCGAAGTAAATTCTTCAAATTGCTTTAACTCGACCCAAGAAAACGAGCGCATCGGCTTCCAACTCCTGTACGCGACCACCAGCTCGCCTGCGGACCGGGCAATCGTCGTTAATGCTTTCGCCGCACTTGCGGTGCCAATCATGCTCATGGCCGGTTTCTGGACCACCTACTTATAAAACAAATCACAAGACGACTCTTTTTAATAATCGCAATTTTTCCATTTCATTAATCTATCTTATTGGAGGCCAAATGCGTTAACACGGCCAATGGCGTTTACAGTCTGAGATATCCCAAGCGATCCCAATCCTTTTATTTTCATCCATACTCTGTACATCATCATCGTCTCCGACGAATCTTTCGGTCTTTTGGGATACTCGAGACGAGCGCAGATAACTCGACTTCGGAAGGCAATGAAACGGGCTTCAACTCATCACGAGGTGGAAATCCAACGATAGGGATCTTCTGGTCAGGGGCAATTTTGGGAAAAAAGACAAATGTCGCAGCGGGCCTACAGCGTCCATCTTGTACATTATCCAACCGCTACTGCTGCTACAGGTTTTGCCCAGCTTGTCTTGACTGGAAGGTTCCCGAGTACTGTATACCCGAACGAATATTTTACACATATCTATCTAATGACAAGACCGTTAAAAAGTTCATTTGTTTCCAATCCCCTCACTGCATGTTCAACACGTCTATTGCTCGGATTCACATACCATCCTATTTAAAACAGGTAACCCCACCCCCTACCTGATCACCATTCTCCACCCTCCTCCTCTTTTTGACCACTGAAAAGTGTCCAAGAATTGTAAACAAACCCATCACTCCCATCGCACCTCCTTCCAAATCCCCACTCCACCCTCGGAGACTTTCCCCACCGTATCACAAGCCATCACCTCAACACGCGGTACTCCGCAACGCCAAGCTTCTCAACTTTCTTCTACACTTGTTATCGCTGGTTCTTTTCAAACATCAAGTATCGCTCGCGCCGTAGATAAGCGTGAGAATTTAGTGATCATACGGGCTGCTTATGTTTTAGTAGGAAAATGGTTGGAGGTGAGAATATAGGATGATGCCAAGAAGGGGTTAGGGTTTGGTGTACCGCTGGATGAGTGTGAGTGTGGTGGAAACTATGATGTTCAAAAGTGCGGGATGAAAGACTTTCATGATATGTATGGGTTTGGAGGTGGAATGGACATTTTGCAAGGTGTTGGAACTGTGTTTTCCTGATGGCGTGATGTTGTGTTTTCATAAAGTATTATCCCATGTAGGGGGTCTGGAGGGATGGCAATTGCACTACATCATGTCGAGGTAGTAATTGTGTTAAGAAAGGAATTAATGCTCCCATGGTGCAATGACAGAGTTTAGATGCGATTAATGAGCTAAGGTGGATTCGTTACCAAGTGATTTCTCTAGTTTTTTGCGGCATTTATACACAGCAGCATCGCAATCGAAAGCTCCTTGCTTAGAAAGATTATAGTCGCCATTGGGGATTTCGACGCGGTGATCCAGACTCCTATCGTAGACTGTTCTCATTGAATCGCGCTCTTTGCCATCTTCTGAACCAACTCTTCGACTCCCACGCCTTTCTCCGTCTTACTGCTAGACTCAAGGTTTCTCCAATAGACGACCAGTCCTTGTACTGAATCCGTAAACGCGTCACTCCCTGATCCATTCACCCTTGACATTTCTCTATCCACTAGAAATGCACTTCCAATCTTTTCGCAGGTTTCTCTGGCAGCCTCGTTTTCTGGATTTCCAGCATAGATTTTGTAGTCATCGAGAACCTCATTGCCCACATACAACTCTGGATCTTTGTCCTTGAGAAAAACCGGTAGAAGGAGGGTCCAATCGACGAAAGGCGCAAACACCAAGGATTTCCCAGAGATATAATCTTCGATCGACTGTGTAACCGCTACGATGGGGTGGGGCAGGGAGGCTAGGAATTCCGTATCGAGGGACGTAAATGCTGGTTCTTGTGCATAAAGCTTTATGTCTTCATTATTACGATCCTTTAGGACTACTCCGATTCAGCCATGTATTCAATCGTGGACATTCGTCGAACACTCAAGTACACGTACCGATTTTCAATACTGACATGAAGAAAACGAGCTGCCACATTGAACGGTATCGATTCTCCCAATCTATGCTGAGACTTCCTATCCCAATGCAAACAGCATTGTCTATATTCCAGACCCTCTTACTCAGGATATTCTTGAGATTCTCAGCATATGCGCTCTCATCCCAGCGTTTCGTAAATCTATCCAACTCCTCTTGCAGCTTTTGTACTGTCAATCCCTCAACAATCTGCGTCGGGCGGGCGTGCTGAACTTTGTGCGCATTGCGGTTTTTCCCCGCGCTCCTCCTCGAAGAAGATTTCGAGGTGGAAGTATGCGTTATCACGGTCCAGCCATCGTCTGCTTGGACTTGTTTCCGCTTTACGCGCTGGTGTTGCCGTGGGGTATCCGAAGTAGGCGCGCTCATGACAGTTCAATCGGCATCGTTCGGGTGCTCGCAAGGTTCAGGGCGTTTGGGGAGTGACGACCTGCATGGGCGCCTGAATACTGTGATGGCTCCTGCAACGTTGAGGCGTAGTATGCGAGTTTTAGCAGGATTTTGTTCAGGCGTCAAAGATTCGACAATGGCGCGTAATATAGCTCGACTCTATCGATAAACTCAAGTCTCGGGAAGAAGCGAGAATCGCGGGGCGAGTGCGGGAGGGGCGCGGACTTTCGGAAGGCAAATTGCGATTTTCTTTTCTGCCTTTTGCGCGCGAAATTGTCACGGAGTCTCGTGCGGTTCACTTGTATAACTTTTCGACACGCGTGGTCCTGGACGTTCTGTACTGAAAGCAACGTTCGACTACCCAACTGGATTCAGCGACCATGGCGGAACCATCTTCCTCTACGTCGGCCGAAAATACCAACACCGTGGAATCTCAAGACTCTTCATCAACATCCGCACCTGTCGTCCAGCCATCATGTGCCCAATGCAAAAAGACCCCAGACTCGCTCAAGCAATGTCTCAAGTGCCATAGCGTATCGTATTGCAACAGGGACTGCCAAAAAGCCCACTTCAAGACGCACAAGAAGGAATGCGCTGCCCTTGCCCAGGAGTACGTGAAGACACATGAACCGAAAATGGCGAGCAGGGCACCACCACGGACGGGAGAGGCTAGGAGAGGGATTGGAAAATGGGAGGTATGTTTCATCAATCCTTAGAGGAAAATCTAGCATGGAGACTAATTCGTTGATGTAGTATGATACATGATTTCTTGGAACTTTTGGCGTATGTGCATGAACCTGGGAAAGAAATACCTAATCCTCAATTCTTGGATGAAGGATGATGGGACTTAAAAGCACTTTTCAGCTAAAATTCTCTTTCTAGCTAAAAAGCTCTTTTTCGTCTGGAAATGGAGATCTCATGCAGTAACAATGGGAGTTGCGAGAATCTGCCAACCCGCAAACTACGAATCCAGGAATCCCAAAGGAGGCCTGTTACGGACATCAACCATTGTGGTGCATTGAGCATACGATGTAGGCCTCGTCGGACCAGTCTAGAAAAGCCCTTGTATCCAGCAGAATTCACCCTTTTCAAGTTAATATGAAATGCATTTCATGTAGCGGTAGTTGTAATGATCATCCAAGTTGGGAGTCATGGAAGCACATCTTGACAGCGATTGCAGGGCATTGATCAATTAGGTCAAGCAATCCTGGCCGGAATTTCACTGACACAAAGCTGAAAGCACCATTTACCCTCTGGAGAGGCTTTGGAATCCAGGCCAGGACTACTGTAGTCATTGGAATCAGACTCGTCATTGAACTAGGACCCTACAACCACAATGAGAAACGAGATCTCGATCTTCAACGCATTGGGACGCCAGAACACTGATATTACTCAAGTGGCCTCCCTAAATTGACCAGGAATTTTGTAGGATGAGGTGAGAGCTAACAAGCTCAAAGGCTACAGTCAAAGACTAACAGGCATCACTGAGCCGATATTTGAGTTCCAGTGTGCTTACGGCCGTGATTCTCTCATCTGCAAGGGGAACAATTGAAGATGTGGAGTTCAAGCATGGGCCCATGATCGATCCCATGACAATGCAGTACAGACCCCATGGGCAGCCGTTCCATCCGGGTGAGCACCAGCCCCATTTCTGTGGAGACAAGCAACATCAGTCGAATTATTCCCAGAGCCACGTCGAACAGTGCTCAGTCAATATCAAAAACTGACATCAGGTTCGTAGGGATTGAATTTTGCATAATATTTCAACACCAGTAACATTTCCTGACGAGGCTTTGAATTTCAATCTACCACGTAAGTCTAACCCACAACCTCGCTACTAATCCGACTTGACAATCTATGGACTGTGTACTGTGTACATCTTGTCTTAGGCTGGACTCCCTTGTAGCTTATTTCGACCCCAAATACTTGGCATTGAACCACTACGACTTACATGCAAGAGCCAGTGCAAGGAACAATTGAATAGCGTAGCGCATCCTTCAAGTCCATATTAGGCAGACCTCTGCTCAAGCGAAGGATGCGCTATACCCGATCAACTCACATAAATCATGAGAAATATCAATATCGACAACTCAATGGGAATTCCCCACCGCCAAAAATGTATTACTATTCGCAATTGCTCCTCCATACGGTCAAGTGTTGGTCAAGACACTGATTTTGATCGGATCATGCAAGCACGTGGCATCTATCTCCCGTGAGCCGGCACTTCTCTGCAACTATGGGATTCTTGCATGGGCGGAGAGAACACGGTGATGGCGTTGTCGATCAATCTTGCAGCTGCGTTGCCTATAGCACTTTTCGGCCATAGGACAGTCCGGATCGCAGTCGATTACGCCGAGTGCAAGGGTTAGCAGCGTATGGATGAACATGCCTATCGTTTCTTGAGGCAATGGTACAAGCCAATTGTTCTCTACTACAATCCTTGTTTCAACACTATAAATGCGGGATACTGGATCTGTGCAGCCTGGATTATAGCCTTGTGTCCGTCCAGTATCTTGGTCGAAAATGAAACTGCTCTACAACATACTTCACATGGTGCTGGTAAGACACTAACAACCCATAACCAAGGTCATTGTAACAAGCTTTGACTGTATCAATCTTGGAAGGACAGTCTACTCTCCAGGCATGTCTAGGATTCATTGCCGGCTTCCGCTGATGCCACGTTCTCTGGCCTTGGCATTTTAAATCCTTGATCTTACTTTAAACTCCCCGATCGTCAAAAACTATGGAGAATCGATGACCTATGACGTAGGAGATCCTTGAAATACATTTGGAATCCACGTGGATTAGGCCTAGGTATGATCCTGCAGGATTGGAAAGGTACGGCGGGTTGGCACATTGGGCTGGCCACCTGCTAACTTCATGTATATTCTATACCTGGCGCATTCATTTAGAAGTGTACTGTATCCAGTAAACAGTCTTAAAATATCGCGAATGCACCGTTGTGGGCATAAAATACTAGCAGGGAGCCAGCCTGATGTGCCAACCCTCTGTACCATACCCCAGGTTCTACTTTTAAGACATGTTCCATCGCATAAGTCCAAACACGTCGTGTAGCTTGTCGTAAAGCTTCTTTGATCTTTAACCCGGATTGGACTCCTGGAGAGTACACCACCTTCAGGAGATGCGTGAACTCGGTGTACAGGAATGTTCGACTCAGCTTAAACCCAAGGAGGTGAAGTATATGCTGTAAAAAGCATATAAATACACCTCCACTTCCCCCATACTCAAATCACAACAGCAGCAATTCGCATCATCTCCTTCAGCCTCTTCGTCTCAAAAGAACAAAGAAAATGCGCGCCTTCTCCATCCTCGCAGCCACAGCTGCCATTGTTACCCCCGCCCTCGCCGACTTCTACCTCTACGCCTCACAAATCCACTTCAACCAAGAGGGTACCGACACGGACGGCTTCCTCTTCCTTGCTGGCCCACCCAGCTGTGAAGATGTGTATAACGCTGTACAAAGGACCGAAAGCGACGATGTGAGCGGCAACAAGCATGGCGTCCGCTGCGAGGACTGCGGTTCGGCTGCTGGTACTATCGATGATCCCGATAGTGTGAGTCCAACGGTTGTTGAATGGAACGACGATGATTATGGCCACTACAGTGAGTTCACCCCACTTAACGTAGGAGGGATTTTGGTCCAAGATGAACGATTTGCTGAGATGAATAGCGTATTACCGAGATCGTGATGGTGCTATTGTGGACTTGGATGGCAATGTTGCGGGACGTTGCCATACGGATACTTCGGACTCGTACCTTTGTGAGTTTCTCCAGCCACATACATAGACGGGGGAAAGATGATTTTGTTTAGACTGGCGGCTAACATCGATGATTTTAGGCTCGGACGTTCTGTCGACATTTAAGGGTTGGTCCCAGATTTTCTGCGAGACTGACTTGGCTATTCCTTGAACTTCGAAAATTGGAAATGTTCTACCGTCTATGGAGATAAATGGAACATGATAATAGTTAACTATATTTTCATTTCCTCTATCTGTAATCACTTTGTGAGACTAGCATCCTGGTGAATTGTCGCAACAAAAGTCGCCACAAGGTACTTCAACAATTGATTAATGATTTTTCCTCTTGATGAGAGATTGACGTACATGTTTATCCACATCCTATTGCATTTGGTGCGAAGTTTTCTTTATTACTTGATTGACTACTGGTGACATTGCAATTTTGACACCATTGATGTATTTACAACTCATGATATGTACTTGAAATCGATCAATAGAACCACAGAGAGCTAAAAAGACAAGCGTGAAATTACGCTGAAATGCGAACAGTGTACTCACCCGCAAATGCACAATGTTGAACGCTACTTCAATCATGTTACATCTCCTGTTTTCGGCAATTATCAAGTTATTCAACCAAGTGCTTGCGCCACTCGTAAAGCTGATTCCTCTACGCAGGTCTTTGAGCCACCGACTTCGATAATGTATCTCGTATTGCGAGCGAATTGGGCAAATCATGGTGAAAGTTTGCAGCGTTATGAATATTCAGTCATGCATACTGACAACGGCCTCCCTTCAAGAGAGTAGAAGCACTGGATTCTGACTGAACTGAATGAATGTTACTGCATAGTTATAGGAATTTACGGAATACTTTTGGAATCTAGAAAATGGTTCAGTCATTTCCACCCGCTTCAACACTGACTGCACCATTACCTAGTCTAGCAGCACGCTCATTGCGACGCGTAACACGTAGGTGTGTAGGTTGATCCGATCCACGATCTTAAAATAGGACCGAAACCGTTGCATGGAATTCCCGCGCTGGAACAGATTGTGATTCGCTCGCCTGACGAGTCGGCCAGGATGCTTGTCCGATCATCTCGCGATTGGGGCAAGGACCGACTGGGAACGGCTTAGCGTTGTAGGGATCCGTAGCTTTTCGACCTCCTGACTTCTGAGGCGTGCAACACAATACTAGCACAGCCTCCGATGCTCCCTCGAAAATCTTCTCCAGGGTTAATCAAATTAAAATTGGTTGAGACCTGGCCTGGTCAACCATACGTGAAATAGATAATAGCTGTATCCCCTGTAAGAAAGAAAACGAAACATTCTGTCACCTCATCCTTCTTGCTTCCCACATAGACATTGCCACCAGTGGAGCATATTTCACAATAATCCGAATTCCATCTCTCGCCCATAATCCTAACATTGCTCGAGGACTCCGTCCTTTCGAATACTGGATAAAAGAAGGATCTGCGGCGTGCAACTTGTGCGACATTAATAGATATCTCCCTACGAAAGCCAAGCTGTGCATTAGGTACTCCGTACCTCTACAGCGCGGATAATTTGACGGTGTTGGGCGAAAGCGAGTTTCACATGTGGTTCGCAACACGACAGGAGAGACAAGAAACTCGAGTCTGACGTATACGTGTTTTTCTTCCCAATCTTCCTATCCACATCGCAAAAGTACATCTTCAACAGCCGGATTGTACATACTGTCACGCAACCTACACAGTGCAGCAATGTCGACCACCCACTCCCAATCCACATCGACCGCGCCAACGCATTCATCCGCCCCGACCTCCACCTCTTCCTCGTCATCAGGGCTCTCCAAAGGCGCACTAGCCGGCATCGTTCTAGGCGGCCTTGTGGCACTCGCGCTCGTCCTCGTCGTAGCACTCTTCTTCCTCAAGCGCGCGCGACAGCGAAAAGAAAGCCTCGAGGATGCGTCAAAAGAGACATCCGGAAACACTGGCAGCGCACCACAAGGAAACTACAATTATGATGCTCTGAGGCCCGGAAACAACGACCATTACTATCAAATGGGTTCGTCACCCAATAACGGTGGTTTTCCGAGCCCGGCCGTGACCCCTCGCGGTGCGCCGATCGAGTTGCGAGGGCAGCAGGAGCAGAGGGTTGGTGAACCACCCGCTGGGCTTCCGAGTCCGTATGGTAGATGATGGAAAGAAAATATAACGGAATCTCTGCTGTTCATAAAAGGGATGCAATGGCTTCCTGAGCTTGGCGCATTTTCGGAAGACAAAGTCTGGCGTTTGGCATTTGATTGGATATTTTTTGGCAGTTCCAGATACCCGATATTTCGATTTGGCATTCAATTGAAGCGACTTCTTATATCATCTTTCAAATCCTTCCGGATCTTGTTTTACTGCGTGGATGTCTTCCGTTGCACTACTTGAAATTGTGTATGTGTAGTGCTGCTTCTACGATATTAAAACAGCCAGGCTATGTTGAGTAGACCTCTGTTCTTTGAACGACGTCAATTCCGGACAGCACAAGCCCACGACCTCAGGGCCTCATTTCTAGCACACAGCCGGGCCACCCGTCCTTCTCCTCAACCGCAAAGTCTCCAACTACAACAAAACCTTGCTTCTCGTAATATCTGTTTCCTCGTTATCAGCATCTTCATCTCCGAAAAGAGACAGCCTTTCTCAATTACGTTCAAGATACAGAACAAGAAATCAACTCACTGGACTAATTTCCGACCATTCCCTCTCCAACAATCCAGACAAATCCTGCCCACCCCCAACTCCCGCACCGTCTCTCTAGCAAATCTGATCAGCGCCGCACCACTTCCCTTGGTCTTCTCTTCTCCTGCGTCTCTATTCGTCATGAGATAGGCAAGATAAACAAATGGATCCGCATCATCTTGCTCGGGCACCACGTCCCGAACGTACGCTGGCGCTTTCGAATCCAGCACCAGTCCCGCGACGGGCGTAGAGTCCACCTCAGCGATAAACGCGCGACACCAGTCCGGACCCCATGGCGAGTTTGCCTCGCTGCGAGTTACCCATGCTGAAGTGCGTTCAGAGACGGAGGAGTCAGTATTCCGGATCGGCTGTGAGCCCCATTGGCCGCCGCTGCCCACGGTCGAGAGCCACGAGAGTTGGGAGTCGCGGAAAGAGACAAAGAGATCGAAGTCTGATGATGCTAGTTTTGCTGGGCGGACAGTAAAGTTTGGTATTGCCGTTAAGGACGAAGCCATTGTGCTAATTTCTATTCGGAGACTTGGATGTGTGAATGATGGATGAGGTATATGAGTGAAGGACTGTGGTGTGAGGTGAGGTGAGGTGGCCTAATAACCGGCTACTGCTGACCGTCGTGGGTGCTAATCCGTAAAGCTTTTTTGAAGGATTCGAAATGCTGTAGCCTTGTGGAGATGATGTATAGCTCTTACTCTTGCCTCGGGATGTCTCTACTTGAGGAAACACGACGAGATGATAAGTGGAAGCCAGATGAAGGTGCCCCTGAAAATTCGTATTAAATGACGACAAACATTAGCCATGGAAAAACATGGGATTTGAAAATACGATCAAAAGTATTGCTAATAATGATACATCGATGTCGGATATCGTCGCGTGGAGATAAGCGCGATGGAGCTAGCAAGCTCGTTTGGTAACTTGTAATGGCGGGGAGCAAATGAGGGGTCGAGGCCAATGATAGCAACTAACAATCTGGGTATAGCTCGCTCCAATGACAATACGAGAGCGCGAGATAAGTGAGGATGTATAAATGGGCTATGTGTCATTGGCAATTCGGCTTTTTATCTGCTTAATTCTACTTCACGGTAAAGAACAGTACTGTCGTTATTGTTGCATAGTCTATTCAATCGAGCTGGAAAGGTCTAGGGAAAACAATGGGCGCAGAGTATGATGTCATCATTGTAAATGGAGTGGTGGTGACCGATACTGAGCTTGGAGAGTACGATGTTGCAATCAAGGGTGAAAAAATCATAAAGGTAGTCCCCCGAGGACAATTGAAAGATGCTTCTGCCACAAGAACAATCGATGCCGAAGGTGGCTACGTTATGGTATGTGCCTTTTTCGGATTTCCGAACTCGATCGCACTCTAACATAAATATAGCCTGGTGGAGTAGATGCGCATGTGCATCTGCAAGAACCACCACTCTTCGGTATGGGTTCGACGGCGGATACTTATGAGACTGGAAGTCGATCGGCCGTATGCGGCGGCACAACGACCATGGTAACATTTGCACCGCAGAAGAAATCGGAAGACACCCTGCTCGACACCCTCAAGGCCACTCACGAAAAAGCAAAGGACAATTGTTACATAGACTACTCGTTCCACCTGCTCGTTGGCAATCCATCAGAACGAGCGCTATCTGAGTTCAAGACACTTCGAGATGAGGGAATCTCGTCACTCAAGATCTACATGACCTACGAGGCCTTACAGCTCAACGACAGCCAGATCCTCGACGTCCTGCTCGAAGCAAGAAGGAACCAAATTACGACCATGGTCCATGCCGAAAACGGTCAAGTAATCGACTGGATGACCGCACAGCTCGAGAAGCGTAAGCTCTTCGCACCAAAATACCACGGCACAAGTCACCCACCCATGGCCGAGATTGAAGCGACATACCGCGCAATCAGCCTCAGTGAATTCATCGATTCCCCTATTCTGATCGTGCACGTTTCGACTCCGGCAGCGGCCAAACATATCAAGGAAGCACAGGACCGTGGAATACCAATCTATGCAGAGACATGCCCGCAGTATCTATTTCTGACGAAGAAGGACCTTGATCAGCCAGGCTTCGAGGGTGCGAAATGCGTTTGTAGCCCGCCACCGAGGGAAAGTGAGGCGGACTGCGATGTAATTTGGGACGGGATCGCGAATGGGACTTTCACTATCCTGTCATCGGATCATTGTCCGTTCCGGTTCGATGATAATGTTACGGGAAAGAAGACTTGCATCACTGATGAATATCCTCAGGGGCACTTTAAGTATATCCCCAATGGTATCGCAGGTATAGAGACTCGACTTTCCCTGGCGCTGGGTGCGGACCGCCTTGATGTGAAGAAATTTGTTGAAGTCACCAGCGCCAACCCAGCGAAGTTATACGGACTATGGCCGAAGAAAGGTGCACTAATTGAAGGAGAGAGTGATGCTGATATCAATATATGGTATCCACCGGGTAAGATGCAGGATTTCGCCCTGACGAACGATTTGTTGCATCACGACGTGGATTACACGGCTTTTGAGGGCCGGACGATGAAGCAATGGCCGAGGTATACCTTGTTAAGGGGCAAGGTTGTCTGGGATAAAGATGGGAAAGGTCTGTTGGGAGAGAAAGGATACGGAAGGTTCGTAAAGAGGGGACCGAGCATGTTGGCTGGGCCGCGATATGCTGGGGAGTGGGAGATACCGTTATAGATGCCAATATAATACCACAGGTGCATATTCATGCATCGACTATACGCACTACAATGCATCAAATTTGGGTTATGACTCACAAAAAGGCCCAAGAAACTGTTGGAAGCGACATTTTCTCTACATAAAATGGTTATATTCTCGGTCATCACGCCTCCCCAACAAAACTCCCTCTTGCTTGCGAGTGGCAGTGGTAGCAGCTCAATTACCGTCTTCATGATTTCAGAACGTTTCTAGAGCAGTGGCTTCTGACGAAGAGCACGTGGATCATAGTGCAACATCGGTATCATGGTCAACTTTTAAACACATTGATTCATTAGCCTGTACTTAGCTCTAGCAAGGTTATTGCGGATATTAGAGCAGGCGCTACGTCAGTAGCTTCGGTGTTAAGCCATAAATGCTGACTAACTTCTTCAATCGATTATTATAAAAGCTCCAACAGAGCAAGTTCCCAATATCAATATAGTACGTCTTTGCTACTTGTGTAGAATTTAGATACGACTGTCTTCATCATGTCTAGCCTTAAAATCGAGAGCCCCGCCATTCCCTGTGGTAGCTTGATCGTTGTCACTGGTTGCACTGGCTTTATCGGATCTCACGTCGCCGATCAAGTTCTTGCTGCCGGATACCAAGTTCGCGGCACAACTCGAGATTCACAAAGGAGCTCATGGGTGGAAGACTTCTTTACACAAAAGTATGGTGCAGACAAATTTGAATTGGTTTCCATACCTGACATGACAGCTTCCAACGCTTTTGACGAGGTCGTGAAAGGTGTGTACTACACGAGATACCCTCTAGAACAATGACAACGGAACGATACTGACAAGGAATAGGTGCTGCGGGCTTCATACATGTCGCTCACGATATGACTGGTTCGCGAGACCCGAGCATCGCCATCTCGCTCTCGGTTAACATGGCACTTAACGCCGTGAAATCATCGAACAGTGCAGGCTTGAAAAGATTTGTTTACACGAGCAGCTCGTTCGCAGTCACACAGCCGAAGCCTAATGTGGACTACATCGTCAATGAAACTACGTTCAACGAAGAGGCCGTTCGAAAGGTGGAAGAGCAGGGCGAGAAAGCAGGCGGCGCTACCGTGTATGCCGCCTCCAAAGTTCACACAGAGCGAGCTCTGGCGAAATGGAAGGAACACCACGGTTCCGAGATCACCATCAATTGCATCAATCCGAACGCGAATATCGGCCCAATCCTCCGACCCGAGCAGCAAGGGTATCCAACATCCGCCGCCTGGGTGAAGAATCTATGGGAAAGGAACTACGCCGCTATGAACAAGCGCGCCCCAGAGCACTTCATAAACGTGCAGGACGACGCAAAGTTGCATGTAATTGCGCTTTTACATCCTGATTTGAGCGGCACGAGACTGTTAGGGTTGGCGGGATCGGCGCCAATAAGTGAGATTGCCGGAATTTTGAGGAAAGCCTATCCTAATAGGAAGTTTGACTATATTGAGGACGACGGAAAGAATGGATGTGTTAACGCCGAGGCAGATCGCATTGAGGCTTTATTGCAAGAGGCATATGGACATGGCTATACTAGTCTAGAAGAAAGTGTGAAGGCAAATGCGAAAGACTTGATCTAAATCGATGATATACTTTCAAAATAAATCTACCTGATACAATTTTGCGTGCAGATCAGAAGTATTGGGCCTTAACGTCATGACCACGATTGGTTTGGAAATCCGCAAAGAGATGTCGGAAATCCTGACAGCAAGGACGGCAGTGCCATTGATTCAGCCTCAAGATATTGGCCTATCTCTGTTCTCAGCTTTCGGTCAAGTCCAAAGGATAAAGATTCCCCATTAGCCGCCTCCACTGCTCCTCCATCGGCAGGTAACCACTTGCGAACTGAAAGAGCTGCCCGCTTACGCATGCTCCATGTAGTTCGAGTGGATTTGCGAACTTGAGAAGCGTGGTGTAAATTTCGATCAGTGTGCACTTTTCTTCAGATGTGTGGCAGTGTGTGAATCCGTAGTCAATGAGGACTGTAGGCGACGGGGTGTAATCAACCGGATTTCTGATCTGAGAAACCACTTGAGGTCCCACACGGATGGGCGGGGGCCATGTGGACCCGAGGACAAGAACTCTTCTAAGAATGGAAGTCTGGATCGTCGTTCTCTCAAGCCTTTCAAATCCATGAGTTTGATGAGTGTTCCGGCTTCATACGCTTTCCAGAACTCCGTGAATGTAGCGAGCGGAGCGGTACCGCTTGGGCGTTTATTAAACTTGAAGAAGGCACTATCGTCGCTTTTTGCGAGTAGAAGCCGGTAAATCTCCACCAAAATACTTTCCTCACCCTGTCCACGGCAGGTTACGAACCCGAACGTGTACCAATTTCTTTCTATCTCATTGGGAATGCAATGGTAGACTGCCTGTGCTAATATGATATAACTATCTCTCTTTGCTTCTGGTCTAAGATCCTTTGGCTCCGTGTTGTAATCTTCACTATCCAGGTAAGATATAGCCTGGTCGTAGAGGATTGTTTTTAGCTTTTGTTTTGCTTCCTCTTTGGTCGTTGGGTGTTCAAGAATATTAGAGTTTTTTAGAAACCAGGGAAAGTATCCTCCGCGGAATTGTTCCGGAATATTGAAATAGAACTCTTTGATCTTTTCAGTCAAGATTTCTGCAGTACGCCATTTGTGTACATCTTCCGGTGAGACCTGCTCGGAGAGGAAAAGGCCACGGTAGAGACCCAAGAGATAAGTTTTATCGATTCCAACAAGTGCGTCAAACCCAAAGTCCTCGAGAACTTCGTCCTCCGGAGGCATGCGATCCTCCGCCAGTGATTTCCACAGATAGTCGGCGGTGGTCAGTGGTCGTTCTGAGCACGTGAACAGATGTCTATCAAATCTTTTCTGCTGGCAGGCATCGCTGCAAAAAAAGTCCCGATTGCAAAGACTGCACCTTCTCGTTGTCGGTTTGTCACATATGGCACAGCTGTGTTTCAGCTCAATGCCTTCCGGCTTCGAATATGGCTGCGTGACGGATCCATGTATTTTCTCTATTTGCCTGTTGATTTTCAGCGCGAACGATTTCGGAAAGACCAAGTTAAAAAGGCCGAGGATAATGAAGGTGACTAACCCTTTGAACATTGCTGCAACTCTGTTGAGTTCTGTCTTGATCCTGAGGCGTCCAATCCCCAAGTCTTCACTTGAGTCTTGCTCCTGTCGAACGCTGAAGTCACTGTTTTTGCCAACGACCGAGGTTCTCTCCAACGGAAGATAGTTTTCAACTGATGCCGTTAGTTGGTTCTGGACCTCGATTTGTACCGACACGAGTGCCTTGGCCGTCCTATCTGCCCGGCCAGGCAGGAGTTGATTGACAATCGGCATGGTCCATGGCCTGAAAAGGCGGCCATGGCACCCTCTTGTCGTGAACCGCCCGTACGACTGTAGGAAGTTATGATACATGAAGCAGCTGAGCTTACTACACCCAATGTATGGAAACGGGTTGGACGCAGATGACGCCCTGGAGTTCAGGAACATCAGCATTTGCACCTCGCAATGGATGTTGGGGCACTGATTTTGTCGTTCAGTGAATTCATGTTCCGCCCTCTCGACCGTCCATTTCTGACATAAGACAGCTTTTGTCGTAGCAGGATTCAGAGTCAACTGGAGAAGACCAAAGGTTTGGCTCAAACTCAGCGGGCATCGAGACATATGTGAAGGCACGACCGGACGTGGAACCAAGATGACTGAGACTTGTGCGAAACTTGGGAGTGCAAGAGCGATGTCCTTGAAAGTCTGGAATGCAACTCTGAGACGGGCAAACGAACAGATGGTGAACCACAACTTCTTTGACTTCGACGTTGCACTGGGAGAGCTGTGGAGTATCTTTTCAATGTTTCTCGTCTGGCGCAAATCGTAGCATGCGATAGCAAGTTTTGCGTGCCTGTCATGGACATGATCATTGTTGGGAGTGTGATCGAAGAGAATGCCTCGCAGGCAAGACAGGGCTGCATCAAGTGCCATGGTATCGTTCTGAGTGCAAGTGGCCCCATATGCTTTGAAACTTGCCCTCAGTGCAGGAACGTGGTCTTTTGAAATCCGGTTCCGATGATACGAGATAATCTCTTCCCACAGCAACGTTTTAGGTTGGTCACCTGGAGATAGCTTAACTTAATTTACGGATCTCAATGACCTTAACGCAGAACGTACCTTCATCAACAGATAGCGCCCCCAAAAGCTCCCCAATTCTATCAAACACAGGCTGGTCAATTTCTGAAAAGCCATCATTGCGAGCAATCCAGATAGCGACATTATCTTCAGCCTCCTCCAATACGGAGCAGGCAACTCCCGTTCCTCCTTTCTTATTCGCTGCAAACTCCGCCAAACAGTCAAGGAGCTTCTTTTTCAACTTCTCGTGCCCTGAACCTGATAGGAATCGAGCAACGTCAGTGCCTCCCATGCTGGGCGCATATTCGTCTTCATTGTCACTGTAAGTCCAATCCTCTTCAAGCGCTACGCTAGATAATGAAGCCGGTTCGGCCTGTCCGCCATTCCGGAGTGAGAGGAGATTCGCAAGAGAGTGGAAATGTGTCCAGTCTAAGCCGGAGGAGCTCCAGTCGAAACTTTCACTCATTGTGAGAGCAGAAACCCTGGAAGTACATTAGTAGTAGAAGCTATGCGGGGAAAATTGCTTCACGCTACTTACAAGGCAGTAGTTGTTCATGAAAGTTTTCAGACAAAAAGAAAAGCCTCTTTGCAACGTGTGTGACTAGGATCGTAATTTCAACGACAGACCTGGAAGTAGTTGATATATGACTTTCGCAGTGCGGGGCAGCATCCAAGGGATTGTAGGAATTCTTTTCAGGCAGCAGTGAATAAATGGGAGAAAACATTTCTATAGGCGACGCGTCTACGCTGAGATGATTGCTTTGTGTCACCCAATCAAGGATTGAGTTACACAAACATAGAAATGCGAGATTCCGATAGAACTAAGAGACGAACCAGTCACTGACATATGACTCTATCCCAAGAATAAAAGTCTTCTCCTAGGTATATTGAATACAATCTTTTCTCTATAACCAGTCCGTACGTTGGATCAAGATCTCCCAAAGCACGGAGAAGCGCGGCCATCTTTGCATTTGTCGTTACTTCTCCCCGCGGCAGAATCGTGAGCCAAAATTTCAGGACCATTGAACCTCCTACCCAGCAACTGACAATGCCAATCCTTAGAATTCCCACTGAGCAACCTGATATTCGCAACCGTAACATGCGCGTCCATCTCCTCCTTATCAAGTCTAATCTTGAGTGCCAGCGAAAAGAGTCCGAGCTGGACTCAGTGGCAGAGGTGCGTGGCCTGGACGATGTGAGGAAGCTTGTAGTACTAGAAGTGACAGCGAAGAATAATACCTCTCCCAAACTCAGGGTTCATTATTTCTCACGCAGACACCGACCACGCTTGGACACTTGAGCTGACAAAGACATCACAATGAACAAAGGCTTCAGGCGCACACAAGATCACAGAACAATAACATCAAAGAAAGCCAGATACAGCAGATTTGATAAAAAGAATAATATTGGGTCGTTAGTGTAATACAAATGCAGAGACTTTCCATCGAGGCGAACTCAATGTGTAGGACGTTGTGCAGCACCGGGGAAAATGTGGGTATTGATATGGAGAGACTTGGGGGGCCATTGGGTATTATGCAAATCATTTGTCTAGTAGATCGCTAGAAGCCGATGGAAAAAGAAAGAAAAGAGAGGGGCGGGAGCTGGAAAATATGGTCGTTGTTTCCGAAGGTTTCGTCGTACTCTTCTTCTGTCGGGAGATTTTTACGCTACACTCGATGCCATCGTTATCGCCGAAACAGAGTACGCACTGCATATGTTCCTGTCAGCGCAAAGAAATCGTCACAAGTGCTTTGCGAGTAGACAGGGAGATATGAGTTGGGATGGCTCGGTGCTTGGGTTTAGACGTGGGAGGGGGCACGGCTGGTGTGTTGGGTTCGTGCCTTGTGAGCCTTGAGGAACGTGAAGGTGCCCCAAGCGGCAGTGAACATCCAGAGAAGCATGTTGGCGAGGTCGACCCAGACCGCGTTCTTCATGCGGATGATGCCCTTGTTGCCCTCGGGATCCTCGCTGATGTACATCTTCCCGAAGATGCCGAAGAGAACGAGGTAGAAGAACCAAGTGAGGTGATCAATAGCGCAGAAGAACCATTGCTTAACAATGGCGAGGACGATGGCGAAAAGGGCGCTCCAGGTTCCGATCGCGACGGCGTATGCCCACTTGGCATCGATGTATTTGCCCGCTCTACGGGCGCGGTCTAGATCCTGTGCGTAGAGACCGATGACGGCGACACCGAGTGCGAACTGGATGAGGCGAATGAAGATGCGCAAAATGAGGGTTGGGGTTACAGATGCTCGTGCTTCATTCTTAATGCCTTCTTTCTCCCCTCTCATAGAGCCGAGGAGCTTACCACCAAGGAACCTCATGACGAAAGGAACTACCATTGTTAGTCTATGGGGTTCTCTTGTAGATGTTGCGCGGATTGCGTACGTTGGGAGTTGGGAAGCGTTGAGAAAGCTGGTGCTGGTGCTGGTGATTATAGGTTCGGGTTGCCGTTTTAGGGACGCGAAGTGGAAATGGGTATAATCGTGGTGGTCGGTGGAGGAGAGAAAGTAAGTTGGAGAAAGACGGCGGTGTTCGGTGGGTGTGATAAAATAGTTTGTCGACTGGAGAATAGAACAATAGCGTTGTTTGTTCAAACAGAGTTGACAACAATAGTCTTATTGTAGAGCGCAGGGTTGAATGAGATTTTATTGTGACGCTGGGAGTTGGATCGAAGTGCAGGTGAAGTGCGCAAGATAAAGTGCCGTGCAGGGATTATTGGAAGGTATGACGATGACGCTATTACTTTGTAGATGTGATGTGGTCGAGGCTGCCAGGCTTGTTTGAATGACCACGGGGCTATTTCTTGCTCGCTTGCTTGCTTGTATCGTAAAAGAAGAAGTGATCTACAAGCAGGGGTGGGGGGAGAGGTCGAGGAAGAGTGAACCAATAAATGACAAAGGTGGCTTGCACGAAGGGATAGCAAGAATTTACGAGTTGAACGTTTGACGATGAAGAATGTTGGCAAAATGGAAGTAAAAGAAACGTCGACTGTCAAAGCCGATGGGAAAGAAAGAGAGGGAAACGAGAAAAGGAAGAGGAAAAGGGTAGTTGGGTGAGGTGAAGGACTACTGTGAATGATTGAATGAAAGAGAAGAAAGAGGGATATTCAATGCCTCTTATATTAGCACTCCGATAGATGGATGGTGATTCATATTCATAGATGAGTCTGAAGTGTATCAGCGTACTGTATGGGGTCAATGACTTGTTGGGTGTAACGACATACACACAGAGAGAGTGAGGGATGTCCCACGATGATTGGACAGAATGGACGGATGACCTGATTGGGCGGAATGGACGATTGGCGCGTGTAGGAGTCATTTCTCTCCAATCATTCCATCTCCTTGGCACTCGTCATTGGCGCCGTCTATCGTGTCAGAGGCCTCATTGGCCTACAGCTCTTCGGCCTCAAACACGGTCACCATTATTTTTGTCGCGTTTCATCCTTTCCTATCCTCTTACTATGGTCATGGGCGCAAACACGGAACATAGCCGTCCATCGACTGCCTAGGACTTCGTCTTGTGGTCGACATAGACCGCGTGCAATCTCCTTCTGTCTAAGTCTTGGTGGAATGCGGGGCTTCGTACCCAGTAGACGCGCGAGTTGGAACCGCCATCGACACTCGGACATTTCATGCGATGGACATCTATTTTCGAACTTCAACGTTTTTCATTCTTTTAGGTCATGTACTCTTGGTCTGGCTGGTTCGCTCCACAATCCGCGTAACACGAGATCCGAAATGCCGAATCAAGGCTCCCTCTATGGAGAAGAATACTTGTACCCATACTGCTTCTTTGCTGCAGCGACCTGATCCTTCAACGTCTGTTCCTTGTCTGCGAACTCCTTGTCGTCCTTGAGCCGCTGCAGGTACGCGTCGTTCCCGAACGGTCCCTTCGCCGGAACTGCCAGTCCCTTCTGCACCGCCGGGCGTTCCGAGATGCGCTTCCACCACGCCTCCACATTGGGGAAATCGCTAATCTCAACACCAGAGAACCTCAAAGCATTCACCCAGCCAAAAGAGGCAATGTCCGCAATGCTGTACTTGTTTCCGACCAAGTAATCGGTGTCTTTGAGGTGGTTATCCAGGATGCCCACCAAGCGCTCGGTCTCGCCCGTGTATCGTTGCATGCCGTACGCGATGCGCTCTGGCGCAAATCTCTGTGCTCCTTGTCAGCCTCAATGATCCTTTCGGTGCGGTGGAGTAGAACAAACGTTGAAGTGGTTGGCTTGGCCTTGCATGGGACTGTCCACAGTTAGTCGTTGTTCTTCAACTTCCAATTGCTCCGAATAGCCCTACCCAAGACCGCCGTGCTGCCAGGCCATCCATTGTTCCGCGCGTGATGCGTCCAATGGATCGCTGAAGCTAAATTTATGGTCGGGGTCGTAGTGGCGGGTGAGGTAGGTGAGGATGGCTAACACTGATTAGCTGCATAATTATCATTGCCATCATTTCGAACGGTAACTCACCAAGGCCCTCCTGCACGGCGAAGCCGCCCTGGTCGTGGTCTACGATGACCGGAATGCGACCGTTTGGACCAAGCTTGGTGAACCAGGGTTCCTTCTGGATGTTCTGACTAATGTTGATTCCCTGCCATGTGTAGTCCTAAGCTCTCGTCAGTGCCATGCGCAATCACTCATCAAGTTGTCCGGTTCACCTTTCCGTATGCCTCCTTCAGCTCCTCCAAGATGATAGAAGCTTTGACGCCATTGGGTGTACCCCAGGTAAGGAGCTCGATGCCCTTGTTAGCCTTGAGGCCTGTAGGTCGTTCGCCGGACATGTCGGAATCGTTCTGTAGACGGAAGGGAGTAGTATGGAAAGGGGAGCTCAGAAAGGGTGTGATGATACGTGGTGTGGTTCGTGAAGTGTGCTGGAGCTGTAGGCGGGGGAAAAGACGCAACAACGACATGGGGAGAAGCTTTAAAATGACACAAGAGGGGGGCTTTATGAAGTGCTTGCTCTCTCTCTCTCTCTGCAGTGCAAGCAATCCCCCGCCGTAGTCTCCAGTACAGTCTGCACAGAGGAGAGCACTGTGAGACCCTTAAATTGATGCTTAGCAATCGTCGACGTCACGCTAGCCCCGCGTACCCGCCCCGGTTATTTCTGTCAGCGGCCAGTTCGTCCGTTCATAGCGTCTCCATGTCTTTTGTCTATCTCTATCTAGGTAGTTAGCACTATCTGTCAGGAACGCGGGACTCGGCGTGAACTAAACGCGCGAGATGAGAAATGCATGCGTGGAAGTTACGAGCAACTAGGAAGCCATCGCGCTTGGAAAGCAACGAGTGTCTCCGTTACTGGCAGCAGTCAATAACCCTTCAGTTGGTGCTGGTAATACACACTAGACCCGCTTTGGACAAGCTTTCGGAGCGGGGTATGGACAAGCAACCCACGACCACCCACCTGCCTCGTACAAACTCCGTACATAAACTCATATCCTTCAATTCCGTCAAGTACTAGACCCCATAGTTTCTTCATTCTACATGAACAGTCCTTCCATGCCATTGCCCTCAGGTCTGCATTCATCTGGACTATTTAACGTCCTCTATTCACGTTCCTTCAACTCCTAGAATGCGATGCCATCTACCCTGACAACTGACATTGACCCTGACCATTGAAGAGGGAGACAACAGCACATGGTAGATAAGGAGTAAAGCTCTCCACTTCTGAGCGCTGTAACATTAATTGTCAAAATATTCACTTGTCATATTACATGCTCACGTCGACCCATTCATGCGCCATGTTCAGCAACTGCAACCAATCACAGGAATATGCAGACCCCATGCACGATTCTCAGCCTCGTTATGCGCTGGCTATCACCCCTTGACAATGTCTTCTACCTCTGACTACCAGTCGTCCCACTCGGACGTCCCTCGACGAATGCCTCTTGTCACCAGTGTTATGATTCTGCAGTGACCACTCCTCAGTGTTGACTTGACCAGCAGAGCGGTACGGATGCAAGGTACCAATAGCCGTGGCATACAGCCATACTTGCTATAGCACGATAGCGGCTGACCCATCAGATACTCTGCAGTAGCTCATCGACCGAGTTTCGAGAATTGATCCCATAGGATCAGGCGGCTTTCGCCTCACTGTCCTTACGTCGTTCCTCGTCTGCATCGGTAGCGCTCCGATTCCGGCTCAGTCTCTCGTTCATTCTCCCGTGTTAGTCTCGCAATGGCTTCGAAGGTGCTGGACATTCGGGAGGGGCAAGATGTATATGTCGAGGAAGATGAAAAGTTACCATACAGATTGGTCAGAAATCTCGGGCATGGGCACAGCGCCAACGTGGAGATGGTAGAGGACATATACACAGGCCGTGTCTTCGCCCGCAAGTTATTCCGCATACACAGGACTCGTGATCAGAGAAAGGCAATATTCGACAACGAAATCAAAATCATTCGTCGACTGAAGAATCATCGCCATATTATACGTGTCTTTGCGACCTACGTTGCGAAGAAGGAAGTCGGATTGATTCTGAGCCCGGTGGCGGACGGAGGAGATCTCGAATCGTTTCTGAACGATTTCGCGGTGGGGCAGATAGCTAGAAAGGGCACGACCGAAAGACGTCTGGTGCGAAAGTCTTTCGGATGTCTCGCTGCCGGTCTGGCTTTCATGCACCAACAAAAGATCCGACATAAAGATATCAAGCCTCGGAACATTCTCATTCATCGAGGAACGATGATCTACACCGATTTCGGCTATTCCTTTGACTACAGTCTGCCCGATGGGAGAAGCACCACTACCGGACGCCCAGACACATTCACTCGAAAGTACTGTGCACCTGAGGTGGTAGATTGGGAACCTCGAAACTCCAAATCCGACGTATTCTCACTAGGTTGCGTGTTTCTGGAGATGCTTGCCGTTCTCGACGCCCGCGCAACGCTTCCTCACTGCGATCAGCCGTATAGTGCAGTGGGGGAGGCTATCCAATGCTTGTTCGAGACCCTAGAAGAACGTCATTCCCGTAAAAATGTTGGATCACGTACTACAGTGACCCGTCTATGGAGTGTAATCTACAAAATGCTGTCATTTGACCCAACTCAGAGGCCAACAGCATCCTTCATCACGACCCACATACGAAAGCAGAGCCCAACTCACTTTTTCTGTAAGGACTGCTCGGATGAATCTGGAAATCTGGATCCAAAACCTTCAAATGGGGATCGCCGCAATCTAAAGATAGTAAAATCTAACAGAACTACCTCCGCCCGGCCCCAAAATTTGCGCCAGGCCTCAACAGACAGCACCCAGTCCAAAGAATACACTTGTTGTGATTCAACCATGGTACCTAGTATGTTCTGAATAGTTGTTCTCGACACGTCAATCCAGTACTAACGTGAATAGAAGCTCGTCGTCGCTCGAGAAGATGCAGCCATTGCAAACTATGGCAGCATGTCAATTGCATAGTCTTGGCGTCCATTCTCTCCGACGATGAAGAGTATCTGTGCGACAGATGCATCTCCCAATTACTCATTCAAAGACCACTTCCACCAATTTCCACTCCGTACGGTGTCATGGCTGCGGCGCCTCCCTATTTTGGAGTGCAATCTCCAAATTCGGTACACCCAGGTATGGCCGATAGACGTCTTGAATCCTTCAACAAACAGGCAGTTCCCACGCCACCGCTCCCTCTTAGACGACGGGGAAGTATTGGGCAATCTCCTCCTTTCGTATACACGAAGCCCGCGACTGGAACAGACTCACCAGGGGACAATGCACGAAAATCTAGACCACTACTGCTCGAGGCGCCGTCTCCCAGATTGAAGAGTGGCATTACCAGGTCATCCCTGCCGAGGGGACAGTCGTTCGGATCGGATAGCGCTCCCATGCCACCGTCTCCTGGAACGACGACACTTGACATAAGACCCAAAAGAAGGCTTGCGCAGAGGTCCGCTGTAAATCGATCATTGCCAGAGGATTCCGAACCCTCTCGCTTTTCCATCACTCTAAGACCGGGCGATTTGCAAGCGGAATCGAGTTGGGATGAAGAATCGGAGGATGAGGAATTGGAGAGTGATGAACCAGAGGATGAATGCGAAAGTGATACACCTTTCGGCGAACCATATACACCATATGAAGAGCCACCAACGTCCTCCACAAGGGCTCGAACGTTCGGTGACGATAATATCAAGCGATCTAATCATGCCGAGGTTGCTAGCAGCAACCGGAGAACACCAACCACATATCATCATCTTACTGGACATGGTACTCTATCCCTACGTAATTCAGGGTTAGGAGGAGGTCGAATCGTGATCGACGAGGGGACGAACGGGACTTCAATCAGAGTGTTCGGTATGGAGCAAGATGATGAGAAACTCCCGAGACAGCGAAGGCCTTAAGGTAGCGATTATAAAATCCATCTATAAATTCCGAGACTAATGCATTTACGCACGCAATAGAGCAAAGTAACATCGAATGAGCCAATCGCAATACTAATGAATGCTATGGCTTCTATCTCTTTTCAGCCCTGTTTGCTCACTTTCTTGTTTTCATTTACAATACTCTCCTTCGTCTTCATCTCGGTGCTCTCTATTATCCCAGCGACTCAGAATATTCGTATAAAACTCTTTACTACAATGAAATATCACGACAATCCTTCTTCCATAGTTTCTAGTCTTTTCAACTTTTTCAGCATATTCTACAGGTCCGTACATCTATTCTTGGTAGGAAAACAGGTACTTGCAAGCTACGAAAGTGGGGAATATAGCTAGGTCTTTTATGTTCGAGATCTTTTGTTCTCTTCGGGCACAATATGGTTACCTTCGATACTCTACCCTATATAGAGCGTAAAGCAACAAATGTCAGTTCACTGGTTTACATTCAAATCCAAGGGCGGAAAATGATTTCAACCTATGGAAGGGCAACAGTAAGTTAAAAACAATAGAGATGCCACCCAGTCTAAACTAGACTATACTACAATTTTATCCAGAATACACCACGAACCGCGTCATTGCTAATCCACCAACGCCGCTAACTACATGAGAAACCTTCGCCCCGGGTGACATTACCAACCCCGTCGTATGTCTCCTTTTCAGGATACGCGCACAGGTGCCGCTTGATGATGGGGTCAGTTCCCACGCTCGTCGCGGCGAGGGTCGTAGGGGCGACTCCCTCTTCAACCCACCTGACCAAGGCATCGAAGGTTGTGTCGGGGAAGGCGCCCGGGCCAGTGAAGCAGTGAGCAATGCCTGGAGCGAGGAACATGCGGTAGTAGTCGGCCGCATTGGGATCATGTGCAAGTACGTCGTCATAATACTTTTGGGATCCGCGAGTTGGAATGACAGCATCGATCTAAAGCATGGGTTTTCAGGACTATGCTATTTCAAAAAGCAGGCAAGTGGCTTTTTCCAAAAGAAGGACTTACCATGCCATGATACCCAATCATCTTGCCACCCCGGTCGCGGAAGGCGGAGAGGTCGGGGTCAGCGGTCTCTAGGAAGGAAGCGTATTGCTGGAACGATTCCTGGGCGATGCGATCGAACTCGGCTTGGGAGACGTTCGCGAAGACACCTGTCATATCCTTGTAAAGAAATGATCCAACCCAGGACTCATACAGGGCGTTCTTGCGGCGTATGCAAGTGCCATTAGAGCAAGTTGTGGGAATGACGGCGCCGTCGCTATCAGAACCCACGAGCGTCGCATCCTTGTTTATGCCAAACCAAATTTGGGAGCCATCAGCTCGCTTTGCTCCACCCCACTGTGGTATCGATGAAGTTAGTGGCCGTATTACAGAAACGAGTAGGATGACTTACAGCTCCTCCAACAATGGCGGCCGCTTTGGCGCTTATGGTAAGGGGAGTGCCAAAGTCGGTACAGTTGTCAATGACTGTGCCAACAAGTGACGTCGGGTCAAATGTACAATTTTCAGGATCAGAGATGATACCATCTAGCACTCCGTCATTGCCGTCGCAGGCGGAAATAGCGGCTGCCGTGAAGGCGGAAATCTCGCAGGATGGTGGCGCGTAGTTCAAGGAGTCCATAAGGAACAGTGGATATAGTCCAGAAACAAAGAACCTATTCCAGTTGATGGCCGGGGCGCTTGCAGCGATACCATCGTAGGCATCGGGATACCTCTGGGCAATCAGATGGCCTTGACGACCACCCTGAGAGCAACCATTAAAATATGAAAACTTGGGAGACTGGCCGTAGAAGCTTTGAATGACACTCTTGCTGATGACGGCAGTCTCATTAAGCGACGTCGATCCTAAGTTCTCCAAAAGATTGAGATTGACGTTCCCAGGACTAACAAGACCCCAGTTGATCGGAGTAGCCTCAGAACCCAATCCAGCATCGGTACCAGCGGTGGCGTAGCCTTCTCCCATGGCTGCCTTCATGGCCTGAAGACCCGCATAGTGTAGACCAGCTTGATATCCAGCACCACCCTGTGTTTGCAGTCGTTCATTCCAGGTCCCATCGGCAGGCATCCATACCTGAACGTTGATGTTGTCGTTGCGGCCAGGGTGAGTGTAAGTTACAGTGACATTGCAGAAGTCAAGACTCTTGATTGAGACGCGGCCATGATTTGAATAGAAGCCAGGGGGTATGCTCTCGGTGAGATTGGTGACTAGATTGGCCTGAACGCTGAGAACCTCAACGCCAAAGACCGAGGGATGTGGGATGGCTGCAGCCGTGCAGTTGAGAGCCATCTCTGGAAGAGCAGGAATTGAGCAAATAAACATTGGCTTAAAGACTGGAAAATGAGAATGTTATTTGCGCCTGAACAGATAGCTTCTGCGACAGTCTCTTGGAATACTTTTATACCTGTCAACATGGCAGCTCCTTATAAAGCCAGACAGGCTCTAAGTAAATCTCTGCCGTATATCTAAACATTGTCATCCTAGCAGCGCAACAAATGGTCCGAGTATGAAGCCTGTGAGCGTATCGAACCGTATAACATAAGATACAAGAAAGATTTCTAGGCTCTGTCAGGAGTAGCAGTCGTCTATGTAGTTGGAAGAGTTAGTGTAAAGGTGAGGATTTCTTAGACCTTCTGTAACTTGAACGAGTCTAAGAATCACCTTAATGATGCCAATTCTTCGAACGCGGAGCTGATACTACTCCTAATAGCGTCTAGGAATCCTTTTTCTCTTCCCAATTATGACCGTTTCATAATAGTACGAGTAGGCTTAAGCTGGGGCGGGCGTATTAACTAGCGCGGCCCGGCAGCGATTCGTATATAACGGACGAATCATGCACCGCTAAATACGTAGTAGCGCACCCAGTGAATACGGTGCGTGTAGGTGAAAGCATTACGCAACCTGGCAAACGATGTGCTTCCCAAATCGTGAAACAACTCATGGAATCTAGATAGGAGGCTCATGAATGTGTAGTAATAAAATCCTGTTCAGGGGAAAGGACCGAAAACATGTTCGATAATCATCTTACCAAACTCTATCGCAGACCTTTGCTGCATCACCCTCTTCAAGCGCGTAGGTTTGTCTTTGAGGATGTTTCTCATAAAAGGGCATGGATCATATTCGAAGGTCGACTAAAGATGAAAAAGGAATCCCACCAATCTACCCTTAGTAACTACAGAGAGAAGCTTCGATCACAAGTATCCGAGTAGCTCTAGTTCATACCTCACTGTTCTGAGCTGAATTCGCAGTCTTTTAATGTGTCTTCCATCCAAATCAGATCAAGGAAATCCTGAATCAGGAGGGCCTGTGGTATGGAATCTCGATGCCTCTCTCTGTATGTGCCTTGACGCGAGAGTTCCTATCTGGCTGAGAGCTGGATCCGTATGACAGCTACCATTGAATTTATGATTCTCATTAGCTCATCCGGACGGAACGTTTCTTGCTGAACTGCAGTATAGCGTATAGCTGGCCAGTATAGACTGTAATGCCGTCTTCGCTAGCAGCCATGCTTAAGTTAGGTCTTTGGTTGGTTCGCCGCAACTACATGCCTACCAAAGTGAGTACCAGTGTAGGACAGAAGTGCTAGGGACAAGCTGATCCAGGGAATTGCCTTGGATTGAAATGTTTGACCACCAACTATCAAAAATCCAAGTTGGCAGGTTCAGTGTTCAGGCCATCGGAAGGAAATCCCAGTTGTAAAGAGCCGAAAGGTCGAGCAGCATTCATACTCCTTGTAGATTACGTTGAGGGTTGGCCATCCCACGATTATTTCATCAATGCCATATGACAACTTGATAACGGACTATTATTACGGATTGTCTAAGACAGCTCTTGGGTGCACCATCCACTCGTCCCAATGAGAGCCTAGATGCCTGGAGAGATGTTCTATAAGGATCCGGCCAGCATCACCGAAGACCCAGAAATTGCGTTCTTCCCAGAGTAGCATAGCCCAATAGGCCAGGATTACCAAGGACACTGGTTGACGTTCCTCTAATAATTCAATGAATTCGGAAGAGATCCGGATTGGCCAGGACAACACGATATGGGTTGGATACGGTGTGGGGAGAGAACGATGAGTGCTGAAAACCCAGCGAAGAATCTCAACAGCCTCACAGCATGCTTTGTGCGGGCCTAGTCCAAGCCTCGAAGATGAGCGCTCGAGAAGGCTAGCTAAAGGGTCACATTCGTTTTCTGTACCTTGAAGCCGCTGCTGCGCCAGGTCCCCTTGCTCCTCTATATGGCGGACGATGTGCCTTAGATCCGTCTGACGAAGGATATGCCAGCTCTGCTGAGTGATAACGTGAACACCATGGTGAATGCGGAGGTAATGAGTGAATTTGTCGAGCAGGTCAGTAAAGTCTCGATGTGTCGCCACTGTGTCCACCAGGGTGTGCAAGCCGAGCGCTGAGGAGAAGATGAACATGGCCAGGCAGTTTTCCTCATTTACCTGAGGAGCCTCGGTGTTAAAGCGCGTCAAAGCGCGTGTCTGAAGCTCTGATGCTTGTCGAAAGTACTGGTCTTTGTGGATGCCATGTTGAAGAGTGCCGAGGTGGGTAGCCGACAGCGCCAGCAGCTCGTCCAGCAGATAGGGCGCTGATATGGCAGCGCTGAATATCGATTCGTAACACTGTCTGGCATTTATAGGATCAACCATGAATAGGCCAGGATGCAATCGCAGAACTTCGTTCTCTAAGTGGTGCAGAAGTACCATGTGGCTTAGGTTGAAGAGGCCTGGCTCAAGAGGATCCGGCGAGGGGACAGCCGGTACATGACTGTCAACAGCGGCAACATCACTGTCGGCGACAAACCACGTAGGCTTTACAGTGCCGCAAAGTGTGGTAGCATTTGAGGAGACGGTGGAAGCCTGACCTGGCGAGTGCGCTGGGTCGCTTCTCAGCCAGTGGTGATGTGGCTCGAGGTCAAGATAAGAACATCGTCGATTGGTTGCGGTGCAATTGACACAGGAAGGGCGGGTCTCGTCACACTTGGTATGGCGTTGCTTGCACTCTTCCAGCCATGTCAGTTGTGAGCTTCTCTTGGTCACGGGTAAAACTGTGGGCTGGATGAGTGAATGCATACCTTTACACCCCTTGCGCGACTTCTTGTGCGAACGCCTTAATTGCATGTTAGGGTTTGCGGGCATCTGGACGGCTCGTAGCGATATCAACGGAGTGCGACGCAAGAAAATGGGGAAATGCCGTTAAAACCCCGTCCGTCTGGAGATCGTGTAGGTGCATTCAGTAATTTAGTGCGTGGCCGCCTACTGGGCATGGTACTACTTTAAGTACCTGCGTGCCTGCGTAGCTAAACTAGTTCTCCGTACTTGTCGTTAACCACTATTTTATGGCATAACCATGCCACGTGCGAGGCGATTCCCAATAGGCGGCGACAGTAATCTAGCGTAAGAGATGGAAACGGAGATCTCAATAATTCGATATTTTTAGGATTTTAAATAAATCTAGGTACCGTCTCCTTACATCACGATTCGTGCTGGTTCTTCCGCACCTTCGGCTTCTTCCCCTAACCAGCTATTCATCTCAATAATTACGGCACCATAAAAAACGTGAGGATGCGAGCCGTTGTGTAGCCCAGCAATGCCCCCCTACCGCTACCTAGATCTACGCCAAATCTATGGCCTGAACTGTCTCCACGACATGCCCGCCGGCTTCACTAGGAGCTTCAAGCCATTCGTGCACTCGGGTTCCTCGCTGCGAAGAAGTGCAGCGATCTCGCCTGGATGCTTCCAGTGTAGGTAAGTCACAGCCAGAAACATGAGAAGCGAGTCCATGATATAGAAATACACCTCTGTCGTCTGCAGAACCCCGTCACTTCCTTCGATGAACTCGATTGCGCGGAACAGCGAGCGAACCATGACGAAGAAGCTAAAGATGTAGAGCGTCCAGAGATAGCTCAGCCATCGTATTTCGGAACGACTCGCTGCCCTTGTCGGCATGAGTTTCATGGATCGATGGAACATAAGGGCTACCACGACAAAGAAAGCGAACCAGACAAGCTGTAGAATGAGACTTGCAATAATGATCCCATTTCCAATCTTGGCCAGCTTAGGAACCGCACGGGATCCCCCCATAAGTCCTCCAGCTGCGGTAGTTAGCACCCGACAGAGAGCACCGCCTATGGAGACAACTTACCTGCACATTGCATGAAAAGGCAGAATAGATCTCCCGCCAGGAACGTCTTGGTGATGACCCTTCTTTTGATGATAACATGAGAGTCCCCATCCGTGAGCTTTACGATTCGGCCAAGAAGGACATAAACCGAGGCAGAGAACAGCGCAGGAGCAAGCAAGATGAACACGCTCTGGATGATGTATGGCATCATTCTCCAGCAGCCTGGCTCTTGTCGGGCCGATGCTGTTCGAGCAGCGTATCCGATGAATTCAGCTGTGATGTCACCATGTGAGCTAGGTTATTGATCTGTAGGCACTGAAGCAAGTGTACAGCCTAGTAGTTGGGTGTGAGCTCCTTACCGAAACAGCCACCACACAGAGCCCCCAGGAACCAGGCCTTTGTTCGGTACATCTGCCAGAGATGCACAATAGTCGAACTCAAGAACAGCAAGCAGAAGATCACTGCAGCTGCGACCGAGGGAACATATCGGTAAAATGAAAATGTAGCAGTTTGCCAATTGGGGTTGCAGACGGACGCCATCGGGGACACAGCAAAGGCTCAATAGGAATACGCCGTAGATGAGGGGAAGCAAAATTGTGAGCAAGTTGTTCAAGATTGGTGAAAACAATCTAAAGTCAAGGAACAATATGAGCAGCGAAGGAGCAATGAGAGTTCCTAGCTGGGGATCATGAACAGTTATATAGCATTAAAGTCCCTTATTCCTAGACACGGCCGTCCATAGATCTGGGTTTACCTAGCTCCACTAAGTAGCATGCATTCTTAATCGTCTAAGGAGGTAGAAATTATCCATTTGATCGAAACGCCGTAAAGATAATACGCAAAATTGTGTAGTTCCACCCGTATTGCTCCAAATGGCTGATTGGCTATTGAAGAGACTTGATTAGATTAGCCAATCACATGTCGTTAAATACGGACGCTAACGATGAACACGGTCAATACAACCAAGGATGGTAGATCGTCAATGCTACAGTTGAAGTGACACTATCTATTTCAGGGCTTTGAATCCTCACTAGTGAAATGTTCTAAACCAGCAGTGAATGGCAAGTAGCACATAAAAGAAGTTCAATAGATGGACGGAAAATACTGTATTACGAGTGCCTACACACGCTACGCTACTTCAATTAGTCTACAATACAAGGTACAGATCGGCTCCAAGCGACGTTTAGCTCCAAGAACGACTTCTTACTTGTACTTTTGCAATCATCACGACAGTCTTCTTCTGTGTTCACAACTATGCACTCCTAATTGAAAAGCCCGATCGAAAGTCTACACACCTGGATAGGGAAAACCTTTTGTACAGAAGAGAGAGTAAACACATTCAGCCATCCGTCTGCAAGCTCTGTGCGCTCTTTACAGAGTATCAAATTAAATTATGTTGGTGTACGAAAGATGTCGTCAACAGCCCCAAAGCCCGCGCAACTCTGTAGCTTGTGCGTCGCTATGGGCAGGAATCAGATTCTGGCACTCTCGACCGGCCTGTAGCATGATGTGTCTTCTGGGTGCCCTGATCGTCGGACACATCCTTGCACTGAACACATTGTGAGCGACAGTGCGACCATGCCAGAAAAGAATTGATGATCTGCTGGAGGCTCGGGATTGAAGATCGATTGATTAATGCATGGACGTGGCTTACAAAGGGGGACATGAAGGGCGAACGGGGCAGTGCATCAAAGCCTCTTCCCCAGGAAGTCAATCGCACTGTTACACTTTCGCAAGTTCACAAGTTATAGATACATTTGCAGGCGGGTACATGGTGCCGCCGAGGACTTCTGATATGCCGCATACCATTTTTATGAGATACGCTAATTGTCTACAGTCCTTCTTTCCATTATGGTTACTGCAAATCCCATGGTGTTCGATTTCGCGATCCCATAAACACACTCTTTCATTGTTCTGATCATCGCGACGGCTTTGATGATTGGTTCATTGTCATACTATCTCGCTCATTCAGTCTCAACCCGGCTCAACTCAACATTGTCAGTGAGTTCCTGACTGCGAGGTGTAGACTGAGAACTGCCCTCATTGGCGGTTGCCACGGGTATGTTCGACTCCAATGTGGATGGTGTTACGTTTGGATGTATACTGTTGGATGTTAGTGACCATCGGGGTAGGAGAAGAGAGGGTAGGAGAAGAGATTGTGGGTGAAGTACCTCTCCAAATCGGACCTCTTTCTTTTCATAGTCTGATACATGAAGCGTAGCGTGAGAGCAGCTAACACGATGCTAACAACCCCAATGCAGGTGCCTAAGACACCAAAGGTTATGGCCTGGCTGGAACCATTGTTTGTTGTCAAGTTCTTAGTGACGGTGGCCGTAGGAAGGGACGCGGCGGCGGCGGCAGGTTGTGCCGAAGATGATGTCAAAGAGTTGACTACGCCATGGTATTTGTCAGTCGTGAAAGGCATCATTTGGGTAGATGATATGTGAAAAGGATGAACCAAGTCAATAAGAAAAAGTGCAAGGCAAGTACGGTGAAAGAATGGTATCCAGAAGGAAGGGGAACAGGTGTGTGGAAAAGAAATCTATGGGAAGCCATGGCTCTCTTAGAAGTAAATAAATTGGAGGCGATGCAGGATTACAACTATGTAGCGCGGTTCGCAGTATTCAAGTCTAATAGTGCGATAGAGAATGCGATGCTGCGACGATGCGACGATGCGACGAATCGAGTTATGGGCCAGCCTTGCACATCTGGCAGGAGCGAGGTTGAAGACAGATGTAAGAAAAGTGCGATTTTTGTAGCGGGACCAGTACGGAATGCACCAACCTCCAAGCCTTTGACAGGGATCATCGAGTTGCGACGGTGCGATTCACGTTACTGAATTCAAGGGAACTGAGAAAGGACAACATTCTGGGGGGGAGTTCAATCATGTTAATGATGGTGCGAGAGTGCGACGGTGCGAGATTGGGCGTCCATGAGACTCAACGTGCATGTGGCTTTGCCATGGACGCAGACGCAATGCAGATGAACATCGTTTTGGGTAGTCAGAACAGTCTGACCGGTAGGGTGTGAGTGTGAGGGGGCGCACCAATTACTACCATCGAATCATTCCATGAACTTGTCACCCTGTGTTATCGCATTATCGCACTTTCGCAATAACGCACTTTCGCCATTACAGAGTTGCGTATCCCCCAATCCTTTATTGTACAATGCGTCTTGATTCTCTCCAGCTCTATACATGCGTCGGCCCGTGGCATATAAAGCAGCCCGAGCCTCGCAATACAGTACTGTACTTTGGTTTATTTCTCTCCTACCCAATTCCTCTGTTCATCTCAAGATGTCTGTACCACCACAGCCATCGAGCAGACAAACGCCACCAACGGGTTCCACTCGCAAACGACCACCTCTTTCACGTGAAAAATGCAATCGCTGTCGAAGGGACAAAGTCAAGGTACGTGTTTTCACCCTGGGGTTGATCACTTAAAATGCACTCGCTCATCTACGAAAGTGTATGCCCATCGAGCGTCGTTGGCCTCAGAAGTGTAATCGATGCATCGAGAAAGAGTTCGAATGCTCCGAAAATACGCATGCGGATGGGAAAAGGAAAAAAAGGGGTCGACTCGAGTCACCGTCACCACCAAAATCTTCAGGCGGCAGCAACAGCGAACTAGAGCCCCCTAGAGGCCGGTATCAGGATCAAGTACAAGACTTGTAAGCCTTCTACATTGATTTCTCAGACGTTATCTGAAGCAAAAGCTCGTTGTCAGACTAAACCTTCTCGGAATCTACGGAATGATGTGTGCAGCATATACACACTTGATCCAAATGAGGAAGGAATTAAAGAAACTCTATCTAAATCCTTTCAAAGTGTCGCATATTTACCTTGATATCTGGGACGAAGAGAATGAGTTCCGAGACCTTGTTGACAAGCTTCACTCTTTGGTGAAACGCTTGCTCCAAGAGATACCAAAGGCCTGCGGCAATCAGAGAGACCATGTAGATCTGTCCACCTTGATCCCCACCTTTTTGAATGATCCGCTAAGCGATATAAATCACCTAGCCTACCCAATCTACGAGCCACTGGATCAGGAAGTAGTAATCGATTCCGCCACCCCGTTTCCGAAATTTTGGGACCAATGTCAACGATGGTTAAACTACGCCGGTGGGCCCTATTGCCAAAAAAGAACGATCGCCGATATCGAAGAAACGACGATCGTGCAATGGAACAATTTCATGGCACAGCAGAAGCAAGTTGTCTCTGCAGCGGGGACCCTTTTAGTGAAACACGACCATGATGGCATCCCGGGAACTGTAGCATTGTCGCCAATTTACTTCCCATGTGGATTCACCAGGTTACCATCAGAATGGCAAGCCCAGTTACCTGTTGACTGCCTGGGCCGCTCATGGTTGCATCGAATTCTCGACAGTAGTTATCCTAATTCACGCTTGACAGAGAGGCACCACCGATTGGAACAAATGATCAGCGAGCGAGGAGATCTCAATTGCCAAAATGTTCTGGGACAAACACCTTTAATGTCCGCAATCGTATGCAATAACCTCCGAGTTGTTCAAATCCTATTGGATAACAATGCCAACCCAGACCAAGAAGATGTCTGCGGGCTTACACCTCTGCATTACGCCGCTGCTATGGGACATAAGAGTTGCTGCGAGGTTCTTTTGCAAAATTCGACTCTGAGTCTCAACAAGCAAGAGGAGAACTTTCATCTCACACCTTTAATGCTAGCATTTCTCCACAAACAAGCTCAATCGATGGAGCGATTGTTCGCAGAGGAACGTTTGCTCCTACCTATGGCCTCTTCTATATGTTGGCTCTTTGACAAGGATCCGCCGCATGAATTCAACCACGACAATCAAATTCTGATTCTGTCTGGCTTAGTTCAAAATATGCCCGACTTCCACTTTGGAAAGGCCAATGGACTGCGCTTTAGTCTGCAGATTGCTGTCTGCAGCCAAAATTCTCAGCAACTGCAGAAGCTAGGAGCACTGCCCATTGTGTATGACGGTTGGGATGAAGGTTTCCATGACCTCCTTGAAACAGCAGTCCAGGATAATTTCGTCGAAGGAGTACGATACTTTTGCAAGCACCCCAATATCGACATCAACAGGCCGGTTAACGATATCGAAGAAACTATCCTAATGTATGCCATCCGGATCAACCCACATCGCTCTATCGAGACGGGTAACGAGAAATGGTTAAAGATCATCACCATTATCTTGGATACTCCTGGGATAAATCTCAATCTATACAATGAAGATGGACGTTCCGCTTTGGATTATGCACGAGTCTTAGGACTGCCAGACATCGCACGGGCCATAGAAGTGCTGATGGTACAGCATCAACACGGAGTTTCCTTTCCTGTTACTGTTGTGGGTCATCAAGGCGCGGAGCACATCGGCTGGGCGGATCAGAGATTGCATCACCCAAACATGGAAGATGCGAGCTTTGAAGATTGAAGAAATCAATACATAGTTGGGGCACAAAAGTCCGCAAGCACGTCCCACGATCACACTTCGGCCTCTGCATGATACCATAACACCCTTCAAAACTATGATTTTAGGAGTGTACTCGAGGAACCCGATGTCCTTTCCTACAACCCAGAATGAGATGTATCCTGCGCCATGTCTTTGAGCCCTGTTGCAATAAACGCTTCACTAAACTGAGACGGTTTTCCGGTAATTCATAAACACCGTGCTCTAGAACCATCGTTAGGACCAAACAATGCGACTTGATCGGCCAGACTCACCATGCCCATCAAGGTAATTCGAATGCTTGTTCGGACGGTCGTCTTCTCTGGTACATACGGCGCAGTTGTAGACCTGCAATGACAAGGCTTAAGACACCAATTACGACCCCGAAGACACTGGAAGTGGTGGATAGGTTGTCATTTCCGTCTTTCGTGAGTGGTACCACGTGCGAAGTTGGTATAGTGGACTTGTGAGCTGGAGATAGGATCGGCCTTGTAGATGAAAACATGTTGACGCCGCTACGGGTTGTATTAATCTAGTAAATCAAAGATAACTTGAAAGGTGGTCAGGGGCCAACTATTGGGTGTTTTGAAGTTCTGGGTGTGAGCCCCAATCGTATCCATCTCGCCATGAGATGGAGGAGGTGCGGTCTTATATACGGTCGGAAGGTCCATGTTCATCAAAGACGCAATCGTATTCTTGTACGGAGTACTCCATAGTAATGAAAGATACATGAGGTAGCTGGCGAGCAACAGTCGAGGAGTCTCACCCACAGCCTAGCTATGCTGGCGCGCTAGCGACATGCAAGATCGCCTTCTTGCACTACTTACCCATGTGGACCGCTGGACTGTAATCTACTTCCTGCAGTATGGATTCCCATGTGGACCGCTGGACTGTAATCTACTTCCTGCAGTATGGATTCCCACTTGATCACGCTCGTGTTGTCAGCCCCATCCGTGCTCGTTCCTGACAAGGGTGTGCATTGAGTGGGAGGAGCGCCCGTGCCTGACCGGTTGGTCAGGTCTGTGCATCTTACACATAGGAGTAGAAATCGACAAATTCCTCTGAGAACGCACAGCGATCCCCGGATGTCAGGTTCCTGCACGAGTGTGCTGGGTTTGCTCCCATATGTGTATGTGCTCCCTACCTATATGTGTACGGAGTATATGCTCTCTGTGTGTATGTCCTCCCTATATGTATGTGCTCCCTACGTGTGTATGTGCTTCCTCCCCCACCCACCCAACCTTGTAAGTTGTAACACTCATCCTGCCTCCTGCAAGTCACCATTCGTCTTGAACGCCAACACTCCTACTGCAATTCGATACGCGTTCTACATTCAACACTCGTTCCACATTCAATTGTAGGTGACAGTCGATCCACAATTGGCGCTCCATGTGTGAGTCGGCCTCGCACTACACCCCTGGACCGGCACTTGGTTGTTCGATGTTACCCCTTCGAACGCCCAACGCATATCTCGCTGCTTCGCACACTTTCTAGTGTTTAGGTGATCGCTTTTGTTGCATGTTTGAGTAGAAGATAGGCACGAAGGACCCACCTGTTTGCTCTGTGTATCTCCCAGTCATCAAGTGATAGTCTAAATGCATCGTTCAAGTATGAACACACTGAAACATGCTGTTGTAGGGGCATAACAGTCACGACCAGCCCGACGTACCCACAATAACCTCTTGAAAAAGATGGTGAAAATTGTTTAGCCAAATCCTGTTTTAACTAAAGATACCTCTGTACGTATTTACATTTACATGTATAGCCAGAACGTCGGTACTCCTTACAGCTAAGAGTGACACGAAATTGCCGGTGGAAAGGTCGCGTTTCGTTAAATTTTCTTCTCCACTGAATCATTCGAACGTCTTCCATAGTTCATGACATGTGCTCATCTTGATGCTGCATTCTTTGTTACTTTTCAATACCACGTGCTCCAATATCTTAGTAAACTAACCGTACGAGCGAGGAGTTATAGGTGGAGAAGCGAGAGCTTTGGGGTTTCATACGTAGAATCTATCTGATTATTCCTGCCTTTTGATTGCAGGTATTCTTCAGAATGCCTCTCATCCAATGACAAACTATGTACTTCGATTGGCCTGTTTACTGGTACAAACGCCCGATAGGAGAGCCCCGCAATCAGTCGCCCTATCCGCGACCCAAAACTAACTATCTGATTTGTGACGCAGGATCCTGATCCTATTCGCATCTTATATCTTGAAATTGGTTGTGTTGATATATATAATAGTCATTGGATTCCTCGTAAACCGAACGGGGTACTCTTCTTCCAGAATTCAGGGCCGCTTTTTTGCTTTTCTACTCAGCTAACTAGTGTGACAAGCGAGACTAATGCTTACCCGCAATCGTAATCCGCACAACCCCTCTCCACAAGTCCGAATTTTGCTTCTGCTCTACAAGTTAAGCAGCTCTGAAAAAGATATTCGATATTCCAAAACAAAATAAGTACATATATCAATCTTACTGGGAAATCCTCCATAACTTCAGTACAACATCCGATATGGTCTAGTGGCTAGGATTTGCCGCTCTCATTACGAGAGTCAGTTACACTGTCATTTTCAAGTGCCGGCAAGGCCCGGGTTCGATTCCCGGTGTCGGAATTACTATTTTTTTGCTCATCCAGGAGTGTTTTGGGGTTGTGGTGGTGGTGGTTGGTTATCTTTTTGCATGGTGGTGGTGGTGGACGGGTGAATGTAAGGAGGGAGCCAGAAATAGTCCTGGCCACCCACTATTGTTACGATCACTACACTACCTAAACGACTTTGTATCTAGTTAGTAATATTATATTAATTATGTAATATTATAGAAATATTGCAAAGACTTATAAAATATTTTTTAAAATGTTTTGTTACTCTGCCCTCTATAATGTCCCTGTAGTCAGTCAAAAAACCTTATGAGCGAGCCCTCCCCAGGCTATTCCCGGCTTCCCCCTTGGGCTAAGAGAATGTGTAGGTGGCTGCGCTCAACAGGATCGGGTGTCGGGGGCCATGGGTGGGTAGTTGGTCCGTCAATAGACAGAATCAGTTTGTCTAAGATCCATCACAAATTACTCGTATCTAGGGCAGTGATACTCCGTACTGGCCTTTACAATTCAAGACGAGAGTACAGTGCCCAAGGCTAATGAACAATGTCTTACACTAGGGATTGCGATGACCGCATAAGCACCGCGCACATGATAGAGGTCTTCTTGCTGCCATGCCTGGATGCTGGCTTGACTATTAGCTGGCTCTGAAGAAGCAAGGAAAAGTGCGATAAGGTGCGATGATTCCTCAAGCCAATAATACAAGGGTCTGACCTTGATGGTCGTGTTGGCTTTGATGATCATTCTTCTACCGACAGCTGAGGCGTGTGCATTGTGGCTGAATTCGGTCTGTCTTCTCATCGCACTCTGTCGCACTTCATCGCAATTTACTCTGAAAGATGTATTCTGCCACAGCTAGGTTTGGAGCCCCGTCACTTTCGACGCACCCTCCCATATGGAGGGACTTCAGTGAAGACCTTATCTAGTCTTATTATTTATATTTGAAGATTCATTCAAGAGATAAATGCCGCTACAGCTCCAGCATTAATACAGTCGAAACGTGGGGTCTACATTGTGACCATTCAACCTTCTATTGACGCGAATAACAAGAACAAATCGTCACTCCAGTGAATATAAGCTACAACAATGCCTAAGAAAGGATGTCGCTTGCACTTGATTAAGTGCGAGGAGTGTCGTAGAGACAAACAAAAGGTTCCTCATGTCTTCAGTCTTTTTAGTCTTCATGGATGCAACACAGCACTAAGAACAGTACAGTGCCTTCCTATAACACGAAAATGGCCCGAAAAGTGTGAGCGGTGTACGCAAAAGGGGTTTCAATGTTCTGAGGGGAAGCGTGCCGCCTGGAAGAGACGACGTCTACTCGATCGACGTGGTGACGTGCGGGCCGAGAGAGAGGCTGAGGCTTCACCAGAGCAGGATTCCGATAATGAGGAAGAAGATTTGAATACTTGGTGCGTTTTTATCCTGGCTCCCGATCGTGTTGATGGTTTCCTCTGTAGAAGCATGAATGGCGTGGAGCCATGATGAAGTCATTGCTATTGTCGCTGCTGTTTCAGGGTAATTTGCTGACAATACTCACAGGGCATTTCTTTTGAGTGTTCATCAGATCATGACCAAGGCATTGAAGCAACTCCACAAGATTCGGAAGGAAACATGTATTCTTTTCGACATTTCACAACCCGATTTGAATCGGACTCGCTATGAAACCGGTTCGAAGATCGAGGATTTTGAACGATTCGTTCAAGAGCTGGGAAAGGTATTGTTGGCTATGTCGAAGAATGCTCTGGACTCCAAGACGAACAACACAAGTGTAGACGTAATGCATAGCCTTGTCGGCAATTTCCTCAACGATGACTACAGCACTACCTCCGCGTCGCCATGTTTGATCTGCGATGTTGACGATGACGCATTGGAAATGTTACAAGATCAAAACAGTTGTGCGGCAGAGTATTTGACAAGAATTGCTCGATGGGCTCATCATTGTCGACACATTGATTATAGACCTGCAGATCACCACGTCGCACAAGAATGGGAAACAATCGAAAGACTTACCGATAAAGTCAAAGCTAAAACGATCCATGTGCTTCGAGGTTTAGATTTTGTGGAGAAGATTCCGGAAGTTCCGCTGTTTATGCCCGAAGAGGTCAGCCTCAGTCCTGAAGTCAGGGCGTCCCTTTTGCCTCAGGATTGTCTGGAACGAACCTGGTTACACCAATTGCTGGATATGGATTTCATATCCATTGATAGAGGTGTTGATCAATTCATCCTGGATGCGCTTGATTCGATACAAAGCAAGAACTTTCAGTATCAAAGCCACTTCTACCAATCTCGATTCTGGGACAAGAAAGACATTATTGGGCGGACAGCTTTGCACATTGCCTGCCAGAAGAATTACGAAAAGGTTGTCTCCGCCCTTCGACGCCTTGGTGCAGATGTTGGCGTAACTGCGATATTTGGCTCCTTACCACTTCACTATGCAGCTAGCACCGGCTCCGACGCAATATGTCAACAATTACAGTTGTCACCGAAAGCTAGCATCAATGCAGTAGACAGCTTCGGGATGACTGCTTTATACTACGCATTTGCTCACCGGAAACGTTCTGTCGTTGAGCTACTTCTTCTTGATCCAGACATTCGGCCTAATGAATGGGCTCCGGAGAATCAGCCTTCAATCTTGTCTCGATCTATAGCGAAGCAAGATTTGGGCCTAGTCAAAATGGTTCTCGATAGAGGCGTCGATCCATCTCGCTTGCATCGAAAAGCCCTAAATGAAATGCCTCCGGTTTATGTTGCCATTCATCAAAAGCATATCCGGATGCTGAGGCTGCTTTGTGAGCAGTGCACTGACATCAACATGTTGGATGCAACTGATTCGACTCCTATATTGTACGCATCGTATCGGAATTTCGTGGAAGGAGTGAAATATCTTAAGAATTGTGAAGAGGTTGATATCAACTCCATGAATAAATATGGCGATACTGCGCTTACCATTGCTGCCCGATTTGGTCACCTTGAGGTGGTAAAGGCATTGATAGAGGCAGAGGAAATCGACATTGGAATCAAAAATCCAAGAACTGGGCTGACGGCCGCGAATATCGCTCGAAAATATGGGCACCTAGATGTTGCGGATCTCTTGGATGGATTCGAAGAACTGGCCGTACTTCTGTAGTCCTTTTGCTCGGCGAGTTCATACATAATCAGTCAAAGTATATTCGTCAACTTCAAAGTTTACCATGAATGCGATGAATGCGATGAATGCGATTTTTTTGTTCACAATCAACAAGAATTTGATTATATATGTATGTAAATGCTTTGTTCTCATAAATAATAGGCGTGCTGAGTGTTGTATGCTTTGGCTTTGACCTCGTTTGCACAAGTCATGTGCTGACCCCTCATTCACAGCCTTGCTTGACGTAGGGACTCAGCTGAACACGTCGTAGGAATTCAGGTCCCCATCCATTCTATGCTACAGAATTCCTAACAACATACTAATCAAGCCAAATCGTCAGCGATCCCCATTTGAATTTCCAAAATCCTCTCAAACTGCGATGATTGCATTATGGCAAGCTACCTCACGCCTACCATCGGCGGCACTTGATTACATCAAAGATTATCTCCAGACCAATCAAGAACTCGAACAGACAGACATAGTAAATTTCTCGCATGCCAGTCGATGCACGCCCGCTGCTGCGTTGCCGGCTACCAGAAAACGGGCCCTGAGTATGACTGTGCACCCCAAAACTACCAGCATGTGGAGCAAGGTGATCTCACTCTCGGGAACGACTACCCAGCGGACGATCAGACAGGAGAACAGTCTGCTGCTCACAAAGTTGCCTCCCGAGCTGAGAAACATGATCTATCAGAATGTACTTGGCGATCGGGTCTTGCACATAATACCCAGCCTTGTCCCAAGTCGTTCGCGCCAGAGATCACAGAAATCGCCACCTGCATCGCGTTTCGACTATGCGACTTGCAAATGGCCCAAGCACGTGAATGCAGAGGTTGGTCTCGTCGGTCAGCGACTACACTCCGCATGTGCGATCTGGATCGGTCGTAATGGCGAGCTGTACTTCAATGTGCCGCAAAGTATATGGAAAGGCGAGAAAGAGCTAGACACCAGCTTTCTAAGGTGGTGGAATGAGAAGAACAGACTGTTGGCTCTGTTGAGAACATGTCGATTAATGTAAGCACTTGCCCACCCAGCATAACGTTGATGTGAATGGCTTATTTGTGCGACGTCGCGGACATTGTATGTATCAAATGCAAAGGCTGATATTCGTGATTGTAATAGATACTCGGAAGCGGTGCATATCCTGTATGCAACAAACACCTTTGACTTCCTCTCATTACGAACTTTCGTAGAATTTCCTAGAACAATTCTGCCAAGCAGAACACAATCTATTCGAACTGTGAACTTGCGCATAGCATTCACGACAGCAACGGGACCTATTACAGGATGGTCCGAGGCGTGCGCAACACTCAAACTACTGAAAAGACTGCGTAGGGCTGTTTTCATCCTCGATGGTCCGAATGTCACCGTGAACGAAGCCGAAGCCATTCTAGGGGATGTTCATAAACTCAACCTTGATACCAAAGTTCTATCTGTTAGTGTTAGGTGGGTTGAGCAAGGAAGTTGGACTGGGATATCTGAATCCATAAAGAGCATCAGCAGTTGAGATATTATAGCACTCAGAATGAAAAAAAAAAACAACTCCTTCACAGAGCCTATAAAAGCGATACTAAGGTATGGCAAATGTGAAACCATGTTCATCTTGAATGTTACCGAAACTATATTTGCAGGAACTCGTCCTATTCTTGTGAATGTTTGCCATTCCAGGCTGTAGAGGTGTCTGCCCTATCAGCGCTCAATGTTCTTGAGGAACGAAAATATGTCTTGGCATTACCGATCCTCCGCAATTCGAATAATTATCCCAACTAAGTTGTTGGTCCTCACCTGAACACCACCATAATGTTTGAAATACCCAGCGCAAAGCGGTACGAACTTATTTCCAGCACTAATTGCTATGTTTAATTGCTAATTACCAATAAAGCGTCCGTCGCGATGAGCTCCAGTCACCCAGATTGTCTCCCCGCTCCTCACCCGACCCTGACCTCACAGACCTTCTCCGTTCTCGCTCCCACAATGATTACACGTTCGCAGCAGTCGACTCCAACGAGCAAGAAGATAATGTCGAAGGTGCACAAAGTGACCAGGAGGAAACCGAATTGATACTGTTCGGCGGTCCTTCAGGCGCGCCGCAACAACTGAAGATCCGACTGAAGTCACCAGAGCCAGAAGCTGGTGATGCAGGGTTTACCGTCAGGCGGCCTCGGAAATACTACTTTGCAGACGAGTTAGACAGTGAACGGGAAGCGCAATTGAAGACTGCGGCGGTCGATGGAGATGCGGTGTTGGAAATGGCGAGGATACCTTGGCCTGGCTGCGCTTTGCCTTGGAAGGTCAGAGCCATATCTGCGAAGGGTATCAGGAGGACCGTACTGATGGATCACCCACGGAAGTTGGTGACGGTCGAGGAGAAAATACGCAAGAAAAAGCGAAAGGGCAAGAAGACCAGGATTGCGATGCGTAAGAAATTGCAGGCGAGGACGGGGAAAGAGATTGAGGAAGATAGGTTGGCAAAGGAAAAGGAAGACGCCGAGAGGGAGAAGCGTACTCTCAGGAACAGAGAAAAGAAGCTCAAAAAGAAGGCCAGAGACAAAGCGAAGAAGTCATTGGCGGATCCTGGTGAGCCCGCAGCCAGCCAAACAGCTAAAGATGATCATGGGGAGTGAATCAAGCGCGAAACTTGTACGTCTCGGTGGTGAACTGGACGCAAATAATGAAATGGCAATTAATCGTATGAACTAAGATCTCCATCACATGCTAAATATCTCACTTACCGTACGTTGTGCAGCGCGTAGTGACCCCAAATCACTTGCTGTGTGGCTATACGTCGACTTACCTTCACCTAGAATCACTTTACTAAACGCGCTGGTGCCTTTTCTCACCTTGTCCAGCAGAATCAAAACAACCTGCCCTTCACCTAGACTGATTTAAACATCTTTCACAGTCGACAACGTCCCTAGTTTTACATTAAAGCACCCCGTTCCCAGTCGGTACTACGTCTCAACCACCAACCCAACATGGAGTTCAACCCCATTACCCCCTCCACTTCTGATGAAGACCTCCCTTTCCCGATGGATATTGACACTCTAACCTATGGGTTCATTCCAGGAATCCCTATTCTCGAGGATCACCCATCTCCCCCTCTCATCAATATCCATGCGTTGCTTGCCTCCTACCTCGCAGCATACATGGAGCCGGTCGAAGCGAAGGCTACCCAGCTGGAACGCGGCAAAGCACTGGCATCTGCATTGGCTTCTCACTACTATCCTGAAGCTCAAGGGTTCTCCGTCCAGGACAAGAACTTCGTCATGGCAAAGTTTGGCTGGTCCTTCGAGCTAGACGGCAAGAGAAACACGGCGCCGTTTCATCTGGTCCAGCCAGAGCACATTGGAGGCTTCGTGGTCAACAAGAAGCAGGTAAGTCATCAACCCCTCGCCTTTCACGTATATGTCAATTTCTACATCTGATCACGTTCACTGATGATGAGATTTCCAGGTCGTCGAATTCAGCGATGGATCAATTCAAGAGGTCGTCTATCCTCACACGTATATCTGCATCATGGCTGACGACCTCGCAACCCGCGAGCACTGGTTGAATAGGTCTCACCTCTGCCGTGGGGACATCATGTCCCTCCCGCTCGGCTTCGAGGCTAACATCAAGAAGGGCCACTGCGTTCTCATCATCGGCACGCAGATGGAGTTCTACCAGTTCGACGCCGACGACGGACGGATGCCAATCCGGCCCTGGCCCGTCGACGAGAAGAACAAGAAGTACAGGCAGAACTGGAGCCTGGACTTGACAAAGTGGAGCATGGATGTAGCCGACATCTGGTGGACTTGGCTAGCGGAGAGCAAGGTCACGTATCAGAATGGATACGTCGCAGAGGGTTCTGAGTTCGAGCGCGTCGTTGGTGCATAGAGGGAATTTCCCTGGACGACCTGCAGGATTGGAGAGCTGCCAGATGTATCTGGGCTTTTGCGAATGTGTTCAGGAATGATTAAGATTGGGCTGTGTCAATTAGGACTCACATCGAGACAGGCACGGTGTTGAGGTTATTGAGACCTCGATCTCATGGATTCAGGCTTTACGGTAGCATTATGTGCTAGGTTCCCTAAAAGAAAAGGTTAACAAATTACCAACTGTCCGTATATTCCGTGTCACTCGTCCAGTTCATGTTCTATCTTCCATTCTCTTCCATCAGTCCTAATTCTGCAACATGAAAAGGTGCAACAGCCTTGTCTTGCGTATAGTAACAAAAGGTCGGACGAAGTGGAAAGAACACAAAGCTTGTAACGATCCCTATATTGATCTCATGACGAAGCCCGTCACCCACAGTCTTACGCCTCATATCTGCGGGCCCCAGTAATTGTAGCTCCAGCTTTGTGCCAACGCTTTACGGACCGATTCTATCTTATGATCATACCCCTTCGGTAGTTTCCCCTTGGTGCCATCAAGCGCCCATGCAACTGCCTTAATCACCGCACTCCAGGTTTCCGCATCCTCGCTCTTGGGGTCAATGACAGGCATTCCCTTCTCTTTTAGGACCATATCCAGGACTCCCATCATGATCCCTTGGATCCGCTGCGTTATCTTAGCTTCATCATGTCCCGGCTTTGGGAGCCAAATGTGGAAGGGTGAAGGCGACGCAGCCCGCATCTGCATGGGAGAGTTTTGGAAGTTGAAAGCTACTGGTGCGCATATGTAGTGACCGGAGAGCAGCGAAGCAGCTGGGCCCATGGTGAGTCTAGCGAATGAAGATGGTGGACCCGGCTTGAACGGGAGGAGAGGTGTATCCGCCACGTGGGTCGCGGCGGAGATTGCTTTATCGTTTGCTTGGGCCCGGCAAAGGTCCTTGGTGAATGTGGCTGGTTTAGTACAGACGTTTGCCCAAGCCTTCGCGCGTTTTGCCGGGAGGTGCTTCTGCACTGTCTTCACGGCGTGGTCAGCGTACTTGGATTCACACGCGGAGCGGAGACGGAACGCGAATGTAACGAGCGCATCGTACCCAAGGTGTAGGTGAGGTCGCAGGAGTGAAGGCGTGAAGTACATATGGGCGTAGTATCCAAAGTAGGCTGTATAAACTGACAACGCTTCCTTCTCGATGAGCTGACTAGCAGGGTCAAGGAACACCGCAAAGATCTTCAGGCGTTTACAGTAATCCTCAAGGCGTTTAAAGTCTTCGGCCTGGTTCATTTTTCCTAAAGTTGTAGATGAAATGGCTTTTGCGGCCACTGATATTGTCGATGTGAGGGTGATAGCCGCGAGAGACTTGCGTAATGTTGAACTCGTTCTGTAGATCCAGTGATTTAGGAAATGGATTATAGCTCCGTGGTGCCAGACAATCTTTTTCTCTACATATGCGCACAACTTGAACGTGCGCTCGATGCATATGTTCACGCGCTTGACGGCCTTGTCTATTAGAGCTTTGGTCTCCTGGTCATATTCTCCCTGTTTATTTGGTGTCTTGAGATTGTCGATACCCTTCACTACAGCAATATGCCCAAAGCTGTAGATTGTCTTGTTGAGATGGGCTCGTCCGTCATCTTTTGTGAGATGCTTGACTAACTGGCAGATCCTTCGAAAATGGTCATGTTCAGGGCTTATTTGAGCAATGATGATCATGCCTGCCGGGACCATCTTACCCGCTCCAGGCGCACCTGGGACATAATTCGACAAGCTGCGCACTTTCATGATGACTTGAGTCAGTTGGAGTAAAGAGTCAATATCTGAGTCGCTCTCCCAGATATGAAGGTGTGATTGGTTCGTGATCGTCTTTGCTGAAATGTCGCATGTTTCGTCGAAGGAGGACTTGAAGTTGGCAGGCATAGAGGCGATTGACTTTGCGAAGCCAATCAAATCGGGAGACCATGGCCCTTTGAAATCGGCGGGAGCCATTTCGCGGCTCGGTATCAAATTTGCGTTAACGGATGTTGAGATACGTTGAAGGTGAGAACGCAGTGGATGTGTTGCTCAAGGACCGTTAACAATGTAATGAGGTGTTAAGCGTGATGAGCTGGACAGCGATCGAGCGTACAAGCACTCGGATCCGAAAACAGCAGCGGCGATGAGCACCGTGTCGAGCAAAATGTCGAGGGATCGAAGTGTGGGTGCGTTGTTGCCTTAACAGTACGATTAAGTGAGGTCGCTTTATGGTTGGCGAGTGAGAGCCCATTCACTCTTCGCAACAGTTGGCCCTAGTGACCTTCACACGCTGGCGCACATTCACCTTCTTGTACGGTGTCACCGTCAGTACAGCATCATCAAAACCCTGTACCAATATCTCAAGATTGTGCCGGCTGCGGAGCACTCATGTCAGTACTTCGTGATTGATTGATAATATTAAAACTTCGTTAATAATTGAAGCTGACAGTAGGCCAACAGTGGGTGGATAGGTGAATGCACGTGATCATACCAGACGCCCATGAGACTTCACACGAGGGAAATTATGTATTGTTACACATGTTACGCAAGATCCACTCTTTCAACTTCATAGGCTGCCGAAATCTCCGTGACTCACCGTACAATGATTTCCTTTTTGTTTGTACGAGACACAGCACTTTGCTTTTATCTCTCTGACCAATAGCGATATTGGCTTGACGTTGTACCGCGTCCACTCCCTATCTGCCTTGTGCCAACAATGCGTCAACGAAAATTCCTCCATCACTCCTCCACGATTTTGCTTCTCGATTTCACGTACATCTCCCCTTCACTTCTGACCCCAATATTGCTTTACGTTGAGAGTGGCACATATCCCTGTTGTTTGATTGAAACGTATAACCGCCATCATGTCAATTCAGCACTATGGCTGCGAGATCTGTAGTCATGCAGCGTCCACTCGCTGTCGTGGATGTCTCTCGAGCCGTTATTGCTCGGAATCTTGCCAAAAGGCAGGCTGGACAAAGCACAAGCTTGTCTGCAAGACATACAAGGACTTTTCTGACGATAAACGGCCCGGGCCAGCTTTCCACAGAGGCATCCTATTTCCGGAAGACGATAAACACCCGCGTTTCGTCTGGCTTGAGTTCGAGAGAAGAGACTTCCTTGACCGCGCGGTGGACATGATCAAGACGAACCTGATAGGAAGTGATGCTGTCGGAGCACAGTTCAAGTCTATCGGTATCACTGATGCGCCTCGTGCTCCAACTCTTACCCGATCGAGCCAACTCTATAGTATTGTGCTTGAAAGGCGGGACGCCATAAGTATTGATGGTCGTCAAATCAATGTATCGATTAATAATCTCTTCGAAAAACGCCACATCCAAAGGGACCGTTGCTCTGAGTGGAGAGGGCCAGTCGTTGCCTTTGGCATGAGTGTCAACAAGAACGATGAGAGCCTTTTCGAGGCGTGCGACCTTCACACCGTCGATCTGCGTCTTGCAGGCAATGCAGTCTTCAAAGGCGAATTCCCCACGACGACTCTGGACTTGCAGCTTGAAACATTGGTATCGAGGTTTCTTGTCAAGAGCCGCAGCACTCAAGCCGATACTGTCTTAGGGGTACGAATAAACTGCGAAGGTGACGCCTCATCCAACCGCCGAGAACCTTTGGAACTCGTCACCATCCCAAGAGACCACAGTATCTTCCAGGTAACTGTGTCTCCAGCCCTATCAGAACAACTTGGCTTCCCACTTCTGATGAAGGCGCTACCTTGCGATTGGGATCCGAAAATGGCAGTACTTACATCATGCCCTTACATGGAGGGTGATATGCCAGGGGCTTGCAACGACACGGTCTGCGATCTATACATGCTGGTGGACCCGACAGCCCCGAAACACTGCGCGTCTGGATCCTGCCTCCGCTCGAACATTTTGAAGAGTGTCCAAACTTTCACTTCGAGCGGCGAGCTCAAGGGAACAGGAAGTGTACTCGTTGTTCGCCAGGACAGGAAAGATCTCTCAGTGCAGCATGTAGAAGCCATGCATGGGTTTGCGAACCTACGGCTTGCTCCCGCTCTTTTACCACAAATCGACGCTTTAAAAGAAGGTCAGGCGGTGGACAAGGACGCAGTTTCTCAGGTGGTCACGAAGGAGAGGTTTCAGGAGTTCTTCGAACAGTGGGATGATGCTCATCCTTGCTCCTGCCACCAATTTGGGCACCCGTCGCCGTACGAGGTAGACGGGGCAGGAGAGGAAGACTAAGCTTATCACAACTGCATCGCGAAGTCGAGCCTCGACCGATCGAGTTCTCACCAAAGACCAAATCGGCAACCCACCAATGTTGGCAGAATCCTTTTCAAAGTCTCAGAATCTATCAATCAACGGTCCTCACTATACGCGCAAGTGGAAAAGCATATCACGTCTCACCAGAGTAACATTTGCAACATCTAGCTCGTACATTCACCACCATACAGTTCAGTATCGCAGAATGGAAGGTTGGGTTGGAATTTCTCAAGAGTGAAGTCAATCCATTAATTCGTTTGTTCATTTGTTTCTCTTGTGACTCAATGTAATCATGCCCATGTTTGCTTGTTACCGTGCGTGCCTTGCGAAATCCAGCAACGCCATTCCGTCCACCCATCCCGAATCTCGCCCAAATAATGACAGGTGAAAAAAGCAAAATGCCATCGAAGACTTAATGGCAATGTCTGTGCTATTGTAAACAAATGTACATGCGTAGAAAACAAATAGTACCGTTTCTCAAACACAAGAATCGAAAGAGAAGCCTAGGTCCGCAAAAGATCTGTACCCATGCAGCAGAATTGGAGATTTGTCTACGATCATTATTTCCCGGCACCACCATGTTTCGCAATATCAGCCTTCTCCAACTTTTCAACCTCTTTACTGAGCAAAGATCGCAGTTCAGGGCTGATGACTTTGGTATCAGCTTTTCCTCCCTCCGTTGAATTAGCGGGCGATTTCCCTCCGTCAACCCCGGAGGATGATGATGAGGCCTCCGGTGATCCTGATGCGTTTGAGTTTGGAGAAGATGATTTCCGCTGTCGGGCCTGTGGGATAGAAGGGAAGTTGTCCTTTTTGTCTATGGTTTCGATGGTGCGTTGGAAGCGGCGGAAGAGAGATTCGGCCCGGACGAGCGTCGATTCTAGGTCCATTGTCCCGGAGAGTTCGTTCACTGTTGTGAAAAGTCAGAAAATCCGGTCGTTTTATCACCGAGGATAAGGATAGATGAAATGCTTACCATATTTGAGAACCTCGTCGAAGTGCTTCAAATGTGTCATGATGACATCGCGATGTTTCTCCAGAATGGCCAACGCAATGAATATGTGGAAATTACTACTCTGATTATCCGTCCACAGAGACTCCCACAGGCGCAGTACATCGTTCCACTCAAATTCACGCTTATACCAAACGAGCAGCATGCGGAAGAAGAAGAAGAAGTTCGTTGAATCTGCGGATTGGAGGTGGAGGTAAAGTTTAGGATCCATGAGCTGGACTAGGTGATCGAGCGTGAGGAGTTGCTTTCGCATTCCAGACTGATCGCGCAGGAAGTTACGCTCCATGCGATCCATGAAGCCGACGAAACCCCAGAAGGCGACGGCATCGTCTTGCATGACTGCGTAGATGGGTGCAAGGAGGTCACTCATGCCTTGAACGTATCCGAGATCTTTGTTGTATTCGTTATAGGTTATGAGCATGTCTTTCATTTGCTCGAGGTGCACGTTGGTGCCGACGTCTGCGAAGGGAGAGTCTGGGTCTGGATGAGGAATGTCTTCGCCCATGAAGATGGGAATAGTTCGGTCTGTTCGATGCACGTCTTTCTCTATTGCGCGAACCCCATAGAATGGGGATAAGTCAGCCAGATTGTAAACGGAAACTCATGATGTTCATCAGGCATACCTATTCTATTCTTTTGCTCTTTCCACCATTCCTCTGCTTCGAGAGTCGGGAATCCGTCGACCATGCGCTCCCACCACGCACCCTTTAGTCTGATGTATTCGTCTCGGCGGCTGTTTAGATTAGCGTGGCGTTCCTCTTCACTGCTATCCCAATCGTAGACGCCTAGGAGAAATAGCCAGGCCTCTTTGCGCACACCGTCTTCGGGGTCCAGGCCGCCGTGGAAGATGCGATCCTTTACTTCGTCCGGTGTGATGTGCAGCCTTCCATGGTTGTCGAAGAACCCCTTCCATTCCTCCAAGGTCACGGGTTTCCTTCGATCACTCATCGAAAGCTTATCTGCTTCCATGTCTAGGATCTCAAAGTCGCCAACATCGCTTTGTTCCAGTGCCAGCACGTCTTTCGCGGTCCATATCCTTTGATTCCGATCCTTTTCGCTCTGTTCTGCGATACCCATAGCCCAGCGAGCAAGGTATATTCTTGCGCTATCAAACTCGTCTTGCAGAGTCTGTACTTCAGGATTCTGTATCAAGCGCCTGACCTGGGGAGGTAACTTCGGGTTTTCTGCAACCGCTTGCGCGGTTCGCCTTGTGAATGTAGTGACCTGGCTTAGCTTTTCAAGGAAACTCCATCTCGCCTCTTTCAGCGCCTTCGTCACCGGGTCCATACCACCATCTCTCTTCGCTGCCGCCTGTGAAGAAGACGCCTGCCCTGATTTATCACCATCAGATGAGTTCCTGGGCGATTTCCCGGGTGCATTCTGGCCAAAAGAGCGCTTGTCATCTTCTGTAGGCTCGATGAGATATATACTCGGGTCTGCGCCGGATCTCTCTATGGCAACATATCTCTTCAACCACCGCAAAACCTCGTCGCCGCCCCAGAACATGCCGCCACCGTCCCCGAATGGATCGAAGCTCTCACGAGCCAACTTCTTCCTCTGCATTATGGTCGACTGGCACTCGCTATCGTGGAAGAACAGAGCGGGAAAGCTATCTCCGGCACGGGTGTTGACTGCGACGCTTCCGAACCACCACCCCAGACTCGGTGGCCGGACCAACAAAGAATATATCTCGCTGACAGGAACCGCGAAGGCGTACGTACCGGCGGTGGCCCCATGGCTGGTTGTTGTAGGAGGAGGAGGGACAAGGTAGGATTGCTTTGGAGGTGATGATGAATCGGAAAGGTCTACCTTTACGTACGTATCGTATGCGTCACCCAGAGAAGACTCGGGAACCCATGCGAGGAGGAGCGAGGTCGATTGGGTACTGCGTGCGGAAGAAGAGGATGTAGGGCGCGTGTCATTTGAAATCCCTGAAGACTTCTGCTGTACTAGGGCAATGAAGCCGGGTATGTTATCTCTCGAGGATGGTGTGGGATGCACATAAACCTTTGTGTAATCATATCAGCTGTCTGCACCACCCAGGCGAATGTTGAAAGACGGCGTACCTTGCTCTTCGTATAGAGTAGCTTCACACCCTTCCCACTGCTTGTATGTCGTATAGTATTATATTCCCCCTCCTCATCGTCGCTCAGGTCATAAAAAGAGGCGGATGGCGAGGGAGGACTAGGCGGCGACGCCGGGGATGTCATGATGCGGGGACGGTGATAGAAAGGCCCGACGGGCAGATGAGGCAGGCCGTAAACACGATCGTATGGTTCTACAAGAGGCGGAAGTGAAAGTATTGATTGTTGGCGAAAGCAAAGTGCAACCGTGGTTTATAAAGGCAGGTTATAAATGTAGAGATATGAGGCAGAGATCATAGGACGCGGCGATGGTTGGAGGTGGGGAGCTGCGGTGCTAGTCACCCTACCCTACCTTACCCGGTTGATGGTTCGCAGCAGCAGATGACGTTGGCTGTGGCTGGGGCAGCGGGGGCGTCGCGTCAGTTCATAGGGCTATGCGTTTATCACAGCACACGCGCATATATTGTGTACTACATCTGTATTGGTTGCATTCAACTTCTATCAATAATAAACAAAAATATATATACACAACAGAACAACACTGCCCAAAAAAAAACTAACTACATCCCCATTTCTTCGGTCCCTGCCTGATTCCTTGCTTGCTCTCTCGCAATCTGTCCATCTGATCTCTGAAAAACCATCTGATCTTTTAAAAAAAATGGCAAAACAGAAAGTTCGCTAGGCAGTCCCCCAACTGCAAGCTGAACCCAACTGAAACCCCGATTGGGATTTTTTGCAAGTCTATTGACTTATTGGTTGCCCCAACTAGGCAGGATCATGGTGCCGCACTTGGGACTCGAACCTGCGCATCTTGGGACTCGATTGATGCTACAGGCCGACCCACTAAGCCCGCCATGCCTAGTCTGATGATGGAAGGTTTATAAATATTGTGATTTATATAGGGCAATTAATTGCAAATTACCTTCTGTAGGTCAGAAGGTAGGAGAGCTCGATGGCTCATGGCGGCGACGAAAGGTGAGGCCGTGGTGGTGAAATTAGGACTAGCCGCTCCGCGCAACCACGCAGGTGAAGGTGACCCAGGTAATCTGAGTTCGGTTTCGAGAATGGCAGTGTTGTTCCAACTGGATTCGACTGTATTGCCTGTTAGTGAGCTTATTCTTGCCAAATATGAGAGAGTGAGGGAATGCTTCAAATATACCAAACCTTTCCCCCAGGAGAAGCATCAGGATTTACCTTTTCGATCCTTACAGTAATTGATCCACCGTGTATCTTCGAAGTCATACTATACGTATTAGTAGGTAGTTTTCCACATGTGTCGATATGCATCCGCAATCACTGAGAACAGGCGGGAAGGACATGCACAGCAACATTCGACATATCGTCACAGACATGCATCATGGAACCACAACCATTACACACGACCACCACTACCGATCTTAACAAATATATCTAAACCGTTGTAAAATATTGCTGGATAAAGAACATCAGGTTGCATTGCATGCCAAACAACTTCGACAACTGCACGGGTTTCGCTGCTTGCAAGATGTATGCAGACATACAGCGCACTGTGACAACGATGGACATGTAATCACAGTTGTGGTGATCCTATCATCAATTTTCTATGCCACTATTTATATCTCTTTCTTTGATGATTTGACAATATATCTTTGGTGTTGGTAGAGGTGGGAATGATGGAGTTGAGGTGTGACGTTGAAGCCTGAGTGGAAAAACATCCATGTGCGAACGTGCACCTTGCCCCGTTCGGCTCTAGCGAGAGTCATCCCTTCCTTGCACCTCATTTGTCAAAGCCCTTCTTACAGTACTCCATACAGTATACCTACATCAACAGTAGATGCCTACCTTGCCTAAGTAGGTACGTAGAAGAGATACTTAACAATTGGCTTGCTGTATGGCGCAGTTGATCTGATAACATTACTCTTGGCAATTGTCACATATCACCAATTTAATCACATGTAGTGGAAGCGCTGGGAATTCACAATTGAACAATATCATTGTCTTCGATGCTAGTGTCCAATCGCATTAAAACACTTTGCAATGGAAATTAAACCTTGGGTATGCGCCATACTTGCATAATAAACATAAAATCATTTACCGTGAGAGATCCCACCCTCGAACTCCGTAATCAATAGACGAACCAGCAATCCTTAGCGCATACGTGGGCCGCTAGGTAGGCCAACGCGGCCTTGACCTGGTGGAGGTCGTTGTTGAGGAGCCCCTCCATAACCTGAGGATGGTGGGCCGTACTGATCATCGTTGGACGGGTATGGAGAAATTCTTGGCATGCCATACGAAGTCTGCTGCTGTCTTCGGTCGTCTGGATACGGTGGTCTTGCACCAGGTGTACCACCATTGGTGCGATCGAATGGACTTCGCAGTCCGGTAGGAGCTGGACTCGTGCTCGGTGACGATGCCTGACTTTGAGACGGGCTCGTTGACCTTGCTGAACCCCATAGCCTCGCCTTGAGTCGCTCCTGCGCTGTGGTTCCTGAGCCTGCACTTGGAGGAGGGGAGGGCAGATCGGATTGGCCCCCTACAGATTGATAGCTACCAGCCCTCTGGCTTGGAAGTGGTCTGCCAGAATATTGAGACTCTGCTGAGAGGGAGTCTGACATGCCGGGTCTCAATGTACGGCCGCCTCCTCCACCTCGTCCTTGTGCTGTTCTTCTCAGAGAGGCAGGCTCCTGTTGTTGCTGATTAGGAGACGGCGCATCCCACAGATCACTCAATCCACCCCCGCGGCCCATCGATTGTTGTGACGGGTTCCTTCCAGACGACGAAACGAATTGCTGTGGAGCGGAAGATGGAGTAGTGGGATCCGGAGGCAGCCATTGCGGGAATGGGCGACCTTTTTCTGTGTAGTATGCGCGAAGTGTGCGGGAGATGTGGGACTCGTCTTCTGTGTCGCCGTCGGCATCGTCGTTGAGTAGGTTCCGGCGAAGGTTATTGTAGCGTGACGTTGTCGTCGTGAGGAGATTAGAGAAGTAGGACATTTTGGCGAGTGTGCGACCAAGTGCGGTGTGGTTCTGATATCTCTTGTCGGCCCGGCGAGGACCTGTAAAATGTGGCCACCGAAGGAATGGATGTGCAGGAGGAGCACAGAGCGTGTGGAAGGAGTGGTTGTGTTTTGGTGTGCGGTGCAAGGTCGGTCGTCGGTGACGGAGAATGAGGTTGGTTGGGGGGATTGGGCGCTAAAGCACACGCACCATAACAAGCTACGTCGACCAATATCGCCCCTCTGAAGCGAACCGTCATCATTCCCAAACACACCCCGATCACACTAATCACTGCACTACTACTACTCCACCACCTATAGTTACGAGGTAGTATCTTTGCTTAGCACTCACTTGGGTGGCTAATTTCAACATCGGTTTGCGGATTATGCGTTGCTTCAAGTAGTCGTTACCCGCGATTACGCGAGCCCGTTATGTCGAAGTACTCGTAACTTGTTCACCCATACATGAGTTTCCAGAAACAGTAGCAACAATTCCAATGCTCATCTTGAACCCATTTCAATGTGGTCGCTTAGCGAATCAACCTGTTGTCACACATATATGCATGTGAAAGTGAAACAGTGGCGCACTTCCGGGAAAGCTTGGATTCGAGAGATGATCACCACCAAGCATGAACTCGACTTCACACTGACCACATCCCATTTCGGATATCAAGGACTCCTTCAAAGATAACATCTCAGATATTTGATGGTAACACCGCTTTTCCGGGCTCTCAAGTGCGAATACAGGCTAATGAGGCATGTATCCGGATCTCGGCATCCATCGGCTGTGAATTGCATAAAATATCCGACTATCATGACCGATTTCGCAAATTGAATATATCCATTACTGTCTATCCAGTCATCTCGTGAGCGAATCCATATCGAATACGATGAGCAAACATAGAATTACAACAATCGACTCCGTGACAAATATTTGGAGGACACTCAAACTACCCGAGTCTGCCCTCCGTTCCGTTCACATAATCGAAGATGGATCATATCTCCCATCTTCATTCAAGGTAGACATACTCGCCCAAAGTTCCATTGCTGTCTCAGCGCTAGCAGCTTCTCTCTTTTACTCCCATCGGAGAAATTCCTCCATTTCGAATGTCAGCATATCGACCAAGCACTCATGTGCAGAATTCAAGTCAGAACGCTTGTACACCTTATGTGGAAAACCAGCGCGTCCTCCATGGGGTGTGCTAGGCGGATTACACAAGACGTCCGATGGATATATTCGCATGCACGACTCTTTTCCCGATCACAGGGCATGTGCTCTACGGATCCTCGGCTTGGAGGAGAATGCGACGAGATCTGACGTCGCTGGGAAAATGCTAACCTGGAAAGCTGTCGAACTCGAAAAGGAAGCTTTCCAGAGCGGAGCTGTAATTCTTGCCTTGAGGTCGTTCGAAGAATGGGACGCTTTGCCACAAGCAAAAGCTTTATCCGACTGTCCCATACTGCTCGAGAAATTGAAAGATAGTTCTCCATATTCACCCGCATTTCTAGAGGAACGAGATCACAAGTGTCTACAGGGGGTACGAGTCGTGGAATTAAGCAGAGTTATCGCAGCTCCGGTAGCCGGAAAGACTCTGGCTGCCCACGGCGCAGATGTGGTATGGGTCACTTCTCCCAACCTCCCCGACCTACCTGATCTGGATCGCGATCTGAGCAGAGGGAAAAGAACTGTCCAACTCGATATCAACAAACAAGCGGATAAGGAAAAACTGTTAGATCTGATAAGGTCCGCAGACGTTTTCATCCAAGGTTACCGACCAGGAAGTCTCGCAGCGAAACAACTCTCACCAGAGGAACTGACAAAATTGAACCCAAATTTGATCATCGCAAACATGTCTGCATGGGGTCCTACAGGCCCCTGGGCCCGGAATCGTGGGTTCGACTCACTGGTACAGACTGCCACTGGACTCAACGTAGCCGAAGCCAAAGCTTATGGTGAAGGCGAGGTTGCGCATGTTCTTCCATGCCAGGCTTTGGACCATGGCGCGGGTTATTTGCTGGCCACGGGTGCTATTGCTGCGCTTTACAAGAGAGCTACTAAGGGAGGCGCATATCGAGTTGATGTTTCACTTGCTGGTGTAGGGAAGTATCTCCGCTCGCTGGGCCGTTATGAAGGGATGACAGGATTTGAAAGACAAGATATCAAAAATCCCGAGGATGTTTCCGAATATCTCGAGACTAGAGAGTCTGGTTTCGGGGAGCTGGTAGCTTTGAGACATTCCGTAACACTTGAAGGTCTAGATGTTGGTTGGGATATCATGCCAATGCCACTGGGAAGTCACGAACCTAGGTGGATAGGCTAAAGTAAAATCTTATCACGATCAACACATCTTTGCGAGTCGTGCATGAAGTATGAGATTCTTATCCCCGGTTTATCGACTTCATAAAACATTGTAAAGGGCTGCGTCCAAAGTTTAAAGATCAAAGATCGTACAATATTGGCTGTAGTGGAGGCTCATGCATATTTGCTATTTATCAGCACAACTATTGTAATTATATAGCTATTATAATTTGTGCAGAGTTGAGTGGTAGTTCTCTGAATACTTCTGCTAGATCAATGCTTGCTTCTCGAGCCTTTGGCGGCTGATCAGCATGCTAGAATCAACTATAGGTTTTCTCTAGAGAGAATGATTCATAGCACAAGCCGTCTCCGGACTTGACGGAATGATAATATCATGACTTCCCATCACGGCTCTTCTCATATTCTCTGTCTCACCCCCTCTCCGCAACACAAAACCTCCTCTGACATTCGACATCGCAGCAAGTAATGGCATGGAGGTGCTCCTCTTCGTGCTTCTCGAACTCCTTCTTTGTCAACTTCAGCCCGTTGTTGCAACTCTTACATTCATGATCCAAAACATTCCTCATTGCCTCTTCGAGGTCGCCCGGTTTCGACGCCCTACCGATATCAACCCATCGAATGGTCGTTGTGGAGGGTACTATAGAGCCTTGAGATGAACCGGAATCGTTACTGGCGACTGACGGGCGGCGAGATAGATTCGCGGATTGGGGGTGGGAACTTGTAGTTAAAGCGATAGGATTTGGGGTATGCGGCGCAGAAGGCGGTATAGGGAGCTGCCCACTAATGAACATGGATGTAAAGTTTGTGGTTGGCTGTGGTATTCTCCGAGTCGTGATGTTGGACAACAAAGCCATGACGAAGTCTTGGTTGAATTTGTAATCTGGCACACCGCCTGTTTGACGCAAGGCGACGACATGGTCAATCTGGTCTCTCTCGAGTGCAGTCAGCGTACCGAAGTCGTTCCTGTCGCGCCGCGTCATGTTGTCAAGGAAGCGGGTGCTCGCGAGATTGAAAGCAGCGGTTCCGAACACTCTATGTACGTCGACTGGGAGCATGTTGTCGAGATCGGTAGTGAATTGACCGTTTTGGCACGTGTATCCGAGCACTTCCTCAAAGGTTGGATTGGTTGGCATGGGGAAGTAGCCCGGAGTCCATGTCGAATGTCCATTAATGTTCTGTGGGTATCGGCCGCGAAACTTCTTGACCATCTCATCCATGATCTTGGAGAGGATGGGCTCGCTGAATGTTCGTGCAGCGCGGACTATGGGCTGGATGCCGGTGCGGTCGTTCGCTTCTGGATCGGCGCCCCGAGAAAGAAGGATTTGTAGACGCTCGACCACATCTACACTTGGGCAGTGATCGATGCAATTCCGCAAAGGCGTCATGCCATTCGCATCGACCAAATTCGGATCGGCACCATTCTTGAGAAGAACTTCGATATCTCGTAATGTATCTGCCGGATGTCGCTTGGCTTCTGGGCAGCTACCGAGGAGATCATGTAGTAGATTGCAGCCATTGGCACCGGGGATAGGTGTGGCAAAATCTACCAACAGTCTTGATATTTTCGGTGTCGAATGCCATAACACCTGATGTTCGAAAGTATTGTTTGCCGTGGCCGAGCAAGGAAAGGCGGTAAAGGAAGTTTGCAGGTCAGCACCTTTACGAATGAAAGCCTCCAGGCAATCCAACTCTAGTGCATCGACATTTTTTATCCAGGAGGCGTCATGTTGCCAAGGCTTCAGAAAAACTTCAAATGCTGTCAGAGCCTCTTTGGATCCATCTGATTTTGTGACCTCAGCGGGCGGAACATGAATTTGGGCACCTGCCTCAAGGAGCATCTTCACATTTCTCGCACTACGTTCTCTTACTGTTGGATTGAAGTAGCCATCAACTCGCTTCTCCAGGGCCATCTGAAGGGCAGATTTGAAGTTCTTCCCATCGAGAGGGGCAGCAGTTCCATCCACTATCGCGCCTTTGTCCAAAAGAATGCGGGTGATGTCAGGCATATTCCAAAAGGCAGCCTGCATTAGAGGCTTCCAGGTCGTCTCGGGAAATCCATTGACATTCGAGTTGTACTGAAGCAGCGATTTCACTGTAAACGCTCTCCCGTTTTTGATGGCGTTGTGAAGAGCAAGATCAGTTCCGAGTGGATGTCGAGATCCTTTGGCCTGTTGGCCCATAAGAACCCATAAGCAGGCACTTGGAGGCAGTCCGCACGCAATATCCAGCAGTGTCTGGCCGCCATGTTGTAAAATTACGCACTCCCTCATGGCAGGGTGGTTGAAGAAGCGACCGCCAAGTGCCTCGAAAGGAAGACCGATGGGTAAATTGACGTAATTCGGGCGGTTCATGAGAAGCGATTCCAGCTTTTCTGATTCGGCATCTAATACACACTCGAGCAAGTCCATCAAAATGTTTGTCGTCATGGTGCCGGCTTGGACGACAGGATCCATGGTGGTAATCAAGTCCTCGGCCCCGTCTAACACAGACTCAATCTGTTCTGCAGGTGTCATTGTGAGATCGCTATCCATATCACTGTCTACATCTCCTGTGGGTGCGTCATCGTCTATTGAGATGGCCCGTCCACCTCTCCTCTTATATCTCGTGAATTTCCATTCTTTCAGCTTCATCCGATATGCTCTCGTTCTGCATGATGATGTTCAGCGATAGAAAAAATCATGATTTTCGTGTAGGAGTCTTACGAAGCTCGGAATTTATGTTTCTTCTCCATGATTGCTTTCACATCTTCAAGGCTTTTCTTCTGGTCAACAGAAAGCTCTTTAATCGTCGCGCGAACGGAATTCCAGTCCTTGGTCATTATGGCGTATAGTCGTAAGTCGTTGTAAATAAGAATCAAGTCACCCAACTAAGACTATGCATCAGCAAGTCCACGGGTAATGCACTTGCTTAATGCGCCCACCTAAAGATGATGGGCTGGAGCGTTACCCTTCAAACCAGAAAGGGGATACAAAATTCGAGCACGGTCGATCGTAAGATCTCAATACCATAGAACTCCAAACGATGAGTTCCACGGGTTGTTAGAAGGAAATGCGTCGAGAGTCTATGTGCAAAAGATGACCGGGCAATGCTCCGTTTTATTTGATGATTACCAAGACTGGGCTTGTGCTTGCAGATGAATGCATTTGACAGAGTGCAAAAGTCGTTGACGGGTTACGAAAGTGCAAAACTATTTAACCAATAAAGGACTAGAGACTCCGATTTTAGCAAGGAGAGATGGGGCTGAGGCGCATGGTTGGCCCGTGCCACTTTTGCACTTTCGTACCATCAAGCTCCATTCTGCACATTCAACCTGCTCTCCACCCGCTACTCAACTACATTAGTCGGAGAGCGACCAACCTGCAAAGCCTAGCATGCTGGCCTTGCATATCCTGCACAATAGTCACCGCAAGGCACCAGCGGAGGAGGGAACCAGTATTTGTTCCAATCATCTAACAGTCATGCATCTCAAGGTGATTCAAGTCTTTTCTTCTGATAGACTGGAATTACAAGAGTCCTGGATCAATCAGCATCGTGGTAGTTTATTATATATCATCCTCCATATCACGATTGTCCCTCTTGCACAGGTATGCAGTTGACACAGGGCACAGTGATCAAGTCATCTAAATACCGCACGGAAGTACGCTAGGCTTTCATGGAAGAGTGAACACACACCTCTCACGTCGTCACTACAGCGAGGACTATCTGCTGACTTTACTTCAACAGATTCGGTCTATTTCCAAGCTGGTGCATCAAGGGGCTGGGACGCGAGGAATCACTACAAGACAACATTACACAAGATTTCAAGAGATGACAGAGAATCATGGGGTTGTAGGGGCCGAACGCGGCATACCCTAAAGGTGCAGAATTTTGTTTCCACTATTTGTTTGAACTATACACTAAATATTTACAGTAGAACATAAGGTCCTCGGCATATGTCTGAGCATATCCGCAGGGCGTGAGCTAAGAGACGTGACATCGCACGCTCTGATTTGAACTGACCACACTCAGGGTGAGTGAGGATGTTTACAAGCACTGGAAGTACCAGTCGTTCTGCTTCTGGCAGGTGGAGCCAGCAACACAGGCGGTGGCGCCAGTGTAGCCGATACCACCGCACTGTCCCCAGCGGGCGACGGAGCCAGTGCTGCTGCCCTTGGTGGGGTAGGCAGCAGCAGCGGTGCTGGTCTTGACAATAGTAGCAAGAGTGGTTGGCTTAGGAACGACGGGAGCAGCGGCCTTGGTGGTGGTAGGCTTGGGGGCAGCAGAGGTGACAGGGGCGGGAGCGGGAGCGGCAGAGCCAGTGCCGAAGCCAGCATCGACGGCAGGGCCGGGGATTGGGTAAGAGGAAGCACCTCCGTAGATGTTGAAGAGGATGCCGGCATCATCTGTCTTGTAGACGGACTGGATGTTGGCACCGTTGGTGATGGTCTTCTTGCCATTGGAGGTGACCTTGATCTGACCACAGCCGTTGTAGAGCTGGGCCTTGCCAGCACGGTCTCCCTCGTGGAGAGCAATGATCTCGGAACGGATGAGGTAGTCACCGGCGGCGAGGTCGGGAACGGTCACATCGATCTTTCCAGCGTTGGAACGGAAGGTATCGACGGCCCAGGTGCCACCGCTCAAGCCGGACTGCTGGATCTTAACCCAAGCATTGCCCTTGCCCTCGGTCTCAGCCTTAGCAACCCAAACGATGATGGGACCCCTGTGGGACTAAAGATATATTAGCGACCTAGACATGCACGAACTGGAGAGTAGATAACTTACAGCAGCAATGGGCTCATCGGCATCACCGGCACCGGAAGAGGGGTTGTTGTGGTGCCACTGGAGGGTGAGCTTGTCACCGCTGGCAACGCTGACTGATCCAGCAACCTTAGATCCACCCTTGCAGATCATCATGTCGCTGGCGAGGTCGGCGGCGGTGGAGAGGATGGGGTTGTTCTGGTCAGAGGTACCACGGACACCAGTGGAGCCCTGGGACTTGCCATTGACGAGCATCTCCTGGAAGGTAGCGTGGGCAGCTGCGAGCTTGCCGATGGCAGCGAAAGCGAGGAACGTAGCGGTCTTCATTTTGATTGATGATGTGATGTAAACGGTAAGTTCAGAGGAATGGAGCAGAGGAATTGGATGAGTTCAAAAGTGGAACAATGAAAACAAAAAATGAATGACGTTTTGCTAAAGAGCGTGGGTAAAAATGAATGTCAGCTTCAAGCTTGCCCTTCCAACAATGAGCATCGTGAGGTCTTTATAGTGCTTCCTATCATGGTGGCGGTGAATCGTCCGGAATGGCAAATCCGTGCATCTCCCTACCAGCAATCTCGGTAACTACTAGGGATCGCGGGTATCAAGAGTCCAGCCAACATGTCCACATCTGTCATTTCCTTAGACACACGCTAGATGCTGATTGAGGCTTCCAGATCCCTGCCAGGACTGAGGAATAGACCGCCAGTATGAGAGCTAGAATTCCTAGCTGCTGCTAGCTTCGGGACGGAGAGCTCGCTTGAGGACTTTTTGATTGTATTTTGTATTTGCACGTTGTCTTTCGTCCCAGGTTGATGGAATTCGCTTCGATACATGGGTCTTAGATCCCGCGTGTTCGAGATGCAACTAGCCCAATACACGATCACTAGTGGCTGGACATGAAACATCGTTGTAAGACCTTCTAGACGTCATGCTGCAAAAGTGCGACGTAGTCTCACAAAGCACTATATACTTATCGTACTGCATTGACTCTTAATGTGGCAATGACCCGATTTACGCCTTCCAATCTCGACTGAATGAGTCGATGAGGCCACCATCGATACTCGAAGTATTGGGGGCGCGGTCGAGGGCATTGAATTCAAGGGGGCGTTAAGAAGCGCTGCGAGAGGGAGAGGCGAGGCAGGAAAGTCAAACACTACTGCACAGTAAGTGGAAATTCCAAGGGATTCTCGATAATTTCGGGGGATCATGTCTCATGTACGAGTGCCACGGAGGAGTCGTAGGAAGCAGTAAGCGCAGGAGTGTTAATTGTTTTGTAGCGCGGTGGCGGCCAATTTTGGGTGGAACCATGAGAAATTACCATCACGTGAATATTCTCCACCAATAGGCACCCACCGTTTTGCATCCCCGATCTTTCGACTACCATCTTTGTGCTTTTTTTTCATACAACTGACAAGAGTCAAGACCTCATAATTGGATTTGCAGTAGGGAAATGGGGGTTTTCCTTGGGTAGATCATGCTGGCTCAAGTATACTTTGGCTTTGCATCGGAGTTGTCCAGTATAGAACAATCTTAACACTCTGTAATTTAAATGCACGTCATGTCTTCTGCAGTCGCAAACTTCGCAAAGTCAATATCATGAAGATTCTATGAGATCATTTGACTCCATAGAGAAGATCGTGGTCTTGCCGGAAGTTCCTTTTGAAATTTGCAGCCTGCCCACTGTCAAAATTTCATTTCCCCATGCGAGATTTCAATAATACCGGCGTTGATCATATAGTCCCTCTGCGAGACAAGCTTTTGTAGTGGACCTTTTCGACGCATTTGGAATACAATTCTTACATCCCTTGTCGACAGATACAAAACTAACAGCAATGTCGACCCGTTTCCAAGCCCGCCTCTCGACACCGCCAAAGCTTACCAAGTTACCAACTCCTTCACGCACAGTGGGCCTTACCCCCTTAAGAGGGATGATGTCCAACCACAAAAGACTGATCAAGTATTTAATTGACAGTTCACGTGGTCTCCCATTGACAGCGTGGCGAAGCAGGTCACTCACGCCCAATATAGTCGGGTTTCATTTAGCGCTGGAAATCCTTCCTGATGACCATACTAATTATCGATTGTACCGAGCGGTTCTGCGAAATGCATAACCAACAGCAGACACGAGCAATAGTTCATGTTAGCTTGCAATGCCCTCATCTTCCGCGCTCTTGAGCGCAACACTGGCTCGGTTGGCTCGAAGTCAGTTCTTGCAGCTTCTCGATATACGCCAACAATCTATATCGGAAAGAATGCTAGGCAGCCATGCAAAGGTTGAAGAAGTTTGCTGATTCATCACTTTAGTTGCCTACTGGATTTTGAATCTTCATAAAGGCTCTACCACCGAATCTGAACTCCGGACTACAGCATGACAGTTTCAAATGTGTTGACAGAGCTCAGGGCATGTCTTGCCTATCACCTCCATCTAGAGCTCACATACCCACATCCCTCCCAGTTGGTCACTTGGTTTATCAAACATTAGTTCTGAGTACAACACTGACACGCCAGGTAGATGATGTTTCACTCACAATTGCCATAGCGCTTCAGACTTCAAGCCTACCTGCCCGCGCCGCAACTGATGACGAGCCAAACTACTAGGAGAATCGAACGTAACATACGCGAGAGATGGATGAACATATACTGTCATACGATGATCAAAGCCTCGATGGAATAATGGAATATCCGTGAGGACCTGCAGGCTTGGGCAAGGACACACAAGACGAGCTGAATTTACTGAACAAGGCCACGCCCAACCTGCATGTGGCACATCTTGGTCCAGCAATTGGGTACTGAGGTGAGCGCTTAACACCACGAATCAATGAAGACGGTCAGAAGTCTGGCCGGAAGAGTCTCGTGCTGTTCGAGGTTCCCCAGTCCGCTTCAGAACTCGAGAGCCTCCAGCTTGCTTGATGATGTTTGACTCGAGAATCCTCAACTTGCTTGACGGTGTTTGGACTTGTCCCCAAATCGAACTGTTATTATTCTCGAATACTCGTATACTCGACATTCCGCCAACAATCGGGTTGTTCCATGGGATTGAAACGACTAGTTCAACGGAGTATCACACTACCGTTTGTATAGGCCTTCCACTTGTGTGAATTGTGATTTCCTTCTTTAGTGATGCAGCTGTTCGTCCGATGAAACTTCTTCAATGGGCCTCTTGGTGACCCAACAATATACGTGACTGTGGAAATAGCAAATTTGAACTAGCCTGGCTACTGAGAATGGTATCTGGCTAGCTCGATCTACGTATCTGGATTTCACGATGAACAGTAGCGCATCTATCCATGCTCATGCAAAATATCTGCCTCGTTCACTCAAAGCAGTGCTGTATTCGGCTGTTTATGCAAATATCGAACAAGAATAACTTCTTTCTAAAACGGTGGGCAAGCTGGGCATCCAATTTCAAGATAACGGAGGGACGACTAGAGGCCCTGTCTCGAGTGGCGTCTATACTGCATGCTGAAATACTTTAGACCGATGAAATATTGTGTATATACTTAAAGGCCATAAACTGCCCATCATGGAATCGCCTCCTAATCATCAATCTATTGGAGCCAGTGTGAGCAAGAGCTAATTTCCTCAATTTGTGAGGCGAGCGAAATATCCGGATATCTGCCATTTTCGCGCCTTAACATAGCCCTATAGCTACATATATTATAGGTGATTTCATATGCCATGAATCATGATGGACATATCCAACCTTTGCGCTTAGTTTGTCTACAATGAGCTTAGCTTGCTATACTCGTAACTACACCTCATATGCGTTCTGATAGCACAGCCAATCCTCCTATCAAATTGAATCAGACGCATTGGACTTGCTCCAGCATATCCCGCACGAGAATAGATACTACCTCATGGCTAATCGTGTTTCTCGTTCTGACATTCCCAGGCAGCAGTTTGCGCGGAGTTGCTTTCAAATGCCCTCGATTTCTCAGCAGCAACACCTGTTCATCTCTCTATGTCACCAGACGCCTAATTAACAAGTATGACTTGGGGATCTTAATGGTCGATTCTTTGGGAGTGACTCATTTCAGACCAATTTATAATATCTACCTGGTGTTTTCCTTGCTATTCCAACGCTAATCGGTGAGTATGAAGATTATATTCACCTCCTCTCAAGTTCTCTGTTATCGCGGACGAAAGACGGAACTCTCAGCACATGCAAGCAAGCAAAACATATAGAGGAGTTCTACAAGTCAGATGGTGCTGATTGGTGTGTAGATGCATGTCTCGCTTACTTTGCAGATACAATGTGACGTCATGATTGGTGCTTTTGTCATCTCGAATTACTTCGTCGCTGCAGTACCTCGCATACGTGCCATCCGTACTTGCATACATGCCAGCCGTACAGAGTGGAGTTCCGAACAAATAAGGAACAATTATTACGTTGTACGATTGTACGAGCGATAGGGGTAGCTTGTGCGGAATTGCAAAATCATTTCTGCGGTTTTCGCAATGTCAAACTCGATTTGTTGGCTGTACCTGTTGTTCCTTGAAGTGCGAAAACATTAGGCTGTTTTCAAACATGACCGTTCACATTTGTGCATCGTCGAAGACTCGAATTATTACATCATACGCTGGAAGCTACTAAACAGGCAGATATTCTCTCATACAATCTCACACACAAAAGGGAAAATGGTGTACGCGTGCCTTCATAATCACATTCGAAATCCGTCTGACATTCACAGTGAATTGCAATTAGTCATTTCGTTACCGAACTCGGGTGTCTTGGCTACCAGGGGTACATGTCTGGTTGTACATTTCCAAGCATGCTAATAGATATATGATATGATTTACAGGGGTTCGTAGAACTGTATGTACGAAAATAACTATAAATTTTCACTAATCAGGGACCTTTTTTTCATCAACACAATCTATTGTCTACATCTCTTCCTCCTACAGTTGAGCACGTATAGATTCACTCTCCCCATTGACACCAAGATAGACCAAGACGCTACATCACAGAATACTCCACAATGAAAGACGTCGTTTTGGTACGTATACTGGGCAAGGTGAATCACAATCACCATCATTAACGCATGAGAAGATTACCGGGCCAGCTGGCTTCATCGGCTTCAAAACAGTCCTGACTGCATTGGAAGCCGGATACAACGTGCGGGCAGTCATACGCAAGCCTGAGCAAGCTGAGAAATTGAAAAGCCACGTCAAGATTGCTCCACATGCGGAGAGGCTCGAGTTCGCCGTCATCAAAGACTTGACGGCACCCGGAGTCTTTGACGCTGTTCTTTCTGATGTGGCCTACGTTTTGCACATTGCAAGCCCGTTACCGATCGAGGTAAGCTAGGAAGCTTGACAGGCACTTGACGATGTTTTCAGAGTGAGATGCTGATCCGCTGCGAAACAGACCGACGACTTCGAACGCGACATCATCAACCCGGCCATTGATATGAGCACGTCTCTCCTCTATTCCGCGACGAAGGTCCCCACCATCAAGAGAATCATCATCACGTCCTCCATGGTATCCATGATCCCCTTCGAAAAGCTCACTACACCCGATGAACGGCTCTACACAGCCAGAGACATCAACGCGAATCCGAGTCGCTCGGTAGCACACGGATTGGAAGCATATTGGAACTCGAAAGCGTTTTCTCGCATCGCAATCAGCGAATTCTTAGAAAAGTACAAACCCCATTTCGACGTCCTACAGCTCATGCCCGGCGCCGTTGTTGGAGTCGATGACCGCGCTCAGAGCATAGAAGATCTAGTTAAGAGCTATCCCGATTGGTCGTTGAGGATGTCTCCTGTGCTCGGCACAAAGCAGACGTTTCCCCTCAGTGACGTCCCCGTCGACGTTGCCGACGTAGCAAGAGCGCACGTAGATGCTATCAACCCTTCTGTTCCTGGAAACACCGATTACATTCTCTGCACGGGGTCGCCAGATGGTTTGAAGTGGGACGACTCCATTGAAGTTGCGAAGAGACATTATCCCGACCGGGTGGGGAGCAAAGAGTTGCCGTTGGGAGGAACGCTGCCGACATCGAGGTGGGCTGCTGACTATCAAGAAACGGAGAGAGCATTTGGCTGGAAGTTTACCACGTTCGAGGATTCGATGAAGGATATGATCGGGCAGTATCTCGAACTAATTGATGCAGAGGCAAAGGCTCCTGCAGCATAGATTTGTTTGGCATTTGCTTGCAAGGGGGTAATGGCCCAGAGAGCGAGGGAAACGTACAAGACAGGGTTGCAATTAAGTAGAACGATGGTCGTAGAATTCTAGAAATGTTGACATTATTTTATAATCCAGTGCGGTCTGTCATTCGCTTGTATCGATGTCTACTAAAGCCAATGCCCAACGCTCTTCCAGTGAAGGTCAGCTCTTTTACCACAGCACTGCACTTTTACCCGCACACACCTCGTCTCACTAATTACGAAATTCAATTTCAAGCAACTGAGAAGAATCATAGAAATACCCCAATTCTGTCAAGCTTCTTGTTATACTTCGGCCTCTTCGACTGTTACACTCTGCAGCCATTCACGTGACAGTCAGCCATCTGCAAGTGTTCCTGTTTCGTGTGTGTGTGGAACAGTGGCGAAGCTGGCTGTGCATCCACGACGTAACACAGTAGTCTTAGACGTCTCCACCTCATAAAAGAAGCCACCCTCAACACTTCTTCGCGCAGAATAACCATGGCTTCGCCGTTGCAGCAGATTCCCGCAGAAGTTTTATGCAAAATAGCGTGGTATTGCTATGCCGACAATTTACATACCATCGGGGTCCTACGCCGTACTTGCAGGGATATCTACAACAAGATCCAATTTGAGTATGCCAATGCATACTTCAACATGATCGTCGTCAACGTGGAAGCTGATAGACTTCGCACACTGATGCGCGTCATCCAACACGACACGTTCCGTCTCTATGTACGAAAGATACATATCCATGTGGAGAGAATTGTGCGAGACAGTGTTGATCAGTACGAAGAGTATGGTGACACAGGCCTTCACCATCCCATCATGCGCTTTATTGAGCAGGGGCGCTTCGAGACGCTGTTTCGCCAAGGCGTGCAGCTACTTCCTAAACTCGAGGATTTCGAAATCGGTCTGCCTGAGCTTGATATTGTGTTGCCGGAGGATATGCCTCTGTTCCGTCGGTGTTGGACGAGACTATTGCAGTCGATTCTGTCTGTCATCGTTGCAGAGAGGATCCAAATGAAAAGATTCGCTCTGATAGACTACTACAAGCTGTGCTGCCCAGTCTCACCGGCTGTCCTTGACGAAATCTCGAGGAGGCCAGAACTTCTTAAGGGTCTGGATGTCTTAAACCTACAGCTCCGGGTTGGAAGCCGTTCACGCGCGGGTGAGTTCCGACACACCCACCATCTCCCTCGCAAACAAGAAACTGAGACCTCCCCAGAATCCAATCCATCATCTGCGCCAGAGCTCATTCGCATTCTGAAGGCCGCAACGAGGCTGACGGAACTCGGTCTGCTACTCGACCATTCCGAGGCCTGTGAGAGCCTACTTCTCGAATTACCACGCACCCTCGACATCCTCCCGATGCTCCGGACGCTGAGACTGGAGCACATCAATGCGCCCATTGACGTCCTCGTGGGCTTCCTCCGCGCATACAAGCGTACGGTCCGGGATCTTCGTCTGGAAGATTTCATTCTCACTGTGGGAGCGTGGTCTGATGTGTTCGGGTTCATGCTGGATGAAATGACCCTGCAGAGCCTGTACCTATGCAACCTCTGCGGGCTCTCTCATAGAATGTCATTCGCGAAGATTCTCGCGGAGCGGCCTTACGCGGAAGAAGATGTGTTTTGGCTCAGGGCTCCCTTTCCACCACCACAGCAAGATGATGATAACGCCGGCGAGATCATAGCAGACGACAATGATCACGACGAGCCTTTGGACGACTCCGACAACGACGACTCCGACGAAGAAAACGCCCACGAACACGCCCACGAATCCCCAAATAGCAACAACAACAACAACGACGAGGAGGAGGAGGAGGAGGAGGAGGAGGAGGAGGAGGAGGAGGGGGACTACGACGATGAATCATACGAACACTCCCTCGCCGACTATCCCTCCTCCCTAGACTCCTGGGACGATCACCCCCACCGCCTTCATCCCGTCTCCTCCGGCGATTTCTTCCGCAGCCTTCTCGAACCGTCCATCAGTTACACGTACATCACCCGCCAGGAGGACACAAACTACATCGAGCTGGAGCACGGTAACGGCGAGGACTTGCCTGAGTGGCTTCGCATGGTGGTGGATCAGCACATGATGGAGCCTGTCGGTGAGCTCCCGAAGACGTTGTGATCGTGCGCGTCGAGAGTGTGTTTGAGCGCTGATGTAGACGTCGGAGAGTGTATTGGGGTATTGTAGGAAAAGGCTATCGTGGTACGCTGTAGCTGGATCGAATGAGATCACTCTGGGCTTATGTCTATGGGGGAGACGTCACTGCAAGCTTGTGGATAGATTGTCAGCCTGCTATGGAATTGAATTGATGATACAGATGAACTATCCTAGCTTCTTTTCACCAATCGTGAGTAATTGCTTGTGATGGTCTCAGGTCGCCTACTACGCTACTATCGAGGCGCCCTATAAGCAAGAATCTTTGTGAGACGGGTGACCACCTGCTGTGCTTTCATGAATCCTCTTGGAATCGAGATGAGCACATAGAGGAGACAAAAACGTACTCACCTGGGCCTACATTCGTCTTGCAGAAGGTGCTGTGTCCCTTCCTAGCACACTGAAAAAAGAAATCAAGGTCACAATCACGATGCACCATTATTCGAAAGTGTGAAGATTGAATAGTTGAACAGTACAACACGTATGATTGAATATTTTTGTCCAAAACCGTATATATAAGTCGAGGCAGATTGCATGCAACCAACAGCGAAAACAAAAACTCCAGTAAGGATAGTATCCAATGGTATCTCTCTTTTGCGGCAAACCAAAAAATTCCCAGCAATGCAATCTATCGTTTATATCCAAAAAAGTAACGCTTCAAAACAGTACATGTTA